CTCTCCGTTCGGTTGCTCGACCATAAATGTGATTGCTTTCTACCTCGCAAACACGCTGATTCAGAGCGATTGGGCTGTAGAGTCAATTGCAACCCGTTTATGGGAAAGAGTTCTAGAAATGCGAAGGACCTACGCCGGTGTGTCGCAGAGCTCCACAATCGAAGCCGAGGTTTTTACTCCGCGGTCAGGCCATCCGATATCGCCGGATTGAGGGCTACGTCAGGTCGATCATCATCTCGCAAACGAGGGGGGTTTTATGCAAGTATCGGCTAATTTATTGTAATCAGACAAATATATTCTTATGTTTAGACTATCTACGACATGATCATGCCCACAAAACTATCCACTAATGAACCAACAGCTACCCGAAACAAGGGGCCGGGCAAAAGGAAGGCAATGCTGTCGAGATAGAGAATCCCTGCTAAACATCCCACCACCAGTCTAGCAGAAATATCGAGCACTAGTCAACCGAGTCTTCAAAAGGGTTTGATTTGCGCAAAGCAGACTCGGCTCTCTCCGGGACGCCAGACAACTATCGACCAACCGGAATTCCCTTGTGATGCAGTGAGAACGGGCGGTGGATGAATGGCACGAAAAAAAAAATCACACATGAAAGATTAGGATGACGCATATTGACCCGAAGAATACCAGAGGAGACAGGTCGGAAGATAAGGCACGTTGGTTGCAGCAAGGCAGAAATCATCTAGACCATTTGGGGAGCACGAGAACGATGAAAAGAGGGAACAAATGGTAGGCCCGTTCGCCGGGTCTTGAGGGAATTATGCACAAAAAAGAGAGGGGGAGAAATTGATACAAGAAAGGGGAATCATTTGGCCTTGCCACCTTTGCTGGCCACGGCAGGACTTTGCGACGGAGGCTCTAGAACGTGAGTGTGGTTAGAGGCGCTGTGGACTTCGCCCGTCCCGTCCTGCTCGCATGCTAGGATGCCCCGAACCCAGTCATCGGCAAGAACCTCATCGAGGGTCGCTCGCTCCGTCGGATTGACCTTCAACATGCGGCTAATGATAAACCGACTTTCCCGCGGCAAGATACGAAGAAGGCGCCACGGGCCTTTGATCACTTCTTGGCGAGCGGGCTGAGCACCACCTGGAAGAGGTGGTGCTTCCTTGCTGGTAGTCCTTTCCGTGCTCGTGCTGGTCTGGCTTGTTTGTTTTTGAGGCGGATTTTCAGCGGATTTATCGCTCTCCTTCTCGGAACCGGGCTTAGTTCCGTTTTGTTGAGGAATAGGCGGTACAGTCGATTTGTTGGCAGCGTCAGAATGAGCCGATGCATCCGAAGACGTTGGGGGCTGTCTCTGTTCTTGGGCGGAAGAAGGAAGATCGGGGGATGACTTAGGGCGCGGGGCACGCTTGGGGTCAGAATCGGGCACTGGGGTGCCAGGTGTCGGAGGAGCAATGAATAAGCGGTAGGAATTGTCGGTGGTGCGCGGTTGCTTCCACGGGAAACGTCGCAAAGTCATACAGCAGAAGATGATCGCCAGCGACCAAACATCCGTGGGGCGGGGGTCATATTTCTTCTCATCGTATACTTCAGGAGCCAGGTATGGATCTGACCCGACGATTCCTGAAGCTGGAACAATATCATTCTCGAAGGGGTAGCGGAAGACGACAGCGCTTCCAAAATCAATCAGCTTCATGATACCGCGGTCGTTCACCACCACGTTGTCCAGCTTCAAATCCCGATGAGCCAACCCCATTCCATGAAGGAATGCAACACCACTGAGGATCTGCTTAAAAGAACAAGCAATCTCCTCCTTGGTCATCTTGCCAGTCATGACTATAGCAAAGAGATCAAACGGCGCATACTCCATCACCTCGTACCAATGGGGGCCTTCCTGGATAATATCAAGGGTCTCGATGATGTTTCCGTGGTGCAAAGTGGAGCCAATACAGAACTCTGCGGTGACCTTCTTCGAATACTCCTTCAAGCTTTCCCAGCTGTGGCGCTCCCGGAATTGTTTCACGGCGAAAGTGACTCCGTCACTATTGCGCTTCAGAAGTCGGACCGAGCCACCTGCTCCAGACCCAAGGACTTTGCCCATTTTGCCGTATTTGGAATTCAATCCATGGTCATCGGCAAAGGGAACGTTATCTGGAGCCATCTGGTAGGGAGTGTTCTTGCCAGATCCTCGGCTTGATCGTTTCGCTGCCGATGTTGGAGAGTCCGGTCGCTTACTGCGGTGGCCCATCTTGAAGAATCGCTTCAACTCAGACATAGAACCGTGGTGGCCATGGCCAAAACCGTGCTTGGATTCGTTCTTCTCCTTGTGGAATACACTCCGTTTCTCGTTACCAGCCTTGGTGACATCACTGGCGCTGGCCGATCGAGGGGTGCCTGGACGAAACGAACGCTTGGAATCCCGACTACCAAAAATAAACCGCGCATCCAGCTGTCCCAAATTCTTTGTTGGCGGTGGGCGCTTGCTGCGGGCGTAAGGATCATTTGGCTCGCCAACCGGGGTGATGGTGCCCGGCGGGGTAAAGGATTCTCGGGGAGTAGGAGGTGGGCTCTCTTCTTGTGAGCTTGCATCCGTGCCGATGAAGAATTGAGCGCGATGTTTCGGCACCGTGATTTGGGGGGCAGGCTCCGGCCTGCCGCCTTGCCTGGCAGAATTACTATCGGCGGACGGTTGGGATGTAATAGCATTTTGGGAGCTTTGGTCTCCGGAAGTAACCGGAGGTGATGTTTCCGGGGTAATGGACTGTACATGGCCCCGGCCAAGTGATCCCAGAGCGTTTGTAGTGTCGGTGGCCCTGCCCTCACGGGATTGGGTGACAGCGGGAGTTAGGGGAGGTGACTGTACAGCGGAGACGGGAGGAGAGATGTGAGGGGAAGCTATATGAGAGCCATTGCCGTCACGGGCACTCCGAACACTCGAGTCTCGAGATGCGACCTAGTTGGTAAAATCCACATTAGCGACTAGAACTGATAAGAGCAAAAGCCAATGGGCGGCTGTAGAGAACACGGAGGAGGCGGCTTATAGGGGGGGGGAAGCAGCTCGGTGATCCCTGCCGACCTGGGGCTCTGGGGATACCGGGGGCCGGGGCTGAAGGAATTGGAGACAAAGAGAGCTCTGCGAAAAAGCATAGACATACCCTAGACGAAGGAAGCGACATTGGTTCAAAGGAGTAGTTGCGCAGTCGGGATTCCTGGAGCTGGGTGCTCTGCAAGCTCATAGCCAAGGATCGCAAGTCCTCTTCGTTGGTATCCTGGTGGTGAGAGTCCAGCACGGATTTCTCAGAGACCGGGGATAGCATTGAGGAGGGCTCAATCTCCTGGTTGACAGAGGAGAAGCGGACTTGAGCAGGCTGAGATCTCGACTTGGCGTCGGGGTCCGACTCCGCTTGGGGCGGCATCTTGGCGGGGTTCTGCATATTGGACGAGCCTGTCGGGGGACGATAGAGCTTGCGTCAGAGGAATCCTGGAATTTCTGGCGGTGTTCACGCTAGGGGAACGGCGCAAGTAACAGCCAAGACATACCTGAATCCATCGAGTCGGTTGGGGTCGACCCTGCCGTCACAGACGTCATACTCTTTTTAACGGCCTCGACTGGGGACGGTGGGACGCATACCCCTCACGGGGTCTAAGCTCGTGGGGAAAGATGAATCTCTTTCCTCTGACTGCGGATCAAGGATCGCGTTTCCTCTCGTTTGGCCGTTTAATTTGGAGGGGAAAGAGAAAAGGAATGATTTTCCCCGGTCAGAACGGTCGATTACGTGGGTGAGGCAAATCTTTTCCTTAAACTTTTTTTTTTTTTCGCTGCCGAATCCGTTTCGATAAACCGTGAATTGCAACGAAAAAAGGTCGGAATCAAAGAAATCAAAGATCAAACGGTCGAACGTCTTGAGAGATAGAGAAGAAGAAAGCAGGATAATGATACAGAACCTGGATAAGAGGGGAAAGAGGGTCTGGGCCTGAGGCAAAATCCGGTGGGGGTGTGCTTTCCCCGTTTCCACACAGGTTTTACCTCATTACACTCGAGATTCGGGGCGTCAAAGGATCCATGGATACTGGTTTATTTGATGATTTATGCGTTTATGACTTCTGACTTATGGGTAATTTCCTTATATACCAATCATTTATTCTCACACTCCGTCGATTTCCCATCTTGCATGTGCCCTCGGAAGTCAACGGAGCTAGTAGTTCATGACTCTTAAAAGTACAGTGTAATCCGAACGTGCCGACTTCCCGGTCCAAGGTTTATCAATCCGGAAATGCACGAGATCGCTTTGCTTCCCGACGATCTGGAATTTTACCACTTCTGGTATAGTTTGCATTTGCTATGCATTGATTGGTCTTACGCTAATATACTGTACCCTTGTCAATTTGCCATTCCGACAGGCTGCCATTCTAGGTAGTTATACATCTCCAAAATCCATATTCAAAGGATACTTTCTATATCATTCTTGCCAAGCCGATCACCGACTTTCTTCCCATACCACTTAGTGCCAAGCCTCAATGGAGGACTTCCAAGGTTGGCCTTTGTGTACAACTCGATCAGGCACGGATTACTGGATGCCACTAGATGTACATGTAAGGTAACCTCAGTTTACACTAGGATCATTTAGCCAATCCCATCCCGACTATCGGAGATTTAAGGGTGTGGATCTATATTGACACAACATTGGACCACAGGGGCACAAGGAACGATCAGCAGGGCTTGACGCTGGTTCCTCCAAATCCTGCGTCATCTGACATAGCTCGTATCAAAAATTCATACTGGTATTGCATATATCGCTCTATGACATGCAAATGATTCAGGTATATAGTACAGTGGGGCAGTGATTTCCCCATTTTATCCCATGGAACGCCGGATAAACTCGACAAGTATCAAAACAGTGCAGCGGTCCAACAATGAGGCCTAGGCTGGTAGACCATGCCATTGTACCCAAGCCCCCTGCCGCTCCCGAGGGAAGACCAGGCGTAGAAAGCCCGGTGAAACGTGAACTCAAAGTCAAATCCCATTATCAAAAGCCACTTCACGGAACAACCTGGATGCCAATGGACTTGGCCTGCGAGATGACACTCTTGCACAGTCCCTGCAGACTCAATCCCGATAGTCGTGTCTCGGTGTGTTTGATCTTGGCAATCTCGTAGACATGCTTGAGCGAAATCTGGCCACAGACCTCGTGGCCGGGGTTCATCGCACCGCGCAGACGGTTCTTCCGGGGCTCGACATTGGCGGCATTCAATAGCAAATAGGTGGTGGTGGGAGTGCGGAGCTCAAAGGTGAAGGAGCGGTCAGGGCGGACACAGACGCGCGCGGGAATAGGGACGCCGACGGTGATGTGGGCGGTGCGGGCATTATATTCCTGAAAAGGGCTATTAATCAACCGGTCGCGCGCATATGGATTGTTGATTGAGCTCACCTTGCAAAAGTCCATAGACTTGACACCCTTACTACCCAGAGCCGGACCAACGGGGGGACTGGGACTGGCTTGACCGGCGCCGACGATCAGCTTGACGAACTGATCCTTAGCCAAAACGTTTCGTGCCATGGTGGAATGTTGGAGATGCGACAGGGGTTGATTGGAGGTGAAGCGTCAAACCGCTGAAGACGGCAGATTTTCCTCCGCCTATGCCGCATGCTGATTGGTCGGCCACCAAGCGAGCAGCTGAGCAGCGTTGAACGTCATCGAAGCTCTTTGTCTTGAACACATCTCCAAGCTAAATACCTTGGAACTCTATCACCCATAATACCGTGCGTATCTCATGCTTCATTCGTTTTGTTGAGTCCAGTGGGTGATGATCAGTTGAATTTGAAGAGTTCCCATTCACATCCGAACTAAACTCTCGGGCCCCGCGTCGATCTCCCTTCCCCTTCACCTCCCTTTTCCTTTGGCCTTTTTTCTATTTTCTTTACACTGAATCCTTACGGTTGCGCATTAGCTCCCGAAGATAACCATGAACTGGCTCAAGTCAACGTACGTCTTTATCCCGCTTTTCGATGTGGAAAATGTGTTGGTGGGGTCAAAACTAACCCAAATCACAGTCTCTCTGCTGCGGTGGGCACGCAGGAACCTATCTACGGCCCCGAGGCAATCCGATCGGTCGCCCAGCAGACTGCTGAGACCCCCTACACTATCCTCAACAAGGACCTGCTGCGATGGAAGGCATACCAGTACACCAATGTGGAGACACAGACCTTTTACGTCATGGCCGACAACGGCACTCTAGTCATGGTTCAGGTCATCTACAGCAACATTGCGTGAGTTTATAAGATCTACCCCTCCATTACAGGATTCATAAGCAATGGCTCCATCTATTCGTTGAAGATGACCGGAAGTAATGAAGGATATCGCTAACCTGGCTTTGTGCGGAACTATAGAGGCATCCATACCACCGCTCACTTCAACACTAAGATCTTTGACCAAAGCGGAGCTGGAAACCACATCTGGCACTCGGATGGTCTGTCGAACTTCATGTTCGATGAGCAGATGGTTTGCTTCGGCGCTGATAACCTGACCATTACCCTTAACGAGGAAGGTGACTCCTACACCATCAAGTCGACTGTCAACCCTGACTGCCTCGTCGACCTGAAGATCACCCGGAAGGCACCGGGCTTCACCATCGGAAAGGATGGTACCTCCTACTTTGGAACCGACCCCAAGAACCCCTGGGGCTCGATGACCCACTCCTTCTGGGCGCGCTGTGCTGTCGAAGGCAGCATCACCACCAAGGAGAAGTCTTACGACCTGGCCGGTCGTGGTCTGTTTATCCCCGCCATGCAGGGCATGAAGCCCCACCACGCTGGTACGAATGATATAGTCTTCTTTTCCCATTTCGATGATACTCATGCTTATTACTTCATTAGCTGCCCGCTGGAACTTCATTAACTTCCAGACTCCCACCTATTCCGCCGTCATGATGGAGTTTACCACTCCCCCCTCTTACGGCTCCACTAAGGTCAACGTCGGTGCCATTCTCAAGGACGACGAGATCGTCTACGCCGGTGCTACTAACACAGTAACCCACACCAGCTCGACAACGGACGAGACCAGCGGCTGGCCCGAGCCTACCTCTATCAAGTGGGAGTGGACCGGCAAGACTGCCGATGGCCAGGATGTGTCCGCCGAGGTTGATGGATCTCTCGGCAAGCGACTGGATCGTGTTGATGTCATGGGCGAGGTTCCCGGCTTCATCAAGACCATTGCTGGTAGCGTGGCTGGTACCAAGCCGTACATCTTCCAGGTAAATTACTTCCCGTCTTGACTTTTTCTTTTTCTTTTTCTTTTTTTTTTGGCCCGCTGTGCTAATACGCGTATTCTAGTTCTCCCCTGCTGAGAAGCTGTCACTGAAGCTCAAGATTGGTGAGACTGAGACCACCGAGGAGGGCTTCATGTTCTCAGAGTCCACTTTCATCTCCTAAGCCCGTTGAGCCGGCCTCCTCTCCATCCCACGTACATAGGACATTCGGTCCCCAAGTGGGACCTCTTTGGCGTTAGTTTGAGACATTTTACATTATTTGCTGGAGGCAGTCGATATTAAGAGGCCTCATGCGAACCAGACATCCACAGATTGTATACAGGATACTTAATGCTATTGACAATATTCCTCTCTGAACGACTGAACCTCGTCTCATTACATGAAAAGAAAGATAGTACAAAGGCATTCCTATGACGTAATATTTCAATGGTCTTAATTAAACCCGTATAAAATTTGTACAACAACGATTGTGATAGAATACATGCAAAGTTGGAAGGAATACAAAAAAGAACGGAAAGTAATCCGCCAGCGGTCTTTGGGGTATCGAAATCATTCCCGAAAACCAAAGTCTAGAGGTGAACCACCTCAACACCAAACCTGTAACACAACATAAAAACGAAAAAATAAAATAAAAAGCCAAATAAGAAACTAGGTATCAACCATCAACTGCTCGCCCTCGTCCAAGAGAGTGGTAACACGCGATAGATCAGAGATCATCTTGCGACCATGGCCAACCAGCAGCAACTTCTCGGCGTTAGCGGGAAGACCCAAGTAGGTAGGCGGTTCACGTTCAGGAAGTTTATTAACCCAAGCGATGAAGTCCCGAATACTGGTGCCTGTGGGTAGGGTAAGAAGCTCGTCATTTTCGACGCCGGAGACGAGCTTGTAGTCATCCTCGAAGGCGGCTGGAGTGAGGAAGCTGTTCACCAAGCTCTCCAATTGTTGGTAGTCACCAGCGTCGTCGATCTTTCCACCGTACATCTCGGCAATGAGAGTGCGAATCATTTCCCAGGGAAGCTTCTGAGGAGCAACATTGGAACGGCCTTGGGCGACAGTGTCGACCCAGTGATCGATGATCCAAGCAGAGCACTCATACTAGTAGGCGATTTGTCAGTGATGTTTCATTTTCAAGTAGGAAGGTACAATACTTACGTCACTGTCATTGAATTCCCAGAAGCCCTTCCATCCAAGACTAGGAGCGTAGCGCAGTCTCTCTTGAACCACAGCGTGGAAGAAGCAAAGCAGTAGGTAGACACGGGCCTTTTCAACAGGCGCCTTGCTGGCACGAGTAGTCAACGAAGACAAAGAGTCCTTCATGTTGGCACGGACACCGGCAGGCTGCTCGAACATGAGCACACGAGAGGCGCGAATGAGGTTGACAGGGATCTTGGGGCTGGATTCCATGGAAAGGAAGATTCGGAACTCCTTGTGAGGCTTGAGCGAATCCAGTCTCTTCTCCAGGCTCTGCAGCCACGAAGGCGCCAAGTGGACGTTCTTGACGAGGACCCAATTACCTGTGGCAGCGGCGTTGCTGATGGCCTTGTCGGCACTCTCAAGACCTTCGTTCGAACCCATGGCAATGTTGGCGCAGGTGGCGTGAGTTCTTTCAACTAGAGCATCAACCTTGTAGCTGGCATCGAAACCAGGGCTGGAGCTGAGAGAAATGGGTGTGGTGGCAGTGACCTGGTCAACCACATCCTTCAGATCACTACTTCCCTCGAACAATTCGCGGCCGAACACAGCTTCGATAAAGCGCTCTGCGGTGGGAACGAATCGATCCATGCGGCAAAGCTTGACAAGGAGCAACGATCGAAGGAGCTGGTCAAGCTTGGGAGTGCTTTCTTCCCAGACGACTGGAACGGCATTCTCGGCAAGCTCTTCGCCAAAGAATCGGTCCCATTGATCCTGAGGAATATTGGGGATGAAGTCCTTGAACAGTGTCATGTTGAGAAGCTTGCTCATAACTTGTTCACGAGCATCCTCGGTGGTCGAAAGATCTGCGTCCTCAACAGACTCGTCCAGAATGCGGTCGAGGATGGCCCTGTCCATAGGGAATGGGGTGGCCTGTGCAAGGAGGATAGCCAACGTAATGCGGTCTTTCTGAACAAGACCCAGCGAGGTTCGTTGGTAAGTGGTAATGAATAGGTCTCGAATGATCATCTGGACGCGGGAAGCATGGTCCTTCTCCTGTGCAAGTCGCTTGTTCTGATAAAGAACAGAGTTGAAAATGTCAACAAAATACTGGAGAGAAAATTGGTAGAAATGATTGATGTGATGGAGCTGTTCCAGAACCGCAAAGACAGCACTGCAGGCTCGGGCAATGATGCTGTACTGCTGAGTGATAGTCTCGACTTCAGACATGACACCCTCAGTCTCGGACATTTTCTTGGAAATCTCAGCAGCCTCCTTCTTGAGTGTTTCCAGAGTTTCAATGACGTTGTCATCGTCAAGAATATTACCACGGGACTCATTAAGTGCTTGCAAGAGGCGCTTCTCGAGCTGTCGAAGGTGCACTTTGAATTCTCCTTGCATCTTGACCAAGTTGTTACGACGTTCGTCGACATCTGGTCGCTCGAACTTCAGAACATCATTCAGTGATTGTGTCTGCAAACTGCTCTGTGTAACCGTGAAGTTGACAAAGGTGGTTCGACTGCAGACATCCGGCGGGAACGAGGCGGATGGATCTCTAGTCGACAGGAACAGCTTGAAGGACGGGGAGAAATCAATCTCTTGTTTGCCGAGTTGAATGAGCACACGACCACCAGTTTTCTGGTACTCCTTGTTGAGGACGTGATTAAGGATCGGGTCCAAGTACTCTGCATCCTGGATAAGAATAGGGTTACCGAAACGCAGGGCACTCTCCAACTGCTTGACGAAAGAGTCGTCCAAGAAGCTTGTGACGGTAAGCTTGCGATCCTTGCTTTCTTTCTGCAAGAATTCGGTGACTCGACCGGAAGGATCAACAATGAGAGGGTATCTGTTGAATCGCTTCAAGATGATGGCGTTTTCTGTGCAAAGATCGTCGACGGGGAGAGAGTGTTCTTGCCAAGTCAAACGCTCATCGGCATTTGATAGGTACTCTGTAATGGGGTTGTGTGGCTTGAAGTGGATGCCGGACTGAGCTAGCTGGTGGACCCAATCATCAATCATCGCCTTACGGAATTGTTGATCATAGAGACCAGAATAGGCAAGGAAAGCAGCTGCAATGAGCACATCACCAACAAGAGTGCTGATCTGAGTCTCGAAAGATTTGCTGCCATCTTCCCAGCGCTCACGCTCGGATGCCAAGCTGTCGAGCAGACGAACACTTCGGTCGACCTTGAATTGGACTCGGGACATCTCCGTCTTGATAGCCTGAGTCTCACTGATAAGGGCAGCATACTCAGCCTTATAGGTGGCAATACTGCTCTCCAGACTTTGAATGGTGTTCTCAATAGTCTGCGCCTCCGCCTTGGTTTGCAAGGCTTGTTCTTCAAGTTGATCGACCTCCTCACGCAAAGGACCAACACGATCCAAGATCGCAGAGTAGTTGACTTGAGCCTCGACCCATTGGACCAAGGGACCACACGCCTTACTGGCGCGGTTCACACGCTCGTAAGTAAAGTCTTCCTTGGAAAGGAACTCATTCTGCATCTTGACACGGTGGTTGCGCGTCATTTGGCGCTCGTTGTCATAGTTGACAATGCTTGCAATGAAATCATCTCGTCGCACAAGACCTTGAATGGTCTTCCAGCTGTCTACCTTGTGACCAAGAAGTGAGCAAACAGCTTCCAGTGCAAGCCGAACACTGGCAGGGGGATTTCCCATGGATCGAACTTCCGTCAGGTGCTGACGCTTAATGTTGCTGACACTCCGTTGAGCCTCCTCTACAGCAGGCTCCGCTCTTGCCAGGTCGTGCAAGACGACCTCTCTGCGTTCAGCTACCTCCTTCTCTTGCTTATCTAGCGCCGCTTGCACCTCGAGCGACACTGTCTTTCGCTGTTCTGCTTCTTGTTGATCAGCAACCATGCGCTGCAGCTTCTCGTTCGCTTCTGTGTCCTTCTTCTCCAGCTGTGTCTTCTTCTGGGCAAGACTAGCACGCAGATCGCTGACTTTGTCTACGGTGTCGCGAAGTTTTTCAAGACCAACATTCAAATGACGCTGTTGCTCCTCAAGGTCCTCCCGCTTTTCGTTAAAGAGGTTGACATACTGGGCGACAAAGTCAAGGTAATGGCGGGGAGTAAGGAACGTGGACCTGCCTTGCTGTTTCTGCAAGCGCTGGTTAAACCGGAGAAGCGAGTGATGGATGTATACCATAGCGTTCACAACGGTGTCTCTGTGCGACGCGGGGAGTGTCAACTCGCGGTACGCCACGGGAATACTGTCAGGCGAGACAAAGTTAGGTTTGTCCAGATCAACCGACTGAGTCAATTCGGAGCCGACTTGGAAGAGAGCTTGGTCAGACCAATCACCCATCCAATTCAACACGCAACGATTGAACAGGGCAGGACTGGTGGCGGCCTTAGAACCAAGACCGTCCTCGGGCGGATTCATGGTGAACACAACGTGCAGATTTTTGACGATTTGTTGGGTAAACCACTTGTAAAGTTCCTCTTGCGAATCAAGGAGAAGACCTTGGCGTTGGGCACCTTCTTTACAAGCGGTCATCAGAGAAGAGAACTCATCACCCTCGAACAGACCGGGGACCTCAGCGTTGGCAAGCAAGGTGTTCATGCGCTCCAAGAAACCGGAGTCAAGGACGTTGGCTTCGTCCATGATAAAGCAAATCTTCTCTCCCTTGCAGCCAGCGCGGCGAAGAACACTTCTAAGATCGTCATCAAAGTCCTCCGATGAGTATTTGCCATGAACCTTGATCTGGAACACCTTCAGACCATTCATCCAAGCAACGAAGCGAGACAAAGTTGTCTTTCCACTTCCGCTGACACCGATCAAGATGAGATGACCCTGTGGCTGACGGAAGACTCGATCAATGCGCAAGGCATGTTCAAGAACATCATTAAACAGGACCAGAGGAACATCTACCTCTTCTTCACAGAAGGTCTTGAGACGGGCCTTGACGAAATCACGGAGGCGCTCCTGCTCGACGGGAACATAGTTCTTGGAGAGCCAGTTCGAGAAGAGAATAGGTCCCTTCAATGCTTCTTGGTCGTCAATTGTAGGGAAGTGTTCCAGGGCAATGCGCCGGATAGCATCAGCAGTCCAAGCTCTCTCATCTTCGGCAACAAGCCGATCCTGGAAGAGGCGCAGAGCCTCATGAGCCCAGATTCGGACAAGGCCTTCAATCGACAATGTTTCGAGAGGCTTGATAGCCTCATAGACACCACGGACCCAACGCGTCAGCTCACGAGGGGAGTAAACGTAGTGAGGTTGAATCTTCGGAGTAAACCTTGCCTGCGATTCAAGATAGAACTGAACCATTGCCTTGGTGAGAGCGTCGGAGTATCCACGAAGCAACGGCAGAATCTTGAGCACCGCTGAGTTGAAGGTGCCGTAGATCTGGTTGAGAGAGATCTCTCCAGGGTAGTCGACCATGATAAGAGGAGCATGACGAAGGAAACGTTCACCCATTGGAGTACGACCGGCATCTGTAGGGGGGTTACAAGCACCAACAAATTGAATGCGGTCCAGGGTGACCCAGGTCTTGTCAGAAGTCCGCCAGAACCCATTTTGCTCGACCAGTTGACGCAAGAAAGAGATGGCGCGCTGTGTGCCATACCGATCAGGCGCAGGCAAGTTAATTTCGTCGCAGAAGATAACCAACCAACGACCGATCTGGTTAGGTGACATCACCACACCATTGAGAGTCTTCTTGTACTCGCAGTACTGCTCAAAGGTCTTGATCAATAGATCTGGGGTGGTCGCACTGGAGAAGTTGAGGCCGACAACCTCCATGTTGGGCAATTTTCTCAAAGCAGCGAACAAGGTCATGGTTTTACCGGATCCAGGAGGACCACAAAGCAGCAAGGGCTTGTGCTCAGCGAGCCACGAGTAAAGCACATCCTCGTGGCGTATAGTGTCAACAGTAGGGATAATCACGTCAGTTTGGGTAACCGAATGGGTATTGATATCGATTGAAGGCACTTGTGATTGCCAGTTGATCCACTCCGCCTTGGGCAAAGTAACATCGAAGTCAATGAGAGACGAGTCACCATCTGGTGGCAAGTCAATTGTCGACATTCCAGTGACGAACTGGCCAAAGGCTTTACGGTCGGCAAGAGGGCAGTCACCAGTAAAAGACCAGACAAGGGTGAGCAGAAGCTTCTTCGAAATGTACGACTCGATCTGCTCTGGGTCCAGAGGGAAATCGACGTGTTGGACATTGTACTCCAGTATGTTGCGGCAGGCCTTGTTCAACAAGCTGAAGAGGGTGTTCAAAGCCCGAATGTCGGTAAAGTCCATGATATGATTGTAATTTTTGGCCTCTTCAAGGGACTTGTGAACAAGGTCATCCATCTCCAGATGCTGTTTCAGAATAACAGAGAGTGTTTCTTGCGTATCTTGGGTTCTGGCAGCCGCAGTTCCAGCGGGGGCACTATCATCATCTAAGTCCTCGAAAGTCTTGGTCTTCAAGCCCTCGACGTAATTGGAAATCATCATGGACGGAGTTACAGTGTCGGCATTGAACCAGACCATACCACAACGACTGACGGTGGCGAGGGTGGCATATTTCAGACTCTCGACTTCGAACATAATGCGAACATTTGAGGGCAAGTTGAGACGTTCTCCGTTAGGTAGAGTTAGAAGCTTATTGTCGTCCAAAACACTGTTCAAGTTCTCAACCCACTCTGGGTCAACGTCACCATCAAATACAATCCAGTGACGCTTGCTGTCTTCGCCTCGAAGATTGTCGACAATCTTTCGCAGGATTCCAGTGAAGAGACCATCAGTCCATTCGCGGGTCGTACTATCAAGATTACCATACAGGGCTTCCTTTGACATGACCTTGGAGTCAATAATGTGGGAAACACCTTCCACGCCTTCGATGCGTTGCATGGCTTGAAGAAGAATCTTCCAAGCAGCAGACTTTCCAGATCCTGATTTTCCGACCATCATGACACCATGGTGAATGCTTTGAATTTGATACAATTGGAGAGCCTTGGCGATCCACATCTCGCTGTCCACGAAGTGTTGTTCGCGAGCAATGTCTCGGATGGCTTGTGTAAGCTTCTCAAAGTTTGCGGGCACATAATCTACACCAGGGAAGTCATGTACTTGAATTTCCAACATTTTGTCGACATCCTCTTGCACAAGCTTGGGAGCAATAGTCTCACGCAAGCTCTGGACGATGATCTGGGGTTCAATAACATCATCGGGGCCAAGATGCCCTTCAGAGTTCGCGAGACGAGCACGTTTAAGCCCACCGGAGCTGACGAGGACACTCTTCAAAGCACGGAGACCGAAATCATAATGGGCTTGCTTGGTCAATTGGGAAGCGCAATGATCAAAGAATGGCACGGTCTGCTTGGACAGTGGCTTGGCTTGCTTGAAACCTTGGGAGAACAGCATCACCTCAGCAATAAGTTCCTTGTCAGGCTTGGACATAGCAACGCTACGGAACAGCTTCTTCAAGTTGTCAGGCAAGTTTGATCGGCCTGCATAACCAGGGTTCATAGTAATGAAGATACCCGTGTTAGAGTTGACAGACAACCGTCTTCCGACCAATTCGATCTGGGATTTGGCGTCTTCTTCTCCTTTGCGCAGGCCAATTTGAATGTTTTGAATTTGCTGGGAAACAGCAGACAAAATTCTCTCCTCCAAACGGTTGAACTCGTCAAAGCAACCCCAGGCACCGACCTGGCAAATACCAAGGAAGATACGACCCATGGCCTGGAAATCAAAGGTGTCGTCACAGCAGAAGACCAAGGTGAATCGACCAAGCTGTAGACCCAGGGCCTTAACGGACTCTGTCTTTCCGGTACCGGCAGGACCATAGGGAGAACCACCCAGCCTCTGACAGAGAGCTTGAGTGAGGGTGAGGAAACAACGGTCTGTAAGAGGAGTTCGGACAAGACGCTCTGGAACACCCAGGTACTCGAAACCGTAGTTGAGTCTGGCATTTGCCATGTGAACATACAGGCGTTGCAGGAAATCGCCCTCCGGTTGGTACACGAAACGCATTTGAAACAACCACAGGTAGTGTGTGGGTGTAGTTGCGTTGGACTGGATGAGCTTGGAAATAGTATCACGTTGATGAACAAATTCAGTGATCATGTGCTCACACTTCTTGCGAGTAATCGCATCCAGCTCACCGAGTACAGTAGCAGCCAATAACTCAAGGACTCTGACCTGAGATTCGTAAAGGGCAGGGAGATTGGTTCCTTCCTCCTCCAAGGACTTCTGCACAGCGTTGGTCCAAACGACCTGGCTGGCAAGTACGACAATCTGCGCCGGGTAATTGGCCAGGAAGTCATTGAAAGCCGTTCGATCAACCTCTGGAGCATTGTAGAGAGTATCAAATTGCTCGATGGCCTCGCCAAGAAGCTCTGCCAAGGTCAACTTCATATTATTCTCGAGCGCGGAGAGCCAGTCATTGATACGGGGTGTCTTGACAAGATTGACCTCCCGCTTCAGGCGAACTTCTTCGCCTTCCTTGGAAGTAATTCCGACAATATTGTTGTCGTCATCCATGAGGATACCAGACAGACCAGCGAACATCTTTTTGAAGTGCTTGGCAACGCGGAAAGTGTCATTGGCGTTACCAATGATCTCCAACAAGTCTTCATCACCAACAAAGTAAAACCGAGGGAAAGACACACGCTCGCGTTCTAAGTATTCACCAAGAGCTTTTTGAATCTTGTTGAGCAATTCAGCCAATCTCTCAAGAGACTTCTGGACACCATTGATGGCAAGCACATCCAAAATGAAGGGAGACTTGTAGACTTTCTTCATCACGGCGAAAAACTCGGAGTTGATGTTTTGGAAGCGGCTTGACTCAAGAGGCAAAAGATGCTTGATATCCGCATTGCCAGTGAAAACACCTTCGAGGTACACCCACTGCCTCTGAACATCAATCCAGACATCGAAGAGAACATGGACGCGGTTTAACTTGTCCTCCCAAGAAGTAGCTTCTTCTTCAAATTCTTTATAGTAAGGCGAATGTTTCATAGCTTGCAAAGAATTCAAATTTTCACTGCACTTGGCAAATAGATCATCAAAGCCACGGATAAGGCGGCACTTGTTCTGGTAGTTGACGAGGTCCAAGGAGTAGTTCTGCCAGGTCTCGCGAACAGACTTCAGGAACTCCTCTAGAGCCATCTCGCCTTGGGCCTGTGCGATGACATCGCGAATAATTGTCTCGCTTGTAGCAAGCTGCAGGTCCCAGACATCACCAAGCGTGAGGGACACAAGGGAGAATCGCTTTCCGGGCTTCAGGGACTTGTAGATCTTTTGCCAGTGTCTCTCCTTGACTGCCTCGGACTTCATATCCGAAAGCAGCGAGTTGACTTTGAGAAACTGTCGGAGAACATTTTGGATGTGTTCAAATGCAGCGTATTGTCTCATTCGGCTGGGCATCTCCTTGGTCATCTTGATTAATCCGTCAAGAGCCTGGCGGAGCTTTCGGGGCTGAACGCTGGTCCACAGTCCGTCGCGGAGATCATTCAGACTCTTCCAGATTGTAGACAAGGCTGCCCAGACGGACATGAAGTCCTGGACCTCCTCAAGAATTGCAGGGAGCGATGACTCAGAGCTCACAGGAAGATCAAGAGCTTCCTTCGCTTTAGACACCATCTCAAATTCAGATTGAAGTGACTCAAGCCGCGACTGGAAGGAGCTCAAGGTGCGAGAAGCCTCTTCAGGAGGAGTAGTACCCGAGACTGGCTTCTCATCGTTCCATTGGGAAATGACTTCGGCAATCTTGTCGCTAATGACACGATCTTCGGCGGTAATCTTCGCACGAAGACCCTCAGTCTGGTCGTGAACAATTTTGCTCTTCCGGGTAAGTAGCTCATTAAGAGCGGCCCATTCACCATCAACATTCTCCACATGGAGCCAGTCATTCGGGAATTGGTACCGCTGGCGAGAGAGCGTGGTTTGACCTTGACGGAACATATCGACTTCCGGCTCCCATACGCGAGTCTTGCGCTTGCACTGCTGAACAATGGTGATGAAAGAGACAGCATGGGCCGTGGAGGAAGCCTCTAAGGTTTGTCCCTCCAAGTCACGACGTGCGGCGGCGATTTCAGAGTGGACCTCACGCATGCGACCGCCAAGCTTAGCACCAAACTTCTGCAAGATCTCATGTTGCCACTGGTCATACTTGGCGTTGACCTTTGTTTGCACTTGCTCATAGTCGATTCTGATGTTGCCAAATGATCGGCTGACTTCCGAAGTATCGAAAGTGGCGCGACTCTTCCTGATCTCTTGAAGCAGCTGTAGCCATTGGGAGAGATCGTCTCCGAGAATGTCGTACACCTGCTCAGACTGCAGATCCCACAGTGATTGGAATTGCAACCACTTGTCAACATACTCTGATACATCCTTGAGTCGAGACTCCACCGCGCCGTATACTTGGTTGAGCTCAGTGGTGCAGTGCTGGGGGAGCTCGGCAAAGCAAGCTTCTGACTGACGCACGCTCTGCACATCGATTGAGATTTGGTAGCGAGTGGCTTTGATCTTCTCAAGATTGCAGATCACGCCGAGCCACGAGTCAAAGTGCGAGAACCAGCTAGCACGGGCGAATTGCAGAGGCGGATCAAGATGAAGAACTTGGTTCTTCATAGAAATTTCATGGAATAGCTCAGAGAATTGAATGCGGGTGGCAGTGGACTCTACTTCACCATTAGTCTGAATAGATGTGCTTCCATTGCGAGACTCTTGGAAAGTGGAGATCCATTCGCGGACGGCGCGAAGAAGCCGCTCTCGTAAAATAGCTTCGATTTTACCATTGAGCTCCGAAACCCAGTAGCCAAGATTAACGTAGTTCTCGAGGTTAAGCTTATCCACAGCGGTCTGGATGACGTCTAGACGCTGCTTAAATGACGAGGCATTGTAAGAGCAGGTCTTCAGTTCATGAATGGATTTCTGAACGTTCTCGTTGATGGAAGAGAGAACAGCGGTCTTAGTCTGGAGAACAGACGCTGAGCCAGCAAATTCACGCACGAACTGAACGTGCTTGCTTTCTGTACTCCTAGGCTTGGAGGGATCAATAGCTCCATTGGCTAAAGCTGATTGCTTGACATGGAGCTCATAGGAATGAACAAATGACTCCCATCGAAGTGGAATACCCTTGCTGACCATGGCTTGCGAATCATTCACGTAGCCATTCAGTAGAATAGCAACATCGGACATAGAAGCAATGGTACGATTGGTCTGTAGGAGGGTTCTTACGCTTTCCATCAAACTGATCGCATATGGATAGACACGCTTCGCTTCTTTGGAGATGTTGCTCACAGCATGAGGAACCTGGAAGTTCAGCCAAATGAGATTACGGACTTCCTTGAATAGCGCAATGATCTGAGCATCAAAGTTTACCGTGAGCTCTAGGGAATTTCCTGCGGCACGATTGCGGACGATATTGAAGAGTCGGCCAGAGATTGTGATATGCCGTCTCTGCACATCATAGAGCCATGACTCAAACACCGGGCGTGTATCCAGCTTCTTGCGGAAGAGATTGCTTTCGGACTGCAATTTCTCACCCTCGGCGTGTAAGTGCCAGTCTTCTCCAAGAACATTTTCCACCTTTCGCATGTAGCCATCTAGCTGGCGTTCAATCTGCCGAGCCCAGATGATAGCTCCAGAGACGGGTGGCAGGTCACGCAATTGTGCCATAGCATGGGCCTCAGAGTGACCGTACTGCTGCTTGAATCGTTCATGGAGGGAAGAGATGTCGCGTTTGACATTGTCGATGAGTTGTGTCTGATACTCGCCGATGGCACCACGAATTTTGGGTCGAACCAACAGAGCGTTGAACTTCGAGAAGACACGGAACATCTCATTGGCATTCTTAGCAGTGGCAAGACGATCGCGAAGGCGAGCGATAATGGAGTTTTCGACGCGAGATGTACGCTCGCTGTAGCCAATCTCTGCATTCTCCCAAGTCCGAGCTCCCTCGGGGGAAACATCCAACACATCGATATTCTTGAGAGCAGCGTAGGCATGTGTGACCTCCTCGACAGCATCGACATCACCGATTTCCTCTACAATAACAGCACCATCAGCGTCCACTGCACCCGTCTCGGCAGGCGAGGACTTGGGTCCGAGAACATTGATGATAGTCTTCTGAAGCTGCTCGTGGTTGACACGGAAAGTATCAATGTACTTCAGTCGTTCGCGAACATTATCGATCCTGGCATTAATCTTGATCGGAATAAACTTTTCATTGCGGCGCCTAGTTGACTCTCGCGCCACATTGGTGAATTCCTTCAGGTTTTCGTCCCAAGTACGCCAGATTGCTTGGGTAACCTTCATCAACGATCGGAATTCGCGATAATCGAGGTGCAAAATCTCACGGCCATTGATCAAATCATGAATCTTCTTGTCCAAGTCGCCTGAAATTGCTTCAACGAGGGAAAGAGCACGCTTAATCGGATAAGGGCAGATCTTCAGCTTTTTGTTCAAGTGATTGAAAATCAGACCAAGTGACTCCTGAGCTTTCTGCAAAGAAGTTGCGGAGAGCAACTCATCCAAGGGAAAGTCGCGCATCAGCTGGTTATACTTCTGGACCAACTCCGTGGCATCTTTCAGCCCAGTATCTGCCTGGAAACTCAGGGTAGGTTGGTATCGCTTGGCATGGCGGAGAATTTCCATAGTCAACTTTACACCATCGCTTTGCAGCTGACCCTCAATTCCTTCTAGGGCAGACTCCATTGACAACCAGAAGTTAACCTCTGGTGACGCTGACTCACCTTCTGGGTCCCGCGACATCTTAGTGATTGTCTGAATCGATCTGATCCACCCATTCACGGTGTTTTGAATGCTATTTGTGAAAGCACTATTATCTAGCACCGTAGACGGGATGAGCTCCACGGAGGGCCGGATGCCCTTTGTTTCGGCTTCCTTCAGCGCAGCATGGACCACCTCGTGGAGTGGCAGGTTTAAAGCCGGAATCTCCACATTCTGTTGAAGATGCATAAAGGCAAGCTCCAGCTCGGCAAACTTCTTCTTCGTTCCCGGGATACCAGTTTTGGCCTCCGTATCTGTTCTCGGTTTTGTGCCGGAGACGGGATCTTGACTGCGGGTGTTGGCTTCGAAGTAGGGACTGAGACCATGGTGGAGCATAAGGTGGATAATTTGGAAAGGCGACAATGATGTTCCTTGCTGTGACTGAGAATTGCTAAGGGAAGCGATACCAGGAAGGTTCATCACTTGGACTTGAGTGGCGATCGGCAGACTAGGATCGATAGGGGCAGGGCGTTTGATGAAAGCAACGGACGAGACGGTGGTGGAGGCGGAGGAGATCTCGGAGGACAGAGTATAGACATACTGCATCACTGATTCTAGTGGACGTTGTTAGCATTGGAGAAACAGGGGTCGAGGAGCATGGCTGATTGACTGACCAGTGTCTTCGGTCTCGTCGTTTGTCTCCTCTGCGGCCACGATATCCTTTTGCACATAAAGCGCAACCTGCGACTCTGAGGCAAAACGCGTGCACCTCTGTACTGTGTCGTTGTACCTTGCCGAGGATAGCAAGCTCCCAGCGCTTTCCAGCTCGGATTTCAGAGCACCCAGTGTCACCTGGAGCACGTCTGTCAGGTACTGGACCACAGCACCAGAGTCTACCAGTGCTGCCGTATCAGGCGTTGAGACGCCATTTGGCGCCCCTGGCGCGGCAACCTCCATTGTTTGTTCCAACTTTAGAGCGACAGACTCGGGTTCATTGAAGGTTGAAGACGGGGGAACGCGATCGGCGGAGCAGAATTAAATGTTGACAGGGATCGCGTCGAGCGGGAGGGAAGAAATGGGAAGTTAAATGACGACCCGTATTCGAAAGGATGAGAGATAAAGACAAAACGGTCTAAATTAATTAGTACGAAGAAGAGAATAGTCGAACAAAAAAAGGGTGTCGTTCGTAGTTTTGAGATAACAGATACGCGGTGTTTGTTCGTACACTTCAGGGGATGCGGGTCTAATCCTGATCAGGTTAGACTCGTCGCGCCCAACCATGTGACGTCCCTGAACCGTTCCGTACTTTGGCCTGAACCCATGGATTATTATTTGATATAGATCAAAGAGTGGGACACGTTCGCATTTCCCAACTTCTATTGCATTCACAATCGCCCCCGAATGAGATGTGGGCTTATGGTTGCAGTTTTCCAAGGCTGGTTGTAACGCTTATACATATATATTAGAGTTGAGTGATGCAGCTGGAGGTGATGCCCAAGCCTTGTGGGCGGTGGGTGACACGTCAATCCCGAGTGTTGTTTAGCCCTCGTAGTAAGGAGGATTACTGGGGCGGAGGTAGCATTCTAGAGCTTCTCATATGAGGATGTGAACTTTGGGAACCTTGGAACCTTTGGAATATGGATACTAATTCTCACAGATCTTCCAAGGTTGGAAAGTAATAGTCTTTACCCTCGAAATCCTTCTTCGGCACCAACCCTCAAGTCAGGCCGATATTGTGCAACTGTCATCTTTAAAAGTTGCAGGGGTTTAAATTCTCGAAGGAAGCCTCGGTGATTAAAATCGAAAATTCATGTACTGTATTGCGACACAGGACTACGTTTTACAGGTTCGAAATTATGAAAAACAAAAATCCTCTTCAACGATCTTGATTGAACTTTGGAAATACATCAAAAACAAATCCCGAGATTAGATAGCTTATAGGTGCTATGTACTCGCTCAGCTGGGAACCATGGCAATTTTGATCTCGATTTCGGTTCAAAATTTCCATTGATTCATCCAGTTCTCCATCAATGGAGCATCAATGGCCTTCAGCTCTCGCAAAGACTTACTGGCGGTCTGTGTCTTCGTTGTCTCGGTCCATGGACCTGCCTCCTCAACCGCTGCAAAGGCCTGGAAGAAGTCCAAGATCTTAAGAGCGGGCTTATCCTTAAGGTCATCCTCAGTAGGATTGGTGAAGCTTTCTAAAGATTCAATCCATGTTGGGAAATCGACAGGCTCAGCATCAAAGTACTTCGTCATGGCAGGGATCAACGATGGCCATTCCGTTACTCTGGGGTTAACGATGTGGAACGCAGCACACGGCTCATCCTCTTGTGTAGTTCGTCGGGTCCGAACTGTCTCGACAATCACCTTAGCAGTGATATCCTATAAGATAGGTAGCGTTAGATAGATAGGTGACCGTTATAGTAAAAAGAATAAGCACAGCACATACCACTGGGACCCACTGCACAGTAATCGATCCCAAAGACTTCGGAATCTGCTTAAGGGTTTTAGACGTTGCAACCAATGACGGGAGCCATTCTTGCTTATTCCACATTCCCTTCTCGGTTGTTGGACCACCAATCTGTCCCACGCGATGAATACTGGTAGGAACGCCAGCTCGGGCAGAGGCGGCTGCGCAGATTCTCTCAGACACATGTTTTGACTCTCCGTATCCCTGGCGAAGAGCCGAACTGGGATCATTGTAGATCACCTCAGGAATGGATGGCCCACGCTCAGGACTATATCCCTCAATAGTGGAGATGGACGATATGAAATGAATATGGGCATTTCGATCGCTGGCAATACTGAATTCGACTAGCCGACGCACTCCCTCGATATGGGTTTGCTCAAAGGCCTCCACTCTGTGATTGAAGTTGACCTTCCATGCATTGTGGATGACTGTGTCAACGCTCTGCAAAAGCTCGTCATATTTGGAATCCTCCAGACCAAGTCGTTCGGCCCCAAACTGAGCTTGGAGAAACTCTACTCGACGCGGAAACTGCTTAAAGTAGGCGAGACCTTTCTCTTGCAGGCTCGACAGCTGTCTTGCAGCCGCATCTGCAGATCGGTTGAGGCAGTAGATCTTGGTAACACTGAGATCACGAAGAAGCTCAGCTAGCAAATAGGCCCCAAGTGAGCCAGTAGAGCCAGTGAGAATGACTGCATGGCTTTCTCCGAGATCATCGGTGTATTTTCCGACCAGGTCCGCAATCCTTGCTTCCCGCTCGCTGTCGCTTTCCTCGGCAACCTCAGCGGGAGCTGAACCTTGACCTTGAAGAAGATCAGAGATATATCCCGTGAGCTGAGCAACTGTCGGTCGGGAGTAAAGCTGTGGACTGCCGAAGGCAGCACCCAGGTCGGGACGTGCAGTCCGAAGAGATGCTTGAAGGATCTGCCCTAGACGGAGTGTCTGGAGGGAATCAAGGCCCAATGCAAAGACGTCTGCATTCTCATCAACAGTAGGGATATCCAATATGTCCGAGAGAGCTGATGTGATATACGAAGCGACCTCTGGCTGAGTGGCATCTTTGGTAAGCTGTGCAATATCAGCCTGGTCGCCATTGGCATAAAGCCTGTTGATCTCCTCTTCATAATCGGCCAGAACGGAGCGTCTTTTGATAGTTCCTTTTGGTGTGAGCTCAAATGGCTTGGATTGAGTCGAAACGCCGACGCGATTTCTCATCAATTGCGCATGTCCAGGAGCAGCTTCGTTGGCCTTCTTGACAACAGGCCATATCTCCTTGATCAATTCATCTGTGTCGCCATTCCATGTGTCCCAGTGGGGTTCAACCAAAACTGAAGACTGAAAGCGGCCTTGACCAATCACCACAGATCGAGCGACAAGGGGATGCCCAGTAATGATTTCCTCCATAGTAGTTGGATTGAATTTCTCTCCATTGCTAAGAACGATGATATCATCCTTGCGACCGGAGTAGAGCCACAGATAATCTTTCTCGGGGTGAGGAGCAAACAAGTCACCGGTTCGGTACTCGGTCTTGTCGGGGTAGGTGTGGAAGATGCACTGGGCATCACGATTCTTTGCACGGGGGATGACAAGCTCGAAAAGGCCATCACCGGCATCGCGCATATCTAGCCCGGCATTGGGATTCCACTCAAAATATGCCCAGTCTTTTCTGTCTTTGGTTTTTAACGATCCAAGAATTCCAGTTTCACTTGTTCCCAGTACTGTCTGCAAGTGTGTCCATTCGATGATGCGGTCTCCAACTTCCGGGGCCAAAGGTGCGCCACCGTAGGCAATCCAGTCAAAGGTTTTCAAGCACCTGACTCCCAGATCTGACCCGACAAGGTCCTCTAGAATAGAGGGAGGGAATATGCCAACGGAAGGCTTTTTGTCTTCGATGATCTGGGCCAGCAGTTCTGCCGTCATGGGCTTGTCCGGGCTTAAAATAAAGGGCGTGGAGAAGAACATCGGCGAGGTTATATACATAATACCAATGAGATGAAAGAAGGGGCTCATAGCAATTTCGCTTACGCCTCGCATGGCAGAGAAGGTCACACTAGGTGATCTGTTTTCCGGGACTGGAAGACAGCCAAGTCCGTCCATGGCAATAAGATAGCCGTTGGTCATTGGGACTGGCTTTGGCATTCCTATAAGGATAGTCAGTATATCTATCAATGAAGAGGCGCAAATAGTGCAGATTTGTAAACCCTTCGGAATCTCGGTCATACCTGTTGTTCCAGAGCTATGGATGTAGATTGCCACCCGATCTTCATGGTCCTCGGCTGGTTCCTGGATGACAGGACTTGGGGAGCTGTCATCGAATACCTCCCATAAAGTCGGGGCTTCCCAAGCTTCAAGTGAAACATCGGCGATCTGAAGCTCGCTTATCTGTCGGCTTCGTTCCGGAGAATAGACAATTTTAGTACAGCCGGTTGCGCTCATTACGTGACGAGATGCTTGCTCAGAGTTTCTCGTAGATAGAAGCAGTGCCTTGAACATTGTTAGGATGACTTCATGCTCAGGGCAATTCACTCACAGTGTGCCGCAGTCTCATGCACGCTATAATGAACGCGACATATCGAACGTCATTGGTAGCAACATAGGCCAAAGTTTCTGGTTTACTAGAAGGTGCCACATTTTCTTCAATCCAGAGAGCCATGCGATTAGCGGCAGCTACAAGGCCAGAAAAGGTAATGTCTTTCCATCCCTGCGAGATATCGGGTGAGACTGTCTGAACACAATATAGCCGGTCAGGGTCACTGAAAGCTATATCATCGGTAATGCGTAACAAAGTTCGCTGAACAGGAGTAATTGATCCCATAATAGCGAGAAAATGCTGGATGAAAATTTCTAGAACATGATGGTGGGGATCAGGTGGGGATCAGGTGGGTGTTTACTTATAAAAGCTTAAGGATTTTCCTACATGCAATCAAGATACTTCCCACCCTTGGAACCGAGTCTCCACAGGTTCATATGAGCATCTCTGATCTACAAAGCCTCTTGAAACCCCTCTTTATACTCGAGCTCTGATATTGGCTCTGATTGGATAGTCATGCGCGTGAAATCTCCCAATTGACCTGTCTCAAATGCATCTACTCATGCATAAGTGATGACTGCAGATATCATTAGCCAATTGGATTATGATTTATCGCGAACTAGATAATATCGGGCAATGAACAAAGCGCCTCTCTATATTGTTACACCGTTTTAGATATTATGCACGTGCAACTGAGCTTTAGGGTGTGATCTGTACAATTTAAGCCCATAGCTGCTGCATTAGGTAACGATTCGAGTCGATCGATTCTCGACTAAGTCAAAAAAGCAAATTGAAGCTCGTGCAGAGAAGTAGCGGTCAACGTGCTGGGTTCTTTTTGCTTCTGCAGCCGAATCGCAGATTCACGCCATAATACCCACTTTGACCTTGATGATCTACCATATCTGGCTAGATCATCCATAAGCTCTTCATCACACGATGGAACTTTCGTATCCGAAACCATCATTCACGATGGCAAGCCCGATGATATTTCTTGTTGCTCACAAGGGGTATTTGGTTATTTCAAAATGGACTGATATATAGCCACGCAAGAGAGCAGTGTCTTCATAAGTGACGTGGCCAGATACTGTACAACCAGGGGATCATCTATCCACTTTTCGTGCTTCATTTATCCTTCCCCACCAAAAGTGCAGGAAGACGAGCCGAAAAGAGGAGGTGCTGCATTTAAACGCATTTCAAGCACGATTAGCGTACCATAGCCGGGCGGGAGAATCCAGAAAGGGCTACCAGGCATGAATCATCTAACGGAGAACAGTCCTGGAGCGCTGTCCAAAATATATCGCTCGAGCTACTTTGCCCACTTTGCTTCAAGAAACTTCACATAGTTCAGGTCGTTTATCCCAACCTCCATGCCTGAGCGTATGCTGTGGAGACTTCATTCAATATCATTGATATAAGAAGAGAGAAGCCTAGACCAAACGGTCTTAACAACTCTAGGAGAGTCATTTATCCTGGTCTTTCGTCACTAACATAATCTTTTACTCTAATTTTGAGTGACAGGTCAAACTTCTGCAAGGGTGAACTTGTAAATTGCATATTATTAGGAGGTGACCATTCACTGAAACGATGAAGTTTAGTGCATGCCTCATGTACCTGCCCAGGTACCTAGTGTGGATTCGAAGGCTCGGGAAAATACGGTCAGTTCTGCAATGATCCCGCCAAGTTCTTTGAATGACTATTTTAAGCGAGAGAGTGGTCAAGTTTGGAGAAAGTTAAGCCATGTGTAACATGATAAGACCCATGGACTTTACGTTCGGAGAAACCCAGCGAGAATATAGGGAAAAAGTTTAATCTTCACACAAGCCCAAACTAGGCATTCCTTGATGTCACCATTATTCTGTGTACCGTCTTTTAAGGGGTCAATCGCAAGGCTCGGACGATGTAGTACCCGATAATTATGCGAAATATGAGTTGGTCTAGGTTATATTTCAAAGAGAAAATACTGCATGTTGTTGCCCAATTGGGCCTTCCAAATGATCAACTCATCTTAACGATAGACAGCAGACAAACTACAAAGGTAATGAAACTGCCATATTTGACCATGATTGAAAAGCCCAAATGGACAGCCCACGTACCGGATAAATGCAGACCTCGGCCAAGCCTATCGAGGCATTATGTAGGACAGCATAGACAAATATGCAACAAAAAGGGGGTCATGATAATTTTATGCCTAATTTTGAACTGGAAAGGTATTAGCAACAGGCGACGAGTTTCAATTAGCTCTGGGTTGATACAAAATGTCACTGTGGCTCAACAGGGACCGAGGAACCTAATAACTGCTTTCAAGAGCTCATGAACAGGTATAAATACCATGTCCTGTTGTGCTAAAATAAGTTCAATCCAGGAGAAGTTCATACAGAATATCCACACAATCAAACACCAACTCTCAATCTTGACTTTCAAGATGCGTTTCGTCTTCCTTGCCCTTTTTGCCATGGTCGCTGCTGTCATGGCTGACGATATGGTCACAGTCGCCACAAAGGTAAGATAACCCAAAAAAATTAATTTCAATTTCAAACAAGGATCTGATCTCAATATTAGCTCGCAAATGGCGCTGCTTGCAAGCAGGATGGAAGCATGGGAGTCTGTACAAGTAACTTTTGCTTGGTGAGTGACTCACTTAGACTATAGACCGACAGATACGAGTGGGAGGCTAACTGAAGTGTTTAGCAAACCCCCGACGAGGCCACGGGCGTTTGCCAGTAGATGTTACAATACACCGACCTATGTCGGTATTGATACTTTGAGCTTGAGTTCACAGTCAAAGTGATGTGAAGGGACACAGAAATAGGTGATACTTATCAGGTCTTGACACAATAACACCCCCTGCTTTTCACGGCTTTGGGCTAAATCAACTACGTGATCCCCGTAGCAATTTTACTGTCGCGCATAAAGATTATAAAATGAATTTCGTTGCCCTGAAGATAAATTAAAGCACCCAATGCATGTAAACAAAAGGAGAACCGAGCGCATCAAATCGCAGTTCCAGTGTCGGCGCTGTTCACATACCCGATATCAGAGGCACGGCAATCACAGCCATACCTTTTGCGGAAATCATCCCGGAGCATCCCACTTATTGCATCCAAAGCCCTTTCACTCGCCCGGACTTTGGCATATCGGCTTGACGTTCCGGTAGAATCTGCAACACAGATTCCGTGTATCATGACGGCAGCGAGGATGATTGGTTGCTCGTTATCCACTACTGGAAGCTCACCCGACTTCAGACAATAGTTTATGCAGCCATAGACGTTCGTCAACTGGGTGTATAGATATGTCTATTTGATCATTAGTGGAATGAAAGTGGGTTGGAATCAAGGAAATATATTCCTTACCGTCGGGTGTTTGTTGGCAAAGGTGTCGTATAAGGACATGTCGACAAAGTATGGCTTGATGTGACGGCTATAGAAAGTTTCAATGACCGTGTAGTCGAAACCTGAATCGACAAAAATTGCCGCTAGGTATGCCTCAAGCATGTCCGGCAGACACTGTTTTATTGAAGTCAATATATTTGGTACAATCCATCAAATAAAACTGAACTTACCTTTGGGGAATCTTTGGTCCCAAGCCAATAGTCCATAATTCCATTGCTTTCTTCCTCGGCGATCTGAATATCCTCAGCGTACTGGGTGACGCCTGACTGGAGAGGGTTGCTGAAATGCTGGAGATGGCGATGCAGTCCCAACTTCACTGCAAGTGCGCCCAGGAACTTGTTTGATACCATAGCCATCTATACTTTGATCAGAGGCTGTGTACATAAATTCAAAAAGCATGCTTACCTTGTGCTCAGTCAACCACTGTGGATCCTTGTCTGGGAATCGTGCAAACAAGTCCTCGATGCATACCATGTCCAGTAGAGCATCTCCGAGGAACTCCAATCGCTGGTAGCAAGGCACTTTAGCCCATGCAGAGGGATAGGAGGGATGGGTGAAGGCGGAACGGAGCAGAGCGGGATACTGGAATCGATAGCCCAAATCTTGAGAAATCCTGTTGGCGAGATCAATCTCGAAGCCATCAGCACTTTTGAGTTGGTAGGATGGCTTGACGTATGATGACACATAGTCACCCCAGCTTCTTGCTTTGTGGTTCCCACTGTCCACGAAAATAGTCACTGCTTCGATTGCCATGTCAAATCGGCTATTCTCGCCTCCCGTGAGCAATGAAGCTCCGATGAGCGCCTCGCAGACATCCGCAATTGTCTTTTCGCCCAGGGCATGGCTGCTTTCAGATTCAAGATGCCGAAGGTAGTTCCGACCATGAAGAAGCTCAAGTCCTGGTGGATACCATGTGTGCCTGCCATCGCATATCAGTTAAGCTTTGAAAAAAAAAATAGGAAAGCAAGCGAATAGCAAGGTACCTTGAGAAGCCACGGCTCCGAATGTAGGCATAGAGGTTGATATTAGTGGCAGCGTTGAACAAGTTTTTGTTGCAGATGAGACACATTCGGTTGACATGGTAATCATATTCATCATCATCCGGGTTTTGGCAGAAAAGCGAGATGGAAGTCGCCATCTTCAGAAAACTGTCGCCCAGGAATTCAAGTCGCTCATAGTTCTTTCCCATGCCTCGTTGGACATGAACCTGGAGAGCACGATGTTCTTCAGTGTTGTCTGAGTCTTTCGTGAAAGCCTCCAATGCATAGTCCAGTCTAATGCCCAGACCTAGATGCTGACAGCCCTCCAATATGATCATGTAAGACTCGAGCCTGTTCATTATAGCAGGAAAAGCCAGGCATGAAGTCACGATTGGTATGGGGATCTAGCGAGAAATCAGTAACTGAGCTTTACTTCCACGTCAGCGCTGGATATTACCGCAGAAATCATAAGTGGCTCTAGGCAAAGAGCTAACCTCGTCACTTCTGCCTTTTCCGCTTCTGTGGCCTTGTCCAGGAAATTCCTTCGCAGGCAAACACATTCCGCCTGGAATACTGGCTGATCCCAGTCCACGCCTTCCAGGGCTCTTAGTCGGGAGTTTTTGGAAAGACTTAGAGAGTAATTCATGATGTCTTTCATCCACTTTCGACGAGGAGCGTAGGAAGGCGGGGGATCTGAAGGACGGAGTGTAGTTTCGACACTGAGTGGAAAGAAACGTCTCTTTCCATCCCAGCCATCATAGATGAAACGATTCAAAAGAGACCTCGGTTCCATTTCCTTCGTCCATTTAATTTCATGGTTCTCATTCACGAAATTTAAAGTGTTCCAGTCAATAATATCCCGCGGTGAATCGGTAGAACAGATATCCTGGGCATCCGATCTGATTGGAGCCAGCCAGTAGGGGAATTTCTCCAGTACGGGTTCAAATGTCTTGTGAAACACGTCACGGAAAACAGCAATTGTGAATTGAGAAAAACAGGCAAGATCTTCGGTGATGACCGAAAGTGGTGTGTCAAGCACTATGGCTTGAATGCTGGTTTCCTTGTCGTTTTCGAGGTATATAGGAAATGAAGGGATCTGTGGAAGCGGTACTCGGGCCAGGAGTATAATGCTATCATGAACACGATCTAGGGGCTCCTTGGGACAAAATTTGAAGATCATACCATAAACTTTATCAGGCAAGCCTCCTTGGTTTTTCTTCCAGATGGATGGCTTGCAAATCATGGTGTACTGGTTAGTCTTCTTCGACGAAATTGCGAGCTTGGCGTTGCGCATAGCTGGGAGTCGTTTGTGATAGACGGACTTGAAATTGTCATCGAGAAGATGCCTTCTTCTCAATAGCATACACGCATCAAATGCAGCTGACTGCTTCGCCATTATCTTTGTCGATTCCAATCTTCCTATCAGTCCTCGGATTGGCGACTTTTCCGGTAGAATCACTTCACAGGCGAAGGATCCTCCTTTTGCAACCGTAAAGAAAGTTGCGCAAGCAGAAATCTCTTTCTCATATTGCTATTTTGGCGCATTAGCCTCGAGAGAGCTTCTGGGTTTGGATAAAAAAAGAAATGGCCTACCAAAGATGCTGCATAGCGCGAGAGGACATTGATGGCATGGGTGTAAGTCAACTTTGCTCCCGTCGACTGAATAGTGTAGGTCCTTTTCCCTTCGTCTTTTTCGAAGACCTTATTTATGTCTACCTCATCTCCCAGAAGGAGCCGATCCCTAGGGAGCGCGCTGCAGAATGCCTGCATCAGCTTCTGTGGTAATATGTCAGCAAAGTCCGACGCTTATCTAAGTATAATTACCTCTGCCTGCTGAACTTCTTGAAGACGCTTCTGATGGTGGTCATTTTCTATCTCGATCATGTGCACATACTATAACCAGGACATTAGTGATATCTTGAAGAAGCAAGCAATACCGCCCACTTACGACTGACTCCTCGTGTCTTGCACGACCCCTGCTCTGAATGTATTGAATCATGGTATGATAGAGATTGAACCTGCTACCTTTAGCAAGTCAATCAGAATTGGATCAGCTTCATCTCCTACCTTACGACAAGATTGCAATCTGGAATGTCAAGACCCTCTTCAGCAACTGATGTTGCAAACTTTGGGATTATTAGCTTCTCTCTTCAATATCTTTGAAAAGATTATCTCACGTACCAAGCAGTTGATTTCACCCTTTCGAAATTTGACCAGAGCAAGAAATTGTTGACGAAACGTGGTTGATCCTGTGAAGTCGGAATTCCGAACACCAACCAGCAGACCAGGGCGAATGTTTGGGACTCCCAATTCATCACACAATTGCATCAAGATTTTGGCAGTATTGCGTCGCGCAGTGAAAACGATACACTTCGTCTCTTTTGACCGACTAAAATGATGGGTTAGGATGGCCAAGAGAAGTTCCACCTTGGAACTTAGTTGACCCGATTCCAAGGGGTGTTGAAATGGATGCTCTTGCACAGTCTGGCAGACAGCCTTGACTCGCTGGGTATCTCTGACGACACCAGCATGGGCGCTTAAACCTTGGCTGGACTCCTTGTTCATAGTGCCCTCTAGCTTCGGTATGACATCTTCCGCAAGAGCCTTGGCCCAGATTTTATCAGCGCACCAGATTCCCAGCTCTGAGCTAGCATTCATAGTCGATCGGAAAATGGGCTCAAGAGCTTTCAAGTCTCCAAAATCATCCTTTATTCTCTTGTAAAGAGATGTTTCAAAGGGACTTTTGAGTTTCTTGTAGGTCCATGTCTCCTCTGTCGGCTTTCTGATAAATGTCCGCAGGGAAGACAGGTTAGAGGTCGTTGCAATCTGGCTATTCAAAAGAGCTTCAAGCTCACTCCAAAAAAATCAACTCATATCAACATTCTTCGAGACTTTCGACACATACCTGGCGGCTTCTATAACGTTAACTTTACCATCGATCGGAGAGGCTGTCATCCCAAAGATTTTTGGACGTTCTGACGCATCGACCTTGAGGTAAGAATCACGAATGATTCTACTGGTAATGTTAGTCTCGGGCGATTTAAAAATGGTTAAGATCATGGGCATTCTGACCGTGCATATGGATGCTCCTTCTTCGTATGATGGGCCTCATCAAAAATCAACAGGTTGACTTGGTTCATTTTGACAAATGCATTGAGTAGCGCCTGATGGATAATTTCAGCTGTGCACACAATGACCATGTTTGCTTCGAGGTGCCTCTCCCATGTTTGTTGGTCCCAGAGATCTGGGCCCATGGCACCATAGAGATGGCCAACTTCCTGGCTCAGGTTGTTCCGGAGAACAGCTGCTTGTTGGAACACCAGAGTTACACTATCGACCTTATTTCTGTCAATATTAATATATCACAAGGTTCAGTAAGGTTCTCACTAGGAAAATGGCCACACGGTGATGCTTGCCAAGAGACCGTTCGATCAGCTCCTGTTGCAACATATGCTTGAGCAAAAGCACCGCGATGAGGGTCTTTCCGGAGCCTGGTCGTATTGTTAGATTCCTCCCAAATGTCGAGAGGTTAAGTGGCCTCACCGGTATCAAGGACTGCAATGATATTACGAGTTTTTGATCGCTCAAACAACTCGATCTGGTAAGCACGAGGGTCCAGGCTACCGGTACCAGAGTCTTTCTTTGCCACCAAGCTAGCTATGGTGAGCTCGTCGTCCGGCCTATCAAGCTGTCCCTTTTTGGTCTGCTGAATTGTGTCATCATTTGCTCTTTGAGACAATCTAAAATTTGATTAGTGTAGGAAATATTTGATCCCAGTGTATCTGGAAGACTTACAGGGCCTCGAATTGCATATTTTGGGTTCGCCGAGCCTGAAAAGCTTCAATGAGAAGTTCATCCTTCTCGTTCTCACTTTCAGATTGCTCTGAATCATTGTGAATAATAGAGGTACCGCCCCGTTTGCTCTCAGACGCCATGTTGTTGGTCGAGTATGGTGTTCTTGGAGTCTAGGTTAGGAAAATTGCTTTGTGCCGGGCTTGGGATATAGTTGAGGAAATATGTTTAATAACGAATAGATGCGGTCGTTGATAGGTTACTAGAAGAATCTCCCTAATCATTCAATGCCGGTAAAGCCCTGCTGCTCACCTAAACTGGCATGATCTTAGAAGTGATGGCTAAGTGAATGGCCTGGACCCGAAGTATATGGAACCTTGGAAGGTGTGTTCCTTCAAAAGTGAGTGAAAGCAAAGATAATATAGGCAGCAATATGTAGAAGTCCAAGCTACCACTACTTAGGTATGAAGGGACCAAGAACACAACCAGTATAAATGTAAAGAGACTTTCTTCTTTGCGCTTTGATCAGCGTCAGGCGAACATTTGGACATCAAGGTCTAGATAAGATGGAGCTCTTATCGGCTTATCGGCTCGCCAAAACTTCGCAAATCGCGGGGACACAAGTCATTTGCGCATATCCCACTTTTTCCCATACTCGATCAACAATATGGAGCAATCACAGAGTCTTCGATCTTTATTTTTGTCAGCTAAAGAAGGCAAGTCATTGCTTGAGTCACGGGGCGACACCAACACAGCCGCCTACCGCGACGATGTCAATGCGACGATCGCCAAGTTCCAGGAGTGCCAACGACAAATCAGTATTTTGTCGCTATTCAGCTCTAACGAATCCCTGGACGATGTTTCATCTGGTGATCTACAGTGAGAATTCTAATCCGGATACCTTTTTGTTACGGTTGACTGATGTCCTCTGTAGATATATGACTCTGGAATACCACCTTGCCGAACTCATCCAGCGAGGCCCCAGCGCTGACCGCCAATCCGTCCTTCAGAGAGCCCTGGAACAATACGAGAAATTTCTGACGCGTCTTGATGAATATGAGTTATTGTCGAAGGGGGATCGGAAGTTATTCGAGACATACATGGCCAACCCGTCTGCCTTCACATTGGCACCCGTCAACGATGCGGCGACTCGTCGGGATACAAAAGTTAGACGGTTTAGGGAAGAGAAAGAACTCAAGCAGAAGCTAGAGGTATAAAACACGAACCACGGAAGATCAAAATTTCTGGATTAGCTGCTGACACGCTGCAGTATTTGGCCCGAAACGAAGCACAACTCCAAAGCGATAGTGATGCGACCCGGGAACTCTACCTATCCGAACTTCAACTCTATACACACCAGACCTTCCAAGCTCTGGATTTGTTGGTGCAAGAATTGTCTATGCTTTCCGCCATGCGGAATGCACCTATACCGGAGCCGTCCCAAATGCCGCAAAATGATAATCGGCAACGCAGTAATCTGGGAGGCGCCAATTACTCGGATCGCCTGGATCCCTCAATCTCACAATTACTTGGAGGAAGGAATGGTCCCCTATTGAACAGCAAGGGCAGACCAATGCAGCCATTTACCCTACTCGACCGTCGCTCGCAGCTCCAGCAGGGCGTGTTCCGCTCCGGCCATAACCTACCAACCATGACGATTGAGGAGTACCTTGACGAAGAACACAGGAGGGGCAATGTTCTTCAAGGTGGCGAGCAATCCGGAATTATTGCTGAAATTGATGAAGATGATCTAGACAAGGCTGACGAGGAGACCATGAAAGCTCGGGCTTGGGATGAATATGTTGAGGCAAATCCTCGCGGATCTGGAAATACTCTCAATCGCGGTTGATCTCGTGTATAAGTTCCTTTGATAGCACACTTCTGGAAGCGATAGACAGCGCCTGTGGGTCGATTACAAAAAAAAATTGAAATCTATTGCAATGACGCGTGTGCAAATTTGATGCATCCAAAAGATATCGTGAATCTCATTCTCGTTTCAAAGGGGTATTTGCATAGTTACATCCCAGTCTACCTGATATTTTGTTCCTTATTGCCAATCAAGCAGTAACACCTGCCTTAACAACCTTGTTTCGCTGGATCTCCTCGAGAATTGCGCCAGCTCCCTTTTCCACCAACGCTTTGGCCACCGTAACACCAAAGGCCTCGGCGCTCTCGGCTGAATCCACATCGCCATCAACTTCAACCTCTGCACACTGCTGGCCGTCGACGCTAACGACCACAGACCGCATGCGCAGCTTCTTTGACCCCGCAATCTCTACCCACTCACTCTCAACACCCAGAGGGGCACTGCAGCCTCCTTCAAGAGTTCGCAGAAGACTCCGCTCAGCCAAACAAGCAAAGGTAGTCTCAGCGTGACCGATTTTGGTCAACATTTCCTTCAGTAAGGTATCCTCCTTGCGAATCTCAATCCCCAGGGCACCTTGTCCAACAGCATACAGCATTCCACTGTTCTTCGAGTCAAGGTACTGAGTGATGCGATCTTGCAGATCCAGGCGCAGTAGACCAGCCGCCGCAAGAATCGCGCAGGTATATGGGCTATCCTCAGCATCCAACTTCGACAGACGAGTCCCGATGTTTCCACGGATATCCTGGACCTTCAAATGAGGGTATTTACGCGCCAATTGGGCCGTACGGCGAATAGAAGATGTTCCGACAACGGAGCCGGCGGGGAGCTCTGCCAGAGACTTGTAGGGCAGTCCTTGCTTCACAACGAAGACATCTCGGCTATCTTCACGCGGCATCATCATTCCCAGGGTACATGTGTCGGGCAGAAGTGTAGGGACATCTAGCCATTTGAAAATTGTATTAGCATTGTCTGCGCGGGGTTCAATGGTGATGCGGGGCAATAAGCTCATGCTTCCTTACCTTTGAGAGAGTGGACGATGAAGTCTACTTCGCCTCCAATCATTAACTCTTCCAGCTCCTCAGTCCATAGATTCTTCGAGGCGAAATCCTTCAGGGCAATGGTAGTGTTGAGATCTCCGGCGGTCTCCTTGGTCAAGGTCTTAAATTCATAATCGGGGTGTGTTTTCTGAAGAGCCGCGCGCACTAAATCGGTTTGCAGCAGGGCAAGCTTAGACTTGCGTGTGCCAATGGTGAAGGTCTTCTTGGTGGGGGCGGAAGCGGCCATTTTTTTAAGATGGAGATATAAGAGGAAAAGCGGTGCTAATCATAAGTTGAGATGGTTGAAGCCGTGGCGGGTGGGTTTGAGCCTTCTAAATAAGGCAGCAATGAGGCAAATTGGTTCTTCGCCGCGGAGATCATCGGATCCGTTTGCTTAACAAACAGCATGTAATGACTAGCCCCTGGATAAACTCGCGAGGAAAAGATAGAGACACAAGCATTTTCCTGCAAGCCTATACCTGTAAATTTACCGATTTTGTAAAAGATGCACCTTTGAAGATTAACGTATAAAACAATCCATGATTCCAAGGTGAGAAAGGCTTTAGTTAGATCTATAAAATCCTAGGCCAACAATATAATATACAGGAGACAGGCCCAAAGACAAGACAAGTGTTGAAGAATACATGAACACCGAGTTTTCCACCAGAAAGAAAATCCAGCACGGAGAATAAAGTTAGAACGATCCAAAACATTGCAGGTCACCAGACTCTTAAAGCGTCTTTTAGCGCTTCTTGGGGAGGGTAATCCATTTCGGATTCTTGAAACCTCCGCCCGTGGTGTTAGCAAATTCCTTGTGCGCGAAATCCAGGCCTAGTGTCTTCCAGGTTGGCTGCCAGGACTGCTTATCACCCTTCAGCTCCTCCGCCTGCTTCTTGAATGCCTCGCGCAACTCCTTATCTGGCTTCTGGGATGCATCACCCTTCTGGGCACCGGCCTTCTGTGCCTCTTGTTGGGCCTTGTTTGTTGAGTCCCAGGCCTCCTTCTCCCACCTGTATAATTAGAGCAATGATTAGCAAACTGAACTTGAGGATATGCGCATTGAACTGGGTATAACGCGAGGGTAATAGGAAGTAACAGTATTCCCATGCTCCGAAATCACAACATAATCCGGCACAGCCAGCGATGTACAGGAGAAAAACGTACTTCTTCAGATCCTCTGGCTCCTGGGGCCAAACAAATTCATCCCGAAGCTCAACAGTCATCCGCTTCTCAGACTTCGGTCGACGCCACTGGCCCAGAGTGCGACCGTCCCGTGTAACCCGGGTAATAGGCTGTTGTTCAATGTAACTGCGGATTCTAACGACTCCCACATTGTACAGGCGCTGGAGGTAATCGCGCATGTCGAGCTTGTTGAAGTTGAGGGGGACGCGGAATTGCGCATAGCGGGGAGAGAGGTAGGGGGTTCGGACAAGGGCAATTGTAAATTCGGGGCTATTTCAATTTCAGTGGTCAGTGTGTGTTTCCTTCGGTGGATCTTGAAGATTCGTGCTGGTATGGACGGTGTTCGGGAGTGTTTGAAATTTGATGCCTCTGGATTTCGCAGATAGAGGGTTGACATACAGGAAAATCTGCTTGCGCTGGGCGGGTGGCAGCAGAGTTTGCTTGGCCCCCGTCTTGGAGATCCCAATTGCTTTGCGTACCATGGTGAAGTGGGTTGAGCGTTGGATGGAATAAGGTCCGCGTCGTGAATCTTTTGCTGCGTCGGAATAATTGCACGGGTGGCCGCACCGCCCGCCCTACAATGTACACTCCGGAGTCCGTGCTTTGCTTCTATGTTAGCAAATGCGCAATTCTCAATATCTCAATATCTCAATGTTCGTTTTACGAGATTTTTGAATGCCACAATTGTGTTATATTACAGTCTATATTCATAACTCATGGTCATTAATGCACTTAATTTTGGGGTCTCCTTCATTGCCCGGATGGGCCCGACACATGCAAGTCCTCAAATCGTCGTGAGCTCTCGCCGACGTCCTCATCATCTTGCTCCGGCTGCTTGTCCTGATTGGGCTCTCCTGATTCTGAGCTTGACTCCTCATCCTCCTCCTCCTCTTCCTCACTGCTTTCTTCATCCTCCTCACCATCTTCCCTAGAGCCATTGTCGCCATCCACACCAACTTCTTGCATATACTTCTCGAGCTCGCGCGCCATCTTCCTTGAGAAGCCTGATGCCTCGACCTCCACGTCGAGACGCTTGCCAGGGTTCTTGAGGAACTTCTTTCTTGCTTGGGCGAATGTCGGCCCTGGAACGTCGCTCACGAAGTGGAACTTGCGCTGGAAGTACCGCTTAACACAGTTCACGTCACGGTCAAAGTACATCTCGGCATTGACATGGTCAATAGACACCATTTGGGGGAAATCAATGAGAACCGGGACCAGCCGGATATCCTCATCTGCCACATCATCCAACTTGGTTTCCGGTGTGTATTTCTCTTTGGCATTTTCATCCACTTCTTCCTTGATGAGCAGGTTGAACTCGTTAAAGTCACCGTGAATGAGACCAAATCGTGCAAGCTCCAGGATGATATCCATCAATTCTGAGTACAACCCTTGTGGGTTGGGGACTTTGGAGATCTGGCGGAGCGGGAAGGCATCGATCAGACTCATGACGATAGTGTGTCGGTTTTGGGCAATAGGTTCGGGAACTGAGAATCCGTTCTCACGGAGCGCCTTCATGAATGCAAACTCCTTCATGGCAGCCAGTCGGGACATGTACATCCACGATGCTGAACTACGGTGTCGTAGGTAGTCGCGGTTTGTCTTGACGGTTCGGAAAGAGATACGACCAAGGCGGTGGATTTTCAAGATGCGCTGTTCTCCACTGCTGTGTGCGACCACAATAATGTCTGATTCCTTACCGACACCGACCTGATTGCCAACTGAGTAGACAGCCTGTGCCTTCTGGTGCGCATTCAGCGCCAAGTAGTCCAGTCCACCATAGGTAAGTCTGTAACCGTCATCTGCAGGAAAGTATAAGCCACCATTCCACTGGTTTGAAAACCTGGATGCTCAGGAGAAAACTTACACTTTGCATTCTTCACTTTGGCGATCAAGTTGATCTTGGCCAGATTCGAAATGGCGCGATGCACGCCGCTGCCGCCTCGGAGGCCGGAAAGTTGCACGATCAGCGGCGTAGGGACGACTTCATGGTTGCGACTACCGGCTTCAACCTAATCCAAGGGACGTCTATCAGTTATTGAATCAGAAGTTTGAGTAATGCTGCGCATGGCGGGGTGGAGGGGTTGATAAGTACCCCGGCAAGCACTCGGAAATCCTCAGAGGTGAGATAGCGGATCGCCTTCGAGTCGAGTTTCATGACGACGAGTTCTCGGTCGGTTACAGCTCTTTGACTTGTATAATATCAAAGCAGAAAGGACAAAGCTGGATCTGGAAAGCGTGACGTTCAAAGTGATGCGGAGAAAGAAAAAAGTTGATAAGCTCAAAGCCCTATGCCCTATTTCCGTTTCTGGACGGGTACCTTGGTATCAATGTCAAGATACTAGGTTTGCCGACTACAGACGTTCAACAACCTTGGAACTGCATAGAAAGATTAAGGAGCATTTTCCATAAATATTCGACATCTGATACTTTTAAAACAAGCCCCAAAAGAATACCTTATCCCAAAACCAAATAAAACCCCCCAAATTATGTTAGTCTACACAGACATCTGTTTAGAGAATGCCCGGCCAAGCCCACCTGACGAGCCAAATGCAGGATTGAAAGAAAAATAAGTTCCATGCTATTCCTCAGTCGTTCTGAATAAATTAGATACAATGGTGACCCGACTATGATAAAAGACCCGCCAGCGGCGAGCAACGGCGATAAATCGGCATCTCATTGAGCTTATTCGGGGCTTTCCCAGTCGGGGTTCTAGATAATTTGTTAGAAAAAGATAGATCAAGGGGTATCGTGATTCGGGGTATTTACCTTGCGCAGAATGACCAAGCCCTCGAGTGTGCTGCTAAGAGGAATGTACTGCTCATCCTCAAGCTCGGCTCTCTCGCCGTAAGATAGCAGCACCGGAGTGCTCTGGGTCTGCCATCCGGTGATGGTCTTTGGCCGACCAGCCTGACCAACGACATCAACAGCTTGACCCACGCGCACGTTGACGGTAAGCGGTTGCAGGTCCTCGTCAAGAGTGACAAGGTACCGCGGGAACATGGCTGTGATAAGGAAGTAGAGCAAGTAGTGGTGCTCGGCGAGAATAAATTGCTTGGCATCAATCAAAGACACAAGTACTGTGAGAAGACCAGCCGCCGAGACACGAGAAAGAACCTGTCGGTCGGTGTGGAATGGGTTGAGAGTCATGGTTCCTTTACCCATGTGAAGCAGACCCTGAGCAATGCGGACCATGAATAGAGCGTTCTGGTCACGGTGGTAGTAGCTGGCTAATTGCCGCAGAAGCTGGGCTAGACGAGCGTTGTTGGTACCGGCACCACACAGACCCATAGCAAAGATGGCGTTGATGGCGACCTCGTTGTCATTGTCGTGACTGTATCGGGACAGGGTATCGTAAATCTTCATCTGAGGGTTGCTAGGACTAACAAGACCCATGGCGAGGGGCACAACCCGACGAATGTTACTGGAACCGTAGTGCATGAGATGGCCAAACTGGCGAAGAATCATATCCTGGCCAACATCCTCACCCATAGCAATGAGTGACAGACCTAGTACAGCATATGACTGAACGAGCTCATCTCCCTTGTTCTCCTCCTTCTCCTCAATTATGTCGTTGCAGATGTGAAGGAGTTCTTGCAGCTTCAGCACAGTTCCTGTGCCAGCCCAGGCACAGACTGATGCAAGGACTGAGGTGGGCTTCGCCATGGGATGATCAATCGCTTTCAGGATGTCGAGAACGACATCAACTTCCTCCTGCCGACCGAAGTAAAGCAGAGCCAAACCAAGGGCCATGAAACGTGTCCACTTGTCCTTTAGTTGCTTCTGACGCTCCTCGTCCATTAAAGTTGTGGCAATCACCTCGCTCACCTGGTGATTTGATGATCCCACGAAGATAAGACCAAGCGAGACTGCTGCCATGGCAGACAGCTGCATATCTAACGAGGTGTCTTCAACAATCGGAAGCAGCACATCCAACAGCTCTTCTTTGTTCGAGCCAGCATACGCTAGACCAAGACCCATAATCGATGCGAGCCGCATAGGTCGACTCTTTGACTCCAGGTTATCGGGGTCACTCAAGAGAGCAAGGGCTGGGTCGGAGTCAAAGCGAACTCCAGAGTTCAGGATACCAGTCGCGAGAAGGGCGCCGGCTTTGACCTGATCCTCATCGGCGTAAGTGAACTTATCGATCTTGTTCAAACCCTCTTCAACATCCCGGTGCATGAGCATACCCAACGAGGCTGTCGTAGAGAGCTGGCCGTCGTCTTTGGTCTTCCACACCCACGGACCCTTCTCACCATCAACGATCATCATCTTATCGTTACCAAAACCGGCGTTCACGAAAGAGTTAACGAAGGCGCTGGCCAGGTTGTGTCGTGCCGAGTCGAGGTTTGTGAGACCTGCTCCGCGACTGCTCTCCAGGTGAGTCTTGTAAATATCCTCGGGCATCTTGGGGTCCAGAATGTTAAGCTCCTTGCCGAGGGACTTGAAGTGGTTCGGGATAGAAGTGTTGTTCAGACAGTCCAACAGAGAGTCGGCATCCTCATGATCCTCGTCAAGATCGAGCCAAATTTGTTGTCGCGCGACCAAGAATGCCATTTGCTTCTTGAGGGCCCTGTCGGTGGTGGCATTAATGTCACTCTTGATGAGATCGATGTCGTTCAATCTGATGGCAAGAACAATGGCTTGAGAAAGCTTGTTGTAGCGAACGTAAATCTCGTGGGCTGTGCGGAGGAACTGCTGGTCTTCGGGATAGGTGAGCAGGTTGACCATGCTGACCATATACAAGCAGACTCGAGCATATGTGTTCTCGTCCACAAATCGAGGAATGTCCTCAATTATCTCCAATTCACTCATAAGATCAACGGCATCGGCCTCGGCGTTGTGACCCAGGAAATAGGGAACCAGCGACAATGCAAGGTCCACCAAATCTTGAGTCTCCTTCTCTGCGTTCAACCGGTTCTGATATTCTTGTCCAATCTCGAGCGCCAAGTGTCTGACATATTCGTGGCCCCATGAGCCAAGATCCTCGGACTTAGCCAACAGGCGGTACTTGATCGTCTCCAGCTTCTCCTCATCTCCGTATGTCATACCGAGTACGGAAAGCATATCAGCCAGCGAGTCCTAAGCCAATAGCTTGGTTAGTGTTTGTGAATGAATTATGATGGTTGAACGAACCTTGACAGAGCCCGCTGTCCATTTCTCGTACAGCTCTGCGAGTTCATCGTAATGCGGTCGGAGGAATTTGAGAGGCTTCGGAACGGCCGTCATGGAAGAGGTTGAAGTCTTGATAAAGTTCTTGATTGCATCCAAAGCAGGTCCGTAGAGGGAGGTGTCCGGCTCCTATAGTAAGGCAGTGTGAGCACGAACTCATCGGTGATCCCAGACGGCTAGGGGAGTAGACATACCTTTAACCGCTCGACAAGCATCTCGAGTTCATTTTTCAATTCTTGGTCCTCCTCGCTGAGCTCCTCTTGAAAGATGTTAGCCGCAAGGTCCTGGGACCGAAGGAATGGGTGGCAGAGGCCAGATGCTTTCCTCCGCGGTGGTGTCGCGACCTACCTTCCTGTGGTTCCTCATCCTTCTTCTTTCCCTCTACTGGGGCCTTCTCATCCTTTTGGGGCTTCTTGCCATTTAGCTCGCGGACATCATCAACCTTGCCCTTGCCCTTGTCGGCGGTGGTTGGCCGTTCGCCCTCGTTCGGCATCTCTGAAGGTATCAGGCGACCAGGTTGGAAGTGGACGTAGGATGAATGAAGGGGGAGCGCGAAGGACAAAAGGTCGAATACAAAATGGAAGGATTGAAAATGAAGATAGGGAACTGCAGATGAAGGGTGGTGCAGTGATTGATCGTAAGCTGGTGTTCATGATGAAGACGCAGAGAGCTGGTGCAGCTTCGGGTTATGTAATCACGCCAAGCCTTCGTCATTGTTTTTGGTCCGATCACCACGCTTCGATACCCTTCTACAGGGTCCATCTACAGATACATAAAACATATTCTTAAGGGCCTGGGTAGCGCTCGGTGGGGATCATACTATTTGTAATATTTCCTAACTTAAGTTGATGGACCTTTGAGCATGAGCTGAGGTAGCCGTAGGTAGATTACTACGTACTATCTAGCTAGGTCCAGACGATCCTGGAGGTAGATAAACAGCCCCCGGCCCGGACTCACTTACTTTACCTTCAATATCAGTACATAGCCCCCAGGCCGAAGTAACACCTAGGTACTATTGGTACTCTTGTCCAAATGGACCTCCTATATCTACTGTGTTTGACATAACATCGGAGTCCTGGAAAGCTTGTGTAGTCATATGCTTGTAGATGACTGATCATTTAAACACAAATCATCCCTCCAGACAAAATAGATCACTCCGGGAATATCCAGCGCCCTCCCGGTCACTTGAGCAACCTCCGTGTAGAGTTCGGAATTGTTGAGAATACTCCTTGGTCTGCTGAGTGAGCTTTTCTTGGGTCAACTCCTCTCCATCAAATGATAGTAGAGGCAAGATTTCTAAGTTAGGGAGACCCAGGTCAAAAGTGTCAAATAGGGTCATAATAGTCGATGCCTGATTCGGTGTTTTTCCCGGTGGCATCATTTCAATGTCGTCGGCATCCTTGTTTTCATATACGCCATCTTTTGTGTCCTGAATGAACTCTTCTGGAGTTTGAGACAAGTCTTGATGGACAGTCACCAGAGATGAGGCCCCAGTGCCCGGGAACGAGGGATAGAGGATGTAATAACCTTTAGCTCGCATCATCTCAAGTAGATATTCCATGAAAGATGGATACCTCGTGGAGACGAGCTTCTCTGAGGAAGGGATGCTTGCTTTGGGCTCGGGACTATCAAGGCGATGTGAAAGGAAAGAATGAAATTCAGCCCATTTATCCCCGAAGTACAATGCTGCATTGCTATTCGGCGCTTGCCAGAGGAACGAAGGGATATATCCGGAGTTGGCTTTTGGGGATGGTGAAAGGAATGGATCTTCTTTGGTGGTTGATTTCGTAGATGGAAGCTCAAGAGATATTCCAAGGAGCTGGGATGTGGAAGTACGAGCGGACTGTTTGTAGGCCAGAATGCTGTACTTCAGGTAGTGGTAGAAAGACGGTGCCACTTCGGTGTCCGGTGATAGGATTAGCAGGTGAGAAACTCCCGGGTTGAGTGGGTAGAAAGATTCCACCGTTCGAAGAGAAGCTTCGACAGGGTCCATAAAAGGCGGTTTAATACGCCGCTGAAGAGTGATGTGTTCTTTCAACTGGGATAGGCCATTTAGCTGTCCCAGTAAATCCATCTGTTCTATTTGCGGCGGAAGCTCTATTGTCAATTTGGGAGTAAATCCCAAATAGTCAGCAGCGTCCAGTGACCGGAGAAGTCTGACAAGAGAGCCTGCCGACTGGGATGCGTGAACCACCATGTCGACACGAATGTCATTCCAGACTGTTGTTTGAGGCATTAGCATAACTCAGTCATAGATGTGTCTAAAAGAGACGGGGTACCTTTAAGAGCAGTACTATCAATGGATGCCATCCACATGAGATCCCGAGAGGTGGTCGGAAGAGCAATATGGGGAGTGCCAAACTCCCATAGATGACGCTCAAGTCCACCGAAGAAGAATGAGTCCTCCCAATCCTTCCTGCCCGTAATAATGACCTCTGGGGCGATGTAGGTCTCAATGAAACCAAGACCACCTTTGACAGACCGAGCTACTCGGTCATCAGTGGACTGGGCAGCATAATCTGGTCGACTGTCTGCGGTCGTGGTCAACGTTGAGCTAATTTTTTTCTAAAGTTCAGATAGATCGGAATATACATACCATGCCATACGATCGGACAGTCAGATTCCACGATGCCATTCACCTGTTTGATTCCGTCGACTGAAACCTCTTCTTTGCCGAATAGGGCGAGGTGGACATGATTTCGTTGCTTGCGTGCCATTCGGCAGGCCAAGGGCAGCATGTCCGTGATGCAGTGGAGATCTGATCCAGCGAACATCACAGCACCGCTCGGCACATTCTCCGGGTGTTTATCTGGGGGCAGCGAGCTGGCCAGCTCATAGAGCTTGATTCTTCCATCATATAATTTTCCCGTATTTCTTTCTCCTTGCATTCCTGAATCCGATGGAATATCGATTTGTGGCACCACAGGGGACTGCGGGCTGTTAGGAGGTGGAGGGAGAGGGTTCTGCTGTCTGAAGCGTGGGTCATATCGTTCGCGGGCTGGCCTCAGGTCGGTCGGCATGTGCTTAAAGAATTGATAGACCAGCACAAAACCAATGAAAGCAGCAATGAGCCTTCGAGGGCGAGGAAACTTAGAAAGCTGAGGCAGGAACCGAGAGCGTGCTGGTGGGAGTCGGTGGTCGTCATCTTTCTTTCCCAACTCCTCGTCCTTTAGGTGCGGCATGTTTGCAGATGGATGCCATATATCCGACCACAACAACTGCGCGGGCAGGTATTCGGATGACTGGTCAGTGTTACAAAAAAGCTACCGCATATTTAGCTTCAAGCTAGCTCCTGGGTTTACCTGCGGTATATACCAAGCAGATGTAGGAGTGAAGGGTGAGAGTTCTCCACAATAATGAGATAAGTGCGACTGTTATCGCCTTATCGCAAATTCTAGCTCCGCGTTGTTTCTCCACTTCACGATTCCAACGCGCGACGGGCATCTTAAACAGCATGGAAGCCGAGATGGAAGTCGATACGCTTGATCAACGTGGGACTAAACGCTCGGTTGAGGAAGATGGGGCATCCGAGCCATCAAAGCCGAAGCGAATCAAGGTTCGAACGAGCTTCCTCTTGCCCACCACCGCTTGCCAATCAGTACTCACCAAGCCTCTAGGCCCTCGACCCTAATGTCGTCAACAAGATCGCCGCGGGCGAGATAATTGTTGCCCCGATGCATGCATTGAAAGAGCTTATTGAAAACGCTGTCGATGCAGGTTCCACATCCATCGAGGTTCTTGTCAAGGATGGGGGGTTGAAGCTGCTGCAGATTACGGATAATGGACATGGAATTGATGTGAGTTGATCGGGCATATCGATAGCTTTGGACATTCTTTTGACCTTTTCTAGCGTGAAGATCTTCCAATCCTATGCGAGCGATTCACAACGTCAAAGCTCAAGGAGTTTGAGGATCTATCATCTATCGGCACCTATGGATTCCGCGGTGAAGCATTGGCAAGTATTAGCCACATTGCCCATTTGATGGTGACGACCAAGACGGCAGGCTCTAGCTGTGCCTGGCGAGCACATTATGGAGAGGGAAAACTGGTTCCTGCCAAACCTGGGCAGAATGCAGCCCCGAAAGCTACAGCAGGGCGTGGAGGAACCCAGATTACGGTGAGTGCGTATCTGCGTTGGATCTTGATATCACTGTACTGATTGAGACGCTAGGTGGAAGACTTATTCTACAACATCCCCAGTCGCCGTCGTGCATTCCGCTCTTCAAGCGAAGAATACGCCAAAATCCTTGATGTCGTTGGCAGATATGCAGTGCACTGCTCGGGGGTTGCCTTTTCGTGTCGGAAGCATGGTGACTCTGGAGTGAGCATCTCAACTCCATCTGCCGCAAATACGGTTGACCGTATCCGGCAGATTCATGGGAGTGCAGTCGCAAACGAATTGGTCGAATTCGAGTCTTCAGACCAAAAGCTTGGTTTTCATGCATCGGGTCTAGCTACCAACGCCAATTATCATGTTAAGAAGACGACCATTCTGCTCTTCATCAATCACCGTGCTGTGGAATCAACTGCAATAAAACGTGCCGTTGAGCAAACATACTCCGCATTCCTACCTAAGGGCGGACATCCTTTCGTTTACCTTGATTTGGAAGTCGAGCCCCATCGTGTCGATGTCAATGTGCACCCGACTAAACGAGAGGTTAATTTCCTCAATGAAGAGGAAATTATCGAGATGGTCTGCAGTGAGATAAGATCTAAGCTAGCTCAAGTCGACTCGAGTCGCACGTTTCTGACTCAAAGCCTCTTGCCTGGTGTACAAACCATTGAGTCCATCCAGCGTGACCAAGATAGCGAGGATCCAGCAGATGGGAAGGCCGCTCCTACGCCTAAAACTCCAGCCACATCCAAAAGGCCAAATGAGAACAATCTTATCAGAACGGATTCAAAAGTCCGTAAAATCACCTCTATGCTCGCTCCCTCCCCTTCCCAACATCATCCCGATACATCTACCGAGTCCGGCAACCTAATCACTTCTGTCTTGGATGACGGCCTTCAATATGAGACTACAGATCGTCAGCCGCTCCGAATCGCCCTATCATCTGTCAAAAGCCTGCGCAGTGCCGTTCGTTCCGATATGCACAACACACTAACCGAGATGTTTGCATCGCATACCTACGTCGGTCTTGTAGACGAGCGAAGACGCCTGGCAGCCATCCAGTCTGGAGTCAAACTCTACCTCGTCGACTATGGACTTGCCTGTAACGAATTCTTCTACCAAGTCGGCCTGACAGATTTCGGGAACTTCGGCACAATTCGTCTCGATCCACCACCAAAATTGGTTGATTTACTAAACATTGCAGCGGAAACAGAGCAGCAAGAGCAGGATCATGGCTCCGACGAGGGAGCTGATAAAATCTTCTCTCAGGCCGCAGAAATCGTATCACGAAGTCTGATTGAACGCCGCGAGATGCTAGACGAGTACTTCTCGATAAAGATCAGTGAGGATGGAAAGTTACTCACCATCCCGCTACTGTTGAAGGGATATGTTCCTTCCTTGGCCAAACTTCCTCGGTTCTTGCTCCGATTGGGTCCCTATGTGGATTGGACTGGAGAAGAAGAGTGTTTCCGCACTTTCTTGCGTGAGCTTGCGGCTTTTTATACACCCGAACAACTTCCAGTCCCACCTTCTCAGCTTGCAGCAGTTGATGAGGGTTCTAATGAACCCGCTCCAGAGACTGAAGACCCATTCATTGTTACTCGTCGCGCGCAGATGGTCCAAATGCTGGAATACGCGATCTTCCCAGCGCTTCGTGCTCGACTGGTCGCTACATCCCGGATGTTGCAGGGTGTGGTGGAGGTCGCAGATCTGAAGGGTCTCTATAGAGTATTTGAGCGGTGCTGACAGCCAAATGCCTACCAAACTTATCATGTTATAATATCCTTAGCATAGTCTTAAAACGATAGTTGCTGTTACGTATATTAACAACATTCTTAACTCTAACAAGGTTCATGATCCTGGTCTGCAGGCTATGTGCATGTACATCCCGAAACCAAAGACCATATGCCGATAGACCAGTATGAGAGAGAGAAAAGAAGTTCAAATGCCAGACAGCAGTCAAGTAGAAGGGTAAATGAGCTCCTCAAAGAAATATGGGGATAATCACTCGATATTCTTGGTTTGGGAAGAAATGATTGGAATAAGATGATCAAAATAAGGCACATGAAAAGGGTAAAAATCGTGCCAATATCGAAAGGCTCACAAATAGCCCGGAAACCCCCATCCGAGTATAATAAGAATAACAGTAATGGTAATGGGGAGATAGAGAAAAGATCAAGAAAAAAGATACCCTTTCCATCCCACCACATCCTAACAACGCCCAGCGCCAAGCCATAATGAAGATAAATTTGGCTAAAAAGTCGTCCCGCTCATAGAAGTCGTGTAAAAATCGTGCACCGTAGCAACGGGGCGTCACCCTGGAAAGAAAACCCGGGTATCTGCAACAGAAAAGAAAATGAAGAGAAGATGAATAGAAATGAAAAGGAAATGGGAGAGTTCGAGGAGCCTCATAACAGGCATGTGAAGTCAAAGTTGACATCAAAGCTGGTCTAGTGTCGCGAATAGGGCTTGTTCAGAAGTGCAATTTCACGGCAGACAGTAGGCCATTCTACTGCTCGCTGTCTGGGAAGCTTGCGTTGCTGATTTTGGTATTCTTCCCATTGGAGAAGCTCATAGCTGGAAATCTATATTAGTCTGAGAACAGAGGGTCGTCTTTGAGATTGACTTACACAAAGCGCAAGTGAGGTTGAATGATAACATTCAGACGCCTAGCACGAACAAAGCAGTAGGCATTTGGGAAGGTCAGTCCTTTCGCCGCCATCACCTCTGCAATGCAAATACTGGCAGAACGAGAAACACCGACACGGCAGTGAACCAAGGTTGCAGTACCATCGTTCTTTCCAAGCTCTATTGAAGGCGTAAGTCAGAAATTTACCCCAACACAAACAACCTGATTGATAAACAAGATGCACTTACCAATGAACTTCAAGCACTTTCCATATTCCTGACACAATGGGTCAATGCCATTATCTTGCACATTGTTGATGTAAAGCAGGTTGTTTTCACCCCACGCGTCGCGTTCTTCCTGGGTCCATGAAACCGCCTCACCGATGCTCAAGACGCGTCTGATTCCCAATTCCCACAACAACTCAGGGTTATTAGCATGGTTGAGATTTCCGAGATACATGTAAGGCAAAATTCGACTAGGCAATGAGCCATCCATCTTCAGGAACCAGTTTGGATCCGTCAGGTTTATGGGATGCCCCAACTTGTTCACAGGACTTTCTTGCAAAAGACGCGTCTGAATATGACTGAGAAACGCGACATCGGTCGGGTAAGCAAAGAAGTTTCGCTTCTTCTCACGGTGCAGCTTGAGCCACGCATCATGAACTGGGACACCTTCCGCAAACATGAAGTATGCGACTGCAAGTAACGATGTCTCAGTATAGCCATCAGCACAGTGGATCAACACCCTGCAAGGCTTTTTGTGGTGTCGCATTTCAATATCACCCTGACTATCTGCTACCTCGGTAGGCTCGGGATGAGCCAGGTAGTAGATCCATCGGAGAGTGTTTACTAAATCTTCGACTTCACGAGTGTTGCCAGATGGGAGCACAACTGATCCAGACGATGGAAACTCAATGTATTGTGGACTCGACTCCAGCTTCTGGTCGATGGTTGCGAGGAGACGAGGACCGGGGATGCTTGCAAGATCGCTTGCTTCGATCAGGAGATCGAACTGACTGGGATCGGGCGCGGAACATTCGCCAGGTCTCAAAATGTAATCAGGAGTCGGTCCGAGCCAGATATTCGCCGAGATCTCTGAGGCCGAGGACATCTCGCACATCTCTTGTCTTTCCCACTGGACTGTACTAATGTCAGTATGAGTTCGAAAATCACAGCACCGCAGAAACTTACCAAAGTCCATGGATCGACCGGTGAGTCGCCCCCGAGAATCGACGGCGACCCAGGGTGCGCATTTTTTCTCGAATTCAGAAAAGCTGCCTATGCAGGTGTCAGTATGATTGGCTGCTGGTATTCAAAACCGAGATCTACCACAAAGAAACTTACTTGTGAGCACGAAAGTGTTGTATGGCTTTCGTTCTTGCATCGGGTCATGCTTAAATCGCCATGCTGCTTGTGCATTGGTAAATTCCTCTGCAACGGCTAGCATTTCAGCTCGATCAACACCGTCCTCTCCGTATACAACGATATCTGACAAGGGAGCCAATTTGGCAGTTTGAATCTGAAAATTCCGGACGGAGAAGCCCTCTGGCGGGTCGGCCATCAAGAAGCGCGACGTCGCGGAAATCACCTCATGTGGAGCCACAGCACCCTGAATGCGAGCTTTTGAGAGGTCACCCCCTAGCTTGACGATTGTGATGCCGCGCCAGACATGTGGAGGCTTGCGCTGGGTGCGTTTGCGACTGGAGAAGAAACCCAGCTGGATGTGATTATCGGGGTTCAATCCATGGAGCCATGGGTACATGTTGATAGGATCGGGCAAAGGCTGCGATGCCTGGTGCTCCAGCGCTTCAGCCAATGCCCCTGCATCAATGCCATATACTCTGGAGCCCGGTGGACTCGAGATTGTCTGATAGCGGGATGGGGGATAAAGCAGCGAGGAAACCTGGTCGTGGCCAGATCGCAGCACTGGCGACTCCGGTTGGGCAAAATCCGCTGGCGATGGGCCTGTGGGGCACACGGGCAGATGCTTGTTCGGAATTGGGCTTGATCGGTGGACTTTCAAAGCCGGAGAGAGAGAAGATGGAGGAGTGGTGGGACGACCCAGTGCGTGCTGTTGTTGAATGATGACAGCCGCCATGGTGGGATTTGGCCAGAGGTACTTTTCTTCGAAGGATGGCAAAAAATTGGGAAGTATTCAACAAGTTCTCGACTGGCGCAAGATCAGGAGATCACGATTCCATGCTTTGTCGTGGTTGAATCACTCTAGACACCTCGGAGCGTCAAATTCTCGAGAAATTCACGTGTTTTCTCAAGCGTGTACTCTTGCGTTGATGTCTGAGAGGGCTGTTGGGAGAGAGAAGACGGAAGATGCGATGATTGATAGGGTGGAGAGGGAAGATCAGGTAGCGACCCACTTGTGGGAGAAGAATGCGAAGGGGGGAAAAGCAAAGACAAATGAACCAGGGTCCACACAGCCAGTCAAACGCCGCTGATAAGGGTGCCGCGCAAGGGATCAGGAATGGACCGGAATGAATGGCACGATACACAAATGTGTTGGCACTGAAAATTGAAGGGAATGAAAAGAAGAGTTGGGTTCCGGGAAGAGAGGGGGGGGGATATACGGTACGGGTGATGTATAATGCAAAGGCGTCTGAACGATATAGTACGATTTCAGTACGGCTCACGGTGCATGCAAAGTCGCATAAAGTGAACGATGCGCCAAGCTGATCAGTCTGATAGTTCTCATTCGGTGCGACCAGCGAAAGTCAACATCATCACTTATCATCGTCATCCGTATTCCCCGGCCCCGCCCAAAGTCTCCACTATACAACTCCACTATGCTCTTGCCGGCGCGTAACTTATCTAACCATACGGTAAAAGATAATGTGCCGGATAGTCTCCCCGGTCCCCCTCCTCGCAACTCCCCACAGTGATTGGCCACGCTAACAAGTTGGCGCAGCCTTCCACGGAAGGCTGCCCTATGGAACCAATCACCAAGCGGGGTCTTTTTCCCGATGACGATGAGATTTCTTAGATTGACCCAACTTCTTGTCTTCCCGGGTCCAGATTCCTAGCCAGTCTGTGCGTACACCTCCACACAAAGACTTTCCTCTTCCCCCGCACGGAATTCACAGCCCATGATAATCACGCATTTTGCCTCCTAGATGATTATCTTGATCTAGACTTGAATTCCATGGTTTTAGATGAAACTCAATGTACGTCGGTTATCACGATCTATTTTGGTTCCTATGTTCAAGCCCCCAAAACAAAAGTACCCTCTACATACTCCCGAATCGAGACATATGTACATGAGGTACAAGTACTGAGGGGCCAACCCCGGATCGCCCAACGTGATCCACTTAGGGGGGTACATGCAGCAGAAGATGCCAAACTCAGTCTCAAATCCGAACACTTCATCTCTGTAGACGTACTGTAAGCGGCCCAACCAGGCACTGTCCTTAATTACAAAGGCGGTGCCTAAGAAACTTGGTCCACCCGTCCAATGTGGTACAACAGGGGTCGCCAGGCCCCTCGCGTAGTGGTTGATCATAAAACCCACCCCAGTCAGGAAATAATCATAATGACTTAAGGCAAACTCAAATAAATCCGGTTCCCAAATAGTAGATGGCCCAATCAACGGCGATCATTGGTCTGCAATATCCAGTAACTCCTGTGCCAATCGTCGCAAGTAAAAGCGAGTCATGTCAGGCGGGACTCCATCAAAGGCCCGGGTCAACCGTTGTAGATCCTGTCTTGATTTCTCATATGCGTGCAGATCCCGGTTCCCATAGACATCGCGACCAGCAGCGTACCCCTTGGTCAAATTACGGAAGAAAACATTCACCGCGATACTTACCTCGCTCGTTGCCGAGCATGCCGTGTGTAACCACAACGGCGGGATGAACAGGATGTCCCTTGGCTTTAGAATGGCTTCTTGTGGTGAGGTACCTGGAATAGACGCGGGTGTATCCAAACCGACGGCTTGGAATATGTCGACGGTGGAACTTGATGCACCGGGCGGGATGTGGAGGTATTGGATGTCGTCCGGTGGGAATAGTATTAGGCGCCGCTCGCCGCGGATTTGACAGAGCACGTTGGCCATTACCTGTTTGATGTGAGATTTGGATTTTACATATGCTTGGGCGTCTTCATTTTCCTTTCACCCCCCCTCCTGCTTTGTAATGGTACGTGTTTCAAACTCAAATCCCTGCAAGTTCAAGTGGGGGGAAGGTGTTTGGGTTTTCGGTACTACAGAATTGTAGGTACTTAGGGTATGTACTCACATCATAATGTAGCCACATCGTAACCGGTCCCGAAACCCTCAACGGGGAGCTGTGGACATTATCTGAGACTAGACTCAGACACTCGGGAAGTCTGAAATCTTGCTGCAGGGTAGGGAAATCCGTTGCCAAATTTGCTGGTAATTTGGATGGCTGGTCCGCTGAGATCGATCGGAGATACTGGCGGCCACCGGCATGAACCTCATTGAGAAAGGTGCCAAATCCCTTAGTCACGTAAGCAAAATTCTTTGCCTGGAAACTCATACGTTCTGATTGGGCTTCATGTACAACAACCTATAAAGAAGAAAGAAATAATGTGCTGGTTAGCTAGTGCATGATTAGCTGCCGTGTGATACGGATAGCTGCCGTACCTTGCGATCATTGCCGACAGAGCTGGTGAGGTATTCCTGGGTCCAAACCTCCGTGCAGGGCCCGATATCCGAGCCTTCGATAACGGCCGGCTTGCCATTGGCGACAATTTGCTGGAACTGTGCAGCCGTTTCAATCCGGATCCGGGGGATCTGCACAGGCTTATTCGCTTTCTTGTTGACGTAGCGCTGTTTATTTATTGGGGGCTGTGATACTGGATTACCAGGGGTCTCTTTCTTTGGAGTCACGATTGCCCATGAGTTCTCTTTTGCAGCACTTTTGGGCTGTAATAACCATGTTCCCTCAGTCCAAACTGTTCCAAGTGGGAAACATACTGCACCTCCACCAAGGAACAGTACCTGATCTGCGCTGATCGAGCAGGCTACATGACCGGTAAGCAAGGGTCTAGACTCTGTAAATGCACTTCCTAGTCCGATTGAAGAGATAAGGGTCTGGCTGCATGGACTGGTCATATTTGACGGGTCCACTATCTGTTTCGAATCCAGAAGCAAGATTTCCATCTTTGCTGGAACCAGTTGACGGGGAATAATTCCTCCAGCAATGACCAGCCCCATTGATGTGGTGTTGGCCGTGGCCCCGAATCTGGGTAGGTACTTGAAAAGATGTGGCGAAGCTTCTCGCGCATGTTGGGTGAGGTCCACAAGTTCGACCTGTAAAGATCCATCACCACACCGCGAAAGGCTCCATACCCAGATGTCTTCCAAGATAGTTCCCCTGCTTCCGATGCCACCAGAGAGAATGCCGAAAGTGTCATTTATTTTCGCAAATGACGCCCCGAAGCGAGCCTCGGGAGTACCGCCAACTGTCTCAATCTTTCGCCATCCTTGTTCATTTCTGTCATTCCAGAGTAGCCAGCTGTCCAGAATACCATTGTCTTTAGTTTTGCCTCCATATACAAGCACAGATCCGGAGTCCTTGTCGATTGAAACATTAGTGGCGCTATGCCGGAATCTTGGCTCCGGCAAAGGATGGATCTGCCGCCAGCTGTTGTCCTGTCGGAACCAACAATCATCAAAGGGAGCGCCCGGTGACGTCCTACCGCCAACCAAAAGACAGTCGTCTGAATTTCTATTCACTGGCGTAATGGTGTGGCACATTCGTATGGGAATATCACGCGACGGAGAGGCAATTTCTGATTCGTCAATTTCTCCTGGGGTATACACGTCGGTTGAGGCCAACCGAGCCTGCTCACCTTGCCCCCCATGGTGACCAACGAAAATCTTGTCCTTGCGACCTGGGACAATTGCACCATATCGCCGGCGGCCACATTTGTCGGCAGGACAGTGTGCCTTCAGGACAAATTGGTCAGAGATTCTATACCAATCTTGCTCATTGGCAAGTTCTGAATGACTATCCATGTCCTTGGAAATCTCAGAAATATTGGATGCAATTAACAGGAAGTAGTGTGACTCAAAGAGCGCGAACTCCTCCCATTCATCGAATACCTCATACGAATCCAGCCCTTTTCGGACTGACTCCGGTAGGAAAGAATCGTCAGACCACAGATCCCATAGACTTCTGGCTCGGGCTTGAGGCCACCCGGCATTCTTGAATCTTTGCTCCTGCTCCGCTAGCGAATGGAACTCATGGATGGAATGTAAGGGTGCATTCAACTTATTGTAATGCGCCATCATGGTCTTTGTAAATGGGTGCTCAGGACCGTCGGGGGAAAACTGCTCTAGAATACAAAATTGAACATCTAGAAGTTTGTGAGCTCTAATGTTGACTTGCTGCCAGCCTTGGAGATCCATGAAGATAGATCGATCGGGTGTGAATTGACTCACCATTGGTCAACTTGGAAGCCCACTTGATGATCTCGTTCGCCGACTGAACATCCATATACGTCAAGGAAACTTCTGCAAGTAACAGCACAGAGCTGTCAGCAGATGGCAGAATGATAGTTTGCAACACTTCATCTAGCTTCTTGAGATTTTTCAGGTCACATCCCACGGCCCGATAACGAGAGGTGCTGATCTGTATCACATCCTCATCTGAACCAAATTCTATATCCCCAAGTACTCTAGTAATCTCCTGAGTCTGACGGATGACATTCTTCTTGTGAACCATGAGCTTCTCATAGTCGATATCGACGAATACAGTACGTCCACTACGCGTCGACTTTTGCTCTTCACTGAGGAGTATGAACGGCAATGGATCACTACGACCATATTTCAGCATTTACACCTCTCCTGTATATTTTCCGCCCACGACTCACAATCCACAGCCTAGATTCAGCACGAATTGAGGCTTATCCGTAGGTGCTTTTGCAATAAATTGCCTCACCGTCTCATTCGTAGTGTACATTCGTAACCAATAGCTACGGTTGATCATCGGTGGTCGTCTTTGAGGCTTTTTCACGAAATAACGATAGAAATGGGGTTGTGGGTAGTAGATCATCTCGACGCTACGCTTGGATGCGATACTGCTATTATTTGTCTTTAAAAGGAGGTCAGCTGGGCGATTACCAATGGGACCGCAATGAACATACTCCCATGACTGCATCTGCATCTTTCTCGGCCTTGGTGGCCTCCGCCACAGCAGATCGTGGCTTTGGCGCCATGTTGTGGAGCTGAAAGTGATTGAGGGGGAATCAATGGGAGCGACCTCATTATCGATAAGGAGTTCGTAGGCGGTGGGCAATCAAGGTGTGGCCCAAGCGCCCTCCGACCTCTCACTTGCGACGACGAAGTTCTCTTGAATACTCCCCAAAGATCCGACCTGCTCCCTTCCACACCTTTTTTCTTTTCACTTTTTATACCTGTGAGATCGAGGGGCAATGATAGGACACAAACGGTGACGGGCGACTCTTTGCTGTCCTAGCCGCACCACGAGCCTCTCTTCAAGCGGGGTCATCGCGGCTTTGATATCTACCAACTCCATCAACAACTACTCATAACCTCTCCAAGATGGCGATGAACTTTGTAACATTCAACCAGGACTACAGCTACCTGGCTGTTGGTAAGCTTCCCCTTTGCCCGGTCGGGTATGAGGCAGCTTAAACGCGAGCATATTTATTGACGTCAGCCAGCCACCGCCAAGGGATTCCGCATTTTCACGACGGATCCCTTTGCTAAGAGCTATGAAACCAAAGAAGGGAATATTGCGGTGATTGAGATGCTCTTTTCGACCTCATTAGTGGCACTTATTCTTTCACCTCGGCGGTTACAGATCACCAACACCAAGGTTCGTTGGAGCCTGCGGCAAGGCAGCTATCGTACATTGAAGACCTGATCAGCATCTGATATATACTTTTGGTTCACAGCGCCAGTGTACAATATGTGAATTGACATTCCCGACAACGGTCCTGGCCGTCAAGCTAAACCGCAAACGCCTTGTCATTGTGCTGGAAGATCAGATCTACCTTTATGACATCCAGACGATGAAGCTTTTATCTACGATCGATACATCACCCAACCCACATGGTATCTTCTATTCCCCATTTCACTTCTCTATCATTTGCTAATGTTTCATGTAGCCATTTGTGCACTGGCACCATCATCGGATAATTGCTATATGGCATACCCTCTGCCTCAGAAGGCCCCTGCCACGGTGAAGCAACCGGCTCATGCTCCTCCTGGAACGACACATGTCTCGCCCACTACAGGTGATGTGCTCATCTTCGATGCAGAGAAGCTCGAAGCGATCAATGTCATTGAAGCTCATCGGTCGCCTTTGGCCTGTATCACTTTGAACAGCGACGGAACGCTACTTGCAACTGCCTCGGACAAGGGGACTATCATTCGAGTCTTCTCAGTTCCTGATGGTCACAAGCTGTACCAGTTCAGACGTGGCTCCATGCCTTCCAGAATCTATAGCATGTCCTTCAACACAACCTCCACCCTTCTCTGTGTCTCTTCGTCCACGGAAACCATCCATCTGTTCAAGCTGGCCCAGCAAGGACCTTCATCAGATGCATCCTCGTCGCATTCACCTGTCGGTCGCAATGCTAGCCTTGGGGCCAGCTCATTTGGAAGTGGGCAAGATGAAGATGAGACTGGCGATGCGGACCAGGCAGCCAGAAAGCACAATGGTACCCTGATCGGGATGATTCGACGAACATCTCAAAACGTCGGAGGAGCCGTTGCTGCTCGCGTGGGCGGGTACCTCCCCAAGGGTGTCAGCGAGATGTGGGAGCCAGCACGGGACTTTGCATGGATCAAGCTGCCACGATCGCAGGGGTCTGCTGCGCCTGGGAACACCGGTCCACTACGGAGTGTGGTTGCTATGAGCAACAACACGCCTCAGGTTATGGTCGTGACCAGTGACGGGAACTTTTATGTTTTCAATATTGACTTGTCGAAGGGTGGGGAGGGAACCCTCACCAAACAATATTCGTGAGTTTCTCAAGAACTATTCTACTTCGTCTCTCTTTTCGATCGCTAATGCTAATTTCCAGGGTTGTCGACTCGAACGACAGGTTAGGCACGATGGATTACTGAAATTAGAGCCGTCACTCATCTTGCTCCACCAAGAAAGCTTGGCTTGGTTTTCTAGTGCCTTGTGTGCCTCATGTGCCCTCTACACCCCATCAAGGCGCCACGAGCGAGGCTAGCTTCATGGTCAAGATGAACGGAGATGATTCTTCTCTTAGTGGCGTTGATTTGTTTCTCATCGGGCGTTGATATATCACACAGTATGTCCATGCATGGTGGACTTCCATGGATGGCTCTCTCCTCTTTATCTTTTCGATCAGATATTCCCCTCATTCCAAGCGTTAGCGTTTTCGTTCGGGTTTTTTCGTCCGGGTTTTTTCGTCGGCAGTAAATCACTGCTTTGATCATTTTTGTACTGTGTTGGCCATGTGCCGTGGGCGGGCTGTGTCTGTGGCTGTGGCTTAAGCCTTCGATATCCCTCTGGGTTTTCTAAAACGCACAATGTCATTTCGAAAATCAGCCTAGCCCCATACATCAATAGGTAGCAGAGATTTATCATTATCCACACAGCCCGGTTAGAGGATTCATGTTCTACCCATTAAACGCAGATTAGTGTAAATGCAAGTCACTCAAATTCGTCATGGACCCAATCAAGGGCTCGAAATCTATATCTATCTATATGCATGTCTGTCGCTTTCTAATGCACTGTACAAATGTACAAATCATCAAATCGGTCTGTATGTTATGTCCAAATGTTAGGTAATTCATGTACAAAACCACATGGTAGCCGTGAAGGTTCCAATCGGCCAGGGGCGGCCTCCGAGAGATAAGGGCGGCCGAGCGGCGAATCACGGCGAACTCCGCGTCTCGGTCCAAAGTGGGTCAACAAAGTACACCAGACCGTGCGCGATAGAGGCCGCCAATGGTCCAACCTACGTAAGGTCAGTACAAACACTGCTGATAAGACATTCATAGTCCCCAAAGAACCAAGAAAGGCAGGATACTCACCCAGTGGATCCAATGATAAGTGGGAAATTCCGACGCCACATAAGCCCCGAAGCACCGCGCCGGGTTTAGACCTGCAGAAAGGTTATTTAACTGGTTCAGCTGCCCCTGATAATTTCCTCTTCTTTTTTGCTCTTCCTTTTCTTGGAACTGTTTCTCTCCTTCATCCCCTGGTCTTCATGTACTTACTCGCTCCAATATATCCCTCGCGAGTGAAAGCGGTTGCCCAGCAAACCACTCCCACAACAATACCCACAAACCACGGGCCAACGGCAGGACCGAAGACCTTGGCCTGTCGAGGGTCAAGGGCGACGCCAAAAGCCAGGAAAATCACAATAAGGCAAGCCATAAATTCAATGACCAGACCATCTTTGGGTGGCACAAAGCTCGTATCGATGTGACATCCTCCTACGGTAAAATTCCGGTTACCGTAGGCCGTGTTAAGTGCGAAACCCGCAAGAGCACCGCCCAGCGTTTGCCCAGCGACGTATAGCATCATACGCGGGAAGGAGATGATCCGCGCAAAGAAACACGCCATTGTGATAGTCGGACTAATATGGCCTCCACTGGATGCGCCGAAGGTGTAAATCAAAAGTGGAGTCATGAGGAGATTGGTGATGCCTCCGAACAGCGGCGAGAAGAAGGTAACGGTATCATAGATACCCGCCCCAGCCGTGGGATAGGTCGTAGCCGCCATGGGATGCGTAGTAACCCAAGAGGAGATAAAGACATTCATCATACTCGCTATCAAAACAAAGGTGTCAGCCAGAAGTGGACACACAAAACAGAGGCTCAATTGAGTACTGGGGAAGCAAGCGGGATTGGGGTTGCGCATACCGACGCATTCCAGCATCGCGAATTTCCATAGATCTGGACTATAGAAGCCCTTGAGATCGAAGATCTCGGCGAACGACATGCACGGAGCCGCATCTGGCACCCTCTCCAGCAATTCATCATTCCTGGGGTCATTCCGGTCAAGGATAAAATCCTGATTACCGCCGAGCCGGCCGGCGAACGAGGAGATATGCGGCTCTAGATGCGGATGATCATGATCATGATCCTCCTTCTCAGACCGGGGAAGATAAGCTATGACCATGACGTTTGAGTTTCCGGGGCACTCGCACTATTGGGCATGGATGAGACAATCCTTGGCTGTGCTGCAAGGGGCTGCGGCATGGCCGAAACGTAACATGGGGCATTCTGATTGGTCAGTTTGGCTGAGTCAGCCGGGAAGAGATTTCGGTTTCTGTGCATTCGGTGAAGACTCGGCGAACTCCTGACCAACAGAACCACTAAATTACCTAACGATCAACCAATGAGAAGACAGACTGCCAAGCGGCCAACTTTGATGCCCAATCATCGGCCACTATGGGGGATCGTGATGGCCGAGATTCTGCACAAATACTCTGATTTGCAGCTAAGACGGCTTAAAATCAAGCCATTGCCGTTTTCTATAATACGTAGGTCAGCTAAATCAACTTTTGTGAAATTTCTTATGTATCATATCATTATGATAAACAAATAAACAACCCCTGTTGTATCGGAATCAATACACAATACAGTACATACATCCTGGTTCTGGAACACCCACATATTTGGGCCACGTTGGAAGTCACTACAAAGTTACTCGTATTCCACATATTATGATTAATATGAATAAGAGCTAGATCCATTTCACCCCGCACCACTTACGTAGTGTGGGAGGCGATCTGGGCTGGATCGATGAAGCATTAGTCAAAGAAATGGCCTCGGCCAAACCTTGAGATTAGACCCGCTTTCGGGCAAATAACTGTAAATAAACAATTAATTTCGCTGGAGATCACTTGATCTGGAACTGAAGGCAATCCACTTACAGCGGGAGTGAAACCTTGGAATAGCTTGTTCCAGGGTTGGTGACTGAGCCTCACAAGTATATTATAGGTCCACGGGTCGGAAGCTCGTCGGCGAATTGAAAGAAGCCAGTAAACATTATCAAACATGCATAAGCTTATCCTGAACTATTCAAGCACTTGCTGGAGTTTTGAAAACACCATAAACCATCTGGGCCACCTTATCCAATGTTGAAGGTTGGATTCCTGTACAGAATATGGAGAGTGTATGTAATATGTAACTAGTCACGTGCACGTGTTTGATGACAGCTTCAGGATTCAGGCCAAGTCTTCTTTGTGACACAAATCGAGCAGTCGTACAGCGGAGCAAGTGGAAAGAGTCTTCGGACAAGATACCATAGGTTCTCGTATTGGTGAAATCATAAAATTGGATCGGCATAACAAGCTTCAAGTTCCTCTGCGTTTCCCAAACATTTCGAGATTGGACACTGAAGGTCGCTCTCATATACCCCGCATTTAAATGAACATGACGACAACCACAGTCCAGACGCGCCAGCTCAAGGTTCAGACTAAGGGTGAAACTCCAGAAAACCCCTCAAAATATATACGAACTCCAAGAAACTATAATGCATTGCAAGTTGGGATCATGGAGTTTCTGGATATGCCGGAATCTAAATCCCTCCTCACCAACATTGGAATATCCGTCGAAACGATACAGAGAGCTCTTCCGAAACGCTTTACCGTTTATGAGCCCCTTTTACTTCTTCCAACGAATACTTTCAATGCACCTCCTGAGTGGAGCACCTTCTACGCAGAGTTGCCATCCGAACGGCGCAAAGAACTATATGCTTCGATAGCGAAAGCTTTCAAGCGACTGGGCGTTACTCATATTGCAATAAATTCTTTTATATCTTTGACGAATACCCAAGGGCTTGAAAACCGGATGCGCAGTCCTTCTGGTTTGGTTCCACTATATGGTGATTTTCAAGACCCATACATAATTCCGGCCTCTAGCGATGGAAACGCACAGCCCCAAGCCAAGGACCTCCAGGCTGCCCTTTGGGTACGGACAGTGCAGAATAAAGGCATAATACAGATCTGGGCGCCACTATATACAATGTTCTCGCGAGGAAACATCACGGAAAAAGCACGAATCTTGGGATATGGACCGTCCCAAGGCACGTTCCAAGGACTAGACAAACAGTCTCTGCAACAATCACCGGCAGACACCAGCGTTGTTGACATGTATGCTGGTATCGGCTATTTCACGTTCTCCTATCTGAAGAGAGGTGTCAAACGAGTATGGGGGTGGGAACTCAACGGCTGGTCCGTGGAAGGACTTCGGCGAGGCTGCGAAGCAAATGGATGGGGCTGTAAAGTTATTTGTATAATGGAAGACGGTCAAACGGAGGTACCCATTATAGACCTTGTGGAAAGTCTTACGGAATCGGACCGTGTTGTTGTCTTTCACGGAGACAACAAGTTTGCAGCAAATATCTTGGGAAAGATCAAATATATTATGGAACAATCAGGAACATGGAGGCCCGTTCGCCACGTCAATTTGGGTCTCTTACCATCTTCACAACCATCCTGGGGTATTGCATGTCGGGTACTTGACCCGCAGCGAAGAGGCTGGCTCCATGTTCATGAGAATGTCGATGTGCAGGAGATTGAAAAGAAGCGGGAGGAAATAACGACCCAAGTCGCGACACTTCGAGCTCAGGTTCACCTTGAACAGAAGATTTCGCAAGAACCGGAAATTAACTGTTGCCACGTGGAGCACGTCAAGACGTACGCGCCTGGTGTTATGCATTGCGTCTTTGATATCAGCTTGTCGGGGGCATGAAATTTAAGCAAAGGATTCTGGACCATTAACATTTAGAGATACTCTTGTGAGATGTTAGATGAGTTTCATTGATAAGAAGCCGAGTCAAACATACTGGCAGCACGCTGTTTTGAGAAGCAAAGCCTGAGTCCAGAACATTTCCTTGCTCGTAAATGTTGGCTTTGTTTTGTTGTGCGCGGTCTACCCCCCACGAGATCCATGTTTCCGCCCTGGAATTCCATACTCCTGTCGCTCTTGCCCGCATCAATCCGTGCGGTGCTAAAGAGCGTTGAAGGGATACTTTAAATTGGATGAAGAGTATCAATCACTGAGAATAACATGTTTAATTCACTTCAATTCACATGAGAGAGTAATGTAGTAAGAGCCCCACGTGTGCTAATCTCGGGTTTCTCACCGGCATCGTTATGATAATAGTTCGAGAGAGCCAATGTTAACAACCATGCAGTGCAGAATGATCAATATTACTAATGGCAATGCTATAGGTTCCCAATCTTTCAATATCTCAACCAGTGCTCTCAAGTAGTATACCGATAACTTGGATGACAGTTCCACCGCTTCGCCAAATGATGACATTCCGACCCCTCATCAATTGGGTCACGTCCATCCGTGATATCCACATTCGCAGCCTTATCTAGACGACTATTACGCCGCTGTAGCGTAAAGTGCAGAAGGGTAGCCATGAACATACACAGTCCACAGAAAGCCACGTTAGCTACGTTCGCCTGCCAGTATCTCGGTCCCTGCGAAGACGGATAGAAGTAGCTAGCATATATCGACGCGAAATTCGAACCCGCATTGACAACTGCATAGGCCACCGCTCGCTTGGTTCGAGGCCGCGGCAAAGACGTAGATACCCAAGAGAGAATACACCCAAACGAGGCGTAGATTGACATCATCATGAAAGTGGAAATATACCGGGCTGCCACATTCAATGTTACGGCGCTAATGATGAATCCAATGCTACTGAAAACCTGGGGCCACAAGACATGAAGCCAGCGCTCGCTTACTCGGTCGCTGTGGAAGGAGTTGGCCACACTTAGAATTGCAGCAAAGATGTATGGTGGTGCAGATAGTAGAAGTGTTTCTGTAGTACCATATCCCAATGTCGCGACAATGGTCGGGAAGAAGTTAGTGAAGCAAGCGGAGGTGTTCAGTCCCAGCTGCATAAGCCAGATGATGTAGAGGACTGGATCGCTGAACGCAAGTTTGAGACCTTCGAATTTGTTGTTCGTTTCATCGTGGTCGCTCTCATTACCATCTTCTGCTAGGCGAGTGATGGCAAGTATGCGTTCTTCGTCGGTGAGCCACTTTGTAGTTGCTGGGTAATCCGGCAGGGTTACCATGGCTAAAAGAGCAACTGGGATTGTGGAAGCCCCCTCAATAATGACTGAATCATTGATTTCTTAGCACAAAGAGTGTTGTTATGTAGGAGGGGATCAAGAGGGTCATACATAGCCATCTCCATGCTGGTAGTCCAGCCTTTCCATCCATTCCAGACATGATAGCACTACCAAGAAGCCCACCAAATGCCCCAGATATCTGAGCAGCCACGTAGAGGATGGAGATGCGGGCGGCAAGCTCTTTTCTAGTATACCACGAGGAGAAGAGAAACAGGGCGCCGGCTGTATTTGATTAGATACTGTCATCGGGTTTGGAAGTTGGTCAACGACGTACGGAAGAACGGCGCTTCAACAAAGCCAAGAATGAAACGCAAGGCTAGCAATCCACGATAACTTTGGACTGCGCCGGTGCAGGTGCTGACAATCGCCCAGCAACACATAACACCTGGCTTGGGATATAGTTAGCTTCGAGCCATTGCTTGACACTCCAAAAGCTAACCAGAAATAAAGACGGTCTCATATTGTTAAGAATCATGTTAGTTGGGATTTGAGTCAAGATATATCCGACGAAAAAGAGACCTATTCTGAATTAGACCTGATACTTGTTGATTCCAGTCACCTGGCAACGAGTCTGGGTAACGTACTAATAATTGTGTTGTATTGATTGCCATGAAGGCCAAGATCCTGCTCCAAAGTCCCGAGACGTGCAGTCGCGATGTTATTTCTATCCAAATAGTTCAAGACATCTTCCATGATTCGTTAGCAAAGACGATGCAAACAACCCGAATCTCGGTGTTGTGGAATGTCATACAAATCAACATCATCAAGGGCAGTAACCTCATGTCCAGCTTTCGAACAAATTTGGCTTCGAGTTTTTTCCGATTATCAACGATCAATTTTGGATTATTCACTTCGTCGATATCATTATCCGGGGAAATCTCGATCTCTTCGGCGACTCCATGGTGATCATCTCTTTTTCGGGTGGATATATCTTCTGAGTTCATGTTGACTAGCCCTCGGGTAGGGCGAAATTAAGCCCGGCAATTGGAAGAAACAAATTGATCACAAAGTCGGCACTAGCATAAGCTTGCGAAGTGTAAAAAGAAGTGGGTGGGGGATATTCTTTAAGTACTCAGCTCACAATCCACAGTCTCGGACACCTCCCCGGACTTCTACTTCGCGGGGAAGCTTGCAGATCTTGGCGAGCCGTTTCTTGGCGATTTCGGCTTACTCGAAGCAGCCGTGGCTTGCCAGCGATAGATATGTCATCCGATAAGGCTGGCTTGAAGAGTTTATTTGGACGTACATGTTAGTGTATAACCGATCGCGCTATCGCTGTATCTACCCAAGATTTCGCATACAAGTTCAGATCGGCGATTGGATAGTTGACTTTTTGTCTTTTTGCAGAAGCCTATATTCTATTATTACATGTGAAACCTGCCATCAGAAACATAGAGCACTTCCAAATAAGCATCTGGAGTCTCAACGAGCCCATGCAGGTGGATTAGATATGTGTCAAATATGTAAAGGAACGAAAGCGGTTGGTACATCTATATTCTCAATCCCATCCCCAAACAACCACATCAACAAAGTTCAACAATATACAATTATTTAAAACTGGAAGACACCAACAGCGAAAGCGACCATGGAGGCCACAAGCGCGGAGGAGTAGATGACAGAGCCGCCGGAGGTAGCGTAGCTGGAGGCAGAGGCCGAAACGCTGGAAGAGCTGGAGCTGGAGCTGGAGCTCGAGCCGGAAGAGCTAGAGGAAGAGGAGCTGGAGGTGTTGGACAGAGAGGAGGAAGAGGAGCTGTTCAACATCTTGATGCTGGTGTAGTCACCGGTCTTGTCGCTGTACTTGTAGTACTGGGCGGGGTTGTAGTTGATAACCTTGACGGACTCAACGTACATGACGAAGGGAACGTCATCGAAGTCAGTCTCACCACCAGCCCACTCGATGGTACCCTCGGAGTTGGAGGAGTCACCACCGGCCCAGATACCAATCTTCAGCAGGGAGGGAGTCTGGGGGAAGTCCTTTCCGCCGTTGGCATCGTCGTACTTCAGGGTGCGGACAACATCGCCATCAATGAGCCACTCAATACGCTCCTCAGTCCAGTCGATACTGTAGGTGTGGAACTCGGTCTCGGGGTTGGTGACATTGACGGTAGTGGCACGGTCCCAGCCAGTGGTGTTACCCTTGCCGAAGTAGTCGGTCTGAATCTCCTGGTCGTAGGTGCTGACTTGCTCCTATATGGTTTTGCATGATTAGATATAAGAACTCCAACTGGTGGTGTTTAATGGTGACTTACCCAGTCAATCTCATCCAGGTCGCCAGACTCCAGAATGTATGTGCTGACAATACCGGTGCCGTTGGCGGCTCTCAACTTGACATCGACGTGACCGAAGAAGATGTACCATTCACTGGCGATGGTAGGGGCCTCGCCCTCCTCGGCGATCTCGAACTTAGCACCGAGAGAAGTCTGGGTAACGGGCTTGGCAGTGATGTTCCAGGCATCGAGGGAGCCGGACTCAGTGAAGTCGACGTAGTATTCCCACTTGTCCAAACCCTTGTCAGAGGGGCAGGTCTCTATTGAACTCAATTAGAAACATATTCATCCAAGATTGGGGCACAGAATCACGCACTCTTGGTCGGGTTGCAGCTAGTGTAAGTCTGAGCAGTAGCAAGCTGGGCCGCGGCCAGAGTAACGGCCGCCCACTTCAGGTAAGACTTCATTTTTGTAAGAACGAGTGATATCCGGCACTCAAAACGAAAGGAATTTCACAGATGTTAGAAACGAAAGTGGCAGACTGCAGCAGTCGCAATATATGTGAAGCGAAAGTAGTTTTCTGGGCCAAAAAAGCGGGTAACCTGGGTGATAAATCGCTAAAATCGTCTATTTATATTCTCGTTAGGTACCATGGCCACGAAACAGGTACGCCAGTGTGCCCATGGCAGGGGGCATCAAACCCCCCCCCACTCATCAAAGGCGATAAGTCAGGTATTTCAGGCAGAATGGCTCATTGATTGGTTCGTGGAGCCATAGCGAGGTGAGGTGGGCCAGGGGATGGCGCACAAGAGCATAGTAGAGTGGTTGAAATTAATCAATGGCGACTCCACTCAAAAAGCTTGGGTTGGTTGATGACGAGAGCGCTTGCGTGGTTTGCACTCGGACTATGACGGATCTAGCCGGCGGAGTACGTACTCCCGTCAAAAACTTTTCCCAGTGGCACTACCGCCCAGAAATAGCTACTATCTCCGAGAAAGTCATGCTCAAATAATTGAGGCTGGGGGAACTCAAATGCGAACATGATCCCCACTGGTCTTGTTTTTGCTTGTGGTCGCGGCCAGGGTGGCGTGGAAGCTCCAGGAACGAGGAAGAGCTTGGGGAAGAAGGATGATGAGTCGCGATCCATTCGATACGCGTCGCGCCAACCATTGATTCCTGGTTATTTATGGGACCTTCGTCAAAGGAATACTATCGGCCCACCGCCAGATTGAAAAGTCTCATATTATTGATGAATGAGGACGGCCACATCAAACTTGCCAAGGGGATTGCCAAGGGCTGCGTCGTAGTTCGGATGATCAGCGCCCCGACAATTGACTAGTCTCGATCTAACAAGTCACAATCCATCCCGGACTTTCAATCCACAGTCGCAAACTTGATCCACCAGTGGGACATGGATAATCACCTTCGTAGTCTATTATTTGACGCCGGTTTTGCTTTTTTCCCAAATCACCCCTGGCTATGCATGCGATGATCGTTCGGTTCGTGCCGCCGGAATAGGGGCAGCCCTACGATACGTACCTGATCCATTTCCAGATGTTTGCCCACTTAGCATGGGCTCATGTGAGGCTGACTTTGCCGAGCCCTAGGTGCCTATCTGGGTAGGTGCACTCGCGTGGAAATGCGTTCCGCCAACCCCACCGACAATCGTCTACGTGAGTAAGTACGTGGTGCTTAGGTATGGTACGCTTATTCGTGTACACTGTTCCTACCGAGATCCATCTGTGATTCAAATTTGTTCATTTATAAATAGCATTTTTGGAAAGGGCTCTCCAAATGTTTGAATTGTTTTTGAAATGCTGTGATGAGCGCAATGTCAGATCTCGAAGGTACACAATCCTACGCAGGTAGGCACACAGCCTTGGCAAACCCTTGGTTTTTTTGACACTATTTACATTCCTCTGGCTTTATATCTACCTAGCCCAAAGTAGTTGCTCAAGCTGTTCCTGGTAGCTTACGTCGTTGGCTGATTTACTCCAACCTATATCAAAATGTTGCCAGTCTGTCGCAGGGGCTATCGTGCTATATCTCAACACTGGAAGAATTGCGAAGATTTTTAAACCTCGTTAGAGCACCATGTAAAGCCGATTAACCTTTTATATTCCAACTTAATCTCAAGGGTTGCATTTTGCGGACGAAAATAAGGTTCGTCCGTCAGGGCGGCGGATTAGAAGCCCATCTCACGTGTGATAGGGCGAAGGATCAAGGCAACCATTATAAATCGTGCTTACATTTCCAAGGTTACATTTATAATCAGCATGATAGGTACGAGAGCTTACCAGGGTGAGACTCTTAATTTTATTATGATCACTGAGCTACCGTGCCGACGAGGGGCTTTGATATAAGTACCCCCAGACCTTCTGTCTTACTTATTATCTTCTAGCTCGGCCTAAGCCAGAATACAAGGTTCTCATACGCCTCTCCAAAGCTCATAATTTGACCATGTCATCATTCATAAACGAAGCCGCTTGGCTGCAGAGTGCAGATTCCCGATCTGTTCAGGTTGGACCTGGACCAGCGCCAAATCCCTCAGAGGATGAGGTGGTGATCAAGGTTGCCTATGCAGCTGTCAACCCCGTGGATTGGAAGGTAAGATAGACAAGATTACACACGAGCTTGGAACACGAGCTCATAAATCTCTATTTGAAGATACAAGACGCACCAGGTGGCCTAATTGAATACCCCTTTATCCTCGGCACCGATGTTGCGGGCTCTGTGGTGCAAGTAGGTTCAAAGGTAACCCAGTTCGAAGTCGGTCAGAGGGTAATAAGGTAAACAGCACAGAAGTATCAAAACATTGCGTGCAAAGGAGATAGCTAAATGTTCCTTTCAGTCACTGCGACGGGCTACTCACTAAAAAAGCGACGAATATGGGATTCCAGCTATACAGCACCTGCAACGTGCACCTGGTATCCCATGTCCCGGACTCCTTGCCCTTACTAAATGCCGCTGTTCTCCCAATCTCAGTTGATACTGCCGCGACAGCACTCTATGTTCAACTAGATCTGCCGTTACCTTCGCTTGCACCTTCGGCAACTGGAAAGAAGATTCTCCTTTGGGGAGGTGCCTCCTCGGTTGGCAGTTCCGCTATACAGCTTGCTGTTGCATCTGGTCTCGAGGTCGTGACTACAGCCAGCAGTGCAAACCATGAGTATGTGAAAAGCCTCGGCGCTTCCTATGCCTTCGATTACAAGGACTCTAGCGCGGTTGATCAGATTATCAGCCTTCTGAAACCGGGTGATTATATTGTCGATTGTATCGCCTCAAAGGAAACACAAACTACGTGTGGCGACATTCTTCAGAAAATCGGCGGAGGCAAACTTCCGGTCGTCAATTACCCGGGGGTAACGTTCCCCGACAATGTGACGCCTGCTATGGGTAGGTGATAGTACCGCTGCAGTGATGGGTCTTTCTAACAAGCTTACAGTCATCTGTCTGGACCCTGGCTTTTCTGCTGCGCATGTGGGTGATGCCATTTGGCACAATTTTATGCCTTCGGCACTTGCTGCTGGCAAATTTCAAGCAAAGCCGGATCCTCGGCTGATTCAGGGTGGATTGAGTAAGGTCCAGGAGGGTATTGACCTTATGCGAGAGGGTGTTTCAGCCAAGAAGCTTGTCATTGAGATTTCTACTGAGTGATAGGTTGCAAGGACTTGAGGAAGACAAAGAAGACAAAGAAGAGGAAGAGGAGGATAGAAGGTAAAGGCTAAATTGTGCAGGAAAGGCACTAGTTCTACAATCGATATTTGTTTCTTATTATCTCATATCTTGTCCCAATTGACAGCCCTTCAGGTCTGCCCTAAAGTCTGGGTATACACTCCCTGTCTATATCTGATACCTCGTCCCGACCCCCGTATCCTCTATCATTACAACAAATTTGAGTTATTTAAGTCTCCTATGACTTGAAAGGAAGACCAGCTCCCAAACAACCATCCGCTTGCTCAAAGTACCAATGATGAGCAGGGATATCCGAAATCAACAGAGCACCAGTTCCAGTGTTACCATTCAAGTTGACCGTACCCTCAAGCTTCTGAACATCACTAGTTGTGACCGTAACATTGTCACCCGAGGTGATCCAATATTCAGGGCTAACGTGAACATACCCCATAGCAAGCAGAGGGAGCTTGGGAACAGGGTCATTGGTATGAGTGAAGCGGTAGTTGTTGCCCTGAGCGGTAATGTAGTCGGCCAATGCAGGGTTGGCGACACGGGGCGAAGCAAACGCGTACATCTTGGTCGAAGGATGTCCCATCCCGCGAAGGTCAGCGGCCGCAAGGGTAGCAATACCGGCGCCGAGGCTATGGCCTACGACGACCAGTTCGTACTCGGGGTTAGAGGCAACGGTTTCGGTGAGGACCTTGGAAATAGGGTCCTTGACAAACGCCCAGGAGTTCCAAAAGCCCATTTCCGCTTCACAGCCATCACAGAGGCCAGGGTCAGTGTAAGGGAAGTCGACGTCGGCAAGCCAGTTGCGAATGGAGTAGGAGCCGCGGAAGGATAGGACAATTGCCTTGTTGGTATCGTCCAATGCTACGTATCCAGCCGTATCGGTGAGGGTAGTGCTGTATGCGATTAGTATCCACGGTTTTGCCGCTGTGGATGGTAGCCCGGCTTACTTGGAAAAGTCGTATACAATTGTGGCGCCTGCAGCCTCGACATCGGGACAGTTGCCAGCAGAGCAGGCTAGCTTAAAGCCGGCCTTTGCGGTGTAACTATCATGGCAGTAGGCAGCAGCAGCATACTGAACCCAAAATTTGAACTCCGACAACTCATCGGCAGCAATATCTATAGTAGAGTGAGTACGAGATCAATAAAAGTACATGGAGAATAGTTCACCTCGCGTCTGCAGCTTGTTCGGCAGTGCGTGGCCCAAGGCCGAAAGTGCAGAAAGAACTGACAAGATTGAGAAGCGCATGATATCTCAGTGACCGATTGAATTGGGGAATGAGCAGGCTGTGAGGTGCAGACACTACTTCATATGGACGATACTCTACAGATACTTATACCCCAAATTCTATACCCCAACGGTGATGACCTGGTTCCTGGATCCGTTTCTCACTGTCCCACTTGAAAATCATGGACAGCATCATCATGGGGTCTATGGAATGTACGTGCGATTGGGCAAGGCCATAATGATCGGCATGTAGATTTACTCTTCGCAGGGTTTACCTCGGGGCGATGGTGTTTTTGCGCTAAGCGCCTGATGAATGCAGATCGGGTCCGCTTTTTCTCATTGTGAATGCCGATTCCGATTGATTAATGTCAATGGTTCCCGCTTGGCGATTGACAAGATCCATGGCTAACGCCGGAACCCCACGGGCATCTTACTGCTTCCGGCGGAGTGTCCCCGGAAGGATTTGAGACAACGTTGATCGTGTCAACCACGTGAGACAAACTTCTGTTATGTTTTCTTTCATGTGAGTATGATGTGAGATTGAAGGGAAAGTAGCAGGACAATCTCGGTCTGTGTGATGGGTAAACGTGGTGGCATCCCGCCACCAAACTCAATCATGCAGGAACTACTCATCTTGTGCCAATCCGAAGCCGTTTGAACCTTTTTCACCCTAACCTTAGTTACAGACCATATTAATTGTATGTTCCTCATTCCTATGCTCAAGCTGAAGTTCTCGGCAAAAGCAGTCCCGGAAAGCCACTGATCTCATCATGTTGGACCCACTCAATCACAAGCGCATCCGAGGCTCAGCAATGGGAATGTGGTGTGTCCCAAATTTCTCTTTATCCTTGGCTTTCACTTGAGCCTCCAGGGGCAAGGGTCTGACATACCCCATGAATCTAGGTAGCGGTAAATCAAGCGCCCAAAAGTCTGGGGGGACAGATTCATTCATGATTGTCTCAACGAGATCGGCGTTGCTTTGAATTCGCCTGTCTACTACCATGAAGAGAAACACGTCATGTGAGCGTAGAAGCCCGAAGTCACACGTCGCACAAAGTGGCCTTCGCTGTGGGCGTCCCTGTTGGATCTTTGTGTGAACTAACAAGAGTACATAGGCGCGGAGCACTTTCACTAACTATACAGTATAAACACGCTTTTAAAACCGTGGTATGTACTAATGGTGTTATAGTAATATTCTCGAGTACGTACCCAGATATTTACATGGTCACATTACCCAGTAGACTATCCTGGAATGTGAAGGTGATTAACGAGTGATAGCCACCGAGCCAGCGCTTTCTCGTACAAAAATTCAAATTATTGTTCAATTAAAAGGCTCCATGTTTAAGAATTATGCTCAGAGGTAAAGTAAGCAAAGAGGTATGGAATATGGGGCCAATGTATCGTCGTATTTATCGAACAAAGGTTCCTTGGCACCTGGCAGTGCTGCCGCATATTGCCCTTCTCTGAAAGGCACCAAAGTCATTGCTTTTGAACAAATGGAGCTCGATAGACGATGACATATTATCAGGAGTATTCGGAGCAGTACACGCACTGTTATTCAAATTTTATCCTGCACTTTTGGGCATTGTCAAACTGCATACGCAATCCACTAGCATATACTAATTGCCAGGCTTGTGAAAGTGTCACAGAAGAGACATGATACGAATGGGAGATAGTGGAAGTGTCACAGATACAACATGGAAATCCTATCGCCACAAATGCGTAATGCAGCCGAACTATGCAGGGATTCACCGCAGATTTAGGGGCCAGAGATTGTAGTATGTGGGATATCTACCAAATGTCTCAAGGAGTTTAGCTCAGGGCAGACCATATCGCAGACATGCAGATCATGTCTTGCCAGCAAAATTGATAATGATAGACATTACACCTTCATATCAAGGAATCGACTGTTCAAACGAAGATGATCTCATTACATCAAGCATCCATCTTTGATACTTGAGTGTAATTCACTCAAACCCACCCGCACGCGGCGATAACCTGCTCGGTTGGCCGCGCCCCGAGGACCCGGAGAGTTATCTTTTGCACTAGGAGATCCCAGGCGAGCACCGCTCATAGTCGGTGTGCTAACCCGGGTTGCAGGTGCAGAGGTACGTTCAAGTGCAAACACCTCTACCATCCATTCATACCAAACTTTGCGGTTATCAGTCTGGCGGTACATGGTGACAACGATCTCACCGTTATCAGGGACGTTCAGGGGAGTCTAGGTAGCAAGGCATTAGCATTTGTGTTCGGAGGGAAGCAAATTTCTCTGAGGTCCGAAGGAAGAGACACGAGAAAAAGCATAATATGATCTTACCTTCAACGGGAAATAGATAGGGAACCAGCTGATCATGCTGGCACTCTTCTCTTCCATGGTCACTGGGTTAGTTGAGAGCTCAACATCCCCGTACAGAACTGTCTCAAAGTACCCAGCCAGGCCGTGGCACGTGCCGCGGTTCTGAGCAGGGAAAGACAGGCGAGTTTGACGAACGTTGTGCGCATTCGAAATAGTGGATTGAGACAAGGATTGGACAGGGATGTTTGGGTTTGGATGAGAGAAAGACCATGCCGTTTTGACCAAGGGGGTTGGGAATTCTGTCGCCGCTGTGATATTTCCCGAGCCAGAAGAACGGTTGGCGGCATTTTGATTCGCAGAGTCGGCATTCACTGGTGACTCGGTCGTCGACAAAAAGTCAATGGCGTGAAGCATGACTACATAAGGTGTCTCTGGAGCTGCCGGGTTGGAAATCGTCTGGTTCATCACATCCGAGTGCAACTTTGGGGCCGAGACCGGAGTGAAGTGAGCCGAGTATGAGGCAGGAATGGAGATACCATGGTCTGGGTTGATGAGATCGTTGACACCATCCAAGCACTCGGGCGACAGCTCATTGTCGGCAAATGAGCCAAGAAGCTCCGACACCACAATATCGACGTGGGTATACGAAAGCTCGGAAGTCTTAGAGCCAGAGAAGTCAGTTTTCCGGCCAGAGTCATTATCACCAATCTTCGGTGTGTATAGAAGGGAGTCTTGGATCCCGAGAGATGCTCCTACATTTTCCTTATCTTCCACAACAGTCTGCTTTCGTACCTGAGGTCCCTTCCAGCTACGCATGTCTGACTGGACAAGCGTAACTTTGCCATCCCAAATGGTTTCGTTGTGTCGCTGCAAGAGAACAAATGCGTTCTGATTCTTTTCGACTACCCACAGGTCGATCTCCACTCCTGCTTCGGCACTGGCCTTAATTGCCCTTGTCACCAAAGGTCCGCGGCCAGCGCCCACAACCGCCAGAATCACTTTGCCATCCGGGTGGGAAGTGGGCTTCTTCTGTTCTGCCCAATCTTTCAAAGCCTTACAAATAGCTTTCTCGTACCACTCGTACTTGATTGGATCTTTTTCAAATACCTCGTAGGTGATACTTTCCAAGTTGACTGTTAGGGGTTGCAGGGGCGCTTGGAGGTAATCCTGATAGCCGGTACCGAATCTTTCAATCGGGGTTCGCGGCGGCTGTCGCTGCTGCAAGTTCCTTAAGTAGGAGAGATGAGGTGTGGGGTCAAAATGCTTCTTGTTGCTACCGGCAACCTGTGACAGACTGGGGTAGTCCTGACCGGATAACGGGCTTGTCTCAGTATCATCACCGGTTTCAAGGCCTGGAATTGAACCGACGCCGCATAAGAGGATCCATGGGGGTGTTCGAAGACGCATAAGCTTGGCTATCAGGGCTTGATGGGCCTTCGACAGGACGGGGTATGATTTTTGGTTCTTGAGGAAGGCTGAGGCGTCAATGGTGAGCAAATGAACCGGCTCAGAATGCCAACGCGATTGGACAAAAAGAGGTGGGAGTTGTTTTGGCATTGAAAGAGCTGTTTTTCAAGTAAGATAGTGGTCTAGAATTTCTGAAGGAGCAGCGTAACCCACCAACGAACAGCCTGGCATGGAATTTACATGTCTTTCGGATCAGATCCCATGCATCCCAGGTTCCGAATAGATCCAACTTTGGAAGAGCCCCATCATCAGGCTGTAGGAAATCCTCTCGGGCCAATGGGGCCAGGTCACCCATGGTATCAAGCTCAAGCTCGGGGTTGTCTACCATGGGAAGCCAAATATGGAATTGAATATAAGATCCCAAGTTCAAAGCATCCTGAATCGCACGGGCATAGTATACTACTCCTTCAGAGTGCAAGCTGCCATGGTGGAGCTTAGGGCCAGGGATCAGGAGATATCCAATGCCACAGAATGCAGCATAAGCCACTTCCAGCAGGAGCACCTGACGGGACAAGTCTGCAATCAATGGATCAGGTGAGCAAAGATCAATCCAGCTGCTGGTAACTCCAACAAGCTGACTTGTCGCGTCATTGGGCGTTAGATGCGAGTCCAACTTGGAAAGCGGTGGGACTGTCAGAGGTCTCGTATTCTGCGTAGTTTCCATAGTTCCAATAGAATCATAAGTAGGAGACGGAAGATTGGAAAGGTATGAAGAAAGTAATCCTAGAACCCTAGTGTGGAAATGCTGTGTCGTAATCGGAACGGTCATCATATCATACTAGTATCTCAATCAGCTTCAGTGAGACAGAAAAGCGTCCAATTCAAGGATAGACTGACATTGCTTTCGTGTACCCTCTGGATCACCTGAGGAGTAACGGCAATGAATCGATCTGCCTCATGATGGCCGATACAAAAGCTTGGTCCTGCATCCTCGGAAGCGCTGTAGCCCTCCATGTTGACAGCGGGAACTTTTTTCTGGTGGCTGTAATAAAGAGAACCAGGACCAGGTTCAAGAACCGTGGGATAAAATATGTCCAAGTTGAAACGGAATCCCAGAAGCTCAAGGAGTCGGCTTGAACAGTCGCTGACAAGGACAGTTCTACCAGGTTTCAAGGGAGGAAACACCAAACTAAGCTCTGCAAGTAATCGATCGATCCCTTTGGCCCTTTGTGGGGAGCGGCAGAATACCCCAGGCGGTGAGCCCGATAGGAGAGATCGGCGCTCAACCTTCCTATCTGAGTTTTTTTATCGGTCGCCCGAGTTTGCACTCTTCAACTCTCACATTCACTCATTATACACCATGGCTGATCGTCGCTCAGACTCGGAAGACGGCGCGCGGGCTAAGCGTCAAAAGATGGAGGGCGGAGACCCCAAAGACAATCCCTACCTGGCCCACATGTACGAGGATACTAATGGCGCGGAGAAGAATTCGGCCCTGGCTAAGTTCAAGCGCCACCAGACAACTGCTGGTATGGCCAAGAAAGCAGAGGATGGTGACACCAACCCTTTCAGCGGTCAGCCATTCTCTAGCAAATACTTCTCGATCTTGAAGACTCGGCGCGATCTGCCTGTGCACCAGCAGCGGTGAGTAAAACACTCGAAGTGACCCCCAGTAAACCCATAATCTGACTATCGCCTCTAGTGATGAGTTCTTGCAGCTGTACCAGCAATCCCAGATTCTCGTCTTCGTTGGTGAGACTGGTTCCGGAAAGACCACACAGATCCCCCAATTCGTCCTCTACGATGACCTTCCCCAGACCCAGCGCAAGATGGTTGCGTGTACACAGCCCCGTCGTGTGGCCGCCATGTCTGTCGCCCAGCGTGTCGCAGCTGAGATGGACGTCAAACTTGGTGAGGAGGTTGGATACTCTATTCGTTTCGAAGATATGACCAGCCCGAAGACCATCATGAAGTACATGACCGACGGTATGCTTCTGCGTGAGGCTATGAACGATCACAACCTGTCGCGGTACAGCACAATTATTCTTGACGAGGCTCACGAGAGAACCATGGCCACCGATATCCTGATGGGTCTCCTGAAGGAGGTGGTGGGACGTCGGCCAGACCTGAAGATTATTATCATGTCTGCCACTCTGGATGCACAGAAATTCCAGCGTTATTTCATGGATGCGCCTTTGCTAGCCGTTCCGGGACGTACCCACCCCGTCGAAGTCTTTTACACCCCCGAGCCGGAGCAAGATTACGTCGAAGCAGCTATCCGGACAGTTTTGCAGATCCATGCTACCGAGGACGAGGGAGATATTCTCGTGTTCTTGACTGGTGAGGAGGAGATTGAAGATGCTGCTCGCAAAATCGCTCTCGAGGCCGATGAGATGGTTCGAGAGGCCGACGCTGGTCCGCTCAAGACATACCCGCTGTACGGTAGCTTGCCTCCCCACATGCAGCAGCGTATCTTCGATCCTGCTCCCCCTCCTCGACGCCCTGGGGGCCGCCCTGGCCGGAAGGTTATCATTTCGACCAACATTGCGGAAACATCCTTGACCATTGATGGTATCGTGTACGTGGTCGACCCTGGTTTCTCCAAGCAGAAGATCTACAACCCCCGTATCCGTGTCGAGTCTCTATTGGTTTCCCCGATCTCCAAGGCATCTGCGCAACAGAGAGCCGGTCGTGCTGGTCGTACACGCCCCGGAAAATGTTTCCGTCTCTACACCGAGGATGCTTTCAAGAAAGAGTTGATTGAGTCGACTTATCCTGAAATTCTTCGATCGAACTTGTCGTCCACTGTTCTGGAGTTGAAGAAGCTTGGAATTGACGATCTTGTCCACTTCGATCTGATGGACCCACCTGCCCCGGAGACCCTGATGAGAGCACTTGAGGAGCTTAACTACCTTGCCTGTCTAGATGATGAAGGTGATCTGACTCAGCTTGGTCGCCTAGCTTCTGAGTTCCCGCTTGATCCTGCGCTTGCCGTCATGTTGATTAGCTCCCCGGAGTTCTACTGCTCCAACGAGATGCTGTCCATCGTATCCCTGCTTTCCGTACCTCAGGTGTTCGTCCGTCCTGCTTCTCAGCGCAAGCGCGCTGATGAAATGAAGGACCTCTTCGCCCATCCCGATGGCGACCATCTGACTATGCTGAACGTTTACCACGCATTCAAGGGCTCCGAGGCGCAAGCAAATGTTAAGCAATGGTGTCACGATCATTTCCTCTCTCTGCGGTCACTTCAATCTGCCGACAATGTCCGCAAGCAACTTCTCCGCATTATGGAGCGTGAAGAGCTTGAGATGGTCTCCACTCCATTCGATGACAAGAAGTACTACGAGAATATTCGCCGTGCCCTCTGTGCCGGATTTTTCATGCAGGTTGCCAAGAAGGAGCCCCAGGGCAAGAACGTCTACTCAACCATCAAGGACAACCAAAATGTTCTTCTGCACCCGTCTACTGTATTGGCTCACGATGCGGAATGGGTTTTGTACCACGAATTCGTTTTGACAACCAAGAATTACATTCGTACCGTGACTGCTGTCAAGCCTGAGTGGCTCTTGGTATGTTTTACTTCCTATCTATTAAAGGCACTGTACAACTGCTAACCAAAACACAGGACATTGCGCCCACATACTACGATATCGATTCCTTCCCCAAGGGCGAGCTTCGCTCTGCCCTCATGCGTGCTGCCGACCGGCTCTCTCGCAAGGAGAAGATGCGTACCGAAAAGCGCCGTTAAGCCACCACGGCTTGGTTGGGTTTTCAGCGATGACATGTTTCCTAGATTCCCTTTTTTGCAATTCCATGATGAACAAAGTCAGATATAAAATAGATTTACTTTTTCGTACGCTCTTTTTCAAGTCTCCCTTGGTTATTACGTTCTATTAGGTGCCCTTGTACAGAAGTAGACCCTCTCTTGGGGAGGATCCTCGGATGGAGTCATATTACAATGGTGGTAAAAGAACAGTGGAAGCTCTTGCAAGGTCATAAACCTGCAGGTGTAAGTGAACGTATGAACGATATCGGTGTATGTTTCCAACCCCTCTTGCTCAGATGGCAGCCTTGGAAGTTTTAACCTTATTCAAGTGCTGGCCTGCATATTCACTCTCCAGTCCAGCTGTTCAATATGCCTATCTACAGCCTTGACCTTCTCTGGGGCGGATGATAACCCAGAGACCACCTCGTATGACTTAATTGGAAGAAGTAACCAGTAAGACTACTATAGGAATAGAACACGGGAAATTGATGAGTTTAGAAATACATCCCTCCTGTTGGTATTGAACACGCTCTGCCCAGGGAAGCGGGCTAACTATATCGTAATGTACAAAAATTGGAAAGCCGAAATGCCTTAAAGCAACATTTTAAGCTGTTACTTGGCTTGCTGTACGGCGAGGGGTGAAAAGATCCCTATCTTCCACGGACCGTTTCTGTGATTTCTTTGGTCGGCCTGCTTTGGAGGCAACTTTGTGGAATTCGACGCTGCTGGGCATGGGAGAAGGGCCCTGGGTTTCGGAAGCCGGGGATGGGGCATATGAAAGGGTATCGGATTGTTGTGAAGTATGCTCTTCATATGTGAAATCGGAGGGAGCGTAAGAGCTGTCTGTTCTGAATGAAGCTTCGATATGATGTTTTCGGAGCTCAAACACGAGCTCACGAAGTTGAGCGACTTCGTCTTTCAATTGAGCAACTTCAGACTGTGAACTTGATGACATAGCATCGCTCTTGGGTTTGATGTCCTTTAATGTTGATGGATCACCGCTAAGACTGGCCATCATGGCATTCTGCGCATGGGAAGCAGCGTGGCTGACAAGCTTTTGAGTCCTTGTGTCATCATGTGATGTTTCCAGACTGTTCAAGTAATTACCGAAGGTGTATGCAAATTCGGAACACTTCTGCCACAAAGGACGACCGGCGTTCTCCTTGGGCGCTGATTGAGCAGCCTGGGCCCATCGCACAAAGTTGGGGTCAATAATAGGATCAACATCTTCTTGTATTGACGGTATGCAAGAATCAAATCCACTGTCCATAGCAGCAGATATCAGAGCTTGCGAAACGTCTTTTCGACCACAAGAATCACAGAGATGAGCCATGAGCACAACAAGGCGCTCAACATGGTGTTTTTCAAGGCCGGTCGATGAAACTAGGTAGGTGACAGCTCGTTTGAGAGCCGCGGAGCCTTTCTCCCAGTCTTGTCTGATGCTGTAGAATTTGATATAACAAAACAATGTGTTGAAGTTGTCAAAGAAGCCAACACGCCGCGCAGCTTGGAGCCAAGCATCTGCTCGATCCGGCTGATTGAATCGCAATGCACAAGTAATCAGCTCTGAATATATGAGAACGCTATTGCTGTCCATTGGCGGGACGACCACGTCCAGTCCATTGATCTTTCGGTGGGTATAGGGCGCCAGTGCACCCAGGTTTGCCGACCAACCTTCTCCAGTGAGCATGCGGAGGAAAAGGTCAAAATCTTTGAGATTTTTCGACTTGCGGAAGAAAACCATGATCGTTGTTATGAGGGATGTGCTCAAATAGAATCGATGTGGTAAGATTGTTCGTAGCAGCAGTTCGGTCAGATCATTCTGGCGAGCTTGGCTGAAGGCAACGATTATACTCCTGAATGCATTTGTCCGGTCCGGGTCCACTGAGTTGAGGAGATTCTCGGAAGTTCGCAAGAGAGCTTCATCTAAGGACATCTGCCGACTCGTGAATAGTCGGAGATCTTGCTGGAGCTCCGCGTCAAGGATTTTACATTTTTCTTGGACTCTTTGTGGACTCAATGTGGTGAGCTCATGAACCAGGTCTGCATATTGTGAGGTTTCGGATGTCCGAAGTTCAGTAATCCGACGTCGAAGCTTGTTGAGCTCTTCCAGTAGACTTGGCACGTTGATTTGGGGAACATCGAAATCTCGAGTGTAGTTCACTGGAAGTCCAGAATAACGATGGGCGATAGTCGGTCGGAGCAACATTCGAATTGCCAATTGTCTGAGGGCCAACTTTTGGATGGCTTTGATTCGCATGGGATCTTGAAGGACCCAACTCGGGAAGAACGTATGCCTTGCTTCCATATCTTCTATATCTACCAGGCAATCATCATCATATGTGATTTCCTCCTCTGCTTCATAGTTCTCCGCTATCTCTGCACTAGCAGCATTGATCAGCCGGCGATCGGTGTGGAAGGACCTTGTTGGCTGGCTTGACATGGTTCGTCGCTGTGTCATCGGAGGTAAGTTCGAAGTGATTCCTGAACGCCCATTGTACAGCAGTCGATAAATTCCACGTGAATTTCTCCTTGATTGTAATGACTTCATCAAACGTTGCTCTTCATCCACCAATTCGTTCACTTCCGCCTTAACGGCCGCGATCTTCTCTTCCCAGTCATTTCGACGTTGAGTTTTGGCCTTAGCATCGGCTAGAGCGGCAACAGCGAAGATGCTCGTGTATAATGCGGTGACGGAATTGCCTATTCGGAGGCGTCGTTTACTGGCAGCGGTGGTTGATCGCGAGGTAACGCCAGTAGCAGTCGTGCTCAAACACGAGACACAGCGACAGGTCGACTGCGAGGGAGCAGCTCGGGACCATAAACCCTGCATTGTCAACGCATTGCTGTCAATGACCAGAAGTTGAAGCAAGGAATAACCACAATTGGACTCCGTGGGGAGTCCGGTAAAGAAACGGATGTGACAGGAACAAACATGCCATGCGGGAGAATGAAATTATCCCGACTACCGCAAAACTGCCGGTGCAAACACTGCAAACATCCCGGACCCGCATGCATCTCCTGTCGCTGTACGGCCATCGCGATACTCCGCGTTCTTTCTTTTACTGCATATCTACTTAATATCATGGTTAACCGTTTAATTTGCCTTGTTGCTGGGGTGATCGCTCTGGGAAGCGGCCTCGCAAATGCCCATGGCTCGCATTCGAGCGACGATCAACCTCAGTCCGATGACTGGGCCACGAGACACATGATGGGTTAGTTGGCCTGATGAACTCAATCGCGCGATTACAACCACTAACGCTCTTTCCAGAGGAACATCATATTGAAGGCTTCGATGCCCCCTCATTTTTCACGATGCACGATTACGACTCATCCGGCGTATGGACTACCGACGAAGTACGCCAGACGTATGGTATGGACGACGAATCCAATGACGGCGTGGGCGAGTCTCGCAAGACCGAAGCTATCCGTCAAGTCTTCGAACTGTTTGATCGGGACAACACAGGCTTCATTTCGAGAGATGCCTGGTTAAAGGCAGTTGCCGATGGTGTTCGGCTACCCGACCTCGGCTTCGGACCTGGGCACCATGGCGATCTCGAGTACGAGTATGAGATTCACCACTTCGAGAAATTCCACGGCGAGGACGCTACTGAGGAGGAGTTGACCCATCCGGAGGATATTGAGCATTTCCGCCTGCATGATGAGCTGGAGGATGCTCAAATGCGCCTCGATCAGCTGGAACAAATGCAGGTTGTTGTGGGTAACATCCCCGCGAAATTCCGTCGTAATTAGACTGGATTTAGTCACCTTGTACATATTCACGAACATATTGAGGTTTTTTGGGCCTGTACATCTTCTCCTGGGGGACTATGTTAAGACTAAATCCAACCATTAGGGCCTACGGAGGTGTAGGACAGCACATGCAGTAGTTACGCAAGGAGCTCTCTACTCCTTCAGCGTGCACGCACTCCCTCGTGCATGACCTTAATGGGTATAACAGAAGCCGGTAGCTCTATTTATCTAGAAGTTACCAACTGGCGATCCTGGGGGAGGGGGTCTTGCAGTTGTTATGCAAGTGCTGAGACGGTCCTATGTTCTCGTGGGCCAATGGGTCGATTCTGAAAACGAAATGTGATCTTAGGAACCCTCATTCTCTCCTCTCAAAGGTACCATATACGCATTGTTTTTCTTCTCTTTCTCTACCTTCTTCCGTCAGCTCCCATCTCTTCCGAGCTTTGACGTCCAATCTTGAATCCTTCTTTGAATGTTCCTTTTCCTTCTTCCACTTTAAACTTCAAGACTCCATCCATGCATAGACTATGCATCTATAAAATCAACAGTCTTTGTCTTTACGTCAATTCATGCCCATTGTCATCTTTGAAACACTTGTTATCGACCTGATTATGATGATCTTTGTCAGAACTAAATTCTGTCTCGTTGTGCCATGGACGCATAAAGCCACAGGTTTACAACGTTGGCATGCGGTGAAGAAGCACCAGTTTTACAAGGCAATAGGCCTGAAGTGGATTGGATGACAGTCTCACTGGTCGAAAAGAAATGCAGAAAGCAGGGGGGGGAAAGAAAAGAAAAAGAGTAAGGCTGAGCTAGGTATATAGAGGATACTTACTCAATTATTGATATAGTTCAAGTTTAACATCCATGTGTAGGTTTGTTGCTTTTGCCGTTTACTTCCCTGCCTATATTGGCTGTCTACTCATGTTCTCTTGAGTGATTTGATTGTTTCCCAGCTTAGAGGTGCTGGGCTCTTTCGGCATATATGTTAACAAATGCTAAGTGATGACTGTCATATTGCGAAGGGAAGTTTGCATTCATCTACCCCTGGCCATGAAACGACAGCAGATAGATGGGAAGAACGATCAATTACCCGGCCGACTTCACATGTGTCAACTTAATATGCAGACTAGCAAAAAAAGTGACAATCCCCTTCCAAAAAGATGTTGATCCCCCAATGAGACATTAGTTTTTCAATCAACCTCGTCCAAGTCATAACGTGAGGGCAGAGGGGAAGTACTGAGGAGGGATCTGAAAAGAGGGTGATCTTCAAGGAACATTCGTCCAGGATCCCTTGATTTTCGTTGGTCAGGAATAGAGGTAATGCGTTCTTTGCTAGCGAGAGTAGCAGGATGCTCTGGTCCTAAAGCTCTCTCTCTGCCTTCTAGAGCTCGGCGGTGCATGGCTTCGGCCTCTTCGTACTTGCCCTGTCCTTCGAGCACAAAAGCAACATTGCTAACACTAGTAAGAGTTTCAAGATGCTCTAGTCCTAGAGTTTTCTCTCTACCTTCTAGAGCTCGCCTATGCAAATGTTCTGCCTCATCGTACTGGCCCTTGTGTGCAAGCACGGACCCAAGACTAGTAACACTAGCGAGAGTGTGGGGATGCTCTGGTCCTAGAGCTTCTTCTCTACCTTCTAGAGCTCGCCGGTGCATAGGTTCGGCCTCATCGTACTGGCCCTGATGTGCAAGCACTAAACCAAGATTGGTAACACTAGTGAGAGTAAGGGGATGCTTTAGTCCTAGAGTTTTCTCAAACACGTCTAGAGCTCGCTGGTGCATAATTTTAGACTCTTCGTGCTGGCCCTGTCGCTCAAGCACAAAAGCGAGATGGCTAACACTAGTGAGAGTGTAGGGATGCTCTGGTCCTAGAGCTTTCTCATAGCCTTTTAAGGCTCGCCGGTGCATAAGTTCAGCCTCTTCATATTGGCCTTGATGTGCAAAAACGGACCCAAGATTGTTAACACAAGTGAGAGTTTGAGGATGCTCTGGTCCTAGAGCTTTTTCTCTGCCTTCTAGAGCTCGGCGGTGCATGACTTCGGCCTCTTCATACTGGCCTTTCTGTTCAAGCACGGACCCAAAACGGCTAACACTGGACAGAGTGTTGGGATGTTGTGGCCCTAGATCCCCTTCACGGACTTTCAGGCAATCAGCGAGTATAGTTTTGGCCTCGTCATATCTTCCATCACTCTGCAGGGACAATCCTACTCTCGATGACAATCCAACGTATTCATACTGGATAGTATGAAACTCTTCACTATTCATCAGATAGAGTGCATGTGGTAGGTAATCCCTCCATAGCCTCTGGTTGTTGTGGTCATCACTAGGGAAGATATCATCTAGTTGTTGAGTTGCCCTGCGTACCCAGTAATCAAAAACCCCATTCCTCCTCATCCAATTCCGCGTGGCGAGATGCACAAGCCGATGAAGGCTGAATGAACTTCCACCGGCGTGTTTACCAATGAAGGAATACGCGTTCAAAAGACCCAGTGCATCAGTCCTCTCTTTTGCCGAAGTTATGGGTGGAAGAATAGACGGCGGGATATCTCGTGGGTTAATGCAGGCTATGAATGACAGATAGTCCGCCGCCAATGAATCTAATTCCTGAATCTGCTGGAAAGAGATCAACCAAGTAGTAAGCACAGGGTTCTGGGTCTCGGCGTATCGTCCGTCATCTTCAAATTCCTCACTCAATAGCTTGGCCGCGTCTGTCTCTCGGTCTTTCAACAGTGACAAATAATCAGATAGCACGATCTCTCTTTCATTTATATAGGCTGCAGCTTGGTTTATTGCGAGCGGTAGAAATCCAAGCTGCTCAAGGAGAGCAGTAGTCGTAAATTTGTCATGCAGCAGACCCTTTTGGATGAGTGAATTTTCCAGAATCTTCATGGCAGTGGTTTCATCGACATCGGGAATAGATAAAACATCGGGCGATGACAATCTCACAGCTAGCTTCATATTTCGAGAAGTAAAGAGAATATGACCATTCTCACTGCGAGGGAGAACATTTTTGAGTGGTGGCGCAGTCACGCTCCCCTTGGTCCACATTTCCATATTGTCTGCGTTGTCAAAAATCAGAAGCCACTTTCCGGCGCTGTCTTGACTCAGATGAGCTCGGACTTGTTCTTCTATCTTCGCTGGCTCTATTTCCGGAATGCCTAGGGCCTCGGCAATCTTTACGTAGGCCTGTTGCACAGTCTCGTAGCTGGTACATTGAATCCAAAAGATAGAGCATTCAGGAACCTTTTCTCGCGTGCGGTAAGCCAGCTCTAGGGCGATTTGTGTTTTCCCAATCCCTCCTAGTCCATAGATGGTAACCTTAGCTGGGCCTGCTGTGTTCGAAAGTGAACGTTCAAGGTATTCGATCTCCTGTTGACGGCTAACAAATCGACGATTTCGAGCGAAAGGTACCATCCAGTGGCGCGCATCTTTTGCTTTACTGCTCTGCCTATTGCTGTATTGGGGGGCTACTCTTAGAAGAGCTCTAGTATAAGCAGCGGCTGTAAGGGCGGCGTATCCCTGCCATTGTTTGTGCTTATGCGAGTCGCAATAGTCGCATATTCCTCTGATGACCAAACATGGCAACTGATCCATCAGTCCGGCTGCTTCCATTTCAAAACAGAGGATATTCAGGTCTCGGGCAATAGTATCTCGTGTTGTAGCACTTTTCATGACTTGGTTCCCAGACGCAATCAGACCGTAATGAATCGCGGGCTCTTTAGAATCTCGTGTGGTGCGTGCAACTCGTTGATCAGGCTCACATTTCGTGCAGTCGGCATTCTCGCCTTGATGGTCATAATTCGCTTGAAACAGCCAATCTTTTTCTGGGCGTGATAATTGTTTTTGAAGGTTTTCGTTTTTCTGAAGTATGTCTGATGCGATATCTTCAACCACAGTGCTTTCACCCGTGGTATTACTGCGCATTTGAGACATTGCAGTTAGCAAATATTGCGGTGGCTTGTTGAGCGACCCAGTGCGTTGGAAACATCCATCCCGAAGTGTCTTCCCATAGTCATACTGGACCACGCCCCCAGAGGTCGCAGTTGGCATGCTGATAACCACATCGCCTAGGCGGATATCTGCATCTTTGCTCGGTACACCGCCTCCGATGCCCACCATCAACCCAAATCGAAGAGACGGAAATGTCGGAAGCATGTGAGCAAGCACGATTGCTGCAGAGGTGGTTCCGTAAACGCCTGACGGTAGGCAGGCTACCACTATATTGTGTCCACCGATACTACCAAATGTGTAGGCGTTGTGGTCGGATTTGGGCTGGGAAAGTGGACTGTGGAGCTCGTCCAGCATTGTTTTGGCCGCTGTCATTTCCAGTGGCAAGGCGCAGATCCACGCGACTGTATAGTCGCCATGTGAGACCACCATTGTAGCTGTCGTCGGCGACCAGAGAGCTTAAGTCGAAAGTTATTGAACGAGCATGCTTGGAATTAGCTTACGATGCACAGGAGATCCTAAAAGGGCCCAGGTTGAATTGGAGGGACCCACTTCAGCTCCTTGTCTACTCTATACAGCGACGATACGTGAATTGTGGTATCCTAGAGAGTAAGATACTGTATGGTCAATCTCCTACAGGATTATCAATATTCCGAGTCTATCCCCATTGCGGTGTAGTCGTCTTGGCATGGTCAGAGAGACGGTCGAAGAGTTTAGGTGGTGACACCAGTCCTGGAAAGTACTGTGCATTTTGATCTTTTTTACATCGTAGATCTATGGCCGGGGCGCGGATGCATCCTGTAGGAAAGAATTTAAGCAGGGGTCCATTGTTTCGGATCAGTGCGTCAAAGTGCATTAAAGCAAAGCCAAAAACATTTTGAAACGAGGATCAGCACCCCGAGAGGACGGGAAATAAGGAGATGATCACCATTCTGCCGAGCACCGGGCGTATATAAGAATACGATCTACCCATGATTCACTTCACCTTCAGCTAGTACCATGTGGCCAATGCTGATTGCCGAGCATTAACCAGATTGATACAATAGCCGCCATTCATTTGTTTGAACGGGCTTGGAAAATTTCCCGCTGGCCGCCAGCCCTTGGGGCCAAAAAACAATAAATCAACGAATCAGATTGTTTTTTTACTGTTGGTTGCAGATTATTATGGATCCTCCAGAGGGATATGGTTCAATTGTCAACAATTAAGGGTCAATTGAATGACTGTTTAACGTTTGCCTCCATGGACCTGGCCACCACGTGGCTCACTCTCAAACTTGCTTTAGTAGAATTATTTCAGTCCATTGGAAGCCACCAACAGGACTGATTATCACATCATTTGTCTCCTGTACCTCCTATCCGCAGAATTGACTAACTTTGCTACGCAAGCAGGCCTACATTTACCGCCCCATGCAGTAGTCATCAGCCACAGGCGGTTGGGGTCTCCTGGACCAGGGTCTTGAGTTGTGATTGGCTCAATCGGCTACATGGCACAGTTTCAAGATGTGTCTCTATCGAATCGTTCTATCTTTGGGAAAGTAAGTTCCATGTATCCCAATGGAGCTTTTGCACCTGTAATATGGAGTGTACAGGTATCAATTTCGGCTGTTGGTATGACGCAATAGCAGTATAAAAATGGTGTACTAGGTATAGTATCTGGTCACAAAAGGTCCAGATATCAAATTTCAGGCGCAGTAGCCTGGACTATCGTTTAGGCATTTGAATACTATTAAGGTCACTATTAATTTCATTAACTAAATCAATGAAGATGAAAGTTCAAGATGGACCTCGGGAGATTTTGGCAAATCCGTAATCTGATTGTACAAAATAAGCTGGTGATTTGTATATTCCGTGACTAGAAACTGTAACGAACAATAAACAGAAAAACGAATGTGGGGGTATCATAGCATATATATAGTTCATAGGTGGAGGCTAAGATCTTATCATCGGTGCTCATGAGTTACGCTCCTGGCCCGCTCGATTGTATGGCACTTGGTGCGATGCTTGATTTTGAGAAGGCAAGCTTTCTGTCCCCGGCGTCCAAGGGTAAGAAGTGTGTTGTGGGTAGCTCTAAAGGAAAAAGATCAGTCAAGATGATAGTTTTCGTGCTAGGTTCTTAGTCTTACCGAAGTATTTAATGCAGGAAGATTTGGGTCAATATTGTTCCAGAAAGGAGAGCTCACCTGCCCCTGTGCTTGGACAGGTGGTAGAAAGGCCTCTGGACGCAGAACGCTTCGCAAATACTGATCAATGGCGTCCAGTCCAAGAGGTGGTGCGGGTGGTGAAGACTGGGAGCCGAAAAGAGCCATGCTTGAGCCTTGTGAGTAGTTGTAGAGCTGGTTCCCTGAGGTGGGAGAATCCTGCACCCGATTTTGACAGTTGAGGCAATTTGAGCACATCATCAACTGGTCTCCACCGCTTGGTGTTCCTGCATTGACGCTTGCAACTGGTGATTGGTATCCAGTAAGGGCTGGCGATTTAGCAGAGTAGAGCTGCGACTGGCGTGCGCTGACAGTAGACGAAGTAGAGTTGCTTCTCATTGAAGGCGATTTTACTGGCACCTCAGGGTCACTTGAAGATGATTCGACGTTATTCTCAAGAAAGCAGGCAAGAGTCCGATGTTACTTACTGTCGTGCCATGTGTTGTACTAAATAATCTGCACGGTGGAATGCCTTTGTGCAGCCTTCATAGTTGCACGCATGTGTCTTCTTGGAACGATGGCTCAGTTCATGGCGTCGCCGGTGCTCGGCTCGTGTGAAAACCTGAGCTAAGTTAGATCAGACTATTTTGATCGAATTTGCGACTGATAATACCTTTGAGCAACCATCAAACTCGCAAGCATGTACCCGTTTCCCTTTTTTGGCCTTGCTCACTCTGAACTCGCCTGCGGATGAGGAAGGAGATGGAGGGACCGGTCCGTGAGGACTGCCCAAACGGAGCTCCGGGGAGGGATCACCTTCCATCATGGATGGAATACTTCGACTATATTGCGAGTCGAGGTATGGGTTCATAGTAGCAACAAATGGAAGAGGGAACTGGGACATGGTGGACATCTCGGATGATAGTTGTCATCAAAGGACGCGATGGCCGCGTATAAAGCAAGAACAAACCCCGGGAAGCTTGAGGCTATTGTATACACGTAGAAAACCCCGTGGCAGTGAGTCAAAGCGCGGGGCTACAATTTGAAGCTCAAGATTATATGAAATAAGATTGCAGTCACATCTACCACGTCGGCTCCTATATATTCCTTTGGTTCCGTGGATCAATAAAGATCGGCTGATTTACAGGGTATTTTCAAAATGGGTCCGGGCGAAAGAGATAATTATGGAAAATATGAAACGAAATTCTGGAATCAATTCAATTGATCGGCCTCCATCCGCCCCCAATGTCGACCCACCTGGAATTTGTCATGCCCCAACATCATACTGGACTGCTAGTCTGCTAGTGGGTTCTGCTTTGTCTTTAAATAGGCATAGTTGGTCATTTACTCAACTTCTATTGGATGGTGACATGGCATCTCATACATTGCGTGCATTTGATACTATTTGAGGCTCATTGAAATGACGAGGGAATTGGTTTTCTACCTTTCTCCGCAGATACGTGCAGATTACGGGGAAAGTTGGCACCGTTCGGATGGTTTTTTATTCGGAAACTGAGATTGCCACACAGGAGTCTGGCTCAAGAGGATGGCCGGGATTGACATTCTTCTGGAGAGTGAGGCGATTGATGCCCAGCGCTCGCAGACACAACGTGAGCAACTTACCAATGCACGGTTCTCACGATCCAGACTGGTAGGCAGACCACACCAGTCTACTTTGGGCCAAGCCACGGTGTGTTTTGATTGGCTCCTAGGTAAACCCTCCACTCATGGACCTCTTGCGATGTGTTGGGGACCACAGCGGGTCCGAAGTTCGAAGCGGAATTGAGTGTGGATTGAAGGCGACCAGCATACCAAACAAGGAGATGACTGCACACAACGAGAACTTAGCTGCGTGCGCAAGTCATTTTAGCTCACAGATCAACCGGGGATTTCATATGTGGGACAGGGTGTTACACAGTCCCTTCATGCGATTCCATGGTTGATCTGCGACGGCTCGGGTGTCGCGAGAGCACTGGCCATGAACCCACTCGTTCCCCATTACTCGTTTGGTCAAGCTTGACACTAAGAAGAACGCTAAATGAAGTGAATGGGCCACGGAGAATATTTCTGGTGGCTCCCTTGATTTGCATTTTTCTTCAATTTGGCCCCCAAGGGTGGTCATGATGTAACATGAGATTCCGAGATTCCAGAGATTTTTGAAGTGTTACTATTGGTTTGTTCGGATATGCGATGGGTCCTCGTGCATGCGATCAAGGTTCATCCAACGGATGTTACGGATGGTGATAGTGCACGAGGCTGCGTACTACAGACTCACTAAGGCTTCCCTTGGGTCGATTGCCATAGCTGAGTCCCTCTCCACCTGGTTAGCGCAGAACATAAGGATTATATTCCTTTGGCCCTCAGGTCCATAAGGCTTGATCGTGCAGCGCAAGTCAGGCTAGATTCTATTTTTATTAAGAAGTTCTGGAACAAAAATGTCAACTGGAATCTGCATGATGATGTTACCAAAATGACATCTGTAAAAGTATCCAAACATAACATAGGAGTCAACGTCATCTTCACCCTATCTCAGCCGTTCTTTGTTGTGGCGGTCTAGCGACCACACCCAATTCCAAATTCCCAATTTCAACACACTCATAAAAGTAAATTTGTATCAAGACCGGCAGGGAGTACTTTGAGCTTCTTTCGTGAGCCCGTATTAGGTCAGTTGTTATAATTTACCACGGATTGATTTGGTCCTGACGTTTTCATTGGCCCTGGCGGTAGTCCCATAGCCCCCATTCCTGTATATACTCTGCCAACTCTGACTCGAGCTCATATTATCAATTGGGTGTTGAATCCATCCAGGGCTCTACTACAAGCAACTTAATATTGCACCCTAAAGCGCAAACACTCCTGAGTCTTGGCAAGTCTCCGAGGCTGTACACCTGGGCGCTTTTAGTCTCCGTGTTAATATATTTCGAAGCACAAATGCGGCAAGTTCCTCCGTTCGCACTTATCGCAGAATCAGGAAAGTCCGGCCCCAAGGTCTAACACTATAATTAAAAACCTTGAACGCCTTGGCTTTGATTTGGTCGTTTTTGGCCCTCAACCCGAGAATAGCAGCGTTTCCGCTTTCCTCGCAGGAGCTACTGTAAATTATCCTATACTATACATGTGGAACCTAATGACGAAATAGTTTAGTAAACCCAAGAGCTGAATGCTTGGAGCACCGAAAGGCATGGCAAAGATAGAACAACCCAACCACGCGAGATCATCGATTGGCCAACGAATGGACAAGGGTGCTGACGCCACAGATTCTGTATCCGACGAGGTACAGGATACTTTTTACTGGCTCGGGGGTATTCAATATCCAAGTGAACTTTCTTTTTGCTGCATTATTTGAACTTCAAGCTCAATTTTGTATGAAGGCCTGGGAATAACGACGTTGATGATGAGCATATTCAGTAAGCAACAACAAGGCAGCGGAAGCATAGTTCTTTGCCATGCGTCACAGACCCGCTCGCCGGACTCAGACGACCCTGAAATATTTCCACAGCCAGTGTTTTGCTACTGTGTAAAATGGACGATATCGAGAGAAATGCTATGTCACTGGGGTCTTGAAGAGCAGGGGAGACTGTCCAAGGAAGAGCAAAGCAAACAAACGACAACAGGTACAAACATGTCATCATTCATGAGCGCGCGCAGACCTACACAATCTCCTCTCACTCTCCCTTACTCTCTCTCTTTCTCTCTTTCTTTTTTCTCTTCTTAGTTTCTGGCTACAACAGATCGTTCCAACTGACACTAGTTTCTCTTTTCCAAGCTAAACCAGCTGTATTCAAGGGGATCGGGGTCCAATCTTGTGCATGACTGTCCAGCCTCCAGGCATCTATAATGACTGATCGTCAAAATTTACAATCTCAAGATGGTCTGAAACCTTCCACTATTTCGATGAATCGAACCGAAGGACCTGGTGTGAAAGGACTGCTCAGTTTGCGAGTGGAATGCATCGCGAACCCCACGTCCATCATGGCACTATAACTCATCGAGAGTCAATCACGCCCAGGCTGACTTGAAAAGGTCTTTCCAAACACACGCCACTTCATGGAAATCCGGTTCTGAGAATAAAAGCACCTTCCAGGTCGTTTTGACGATGGTGCACAGCTGACACAATTCACCGTATCGGCCGTGCATAAGATGATGGTCTAAGCTTCGACAATAGATTGTAGCTGAGACTTTTCTTCCAACAAGAATGCAAAGGAACAGGCCAGAAAAGATTCGCTTACTGTATGAGTCGTTTTCTCATGACTCATTCTAACGCTGATAGTAAGGATCAGATAAGGCAGTGTTGTCGCGTCGCCCATTGGTCCACATGCACTTGTCACGTTTTTGAACCGGGTTTCACTACATGATCTTTGACTGCGACGTTATTTCGGGAATGAGAGAGCCCGGATTTCGTTCATAAATTTAAATCTCGGGTCTTACAGAGAACCGAGCTCAATTAGTGGATGATGATTCGTCAGAATGAATCATCCCGCATTATCCATTTCTGGTTAAGATGACTTCGTATTCGGTTATCATTTTATGAACATGGAAGCCTGATCTTTAAAGTTGAACCAAAACTTGCTATTCTGCGACTCCTCATGTTTGCTATTTCGTTAGGCTCTGGCGTCGCTCTCGACGTTTACCTGATACCATCCGAGAGGCCATGATGCAGCAACCAGAAGAGGGGATCATCGTAGTGGGTAAGATCGAAGAGGAGGCTGTCGCTGCAGAGACTGAGAAACACGCCGATCCGATCGATCATACACGTGCAGATCACTTCATCAAGCCACAGGAGATCACAAGCAAGACTACTCTATCGATAGATGAAGATGCAGCCTTTGCACATCTTCCCGAACACGAGAAGGAAATCCTCAAGAGACAGCTCGATGCACCCAAGGTTAAGATCTCCTTCTTTGGGCTGTATCGATATGCCTCCAAGCTTGACCTCTTCATTATCGCGATAAGCGCTCTCTGCGCCATCGTGGCAGGGGCAGCAATGCCTCTATTTACGGTGGGCCCAACGACCCTGCAGCAGTGTGGGGAACACTCACTGATCTTCAAGCTAGATCCTCTTTGGTTCTTTAGCATCGGCATTTCAAGGTATTGAACAGAAAACAATATCCTACGACAGTTTCGTCCATGAACTCGACAAAAATGTCCTATACTTTATCTATCTGGGAATCGCCGAGTTCGTTACTGTCTACGTTAGCATGGTGGGATTCATCTACACTGGAGGACAAGTCACCCAAAAGATCCGCGAGAACTATCTCAAAGCTATCCTGCGCCAGAACATCGCTTATTTTGACCAGCTCGGTGCCGGAGAGCTAACGACCCGTATCACCTCCGACACCAACCTTATCCAAGACGGTGTCTCCCAGAAAGTAGGCTTGACCCTGACAGCTCTGGCGACTTTCATCACGGCATTTGTCGTGGCCTATGTGAAATACGCGCGCCTAGCGGGAATCTGCACATCGACCATCGTCGCCCTGACCCTTGTCATGGGTGTAGGATCTCAGTTCATCATCAAGTACAGCAAGTTATCCCTCGATCATTATGGAGCGGGTGACACGGTAGCAGAGGAAGTCATTAGTTCAATCCGGATTGCTACGGCCTTTGGAACGCAAGAGAAATTGGCAAAACAATACGATTCGCATCTGAGTCTAGGCGAGAAATACGGCATTCGTCTACAGATCTCCTTGTCTCTCATCATTGGCCCGATGTTCGCGATCATGTTTTGGAACTACGGCCTTGGTCTTTGGATGGGTTCTCGGTATTTGGTGGCGGGCCAAGTCAATGTTGGTCAGATTTTGACAGTACTTATGGCTATTTTGATTGGGTCCTTCAGCTTAGGGAATGTCAGCCCCAACGCCCAGGCATTCACTAGCGCCATCGCCGCCGCTACCAAGATCTTCAATACGATTGATCGGATCTCGCCAGTGGATCCAACATCTAAGGAAGAAGGCTTGATCTTGGATCATGTGGAGGGCAATATTGAACTTCGAAATATCAAGCATATCTATCCGTCTCGCCCAGATGTCACGGTCATGCATGATATGTCTTTGTCAATTCCTGCTGGAAAGGTTACCGCCCTGGTCGGACCATCTGGATCGAGTAAAAGTACTGTCATGGATTTGATTGAAAGATTTTATCTTCCAGTTGGTGGGACAATACTTTTAGACGGTCACGATACGCAGACCCTAAATCTGCGCTGGCTACGTCAACAAATATCAATTGTTAGCCAAGAGCCGGTGCTCTTTGGAACAACAGTCTACAACAATATCCGCCACGGCCTTATCGGCTCCAGGTTTGAGAATGAGTCAGAAGATAAAATCCAACAACTTGTGGAGAATGCGGCGCGGATAGCAAATGCTCACAGCTTCGTTTCTGCTCTTCCCAAAGGCTATGAAACGAGCGTGGGTGAACGGGGCTTCTTACTCTCCGGTGGTCAAAAACAACGCATTGCAATTGCTCGTGCCGTTGTTTCTGAGCCGAAGATCTTGTTGCTGGATGAAGCGACCTCGGCGCTGGATACCAAGTCAGAAGGCGTAGTCCAGGCTGCGATTGATCGTGCCAGCAAGGGACGTACAACGATTGTCATTGCACACCGTCTATCCACAATCAAGACTGCGGACAATATTGTGGTTCTATTGAATGGCCAGATCGCCGAGCAGGGTGTCCACGACGACCTGATTCAGATGGATGGACCATACTCTAAGCTGGTCGAGGCCCAACGCATCCGAGAAGAGAATACAGCCGACACACTAGAAGATCATGAGGACGATGAGGACACCGAAGAGTATAGACTCAAGGAAATTGTTCAGGTTCATTCCGTTAATAGTGGGTCAATCACACAGAGGGACCAGGGTGGAGCTACCGGACTTGAGAAAGATGTCCGTCGAGTGGATTCCCGAAAGTCAGCTACTGGAGATATCTTTGCCACCGGCGACCCTGATTCCGAGCAGAAATACTCTCTTTGGACCCTGATCAAATTCATCGCTTCGTTTAACAAGGAAGAATGGCGATGGTTGATTGTTGGTCTGATATTCTCTTGCCTGGCTGGTGGTGGTCAACCCGTTCAAGCATACCTCTATGCTAAGGCCATCAGCGTTCTCGTGCTACCTGAATCCATGTTTGACCAACTCCGACATGAGGCAAACTTCTGGTCCTTAATATTTTTCGTCATCGGTATCGTTCAATTGTTTACATTCGGCACCCATGGAATCGCATTCGGTATTTGCTCCGAGCGTCTAGTCTCCAGGTCCCGCAGTCAGGCATTTCGGATGATTCTCCGTCAGGATATCAGCTTTTTCGACAGAGATGAGAACACAACCGGTGCATTGACATCGTTCCTATCCACTGAAACGAAGTATCTGGCTGGGATCAGTGGACAAAATCTCGGAATGATATTGATGACATCCACGACGCTAATAGCCGCGATGTGCATATCCCTTGCGTTCGGCTGGAAACTGGCCCTAGTCTGTATCTCTACACTACCGGTACTATTAGGCTGTGGATTCTATCAGTTCTACATGCTCGCTGCGTTCGAACAGAAGTCTAAATCCGGTCATCAGGACTCCGCCTCCTACGCCTGTGAAGCCACTTCGGCGATTCGGACGGTAGCTGCTCTGACCCGCGAACAGGATGTATGGAGCAATTACCACGATATACTGCAAGCCCAGAGCCATGCAAACCTGTTCTCGACCTTGAAATCGTCCGTTCTCTACGCTGCATCTCAGGCATTGGTCTTTTTCTGTGTCGCACTTGGCTTCTGGTATGGTGGTACACTACTGGGGCGCGGGGAGTACAACACTTTCCAATTTTTCGTCTCATTCTCTGAAGTTCTCTTCGGAGCTCAATCTGCCGGTGCCGTCTTCTCCTTCGCACCTGATATTGGCAAAGCGAAGAACGCTGCTTTCGAGCTTCGGAAATTGTTCGATATTCGACCGAAAATCGATATTTGGTCCACCAAGGGCGAGATAATAGACCCCGAAAAAGAAGAGCATTCGGGTGCGATTGAGTTCAGGGATGTGCACTTCAATTACCCGACTCGGCCCAGTCAGCCGGTTCTTCGGGGCCTGAATCTAAGTGTTCAACCCGGTCAATACATTGCCCTGGTCGGGCCCAGCGGATGTGGAAAAAGTACAACCATCGCTATGCTCGAGCGCTTCTACAACGTCGCGTCTGGAGAAATTCTCCTTGATGGAAAGAACATTAACGATATAAATATCAACTCGTACCGAAGTCAATTCTCGCTTGTCAGCCAGGAGCCCACGCTTTACCAGGGCACAATCAAAGAAAATATCATGCTTGGTGTTGACCATACTGATGTTTCAGAGGATGAGATTATCCAGGTCTGCAAAGATGCTAATATCTATGATTTCATCATGTCTCTTCCGTAAGTCACCTGTCTCCCGTTATCTATCAAAAGAAAAAATTTACTTGCATCGAAAACTTCTTTCTAACGACCTTCAGAACCGGGTTCGACAGCGTCATCGGAACAAAGGGAATCATGTTATCGGGTGGTCAAAAACAGCGCGTGGCGATTGCCCGCGCCCTCCTGCGAAATCCTAGAATTCTCCTACTAGACGAAGCCACGTCCGCACTCGACTCACAATCCGAAAAGATCGTTCAGACAGCGTTAGATGCCGCGGCTCGTGGTCGAACCACTATCGCCGTCGCTCACCGACTTAGCACCATCCAAAAAGCCGACATGATCTATGTATTCGATCAAGGTCGGATCACTGAGCAGGGCACACATCATGAGTTGCTACGCCAGAAAGGCCACTATTACGAGCTGGTTAATCTCCAGAGTCTGGGGAAAGCTCATTAATTTCTATATAATTTTTCCACTCCTCTCTCATCTCTTGTATATATATCAGAGGATTTAATCTCATCTCAAATTTCTACTTGAAGTGTTTTGTACGTCCAAAAACAAAGATGTACATTCTTCAAAGTGTACTATCTCCTGGTTGAGTTCTAGATGCCTCCAATAGCTACAACTTTGTAATACCATCGATATTTCGAGATATTGGGCGGGCCCAACTTGTTTAGTTCATACCGCTGAAATATACACACTGAAGGTAATTCTACCTCTGTTATTCACCCTTCTCCAGTGCGTCTCGTCTGCTGACACTGTTGGGATCCAAGTAAGGCCTCTCGCCGAGTCCAACAACACGATGTCCAGTCCGAGGACCAAGGTCATCATAATCCCAAGTAGCAGCATGGTAGGCAGATCTGTTATCCCAGATTGCTATTGAAATGTCAGCTTTGCATGATAAAACTCATTTCGACAAATCCTTACCTAAATCATTCGGATTTTGCCAACGGAACCGTACTTGGAGATCATGATTCTCCACAATCAGATTCACAAACCAATTAAGAAGGTGTTTGCTTTCTTCTTCAGAGACTCCATTGACCTTCTCAACATGAACACCGACGGCAAACACACTCTTCCAGCCCGTAACCGGGTTAGTCCGAATCACAGGGTGTTGAGCACTGAGTACCTCGCCAACATTCTCGGGTGCCCCACGAGGTCCAAGGTGGACATTGAAGTTGTTCTTCTTGGCGATTTCATTAAAATTGGGCTGAGCGTATGTTGCAGTTAGACTCTCGAGGAACTTCTGGTAAGGCTCCGAGATGCGGTCGTAGACTTCGTAACCCGATGCCCAGAGGGTATCTATGAAGCGTGAGTAATTTGGAGTTTGGAAGTATTAAGTGTCAGATCGATCACTCACCACCACCGGTCTTGGGTAGTTCAGTCAGGCGCAGGATAGTGTAATCACTTGGAATTGGCTCGAAGGTGATATCGCTATGCCACTCCCGCCGGGAAGTCTGCTTGCGTTTGTTGCGATCGGTGTAAAACTTCTGTCGCTGCTGCGAGCTGATGACGCTGATCTCGTCATCTTGAACGCCGTGTTCGCGTCCAGAGTTAACGATTGGGTGGATATGGAGACCGGAAGTCTTGGGTTTGCCGGAAAGCTCCCCAAGACGCTGAACGAGTTCCTTTTGCAAGTCGTTGTCTAGGCCATCTTGTTTCCGGAAGAAAACAACACCACGCTGAGATACTGATTGGGACTGTCAGTCGTTATACAGGCACTCGTGCATTCAAGAAGATCACCTGTGATTGCGAGGTCACGTAGCAGCTCAGCAGAGTTTGGAGCACGCAAAAAGTCTTTCAGGCTGGCGTTGGGGAACTCGCGTCCAATGACAGGAGTAACGTCGAATGACTCAAAAGCATCAAGGGCACCACTAAGCTTTAGAGGGGCGCGCTCTAAGCCCTTGAGTGTGAGCTTGCCCTCTGTGATGGGCACCACAGGGGCGATGGTTTCAGCAATAGGAGCCATACTCTATTTGATATGAGATTGAATTGACTGTCAGGAATGAAATTGATTTCCCTCCGTCTAACTACAGCCTCCTTTTATATAAAGACACTTCCACCATTGCTGCCGACTTTTCGGCTACAATATCGCGAATATTGACATCACTCCGCGCCAAAAGGTGCATAGTCATGTCGTATACTTGCTGAGCAAGCACGAATCGAGGATACGTGCATCAAGTTGACCAATCCTCGGCATTGACTGCTCTAGTCTCGCCATCAAACCTTGCGATCGTGTCAGATTCCATCATTTAGGGTTTTCTACGAAGCGCTCCGAGGCTGCGGGGTGATGGGACAATCCACACTTGAAGTTGCGTAACACTTCCCGAGAATTACGAATGTAGTTGCTATCAAAGCTGTTTGTTTGGCTATAACACTCACATGCACTAAAGTAGCTGACCGTTAGTAAACTCGTTAATAGTCATTCGGATAGTCCATCACTCTTATAGCTCGTTAGCTGCAATCTACATACCCTTACTTCCTTGTGTGTCTACAGTTTGAAAGTCATGTATCAACCTTGGAATGTCTATTTGCTGTTGAAGCTGGCACAAGCCAAATGTGACTATAGACGTAAGATGCAACTATGTATGTAATGCATGATGCAATCACATAACACGATTTTAAAAACACTAAAAGCATTGCCATCGTGGTGAGCATTGCTTTACTTCGGACCACCGAGAACAGGCACTTGAACAGCACCCTTGGCTGAGTCTGCAGCCTTGTCGCCGATAGGAGCAGGGTTCGGCGAGGGACCTGGGGTAAATTCACCCTTGTTCTGGCGTTGAATGAGACCATTGGTAATGCCGAGAACAGAATCGACGATAACTGCATCGATACCTTCCGCGACTTGGTACTGCAACGCGGGATATTAGTCAAGATACGAGTCATATAAAGAAGTGAGTATAACTTACGTCCACGTTAACACCCTCATTGTTCAGTGCGCCGTACGATACACAGACGAGACCCGATTCTTTGACGATGCGAACAAGACGAGGGCATAGGACTAGCGGCTCGGCTTGGCTGACGATACCGAGGAGGTTCCATCGTGAAGCAAATCGGACGGCCTCTTGCAGACTACTAGCACGAATGTCGCCGACAGGCGAAGCACCAGCGTCGGTAAGGAAGAGGACTGGGATGGATGGCTGCTTAAAAGAGAGCAGAAGGCAAACGTCAGGGTTGAAGCTGGAGAAGATTATGTCGCGGCCGGCACCTAGGTCATAGACCTTGGTGAGGATAGTGTCGACAAAGGAGTTCAACTCCACTGCGTAGGTGTCCATCTCCTCCTCCTCGCTCTCGTGGAGCATGGGGTATTCTGGCGATCCAGGTTAGATCAAAAAGGCAGCTGCTCTAAGGGGTGCATTTTGAACTCACTCAATTCGACGTTGAACCCGACGGGTGTGGGAATTTTCTTGAACAGCTCCTCGAGAGTAGCGAATGGGGCTTGGATGTGCTCGCCACGAGTGTTACCCTTGAATCCCTTTGTCTTGAAATCACGGGTATGCTTGATTTTCTCGGTCAATTCAGCGGGGTTATATTCAGATCCGCCAACAGACATTGATCGTTGGCGGGGACCAAGGCCTGGGCTGCCGACGTCCACGCCGTCTGGCAAGATACTCTTGTGTTGACTCTTACCGAGTTGCAAGAATTGATCAAGTGTCAGGGTATGCACGGGAGCATCAATACCTGTCTCGCTAACGAGGAAATCATGGTAGATGACAGGGACATGATCTTTGGTAAGCTGGACGTCAAACTCCACATAAGAGGCACCCAAATTTGCAGCCGCGATGAATGACTGGATTGTGTTTTCACCCAGTTGGAGAGACTTGCGACTAGCCATGTTCTTACCCAGACCACGATGACCGATGACCATGGTGGAACTCATGGAGCGCCAATAGGTCTGGTTACCAGTGACCGACATATTTGGGTGCTTGAAGGGGGTGATGACCAGAAAATTGAAAGTCACAGAACCGATAACCTCCAGGGTGTTGGCGGCAACGATAGGAACAGTGGAGTCACCCTTGAGGTTGATTCGTTGCGACCCGATAGTTTGCTTGATGCTGGAGAGAAGTGCAACGCCCCGACCGACAATCTGGTCCTTAGATCCCGCATATGTAGGCACAAGATCAAAGAGCAGACGGACCTTGCTGGGATCCGTTGTGTGGAAGACAATAGGCTCCGTCGAGATGTTATCCTGTACAGGCAGGTCAATCACTTCCGGCTCTCCATGGGCACCGCTGGCAGTGACTACCAAGGACAGGGTTGTATCCAGCTGTGTCGCATGTGCATCTTCCATGGGAATTCGGTCAAGATTGACGGTCTCCAGGGGCTTACGCATGTCCATCGTTCCCAGGCTGACCAGAATCATGGTCTCATCGGTAAGATACCGATGTCCAAAAGTCTTAATAAGTTCAGCATTTCGCGGCCCAGGGCCCCCCGAGGTGGGAGCCGGCGCATTCGACCGCCGATCAGCTAGGGACGACTGAGCAGGTGGTGAAGACGACGGAGATGGGCTATAGGAAGGAGCCGGCACCACTGGTTCAGGCTGGGTGGCGGGAGGGCCGGGGCTAACTTCTGCTAAACATCGTGCGATTTCAAGATGACCACGCAGCGCAGCATGTTCCTTCGCTGTCCACCCAGATGAGTCAAATCGGTCCACATCAGCACCAGCGGCAATGAGCAGTTTGGCCACATTCAAATTGCCATCCACCGATGCGATAAACAGTGGAGTCCATGAATAGGTGTTTTCTGCCAGCTCCGTGTTGGCCTTCTGATAGTCTGTGCCCTCGAGCAGAATTCGAGCACATTCATCATGTCCAAAACGAGCTGCGACATGCAAAGCAGTTTCACCCTGCTCGTCCTGATAATTGATGTCCACGCCGGCATCTACCAAAAGGTGGACAATATCGACAAAGTTGGCCTTGGTCGCCAAGGCCAGAACAGCGCTCGACTTGGAAACCTGTTTTCGAACCTGGCCCCTTTCGCTGGAAAGGTCCTGGTCATTCTCGGCTTCAAGCAGACACCGAGTGGTCTTCGGATGGCCACCCACCACACTGAGATGCAGCGGGGCCCATCCATCATTGTCCTGCCACAGAGTACCGTCGATCCCCTCACTCACGTCAAACATTTCCCACGCTTTCAGATGCTCAATTATCACCTCGCAAACGACCTTGAAGCCATACTGCGCAGCATAGTGCAACGGAGTGCGACCAGAAAGATCCTTCGCCATCAAAGCCTCCCTCTGGTTCGGGCGTAACTCATCCAGCAAGTGCTGGAGAAGAGCAACAGCTGGATCATCACGACCAAGCTGCTGGGGCATATGCTCCTCCTTGACAATCGAACGAGGAGGTTGCAAAGTTGGCGGCGCAGCGGGAGTAATGAAGCGGGACGTTTCCGGAGGGAAGTCCAGCACCATCGACGCAGCGGGTTCAGAGTCATTGGTCGGCTGTTCGCGTCCAATGGAGATGACCATACGGTGCAAGCAGTTACGCCGATTGATATCATCATCTTCCTCGAGAGTGTCAACACGGCTGACCAACGCGCTGAGGCATGCCCGTGAGCGATGCAAGATCGATCGCTGAATTAGAGTCTTGAGAACCCTGGAGAAAATTCCCTCGCCCGCTTCATCCGCGGCGGTTTTCAGAGTCTCGAGCAGCTCAAGCAGAACATGGGTATCATCCTTTCGCAAAGAATCGTCCACAGTTGTCAGAACGCTAGCAGGGAGGTTAAGGTAGGGCCGAGTGGAGCCCCGTTTCAGCGATAGGACCGAGTGAGTAGAGCTGACATCATCCAAGACCTTCTCATCCGACTTGGACTGGTCAGTCAGAAGAGCCATCCAGGCATTGATGCGCTCCTGGCCCTTAATGGCGCGTGTGTTTGAGCCGAACGCGGTGGGATCGACTTTAGTCTCCAAATACCGCTTCTGGGCCTGGGCTCCCACTTTCTTGTCCAATTTCTTGGTGATCTTCACGAAGCCCCGACGGTTAACTTCACCATACCATTGTAAGCGGCGGAGATGGTAACGCAAGTCCAAGAGAGCTTCGCGAAGATCATGGCGGTCCTCGGGCTCCAATGGATGAAGACCCTCCATGGAGTAGCCGTAGCGGTCCTCCAAAAGCTTCAACCGACGGGAATACTCGGCATATTTTTTGTTGTAGAAGTAATCGACGTCCTCGACATTTCTATCAAGGGAGTAGAAGAAACCTATATCACCAAACGCAACCAAAGAAGCCGGGCATCCTGGTTAGAATGATGCACACGAGACACAAGAGGGATTCGAGGCGATTCAAGGTATCGCGCGCTTACCGGCCAAATCCGCTTCCTGTCCTGCCTTAACTTTCTCCGCCGCCGACTTGATGAGCTTCTTCAACGCTTTGTACTTGATATACGAGGCGCTCCACTCTGGGACGGTAAATTGGGCGAGGTTGCGTCCAAACTTCATATTGGGCGAGAAGGTATTCCAGGTATCGTTTTGCACTCAGTTGTCCCTTTTTCAACGGGGAATTCGTGTATTCCGCTGCTTTCTTCTTTTTGTTGGTGTGTTCTTTGGTGATTTGCCACCCGAGGTACCCGAATCCACCACCACGAACTGATTGGCGGTGATAGTTTGTCGTTCCAACCTGGATAGTCACAGGAAAGAATCAGGTGAGCGGACGCACGCAGGGAGGAGTCAATGGCGCCATGAGGAGAATAATTGGGAATTTGTTGGGAATAAAGGAGGTGAAAGGTAAAAAAGTGAAAAGAAGCGCCGAGAACTGTACCTGTAGCTCTAAGTGGAGATTGAAGCGGTGAGAGCGATTTAAAAAAAAATCTGACGCTGATCCGAGCGAAGATCCCAAGCCCTGTAAGCTAAGCAGATAGCTCGAGACACGCACGGGGATTGGAGGGGGAAAACGGGCAGACGTGAGCGGGATCCGAGGTCGAACGAGCAGCCCGTGTGCGTGGTGCTGGGGCGTTGATTTGTCGATCCGCGGGGTCAAGCTCCATGGTTCCGCAGTTTCCACATTACGTAGAGCACGGTTTTCTATAGGAATTTCATGCTTCCATTCATTCCATAGTTCCCCACTTTGCCTTTTTTCAAAATTTTCAACAAATATATTGAAAAGTTCAGCTCTTTTCTCTGTATCTTGCCGGACCGTGTGACCGGCGCATATCAGTCATAAACGCCCTCAGCGCTGCCAAGATTCACCTGAGACCAGGGTTTTTCTTGAACTTCCACAACATCAGTCCTCACTGGGGATGGAAATCAAGCAAATGGCTGAAAGCAGGTAGCTCTTGGGCCTTGTGACCAGTGCTTTAGTGCGCCACGGACTCCGTTCGGAGCGTACTCTGGTCTTAGCATCCGACGTTAGGGGCAGAGATTAGCAGTATCGACCAATAAGAGCAGTCGATTCCCTGTCACCTGAAAGGTAACCTTGAGCAACATGGCTGACAACAAACCCAGGGTGATAAAGACGGGGATGTTCAGAAGTCAGAGAGAAGGAAAGAAAAGTCAAGAGAGGGGAACGAGGGGATCTGCCAATTTCTGCCCAATCCTATGTACACCTGACGCAGGCCCCTTCCCCATATGGTGCAATTTAAGCCTGCAGGGCCTTATTACGCTTTGACATGGTAAATACGGGGTTAAAGATATCAAAATAATCTCTGGCTGGATTCCCATACTCTAGCAAATACCTGATGCTGGTTCATAAATCTCTCTGCGCCATACCAGGGCATGAACATAAAACGCCTGCCATTCCAATTGGCCCGAAAAGTAAAACAAAACAAACCCCAAGAATTCCAGATCGCTAAACCGGGCAATGTGCTCATAAAGTGGCATAAAAATAGATCCCACTAGCCATATCATGAAAAAGCGAAGGAATCAACTCCATTTCGAGAACCCCATATCAAATCCATGTTGAAACCCCTTGAGCCGTCACAAAAGACAAGAACACATCGGCGCAACTCTCTCAGAGAGATGTCAAATAGTAAAGAAAGAAAAATTGCAATGAAACAGCAGGAACAGATTTAGCATGCAATGCTTTACTGCTGCTGAACCAGTGCCTTCAATGCTTCCACGGCGGACTGTAGCACGGCTGGGTTGGAAGTTTTCTTGATGAGGGCAGTCAATATGTCAATGCCACCCGCGGCGCGGACGGCCTCCTTGGCACGTGCTCCAATGTCGCCGGTGGCGCAAGTCAGGTTGTGCAGGCACACCGCTCCTCGGTGGAGGAGACCATCATCATCTTCTTGACACAACCCCAGGAGCAATTCCACCCCGCGCGGTCGTTCCAGCACGGCCGCAATGGCTGCGTCGTACTCCGTTAGCATGGCAATCGCGCCGCCAGCCGCGCGCCGCGTCGCGAAATCGTCCGAATCAGTGAGGGCCAGAATGATATGGAGTCGCTGAGCAGCACGCTGCGAGCCGTCGGCAAACTTGACAATGCCGGATTCGATGGTCATAAGGTTGCAAACCAGCTCACAAGCAGCCCGCTGCACCAGAGCGTTACTGGACAGGAGAAGGTCTTCCACTGCGGACCAACCTTCTCGGACGATAAGGTCGGCTGGTGTCTCATCAAGTGGATAGGAAGCAAGGTTCGTCAGGGCAAGCAAGCCCTCGAACACTGGGAGCAGATCACGGGGCTGGTCGGCGGAGACAGATACCGTCTCGGGCGGTGTCAGAAGAGATAACAACGGGCGTACAGCAGATGTGACTTGAGGGAACCCGGAAGATGGGAACACAAGTGAAGGGTCGACAGAGACAAGAATTCCAGCGAGAGCGTGAGAGGCGTTTTGTGTTGTTGCAGTGACTACGATTGAGCTGCCTTGCTTTGGGATGGCCAGTCCAAGTAAAAGTTTGACTGCGCCTTGCTGAGCCAAAAGGCCTCGTGACTTTCGGTGCCGAGCCAATGCCAATAGAATTTGAGCTGTGAGGTCATGGATTGAGGGCATAGCAAGGCGGCCACACTCGACCAGAAGAGACATAATCCCGGCATCGATAACAGAGCCGCAGCGGATGAGCACTGCCTCTTCTTCCTCGCGGGGGTCCGGGCCAGCCCGAGCCTTACCACCAGAAGCGTCTGCGTAATCCTTCAGCTGACCCATCTTTTTCTGCTCATCGGAGAGGTTGGGAAGGAATTTTGTGAGGTTCAAGATAATCATCAATCCACCGTACAGTACGGAAGAGTCTGTGGTGTGCTTTTTCAAAATTGTGATCAAGTCGCGCAAAAAAGAGGAGTCTTGAGCTAATTGATCTTTGACTGAGGGCTTCACAGACGAGTAAGCCAAGCCCTCAATGGCGTGGGAAGTGTTCGCGGGCTTAGATTCAGACATCAGTCCCTTAAATCGTTGAACCAGGTCAGAAACACCGCTGTTGTCCACCTGTGGCTTACCATTTTCAGCTGAGGGCTGGGTTGTCTCTGAGGCTCGAATCTTCGCGAGGACCACAGCCGCCAATTCCGAGCCCTCGTCACTACCGTTGGTGAGGGTGTGCGATAGCCATTCGGAGAAATTCTTGGAAATCGCTTCCCGGCATGGACGATTGATACATGCTGCATTCAGTAGATCCAGTACGGCAATCTCTACCTTCTTGCGCTTCGCATCCCGTGATGCCAATGGAGTCAGCAGGCTCATGAACTCATCTGACAGGAAGACATTAGCCGCAGCAGTGGGAGCTACAGGGAAGACCGCAGTAACGGCGGAGAATGCAATGATGAAGTCATCAAGGCGACCCTTGGCAAACATAGCACCGATGAGGGTTGAGAATTGCTTCTCGCCCTTCTCCTTGGCAACTTCCAGGTACTTTGCGGTAGCCAACGTGGCCTGGCTGCGCAATTCAAGTGGCAAGCGGTTGTCAAGCGAGGTCAAAATGACCTCGAATTCCTCGTCATCCACCAGGTGTTGAAGTCGGTCCGCGTCGACCACGAGTAGCCGCGCAATTCCTTTCAGCGAGCGGCCATCCAGATCATGGCCAGATTCCATTAGCTTCGCCAGGAAGAGTTGAAACAATTCGCTCTCGCAGTGCAACCGCGTCTCCTCCGAGGGCCACACACTGGGGTCCAACACTACGGTGTCAAGACATACTGCCGCTCCATCGCCTCGGTCATAGATGTCATCGAAGAAGGTTGTCACAGAAACTTGCAGCTCGTTTGAAAAGTACTGACGAACACTGGAATTGTGTCGGACCAATCCGGAGATAATATCGTCTTGAATCTCCGAGAAAGCATTAGCCCGCTGCCCCAGCAGCAGCTTCAGCGATTCCAGTGCAACATTCTCCGGGGGCTTCAAGCCGTCTGTGCGAAGATAAGTGGCGGCTTCCTTTCCGGCGGACTCATCTCTGTGTGTTGCGTAACGTCGACAGAGCTCCAGCAGTTGGTGGCAATTTTCTTCCTCTTGTTGGATTTTGATGAACGCCGCTTTTACGTCGGGGTTTTCGGGGGCAATAGAGACTGCTTCGCGTAGGTTTCGTGATGCTGCCTGTAGTGATTTGTCAGACTTGAATTCCTTTGCTCTGTTGACCGCGTTCGGAAGACGAGTGCATTACGTACCTCGCGGTGGCCAGCGTCAACCAGCTCAACAGCCTCCCGTGCGAGGTGTGCAGCGCGCTCTTCGCCCGTTGCTTGAACCATTGCAGGGTCGCTGAGGAGCAGCGCGCTGCAGAAACAATGTGTGAAAGATCCGGATTTAAAGATTGAGAGTCGACCAAGAAAATGAAAGAAGTCGACAGCTTTATTTTTTTTTTCGGAGTGCGGAAAAGCGGGAGAGCGGGAGGGTGGTGAGGGGTGGAAAAGAAGGCGGAGAGGACTTGACCCTTTTATCTGATCGACTTCAATGACACGTCGCGGGTAATCAGGGTTAAGGAGAAATTCAGTTGATGAAAGCAAAAGTGTAGAAGCTCTATAATACAGCTGGGTAGGATGCCTAGAAATATACTAATACCAAGTATACACAGTGTCCTTCCCCCTCACCTGCACTCTCCCAGTATTGTATTGTTCCGCCGTTTCTCTCACCCAATCGCCATTATCAATAGACTCCGATAAGACCAACCACAGCGCCCCGCCCCAACACGTTGCTGATAGAACTGCAAGTCAGCTTAGTCGACAGAATAATTATTGACTTCCGATACCCGCGAAAGAATTGAACTACAAATACTGAAACATATTTCAGCCCTTATGGGGGCAAAGGGTGAATGTTTCTTCTCAACAGGATGAGCTTAACGCGGTACAAGGCGCGTCCGTGAGCGCCAAGTATGTGGAACTCTTTCACTCACTTCTCATTCGATTATTGAGCTTCTCGTTGGTCTCATGCATCCAGCGTAGATCTGGGTATCTATCCACCCATCATGATAGGTGGAGCTACTATTGGAGCACTATCTAGCACAAGGGCTTGGCTTGACAAATAGGCTCCCGAGAATAGTCAACTTGCGCATGTATCATGTCTAGGCAATCCAATATCTTATTCACAGCCACCAAAAACGATATTCACATGCCCCCCTTTACATAGGTGCGGAGTACTCCGTATAGCTCTGTAAGTCGTCGTCATGGCCTCCGGATCAACTTCCGTGCATCATAGCTATCTTGGACCTAGCACTAAGCCTAATGAAGAGATTGAAATACTCAAGAGTATAAGCAGTAGTATTGTATACACTGTAGATCTCAAAGATTGATCTGTCTACTACAGTAATATATCTGAAGCTTGCAAAGACAAATGTCCAGGTATCCACGGTTCTTTATCGCGTGGGGCTTCCGTACATCCGCCAACATTATACAATTTGGGCCTAGAGGCTTGTGGACCCAGGTAAACTTGGAAATGCAATCCATGGATGTACCCTAAAGGTTTCTTCCATCTTTAGTACTTTTGCAAGGTCGAGAATTAAAAAAAGAATTCCAAGGTTTGAAGTTTTGGAAGAGCTGTCCATATGTTTGAAACAATCATGGAGCTTTAGAAGGGGTGAAAGACCCGCGCTAGCTGAAGAGGCCCATACTTTCTTTAATAGACCCACCAATCAAATTGATGAAAGATCTACACCAATCAACCCTGGGATTCCAATGCTCGACGCTTATGTAAAGTATCTTATTTCCCCCTCAGTAAGCGTATCGCTCCGCCTCGATGCCTATCCACACGTCCCTTTCCCGAACACATAGGACCCGACTTCTTTTCACCTTGAATATCAAAGTAATGTTTGCCAAAGTATAGAAAGACCTCGGCCCACACCGTTTTCGGAGGCGGAGGAATCGTCCCACCGACGGGTCGGAATAGGCTCCACTCCGGAATTCCGTACTCTGTATAGTTTTTTACCTTTAACCTCTATCTATAAAACCCAATTCTCCTGGTTTTCTCCTAGCTCTGAATACCTTGGACAATCAACAATTATTCTTTGCTCATTCTTCAGGTCTCTGATGCTATTTTGGTGACAACATTGACCGAGTTCTTCAACAATGTTGTCCCTTCACATCCCATCTTACTCGAAGCCATCCGAATACCAGCTTTCGGAATTGCCAATCCCGAAATTAAGTACTGAGACAGATGTTCTCATTAAGGTTCATGCCGCGAGTATCAACCCGATTGATGTGAAAAGAGCTGGTGGGGCACTCAAGGTAGCGGTCAAAGACTCGTGAGTGCACTCTTCTTTCTCCGTCGTGTATACAATCTTACCCGGTAGCAGGTTCCCCTTTAAGATTGGATACGATGCTTCCGGCGTTGTCACAGAAGTTGGCCAAGGCGTATCTCGCTTCAAAATTGGAGATGCAGTTTACGTCAGACTGCCAGAGATCAGTCGAGGTACGGATCAAACCAAAGTAAATAGATCGCCAAAGACGCTGACGTATTCCAGGCTCATGCAGCGAGTATGTGACATGCGCGGAGGACCAGATTGGTTTCAAGCCTCCTTCCCTGTCCTTCGACGAGGCAGCTTCAATTCCCTTGGCAGGCATGACAGCGCTCCAGGCTCTTAGAAAGCATGGTGATCTTGCTGGAAAGACCGTCTTCGTACCTGCTGGCTGTATGTGTTTCTTTACTGACTATTGACTACATTAATAGGATACCTTGCTGACACAATTGTAGTGAGCGGTACTGGTCTATTTGCGTGTCAACTAGCCAAGCACGTGTTTCATGCCGGCAAAGTAATTTCCTCAGTCTCAACCTCGAAGATCCCCAAGGTGAAAGAGCTTCTAGGTGAAGGAACGGTCGATGAGAGTAAGATAAGCCCAACTCTTTTAAGAGTTTGCAAGTATTGACAAATGGCCAGTTATCGATTACACCAAAGCCGACCCAAGGGATGTCATCGAGAAAGGCTCAGTGGACTTCCTATTCGATACAGTCGGCCTTGCGATGGAATATCTCTGCCTCATGAAGCCAAATTCAAGCCGTATCGTGTCTGTTTCTACTACGCCATCAGCAAATGTGCTACAAAACTCCTCATTGATGAGAATGGCTAATAGTCCCACGATTCCCTTTTATGTCCGGCCTATTCTGAATGCCATGGATTCCGTTCGCAAGTTCAGAGCCGGGCGATATGGCGTTGAGTATGAATACATGATTTTGGAGTCGAGCGGCAAGGATCTGGATGAGCTTCGGGGGTACGTTGAAGATGACAAGCTTAGGACAGTTGTGGGCACAAATGTTGAGCTTCGCAACTTAGAAGCGGTGCAAAAGGCCTGTCAGGTTGTTTATGATGGCAAGGGTGGTCTTGGAAAGTTGGTTATCCGCGTTGTTACCAACGAGAGCTCATAAGGTTCAGCCCAGAGCTCTGTATAATTACGGTGAACTTCAAAATTCTTGCAGTCAAATTCAAACAATTCATAGCGTAAATAGCGTATATTTCAGACAAATACAGATTGTCCCTCATTCCGACTTCACAGGTTTGCCTTTCTTAGCTCAGCCTCCGTCCATTCCCAAAGTTGCCTCCCCATATCGACACTACGCGCGAATTTATTGTCGCGCTTCAGGTTTCCAACGGGAACATAGTAACCGCCATTCACAATATCCCTCTTCTTTGCCCCAGCAGCCGCCCACAGCGAATTGTATGCTCCCTGCTGAACCGTCGACCCCATAAGTTGCAATGTCTTGGAGCCTAGTGAGAAGAGAGGCGTGCGTGAGCCGATTGACTGATACAGATCCGTGAAGATAACTCCTGGATGTACCGAGACAGAGGTGATTGATGGATGTCGCCGGCTGAGTTCAGCAGCAAAGAGAATGTTGGCAGCTTTTGATGCTCCATACCGAGCATTGGTGTTGACCTTCTTAAGTTTTTCCTGGTCGAGCATAGTAGCAAAGCTTGGGGCGAGATTGTGTCCCACCGAAGAAAGAGACACGACACGGACGTCGGAGTGGGGCTCCTCTGCTGTCTTCAGGAGTGTTGGAAGTAGGAGCTTCGTTAAGAGGAAGTGCCCGGTGTGGTTTGTTCCAAGTTGGATTTCATGGCCTAGGTCTGTCTCGCCTGGGGGCAGAGACATGACGCCTGCGTTGAGAATCAAGATATCGAGTCGTTCGGATTGAGCAATGAAAGACTCGGCAGCTTTTCGAATTGAGTCGGTGGATGTCAAATCCAATGGAATCCAGGTAATCTCGACATCATTCGAGACAGATGATCTGATTTCTTTGATAGCATCTTTAGCTTTGGATTCCGTGCGGGCACCGAGAAAAATCTTCTCGGGGTTGTGTTTGGCCAGTTGGAGAATTGTTTCCTTGCCCAGTCCAGCATTTCCTATGATGTCGTTAGACGTCGCCCTTTTCATTTTTTTAAAAACTCGCCGAGGAATTCGGAGGGTTTAAGGCAAAACATACCACCAGTGACTAGCACAACTTTCCCCGTTAGATCCAGTATATCATTGTCAGGGTTGAAACAAACTCCTCCAATGTAATTATAGGGGTTCACGAAGGCCGTAGCAAAAGACGCCATCTTGAAAGGAGTTGAAGGTTGCTTGGAATTTTACAGAGTCTAAGTCGAATGCAACAGGTTAGGACACTTATAGGTGGCATCGGTGTAACTAACCCTCCGATGATCTTCAGAGATAACAGGTTCCATGATGCGCCTCTAAAAAAAGCTTTAACCTTAAAATAAAACTAGGTGTGAACCTCGGCAATTCCCTTGTTAGGATTCGTCACACTTTCTTCAATTCGGACCAAACTTGAGCCGTTCTCACAACCCTCGCAATCGCCCCCGATCCACAAGTAGAACGGATTACGGAGTATAGAACGGAGTATATACCTGATATCACGTAGTTATGTTCATGTGAAATACTGTAATAGGGATCAAACAATGAGCTCATTTCTAAAGATCATGTGGGTTGGTTTGTCGATGACATCACCCACTAGTACATTTGACGCGATTGAGCAAAGGTCAACCTGCCGATATAGACATTGAGAAGCTGAACAGAATCAAGGTGAGCAAGATAAATTCTCGGTTCCTTGCAGAGAAGTATGCGGTGCAACCAATCGCAGCCGCTCCGAAACCCGGTTATCGCCTCGTGACCGTTATCAGCTTCACTCTTTGTTCTCCAAGTAAACCATTTTCAAGCTACTGGAGCACTGGAGCCTTGATTGTACCTTCAACCTGCAAGGCTCGAAAAAGCTGAGGCTCCCATCGAGTCTATTCTCAGCCTCGACCATCTCACAATGAACCTCCACCCTCACTGATAAGCTCCATCACCATGAATTCTGTCGATGCGTCCGAGCACTACGACCTAGGAGCCACCGGTCTGTCCCACCTGTTCCCGAGCTTGAAGATGAAGAACTGCCGTCAAAGCACTCTCGCACGTTGCACAAACTAATTCTTGAATCTCCAGATCTTGCTCCATCTCTCCTTACTATCATCCTCGACACAAATCCCCACGCCTGGGCAGCCCTCGAAAACTCACTCCCACTCTCGAAAGCCGTCGCAAACATCCTCGTGCTTATCAATGCCCACCTAGCCTGCAATTACGCAAACGAAGTTGCTGTCGTCGCATCACATAGCCAAAAAGCAGCATGGCTCTACCCAGTTCCCAGCGACACGCGCGAGTCCGCAGACCGCGACGGTGACGTCGCGATGAACGTTACCAACGGCGGAGCACCCGCAGCTCAAACAAATAAATACCGGCCCTTCCGTTTAGTCGAAGAGCAGGTCAACAGCAACCTGAAAGCGCTTCTAGATACGACAAGCAGTGATGACATTCGCGACAATACATCGACCATGATAGCCGGCGCGCTAACACTAGCCCTAAGCAACATCAACCGGCGAACAATTGCCTGGGCCGAGGAGCATGGCGGCGCGGAACAAGACGATGCGGGCGAAGGAAATGGAGGCAGAGGAGGTGGTGGCCAGGGAGCGACATCGAACAAATACTCCGCCGACGACGATGAGCGGCTGCAGAGCCGCATCCTGATTATATCGGTTAGTGGATCCGGCGACGCAGCACACCAGTATATTCCCGTGATGAATAGCATATTCGCATGCCAACGGCTCCATATCCCTATCGACGTATGCAAGCTCAGCGGCGATGCGGTATTCCTGCAGCAGGCCTGCGACGCCACTAAAGGCGTGTATATGGCCTTGTCAGAGCCGCGTGGACTGCTACAATATTTGATGATGGCGTTCCTGCCAGATCAGCGTTCCCGTCGGCATCTTGTGCTCCCAACAAGGGTGGATGTGGACTTTCGTGCTGCCTGCTTCTGTCATCGGCGGGTGGTGGATATAGGGTTTGTGTGCTCTATTTGTCTGAGCATATTCTGTGAGCCACCGCCGGAGAACACTTGTTTGACTTGTGGGACATCATTGGATGCAGGTGATTATGGTCTGAAACCGGCGCTCATTCCGAGGAAGAAGAAAAAGAAGAAGCGGGTTAATGGGGCTTCGGCGGCTGGGACGCCTATGTCTACTCCTACGCCTGGTCCTTAAGTTATCTTACTACATAAAAGAAATGTTCAGATCATGTCTTGAAATCCAACCTTGCTGGTTTCAATTTTCTATCTTGGAGATTTGTACAGGCAAAACGCCACACAAACAGAACTGGGAAACAACTGATTTGGAGCCATTTGTAGCACCCTTAGGAACCAAGGAAGCACGAAATTTCACCTGAGAAGTTTGAACAGTCAGTGGCGTTGAAAACATAACGGAAATAATATGCTGAGAATTAATGGACACATAAAGATAATGCAAAAGGGGAATAGTTGCGACGCCAAACCAACAAAACCGATGGGGGGAATCAAAGTCAACAAGGGTGATTTAGCTCAAGCATGAATGTGACAGGTTGAATCGTAGCGCTGGCCTCCTGCGGGGTAACAATGGTCACGGATCTTGCGTCGGACATTCTGCTGCAGAGAGATCAAGGCCGAGACAAGATTTGTCTGTGTTTTCGGGGTGCGGGCTGTATGGGCGACGTTGAGGTTCTTGATGTTTTCTTTTCTTCGAACCTTTCGATATGCTGGTAAGGTTGGTTCAGCCACTGCCATCGATTGAATCGATATCGTGGCACTCACTTCTTGGGTCGAATCATCATTCCTCCCTGAGCAACGGGTGCATGGCTTGGGTTGCGTGACATCACGCACTGGGCCTTTCCGTCTCTGCTCGAGAGCGAGCCAATGGCCTGTAAGAGCTGATTAGCAGGTTTAGGTTTACATGAAAAGGGGAAAAGCTTACAAAAGAGTCAGTATTGTGAGCGAAGAAGAGAGCGATGCCCTCATTGGTCTTTTTGACAGCTAGGAGTCCAAGGGAGGCATCGATGTCACTGTTTTTAACCGCCGGATGACCTGAATACCATTAGCAACCCGAGATTTTGACTGAAGATGGTCATACATACCAGTGAATTCGTTCTCGAGCATGGCAGCAATGGCCTCTTCTTCGTTCACCTGGTCGAAAAGACCCTCTCGAGCCTTTCTGTGGCTGTAGTAAACTCGGGTCGCACATGTACTGGCGGCAAAGGTGGAGGCAATGTGCTCTCCAGTGCCAGAGGCCACAACGGCGACTGCGCACTGGGTTGGGTCAGTCGGATCGACAGGAATAACATGCGTGCCGATACCGATCAGAGCCGCCGGGCCAATGCGGCCAGGGTGCTTCATTCCAATGCCTCCAGAGGAGGATCCTGCGGCGATGTTGCCGTACTTGTCAATTGCGATCGCCCCAACGGTGTCCGTGATGAAATCGTCTTTATCAGATGGAGGGTTGGCTGTGTAAGCGTCCTTGTCTGGAAGAGGCACACCACTGGAAGACTCCGCCGAGCCATTATCTCCGTGAGTTGATGGGGTACCGTCCGATTGGATTTTTGGTTCAGGACCATCCAAGTCCTTGGCCTGGGCATCCATGACTCGAAAGGGTCTCTCTTGGATGTCAAGTCGACGAGCAGCATCCATGTGCTTCTGGATACTCGGGAAGTCTGCGGGGATGAGAGGCTTCGCCCGACGGAGATACTCCGCTTGGATCTCCGTCTCGTCTTTTGGATTCTCACGTTCCCATTCGGCGATATCAAAGGTCCAATTCTTAAAGCGCTGGCCTGCGAGGGGCGAAACCAACACATCATTGGGAACCACGACTACATTGTTATTCCATGCAAAGTTTGTAGCACCTTCTCCGCAGAGCAGGTTTGGTGGAACGCGCGACATGCCAGGAGACTTGCATGCCTTATCGTAGATGCGACGGGCAAGTTGGATTGGATTCTTGACACCTATTACCAGTTTAGCTTTAGCGAACCATGCACCCACATACGCAGGCTACTCACTGGGTACAGCACCAACGGCTCCGCTGCGACCAAAATGATCGACGATCGAGGCATCACACTCAACAATGCCTTGTTCATTCAGGTTACTACCTAGCCCCGCATTGGTGATCGGCGCATCCTCAAGGACCATAAGTGCCATCTCCACGGCGCTGACCGCAGTTCCTCCATGACGAAGAAAGGCCATACCTGCCTCAACGGCGCTTTTGATACTGTGTTAAATTCCTAGCCTTTCGAACTTCGGGGGAAATAAGGAAGAACTTACAGCTCGCACACCTTCAGGTGCTTTACCTCATTCTCGCGGCTATGATACCCAGCCCCGGCGTGGACAAAGATCGCGAACAGATCATCAGTGCCTTGAGCTTTCGCCATTGTTGACTGAGATTGGTTTGACTGAGCTGGGGACTAGAGACGGGATACTTGAACTTTGAGACTCGGGTGTGCAGTTTTTAGTATCAGAATGAGTGGAACGCGTCAACAACAGTTGATATTGGGGTGTAATGCTGCGGATTCCGAAAGGCCTTGGATAGGCAGCGCAGAGTCTCCGGGAAATAAACAGGCCGGGTAAAGCTGAAGATGCAGAAGAATGGACTTTCTGCGGGCCTGCTACCTGGATGAGAGGAACGCGTCCAAAAGTCTTCAACACAAGCGGGCGTTCAAGCTCTAGCGCCGTGGCAACCAGAAACGATAAGCTGCTGTATTTGAGAGTTCACAAGGAAAGTGAAGAGTTTCCACAGTTAGAGCTGATCATACGGAGGCACAGACAGGAAGTAAGAATAATGAAGGAATCCGCTCATGGGGCACCAAGCATAAAAAATAGGATAAACGATATGAGGCCCCCCTGGCAACAGGGATTTTGGAAAACGAAGTATTCAACTACGTTTGTATGTTATCTTCATGCAGACCCGCTCTGCACTTGCCTGGTTTGGTATCTAGCAGCACCCATTGCTTCTTTCTTTTCATTCCATGTTCATATAGAAAGCTGAGATTACCGTCGTAGTGCCTGCCGTAGTGAGTTTCCTTCTGAGCATCAGTTTAAAACCTGGAGCCTTGGAAAATGCACAATTAAAACATCTTCAGATGCATGATCAATAGATCGCATTTGAATCTGGAAAATCAAAAATAGCCGGGCACATGATGTTGACGTGACCCCCAATTATGTCAGCATGCCTCCCCGCCTTGTCTGCCTGAGCTCCGCCACGGTTGACTTCATCATCCCCCCATTCTACTCGGCGGACTTAAGCGCGGGCCTTGATCTCCTTTAACCGCCATGGCCTCTCAAACACCAGCCGTTGTCATGGACAAGTAAGCCCTGTTCCTCCCCAGGAATTGACTCAACAATGCTGACCCAGCCTCCTTTCCCTCAGCGGTACCGGTTACTCCAAGCTTGGTAAGTCTAGGTGACCAGACATGTAGGTGGAAATTCAGAATCTTCATGGCTAACCATGCTTTACTCTTACTGCAGGATTTGCCGGTAACGATGCGCCCTCTTTCGTCTTCCCTACAGCAATTGCAACCAAGGCCGGTGCCGGGAGCGCTGGAAGCTCGGGTGCGCGGCCCCCCGTTGGCACGAAGCCATCTTTCCTAAGCAGTGGTGGTGGAGGTAGCTCTCATCTTTCTGCAAAGCGTGGAACTGAGGACCTGGATTTCTTCATTGGTGATGAGGCTCTAGCTGCTGGCAATGGTCCTGGATACGGTGTGAACTACCCCATTCGACACGGACAGATCGAGAACTGGGACCATATGGAGCGTTTCTGGTCGAACTCAATCTTCAAATACCTTCGAGTTGAACCCGAAGACCATTACTTTCTTCTTACTGAACCTGTAAGTTCAATTCCGCGCGGTCTTTTCTCCCATAGGCAACGTCAATGCGGAGTGCGGAGACTAAACAATAAACGTGGAATTATAGCCTCTGAACCCTCCGGAGAACCGTGAAAACACCGCCGAAATTATGTTCGAGTCTTTTAACTGCGCCGGTCTCTACATCGCCGTCCAGGCCGTGCTCGCCCTCGCTGCCTCATGGACCTCTTCCAAGGTGACCGACCGATCCCTGACCGGAACTGTCATTGATTCCGGTGATGGTGTAACCCACGTTATTCCCGTGGCCGAGGGCTACGTCATCGGATCATCTATCAAGAGCATTCCCATCGCCGGTCGAGACATTACATACTTCGTGCAGAGCTTGCTGCGTGACCGTGGTGAGCCAGACAGCAGCTTGAAGACCGCCGAGAAGGTGAAGGAGGAGTACTGCTATGTGAGCCCGGACATCGTCAAGGAGTTTGCGCGCTACGACCGCGAGCCCGACCGTTTCTTGAAACACACTGTCACCTCGCCTAACGGCCGTAGCGTTTCCATCGACGTTGGCTACGAGCGCTTCCTTGCTCCAGAGATCTTCTTCAACCCCGAAATCTACTCGTCTGACTTCTTGACCCCGCTTCCCACCGTTGTTGACGGTGTTATCCAGTCTTCGCCCATTGATGTGCGAAGGGGTCTCTATAAGAATATTGTCTTGTCTGGTGGTTCCACCTTGTACAAGGATTTCGGTCGCCGTCTACAGCGTGATATCCGCCACCTGGTCGATGCCCGTATTCGCGCGTCTGAGGCCCGCAGCGGCGGTGCCCGCTCGGGTGGTCTTGATGTCGCAGTCGTCACACACAAGCGCCAGCGGCACGGTCCCTGGTTCGGAGGCAGTTTGCTGGGTCAGACGCCTGAGTTCCGGAGCTACTGCCACACCAAGGCCGAGTACGATGAGATTGGTCCCAGTATCGTGCGGAGATTCGCTCTGCTCGGTGGGCCGGGAAGTTCCTAGATTGTGGGCCGAGGCTCCCTTTTTTTTATCATGTCCCCTGTCAGCCGGTGTAGCTGGACGCGCTTTGTTCATAGTCCTTAGTTCTCTCTCATGCCTTGTGTGCTCTACGTGATGTTTTACTCTTTACCCCTCCACCTTTCCTCTTATTATCCAAGGCGGGCATGGCGCTGGGCCAGCATGCTAAATCTGGTTGCCGAGTATCTCAGATAGAGGAGGATGATTTGGTCGTGGTTTGCCCTTTATTTTGATAGTTATTCAGAAGCGTATGAAACAAAAAAAAATACAAAATTTACATTTATTCTTTACTCCTGCTGGGACTACCAGTGTGTTGCTAAGTAGTTCAGCGGTGTATGACGACTTCTATAGAGTAAATTTCCATGAAACCTTCGTCTTGAGCTACTTGTACATTCTACCCATCTAGTATACCTGCCCACTTTTTTTAAATACCGAAGTATCATATTACTATAAAGGTACATCCTTCCAAGATTATATCAGACACAAGCTTTTCTATGATAGCGCCTTCAGATACTAAAAGCTGATCCTTATGCACCACGCCATCATGGAAGATGGTGCCATTCATTAGGGAGGAGAAAAGGACAGGTAGGCTATATCAGTGGGTCAAAAAGGGCATGAAAAAGCGTGTAGAGAACTAAAAGCTCAATTGGTAGGTTGGATTAAGGCTGATAGTCATGAAGTGATGTATAAATAGCAATATTCAATGTAAATTTAGTATTTCCCTGCATTTTGGTGATCCCATTGACATTTCCCACATAAACGCCGTCAACTGTATGCGAATATTCAACGTACATCCAGCCAACTCGATATCCAGAATCAGAAGACTATTTGTATTACGACGTATTATTCAAAGATTCCACCTCAGATACCAACTCATGCCGATTCCTCCTTCTGGGGAAACTCGGTTCGGTTCAAGATAGCAACACCCTCGACATGGCCTGTCTGAGGGAAGAAATCGAACCCACGAATGCTCTCGATCTCATACCGAACATTCTGCTTTTCATCTCCCTGCACCATGACCGCAACATCGCGAGCCTGGGTGTGGACGTTGCAGCTCACGTAGACAATACGGCGAGGTTTGTAAGAGAGAAGCTGTTGCAGGAAGTCCTCTGAACAGCCTTTGCGAGGTGGGTCAATGACCAGCAGAGTCTGGTCGGCAGGGTATGGGACGTCCTTGAACAAGACGGCTGCATCTGCCGCGGCGAAGCCGGTGCTGGGCAGGTTGTTGGCGCGTGCGTTTTCACGGGCACACATGATAGAGTCACCGGCGACATCAACACCGAGACTAGATTTGAAAATCGGAGACAGAGTAATGGTGAACAGACCCGAGCCCGAGTAAGCGTCGAGGAGGTATTTGATAGGACGGGGATCTTGGTCGTTGCCAGCGGGGATAGCTTGGGAGCGAATGAACTCGGTGAAGCCAGATAAAATAGAGTTGTTGTTTTGGAAGAAACCTCCGGCCTTGTTGCTGAAGGCATAGTCGTCGACATACTCGACAGATGTGGCATTGTTATCGTTAATGCATCGCTTCTCCTCAATGTAGTTTTCGCGTTCGATGCGGATCACATCACCAGTATCTGCGCCTGGGGTTGGCATTAACCATGAAGGTGTCTCCTGAGTCTCCTTGGTCTCGGTCTCCTTGGTCTCGGACTCGGCTGCCGGGGCTTCTTTGGGAATTCGGTAGGTTGATTCGCGCATGAGCAGCGTTGCGCCTTTCTTGTAAGAACGAATATTTTCGGCCACGCGCTTCCTCTCGCTCTTGAGACCACGGCGCACAATGTCTGTTCCCAAGGGACAGTCTTCAATATCCATATCTGCCCTGCGGTTCTTGTATGTAAAGCCAATGGGTGGCACATTGACCTCTTTCTCCGATCCATCTGCGTTCTTGCCCTTAGCACCGCCTTGCGCAAAATGCGGGGTAAGCTTTGTTCGATATCCATATGTCAATGGAGATGGGAACGTCTCTCCGATAGCAGGAACAAGTTCTGGGATCAACCCAGAGAAGTTGGCGTAGGCTTTCTCTACGATGCGACGCTTGTGGGCCAGCTGGTCTTCATAAGACATCATCTGCAATTGGCAACCAGAACACTTGGAGAAGTACTTGCAGCCAATGAGCGCATCATCGCGCTTCGGTCCTGCTTCGATGACGCTGAGGAAATCGGTCATAGTATAGGAAAAAGCTGGGAAGTGTCGAATCACTTTAACTCGGACTTTGTCTCCCGGCACAGTGAATGGTACCAAGTATACATGGTCTTTGTTCTCAGACAGCGCCAGGCCATCGCCAGTCGAGGATATCTCGGAGATTGTCACATCAATTTCGGTGAATGGCTCTGGGAGGGAAGTTGGAGGCACTGGAGCGCTCTTCTCGCCGTTGGATTGGTCTTGTTCGGGTTCGGAGCGGTTCTTCTTGATCAGTTGATCAATGTCGGCCTGCAAGACTTCGTCAAAGCCATTGGCTTTAGTCCGATCGTTCTTGACCTTCTTCTGCCTTTTGCCGCTGAAATGTTTCTTCGGAGGGGTCGACATTATTGCTGCGGGGACTGGCGCATTCGCTAGGTGGCGATGGACGGAGAAATTGGATACGAGGGATGCTCGAATGATTGAACGGGATGAGAGTAAACGAGGATTGGTCTGTCGCCAGAAAAACGGCCGCAACAGAAACATGTACAAAAGACAAATTTACTTTGGATCCAACAAAAAAAAGTCGCGGAGAATTGGAGGCTCGAAATTCTGGAAATTTATTAGAAACTCATCTACGAGGCTGCTAATTGGTTGTTCACTGACCGCCCGCCGAGCAAGAAATTCCATCCCGAATCACTCCAAACTGCCCCGTACGCAATTGTGCTCTATCATTGTCGTCGTTTTTTCTGTTTCTGTTTCTGTGCTTGTAGCTAGCGTGCAGCTGGCTAGCTTAACATTTTTCACAATGAGTCTTGCACGGCCATCAAGATGTCTGCTATGCAGCTTCTCTCGTGTAGCCACCCCAAGCACGCGAGTGCCTCGTCGCCAATTCCACCCGACTCCTGCGATTCTGTCGAACCGGAAACCCAAGTTCCCCAACATCAAGGCTCCCGAGGACCAAAATTTCAATGCCTCTCATTCTGGCCCGAAGCCCAAAGACTACGAGCCCTACACCGCAGAGCAGAAGGCCCGCTTGGGAGAGGAGTACTCGGAGGCCCAAATGAAGGCCATCGAGGCCGGTGAAGCCGCCATTGACCCCAAGGACATGGCCGAACAGTTCCGCCCGCGTACCGACCCGCTGAAATTCAACTACCTGGACGACTTCTCCGTGATCGAGCCCGGCATCGACCGCAACACCCGGGCACCCCAGTCGAACTCGGACTACAACTTCAAGCTGAAGAGTGAGGATGACTTCGTGGAGGACTTTGGCCGCTTTTTCGCCGAGCTGCCCAAGGATGCTACTGGTGCTGACTTTGTGCGGTTCGGTGAATCGCTGCGGTTGACCCATGGCAAGGAGGAGAACGAGCTCAACCCGCATAGCGCATTGGTTCCGGACCTCTTCGGCCCTGGGGAAACTATTGACGATCCCCGCGTGGAGGAAAAGAAGAGCGCTGCTGAACGGGGCGAGAAGGAGCGTTCCCTTGTGGCCGAGGAGCTGACTGATGCCTTGAAGAGCCTTCTCTTGGCCACCGGATACACCAACCGCCAGGTTAACGAACTCCGGACCAAGACCCTTGTTTCCCACAGCGTCGTGAACCAGACCCGTCTTGGTAAGGTCCGCCGCGCTTACCGTCTGTCCATTGCTGGTAATGGCAACGGTCTGTTGGGAATCGGTGAGGCCAAGTCCGAGGAGGCTGCCGATGCTAAGATTCAGTCGCAATACCGTGCCATTCGCAACATGCAACCAATTCCTCGTTATGAGAACCGTACCATCTTCGGTGATGTCAAGGGCAAGGTCGGCGCTGTTGAGTTGCAGTTGATGCACCGTCCCCCAGGTATGTTTAACGTTACGCCACTCTCGTGAAACTCGATATTCAGTTCAACTAACAATCCTTCCAGGCTTCGGTCTCCGTGTCCAATACCTGATTTACGAAATGTGCCGTGCTGCCGGTATCCATGATCTGGCGGCTCGGGTCTCCCGCTCGAGAAACAAGATGAACACCGTGAAGGCTGCGTACGAGGCGCTCATGGGCCAGCGCAACCCGGAGGAGATCGCTCGGGCCCGTGGCCGCAAGATTGTTGATGTTCGCAAGGTGTACTACGCTGGCAAGGTTTAGGGAATTTCCCCTCGTGTATATAATGTGTTCTGATTTCTCTTCTCCGCGTGTTTCCAAATCGCATGTACTTGTACCTGTACCAGTTTGTTCTTTCAAAAGAGGATATATTCAACTACCTATCTCAATGTCAACTTTTGTTCTAGCAAAGCCAGAAAGGGCTATAATCCAGCTGGTATTATCTGCAGTAGTGCACGATCTTTATTCGCTCATGATCGATACCTTGCACGGCGGTTTCTGTTGTTTTGTTTATTTGTGTTTGATATTCACTGTTGATTGTTGATCTATGTGGCTATGTCACGTGATCAACCATTGTATACACCACATGACCTGTTGACATGCTGGCTCTGTTTGTTGGGATCCATGGATATCAATAAACCGTTCAAAATGGCTCGGTACTTCTATAGCCCTCCTTCCAATTTGATAGTACCTTGTTCATATCATGAGCTTGTTATAAGGCGGGGGCGATCTTCATTATTGAAAGAGATAGATTTCACATATGAACACATATTTAACTCAAATTTATGTTGCATTGAATGTACTAATGAGAAGAAAATACAGAGAGCAACATTGTACCGAGCACCAACCCCATGGTACGATATACGGTGTACTTCCCAGTCTAGGTGGACGCCAGTAAACACAAAAGCCCCGGGTATATATACGCAGAAACAGAACCACATAGCATCAATCGTAAAAGCAGCCCCTGGAGTAAGACTGAAATCACTGGAATGTCATGTCTCCCTCGCCCTCATACCCGCCATCACCAGTGTATGTCTGATCCCCATATTGTCCCTCTCCACTCTGCTGCTGCTGCTGCTCTTGATCCTCGTTCCAGATCTGTTGTTGCAAAACAATACTGTAGACGCTAGCCTTGAGCAAAGTGCACACGGTTGCGGTTTTGCGCTCTAGCAGACGGAGACCGTCAAGTGTCATTGAGGCGGGGGAGCCCGCGAGATCGGAGACTTTATCGGAGAGCTAAGGATTGAGCAAGAATCATTAGTTGTGGTCCAACTTCTAATTGATTGCATGCTTGAGAGGTCGGGCCGTTGTGTAGAGGGTTCATAGGTTTGGGCAGGAAAAGAACGGAGCGGGAATTGTGGTTCGGGGCAAAACAAATAATTCGGTGCGGGATGTTTTTTCCCCTGCGTGACGCCAGTCAACTAGGCTCAACTCACCTGATTCACGTTCCGAAGTAGACGAGAGTACTCGTCCAGCACTTCCTGCTCTAGTTCTGATACAAGTGGGTTGTCATTTCCTAGCAGCGGGTTTGCGGAGCGACTGCGGCCGTGCGAAGCTTCTGGGTCGGAGGTCATTTCTTGGTGTATGGGAGGTGTAGTGGTTGCGTGGTCTGGAGAGATATAGGAGTAATCTTGATCATCTTGATCGTCCTGGGATGCGAAGGCCGACATATTGTGATATTCGAGTTAGCTTTGAGCTGGATGAAGAGGACGAAAGAGGGATTGGATGTGGAGTCGTTATGATGTCCCGTGGATTTGGCTCGGGCGGAGCTTCCACTCCACGGTTCCTGGCCAGTATACAAATCCAATCAACCTCCGCATATACGAATCAATGGTAACATGCCTCTAAATATCTGCGTTCTTGTGTGGTCCAGTAAATCTAAAGTACACGAGTTTAGGGGTCTGTCTGTACCTAAAACTTGTGACAGATATGTTTTATTGCCAGACTGTACAAATTAAATTATGATCTCAAGACCACTAATTGAACAAGCACCATAAGGGCATACTCTTTCAAGGTACCAATGCTCGAAGGCTGAGGATCTCGCGCGGATCACGTGAATTCTGTAATTTTTGATTGTTGCAAAGGCACTAGACCTGGGATATAGTGGCTTCACTCCTAGATAAAACAGATGCAAAGGCCAAGATGAGCTTTCGTCGAGGGCCAAAATCGCACAATAGTACGAATCAGACAAAAACAAACCGAAGAACGCAATAGAGTAAGATAACATCAGATCCAAACAGTGTCACGAGTATCGAAGATAAGATCCATAACGCCGTCCGCTGCATCGTAGAGAAAGTAGAGCGATGTATGCCGCAATTTCAGCAAACACGCAGCAAAGTATCGCGGCGCAAGGAATGATTATTCAGGTGCAAGCTTTGCGAACAAGTAATAGGGAGTAGTTCAAGGCCTTCGACGATATGGAGAATGCAAAGATGGGTGGTGCAACACGGCCAAGAAAAAAGAAGCAAAAAAGGAAAAGCAAGAAATCGCAAAGGCAATGAAACCTGACTCAGAAGGCCCCGAAACACTCCGTACACCTGAGATTTTGCAATAGAAGGAAAAGAAAGAAAACAATTTGAATGCGGTCGTGAATGCATCATGGTCGTCAGCAAGCCGATGCCCAGGTGGCTGCCCCCGCATTTGCCAGGAGAAAGGTGAAAGCATGGTAAACAAGAAAAAGATACAATATGGGCTTGGCTCATTAAAGCGCAATCAGTGATCCCCCTCGTGGTGAAGGGTAACGCTGTTGAACTCCTCGAAAGGATCGTTCAACTCGCCGTTGGGAGTCGCGAGGCCAGAGTCCATCGGCACACCCTTCATCTTCGAGCTGTCCTGAGTACCGCCGATGTCCACGCTGGCACTCTCCTTGACATTGCGGAAGTTGATAGTATCCGTACCAGCACGGCCCTGGTGCGGGATCATGGGCGGCTTCATGTGCCGAATAAGCGCCCACTGAGTCGTGCGGAAGAAGGGGTGGGTCTTGACATCAGATGCACCGGCACGAGCGCCAAGACGTTTGGTTTCATCCTTAATCAGGAGCTTGCGGATCAAAGACTTGCACAGATTGGAGGTTGGCTGAGAACCCGAGTGCTCAGGGAATGGTACATCATCCCGCAAGATGCTGGCAAAGGTGGCATTTCGGTTCTTGCCCTTGAACGGCGTGGTCCCATACAGCATCTCATAAATCAAGATACCCAATGTCCACCAATCGACGGCACTGGTGTGGCCGCATCCCTTAATTACCTCTGGCGCAATGTACTCCTCCGTGCCGACGAAGGAATTTGTGCGGAAGTCGGCAATGCACGACTTTGTGTCAATAGTAGGCAAGGCAGCCGAGGACGTACCCCCACTGCGACCAGGAATCATCGTGGGAGCACCACCGGGTCCTGATTGTTTGGATAAGTCGAAGTCTGAAAGCATGATATGGCCAGATTGATGGAGAAGAATGTTCTCCGGCTTGAGATCTCGGTAGATAAAGCCCATCAAATGCAAATACTCCAGAGCAGCAGTGACCTCTGCAGCATAGAATCGGGCAGCATCCTCGGAGATGCACTTGCCGGGCCGGGTTTGTAGAGTTCGGAAGAACTCTCCGCCGCTGCAGTACTCCATGCAGAGATACAAATAATCTTCAGACTGGAAGGAGTGGTACAGGGTAACAATGAAAGGGTGGTTGCTGGTGGCTAAGATCTCTTGCTCGGCCAAGGCACGCTTGATCTTGTTGCGCTTAATCATTTCTTTCTTACTCAAGACTAGATTAAGCGTCAGTATATAGGGTACTTGCAGAACGTGCCATTATGTAGCTTACCCTTCATCGCATAGAGACGGCTTGACTTTTTCTCACGGACCAAGTAGACCTTCCCCACATCACCCTTGCCAATCAATTTGATCTTATCAAAACTGGCGGGGCCCACCTCCACGTTACGAATCTTGATCGAATTCGAGCTATAAGTGCGACGGAAGCCATCCCCATTGATAACGGGCACCGTAAGGGCAATAGGGGCATCGATGTCAGTGATAGTCGACTCGATAAGGGGCTCTTTACCCATCTCGGCGGTCTGGGGTCGGCCATCGCCCTGGCCGCTGTTGAATAAGCCTTGCGCATTGGGAGCAGACGCAACACGACGCAATTTGCGCGCGAGTTCCTCTTTATTGGCCGTGTTCGCCTGCTCCACAGCAGAAACCCCGGTGACCTGCAACTCGGGGGTATCGGGTGGGGACGAGGGCACAGACCCGTCGTTCCGGTGTCTCAAAGCCGGTTGGCCCTGGTGGGCGAAGTACGGATTGGCGGTGGCAGTAGGTGACATGCCATCATCCAGGGCATTTCCTTCACTGGCACAAGTTGTTGAGCGGTTGCGACCAATAGTTGGCAGGAAGCGAGATTGTCGGAAAGCGCTGGACTTTTCGTTCTTGGCGGGAGCCCCTTGGGTCTCCTTCTCCCGCTCGCCAGACGGGCTGCTAGCGTGGGAGGAAGTATGGCTGCTTGAGCTATTGATCCGGAAAAAGCTCTTGATTCTGGATTGCAGATGGCCCGACTCATTGGAGTGTTTACGGGTAGGGAGGGAAAGACCGGGGAAATTCCCGCGCTTTTCGTTCATTGCCGAGGGACTAGACGCAAAAAGCTGCGTCATGGCGGAGGGGCGGGAAAGTTGGGAATCAGATACTGCCCCCCAGAACGAGATTGGAATCTCAGTGGGAGGGTTGGACTCGAGGGAAAGATGAAGGAGAAAGCGGTGGCGGGGCGTTCAGAGAGAGACCTGGGAATGACAGGTTGGAGATACAACAGCGGGGGCCTTGATTAGCACACCAAATTTCAACGAGGGAGTTCCACCCAAAAGAATGGCAAGACAAGCACAGCAAGAAGATTCATTAACAAGTCTGCATTTTATACCCCCAATATGGAAAGAGGGAAATCAAGCCAGGTTGAAGTTCAGAGAGAAGGGGAGTCGGGGAGTGGAGAAGGACGCGGAGGCTGCTTAGTCATGGGTTTGGCATTCTTGGAGATTACTGATAAAGTGATAAAGAATCTGTTCAACCTATAGATGATTGCTATGATGATGATGTTCTTTGATAATAATTTTGGTATCTAAGATCGCGAGAATTCACCTGATATTCTGTACGATAATGTAACGAGAACATACATGAGTAACTACATGGTACACAAAGAAAAAAAAATTCCCCCCCACGGGTGGCAACATACATATTTTGCCATCACGGGTACCAAACTCTCCGAACTATGGGTTGATCTAGACTGAACTAATCACAGTCCATACTGCATCTGAGGAAATCTGGAACCAGGGGCAGGCCCACGTGATCTGTTATCACTCTTTCATTCTATCATCCCGGAGAAAGTAACATCCCCCCAGCCCTAACTGTTCCCATTCTGCAAGATCACTGGTGGAACACATACGAGTAAAGGTAAAGCATCATCTAGCCTCCACCTAGCGCTCAAAATGAAACTTGAAGATATCTCTGAAAACCTAGGGGACACGGGCTCTCAAAACTTGTTGTCGGCTCTTACCATTCATCTGCTCAAGCAAAGCCGACTTTCACGTACAGGTTTTGGCCAGATAACCTACGAACCTCTTATCACACGCTATAAATTATCACCGTAGTAACCGTAAAGTCTGTTTCATTAACAATATAAGCTCCAAGATTATATTTTATGGTTGGCCACGGGGGGGGTATATTTAATTATTTGAAAACGGAGTGAGTAGCTTTGCAAGAGAGCAATGTCTTCGTAAATTGTTTAGTCAGATACCGTATACCCCTCGGACCTTACCTCTTGTATGGCCTTCCAGACGCCTACCATACATTTGCTACGCTATATGCCCAATGTAGTACATTATCCAGCCGGCAGAGTAATCTCTGGTGAATGGCCAATTAGCACCAGGCTTCACGAGGAACTCGAGTTGCTTTCTAACATTGCATGTTTGATTTACCCTATCAAACTTAGTCAGATCTATAGACTAGCACGTTTTTATCCTTCTCGGGAGCCCGGTAAGTTCTAGAAGGAATTTAGGCCAAGCCTATCATCCCGCTAGGTGTTCTCCAATACAACTACTGTCACTACTATTACTGCTACACGACAAAATGCCACAACGCCAGCACGCTGGAACGCAGGAAAGCAGGAATAAAGACAAGCTGAACCACCCTCACCTTATGTTCAGTATTCGTAACACCCCTCAACTAACAATAAAGAAATCACAGGAGCCCCCCATTCCGTTCACTCCTCATCCCTTTCGCACAGACAAGCAACAGGACGAGGCCTTGATGCAACCCTTCATTACTCTCATCGACACAGACTCATCTTGACCTTCCTGAGCGGTGTTGGATACCAGGGTATTGGTATCAGCCTCATGGTGCTGATAACCACCCGGCTGGGCAATCTCACCATGGACATTTGCCGTGCTGAGCTGCACAATGGGTTGATGGTGGGGAATATTCACCGGCAGGAGGACTAGGCTCATTTGATCATTGTCATTCTGGCTTCCGTTGGTAGGACTTTCAGCGCCGATGGTCTCATCTCGATTACTGATTCGGTGGTGGCTGCGTTCGTCTTGGTCTTCACCCGACAAGTTTGGCTCGTTGTTCGGGGTACCACCAGACCCAACATCATCACCTGTCGAATCCTCATCTCCAAGCTCATTACCCGACTCCCCATCGTAAACATTCGCCGACAAAGACTTACCACCCTCAGATCCGGTGTCCTCGACATCATCGGAATTCTCACCCTTGGATTCGCTGAGAGATTGCCAGTCCTCACGCAATCTCTCAATCGAAGCGTCACCTTCCAGCTGGGGCCACTCATCAACGCCATCATCGGTGTAACCGGAATCTCTGTATTGCCGCCACTTGTCAGAGAAACCGCTTTCAGGCATTGGCGATGGCGGTAGCTCGAAGCAGGCCTCCGAAGACAGAGACGAGGGCAATGACGATCGATGCGGCGCGGTCGGTTCTTCGTATGAATCCATCATCTGCTGATTCCCTTCTTCGGTATTGTCAAAAGGGCGTGGAGGAGCAAAATGATGTCGGTCATGAAACCCTTGCTCCCTCTCCACCCGATTCTGATCTCTAATACTTGAAGGTAATTCTGTCATCCTGGCGATGAGCCCGTCGAAGATACTGACTTCAATTCCGTTGTCATAGGTACCATGGATCAAAGTACCATCGTAATAAGTGCCATTGACTTGGCTACTATCGACTTGAGTACTGGCAGCATCAAGAGTGCGAGAATCTTCAAGGATCCAGACCCTCCGAAAATTTCCGGTCGCGCCATGATTGTGTGCCTGCTCCCCGAACAATAACGATTCCATCCCGTTGACTTGAGTACCGACTCCAATCCCGTTGGTTTGAGCACCGACTTCCATGCTATTGACATGGGTGCCGTCGACATGGGTACTGGGAGTATCGAAAATGCCAGGCTCTGTATCTCTCTCAAGGTTCCAGTCGTTGTTGGATCCATGAAGACCACCGGGTGTGCCGTAATTGCGTTGGTCATGGCCTAGCTGGCTCAAAATCGGCAACATGTTTTGATTGAACCAGCTAGGCCACGGACTCTCTATCTGGTCCGGCCCAGAAGGGGTGAAATTTGCCGTGCCAGTCGGTTGTACACCGGGAGCCTGAGTGAAATCTTGCAAACCAGCGGTGCCCATGGATGCATCACTCAATGTTCCGGAGATATGTTGAGGTCTATATATCATAGACCCATTTTGAGGGGCATACGGAAACTGGTAAAGCGGTATTCCAGTCGAAGCAGAATATGGATGCAAGTGGAGAGGGCTGACCCCAGGCGCCAGATTAGGCGCCATGTTAGGGGCCATGTTAGGAGCCGTGTTAGGTGCCATATTAGGTGCCGTGTTGGAGAATGTTTGAAGCCTCCTCCGTGATTCATGGACAATCTGCCTCATGTTGATGTACAAGACTCTCATGTCTCGATCTCGAGGACGAGTCTCCAGTGTGCGGGCGATGATCTGGTCTAGCTCCCTGATAATTCGATCAATGGGGTCAGATAGTGCCAGCAGGTCACGATACAGGCCATCCACCCAGTTCGAGTTGCCGGCAGTTTCTTCTACCAAGCTATCAACAAACCCCCTCCAACTTTCAGTCCTGTGATCATCGGATCTCATCCAGGCAGCAAGGTAGAAATGCCCTGGCGGAAGGGCAGTATGCATCGCGGTCATCGGAAAGAGCGACTGAAAGAGCCGATCTGGCGACATTCGGCGAATAGCTGATGAGTTTGTGTTCAAGTTCAAGCTTGCATAAATGGGATCAAGAATATCCATGGGCATGTGTGGTGCGAAGATATCCGGGGGGAACCATTGCCCCGGGGGCATGTAGGGTGACAAAGGAGTTGGGAAGATACCACCATGAGCATAAGTATGATTTTGTCTGCTGTTTGACTGTGCATATTGATCGTTGGCTAGCAGGGACGATGGGAAGGTAATGTTCGCATGTGCAGGCCGAGGAGGGCTATCGACAGGCGTGGTAGACTGGGAACCCCAATGCTCAGTTGGCTGAGGAACCTGCGCATCAACAGTATCAAGAACAGGCTCACTTGGCTGTACATTACTGGTGGGTTCATTGACCATGACTTGCGGTGCAATTTCCCAATCGTGGGATGCATTCTGAAGAGCGGCGGCAGATGTTCCGCCAACAGGAACTATTATGTCCCCCAGGAGAGAGGAAGGTCTGTCAACAGGGACTCCCCTGCCCTCCACGAGAAAGAGTCTGTCAACAGGATCCATGGCAACTATTCGACCTCCAGCGGTGACTCTTTGGTGTAGCGGGGAGGAATGTGCTCGAAGGAAGCGAACGAAGCCCGGATCTTCTATTGAATTCAGAGCGACCGATGGGTTTCTGCTATTTCGGCGCTTTCGCGAGTCAAAACTCGCTTTTGAAGTCGAAGGCTTAGCTGGTCGAGATGACAATGACTTGCCAGTCGTCTTTTCTACTAGCCTATTTGGAGTATGCTCTGTGAGGGCGGGACTTTGGCGCTGAGCAGGTTGCAAAATTCTGCCTGTATCCAATATCAGCAGGTATTCATGCATACTGCTTGCTGTAGTGCTCTTCATTGGCAGGTTTGAGCTTTGCAGTGTGATACAAGCCGCTTTGAAAAGGATACTTGCATGTCAAAGTCCTAAGAACTTTGCAGCAGATATTGCCTTCCTGAATATGGAATAGCTGCTCCTTGGTGATTCAACAACCATGAGAATGGTCTGGAGTTGTACAGGCTCCCCGAAATGCCAAATCGACGCGTCACGGATCAGAATGATTGACTTACAGTATTTTGATTCAACCGTCCAGCGACAGGGGACGCTTTCCTGTGAGAGCTCCATTAGGGTTGGAATGCTGTACTTCATTATGATCAAGATCCAACCTGTGGCATACCTGAAAGACAGAAGAGACAGAAACTACTCGTTGTGGCGTGGTTCGCCTCGATCGGTTGAATGAGGGAAAGGGCGACGGGAGGATGATGCGAAGGGAAGAATGGAGGCGAGGCTTCAAGTGACGGAACGATTAACGCCTAGGGCGCTTCAAAAAATCAGAAGCAGAAAAAGACCATCATCTCGAGGATTTAAATTGAAGAAAGGTGGACAAGAATGTTACGATCTGGGTGATCAACGCGAGCGAGATTGATATCACACACTTTCGCGGATCTTGACAGGTTGTAAATGACTATGAAGCCGCCACTCATCAGGCTCCGCTTCAGGAGCCGACGACTCGGCGAAAGAGCCTCTTCCTTGAGTGGTCGGCTGGTTATACTCCATTTCCGAATTTTGCTGGCCCATTTCCCAGCTTCCCAATCGCTCCTGCCCACGGACGATCACACCTCCGGCAGCACCCCCATCATCCTGTTCCATGTCGGCAGTCTTGCCAGTCCCCCAGATGGGATTACGGAAAGAAATATCTGCATCGCTAGCAAGCTTGCTGGTTCCCTTAAATCCTCCAATGCTCGGTTTGTGACCACCTTCATGACCTCCTCCGCGCTTACGCAACCCGCAAATGAAGAATCCAACCACAGCTAGCAATCCAATCACAACCAGCGTGACGACCGCTCCGATGACACCGGCTACTGCGGGTGCCATGCCTTTCTTCTGGTTGGCGGAACTATCGCGGTCCTGTGCCCCTGCACAGAATACGGAGCTCGCATTGCACCGCAGACACCACTCCTCAATTGATTGAACGGAAAAGGTCTCAATTTCAGTTTGAAAATCTGTCCAGGGGATGTAGGTTTGGCTGGGCCCATGTCCAAAAACTGGGAATGAAACAAATTCCGTGGAAGTGTCTGTGCCGTTGTGCAAGAAGAACCGCACGTACATTTCACTACTGTCTGGGTAGCTATCATCATCCGCATCGGTGCCAAAACTGTAAAGCTCAAAGACCAACGAAGCGCCTCGAACAGGACGAGAGTAGAAGTTGGACTGCTGTTCGCTGGCTAGGCCTACCAGTGAAGCCAAAGCCACAGCAGGCTCATCACCACCAAAGAGCAACGTCATTTGTGGACCGGTCCCATCCATCATATATGTATTGAATGAATTCAAAATGCTGGATGCGAGTGTTTGACCTGCAATGGGACTGACGGTACCAATGGTGGATCCGCTCAAGGTCGAAGCGTCCTGTCCATTGGTAGCATAGGTGAACTGATCCGCCAAGGACCGCGCCCGGATCAGATCATCACCAAAGAGATGGTCTATTGTAGTACTGTTGTGCAAGACCTCATATTCTAGATAGTCTGCAATACTAACAGCGTTGGCATAAGTCGCCGTTGACTCATCAAAGACCCCAGAAAGCACTTGATGCAGGAGTTTTTCGTAGAACACTTCCGTATCCTGAGTAATTATTGCTGCCTCTTCGCTGTTGAGGTACTCGGAAACTGCAGCCTGATACATGCTGCAGCTTGATTGGCCAGCTACAAGCAAGGATCCTGGGTCAGATTCGCCAAGTGTAACAATCCTGGGGAACTGATATCCGTCCAATGGTGCCGAAAAAGTAGTTCCGTTCGCCGTCTCATCCGTAGTGTTCATACCCTCATCGCCAAGAGGCGGGTAAAGCCCAAGCATGAATGCCTGCGCTGAGGCGATGACATTTTGCTCAGTCGTCGAGAGCACCTCCAAGTTCTGCGACATCAGATAAGATGCAGATATAGACTGAATTGCGAACTCGGTCGCATTGGTGCTCCCAGCCGACGACACATAGCGGTCCCGGAATGCTGTTCCAGCGGCAGCAAGCTGATTGGCTCCGTAATCCGACAAGCCTGCTGCATGTTGTTCAAACAGTGCCTCCGGGGTACTATCTCCATAGAGAGTATATGCGAACACGCTCCAGACCTTCTCGGTATATTCAGCACTGGTAAGAGCAGGGCCCTGGAGAACCAGAGCCACAAGCACGAGGAATTGGCAATTTTTGAGCATGTTGATATTCAAGCCCCTCGATTGTATTTGACCTGCTCCAAACGCCGGTTGATGTAGTAATGTCTGCCAATAGAGGAACAGGTAGTTGTCCCGAAAACGAATCCAAAGTATAAAGGAGCCCGGGGGAGCTACTGAAATAAAAGCAAGCCATTGCCAAAACTTGGATGGACTCTAGGGTAGGTTGCACGGGCTAGACCCCTGGACCAAGCTCTATGGATTCAAGAATATCATGGAAATCCTTCCAAAAAGAGGCCGTTTTCGGAAGCTGGCGGTGTTTGGGGCGCAAACCTTTTTGGGGGGCGCAGCGGATCAATTAAGCAACGAGGTATGATAGAGTTTCGGCAAATTTGCTACATGAGCCTGGTATCTTTTGACAGGAACTCTGATCCGATATCCCGAGGCAATCAAGTAGCACTCCAATTCCACTCAAAACTCCCGATGCCCAATGTCCGAGATGTTAGCGCTAGGGATGTGCTTGAGGTAGTTGTCTTAGACCCCAGTGGAAATATTTCAGATTTCGTTATTTATTCTTCTCTTTTTGCAAAGTCGAGTTCCAATGTTCCAATGTTTCGTGGTTGAGGTGTGGTTCGAAGGTTACACGCAGACCATTTCGAGGTCGATGACGCGCACAAATTTTCCTTCATATCCAAGGATAGCTGCCAGGGACAGTGGGTCAGCCCTATCCCATTCTTGGTATCGCATCATGGTAATATCAGCATGTTGTGATGAGAAGTTTTCTGATCCTATGTCAAACATGACGTCGAGAAAATCGTTGACGGCCTGAGGTGTGATTCAGGCAAAAGTCCGGGGTCAATGCCTAGTCCGGGGTTAGTGCATTAGCCACCCAATGACAACGCATACCACGAATTTTTGTTGGAACTGTTCAAATTCATAGCAAATGGAGCGGTGCTATGTGAAATTTGAGATAATAGTCTTAAATGAAGCAATAGAAGTGCATTCAATCTGTATGTGCTAGTGAAAAATTTCATTTACTGTACGACAGTGAGGCGTATTATTTGGCGGTCATGGAACTGACCAATGAATACCAGGCCCCACCGGCAGAAAATCCCTGCGGCTAACAAAGACCAATTCTCCCTCCTTCAAAGCCCTACAAATGCGCCCTACCCCTAAGCCCTCATTTCTGCTCTTGGAAAGTTGATGGTCAACCCCCTCCCTTTTCACGCCCAGATGGTCGAAACTCGAGGCTCCCGACCATCCTTTGATGGTTCTGTGGAGTTACCCTCTTTTGGTCCTGTTGATGGCGAACTTGGTGAGTCTGAAATCGAACACCCCGTCAAAGCTTGTCCCCATCCCGCCTCAATCCCAAGTCGCCGCTCAGCCCCCCTCACAGCATATCGAATACCTTTCTTGACTGACGTAGATCCTTTTCAATCGATCGCAGACCAGAAATTCTCGCACCCTCTAGAAGAGGACGAGGAACATGGCTCCCCACCCGCGGCGAAAAAGCGCCGGACCGACTCTGCCTCTGGCGACATCTCCTTCCATGATTCTTTCGCCGACCACCAGCACGGAGCTGGCCATAAAATTGAAGAAGAACTTGCGACGGCGCTTGGAGAAGGGATTGTAGATACACTGGAGCCGACGGATCACACGCAGATTAACCACAACCAGCCGGACGCCACCCGCGAAGAGGACCCTAACCTCAACCCTGATGTCGCGTCCATCATCTCAGAAATAATGGACCATACCGATCGTCAGGAGCATACTGTTGCGATGGGTCCTCAGGAAGTCGGCCCATCGGGTGAATTCCCCGGTGCCAAAGGCTACGCGTTCCTCAAGGCCAACTCTCACTTGAAGATTCAAAGTTTGCCCATTTTGGATAACCTGGTAAATTCTGCACCGTCGGTTTGGGCTTTTCAGTTGCTAAATATCCTCACAGTCAACCCAAATTCTTTCGTTCCTATCCAAGAACAGCTATCAAGATTTGACGGCCATGATTTCGGAGCCAGATTCGGAGAATGGCCAAGCCTATGCAACCATGCGCTCCCTCTTTGATCACACCAAAAGGGTTTACTCTGTAAAACACTCGTTTCTCCAGTTATCCGACCTCGAAATTACGGATTCCTCCCAGGTCGATGTCATTCGCAAGGCCAACCTCGCCTCTTTCGTGTCCAGTATCTTTGGTTCTCAGGAAATTGGGTTCGCTGAGCTGAATGAACATTTCCTGAGCGTGTTCATGTCCGATGGTGGGAGGTTATTGAAGGTTCAAGCTGCCTTGTACCTGGAACTAAAGACCCAGGCGTTCATCGCCGCGATGAATAACAAATCGCGCACCCGGACAAATCTCTTGTATGAGCTGTTTCCCGATGATATGGAGCGGCGATTGCTGGAGCGACGCCCAGGCAGCAAGCAATTGGCCCCAAGTGAAACAGATTTCGTCAATCGACTTGCCTCTCGCCGTGACCATCTTCTCCATGATATTAACAACGAGGAGGCAATGAAGAGCCTCCCAGACAAGTACCAATGGGAAGACTTCCTGCGCGATCTGAGTTCTTTCATCTCTAAGAACTTTGATACTCTTAATACCCAGCCGGTTGGTTTGCACCCCATTCTGTATCATCTGATTATACGCTAACAACTTCCAGGGCAAGAAACCGGTAAAGGGACGACAGCCATCAAGTTCAAACGGCGATGCGCAAGAATCTCCGAGTACCACCCACCAAGGCCAATTTGCTGTCACTCAGCCTGTCGAGGTACCAGTTGATCGAAACATGCACGGTGATCTCGTGGCTCGTGCCGCTCGTGCCGCGCAAATTGCTCTGCAGGGTCATGGTCTTCGGCGCTCACAACAGCAGTCCCAGCTGCAGCACCAACACCAACAGCAGCAACCGCAATCCCAAGCCAGCCCATCTCCATCTCATCAGCCTATACAGGTGCAACAACAACAACAGCAGCAGCAGCAGCAGCAGCAGCAGCAACAACCACAACATACCCCTCAGCCCGATAATCAATATCTTCATGGTTACACTGCTGCTCAGCAACCTGGACAAATTGCCCAGCAACAGTATCACAGCCCGACACCTCCTGGTGGATATCAACAACCACCTGGTAGTTTGACATTCCAGCAAAGCCCACTACAAACCAATTTCCAGCAATACACCCCCAATGCAGCCCAGACCATGCAAGCGCGAGCAAATGGAATGTCTGGAAACCATGGCTATATGCCTGGGATACCTCATTACACCCAGTCACAGCCCACCCAAGTGCTTTATGAGCGTGCCCGGATGGCCGCTTCTGCTAAGTCTTCCCCAACCAGCCGCAAGTCTGGTCTACCCAGTCAGCGCCGACCCTGGACCACTGATGAAGAGAGTGCGCTCATGGCTGGACTGGATCGGGTAAAAGGCCCTCACTGGAGTCAGATCCTCGCCATGTTTGGCCCTGGTGGAACTATTAGTGAGGCTTTGAAGGACCGAAACCAGGTTCAACTTAAGGACAAGGCTCGTAACTTAAAGCTTTTCTTCTTGAAGAGTGGGATTGAAGTACCTTATTACCTGAAATTTGTCACTGGTGAGCTGAAAACCCGTGCCCCGGCACAGGCTGCCAAGCGAGAGGCTCGGGAGAGACAAAAGAAGCAGGGCGAGGAAGACAAGGCTCACGTTGAAGGCATCAAGGGCATGATGGCCTTGGCTGGAGCCCATGCCTCACCTGTCGGTGGTCATGAGATGTCTGCATCGCCAAGTCTGCCCCCAGATGCCAACAGTCAGGCAGTCTTTGATCAGACCGCTGAGCAGAATCTGATGCAAACACTGAGCCAGGAGGTTCACGGTAGTCAATACCAGCACCCTCAACCGACTCAGGACCACATTGATCCACACATGCAGCTGGGCCAGTGAACAACAAAGTTTGTTGCATCTGCGAATCATGATAGTATTGTGATATTTGACGATCTGCTTCCGGTCTGATGCCCTTTTATCGTTTGAGCGAATATCACAAAAAGGTGTTTGTAACTTGTTTTTTTTTTTTTGCACTTTCTTTCTCTTCTTCTCAATTACACACTGTATCACTGTACTATGGGGTTGCACAATTGAGGATTTTTGTGGATTTTGGAGCATGAAGATGTATGAGGCATAAGTTGGAGCTGAGCTTAGGGGTTTGTCTATTTCTTTTTTCTTCTTTGCTTTTTGAATGTACGAGTACATATCTGGGTAGCTATGAAATTCAGACGACTGAATAGAAACTCTTCAATCTTGGAAATCATTCGTGAAATGGTGCATCGATCATGAATACTACAGTAATTCTTCAGCTCCGCTATCACATGTGGCCCGTGCACCCGTTCTCCGCCCGCGTCTCACTGGCTCTTTCATCCGTGAATGCATAGAATCTCCAACACCCCGGGATCCCGAGTTCACTGCCATTGATTGGTCTCACCAACCCCTGGTCCCCTGCAGCCTATTCGTTTTCAGAGGGTCAACCCTCCTATGACTGCCCAAGATGGCTGACACTCAACCCTCCCCCCTCTCAGCAACCTTCGAACGGGTCACAAGAGCCGCCTGCTCCTTCGTCCACCGCACCACCAGAGACAGCTGACTCTGCCATCAAACCCGATCCTGACCTTGACGCTTCCATCGAACAAGATATCGACATGAACGCCGACCAGAACGCGTCCGGCACTGCCGATGAGAATGCGCCTGACCTTGACACACTGGCTGCTGCACCGCCACCAACCAAGAAGGAGACTAGTTTGCGTGAATTCTTGGGAAAGATGGATGACTATGCCCCTATTGTATGTGGATGCACCCCTCTCCCTTCCGCTGTGGTGCAATCTCAATCTTCTTCTGTGATGCCTTCGCGGCTTGACCTTGAAATAGCGATTATCACCTATGCACATGATATTGCTTAAGAGAGAGAGGAGAAACATCAAAGCTAACCTATTTCCTCTCAGATTCCTGATGCCGTAACGGCTCACTACCTTACTCTTGCTGGTCTTCCACCCCCCGGCACAGGGCCCAACCAAACACCCCCTCACCTCGCCCGCCTCCTCGCGCTGGCCACGCAGAAGTTCGTCTCTGACATTGCCGCCGACTCATATCAATTCGCACGTATCCGTGCCTCAAACAGCTCATCTGCCAACAATCCGATGGGCAGTCTGAACGCAGCTTCCGGTCTTGGCGCCCCTGCCGGCATGGGCGCCGCGCCGGGTGGTGCAGCTGGAGGTGATAACAAGGGTGGCAAGGGCAACACTCACCTTGGAATCCAACGTCCAGGTTTTGGAGGTGGTGGTTCCGGTGGGTCTGGACAGGGACGGACCGTCTTGACAATGGAGGATCTCGGTATGGCTGTTTCAGAATATGGCGTTACTGTCAAACGCGGAGAGTTTTACCGGTGAGTGTACTACGTGGATGGAGAATAAAGGTCATCTGAAGACCTTGCTCTGCGTCTCGTTCCTTTTCACGTTTATTTGGTGGGCTTTTACTTTCTGGCGCTGGGCGTACACGTTGATACCCGATGGGTGCGGGATGGATATCCCAAGCATTTCAATGGTTCGGAGTGGGTTTTAGAATGAAAAACAATGCTACCATACCTTCCGAAATGACTAGACTTCTGTGTCTGAGCAATCATTTCTTAGTTCCCACCTTGCGCTAAAAGTATGGTATAGGATTGGAAGAGGATGTAGCAGTCAAGAATTCGGTTTTCATCATCAATTTTTGATGTTTGCAGTGTGGAAATAGCCTAATGGCCCCCCAAAATGTTAAAACAATTTATGAATGATATTGATATTGATATTGAACAAGTTCCATGGTTAAACTCCATCCCACACATATAGCTAATGTCACAAGGGAACCACTGATGTATCTGTACATGGGCCACAAGGCCAAACCAAAAGAAATAATCCCGCTTGGTACGGGACAAGGGAATTCCAAGATTTTATTCCAATCTCGTGAAAAAAAAAAAGACGCAATTCGAGGCGAGGTGTTCGAAGGGATTCGAGATGGGAAAAGGGTAGTCCGCCGGAAGGAAAAGAGGTCTTCAACTATCCGGATCGAAGCGCAGTCACGCTTTTCGTCTATTTGTTCTTGGACTGCTTGTATGTGAAACGCTTGCGGGTTCTGTATCCGTAGGTTAGCATCGTGGCAGCATAGCCAACACCAACATGGAATCGGTGTCCTCAACTCGGGTCCTTCAATGGAGGGAAGACATACGCAACATATTCACCGAGCTTACGTCCGACCATCTCCTCGGTGATTGCAATTTCCTGGTAGGTCTTGCCGTTGTGGACTGCAAAGCGCAAACCGACGAAGTTGGGCAGGATGGTTGCGCCACGCTTTGTCGTGCGGATTGGGGGAGTGTTCGGGGGAGGAGGGAGGACCCGGGGGAGAGGGAGACTAGAAGACAGTCCGTGTTAGTTACGGTTTTCATCCTGCTTCCGACCGTCTTGTAGAGCTTGCTACTTGTTTCCTGGCGGGAGACGGGGTGTATGGACTTGAAGCGGGTTGGACGTACGGGACGATGTTCGGGCCTGGCTGGGAGTTAGCAATTGCATGATAAAGGAGGTAGTAAGTTTGAGCAAGTTTTTCTTACCTTTCCAGACCGACCGGCCTAGCAGGGCTCGTGTGGGAAACATGATGTGGCGGACGATCGGAGGAGGTTCGTAGTGAAGCCGCGAAAGTTGAAAAAGATCGGGGTTGGATTAGGTCAGCGGATGATCAGCGCAAACATGCAATACAACATGCTGCTCCTCTTCTACTGCATGAGTACCTGAAACCCCTTTCTTGCTTTATTCCTAGTAGTCTCTTCAGTCTCACCAAGAAAATTAGTATTTGAAACTTACCCCAATAGTCTTCTTCATTTAACTTGCTTCTCCGCTCTCAACATCTCATACCACATATACAGTTTACTCCTGATCATCATCATCATCATCATCATCATCATCATCATCATCATCATCATGCGCGATCAGGCTATCGTGCCACAGCAACCCCATCTGGAGATCTTCAATTCTCTACAAGAGGGGCCCCGTGAAGACCGACAATTTTATCTTTTCCCGCTTCTTCCCACGGAGATTCGTTATACCATATGGGAGTATGCTCTGCAACATCGACGGATCATCCGTATCAACTTCATGATACTAGACGAAGCGAAGTTCAATGATGGACCAATGCTTAGATACAACGAGTCCTGCGCCACTGCTTTGTATGGGTTCCAGATCTTTAACAAGCTGTTCCGAGTCAACAGCGAGTCCAGGAAAATTGCACGGGCGTTTTATCGAGTTCAATTCCCCTGCCTATTTCAGAATGTCCTCGGCGACATGGTACCACGCACTTGCTACATCAACCCAGAATACGATACTCTTCAGTTCGATGTCAAAAAACCCTTCCCATGGGCTTTCATTGATTTCCTGTACCTGCTAAAGAAGGATTACGACCCCCTCCATATCGGGCTCCTGAGCTTAGCACTGGACAAGCCTTCTCTGTTGAACATCCAGCTCTTCATCACACAAGAGTATTCAAGGAACTCATCCCTGGAAGCCATGCCGGATCTCCTAGAAACTATCATCCAGCTTCGAGAACTTTATTTTGTTGGCACACAATCGGCTCGCCAGATCTTCAACAGCACGGTTCCTGCATGTGACTGGCCACACTTTAATCGCGCATTGCCCATCAAAGCGGCTACCTGTAACTTTACACTCCTCCCCCGAGATCCGCGTTCAATTCACCAAGACCTATCCAATTTGTATTTGGGCGAAAACCCTCGCGACATGGTGGACGCTTGGCGGGAAATCCTACGGGTAATGAAAACATGGCCCGCCAAGATCAACTACCAATTTCTACTAGCTTTTCACCCCCCAAGTCAAGTCCAGATATCCAATCGTGAGAATGCAGCTGAATGGCTGCGTAGTGAGGATGAAGAATGGCGAGGCGAATGGCGACTGGGCAGTGAGATACGAAATGGAAATTGGGCTCTGAGGTACTGGGAGTATACAGACCGAATCGACGAATGCGAGATTGGCGCTCTTCATGAAAGAAATCATGGTGAGAATCTTGAAAAAGCTGTCAAACCTGCCTTTGGGTTCTGGTTGTTTCAGCTCAAAACGATATGTAATTGGCCAGATGATCCGGATGGTGAAATTTTTGAGTGGCCTGAAGTCTGTTCGCTGGCTGAGGAGTGGCCAGCTCTTGCATTGTCTTCTCTCCCATGATCTACTTGCGTGTCGCATCCACCGGTGTAGGTAGCTTGAAATTGCTAATTGGAGGGTCAATTTATTGTTGCATAGCATGAATTGCTTCAATACCTTCGAGTGCCGGTCTTTAGGAAACATTTGACAACTACAGTATATCTGCATATACGCAAGAATAATTGGAGATGGAAACATAGAACAGCTATGTTTGGCTAGTTCCCGGATTTAAATATGCTAGCTAAATCGCTTCGAACATGCGAAGACTCCAACGGTCGCCTGCGACCAGTTGAGTCCCATGATATATCTATACAGTCGTCACTCGGCAAGTTCCTCCATGATCTTGATCAAGCTGCGAAGCCCCTTGAGCATATTCTCATCGGGACCTTCACCGGGTGTCCATTTCGCATGTGCGAAGTCAATCACCCGCAGATCATGGACCTTCGGTGTGTCTTCATCGTCCTCATCATCATCTAGATCTATTTCCGGCATTTGGGCCGTTTGAGGATCGATGCTGATATTGATTGCTTTTTGAGGCATTCCGTCGCCAAGTCGCACATCAACCAGTTCAAATGCTTCTTCGGAGATTTCGAAATCGACCTCTTCGTCATCCTCTTCTTCCTCTTCCTGGTCCCGAGGCTGCTCAGAGAGTCTTTTCTCCTCCTCCAAAGCAACTTCCATCGCCTCGGGATCTGCCTCGTAGACCACCAACACACTGGACGAATACATGCGACTTTCTTCAGACTCGAGAACTTCCTGGACGTTTTTCAATTCTTCCACAATTCTTCTCGCGATCATTTTCGACCGGTCCACTGAGCCAGCTTTAGCACCAGCCAGGAAGGTTTCAAATCCTTCCTTAACATTCCCTTCGTTGAAGGATCGGCCATACCACTTGTCATAGCGTCGATACCCATTCGTCTCGATAACCTCTCCTTTCTCCCCCTCAGCACCCTCATACTTAGTAGCGTACGGGTTGGTCCGAGCGCCTTCGTCTAACTCCCCATCTTGGCCCGTCCAGACCTTCATCCCCGCAATACGGAATCCCAAACTCGAGCTCGTAGTCTCTTTCGACACCGCATCCAGCTTCGACCGCTTCGCAGGCGGTGCATCGTCAGCCCATAACCTCTCTCCAAGCTTAACGTCCAACACATTCGGTCGTCGAAATCCACATGCCACATTTTCCAACACAATCGACAGACCGGTCTCCAATTTTTTCCCCTCTGATGGAACCCAAGGTTTTTCAGTCGAAACTCCAGCACCTTTCACCCCTTCAAGTGGCACGGCAGCCGCCGAAGCAGCGATAGCAGGCAGCGCGGGTGTCGCAGATTCAGCCGGACAAGCGGGATCCGTCGGAGGGTTTCCAAGTGCAGGTAGGAATACAGCGCCGGACTGCTGCGCCGCGGCGATCGCGAATGGTTGTTGCTGCTCAGCTGAAGAGAGCGAACCGACGAACAGGGGCATGAATTCGCGGAATTCAGGATGGAGGGCGCTGGACTCGTAGAACTCGACTTCTTGTTTTGTGCAGGGTTTGACGATCAACGACCCCGAGAGGGTCCGGCGGACACCTTCGCTGTGGGGATCCATGAAGAGATTAGCTTGGTCGCAAATTCCGAGGTAATGAGAGAAGGTAGAGCGGTAGGTGGATAATGTATCCTTAGGAATTCCCCCTCTCACGCGTGAGCGACCGCCTGGGCGCGTAGCTTTGTGTCGCGTGGGGAATTTTAAGCTTGGTGGGGCGACACTTACTGTCCCGCAGCGACATGGTCGAAAGGTACCAGGTCATCGCTGCCTAGTAGGGGAGTCTTTCGATCGTCTTGTTTCGGGGGCATGTTGGTGGGAGGTCTCGTGCGGCTGTTGCCTTCGTTGCTCATTGCATGCCGGATGACTCAACAGAACGTAGCAATCTGCGGTAGGCGGGAGATGAACAAAACAATGGGTTGGATTGATATGATGAGTTAGGACAGATAGGAAACAAAGCTTTAAGAGAAATGATTTCAGGAGAAGCTGGCCGGATACACTAATGACGGCCCGTGAAACCCCAGTGCAGGGGCCAACCTTATTACCGGCTTTTGTGGAAGTTTGTCAGCCCTACAGCTATACGGAACGCTTTCCTTGAATCCGGTTGGAAATGCTATATCAATGAAATCATATTTCATTTTTAATTTAGTCTAGCAGGAATCTTGAAGCGGTGATTGGTGGTAGATTGTTTCCGCATATCCGAACAATTTCTCCACCCGATAGGTATCACATGTTTCTATATAGATAGATGCATGACAACCCCAGGCTCTTAAGGAAGCCTTGGAATATAGGCTAATATAGAATCACCGAATCCCCGTGGAAAGGGTATGATTGTAAGATTCCGTGACAGCATGATAAACGCGTGGACAACCCTGAACCGTCATAGGACCACTCCATTGATGATTGAACTATTTCAAGTACATAAAGACGTCACATATACTTGACTGCAACAGATTGATCCCAAATTATACTACTGCCTAGGTAGCCCCCTGATCTGAGATAGTACGGACAGCGTTTACCACTCTGCTTGAGACTCCTCCTCATCGGCAGCATCTTCCCCGCGATCCTACCAGGGGCCTGAGCCGAAGGAATCAGTACCATCAACAGCATCGTCTGCTCGCTTCTTCCAGTCACCCGAGCCGAAGGATTCAGTACCATCAGCAACATCCTCTCCATGCTTCTTCCAGTCGCCAGAGCCGAAGGAATCAGTACCATCAACAGCATCGTCTGCTCGCTTCTTCCAGTCACCCGAGCCGAAGGATTCAGTACCATCGGCAACAGCCTCCGATCGAGCAATTATAGAATTGCCGTAAGACCCTTCAGGCGTTGGGAGAGCACTAATGCTCCCCGACAGGTAGGCAACTAGGGCTAGGTTCGCAAGGACCTTCATTTTGATATGTTTATGCCGATGCTATTTTATGTGAGTGCAAATCCAGTATAGCTGAAATAGAGAAAACGTACTGTCTTGGTTGAAGGTAGGAAAGGTGTGTGGAATGTGAGGATCTTGAGTTGTCTGAGATGGACTTTTCTGGGGATTGGCTTCGAATTTATATGCCGTCGGCATCGAGCACCTCAATACAATTGGTCATGTTAGTCATATTGGCTAATCCTTGGAGTGGAAGCCCATGCTCAATTCCTTGTCAGCATCGACAACCGGGCAGCTAACCCATGTCCTCCCTTCTGCAAAGAGCTCAATTCAGGACGAGTCAGTTTCTGCAACACGGCTTGGAACTGTCAGCACTAGAGTATCTAAGAATGCCACTTTACCACTATGCAATGACTTGTGACCAAGACAGTGTGGATGGCAAGCAATTACATGCAGTTACCCCTCTCGAAGGATCACTTGAGTCCGGAGCCGGCGAGAAAAGACGCAGGATTGACCTCGGGAGACTTATGATCATCATGGACCCAGCTGACAGCATTGGATCTTGGAGGAAGGTGGATAGCGTCTTCCATCTGCACTGATAAACAAGAAACTCACCGCCCTGTAAAGCGGTCTAGAAATCCTAAATATAACGAGGCTAACCCTGTCGATCACGGAATGACCCCGCCATCAACCTGCATGTAGGCTGCTCACTGTGTATACACACGATAGTAATATGGGACGCCTTAATATACCTCTTGCCTCTTTTAGCTTTGTTTACCTAGAACTACATCGACACTGAGAATAGAAACACCCAGCTGGTATAAAAAAACATTGTGCTATAAACGTCAAGGGTGGAGATGGAAGAAAAGAGGGGCAGAAACAGTTCAGTACACAAGAGAAATCTCCATTACAGCCTTGACCTCAACATTCAATACGTCGATGCTCCAATAAAATCCTTAAATCTATCACAGTCGACTTTTCTCTATCATGTCTCGCCTTTTCGTTAATTCACACCCTTATGACGTATGCCTTAAAACATTAAAACGCAATTGCTGCCAGGCGTAGGTACTTCATCAAAGCAGCAACTCAAGATATGGCATCTAGTCAATGTACTTGGGAAGTGACTTCAAGACACCGTCCCGGGCAATTTCCTCCAGAGCGATAGTTATGGTTTCAATGAAGCGCTTGTCGGAGCGCAGGTCCTCACCGAAGAGATTTTTGATGTTGAGCAATTCCATGGGGTTGGTACCTCCATTGCGAGCCCGGGTCTGGATCTCCTCAAGCATGGGGTCCTGAACATCGATCTTGTTGCCGTTGTCATCCACACCATTGATGTAGTGGAACCAGGTGGCGGCGGTGAAACAAAGACGACGGAAAGGTCCAGTCACCCAAATAGCCTCAGCAATGGTGGGCATAATGAACTGGGGGATCTTACCAGTACCACCGCCGCAAATACGGGGCAACTGGTCCATGATGGTGGGGTTGGAGAATCGCTCCACGAGCGTTTTGCAGTAGTCGTCGATACTGACGCCTTCGATTTCGGGGAGGGTAGGCTTTGTCTCCTCCTGCATCAACTGCCAAATAAATTTATTGAATAGCGGGTCCTGCATGACCTCATGGACGTATTTGTACCCTGCTAGTTGGCCACCGTAGGCAATAATGGCGTGACTGCCATTAAGCAGACGTAGCTTGTGTTTCTCAAACTCTTCAACATTCTTAACATTCTTGACAATTTGCACTCCGACCTTTTCGAATGGTGGGCGACCGTCACTGAAGTGGTCCTCGATGACCCACTGCATGAAAGGTTCGGTGACAATGGGCCATGCATCCTCAATGCCAAATTCCTGTGCAAGAGATACCTTATCGGCGGGGGAGGTCTGTGGGGTGATACGGTCCACCATGGCGTTGGGAAAGTGGGCCTTGGTGTTGATCCACTCCGCGAGCTCGGGGTTGCGGACACGGGCAAAGGAGACTAGCATATGGCGGGTAATAGCGCCATTACCCTGCATATTATCACAGGACATAACTGTGAAAGGGTTCAGTCCTTGCTGGCGACGGCGGTCCATGGCATGGTAGAGGAAGCCAAAAGTGGTCTTTGGGGCATTATTGGCAGGGTCGAGGTCGTGCTGGATATCGGGGTTCTCGGTCTGAAGCTCGTGGGTATTCTCATTGTAGTAATATCCGCTCTCGGTGATAGTAAGCGACACAATATGGGTATCGGGGTGCGCCATCTTAGCAATGACAGCCTCGCGGTTATCGGGAGCGAAGAGGAAGGAGTTAATACTGCCCATCACTTTGGCAACGCTACCCTTGGCGGACCGCTCAATAGCAGTATAGAGGTGGTCCTGCCCACCTAAGGCGTCACGCATGCCTACGTCCCAAGGCTGCAAGCCAACTCCGCAAATGGCGTAGTCGGTAACGCCATGATGCTGCATAAGCTGATCAACGTAGACAGCCAGGTGAGCTCGGTGGAAGCCACCGACACCAATGTGGACGATTCCCTCCTTGACGGCGTCGCCACGCGAGTAGGAAGGGAATTGAACTGGCGCCGCAGCGCAGATCTGGGGCAGGTTCTTCTGGTTGAGCTTCAAGGGAGCCATTGTGAGAGTGATGTACACAGATTGAAGAAAAAAAATTTGCGAGGAGAGAAAGTGGAATAAATATTATTAAATGGTCGCAAGCAGCTCTTTACTGTGTACGTCAACCGCCACCCGCCGGGTTTGGAAAAATTGGAGAATAGTCCACATCATGTGGTGGAATACTGTGGGGGCCCCATCAGAACGAATTAGATATGTATTCGTGTCACCGCTAACTACAGAAAGCTGTCTATCGCATCACGCGGAAGTTCTATTATTTCAACGACCGAGTCTCGAATTATCAATGCAGGGAGCAATGATCAGCAAGAAAAAATAATTCTGCACACATGAGAGCTTCCAGAATCTGATGATCATGTGCACCTGCGGTTCTAGAACCCTTCCACAGCTCGAGGTCTCTAGGTTAAAAGATCCTCCAAATCAAGAGCGACAAAAGTTTGAAAGCAATCTAAAAGAGGTATATCCGGCAATTGAGTTTCCCTTGATCTAGCCAAGACTGGAAACGGGCGGGGAGCTTCTCCATTTTACAGTACGCAACAATGAATACCACAGCTCTGTCTTATCTTTACTGTACCGTACCATAGCACGTGCTATTTGATTACGAATAGCGAAGGCAAAAAACCATACTCACGTAATAAAACCTATATGGTATGCAGATAAAATACCTGATTACCATGGTTTACCAAGCGATATGACAGGGAAAAGTGGGGCTGGAGGGGCAGTGAACTCCGGGCCGGGGCAGCTCAATCAGGAGATCCCGAAGAGCTTCCCTGCCGAAGCAACAGGGCTATCTTGGCCACTGGGCATCAGTCATTAGTCACGCTTCTGATCAGCGCGTGATTACACGTGCTGATACATACTCTGTCTACTGAGCTCTCTCTTAAAAGCGGCATCCCAGATAAGAAATGTCTCAAAGGTGCCCCGCTCGACGTTAAACTGCATACCACCACATCTTGCATCCAGGAGATCTGAACGCTTATTCGCCTTCGTGTTCTAATTCGTTCGCTTTATTTTGCCATCGCGTCACATCTTAATATCTTGCTGAAAAATTGTGCAAGCGCTCCTTGACCTTATAGTCCATGCAATGCATTAAGTAGTACTTGTTGATTTCCTGTACAATGCACTTCTAACCCCTCTTTTTTTTTACGAAACTGGATTGCACATGAATCAGCTAAAACGTAATACCGTGTTTAGAAGCCTGGCATGGATTTTGAAATCGACTGAACCCAAATTGAGTGAATCAATATGTCTCAGTCGCTTGCCCCATAGTATCCTTGGCTGAGGCGAAGTGAAATATGCCACCAAGGGCAAGTGCTTCGTAGTACCAACAACAGCATGCAAATTCTCGAACTATCCTCTGGTTCCTCGCCCCCAATGTAATCTATGATGGCCCTTCCGTTTTTGTATCTGCTCTTGAGCCAGAACGGTCAAATCCAGCCAAAGATATACCTATTTGACCACCTGCATGGAAAGAGAGTACCAGAGAGAAACATCAGTACTTCCCTCATAGCCAGTGATAAGCGTTTGCAAGCTTATCATCGCGTTACAAAGTACTAAAAGGATTATTTGTATTGTGGATGGCTGGGGAACATTCTTCTCGTGGCGAAGTATAACATTTTGTATCTACATATCAGGTCAACATGCTGTCAGATCAATGTTATTTCCCAAGGTCTTGTCTACTTCAAGCAATTGCCAAGTAGAAGCCTGTTCTGCTCCTGCCTAAAATCCCAATGCTTAGACTCCTTATCCTATCATAAATTTATTCGATTGGCAGACCACCGAGTTTCGTGTACGAGAATGACCGATGATTTCGCATCAGGATCAATGCCCACGGGAATTCTTGAAGATGCCTCAGATGACGTGCATACAGCTCTGTCAGATTTTCCAAGTCAAACATTGAATGGGTATATTCTCAAGTACGACGGTATAGTGTGTTGCCCTTTCGGGCCACAATTTCCGCCAAGAGCGGGAAGTGATCTATATCAGTGCATATGGCATAGTATCGGACAGATTCAGACCGTCAGCTGATACTTACCTTGCATGAAGGCGCATAACGAGGGGATCAATAGTGGAGATCAGGCTTACAAACACCTCCTTCTATTGGAGTTATTAGCAATACGAGAGTTGGCTTCAACTTGCATGTCTTGGTTTAAGAATCAGGAACCGATGTAGATTGTTGACCTGCTGGCTTTCTGCCGGCAAAATAAACGCCACGGTTCTATGCAATGTAACATCAAGATGAGCTTCTTTACGCTAATGAACTAGATAATGAGCTGATGCCACGTGCTAGATCTCATGAGTACTGTGGAGATTAATGTACCGGTTAAAAGTCATATTGCTACAGACTTGCTCTTCGTCTAACGTGGGCAGCATCTGAACTAGTGGGGAAATCGACTAACTCGATTAGAGCAGATTGAACAGGGGTACAAATTACCTAGGCTTATCTTCCATTTGCCCCTATGTCTGCCATTCTTACATACCCTACTCGACTCCTCCTGCCCCATTAAAAAATTACTTCTCGGGGCCCATTATCTACCCGGGAAGCCCCGACACAATGGGATTCACCCTTCGGCGAACAAACGGCAACGACCTCACAGAGCTTCTACAGATTCACTCCGCCGCGTTCAAGACAGACCAATTCTTGAACTTCATGCTTCATGGCAAACCAGAAGGCACACGTGAGAGTCTCATGGAGCGGTCAATCAAGGCCTGGCTTGATGATCCGACATCTTCAATGGTCACAGCAGTTAGAGACGATGGTGTGATCGTTGGATGGGCATGCTGGCTGAGAAAGGAAAACGAGAAGCCGGAGAGTGCCACATCGATTAATATGGCAGACACCAATGCGAAAGAGGCACCAACGTCTATGAAGGGCGCGGAGAACAGTGCTCCGTATGCAAGGTCAATCACAAAGTCGGTACCATCACCGGCTTCACAGGATGATGCACCAGACACACCGACTCGAGTCGTCGGTCGCCAGATGCGTAGTGACTCGATGAAATGGGAAGCACACTTTATGCAGGGAGCAAGATACCTGATTCTCCAAGCTCTTGCGGTTAGTCCCAACGATCAATGCCAGGGCATAGGGTCTCAACTTGTAAAGTGGGGCGTGGAAAGAGCCGATGAAGAGAGAATTGCATGCTGGTGTCATGCATCGCCAGCTGGTAACCAGCTGTATCTGAAGAGTGGGTTTCAAGAGCTCGGGAGTGACAAATACGATCTAGGGGAGTTTGGGAAATATGTATTTCGGTACATGGTATATGGGGAACAATGAGGCTAAAGAGCAAGGACAAGATCCCTGAATAGAATCGCGATCAAAAGCATCAAGATGACCCCACTTGCCCCCACCAGGTAGACCACGTGGCCACACAGATGATCATGGTGATTTTGAAAGGATCGGCATCTCGAATCTGTAAAGAACAATTCAGGGACGAAGTCAAGAATAGCCCTGGAAATCCTAAAAGAGACAAGTGTCCACAGTGATCGACAAATATCATTGATGCACTGGAGTCTAGCGAGAACTTCGAAACCACGGTCCCATGACCCCTCACTTGTGATTGGTCAGCTGTTTGCATCACACATTCAAACAAATATGAGTACCTAAGTTTTCTTAGCGGGGTAATTTTCTCAACCTTGGATTTCTGCCCTTATTGGTAACATCTCCTTTCAACCTCTCTCATCCATTTTTTCTCTTCAAACTTATCACAACCTTCACCATGTCTGCTAAAGTTTACGTTGGGTATGTTCTTCGACACTTCAAATCGACTTGAAATTTGCTAACATCTCTTTTAGAAACCTTTCTTGGTCCACCACTGACGACAGCCTCCAGCAGGCTTTCGGCCAGTTCGGTCAGATCGTCGATGCCGTACGCATACCTTTTTTTTTTTTATCCCCCAGTTCACTTTTGAGTGACTAGTAAATCAAACATGTCTTCTAACACGTCGATCAGATTGTCATGCGCGACCGTGAGACCGGCCGCTCCCGCGGTTTCGGTTTCGTTACCTACTCTTCCTCCGAGGAGGCTGAGGCTGCTATCGCTGGCCTGAACGAGCAGGAGTACGTGTCATACCTTTGAGAACTCCTGAACCAAACATTTACTGATTTTATCTCGCGTTACAGCCTCGACGGCCGTAGCATCAAGGTCAACCTTGCTCAGGCTCGTGGCTCCGGTGGTGGTGGCCGTGGCGGCTTCGGCGGCGGCGGTTACGGCGGCGGCCAGGGTGGCTACGGTGGTGGCTACCAGCAGCAGGGTGGTTACGGCGGCCAGCAGGGCGGTTACCAGGGCGGTTACTAAAGATTCTCTGCTTTAAGACAGCGAGGGGCAGGAATGGTGAAAAGGGTGTGAGCCGGAAGAATTAGCAAGCGGTCACAGTGCAAGGGCTGGATCTCGATCTCTCCTCCCTTTTTTTTTTTCTCAGCGAAAGGACAGTCATGGCTATTTTCAATACCCTCGCCGGCACCGACGGGATTTCGTTTTAATTTCAAATACCAAAATGTGTCAGCCCGTGATCTTTAAAAACTTGAAACATGAGGGGCAACACTCGTGAAAAATGCAGCCATACCGGCGCCTTGATATTATAAACCCCCTGATGACTTCGTCTTCACCCTTGCGGAGGTTTACCAATCGGGTCGTAAGAACCCCTCTTGCTCTGCAATCATCCCCACCGGCAACGAGGGGCACGGCCGAGCACGGTGCAAAGCCACAAACGCCACAATGGATTCGCGATAATCAATCTGCACCATTTTAGGCACATTCAGAGATAATCAATCCTGATCAATCCTACCCCTGAAGTTTATTTTCCACACTCTGAACTCCACCTTTAACCTCACATCGCTTCCCATGCATACCTAACACAGCTTCACTAAATACCCTCTGCCACTTTGGGCTTGTTTACAGTGCCTGGCCATGAAACATTAAATTTCTAGCTGGTCTTGTCCAACTTTATTACAAATGAACGTTGACTGACTTTTAATATTGAGTTTCCATGGTCTTTAACCAGACCAGCCCGTAGAAAAACACCATGAACCTCCTGCTGGCCACTAGCGTCTTCGCATTCTCGTTGAAAGCTCGCATACTATTTCTCCATAGCCAAATAGATCACTCCAACCAAAGCCCCATCATTGAGATGGGTATTCGAAGAAACCTGGAGATGTTCCCAGCAGCTGCGTAGGTAAGCGAGTGATCATGTAGGGACCATATACGTATTTCAATTATTGGACGACGCTTGTATAGACCATCGACCGTGTAAGATTAAGGAATACCACTTCCAACCGGGTGACAGGTCTAAGTTAACATTATCTCCCGGGCTCCTGTTTCATGAACAGGGAAGCTATTGAGAATGGTGACTGCAGATCTGGCGCTGCGGAAGTAACCACAAAGCTTTGCTTGTCATGTATATAACCTGATTCTCCAATATCATTCATTGGGTCAAAATAAATGCTCAAATTTGGAGGCTAATATGCAAATGTCATTGAACTCGTATTGTTCGTTCCAAATAGTGACGTGAATTGGTCTTCCAACAAAGCTTCAAAACTAGCGCGTTTTCTTTTCGTGATTGCTCTTGAACAAATTGCCATCCCATTTTCCTCGCTTCATTCAAAACCACCCACGCGGAAGTCACCTTCCCTTCTTTCTTTCTCTTTACTTCTTTTATACAGCCTACTTTACGGCCGTTCTCTCTTTCACTTTTCTCGTTCTCTCTTCTTTCTCACCCCCATTTTCTTCAAATCACTTGACCAAGTTTCACACCATGGACAATTCTGACATACCAGGGTCCACCATTTCTGGTGATCTTCCAATCCGCTCTGCCCCTCGAACTCACGGAGAAAACCCGGAGAAGGAGTTAGATGAGACTCAGACCCAAGTCAAAAATACTCAGCATAAAAATGCAATGAATGAGCCACTAAATCTCATGCCCAAGCCCACGGAAACGACACTCAAACTTGACGAAGCGGTTGCTGCGGTTATTGGCCCCCAGCTTGTGGCTCAGATGCAAAAGAAGAAGAAGAGGAATCGGGGCCCCAAAGGCAAGCGGGGAGTGGTAAGTGTGAATGACTATAGGGGACTAGTAACGAAATTGAACTTGACTCATGATAACAGGGCAAGCCAACTGGATTTGAGGAATGGAGTGCCGATGGACCGTTGACACCTGATGAGTATCAGGAGGATCGTGGGCTTTACGATTCGTACGTTTTGATGGAAGATCTCCAGAAGTGGAGCGTCATGCTAATAGTCTACATCTTCTAGTCGTCGATCTTTCGTGGAGTAAGAGATAATGTCTGGTTTGTGGTCAGAGCTAACATTTCACTATAGTCGGCTTGAGGAAGCCTTTATGCGATTCGAGAGAAAGCGCCGAATTGAGCCTGCTCGAGGCAATATCTTCCACAAGTACCTGCAGTATGGAGGCATCAGCGTCGGCCCCAACTTCGGAGGTGGTGTCAGTCCCCAGGACATGAAAATGATGACTGGGGATGAGATTATGCATGCTCGTACCCAGACCCTGATCGAGAAGGAACGAGAAGGCCTGCATATCAGTTTCGACAAAGTGGTTCGGGGCTTCTTGTGAGTCGTAAAGCTTGGTATCCAAGCGATGAATTGAAACTAATCATTTGCAGTGGCACTTACTACCTAAGATACTTCAATCCAGAAGGTATTGAGGATATCGAACTCGCCACGAGTACCATTCGGAACTTCCTCACATTCTTGCTTTTTCACGACGTTTGTCCAGAATACAAGGATGACGTTCTCCAGGCACGCAAGATATGCACCATTGCAAATATGGAGCTATGGAAGAATCTGCAATTAATACGCAAAGGCCCCAGTGGATTCAACAAGGCGTGCTCTGTGCTCTTCGCTGGACACTCGCTTGAAAAAGAGAACGAGAAGCCTAGTATCTGGGACGAGATTGATGATCCTTCCATGACCACTGAAAAGGCCCAAGAAATCATCAAGTACTGCATTGCTGGTGCCGGCTCCCACGACGTTGCTTCTAGCTTTATGCAGCATGTCGCTACCAAGAATGTGTTAGTGGAGAGCGTCGAAGACATCGATGGCTTTGAGGTACTTTGCGTTGCTGAGCCAGGTGACGATGTCCTCGCATTCTATCAGGAATTCGCGGCCCATCTGACCCCCGTTGGAACCGTCAAAGCCAAGTCTTTCCGTGACCCTGGCAAGCCCCAGACTGATTTAAGCCCCGAGGAACGCTGGGACTGGGACCACGGCAAGGCGCCTAGCTATGACTTTGTTTTCTTCATTGAAAAGGACCACCTCAAGCTTTTCTATCCTGGTTTGAGGGTGGTGGCCCCTGTTTGGAAGATGAACTGCGGGACGTACTATTTTGACCAGGTCTACTCGACCTTCCCAAGCTTTAACGCCATCATTGCAAATGACATGATGCTGGGCTGGAAGAAACCACGGGATTTGACAAATGGTGGTCAGAGGCCCAAGGGACAACAAGGTGAAATCAACAAGGGCATAGATGATGCCGTAAAGATGGCACTTGAGTTTACTGGCCAGAAAAAGGATGAAGGCAAATGCTCCAAGATTAATGAGGATGTGTCAGACGGCGAATATGACACAGCGGAGACCTCATAGCGGTCTTTGCCCATGGATAGGCCTTTCTTTTCTTTCCTTATTCTTTCATTGCTTTTTTCTTTTCTGCTTGAACTGGAGGTCTACTTTTATCTATATTATGAGAAATGCAGGCGTTGATTGGCGGGAGTGGTATTTTTGAATTTGAAATATTCATAGCAGTTATACCATCATCAAAAATGGAACGTTTGCATTTAAAGTCTATGTTCAAGGCTTCACAAGGGGCTTGCCCATAGTCTTGCGGCCCTCCAAGTCCTATTGGCTGAGTTGAGCATTGATCCATATAAGGGGGGAGGCAGTGAGGACTAACCGTGTGAACCTGAGCAATCTGCTCCAATGGGTATACCTTGTGAATCTTCACCTTGAGCTCACCAGACTTCAGCCGAGTAAAGAGCTCATTGGTGTAGTACTCAAACTCCTCTCGAGTCTCAATGTAGCCAAAGAGGGTGGGGCGAGCGATCTTAACACACTTGGGGGAGAGTTTCCTGTATAACCCGGTGAGCTTTATCCATGATTTTCCAGGGGCAAGACTTACGGGAGAGGAATGGGAGGAACAGGTCCACTGGCATTACCGAACCACACAATCGTTCCCTTGCGCTTCACTGCTTCCAAGCTACCTTCCCAGGTATCCTTGCCAACAGAATCGTACACGACATCAACGCCACGGCCACCTGTCGCCTCCTTGACCAACTTGACCCAATCCTTGCCCTCCTCACTGCGGTAGTCAATCACCACGTCGGCCCCAAGGTCCTTGACAATCGCGCACTTCTCCGCGCCACCGGCCGTTCCGATGACCTTTGCGCCGATAGACTTGAGGATCTGAGTCATGAGGAAACCCGCGCCACCAGCGGCAGCATGCAGGAGGACCCAGTCACCCTTCTGCACAGGGTAGGTCTCCTTGACAAATGAGAGAACAGTCATTCCACTCAAGAACGAAGCCATCACATCCTCATCACTGATACCCTCAGGGATCTTGACAGTCTTAGCTGCAGGAACAGCGGTGTATTCAGCATAACCACCATTTGCCAACCAAGCCACACGATCTCCAACCTGGAAACCGGATGTGTTGGGGCCAACTGCCGCGACGGTACCTGCGCCCTCACGGCCCAGCACCTCCGGCTTCGGGGAAGAATACAAGCCGGTGCGGAAGTATGTGTCAATGAAATTTACACCGGAAATGCTGTTGCGGACCAGCAACTGGCCTTCCTGTGGTGTGGGAACTGGGTAGGAGGTCTTGTACTGCAAGACTTCGGGGCCACCGGTCTGCTCGACCACGACGGCCTTCATTGTGGTGGGGACGGACATATTGCGAATTGGTGTGAAGGCGAAAGGTCTACTGACGGGGATTGCAGGGATTATTTGACTGCGCAAAGCTGCGAGACGAACACTACTTCTGCGGAGTGTACAGAGTGACATGGGGAGATAGGAAGAAGTGGGGGAATTGTGTAATTAAAAACAGCGAGATGGCGATTGCATCAACAGCTTCATTTGTCATCGCATCCCCGCATTCTCCGCCCGCGGAATTATCGATTCGCTCGTCATCAAGTCCCTCCCTTTACTTGACCTTCCGTTGATTATTATGCTATAGTGGGATATGATCTCATCTAATTTGTCAATCCCGTCGGTTTTATTTGCAATGTCTCTATCCACATTAACCCGGGTAAAAAGCCGATTGTACTCGGAGCATCCGACATGTGGGGTCTCGACGCCATTCCGTCGGCTTTCCAGAACCGTCGGATCAATACCGATATATTCTACGAGCTTGTACTCCGTATGCCGTGGACTAGTTGAGAGAGCCTCGTGGCACCTATCAAGACAGTTCTCAAAGAAAATCAATCATGCGTCCGAGATTGTTTGACAAGGATATAACGCCTGCGTTCGTACTTGGATCGTTGGACGTCCAGCCATTCTAGCCGCTGATATCATGATCAAACACGAGGTGTCATGCACAAAGCGACCGTGACTTTTTTTTTTCTCTTCTCCGGGATGAACGTTGGTAAGAGTAAACGCCAGCGCACTTCAGCCCCTGGAGCGCAGGATGCATGCTATTCAAGGATAGGGAGAGACGGGAGCTGAGACACTCTCTGATCGGGCTTTGGGTTGGCAAGCCCAGCGCCTGATGTCGATTGGCTGACCCACTCCGTCGCTGCAATATTTCTTGCCTACAAGTCTGCAGACTAAGCTGCTGGGGATCTGCATCTGCGGCAGTTAGCACCTCCGGCCCACCCTTAGCCTCGGATCGCTCATGCAACTCGCCATTTCCAAACATATCTACATGCCAGGGGAACCTATCTTGAAAAAGTGACTTCATGTTTTTCCAATGATGGTATATTCTCCTTGTTTCCTGGTGGATCCAGGCTACAGTAAACATGCTTGAAACACGGGAGCATCCGTGCCTGTCTGACTTTCGTGCCCAATGATCGACCAAGACAGCTATAGCCACGCCCAATTTGCTTCGTGGGCGGCGCGATGCTCGAGTCCACTCCTCGTTTTACGCATTGTTTCAATGGGAAAATCTTGTGGGCACTGCCTGCGGCCTGATACTATTTGTGGTCATTCGTCCACTTTTGCCCAATCACCATTGCGGCCCTATCAGAGTTCTTCTAGTCCAGGATGATGCCCGATTGACCAACACTTATATACCCTGCTTTAACCCGGGCTGCGCACACAAGACATCAGTGCATCTTTGTTTCCGAGTACAAAAAGAAAATTCTTCCCCCCAACTGAGGCTTTTGTACAACAATTTTTTTCCTCGCTTTATTGCCCAACCCTTTGCAACTTAAGACTTACTATGATTTGGAAACTTTCTCGAATCTCACCACAACACCACATTGCAGCAGGCTAAAAAATTTTCAAATCATACTAACTACGACTGTTTTTGTATGATCACACCGACCGACAACAAGCAAAAAATGTCTTCTCGTAGCGTGCGTTTCCAGTGGCCTCCAGTGCCATGTGTGGAGGAGGAGCCCGCCTCGCTTGCACGAGAGCTACACGGCCTTTCCAAGCTCAGTGAGAAGCCCGGAGTCGAGGGCACCTGCAGAAGGGGTACTGTCGACCAGTATCCGGTCATCCTCGCTCCAGATTCCCCTCTTCCGACATCGACCACTCCACCCAGCGATTTGGCCACTCCAGGATTAGGAAATGTCTCTTCCGATGACAGCAGCTCTGGTCTCCGTACCCCTTCTCCCCAGGTCCCAGAACCAGCCGTTCGCAGTAGGACCCAATCAAAGGACCCTTTCGGACTTCCTCCATCGTCAGTCTCAAGCAGGTCTCGAAGCCGCGCGCCACAAGCGCCCCCGCAGCTTCCTGTGTCGGACCAACAGCCTCCCCGTCAACGCCGTCCACAGTCTCCAGCACGGGACCGTGGTTCTGGCAGAGGAGAACTTGGCTATTTCCCTCCGGATGCTACCCGTGGACTGCCTATTCAGCAAGGCCCCAAGGATCGTGATTTTCATCTAACCAAGCTGCCTGCCTCCCAAGCACCGGCATTGTCACCACTAGGACGGTCAAACAGCGTGCGTACTGGAAATGTAACTGCTCCAACAGCTCCAGTCCGCCAACGCTCTGAGCCACATCCTGGACATGTAACTGCTCCAACAGCTCCAATCCGCCAACGATCTGAGCCACATCCTGGACACGTAACTGCTCCAACAGCTCCAATCCGCCAACGCTCTGAGCCGCATCCTGGGCATATAACTGCTCCAACAGCTCCAATCCGCCAACGCTCTGAGCCGCATCCTGGGCATATAACTGCTCCAACAGCTCCAATCCGCCAACACTCTGAGCCACATCCTGGACATCAACCAGAATCGAGTGCTCCTCGCGGCAGGTCATATTCCCTCGTCACTTCGCCGCCGGCCCCTATCTCGTCGTCACAACTGCAAGTCAAACGAGTTGCTGATGCCCCTACACTCTCAGAAAGAATCGAGGAGAAACTACGATTGAGACACGAGCTTCGCGAACTAGGATCTGATTCAGACTCAGAGGCTCCCAGGCGATCCAGGGCCAAATCCATCAGCCCCAAGATTCTCCCTGTGGCCCCAGCCCCAGAGGTATGCCCACCTCCCCGCGAGCTTTCTCGTGCCCCGGGCCAGCATAGTATGCCACCTACCAAGGAGCCTATCAAGGTACTGGTGACTCCTCAGGAGCCCAAGCAACTTCCGTCAGCAATGCGGGGAAGGGCGGCTACAATGGTCACACCAGCGCCGCCAGCATTGCGGTCTTCATCAAGGGCCCCCTCGACCATGGTTTCCAGGTCCATGTCATCTGATGAGGCCCAACCCAGCTCTAGCAGACCTCGTCGGGCGAACTCTGTCAAGTTTCAGGATCCTATGCCACGGCACAGTGCACCCGCACCGGCACCTACCCAGAAAGCGAGCTCCCCACAGCGGTCAACAGGACTATGTGTGACCCCATGCCCCCGCTCACTTCCGGTAGCGGGTCTCCAGGACTGGTACACCTTGAAGGGTCTCACACACTTGGACATCTGCCCCTCATGCATGAGCCAAATCGGGCACTCTCGCTTCCGTGAATTCTTCATCCCAAGCCTAGCAAAGCCGGCAACGCAGAAAACCCGCTGCGCCTTCGCCAACGCCTGGACTCGGCTAGCCTGGACACAGATGATCAAAAAGCAACACGCCAGCCTGGAGATGCTCTACCAGATGACCCGCCCACCACCAGGAAACCAGCCCTGCCCTGGCCGCGTCGTGGCTGACCAAACCTGGTACCGTGTCGTCGACCCGGAAACAGGCAAGTATCTGCCTCGTTTCCACGTCTGCGGCAGCTGTGCACGAAATGTCCGCATCCTCATGCCATCCCAACGAGACACATTCGAACACTGCCCGGATGTCCAGGAGCGAATGTGCGACTTCGTAACCACCAGCCCACGTTTCGTCCAGTACGTCGATCTCCTTGATATAGCCGCCGCCCGCACAGAGCCCTCCCGCCAACCAGACTCGCGGGAATTCATCTCCTACGCTCGCCGCAAGGTCGTCCTCCGCGATTGTCGTCGTGACAGACCAACAATGGGCACATGGCACTATATCCCCTCACTCCCAGAGTTCAGTGTCTGCGAAGACTGCTACGACGAAGTAGTGTGGCCCCTCGCTAAAACACACCATCCCATCGCGAAGAGTTTCTCCACGAGTATGCACTTCCTACCCGGAGACTCGTCGAGCCGGTGCCGCGAAGCAAGTTGCCAGCTTTACTCGCCGCGGATGAGGACGAAATTCAGGGAAGCTGTTGCAAAGAACGAGTTCTCGGGACTGAAGGCTGTTGCTTTGAGACGATTTGAGGCGGAGAGGCGGTTCAGGGATCGCCGGGAGGAATTGTTGGATGCTGAGAACAGGGGATATGATTGTGAGGCGGAACTTAGGAAGGCTATTGAGGAATGGAGGAAGTGGGAATGACTCGGATGCCCAGTTTTGGTATATTCTGGAGGAATTGGGTCTTGTAAAGCACTGTACTTTGTACTTTCTTGGTGGTTGTATGGTTTTGCGTTTCTTGCGTGTACAACTTTTCGGATTGGCATTTGGGCATGTAGCATAGCATTTTATAGCATAGCGTTGGGACAAAATTAGGATCGCATAGGTAGCATAGCGTTGTTTATTCATGGATTTTTATGGTGATATCCATCTTCTAAAACCCTCTTGTAATATGACACTCCCATCGTTAGAGTATAAATCTTTCAAATTCCAAGGCCGGGGTAATGACGATCCGCAGAATTGACGTTCCATGGGCTTTCAAGTATATATATATAGGTATGTGCCTGGAGGTCTCTATATACATATTCATTCCTGGGCTGACCAGGTGGTGTGGTTTCCCAGACCTGGATACTTAATAGGCACCTGGGCAGTCCTGAGGTGGGAGGAGCACAGTCATTGGGCCACAGTCATTGGGCACTTGGGGACTTGGTAATTCCTTTTGACCGCATGTGTTTTTATCATTTCTCAGACATGTTTCATTGTATATTTCAAGTAGATTGAGGTAACTTCAAGGTGAAGTATTTCGAGTCTAAGGTATATAAATCCCCAAAAACTCCGATGCTTATAAAACCAAAGCAAACCAGCCAATGCAAGAGTGAAAAAAATCTGCCTGAAATCAACCAACCAGTCCAACAACCTCATCAGGCCAACGCTTAGCCCAGATCATGGCTTGCGAAGGTATCGTTCCTCGAATAGGTGACAGCAGCATGATCTTTCCTTTCTCGACATCCACATTGGCGACGTAAAGAAATCCCTTGACACTGGCGTCACGGACAGCAGCAGGCGAAGCTGTAGTCGAGGCATGGGTGATAGCAATGAGGGTATTTTCGAGAGCCATAGGTGCAGGAGGTAGAAGTCGTTTCAATGGGATATTGCTGGTGGAATATGAATGGCTGGAGGTTGTATTTTGGTCGGATGAAAGGCCGACAATGCCTGGAAGAGTTGCAGCGCGGTCTTGTTCTTGTTTGGGCTGGGAATAATCATCAACGCCCCCACCAGGAAGGAATGAATCGCCGGTACTGAGCTGGGAGGGGTCATAGTCATCTTCATCTTCGTCTTCTGTTGAGATGACAGTATAGTTGTACACTGTTAAGGATGCGAAGTCGACTTGCAGTGTAGATGGAGATAATGTAATAGCAGTCGTTAGAGCATTCGAGGGGGCTGAATTGCCAAAGAAGTAAGATCGGATCTGGGACTCGCGTGTTTTTTTGAGAAATGCTGCATCGCGGTCAACGCAACCTCCGGACTTGGATAGCTTCACAACGGCGACGCGCTCATCAAAAACGGCAGCGGCAGCACTTGCACTGGGCTTGTTATCGTATTGCTTGACCATGTTGCTGTACAAGCGCTCTGAGCCCAGCACCACGATGGTAGTGATAGCGAATTCGGTGACAATATGATTGATCAATTCGAGACTGCCAGGCTTTCCAGAGCTGAGTATTCCCGGAGTGTCGACAATGATTCCCGTCCGACGGACATCCTCATCTTTGGCCATACGCTCTGTGACTTGAAGCGCCAGGCGCGACACAATGGGCCGGTAGACTGAGCCTTCCGCGTCGAGAGGACTAGGCAATGGATAGCTGTAGACGAGTGGCAGTTTCACAGGCACAGGACTAGGCCCAGACATGGGACTGTCGCCCCAGCCATTCTCAACATCCAACATTGTCCGGAAAGCCGTCGCAGTCAATGTACCCGGGACGCTAAGCATGCCTTCAGTCGGATCTAGGTTCACAACCAGCGGCTGCCCCCCAACCTTTGTCGCATACGCAGTGAGGATCTTGGACAAGCTAGTTTTGCCCGCGTTGTCAGGACCCAACAACAACACACGAGGTCCGTCCTTACCGGAGCCTTGTGATTCCTCTCGTAATGCTTCTAACGCAAAGTGTAGATTGGCGTATTCCATCATGGGTGTATCATCGGACGTGTACTCGCTCTGACAACCGCCTGCGCCGTGGCCCGCCGCGGACGTGGATCCATCCACTGTAGTAGTTGTCGCAGTCTCGCCGGCAGTGATTTCCAATTCGCAACCATGCCATGTATAGATTGCAGCTTTGGTGCCAGTGATTGTGTACGTTTGCGCTTCGGCGAGTTCCGTGCCGAAGAGTTCGGCAGTTCCGTTGAGGAGCTGTGATGCGGTTGCTTGTGAGTACTGTTGCTCTCATGACACAGCTGCGAGGTGCCATTTGATCATCGCGATCACCTGGCTTGGAAGACATACCTTGATTCTGATGATGTGACCGAACGCTACCTCAAACCTCCACTCCGAACCTGGGTTCAAGGCGATCTGCGATGGCGGGGCGACAGCATATTGCCTCTCCTCGGAGGGCTGGGTGAGCTCTAAGCCGGGAAGAGACATTTGATCGCCAAATTGAAAAATTGGCAATAGTCAAAAATAAGGCAGGGAAGCAATTAGAGGGTGGAAGGTCAAAGTCTGGGGAAAGTTACTTTTCAAGTTGCAGGAGCTTGTCGCAACGCGACTTTGGTTTGTTTGCACCTCCACACTTAAGCTTCTTCCACCATTGTTCTATTTCACTAAGAATCTTCTGATATTTTGCTTCTTACGATAAATCTTTCCTAATACCAGGAAGTTTGGGAAATATGTATTTATAGTAGTTCTCTATTTGAGCACTATGAGTTTTATTGTGCTTAAAGGCTATCATTAGGCCAGCCATTCTTAGCTACGCTGCATCACATGCAGCAACAGAAAAGAACGGCAGAAAGGATAGGAGGGAGGGAAGAGAATTTGGTATCGGGAGAGTTAGAAGAGGCAAAGCCAGGGATTAACAGGACCGTGGATAATTGATTTCACGATTGGTTTCTTTCGGGTCTTTTGGAATGGGCTCAAGGTCTTGTGCAAAGGTAGGAGCAAAGATATTAGAAGGGGAAGATTCATGTCAAGGGCAAGTACAGGGGCACATTCAAGGACAAAAAGGAATATATTTATCATAACGACAAGTGGGAATGGGGAATGTGATTTCAGTAGGCAGGTTCTGCAATATTGAGACATCCCGCTCTCCAAGGTGGAAGGCAAGAGACAGCAATTCAATGGCAAAGCGGCATGGGGGAATCCAAAATAATATTTTCCAGGCCAAGTGTTCAAGCACGAGGCTCCAGAGCTGGGGGGGGAATATGGGGGTGTAAGTTTGGCCAGGTCTTCCGTTGACCTGGATTGAATCATCATTCTAGAAGAAATAAGGAATGGAGGCACTAGACGAGCTGTTAGCAATGATCTCAAAACAATAGTAGTCAACACGTACGCAAGGGCAAAGGCGGCCGAGACACCAAAGAGAGCACGGTTGCGGACTCGCTCGCGCTTGAGCTTATCCTCCAGAACCTTGGCCTTCTTCGCTCTCTGGCTGGCTTCAGCCGCAGTCTCCTCATCATCATCATCCTCAGGCTTGCGCTTCTTGGTGAGCTTGACGGATGGTGATCCTGCAGTCGCATCCTCGGCGCTTTGGATCTTGATAGCATCTTCCACCATCTCCTTGGCCTTTGCAATCATCTCCTCGGTCTCCTTTGCGGACGGCACCTCGGGGAGCATAATGGGCATGTCGAGAGAGAGTGTGGCCTGAGTGGGCTCGGCCTCTTTGGCGGAAGCTCCGCGGATCTCAATCTCGGCCTCATTTTCAGGCTCCTTGACATCCTTCTTCTTTTTCTTCTCTGCCTTCTTCTCCTCCTTCTTTTCTTCCTTCTGGGTCTCCTTGACATCCTTCTCCTTCTCCTCGTCGGCCTCAGCAGCCTTCTTGGATTTCCGGCCCTTCTTCTTCTCCGGGGAACCGGTGTTCTTGACCTCAACTTCTTCCACGCTCTCCACAATGCCGTTCAGCAATTCCATTTCCGAGGAAGCTGTGACTTCCAGGGCATGCTGCAGGCTGTCGTTAGCAGCGGATGTGGATGGAGTATCCGGGACCTCTTTCGAAGAGCGGGGTTGCCGAGCCTTGCGAGGCGAAGTCGACTTCTTGGTAGGAGAGACTGAGCGGCGGCTCCGGCGCTGAGCCAGAGAGAGATCATCCGAAGGCACTTCAAACTTGGAAGGCATTTCAAACTTTGGTGGCGGGGTGATCTGCTTCTTTGCACTAGAGGGGCTCTGTGCAATATCGGTGGGATCTAGCAAGGCACGGACCCAGTCGTACATTTGGTATTCCCTGGACAGTTCGAGAGCTAGATATTATGGTCAGAAACAGTTCCATTGTGCGCAAATGGAGTCTAGACATACCAAACAGCGGGGAAATCCAAACGTTGCCAGCAACCTCCTCCATGCTGGTATACTCTCGGGCCTTCAGGTATTCTCTCTCAGTACGCTCCTCTTCAGCCTTAGCCCAGGGAAAGGCAATCTTGAACATGCCAGTGGCGCTGACGAATCCATCCTTGCTCCTTCGCTATTCGCCCACGGGCAAAGTCAGTGGTTGTCGTTTTAGGCGTGGGACAGTCCTTACCATCAAGAAATAGGTCTCTGGGTGATTTTGAGAGCTGTGCGAAGGGAAAATCTCGGAACCCTTCAGGTCCTTGGGCAGGGGAGCCCGAAGGTGAGCATACTCGAACAAGCCCAGGTTCTCAGGCTTGGTGGCATTGGAGGTGCCGATCTGGCCAGGCTTGACAGAGAGGTTGGTCTTGCCAAGACGACGGCGCGCAAGAAGCTCATCGTCTATTGCACAGGGCAAAATCGATGGGTTAGCGATGGCGAGGTCGATGGATCGAGGATATGGCGGTTGGACACGCGGTCGCGCGACAACGCGCCTTGGAAAAGAAACTTACAAGCCGGTGCCGCATCACTAAGGATGAGCGGGTTTGTCTTCTTTGGTAGAGAGCGCGACATGATGGATGGTTGCGACACGATCAGAAAGGTTGAGTGTCTGTAGGTTTGCGAACGAGATGCGCCCACGGCCACGTAGCAGGCGCGTCGCTAGAGAAAAGGCGGGTCGGACCTTTACACCGGGGCGGGGAAGATGCGGGATAGGGCGAATCAACACGCCACAGCAGTCCAAAAGATGAGGTGATGCACAGTTATCAACCCAAAAAAGTTCGAATCAAAGTACCGCGATAAAGGATAAATTGAGAACAATCAGGGGAGAAGGCCGTCGCGACGGAATGGGCCCTCGATGCTTCGTACGGACCTTGCTCTTTCCGGTAAGGTCCGGTATTGCTAGCGTATGCTTGTGGTATTTAAGCTGTCTGAATGGGCAATTCAACCAATACAGGGTTTCAATCATACCATGCCGTTGGGAAACAACGGACACCTCGTGACCCACGCATTCCTCTTTTTTTCTCTTTTTTTTCTTTGTTGTTATAGCACTAGACTGTTAGGGTGTTATACACACAATTCAACTGGGCAATTCACTAACTCTTTACAATATAAACTTTGAATCCAAGTGTAGTAGACCCCCCCCCTTTTCCCCATGCTTAGCCTATCCACCCGTTCTACCTAAATGACTATGACTGGATCAGCCTTGCAGTAGCCCATAATAAGCAAATGTGAGCGGTCTACTACATGCACGATCTTGCCACACCATCACCCCCACCTCCCGCTTCTGACTCTTTTCGTTATCGTGAACCCCACGATGAGTTCCCAAAAAGGTTAAATTGCCTACTCGTCGCCAGAAACTTATGATCGTGGCAACAGTAATCCTGGATAAAGGAAGCCTTACAGGTGACATTTGTTATATGTGGTCCTTCAATCATCTACAAGGGTGAAAAATAGCACATTAGAATTGCATGTTGTCGGTGCTAGAAGCCCTAAGTGTTCAAACCACCGACGAGGTAACTATTTGTCTCTCTACTCTGTAGCATTTACCTCTCCATTTCAGCAGTAGAACCACTTATTCGGTATTACGATATTTCATACCTCTAGCATGCCTAACGCCTGCAAATCCTGAAACCTTATGTGTTCCCCATATAACTCCTTACTCGATTTGGCCAATATGCCGTCGTCACCCGAATGGGTAAGACACACTGAGAACCCCGATCAAGTAACGAGTTCTTTCCGAGATCGTCGATCATTCCTAGGAAGGGTTCTTGCACTGTAAATAAAACCGTCTGATACCAAAAGTGTTGCAATGTGGTTTCCAAGCTCCACTCCCCGACAGCCTCCCATGGTACTTCAAGCTGTATTTGCACGTTTGTTTCCACTACGCATCCTGTCTTTGATCTAGATCTAGATTTCTCGTCGCAAATAAATTGCCAAATGATTTTCTTAAATTCGATGATGTATTTGTTCTATTCATACAACGGGTCGCCTTGTTGCCACCGCTTGGGGGCCAGTATCGGCACACTGCGCAAAACCGACGACATAGCCATCCTCCGCCCCAGTCCCAACTCGGCAACCCTAGAACAATCATAGTTATTACTTATAGACGCCACACCCCACCATGACTATGCCACGCCGTTTCGGTGGTATGCTGCTTATTTTTTTCTTACCCTCGCCATAATGGTCATCTCCAAAGACGATCCGCTGCATCAAATAGCGGCGCTCAAACAACTAGCAAAGCTGCTCTATGACGGTTCGGAAACATCGATTCTTACTTGTCATGCGCAGAATGAGCTCGGTCAGCTTCTTGCAGTTCTTGGTCTTTCGGGGAAGCACTTCCTTGAATGCTCAGAAAGTCCGGGTCCTCAGGAACAGAAGAAGTTGAAGATATACCATTCTATCCTAGTGGATCTCAAGAGACTCCAAAGAAGTACCACCGAGATTGACTCACCAGAGCTTATCGAGGATGTCCGAGCCCTGATCAATGACGTGACTTTTGGTCTAAGCATTATGAATGCCCACATGGTAGTGTAAGTTGACCCCCAATGGACGTGCAACGACCCAAGTCCTAAAACTAGGTGTACATAGATCGTCGCAAAACAAGATGAACCAAATGCTACGGGACTATATCGTTCATATCGCCACCGGAAGACGAGATGTTAATATTGTCGCCAACCTTTTCAAGGACGGTTCGTTCTTCGAGAAAGAAAAGGCATGGAAGGATCTGCAGCAAGAGCTACAGGACTTTGGCATGACAAAGGAGCAGTCATTTCAGGAGCACGATTTTATCCTCATGACCCTTCGGAAAGCAGCACTCGAGAGCACGCTCTTGGGTAATCTCATTCCAAAGCCACCGGTGCCGGAAATCCCTATGCCTCCGTCACCTACAACATTCACCAACTCGTCGAACGCGATGAGCAGGTCTTCATCCGAATACTCAAGGTCCTCTGGTGAATCTCTTGACACCGAAAGCTGGGATCATAATTCATTGCCGGTCGATGATATCCCTGTCTCCATAGCTGTCGAAATCGAGGTCTCAAATCGCCAAGTACCTCGAAGATTACCGGGTAGGGCGCTGGATGACTTCCCCGAAGCCAGGGATATATTCAGTCCACTCGAAGGGTACGACAATCAAATGGTCTTCCGACCTTCAGTTATGCCAAAGCCAGAGCCATCTTTGATACCGAGTAACTCTGCAGACAAAGCAACCGCCAGGTTCAGTGCCATCCCTCCGAGACTAGAAGCTAGAGGCCGCTCTGCATCCGAAGGCAACTTCAATCGATTCTCCCTATCCGCAATTCCACAAGTTGCAGTCAAACGGGGCAAGAGACCCAATCTAATGAGTCGAATGAAATTCAAAATGACGAATAACAAAGGGGAATTGTGCTCATTAGTCAAGATCGGTGATGTATACGGAATCAAATGTGCACTCGACAAGGGCGCCAGTGCGAACACCGAGAATCCTCTCGGGCAAACAGGCTTAATCATTGCTGCCGCCTTTGGTCACTATGATGTTGTCATGCTCCTCATGGACCACGGCGCCAAATTGGACGCAATGGGACATGGCGGCGAGACTGCACTCTCTGTAGCTACCCTGCGCGGATACAGTGATATCGCCGAGCTGCTGCTAGATCGCGGCGCAGATCCCAACGCAGCATCTGTATATGGAAAGCCGGCTCTTTCGCAGGCTGCAGGAACCGGTAATCTGGCTTTAACTAAGCTTTTACTGGACTTCGGTGCGGACCCCAATGGCATTACTGCCTCGGGTGAGACGGCGCTTTCATATGCTGCTACTTGTGATCGCTATCAGGTCGCACAGTTGCTGCTTCGCAGTGGTGCAATGGTTGATAAAACTGGCCATGCTGGTCGGACGCCTCTTCTCAAGGCTGTTGGCAAAGGTAGCAGTCGTATGGTCCAGTTGTTGATGGATCATGGTGCAGATCCTAATCGACAAGATAGCCGTCAGCAGACTCCTTTGATACAAGCGATGCAACAGGGAAGATCCGAAATCCTTGCCATATTTCTTAAGCATGGATATGGCCCTGATCACGGGTCTGGGTCTACTTTAGCGATGGCTGGAGAGATTTCGCATAGAATGTCGTTCTTTAGCACCTAAGTTCTAGGATTTTTTGATGCTAGAGCGGGGCATTGTCTATTTTTTTGTTTTATTTTGCTATTTTCTCTTGTCGAGGCTGGTCTTTCAACAGATGAATGTTATGAGTAGAGTGAACTATTTAAAGCAAATTCGTCCCAAATTCTAGTGATTCATTCCTGCCGAAGTCCCGTCTGCATACGGAACACCACGTTTCACGTGCGGTAGCCTGGGCCCTAAGGTAGGTAGATTAGGTAGGCACCTGATCCTTATTTACTTGGAAATGGACCAATCAAGAGAGAGTAAAGCCATGTGGAAAACTAATCATCATAAATTTGGAACCCAACCGGACGTGTGTGGATCCACTTTACTTTTTCGTGCCCAGGGACTATATAGCAGCATCTCCATATCCAAAGTTTACAGAAGATGTCCCGCCATAATATATGCACAAAGTTCGAATTGGTTGATTCATGTCTATTATCTGTAGTCAAGTGGAGATCATGTATCAATTGCCAATCATATGCCCAGTGCTAATGTAGGTTTTAAATCGGTCTGTGATAGTGGGGCCTAGATTTGCCTTCCAGAGCGCTAGTCCTACGTGTACTTGCTTCAATGGGGATCACCAGAAAAACAATGAATATCGAGCCAATTGACCCATGGCAATCATTTGGATCCAAGCGACTTCAATAGACAGTAAAATTGCTCCAAAGCATAGATAATCGTGCAGATCAATCCACCATGTACCTGCTTATGGGAGGATGTCAAGATGCAATGCACCGCGAATCCGAATAGCCTCGCCCCCCACCGCCTTTCCAACCCCACTAGAGTCAGGAGACAAAGTGGGATGTGAGCATCGTGTCTTGCCCCCCTTTTTCTTCTCATATTTTTCTTACTTCTCCCTTCCCTGTCGCTTCCTCCCATCCCAATTCCACTTTGTTTACTTCCCCCGGATTTTTCAGTTTGCCCCGCCTTCACGACAAAATGTCCGACCACAACGAAGACCTCGTCGCCACCAAGACCGAAGGGTTCAAGGTTGGTGAGAAGAAGACCTTGGAGGAGTACCAGGAGCTCGGTAAGGAAGCTTTTCCTTCCTCACTCGAATGATGGGAATCGTTCTATACACCTAGCCGCCATATGCCGCCTTACCCCTCATAAAACCAAACACCCCAACACAACGCAACGCCCACCGCTAACACTATACTCCCAACAGACAAGGATGATGAGGCCATGGTCCGCTGGAAGGCCTCTCTTGGTCTGAACGCTGGAAACCCCATTGGAAAGGCCGGCGACCCCAAGTGTCTCATTAAGTCCCTTGCCCTGCGGGTCGAGGGCCGCGACGACGTCAAGATCGAGCTGTCTTCCCCCGAAGCTGTCCAGGAGCTCAAGAACAAGCCATTCACCATTAAGGAAGGAGCCAAGTTCCACATCCAGGTGGTCTTCCAGGTCAACCACGACGTCCTGAGCGGTCTCAAGTACCTGCAGGTTGTTAAGCGCAAGGGTATCCGTGTTAGCAAGGACGAGGAGATGCTCGGCAGCTTTGCACCCAACACCGACCAGAAGCCTGTCTACACCAAGGAATGTAAGTACACCTTATACTTGACTCGCCCGAGTCACCCCAATTCCGGTGGAATTGGATTTGATGCTGATTTGTGTCTGTCATTAGTCGCTGAGGAGGAAGCTCCTTCCGGTATGCTTGCCCGTGGTAGCTACAACGCTGTGTCCAAATTCTTGGATGATGATGACCACACCCACCTCATGTTCGAGTGGGCGTTCCAGATCACCAAGGAGTGGTAATCAGATCGGGATCTCTTTGGACTGTTAACTTCATTTGAGCTTCTTTGAGCGGCCCATTGTTTATTCCAAGCGTGACGAATTTCCTTTGACTTGAAAAGCCTGATAGATGGTCTTTCCAAGGTCGGTCCTGATTGGGGCCTGTTACAGTGCGGTTTGTTGAAACTATGGCCTTTCTTGGCCTTTTTGCTTCTTTGTTGATTTTATTCTGGCTTCTGGGAGACCCCCAGCTGGATCTCGTTGTTCTCTCAGATTCTATTTTTCTTGCCGATATCTATCAATGTGGATATGTTCCAAATTCAATGTTGAGACACGAAATAGCCCAATCCAGTCTCTGGCCGCGAAATTTACCTGATACTCAGGCTACTGTATATGAAACTTTGATGAAAGATGTTCGGGCATTCAATGGCCAAAGCCTGTAGAATCCGTTATGGTGCAGTCGTGTTCTATTCCACTCCATCCCTAACTCCTATACGGTGCAATCAATGCTGGATGAAAAAAAGAAATTTAAGAAAACGTAACAAATCATCATGGGTATCACAAGAAATAGTCAATCACAGGCTGGGAGTCTCTGTTCTGCTGTGCCTGTTGCTCACTCCTGTGGATGTCGTTCTCAGGTGCCGCATCAAAGATATTGAAGAAGCGTTCCATATTGTCGCTAACTTCTAAAACACTGGCGAGGTTTCCGCAGCGGTAGCAATAGTTGGGAGCACTCCAAACCGTACTTAAGCGGTCATCAAAAAGAATCTGATAACCCTCATTGCATAGCTGATGCGCCCGTAGAATATGGGACATCTTATTGACTTCCAGGAACTTCCGAACAACCTGCGCTCCAAAGGTATAGCCAGCACCACGCGGAGAAAGAGAGAATTCATCCCGTTCAGGATCAGGATCAGACCAGACCAGATCAGCCATCGGGCCCTCATGGGGAATTTCACGGAACCGGTCAATAATCTTGATCTGGTCCAGAGAGTGAATAGAAGGAGAAAGACCACCGTGAACACAGAAAATCTCATCATTGATCACCACGCTCAGCGTTAAGTAATCGAACATATCCGTGAAGTAGTGCCATACGTTAGCATTGCCATATTTGCGGGCGCACTCAGTGTAGAAGCCGTAGGATTGGGTTACGCCGCGAGATTCGTGATTACCGCGGATTAGATGGACTCGGTGGGGGTATCGGAGTTTGAGGCAGACTAGCAGAGAAATAGTTTCCACACTGAAAAGGCCACGGTCGACATAGTCGCCTATAGATCCGGGAGGTTAGCAATCGTGTTCCGGTCCGAACCGACGGGTCTCATTTGCAGCTTTAGACGTGCAAACCAAATCCACTCACCAAGAAAAAGATAATTTGTATCAGGGCAGAATCCGCCGATACGGAAGATTTCTAATAAATCGAAGAATTGGCCATGGATATCTCCCACAACGGTAACCGGCGCCATAATATGGACCACATTGCTCTCTTTCATTAATAGCTCTTTTGTCTTCGCGCATACAGCTTCAATCACTGGCTCCGCAAGGAGCTCTTTCCGATAGAGTCGCTCGATGCACTCATCGAGATCGATACTAGCTATACCAGCATTAGCTCTTTATCGTCACATTCGGGGCGGGCATGGGCGATTTGGCGTTTCCAGCTTCACTCTAAACGTACTGGGAAGGCCAGGCATCTTGGTCAAAAGCGCCGAGGCAAAGACGAATGAGTGTATAGCCCCTGTCGAGGAGGGGTACTGAAGTTAAGGGAATGCTGCCGCACAGAAGAAGTGCTCTGCTCAGGCTGAGAGAGGGTGGCCTGGCAGAGACGAGAAAAAGAGATTGGATAATTTCAACGGAGATTCAGGATGGATAGACTATTCGCAGTAGGCATGGTGACGAGGAAAGTCAGCACTGCAACAATTCCTCAGGTTTCAACACAAGACTCCCAGCCTTTTGCTGTGCAGCGTGGGGATACTGCCTTGACCGGGCTTACCGCTTTATCACGTGAGCTGCTAATGACACGTGATGGTGTACTCGGATGGGCCTAGGATGGTTTACACGGTAAAATGAAATATCCAAGGGGTATCGAGATGAGGATTTATCGGGAGGGGCTATAGTTTGCGGAATGTCTGCTTGTACCCAGGTAAGATGATCAAGATTAGTCTTTTGCCATGCTTTCGGCGTTAATATCTAAAGGATATCTAATGAACCCACAATTTACACAACGCACGGAAATATATATTCACCTAGGCACAAACAAGTAGCTCGAGGTAACCTGCCAAAAAGATTCGCGAAAGCAGACGGCACCTTCAAATTAAATTAATCATCGAATTTGGAGATGGTGAAATCATGCTTATAAATTTGATATTGAAAACGCCCATGAATTTCCGCTTTAGTACTACACCTCGCCGCCTTTTGCTTACTGAATAAATTGAGCACGCCCCTAAGCAGCCTGAGTTGTTCAGTGAGTGTTACATAATCATACATTCCACTCGCTGAGCTTACCCTGAGTGCCCTGATTCGCTCACTGAAGGAAAGGGTTGAGCGGCCTGAGTAATCTCATCCCAATAAATTGCGATACGCTAGTCTCATCCACGTGCAATCATTCCACTATAGCTTGCAACTATTGCCCCATAGATAAAAGACTCAGGCTACGTGCTCCTAGTAACTCTTCAACCACAAGCCCCACTGGCTCCAAATCAGATTCTAGAATACAAGAGCAGCTACGGTGATTGTGGGATCTCCTTAAGAAGATATGTTCTGCTCCCCAACCGGCTATTTTAGAGACATTTATACTCAGTATACTTACGATCCCGACCTCCCGTTGCGCTGTGAAGGGTCGCATGGGGCAGGAATCTTCTTTGAGCGTACGACGTTATGCCCCTTACACCGATGCTAAATGGCTACAGTACCTTCAATGAAATTTCTCCTAGGAATTCTCTCGTTCAGTAATACTATGACGGATCAATGTAGAGACTTTTCTGAGAGCCATATATAAATTCCTAAATAGCTAGCCCAATATCTACAGAGACTCAGGCCCTAACACTAAATCTTCAGATAGATCAACAACATGAAAAGGATAGGGCAATCATTAAGATTCCAAGTAATCCAAAATCTCGTTAATTCCAGGAGATTTGCCCATTTCGGTCTCGATTTCTTTCACCAAATCTCTAGCCTGTTGCATGAGAGAAGATACTCGATGCTTGCAATAAATGTGACTCCCTCTAGATTCCATATATTCCTTAGCAAAATTCTTGACTGTATCATCTTCAGTCCTCTGTTTGAGGATGTGAATCAGTTGCAAGGTTTCGGAATCTGAAAGAAAGCTGTGAATAATAGGGAATGAGAACTTCCCCTCTGTCAAATCCTCGCAATATCCCTTCTTGCCTGCATAGGCATCGCTCCATATGTTCTGATAGTCGTCCCTTATCTGGAACACAATCCCAAGCAAGTCAACAAGAGTCAAGCTATTTTCACTATATGGAAAGTGAGAATCTATTCTATAACATTTCATATGTCGTATTGCACGGCTTACCTAGCTTTCCTGCTTTCCACTAGGATAAGCCGTATCCCTAGTCTGAAGAGCCCCCCAGTTTTATCCGAGACCATATCCAGATACTCTTCTTCAGTTGGACATACAAGGCAATCACGCCAGTAAATATCCATCCCTTGGCCTCTGTGGAGATTGAGAAGTTCTTCAGTGAATATTCTGAAGGTTTCAGGGTTATCAAGCCTCGCTAAATGTTTCTGGGCCATAAAATAGGCATGGTTCGCAGCGTTTATTGTTTGCGCAACACCAAAGATACAATGTGCCGCTGGTAGACCACGTCTAAGCTTTGACTCGTCTTGCACATCGTCAATTCTGTGGAAGAAAGAATTAGAAAACGCTAATTGATCAACGGCATTCCTTACAGTAGTGATGCTGTATGGAGTAATTCCACGACACGATTGATGACCATGAGCTTTTCTGCAGGGACATGGAACCACTGATTAAATCCAAACAGGACCTTCGTCCTGACGCTTTTCCCGGGCAATGAAAGAAGATACTGCATAGGACCGGAAATAATCTAGAGAACAATACGATAAGTATCCGATAATTCGTATTTCTTAGAACACCCGAACCTTTTCTTTGTCAAATCGATTCCTGTAGTTTTCTGGGGTCTCACTACCCGGAGCTGCTTCTTGATGCAGATAAGACCTCACTTTGTTCGCTTTGGGTGTTTGGACGGGTGACGGGTCCTGGAAGTCCTCCTTTGCTTGCCATTTCGGGCCAAAGTAGTTTTCTTTCAGTGAGTGCAAACCTGGCTCTAGGTTCAAATTCTTAACCCCCTTTGTTGAATAGGAGATACACCTATTTTGGAAAGCGGCCATCACTCCTAAGGCTATTGTCAGCTGCTGATGCATTTGAAAAGATACTCAAATACTAACGAGCGAGATGGGATTGATAAATGTATGCGGGATTGACGGGATGCGATTCAGTAACAATGACATTCGAATATATCAAGACTGGGCGTGTTCTTATCAGGTGTTGGAATATTGTGATGTTGGGGTACTACTTAATAGGTTGGTAGTGAGACTGATTGTTGACCTTGTTGGAAGGTGCCTGCAATCATATTTATGCTATACTGCGTGGCCCCGCGGCGATACCTTGGCTCGGGCGTAGGGATATCGCGATTCAGCGATTTGCACTATTTCTTGTTTTCGAGCCTTGACCCATCCTCATCATGCGCCATTACATCAGGATTCTCACGTTTTATCACGAGATGTACCTTCCCGTGCTGCAACATAGACCTCTGTAGGACAAGTATCATGCGAGGTGCGATGCATAGATCCTGTCACCATAAATGGGAATTTGGATGAACATGATATAAACCGAAAAAGGTTATTCATAGCTCCACTTCCTCAATAGAGCGCGTACATCAAGAAGTACAATTTCCACAGAGCAACACCAGAACGTATTGTGATCCTGCTCATGCTTGGATACAAATCAGGTTAAGCTGCCCAGACCGTAACGCCGCCAGGTCACGGGGGGGGAGCCAAGACTAGATGGTCTTGACACCACCCATACAGAAGAGGCCGTAGCTAGGTGTGGGTACATAAACTCTCGGGCCATAGTTTCCTTATAGCGTTATGCTAACTGCTATTTAAAATATCGCCTTGGGCATCTGAACATGAAACTCTAATTCACGTATAAATTTATTCCCCTCACATACGAAATTGAAAAAAAAAAAAAATATGGCTAAATCAGGGCGCACTGACCTATCCTAAACAAATTTCATGACTATGAACCGAAAATTTGATCGCCAATGTCAGCCAGGATTTGACTTCTATCCTTGTTCGCAGAGGCCCACTCCCTTTCAATCGCATCCCTGTGCTCGGGACTCCGGATTTCAAAACAGGCATTGAATCGCGAAGGTCTGAATGCAGCCCCCTGATCACCAGAACTGTTGGCCGCTTGCTCTTTCTTATGTTGGTCAACTTCAGGGCACAAGATATTATATGCCCAAAGCAACCGGGAAACAGCAATGAATAGCGTAGATCGAGCTACTTGCTGCCCTGGGCACGCCCTGCGTCCGAAACCAAAAGAGGAAAGAGGGAGATCTAGATTTTTAATCCATCTTTCGGGTTGGAATAATTCGGGGTCGTTGAATGTGTTCTCGTCCATATTCATCTGCCATTGGTTCGTAATGACTATAGAATTTGCAGGGATAAGATATCCCATGTATTCATTGTCTTCTGAAGCAGAGTGCGGGAACCCCAGTGGAGCCGCCGGGCGCCATCTCATGACCTCATTGATGAATGCGTTGACTTGAGGAAGTTTGTCTGTATCCTCAAACGATGGTAGTCTTTGTAAGCCAATAACACAGTCGAGCTCTCTTTGAACCTTTTTGACGGCATTTGGATGTAGAAGACATGTTATGACGAAACTTTCCAGGCTTAAATGGGTAGAGTGGCTCCCAGCAAGATATAATCCTCCCATATAGGAAGCAAGTCGCTCATGAGATAGCTCCTTGGTATCCTTTCTCTGAAGAATTTCTCGGCTCCAATTCCATCCTTCCTCTTGAATACCGGCGTTGTAACATTGCTTGAACGCAAGATTTGCTTTTCGGTGAACATTCTCGACTGATGACTTCCATCTTGTAAGAAACCTGGGGAATCGATCGATGATTGGAAATGCATCAACCATGAAGCTCCCAATGGATAGTCCTTTGATGGCGTATTCAACCCAATCATCAAGAATCTGTATCTCTTGAATATCGTGGTGGGGATCTGTTAAGGCTTTGCCATAGACTAGAGTAAACATTGCGCTGGAAGTATAACGATGTAGTGGTTTATAAAAGTCCCTTTCCGACAGCAATTCATATGTGAGTTGCTTGCTTTCGAGATCGTGGATTCTTTTATATGCCTGAGACGCCCGGGTACTCAGAAGAAATGTATCCAACCGTCGATGGAGACGACATACAGTGTCGTATTGCATGAAAGCAGGTTGGAGGCCCTTACACAGGTATTTGTCGATAAGAATAGACTTTGGACGTGAACTATAAATGATGCTTCGTTTTTCGAGAAGATCCTGCGCAATCTTACGATTGCCGAGTATAATCACGGTCTGGAAGCCCAGTCTTAGGCTGACTATGGGACCATACTTCATATGCCATTCCCCAAATGTTCGCCATATATCTCGGTCTGGCGTTGACATTGAGATGAGCGTGGGACCTGGTGGAAGGGGCAGGCTAGATGATCGTCGCTGAAGGATCCTGAAGCCGAGGTAGATGAAGGCAGTGATGAGGATAGCACCACAAATTTTGCTTAATGCCATATTGGTTCCTTTGGGGGACAAAAATCATTTGAGATCATACACGAAAGAATATTTAGGTGCGATAAGCTGCGAAAATGTTACCTCTATAAGGCCCTTTGGCTCCCATTTGAAGTTGTCTAAGTCATAGCGCATATCCACCCACTCGCCCTCTAAATGAACGCAATCACAGAACACGTCATCCTATATACCATTGGAAGCACCAATTTACAATCAGGATTTTTTCAATGTTACTATTATGTCACGGATTTCGGTCTTTTTCCGTCAGCAACCGCGTTTGCCGCATATACGAGCTGAATAGCAAGGCACGAAGCACGAGCATACATATTTAGTATTGTGGAAGTGCGCAAGGAAGGAAGAACAGCATGTACGGGAGGTAAAGCTTAAGCAGTGCAGGACTGAAGGTACTAGTCCTAATCAGGACCTCCATGCCTGACGTACTGGAAAGGCAGTTCCTCTCCATATCCTCAGCATAGCAGGTAAGCTACAAGATACGTACATCAGAGACACGTGCATGAGAGACGTGAAAGACTAGACTCGAAAAATAAGTTCAAAAAACCGAGTAGAAGGGGGCCTAGGTTGACAAGAAGTAGCAAAAGTATGCCGGTAGCTAGGTCAAGGTCGATATCAAAGGCTGCGAGTGCGAGGGAAGGGATCGACGAGAATACAGAGCTCGGAAGAAGAATGTTATTTTCAAAGATAGCGTGATTGCCACGTCAACAAGAGGGATCGACGAGAGCACAGAGCTCGAAAGAAGAAGGTTGATATCGAAGATAGCGGGGTTACTGCGTCGACAAGAGGGTTCAACGAGAGCACGGAGCTCGGAGGAGGTGCTGTGGGGTAGCATACTGCGAAGCACCACAGAAGTGGGGTCGTATAGACAAGATCCGTGCAGAGCGATAGCGACAGCGAGGTCAGCATAGAAGCAACGAGTTACTCAGTGAGAGTGAAACTCATATGCCCCGGGCTCATAACCTGTATGAGCTAATTAGCAAGGACCAACACGAAGCACAATGATACGTATGTAGTATTATGGAAGTGCGGCAAGGAAGGAAGAAGAGGATGTACGAGAGGTGATTATGGAAGTGCGGCAAGGAAGGAAGAAGAGGATGTACGAGAGGTGAAGCCTAAGTACAGATAGTGCAGGATGGAAGGTACTAGTCCTAATGAGGAAGGTTATTGACACCGCAATTAGTCTTGATCTGCGGAGATTTACATTGAGACAACATGTGGATGGCGTTCAAGCCTCGATGACAAATACGCTAAAAAGGTTAAACTCTCTTGTAGTCTATCTCCAAATTCAAAAGCAGTTGCACTGCGCTATGCAGGATGCCCAATAAAGTATGCCAACCTCGTGCCCTATGTACACCGCATGCTGTAGGAGCTTCTTGAAATCTTAAAATCACGTCATACTCGATTCCCAGTCACTTGTAGATACCATAAGATGTTTTCTATAAATGTCGAAACTCGCAGCGAGATGAATTTCATTTTTATTGAGATCATAGAGAACTCCTTGTTGATATTTCCTTCCCTTTCAGTCATTACAGGCGCTTGGAGCCACCGGAGAAACAACGACCACACAAAAATGAGTACAGGGAGAGATATTCGTATCCCATACAAGAGCGTCTTGAACCCAGACCTTGATCGAGCGGCGGCACAACATTGGCAATGGATTAAAGATGCGGAGTTGATCACGAGCCCAGAGGCCCAGAAAGCGTACGAGGCCACCGACTTTCCTCGCCTTGTCGCTTACACCTACCCATCTGCATCTAAGACCCAGCTAGATCTTATCACAAATTTGATAGGATGGTCTTTTATACTGGACGACTCGCTGGACAAACCAGGTATCCTCAAAGCCTCGCCAACAAAAACTGCCGAGGCTCTGGATAAATATCGCAAAGTCCTGGATGGCTACGATCCTGAATCCCCGGAGATCCCTTTAGTGACGGCTTGGAGGAAACTTCTGAGTTGCGTTAGTGAACGATCATCTGAAGCTCTAAAGGCTCGGCACCGGGCTCATTGGGAGAGCTTGTTTCAAGGCTTTCAGCAAGAAGCAGAGAATAATGCTAGCGGAATTGTCCCCGGGTTCAATGAATATCTGGAGTTGCGACGGGCTGCTGGTGGGGTAGAGATTTGCCTTGACTGGGCGGAAGCAATTGGCGGCTTTGAGGTTCCCAGCATTGTTCACAGCGACCCAAGATTTCTCCGACTTCGGGAAGACGCCGATGATGTGGTCAGCATGACCAATGATATCTTCTCCGTTCGAAAGGAATATGATGCTGGGAATACCGATAATGTTGTCTTAGTGCTCGCAAAGCAAGAGCAATGCACGTGGCAGCAAGCCATAGAAGTCGCCGTGGAACTCATTGCGAAAACTGTTGCGCACTATCAAACAACCGAAGCCGAATTTCTTCAAAGCACTCGTTTTACCGAGCTTGAACCTCGAGATCAGTCAAATGTTTTCAAATTTCTCGACGCGATGAAGTCCTGGATGGGCGGAAGTCTCGAATGGCACCTGAGCAGTCCGCGGTACCAATAATTGCTTCTGCTATGTAAACTCTATGTTAACAACTAAGCACGCCTTGTGCTATGTTGTTAAACAGATATCGAGGCTCTCAATGAGTTGTTGCCGAGCCCCTTTTATGGTCCTATAGACTATTGCAACTCCTTGGTTCCTCCACGCCTCATCGACCGAGTCTGTTGTTTCCTATTTTCATGTCAGCGGAGGGCGACTGATAAAGTTTTCCAGTCTCCCACTTATTTGGGGGCTCATTTCTTTATAAGTCTCCTCTTTTTTGGACTTTAACTATAAATGTGACGTTGATCCTTCATTGCATCCATCGACTACCCACCCATCAATGAACATAGTCTAAGATCATACCTGTATTCCTCATTTGCAAGTCGTGACCTTGAACTTGACATGTAATATCGTATATAAGGGCTCTGTATATGTCTAGCTATCGACAAAAAATCAGAATCTAATTATTAGAGCGTTTAGGAACAGAAACTTTACTGCTGATACAATTCGTTATGATGTTCAGTCTGCTCGCCTCACTCCTATGGCAGATCAGCCACCTGACCCTTCGCTATGGAGCAAGGTATCCAATGGCAGAAATAGGGCTAGAAAACGGAGCACCTCAATAAATAGCAGTGTGTGTAAGAGCGTCATCAGAAAGTTCACAAAATGAACCGGACTGTGGGGCAGGGTGCCCTTTATTTATGGACTGAGTGCCGACTGTGTGATCAGTGACTACTGACCCGAGCTGTTTTCTGGAGTAATCACCGAGCAAATTACTGAGCCTGAGACCGGACTGGAATTTAGTCAATGAGCCTGACCCTCATAAAAGCGGCGGCAGCTGAGACCTCGGGACAGGAAAGTCCCCACTCGGTAGAGTAAATATTTGTGAGTAACCTAGGTATTCCCAATTCTAGTCTATGCATCTGATCAATCCAAGCCAACACCTATACATTTAATCCATAGGCTTTATTGCCTGGCCCCGAGTAATTGCTGAGCTTCTTTATGAACAGCCTCAGTTTCAGAATCAGTCTCGTCTTCATCACTGTCTTCCTCTTCAGATTCTTCCTCGGAGTCATCTTCTTCAGAGCCAGTCTCCTCCTCCGAATCCGTTTCTTCCTCGGTCTCAGTTTCAGACTCGGTCTCTTCTTCCTCCTCCCCAAGCCACTGATCCAAAGTCTTCTTGCCACTTGCTCCTCCCGATGCAGCCGAGCCATTCGGCCGCCGGGGTGGTGGCACAGTCGCTTGGTGCTCGCGAAGTGCTTTATCCAATTTTTGACCAGCAGTCAGTGAGCTTGGGACTGAAGTGGTTTCTGATTTGATATCTTCGATGCGAAGACTCGGATCAGGCTCCTGTCCTAATTGCACCCAGTCTGGTAACTTAGTGTAACCGCGAAGTCCATGATAACCGGCCTCTGGGCCGACAACAAGGGTTGCGGTGCCAACAAGGAGATCCTTGCGTGTTTCTGAGGGACTTGGGGCATGCGGAACGGGCTTCGGTGCTAGGAGAAGCAGGTTGGCCAAATGAGTTGAGGACGGAGAAGCAAGAAGCGACTTGTAGAGACGAGCCCGATCGCGAAGGTCGTATGAGGTATCGTAACGCGCAAGAAGTAGGACGTAGCGCCAGAGCAATGTCATACGATCTTCTTTTTCTTCGGTGCCGATTGCTTCTGCTACCGCTGCCTCATCTTCGGGAATTTGATTTGATTCCGTCTGGTCCTCACTCTGATCCTCTGTCCACTCATTGCGGATTTGCTGTTCAATTTTGGCGGGCTGCTCGGATGGCTGCAGAGCCACGGCCTCAGCTGATTCCTGTGGATGCTTCTTCAAGAGGTGCTGGAGGTACACCTTGGCACCAAGAAGAACGATTTGTTGTTTGACGACCTCGAGTTCATCGGTGAATCCTTTGATCAGAATACGAAGAACATCTGGTGCAATATTGTTATCGGGGTCTATGCTTGCAAATTCACCCACAAGCCAAATAATCGTGGCTCTTGCATCAGCATTAGTAGTCGTGCCAAGGTAAGTAACGAGTTGAATGACAGTTTGCTTATGCGAGGTTGGGTCTTGCTGAATCAGATGTCGTATAACCGTCAACGACTCTGACACCAAGTTTCCGTCGAGACTAGAGACTTGGCCAAGCAAGATGCGCAAACACATATCTGTGGTGGTAGAATCGGCATGTGCACAGCGTCCAATCGCCCGCACACTTTCTCGAACTAGTTCAGGGTTGGTGTCCTTGGAGAAATGTTCCAGTTCACTGATTATGACGCCCTTCCAATGTGTCCCGCAATGGGGGAATACGATTGTCAGAACTTCCAGCTTGAGGCGCCAAATGTGTGGTGGGTCATTGGCGTGAACCAGGAAATGGGCGATGTAACGTGTGAACGGCTTAGGCTCTCTCATAGCAACAGCGACAATATTGTAAAGGGCAATCAACTGCATATCCTGCGGACTTCGAAGAAGAGCCACCAATGGCCCAACAGCCGAAGCAAGATATTCAGGTGGTGCTAGATAAAGGAAGCAACGGACAACGCTGACAACAACGGCCGAGTTTCTGTTTTGTAACAACAACTTGCACGCCCGAAGTAGCAGTTCAAGATCAGGGTCTACCACTGGTACTTCGTACTCCTCGTCTTCGTCTTCACCATTATGCTGTGCTTGCTCTTCGTCATCGTAAAAGGCCTTGGTCACAGCCCGTTTGACCTTCTGGGTTCGATGCGGAAAGCACTGGCGCGCGTAAAATGTCAAAAGACGCAATGTTGAAATTTGGCCCCACTCATCCATATCCACCAGCTTCTTGACCAGACTGCGGTAGTGCTTATGAACCAGATCAATCTGCTCCGGGCAGATTTCCAAGAATGCGGCCACGGCCGGGCCAACAACAAAGTATTGCGAATCTCCGAGCAAAGTCTCAATGTATCCGATCAATTGAGGTAAAGTGTTCGGGTCTAAACGATAGCATTTGGGTATAGCCAACGCAGCTGCTTTCCTGACATGTGGGCTCATATCACCGCACCCGCGCTTGATAGCCAGGGACACGATCTGGCTGATCACCGGCACGCGAATACCAGACATAGTTCGGAGGGCCATGGTTCGGACCTGAGGATTCGAATCGGTCAGGGACTTCTGAATGGCGTTGATGGACAGCAAGGCCAAATCCGGTTCCGCCTCCGCATGGTGGACAAGGTAGATGTAGACCAGCTTCTTGACCTCGAGATTGCCACTGGCTGCGTTCTTGACCACGGCAGAAAAGAATGGGTGGGAGGATTCAGAACGGTACATCAACTGGGAAATGATCATGAGATTAGCCACTCTATCCCAAACGGTTCTCCATTGCATTATCATCATACCGAGATAACCTTCCGCATTCCATCCAGGACTTCCCGCTCATGACGACTATCCAGAAGCTTTTTGATGTGAGGAACGCTGTATGAACGTGAAGATGATTCCGAATTCAAGATCCTGTTGCTCGCAGCGGACTGGGCAGCTTCCAGGGTGAGCTCTCGAGCTATGCGCACAGAGGTTCGGCGGTCAGCTTCATGCCGAAAGGTGGCTGCAACACAGGAAAGTCGACTTACCTGTTTCCAGCATTGAGGATATCCTGGAAATGGTCTCCATATTGAAGCTAGCCTCTGAGGTGCCTCGTCTCAGACGTGCGAGAATTGGCTGGGGGAGATGAGGGAAGACAATAGGTGGGGGAGGGAAGGCGGAGGAGCATGACCTCCGAGAGACGCGGATTCCGATTCTTCAACTTCTTGTAAAGTCGCGTCACTATGTTTCCAATCTTCAGACGTCACAAATGCCACTGATCCTCGAATTTCAAATCATGCGAAATCAAAAAGTGTAGCTACCACGGTAGCTGAGACAAATTATCGTGGGCGCCACAGTTCACCCCACGTCATGGGCCTGCGGACCGTCGCTTTCTGCGACCTTGTGACCGATTTGATACAACGATTACTTGACACCGCTGCAAAAACCAACATTATTGTGTGTGGTACCAGATCGGAATTTCTAGTGCAATTATCTGCGGCAATTCGCTTACAGCGGTCTGTACCAGATGTTTCACCGCGCCTGGATTTGCTCACCAAGAGCATCGGTCTTCTTGCGCACTCAAGCAAGATCCGACTCACTTTCTGTCCAAGCCTGGAGAGTCTAAGAGCCTACCTTGCCATAATGGGTCCGATCGATACGGGCATCACAGAAACAACAGAAAGAGGTCTAGGTCCTCGGCCACTACTTGCAATCCTGGATCTTGTGGCTTTACATGCTACGACAACGGAGCTTGCGGCTCAAGGACTGTCGAGAACCCTTGCTGCTGCTGTCGAAGCAGCATCGCGGGTGGACATGGATTTGCTTCTCTGTGAATGTGTCAATGCCGTAGATCCTTCCAACGCCAATTGGGGAGGGCGATTATGGGATACGCAAATTCCCTTATTGAATGGCTCGGTGCGAATTCGTGATGAAGGAAACTGGGGCGGACATGGTGTGTCCATTAAACAAGTGGCTCAACGATGGTTCAGCTTTGATGGAGAGACTGTGTGAAAAGAAACAAGTGTAGATTGATGGATAAAAAGAGCAAACACTGCAATATGATGAAACTCCATGGAAATGAACATGTGCCCGGGTATCCTAGAGCCGCCCGCTGAACTCCTGAATCCATACAGAAAGTTACAAAACTTGATGCCTCACAGGGATTTTTCCACCTCTGTGATATAGAGCTTAATATGTGACTCCAACTTGAGATACTGGTCGTGGGCTGCTTGGATCTCGCTCTCGATATTCTCCTTGAGATCCACCATCTAGAAATCAAAAAATTAGCATATATCCCGGGCTCAAACAAGCTCAGGAAACGCACCTTCTTCTCTGTCTGCTCAATCCGGATTCGTCTCCGCTCCATGTCACTTTGCTTCTCTGCACGTTCTTCTCGAAGTTGTCTCTGTACATTTCGGAGCTCTTCCATCCTGGCCTGTGCAAGCTCTGCTTTTTCTTGAGCATTCTTGCGTAGGTGTTCAATTCGTTCGTTCCAGCGAGCCAGTTGGCGCTGCAGGAGCTTCTCTGTCTGTTCAACTTCTCGTACACTGGCACCTCGGTCGGAAATAGCTTCTTTATTCCGCGCGGCGCGAGATTCTTCCTCGTCTTCTTTCTGTATCTCGGTAGATATATCGTCAAGTAGCTTGACGCATGCTTGGACATCATTTGAAACAACTGTGAATGAGTCCGAAGAGGTCTGTAGCGCTCGTGCTCGCTTCTCCATTGCGTCAATCTGGGCTTTCTCGCGCATGAGGTTTTCCGCTAGCTCAGTCAATGATGATTGCAATGTGACCGGAGATTCCAAAACGTAAGGCCGCAGCTTTTCGGCTTCTTGTCGACTCCGAACTGTCCTCTCTGTCTTTTCCTCAAGCTGTTGCTGCCTCCGCGCGCGGTCATTCTTGACACGATCAAGGTTCTCTGCTACCCGCGACTGCTCACGACCCAGTTCCAAAAGCCGCGCCTTAAGCTCGTCGTTTCGTGCCACTTTCTCGCGAACCTGTACCTCATTGATCTGTTGTTCCTGCCGCATCTCAGCCAGGCGTTGTTCCATCTCGTGGTTTTCGGCAAACAGCTCATCGATGCGCGTTTTTGTCTTCTCGGTTTTGTTGAAATGTTCGTCAATTATCGGAGTCTGTGATTCGCGGAACCGGACAAAGTTGATAAGGTAGGAAAAGACCTTTACCAGTCGATCATGGGTTGGCTTGGTCAGGTCGGTAAAAGTAAAGTCGTTAACACCACACTGCGCACATATTAGCCACATGTCCCTCTCCAGTACTTTTTTAGGGATTATTCATGACATACTTCCGACAACAGCCTTCGGATGCTAATGAAGAATCCCATGAGGTTGCGGGTTTCATTGGGGACGATGTCTGGGTAGTCTCCGCAGATTTCGTCTGCGGCCGCATGCATTCCAGGTTCGACAGTCTCTCGAGTCACATTCATGAGCAGTTCTGCAAACCATTCGAAGACCATCTGGATCTGTTGCGGGTTCGGTTTCGCGAGGTCGGCCGTGGTGAACGGAATTCCGATGTCGTTGATGCATCCTGCAATTTCTTTGTCGGGCTTGGGATAGGTTAGTAAAGAAACTCCTATAGTCCGATCACTGATGTTGCGTCAAGCGGGAGATTCAACTTACCAAGCGCATCAATGCGTCATTGTCGTCTTCCTTCTTGCGACCACGATTGTGTTGCTGTTGAGAGCCAGCCATGCTCATGCGGTGGTTATACGCCATTTTGTCACAGTCGCGCAGAAGTCACAATAAGTCTGAAAGCCTGGCGCTCTGGCCAGAAGAGTTGCGACGATTTGAGGAGGCAGTTGTTGTGATTGGAGTCGATTGTTTACTTGGGAGAGGAAAGCCCGCACGACAGACCGCATCGGGTTTAGCGTGCTTCTGGAGGGGCAGCAAGGAGCAAACATGTCAAACACAGCACCAGCACAAAGAAATCGTGACTCTTCCAGCTCCAGACTCGGATTCGCTTTTGCTCTACATTACAAGTAAAAGAACCATAATGGCGTCGACCACAGAGGGCACGGCCACAGCCGGTGCACAGCCATTTGAGTAAGTAGTCCCCACCATGTCCAGGTTACGAGTGCTCATCCACCGCGCAGTATCGTCGCAACATACAATGAGCTCCTACGCTCCGATCCCGATCTTACCATGCCCATTGCGGCCATTGAAGCTTTGGTGCTTCTCCTCACACATGAGCCGTCATCCACAATCTCCGAGACCCTTGACTTGCTTGCAAAGTCCACAGAGCACCTGAAAAAATCCATCGCCAACCCAATCGGTCTCTCCGCCGGAACCGATCTCTTCCAAAGATACCTTATCACGACATTACAACGGCCAGGCCAGCTGGGTCCTGCAGGAGATTTCAAAGCTATCCGAACACATCTGTTGTCTAACGGACGACTTTTCATTCGCCGCGCAAAGGAGAGTCGAGAGAAGATTACCGCGTTCGGCCGCGGATTCATCCGCGACGGCTGCACAGTGCTCACAAATGGTGGATCCCGAGCAGTCTCCTCTTTACTACAAAAGGTAGCCGACGAAGAAGGCGGCTCGTTTGCCGTACGATTTAATGTCATTTACGTGCTGTCATCGATGAGCAAAGATATCGAGGGACCTTCTGGAGAGCCCGAGGGAATGGAGACGGTGCGCGCATTGAGGGCGAAGGGTGTTCCAGTTGCGACAATCCCAGAGTCCGCAGTTGCTTATGCCCTTGGAAAGGCGGATATGGTTATCGTCGGTGCAGAGGGTGTAGTGGAGAACGGAGGTATTGTGTCTCGCATGGGCACGTACCAGATCGGACTTCTCGCCAAGGCTATCGGAAAGCCCTTCTACACGGTGGCTGAGAGCCATAAGTTCGTTCGCCTTTACCCATTGGGCCAGTATGATCTGCCTATCGTGCAGCAGGTTGTCGATTTTAAGACCGAGGAGGATATTGCGCAACAAAGTAAACCGCAAGCTCCGGTCGAGTCAAATGCAGACCGCCCAGTGGAGTTGCCACTTGAGGATTCCGTTGACTTCACCCCGCCCCATCTGATTTCCGCCTTGATCACCGACAGCGGTGTCTTGACGCCCAGTGCCGTCAGTGAGGAGCTGATCAAAATTTGGTTCTAGGCCATATGCCAGATAGAGATGTGAAACTGAAAGTGCACTTCAAATCAAGCTCGAATGCTTTACGAATGAGATGATATGCTGGAGAATAATGGTGCCAGCACGCGGTGACTGGCTTTTCCCGTGACAGTTCCTAGGGGTTGAGCCAGGCGACAGAAAAGCAATTTCTGCCGCGGAGTCGCCCACTCTACAGGGCTATGGAACCTGCCACATCTACGACGATGTTACGCTGCTGCCAAAAAATGATCACTAGCGAATACTGGCAGTTTAGACCTACATTCGAGAAAGAACGTCAATTTCTAACGAACAAATTCCAGATGGCTGGACTTTCATATATGGTTGGTTATCAAACCAACAGTCGGGACTCTCATAAATATAAATTCGTAATACATCAATCATGAAGAAAATCGCAATCGAGGTTGAACCAGCCAACATAGCCATTGCCCTGTCTAACGCACAATGCCTATCTCTTTTCACGGGGCTTCGTAAGTTACTTCGCAAAAAAAAGCAATGTATGCAGCATTTTGAAGCTTTTGTTTGGGTATCGTAGCGCAAATTGATAAATGGTCGTAATTCATGAGTCTTGGAATCAAAGGTGGTGACGACATCGCAGCGTACTCGAATACATGCACTGAGCAGCATGCTTTCCGGTCGTTCTTCATGGAACGCAATGCTTGCATCCTTTTCTCCGATCGAGGTGGTATTCGACGTCCACAAACGTCAGGTCGTTATTGGGGTTGAGACAAAAGTAGGCGATTCCTGCGTTTGCATAGCTGCAAAAGCGTACAGGAGTATATACCCGAGGGCTACGAAGATCCAAAGAAAAGCCATTTGGGTATGCGAGTGTTGTTCTCGAGAAAGTCGGTGTGGGCGTTGGAGAGTAGGAATGACCAGATCCAGAGAAATATGTAGCGAGTGAGTAAATCGGAGGGGAAAAGAAACGCAAAGCCAATGAGAAAAGTTCCTGGTTTACTGGAGATGTATTCCCTCAAATCGATTCTTTAAAATGTGAGACAATACCGGCTTGTCTAAGGGATAAGAATAAGATGATAGAATGAGAAAGGTAAGAAATTCTCGTATTTCCATGACGTTCATCTAGGGGTTTAAAACCCAACCAGACTGAATCTTCAAGACGGCATGGAATCATCTCCGAGATATTCCATCCAATACGAGCCGTCTGTGGATAGGAGACCCGGCCATTGAGGGCACATTCTGAGTGCAGCAGGTGCAGCGATGCGGGGGTCCTTGTTCACTAGGGTTTCGTGAGCACGTTCGGAGTTCGGCTAATCGATAGGGCAAGTCCAGGCCGTCTTTTTTGTTTTGAGTTCCTGTGTGCTTTGGCGTCATGCCAGAAGCGAGGCTGACTCTGTGGCATGGATCACCCTGGCGATCGCTGTCGGCGAATGCTTGACTGCGAAAGGAAGGGCAATAGCTACTAACGCTCCGTCAATCAGGGTCCGGGCTGTTATCAAGATGAAACATGCAGGGATGCGGAGTATGAAGGGTCTAGTATATCTCATCTTGTCTGCCAAGGTTTCGGATTCTTCACCTGTGAGGATCTATAGAACGTTATGGTTCCCTCTAGAACTATGTGACGTCTTCATGGTGGACGTGGTAATTATCACGAATATGAAGTCCAAACCAGAAGCAACGGTCGATTACATTGCGTAGGCAACTGGTTCCCATGTTGGAAGCGAGCTTTATATCCACCACAACACCCACACCTTTTGCCTGATTGAGACGAGAAATCGCTACTGGTCATTTGTCCAGGATATGTGATCGGCAAATGTATGCTTATCGCGTGCAGAGCCCGGATGACTTCGCACAGTATCTTGTGCACGAACCTAGACCAACAACGTACTCTTAAACAAATATAGGAACTACAAACCAGGATAATCCCTCCCTGACCCTACCGTACTTAAATATTCAGCCCCAGCCCATGGAATCAGATAAAACACGGATCCAATCATGGCCCCACCATTCCAACCCCGCTCCAAGTGCCGTTCCTGTTCCAACCTCGAGATCGATCTGAACTTCTCTCTCTACAGTACTATACCATAGTCTACCGAGGGGAAATCCAAACGAGCCCTCGACAAGCCCACAAACAACCGAAGTGTGCCACACGTCCCGATCGAGCCTCCGCCATTTATATTTTCATTTACTTTGCCAACACCGCAAGTTACAACCAACAATAACACCAAAGCCAAAGCTCCAGCGCACCGCCCAACGCATCAATAGCCAGAACCTTGGACCCCGCTGGACAACGAAAAGAACAGAAAATTTGGAAAAACTACACGCCCGGCCCCAGAATGGATGCCCAACCGTTGACTCTCTCCGAATCCCACAAGATCCACTCATCTATTGAGTCTACACCGACATCTTCACCGGCTAGCCCGGATGTCCGCAGCAGTGCGGGAACATGGTCACTGAAGCGACTCCTCAGCGGACGAGGTAGCCGGAGATATCGTGTCCTGGAACGAGAGCCGAATCGGCTGCGGAAACGTGTCAGTCAGTGATAACAATGTGACACCGGACGAATAACGCGGTATGGAGGGGTGAACAGGACAACGCATGGCCCCGCTGTGACTTTCTGGAAGGGTGCTTTTTGATTATGCATATGGTTAATTGTGGCTGTTCGGGTGGTCTTTTGAGATTTAGACTACGGACTACATGTGTCCTTGGTTCTGCATTTTTGGCGTTGGGGTTTACATAGAGGGTCAGACGACAGTGTCTAGGTATTGCCATATTGCCACATGACGAGACTGTGCTCTGTACCTTACACAGTATCTACTCTGATCTTGATTTTCAGGCAGATGGATTTTCTATATGGCTCTTTTTTCCTCGAATGAAAAAAAATTCCGAGTTTATCGCCGCAGTGGCGGTAGGGATTGCACTCATGCCCAGGTGGCGTTTATCCCGATGGCGTGAGCAAGACGCCACACATACCGTATCAATTTCCCAGGGCCGTCTCCCTAGGGAAGGGGGAGAGAAACGAACAAAAAGAGAATAAAAGAAAAAAAAAAAAAGAACACTGGTGCCTCGGTAGTGATGCTGACTTGAGATTAAGGCGAGCAGCCGGCGTGTTTGTTCCCCAAATGCAGTAGTAGTGCGGGTGCGGGCGTGGCTTTATTAGGTATAAGGTCTGGGCAACAGTGTCAAGATCGAGTCTAAAAAGGTTAAGGCTACGGCACATGGGGATGCACATCTCGATGCCCAAGGCCAAGGGGATTTTCCCTCGGGGACGTGCTCCTTGCCGCGATCATAAATGGAAAGCCTTCATTACAAGGGGGAAGAGGATTGTCCCGATCTGTTTGTCTCGGCAAACAGCGGAGACTAGTGGAAATGAATCATTGCGGGATTTCTGAGACCAGCGCTAGCCGAATATTTGAGAAGTTCCTGTGGAACATTGAGACATAAGGAACTAGCTTGCAGTAAGGTTCTTCAGCTCAGTGAGGGGATGGGTTGTGACATATCATCAAGGAACGTGACCACGAGCGAATCTTATCGTGATCTCGTGTGACCAATGTGCTGACTTGCTAAACGCACTGGGTCGTTGGATTTGCAATCACTACTTTTTTGTTGGAGACCTGGGAGTTCAAATACAGTACTTTAGATCTGATCAGATCAGATCTCTGTACGGAGTGCTTGCGTATTCGCTACTCTATATTCTGGAGTCATCGTCATTTCCCTCGGCTGTTCAATGACAACATTTCCTCGTGCACGGCTCACCACGCACGCATAGCGAAGCAGAGTCAACGGCCGAAATGAGCCATTTTCCCGCTGATCCATCTCCACTTAGTCACAGTTATTCTCCTAGACACACATAAAGTCCCTGCAGGATATGGCGGTCTGCCGAAACGCACGTCCGCCAGTCCAGATTGGGGAGAATATTGGATTGACGGCAGGAGCCTTGGGGGGATCCATGGAACCTAACAATGTGGTGCGGGTTCAGCCAGTGAGGGTTGCGTAAGATCGACTCCATTCCCGCGTGTCAAGAGAACACTTAATGGGCTGGGGATCCACCGGGCGCCCAACGGGCCTTAGTTCCAGGCACGCGCGCTGTCCACGAGATCTATCGGTTAAATCAATAATCCAGAAAATCAAATTGACGGCATATGAGGAAAAAGGAGATGTCGAGGACCCAAGTACGGAGTCCTTCGTAATTTGGGACTATATGCAAGGTCCTGTGTTATTGTCAAGTGGGTTTGTTTTTTTTTTTTGGTGACTTCTCCACACTTGGAGACTCAGTTTACAAATGACGGAGTTGTCGATCTTATTTGGCACCATTGAATTATCGTGTGACTCCAGCCACTTCAACGGACTTGACTTAATTTCTCACATGCATCAGGTACCAGGTACGTGTGTGACTGAATGCGAGAGAGTACGGAGTATGCTCTGCAATAGAAGTAATTGTAATGTTATTTTTAGGAGAAAAGGAACCAAAACAAGCGGGAAATTAGATTTCCCAATTGTGGTCAGAAAGTGGTCTGGCCCTTTCCATTGGATTTTCCCTATCATTTGCATGCATTTTCATTTTCATTTTCATTTTCTCTTTATTTTCTGTTTTGGTTTTTTTCTTCCTTTCTTCCTACAGACACATTCATTCCCTGTTGGTTTTCAACGCCACTCTGTTGACATTCGCTTGCGCCCCTTTTGCCCCCAAATCCCCAAGTACATCTTGTTACTCTCTTTTCCCCATCATAAAAAAAACTCAAACCCACTTGATGACGACGGTGGCCCTGGCGTGACTTCAGCGCTATTTGCTTTTGGTCTTTAAACCTTTTTTTTTCCATTCCAGTCCCTACTCATTAAAAACAAAATCTCCATGAGTTCAGTCCGGCGCTGTACTTCTACACTTCCCTGCGACCACTGACTCGTTTTCGGGGCCTATCCCGCACTCGACCGTCATGGCGATATGGCCATTTGGTCGGAGTAACAAGGCCAAGCGACACACTATCCAAGTGAGTCCCGATGAAGCCGCCACCCTTCAGTCGTCCATCGCGAACGACCCCAGAGCTGCCGCCGCGGCTATTGGTATCGAACCTACGTTGGGCCGCAAGCCTTCCCTCCGGCCCCCGAAGCGTCAAAACAGCAACCGCCTGTCACGAACTGGTGATGAAGTTGGTAGTGTCCACGCCGGCCTAGGTCGTTCTTCGTCCCAACGACAACGTCCCACCTCATTCATCGATCACCGATCCCAAATGAGCTCCGACCGTGCCGACCCGGATGGCCCCCAGCTGCCTCTGTCGCGGACCGAATCGTTGATGCGGACCAAGAACCAAAATGGACCGAATAAACTCCGGCGGAGATTGAGCAAGCGCAAGGCGCACGAGATCATGCGCGAGCGTGAGATTCGCATGCTTTCCTCGACGCCGATCGACATCCCGCGTCGGACAGGTCAACCGGATTACAATATGATCGATCACAGGCGCCGGAAGACGAATGGCCAACGCCTAAACCGTTATCAGTCGGACGTTAGCCTATCCGTTCGCGACTCGGCTGCATCTTCCATGTCAGATTTAACAGATCCATACACTTTCAAGGTTAATGCTTTCGCGGCGCTGACGCCCCGTCCCGTGGTTCGATACGTCGAAGCGCCACGGGCTCCCACGGCCCGCAACAATCCCCCCCAAGGACCGTTTACAGAACCTGACTACCTCGGAGGAAGATCTCTACTACTCTAAGCGACGGGTAAATGAGTTGGCCGATTCGTTGGATGCTAACACGCTGCGAGAGTTGATGGATCGAGATCGTCGTCGCCGGGAAAAGAAACAGATTGATGACCAGGAGAGGCTACGACGCAAGTTGCAGGCAAGGGCCGACGCACAACAAGCACAGGAGGCACGGGAGGCCGAAGAAGCTGTGGCTGCCGCTGCCGCAGCGAGGGACCTCGCCACTGTGGAACATCATGATGAACCGGCTATGGAAGAGACCGTGGATGCTGATGTTGATGAAGAACCGGGTGTTTCAAAGGAAAGTGATGCCGTTGGGGCCGACTCGATCGCCGACAGCGTACCGATCATTGAAAATACCGGTGAATCATCTATTCGTGAGCCCAAGCTAGCGACGAGGTCGAGCTTTGCCCCTTCACATGAGATGGGCATGTCTCGAACAACACTCTCGCCATCCCACTCGTCTGTCCGCCATGGGCTCAGTAGCCCCAGCCACTCCCAAACATTCGGAATGGGCTCAAACTCGGACCTCTCAGAACGCCGACTGTCTGATACCAGTGGGCGCCGTGGGAACACCATTACACACCTATTCCGACGTGGTTCTTCTCGTCTGAAGCGCCGTTACCGCGAGCATTTCCAGGAACCTGCAACATTGGACCACAACCCTTCGAACGAGTCCTTCTACAGAATTCAGACCCAGTCCTCCCCTCCTCCGCCGTCTCTTATTCCTCCTCGCGCATTCATCCCCACTGGAACGGTCAAACGCGCCCAATCTAAGTTCACTGAACACTTCGGCGATGAGCCCATGTCTCCCCCCGACTCGCGTTTGCAGTCTCCGGACATCCCCGAGGAGGTCCCAGAATCCTCACTAGAACACGACCAGGATACATTCCTCCAAGGCCCGACTCCTAGTGCCAGTATGGATATCATCAACCCTCGTCGGCGTCACCATCTGTCCTTGGCCGAGAGCTTCGATGCCGAGTCCGACAACGTACCACTTTCTCAGTCCCTCGCTTCTATCGACTCTGAAGGCTCTTGGATGTCTGGCCAATTTTTCCGCAGGATGCACCAGAAACCCAGCAGCCCTGTCCGCACCACCATGAGCCCCCTTGGTCCCGCCAACCTGGATGACCCCGATGTGTTTGAAGAAGCGCCCGAATCACTTGATTCTCAGGGCGCTAGCAGCAACGTGATGGGTGACCCAGAGATGGATAATGAGATGCCCAACCCTGAGGCCGGCACTCCCGCGGAGATGTGGCACAGCGAGGTCGGCCGCCGGCCTGTTGTGGTCAACCCAGTCGCTCGCCCGAAGTCCAACCAAGGAATGCTGCGGTGCATCCCCTCTTTGTCGCCAATTTCAGCCGAAGAGGACTATAGCCCCGTGAGCCCTTTGGAAGAGGATAATCTCCCCGGAAATTTCCCCCAGCGTGTGGCCAGTGTCCACGGCATCATCGACCACGTTTAATGTGGGTCTCATATGAACTTGCCTGGCCTGACCAATGGGAACGACGGTTGTTCTTGAAATATCTCTAATGCTTTGCTCCCGATCTGTTCTATTATCTGCTCATGAGCTTGGATCCCTGGATTCAAATGGCATATGCTGTTTCGCACATAGCCCGACGTTCCTTTTTGACTTTTCCTATGTCCACTTTCCTTTGTCTGTGAGAGCCCCTTTGCGATTTTTAGCACAGTGTGCCACCATCTACTATCTTTACGATCGTGATGCATGGCCTCCCCCTTGAATCCTCACTTTATCACCGTCCCCTACCCTCCCCATCTTGCCCCGACCTGCTGTGCTTGTCATTTGATTAGTTGATACCCCCACCTGCCCCGTGTTTTCAGCCCTGCTAGATGCATACATTCCATGTTGCGTGTTTTGATAGTCACCAATTGGCTTCCTACCAGTCCGTTGCGTTCTGATGACCAAGGTTTTCAGTACTTGATGGATTGTTATGGTTACCATGCCCTTTCCCCCAAAACTTGTTTTTAATATACCCCCAATTTCATTTTCGTGTATTACGCTGGACGATAGTCTTTTCTTGACCTTCTCATCCCACTGTTAGATTCTTTCTTTTCCCCGTACGATTCCATGGCGCACCGATATGATCACGCGAAATGGTTTTGATGTATATAGCTTTATCTATACCAGAGTGGCGACTGCGTCATCGGCCTTTGGATCCTATGTCTTTCTAGAGTGATGGATGTTTGTTTGTACTCTATACTCCGGATTTGAAACCAGAAGATGCGAGAAAATACCAGCAAAATAATACAAGCTTGTGCTTGGAATTCCATTATATACTTTTCTCATTTCCAATTGATTCATTGTATGCAGATACTACCAGGGTCGCTAGTGTACCTGAGCACGGTGGCCAGGTACGGCAAGCTCGGCATTTGAAATCAAAAGGAGCAAGAAATTTCTAGTTAAAACCATGCATTGCATCATCTAATTTGACAAATCGAAGCTTCGGGCATTATTTTCTTCGTCTGTGACTCGATATTATAATCGATCTCACATATGTTACAAACTCGCCTAGATAAGTAAAGTGCATGTCCAGACTGAATCCAATTCGTAAGCAACCGAGCACGTCATCCCCATACTGCCCGAAGCCACCGCCCAAATCTCCTTTCTTCATCACAACCAAGCCCTTCAATTGGCCCAATTGATACACGACAACGCTAATACGGAATTACCGCCATGTCTTTCGTAAGTCTCCCTGCACTGCTAAGCCTGGCGCGATCTGGGATCCAGGATACCGGGCAGTAACCAGGGGCAAAAGGGCTCGCCGCACTGTATTATTCAGCGGTTGAGTCCGTTACCTAAGCCCCGGTGTCCGGAACGTCATCGGCCTATAAAAAAAGGCTAAGCTGCCCCTCCGAGCTCGTTGCCCCTCTTCAATAAAATCTAAAGACTTATTCCCCACGTCTCCCAGATTAACTCTTCCACTCTCCGACTCGCTCGTCTACCACTTTCTCGCGCTACTTCTTCGCTGCTTCGCTCGTCGATCTCTCAGCGTACTCCCTTCATCGCGACTCCCGTCCGAACGTTCTCATCAACTCCTATCCCACATTTCTCGCATTCTATTCCCAAAATGGGTGGCAAGGTTGAGCTGATCAAGACGTGAGTTACCTCCATTCATCCCTCTTACAACCTATCACGGTGGCACTGCGCATAGTGTAAGAGATACAATAATCAGAAGTCAACTAACCTTTTTTTCTGTTTGCAGTGCTGAGGAGTACAAGACCCTCGTTACCGACTCCCAGGAGCCCGTTGTCGTTGACTTCTTCGCCGAGTGGTGCGGTCCTTGCAAGGCTATCGCCCCCGCCATTGAGAAGTTCAGCGAGACCCACGAGCACGTCAAGTTCTACAAGGTCGACGTCGACAACCTCTCCGACGTCGCCGCTGACAACGGTGTCTCTGCTATGCCTACCTTCCTTTTCTACAAGAATGGCGAGCTGGTCGACACCGTCCGTGGTGCCAACCCCCCCGCTATCGGTGCTGCTGTCACCAAGGTCGCTGCTCAGTAAACGTTTGATTGTGCATGGAGGGTTTCTTTGATAAATTTTTGCATTGAGAGAACAATCTAATCTCCGGGTCTAAGGACTCTTCTTTTTTTGTTAATCTTTATTCCTAAGATTTCCCTAATCAGTAGTTGGATGATTGTTATCAATTATTAGAGTATGAGCACGAAGCAATATGTCGCGGCTCTAGTTCACTCTGGATGACTATCTTCGATTGTAGATCTGCAATTACATGCGTCATGCATGCATGAGATAACATATCAAATAATAATGCATCAATGATTGGTCCCAAGGCTGCTGATATACCATGAAAGCAGTGTCGTACAGCTACCAGCCCGCAAGCAGCTCGGCAGCTCGGGTTACTTCGTAGAAACAAGTCAAACAGATCCAATGACACCTCCCAAAGACATCCTCCATCCCAAGCAAGCAATCAATTTGATTCCACCAGCATCCCCGATCCACAAATATTAAGCCCCAAGCGAGAAACATCAGCAGCTTTGGAGCGTTTTCTCGGCATAGATAAGACCGCCACAGATCGCCGTGCGATCTTATCTGATCGGTTTTCGAGATCTCATTCAAGCTGCAAGCCTACAAGAAGGGCTTCTACCTTCTGGCCATTTATTCACGAAAGAAGCAGGTCAACCAGGACCCTGAAGCATATTTTGGGATATACCGAGGCATCTGTTGGTTAGGAAGTATGCAGCGGCGTACAAAAGAAAAAGAATAGCAAAAGATGTGATGGGGGCGGCTTTTACGTTTATCCGGCGCGATTTGTATCTTGTTTCATACATTCTGAAGATTTGCGAGATAGAGATAAGCTGATTAATTGCACATATCTCATGGGTGCATCCTGGCTTTTTGGTCACCTTCTCTTGTCAAAAGTATTATCGCAACAATCTTTGCTTCTATTCACATATCATGAGGCTCGACCATCACACTATAGCCTGTTATTCTAGTTTTGTGACCAGAGACGAAAAGTATACCAAAAATTTCACACAAGCAACCTACTGGTGAAGCAGTCATCGGGCTTCACTTTGTATTATCTCATTTGAACGAGAACCATGGAAGAAGGGACTGGAATCGGAATCCGGATTATATCCCAACATGGAGGAAAGCTAGGACCGTGATAATGCAACTGTTACTGTGAAGTTTGACGGCGGCAGATGGCTGCTTTGTATCTTTCGCGTATGATAGCTGCTGGACCGGAAAGCACTTCGGATCATTTGCGAGAAGGGCTCTATGAGTGTCAACGTGCAGGTGGGAACAATCATGTTGAGATTCACGATTCACTAAGAGCAAGACGTGAGCTGCTCTAGCACTGTTACAAGCGCTTTCAGAATGCCTTTTTCACTGGGCCCATGACTTTAATGCGTGCTGTTTGGGGGATACCCCTATGCCGATTAGTCTTCAAAGTTTAGTCGAAGCTTTTGTTGTTGGGCAGGTTTTACAGATAAGCTTGATCAGTACGATTGGTGTCTGCCATTTCTACGAGATGATAGAACCCCTAGCAAATGGAGCCTTAATGATGTGGGTTCAGATACAGACAATCACGCAGAAGACTACCCTCTGTTCAAGCCTCATCTACAGAGATATTCATAAGATTGTTACCTTCCGGACACGATTCTCCGCAAGTAATAGAGGGCTTCAATGTCTAGGTTTTGGACCTGTGTTCTTGCATGCCTAGCATCTCGCATATTCACGGGTCAGCTCTGGCGCGGAGCCTAGCAGCTTATTCCGAGGGGTTCTTGGGTTCTTCCTGATCTACAATTTTTGGAGCGTCATTGGCCAGACACCATGTCACTGATCTATCTATGCTTCAGCGTCCATCCTCCATTTTCCGCACGGAAGATGCATTCCGAACCCGAAACCTCCGTTATACAAGCACATATATGACCTTTCATATCCAAGTATCAAGTCTCGTCGATAGACCTGAGCACAACCCCCTATCATGCTCTCCAAGAAATTGGCTATCGCCACCTGTTTATCACTGGGTCGACACCCTTCTCATTACCTTGCTAATAAGATGTAGGCGGCTGCAGAACCCGGCTAGAATGGTATTGAGATAGATTAACTTTGGATAGGACGCGTTCGCCCAATGTCAAGAAAAGTTCGATTACAGAGGGTGCCAAAGAGATTCGAATGCTATGTCAAGAGGTTTAATCTGGCCTTTCGCTCGCTGGCACTCTTTGAGAACTTCGAAGGAGACCGATCGCCCCTCGATGAAAAAAGCCACTCACTGGATCAAGGCCGCCAGAGCTCTTTCATGCGAAAAACTTACGATCTCCGTCTGTTTACAAATTGATGCTATCGGCGCGAGAGGCATGGTCATCAGCAAGCTACAGTAATTGGCTGATATTTGTAGCGCGAAACAGCCACTCGTATTGATCGCATCCGAGTTCCTGACGTGGGGAACGCACTGTTCAACAAGGAACGTTGCTCTGCAATATGTCAAACAAGTTGATCGGTCCAATTCGGTCTTTGTTTAGACAATTTCCATGAAGCCACGAAACTTTGAGGTGAAATTTCCGCTCAGTCAGTTGGCTCCCGGATTCGGAAAGAGCTGCATAGACCTCGCTCGCGCGTATAGGCATTGATAGCTGCGAAATGATTAAGAACACACAACAGTTTTCTGAAAAGAATTAGAGACTAGTGAAGCCCTACCTTGAGATATTATCGAATGAAGAGCCTATCTAGATACTCCAAGGTATAACGAGGATTATTAGGAACGGGGTTGCTGGTGGGTGTTAATTCTGACGTCGTGCAAATGAGGCTATTCACAGTGTATTTTTTGGAATCTAGGCAAACTGATGCGACCTAGGTTTGAATCTAGGCCTCCAAAGACCCATTTTTTCTTTCCAGAATTTCACTGAAAAATCTCCGACCCTGAACCTTGGAAAAGTCACGCGCGTACCCACGGTGACTCAAAACGGCTCGGGGTCATTCTCCCATATGCAAGTCACTGCTTCTGAGTCCAAGCTCTATTCTAAGGTTTAGCTCCAAGTTTCTACGTCGATCCCCAATTCCACTTTAAAGTTTTATTCGCCTACTTGAATCCGAGTGGCTCGCCTTCTGAGACCTAATATGCAGATGGATTCCTCAGAAAAGCAAGCCAAGTTGCCACGGCGTAAGGCGCTGCAGTGACCAAGGTGGCTGATACGAGAATCTAAAATCCACTTCCAAGGAAGAACCGAGAATATGAAGAATCCTAGTCGCCCGGATCGAGGAGCCGGAGAATATCTGTGTCTCATTGTGGCGCAAACCCACACATGGCCATGCGATTGACAGTTTGACAGCTCGAGGATCACAGTTCGCAGTTCGCAGTTCGCACATACTTTTGGACTGATCTTCTTTTGAGATATATCCAGCAAACTCAACTTTCCCCCACTTTTGCGCATGGCGGACGCCAAATTTAGTGCGGACCACTGATACGAGGAAGCTAAGAACAAGAAAGGCACACAACAAAAGCAGTCCAATGAACCGACAGGCTGTGGTACGCTGTCGCTTCCACATTGGCGTGTTTGTCAAATGTCAGCAAACCCTGGATCAAATTGATCTATCGGGTTCCACATGCTATGCCACCGGTCACCAAACCCATGGATCAGGGAAAAGAAATCCCCGTGAGCCACCGGATGGTCAGTGCCCGTTTAGGGCGATAGATCGATCTGGGGCCCGCTTTGAGGAACCTGGCGAATGAAATCCACTGGAGCTAGCCGATGGTAAAACGACCCAGATTTTCAGAATCCAGGGTCACACGCAAGACTGACCGAGGTACCGTGCGGCTCCCTGGGACCTGATTCTCAGAGAAGTAAAATTGAAATGCAGACAAACCGGATTCTCGTATGAGGCGCTACGCGCTAAAGACAGGACTTTGTGACTGATCGTCAACGCCAGTCACTTGCATACCCGGATGAACAGTGCAGATGACACAGCCCTTCTCCATATGGAGGATGCGTGTTTTCGGCCCTATCTCCACACGTGGGGCTGTGGGCAATTGATCCAACATCTTTTGTGACCCCAACTGCCCGGTGTCAGCTGAAGTTCAATCTGTACGGCGGGGCCGGTCACCCCGTAGCCACTTTTCCTCTCTCATCGGAGCAGAAAACAATCGCAATCTAATGAATTAATAAATTTGAGTTCGCGGGATCATAACAATTACATTATCGTCCACTGGGGGCGGCCCCCGAGGTGGTCTCTGTGACTAGAGCTTCCGGGTCTAACTCATACCTGCTTAGGTGCCTTGGGGTCGGTGCCAGCTTGATCTCTGATACGCCACGATAACACAAGGGGCCCCATCGTTCTTTTCCCGCTACGATCCGATCTAGATCACAGCAAATGGCGAAACCGGCTAAAACGCAAGCCTCGCTTCCAAATTCCAGCAGGGGTCAGAGGCCTCATCTTTGCGCTGGGTCATATTGATTAATCTGAAATTTTTTCTATTCTCCTGATTTTTAATCATTTTTCTGTTGCCCTCGGTTTTAGACCGATCCACACTACTATATCGCGCCACGCGAATTGGCTATGGAGACGACAGATGGAGACAATTCTCGGCGATGTGTAGCGTCGGGTGGGCCTAGCCGTCGTCTTCTAGATCGGATAATGGATCCCACTTCCTCGCCTACGAAGCCAATTAATTGTCCGGTGCCATGCGGGCTTGCGAGTACTGCGCTGGCCTTGGTGTATTGCGCCCAATACTTACTTTTTGCCTGGACTAGTTTGCCTAATACTTTAAGGTTCCCATCGCCTGCAGACCAAGGAATCTCCCACTTACGTACACTCTTGTGACTGTCGCTTGATTTATTTATATTCATTCCTGATCCCTATGACCTCGATGTCTTGTTTGATTTCATAACTCAAGTCAATCAACGACTCCACTTTTCTTCCCCGTTCTGGCTACCTTACACAGCTTGTCTCCGGGCTATAGCCCAGCTGCCTAAAAGTAGACCTCAACATGTCGGATGCGGGCAACGAAGACACCATGGTTCACGTCTCCTACCTGGGAGGATACATCTTCCTCTCATATGTTATCAGCTCTATGGGATGTGCGACCACGTTGGAGCTTCTTCACCGCAGAACGTCCAGATCGGGCTTCTACAACTGGTATGGACACGTTCAGTGACTGACGCGATTCAACGCACTGACCCATTCCACCACAGGTACCTACTCCTCACTTCTTCTATTACCATGGGTGGTATAGGTATTTGGTGCATGCACTTTATCGGCAACCGCGCTATCGTCCTCGGCAATGGAGCCGCAAATATACAAATTCTATACAACGTCGCGTTCACTGGAACATCGTTTGTGCTGCCCGTGGTCGTGCTCCTCGCCGCATTCTACTCTGTCGGCGTCCAGGAGAAGGCTGGCTACATACGCATATTGATAGGAGGCTTACTTACTGGTAGCTCCGTGTGCGGAATGCATTATGTTGGACAGTTGGGTATTTCAAACTACAAGAGCTCATATCATGTTGCAAATGTCGTCGGATCGGCTATCATCGCTGTTTTCTCGAGTACCGCTGCGCTGGGAATTTTCTTTCGATGGAGAGCTACTTGGACTGATAGTTGGTGGCGGCGCGGGATCTGTGCCTGTCTGCTTGCCGGTGCTGTATCAGGCATGCACTGGACAGCAGCTGTTGGAACGACTTATCGTGAGCGAGATGAGACTATGAAGAATGGGTCGCAATTGTCTCGAAGTCAGGTGGTCATCGTCTGCTCTGTCCTGGTCAGTATCTCTTTATCCTTTCGATCGATGCACAGAACTGACCGTCCTTTAGGCTTGTGTCTCTTGTGTGATTCTGTCTGCTTGCGCCGTTGTCTCTGGTGGCAATCGCCGACGATCGACCACTCGCGCACATCAGCTCGTTCTTGCCTGCGCTTACTTCGACCCATCTGGGCGAGTCATGGTTACACCACAGGCTCTGCTACCAACGAAAAAGATCGTTGATCACTATATTGGACGGACATTCCAAGATGATGATCTCACTCGCACTCATCCTACTTTCCTATGGGCCTTTAGGGCAAGCCGCAATTGGCCCGTGGTCAAAGATATGATCCCCTTCATGCGAAATCGTCTCGAATCCGAACAGGCCGCCATCCAGAAACATGTCTTGTCACGAGGAGTGGTTAACGATAAGGATACCGAGTTGCAGACGGATTTCGATACATTATTCAAGCAGCTTTTCTGTGTTTCGGCGCAGGAGCTGTCGAATGACTTGCGACTACCTCTTCACGAACTTGGAACCTTGTACGATGACGTTCTGGCAACTGCTATCCCTGTCTCTCGATTATCCAAAGCGATGGGTCGCTCGTCACTACGAACCGGCAAGGGTCAATTAATGTTCAGTGTCCGGCAGCTCCAAAAGCACGAAGCGGCTCGCATGTCTTCGCTTGGTTTCCGATTCGCTACTATCGAGAACATCACCTCGACTCTCTCGCGCCGCATTCATGTCCCAGAACCGAGTCTGAGGGAACACCTCCGTGATATGCGGGATTATGCCACCACCAACCGTGGCTTCTCAGAAGGTGTACACTTGACTGCATTTGTGATGCGTCCTACCGTCAGCGACCATTTCGAGATTCTCACCACCAAAGGCACAGGAAACCCGCTTCCATCCTCAACCCTCCCAATGCTCCGACTACAGGTCGCACACCTCGACCTGATTTCCCATATGGAAGGCTGGTCCATGAACACTTGCTTGAAATACCTCAAATCCGACCCCGCCATGCAAACAGACCGCAACCTCGACGAGTTCCGTCAACATCTTGTTAACGGTATAACCTCTCTATCCAAAACCTTTTCCGAAGAAATGCGCGCAGCAGCCACCTTCTCCGCACGCCCTCTCCTTGCCCCATGCCGCAAAACAACTCGCACCTCCGAAGAAGCCCTGCCGCAATCCCCACGGCAATGCACAATCCTCACATTCTGTGTCGTCGGCACATTAAATACCCAAATTCCCAATTCAGACTTCACATTTACCCCCTTCCGCCTCTTCCGCGTCCAACAACAAGTAAACGACAATGTTGCCGACAGAGATGGCTTCTCTCGCGAACTTAGCCAGGAGCTATTCTGTACAGATGTCCGTTCCGGCTCTACAGCCTCGGACTCTGACAAACTATCCGCCACCCGCTCTGCCATTATCCGCCTCTGGCATTCGCGGAAACATAGCTTCGGCAGTGCACTACACTCGAGTATTTCGCAGGAAGATCTCTTCGAGGCTGGTATCACTACGACTGCGCTAGGAGATATTACCGTGCAGAAAGAGGTGCGCGTGGATGTCACACGGTTGAATGAGAATGCAGCGAAGAACCCGGTGGTCCAGCATGATGCTATCATTGCGGCTGGTGATAATGCGTTGACGCCTATCACTTACGTCGACGAATTGTATAGTCTTTGCTATGCGCCTGGAATTCGCTTGCGATCAGATGGGTCGTTCAACCCTACTCCCAAATCCGATTTATAATTGACTCTCCCTTTATTTTTCTTTTTGTTGGGTTGGATTGGCGCTTGGAGCAAAGAACACGAAAATAGTGTCAGATGTTCTTCATATTTGTATATATCGTTGCTTCCTTTTTTTGGCTCTTTGACAGAGACCACTGTATATAATCGCCGTGTAAAAAGACAAAAAAGACTATTATTTTATATCTTGCGATCATAGTATCTCCAATCAACCATGAGAGTCCTATCAGCCTTGGAAAACTCCAGTAAGAATCAGATCATCGTAAAAAGTGATAACAAAGAAAAAAACCCAATCGCTCTACAATGCAACTCAAGCATAAACGAATCATATGCAAGACTCGTAACGCGAGATAATCCCACAATTGAACCAAACAAACGTCTAAACCAAAATCTCAAGTCTCATTAGGATCAGCCTTCTCCAAAAAGGAAGGATCCATCTCAATCCGCCTCTCAAACTTAGTCCACCAATCCCGGAAGCTCTTCAAGGGCACAACATCCCGTCCCTTATCCGACTCCGCAAAGCTCGCAAGGAAATTAAACGCACTCCCAATAATCCGCTGCGCAAGCACCTTAGTAGAGATCTGCTTCTGCGCCGAACCAACCGCAGACTCATTCTCCAGCGCCGCAAGCTGCGGCGCAATATTTTGTACTGGCTCAATTGAGATACCGAGTGTCATGACACCAGTCACGGTACCGCCCTCATCGAGCATTTCATCTTCTTCTTCATCTTCAGAGCGAGCATTGGGATTCTTGCTGGCTGGTGACGACTGGACTTTGAATATACCAGAAGGCTTCTCATTTGCTAATGCGCCGATGAAGCGGAAATCGGTGGGGGAGCCGGTTGCTGGGTCGGGGAGTTGGGCGTAGATTGCGGCGCCGGTGTTTGGTGGTAGGACTGTGCCTGGGAGGAAGAAGATGACTATTTCATTGAATGGGGGGCTCATTGGGATTGTGAATGCGAATTTGGTGGCTTGCCCGTTTGGTTGGGGGTCTATTGCGACGATGTCCGTTTGGCAGGGACGGCCTGGAATGACGACGGAGAACATTGTGGGTGGTTTGCCAGCTTGAGCTGCAGCTTGAGTTTTGGCGTTGAGGGATTGGGATTTGAGGAAAGGTGTTTGCGCTGTTCTTTGTAGCTTTTTCGTCGCTTTGTTCCAGCGGATTCTAAGATTCTCCAAGCTCATGAGTGACATAATACCCTTATCGCGGGCGATAAGGGCTTGGCGTCCCCCTCCATCGCGGGACATGATCGTGAAGCTTATTGTTTCTTATACGATCGTCACGATGGGCAAGTCTAATCTGGAGCTGATTTGTGAATGCGACAAGTACTGATTCTCCATCCATTCCTTATTTTCTTGGTATCTAATGGCTTCGCTAGCTTCCCTTACTATACGGATAACCGTGTTGCGTACACGGAGAATCTAAAGAACTATCATGAGTTCCGAGTCAATGGGTACGATGCTATTCTGGGTTACATCTTGAACTCGGTGGTTGAGAAGTTTCCTTGGTCATCGGAGTACTGGGTGGTTGACTCTGCCGCAAAGACCGTAACTTTGGCTACGCCAGCAGACGCAACTCCGGAGTACCGCAGTAAATTGGTCGGAGACAGCATTCTCGAGGCCGTAAAGCTCGGTGCGTTTGAAGTACTGAAGGGATGGCGGAACGAGAAATACCCCGTCTACGGACCAGGTGGTGAGTTTCTCCTCGACATGGAGCGCTGTGCCTCTCCGCTCTTCGGCATCGTGAGCTACGGTGCTCACATGACCGGCTACGTGGATGATGCCGATGGCCTCAAGTTGTGGGTTCCCCGACGAGCGAAGAACAAGCAAACATACCCTAGCATGTTGGACAACACAGTTGCTGGCGGTATGTGCACCAACGAGAAGCCGTTTGAGTGTATTGTTCGTGAAGCCATGGAGGAAGCCTCCCTCCCTGAGGACGTAGTGCGTGCGTCTATCATCCCAGTGGGCTGTGTGACTTACAGCCACATCCGGGATGCGCGAGCTGGTGGCGAGACTGGCCTCAGTCAGCCGGAAGTCGAGTATGTTTATGATCTGAAGCTCGATGCGTCGGTTATTCCGCGGCCGGGGGACAACGAAGTGGAAGAGTTCAAGCTTTGGACGGTGCAAGAGGTGAAAGATGCGTTGGCACGGGGCGAATTCAAGCCGAACTGTGCTGTCGTCATGATTGATTTCTTTATTCGACGTGGTATTCTCACCGCTGAGAATGAGCCGGATTACCTGGATATATTGTCTCGCCTTCACCGTCGCTTGGAGTACCCGACGGCCTCTCATTGCTAGATATCGAATTGTATATGGCGCCTTTAGAGGTCATTTGCATCCTTGCATATATTGGAGCGACCACAAGGCAAATAGACAAGGCAAATATCGAATTTTTATCCACATACAGTATTGTCCCCAAAATCCCAACGCTCCATTCGCAACTGCTCGCCAGGGCAGTGCCCAGAGCCATCCCTAATTGGCTGAGTACTTTCTGTTCGAGGCAGATATCCGAGCGATTGCACATATTGATAGCAGGGGGGTTCATATTACTCGAGGCTGATGAGGCGCTGGCGGGCAGCCTCGGCGCCTACAAGGCTGACTAGAAGCACCAATTGTTGGAACTGCTCCCGATCTCATATAGGTCCCCCTGAGTATTTAAACTCCCAAAATCGGAATCCTTGAAGCCATCATTCCTTGTATAACCTGATAAGCGCATTTCAAATATATATTTTTCACTTGCAAAATGTCCACTGAGCATTTGAGCCAGGTCTTAGATCGGTTATCCTTGAACATGACTGGGTCTGACTGCCTGCGATTCACTCCCCACGAGGAAGAATCATGGCTCGAAGATAAGTTTTCTCAAGTTCCACAATATCTTTATCGCGTCTCAGTCCACAACAAGTCGGATGGCGAGACCACTAAGATCTGGGCGAAATCCAAGGACGCCAAAAAAGCCAATCCGGGCCGAGAGATAAACATTCTGGACGGCGATCGAACAGAGATGGCAGATATGCTTAGCAGACACCTTTGGTGGGAGGGTGGTAGTCCAAGCAACCTCCTCTCATGGACAAGCTCACTGCTCTTCGCTTTACAATATGTGTTTTATCGTCACCATAGAGACCATGTTGCTCTTGAAGATATCACTCTTTTCATCGTCAACACGACCACGTTTCAAAGAGGGGCATTTGTGCAAGATTTGGACCTCATCTCCATTTTTAGCAGGTTTAGTTATAGTTTACGCAGTATGGAAAGACTGCGAACCGAGAGAACCGGTGACTTCTCTAAACGTTTCTACTTCGGAGAATACCTTTCACAAGGCGCACTGAAGATTGAGGGGAAATGCAGTTCCGCTACTGGCAAAGAAATCATTGACAAGGGTTTATTCTTTCTGAGACCGGAGCTCAATGATTCCTGGAAGCATGATCTGGGGTGGGCAAACAGGGTGCTAAAACTGCGAAAATGTTTCGCTCATGAACCTGGACACGAAAGTAAAGAAGACCTTGAGCTGCAAGTTGCCCTCGCATTTGGAATTGGAAGCTTGTTCGGCTCAGACTGGGAACCGCCTATTGCGGCCAGTTTACTGGGGCTGAGACGCCGTTCAGCGAGAGATGTTGATGCCATCTGCAAGGCATCCATAAAGCTTGCTGCCGGTAAGACCGAAACCCCAGCCATCATATTCATTGTAATGACATTTCTAGGATGGGATATTATCTACTTCAGGTCAAATGCAGACTTACGCGCTTTGCCAGAAGTACAGCAGTTTGAAACTATAATGCTGGCACTGGTTGGACCTTTTCACATTCGATATATGCTTGGTGAGGCCACAACAGTCTATTATCTGCCTTCAAGATAAATGCATACTAACCATGGAACTCAAGACCAAATAAGAACAGCATCGTTGAGCCTTACCCGCGCTCTCAATCATCATACTGCTCTGCTTGGGACTGAGGCTCTCTCAGCCAACGACACGCAGCCTTCTCGAAAGATGATAGGGGAATACCTTGACGCCATAGCAAGAATAAATTGCGCTCTACTGGACGGCTTTCCAAGATTGAAATAATGACTCTTGGGTGTCGATTAGCGTCTCCGTCTTTGCTCTCCAGAATTTTATATAGAGTTGGAATGAAGATCGATTTTATTGGCGATCATCTATTGGTATACCCAAATAAAAATGCAAATAACGCCAGCGCTGCACAACCCAACAAAAATGACCTGCCCAGATCAAGTACACCCCGAACTTTTGTCCACAAACTGAACTCATCTATTTCTTAAGAAGCAGGTAGACATGGTCGATCTTCAGAGGAGCAAGCTTCTTGTAGGGACCCTCCAGATAGAGCAGCAAACCACCGAATGACACAAAGACAGCCCTGGACTTGAATTAGTATATGCTCCGGACAAAATTTGATAGGCGCAAAAAAAGCGCTGGGTCAGCCTACATGGTATCCTTGATAGAACCCTCCTCGAAACGGTACACCTTGCCGTGGCAAACGTAATCGTAGTCATTGGCAAGAGTCTGCTCGCCCATGCTGACCTCTCTCCAGCTCGCACGGGTATCCTCCTTGCCATCGAGAGACAGAGTCGAGGCCAGCGCCATGGAGAGCGACTCGCCAACGGCGCACGGGTAGAGCTCGGAGTTCACATCGAGGGTGAAGGTAATAGAAGCATCGCTCGAGGTACAGGTCAGACGAGAGACGCGATCGTATTTCTGAGCGTTGACACCGGTGACGGTGAACGAGTCTTCGAAGAGGAGTGGGTCGGACATGGTGAGATTGGACTGCGCGGTGGCGAGGGTTTCAGGAGCTAGTCAGGATTTAATACTTGGAGCAGGATATAGACACTGCAAAAACCCTTTTATTCTGGGTTTGCGGTGTGTATTTGTCGAGGAGAGTGGAGGAGAGGAATTAGAGGTGGAGATCGGAGTTTGAAGCAGCTCTTTTTTTTCTGCCGGTTTTGGTTCCCCGCCGATAAACCATTTCAAGATCGGAACCACATCAGGCCTCCTTGTCTGGCTTGTTTAGGATATTTGAACCTACAATATACGCCATGTCATTCCGCAAGCGGAATATCGGCTTGTCAGCTGGCGTTGACCGCGCTGCTATCCCCAATGCCTCCGCACAGCCAACTCCGCCCGAGTCTGTTCCAGGCATTCGCCCCTCACCCGATGACGGACGGCCAACTACCTCTACAGGAACACCTTCGCTAGATGGGCTTCTTGCTGGACACGCAGGTCTTCCTATGGGGAAGGTCCTATTGATCGAGGAAAACGGAACTACGGATTTTGCGGGTGCATTGTTGCGATACTACGCAGCTGAGGGCGTTGTCCAAGAACAAAAGATCCATGTGGTTGGCGTGCCAGAGCAATGGGGGCGAAGCTTGCCCGGTCTGATCGGGACAGCAGAGTCTTTAGAGAAGAGGTCAGACAAGCGCAAGGACGAGCGTATGAAAATTGCTTGGCGATATGAGCGACTGGGCGAATTTGGCGCTGGCATTGCCGGCTCCCGTGATGGTAAGCATATCGGCTGAGACGCGATGGAACATGATGCTGATGAACTACAGCCCCTACACCAACCGGAGACACCGATGCAGCTTCGAAGCAAGCGGCTTTCTGTCACGCATTTGATCTCACAAAACGTCTCGCCCACCCCTCCATTACCAATATGTCTTTCATTCCACTCGTGCCCTCGAGGGGCTCACCCTTCGTTGCCATTCTCAAACGACTACAAGACGCCGTTACATCTGCTGGTCCAAACACCATCCATCGCATCGTCATCCCCTCTTTGCTCAACCCCACAATGTATCCGCCCGACGCTTGTCAACCGGAGTATGTGCTGCAGTTCCTGCACTCCCTGAAAGCTTTGATGAGTGCGCACGCAACCCGCATCACAGCAATGATCACTCTTCCTTTATCACTGTTCCCCCGCTCATCCGGCCTCATCCGGTGGATCGAGCTTCTCAGCGATGGTGTTATTGAGCTTTGTCCCTTCCCCCACTCTGCTGATGCACTGGCGACTTCGGGAGCTGCCACATCTCAGGAGGAGCCTCCACAGGGCATGTTGAAGACACACCGTATTCCTGTTTTGCATGAACGTGGTGGTGGGAGTGACCAGAATGTGGGGCAAGATTGGGCGTTTAATTTGAGTCGTCGGCGATTTGAGATCAAGCCGTTCAGTTTGCCGCCGGCGGAAGGTGACAAGGAGGCACAAGAAGCGCCTGCATCCAGCGGAATGCCCAAGAAGGCAGACCTAGAATTCTGAAGCGGAAGCAATATTGCATAAGATCGGCTTATTCGTCTTCTTCAAAGTGACGATGAGTTCCGGGTTCCGCTAGCATATCCTCCATCTCGATTTGTTCAGACATGGCGGATCCTGAATTAGCCATTGTCCGGAGATAGCTTTGACCATATGAATCCAAGCCCGGCCGGACTGAAAATCCACCCAGACGAGTGCGAAAGCGACTACCTAAACAAGAGGAAGCTGCTAACCATACTGCTTGGTGTCAGTAACTGTCTGTCTTTCCGGTGGTCAAAGGGAGACAAAAGGGAGTCTGACCAACATATAGCAGCAATGGGGCAAAGAATACCAGGACCATGAGAAGAAGGAAGTTCATTGTGTAAGAAGTGCTTGAGGTTGGAGGCGTTGCGGACTTCGGAGATACTGCTCTCAAGTCGTGGAATTGACAGTGGAGACCGCCAACCCAAAACGGGTAAGCGCGGAGGAGCTGCTTCTTCAGAAAAATCTCGCTTCTTTTTTTCTTTCTTCCTCCACCTTCTCGAGTCTCTGGCTTTGCTTGTCAAATCCCAAGACTCGCTTTTTCTAATGGTAAGCTCTTCCTTTCCCCTCCCCTTCATACAAACCCTCTTGCATGATTATATAAATACAATCTGTCAATCCCCTGAAGCTCTTTTATAAAATTGAGCTATGTGACTGAGAAACGTACTGGAAAATGATTTCGCACACATCTTTTATCTTTGCCTCAACCCATCTTGTTGATGATCAATTGCTAATTTGAATGTGCAACAGAATACATGAAACAATATTTTCTTCAAAATGGACCAACCTACTCTTCCTATTCCGATCTCTTTCATTTCTGGTAGATACCTACTGTTCTCCATTGACGATGTCACATATTTGAGACGGGAATACAACACGTGTGGTGTCTTGATCGGGACTCTTCCACAAATTCCACAACAAAATGTGTTCTTGGGGTTGCCGCTCGAGTTGATGCCCGAGGAGGCGCGGCTGTTGGTGGACAAGGGTGTAGCTTGCATTGTAGACGAAGCCAAGGCACACAATGGCATGCAATCTCTCCTAGAGGAAGATCGCCGACAGTACCTACGAGAATTAGAATCCCAGGGCCTCCACGCCACACGCATCCTAGCGGAACGCAAGGACCAACAAAGAGACCAAAAGTTCAAAGAGAAAAGCGACAAGAAGGCAGCCATGGCCAGAGCAGCTGCTAAAGCTGGTGGTGGTGGTGATAAACACGATCCCCCCGCTACTCCAGCGAATGACAACCCAGCCTCGGTGGCCGACTTCTTCGATGATTCTGCCTCTGCAAAGGCATCTACCAGCACTGTGCCTGAGCAAATCTACGCTGTGACTCCCACAACATCCTACCCTCCACTTCCTCGGCCATCTACATCGTCCAATAATATTCTTGCACGGCCCGATGTCCCGCTCTCATACCCGCTGTTTGCTCATCTGCAGTCGCGTGGCTATTTCCTCTCGCCCGGCCTGCGTTTTGGATGCCAATATGTGGCGTACCCAGGTGACCCTCTCAGATTCCATTCGCATTTCCTCGTTGTCTCTGCCGAATGGGACCAGGAGATTGACCTGATGGATATTATTATTGGTGGCCGACTGGGTACTGGTGTCAAGAAGGGCTTCCTTCTCGGTGGACCTCAACTCTCAAGAGAGCAAGCCGAATCTGAGATTGAGCGCACTGGGAGTGTGCGTACATTCAGCATTGAATGGGCAGGCATGTAAACCCTCGGCACTGGGGGTTGATTTCCTTCAAGCTCACCGTTCCTCGATCCCGTGGTGAGTATCATCTTTATCTAGCCATCCCATGTGCTTGGCCAACGATTTGACTGCATACCACCCTATCACTATCTATGCCATATTCATCTCGGGCACAATGCAGGCAACTATCTGCCGCATCACCGCCCTCAAAGCAGTCGCTTATGCATCTGCTGAATACAAGCTACGCATACCGACTCTTTTGGCATAAGACTAAGTGTCGCCAACCTTATTATTAGGTCTTATGACAATAACATCAAGAGAAATATCTCGAATGGGCGTCTTGCGAAACAAATTCAAGACTCTTGCGGTCGGTCTTCGGACGAGTTGTCATCCCTTTCCTCCAATGGAGTCAAAGGGGAGAAAGAAAGCTACGTCAACATGATACCCCTACCAGGCATAGCTAAATAGCCCAACTTGGCTATCACTTGATAATACAACGCATTATCATTAGCCCTCATCAATGTTGTACAGCGGTTAATTATTCCAAAATTGCTCCAAGCCCAGCGTCGCTTCCCGGTGGCCTCGAGTTCTAGATAAGACTTCGTTCCACCGAATTCCGATTATACTTGAGGTGTCTCAATATACACACAAAGCATATGGCTTTATGTAGTATTTGGTCCGCTTAGAAATGAGCATGCGTGCAGGATTCGAGTCCATTTGTATATAACGTCCCTCAACACAACATGTACGCTCTGAAGCCCGATGACGCGAATCTCCAGGCACCAGTACACGAATAAGCCCTAGGCACCCGGTATAAAAGCAGTTCTACAGCCAATGAAAGAACTCTACTGACATTGCCTGTCATTTTTTAGTTTCAAAAAGCGCATGCAATGTTAACGGCTGAGCCATGAGCTATCTGCACGATCATTTTCACAGCCAATAGAGAGACACTATGAGCATTGCCTACCATTTTTCAGTTTCAGCGAAATCATATGCATGGACATGGGCTGTGAGCGCTGAGCCATGTAATATCAGCCCAACCATGCACACAGCCAATGACGAGACTCTGCGAGCATTGCCTGTCATTTTTTGGTTTCATTTCGACCAGAAATCTGGCAATGGGTGGATACTCTGAGCCATGAGGCAGCAGTCTGGTGATGCAAATGACCTACTACGTGATTGCGTAATCAAACCTCGTGGCTGCAAGTTACCAAACGCAATAGTATCTAATGCGATGTATGTACAAAGGATGGCAGGGTTTCCAAGGCAATACGTCACTCTCCCGCGGCCTGCATTGGAGTAGACTCAGAAGCTGGAGTAGTTTTCGGTATCACCAGAAGAGATCAGACCTCGAGGTGTGCCAATCACCGAATCGGCTATCATTATGAGTGTGGACATCAAATATGGCATGGAAAAAAACCAGAAAACTGGAGTCTGTGTAAAGCCTCTTGGCTCCAAGATTATCATCATCTCATGCTTAAATTATATGACAGGATCATAGATAATCAATGTTCCTCCATTTGAACTTCTTATTAGCCCTGTCCGTAGCCCGATTCTCAAACTGGCTACCATGAAGTTCGAAAATCAATGGCTTCGGTCCTTGCTGGCTCTGTTGGCCCTCAGCAGATTCCGACGGTGTCGAAGTCGGAAAAGGAACTGTAAACCGAAAGACAGAGTGTTCCTTGGGTATTGCTATAGCAGAAATGTCAGCTTCAATCACGAACAAATCAGGACATCGGTCTAAGACCGCAGATAAGTACTGACTCTTAACCTCATCCTTCTCTGTGACAACCTCAAACGTAAACTTCGTATCCCGCGCCACAATTCCCTTCACTCCAACCCGACTAGCGCATCGACTCCGCACAACCTCCACCTCCGCACCGTGGAAATCAGCACTGACAAGCTTCGCACCATGCGAAGCTGGCGTTATCAATCCACTCTTCCCCTCGATCTTGAGATCCAAAATCTCTTGCATGTAACCGACCCATAGCGCATGCAGTCCCTTGAAGATAGCGTGCTTGCATTCATCTTTAGGCAAGTCGTAGAGACCCGATGTGCGCTTTTCGCGCGCAGATAGAGATCGCGGGCGCTGGTGACGGATAAAATATTCTTTCTTGCGGAGACGATGGAGGCGGCGTCTGGATCGGTTGTCTGCGGCGGAGGGGGAAGTTGGGCGGAGGAAAAGTGGTTTTTGCTTAACGCGCTCGGTGAATTGTTGTTCTGCGGAGTCAGGGGAGTGGGCGCGGGCAAGGAGTGTGTGAGCTATGTGTTGCGCCTTTGGGGTGGGAGAGTCGGTCATTTTGTTGGTTTTGACCTGAGTGGTTGGAGGTGAAGGTTGCGGAGTTGGGGATTTTTTTTGATGTCACCCGCTGATAAGATATGAACTATGAGCAATAACACTCCTCCGTACCTCTGCTTTTTGACCTTTTTATTGGGCTGAATTTCGATTTCTATAATTCAAATCTATTTAAAGTCTTGCCAGTGGAGCATCTGAACGGAAAATACCAAGGCTTGAAGCGCTGATCTCAGATATGGACTTACAACCCGCCAGCTGCATGCACCGTTTGAATTCTTGATAGAGGATGTCGAGCATCAATTCCACTCCCTCTTGTCCATTATACTAGAGCATAGTTAGTATTCAATCTCCAGAAATAGGCCGTGTAACTTACTGCTAGTCCCCAAAGCATCGGACGACCAACCCAGCAACATTCAGCACCCAAAGCCAAAGCCTTGAACATATCGGTACCTGACCGAATGCCTCCATCGATGTGAATGCGGATTCGGCCTCGAGCAGCCTTCGCACAATCCGGAAGGACATCAATGGTTGCCGGCGTCTCATCAAGCTGTCGTCCACCATGATTACTGATAATCACACCCTCACATCCATACTCAATAGCCGTCTCCACATCTTCAGGCGTCAACACACCCTTAATCCAGATTTCCATCTTAGTAATACTGCGCAACCATGGAATCTCCACAGCCCAAGAATGCGAATCGTTATTGAACGAACTGAACCCATCATCGTGCGACTGTTGCTGAATCTGCTCTGATGTTTTTCCCATCATTGGATACGCCAGGCCAGCCGGAGGCAGAAACCCGCTCCGCCATTCGTTATACCGTACGCCCAGCACGGGACTGTCAGCCGTCAGAAAAATAGCCTTGCAACCAGCAGCCTCAGCACGACGAACGACTTGTTCCTCCTTCTCGCGATCCTTCATTGAGTAGAGCTGCATGACGTGATGAATGGGTCCTATCGCCTTTCCGGCGGCGGTGATCTGTTCCACCGTGTGATTGGCATAGGAAGAGATACCCATATTGACGCCGTACTTAGCACATGCTCTGCTTGTCGCTAGTTCGCCGTCTGGGTGTGCCATTGCCTGTAGCCCAGCGGGCGAGACACAAAGTGGGAAGGCGATGTCCCGACCAAACAGAGGGATCTTAGTGCTCACATTGGACACATCTTTCAGAACTCGGGGGAGAATTCGATACTTTTGGTACGCAGTTGAGTTCTCGCGAACTGTCACTTGGGTTGTTGCACCAGAGTTGAAGAAATCTATAGGCCAGTGCCCCTCATTAGTATTGCTCTATGCTCTCTTGGGAAGAATATGGTTCTTACCTCTAGTTGATATAGGGAGCTTCCTAGACCCTGCAGATTCAAGATCTGATATCGAAAGTATCTTTTCAAGCCCCATTGTTCTGAGTTGCCTGGGATTCGAGGAGGAAGGTGTGGAAATGGTGCGGGGGTACCTGAGATAGGCGCGGGGGCGTCTCCACCAGGGTCGCAGTAAGCAGACACAGCTATGCTAAGCTCTAAAGTTCCCAATCCATTATTGGGTACCTGAATGTTTGCTTGAGTATCTCCAGGGCTATGAACCAGGCGATACCCAGAAAGTTCTGAGCGCAGGCTCCCACCCTAGGCTCCGACACATACTATCCGCCCTGTCACTGTCGCAGACTCGGACTTTGTGCTTCCTAGCATCCCTTATCTACCATGTTCTTCGTCCATATCAGGGCTAGTGCCTTTCAGTATTACTTAGGCAACAGGCTTCATCTTGCGTAGTTCCTCTTCTTCCTTGCCGGTCTCCACAATAACATGTTTTTCGCTTGCTGTCCTTTCCTTGCTCATACACATGGCTCCCTTTGTACTCTCACAATGCAGCGTCGACGACGGCACCGCCCTGGCCGCCAATAGCATCCCCGCTTTCTGGGTCGACCCGCACTGGGTCCTAGCCTGGCGCCATCGAACCCTCGAGTACCACATTTCGCAGATAGCCCTACGCTTCCCCCGCAACCTGCTGAATAAACGGGAAGTCTTGCGACATCAGAGAGCAGTAGATCCAGAGACGGGTCGCATACTCGGCTACGCCCGATGGTGCCTGCCACCATCTTATGAGATGAATCCAGATGATGGCACGCCGATATGGCCTGAAGCCCAGGTCCCGGCGGTCGAGCCCGAGAGAGAGGCGGAGATTCGGCGGATGGCCGAGACTGTTGTTTGGGACCCAAACAACGATGCCGACGAGCTATTAGATCGTGTGAACGCGCTGGAGAAGGAAGTGACGCCGAAGACACCATATATAAGTCTGGAATACCTTGCTGTGCATCCGGACAACCAGCGTAAAGGAGTCGGGACGGCATTGGTGAAAAGCGGGATGGATCAAGCAGACAAGATGGGGTTAGACATTTTCGTCCACGCTTTGAGAGAGGGAGCTGAACTGTACAAACGAATGGGGTTTCGACTCATAGCAGAACTGGTCCAGGACGACTCTGCGTATGGTGGGAGTGGGGAGTATGGTGTGTATTTCTTCATCTATGAGCCTGGATCGAGGGCTGGTTCTGAATAATCCCTGGTCTTCAACGTAGATCATATTATCTTTCCACGCCTGGGCATTATAATGTCCACTCGCTAGTTTTGCAAAACTGTAAACACGCTTTCGGCCAGGGCCGTGATATCACTAACTTCGAAATCCTTCAAAGCTTTGAGAATGTCGTCAATGGTAGCTTGAGCAAGTCCCTCCTTGTTTCGGGCATAGATATCAATACCAGCAGGCGTGAAGAGAGTCTTGGCGAAATAGGTCACAACCCACTGGTTACCATCATCCGTATGGCCAAAGCCAAGAACTTCCCAATGAGAGCTTGCAATCATCAACCAGCCTTTACCACGCCAATCCCAAGCGCCTTGGTTACCTGATGATTATTAGTGAACTTCCCCTGATCATTTTCAATACTTCATGAACATACCTGCAGATGGCGTATCCACTCCATTAATCGATTTGATTTTCTCCGAATTAATGCCTTGGTATTTCACCAGGTCATCGATTTTCACCACACCCGAAGAATCGGCAGGGAGCGTTGTGTAGGTGATGTTGACGTTGCGTTTGTCCTTCCACATTGGAAGGGTGGAATGTGTTACATGCCAGGTCCCGGCGAGGAAATCATTTGTTGGTGGAACACATTTGTTTCCTTGGTTGGCATAGACTTTCGGCAGTCCGATCGTGAGTTTAGAAGCCATGGTTCAGGTTCATGTGTTGATGTTATGACCTTGGAGCTTGGAACCTTGGAAGTCAGCTTACCGCTTATATGACCGATAAGCGATAAGGCCATATTGAGTTTCCCCCTGGATTTCCATGACGTGCATGAGGCTTGTCTGGCATCTATTTCATAAGCTCAGTGGTAGTATAGTAGCAAACTGCACTGGGTGGAATGAAGTATGTTTCTCTCTAAAGAGAAGAGGCAGAACAATCCACCAGTGACTTCGAGGGCGAACCCGTGGAATATGGTGCAGCCTCAGGCAGGACTTTGCTGCTTGTAATCCGAAGTAGATTGCATCAAGTCCGGTCCAATTTGGCGCACACTTGATCAGTCATAAATCTTCTGCTGTGATACCGAATCTTCGAAGATTAAGAAGTCGCCCAAAGATCGACAAATCCATCTTATGTCAACCTCAGCACTAGGCAGGCCTCTCACTTAAGGATTCCACCTGAATCATTAGCTCTTTTCTAGAGTGGATATATTACACCCACCTTACTAGAAACCAGAATGATCCGCACGCCCCATAGCCCCGGCCACAGTTCCATTTTAGTCCTGTCAGGCTCCATCGAGGCTATGCCATCAAACTTTAAAGAGACCCGTAAACCCTCCTGCGAACTGACAGTTGAAGCCAAAGCCGAAGTGATAGCCTCGATTCACAGCTCGACCCACCGACCCAATCAACCAGGCGAGACTAGCATTACTGTACTGAAATGTCTACACTACTCCGTAGCTAGATCCACTCACCCGGGCACAGATCCATGTCTGACCTGCAAATCCCGGACCCCGCAAGTAAATGACTAATTACTAACGGAGGTATATGCTCCGCACAGAATGTGATATGATGGGCCACCAAAAGTTCGGAGAGAATCCATGATTTAGAATAGAAGTGACAAGTTTCTCGAAGCGGCAAGTTACAGACGCAAGCCAGGGCGCCAGGGGTGGCAACAATATACCAGCCCATGTCTGAGTTGTACGATTTAATTGTGGCTGTGGAGAAAGGAAAAACAAAAGTCCACTAATCTTCAGGAGCACTAGATCCATTTGGATGCTTCTGCATGATTCCGTCCTAATGCAAAGGGTACCAGGATCGGGCGCATGGCAATGTGTTGGCATGTGTATTATAATGGAATACTCGGACCCGAGAATCTGGGAAGGGAGGGGGAAGAGAACATGACAGGGATTATCGGGAGTAAAGTAGGTAATACTCGATCGTTTGGCGCCTAAAAATCCAAGCTAGACAAAAATACCGACGAAAAGTGCCCCGGATCATGCATTCATCCGTTTCTGGATTACGCCCCAAATCCACAACCAAATTCCAGGATTTTCGTCCTGCATGGAACATCGTCCACTCCGTCGGTTCGGTGGAGAAGCGAAAAGTTCAGAGAATGGGACGAGACACGTACATCATGGAAGGTGTTCTGAATTGGGTTAGTCGACCGTTAGGACCCATCGGATTTACCACCCCTGCCAGATCCCGAAAGTCTGGATCTTTTGTAAGCCCCTTGCTGTGAATGACCCTTACTGAGCTCGAGGCTGTCCTACTTTATTTAGAACAAGGCGTCCGCGGAAGAAGACAAACTTTGAAACATACACGTCGATGTTTGTCTGAAGGCTTCCCTGTCCGCGCAGGCAACATACTTAGACCCGGTGCCTTGGGTCCGGCCTGCAGGGGTTCTCAATGTGACAGCGGGATACCCTTGCAATCGGTGCCGCTGGTTTTCAGGCTTTTGTGTGCTCCCGACAATCGTCTAATGGAATGCATTAGTGTACAGGGATATTGATACAGTGCTGACCAGGATGCGTTAGGTTTGATGTTGTATTTGTTCCGTACGAATCAACTCGGTTCAATACGGGGTGTATATATCGGTTGCACAATGCAGTTAGCTTCAGTCTAGTCCCTTACACGGACTTCCGCGGAACAGCAGATGCCGCACTGTAATATACTTCAAGAACTAGCACTGGAACTCGAAATTCCAGGCTTCGCCTTTTTGAGTGGGATCTATCCCCAAAAGGGTAAATGTGGGCCTGAGCGTCTGGCGTTCTCGGGGCCGAATCAGATCCCGGCATTATTACTCCGAACCAATGGAGTACCTTACCCACTGCTTCTGTAAGCTCTGAATCTTGATGCTCTGCATGTAACTAGTTCCCTGCAACTCCTTTCTCCGGCTTTCAAAGCATAGAAACCGTTGGAATGGAATCATGGAACTTGAGCACCTCGGGACAGTAACTTGAACGGAGATGAGAACCTTGGGAGAGGTCCAGTACTAAAAGTCCAGACGGGACGGTCCGTCCACATCCCGTGGACATCTAGATTTCGATAATGGAAACGGTAGAAGGCCACGTATGGCACTGACATTTGAGGGGATTTTCGATCCATTCTTCGGCCGTACGTTTTCCGTCGATCGCATGATCTTGGCATTTCAGCCGACGGTAGCGCGGACATATTTGTGAAACTAGATGGTGTGATGGACTAAGTTCGGTTCACTATTGAACTGTACTACAGACTTGCCGTGGTATGGCTTCACCCTAGTCTCTTTTGGTTCGGAGCCTAGTGCAATTAGTAAAGTACCGGGGAGGAATTCAAGTGGAAAAAGTTTGTACGTCTAGCGCAACTCCACAATGATGTCGATTTGCAGAATTTCCGGTGAAAAATAAATTAAGGATGAGACTGGCGGGGGTTCATGCTCAGATCAGGAATCGAGGGCCGTTGGGACCCGCATGTTTTTATGCGTTCATCAGCAGTAAACGTCAGTCATCCTGTGATCTTTGCGTACTGTAGCCTCGGTCGACACCCAAAGTTTGACTATTGTTCATGCTAGTTAACCAAAATCCTTTTTTAAGGAATTTGAGGGGCGGAATAATGATCTAGGCTCCTCTGAATGTGGATCTCAGGATTTCTACCTTGTTTCGAGTACAAGATTTGATCGAGAATAACACTTGTTCTAATTTTGACCTGTGGAATTACCCGGATGAGCAAGACACCGTAATAAGCGGTGTAACTATTGTAATCCGGTGACGGGAAAGTTGGAAGCTAGGCAAATTCGCAGAGGGAGTTGTATCCCATTGTATGTCTGTCTGCTATGGTCGCAACAACGGAAAAGCAAAATGGTCCGAAGACCGACAGGAACAAGAAACAGGAACAGAACAACTGAAAAAAGCACTGCGCGGTTCCTCTGTACAAAGGTGCTCATCACTCTAAGTTCAAGCCTGCTATTCTTTCTTCGACCCGCCGTAGGACTTCAGGGTCCGGTTCTCCTTTGATTTTCTTCGGTCTAGGGAATTTGTTAGCAGATTTCTTCTCATGTACCCAAATAACCAGAATACATACGGAATTCGTATAGTCTCTGCACATTTCGCCTGTCCACACTTCCCACAATTATTCGCGCCGTCATTGTACTGAGTCGTACAAACATGGCATATATAATGAACTCTGCGCCGCGGCTTTTTAAACGTCCGATCAGGTTTCAGTTTCAACGGTTCAGCATCCCCGGGATACCCATCAGGATACTTATCCAGCTTAGGCGGCTGACGAGGACACTTCTTGCACCGAATATGGCTACAAGAAGCACACTCCTTCGAGCCAGGCGCAAAGACTGTTTCGCATGCATGACAAGTCCTGCGAACACGCTGTCTCACTGTCTTCTTGACGAAATCCTGTCCGCCCGAGCGCGAGGGCATACCCAGCGGTGCGGCAGGGTTACCTGTAAGACGCAGGTGCGGCGTGTACGGCTGTCTGCCATACTGGCGGGCTTGAATTTGGGCTTGAATTTCCGGGTTCTTGCTCTTGGGGAGAGATGGGTACTCATTGGGATCCTTTTCACGTGCCGGCGGGTTGCGGGGACATTTCTTGCAGCGAGGGTGTTGGCAATTGACGCATACTTTGTCGGGGCCGAAGGTTGTTTCGCAGCGGTGACAGGTGCGGCGCACTCGCATGCGGATCGGCTTGGTAACTCGGGTGAGCTGCAGGTCGGTGGGTGATTTCCACTCGCCGGGTTCCAGGGTAAAGCCGTATTTGTTGAATAGGGCGCGGGCCTTTTCTTGCTGCAGGACACTGTAGTCGGTGAGCATGGTGGGCTCAGCGCTGACAGGCTGGACTGGCTTGGTTGGTTCACTGGGAAGAATATGCGTGTTAGTTAATTTGACACGCAGTAATTATTGACTTTCCCCACTGTCTTTTCTCATGTGATTTTTTGGGTCCACGACATAGGGAATATAGATCGTACGTTGGTTGACTAGCTGGAGCAGGAACATCCGGGGCTGCTACGGACTGACGCTTCGAACTGGAGCGTGGGCGCAAAACAGTCTTCATGCGCTTCAGATATTTAGACAAGCCCTCGGGTTTTCCCCCTCCGGGCGTCCAGGATTGTCTTGCGGAGACATGGCAATAGAGCTTTAGTCGGCCTTATACGATTTGAAGTGGCGCAAGAATGCAATGGCGAATATTTGGTCGCAGATCGATATGAATTGGTGTGGCGGATCCCCTCATTCCATATAGTCGTGTGAAGCAAAATGATGAGCGCCCAGATTTATGGTTGGCGGAAATCAGTGTCGTCACAAAAACCCGAGCCAGAGAGATGGGTTTTCCGACACAGTGGGAAGGATGCAGTATACAAGGAGACCCCTTCAAGAAATTGAGTGGGATCACCACGAAGGGAAACGGTTCATATATAGTAGGGATGAAGAAGTGTCAAAGCCCCGAAGAATGGAAAAAGAGCAGCTAAAACTAATAATAACCGAATAAAATTACGGTAATGTACTATGAAGTGGAGGCGAAAGCTTGGGGCACATGGGGCTTCCCAGACTGCTGGGTCAGTGGTATGTTTCGGTTCCAAAGGCTCCATAAGAAACCTTCTCGGCAGGGAATCCATTTCCTGGCACTTTAAATTTACAGACCCGACACTGAGGTACCGTACTGCGAACACGTAAAAGTGTATACGGCAGTTTTCGAACGTCAGGTGTGGATCTTCCTACCAATGGCACACGCATTTAGTCTTTCTCTCCCCACTTTTACTGCTACTGGGAACCAACCCCGAAAAAAAAAAAAAAAAGTAAAAATCAAATCAAATCATCAAAATACACGGCTTGACCGACTCTGTACAACAACCCCGTGTTGCAGACACTTGGACCTCACAGCCTGCAGTCCCAATGCGCCGGGTCCGTACTTTTTTTTTACCCCCGATGCACAGGGATTTCTACCAGTGTCGTCATTGGCGCTTTTGTGAAGATTCTGCCAGCGCGTCGCAATACACGGGAGGTCACAGAACTGAACATCCCCCTATCAGGTCAACGGAGCCGATGGTCGGAGTGGACACTTCGACCAGACGGATGTACCCGTGTCCTTTTCGGTTGCGTTACCTGAACAAGTTAACTGCCTCCACGAGCGGGGTCTACGGGAGGGGGTTCCGTTATCTCCTGAACTCGAATTAGTTGACGATCAGGGAGTCTGGTGTATTAAGGAGCTTGTGAGAGGAGGAACTCAGGAGATTAATCGACGAAATGACAGGGGTGAGCGATCGTTTTTACTTTTTCTCGCCAAGGTTTCTTCAGAAAATTCATGTTTAAGCGCTTTGTGTGCTCGGCTCTCGACTATACAGTAAGCTGAACGCGCAGCTCTCAACATTCAGCATTGGGGGATATGATGCCTTTGCTCTTAGAGTGTCTGATTCGACCTTCATTCTCCGCTGAAACATCTTAAAATGTGTGAGTTTTGTGGCAAAGTTTAACAATTTGTCAGTCCGCTCTTCTAGAAGTCGAGACCCAAAAAAACTGTCGCGGCCAATTGATAGAGAGGACGGAATCTCAAATGAACGCCTTCAGCGGACAATTCTGCAGCGCCCGACATTACCACAAATTTCAGCACCGGATAAGTAAATAAACCCACCCGATCCTAGTCCCATTTCTAAAAAGCCCGCCCAAAACGCCCATGCATGATGCATGACACGGGAATCGAACCAGAAGCGAGCAACGAAAAGCCATGGACGAACCCGTGTCCCTTAGATCGCGAACTAAGAAACAGGCTAGCGGAGGAATGCCAAATTATAGTGGACTCCGATGACACTTCGTAGTATGCAAATCATGATTACTGCACGGAAGCCTAGAACATGGTCCGCACGGAAGTATGTTACCCGTCGATCTCATGGCGAATAACATCTGACTTTGGGACTTACGGCGACCGGACCTGCTACCGCCAAACTACTGCAGACTAAAAGCGCGCTGTCCTCCTTAGGGAGCCGATCCCTCCATAATATGATTTCTTTTTTTCATCCCTCGTTGCCCAACGGCCCACTATGTGCCATTTAACCCTGCCTATGCCGTCCGTGACGTGCTCATGCTGATTTTTGACCGGGGTTTGGTTACCGTGCGGATGGTTTTTCCTAGATGCAGCTTAGTGGACACCTAATCAGGGATAACGGTGGTAGGCGGCTTCCACTTGAAATTATTGAGATTAAAAAACTTGGCTTAGACTAATGTCGAGCAATATACTCCGTAGAAAAGGCGATAATTAAATCATGCTGTACTATGGACGGACTCCGTGTAATAAACCACACCGCCGAGTTGACCCAATCTCTTGGTAAACGTATCAGTTGGCAGGACAGTTCGTGTAGGCAGGGTGGTCAGTGCCTTGTTCATTTCCCAGTGCCCCGGGACAATGTGGATTGTATTTAAACCTCCCCTGGCACTTGAATCATGTTGCAGTGGGATCTCGGGTCTCTGGTCTCGACACCGATCGCCGGGTTTTGGTGGTGGGTCTATTTGGCGATGATACCCACTAAGTGGAGCCTCGTGCTGGGCGTTCATTGCCCAGGGGAACTGCCCCAGTTTCGGTACTCGTATTTGGTATTTGGTATTCGTATGCGGACTATCGGATTCTTGCATTCAATTACGAGATGCAGAAGCATTCTACACTGTATAACGCTAAGTGTCTGACCGTTAAAATTCAGCTCCATATTTTTTCTTGTCTATACTAGGTGTTCTGTAATTTGTCGCTTGTACACTATACCTAACTTCGTAGATACCCATGTACTGTATACGTAGACATTCCATTGTCCAGCTGGACATCCTCATGCATTCCATATTCGGGCGCGTAGTGCGTGTCGTCTGCAAGCCAATGTGCTTGTTTTGCGATATGAATAGAAGTCCAAGCCACCGGGTCACACGTTGTTATACTCACATTCGCCACTCCCGCAACCTGTTTCCGGATAATGGTATCTCGCTACCGTGCCATCGGTGCAGATGGTTCCCAGTTAAAGACGCATTCCTTATATGTTAAACTCTCTCGGCTATCCCCCTCAAATTCACATGTACAACCTGATGTGCGTACGAATCTAGTATGGGTACATAACTTTTCACACGGGGTCCTTTTGACAGGATCAGCAGAATGTTCAAGTGGGTTTAGTCTGCTCAAGGGACTTTAGACCTATTGCTGCGCCAAACGCTGGTGGAGTGTCACGCTTATGGAGTCTCGAGGGTTGGTTCATGCATGTATCTGCAACCTCAAGAGAATCTACATATCAATACATAACTAATGAATTTAATTTCACCCGGATTCTTGGGTCTTCATTTGCGGAAACTATGCCCGAGCTGTTTTTCAAATTCCAGGATTGACATTAAGGTACTTTAATGTGTTGCTTCAGTCCCCCGCTTCTAGTCCTCAGGCACCAACACCCAGACGAGACAAGCATAACAGTAAGTAATATAACTAGTTGAGAACCAAGGAATCCCATGTAATTCCGCCATCTCGGTGAACTCCGTGTTTAGTACTGGAATCATGATAAGGGCGTCAAGATGCCGAACTAGCGGGATCAGAGTTCAAAGGATGAGGGGAGCGGGATCAGAGCTCAGCCCGTGAACCAATCACTTCTTCCTGTGAACTCCTTCCCCGGCCTACCAAGATGAAGTCATGAAGGTTATCGGACCAGGAGTATCTGGTAGGATCTATGGTCAGCCAGTGAGCCATAAGGAGAATATACCCGGGGCTGGGCAAGGGACATAGCGGTCGATCATCACGCTGTGGTGGGATCGTATGGATACCCTTTAAGCGGGAATTGGGGGCCCTGAACTGTAGTTCGCCAGTCACCGGGAAGAACTTGAGCCCCTGTGAGACCTGATGGAAATACTGGTTTACGTAGTATTGGGCTGAGCTGAGCCGAGCTGAGTGGTGCCCTGGAACGCAATTCAATTCCAAATCTACAGTATACAGGTATGATATTCAGCTTGGGAGTGGAGCAGGGAGCCAGCCACTTCAACGCCCAATTTGAACTGACATGTCTAGACAGCCAATTCAGAGCCACTAGCTCATTTAAGCAAAACAGATTTGGAAATTGGGCTGATCCGCCCCCGGCAGCTGAATGGTTCTGCGGGCGCCGTTGCAAATCATTGTGATAGATCGAACAGTTCGAGCGAGGACCGAGCGATCCCTCGGCTTTTTCCCGAAAGGGTCATTGTTCGTATATCAACCTGTTCTGATGTGCATTGAGGAAATTTCTAAATTTCCAACTTTCAACTGGTCACGATCCAATCAACCAAAACGCCCGATCTATACAGTACTCCAACCCGGTATATCCATGCCTTGATTCGACGCAGTTCCTCGTATAGATTATGCTTCCAGCAAATGTATCAACCACCCCGTTCACAATTTACTCAGAGCTGATCAGCTTATCGGCAATGGTTACAATATCTTCGTCGCTCTCGACCTCCACAACTCGGTTCACCTCGGCGGTGGTCCGCATTAGCTCCACCGCACCGGCGTACATCATGCGCTGTGATGGGTTGCAGTTCTCTGGCAACCAGTAGAGGAGGACGTAGGGGACCGAGAGACGACCGGACTTCTATACAATCCATAGTATTAGCATTTGTGACCACCTGGCTAGCATCTGAGCGATGAAGACTCTCTTACCATTGTGAGTGGGTGGCTGAGGAGGATGAAGCGTGGTGACGATTCGGGGAGGTCGTCGGCCAGATCCTCCATCTTCGAGTAGACCTCGCCGTCCTGGGGACGGATCTCTTGGCTCTTTGCATCGATAATGTCTAGTGTATCATTAGCTGAGTATTCCGAGTGTCGCCGCAATCTACAACAAGGATTTTTGTTCGCATCCAGACGCAATATCCAATGCGCAAATGGCAAAAGTGGTGGACGCGGGGGCTTTGGCGGGGCGTACAGATGATAGCTTGCGCGTCCTTGGCTCGCGATGTGCCGAGACGGAACTTTCTCAGCTTCTCCTTAGTCTCCGGAGAGAATGAATACAATCGTGAATCAGACTGGCCAGCGTTAGCTTTCCCCGTTTGTCCTAGAATATCTGGGCTGCAGCTGCTCCCCCTCTCCTATTGAGTCCCACCTAGGCTGGGTGTCACGCGACTTACCATTTTGATATAAATCTCAAGGCTGCAAAGTGAGAGCGTATTAGATATAGTTGGCCTTTAATTTGAACTGATCTCAGCCCTGGATTGAATGCTTGCGAGTTGAGAAGATGACGCACGGCTCGTCGTGATCAAAATGCGGGCGGAGACATTCCCCTCCCCCACTTCCGCTCTCCCTTCAGAACTCCAATCACTCTCTCCACCTAATCCTTTGTATTATATCCACTCAAACACCCCGCTATTTCTTCATGCTCAATCGTCTCAACCTACTCACGCGTCATTTCGCCAGACCATACTTTACCCGTCCATCAGCCCCTACTCTCTCATCTCCGTTCCTGGCAGGCCCGTTCGCGATGACATCAGCCGCACACGCGAAGCCCATCCACACGGCTGCATGCCTGATCATTGGTGATGAGGTTCTCGGTGGAAAGGTAATGATCCATATATCATCCCAAGCAAAAGAACTGTAGGACTGACCGTGACCTTCCAACCCCGCAGACCATCGACACCAACTCCCCCTTCCTGGCCAAGTTCTGCTTCTCCCTCGGCATCCAGCTGAAGCGTGTAGAGGTCATCCCCGACGATGAGGAGGACATCATAGAAGCGATTCGCCGCATGAGCTCCCGCTACGACTTTGTCGTCACCAGCGGAGGAATTGGGCCAACGTCCGTACACCGCGACAAACCCGATCATACCGGCGAACCCCCCGCTAATATGGATATATCCACAGACACGATGATATCACCTACTCCTCAATCGCAAAGGCATTCAACCTCAAGCTCCAACTCCACGAAGCCGCCTTCGAGCGCATGAAGAGACTCTCCAAGCCACACCCCATGCAACCGAACTTCGACTGGGAGACGCCCTCCCCAGGTTTGAACGCCAAATTGCGCATGGTCGAGCTCCCCTTCGACCCCAAGATTCCGGCTGAGCACCAGGCCGTCTTCGTCGCAGATGATATGTGGGTTCCTGTTGCTGTTGTTAACGGTAACGTGCACATCCTTCCCGGTGTGCCGCGACTGTTTGAGCGCTTGCTGGAGAACTTGAAGCCGTCGCTCGTCCCGAGATTGACGCATCTGGAGGGCAAGGGAACCCACCGGTTCATGATCAGTACGCCTTTGCCTGAGAGTGCGGTTGCACCGTTCTTGACTGAGCTTGCGGCGAAGGTTGAGCCGCGTGGTGTGAAAGTTGGAAGTTATCCTCGCTGGGGTAAGAAGCGGAATACCGTTACCCTGGTTGGTGCTGATAAGGAATACTTGGAGTCTCTTGTGCAGGAGGTTGAGGCAGGTGTGCAGGGCAAGTTGGTGTCTAAGGAAGATGAGCTGGATGCTCCCGAAGACGAGGATCGGGTTTACAGTCAGTAAATAGACGGACGACCTGTATCATAAGTGATTTTTGGTCCGACTAGATGCGATACTGCATTTCGATGGAAATAAGCATAGCATAGCACACACAATGCTACTTGTACAACCCCATAGGTCTATCAAATCAAGAAGCTCAATTTCTCAGGCAATACTTTTTAAACGCGCCATGATAGTAGCATCCCCTGCATCGTGGAAGAACTTATATTGACAGCCGCGTCGTCTCGCGTCCCGAGACAGACAAAGATGATAGACAAAAAGAGATGATCGGGACATAAAAAAAAAATTGACAGCAATTAAAAACAAAGCGGAACAAAAGGGGAATCAAAATTCATGAGACGATGGCGTCAAGGGTCAGTCATGCAAGTTGCGAGCCCCGTCCATCGAAGAACCCAGATCCGCAGCACAACTGGTTTTTCTTTTCCGCATTCCAGTTCCTCCCTTCCCCCCATACCGGGGAAGCATTATAAGCATCTCTCCATATTTCCCTTATTACCCGCATGAGCGGTGTGTATTTGGTGTGTTCCTGACTGGTGCGTGTTCTGGATTGGGGTTTCTGGTTTGTTTTTGGTTTTTCTGGCGTTCGTGTTGTTTGAGACAAGGGTTCACGAGTGATAAAACGGGGGAAGGGGAAGATTAAGTAAGGCCCAACCGCTTTACATGACCACGCACTTGGAGCAGCAGCCGGCACTCTCGTCGGGCTCACTGACATCCATCTTGCCCTCTGGCTGGCGGGCACCGAATGCACCAGAGCCGGCGGGGTAGGAAGACATCTCCTTGTTGTAGCGGCGAATCTCACGAACGAGGTCGTAGAAGGCGTTTTCGACGTTGATGCGGGACTTGGCGGAGGTCTCGATGAACTTGCAGCCGAACTGTCGGGCCAGTGCTTCACCCTCTGTAGATAAAGAAAAATAGATTGGTTAGTTTGGATAATTCTCATGGTCTCTCCCCGCGGGATAATCTTCCATTCGGTTGCAATGCATCGAATCTGGAGACTTGATGGAAGAGAATGCGTACCTTGCTCGGTGACTACGCGCTCCTTCTCCAAATCACACTTGTTGGCAACCACAATGATGGGGAAGTAGTCCTTGTCCTTGACGCGGAGGATCTGCTGTTGGAAGGTCATGATCTCTTCGAAGGATTGACGCGATGTTATCGAGTAGATGAGCAGGAAGCCCTCGCCGGTGCGCATGTACTGTTCCCGCATTGCCGAGTACTCCTCCTGACCTGCTGTGTCCAGGACATCCAACAAAGCGACCTCATCGTCGATCACACACTGCTTGCGGTAGGAATCTAAAGGAGTAGGCGAAGAAATGAGCTGACTGATATTCGAGATGCCGGGCACAGTGGCAAAGCTCACCTTCAATTGTTGGGTCATATTCGTCCACGAAGTGACTCTGGATGAGCTGGATGGTCAAACAAGACTTTCCGACACCACCACCGCCGACGACTACTAGCTTATACTCTCGTAGGAACTGTGGGGGAGAATCGCGGGTCAGCCATTGAGCAGGAGAGGGGGAGACGAAGTTCCCATTTGGTCTCGGAATAGAATCGCGGGATTTGACCGGGAGAGGGAGGGTAGGATCGAAAGGGATTGCTCGCGACGACAGGATGAGGGCTCACCTTGGAAGCCATTCTGAAGACGTCTATGTGTGTAAAACCCGGAAGAAAGGGGGTGTTTGGGAGAAGGCAGGATCGAAGATCGAATTAGGCCCACGATCGTAGGAAAGGAGTCACGAAACTTTGCAAGCAAAAACAGAAAGAGTCGCGGGCGATCTCGCCAAATTACCAGAGGTCTGGGTTGGGAGAATGGAGTTCTAGGGGATGAAATAAGGAGGTTCGTCCAGTGGAAAAGAGGAAATGGGGAACCGCTTGAGCTTCTTTTTGTTCCCGGCAACAGTGGATCCCCCTTTTTCAAGAGAATTGACTCGATATATAAGATTGCTCAGAATTTATCGTGGATTTTCTTGATAAAATTTAATCCATGGGGTTTCTCTTCATTTCGGTTGTCATCTCATTCTGAAAAGAAAATCTGCACAAGAACAGGAATTTCAGGAGAATTGGGGGGGAGGATTCCACTATGATTGGAGCAAAATGGAACTTTTGCTTTTTGGTCTTTTTTTTCTAATCCATAGATCAATGCTTTACGATATAGAGCTACTTGGTGAATTCTCCCTAATTCATTCCTTTTGATCCTGTCATCTTAACCCCCTATTTCAATTTCTGATTAAGCCCCCAAAAACCCATCTCGAGTTTGCGCTTTTCCCGCTTCGGTGCTAATATATTGCAACCTCTGGTACACTACTCGGCACGTCCGCTTGATTGGCCCACGCTCATCACAAGCCCCATCATGGACGGGTATTTAATATCACCCATATTACCCTGATCTCCGAGGCTCGATCGCAAGGAACAAGAGTTCGTCCATCAACGTGATACAATTGACCGCTGATAGTGAGAAAGACCTACATTGTAGCAAACCAGACTAAGTGGGGAACCTCGGGATGTGCTGGGTCTAGGTCATTTTTTTTTAGCGACTGATGTCGAGTCAGGCACCCACTTGCCATTCAGGCTGGAGACTATTTCCCCTAGACGCGTTTTCCATAGTCAATCATGGATTGACACATTCCACAATGGCCCAGGGCTAAAAATTAGATGCCGTTGTCCACGTTAGCTTGAAAGTGGACCAATTCTTATCTTATGGGACCACCAATGTTTGAGTGGGGGGGGGCCTTTTGTCATTTCCGATGAGATATTCGCCAGTTGGGCATTGACTCATTCTAGTTAGAAAATAGACCGAAAGATAGCTTATTTCAAGGTTCAATTGTCATATTCAACAACGCATACATGGGTACCTGAAAACTTGCATCAACTGCCCAGGTGGCATGAGCGGTGCGGAGTAGAAAATAAAAATATACAACTCGGCATCAAAGTCAGATTTTACACGTGCTAGGCAAACCACTACCTCTGATGGCTATGTCATATCCCCGCTCGTATGAAAACTGTGGTGGATTGGCGTCTTAGGTCCTGGTACCTGCTCCAGTATACAATGGACCTAGGAGGAGATAATACGAGGTAGCAGATATGCAATTGACTGTCGGGCCATGCCGTTTGCACACTTGCAGGTGTGACGATCTAGGAAACACATCACAAAACCGAAGGATCGGATGATGTAAGGGCGTCCTGTCGGGCACCAAAGCGCCCGGGAGACACCGCATTTCCATTCTTCAAGATCGAGGGTATCAACAATTGCCCACCGGCACCGGAAAAGCCTGCAGGAGGCCCGCCTTGCATATCGATTGCATCATCCCGCACCGAAGATCTAAGAACCTCTCCCACACCCATTGCGCTTCAGCGGCCATCTCGCCCAGTTGCAGGGAAGCACAACCCTCACGGATCTTCCCATCTTGTTGCTGGTGATCACCGGGGTCGTCCGCTGCAGATCACGTTGTCAACGACAAATGCGACAAATATGCAGACCGGAGAAATGGATGTATCGTAACTATCACCCCCACCTTGGTGGGCCCTGCACCACCTTTGATACTTTTGGATGGAAACCTACGTCTTGACAGCCTTAAGCTTCGGGGTTGTGCGGCGAGTCGCGACGGAGTTAATTCCCGCACTTGCATTTGTCAAGCTGAGTCATGTCTGCATGACATCCGATCCAATGACAAGGGGTTGTACGATTTTCTTTTCCATCCAATCCTGTCAAACATAAGAAACTTCTAGCTCCAGGCTTAATCCAAAATTCCATCCAGGTGCGATACCTGTCTGATCGCAGCTATAGTACACAAGGCCGTGCTTACGCCGCAAAGAACCAACCTAAGTGGGAATAATTGCGTGCATTTTCGTCATCATTGTCAAAAGTTGAATGATGTGGCTTTCATAATAAGGGAAAGATAGTATGTAAATTCATCAACGAAAAGTAGTTCCCTTTTTTAACGCGGAACCACCGAGATATTGCGGCTTTCAGTGATATCAATCAAAAGGAAAACACTGACTTCTTCCAATCGGGCCCATGGTTGTTTCCAAGGTTGTAGGCCTAATGAAATCTATAGACCCATAGCCGACCTTTCTGATTGTAAGGAAGTGGCCCCACTTTCATTATATGTTTTGGGTTGACGAAGGGAATATCAAGAATTTTGTTGCTTTGAAGGACCTCATTCTGAGGGCTGAAAGATACAAGTTGAATGATCACTCATTGCCACTTCCTATTCAGTGGTCTAGAGATCTTCGTCAGCTTTTGTATTTCGTTCAGCTGTTGGTAGACAAGACGCCATGAGCGAACAGAAAAGGTAGTAGTAAGCGAAGATCTATGTGGTAACACAACAAGAGCAAGGATTAGTCTACCAAAAGTTACATCTATCGTAGTAGCACAGCCTTGTCATGGAAAGTGATAGATAGAGACGGGTACTGTTCATATCGAGTAGAGGGAACGTGAAGTAAAGGAGGACAACATACTGTAGAACCGATGGCTTTCTGATCGTGGGAACGTGCCCCCCATTTCCACGGTCCCGCTAAAGTCAATTCAGTCCTCGGAAATCAGAAGCCATTGATGTTAGGTCGACTTAATGAAGGTAAGTTGCCGGACAGCGAGGGTCTCCAGTACCCGTACGATATTATCGGGCAACAGTTGGAACATTCGGAGCCGCTTAGTTTGACGACTACAAGATTACGATTACATGAACATTCTGAGATTGAAGTTTGTATTCTTCTTCTAAATTGGAAAATTAAAGATTACGAGTCTTTTTGTCGCACACAAGTGCACGGTCGGTGATAGATCAATTTGCCATGCATGTTACCGAATCTGGCAGTTAATGGCAGTCGGGTTCCATAGGAACGAGCTTATCCTGCGTGGAATGGCCTCCTATTCATCTCGGTTAGAGTAAGGTTCTGTAAATGAAAGTATAGGTTACCCTTGTGCACATTCAAGATAAGCGATAATCATGGTACGCGTCAAATTGTCCGTGCATCGATGATATGAATTAACGCTTGTTTGTATAGGCTGTCATACTCTTTCGAATGTTCTGCGGGAAGCCAAAAGGTCACTGGCGCATTCAGGAGAAACATTCCATGACCAGTAGGCGTCAAGGATTTGGCTGCTCGGCAAATAGCTTGAGACAGGGAGGGGCTCCGACCGTTGACCTGAGCCATGTGCGGGCTTCGAGGTCTCCAATGAATATGATCAGAATTTTTGGTCATCAAGACCACATCGGCTTGATAAGGTAAAGTAGCTCTGCCCTTCGTGAGAGATGAATTCCAAGCTAAAGTCTGACATCCAAGTGGTACAGTGTGGGGTCGTGAAGCTATGGAGAGGGGGATTTCCGGGGTCTGGTTAAAAGCATACAATTCGAGCTTAGTTGATGTCCTGACTTCAAGATTTTCCACCAAAACCACCTCACAACATGACTCAACTACAATTTGAACTAAAATTGCTAGAAAGTCTAGCCGATAAAGTTGTGATCTTGACCGGCGCTGCGACAGGGATAGGCCGCTCAGCCGTCCAACAGTTCTGCAGTCAGCTATAAAATCTAACCTTGTTCACACAAACTTCACTAACAAGGATCCAGATAATGGTGCCAAAGTAGTATTTGGCGATGTTGTCGATGGCCCCTCCCGAGAACTGGAATCTGAACTTGGCCCAAACGTCCACTTTGTCAAATGTGATGCCTCAAGTTATTCAGAACAACTACATTTATTCAAGACCGCGTACGAGAAATACGGCCGAATTGATATCGTTGTCGCTAATGCTGGGATCGCCATCCATCAGGACTCTTTCAGTCCTGATACCGATATCGAAAAAGAGCCACCCATGGCCGAGGTCGATGTCAACCTAAAAGGATCTCTTTTCACCGTCCGTATTGGAATGCACTATTTACGAAAGTGTGGTGGTGGTGATATAGTGATGGTGAGTAGCATTGCCGGGTTCAAAGAAGGTGAGGGGTTGGTCCCCTACACGGCCAGCAAGCACGGCGTCGTGGGGATTATGCGGGGCATTCATCTTACAGGAACTCGTGAAAACATCCGAGTCAACGTGATTTGCCCATGGATGACAAGTATGAGACCCATTTCACTTACCTGTCTCTACTTTGTAAGTTTTACGCTCGAGGCTAACAAGGATTCAGAAACTCGCTTGGTTCTGGCAATTGAACAAGGGTGGTACGAGCGGGGTTTACCTACAAACGAAGCTGCGGATGTGGCCAAGTCGATTCTACTTTGTGCCACTGCGAACCGGGGCTTGAATGGGGTTACCCATGGTGGGGCTCGTCTCCCCTTTGCGGGGAAGATTGTTTTCGTGGCAGGTGGAGAAAGCTACGAGATTGAAGATCGAATTAAGGACCTGGAGCCAAAGTGGCTTGGTGAGGAAAATAGCAAGGTGCTTTTTAGGGGTCAGGAATACCTTGCTGGGCACAGTTGGGATGCAACAAAAGTGCTTGGAGGAAAATTGTAGGTGTTTACGATTATACGTTCATGTCTTCAATACAATGCACTATAGCCTCGATATCATCAGCTGATATCTACCCAGATCTGCTGAAGAGTAATCTCCTAAGTTCGTACAGCCTCGTATCGCTCAGCCAGCACGTTTGGAAAATTCTATGTCAATCAACCATCTCAATGCAACATTGCAACATAAACGACACATTTTGCAGCCCCTAACTGGAATTGTCCAAAGTGGACACAAGCGAAATTTCTTGGCAGTAGCAGGGCATGTAACAGGATTTTCCACAAAGAGCATAGCAACGCGAGCAAGTGGCTGAGAAAATACAACACCAATTTACCACAGCATCCTGTTTTTCGGAGATGATCAACAGTGAGCACTAGGGGCCATTTCCTGTCTTAGGCTTAGTGGGGGCGACGATCCAAGCGGGGACAACGAGACTGGAGATGTCGAAGACCTCTACAGACAGTGGACTGATAATAATAGCACAAATAGAGAGACGGACAAATATACGCAACTTAGGCGGACTGCTGTGAGTATGGATCTGCAGGGTCCAAAATGGTACATAAGGGGGATGTGAGCCCCTTGAATATCAATGTCAACTTCGAACCATTAAAAGACAACTTGGTGGCTTCAGGCTCGACACCTCTTGAAAATGGGCTCTGCCATCTTCCTTACATTGGTCTCAGCAATCCTTGGACTTGCAGCTTCTGAGTCCACCCGTGTAATTGATTCTAATTTCCCAGATCCTTGTGTGATCCAAACAAGTGATGGCTATTACGCGTTCGCGACGAATGGAAACGGCGTGAATGTCCAGATCGCATCATCTTCCGATTTCTCAACATGGGACCTGTTGTCCGGTACTGACGCTTTGCCCGGTCCATTCCCATCGTGGGTTGCATCATCGCCTGCCGTCTGGGCACCCGACGTGATTCAAAGGGTAAGTTAGGCATACCCAAGACCAAATGTGATGAAGCTTACCTGTAACAGGATGATGGCACATTTGTGATGTACTATTCTGCTGCTTCAAGCGAAGATTCTAGCAAACACTGTGTTGGTGCTGCCACTTCCACGACTATCACTGGGCCATATACCCCGGAGGACAGTGTATTGGCTTGTCCGTTGGATCAGGGCGGTGCGATTGACGCAGATGGGTTTAATGACGGAGGCACTTATTATGTCGTCTATAAGATTGACGGGAACAGCCTCGATGGTGATGGAACTACTCATGCTACTCCCATTATGCTGCAGGGTCTGAACTCGGATGCTGTCACTCCATATGGAGATTCCACCCAGCTGCTTGACCGGGATGATGCCGACGGGCCATTGATCGAGGCTCCGAGTCTTGCAAATGTAGATGGGACCTACTACCTTTCGTTCTCCTCGAATATGTACGATACAACCTACTATGATGTCAGCTACGCCACGGCTTCGGCGCTCACTGGACCCTTCACCAAAGCCCAGGCACCCGATGCACCTCTGCTTGTATCTGGGGACCCGAGTAATGTGGGGAATCTGGCAGGGCCTGGTGGTGCTGATTTTAGCGCGGATGGTTCGAAGATTGTATTCCATGCTTTTGAGAATGGCCAGAATATTGACAACGGCCGCGCGATGTATGTCGCAGATATTAGTGTTTCTGGTGGTGCAATCACTATCCAGTAGAGAACTTCTGCTTTCGAAGTATATCTAAATAGGAAGCAACTTTACCATGGACAAAAACACTTGATCTTCACTAAGTAATTTGTCTCCAATACTTGTATAAACCATTGTTCCAGTCAGTGGGTCGGGTCGACACCAGTTGTTGTCTCAGGCACCAAGGCACCATTCCTCGCATTATCAAGGTTATCAAATCAACGCTCCCGAGATCTTCTTCCATCAGCTTAATAACAAACCCAAAATAGTGCATCTGCGATACAACACCATGTCTTTGGCGACTCGTGATGCGCTGGAGTTCCCTGACTCCGACAGAGTCTTTCTGGAGCCTCACTTGCCTACACAAGATACCCCGCAGTCTGATATGCCCTTCACAACGTTGACTTTCGCGACATCACTGGACTCATCTCTCGCCTTATCACCTGGTGCACGAACAGTGCTCTCTGGCCCCCAGTCGAAAGCCATGACTCACTACCTTCGCTCTCGCCACGATGGTATACTCATCGGCGTCGGAACAGCACTGGCAGACGACCCTGGCCTCAATTGCCGCATTTCTGGCGTTGGAGGCTATGGCAAAGATGGCCTGGTCGGTCAACCACGCCCTGTGGTAATCGATTCCACTGCTAGATGGGATTTCTCCGAGGATAGCAAACTATTCCAACTTTGCAGACAGGGACGTGGCCGAGCACCATGGATTATAACCGCACTTGCGGAACCTCCAGCGGAGAAGAAAGCGCTGCTGGAGAGATACGGTGGAAAATTCATCTCATTGCAGATGAACATTGCCGAAAATGGGAAATATGTTATCGATTGGAAGGCCTTGCTCGTTGCACTCCGAGCTAATGGTCTTCAAAGTGTTATGATCGAGGGAGGTGGTCAGGTTATTAACTCCCTACTCGCACCAGCGTTCATGTCTTTGATTGATAGTGTTATTGTTACCATTGCACCTACATGGCTGGGCCGGGGTGGTGTGGTGGTATCTCCCGACAGACGCTTTGATGAAGGAGGGAATCCAATGTCTGCGGCTAGGCTGAAGAAAGTCAAGTGGTACCCATTTGGAGAAGACGTCGTTCTATGTGGTCAAATAAAAAACTGAAACTCAGAAAGTTCAATCAGCTTTATCAGATGTCACCAACACACTATCCAACATTACAGAGAAAATGGTTCCGAGTGAGGTCGATCGCTATATATTACCTACTTACAACACGAAGGTACCACTGTGTTGTCAGGGAGATTATGATAATCATCAAAAATTGCGATCATGTCTCTCTTTGGCTGCTTGTTTCTGTTACAATGACTCGCAAGCACCTGGCAGTGATGTAAATCAAAGTGAAGATCGAGGTATGACGCGTACTTCATCCCTTGATAGATCGGTCGACCTTCCTTCTTTTGAGTCCTATATTCAGATCTTGCCACGAGGAGTCTAATTCCGTCCTTCCGATTGGGTAGCTCTATTTGACAGATGTGCAGCTATTGAACCGGGCCGTGTCGATCAGGGATGCCGTTCGCATCAATTTGTAATCGCTATGGAGGAATTCTTCGCAGTTTGGTGGACGCAGATGATTTAGTAGATTGCTAGGGGTCTCACCGTGCCTTGCTCAAAATTATCGGCCTCATTAGCTTGTGATGATCCTCACGATCCTTTTGATCATCGTAATCACCAGCGCTATTAGGATTAGCACGAGGTTGACCTTTAGACAAGTATGTATCCCTAGTTCAGGATCCTCCGTCTCGCTAACATATCGATAAAAACACAATTACTGTTTAGATCGCCGGATCTACAGCCCCAGAATACACGCAAGCCTCCGCAAGGGATCATGAAGCACTTTGAAACCCCCAACTGGCTGGTGCCCATTCATGATGATGCTGGAAAACCTGGTTCCAATTTATCGGCCCATCGGCTCCATTTTTCCTGATAACGGGGACCGCGCTCCACTCACTCCACCATAGATCGTCGACGAATATATTTCGTCCTTTTCGCCACAATGGTGTGCCCAATAAATGCCTTAAGTTGAAGAAATTTCTTCCTTCTGTCAACGTTTCAATCCTCAGTCATCTTTACGTTTTCTGCGCCACTCTTGCGCATTTGTGCTCGTCTTCTACTGCTCGTCCAGCATGCCTGTCGGGCAGCATTCCGATCCCGAGGGTCCCCCACAAATCCCTCCGCAAGCCCAAACATATGTGAGGCCAAGTGCGACCGATAATTATGGTTCTCACAATGATTCTGGAGACTCAGCTCCCGTATCGGGTCGCTCATCATTTTCCTACACGAGGAACTATGCGACACCAGCGACTGGTGCCCAAACACCGGACCCTCTAATGGGAAATACGATCGTTGTTGATAAGCAATCGTTAAAGAACGTGTCACAAACAATCACCAGTCTTGATCCAAGTAACGAAAATTTACATGAGCTCGAGACGCTTGGACATCGGTTAACCAACCGAAGGCCTTCGGTATCCCGATGCTCGGATTTTGCCGACGAAGCGGCTGCGCCGAGCCGAGCGAGGCAAGGCGTGCCCCCAGAGATCCGAAGTTTCGCAGCCGAGATAATTTTGGTAATGGTCTGTTCGGCCGGTCTCATGCTGTTCTCTTTCTTCCTTGGTGATATGCTCGCCCCGCAGGAGCAGTTGAAGGCTGCGCTCGGTATTACCAACACGCAGCTCCCGTGGATTGTCGGTGCTTTCAACACGGCCAATGGCCTATCCGTGGTGATCTCCGGGTCACTATCAGATTTAGCACCCCCTAGACGTCTCATGGTTGGCGCTTTTGCTTGGTTGACTGCTTGGAATATTGTCGGGGCTTTCTCCTTGCAACCATCGCGGAATATTCTCTTTTTTATCGTGCGAGCCATGCAGGGACTTGCTATTGGCGTTTTAGTTTCAGGAAGCATGAGTATCTTGGGCAGAGTCTATAAGCCTGGTGTACGCAAGAATCGAGTGTTTTCTGCCATGGCTGCCTGTTGCCCCTTCGGTTTCTCGCTTGGAGCACTCCAAGGTGGTGGCCTGTACCAGAATCTCCCCTGGATCTTTGGAACCAACGCCATTATCTGCGCTATCTGCGGCGTTGCTGCCTACTTCACCATTCCGCCTTTGAAACCGGTAGCGGATGTTGCCGGTACCGAAGCACCGACTTTACGGCAATTTGACTTCATCGGAGGTGGCTGTGCCGCTGGAGGCTGCGTGTGTTTACTTTTCGGCCTTACACAGGGACCGGTTGCTTCTTGGTCACCATATACATATATTCTAATCATCATCGGCTTGCTGCTACTGTGTGGTCTTTTCTTCGCTGAGCGTGCAGCCGTACGCCCTTTAATCCCCAATCGTCTTTGGTCAACACCAGGGTTCACCCCATTGATGATCGCCTACTTCCTTGGATTTGGATCGTTCTTCGGCTGCTGGCAATTTTACGCAATTCAGTTTTGGTTGCGCATCCAACACGCAACTCCCATTGGGGTGGCACTTTATCATATTCCTAACGCCGTGGTTGGAGTCTTCGCTACATGGATCGTGAGCCGCACTCTCCACCTTGTTCCAGGTCACTACATTTATGCCGTATCTATGTTTGCCTTTACTATGGGACCTGCGTTTTTCATCCCGCAAACTGCCAACACGACCTACTGGGCTCTTTCATTCCCCGGTATGGCGCTTGTGACATTTGGTCCTGATCTGGCCTTTGCCGCGGCTTCGATTTTCATCACTAGCAATGTCGCCCGTTCATACCAAGGAAGCGCGGGTAGTCTGTTGGTGACCAACCAAAATCTTTCATCAGCTATCATGACTAGTCTTGCTGATGCAATCGGTACACGGGTCAGTACTGGTGCTGATGGAGAGGTCGATATAGAAGGATTGAGGGCCATTTGGTGGTTTGCAATGGGAGCACAGTTGCTTGCACTGCTTGTAACTGTTGTTTGGGTGCGTATCCCAAAGGAAGAGGAGAAGGAGCATGTTACTTGATTTATGTTATGTTGATTTATATGTTCTATGGAATTATTGTTCTCTTATGGAAATGATAAGAGCCATGACACTGTGCATCGCAGTATTCGAGAGTCAGGAAAGCAATATTATAGAGTACTTACTTGGTCTCACTACTCCGTAAACTACCATGGCATGTGAAGCGATTAAAGAGTGATACCGAGTCACTTTTCTCACCTATGATTGATATGTCAGTGGTTAATTAGAGGGTTCAGAGAAGAAAGCATAGACTTATTCTAGAAGATGTTTTGTACTCCCGACGTTTCGTCGCTAGAAATGTCCGGGTATCAGAGGCTCGGAATGGATCGGTCAGTACTCCATAATAGGAGGTTTTGCCTAGTTTCAGTTCGGCCAGGATTACGGTCTAATAGCTTTACTTGGTCTTCGCTTCATCTTTTCTGTGGGGTCGCTGAGCGCATGATTGGTCGCTAGCTAGGCAGGGTGTGGGGCAACCCACATGTTGCCTAAAGCTGCCTGGACCCTGTGCAAACTTAGCTTTCGTTGGATGATTCCGGCAAAACACAAACACCCCACAATCCAATACATAAAGTCTTATACCCCATGAAAATGTATACCCAAGTTCGCAGAATTTAAATCTGCATCAATTCGTCCAATCAATTCTATCATCTATTCTATCATGATTTCTTTGCCTGTAGTGCCTGCAAAGCATGCCAACTTTTTGTCTTACCTTGAGGCACACCCAAAGACTCCTATCCACGACTTGGTGAATCCTTACAATGCATTTGATACTGTTGCCCGCAGAATATACGCACAGGAGTCATCGCATTCTTTGGTGAACGACAACTATGCCAATGTTGTGCCACTATACAATGCTGCCGGTTCCACTGATATTCAAGTCCGGGCACGAGATCTTGCTTCTGAGGGACCCGAGACCAAGGAAAAGTACATCCTACCCTTGGAAGACAGAAATCGCAGACCCAACGGCTCGCCCGCTGTCGTCTCCACCCTAGCCGAGTTCCAAGAGAACTTTGCCATTTTCACTGAAAACTCTTTGAGTGAGATAGACTGGAGCAATGTTGTGGCTGCCGGAAGTGCAGTAGTAACTTCTGCTCTACCCGTACCAGAAAGTCATCGTGGTTCAAAGAGAGCTCTACGTCAATATTATCATGATCAGTTCGCACCAGCGTCAGATGTGGATCTTTTTCTCTATGGGTTGACCGAGGAGCAAGCTGTCGAGAAGATCAAGCATATCGAAGAAAAGATCCGCAATGCGATTCTACACGAAACTACCACAGTTCGTACAAAGAACACTGTCACCATCGTTTCACAATATCCTACCCGTCATGTGCAGATTGTGCTTCGCATCTATCACTCGATAGCCGAGATCCTTACCGGCTTTGATGTGGATTGTTCCTGTGCTGCCTATGACGGCAAGCAAGTATACGCATCGCCGCGGGCAATCGCATCTTATATCACGCAGGCAAACCAGATTGACCTCACTCGACGGTCCCCGTCGTATGAGAACCGACTTTCAAAGTATGGTCACCGAGGCTTTGAAGCATTCTGGCCGCAGCTCGACCGATCGAAGATCGATCCTGTAAGTGAACCGCAGTGTTTCACATTATGAACGTGATAATCTGACTTAGGCAAGACAATCTTTGAACGAAGTTTCAGCCGAACGGAGGGACTCGCCCGCCTTTTGGTTTTGGAGCAACTTCCCAAGGCTGGAGACCGAGAGTCATATCTCGAAAAAAGGCGTTCAGAGCGAGGTCGACCAGCCCCGAGCTTGCATTCGCGACTTCAGCGTAAATCACTTAGGGGAAATATTAAGAATGAATGGGAGGACGAAGTTCCAGAGTGGCAGGAGGAAGACCAAGTTTCCAACTACCACACATTTGTTTGTATCATGATCCTCCATTCTTGCACACGTGACTGACTGTCAATGATTAGACTATCCCATACGGCAGATATTTCAACGCTCGAAAGATCGAGAAGCTGCTTTACACGAAGGATTTGCTTTTGAATGCCCAGTGGAATCAGCCCAAGGATCGCAGAGTTTATTTACATCGCCATCCGGCATTCTTTGGTGATGCAGCAGATGTTCTTGGAGACTGTTGTGGCTGCTGCCCCGAGCCATTCACGAACGAAGAATTGAAGGTCTCCGAAGAGGAGAGGAAGATATATATCTCAGGCCCAGTGGCATTCATCAAAGATGATCCTGGTCGACAAGAGATTGGTAGCTTCAACCCAATCACTGAAACAGACTGGACAGGTATGACGGGGAGATTAAAGCCGTGCTTATGAATATGCATTGACAATTTTCTACAGAGATGGCCTATGTTGGCTATACAGAGCGACTTTGTCAGGCAATTGTGTCCGGTGATTTAGAAGCCATCAAAAACTTTTTGGCCGACAAAGACGCAAGCCCCAATCGCCGTGACTATACTGGACGCACACCACTCCAGTTAGCTTGTATCTCGTCTACCCCGGAAGTGGTCCACTGTCTTGTAGATCATGGGGCTCGACTGATCGCTCGAATGGCTGACGGAAAGACAGCTTTGCATCTTGCAGCTGCTCGTGGCAATGTTGAAATGATTCGCATTCTCCTGACAAAAAGCAACGAGAATGAAGAAGCTGATGTCAGAAAGGAAAGGTTGAAGAAGAAAGATATCAAGAAAGAGGCGAAATTCGAAGACGAAGATGATGAAATGCGGGACGCGGATGATGCTTCTCACACCTCTGCATCCTACGTCAAGGTCGAGAAAGATGAGAACGATGGCGATGATACGAACCACGCAAGCTTTGAAGAAGATGAGGAGGAGCCCGATATATACGACATCAATGCAACTGCGTGGGATAGCCTTGCTTCACCTCTTCAACTGGCAATCCTTCATGGCCACACCGACGTCGTCACGGAACTTGTCTCCTCCTTTGGGGCTGATATCTCGATGCCCATCAAGATCCTGAATGACTGGAATAGACAGCCACAAGCTTCTATTCTCAACTTGGTGCTAGTGCTTGCTCTTCCTCTGGATAAAGCGCGAAGTATGTCGCAGACGCTCCTGAAGCTTGGTGCCTCCCCTGCCCGGGCAGATCTCACCCAGAGTACCCCGTTGCACTACATTGCACAATCCAGCTACAGTGATCTCCTGGATGTGTACTTGGAGCATGACGGCCCGGCACTGCAACGAGCAATTAATCATCTGGCTTTAACATCGGATAGATTCTTCAGGGCAGATTGTATTTTCTTCTCGACCTTGATGAATGCAATTGCAACACAGAATCATAAATCCGCAAAGAAGATACTGGAAGTAGGCGCAAATCCGAAGTTCGAGCTTGAATACTTGATGAGCGCTATCAAGTCTCAACTTTCTGTTTTCCATAACGTTCAATGTATTGTTGAGCAGGTTAAGAATGGTGTCAAACAACCTATCCTTTACGCTGTGGAACAAGATTTGCCGTTGATTGCTATTGAGCTACTGCGCCGCGGTGCTGATCCAAATTCCGAAGAGGTGAAAACAAGGGGGCAGGCTCAATATATGACAGTTTTGACTTGCGTCCGAAATTCTTTGAAATCCAAGCGAGAATTCTTGCGTGCTGACGAAGAAGTTATTCGATGTCCTTTCGCGTTCAGGAACCGCCCTTTTATGTTTGAGAAGGAAGACGAGTCATACCTCGCAGAGTATCCCCCGTCCTCTTACCGGAGATTCTTCGCAACTCTTCAACTAAAAGATGCTCGCGAAGAGAGGAGGAAGTACGATGAAGGGCCCGGGGATCAGAAGGCCACCATAGCTGAGCCTGGTCTCAGTGAGAAGAAAGCAGCTGTTACAAGATTGATTCGCGAATACGAGCTCCTCGAGAAGGAGCTGTTAGCGCGAGGCGCGAAGACGGTCACAGAACTTCACCCAGAATTGATTCAGCCACCGATTCTCCCCATATCGACTTTTCAAGACCAGGGGGACATTTTCAAGATCGAGTTCAAATTCCAAACACATGTACTGACTGACACAGCACGTGAGGGATACCTACAACTGTATGAGAATCTTACTTTTCATTGCTTCACTCCAAATAATTTTCAATCGCTGACACTTTAATAGGTTTGAGGCAGCTTGGAATGGAGATATTGAGACAATCAAGGCATTGACTCTTGCCATGTGGGGGCCATCTCAAGATCAGCCCCCTCTTGAAATTGCAGTCCAGGATGATCTTGAAAACTCGTGCCTCTCCATTGCTGTTCTCCGGGGCCATTTGAGCACCGCAAAGGCAATCATTCCCATCCTTCAGGCCCAATACAAGATGAAAAAGCCGCAAGGCCAAGTGAGATTTGAGATGGACATAGATGCAGATGAATCAGATGCGGAGCCATTGGATGACGAAGAAATTAACATTAACAGCCATATTGTTCATGATCAGTTTACCCATGAGAATATCGGGGAAGTCGTGACCCAAGTTGAAAGCCAAGTTTCCCCCTTGGGAGCACTGCAGGTTTATTGTGGCGCCTATAATTTCCTGGGCGAGTCATCGAATCTCTTATTCAGAGAGTTTGGTCCTGATCGTGGGGACTTTTATAATGACAAAATCCACACACTGTTGGGCTACGCCATCTTCAAGAACGACATTTCTCTTTTCGACTTTATCCTCGAGCTTGGTCAAGAATGTGCGAAGATGGATACTTCTAGCAAGGCACAGTTCACCATCTCAGAGAGGGATTTCCAACTTGCAATTGCATTGGGTCGTATGGACTGCCTGGTCAAAATGATTCAAACCACTGCAGCCGGTCTTCCACTCGCTAAACTGTGCGAGCAATCTGGAATCAAGCCAAAGGAAGAGCACCTCTACTATCCTGGTCTATCCATTCGAGGAAAGAAGCGCAAGGACTGGGCCGATGCTGGTCGAGTTGTAGAGATGCCCCCACCAGGCTCTCGACCGCCTTTGTTAATCGCAGCCATCCAAGGAAATCTCTCAGCCACAGAGTGGTTCCTTGGTACTGCACCCGGCAGATACTATGTGAGCTATGCGAGCTCGCGCGTAGAAGATGAGGACATCAAAAGACTCTCGCAGTCCAAGCTTGGACTTGAAGGGTCCATTTTGAATTGGTTACAGACGAGAAGTGAGTTCACAGCCCAATTTGCGTTTCAATATGGCAATTTACTAATTCATACTTTCAGACAATCTCGTGCTTCACTGTGCGGTCATGTCTCAACCATGCGAGGAGTCTGAGCGACTAGTCCAATACTTGGTGGACCACCACCCTGAATGCCTGGAAGCTCGGTCATCGGGAGGACACACTCCTCTTGCACTGGCCTGCTCCCTTCATCGCACAGAGTACGCGCGCATTTTGATCGCCGGAGGAGCCAATCAGACAACTCGCGATTCCGACAGCCATAATCTCGTGCACCTTCTCCTCAATCCCATTGAAGGCGCCATCTGTGAAAAGGCTGAGGATATTGCTCCGTTGATCAGGCTTCTTAGCCCACAACTCGTTTCTTCAATGTTAGTGCAACGGGCCGGGGATGGATCAATGACACCTCTAGCACGTTGGCTGCAATTGAGCTACAGCAGTGCTACTTGGAACACACAAGACCCCGCCTTCAAAGAAACCTGCGAGAGGATGGCCGCCATGACAAGACTATTGATGAGCTACGACAAAGCCAGCAATCAAAAACAGTTAGAGATCCTCGACGGGTCTGGGAACGCCGCAGTGCACATTGCAGTCAAATATGGATATCCTACGGTGTTAGAGACAATGCTCGATCGACGACCTGATCTACTGCACCGAGAGAATGCAACCGGCTGTACTCCACTTGAGCTAGCTGTGGATTCTTGGGTCAATCAGACTACTCGGACTCCCCGCCAGCTTCCGGGGAGCAGATATGACGTTGTTCCGGAGTGGAAACCTGTTGTTAGCCGTCCTTCGCTATATTTCGTCGAAGGCCGTGACCCGAGGACAAGATGGGAGATGATGTACCAAATCTGTCAGGATCGATCCCAGCAACGACTTGGCAAGAGAAGACTCGTTACTTTGTTCGAAGCAAATGAGGTGGCAAAAAGATTGACCGTGGACAACCGCTGGTCCAAAAGACTTGCATGTGGTGGTCGGAACCATGTACCTGACCCTGAATCTGTGGTCGAGGAGGAGAAAGATGAGGTTGCTGTATGGGGTGGTGTGGCAAACCAGTAGCACTGAAAATGATGTTCGAGCCATGGTGTTCAATGGAGATGTGCGGAGGATTTATGGGGCAAATCGGATACTTGTTGTATTGCAGCATATAGAAGTTATATGTAAGATTGAATGACATTCCTAAGATTTCTCGAATCTTAAAGTCGCATTTTGAAGGTCTTAATATGACGTTCAGATATTTCCATTTCTCTTGCAATATTCGTAGACACTCCATGCTTTTGTGATGCCTTGGTAATGTTTCGTATAGAATGTTCTCTTTTGCAACCTCACCAGGGACTGTTGCAGATATCCAGCTGGAGCACTGCTACGGAAAAACCCCCGCAGGTGTTCAGTGGTCCTCCAAGGGCGGATACATATCTCTGCAGCTTGACGTCCTGAATATTGGCCACCTCCGTGCCTAGAATTAGCAGCCGGACCATCTGGAAATGGAATGACCTGCCGCAATCAGTAAAAGAAGCAGTATTACAACAAGGCTGATGGAGAACTTGTCTTCCCGCCGGGCTGAGGTGATTAACGTTCAGCTGATGAAGACAGCACATATCGTTAGGCATTAGCAGCCAGGCGCTAACGGTGCCAGGGCCATACAACGAGCCAATGATTTGGTACCAGTATGTGACCATATTTTGGGCAATTAGGCAGGAACCATATCGCCGTGATAGTGCGTGATTGTGCGAACATATGTGACTTGGCTGCGTATTGATGGCGATAGTTCAGGAATCATGAACCATTTCGGTGAGTGATCTGCCTTGTGGCTGAGAAGCCCCAAAAATGAGAGCGTCGACTTTTGACAGACAGATGAACATGGAAAAAAGTGATTCATTGGCTATAACCAGAAAAGGCTTTTTACGCTGCTGTAGATACAAGCACAGTATACGAAGTGGCCCATGTTGACGACTGCCTCAGCCATGCTAGATAAGCAGCTCACATTGACTCCATTTGCGAACTTTTCGGCATTTATTATGACATTGAATTATGTAGAAATCACCAATCTCATGTTTCCTGAGTCACAAACTTGAATAGAATACAAGAAAAGAAATGGAAAGAACAACCCTCTCTAGATGGATTTGGTTGTGGGTGCGATTGCGGCCACTCTCATGGTATCTAAAAGGTTAACAGCTGCACCAGAATGAGGATATACTCCACCCTCAAACATGTCCGTCGCGTCCTTGCCGATGGCTCCAGTAATCAAAGCTGTGCCTCCAGGGTGCTCAGTCACAAACGCGGAAACATCGTGCACAATCCCCTTGATAACAACAAAGTTACACCCTGTTCTCGCTTGTTGTTGGAATTCCTCCCACTCCATAATCGGTAGTTCTTCAGGTGGTACACCCCAATCAACCGTCTCACCTTCTGTACTCAAAACTTCCCATTTCCGCTGGATCCTGCCCTTCTCAATCTCATTTCGTGGAAAACGTCTCAGCTTGGAAGCAAGTCCGAACTGAGAAAGAGTCCATATCATCCACTTGGTCATGTCCAAATCATACCACTGAGGACCATTCCGATAGTCGATCGGGAACTCGTGATGGAAATTATGATAACCCTCACCCAGCATCAAAAGGCCAGCCAAATGGCTCTGTCTCGGAGATTTCTCAGATGCATATGGCTGATCGCCCACCCAATGCGCAACAGAATTTACACAGAAAGTGCCTTGTTGCGCTAGAGCCACTGCAAGGCATCCCGTGTAGAGAAATCCACCTAAATAGTCTCCATGGTGTAGGCCACAGACCAGCGAGGGAGCGATATACCCCACAAGAAGGAACAAGGGCACATAGTTGCGGTGCTGCCATCGCACGATTGTGTCGGATTTGAGGTCACTGATGTCTACTTGACGGTTGATTGGGACACCGTAAGGGATTCCCTCGTTCTCATATAGCATCCAGCCGATATGTGCGTGGAAAAAGCCTTTCTTGATGCTGTACGGATCGTCATCAGTGTCGACGTAGCGATGATGAGCGCGGTGACCGCGGCACCAGAATATGATACTGCCTTGTCCCGCACCAGCGCCAATGATTGCTAGGAAAAGCTTCAAGGGAGAGCTAGCTGTATAGGCTCTGTGAGACCATAGTCGATGATAACCTGTTTATTGTTTAGAAAAGTATACCAAGTGGCAGATAATTGATGTTGATAGGGACTTACCACCTGTGATAGCGAGGGTTCGAAAGACCATCCAGGCCGGCATCATCAGAATAGTCTCTTTGTACACAGGAACCCATAAAAGAGAAAAAATGGCCCCTACTGGGATGCCGATGAGAAAAAACACAATTGGCCAATTTAATGAGCGTGGCTTGGTGGTGTCTGAGGCTCTGTTGGCCGGCTGATGAGCCTTCATGAAGGACCGATCCCATTGCGTAAGGGTCTGTTTTGTGACAGTTTCTGCATCGTGTCTTTGCATTTTGAAAATACCTGATATTAACATATGCAAAACGGATCATAAAGTCCTGGGAGATATCGCGACTAAATAATTTCTCCGGCCAACGGCCGGTTAGCAGACAGATTGATCGACATATCTGAATAATGGGTCAACGGATCAGAGCTGAGTCGAATGTGAAATCAAGTTTTATTCTATCACACGACAAGACCAGAGTGGTACAAAAGATAGATGATCAGTTTCGTAGAATATCAGCTGTTATCCATCTACAAATCGCTTAGAATTTCCGACATAAATGGTTGAGCTGGGCGTTGGAAAAAGCAAATAGCGTGACTTGTGTGATACACCCATGCATATGCTTCGTCTGTCGAACCCCTCTGAGCAAAACGTGCAGAAAAACAAATCAATATTTGCGCCTTGCTGCTGCAAGGTTCCAATAGCATCCATGGGAATGAAGTCAAATACTGTTATGGCTTAGGTGACTCTGCGTACACGTGTAGATCTATCTCTAAACCACCGTGGGGGCGACACGACAGATCAGGTCACACATAGCACTTGAGACAAGAAATCACACTGCAGCAAGAACTTTACTACTGACCAGCTTTTTGTTTATCTTACTTTTCCGGATTTCGCCTAAGATCCGATGTTTAGAAATCAGAATGATCAGCTGAGGTCAAAATGTGTACTTTACTACGTATAAAATCTAATTCCAACCCAGTGTCAAGCCATCTGCTAGAACCTCGATCCTACTCACAATATAATCGAGCCTTTATTTTGCTATGTACAATTCCACCACCCACGGCTCGGTGAAGATTGGCTTTCCTTCCCCGGAGATATTCAAGCTTCCAAGTCAACCTCACAAAGTAGCACCGCATCTTCGCGTCCCACCGTCAAATGTGCATGCACCCCAATATCTCTACTTCTTTGATATCAACCGTGACGTCTACCATACTGTGGTAAATCTGAGATTCGTCCTCACTTTCATACTTGCATATGTTTCCACAGTTTTGTTTTTGAATCAATACAATGCCAGCCGTCAATACAGACCATGGGCCATTAGCAAGTCAACTTTCTTCAAGACGTTCGTCTTTGTGCACAATGTCTTATTGTCACTATTTTCTGCATGGGTCTTGATTGGAATCATACATGGGGCCATTGCCCATCGCCCTCGAGTGGAACACGGTTTCTACGCTAGTATGGTGGAATATATGTGTCAAACAGACGCAGGCGCATTTCAACGTGAGTTTTAGCATCTTTACCGATGCTTGCATATCAAGGTACCTTATAATACGACAACCCATCTGACAATCAGTTCCTACTTAGTCTCGACAGATGCAAAAAGTTTCGTAGACGGGGGAGCCACATACTTTGGCTGTCTCTTCTACCTGAGCAAATACTACGAAGTTGTTGATACGTTGATTATTCTTGCCAAGGGGAAGCAAAGTTCGACTCTGCAAACATATCATCATGCTGGTGTCATTCTGTGTGGATGGTCAGCAGTAACTTTCGAATCTCCCGTGGGTCTCGTGGGAGTGTTGTTGAATGCAGCAGTCCATACTTTGATGGTAAGCTGATTCGTCCGTTTTTTACCATCAAGCTCTAATTGTGTTGAACTAGTATGCATATTTTGCCCTCCAGACGGTTGGGATTCGGGTTTCCATGAGCATCAAACGCTCTCTAACTGGCATTCAAATCGCCCAATTCCTCATTGGCATGGTCTGGAGTTTCACTTATTTGTTTATGGGCTATACGATTCCTTCAAACATGGCAGACAAGTCTGCGAGGAATGCTTCAACGCCAGCAACTGACTCTTATGCCAGCCACGTTCATTCTTCGGTCGGAGACTCCGGCGACACTAGGATTCCATGCTTAAGCGACAGCGGGGAGGCTAATCCCCTGTTTATGACGAACATATATCTTTTGCCCCTGATATATCTCTTTGTGCAATTTTTTATCCGATCTTACAGGAAAGAGAAAAAATAATTTGGATTGGGAGCAGTGGCAGGTGTTGGTGAATTTTCCTTGGATCCCAAGGTTCGTTAGCTTTTTGAGTAACGGGGATGGAGATTAAAATTTCGGAAAATTAATGAGGAAACACTGATTTTTTTTTTCTTCATATATCACGTCGCACTAGCAAAGAAAAATGAATAAAAGCAAATCTTGGGCAGCCAGTGCACCGAACAGGACAAAGCTTAGGCCCCCATTTAGGAACGCCTGCTAGGTAATACTGTACAGATCGGAACCCCCTGGCTTAGGCTAGTCAGACTAACATACACTACGCCGCTGCGGCGACTTCAGCACAGATGGCTTCATCGATATCGTGACTATATAATACGGCGACAGTACAGTGAACGATTTACTTGGAGATGATGCGGGGAGCTTCCAGTCAAGATCACATTTCCAGCGGGGACCTTGCCAGTTGGCGTTGTAGTAAGCGAGTTCGACGGAATTACTACAGCTCTCTGGGTATTGTGACTACGAAACACAGTGACAGCACGACGAGCGCTTTACTCGATAAGCCTTGCAGGTCTTAGAGCCACCTTGATGGATAGGCTAAAAAAAGAAATTTTTATGTATGCTATACACAACATGGCAAAGGTCTTACTGCACTGCGAGGCGATTGTTTATTTCCAAGGTTTCGAGTTGGGATCTAGCCGCTCATCTTCTCCAGATTTAAATGGACTCATGAACAAAAGATAATCTTATTGCCACTCCAGGGAGGTCACAATAGTCTAGATTCTTATCTCTATTATCTCCCTGAATCATGCAATCAGTCTGGGCAACGCTGCCCTCAGTGGAGCGGCAGCTGCCTCATATCAGAAAGCCCCACCAGGGAGAGAAGATACACTACATATGTTTGCCAAGATAGGCAAAAAGGCACCGACATCAGCTCTTGAAACCTATGATGCATACTTGCGCATATTTATGCACTGTAACCCCCAGGTTCTAGATCCTCCGGTGCAGCCTAGTCTCTGCGGGGAAATAACACCATCTGAAATCAGCTCATTATTTATTGACACTAGTGTTATCACAATTTTGGGGAAACGCCACCAGATTCTAGTCTTAAAGATTTCCACATAATAGACAGTAACAGAACGCCGCATTGGGTTTAATTCAGCCACGTCCGTAATATTGAAAATCCGTGGATCATCGGGTCGGCAAACAGCGTTTAATAGGCTATCCGACGTAGCGGGGCCTCTCGAGTGCTAGAGGTCGAGGTAACTTAATTCTACGAATCCCAAAGCACTTCTTGTGTCTTGTATGCATGACGAAGGGATAAGTTCAAGGCTACCGGAAGTATTATTACTAGGGCCAATAATGCATGAGTTATGAACTTGAACGTGTCGCGGAGTGCTTGGGGAGTGGAGCTCCGCGGTGGAGAACTCGGCCGCTTTATTGAATGGCAGTGGCAATCCGATGTGGGGTGTTTTGACAGGGACGGGTTCAACGCGGTCGACAAGGTCATTGATCGTCAGCGCTTGTTTTCGCTTGGGCGGCCGATCTTCAATAGTTTGCAAGGTCCCCGGCGATTGGAGAAAGCTCATAGCGAGAACAGGGAAAAGCTGGAGTCAATGTCGGGTTATTGTGTGGCTTGATGTGTGCTAACCAGAACAGGAATGACCCACATGCAGATCACGGTTTTCCATCATTCGAGTTTGACGTCTCAGACCTTGAAGTCTACTCAGGGGTGACTTCCAGCCCAAAATGTTACTGCATAGACAGGGGGAATCCCGAGGTTTCGAGACGTGTAAACAATGTGACTAATCGACATTGCCTTTAAGCGGTGACGGTCACGGAGACGGAGAACGCGGACAATATCATCCTGCATAAGACACAATTCAGACAATCCTGTGCAACCTTGTGTTTCAGCGGGTCCATAACAGAGGCCCGTTCTCAAACCATGCTCGACAGGGGAAGTTGAGAAGACAGCACCTGCGTTCCATGGAAAGTCGACAGTCACTCCAATCAAACCCACAATTTCCAATTGATGTGCAGCACATTCCTGGATTCTGTGTGGCCAAGGACCCACCAGGGTGACGATGCAGTGGGGAACAAGGGGTCGAAATCTGCGCTAGAGTCTTCGATGGTGGGCTTCGGTGCATTCAGGGCGTCTTTTACATGGAATGCGACTCCATCCGGGGACCACATGGCGTACGCTTGAGCCGAAACCCGCGACTCGGAACCTGGATTTGCTTAAGATCGCTGCATGATCGTGCGCTATTGGCGACGCTATTCAAACTCTGTGGGGATCGAACCCAAGCCACGCTGGGATTCTGCTTTAGATTCCTGGATGAACACACCAGATCGACTCCACTGTACGCCCAGCCGGGAGGCTTTACGCCATTCAAAAGGAATTGCCCCGCTCCCTTTTTTGTCGTATGATTTGGGACTGCAAACTTTTCGATTCCAGTCGACTATATCGTGGACGTCTTTATGCGGTGATTCAACTTATAGAGGGTTAATTTGGTTCCTGTGATTAGGCAGGAAAAGCAAAATCCCTCAACGACACTCTTTTTCTCTTATTCACTCTTTTATTCCAATCTTCGACGGTCAATATGGTCGCCATCCTACACGAATTGGTCCCTCGCTCCGAGGGCGATGGTCATGCTCGTGGCCAGAGAGCAATGGTGGTGACAGCGGTTCTCACTGGAATAGCTGCGCTGATTGTCGCCTTGCGGTGTTACGCACGATTTGGACTGATGAAAATCACCGGCCGGGAAGACTGGGCTATTCTGGGCGCTCTGATACTATCATTTGTTTATTGTGGACTCGTCGGTGGTCGTAAGTAGCTCATGCTCATCCTTATCGTTCCTCGAAATTGCGGCATTGGGAACTAACATTGAACTAGAGCTTCACTACGGCATGGGAACCCATGAGAGTTATCTCTCAAAACATGAGGTGCAGCAACAATTAAAGGTATGATCGAGAACGACTTCTGACAATAGGACTCATACTAAATTTACTCAGTGCTTGTGGGCCGCTATCCCACTATACAACGCCAGTCTCGGATTCACAAAATTCTCCATTCTTTTCCAATACCTCCGCATTTTCCCCGCTCGCTGGTTTCGCACTGCCTGCTATGTTATAATGGCGATTGTCGCCACATACTCAACCTGGGCCGTCGTCAGCGGCTACGTGAACTGTGTACCGGTCGCCAAATTCTGGAACCATGATTTACCGGGCCACTGCCTCAGCTTCGACGCCGTCTGGTTCTTCAACGCGTCGATGAACATCGCAACCGATGTGACTCTCCTTCTACTTCCAATGCCACTGCTCTCCGCGCTCCAGCTTCCTCGCCTGCAGAAGGTTGCGCTTATGGGCGTCTTCGCTATTGGTATCCTGTATGTGATGCCTGACTCTCCTCAGAATGCCCCACGAAACAAGAACTAATCAAACTCTGTTCAGTGTCGTTATTACCAGTATCCTCCGTCTCTCCAGTCTCCGCACCGTCGCTAGCAGCACAGATACGTCCTACAGCAACGTTGGAGCAGCCTACTGGACCGCTGCCGAATGCAACGTCGCCATCATCTGCGCCTGCCTTCCTTTCCTCCGTCCCATCGTTAGCGTGCTCTTTCCCAAGCTTCTTTCCACGAACAGCTACAACCGCTACACGGGCAATGATCCCATCACTCCCATCGCCAACCGATTTACTGGCCACCGTTCGGCGCGACAACAGAGCCAACTATTCAGTCAGAACGAGGATCGGGACTATGATGTTTATTCAATTAATGTCAAGCCCGGTGATCGTGATCGGTCGAACCGAAGCTCACTTGGCGGTATTGAAGTTACCACTGAGATGACCGTCATGCAAGAGAGCACCAAGCATGATGAGAATATCAGCGAGCGAAGGCTCGTAATGGACTCTTGATGCCTGCATTCTTTTATTACCCTTCTATGTACATCTTATTGGTGGTATATAAACACACCCTTTTTTACGACTGCATTGCGACGACTTTTCATTTCCTTCATTAACTTTTTTTTTTTCTTTTGGGCTTGGGAGGATTTTTGATTATTTTGATATCACTTTGTTTCTCGATGTATAAAGAATTACACATACCTGCACGATTCAACTTATATCAATAAGAATTTGGCCTTGATCTCCTGTATCATTGCGCACAGCAGTCCCTAAATCCACACTTAATTCCCGGATCTTCTCCGTTACCCATTCATGATCTTTATCACTTTTATCAAGCAGATTGGCTCGAAAATGATCAATCCGTGTAGGAAATACCTCCAATCGATTGAGCACAAGCCTCTTGGCTTCACCTGTGACAATGATCCTCCACACAGCACCAAGATCATTCTTATATTTCTCATGCACCACGTAATCATCCACAAAATCCCCACAGCCATATATAATGACCTTGCCCCGATAGACCTCCACACCCTGAACATGATGCGACGAATGTCCATGCACAATACCAACTCCACACTCATCAATCAGAAAGTGCGCTAAAGACCGTATGTGATCTGGAGGACACCATTTATAATTCGAACCCCAATGCACCGAGAAGATCTTTAGTGCCGGCGCCGCCGACCCGTCCTTTAATAATAATTTGCGCAACCGTTCCCTCGTCGCAGGTGAGTACTCAATAAAATGGAAGTTGGGAACGGTAGCACCCCATTCCTGGGGGTGATCGGAGGCCGAATACACATAAATTGGATAACCAGTTCCCGGCGCATCTAGTACCTCTCTCTCTTGTTGACTCCACCGAGTAGATAGTACTTTCTCTCCATCTACCCGTCGGGAATGGTATTCCTGCAACGATCGTGGGAGATATAAAATAGCGGGTTTATACGCTTCGTCCGTATTCTCGCCTGCGCCTGCAAAAGAGATACCAGCTTCTTTTAATGTCCAAACCGTCTCAATCAGACCTTCTGTACTGTAATCGAGGATATGATTATTTGCGAGACTGGTGTAGTCAACTCTTGCGGCGTGTAGGACGGGGGCTAGGTTTGCTGGGTGCATACGGTAGTTGTATTCCTTGTTTGGCCATGGTGAGCTGGTGGTGGTTACTGATGTTTCGAGATTGATGAGAAGGAGATCTGAGGTGCGGAGGAGGGGGAGTGTTGTGCCCCATGGTGTTGAAAGAGTATAATTTGCGGGTTCTAAGGATGGGTCTTCGGATTTAAAATGGGCGGCTTTGCGGGCGTCTGTTGGGCTGTCGACGTGGTTTGGAAGGAGTTGGTCGATTAGGCGACCTAGCATGACATCGCCGAGGAATGTTATTATGAAGGAGTTGGTGGCCATGGTTACTAGATTTGGATTGTTGTAGTATGAGACTAAAGTGAGGTTGAAGACGCTCATGATCGATGGATTGTCAGTCATGATGACATAGGGAGTTTTCGGTTCGGGCCGAAAGTTTTATATTAAGAAAGGTAAAGGTTGAAACCAAGGGGAAACTGTTTATTAAAGGAGCAATCCATTGTAGCGTACAATTCGTCTTCGAAAACTTTTTTTAAGGATAGGTAATAGAACAGGGAGGGATTCATATCCTCAGCAAAGTCAGTGGTATCTTGCGCAAATCTCCGAGCATTTGCGCCGCATCATGTGGAGGAACCTCCACCCAAACCCAAAATGTAAAATCTCATTAATTTCGTTTCATCACTCGTGGGAGCTGATGTATTATCGGCCCATCTGGGCCAGTTCTCGCTCCTTAGCGCGCAGTGCCTCGCGCATCAATTCGGCTTCCCGCTCCAACATGGCACGGCGTTCGTCCGGTGGGTGATCCGAAAAGGACGAAATTCCGGGCAGTTGTTGCGGCGGGTGAGGTGCCGAATGCATAGGTGCTTGGTAGGGCTGAGGTCGACCCATGGGCGAAAGGTCTACGCGAGAGTCATCACGCCGCTCTGTCTGATTCAAGATAGAAGAAATCGAGCTCAGGCGACCCGGTGGGGAAGGGTTGGTTGAAGACATAATGGGTGGTAACTGGTTTGAACCAGCTCCAAGCATTGCCGGTGGAAGTCCTTCCGATGTCTCAGCCAATGTGCGTTTCTTAGGAAGCGCGAGAGTATTAGGAGACGCAGATCGTCGCGCAAATTGAACTGGTGAATGACCCAATCGCTCAGGCTCGAGGAGCTTGGGAAATTGGTGGTGATGCATGGGAGCAGAGCTAACGTAGCCGGTAAAGTCCACTGGAGGCGGAGCAAAGGGCAAGGGCCGCGGTGCATCTTCATGTGGACCTCGTCCGGAAATTCCATGATAATGATCAGGCTCATTGCTCATATATCGATAATGATCTTCTTGTACGTGAGACAAAGCCGCTGGAGAAGCTTCGGGGGAGGCCGATGAGCCATTTGAGGACTGGGTCGCAGCAGTGGGGGACTGATCTCGTAGAGCTGGAACAACACGCTTCCGACGCTTGATTATCGACTTTTTCATGGTTGTGGGGCGGTAGCAACCGTGGAGCTTATAGTATAGACCTGTTCTCCTGTTAGATAACATGTTAAGAAGCAATTCGAATTTGAACCTACCACAGGCATTGCATATAGGATGACCCTGCTCATCTCGTCGCCAGAGTGGAGTCACGGTCGTCCCGCAGTTCTGGCATGCAACCAACGTTCCATTGCTATCAACAGCAGTGTTTTTCGCAGGAGCCTCGGTCACAGGCGGAGGAGGCGTTGGCCCGGCATCAGGGGTTGAAGTGCGACCCCATGAAGAATGAGGACCCCCACGAGGTGCAGACTTATAGATGCGATTGTTGTATGCAGGACAACCATCACAACCCTCTGCGCCACCGGTACCGTTGCAACTTCCGCCACCGGGACAAGAGCCCTTGCAACCGCCTTCCGATGTTGTTGTATGTTCGTGATGAGCAGTGGGAGGTTTGCTTTCAGGACCGTCTGGGGTCTGTTGAGCGCGATTTCGTTTTGTAGGGCGAGCAACATTGCGAGCTTTCAGGTAGAGACCACAGGCATTGCAAATCATGGCCCCCGTTGGAGACCGTCGCCAGAGGGGGGTACTTTTTGTTCCACAATTGCTGGGCGGGAATGTCAGTATCTACGACAAAAAACGTCAATGACCAGAAAACGTACCTGCATGAATGCCCCAGAAAAGAGGTATCCTTTTGGCCCCGTGGGGAAGTCCTTTCCTGTTCTGATCGGCCATCCGACAGTCCTGATGCCGATCCAGGCCCATGGTGCAGTGGGGGGCTTCCAGACAATTTTATTGAGTCCCCATAATGATCTGCCAAATGCTCGCGACCTGCCTGTGCCGAGGAAACCAGTTGTTGAGCAGCGTCCAGATCTTCGGCCGAAGGTTGGCGCATGGGGACACTAGTGTTCCGCGAGAGAGAGTGCACCGATTCCATTGGAATGGATGCTAGCATAACCACTAATTTTCGCCCAGAAACGTGATCCACTGACTCCAAGGAATGGGGGATAGTCTGAAGAGGCCCCCAATTCCGGAGCGCTAAGTTACCAGGATACGAAACGGCGAAAGCGAGGAAAGAAAATGGATCAAATGAATGAAAGGATTATGTCGCACCGCAGTCGGAAGCAGATTTCACCGTATCACCCAGATAGAACAAAGGGCAAATGTCGGTCAAGGTTCTCGGCGTTAAGCAAGCGGCACGGCAAAGGGAATGCAAGGCTTAGAGCGGCCGGTGAGAGATAGGGCGAAAAGATGGTGTTTGCGTTGAAGAGGGGCCGAGGCGACCAGGATCAATGGTTTTTCAAATTAACGAGGCACCCAAGAACCCGATATCATCAAAGAATGTGGCGACCCAGGAGTCTGGAACGGTCAGGTGATGGCGATTGCGACAGCTGACAGCGCAGAAGGCACGCTGAGCTGACTTGGCGTTCTGGGGTGGGAGAGTTGTTCGGAGGAGAGTGCAGGAGGCTAGACAAGTCTAGGATTGGACCGAATCCGCTAGGGTCCTGCAAGATGGTGATCACACGGCGCGAGGGGAACGGGAGGGCAGGAATGCGAAAGGGGAGGGTTGCAGAGAGGGAGAGAAAGAAGAAGAATTGAAGGTGTGGATGAGAGTGGAGGTGAATAGCAGGAAAGAAGGGAAAGGAAGATCGAGAAGCCTGGGCTTATCGAGCAAAAAGGGAGTACGGGGAGTTTGGGTTATCGATCTACGAAGGGGGGATCGACGGAGACTATCATATCGGTCTAATCGCATCACGCTATCTCATCTAATCTCTGGGCCTTGATTACTGCCTCTTTTCGATCTTACATAGTCCACCTGTCACTTTTTTCATGATTTGCATATTGCTTTTTTGTCCCAGCAAATCTGCCGAAAATCTCTGATCGCCGATAAGCCTTCCAAAAATGTCACTCCCCAGATCGAAAGAGCAAAAGACTCCACCGATTCCTGATGAAGTTTAGGGGGGCAAAATACAGTGGGAATTCCCCTTCCCGAGTGAGGTGTGGGCGGGCCAATGCGTAGGCAAGCAGATTTATATGCGCTGTCATTGGTGGAGCCGACTTTCGGCTTCGTGTAAGCAGCAATCTCGTCGATTTCGTTGGCTCTCGGCAGTGGCGGGTTCCATCCGGTGTGAGGCCACGCTGTTCCGTTTTACTAATACTTAATTCAGCAAGCGAGTCGAGTCTGCAGGGCTAGAATGACGTTAATTCCTTCTGTTGGATCTGGTCCCCTGCGTAGATCAAGTCGCACGGCTCGTACTTTGTGACTTGCATGAGAAATGCGATCTTGATATACCAGAGAGATCGTTCTTGTGGCCTTGTGCACGAGGTCTAAGCTTATTTCCCCGGTGTGCTCAGACCTGACCATTAACTTGTGGTATTATAACCCTTCGAGAACCTCCGGAGGGTATAAAGCCCTAGAGATATAACCAAGGTGACGTATCGCAAACGGATTGACCCGACAAACCCTTTCCAAGTTGATCCACTAGCAAACGCCTTTACAAATAGTAATCCTGCTGCGATTTAATCTAAGACAGCTCCACTCGAGCCTATCCACTAGATATCTACTCATGCACGATAGAGTTTGACTGACTGTATACATATCAGGGCTCGTAACTGGTCAATTTGATGTCGCCAAGGTCTAGCCACATTCAACTATAGTACAGTATCTTCCCAAATGGAGTCGCATCCGGAGTCGGATCCACAGGTATCTCAATTAACAAAATTCAAAGCGCAAAAGAAAAGCAGAAAGAGAGAAAGCAACCCTCTACATACGCGACAAACCGATCCTCCCGAGTCCAACCGCTCCTCAACAAGGACCAAGGAAACACCTGTATCGTCATGGCAACGTTTATCCATCATATAACGCATTGAGAGAAATTCAACGCTTGACAACTATGCACTTTCCATGAATTCCAGAGAGCGTGACTACTCTCCATTATCCATGCCATCACTTCAGGGGGAGAAATGACTTTTCAATGCTTGTTGGGAGCGTCTTTAGACCTGCTCAGCACCCCAACCCTGGTCAGACTCGCGCATGTTCGAAGGGGGCTCGATGGAGGGAATGAACTCGAGGACGAGGTAGCCAACACCGATGAGACCGACGATGGAGCCGGCAATGTAACGCAGCACCAGGTCGTGCAGCAGGATGGAGCCGACGAAGATGTAGACTAAGAACAGAGTTTAGCTGAGAACTTGCAAGCCAGGGATCCGAATCATAACTTACAGATACCACGGCCGAGGAAGGAAAACAGGAAAGAGGCGTAACGGTAGGCATAGTCGGGGACGTTGGGCATAAACTCCAGACCGGCGACAACTAAATCAGAACATTAGCACCACTGACACTCGTGGGCATGGCAAGTGAGCGCAACATACCAACACCGAAGATAATCACATATGCGCCGATGATGATGGAGCTCATGGTTGCTGGGAAGAACTGGCTAATGCCACCCAGCACCATCATCACACCCACCGCGATGTTAACGAGACGACTAGAGGGTTATTAGTATAACCGCATCGATTCTATAGTCGAGCTCCCACTTGGGACCGAATGAGGGCCCCGCCAGCGGCTGGCTTCGAAAGGGCAAGCACATACAAGATGTTTGAGAAGTCCATTTTGATGACGTTTCAGATTGAGTATCCAGTGATCGTCAGGGTCTTGAGATCTAGGCGACCAGGTAAAGGTCGTTAACGGCAATGGAGGAAAAGGGTAAGATGGATCAAGTGGCTCGTGGGTTCACTAGTTATTCATTAGTGTCGGGCCAGTCGGAATGATTCGTCTTTGTTGTGTCGAAGTGGCACTGGCGGGTTTCCGGGGAGTGGAGAGGGTGGGAAGCCAAGATCATACCTGGAATGGGTCCAAGGGAACAACCGCACAGATAAACGGGGAGAAGAGATCGGATTCAAAGCCAAGACGGGTCTTGTAGTGGGAAGGAGATAGAACAGGGGACTGGGAGAAGCGTGGAGAGGCGCGAGCAGCTGTGCTGTCGCAAGCAGCGGGTCTTGCCAAGCCACCGTGGCTGATTCAGCGTGCATTGGGCAAGTCACGTGAGGGGCTGAAAATAGCGTGGTCGAGCCCTATCCTTTTGGCCTTGTATGGGCAAGATCTACACTGGAACCGAACTTAATCACTGCCATAGCTCCATTCACTAGGCTTTTATCAAGCAGGCATGATATCTGGCAGTCTGGATGACGTGGAAGAAAAAAGTGATGCCTAATGAAATCAGATGACAGTTCAATGCCTGACCCAGGCAGCAGTCGACAATTCCAACATGAAATGAGCCCTCAGAATTATTGACACTAGGTACTATATATGAATGAGTGGAGTATGGAAGACAAAGCTTGGTTGCAGTTCGTCTTTGATCCTAGATCTTTTTCTTCTCAAGGCGCACAGTCGATAGACCATTGGCAAGTAGACTCATCTGTTCGGGCTCCTTGCCCAGTGCCCCGTAGATAGCATTCAAGTCCCCACCGATACCAATCTCTTGAGCTGTCTGCAGGCTGCGTGAGTCGAGAAAAGGTGCAATTGATGGCCAAACACTCTGCACATTATTGAAAAACAATTCCACTCCCAAGTCTCCTATTCCCTTGAACTCCTTCATCAGGGTGCGAACCTCTTCCCGGTCTCCATGCGCAGCGTGCAGTAGATTATTAAGGTCTCCATCTAGTGAACCATACTTCAGCATACCATCATAGTAGGGCGCAAACGCTTTGCCAATTGACCGTGACATACCGTACTGATTTACCACAATGTCTGAGAGCGAACCCAGATAAGTGGCACATTGCTCTCGATACCGATTATAGCCTCCTTCTGCCAGTACTTTTGTGCGTTCCTCCCATGTGGTTGTAGCAAGTATGTCGATATGGTGATAGCCCTCGTCGAGCAGATGGTTAATGGTTTTTTGAGTCAGGTTATGTGAGATAGGTCGTGACTTGACAATAACGTCTAGCACCATTGCGAGTAATGTGTCGGGGCTCGCATCCAAGTGCGACTGGTTAGCAATGGTTGTCCCAGCTAACGGTAGCTGGCCGAACTCCGAGATCACGGATTGGATAGGTGATGAGATCTCATCCTCGTAGTCGTCCGAGGAGGCGCTATTAGTGGATGACACCATCTCAAAGGGCAATATTATTAGGTAGGAGTTTGATCAAGTGGAAATTTAGTTGAATTATGGACAAGAAAGATACTATAGGTGTCATCCATGAAATTTGACGTCACAGTTGCATAAGGGAACTTTATTGCCAATTAAGTTAGGACAATGTTTGAAGCTTAATAATCATGTTCCGGCGAAGAAGGAACAGTAATTATTGTGAATGGAGTTGTTCGGCTCATAAGCTATCACTATGACTATATCAGAGCTTGGAAAGCTTCTTGGTCTGCAAGACTTCCTTGACCAGAGACACTGCATCCTCTGCACAGCCGAATGAGGCTTGATAACCAAAACCACCATGACCATAATTATGAACAATCTTCACACCGTCAACCTGATCTTTCTCAACGCGAGGGCCACCATCACGAAGAGGCCGCAAACCAACACCATGACGAATAATACTAAGACCCTCGATGCCTTCTCCATCTTTGACAAGCTTGGGGCAAATTGCAATTGCCCGCTTCATGATTCGGTTCGCGAGGTTCGGATCGGGCAATGCATCCCAGTTGTGCTTCTGATAGGATCCGCCAAGGATTGTGCCGCCACCTAGTAAGATGTAAGTCGTTGTTCTCTGACTATGGGGTAGTTTTTTTTTGGAACTTACCTGCAGCACGAGTCATAATGTACAGTGCCTCATCCTCTCCATCGTCCGTGCCAGAGACAGAAACCATCTCACCGGGGTCATTTCGGACCACAACGATTTGACCTCTAGCTGGATACATCTTGTCATCGAGAACTCCTCCTAGAGTTTTGGACGCCAGGCCCGTGCAATTCACAACGACGTCAGCCTTCTGGCCAGAGTGGTGCGCATCGGCCGCCTCCGAGATATGCTTAACCACTGCTCTCTTGAAGACTGCGCCGGTTTTCACACACTGCCCAATGAGCCAAGGCAGATAAAATGCCGTATTAATGCAGACAGATGTGAATTTCTGAGCATTGTCAATACCTGGTGCTAACTGGCTCTCTGGAATAGCCTCAAACTGCAGAATGTATGGTCAGCACGTGGCTTTGGACAGAGACGGGCTGGGCCTGGCATACATCAGGAACGACGTCTTTATACCACGGGTTAGGTTGCACCAATTCTGAGAACCATTGACCAGTGGCAGACTCTTGATCCTTTTTGCGGTTGTAGATCAATGAATCTGGCTGTCGATTAGATCATTGTTCTGGTATGGAACCCTTCTTTTTATCATACCTCGGAAATGAATGCCCGCTTCGGGATATTTCTCACACAGAGCCTTCAGGGCAGGCCAAGTAGCCCGCTCCCAGGCATGATGGTTACTACCCTCCTTACCGACCCTGCATAGAATTTAAGAATAAACCCATTGATGAACCAGCGACCGAGAAACTTACGGCATATAGTTAGCCCCCGCCCACGGGGAAGCATATTCGATGTCATAGTCTCCGGGCATATGCTTTGCAATAACAGTAATTTTGTTTGCGGGGTCTTGAGACAACAGATAAGCAGTTGTCAAACCCGTGACACCGGCTCTGATTCATGTCAGTAAGTCAAGACATTTTGACGCCCTTGCCTCCACCGAGTGTAAGGGATCCGTTCCTACCCCAGAATCACAATATTGTTGGACATTTTGGAAATGACCTATCGAATTGTCCGACTTGAGGAAACAAGAGATGAAATGGCTAATCGAGGAACAAAGGTAATTCGAGTGAAGGTCAAGAGATGAATACTTTACTCCAAGGATCTGACTCAAATGGACTTATACGAGCGGGGTGAGTACAGGTGATAATCTCCGTTATCGACAATCGATTTGATAAGAGAAATGGAGCCACAGTCGGTGTAATTATTGGGGTATCGTTGGGGTCAAACCAGTTCGCGGTTTTCTATTTTGATGGGCGGCGGAAAGGGCGGTGTGCGAGCTTGATCAATGAAAATTATTAAAAACAAGAAACGCGCCTGAACTTTTTAATGTGGGGACGGCTGCAATACAGACCATAACAAAGTTCAATACGACTCCGCACCCTCGAGCCTATGGTGCGGAGCTGTCAGGATTCAAAGGTTATGTTTATCTTCGCACAAAGCAAAGAAACAAAGAATAGCTTAGCTTCTTGTAGCTCTAAAGTGTATTTTTCGCTGCAAAGAAGGTTTTTCATAGTTTTTAGCAAGCGGCTAGACGCAAAAAAGCCATTCTCCGTAAAGACCCGTTCTCCATCCCTCGGGGCTCCACCGCGTCCCTAGAAGTGAATGAATCACAATTCACATTTGATCCTTCGCATTGATCATCTTCAACTTACTTCTCAATCACTCCTACATATAAGATAGAGGATACAAAGTGAACATTGTATGATGAAATTCAAAGCCATTGAACTCTCGCATGGGGCAAAAAGTAAGAGAGTCATGGTCTCGAGATCACCGATGTCATAGTAGGCAACGTCTCACGTGTGGCCCAATCATGGGGAACAAAGGTATTCACCGCCCCCAACTCGGCACTCAACTCTGGGCCAAGTTAGAATTCCTTTTTCTAAATCCATCGCACCCGCAGGGCTCATTCACTCTGCGGGTTAACTTTGATTTTTTTTTTTCTCTTTTTACTCTGGTCTCAAATACTTTTGATCTTTTACTCTTAACCTTCATGGAGTAAATACTTCAATATCAAACATTACAATTAATGCCGGCCTCGACCCGAGCAGGGCTCCTTTCAAAATGTCCCTACTCACACACGGTGGCAGAATTGTGCCCATACTTACGGGTCACCAACAACAACACTCCGATTCTACCCCAGAATCGTCCGTACTAGACACCACTTCTCCTACATATCCCAATCCTTCCTCCTCGCTGCTGGATCAGCCTGAAGATGCCCCCATCATGCGTCAACCACAGGCCATAGACCTCGCGAGCTTAGAGATGCCCTGTCTAAGGGAGCGCGGTCTATTCGCCTTGCCCACACAAGGAGATGGTAAGACACACCATAATTATGATTTAGAAGCTCTTCCGCATGAGGTCCAAGCTTCAAGGCTCAAGCAATGTTGTTTCTGACGCGTCGAATGTAGGGAATTGCCTCTACTATTCCCTCTCCGACCAATTGAAGGGCACATTTGACCACGCAGACGAAATTCGCCATATTCTTGCATCCCATATTGCCAACAATAAGAAATATTTTATGCAGTTTGTTGTTGCCCAGGGTGGCGAGCGCCGCCGCCCCAAACGAGCCACCGCCTCCGCATATGCTACGCGTTCAGCCGATGTATCAGCTCCATCTGAAGAGGATAAAGAACGGCGGTTCGAAGAAATGGTCGCTTTGACTCGTAAAAATGGGGAGTGGGGAAGCTCGGAGCATCTGCAAGCATTCTGCCAGGCATTCAAGGTGGACATTAATGTGTACACCATGGATGGCGTCCAAACATTCCGGGATGTCCATGCCATGCCTGAGGATCATCGGGACGTCATCCATGTAGCCTTTCACGTGAGTAAACATATTGAGTAGACCTTAGCGAGCCTTCATTGACCGACAGCAGGATTTTAAGCACTATTCGTCGGTGCGAACGGTGGGTGGCGACTACACAGGGCTTCTGGCTAAGTCGGTGTGCCTTGGGCCCCTGGCCATGTCCTTAAAAGATGGAGGCTCAAAAGACGAAGCTCTATTATGTTCCCTCGATGTCAAGGACGTTGCTGTCGATACCGAGCACATCATCATTGATAAAAACAACTCTCGCCCTACTGAAAATTTCTCTTCATCCCCCTCATCCACTTCCATCTCCACCAATGACACACAATCTACCAACACATCCGTACACTCCAAAGACTCTGGCTTGGCCGTCGATGTTTCCCCTCCATGGGACATTCAGAGCATTCAAGATGCTTTCGGAGGCCGATATGACCAAGACACTATCAGGGACATGCTTCAGAAATGCCGCGGTGACATCGATCGGGCATTTTCAGCACTCCTTGGTGAAACGAATGAAAGCGAGAAAAAGGTCGTCCCGGGTCCCAGCTTCAAGTCGAGCCTGCAGGTATCACGCTCCTCATCGCCATTCAGCACGGGCAGCAAGCGTTCCGCTGACGACAGCGACGACTCGGAGGACCCACGACCAGCTGTTCGGCGAGGTCGTCCTAGGAAGCGACTCGTTTCTAACCTCACGCTGGGCGTGGGTATCTCATTCCGAGACGACCAGAACGAGGTCGTCTCACTTAACTTGCGGGTTAGTTCATTCCAAAATGAGACGGCTGAAACTCAACGAATACTTACGGTTCCACTTGACAGATGAAAGCAGACGCTGAGAAAGCCGCAGAAGCAGAAAAGACCCAGATGGAGGTCCTTAGTGAGGCGGACTCTGAGCAATCAGAGACGACCCGCAAAGGGCCCCGTCGCAGCGGTCGCCTTTCAAAGCATCGGCCAGTTTAGCTGGCTCAATATTGTTTTTCCATTCACAGCCGGTCTCATTGTCTTTTCTTGTACGGACTCTTAGATTCCTATCTTTCGTCTGCATCGATCCATTTGCATTGTGATGGCGTTAGCGTGAAGCATCTGGTGTGGGATTTTTTGTCATCCATGCATTGCCACATGGATCAGCTAGCCAGGTTGGCAGAGGCGTTTTGATTATTTGCATGAAAGGAGGGCCTGGAGCCCTCCAATGGATCACGAAATGCATTTTGAGCGTGGCATAAGGGAGCTTTAAAGCTAAGACATTTTGCTGTCATACCAAAGTAGCTATTCCTTTACTGCAATGTGATATCCACGAAGCTCGATTGCTTTGGTCTTTGCTATTATCTTCCAGCCTTGTCCAAATCTCGCGTAAAATTAAAAGGCCGAATTGATGCACGAACCCGTAGACCCTTTATGACGTGCATACGGGGTTACACTAGACTGGATCTTGTATCTCAGGCTGCCATATCCATCACGTGGTCACCCCGCCTGATGGTTATCCTGCTCCTTGTCGGCCTTCCAATGATTCGCATGTCCAGAATGACGATGCCTTCTAGAAGACGTGATGCTGTCAAGGCGTTTGTCGGTCTTGACTTCTCCGATACAGAATCATCATCAGTCGAGAACATCACACCTAAACCTTTTCGCGGAGATCCTCAAGCTACTGTTCGTTCACCGACAACTAACGAAACCAAATCAAGGCCCTCACTTTTAACTGTGCCGGTCGAAATTCGACTGCAAATATATGATCTTCTTCTTGTTAGCCGATCAACTCGCGAGGACAACCCCTCGTGGCCGGTGGGTGACACATGTCAAGTCATGATTATGCTTTCAATGAAGAAAGATCCACAACAGCGAACAATAAATCCGGCGATAATACGAATATGTGGGCAGATTCGCCGGGAAGCGAATCCAATTCTCTACACAGGGAATGTGTTCAATTTCAGACAGCCCGACCAGATGTTTCGATTTATGACACAGATTGGTCCTACCAATATCAAATTTGTGAGGTCGTTAGACATGTGGATACCATGGAAGGCTGAGATCTTGCCATGGTTAACATTGCTCAATGCCCTGTCCCAGGAAGCCGCCGCCCTCAAATACGTTAGAGTTGCATGGAACTCAAGGTACGAATCTCCCCGAATGCTCCAGAAAGGGGCTAAAGAGAGAGGGTTGGGGGACAATGTTCTCTTCATACGTGCTTTAGCGACATTCCAGGGGCTTGAGAAGATACACATTAGAGGACATTATGCGAAGCATTGGCCATCATACCTGACGGCGAAAACTAGTGCGCAAGTGCAAGCTGAGATTGGCCTCGGGCATTACGAACCGGAGCCTGATGATGATCCTCAGACCATTCAATGGATACAGACTTTGAATGAGAGCAACTTACATAAATTCAGGGAATACCAGAGGGGCACAGAAGATCTTATTCCATAGAGGACGTTCTTGGGTCATTAAATAATAAAAGAGAGTGAAGTGAAGAAGCTGATCTCGAACGCGTCTATGAATTGTTTGACCATTAAAAACAGTCCCGAGGTCCTTTCGTAATATTTTAACTGCTACACGTCCCAAAAGGATCTTTCCATTTTTACCGGGTCTTTCGTGGCTTCACAAGTTGATTATTCCTGTACTTCCCACCGAAGCGATCTTTTGATAGCTTCAATCGTCAGCCTAAGTTGGCAAGTTGTTTATCTTCCACATGCCTGACAAGCATTGCCCAATCTCCAACACTGCTTGCCGATGCACTTTTCCATCTCTAATCCTCCAGTAGGAATCGCAGGAATGCTGCCCCGATCGCAATCCCGTCATGCTCCTTGCCCGCCCTGCTTAAGGCTTCCTGTGCCTGATCTTCATCGAAAGTACCTTTCCGGGCATGGTGGCTAATTATTTCTACCAAAGCATCTTTGTTGTATTCTGGGTGACCTTGGACAGTCAGAAGGCGACGCGGAGCATACAACACCTGAACCTCGCAATGTGGGGAAGAACCCAATACCGTAATACCAGGTGGGCAGTTGAAAACAGCATCCTTGTGTGATTCCTGGACTCGCTAGTTATTGGAGGAGGGAAAGTCAGCCCATATGTAATCGTGTGATCTTGCTTATTGTAGACCAGCAACAACAGCCCTGAAGCACATACAATCTTCTCCAATCGAAACACTTCCTTGCCCTTATCTGTCAAATCTATATCGCAGACAGCTATCTCCCAGCCTTTATCATGTCGTCCGACCTTGGCTCCTAGCGCCCGACCAACAATCTGGTGTCCGAAGCAAGCTGCAACAATACGAACTCGATCTTGTGCTAAGACTTTGTGCAGGAATCCCAGTAGTTGATTGATCCATGGCTCATCATCATAGGGACTGAACTCTGTTTCATTTCATATTGTACATCAGTATGTTCGGTGTATCGTTACAGTGGGGGGTATACGTACTCGACCCGGTGAGAAGAACGGCATCAATATCCTCCAACTTCGGATATTCCTGGCTGCGATATACATCCCATCCGGAGATATCCAATGCATTCTCCGGTAACAATTGGTCAGGATGGTTCAATATTTCTAAACTGCTGTGTAGTAGTTCTTTGAAGATCTCTCTATACCCGTTGTATTGGCTATGGGTATTCCGGAGCGGGGTATCGCATTCCAGAATAGCAATCCGAAGAGGCATTTGCATTTTATGATGTGTCTGAAATGAAATTGGAGGCTGAAAATAGTGTGACAGATGCTAATTTGCTCAATAAATCAAGGGAATTGAGAAAGAGGAGAAAAAGCACGATCCGCGTGTTGCTCAATGCGGCTGCCGATCCAATCTAAACGTTCCGGATCCAATCACCTTTTGACTTTGCCATTGAGATTTCTTTGCACTACCGGTCCGTTATAATCGCTGTATTATATCAGAAGAAAATTCTTTCAGATTCTATTCACACTGATCTAAGAATATAGTTCTTAGATTGGTGCTTTGTAATCTCAGCTCAGTCCTCTCGACCCCGCGATCTGTTTTTCCCGACTTTGGATGCTCGGCAAGTGTTACCGCCTCTGTCCGAGCATCGCCTTCACCTGTTCTTCATATCTGCACTCTGGGGAAATCCCTCCTCGACACTCGCGCCATTTGATTATAAATCATGAGCGACCAGACAGGGCCGTCTGAGGCCACTTCACTTTTGCGAGAGAATTCTAGCGATCAACACACACAATATCACAGCGTTACCCGCCATACACACGATGTGGAAAGCAGCTCATCCACCACAGAAATCGATGATGAGGCTCTGTTCCCTGTCTTGTCACGAGTTCAATCAACTTCTCAGGTCCTAGACATTGAACCAAACCCAGACAGGCTCCCGTCTATCCGCTCGGGTAAGAGAAGCAATGCCTCCGCTGGCGACGATAGCATTGAGGATGAGGATGACAGCTATGCTGCGCGATTCATCGATGTCTCCCCCACCCGGTTCTGGCTGATTTTCAGTGGTATCATGCTCGGATACGTAATTGGCTTTTTTGATTCAACCTTGATGGCTTCGAGTCATCCTGTTATCACGTCCTATTTTCATGCCGCAAATGCGGCTTCGTGGTTGTCGACCGCCTTTCTGCTTACTTCGACGGCATTCATGCCCCTCTTTGGTCGCGTTTCGGATACATTAGGCCGTAAGCCAGTCTACCTTTTCTCCATCGCCGTATTCTTCTTCACTACAGCATGGTGTGGCCTCGCTCAATCCATTGGCAGCTTCATCGCTGCTCGAGCCCTTTGTGGTCTCGGCGCTGGTGGTGTATTCTCCATGGGCCAGATTATCTCTAGTGACCTTGTCCGCATCGAGTACCGTGGTACCTACCAATCGTACATCAACCTGTGCCTGGGTATTGGTAGTTGTCTAGGACTCGCCTTTGGTGGGTTTCTCTGTGATAAGATTGGCTGGCGAAATGCATTCCTTATCCAATTGCCTTGCATCTTTGTCTATTTCGTCTCTTCCGCTTTTATGGTGCCGGCGGATCTTGGGTTGAAGCGCACAGGATCGGACCGCAAGACGCTACTACAGGTACTTCGCAGCATAGATCTGACGGGTTCTTTATTCCTGGTTTTGTCGGTCACTGCTTTGATCATGGGATTGAATCTGGGAGGAAATGTCTTCCCTTGGAAACACCCGGTAGTCATCGGTTCGTTGCTGGCATCTGTTATCCTGGCTATCATTCTAGTGCGATATGAACGAAACGTACCACTTCCTGTCTTGCCGACAGAATTGCTATCCAAGAATCCTCGCGCAAATATCATTATTGGCAACTTCTTCGGGGCAATGTCTGTCAATACTATGATGTTCAACGCACCGTTGTATTTCCAGGCCGTCAAGCTGGCTAGCCCAACGGATTCTGGATTTCGACTCGTGGCTGCATCTATCGCTGTGACTCTTTCCAGTGTTGGTACCGGATTTTTCATTACCTGGTCGCGGCGAATGAAACCGACTATCATCATCGGCGGTTTTTGTATGCTTTTAGGCGGATGTCTAGCTGGCTTGATGAACGTCAACACACCCCAGGCACTTGCCATGATTTGTGTATCTTTCAGTAGCCTGGGTCAGGGATTCTCGTTCCCGAGCCTTATGGTCTCTATTCTCGCTACCAGCGACCATGCCGACCAAGCAGTGGCTACTACGACTCTGGGACTGGCGCGTAACCTCGGCTCCGTTCTGGGTGTCTCTATTAGTAGCTGGATCTTCCAAAACGCCTTGCTTCAATCCCTTCAACATAAGGTCACTGGAGTTAATAAAAGTGATATCATTGGACTTGTCCGCAAGTCTATTAGCAGTATTGGCGACTTGGACCCGGTGCATCGAGAGCAAGGTAAAATCTATTTCTTACCCACTGCCTAGCCTCACTGCTAATACATCTATAGTGATCTGGTCATACGCTATTGCCCTTCGGTTCACCTTTTTTTCTGCGGCAATCTGGGGTGCCATCATGCTGTTTCTACACCTCCGGCTCCGATTGCCCCGGTTGGGACGCAAAGCGTGAAATTGTGATTGAACTATATTCTCGGGATTCATGACCAGTTTAATGTAGTGTTAATCTAGTGTCTTAAAAATAGAATGCTATGCAATACATCTTTGATTTAAATCAAAAATCTAGAAAAATTAGTGGGTTCGGTCTGGAACGGGCTCCACTTATTTTTGCTTGTGGACTCCGCGTTCACTCCGCACCGATTTTCAATCTTTGACAACCACTGCTTGAGCCTCGTGACGACGAGATTGGAGGCTGCTTCGTCTAGGCAACCAACCGAGAGGTTTGTTTCACACATCACTTATCTTACATTCCAGGCTGACGTCACTCCTGTCAACAGAGATCTCCGAACTTTTAAATACCCCTCCAGCTCTTGCCCGGCCCGACGATAGCCTTGGAAACGTTAAAGCGATACGGATCAAGAAGATCTGGTCAGCTGCTCCGCTGCCGTCATCGTTTCGTTTGATAATACATTTATGCGCTGGCAGTGAACATGGCCATTCGAGTGACAACGGCACGGAGATTTGGTTTACTAGGAAATATTTTGTCGTCGCGGCAGTTAGCAGCGTCAGTGCGTGCTGGAGACTGAGGCAAAGCCAGGCATTTGTACTGGACCAGGTCATAGAGTCTTCGCCAACAAAATGAACCTCACGACTCGCGCCCAAGCAAAGTCGCAATCAAAGTCGCAATCACCCAGAGAACCATCTCCCAAAGAAGACCCCAAGGCGAGGACGCCTAAAAGCCAGAAGGATAATTCGCCCCCCCCACCCAGCGCAAACCGCAAAAAGTCCTCCGAAAATGCAGATACTAAAGCGAAGAGGACACGCACAGGCTGCCTTACTTGTCGCGAGAGGCATCTAAAATGCGACGAGGCCTTGGGTCGATGCTTAAATTGCCGCAAATCGGACAGAATATGCCGGCGCGGCGTTCGGTTGAATTTCATTGACATTCAGACGGTTGAACCTCCACATGTCATCACACGTGCGCAAGGTGCAAAGCTAACTTTCCGTGATGACTCGCGTATCATCGCATCCGAGTATGTTGGAGGGTTTGAGAGATATCCCCCACCACAGCCAGACAGCCCCATTCAAGAGAGACGACAAATTCAGCAAGAGGCCTTGAATCTTATGGGGTCCGATCAGCTGGCTAGTCTTTTTCAATCGGTCGCTCATTCGTTTGATCCGTCGGGATTCGATATTTCACATTCTGCGACAACAGATTTCCTGTTCGGGGCGGATACCTGGCATGATGCTCATCTTGTGCCTGGTGATGAACTGCTTCCTCATGGCACTTCAAATTTCGCTCAAAAATTGGCGATGAAACATTATAGCGCTGCATCTTTAACAGATCCAGAGCAAGTCTTTCTCTTGCAATTGTTTGTGGAGGAGGTCGGCCCATGGATAGACTCGATGGATTCAATGAGACATGTAGGTTCTTCCGCTTTACCAATATTCATTTCTGAACTGGATTAACAAAGTTTCTCAGTTCACACAAATTCTACCATTGCATGCCATTGACGAGCCCCTGTTGCTTAAGGCGCTTGTGGCTTGTGGCGCTCGGCAGGCTTTTCTTATTGACCCCTCTTACGGAGCGGAAAAGGTACTCCATTACTACGAAGCGGCCAATCAGGATCTTTTGCATGCGATTCAGGATCCGAATCGTGACTCGGTTTTATGTGCGACGGCTGCGCTACTTCTTGGGATTTATGAAATGATGTCTGCACAACCTCTCACAAAACATACGGCCGGATCGAGAGCCTTGATACGCGAATGTAGGTGGACAGCGAAGACACCCAGCCTAGGCGGATCCTGTTTCTGGGTTAGTATCAGCATGGAGGTTCTTCATTGTCTAAACTATATGTGCCCCCTGTCTTGGAACCCTGATACATGGGGAGTCGATATGCATATGGAACAGGTGCAGCCGTTTTGGAAGAGCGATGATCAATGGCTCCATCGCATCATCTATATATGTGCAAAAATCGCAAACTTTCGAGTATCTGCACAGCATTTACAATCATTGAACAATTCCTCCCAAAACACTCAGTTCAATGATGCAGTGCAGGAATGGAATCATTATAATGCTTGGTGTGAGCAGTGGGCCAATTCCATCCCACGATCCATGAAGCCTCTCAGCAATTTACAGCCATGGCAGACCGAATCTAAGTCGACATTTCCGAAGATTTTGTACGTTTCTGTCCAATCTAAGACTTTGATATTTGACTGACTAGAGGAACAGGCTCCTCAAGCGACCGGCTATCGTCTCTCAACTATTCTATCACGCGGCTTGCATAGTCTTAGCCAGGGCTCACCCCATGGCGTCCTCACTCCATATGGAAATGAAGAAAATGCAGCAAGCTCACGCATACGACTTATGCGGCCTTGCTGCAAACCTGAAACCCGGAGATATGCCTTACGTATCAATTCAATGCCTAAGCATTGCTGCAGAATCGCTGGAAGCTCGAGACTCCCAGGAAGAGGTCTTGAATCTACTGGAAGCGATCACCAAAGATACCCACTGGCATTCAGAATCAATAATAGAAAGATTGAAACGCCATTGGGGCTGGTCGCACCCGCAGACTGTAGACCCTGCACACATGCATAACAGCTTCTATGATCTGGACCCTGCATTATCGATTCACAGCAGCTCTGATTTCCCTAGGAACACCAATCCACTTTTGGATTCAAGTGATTTCTCAATGGAAAATCATCCTTATCAGGGGTATTATGTTGCTCCACATCATCATATTGTGGACCAATACAATTACGGCTCCTATCTTGTTTGATTTGTCGATATACCTCTGGGAGTTTCACCCTGGTGGCTTTTTGTTTTGCTATATACCCTGTATACTCATATCCTAATGCAGATACGAATGAAACAATTTCCATGTAAACACCAGCCATTTACAGCCCTTCTGTTCGTATTTTTATCAGTGACTTGGTGCGATATTCCTCGAAGCGGGCCTGCGGCTCCCGCAACATGTTATACTACTGGTTGTTACTTACGTACAATGAGCCAATCGAAAATGAGAAAGATACACTATGGCATTCAATTGCAATGATTTTTTTATCACAACCACAGTCCCCTCATCAACTACGTGACCAGTAGCTGTAGTTCACAATTTATCATCTCAATCTAAAATGTCGATAATTTTTGAGAAATACTAACCAGTGAATGACAGTGACTCATCCAACAAGCATCTGAGACCCGAAGTAAGAACTTGGCCCCACCATCCATCCTTCCATATTCCAAACCTTCTTTCTATTCCATTCCAATCCTGTAAGTTCAATATGTATCCAGATTTATCTAGAAACAAGTGGAACAATCTACAATGAATGCAAGGGGCTACGATGCGGTGTGACTCACCCCGCAGTCCATATATGATCCTCTGTTCATAGCCTTGCACACCCTTCACTCAAGCTTCCCATCCAACAACCGCAAAAAGTCGAGCAATACGCTCGGGAACCCTACCTAAAACCATGTCAAATGAGAAAGTGATCACCGGCGGCTGTCTCTGTCGCCAAATTAGCTACGAGGCAAGTGGTGCGCCATTGATGAATGTGTTATGCTACTGCGAAAACTGTCGCAAGGTCACCGGGTCTATTTGTATGGCCAACAGCATGTACCCCAAGCCAGTAAGTCCGAACAAACCTGACAAATACTCAACTATGCGATATGGACTCAGGCTAACTATGTCATAGCAATTACGTATTCTTTCCGGGGAAGATATGATCAAAACGTACGATGATGACCAGACTGATTCTGGAAGTGTTCTGAATCGTTCTTTTTGCTCAAACTGTGGATCTTGTCTGTTTACTACAAGAACGGTTAATGGTGTTACTGGAGATTTTGTGGTACTGCCATCTGGAACGTTTGACTTGGGTGTTGGAAATGAGGAATGGGTTCCTCAGAGGGAGTTTTATTGCAAGAACCGGGCTTCTTGGTTGCCGCCTTTGGAGAATACTGTTCAGTTGAATACTATGTAGGAAGCTTGGGTGAGATATATGTCATCTTTGAGGCTGGTTTACCTTCAAGATTGAGTTCAAGTTCATCGGCGATTCTTTTCGAGTCAATTCAAGACCTGTCATCTTGTGATGTATGTCTATCTTTCGGCCTTGGTAGATCCCGGCTGTGTGACATGCCACTGTTCTCATGTTTTCACAAATGAAGGGTACTTATGGATACATTAATGGAGAAAATACGTATCACATAACGTAGATCTCAGCCAAATGCTTGTTAGAACGACTCCGCACGGCCCATGGTATTGTAAATAGAAACATACTAGCGCTTGTACACTATGGTCGCGATAGGTGGGTCCATGACATTACTGTACGTCCTCGTTATCAAGACGGTTCACTCGTAGGATCTTTCACTGACTTTCTCATACTTAGCCACATCGCACTTTTATCATAACACTACAAAAAAGCCCATCAGCTTTTGCCGCCATTTTCGAGTTGAGTGACGATCACTGCAGCGTTGCATACGTAGCTCTGGGGGCCGAAAAATGGAGTAGTGGGGTCCATCAATATCTGGCCATGAATGGACCAAACTTCCTACTAGCACGGAGCACCTGGCTGGGATTGCAGGGTTGTAGCCGCCATCTCTTTGTTTTCTGAGTCCACCTAAGCACGGGTTGTCCGAGGTTTCAGCAGATAAATAACGGGATGGCGACCTCCACTGGAACCAGCCCTAGATTTTCTGTTTCCCACTCTTTCTCAAACTATCTCATTCATCTTCCGTTTACCAACAATGAATACCGCAACTGTTCCTTTGGAAGCAGACTATGTCATTGTGGGTGGTGGCACTGCTGGCTTGGTCCTCGCCTACCGGCTGTCTGAGGATCCTACCAAGTCAATTGTGGTCTTGGAAGCTGGAAAGGACATGACAGCAGATCCTCGGGTGCAAATCCCCGCCATGTGGACAACGATGATGGGGTCTGAGGAAGATTGGCAGTTGAAATCCACTCCTCAGGTGAGTATATTAATGTCCGGTTAAACTTAGAAGAAACCTCTAACAGCAACAGAATCAATTGAACAACCGAGTCATTAAGGCAACCCAGGGAAAGATCCTAGGAGGCTCTTCCGCGATCAATGGCCAGGCCTTCATCGCACCCTCACGATTTGTCTACGACGCATGGGCAAAATTGGGCGCCGAGGGATGGTCATGGGAGAATGTTCACCCATACTATCAGAAATCTTACACTCTTCAACTTCCAGACTCTGCCACTCGCGAGCATCTGGACCTTGGTAGTTGGGTAGACGAGAAAAGCCAGGGATCATCTGGCCCACTCAAGGTTTCCTTCCCTGCCGTGCTTCAGGATCCCCTAGCTAAGGCATGGGCCGATACTTTCAAAGCACTCGGGCACTATGTTACAGCGGATCCTTTCTCGGGAAACTCGGTAGGTGGCTATAGCAATATGGCCGCAGTTGACTATGTCACCAAAACAAGAAGCTATGCTGCGTCGGCATATGGAATTCCCGCAAAAGAGCGCCCGGGCGTTCATATCATTACCGAGGCACTGGTTCAGAAAGTCCTCTTCGATGGAACAACGGCTACCGGGGTTCTAGTCGCCATAAACGGGCAAAGTCACACCGTCGGAGCCAAGAACGAGGTTATTATCTCGTCTGGCGCTCTTAATACCCCCAAGCTCCTTGAATTGTCTGGAATTGGCAACAAGGAGATCCTGGATCGATATAACATCCCCGTCATCGTTGACAATCCCAACGTTGGAGAGAACCTTCAGGATCACCTCATGTCTGGCATCAGCTTTGAGGCAGCTGACGGAATAGTAACAGGAGACCCTTTGATGCGTCAAGAACCGGAGGCGATACAGGAAGCTATGAGGCTATACACTGAGCACCAAGCCGGCCCCTTTACGATCGGTGGTGTTCAGTCAAGTGCTTTCATGCCTTGTCTAGACGAGAATGGCGCCAGAAATGAAAGCTACATCACAGAGCTTATGCATCGCTTCCTCTCGGGTCCTAAGGATCGGGATGAGGCTATCCGCGATATCTTTGCACAGCCTGACTCTCCTACCTGCTCTCAGTTTATGTTCCTTTGCCAGGCCAACCTTCACGAGACAGGGAAGAGTTTTGTTGGCCAGCAGCTCCACCCCGGTAATTTTGTCAGCCTGGGTGTTATTCAGGGCATACCTTTCTCTCGTGGTAGCAGCCATATCTCGTCAGCCAACTCAGAAGATAAGCCGAATATTGACCCCCGCTACTTCTCTCACCCCTTGGACTTGGAAATCATGGCACGCAATTTGTTGGACGTCGAGAAGCTCCACAAGGCAGAGCCTCTGTCGCAATTCCTCAAACCTAACGGGCGCCGAAATCATCCTGATGCGTTCCTGACCGATCTTGAATCTGCCAAGAAGTACCTACGCGATACTGCGTCGACATCGTACCACTTTTGCGGTACCGCAGCTATGCTACCGCGGGAAAAGGGCGGTGTCGTTGATGAGAAGCTGCGGGTGCATGGAACGACTAATTTACGGATCTGTGACTCAAGCATTATCCCGGTGATCACCGTTGGTAACACCATGACTGCGGTGTATGCCGTGGCAGAACGAGGCGCAGATATCATCAAGGCTGATGCTTAAGAGGCACCATCACATCCATAGATCTAATTCCTAAGACTGTGGGTCTCCAAATTCTCGACACCTGGGCAGTGTCCACCTGCAGGTTTGATGACGAGGGAAAGAATATCAAGCCTTGATAATGACACCTGTGATGAATATATATTTTCGAACATTGAGAGACCTCGTGAACCTCGTAAATGTATCGTCCATTAGGACTAGGCTGGAATGAACATACAGATGAAGAATCGTACTGGACAACCTTGGAGCGAGAATGATCGTAAAACAAATCGTTTGCTTCAAATGTTCGTGGCTGATTCGAGAAGGCCGAAAACCAAGTGGTTCTCCAAGGCGGTGCGGAACCTCTGATTCTATCCGCCGTCACATCAAACCCAGCGGAGTCAACATCCGCCATTATTAAAGAGACATGGCTACCCCATCTAAACAAATCCAAAATGGCCCGGCAACTCCAGTGTACATCCTTCGGGGCCATGGGGCGCCAATACACGCGCTGGATATCTTCTCACAAAACCTGCGGCTCGTCTCCGGAGACGCCAACGGGTGGATTGTCATCTGGGATCTGGTCAGCAAACGGCCCGTAACAGTATGGAAAGCACACGAGGGTGCAGTACTTGAAGTGAAAGGATTCAACTATGGTGCCAGCGGCACAGAAATTTACACGTAAGATCGCTTTCTGAACATCGATGCTTACATGCTAACCGGATAAACAGACATGGTCGCGACCATAAGCTATGCGTTTGGAAGATTCGAGCAGAGGACGAAGAATTCCTTGATAAGACGCTTCCAGTCGATGCAGCTGAGGGTTCTGCGAAAAAAGGAGCTCAACCATGGCTGCTACATTCTTTACCTGTTAATGCGCTGAATTTCTGTGCATTTTCCATGACGTCCATCCACACAGCGGATAACTCATCTTCAGAACATGTCCAGACCGGACAATCAGCTACACCAAGGAACATCCTCTTTGCAGTTCCTAATGCGCTTGATTCTGGTGGAGTCGATATCTTCCACCTCCCATCCGAGCTCCGTCTCAGCACCATCCCGTCAGATCCTGCTGTCAAAACAGGCATGGTGATGGCCGTCAATATTTTCGTTGCTTCATCGGGTGATATTTATGTCGCATCCGCCTATGAGGATGGCCATGTCATGGTTTATGTTCATAAAGGACCTCTCACCGCGAAAGATTTCGAGCGTGAGAATATTGTCTCGAACCCATGGAAATGGGAGAGACTCTACGCCGGTCGTCCGCATAGCCAACCCGTTCTTTCGATTGATGTCTCTCCCAAGCGCGACTGTTTTATCTCTTCTTCTGCTGATGCTTTGATCATTAAGCACCCTATTCCGGGACCGGGGACAATTGGGGATATCCCAATTATCAATTATAAAGAGGAGTCGCCAATGAAGACGATGAATACAAAGCATTCGGGTCAGCAGGGTTTAAGGATACGCAGTGATGGAAAGATCTTTGCGACTGCTGGCTGGGATAGCAGGGTGAGAGTTTACTCAGGCACCACGTTGAAGGAGCTTGCTGTTCTCAAGTGGCATAAAGAGGGTTGCTACTCGGTCGCATTTGGGGAAATTAATCTTGAATTACAACAAGCATCTCCAGTCAAGGCCGACGGCCATGAAATGCGAGACGAAACCGAGGGGAACCAAGAGCAGTTGGTGCAAGGAGCTGATCTGTCACTTGCAGCCGTTCAAAACCAAAGGAGCATGAAGATACAACAGACACACTGGTTGGCAGCTGGGTCCAAGGATGGAAAAATTTCATTATGGGATATCTACTGAGCGAAAATAATGCTAATGCTTTTGTACAATAAATAAGATCAAGCCAGGTTGAATTCGCTGGCACCGGCATGCTGTTCTCTCATCTTGGCCCTCATCTTCCGTGCTGCCTCATCCGTATTCGTAGAAGGCATATCGTCGGCCTTCCTCTTGCTGCCAGCGGCGTTATTCCGCGCCGCCTTGAAGTCCTTCTTCGTGTCTTCCTTTCCTTGACGCAGGCCAGGCACATTGATCTTACCAGGTCGATCACGCAGGGCAAAACTCTTAGCAAGATGTCCCAGGTGAAGTTCCTTGATGTCAAACATGCTCCGCTCAGCAGCAATATGGGTTGCGTAGGCACGGACGTGCGACTGGAATCCGCGACGCGCCATTTCCAGGTACTCAGGGTTATCAAGAGCCCAGCGCTCAACATCCATCTGCCAGTCGGTGGTCTTCTCCTCCCAGTTCTTGCTCGTTGATTCGGCGGTGGCACCGAAACCACGCTTCAAGATTTCATTGGCGTCGGTTCGGGTCAGAGCTTTGCCTCCGTCGCGGTAGCCACGCTTGAGAATCTCAACGTAATTCTCTTCACATCCGGGCTGGAGGAAGATGCAGGCACGGCCGTCGCGACCCAGACGGGCAGTACGACCGATACGGTGAGTGTGATCATCAGAGCTGAATGCGGGGTCATACTCGATGACCAGGTCAACGTTGGGAAGATCCAAACCACGAGAGGCAACATCGGTACAAACCATCACTGATGCTTCGCTGCTCTTAGAAAATGAGCCTAGGGTGGCGGTTCGAACATGCTGCGGCAGCGATCCGTGTAGTCGGTGAATGGTGACAGGATTTGTGGAGGTGGAGAAGGCCTCCGCAGGAGCGATGGTGCCGTGAGGAGAGAGCTTTTCGCGTTCTTTCTTTTCTTCTTCTGTATTTTCGTTGTCGTCTTCGTCATTATCTTTAGACTTCGAAGCTCTGACGCCGTACTTTCTGGAGAAAACTTCAAAGAGGAAATCAACTGAATCGGCACATGAAACGAAGACAATAGCCTTCATGACAGAACCCTTCCGAATGAATGTTCGCTTGAGGTAGGCAGTCAATGACACCAGACGTAGCTTCGCGGGCACGATGGCATAAGACTGCTTCAGTTGAGCTGGCACGCGGAAGCCTTCTTCTTCATCTTTGCCGCGAGAATTCTCATCTTCATCGGCCGGGTCTGCTTTAATATGGATGGCGTCCTTCAAACTGATCTCTCCCAGTCGCTGAACATTCATCTTCAATGTAGCCGAGCAAAGAACCGTAGTCCTCCGGGTCGGAACACCGGGTATGCCGCTAGTTCGTTGTCTTTCATCAAGCTTTTTGACGATACCCTGTAATTCCTCCTCGAAACCCAAGTCCATCAATCGATCACCCTCGTCCAAGACCAACCATCGGACATTACTGACATCCAGGACTCGTGTGTTGTCTAAATGATCTGCCAAACGTCCAGGGGTGGCGACCAAGATATTAAGGCCTTTCCTGAGACGAGCCTTCTCGGACTTCTTTTTCTCTCCACCAATGACAGTACCACAAACGAGCCAGTTCGCGCATCGGAGAAGATTCTCCAAAACGACAGAAATCTGCTTGCACAATTCGCGAGTTGGTGCAAGAATAATCGCGAATAGACCACTGTCTCGATGAACACCTTGTCTGTCTGGATGAACGCCCTGTTGCTGTGCTGCCTTTGAGAGGGCCATGATTCGTTCGACGAGAGGAAGCAAATAAGCAAGGGTCTTTCCAGAACCAGTCTCGGCTTGGATAAAGGCGTCGGTCTCTTCTTTCAAAAGTTGCTCAATTGAAGCCTTTTGAATCGCAGTCGGTGCCTTCAACTCTAGTTTGGTGAGCAAGTGCGCCGCCAAATTGGCGGACAGGCCCAAACTTGTAAAAGTATCGATACCATCCACCAGAGCGGCGTTGGACGGCTTCGCCTCTTCCACATCTTCCTCCGGTTTGGGCTCGTCGGCGGTCTTAGAGTCAGGATTGCTGGTGAATAACGATGAGGCAAATTGGCCGGGATGCCGACGCGGCTGTTGTTGAGAGTGTGATCGGTGATTAGGTCTGCCCCCCTCCGAAGAGTTGAAATCGCCAGTCCTTTGTCGTTTCACAGGTCTGTTGGCAGGGACCTGGATCTTATTGGGGTTCTTCGAGTCGGCATTTCGTTGACTTGCATTCCCATCGCCGGTCACCTGGTGCTGGGAGCGCTTCTTGGCTGAGAGACGGGCCCGCCATGTGCCTCCCTTGAACTTGGCCTCGGGTTTGATAACATTGTCGCTAAATGCGAAGTTCAAGAGCATACCATCGTCGGCCATGATTGAAAATCGTAATACCCGTTAATCGGGCTGCTTGTAGCGAGAAAAAACTCGACCGGGAAAGATAAGTTCCTATCGCAACTTTTTTCTGCCGCCAAGAAATGGAATATCGCGGACCGCCCTACGTTCTGCCCCACTTACCGCCTTGTAGCTCATAGAATCAAATGCTTTTGGTCATTATGCTGCTACCTCAGATGCATGTCTATTTATATACATAAATGCGATGTCCGTTTTCCTTCAAATTAGGCCTTGGGATGAAGGATCAAGTTGTCAATCAATCGCACTGGGACCTTGCCATCACCCAGTCCACAGTCCTCACCTGGCTTGGTCTCTTCCAAAGGCGCCATCTTCAAAGCTGCACTCAGGACACCTCCTTTAGCAGGCTCGACGAAATCAAGCTCTTCTAAACTGTCAGGGTCTGCCAGAGAGATATAGTCAACCTCAAATAGTGAACGTTCTGTTTTCGAAAGAGCTTGCTGTTCAGCGAGCACCGTATCCGTCACACTTCGTGCAGCTCCCAAGATATCTGCGCGAGAGGTCTTGCCCGCTAGGTAAGCTTCCTCGGCAGCCTTGAGTGCCCGATAAATGGTAAGTCCAACGGCACGTCTGCGTTCGCCGAGATAGACGTTACGAGAGCTCAGCGCTAGCCCAGTGGGCTCACGGGTCGTATTCACGATTCGCACCTCGGTTCCGATATGAAAATCCTGAACCATTCGCTTGATGACAACAGTCTGCTGCACGTCTTTCTGACCAAAGTATACTCGGTCCGGGGTGGTGGCATTGAAGAGCTTCATACAGACGGTCGCAACGCCTCGGAAGAATACTGGTCGAGAACCACCTTCTAATTTGGTCGACAAGGGGGTGATTGTAACGAATGAGCCATGTCCATCAATCTCCGAAGAAGGCGGAAGTGTAGGATACATGACTTTGGATGTAGGCGCAAAGATGGCAGTAATGCGGCCTGCCGTCGCCCCAGACTCAGTCTCTGCTTCAACTCGAGCGAGCTCCTCATTCAACGCTTCCAATTTCTCCACATCACTATCCCATGTGCGGGGGTAGCTGGAAAGGTCCTCATTGACTCCAAATTGAGTGGGGTTGACAAAAATACTGACAAAAATGTCGGTATTTTCGCGGGCTGCCTGGCGGATCAAGGAGATATGTCCTTCGTGAAGGGCACCCATAGTGGGAACAAAGCCCACCGTGCGGTCATTTTTCAATAATGTTCGGCGCAGTTGGCGGAGAGGAGGCACGTCACGGAAGACTTGGAAGGATGCGGGTTGGCGGAGCTTAGCGGCTGTGGTCGCATCGGCAAGAAGGGACGATGCCGCGGCTATGAGGAAAAAGAAAAAAAAGTGAGCACAGCTTTGTGGGGTACTGATATAGTTCGAGACATACAGGAAAAGGACCGCACCCGCTTCACCCAGCGAAACATAATGTAGACGTGAATGGCAACAAATAGCTTTAAAGTTTCATGGAGCTAACTTCGAATTCCCATGACCAATTGATCAGATCATGGGCTACACGTGACTTTACGCCTCGGCTGTGGGGAAGAAAGCCCCCGTGAAGTCATTCCGGGGTTGATCACCCCCGTTTTGTTGGGATTTATTTGGAGCTATGGCCCTGTCCCGCATTTTAGTCCCATTCTTTGCTCCATTTGAACCCTGAGCCTAACACATGCCCTTCAATGAATCAAATCCCCAACCCATGATCTAGACAACTTCCCCCGCTATCGCGTCCCTGACTCGTGTACATCGAATATGCCGCCTTCTAAACCGCCCGTCGATGAGCACTCCGCTCCTGACCTGGAGATCGTTGGAAGCCAGCTCACAATCCATCCTTCTGGCTTTACGGGAGGACCTGAACCTCAAGATGACCAAATCACCGAACGAAACCTCGTGCGCCACATGGCGCGCTTCCGCGAAAACCCCTTCGAGTTCCTTCGAGAAGTGAGCCTATACATGTCCGGAACAGGCTGGCGCGCGTATGACGAGCCCATTGGCCAGCCAGTGTTTTATTCGGGCTTCTCCGAACGAATGAAATCCTCCATTCTTTCGAGTGACATGCTGCAGGCGAAAATTCGGGAACTGGCGTCTATTCGAGTGACAGTAGAAGAGAAAGAGGGGCTGATCGCGATTGTAGAAGGCTATACGCTGGATGAAAAGCGAGCTCGTCGCCGGCATGATATTGAGACCAGTCTTCGAGAAGTGGTGGATAAGATGATGGACGATATGATTTGTAAGATGGAAAGCAAGACGTTTATTCGGGGCGCATACTATTTATGCACACAACTTCTTACGCGAGCCTACCACCAGGGCATTCACGTGTCCAGCGAGGAGGTCTTGCGATTGAGGTCGGTTGCTGAGACCGCTGCTAAGAAGAAGCAATCGATCGTGTTCTTGCCCTGTCACAAGTCTCATGTGGACTATGTCTCTTTGCAGCTCATTTGCTACCGGCTTGGAATAGGCCTTCCAGTTGTTGTTGCGGGCGACAACCTGAATATTCCGCTTTTAGGACCTTTCTTGCAACATGCCGGTGCAATGTGGATTCGACGCAGCTTTGGAAATGATCCACTGTACCATACCGTTGTACAGGCATACATCGACACACTCCTGAAAGACGGCTTTAACTTCGAATGTTTCATCGAAGGAGGTCGTTCTCGGACAGGAAAGCTGCTTTCTCCAAAGTTCGGAATTCTAAGTTTTATTGTCGACAGTGTGTTGTCCGGCCGGGTGGAAGACACGATCATTTGTCCGGTCAGCACGCAGTATGACAAGGTTATCGAGACTGAGTCCTACATCAGTGAACTTTTGGGACAACCCAAACAGAAGGAGAACCTAGCTGATCTTCTTTCGTCATCGTCCGTCCTATCCCTCAAGTTGGGACGAGTGGATGTTCGCTTCCACGAGCCGTGGAGTCTGCGTGAATTCTTAGGCCAACAAATTACGCGACTCAATATGTCAGATCTGGGCTCCAATCAGAAGCTGGCTCACGATGAGCGTGGGCGAATCCTCAGGACTCTGGGCTACCGCGTGCTGTCTGAAATCAACGACGTCTCCGTGATGATGCCAACTGCGCTTGTCGGAACTGTGCTGTTGACTCTTCGTGGCCGCGGAGTAGGCAAAGGGGAGCTGGTACGACGATTAGACTGGCTTAGTGAGCGTGTACGGGCAAAGGGTGGTCGGGTCGCTCATTTCTATCGCTCGCCAACCGAGATGGTCGTCGATCGAGCTCTTGATGTTCTGGGTCCCAAGCTGGTCGGTGAAACTCCTGGCCTGGCAGAGCCGACCTACCATGCTGTCGATCGCTTCCAACTGTCTTTTTACCGCAATATGCTCATCCATCTGTTTATTACTGAGGCTCTGGTCTCCGTTGCCATGTATACAAAGATCAAGCAAGGTGGCGGGCCCACCAATCAGCGGATCGGCTACGAGGCTTTGAGAAATCAGGTGTCATTCCTCTCCCAAGTATGTTTTTCAATATCCCACCTCATCCCAATAGCCCTCTAACACAAATCTCACAGCTCTTCCGTGGCGAATTCATTTTCCCACCCGAAGGTCTAGCAACAAATTTAGAAAATACGTTGAACTGTTTGGAGACCGATAATGTCATCCAAATTACTCGTGATAGCTCTGGAGTCCTAGAGTATGTTGAGCTGAGTGAAGCTGAGCGTTTGTGTGGTCGTGAGAACTATGATTTCTATTGCTTCCTGATTTGGCCCTTCATTGAGGCATCGTGGCTCGGTGCTGTATCTCTGCTTGGCCTCACACCACCCCTTGACGGCCCTCAAGAGATTTGGATCAATGTCAAGAAAGCACAGGATAGTGCACAACTCGTGAGTAAAAATATGTTTCCGGGTCCCTTCAGATGACTAACCAGTCCCAGCTTGGCAAAACGTTGTACCACCAAGGAGATCTCTCTTACTTCGAAGCTGTTAACAAGGAGACACTCAAAAATTCCTATCAGCGATTCGAGGAAGAAGGTATTATTCTCGTTGCTAAAGTCAAGGATTCAAAGGCTGGCCCAACCCTGAGACTTGCACCAGAGTGGACACCGGAGAGAGATCCTCACACAGGCCAAGTCCTGCCTCGCGGTCGGCTGTGGGACTTTACCGAACTTATTGCGCAGTCCCGTCGTGAAGGGTAAGTCTATGAATATCAGCCTGTCGAATGATTGCTAACTATCCTGTGTAGCAAAAACCGTCGTGATGGTGCCACGGTTTCGTCACGGGTCTTGACGATGTCTGATATTGTTGGGCGACAACTCTTCCAGAACGCAGCAGCGCCAGCACCTACCGATATATCCTCAAAGCAAATGCGTCGAAAGGCTATTGGGACGGACTCCAAGCTTTAGGCGCTGCTTCTCTTATTGAAATTCTCTTCCGTTGGCTTTGAAGAGCTTTGCTTCTACTAATACGCAGCTATGACGGATGCTGTTCATGATACGATACCCTTTCGTCAATTCATCCACCAGCTGCACACTCAACATACTGTACATAAACCATTACTTTCTGTTTGATACACATATGCGAATGAATTATTTGATACGCTCAAACGAACTTAGCTGAGAATTCCCTTGGAAGGAATTGAGGCATTGCTATCATTGTGAATGGGTTCGATTTCCAAGCCTCATTCACCAAATCATCTCATCCATTTGAAGGTCCATGACAATATCTATATTATACTATCTAGTGGATTAAGTAGATCCACACACGACGGTCTAACAGCCGTGGCCCACAGTCACGGACTCAGACCTTGTACCATCGCCAACACCGCCAACAGCCTCAACAATCAACGAGTCACCCTTACGAAGCGAGTCAACGACAATGACAGTTTCGAACCCATTGCGCACAGCGGAACTCTTGACTTCGGAGTCTGAATGGATCTTCCACGATTGCACATCTGTTGCACCATTCCAGCTCACATACACAGTAGACTTATCACCATTGCTGGACGGGCAAGCCACTACATCCGGCTTTGTAGAAGGCTGACCAACCCAGGGGTATCGGTAAGCACGGTATGTCTGCATGGTATTGTCATAGCCAAAGCGGGCACGCATCACAATGCTGCCATTTTCATCGAATTCCTCGATCTTCGGCGTAGCACCATGGTCCTGCAGGATGTGACCGTTACCGAGCGGCTGGTAGCTACCTTGCGACTGAGCATACACAGGCTCAGCAGCATCCCAAGTTCGGCGCTTGAGAGTGACTTGTTTCGAGCCTTGAAGTTCAAGCTCCAATACCATGCCCGTGGTCAATGATGAGCTTCCTGTGAACTCGGTGTTGTCGTTGTTGTGGAGGCCAATCGTCACGCGCTCGGCGCTCTGTGACTCGAAACGCGCATCGTGCTGGTAGCAGAAGCTGGTGTCTAGACTCAAGTTGAAGTCTCCACCGGTGCGGCCCTATCGATTATATGTGAGTAAATTGTGCAAAGTGGAAGGATGTAAACAACATACGTGAAGGTGCCATGTAATAGTACCATTGGGAGCCAGGAAAAAGAGACTGCACATATAGCGAGATGACACAAGGTAAGAGTCACCATACTTGGCAATTGAGTTGAGGTGAGGATATCCCCACGGGTCAGTTTGGTTAGCACCAGAGCCGGCACCAGTTGCGCCGAGCGGTGCGATATCGTTGCTCATAGGAAGCTCGTTGATATGCTCATATGCGCTCCAACGGAACAGAATTTCGTTGGTCTTGATATCAATCTCATAGACCAGGCCATCTTGAATCCAGCCGTCTTTGGGTCCACCGACGGAACTCAGATCAGCCTGCGTGACGTTGACGGCAGTCACCAAGATTGTTCCATCATCCGTGAGCTGGCTCTCATGAATATCAATGCAAGAGCTGAAAGACTCTGAGCCGTATGAGGTCACAAAATTCTCAGCCTTACAATCAACAGTCACCCGGTGAATCTCGTCATATGAGCTGTTCAAGATACTAATGTGTCCGAAGCCAAAGCCTTCAGCGACGAATCCTTCCCAGTAGACAATGACTGATTCACCATTCAGCTTCTGGGGTTGAAGGGCTGAGTAGTTGCCTTCTTGTCCCTGCCACACTAGCTGCCCGTCGTCGGAATAGATAGTAGGGTACCCGTTACCTCGCAATATATCATGTGGTGAGATAAAGAGGTATCCAGGCTCCGTCTGGCCCATCTTTGTGACATTGAGATATGGGGTCTCAATTGAGGAGCTTTTGTATGTCTGCAATGGCCATAATGTTTGCGCTGTGGTGACACCAAAAAAGCCCGCAAGAAGTGTCAGCGCTCGAGGAATGCGAGCCATCATAGCTCCGCCTTAATGGTAGAGTAAGTTGAGATCTAAAAGTTGCAATAGAAGGTTCTTGCCCAGCTGTCAATCTAGCTTACAATCACACGAACAGATGTGGGAATGGCTTAATTTATGTTCCATATTCCATACCTCTTGAATATCCACTCACTTCCAAGGTTGTGGACCCTCTTCTCCCCGCAATTTTACAACAAGATGCCCGGACCTTGGAAGGTCTGCTCGGCAAAGGATCCGCATCTCCTCCACGTCCCGATTGAAGAAGCTTGGGTATCTGGAAGCGAGGATCTTGAATGCGGAAAAGGTGCGGGCGCCGTCCCCGCACTGCGCTTTTTCAGTCCTAGTGTAGGCTGTTCATTTGTGCTAGCCTATTTTCTCTTTCACTCCCGTTATTACAGCATTGAATGCCGGGTACTACGGCTATTTGAGTTCATCAGCTTGCGGTATTTGTTTTCATGGGAAGCTACAGCGGATATCAGGTACTATAACTCTAGACCACAGTCATCATGCTGCCATGATTGATCAATTAGAGCCAATATTTACAGATGCCAAGAGATTTTCAGTATCCATCTAGGCGAGAAACTTAAACAGTCGGCATTAGGCAAGGATGTACAGTAGGAGACGACCATACTAAGCCGGTTTACCCCTGCTGTCGGATAAGCCGACGTCATCCGGTTACCACTTCAAAAACCCTCCCAGATCGAGTTTCTTTACGAGCTATTCCTCGTGGATTTCTACTAAGAAACAGGACCCATCGCGGAATGATACCTTATTCAAGGTCCCTCAAAGCTTCAAGGAAAGTCAATTTATAATGAACAATGACATCCTTCCATCGGACGTAAACAATATCCGGGGCTTCGCACCGCTGTGGGGCGAGAGGGACAGTGGGGATACGTAACCCCAGCTTCCCCACGGAGAAGAAGTCCGGGGTGAAATTAGACAGCTTGCCGACAATTGCGAGACCAGGCCTACCGGGTTCTCCAGAGGGTCTAAGAAAGCTCCAACATTTGCAAGGTGATGGCAGAAGTGCTCATCCCACACATAAGCGATTATTCGGGATTTCCATTTCGCTTGGCTTGAATCATTGAAGAGGCCCGTTCCACTATCCGAGCAAGTCCCGGCAATGACATCGGCAATCACTGCTTAGCGGTTAGGTTTCTCTGGGTGTGGGGTAGCATCTTCCTAAGGGCACATTTTGTTTTTAAAAATGTGCCTTAAATCTCCTCAACCTACGTACTGATCTACACGCATCCTTCAATCTTGAGCCATGGATGATCATCTGGCGCGGGAATTATGCTCTATGATTCTATGACAACTGTATCTTTCTCGCTTGCTAGATTGTTTTGTTTTCTCTCGCTGTTTGTTTATTGACGCATTAATTCACCCAAGGTAGCTGTTCCGTTTGAACCTAATATCCAGGTAGAGTATTCATAGATCCCGATATTTATGACGAAACATTACATATTTCAATTCATAGTATTCTTGTGTGGTCAATATAGGGTTAGATGACGAATTCGGCAGCTATATGACAAATTTCGGGATTGCTAAATGGCTCTGACTTTGAGCTTGAATACAATCATTGATTTCTCATCAATGTAAATTGCATAGACGAAAGTATCCTATGCTCATTCAACCTTGAAGCCAACACAATGAGTCTCAGGTGAGTGACCCGTGGCCCATTTTCAGTATGTTTGGGGGAGGACGACGGTGAAATGGAGGAGGAAAGCAGCTAGAGATGGAGGATATGGACCTGCTATCAACAGCGAAACAGTGTTTCACTTGTGGCTTCTTTGTAATCTTATCTGACGATTTTTTCCCCTACTCAATGCCAGCGAGGGATAACGGACATTTAAACAGCTTTATGCTACAGCGCTCTGAAGTCGGATGGTTGCTCAACCGTCTATTGTAAAATAAATCTGTCGAAATATGCTCTACAAAGTGTTCAACGGTAACTGCTTTCATTGTGAAAGCAACAGTAGTTGCTAAGTGCTTGATGACTCGGGTAGTATTCTACGACTCCACTTACTTCCATTGGTTGCAAATCTAAATTCCATGCTCTCTCAAGCGTAGAAACCTGTAGCGCTAATGATATTGCTGTATGGGGAAAATGCGCGGGATAGGATGATCCTGAACATCATGTTGATGTTTTATCAATCAGAACGACTGATCATGATTGATGGATCCCGGATATAAAGTATGATCTTGAGAGAGACGTGTGTTACTAACTGGGATGCGTGATCTTGCAGTTTTGACGCTTGGCGTGGTTGGTCGATTCCGAATATCAAGTGTGATCTTTGGGATATAAAGTGTGATCCTGGGACACCCTCACTCCCTCCCCCAGGTTATAAATACCCTCATCTTTCCATCTTCTCTTCCTCTTCCCTCTTCCTTCCTCCACCTCTCTTCTCCACCAAGTTTCATCTTCCACTTTGAACTTGCTTCTTCCACTTTGAACTTGTGTGTTCTCCCATCAATCCATCAAGCTCATCCTCCTTGACTCTCTTGTCGTCACACCACAGCAACAACGTCCTTGTTTACATTACTTCTTCTATCCTTGATCAATATGTTGTGCCTTTCATGCTTGATGGCCTCACTCCTTGTTGATTTCATCCATCAAAATCACAACAACATTTTGTTTACATTTACACTTCATGAGTTGATTCATCCTTAATCACTCCATCCACCAGCAACATGCTGTCTCTTCCATCCTCCAACATGATGTTCCTTGCATCCATCATTTATTTATGGCTCTATCCATACAGGTATGATCTCCAACACTAACATTTTTTGTTTTTATTTCCCCCCCATCCCTTCTTCATGCCACTCTTCCAAACTGTTCCCTGCACATTTAGTCACAACAGGTTTCACTTTACAGGTCCTTACTCCTCTTCAGACCTCAGCCGTTTCGCCCGAGTCCAACATATCTTCCGAATACAAATCAGTCAAACAACAAGTGGTGTGGAGGCACAAGCCACTGGTCAACAACAACGGGCATGCGGTGAAGAAGCACCGGCCAAAAGAAAAGAAAGAAATGGAGAAAGGAAAATGGCAAAACAAAACAGATTCTTCTGTTGATATTGCTTTCGTTGTTTATGTTACGTGATACTTTTATGTTCCCATTGATACTGCTCGATCTGTCACGGATGCTGAGAATGACTGATACTCTTGTGTTGTTATTGCTTTTTGATCGCCATGACATGCGTTACTTTCACAACACTTGCCTGCTACTGCGTGCAGCATTCATGGATATGAGAACACAATCTCATCCAACCTTCCAAAGCCCTCTTCATCCACGTCTCCTTTTCATTTACTTCGATCGCTTGAAACCTTGGCCTAACCACCTGCTCCATAAGTACTCTATCCCATTTGTAGCTAGATCGGAAAGCAGGAATACTGAAGAGTCCTACATTTAATACCGCTGCGAAATCTCAAGTCTCTGATGATTGTGATTTATGCCCTTTGCTGTAGCTTCGAGAACATATTAACGATTTGAATTATTTTGGGTGCTAGGGTTGCCGTGGGGTAATACCCACTGGGCAAAAGGCTCAAGGGGCCCCTGCAGTATTCGTGGTATAAGCACGGCCTATCAGCATGGGGTATCTACGTAATAAGATGGCTTTGTGGCGGGCTTTGATTGATGTGGATGAGTTATAGAATTCCAGCATGTGTAGCCGTGGAGACCTTGAGAATCGAGCTCTTGAAAAGGGCTACTAATCATTCTTTCTCGTCTAGAAGATATATTATTACCGTATCACATACTCTTTCTGTACACTACTATCCTGGCCATAGCCTTATGCAACGAGTGCATTGTAGCTGTGCAGCTTAGTAGACCTTGAAGCCACCAGGCATCAAAGTCTGGAACACACCGTTGGGGTCGTACTTCTGTGCGATCTTGATCAACTTCTGGTGGTTACCCTCACCGTATCCAGGGAACATGGACTGGAAGCCAGCTGAGTCACCCATGTAGTTGAACGCATCGTACAGGCCAGCCTTTTGAGTGGCATTGTTGATAGCGTAGGTGGTCTCCTCAACCCACGAGGCGACAATATCATCATAGGCCGATCCGATCCACTCGACGACCTCAGCGTAGCAGAGGTACACCTTGGAGGAATCCAAGCCCAGGGCGTTTCCGCCACGAGCCTCGGAGGCCTTCATCCAGTCGTAGCCGATGGGCTGCCAGTCCAGCTGAATGGTGGAGATGTTGGCAGTAGGGATCTGAGCGTACAGCTTGGGGAGCTGGCTGAAGAAGGTAGAGTTGATGATGCTGATACCCTGGTAGAGCTCAGAGTAGGTCGTTCCCTTAACGGTTCCGGCAACGAAGACATCGCTATCCTTCATTAGCTTTGTGCAATTTAATGAGGGGGTGAGTCTTACTTGATGCCATCGACGACCTCCTCACCAGTCTCGGCGGCGAATTCCGCAACGGTCTTGAAGGCCATGGTGCTGGCAATAGTAGGGATGTCGGTGAAGGGCTTGAAGATATCGGGGAAGGTGGCATTATCGCTGTCGTAGAACAGGATCACAGATGCCAGAGTCGAGTCTCCGGGAACCAGAGCGGGCACAATGTGGGACTTGGCATCATAGATGTCGGATGCGTATTTCGCGGTAGCCTGAAAAGATCAGTTAAGTTCTTGAATGGTCCGGAATTTGAATTAACTTACCGCAAGGAAGCGGTCGATATACTTAGCCTCGACAGTCCAAGTGCCAGCCCACACCTTGCGAGAAGGAATGGTCTCCATGTCAAAACGGGTGACCATACCGAAGTTGCTGCTACCTCCCTTCAGGGCCCAGAACAGGTCCGAGTTGTTCTTGGTGTTGGCCTGGACAATCGTGCCATCGGCCAGAACAACCTCGTAGTTGACAACGGTAGTGCAAGCAAAGCCAACCTGGTTACCGTAGAAGTTGACACCTCCGGCGAGAAGCAGACCGGGGACACCAACGGGACCGAGACGGCCACCTGCGGCAGTCAAATTGTACTTGCCGAGGTAGGCATACACATCCTTCCAGCTGTTTGGGGTCAGTAAGTTGTTCCGTTCACTTGTTTAGAGTGAATATGAAGACTTACCGGTAGGCAGGGCCGACCGACACGATCGACTTATCGTGGTTCAACTCCAAGGTAGTCAAGTTCGACATAACAACCAAGACACCACCATCGATATTGTTAGAGCCCTGCAGAATGTTAATTTCCCGATTCAACCTAAAGGGGTACTTTTGTTCTGCGGAAAGCTTACCCGGATACCCATGTGGCCGCCACCACGCAAAGCAAACTCCGCATTAGCGGCAACAAGCGCCTTCAGACCCGTAGCCAGCTCTTCGCTGGACTTGGGACGGAAGACACATCCTGGAGCCATGATCTCAGTGTTCGACCAGAAGTTCTGAGCCTCGTAGTCATAGACATTGGTCTTGGGAAGGAACACGGCATCACCCAGAGGCTTCTGCAGCGCCTTGCATCCAGCTCCGACAGACGGGGAGGTTTTAACGGCCAGAGAGTCGGCGGTGACAGCAGCCGCGGACGCAGAGCCCACTAGGGACAACAGGAAAGAGGCCACACGCATGATGCAGGTTTGAGAGTTGCAGACGGACAAGCAAAACAACAGACACCACGTGGGAGAAGGATCTATTTAAACTGACAGCCGAGCATTTTAGTCTGGGGTGTGCCCACCAACGGGCATTGCTGGAATAGGCATCCTCGCCTGCCGACAACGTTAGCTTAGTTCCTTCTGGCCCGCTTGGCTCCGGTTTTTGCAGAGTAACCGGGAACAATTAGGCCGGTGGGGCTTCATCCACTTAGCGCGATGGAGCGCGGAACAGAACCCATGGAAACGGGATTGACATCGTGCACGTTGAGATGATCTTTGTTGAATCTGAAAATGGAAGAGAAGAGTATAGATTTGCATGACTTGCATGACTTATATGACTTCCTTTTTCAAATGAAACGAGAGCAAGAGGCACGAAGTTACAGTTATGCTTTTGCTTGAATCGTGGTTGCTGTTAGCGCCACCCGCCAATGATTCAGTCAGGGGTGTTGTGTACCAAAGTCCGTCGGGTCTGCCGGATAGACCCACTAATACCATAGAACTCTATCGAAGTAACTGTTCAAGTCCATTTTGCCGATGTACTAATCATATGTTGGTATTAGTGTTGATCATGATGTCTACAATCAAATGTACATTTTGCGCCCATAGTAGGGACGCCTAATTAAGAGACTATCAAGCTTGAGGCTTCTATACAATCACCGCCCCGCAGTGGACGAATTCTCTATGTCAAATTCCACCGTCCGAATAATGCCATCCATCTCTTTTGGAGTGCCGGGGTTGTTCAAGGACAATATATGCTCTTCGCTATCATTATCGGCCGCGTTTCGAGATGCGGTGAGCGTAGTGGAGTATTGATGACCGTGGTTCGAAAAGTCGGGTTGTCCGCTTCGTGGCATTGAGTTCAAGGGGTGTGCTTGCTTTCGAGATTGCGATCCGTAGTATCCACCAGCAGAGGATAGACCGAGGAGACGGGGAAAGTATCGCCGGACGAAAGGTCGAATGGCTGTGACGGAGCCACCGAAGATTCCAAGGTTGAGCTCGATCGTGCACCACATCAGTGCATCGGTGGTAGTCCCTATATATTGCCAGTTAGTCTTTGTAGGAATCTACAATCGGTGTAAGTGCTTACATGTTAGATCAGTGCTCTCTAGAAGATTGTATAAGCTGGCAAGGCGAATGCAGCTAACAATTCCAACACTGTGCCGATGTTAGCACTAAACAAGGCTTCTCGAGTCAAGTTTGAACTTACAAACATCCCATTGCGAGTACCGCGGCAACGGCAATCTTTTGCCGTATTGGCATTTGCAATGGACGGATCCATGGTCTGCAAGAACATTATTAGCCCCCGCGTCAATCCAAAGAAAACACAAAACATACATCGGAACAGCGACCGTCGCGAAATCGGTGAAAATACCCAAACCGGCATTGGCAAAGTAAAACACAGGTCGGTTCATGCAGTATCCGCCTGTAATTGTAGAGTCCCATGATTTGGCGACTGGGTGACAGCTGAGCAGGTTGGCTAGTACACTAGCGATACTGTACCCAGCTGCGATGAATACAAATGTCCAGACGGCTATATGGAACTTTCGGCTAGGGAAGATCCGGAGGTAGAACACGAGAACGGAGCATTTGGTAAACCCAGTTGCTGCGCAGTAGACAATGGCGGCGATGAGGTTCAACTATTTGAGATTATACGTTAGTTAGCGAACTGGGGATTCTAAGAGCAAGTGGCTATGCCAACCTTGTTGAACTGTGGTGAGAATTCAGATAGAGGAACATCCCACATGTGCTTTCCAAGACCCCAATTGAGCACTGGTGAGGTTAGTCTGGTACTTTGTGCTCGCAATCAGCTTCACTTACTGTCCAATGTCACTCCAGTCATAACACATGATAGGATCTGTTAAGGCATATGTTAGGACCGAACCTGGAGGGACGCGGAAATTTGATCGCAGAACATACGAGAGCCGCAACCATCAAATCTAGAAGATATTGTTAGCGAGGCTCAAATAGTCGAGGATAAGTAGCAATACTCACAATCATCAGCGCGGAAACTCCGCACGACGAACAATCGCGTCCATGTTCGCACTCCAAGAGCAATGACAGCCAACGGCAGAAACACGCAGTTCACTACCAAAAACTTGGTACCAACATAGTCCGGGTTAATAAAATTGGACGTTTGACCTGCAGGCGGAGACCCAGCCGGGATAATTGTATCGTTGGCCATGGCCCTGGCTCAGTTACGGTTGTCCATCCACAACTGAGGGGCGAAAGCGGCGATAAAGAAGCTGATGGGGCTATAGAGGGTAGTAATGTCAAGAGTGGTCGAAAGTCAGCGGAGACACGGAAACCTATTTTATGGATCCCGCAATGTCAAGAGGCATCAAGGTTCCAGGGTTTTCTGGGAAACCAAGGTGTGAGCCGTGTTTGACCATTGAACTTTCAACACAAACAACATTCTCATTTCCCCAGTACATTATACACTTTGCTAATTTGTTGCCCGAGTGGAGACTAGTCAATCTCCGCTAGTATCGTCGACCGGAATGCACCATCGGTTCAGGAAAAGGTCCGTCCACGCTATCGATCCTTTGGGATTAGATTATACTCCTTATGGGGAATTTCTCTTCTTCAACCTCGGCAATGAGATAGAATGCGGTGTGATAATGGCAGGTCTTGGCGGAGAACGGCGGAAAAGGAGAGGACGACATCTCCTTGTAAGGCATTTGAAACCACACCTATGCAAGAAACAAGGGATGCGAATCTCTTCCCCGTGCTACAAAACTCACCACCTACTTATTGCCGATGCGCGTTGATCATTGCACTGAACAAGGCAGGGATAGGCGCGCCACAAACTGGAGCAATTTCTCTCGATCGATGCGAATCCGTGTTCTCCGCTTCGACTTCTACGGCCGAACCCTAATCTCCACAACAAATTGCGGATTCCCTCTCAAACGTAATTATTTCGCCTGGAGTTGAATTATTGATCCACGGCGATCGTCGCTACATTATGTCGGTGCGCCCCGATCAACATCTGATATCGATTTGACGACGATCGCATTTTATGCCATTGTTTGTACGAAGTATAAATGGTTCAGATTGATGTCGGAGCAGATTGTCGGAGCAGATTGACAAATAATTCCCACCGACAGCCATTTGGGCGGGTAAGGTCTCGACGATTTAAAAACGCCCCCAAGACTTGGCTGCACTTACACATTGGAATCAAGGTGCTTACCGTCTTCTATTCTGTGGCGCTTTTTCGGCAATCGCTCCTAAACATTTTCTTCTAGAATAAACACCCCCTGTCAAACATCATGCAGGGGTGAGGTCTATTGTTCGTATGGGTGGTGGCGTGGGTGTGGCGTCTATTGATTCATGGTTCAAACCCCGGTCCCGAGAACTCTATCATATGCCGGTTTATTGGAAGCACTTTGAAGATAGTAAACAAGACCTATGGTCATTCACACCCATAATGCTGACAATTACAATTGAAATTGGAGGTGTGTGGTGGTCTTAGACTAGTCTACGTCTACTCCCACATGGTATCCACGTGGCATCATATTCAACTGCGCGTGGACGGACGCCCCGAAAAGCAGTCTAACTTGAAGAAATCCGTTCAAGCAGACCAATTCCCAATTGATAAGTTACATTGCTCTTTATGGAAACGGCATTCAACCCAAAACAGGAATAAAAAATCGTCAGCCCCCCTCTGTATATTAAAACCCCCACTACCTTGAATGACTTCAACGCCGGACTGCTCTTAGTCGCATTCTAAGGCAGAATGTGGCTGTTTCTAGCCCCAATCGCTAGGCTGCAGGAATTGCACGCATCGCCTGTAGCCGACGCTTCCGGTTTTTGGATCACACCATTGAGCAAAAATAGAACGGCCATGGCAGTAAACACAAATTGCAATTGCCGGGAGGAAGGAAGTTTGTAAGGATTCACAGTAAGGGCGGAGGAAAAATGTCTCTCAATGGCCGTTGATGATTGCCACCATGGCTCAAATGATGATCATTGATCCTCAAAAATCCATGTTCGGGAATAAGACTTGGAAGTGTGTTGCTGGATTCTGACGGCGTGGTGTCAGGGTGATCAATTTAACGAGCATCACCCATCATTGGACGCTTTCTCATGAGGCCGGCTTCCAAGTTTTGTTTCAGAAGGATCTCGTTTTTCAGTCTTTGCCTGAAAAGCCGTTGCGAGACCGTTATTCAATTCCAGGAAACTTTATGCGCTATCCGACGATCAATGAAGTCCTTTGTTCCATTTAGGCATATCTCCGGGCTATCACCAGCCCTATGTATCTTTCTCAAACTGCAATGGCCGCTATTCTGAATTGTGCTACCAATCTCCCAAATGAAGATAGGGACTCAAGATGAATTCTCACCTGAAGTCCGAAGATCCCCAAAGTCAAACCCTCTGCCCCAGGTGTTTGTTGGAAACAACCATTGTCGCATCTCGTTACGCCTAACAATTGGGTCACACAACAATCGAAGCTACATTGTGAGGAAGATATATGGAAGATATTGCTTCTCGAATATGGAGATACAGCTCCACAATGCTACATTTTTAGACTTGACGACAAACCGCCTAAGTACCGATGGCAAGAAATGAAATGCCCAGAATGATACACACATAGCCCCGCACGTGAAAGCCAGGTATGATGTGGAAAGGTCGCAACAGCGTGACGAGAAACACATGAAACGGCGGAGGAAAGAAAAAAAGAGAATATGGGTATTATGTTCAAATGAATACAACCACATTATTGTGCTCACATTTGCATCCGCTCGTCCCCATCCATATCTTCGCTGGCGCCCAGTGCTCCGCCAGGTATCCGGCCCTCGTTCAGCTCCTTCTCCAGCCGTGTAATCTCCGCCATACTCTTTGCCTCGCGAATCATCTTCTCCACGCGCTTCCGTTCGGCGTCTGTGAGCTTTACCCGGATCGCCTTGTCGGTTGAGGCGTTGTTTGTCGCTGCGGCTATCGAGGCATCAAATGTCTTGGACTTGATGCCCTTGATCTTCGATGCAAGGGCAGACGGTTCCTCGAAAGTTCCGAATAGCTCCTTTGCCTTGGCGCGCTCGACATCCTTGACTTTCTGGTAGTCGAAGAAACGCAAAGAAGGGACCGTCCAGATAACCCAGTACCGGTAGTTCTGTAGCAATCTGTTAGACACGCGAGCAGTTCTGTGCAAATATTGAATCATACCTCTTTCCGTGTGACGGGGTTCTCAAGCAGAGTAAGATGTGTCAATTTTGTGAGGGATCGGAGCGAATCGAGATCCGCAAGCTCGGACAGATTATTTGAAGTCAGGACGAGGGCTGTCAGGTTGGGCACCGACGAGCCTAGAGAGGATTGGATGTGGCTGATTCTGTTGCGCGCCAGAAGTAGTGTGTGAAGACGAGGGAAGAAGGGGAAGTTTCCGAGCGAGGAGAGGTCATTGTCGGTGAAATCAATGGTGTCTTGGTCCTGCGGGTTGTCAGCACGCGACTTCTTCCCCAACTGGATAGATTGTAGCGGATGCATCTCTGCACTTGAGGAAGTGGCATCGAATAGATCGCAATAATAGACTCAACTCACTTTGGCAACACCCAGGTTCTCAATTGCGGGGATCTTGTGTCCTATACGACTCAACGCATAAAGACGATGTGAATGCAGCTCTTTCAAAGGTGTAGTATCTGTCCTTTTCAGGTACATGGGTTATAATGAAACGCACCTCTAAGATCCAGCTCACGGTCTGTAAGCGGATTGATGTAGGAAAGGGAATTCTGAATGAGCTCGACGGTCAAACGCATTGCGACGGTGGCTGCAGCTGAACTTGGGGATGGTGAGGCGGACGAGGAACGCAGGCGAGAAAGTCGATCGCGATGGTATTTGCCAGCTGATGTAGAAACAAAATAAACTAAGTTGTAAGTCAAGAGAAAGCTCAATGGATTGGAAGGCCTGTCGCAAGTTTCTCTAATCAAGACTAGCTTGAACCGCAGCCCTTTCTGCCAGGCGGTGTACAAATCACCACTATCACGTGATTCTGTACACTCAAAGGGCGGTTGAAGAGGCTAGATGAGGCCTATTGATTTACATGGGATCTAAATACGGGGAGTGTAGACTGTGATTCGATAAAGTTTGAGCAATGTATTATTCTATATCCATTAAAAAATTGCAGTAGAGTGCTAATGGTACACAGCCATTACATCCGAATCGCCCGGATCAGATCGAAGCACCGAAACAAGTGTACTCCTCCAGAGTACAGGTTTGAATATTGTACCAAGAATTGAAAGCATCAGCTGCTACACAGCAACACCTTGATGAATATCTCCCAGAGTATAGGGAGAGACAGAAAAAAAGCAGTGGACTCCGGTTAAAAAGATGCGATGCAGGAGGGAAAGCAAAATGTGTCGCAGTTCACAAGGCATAATTCAGTTGAGGGGGCATTGCATCAATAGCATTAATCATCGGCAAGGGGACTCAGGATGGGCGATTTCTGATGAAGAGATCGTGTGGGACTGCCAGCTCTAGAACGTCGCCCGTTTGTGGTAGGTCCCAGAGCGATAGGAGCCAGGTGATCCCGACTCTCAGTCCGCACCACCAAGCCGGCCCGATCCATCGCAATGCCTGATCCACCACTGATGCCCAGACCAATAGTACCCGATGAGCTGTTGTCAAGGGTATATTTCAAACTAGGAGTGTTACCACTGCTGCCCCAGCTGGAAGCCCGCTTTGGTGGACGAGGGTTCATCCCATCAACATCAGAAGCACGGCCTCCATCTAAGTCGCTAGCATCAGAGTCAACTCCACCCAGGTCAAACTCTTGCGCACCATCCTCCATGACACGCTCATAAGAAGGAGCATTGCGGTTGAGGAATGGCAACATGCCGATAAAGGGTCTTCGTTTCTTCGGGTGGTTGGGATGAGACGGACCCCCACGGCGAAGGAGATTATTGATGTGGTGATAGATCCGCAAACGACGGCTGCGACCGCAAAGGAAAAAGGCCGCCACAACGATGATGAATAGAAACAGGAGGAGCCCAGGAATACGGCGAGGAGAGTCTCCGTCAAACAATGAGTCATGCCAGTGCTCGCTGTGGAAACCCTCCGCATCTGGCACAAGCTGCACGCTGGGGTATTGGAAATCCTCGGGTATACCGGGAATATTGCTACCAAAACCAACAGGCAGTGCTGCTTCATTCTCCGTGGGTACCTGAGAAGAAGCATATAGGACCATCTTGCCAAGTGTCCAACTGACTTCGGTCGAGTCAATCTTGTTCACAGCCTGGAAAGCATCCAGATAGCCCTTCTCCTCGCCATGGGACAAGACTTCCTTAGTTCCGTTGTGAGAGGAACCTGAAGTATCTTCCAGACCAACCCTTGGGATCCCGATGCCATCGTGTAACATATTGATGATCCACGAAGCCTTGAAGCAAACTTCGTAGGCCTTTTCATGGTCTACTTTCTTGCCCCACTGCTGTGTCTCAATCCCTTGTTCAATGGAGTCCCAATCCTGAGAGCAGAAGATTTTAACCCGCTCTTGGTACGTGTTGAAGTCGTATGCCTTGTCCTTGTAACCCATCTCGAAGATCTCGTGGGTTGTATGCCAGTACTCGCTGATACCGATGAAATGATTCACGTCGAAATCAATGGCCGGGACGTGAACGCCGTGTAGGAGACACGGGGCATCTGAGCAAGGTGCATCCTTATCCAGCAAAGGGAAAGTTTGGCGTAGACATTCATCAAACCTACCAGTGCCAACCAAAGTGGGCCCCGTAAGACTTCCTAGCTGTAGTTCCTTGCCATCCAAGGTCGTGCGCAGACCATTGGGAAGGCAAGGATCCGGTAGTTCTTCAGTGCCTGAGCCCATCGCCGCCTGCAATGCTTCGACAAAACGGCGTCTAGCTTCATGAACGCCAAATTCCAGCCAGGATGTCACAAATACTCGATGCTCTTGCTCAGACCCATCGATATTCCGCAGTCGTAGCAAAGTCAAATCATTCGCATGTTTTTCAGTCTCGGTCGCGTTCGGAGCGAAGGCAATTTGGGCGGATGCGCCACCCATATCCAGAAAGCCATAGGTATGATGTCCCTTGCCGTGGTCATGGGCTTGGGGAGAGTCAAAAGTGCCCATTAAGTAGTTGGTCGCAATCCATCCGTATAGTCCCTCCGTTACACCGGGAATCACTTGAATATGAGCACCGCAGTCTGGTAGCAAGAAATCGGTGTTCGCACGTGCGTAGGAGCAGATCTGATCGAGAAGTAGTTGTCGTTCCAGGTTTCCCAGCAGACGCATTCCGGCCGTGGCGAGCAAAAAGATTGGTGTATCATTCGCATCCTCGTCAGGTATAACGCTCTTGGCGTGTTCTAGCAGTTCTGCAAGGTGATCTGGGCCGATGGCATCGGGTCGATTGGCGAAGGAAGAAACACCTTAAAAACGAGATCAGTCAGTCAATGAAAGTTCTTGTGCTAGGTTCCTCCTTCGAACTTACCGGGATGAATCTTCTTTACCCATTCCTCCTTGGTCTTGATTTCTGGGAGCGATTTTAAGTCGTCGGCATCAGCCTTATGGCGCGCAACGACATTGCGCAGCCAGCGATACACGTGGACACGGGTCCCCTGTGTTACAAGTTAGCGACATAGTCCATGAAGATTGATACAGTATTGCTCCTTCAAATTAGACATACAGACGAACCAGCGTCCAGGACAACACCATATCGCCCTGTGGGGTGGATAACATGTCAGTCAATCTGGGCTATTTTGGGAACGGACTAAACCGCAGGTACAGAGAACTTGCAAACTTACATTTGCCCATTTGACTAGTTAGCGGTATAGCATGACCAGGAAAACGAGAGGTAGACGGCTCCTAAGAGCAGAGTGAAGGGCAGAGTTGAACGAGTGACGGGAGTAACGGTTGTGAGAAGAGAAAGAGATAAGGAGTCTTTAAATCAGAGACGCGAGGCACGGCAGGTAATACCGGGCGTGACGGGGGGCGAGACCCGCTCTAAATTGCCAGTATTGTACTAAATATGGGGAATGAGGAAGGCTGTGATCCGCATCTGGGAAGGTACAGTAATATTACCATGCATGACGAACCCTGTAAAATACCACCTGCTGTTCGATTGCGATTGTACGATTTTCCCTTTTTGCCTTTTTTTCTTGCTTTTTTTCATGACACTTGACGTCGTCTCTAAGTCTCCACTCCAATGACAACGGGTTGATACTCCACTTTGTGTTTGTTTCCTCCCTATAGAAACTTCACGAAGGCAATCACATCTGCACAAATACACAACCAAGACAATCCTCCACGGAACACGGAACTCTGTTCCAAAGGATTCGTCACCCCGGAATGTTATCCCGTGGCGTTGCGTCTCGATAAGACGTTGGACTTTGCCCTTCCATCCCCAACCTTACACCTTCCTCTTATCCCTCCGCACTAGGCCAAGCTTAAGCAGGGATTAGACAAGTCTCCGTCTACGTCAGCTCTAGGACTAACAAGGCCGACCACCCTGCATCGTGATACGCCAGCCTGCACCAGCGGGCTTGGCATCCCCATATTGACTATCGCGGGGCTGACTCTTGTGCGACCAGCATCCCAGAATAAAAAGGGATGGGATTTCCCCAGGGTCTAATACATAACATTGAGCCTGTCGCACTTCAAATGTGACCTATGTCGCGATTTCCCCACTGATGTTTTACGTTGATTACAGGACTCTGCAGAGACTTTTTGTTTTGCTTCGGAGGGATCTTCGGTCGCAGCATGCAAACCCCACCTTTCAGCCTCCGGGTTGATTCGTTCCCGTCAGCCCGTGAAAAGATGATTGGCATGATCTGTTCACATTTATGCTAAATTGAGAATGACACTGACACTTTACACGCGGCCTCTGGGCACACGGACCTGGACCCTGTAGATGACCCTAGTTACTAGAAATCCTTGGGTCCGATCACTTTTGCAGGTGCCTCGTTCACCACACTGGTAGTACCTGGTGACGATGACGCAAAGAGATCGGCTAAAATAACGCGCTCGCCAATCTGTTCGTCCACAAATTGTGCCCGATCTAATCCAATCATTTCCGCCTCTTCATGAACTCGGAGCTGCATGCCCGGGATCCATTGCAGGATGTAGAGCAGGATGCATGATATGGTGAACGAATAAACGCTGATGGCGCAAACCTCCGCCAATTGTTTCCCGACCTGCATCCCGTTGCCATCGATACCACCACTGGCCTCGGTCACGCCGTCCAATGCAGCAACCGAGCTCGATGCAAAAATACCTGTCAGGAAAGCCCCAACCATTCCACCGATTCCATGTAGCTTAAACACGTCCATCCCCTCATCAATGTGCATCCAGTTATTGATGTCTTGAAGTAACGCACACACAATGCTTGTAATGAACCCAATAACCGCAGCCAGCCATACAGAGACAAATCCGGCTGCCGGTGTAATTCCCACGAGCCCTGCGATGGCTCCCTGGCACGCTCCCACAACGGAAAATTTTCCCCGGGTCTTAATCCAGTCTACCAGTACCCATCCCAGGATGCCGGTGCATGCAGCTGTGTTGGTATTGAAGGCTGCGAGCATGGCCCTGACGCTAGCATTGAGGGCGGAACCACCCTGGCATAAATGTCAGCTATATATACCTCAAGTCCTCATTTATGATAGCGAACTCACATTAAAACCAAACCACCCAAACCAGATCAGTGTCGTACCAAGGAAGACAAGAGTGGTATTGTGAGGCTTCGCATGTGAAGGCTCATCGAGATGCTTGCGCTTCCCTAGAACCAAGGCATAAGCAAGCGCCGACCAGCCCGACGCAATATGGACCGGCCCGCCGCCCGCAAAATCCAAGGATGGCAGATTATACAGCCAACCGTTACTGTTCCAGGTCCAACAGGCAACCGGACAATAAACAACGGTGGCCCAGCAAAAGCTGAAAATCAACGAAGGTATCATATTGCCTCGCTCAAAGGCTCCTCCCACAACAATCATCACCTATGAACATCAGCATATTTACGCAGCTCATTCGAATATCTAACTCACGGTGCAGGCACAGAAAAGAAGCTGATATAGAACGAACACAATCTCAGGCAGGACGGCTGATCCTGGCGACGGGGCAGCCATCACACCTTTCAATCCGAAGTTGGTCAATGTTCCAATGAAAGGGCCTGCATCACGGGAATAGGCCAGTGAATATCCCCAAAATATCCACTGGAAGGTAGTCCTATTGAATCATGGATTAGTACCAATGCGACTGTATTGCAGAAGGGCACGTCCATACACTGCGACAATCATGAGTGACTGGAACAGCAGTGTCAACGCCGACTTTCTGCGCGCGAGACCGCTGTATAATAGTCCAATTCCTGGAATGATCAACCAGACAATGAAGCCGCAAAATACAATGTAGACGTAATTCCACTCGAATCCCTGATATTGGACGTTCACATCGACTTTGGTCGGGTCGCCGCCCCGAGGGGTGGAGGCATTGTATACAGGCTATGTTTGGCGCTGTCAATTAACGTGTTGTTCTCTTAGAAGGTATACGGCATTAATATATACCTGTGTTAGGGCCATTTTCGAAGACTAATCTTCCAAAAATTTTGCAGAATACTCTACTTGGAAGATAATAGCATTTAAGAACTCCTCCACTATAGCTACCAAGCCCCTTAAGTCCCGAGTCCCCCCGGGCCCCCAGTGCCGAGCATCTTATCAATCACTACTAAGAGCCAAGACCGCCATCTCGCGTTTGTGACCCTGGAATAAGGGAACTCGATGCTAATCCATGGTTTCTTGGCTAATATCGCATCAGTATTCTATGTTCATTCATAGGTGGAGGATGATAAAGAGGTGACTAGATGATAAGGGTACGGTCGGACAGTGTAAGATAACAGTGTCCAACCACATGCCGGCATAACAAAGACCCCGGATCTCATTCCCATCTGGGGCTTAGGGGCACCCGTGAACCTTACCAATACCTTTCTTATCGAATGCGACGCTCTTGGCAATGACGTCGAATTATGCAAGTGGTCACAGTGAGAGATTGCGTTATCGTATTCCAGAGCTATGTACTTAAAAATCATGTTCTACTAGATTAGAACACGATAAGAAATTACCTCAGGTATATACTTATTGACCCATCCGAGAAACGTTGGCTCTAGAGGGCATAGCGGAAATTCTTATCCTCTTTGTCCGTCAGATCAGTATTGGGCAGCCCGTTCTCATCAAGCTCAACCTCGCCATCACGGAGGTCAACACCATAGCTAGCCTGTGTATCACGAGCATCATTGTCCCGTGCACATAGAATGCGGTAGATGATGACGGCCACAAATAATAAGCACCAAGTTACAATAGCGGTAATTACACCTTCGGTGTAACGGGGTGACTTTGTCCATAGCTGAGGGCCTCCTATACAGCCAGCGCAATAACCAATGAAGAACATCGTATTGACGATGGCGCGCTTGGTGTTACCCTTTACATTGGATGCCGATAAAGATAGAAGAATGGACATGGTTGCTGTGATACAAGAGGCCTAGAGAATAATTTAGTCAACTAATCCTGACCATCTTGGAGAGGGGAGGACTTACCAGCCAAGAGGCCACGATTAAACCCCATTCAGTAGTCACGGTAAGCTTCAATAGGAAAATATTTCCAATGAAGGGTGGAACAATCAATACCAGAATGACCAAATTTCTCTGACGCGGAAAGAGATGAACAAGTGCAGTGCCAATCCATAGTAGGGCAATCTGGACCGCCCCAGACGGCGCGGTATAAAGCAGAGTCTGTAATTTGGAGTATCCGATAGACTCAATTACTAGCGACGCGAAAGTGAGAACTGGTGATTGCATAGTAACAAGTACACCAAACCAGAAGACCATCCATGCTTTGGGGTCCATTAAAGTTTCCTTGAGCTGTGACACAGAGAAGGCTGTCTTGTCGCCGCCATCGCGATCAGCGGCAAGTCGCATAGACAGAACCTTCTTCTCTCTCTCATTCAAAAACCACGCATCTTTGGGTCCATTCGGCATCAGTATGAAGAACCCAATGCCCGCCAGCAAGGTCATTGCACCGCAAATGAGAAATAGAACTCGCCAAGGCTGAATGGAGATAGATGTGTTCTTGCCTATACCGTACATGATCAGGCAGCCAGTGACTTGAGCTACGCCGTTCATCGTGATCCATAATGCGGTTCGTGCGGCATGTTCTTTCTTGCGATACCAAATACTGGTAATGGTCACGAACGCAGGCGACACTGCTCCCTCGCTGAATCCGAGCAGAAATCTCGCGGCAGCAAACCCGGCGAAGTTGTTTGGCGCCGCGAGACACATACAAATTATGCCCCAGATGATACTTGGCAATGTCAGTGGGTGATTGATCAAAGAGAGACAAAATGTCAAGAAAAAGGACAACAACGTACACGGTGACACCAACAAACTTAGTCAAAGGAAGTCGACTCATAAGATATATAAATGGCCATTCCGAGACGAGTTGGCCCACGTAGAATATAGAGCTGGACCAGGAGTACTGTGAACTAGTCATGTTCAGGTCTTCCATAAGGCCAAATACGGCAGCATAGCTCAGGCTCTGTTTATCGAGGTACTGTAAAAAGAAAACAAAGCACATCTGTCCTCAATCAGCGACCTGGCTCGAGGAAGGGTTTATGGTATCTTACAAATGGCAAAATAACCACGTCAATCTTTCGCAGCACTGCCTTTTCTTCCTCGGAGGTGTAGGTCTCACATTCCCCAAGAATTTCCCCGCTCGGTTGGTCGCCTTCCTCTTTCACGAAATCTGGGCTCTTGGAGTCATTCATGGATGCAGTTGAGAATTGATATGCGAGGTGAATGAAACATCGGGGATATGCCCGACTTGTATGTCGCACGAAACAGATAAACACCGCTAGGCCCAGTTGCCGACCAACCTTCAGATTCTCCCTACATGTTGGTTGCATTCCCTATCTTCAGACTGATATAGAAAAGATCAACCAATGGTGTTGAACAAAATGCGGGGGCACTCGGTCCGATAGCCAACCATCGGCAATCTGCCCCTGTGGAATGGACAAGTTTCCGACCTGAGCGGGGTTCGTTTTTGGAGTCGTCATCGCCAATTCCGCTATATCTGTCTGCATGATTCTGGATTGTCTGGACTGATCTTCCATTCCTATTTGCCCACCATGTCTGACCATCCCGCCGTGCCGGGCTCTGACATCAAGCCATGGTCCCGCCCGGAACCACAAGGCTATTTATTCAAAAACGCCAACGTGGTGGACGTGAAAGCAGGGAAAATAATTGAAAATGCCATTGTGATCACCTATCAAGGCAAAGTTCAATCCGTTTCTTCATCCCTGCCGGAACCCCTTCCGACCGACCTCACAATCGTTGATTGCGAAGGCCGCTACCTATGCCCGGGACTATTCGACGCGCACGTCCATTTATGCGCTGTACCTGGATTCAGCGACCTATCAAAGGCCTTTGGAAACCCAAACGATGTGCACTTGCTGCGACAACCGTATACCGCGGCCCAGATGCTGCACCGCGGCTTCACCAGTATTCGCGACTGCGGTGGCGCCCAGCTGGCCCTAAAGGAAGCCATCGATGAAGGTGTCTTCCCTGGCCCTCGCGTATTCATCTCCGGTCATGCTCTTTCCCAATTTGGTGGGCACGGTGATCTCCGCTCAGCACACGAACAAACAGGCTGCTGCGGCGGCACCCACAGCAACAACCACCTAGGCCGCATGTGCAACGGTGTACCCGAGTGCATGGCTGCTGTCCGTGAGGAAATTCGCTGTGGAGCCGATTTCATCAAGATCATGGGGTCGGGTGGTGTCGCGAGCCCGACCGATCGACTGGAGCACCTCCAGTTCACAGGTTCCGAAATCCAAGCTATGGTCGAATGCGCCAACAATGCCGGGACATTTGTCACGGCGCACGCATATACGGTCAAAGCTATTCGGCACTGTATCGATAACGGCGTGAAGGGGATTGAGCATGGAAACTTTTTGGATGCACCAACTGCCAAGATGATGGCTCACAAGGGTGTTTATCTTACACCGACACTGATCGCGTATGCTCAGATGGCATCAGAGCGTTGGACGGGATATTTGCCGCCGGAGTCGCAGTCAAAAAACTCCCAGGTGCTTAAGTCTGGGCTTGAGGCCTTGAAGGTTGCTTCTGAGGCTGGGGTCACGATGTGTTATGGCTCTGACTTGCTCGGCCCATTAGGTTCTGCTCAGACCCACGAGTTCGCTTTGCGGTCGCAGGTTTTGAAGCCTGTGGAGGTCTTGCGCAGTGCCACTGTTAATCCTGCGAAGATGATGGGCTGGGAGGATGCGATTGGGCAGATTAAAGAAGGGTTCCATGCGGATGTGGTTGTTCTGGATAAGAACCCCCTCAAGGATGTGACCATATTCGATCGGCCCGAGAAGCACGTCTTGGCCGTCATGAAAGATGGCCGTGTCTATAAAAGTCGCTGGTCTACGCTTCCCGAGGATTCTGAGATACCCATCAGAGTCAAGTACAATTGAACTTTTTGAAGTGCATTTGGGTGGGAGTTGAATGGTGATTTTAGAGGTTGCAATGGTCAAAGGACATGCCTGTGCAGGTGGAAGGATTGGGTACGCTTCATAATCCAGAAAATAATACTGCCTCCGATGGAGCGTGTCTCCGGGGGTTTAGAGAGGTCCTAACCTGTGTCCAGTCCTTCTCAGGTGCCAGAGAGCGAATTTGCGTTACCGAGAACCCATATATGGTAATCAAGGTCGGGGAAAGCACCCGTGGACACATGTGCATATCTTGTTCATGGAACTTATCATTGGACCTGTATGCATACCTATACAAGATACTTCTTCAGCCGTAAAGCTCCACGAATATATGCGAGCCAAATGATGATTCGGTGGCATTCAAGCTCAAATTCATTCCCATAGCTGAGCGAGATTTAATTCCGAAAGGTGGCAGAAATACCTCAAGAGAATCAAAGATGTTTCGGCGAAATGAGTGTGGTGACTTATCAACATGTGAAGATTTTTCTTGTGCGGCATTTTACTCAGCCAACTTATCATAGCTGAAGGTAGTATTCGAGTCTAACAACCCTTTAATAAAAGCTATAAAGCAATATAGATTCTAGTCCTTCAGATTGTAATATCGCCAATCTTGGCAAAATTGCAAATTTGAGTCCTATTCTTGACGTGATGTCCCGGCGTCTAGATATGCCCCTTGGGGGACAATGAAAGCTACACCTCTCATGTTCCAAATTGCTTTCGAATTCCAGCCATTAATCTTGTAATCATTTAGATACTAAACCGATAGATATTACGCAAAGGGAAAGCGGGAGATCCATTCTCCAGGTCGCAGATCATGCTGGCTATCTTCCATGGATATCGACTTAGGTTTCACATTAAAGGAGTCATTGCGGAGATGGATCAGGTCAGCTGATCATTGTCCACGGGTTTAGGTCAATATATTTGTTTGCGGCATTTATACTGCAGGGCTGTAGGAACCACATCTAAATACTCATACACCTGTGTCCCACGTCTTTTTTTTCTTCATCTCCATCTCCATTACCACCGATACCCGAGCCTACCCAATATGCCACTTCCAGGCCTAGAAGGCTACTACTCTGATAGCACTGACGATGATACCATGAAAAAGGAGATCAAAAAGGAGCCTGGAGAGGAGGTAAAAAGGGTGGCCAACGTGGATATCTACTTCGGTATCAAAGAGGAGGCGAAAGAGGAGGTCAAAGAGAATATCAGAGGCAATATTGACAAGCGATTCGACAAGGCTGTTGATAAGAAAGGTGATAGTTCTCTACACAGTATTTTCCGGATCTAACAGCTTGCCATTGCAGTTTTGTCCGACAGTGTTGTCTCTCCAAACCCCCAATATTTGACGCCTCTTCCAGTTGGTCAAACTTGGAAGACTTTAATAGAAGCTCATTATGCGATTAATTACTTCATTAAGGATCACGGGTATGGAACAAGTCAGTCGAACTCTGGTGGTGTTGCCAAAAGGAATTTGAAATGCGACCTCGATTACAGCACAGAAAAGAAGAAGAAGAAGAAGAGGCATGACCGGAAACAGAGTGTCCACAAGCGACACGAATCTGCATGCCCTTTCAAAATCACTTTGAGGCATCAAGATGGCACCTGGCGCATTGATGGTTATAATGCATCACATAGTCATGCACCTTCGCCAGCGTGGACCCAGCCGAGCCAGCGTAAGATTAAGCGTGACAGGAAGAGAGAAGTCATCAAAGAGATGATTCAACAAGGCATGAGTAACACGAAAATCCTCTTAGAATTGGAATTGGATGATCCGAAGTGCTTTCTCAGTTCGATGGATATACGTGTAATGAGAGCCAAACTCAAAAGACACCCCGCAACCAAAATGCCGCTTACGAAGCTTCCAAAGAAGGAAAACGATTGCGACCTCGTGAATAGTAGTACGGGCGATGAGCTTCCGGGGATAGGAATGGATGATGAGAGTGACTACAAGCCCTCAAAGGAGGGAATGGAGAACGATTTCCACGAGATTACAAAGGAAGCAGTGGATTATGAGAGTGATTACAAACTCTCAAAGGCGGAGATGAAGGACGAGCTTTACAGGATTCCAAAGAAATACTTTGATGACGAGACCGATGGCAAGTTTCTGAAGGGCAAGATGAATATCGAGCTCTACGATATCCCCGAGGAAAGAGGGAGCGATGAAAATGATCGCAATCTTCCGAAGGACGAAATCAAGAATGAGCTACACAAGACCCCAAAGGGAAAACTTGGATGATAAGACCGATTGCAAGCCTCTGAAAGACGAAATGGACGATGAGATTGATGTTTTTTGAATTGGGTCCTGGCAATTGTGATGAGCGCGGATATGTCTATGGTGACTCTGGAAGATTGATATTTCCGCAATGGTTCGAATACAGCTCGATGTTTTTGATGACCTGAGCTTCATGAAATAGATTTGGAATAAGTGAATAGCAACTCTTTACATTCTCGGAGACTTGCTTCCTATCATCTACGGCTGCGAGATATCTCTATATGCAAGACCCAGTTTTGCGAACAATTGGAATATCAAATTCTAGAGTCTGCATTTAGGCCCAAGGAATGACATCCTGTCATTGATTTTGACCAGCTGAACATCATTCTGGGGCAACTGGACGCTCTTCAGGACGGTGGATCGGCTTACCAGTGTGAATGCAGCTAATCATAAGTCGAGATACATGGATCAGACCTTACAAGTGAGGATTTCGGTCGTAGAGACTGTAATTATACATAATGTCTAATCCTGAGCCGGGGGCGTAAGTATACATGAAGGCAACTTGATCTGGGAACCTGCCAGCTATTCATGCTCACATTTCGATCCACGAAACCTTTATGCTCTTCTGGCATCCACAACCTTACATAAAAAAGTAGTGTGGATGTAATAATATGTTCATTCGTTATATTCTATGCGAGAGCGTTGGGAGCCTTGAACTTATGAATAGCGAAATGGAGATATTGAATACGCTTCTACCAGTCAAACTCCCAAGTGCTCCGCTTGGCCTTGTTGCCAGCTAATCTTACATCTGGGCTTTGATGATGTCGGCTGCACGCTCCGCAACCGCATAAATGGTGCTTTGCAAATGTCCACAGACCTGGAATGGGATAATCGAAGCATCGACAACGCGGACATTGGAAGTGCCGTAGACCTTCAGCGACGTATCGACAACTCCACCAATCTCCTTGGGCATCATACCAGCCGTGGTGATAGGATGGAAGTTCGATCGGACTATTAACTATTAGCTAAGGGCGGTCACAATATCAGCGGAGCAGGGTTTGACACACAGTTAGACTTGAGGAACGAAGACCATCCTTCGTCATCCGAGTTGGCAGCGACAGTGGACAACCCAGGGCTTGTCTCTTCACCTGCCATATCGGCAAAAGGTTCAGTTTTGAATATTTCACGAATCAAGCGAGCAGCTTGAACCTGCGCATGAAGATCGAAGTCCAACATGAAGTACTTCGGGTCGATGGTAGCGGGAGCCGTTGGGTCTGCGGATGAGATGTGAATGTTTCCACGCGAGAAAGGGACAGAACCCCAGTACTCGGTGTCATAGGTATACCCAGATGGCTCGAGCAGAATCTCTGCGACGGGGATACCGGACTTGAAGATCAAGTCCCATTGGATTTTAAAGAAGCGTTCGATGTCAGCTGCTCGGGTTACGTTTCCGTTTGCTGAGGCAACTTGGGCTGCGTAAGCGGGGAGCTTGCGGAGAAGCTGGGCGCCAACAGCGGTGGCATTTGTGAATAGTTGCTCGGCAGAGGGGTATGCGACATAGTCAGCTGATTTTGTGTAGTTAATCTTCGAGTCGTAGGCGAGCCCGTTGTTCATTTGGTCTTGGAGGTTTTCGCCGACGGTCGGCAGGTTGACCTTTGTCTCGATGTCGTACTTGGATAGAATGCTATGGGTGAGAAGGTATTAGTCTATTCCTTTCGCACCACGGAGGAAGTAACCTGTTCCGCTTACTATGGGTTTCCAATGCCTGACAACTCGAGCAGAAGCGGGGACTTCAATGCGCCTGCTGCAAGAATCACTTCACGAGATGCCTTGACAGATGTGGTTGTACCATTGGAAAAGGTAATCTCAACGCCATCCGCGGTCACCTCAGCGCCATCCTTCCAAGTGAGTTTGTTGCCATTGGTGTGGAGCCAGACGTGAAGGTTCTTGCGAGATTGGTAAGGGTAGTAGTATGCTCTTGCGGCATCCTCACGAATGTTAAGGTTCGAGTTCACAGTCTTGGGGTAAAGGGTGTAACCGATCATCTGCCCACCATTCGGGTCCTTATTGTATGGGATAGGCACCGACATGTTTTGATATGTGGTGTTCATGACCTGAGCCAGGCCATCATTCAGCTGTGTTGAAGTCCAACCCACTTTCAAAGGACCATCATATCCGTGGTAAGCGGGATCATAGGCGACACCAGATCCCTCCAGGAACGAGTAGTCGGTTGGAACCTGGAACTGCTCGCCCTTTTTGAAGTAAGGGTACAGATTCTCCCAGTTCCAGCCTTTGTTCCCAATCGTCTCCCACGCATCTATCTGGCTCGTCTGCGCCCGCAAATACACCATTCCGTTGATGGTTGATGTACCTCCCAGCGCCTTTCCAGCACGCACTGTTTGTGTGGTTCCTCCACCCCATTTCTGCTCGACTGTCTTGTAGGCCCAGTCGATGTCGGTGCCGAAGGCATTGCCGTAGCCACCGGTATCTGTTACATTGATGTTGTTGTACACGGAGCCTCCAGCTTCGATAACGAGGACGGTCACGTTGCTCAGCTCTGACAAGCGGTTGGCAACGACCAGGCCACTAGTGCCACCTCCGACAACAATGTAGTCGTATGTTGGCTCTGAAGCACGGGACACCGCACTTACCAATGGTAGTAGTGCAAGACGTGCGAGGCTCTTCATATTGAGAATATGGGGTGTATTCGCAAAATTAAAGGAGGGATGCTGCTTACAACTCCCCAAAGTTCCGCGGCCACTGACTGTGTATTTATATCACGAATATGGCTACGGATTCGAACTCACCTGGCAGGCTTCCCAAGCTTGGTTCCATGTTTGATTAAAATGATCTTCGGTCAGTCCTGACTAAATGATTCTTCAGCATCTTGGCATTGTACTAAGAAGCCTCGATTGCCTTCTCGGGATCCACATTCAATAAGGTCAGTGAAGGAACAGGGGGTCCATCGGGTCATGGTCGGCATCCCGGTATCGGAAGTTATTGATCGCCCGGGATGGAATGAAATTCTAACATCCCGAGGTTGTTAAAATCAGATCTAATTTCAGGAGAATGGCAGGAGTCATTGAGAAATTGGGTGAAATTGCTTCGTGTATAGTTTAATTGGGTAGCCAAGGCATGGAAATGTAAGTTGAAACTTGGACATTATCAAAATTGCCAATTTTCAACATCCCCATTTATTATCGACGCATACGGAGTCTGGAAGGATTCCAGGGTCTCAGATGCCTGTTGATGACTCATTCCATGTCGGAAAACACGGCTATGTCAATAATATCGGGTTGTAATGAATGGCGATCATCATCCAGAAGGGAAAAGAATACCAATGAGTATGGAGTGCGAAGATCATGATGCGGCACGTCGATGTGCAGAAGTGGAGAAACGGCCGAGGGATTTCACCGGCACCTCAAACAGGGGCGATACCCTTGAAACATGGCGTGCAGCCTAAACCCGATAGCAGTTTTCCCAGATAGTAATAGATAAGCTTCACTTGAAATTTGTAGGGTTTTCATAACAGTATGAATTTGGCAGCGTTGAGTGAACCTGGACTTTGATCGCAACTGATCTGATAAGATCCCGTCCGTGGAAAGGAAAGGTGGGGCGAATGAATTAACTTTAATGTTGATCAAGTTTTGCAATGTCATTCCGAGTGGTCTCATCGCTAAGTGGAGCCTCATGTCATCGTGCGCTACTTTTTCGTCCTTATGGAGTCGCCCCCCTAATCTAAAGCCTCAAGTGATACGTAGCCCCCAGACAAGATGTTTCAATGGGACTCGAGACTGGCCTCGTATATTTGAAAACGCACGTTTATACAGATAAAACCGGATGCGAGGAGTGAGAATGATCTAGACTTGTGGCAGTTACTAGGTTTCAGACTCGTACTTGTCTCAAGAAATTCGTTCTACAAAAAGCCTCAGTTATTCCGATTTGATCACGTAAGATGTTGCCAAGCAAAAGCTTAAATTTCTCAGTGCTAATACATAGTATCAAATCTCACTTGCCGATATCATACATTCATAGTAAGATCGCAGGTAGATTCTCTGTTGGAAAACAATCTGTATGGGTAAAAGTTCGCTTCGCGTAGGTAAAGGCCGAGACATCATCAGAGGTACATTAATCCAAGTTCATCACGCACTATTTCGTAGATCCTTCGCGATAATTGCCCTGGAAATGGTGTACTGGTTCGTCTCGCAGCTGAAAGAAGTTTCTCAGAGTATTCGTTTCGGGGAATTGGTGAATAAATGAAATGTTGAGATGTGGGAAAGGCATTGCAGGCTGAGCTGACAGGCTCTTTGAAGGAGTCTAATGAAACTTATTAGCCGTTTCATATGGCCAAGGCCGCATCTTTTGATTCTTACAATATTCGATGTGGCATCGTCGGAAGGAGCCCGACGGGCGATCAAAAAGGCAATCTTGGTGTCAAACATCTTGGAAAAATCTCGCACAGCAAGATCGTAAACGTTCTTGGGAATATTGACCTGGACGGGAATAAAGAGTTTACCAATTGGACCAGCCGACTGGCCTAATAATCCCTTCTCCCATATTTGTGACGATTCGAAACCAGAATTTCGTCCACAAACTCAGCTCTCTTGTAGGATCATCTGCTGCAGACTACATCATCTTGCGGGGACTTTACATAAAGACCTAACAACTTTGGGGATACACACAGTAGATCATGGTGATCGCGTTGATGAACTGCCGAAGGTGGGTAATGGCTAAAGTTATTGCGCATTTGCCGACTGACCTTCCGGTTTTCCTTGACACCATCTGATAAGATGATGATCAGATCCGCTCTCTGCCGTGGCGCTGATCTTAATCACGCACACCAGATGATCTTATCTTTTTCGGGATGACGGACCCGATAGTCAAGTCTTGATCAATTTAAACTCTTTCCAACTGCCTTGTTTCACCACATGTTAGAGAAACACAGTACCTGTGACTGAAATCGATGTGGATCCACCAGTCCCATGTGTTGAAAAATGCAAAACCCCATAATAATTCGCCGAGGGCGCTTGTTGAAATTATGTAAGATTTTCCAATTGTACATAGTCGTGTGATAAAAAGGTCCTGCCCCTCTCCCTCGTTTCGTCCAATACTGTTTAGTATCTCTCATTTTAAAGCTTTGTACGACTGAGGATGGCCATCATCAAACTAGCCAATGGGGGCGGCACCCACCGCAAGCCAGCCTCGGTCACATCAACAGATGTTTTGATCGTTGGAGCTGGGCCGGCTGGTGCCTCGCTGGCTTGTTTTTTGGCATCATATGGTGAGCTTCAATTGACGTCAGTATCGGTGTATAGCATACTAAGGAAGTTCTAGGTATCCGCGGTATAATGATTAGCGCATCTCCAACAAATGCCGATACCCCAAGAGCGCATATCACAAATATGGCCGCCATGGGTAAGCAATCCGCAATGGCTGCAATTATTAGGCTAACAATTTAATCCAGAGTGTCTCCGAGACATTGGCCTGGATGTCGAATGTAACCGACTTGCAACCAATGGCATGAACATGATGCATACAAGGTGGGCATACAGTATGGCCGGCGAGGAATATGCCCGGATTCACTCCTGGGGTCATGACCCCAAACGAAAGGTAATACCAGCATCAGCCACCAATCTGAGATATCAAACATCTAACTGTTTGTAGGGTGACTACGAAACAGCCAGTCCATGTGACCCCGTCGACCTTCCCCAAACCCTCCTCGAACCCATCCTAGTCCGATATGCCACACTTAGTGGCTTCAGCTGTCGTTTCGACACAACATTCGTCAGATTCGAGCAAGACGATGAGGGCACAACGTCGACTCTCCGCGACAATATATCTGGATCTGAATACCAAATTCGCTCCAAATACCTCTTTGGTGCCGATGGTGCGCGGAGTGAGGTTTTCCGCCAGCTCGGGCTTCCCCTGGATGTACGCCCAGATCAGGGCCTTGCGTATAATGTTCACCTCAAGGCGGACTTGTCAAGCTACATGCAATATCGAACTGGAAATCTTCATTGGTTGTTGCAACCTGACAAGGAACATCCCTTGTTTGGGTGGGCGTGTATCGCCCGAATGGTGAAGCCTTGGGACGAGTGGCTCTTTATTGTGCTCCCGGAACGAGGCAAGGAGCTTGATTTTGAGCCTACAAATGAGCAATGGCTTGGTCGAATGAAGGAATTTATTGGTGATGATTCGATTAACACAGAAATTCTGGGTGTGTCCAAATGGCGTATCAATGATGTCGTGGCGGAAGAGTTCTCCAGTGGCCGAGTGTATGTCTTTACCATTTCTCATTTCTGTTGCTCTATTACTGACTACGTGCAGGTTCTGTCTTGGCGATGCGGTGCATCGACACCCTCCGTCGAATGGTCTCGGATCCAACACATGCATCCAAGATGCATACAACCTAGCATGGAAAGTTGCCTATGTGCTGAAGGGTGAGTCTAAATCCGTCATGGTCAGTCACTCTGATCAGACTCGGCTAACTCAAATTTTCAGGCCAAGCATCACCTTCAATTCTCGAGACATACACGGCTGAGCGTCAACCTGTTGGCCGAGGAGTCGTCACACGAGCAAACTCCTCATTCCGCCATCACGGGCCCGTTTGGGACGCACTAGGCGTCATGTTACCAACTCCAGAATTACGACTCAAAGCTTTGAACGAATTAACCGATCCCACGTTGAAAGGACGTGCTCGTCGAGCTGCTCTCCAAGCCGCCATTGAAGAGACAGAACATGAATACCACGCCCTTGGAACGGAAATGGGTCAGTTTTACCAAAGTACCGCTGTTTATACTGCGGATGAAGCTGCCTCGTTTTATTCCCCAGAAGTGGTTGCCCAGGATCTCGATCTTACCTTGATCCGAAGCACATACCCTGGATGCCGTCTGCCTCATGTCTGGCTGAACAATGCCGTTCCCGTCAGGCGCATCTCTACGGTGGACTTGGCAGGGGGTGGCTCATATGCACTCCTCACTGGTATTGGTGGTGAGGCTTGGAAGGGAGCAGCTTCGAAGATTGGAAACGAGCTCGGGGTGACCATCAAGGCTTATTCAATTGGTTTCCGGCAGGACTTTGAAGATGTTTATTTCGATTGGGCACGCGTTCGCGGTGTGGATGAGACTGGCTGTGTTCTTGTCCGTCCTGATCGACACGTCTCGTGGAGATGTAATGAAGTACTTGGTGACGAGGCGCAATGTGCGGCCAAATTGCGGCATGTGATGCTGAGTATTCTTGGCCGCTCCTACATATCCTGAGCTTGTCAAATCCCATTTTGTATTATCCAGGCGTTGTATACCGAAACCGATCAGTGATCGCGAACGCCAAGACGACGCTGGAGATGTTGGAGGGGTTGGCGCGATTGGCGGAGACTCCATTGGAGTTCAGGGGAATTGGATTGAAGGAAGTGGGGCGTTAGATTGATTTAATTGAACATAGAGAAATATGACTTCCCAAAGAACCTTGGAACACCTGAGTTGCAGTGCGAATTCAAAAATCTATATTGGAAAATTGTTGATTGTTGCAGCCCTGGAGGCGGTCAGATGGGTAGTCAAGGATTATATGTAGCAAACCCCGTGATGGTGCCAACGGAGAGTATACTGAATCATGCACAATTTCAAGTGTATTAATGCCAAGTGTCATTAGAGAACCACCGTGGGCAAGCGATCGGCTAATATTCCTTTCCCTGGAATGAAGCTTTCGCACAGACTTTCCGTCGGGAATTTAAGATTTCTTAGCTCAGCTTGGTCGGATCCGACCAAAGTCAAGGGATCATCTCGTATCAATCGTATCAATCATATCGATCATATCAATCCATCAGATTAACCGTATCAATCAGCTAATGACCGCCACACCCCTTCCAACCGAACCTACCGACATAAAACGTAAATGTTCAACGCTTTATAGAATAGAGACCGACGACGATATCCACAGTCCCCACTCATGTGCATGCAATTAAATAGGCGGCAGTTGCGGGTGCGGGGATCCATAATGAAAAGTCATTTCCCGTGGCTTTGAAGCGTTCCATGAACTTTCTTTACTATTTTTTTTTTCTCTTGAGCTGCAAAAGAAGCAAAATCCATTTCGCTGACCGCCAGGTATGATTTGTTGATACACATGGGTCAGTGCAATTTGCTACCTGGCTTTGCTTTTACTGGGACTCCAGTAGAATGTAAAACGTGCAAAAGTCCCCACCGGACCCGAGTGATTAGGATTTGCTGGACGATGAGAGGTGGGAAAGTTGATCAGATACCGATCGGCAGGACCAAAGGGTCGCGCTAGTAATTTTCATACACCCGACCCTTAGAAACTCCACGGTAACACCGTCCTTATCAATCATTTAAGTTCCCGCTTCCTGAATTCGCTTCGCACTTTCTTCATCATTTTGTACCATCAGGGCTTTCGCAAGTACCCCCAACCTCGCCATGGGCAATAATCCAGTGTTCGCCGTGACAGGTTTGTGATTGCATATCTACTTGAATTGCGCAAATCGCTGACTTTGCATCAGTGTTTTTTATTTGCTTCCGAGAATGTCTCGAGACAACTGTCGTCGTATCGGTTCTCCTGGCGTTTTTGAAGCAAACCCTTGGCCAGGGAGACAATCAGGCCGTCTATAAACGACTTGTGAAACAAGTCTGGCTGGGATGTGGACTGGGGTTGTTTATATGTATTGCAGTTGGTGCTGGAATGATCGGAGCCTTCTACGGGCTCGGGACCGATACCTTTTCTAGCACAGAGGATATCTGGGAGGGTGTTCTGGGAATTCTCGCTTCCTTGATCATTACTATCATGGGCGCTGCGCTGCTCCGCGTTTCTAAGCTACAAGACAAGTGGCGTGTGAAGCTCGCCAAGGCACTCGAGCATGACCAAAACCCCAACGAATCGCGCAGGAACCGCATAAAGCGATATATGGAGAAATACGTGATGTTCTTCCTCCCGTTCATCACAGTCCTTCGAGAAGGCTTGGAGGCAGTTGTCTACATTGGTGGTGTTGGTCTGGCACTTCCTGCGTCCTCTTTCCCCCTTGCTGTGTTCTGTGGTCTTCTCGCTGGATGTTTGGTCGGATACGTTATCTATAAGTAAGATTCTCGCTGCTTCACTGAACAAAACAGAGCTAAAAATCTATCTAGGGGAGGGCGAGAAACGTCCATGCAGATCTTCCTGATCATTTCCACTTGCTTCCTCTACCTCGTCGCCGGTGGTCTGTTTTCGCGTGGTGTCTGGTACTTCCAGAACAATGCGTGGGGCAATATCATCGGAGGTGATGCATCCGAAACTGGGTCCGGTCCAGGGTCGTACGACATCAGACAGAGTGTGTGGCACGTCAACTGCTGCAATCCTGAACTCGGTGGTGGTGGTGGCTGGGGTATTTTCAACGCTTTGCTTGGATGGACCAACTCTGCTACGTACGGCTCTGTCATCGGTTACAATTTGTATTGGCTCTGTGTCATGATCGGGTATGCATTGATGTTTGTCCGCGAGCGACGCGGTTCTCTCCCGGTCATCGATCCAGCCATGAAGAAGGTTGCAGGTTACAAGGCACGGACAAAGGCCTTTGTGCTTCGTCGACCTTATGAGGAGCCCGAGTCTATTCAGCCTACTCAAGCGAGTGGTGGAGTTCTAGAGAACGTTCCTGAAGAGAAGGGCGCAGGCTCTTCTACAGTCATCCAGCGGACCGAGTCTTGAAGACAGATGGTCATATCAGAGTATCGTTGTGGGTAGAAGTACGTCGCTGGGGAGACTGGTGATAAGTACAACATTTTCTTACAAAATGATAGTAGTAATACTTCCAATATTGAGATTTCATGCAAATCAACTGGACAGTAAAGAAATCGGGGATTTTACATTACATTACGGAAAGTCGCATGTCCCAAAATGGCAGGACCACATGTATGGTTGGTGGCTTGAGCTTAGGAGCCTAACACTTCTCCACCCAAGGGTTCAAGGAATGTTATCCTTCATTCCAGCCAATAAATACGTCCAAGTGTATCTGATTTTTGCTCCACCACCCCATTAGGCTACCCAAACAAGATCACTGCGCATAGCACTCAACACAATGCAGATCCAAGGTCCGCCAATACGAACGTTCTAATTAAAATGGGCCAATGCACGAAATTTGCGCGTATATCGGTAGACGAAACCACAGAAACGATGTTCGAGGTGGATACAAGTGTAGTCAATGAATATCTTGAGTCTCCACTCGTCGGACCCCCCTTTGGGCCTTCTTTACCGTACTACGCGCCCTATCCAGATCAAAAAACCACCGAACCAGCGATCTGAGATTGATAATCTGATCGCACCAAACTAGGGCGGTTCAGCCCAATATTTGGATCTTCAGCAAAACGTGCTTCCATGAGTCAGTGATCTGGTCATTCATGGCCTGATTTAATTCCCCTCCTTCCTCGCTCCGCCAATTCAGACCCCATGAACTCCCTGAACATGGCAAATTCCGCGGGAGATGTCTTGACCCGTCTTGTGGCGTTACTATTTCTCTTCCAATGCGTCCAAGCCAAGACTGAAACCTATGATTTCAATGTCACTTGGGTCAAGGCCAATCCCGATGGCTTATTCGAACGGGAAGTTATCGGTATCAACGGCCAGTGGCCATTACCACCAATCGAGGTGGATCAAGGCGACAGACTTATTGTGAACATGTACAATGGACTTGGAGACAAAGACACATCTATCCATTTCCATGGGATGTTTCAAAATGGCACCAATGGGATGGATGGTCCTGCAATGGTGACGCAGTGTCCAATTCCGCCGGGGTCTTCGTTCACCTACAACTTCACCATCGAGCAACATGGGACATACTGGTACCATTGTCACACCGATGGCTGCTATCCTGATGGTTATCGGCAGTCATTGATCGTGCATGATAACAGCTCCTACTTTCACGATCTGTACGACGAGGAGTACACAATCACGATGAGCGATTGGTATCACAAGTTGGTTAAGGATATTATGCCATCTTTCATCAGCCTGAGCAACCCAACGGGCGCAGAGCCAATTCCCCAATCTTTCCTTTTCAACGACACCCTTAACTCCAGTCTACCCGTTCAGCCCGGGAAGACATATCTCCTCCGGTTGATCAATATCAGTGCATTTGTGGCCCAGTACTTCTATATCGAAGATCATTCCTTCAAAATCGTCGAGATTGACGGTGTTTACACCGAACCCACTGAGGCAAGCATGCTCTATATTGCTGTCGCCCAGCGTTATACAATCCTAGTCACAATGAAGAATTCAACGGATAAAAACTACCCCATCGTGACGGTGGTGGATTCCGTTCTGCTAGACACAATCCCGTCAAATCTCCAACTGAACTATACCAATTGGCTCGAATACAATGCCTCCGCCGCCCATCCACAGGCCGACATCAAGGTCTCCGTCTGCACAGACTTAACTCCATTCGACGATTTCAACCTCGTGCCCTATGACAGAATGCCACTCCTCCCTGATCCCGACTTGACTATTGACCTCACGGTCTATATGAAAGTTCTCGACAACGGAGCCGACTATTCGATGTTCAATAACATCAGCTACACCAAGCCCAAAGTGCCCACACTATACACCGTGCTCTCGGCAGGTGACCTCGCTACAGACGCAACAGTCTATGGTGACTACACCCACGCCATGGTCCTCGAGCACAACCAGGTCGTGCAGCTCGTCCTGAATAATGGTGATACGGGATCTCACCCGTTCCATCTTCATGGTCACCAGTTCCAGGTCATTGACCGTGCTCCTGGGTACGGTGCGCACTTCTACGATTATGCCAGCGGCGACCCATTACCGTATGATCCCTCCAACCACACTGCATTCCCGGAATATCCAGCTCGGCGTGATACAATCGTCCTCCCTCCGCAGGGTCACTTCGTCATTCGTTTCGTCGCAGACAACCCCGGTGTCTGGTTCTTCCACTGTCATATTGACTGGCATCTGGCGCAGGGCCTGGGCATGCTGATGATTGAAGCTCCGTCGAAAATTCAGGAGCGAGTGACCATTCCTGACGGGCACTACGAGGTCTGTAAAGCGGCGGGCATAGACATTGAAGGCAATGCTGCTGGTAATACTGTCGACTTCCTTGATCTTGCTGGTCAAAATATGCAGGTCGGGTGGCTGCCTGCTGGTTTCACGGCTAGGGGTATCGTGGCAATGGTGTTCTCGTGTGCCTCTGCTTTCTTGGGTATGGCTTTTATTTCGGTCTATGGAGCCTCGGGTATCAAGTCGCAGAAGCAAAAAGAACCTGAGATGACCGAGGGGAATGAGGCTTCAAATCAGGAGCTCTGATTTGTATGGTTATCGTTACATGTCGCCACTTGTTTTGAATCCTAGACTACTTTGGGCCCAAGTAGCATTGAGCCTATATCGCTGTATATCGCTGTGAAATATGGCTAGGTGATATCTTCATATCAGTCGTGTCATTCGTATCTATGAGCATCAATATACACGGTCTGTTAATACATCCTAGATCTAGTTCAAGTCGTACGGTCATAAAGCTAGCCAGTTTTATCAGTGGGAATAGCCAGCCCAGGATAGCATCACGCCCGTCGCGATCTCCTAGTCAGCTAGGTGACACCACAATTTTGGGAGTAGGTGGTCCATTGGATGTGATGGGAGCAGGATCAACATCCGATATATTATCGTGACCATCATTCGGACGCTCATCAGGTGTCGGCTCGTCAGGGGGATTCCACTGCCGCGGCGACAAGTTGCTGTACAAGTTCCTAATTTCCAAAAAGGTAGGCCCCCCATACGGACCTCCATCCGCTGGTTGACTTCGAGTCGCAGCGAGTGGAGGTCTCACAGGAAGTGAGGATTGGCCTCTCGGTATCCGTGAACTACTACCTTCGCCATTGGACGTGTCACTTCCCACAAAACTCGTAGCTCTGGACCGCGGTAGAGGCGTATGGTTATAGGCGATCCGTATATCATTAAGTCTTTCGTTCCGAAATATCTCGGCAGGAATCTCTGGGAAGTTTGTTCGTTCCTGTACTTCGAAGCCCGTATCTTCGAAATTGGTGTGTGCTTTCGCGGCCATGTAGGTGCTTACTACGTTGAAGAACCGAGCTACCTTTCGTCTGCCTCCGGGGTCGGCCCCGATTTGAGATGTCAGTGCCTGTCGGATTGTGGAGAACGTTGCTGTGCGTTCGATGTCTGGTGAGGGCACCTCGACTGTACTACCAGATCTGCGAGGGGTCGTTGAGGAGTTTGTGCTGTCGCGGATTGCATTTCCGCCGCAATCGGCACATACTTGCGTGGTCTCTTGGGGTGGTCCGGTTTGTTCCGCTTCAGCTTCCATGTCAGCTGCGAACATTAGGTAAAGCGATCCCACGATGGCGAGGCCGGTACCAACGATGGGGGCCCATTGGCCTAGGCACAATATATGTCAGTGACTTCCTTGCATTGCAGATAAAATGACGACTGACCTATACTTGCTATAGGCTCTGTTTGGTAGTACACGGGCTCACTCCAGAAGTTCATTTCCCCTTTGACAATAATAGCTAGCACGGCCGCAACAAACACTGGGATTTCGATGAGGGTCAGCCAGTCCCGAATCCGCTCCGTAATACTCGTCATCTGTAGTGGCGTGGCGCCATTCGTTCCGGAGATTGGCTCATTGTCTTTCTTCTTCTTCTTTCCAAATATTTTTTCGTAATTTCCATCGAGGATCTTGATCCACATCGATAGCATCGATAAGATGGCGGGGATGCAGCAGGCAGCTGCTAGCAGAGTCGCGGTGTTGAAATCTAACTGATGAGGCGAGGGTATGACATAGATGTTGTCTGCGGAACCCCCTCGAAGAGGTGATTTCGGGCCCTTATCTTCAGTACAAATCATGCCGCAGGTAGAGTTGTAATGGAAGACCTTTTTATTCGCCCAGGTCGACGTTGCTGGGTCATCAATGGGGCAGCGGGTGGGAGTTATGCGGATAAACTCTACTGTTAGACTGAGAAGGCCGGCTAGTTGAAGGCCGGTCCAGAGGAAGATGATATTTCGACCGGGGTTGTTGAAGTAGGTGTTGGACAATTTTACGGTGACAGGAGCAGTCAAAATGCCGATCGCGCACAGCTGGAAAGCCCCGTAAACATCCATGTCAACCGCTCCTGTAATCGCATTAGATATCGGATATCTGGAAAGTATGATATGAACATGAATCCTACTCACCGGGTACATGAAGCGTCGCGAGAACAATTCCGTGTAAGGCTGCGACCGCAGGGAAAAGTAACACAGCAGCCAGGCAAGCATTACGGATCCATTCTTCCTTGCGTGCAAGCACACATGCCGCCATCAAGACGTAATATCTGCAAGCAAGGTCAGGGTCCATTCCGCTCCACCTCGGCGGGGCTTAGACGTACAGATATCGAGTTCCGGGTCCATACTGCCCAGATACGGGCCAGGCGCAGATAACCTCCAGAATTGGATCAGTTGTGTCGGAGGCAAGCGAGGATGTGCTACGCTGCACAAGGGAATTCTCTAAGAAAGCTTCAAAGGACGGAATCGCTGGCATAGCTTGTCACCCGCCTCCAGGCGTAGGTTTAGGGAGGAACAGTAGGTAAGTCATATATTCATAAACACGAATTGGCAATATCTCGGACACGTCATGAATTGAAAGACTGGGGAAGAAGAAAAGGCAGCTCTTTCGGTAGTCTTATTAGCTCCTAGCATACACGGGAATGGGCGTAGAACACATTTCATTTCAGATGACAGATTCGTCAGCATTAGCAGCCTCATTGTGGTGCTGGTGCCTCGGTTTTGCGGGGATCGCACGCCCACACGGATGATTGACCCGTTCGCTTAGTCTCTGGAAGAAGGAATTGCGCCCGTGACGGGTGGCTGGACTGCCAGCAGTGACCCGGGCGCTGGATACGAGACCGGGCATATCACGGCCCCCTGCGTCCCTCTTGATTGGTAGTATTTCGGCACGGGCGTAAATATCACGCAGTGGCTGTGTACATAGCGCTCATTTATACTTTTGGACAGATCCCGCTCTTTCTTGTTGATTTTTCTGGGCAAGAGATGTTCGAGAAATAGCGAGTATATTCCGCAAGACCCTGTGGATCACATAGAGCCGGTGGATGAACGTGGGCAAAAGGGAAAGCGGCACTGGGATTGGACAACGGGTGCAAGTGCGGGGATTCGGGCTTCCAAGGTCTTGGCCTTTTTGTCTTTGGACCTGAACCTGCTGCCCTGCCAATTCTTTCCTTGTCATTAAGGGCGCAGGCTAATCAGTACTGGTAAAGTAAGCCCGTGCTGGCTGCACTATTGCTGATTGCCCATTATTTCCGTGAGGCTTAGATTGAAAAATATTTTCTCTTCCTTGTCACTTGCGGTAAACCGTACAGCCTCATTTGCGGAATATCTTGAAACTTAAAACACCCGATTGCCACCATTCTTTGGAGATCTCTTTAACACATTTTTCAAGGGCAATGAAGATTTAGTCTAGGGGTATTGATGTGATTATGACGACAAATCCATCCGAGTCCACGATTTGATCTCAAGCTCCTGGCAAGGCACGAAAGATACCCGGAAATAAGCTTATTGTGCTCCAATAGCCTATTTGCCTTGAAAGCCGTTTGTCCAAAAAATGCGTCGCTAGGTCACACGAGTCGAATTTGAACCTACGAGGTACTCTTCGTCCCCTTCATTCCGGTACTTAAGCCTTGGTTCCTCATGCCGCACCAAAGTGAAAAGCTGACTGGGTCCCTTTAAAAGGTCGGACCTGCACTCAGTCCGCGGGGATATCTCACACGCGACCACCGTGAACTCGAGCGCTTTGGCGAAACAGGTCGATCATGGCCGCCGATCTGGATACCAACAAAATCAAAAGCTGGCGATCCATAATTACTTTGATTGTTTTTGTTATCACTAGTAAGTGTTGCGCATCATTCAGACTAACACGACTGATTGTTGATTGTTTTGTGTAGATATTATTGTGCTTTTCCCTTTTCACATCCCAATCTATCTTCCCCGATGGCTCGTCAACATAGTCGCGGATGGTCTGGCAGCCATGCGCATAATACCACAACGAAAACCCCATACCCGATATGACCGCTCAATCTTCGTCAAGTTCAACTTCCCTTTGAACTTCATTACAGCACCTCTAATAGCAGATCTCTTCCTGTTGGCGATCTTGGCCATTGGCAGACAAGAAGTACATGACGGGACAGTGGGCGCGGACAACATCTCCCCAATTGATATTATGGCCTTCTTCCTTACTCTGGCCTATATTGCTATCTCGATTGATGCATCAGGTCTGATCAGATACCTGGCTTTTAAGGTTCTCCAGAAGGGAGGCAATCTGGGGCATAGGCTGTTCTTTTACCTCTACGCATTCTTTTTCGGGCTGGGCAGCTTCATTGGAAATGACCCCATTATCTTGTCTGGTACGGCCTTCCTCGCCTACATGACTCGAGTATCCAGCAATATCGTTCACCCTAGAGCTTGGATCCATGCCCAATTTGCCGTGGCCAATATCGCATCCGCTATCCTGGTGTCCTCTAATCCAACGAACCTCGTGCTCGCGGGCGCGTTCGAGATCAAGTTCATTGTGTACACCGCAAACATGATCGTACCCGTTGTCGTCACAGCCATTGTCGTATTCCCGTTCTTGCTCTACATCCTCTTCGCAGATGTGTCCCTCATCCCAGTCTCCATCAAAATGCACGAGCTGTCTGAGGCAGCGAAAGCCCGGAAACCCGTGAATCCAAATATCCCCTATGCCCGGGGCACTGCGGAAGAGGAAGAAGAGGCCAATAATGAAAATGGGAAACTTCTTTCCCTAGAAGAGATCATGAATCCGTTCCTGGATAAAAGCGGTGCTGCCTTCGGAGCTGTGATTATGGCAGCTACTCTCATTACACTTCTAGCACTTAACGCGGCCAGTAACTCTGGCAAGGAACACCCTGTTTACTGGGTCACTTTGCCTGCTGCCTTTGTCATGTTCTGCTGGGATCTCACGTGTGGTTGGATACACCGACATGAAACGCGTGAAATTGCTGCGAAGGGCAGACGAGAGGTTGAACTTGCGAGAGCGGAACGAGAAAGAGTGCAGTCACTCCAGAACTCACCGATGCAGGCTCCAATGGAAGGTGAACACTTGAGAGATTGGCCCCAAAGCCAAGCTACGCAAGGTGGGATTCCTTTCGGTGCCATGGATTCCAGCATCAACACAAAAATACACGAGGATAATCAAATTCCACTGTCAGCTTCTGCGCTGGTGGAGAAGGATCAGTTTCCAGAGATTCAACAGCCCGGTGTCATTGTCCGCGATACCCAGATGTCAGCAATCTCTTCGTCGACCGAGCCCCTGGATGCGCCCGCTGCTTTGGATGCAGAGAAGCGAGGAGGGCTAAACAAGACAGGAAAGCAACAACCAGCCACATTAGTTTCGATCAGCGCCGATACCTACCGATGGATGCAAGAGACATTCCCAACTGTGACAGTAGTAGTTTCCCACATGCCCTTTCCCCTGGTCCCATTCGCGTTGTCGATGTTCGTCCTCGTGCAAGCACTCGTGACCAAAGGGTGGGTTCCAGTGTTCGCCTATGGGTGGGATCATTGGGTTAGCAAGACTGGCACAGTAGGAGCAGTAGGAGGGATGGCATTCCTCTCCGTGATTCTTTGCAACGTGAGTTCAAAATACGCCGAGTACATTACACCTGCTAATTCAATTTCTTTCCTGGGCAAAAGTTCGCTGGTACGAATATCGGAACCACCATTCTACTCTCTCGAGTTATTCAGTCCTGGATGGAGATTCACAAGCAAAATGGAATTCCAATCAGCGATCGTACATTCTGGGCAACAGTATACAGCATGGCCATTGGTGTCAACTACGGTGCCTTCAGCACATCATTCAGTGCTTCATTGGCCGGCCTACTGTGGCGGGATATTTTGGCGAGGAAGCATATCCGCGTCGGCAGCCTTGAATTTGCGCGTGTGAATCTCCCCATTATTGCAATTGCGATGGTTGTTGGATGTACAGTTCTGGTGGGTGAGGTATATGTTGTCCGTGGTACCGGACCTTATGACGCATGAGGTGGATCTGGGCGTAAATGCTTTTTCATAGATTTTGATTATGGCTACATGCCATTAAATAACGAACTCTCCTTATAATCCGGCGGACGAGTTTATGAAGTCTAATGAACTGAATGATTTCACATTTCACCGATAGCGTGGCGTCCATTGACTCCATAGCTCTATCCCGCTCATGAGATACTCAAGGCCCTTGATGTATTTCTCCATCTCGGGCCTCAAAGTGCCACCGGCACTTTCTCTGATTTCCGCTGCAGACTGCGCCAGTACGAGCTCCAGCTCTCGACAGTAGCTGTACATCAGACGCTTGCAAGCAGGGTAGGGCAGACCCGTTTCCTGCGCCAGCACATGAACGGCCGAGAATGGCTGGGCTCCGTCTGTCGAGTGCTCTTGGTATGCTTTCCACTCTTTGTCCCAGCTGTACACATCATTCAAAACTCCCATGAAGCGGAAGGCGGTGCTTTCAGGTGCGGAGGTCTGTTGAAGCTCGCTAGGGCTGAGGTGTAAGTTTGCACCAAATCGAATAAGTGCTGTATAGAACCTAAAAGCCAGTCAGTTCATTGAACCAACCCGGCCTAGCTTCAATGAATACATACGACCTGCCAACGTCTATCTCTCTGCGCTCGAGATACGGGCCAAGATGCTTGATAGTTGTGCGTTCCGGTGCAGTTTGCATCTGCAACAGCGTACAAAATCCCTCTACCAAATCATTTGCCAGGGTTTCATCAATGGTTCGCATAGACTGGAGAGTATCAAAAAGCATCCATTCCACGCAGACTGATCTGTCGGGCTCTTCTTTCCCTCGTGCAATCTGCATTATAAGTTCTCGGTATGACAGCATATCGGCCGCATTCATTTTATCCAGTTGGTCTGAGCTAGTGTCAACTACAAATTCCATCAATCCGAGCTTGAACTCACCATCAATTAAGAGGGCCAGATAATGCATCTTGCACGTCACTTCAACCCGCTCATCGAGCGTGAGCGGGAAAAATTGACTAAAGGCGCGCGAAAACCCTAGAGCAAGGAACCCTTTTTTTTCTTTCTCGCTGGAAAACTTCCAATGCTGCACGAAGCTTGGCTCTACCAATGCTTGGATTGCGTTCCATCCTAGGGAATGGGCCTTAGATTCCAGCTGACTGGGCCCAACTCCATATTGTAGGTGGAAAGGGGCTGCTTGGGCCGTAGAGTATCGCTTCACGGAGGTAGCTGCACATTTTGATGTTGAGAAATTTTGTGGTCGTTTATGAATGCCAGATCTAAGTGTGAAGCTGTACGGCTTTGGTAATACATGCTTGACAGGATGTCTTGCAAAAAGCCACATATTTATCCCTTTTTACCGCCGTGGCCATGCAGGATGCTTCAAACCTGATGTGGGTCTGCGTATATACCTCAATTGAGATTAGCTAAAGCCAGCTCAATTCGAAGGATTGCTTACACAGGACGAGTATTCAGAATTCATACTATAACACAGCTTCTGGGGTTGTTTCCCACCAGATTTCTGTCGACGTCCCAATCGATAAGGCAACGCACGGACCAACATCCGAACTGATGTCACTGTTCCGGCACCTTGCCATCCAAGATTTGACTACATTGCTCCATCTCTCACTAAGAACATCTGGTCATTAGAAATTCAATTCTTTTGCCAGGCTTCCTGATTTCGGCGGCCCTGATACTACTTGCTTTCAAGACTTCATTCTCCAAGCACAGTCACCCCGAGCGACCCATTCTGCCCCACCATAGAATTTCAACTTCGAACAACTAGGGATTTGATTGATATATGCCACGTTCTGTCAATATCCTTGGCTTTCACTCAATCCATACATTCTCTTGCCAGCTCAGCGCGGCGAGGTATCTCCTGGGACTCCGGAAACATAAAACAATCCGACAAACCTCATTCTTCTCAACCATCTCTACAATGACACCCCCAAGGCCAAGAGAAATAAAGGCCCCATGGCGTGACCTTCTAGCCTCGCATCTCAAACAAACCCCAGGCTATGAGTTCACCCTTGGTACAGTTGAATACAACTCCGATGGTGAACCAGTACCCCGTGTCCGCACCTGCGGCTGCCGTGGTTTCTTCCCCGAGCTCGAGCTCCATCCAAGTGGGCAAGAAGACGTGAAGCAGCAGGCTCAGGGTGGTGGGAATCCTGCTAAGTATGAGAGTGATCTGTTAACATTTACAACGGATCCTCGGATGGAGAAGCTCTCCCAAATTGTCGAGTCTGGGTATCATGTTGAGGCTGTATTTTGGCTTCAAGACTTGATGACCCAATGGCGGGTCAAAGGAAGAGCATTCGCCTTTGGAGAACCTGATGCTGAGAATTCGGAGTCTCCAGAGGATACCAAAGCTAAGATACGAATTACTGAGTGTTTGCGCCACAAAGATGATTATGATGAGAGCAAGGAGTGGACCTGGGATAATGTTGTGACTGAGTATTTTGCAAACCATTCTCCCATGATGCGAGGTATGTTCAGGGCTTTTTATGACTGTTTTGTATCTACAATTGGCCTCTGTGTTTTGCAGTTGTTTAAGCGATGTTACTTTTGCTAACCATCGAACTGTTCAGGCTCTTTTCGGTGCCCACCTCCTGGAACACGTAGATCACATGTGCCTAGTGACCCATCCTTGAAGATGGGACAGAAAGTTTCTGATCTACACGATCCTGTTGCCCGTGCCAACTTTAGAGTAGTGGCTATCATTCCTGATGAGGTTGAGCGACTTGACTTATCTGATATGAGCAATGTACGAAGGGAAAAATGGGAATTTGTGGGGTCCGACGATCCAAAAGAATCTAGCGAGCCTTGGGCACACTGTGAATTATGGCCGTGAGAGGCATGATTACTCGTTATGGCACTGTATCTATTTAGAAATAGAATTCATGGTGAATATGTGTGGTCTTTTGTGAATGTAGGGGGTTTCCATTCACCTGCAATGCAAACGGTGCAGTGCGTACTGGAAGGGTAGTTTCTATGTAGAGTATTCAACTGAGTAACCCGTGATAAGTCAAACCCTATCTTAATTGGAACTTTACCTTCAGATTCATTAAGTTCCAAATTCACTGTGATCTAGAGTGTTAGTGAAGCATGAAACCCTTACAATTCCCTTGGTTGTTTGCCAAATTCTGGCATCATTTCCCCTCATTGAACCAACCTTCTTTCCTTTCTTACTGGGTTGTTTGACACTACTTCAAAGCCCTTTTCAAACGTGCCCGTTAGGCTGGACCCAATGGATACAAGTATGAAGACCCAAATTCCCACCATCTCTACGTTCCAAGGCTAATAATCTTGGGTCATCGACAACAGCTGTGGATACCACTGTCCCCAAGGTGGTGAAGAAGCGTGGTGGTCCGGCTTGTTCGGACTGCAAGTCCAAGAAGAAGCGTTGCGCCCATCGTGGTGCAGAGGGTGAGACTGAGTTGGCATCTAAGGCCACGCTTGCTCCGGCCCCGGCTTCTGCTATGAAGACCAGGAAGCACCAGAGAGAGGGCACGATCAAGGTTCGTTCTGTGATATCGTTGCCTAGCTTCAAGTTCTTCCTCTCTTTCTCTTTCTCTTTCCTCTCTCCTTCTTCAACCACCACACTTCACTCCTTCAAGCTCTGTCTCAGCACTTGAAAGCTGACAGCCAACGTGATGGATCAGACTCCGGCCTCCGATGACGCTCCTCCGAGCCCCAAGAAGGTGAAGATCGAGAAGACGACGACCAAGAAGGCCATCAAGGCCAAGACCACCGCCACCAAAGCAAAGGGGAAGGGGAAGACCACCATCAAGGCCGACCCTGAAGTCGATGAAGAAATCCAGACTGAGAAGAAACATCAGCCTGTGAAGCGCGTCAAGCGCAAGCAGGCTGCCAATCCCTCTCCCCCAGATCGTCCTGCCCCTGGCCCTGCCGCAGACGACGCAGACGCCGATGTCACGTCCACTCCTCCGGTCTCTTGTTTCGCCGCCTCAGAACCCATGCCCGACCACCCCACCGATGCTTTGGAGGGCACTATGCGGATGAGCGTGCACACAGTCTGGTCGCAGAAGCTGCAAACGCACCTTGCCGAACTGAAGGCGGACTTCCAAGCCGCCAAGGAAGCAACAGATGCCGCCATCGCCTCTGCTGATGCCGTGGTGGAGACCGTTGAGATATGGGAAGCGATATGGCGCAAGGGCCAGTGATAGTTAAAAAGGTCACATTCACCTGTTGCTGGCCTGGAGCCGTGTATCCTGGTGTGTGTATGTCTTTCTGCTGTTTGACTTCTGTTCCGGTGTACTGTCGGTTTGTGCTTTTGCTCCCAAGGGAGCTAAATGAGATTTACCTTTGTCTGAATAGTCTGCCATCTCCATTCTCTAGACGTACATACCCAGTGATTGATTTGATAGATAAAACCCATCACGTGAGAGTACTTTCACGTGCTTTCAATTAGTCCACTTGCATCGAACACAATTTCAATACTGATCGTTTCCCCAATGAGACGGTCTGGATCGAAAGCGCATGCGATCTCGAGTTTGCGATTGACGGGAGTAGCACGACAAGGAAGGAACGACAAAGCTCGGTGGTCTGCTGTCCAGTCGACGACAAATGGCCAATACAAAAGGAATGCGATACGAGCCCGTCCTGGGCAATACACGAACCTTGGCTGTACAAGCCGAGTACAATACACAGCCAAGCCGACTGAGTGCTGTCGATGGGGCACGATCAGCCAACCATAAGCTCTGATCAGGGCGACGGGGCCACTCCGGCCCCGTCCACGGGTTGTCCCGCGAGAAAAGGATCGGCCCTGCTATGTATCCATCAGTCGCATTGGTAATACAGTAAACACGAAAAATGCAATTTCAAATGATTTTATGTAACTTGAAGTTCTATGAACCCCGTGATTCCCGATCCCCGACCACCAGCGACCGTTACGTGTCATGTCCCGCTTAGGCAAGGTTCCCGCTTCGGTTGAGTGGTTTCCACTTCGTTATGGGGCTGTCATTCCTCTCTGGGATAGGATTGGTGTGTGATCAACTTCAAGTGTTGCTTCTTGTCCACTCTGCCCAGCCCGAGGGTGTGGTTCGGTTGCCAGGGATCTTCGGGTCTGGATAGGGAGGGGATTGTCAATCCCGTCTGCGAGTGTTTCTCCCCGCTCCAAGCGAGGAATGGGCGGTTGGGATTGACCGTTTCTGTTGGGTTGTCCCGCTATTTGGGGATTCTCAAAGCCATGGAGATCCTCGCGAGAGAACGTGGGTCATGCATATCATGATGTTGGAGGGTCAGTGTTAGTTTTGACGGCCTGCAGGATGCCTTTACAAGGTTTTTCACCGCTCCTTAAGTGTCACGGACATAAGCCCAATCTCTCTGTAGGGCCCCAGCGAGTAGCCTTGATATCCATGTTTTAGGAAAGCCCTCAACTTGGTAGGACCAGGAGAATTTAATAGTAAACCTCAGGCAATAATAAATACTGATACAGCGTACAGTACATGTTGAGTGGGGAGTGCTTTGGTTGTGTTTTCCGGCAGATTATTTCCGTATTGAACTATGCAAAAGTACAGTGGATCATACCGTAGCGTGACCATACCCTTCCAAATTCTGGATTCTTCCCCGTCTTGAACTTTGGGTTATTTGGGGTTCTTTTTCTTCTTTACAACCCCTCAACATTATTTCACCGACTCTCCCTCGACCACGGAAATATATTGGTCGCCTCTTTCTCGAGATAGGAAACGGAACATAGGACGCCTTTCTTCATATTCCCCTGTCTTCCGGACACGACATCACGACGAAACGAACACATTGAAAATACCCCGTCTATAGATAATTCGTCCCCTTTCCACCTACGCCTGATCCTCGCGCAGGTCACCTCTATATATTCCTTTCGGTCGAATTATTCATTGCCAGAGTCTCACCGGCATGGCTGCATCCATGGATGCGCTGGGGGCCTTCACCCATCTTCAGACCAACCTGCCCGCATGGATCACCCGTGTCTCCGAGCTGGCAGCCCACGCCTCTGCCAGACATGCCGAATACTCAGAAGCCTACCAAAAACACTCCAAATCCAAAGCGCGCCGCCGCAAGAACAGCTCCGTATGCTCTATCCGCACCGATAACCTCGTCCCGATCGCACAGCAGAAAACCCCCGGCCCGGAATCCGCCACAGTCAACACTTCAATGTGCAAGGAGGAGAAGGTGCTGGCCCAACAGGCCGGACGCAAACGCGGCACCGACGAAGCGCCATCGATCGACTCGAACGAACGTTACGACTTTGTCAGCACCCGCCACAATGTCATTATCGACTACGATGGCCACACACAGAAAGTCCTCGAACAGATTGTAAAGGATATCGGCATCGCCAGGAACAACATCCGCCGTGGCAAGATGTCAATGATGCCTCCCCGCATGGGAATCCGCTCGAATGCTCTCAGCAGGACTGCTGTTGGCGCATCTCCCGAATCATCTATCGCCTCTCTGGCCTGCGTCCGTAGCACACGAACCGCGACCGGCTTGGTAGGTGTGACCGGAACTTCGAACGGAATTAGCAAAGACTCGCCTTTTGATTTCTCCGACAAGCAGTTGGAGCTCGCGCACGGTCTCTGCGAAACAGCCGCCTTCCAGGTTCTCCGGTCCGGCGACTGTGGAACCGAACTTGATGGTGTCGAGGAGAAGTTCAAGATGTTACTGGAAATGACCACCAAAGAGGTCGCCCGTCTGGAAGAAGAAAAAGAAGAAAAGAAGAAACGGGAGGAAGAAGCGCCCGAAGAGGAGATAGAGGAACCCATACCGCCACCTCAGACTTCAACTGCCGCTCGACTTGCTCGTATAGCAGCCCTTTCAGCAAACAAGCCCTCGACTTCCGCAACGGGCACTATCGAAGTCGACGACGATTCCTCTTTATCGGCAGAGTCCCTCGAACTCGACCTTTCTGCATTCCGATCCTCGAGAATCCGAGTCTAGACTAAGTCAGGCTTGAAGTCGGGCTCCTCTCCTCTATTAGCGATTAAGCGTGTTATCGAGCCATATCCAACCACATCATTGCCTTCCTGGTTGATCTTGTCGATATTCATTCCCAGATACCTTGTTTTGCCTTTGTCATTTCTTATCTGTCTGTGAGGTAATTCAGCCGCCAGCCTACGGCTCTCAAGCACGCATCTACCGTGTTGTCACTTCTTTTTTCCACAATTCTTGCCTGTCTTTGACTTTCTCCTTTTTTTCAATTGGGAAACTTGTTTTTGAGTGCGATATATCCATTTTCTAACCATCATTCTGCATATTTGCGAGCACGCACCTCATCACATGGAGCATACGGCGTTATCAACGGTGTTTTATTTGTTTGTTTACATTTGCATTATCTTGGCCACTATTCCGTATCTATCCTTTCTCAGGAATTCGAATCTCTTTTATTTTGTGATTTGGAGCGCACAACTTGAGAGTAAACCCATTCTCTCTATCCTCATACAGGTTGTATATTGCGTAAAGCCTGGCTCGTGCAACATAGTCAAACCCACAAAATCAACATGTAGCAATCTCCTCTGGGCAAAAGAAATCAGGATTTCAATCCTGCAGAGTTCGTCATGTACTCTACAACAAACTTTTTCTTTCTGCATTCAATTCTTCCCATTGGATCCCAAGACTCTGCCCATATTAAAATAAATTGGGGACATGCGTTCGCGGCTCACAGTGCATGTTCGGTCGATCAAGCTCCTTGTACAATTTTTTTTGACATGAATCGTCATCTCTGATTCGTCCTCTACCCGAGGCGGGGTCCTGTCATTCCCCACGATACTTGCATTCGAAACACTGGCATGCGAGGCTAAGATGCAACGGTTGATCAGTACAGTTAGGATGAGGGGCCAGTATGGGTACCCAACTGTCTTACCCTAGCGACCAGCCAACAATAGTCCCCGTGCACACAACCCACACGCAAAGACGTTGAGACTAGTACTAGTGGTTAATATAGAAATTTATTGGATAATATGGACCCTGTGCCGAACTCCATGGATACCTACAGTATATTGTAGGTGCTGAGTGAGATGAAACATCTATCGCTCAACTCAAATGCCATGTTACAGAATTCCCACCACTCCACTCATACGTATCTGAAACAATCGAAACGACTCGAGACACAGGTCACAAAAAGCGACATGGTAGTTTGGACTGTACGCGTGCCTGCGCGGCATCCGACGGTATGTGGGGTCTAGACTATAGTGTCTACATAGGCAAACAACAAGGAATATAAAACTTAGCTGCACCTAACGACGAACTAGCAGGGAATGAGAGACGCCGACCGTGTTTTTTTCCGCGAGGTTTCTTTGTTCCGCAAGCTCTACCACACACGTAAATGGAGGCTTACAAGGCAAACGTATAGCGATCGGGTCGCAAGTGTATTTTGAGGCTGGTCTAGACATTGACTATCGGTACCTTTGTCGATCATGGTGGAGTGGTTGTCTGGGTGAGGCGCCAGCTGAGTTCATTTTGGCCCCCTGTTCAAGCCTCTAGACGAGGAACTACGAAAAAAACACCACCTACATCAGTGGCTTTTCGGCAATTCGTTTCTCTTGCCTTGACATGATAATAGGAGAATGAAAATGCGAACTGAACAGAATCTTGCTTGCCTTGAAGATCACAGAATCAAATTACTTACAGATGCCAGCGCATCGGGGGAGTATATCTCCATATTTTTCCATTGGAAAAGATCGACCCAAATACCGAATGCAGGCAAATACAAGTACCAATACACAGCTTCCAGAAAACGATAAATACAATTATACAACGGGAAAAAAGGGCAATAACAGCACTAAATCCTTCGGTTAATCCACCTGGCCCCGCATACCCGTCCCCCCGGAACTTGCAGCTGTCATTAATTGGCCCGTCAGAGTAGAGTGACTTTTGTGTCCGCATTAGGAATTTCCCGGAACATTAGTTCAAAGTACTTTACGGGGGACGACATAAGTACGATGCAGAGAGGGGTTGTGGCGGCTTGTTCAGCAAGGCAGCCGCAATGGTTCCCATGACTAGATATAAATGAACAGAATTGGAATGATGAATTGCGAGTGCGAAGACGGGTCTTATCTGAATGATTACTAAAGCGTATGGCCTGTGATCTGGATCGGCTCTGTTATCTATCCCCTTTATTTGAGAGGTTGGGGCCAGTTTCGTGTATGTGGTCCCGAGGTCCCTGTAAAAGACCGGGTGGTGATTGTTTTGTGTTGATTTAGCTTGTTTCTAAGGCCACCAACGCTGACTCTCTAATGTAGCCCTAAAATGTAGACTAAATTAATCATATCTACGAAGTATCTGCTGCGAGCAGGGGTAGGTGTCTAGACCAGTCGCTTTGCGCGTCAAAATAATGAATTGGAAATAAGATACATGGTGTTTTTTTTTTTCTCTTTTCGAGTCCATACACGATGACGGCGTACATAGTATATACGGCGTGTACGAAACAGCAGACAATCTGTATCTTTGCAGGGTGCCTCGCTCCTACTAGCCGCATTGAACGGGTGTCAAAAGTGTCCGGTTAATGCTGCACCCCTGCTAGTAAAAGGCAGTAGCCAATTAGCGGCTGCCACAGCTGTTGTTTATGATAATGATCACTGTGATTCGGTGCTTTACTCAGAACTGTTACAGAACCGCGTGTCTGGGATTCGCAATTGAGCCGGATTTTAAAATTGGCTGTGACGATACTCCTGCCTACATAGGCAAGAGGTGCGATAAAAACACAAATATTTGATGATATTGCGGGGTTTGCGACGGCTGTGGAGTACTTGAGTGAATGCGACTGTAAGACGTAAGCGCAGTGCTAAGAAATAAATTTCCTGAATAATGCGGGTCGAGTCTGGTCTTTAGGATCTGCATGATGTTTTTAGGTTGTGGCAACTTGGGGGCTGCGTCGTATATGCTCGGGATTACATTTGCGGGCAGTTGGCCAGGATGGCCTGCAGATTACTATGATGCGGACCGGGAAGATTCCCACTATCAAGGCTAGTTGTTTTATGTTTTCTGGGGGTGCTCCGCAGTCTCACCGCAGATACAAGACTTTACTCTCCATTTTACCGAGAGTTCCTTGTTTTGGGGAATGAAGTAGGGAGGAAATTCCAAATAAACCGCAGGCATTTGTATGCAGCGGGCCACGATGGGGTTATTGGAGAGGTTGGACCCCAAATTGCCGTGAAGATCGACAAGGTGCATTCGGCCGAAGAAGGCTGGGGCTGCATTACATTACCGTAGGATTGACATCATGAAGATCGAGCAATCAATTTCAAACCATCAACCATGGAAAGTCAGTTTTCTGAGTCTCAACATTTATTGGAATATGACAATCTAGGGGCACCGTGGAAATCTTAACCTTGAACTTGGAAAGCCTGGCGTTCCAGGACTGTCCTAGGTTGGAATTCAGAGAGATTTAGAACGATCACAGAATTGGATTTACATTGGGAAAAATCTCCAAAAAAAAAAAAAAAGTGATATAATACATTTCACATTGCACAACTACTCGACCATAACGTAAACATCAAGACCAGTGTCATGGCAACATTCTCAAACATTATGAAGGACATGACGTGTACATCAGCCATATTACGAATATAAATACTGTAGATGTCAAGCTCGAAGCCAACCTAGACCCCAGTCCAAAGGGCAGTGTCTACAGCCGGTCGCTCACTCAACGTTCATCGACATCAAAGGAAATTAGGCACAATGGCCGAAATCAGAGCCGACCAGTTCCCAGGAACCGATCGGTTGGGTATCAAAGTAGACCAAGAGGTCAAATCCAAAATCCAGGGGCACGTAGCATACACCATCGCGATATCTATCGGACAGATAAAACAACGGACATGACAAGCTTAGATGGAGATCTTCTCCTCGTAGATCGGGGGCTGGCCCTTCTCCACGTTCCAGTTGATCTTGTTCTTCTCGTCAAGCCAGGAGTCCTCATCGGTGATAGCGATGACACGACTGGTGTGCGCAACCTCCTGCTTACTGATTCCCAGGGAATCACGGGGAATCCAGAGCAGAGGGGGCTGGGCAGTGACGGCGGGGTGCAAGTAAGCATCGCGCTCAGCATCCTCGGGGTAGGACTGGATATCCAGAGGGTTGGGCACCAGACGACGCAGAGCAGCATAGTTGTGGTAGATGTCGGGACGGGCCCAGCGCACCAAGAAGTTGGCCTTGGGGGGAGCGGCGGTGGAGTCACCGTTAAGACCCTTCTCAGCGGAGTCAACATTGCCAACGCCGCTGTCGACATTGGAAACACCGTTGTGATCCTTCTCGACCAGAGGAGCATGAGCACCGTTAGTCTCGTCAACTGAGCCTAGCTCCTTGCGGTCAAAGGCCAGAAGAGCCTCCTCCTCAGCCTCGAGATTCTTGGGGAGGTAGTGAATGAGCGGCTCCATGGCGCTGTTCATAGCCATGTGGTACAGGATGGTGAAGACCAGGAAAATGATCATGAGGATCAGGGGACCGACGGCCATCTGGTTAGAGCCACTGGCAATAGCGAACAGACCGATCAAGCACACAATCAGGATGTAGCAACCAACAGTGAGGTGCTGCAGAGCGCGAGTGTAGGCCTTGCCCTGGGTATCGATGGTGGCGTTCGACACGTAGAGCACGTTGTACCGGTAGGCGAAGTAGAACAGGTACAGACCGATGCACGAGAAACCCATAACCAATGGGGCAATGCAAGAGTAGATGATACCTATTGTTTATTAGAATCGTTACTGTGGCCATGGAATGGAGGGAAACATACCAATGGTGGTGAGCATAGTGAACACGGGGTAAACAGTTCCCCAGGTGAGACCAGAAAGGTTGGACCAACGCTTGTACATCTTGCGAGGAGTCTTGTCGAAGAGTTTACCCAGGATCTTGCCAACAATCAGACCACTGATCTGCAAGAGAGCACCAGCGCTGAAAGACAGACCCTGCAGAACAATGTAGGAGATGTAGAAGTTCGAGGCGCGGGGAATGTTGCTAGCAAGCAAAGTGGCCGCAGATGAGGGGTCATCGATGATGGAGGTGATCACACTGGTAGCGGCAGAAGACAGAGTAACCACCAGGAAGACCTGAACGACCTGGAAGGCGAAGTAGTAGTTCTGGGTGGTCAGCTCAACAGCCGCCTGGCTGGGGTCACCGCCAATCTTGGCCATGATGCGCATGATGATCGGAACCAGGGCCATGAGAACGGCCATCATGATAGAGGGCAGGAGACCAGTGATCACACCCTTGATCCAGCTGGGGACATCGTTGATGAAGGACAGGAAAGGAACCTTGGCAACCAGGAAGTTAATGTTGGAGATACAACCAACAACGGCAGTGGGGATAGCCCAGAAGATAATCAACGCGCAGACAAAGGCAACGGTGGCGCTGTGGCGAACGAGACGCTCCCACCACTTGATGCGGAGGTTACTCCAGATCAGCTGAGTGGGGTCCAGGCCAATGTAGCGGGGCGACATATGCAAAGGAAGGTTGTGAGTGACAGACTGGTAGGCACCCTGGGCATCAGACTGGTGGTAGAACTCGACAAACACAGAAGTGACGAGCTTAGCATCACCAGCACGGTGCTTGGCCTGCAACTCCTCAATCTCGGGGGACAGACGCTCAATTTCGGATCGGCACCAGTTGATAGTGTCAACCTTCTTGCCAATGAGCAACTTCAGGCGGTGGGTAGGGCGGTTCTTGGCCTCAACCCAGCGCGCAGCGACGGAGCCAGACTCATCATCAAACTGTCCGATCTCCTCTTCAGCGTTACCATCCTCAGGGATACCCTGCTTCTTCAGGGCCTTAGCACGGGCCTTGTTGGCGAGCATAATGAGCTTGGTTTCGGCACCCTCGAGCTTCATGGCAGCATCATCACGCTCCTTAACCTTGTCCTCGAGCTCACTGGTATCGGTTGCAAGCCAGACATTCTTGACCTTGGATTCGCCCCAGATACCACGAATCTTGTCCTTGTTGAGGTAATCCTCAGTCACCGCAGAGAAAAGCACGGTGCGGGAAGAGATACGGCTGGCGTAGGCGGGAGAAAACAAGTAGGCCTGGCGCAGGTTGATGAAGTAGATGTGCTCACGGGTGATCATGACGAAAATGAATCCAACGTAGATCCACGCGAGGAAGCAGTGGGCGTAGTAACGACCATACTGATCACTGGACACGTTGGACATGCTCAGCAGATCCAATTGAGTCTGAGTACCACCGCCAGTGGCATTGACGGGGAAGAGAATGGGCCAGATGATAATACAGCCGACAAGCATGATCAAAGAGATGGTCTTCAGGAAGCGCAACAGGAGGTAAGCATCCATGGAGTGGTGCTGCAGGACGTAGGTATCGGGCAGCTGGTACATGGAATTGACCCAGTTCCAAAAGCCGGTCGGGGTATCGGGGGTGCGCTGCCAGTCCTTCAGGTAGCCGATGTATGTGCGGGGCATGTACATGCGGTGCTCCCTCTTACGCAATAGAATGAACAGGAAGACCATGACGGCGAACGAGATCAAGGACGGAACCAGGGTGGTCAAGAAAGCGGACGCAGAGCTTGAGGTGTCACTCACGTCGGTCTAGAGCCATTGTTAGCGGCCATCGGAATTGAGATGTTTTGCGACAGCAAATAGCATACCGCACGAGCGACCAGCCGGTCGATAGTACCGACGTAGTCCACCATGATGAATTTCGACACGAGCAAGCAAAACGCAGGTCGAAACTACACGTGGGGGTGTCGAAAAGAGGGGAACAAAATACTCTCCCCAGATTGAGATTGGGGAAAAGGAAAGGAGAGAAGAGAAAGGGAAACAGCGAAGGTTTAAGCTTGAAGAGGGGCCCAGTGTTACGATCAGCGATCTGAGCTACGCAACACTAGTCAATTTTTGAATTTGCAGGGGTTGGCCTAGCTCAATGCTGCTCTTTTCACTCACTTTTCCTGCCCCCTGTTTGCTACTTAAACTGGAATAGCTCATCTGACTCCACTTTTTAATTTGAAAGTGGCGAGTGACTGATCGATCCAGACTTGCTCTGGCGCTGGAACCCCGATTGCAATCCTTGAATGCGACGATCGGTTTTGATGCCCGGTTTAGAGATCGATGACTCGATGAGCAAACACAGCCACTGAAACTATGATGGATTTAATTGCCTCTGATGCGTTGTCTATCGGCGCGTAAGAGATACGGAGAAGTCCGACCTGCGCCACCACGTTTCCAGCCACACCAAATCTACGTAAAATCTCCCCAGCCCACACTAGTCAATGCACTAAAAAAGCACCACTTTTTCTGGCCCCGCAAGGGATGCATATCACACAGGAAAACAATCCCGCGGCATCTGACTTGACTCTCTCGCTACCGATATCCAAATACTCCACTGAGACGTGATTCTTCTCCCCTAAGAATCTAGGGAGCGAACTCTATACTGCAGTAGTCTCCTCGAGCAGCAATTCTCTTGCGGCCCAAGAGTTTTAATGTGCCGCGATTAGGCAAATTCACATGGAAAAAAAGAAAAGAATTAAAAGATCGTCGACTAGGGCCATGGTTGCGATGATGAGCGAGACCGAACATGGTTGGATCATCGAATCGCGCTAAGTACCACTAGTGGGCTGCACTATTGAGGATCTGACCGAAGCCTATGACAGCATTTTGCCCAATTTCACTCCTTTTGACTAAGGTAATGGATTTCACTTCGCATTCAATGGGCATAGTGGATTGTTAGCATATCCTTCAAAACATAACGTCAAACACAAAATGTTTAATTCTTCCCCTGTTTCGGAATGGGGAAGTCACAGGGCAAGGGGCAGTGTTACCGATCCATAGGGCGGTATGATGCGGTGATATCGTCATGATAACCAGGGATCGTCGATCCCTTTACTGTCCCGTTTTCAATAGAGTGTGTGTACCTGGGAGGTACACTTTCCACTCAATTTGCGTTAGGAAGGTACCTTCGGAGAACTTTGCGTTCGCCGGTCCGCTTTCGCTCGGGCTCCACTATATCGCATCCACCGCATTTCGCGCTAGCTATGGACAAGTCACTGGGGGATTTTTGTGTTTTTTTTTTTTTTTTTTTCTATTGTATTTTTCCGCACCAATTTCTTTTTTTTTTTCTGATATCAAATAACGTGCATCTTATGGGTTTGGTCTGGTCCACGCACCCGCGCACGGCCATGGTTCGGCTTCAAGCTCTATGACGATTACATTTTATCCTGGTTGCCGGGTCCTGCCAAGCCCACGTTCGGCCCAATTCAAGTGCCTGGCGCACTTTTAAGAATTTAAAACGCCGGGCCACGCAATCGAAAAAGGCAAAAAACTGGGCTATGATTGATCTCATGCAGAATGGTTTATTTCATTGTGGGTTACTACTTGGATCCATCAAAAGATCTTCCTGGAACTTGTCAATGCCACGGATCGGAGGACGCAGCGTCAAAAAGCTCATCAGGATCTCGTTAAAATGAAATTGCAGGTCTGGTCGGAGCTTTCGTTGTGATTTTATCATATCACCGGCGGTCCATGCACGCTCGGGGTTTCGTAGGTCAGGCTCACAGCCTTGTTCGAGCAACAGCCACAGTAGGGTTTCGCAGGCTGGGTGTCGGTCCAATTGATGCTGTGCAACAAGAGAATTGAGATAGATCAAAAACCGTACCGTCTTGTCGGTCGAGTCTTTGAAATCCCACAACGCCGCAGTAATGTAGATGAGGGCAGCGGTTCGACTGACTTCCTGGGTTTGAGGATCACGGACCACGTACATGCGCGAAGCGTGTGGCACCTGCGATGGCCGCGGTCCACTCGAAAGTAAGGAGAACAGCGGACACTCCATCTGGAACATGTCGCGCCTTTGCGGCGCCTGTGCGAGGTATTCTGGGGCACTATGCTGTCGCATTATGTCTTCTGCAGCTCGAAGAAACGCCACCATCCATTGCGGGGCCGCTGGATCAACCACGGTCGTTGGTGGTGGTGGTAAGATAAGCCGTACATAGTGGAGAAATGCTTCAACCGGACGGTTGATGCCAGTACGTGGACGCATGATTCGTGCAGCTTGTTCTAGGTAGGCTTGGGCGTCTGGTTTGCTGCCAAATCGATCCTCCCCGAGAGCCATACCCGCCATGGCCATTGCGAGGTAATCTTCGTTGACCAGTAAAGACCCTGTAGTGGCATCTTGAATATTCTTTCTGGCCTGTCCAACATGGCGCTGGACTTCTTCGCTATTAGGGTTTTCCTGAATCAGACCCTTGAACCGGGCACAATATGTCAGGATCACCGCCTGGAAAGACACAGGGTGACCCATGGCGGTTCGGAACATCTGGTCCTTCACATAAGGGTTCTGTCCGGACCAGTATGTTAACTTGTTCGTCCAATACTCCGCAAGTTCCGCATCTTCGGCTGTTTGCGTGAATGGAGGGTTTGAAAACGGGTCTCTTCGCGATTTCTCGATCGTCATCTGCGGGACGAGTTGCATAGGCATTGGCTGTGCGTATGGTTTGATTGCGGAGAATCGAATGGGAAGCTAGAGTTCGTGAACTTGGTAAGCACTGTTTCTTTTTCGTTCCAGGACGTACAAGCCCAAGGCAAACGGCCCTTATGGCTAGGTGATTCATACCGAAGACTCCTGCTCGGCCGAAGGCCCTGCGCTGGCCGATGCGATTTCCTTCTTGTTATCAGTATTATTTGCCGAATCCTCCTTGGCCTGCCAGGAGGTCAGTTCTTGGATCTGCTCCGGGGGTATCGTGCCGTGGGACATTTTGCGTTGCTTTCGTTTCTCTTGGACGTGGTGTCGCATAACATGGGCGCGTTTTTCCTTTGAGGATGAGCTGGAGTCGACGAAATAAAACATCTGGTTCTTCGCCTGGTTTTCCGCGCTGGCCGGACGCCGGCGTCTTCTTGATTTGGCTGTATTGCCATCATTTGCGGGCCCTGTTTAATGATGAGTATTCTGAATGATTCAAAATCTCCGCTAGTATGAGCATACCCGGAACATCCGGCGCAATGGCCGGCGGGGCCTCTGCAATGGCCTCTGAGTCTACCTGGCGTTCGCTGCCTGACATCTCGTGGTATCTGGGTTGATTCGAACGTAGCCGCTACAGCAGCATGCCGAACCACCGATCACCAAAGTTCCTCCAGCCTTGAGACCCGGGATTTGGGAACCATCGCAGGCTCTGAATCAGAAGTGGATCGATCAAGGGCGTAATGATGCGCACCCGGCAGGGTTGAAGTGGTGATTAACGCTAGACGACTCAGGTAGTTATACTAGCGGTAATGCAAGGCGACGGAGATGATGCAGTAATAGTCTTCCACGGAGGATTCAGCGTGGGGCACACCCAGTTCCCTTCGCCCGTGCAAAGGCGATGACGATTTTAAGAACGAGAAAATAAGGGGGTGGGGGGGGATTTCCAATAAGAAATAGATGAAAAGGTTAGGAAAGGAGGGAGTGTAGTAATATTATTAAAATCACCAAGTAATCGCCTCTCGAGATCCCGAGTTAACTCCCCGAAGACCCAACGAGAGACCCAGTGGAGGGGAAGAATGCTATCTGGGTTTAACCTAAAAGAGGCTCAGCAACGCCAGTTACAAGTGGATCCTCCATTTTGGCAACCCAAAGAAGAAGTTGATCCATGTCTTTCAAGGGGGTGAAGGGCTGAAGAAGAGCTCTGGTTGGTTGGCATTGGCAACCTACCGAAGTGATCGGGCTTTGTTCGGCTTAGGGCGGAACTTGGAGAAGTTTGCTCCTATTACTTGTTTGGGCCATCGCCACGTGGCAGAGGTCACATGGTACCCTGTGACTCGTGCTTATGTAAAAACCACTTAACGCGTATGAACGAGGGACGCGACGTGGACGCGTTCCACGAAAAAAAGAGTGCCCCCTGTGTGTGCCTATGTTTCTATTGATCATATCTCTCTTCCCACTCCCTGTATCCCCCCTCCCCCCTCCTTCCTTTCCCACCACGGTATCTGCGAGAGCTTGATCAATTTGCTGCGGCCTGATTTTTAGGCCCTTCACGCTCTCTATACCATGTCTTCCCTATTTGATGCCGTTCTTCAATCCGAGCTAGGCTCCGGGTCGGTCGCCCGTGAGCACTTGCGATCCGATCACCTCCCGAGCTCTCGCCGCTCCGAGAGCAATGGCCCCATGAGTGATATGAACACTTTTCCAGATGACCAAGTTGTCGGCGCAGGCTCTTCGGCAGTCAGCCGGCTACGGAATCCCTATGCACCAGGCCCCGCGCCCGTGATCGATGAGGCCGGAGAGAAGGTGCAGCAGGCATTCCAGGAAATGCTTTCAACATTCATGGAGGAGCCTTCATCATCTGCCCCACCATCATCAGGAGAGATTCTGAGCGACAAGTACTATGTAGCCCAGATCAAGGGCATGAAAAAATTCGAACTGTCCACCCTTTATGTGGACTTCACCCACCTGACCTCTATGGAAAACCCCATTCTGGCCGACGCCATTGCCAGCCAATACTATCGTTTCCTCCCCTTCCTTACTAAGGCCCTTCACAACCTGGTCGCCAAAATTGAACCGGAATACTTCTTGTCGCATCGCCTGGCCTCGACCGCCTCGACCCGCTCCAATGCCTCGGTGTCCAAGGCCTACGAAAATGTTCAAGATCCCGACAAACTGGACAGTCAGCATCGCGGCAAAACCCGCCACCAACAGACCGACAAGTTGTTCGCCCTGGCTTTCTACAACTTGCCATTGGTCTCCAGACTTCGACAACTTCGTACATCGCAAATCGGAAAATTGCTATCGGTCTCCGGAACTGTGACCAGAACTTCTGAGATCCGGCCGGAGCTGTCTCTAGGCACCTTTATTTGCGAGGGTTGCAGGACTGTTGTGCCCAATGTGGAACAGACTTTTAAGTACACTGAGCCCACCGAGTGTCCGAATGACACATGTGGTAACCGCAATGGCTGGCGCTTGGACATTGGCAAAAGTACCTTTGTCGATTGGCAAAAGGTTAAGCTTCAAGAATCTTCCCACGAGATCCCGACTGGAAGCATGCCGCGCACGATGGATGTTATTCTAAGAGGCGAGATGGTCGATCGCTGCAAGGCCGGTGAGCGCTGCATTTTCACTGGTACCTTGATTGTTGTCCCCGATGTGAGCCAGCTAGGATTGCCCGGTATGCGTCCCGAGGCCGTCCGTGATAATGGTTCTTTCCGTGGCAGCGAGGTTGGTGGCGGCGGTGTCTCTGGCTTGAAAGCCCTGGGTGTCCGTGATCTGACCTACCGACTGGCTTTCCTTTCATGCATGGTCACCCCCGATACTTCAACTCCTGGCCAGAAGCCCGAACAGCAACTCAGTGGCCAATCTAACAACATTCTGGCCTCTCTTAACCAAAACACCGATCCTGACATGAACGAAGATAAGGCCCAAGAGGCCTTCCTCCAAAGTCTCACGCCTAGTGAGGTTCAGGACTTGAAGACCCTTGTTCACTCAGAATACATCTATTCACGACTAATTGATTCGATTGCTCCCATGATTTGGGGTCATCGCCAGATCAAGAAGGGTCTGCTGCTGCAATTACTCGGTGGTGTGAGCAAGAATACCTCCGCCGAGAGCCTTAAGCTGCGTGGTGACATCAACGTCTGCATTGTTGGCGATCCATCCACCAGTAAGAGTCAGTTCTTGAAATATATTTGCTCACTGCACCCCCGTGCAGTCTATACTAGCGGTAAAGCTTCATCTGCCGCTGGTTTGACAGCTTCAGTTGTGAAGGATGCCGAGACTGGCGAGTTCACCATTGAAGCCGGTGCACTGATGCTGGCCAATGGCGGTGGTATTTGCGCTATTGACGAGTTCGACAAAATGGACATTGCCGACCAGGTGGCTATCCACGAAGCCATGGAACAGCAGACCATTTCCATCGCTAAGGCCGGTATTCACACCACTCTGAATGCTCGCGCCTCCATTCTCGCTGCTGCCAATCCCATTGGAGGTCGTTACGACCCGAAGCAAACCCTCCGTCAGAACCTGAACTTCAGCGCACCCATCATGAGTCGATTCGATGTGTTCTTCGTCGTTCGCGACGAGCCCAAGGAGCAGGTGGACCGCAACCTGGCTGAGCACATCGTCAACGTGCACATGAACCGCGACGAGGCTGTTGAGCCTGAGCTTAGCACTGAGCAGCTTCAGCGCTACATCCAGTTTGCGCGTACCTTCCGCCCCGTTTTCACTGACGAGGCTAAGACTCTTCTTGTTGAGAAGTACAAGGAGCTCCGGGCCAACGATGCACAGGGTGGTATGGGTCGCTCATCCTACCGTATTACTGTCCGTCAGCTCGAGTCACTGATTCGTCTGTCCGAGGCCGTCGCCAAGGCCAACTGTGTTGAAGAGGTTACTCCCAAGTTCGTTATTGAGGCTTACGATCTCCTCCGTCAGAGTATCGTGACTGTTGAGAAGGACGACGTTGAGATGGATGACGATGCTACAACCTATGATGACGAAGACCAGGAAATGGCCGACCGTGACCGCGAAGGTGACAGCCCGATGCGCGAAGACGGCGAAGAGGCCCAGGCCAAGTCGGAACGTCCAAAGACCAAGATCACTTACGATAAGTACGCGAAGATCTTGAACTTGCTTGTGCGACGAGTCCGCGAGGACGAGGTCAACGCAGAAGATGGTGTTGAGCACGAAGATCTGGTTCTCTGGTACCTGGAGCAGATCGAAGGCGAGATGGATACTCAGGAGGATTATGCCCGCGAGCGTGACCTGGTCACCAAGGTCTTGAAGCGTATGACCAAGGTATGTCATATCTCGATTCCCTTCCGCTATATATTTGAACAAATAACTAACCAACCCTGTCACAGGAGGGTATCCTACTCCATATAAACGATGAGGGCAGCACTGGGCAGCCCGGCGAAGAAAAGAAGGTTTCCTACGTGTTGCATCCTAACTGTCCTTTCGAGGAGGTATGAAGTGAAGTGTAATATTGCACCATATTTCTCGACTGGGTATTCTTATTGTGTATTTCCTGGGATCGGTCATTTTTAGCATTTTCAGGTTGGATTACAAAGGAGCTAAGGGGTCATGAGTGATGATATCCGTTTTTTTTTTTTTTTTGGCGGCTTTATAGTACTTGACAGAGTATGAATGTATGATTCAGAACTGCATATTGATTACACGGAAGATAGCCACACCTATTACTACCCTAAGTCGAATTTCCTTTGCATTTTAGTGTGCAGTCATCGATCCCAGTCACTCCTTCAAGCCCTACGTTAGCTCTTTCGCCACTCTGCTAAGTCCGGTCATATCCCTACGTCCCAATGATCCAATCATCGTCTTTTTGCGCCTGGGCAGGCTGCCCCTTTGTTTCCGTGGGTTTTCCCTGGTGGTGTCCGGGCCAGCCCCAATGGCGTCGTTGTTTTGGAAGGGGAACATTATCTGATTGAGCAAGCTTGTTAGTATATACCAGATGCAGGTATCCAGACAAGGAAAAGCGAGATCATACCATTTGCCGTACCGGCAATGGCCTCGTTGACGTGAGATTCAGGCTGAGAAGGCTCGGACTTTTGCTTGAGCAGCTCTGTCTCAGAAGGCCTTCTTGCGTCTGGGGCCTCGGGGGCCTCGGTTGAGTCGGCCGAGCCTTGACGCTGGCGAGGGTGGAACGCTTCAGAGGCTCTGCGGAATAGGTCCGACATAATAGAATAGAGGTTTCCAATAAACCAATTTGAGTGATTTGATTCGTGTAATTATGGTGATAATTTCAACGTAACTGGATAGCTCCTAGCCTTCCACCTTTCCTCTATATATAGTTAACATACTACATAGCGAATGACATCATATGGCCTCATTGATACGTACAATGTCTTCGTGATCACACACCTTATTCCAAATGAATAAGAAAGCTAGAATTGCCACTAAAGCTACTAAATTATCGATAAAATTGGTAAATGCAAAATGAACGCATCATATGTGGAGGTCGACCTCGGGACTTGAAAGGCCATTGTAGGAGGCCGGGTCCAACAGACCTGGGATCCGACGCCTCCGAAAGTATATTGCTATTCTGGGGCATATCAGATGATGCACACCAACTTGGGCTTTAAATTCAAAACAAGTCTGAATACTTACTAGTTGTAGCTGCCCTGGCCCGAAACGAGGAACCAGTGGAGGTGGCGACGAGCAGCTGTCGTGGAACGAATGGCCTTCAGAATGGGAGCAAAACCGCACTAGCGAAAACAACCTCGAGCATATTTTCAAGCCTAAATTTCAATCAATCTTCCTGTTGTATATACGGCTTCACATGTACAGTCTACAATAATAGGAATCACTCATTCTTTTGAAGTACAATAGAACAATCAAAGAAAACGCAAGGATGGGATAGCGACTATTTATACACACTTGGAACCTTGGAAAAGACAGCAAAAGTTGGGCATTTGACAGTGAAGTGGGTTATAGCTATTAACTATTAGCAAGTTTTAGACTAAGAAAGCACAAAACTATCCGACAAGGCTATTGCCAGTGCTTTGGTCCCAAGGCTTTTTCTCTCCCGTTGCTCTTATATGTCGCAGATTGAGAAAGCTCAATACGATTCTTCACTTCTGTCTCCACCTTCTCTGCCCATGCCGGAGTCATGGCCTGATGATATTTCCGCCACAGCTTAGGCAACAAATGGACATCTTGCGCGCAGTATTGTACAATTTGGTTTGGAAGTGGACGAGTGTTGAATACTTCATAAGAGCCACCGAGTTCGGGCGCGAATAACTTTCGTCCGGTGTCCTTTGTAAGTTTCCAACTCGCTCTTTCTCCGCTGCTCATCTGCGCATCATATTCTATGCATTTCCCGAGTCCAGTGACATATTTCTTGGAAAACTTGCGCGATGCAAGCTCCATTAACTGAAGATCTTGTATACCATCTAGTGAAATTTGGTAATGGGCGAAAAGGGCGTCAGAATCATTGCGGACATCATAGAAGACTTTCGGGATGGAAGGTGATTCAAGGATAGACCGCAGTGTTGTTCCAGATGGCCCTTGCTGAGAGAACGCTTCGTCCTTCAATACGTGGATATCAACTAGGTATATCCGTTTTTGTGGAAGGACAAATATCTGCATAATTGATATTGAACCATTTCGACAGAGGTTGACACCTTCGATATCGATATACAACGATGGAGGGTCACTTGGTAGATTGTCCAGAGCTTCCAATAGCTCCGCCATACCGGTGGAAGTGTCGACGACCGTAATGAGAGGCTCAGCTTCAATAGCTGGACGTATGTGCATAGACTCCATGGCCTCGGCCAAAGTCACCCGCTGGTTGCCAGTGGTTATAGCGGGTGTTTTAGGCAAGGCCTGCGGCTGATCTACATCCTTCGTTGCTTCCCCCTCCTGGGCGAATATCTCGGATACTTTGATGAAAGCTTTCGTTCATTAAAATCTGCATTTTTAGATGACATTGCTACTTACTCGACATCATGAGACAAAAAGGTGTAGATGTGGAAATCGACGTGGCGAATATTGTTCCACCAGGAGGGGTAAGTCAAGTGAGATTTGTTTATGGTTATGTAGCGTCGGCATGATAATTTACGTAAGTCTTACACCTACAGCAGGATTGGTCGACCGTATATGCGTGGTTCGTAACCTTGGGATTGAGCTCGACAGGTATCCTAACCGTACTAGTGCGGGTCTGATTGGGCTTAGTATATACTATTCACGTGACAAGGCTTGGTCTCCCGAGTCCCTGGTATACAAGTCAAGGCGCTAACACCAAAGCCACTCAATTAAGCTTATAAACAATGAGACTTAAGTGTACGTTTGGCCACCGTAGGCGCTCTTGCTCGTGGATTCATGCAGACCCATTTACTTGTGTGAGAAAAACACTGGATCAACTTCATTTTATCTCGAAGTCCTAGCTAATGAAACCACCCAAGTGCTATAGTCAACTAAGTCCACGTCCCATTAGCAGGACCAAAATACCCAACTGATGGCATCTTCAGCCATGAAACACCATCTGCATCAGCAGTATTTAGGTAAACGGTATTTCCCCACCAATCAGGGAAACTTGCACCAGGGTACGAAATGCAAAAGAAAATAACAATGCCGCTAAGTGCGAGACCAGTGTCGAGTGCAGCAGCCAGAATATAGTCTATGGTCACCGAATTAGTAGAGTATCATAGATGAGGAATAGGATGACGTACTATATTTGGTCCACCAAGCAAAGAAGCGGCGGCGTATAAAGTGGTTGAAAACGAAGTTGACAAGGGCCCAGCTGGAATAGTTAATTCCGGTCGCTATGAAACGCATATTAGTATCGAGAATCCCCCACATATTAGAATCGATGCTTGAACATACCTGGTGGGACATTATAAGTTCCCACAAAGATCAACGGCCAGTTGACAAGCTTCCAAAAGCGGTTCTTTGTCCAGCGGTACAAAAAGTAAGTAACGAACGGAGCCAAGAGCCCAATCCAGAAGAAATGCAAAAGCGAAGAATAGATCTTGCCAGCAGAATAAAGACGACTAGGTCCAACAAGACCCCAAATCACGGATGAAGAGTACACTGTTCGGCCGTTCGGACAGGTGAAACTGTCCGCTTGATCGGTTTGACAAATCCCATCAATATTGCCTAGCATCCAAATCGTCACGCCCGCCTGGGTCAGCGCACCGAGGATAGTAGCGATACCCTGAGCAAAGAAAGTAGTCCGCGGAGGCACCTTAAGATAGTGCGCGAGTTTCATGTCCATCGCGAAATAGACACCCTGTCCAACGACATCCGTCGACAAGATTTTGAAGATCATGTTTGCCAGGGGCTTGCCTTCGAACATATACCCGCCCATGAACTCGGCGAGAACGTTCAGCTGATTTGCATCGACGTTGGTGATACCCTGCACAATACCACATGGAACCATGTACACTGCCGGGATGATCAAGGCTAGGAAGACACCATAGACAGGAAGCTTGGTATGGTAGACTTCAACCATGGCAATAGACATGGCCATGATGATCACGATGATGGAAGCGTACCACCACCATGGTGTGCGGCGGTAGGAAGCGCGGACAAGACGGGCATGAATATCAAGTCTATTGCGACCTTTCATAGCATCCCAGAGGTCACGAGCGTGCCAAATGCCTATATGCGACAGCACGGAAGTGATTGATGCAAAGCTGAGACCATAGACGAAGGCGAAAGTTGCGCCAAGGTAGGGTGGCGAGTATTTGCGGTAGGCTTCTACGTCCAGCGTGTTGCTGGAAGAGATGACACGGGCCGTGTCATAGGTAGCGCCAGTCCGATCATAGACATCGGAAGTCATGAGAGGTAGGTATGCAGTGAACCAAACGTTCTTGTAGTAGATAACTGGGACCACGATCCAGTAGAAAACGGCAAATCCACCAAAGACGTTAAGTGCTGCCCACGAGGGAGATAGAAGAGGGTTGGTGTTGTATGCAATTTGGCTCCAGTCAAAAGTGATCGGGCTAAGACCAAGACCGGTCTGCATGCCGAAAAGCTGGTTGACGATGACATTCTTGGGTGCGATCCAACAGACCCAAGTGAAATATGACAAGGCTGTGAACATCAGACCAGGGAAGAAGTACCAGACAAAGCCGCCAGCGGTGACGAATAAGAAGAAGCGCAGGCGAGAGATACGCCACCCATCAGCGATAGTGTTGGCGCGCGAATGTAGCGTTTCCAACATTGCACAGTTGGATAGCACACCCGGCCAAATTATTCTTGCAGGCTCGACCAGCCACGGGGCAGTGAGGCCAGCAACTCCAAAGCCAAGTAGCTGGGCACAGAGAACAATCATGACATAGAAGCCAGGCTTCAGATCAAAGTTGTAGAATGCTGCACTGGAGGCCTGGATGATATTTGTCGCGTCGGCCGTAGCATAACCAAAGGAGACATTGCTCATGATCACAATCAGAGCATGCTCCTTGATATTGAAATGGCGGTCTGGATTGAGCACAAAGGACCCTAAGGGCCCGAGGGAAATTGTGGTGAGCGGGAGAGTCTTTGCAAGAAAAACACCCATCGGATAGGCCAGAAGCTCCGCAACAAGAGCAACGATATGAACTGATGGATATCTCAGTGAGAAGAATTGGTTAATTCCTGATCCCAGCATCGTGAAAATAATTCCTAATACCCACATGCGAACCGTACTGACGGGCATGCTGGGGTCATCAGTTTCAGGGACAACAGCCCTTACTGTGAAATTGTCAATCCATGGTACTGTCTATTATAAAGGCAACAAGCGCATACCTTCTGGAAATGGGGATCGGTTGGATTCATAGCTGTACTCGACATTCTCATCCTGATCTTCTGATTCGGCTTCGACCTTGTCGAAGCGTCCCTCGCCAATCTCTTCATCAGCACTGATTGGTACGGGCTTGACTGTTTCAGTTTCTGCTTCCTTGGTGTCCATGGTGGATGTCACCCTTCGGCGCGTCCTGGATATTGACTGAGTTTGCAGGAAGAAACCTTGGAGGAACTTCCCGTTCTTGCGACACGGGATCCTTTTATCGTCCTTGGCCTCGCCATCGTCGGGTCGGGTCAGTTCCTTGCTCAGTGTAACGCGGGGAAAGATAAGAGCCTGGACAAGAGGCCGTTGATCGGAGGTGGAGAATGTGAGCTTAGCTCAAGATAGCAGGTCGAACCCCGCTTTTGGTTTTTAGACTGCAATTGTTTTCGGGCTGTCCGACATGAGTTGGAATGAAGACACACTGATTCTTTCTTTTGGAAATTTTCATCCAGCGCAATTGGAATGTTCTTAACAATGTTCTAATAAGGTTGTTGTTCAAATTAAGCATAACCGTGGTCCGTAAGCATGCGATGACAAAGAACTTGGATATAGATCCTTATCAACAAACACTTTGCCGACAGATAGGGAGATAAGGAATGGGATGTATCAGTGGCAAAGATCAGTCCATCACGGCGAATTTTGAAACGACCATCGCTAGTAGGTTCTTGGCTCATCGTCGTAAATTTTTACATCCTTTTATCTCGTAAGAGAAACCCCCATTCGCCGCTAGCCCTATCCAACAGCCTAATGCATATATACCGGATGATGTCTGTCAGATTTTGGATTCCCTTTCCGATTTAGTGCTCACCCCTGCCGCTTTTTACTAAAACTAAGCACACCCCTGAGCGTAACCTGAGCCTCAAGAGTCTTCTCACTCTCCGCTCATTAGCACCCTTTCTTATTCGACGAAGAAAGTTGGCCATACTCATCAGTATAGAAGAGTGACCATTGCCGAGCTTTGTCTTGCGAACTTCCACAACTTACTCTATAAGTGCTGGCATCTCCCCAATTCTACTCGACCTTACGGAGTTCTTGGCGAAAGTTCGATGATGATCGCGGTTGGAGATGTTCCACAATCCGAGCTTCTCTGCCTCCTTGGTCCGATCCTGGCTCCCATATATCAACTTCAAATTCGCCATATTACTTAATGTTGCAGGGTGATCCTCACCAAGCGTTTTGTTTTTCGCCGGCTTGTATTACCTACACATATAGAATCTCAGCCTCCTCCCGACGACCTCGGTCGCCATATGTCAGCGCTAGATTTGACATGCTCGCAAGCGTAGAAGGGTGGGTCTCGCCAAGCTTCGCCTCAAGAGTTTCCATTCATAGGCGCTTGCTTCTCTCACTGACCCACATTTGCAAACTTCAACAGTCATTGTCGAGTTGTATTCTCTCCGGCAAGTCATTCATCGTCTCCAGATTGAACGCTTTTCCCGAGCCAGACGTCAGAACATTATTCTTTTTCCGGCATCCCACACCCGAAAAAGCTCTTCGGTTCAACTTCCCTTCAGCTTCGTGCTGACGACCTACTGGGTCTACCCAAGCAAGGCGCAAAATATCACTTCCCAGGAATTATCCTCTTTACACTCACCATTGCGAAAATTGTCTTCACAAATATTTGTACACCGGTAGGCTTAGTCACTGGTGCAACTGGCCTAGTCTAAATCTCTAACCGCAGGTTCCACTTCGTAAACGTTAGAGGACCTCTGCCTCTCCCAGCCCCCAAGTGAATCATTCTTCTTCCCTTTCTCCTAACCTACTTTACTCTCTGCCCTCTTATCTGCGCAACTTGTCATCTTAGAAAATGGCGTATAGCCGATTTCGTGAGTTGCATAATGACTTTCTGGATGAGGAAGGTCACCCTGAAGAGGGTCACCAGCCCGCCTTCCTAGACCAAGATGGAGCTCCTTTGTTTGAGGATCCCGAACTTGGCCTTCTGTCTACGGTGTACGCACAGAATGACGTTGCGTCTCTCCATTTGTACAACGACAACCCTCATACAAAGATCTTCCAGGACTTAAGCAGTGATGCATACTGGCTGTGGGATTATCATCCGTTCATCCAAGCCGCCGCACTCAATGGTTTCGACGCGCTCCACGCCTTGCTTGATATTTACGTGGCGGATCCGACGCTTCCGGAGCCCCTCGAGCAGTATCTAGCACACATTCCTATATCTCTTATGAATATGGCCTGTCGACATGCAAATCGTGGTATGGTGCAACGCCTACTACATCATGATCCACCATTAGGAAGTTTGCACGATCGGGAGGACATATCTGGTGAAACGCCCCTTTATAGGGCGGCCAAATCGATGGGAATTGAAAGTGGGGAGTTGGTCAGGCCCCTCGCTATCAGGCGTAATAGCCACGAGAAACTTGCAGAGACAGAGGAGTTCCTTTACTTTCTTCTAGATCAAGGTTGTTCGGTTCAAGACTCAGATCTCCATGTTGAACTGGCCAGGACCGAAGGTTCTGACCAATTACGGACAGAGCGAGTACTATATGATACAGTGCTCGCTGCCGCTATTCCCCACGCAAGCTACCAGATGGTATCGCGTCTAATTGACGAGGGCGCTGATATCTATGCTCGGCTAGAAGGGTGGCAAGATCATATACCCATCAGCGAAGATGGGCTGGTGACCGCTATGCATATAGCAAGTATCTATGGCAATCTCGAGGGGATGCAAGCGCTCATAGATCATCCCGGCGATTCCAGCGCAGCAGATTTAGTCGCCATCGTCGATAGCGCCGGTCGAACTCCACTGCACTGGGCGCTACGTGTCGTCCAGGGTGATCTAGATATGGATGAAATGAGTGACCAAGACGAGATCACGGCTCATATAGTACGTGCTGTACTATTGTTACTCAACGCCAATCCAGATACGGTCAATATGCGAGACAATAATGGGGCGACAGTATTCCATTATGCAGTGATGTCCTATGCAGCTTTAGAGAGTACCACCTTACTTTTAAGTGCCAAGCCACTTCCTCATATTATCAATGTCCGTGATTATATGGGCGACACAGCGTTGAAGAAGGCAATAGACAGCCACGCGGAAGGAGGTGGTACTCCTAATAAGCGGCTAATGGAAATACTACAAGTCTTACTCGAGAATGGGGCGGATGGAAGCGGATGCAACAATAAAGGGCACAATTTAGTGCATACCCTAGCATTGAGATTCGCCGACAGTGATCCAGTGGAACTTGCAATCTTAGACAGATTACTGGAATTTGTTAATATCAACAGCGCCGATTCCTACGGTCGTACACCGCTCCATTATGTAGCTCGGTATTGGAGTCGAATCAATTTCATTCGACGCCTCATCAGTCAGGGTGCGGATGTCAACGCCGTCGACAAAAAGGGAAATACACCTCTCCATGAGGTGATGAGAGGGCAGTTAGGCAAACAGAGCGGGCAGAATACAGAAGTTGACGCCATGACAAATGACCTTCCAGCCAGAGCACGAGATGAGGTGATTGAACTTCTGATGGGCGCTGGAGCCGCGGTGGATCATCGGAATGCAGCTGGGAAGACACCGCCACAGATACTCGATGAGCGCACGAATAAGATGAAGCATAAGTAGCCGCAAGAGCTAGGCCGCTGTGCTAAGTACGCGTGACTTGATTTTTTTAGAATATCGCCGCTCTTTTTGCTACACCAGCGATGTAAATAGAAGAAAGCCCAGCGTCTGGGGAAAAGTGCTCATACCATTAGCCTCCTAATTTTTTTCTTCTCCAGGAATTAAGTCTCGGGTACTTCAGTCTTTACCATTTCTTCCTTGGGTAAATAGTGGTGATTATGGTGGAGGCCTCTGATACGGTTGTGGTGGTGATCAGGCGGGTCCAGTTGTGAAGCTAAAATTTGCCTGGCATACTTCGAACCAAGTTCCTGGAATGAAACTCCAAGGGTACAGAGCTAGAATTGATTTCAGAAAGTACTATGAAACACAACATGTGCAGGCTGCTGTCCACTATTTTGAATGAATCAAAAGGAGCATGGCTAGAAGACATCAAGTAATCAACAAACAGGCCCAAAACTTGATCCTTATTGGCAGGCAAAAACACACCGGCTCGGGCTCCTTGATATCTCGAGATACACTGGTCTCGAGGCGTATTGTTTCACATCATGCTCAATACTCGGGCAGCAAGAAGATCACTTTCATCATCAGCCACGTCGATGAGAGCCTACATGGTGGGACGTACCGAACAAACCTGATACTAGCATAATAAATGGCCGTTGTGGAAAACTTTTATACAAATCGGAGGTTTCTTCAAATTTATGTTGAGTGGTAGAATATAGAATAACCATCTACTAACAGCCGCAGAACGAGATTGTCGGTATGGTTTTCTTATGGTTTTCTTGGTATTGCGAATAAGGAAGCAAGATGAAGAACACTAGTAGGTTAAAGGGCAATTAAGGTAACATTAGTTCTCAGCACCAAATCAATTTCATTCCTCCTTTCTTGAGCTTCCAGAATATGAAACTTTTTTGGATCTAATATACTGCTGCTTTCTTGCGCATATTACGCTCCACTAAAGAAATGAGCAGCCCATCGTTGTCTTGTTTCCGTCCTTTCGTCAACAATATATATACCTTCAATTTATCGCTAATCCAGATGAGAAATCACACCTGGGTAGGTCCCTGGTCCACGAAATCAGATACATATATACAATTATCGTGGGCAGGTATGTACCCGGGTGGGACGCGGACGAATCAGCTCTTAAAATCATCTACATACCCAGTGAAATGCATTCTGAGGTCTTTTCAAGCATAGTATTACAGTGGCGACCGCCTTCGCCTTCTATGTCGGAAACAGAGAGAAGCTATTTCAAACCCCAATCACATGATACACTAGTCCACATCTAGTTGGTTGTGTACTTTACGGCCTATTCCAAAGGTGAATCGTATGATTCAGAACAGTTGAAGTACCAACGAGGGTATCTATACATATGACCTCACAGATCTAAAAAATACCACGTCCACCATCAAAAAGGTTCAATCTACTACTTAGTGCCGCCCGTTATTGCCTTCCATATCTAGACACAGAGACACTCTTTGAAACCCTAATTACACGTGGTACACTAAAGCCTAAGACGGCTACTTCCGTATTTAAGGATTTGTTCCAGGATTGCATAGTAACACACATGAAAGTATTAAACTTCATATTTATATACTATTACATGTCCATGAATAACCCCATGTTCAAAAATAACCCACCTCAACCCCCAACACGCCAGAGGGTTAATCATTCTCACTCTTCCCAACCTAGCAACTACAGTCACCCAAACCACTTACAACATCAAATTTGTTCCTTAGGTTCTCTATTACTTATAAAGCTGACATGCTATCGCTGAGGATAGTTACGGATTTGACCCGCGTGTCCATTGATCTCCGTTGTTAGACGGCGATCTTATTAATAAGGGTGATCGGGAACGTACAGCAGTTTTCGAACTCAGTTTAACCTCACACCCCTTTGACGTGATTCCCGGGAAATAACTCCTAAATACGCAAGTCTAATTAGATTTTTCTCTACATATTTACATCTAGCCCGCTTTCTACAATATTTTATGTACTATGTCTTATAATACGTGGGCAGTACCGTATGTGACATATATTTTACATGAAAGTAGCTTACAAATGCTAACTCTAGATCCCTGTTGAGCCAACCAAATTCAATACCCCATAAGGCGACCTGCATGAGGGAATCGGGTATAAACGCATGGTATAGTTATTGGTGCCTAACGAAATACTAATATCCTCCTGACTCGCTCATCGAGGCTTCTTACATTCACTCCACGTTCTACTTGATGTGCAATTTTCCCCAGCCGCCCGAAAATATGGATCTTCGATATGATGATGATGAAGGTATATATAACAAAAAGACTATTAAGATACTAGAACGTACTCCTGAAGACCAATGGAAAGAGTACCGTGATACCTGGGGTCAAACGTTATTACACTATGCCGCAAGATCAGGGGCCGAAGATAAATTTGCATCGGAGTACGGCGATGTGTACAACTCTAAGTGGGAAGATCTCTTGCGGAAATTCAAGGGCCATGATGCTATCAGAGCCCGCGATAAAGAGGGCCGCTCAGCGCTCTCTTGGGCTGCAGGGACTGAAAACCTTGTTGCCATAAGAATGTTACTCCGCCCTCCGAGTACAACCCGCAATATTCCCAAGGCGAGAATGCCTAATATTGGGCGGACTTTATATCACAAGGGCCGAGAAGTATACAAGAATGATTTGGATAACGAAGGTCAAATGCCATTATTCCACCTTCTGCTTCACCGAAACCGCGGTCCTCGGAATCGCCTTGAATCTCCCCAAGATGGGCATCTTTCCATCCCTGGCCGAAGAGGTTCTTTGGCTCCTATAAAGGACCTAATATGGAACCTGGACACCTGGAGAGGCAGAAGGGATTCACCGTTCTCCACAGACGCCCCAGAATATCACCTACGATCGTCATGGCAACCCGATTATTTTGACAAAGATTACCTGAATGGAAAAGGTCGCGACGGCCGCTCATTACTCTCACACGCAGTGGGACAAGGGGACTTTGACTTCGTTCGTACTCTGCTCGAGGTTGAAGGGATTGATGTACAATTGGCGGACAACGATGGAACCACTCCGCTGATGCATGCCATTCAAAGGAGAGATAAGAATATATCGATTCTGCTGAGCTCGTACCCTCTACAGGACCTTCCTCACACTTTGATCGGCCCGAAATTTGATTCAGTCATTGAGAATTTGAAATGGGCTTTTCAAATAGGTCTTATCAAGGATCAAACTAGTGGCGAAGCTGTGCTCCAGCATGCGCTAAACTTGAAGCATCTCACTGCTGCCAAAGCAACCCTCAAACTTGGTGTATCACCACGAAAGGTTTTTAAATACAGAAGTGATTGGTTTGAGCTCATAAAACATAGTGCGACGCAGCCAACATATCTCATTGTGACAGAAACAGTAATTCAGGAAAAGTTAACGCAGGTAAAGATGGAATATAGTCTTGATTTTCCGGATGATGATGATGATGATGATGGAAAGACGAACCCCAATCGATTACTTTAGTAAGTTGTTTTATCCTGTTTCTGTACGCCCTGCTGATAGCACGTAGTATTTATCGGAGCTTCAAGCACTTTGATATTACGGAACATTCGAGCAAGCAATATGCCAACCACAGCGTCATTTTCAAAACGAACGAGCAAGAATTGGTATCCCATATCGACCTGACTTTTCCGGATCCGAAAAAATTCTTCGACACCGAAAAACAGTCTTGGCTTGGTCGTGGCCAGATCCAAAATAAGCAAAGCGAAAGTAATAAGGGCATTAGATGGACTAGAAATGGAAAGGGACAGGCCTTCTACCATTCCATCCTGCAATCTGGAAAAATACCCGAAGACGGAAACAGGTTCATATCGGATCTAATGGCTGATCTGCAAGTGGAATGGGATCGGATTATTGATACAGCAGAGGATCGAATCAACAAATCAGTGAGTTCAGTAATGATCTTAACTACACAACGCTTATAACGCGGATGGATAGTTCACACCAAATATAGAAAGACGACGCCTACTCGAATACCTTGCTACCGAGGGCAAGTATCTGGCCACGCTCCGGCAGTCATTGTATCAGCATACGAAATCTACCTCTGACTTAGTCAAGGATTATAACGATAAGATTCGGAATTTAAACGACGTATCTAAAAGATTTTTCGGCGAGGAGCAGCATCACAGAGATGTGGAGAACGAATGCCAAAATTTCGAAAAAGGAACAAACATTCGGCTTCAGCAACAAGAGCAAACACTCCGTGATGCGCGTCAAATGGTGAGTACTGAAAGAATACAAATAAACCATCTCTGACACGGACTAGGAGATCGCGCAGATATCAATTGCGGAAACCATGTTTCTGAAGAGACTTAGCCTAATTACAGTAAGTAGCCTATCCAAATCTACACTACATACTAATGTTTGCTATAGTTTATTTATCTGCCTTTGATGTTTACTGCAGTACGGTTTCACCCAAGCGTTATTCCACATTCAGGTTTAAGCTGACTGTACAAGAGCATATTTGGAATGAATGTGAATGCTTTACAGAGCAACCCTGACTGGCGGTGGTTTGTTCTATTTGGGCTCGGCTCACTTGCTTTGACATACGGACTCTGGAAGATTTCTGAAGGGGTTAGTCTGGCACTCTGACTAATGCGATGCCCAAGCTGATAACTCCCAGGATTTTGAAATATACACTTCGTTGTGCGATAAATTTGGAAGGTTACGAAGCCAGCGTTCTGCGAAGAACGATGATATATCTTGACTCGTATGTAGAAGAATTTCGTTGTCAAATACAGACTATTGGGAAAATCGAGTGCTTGAAATAACATTCAGTCAAAGCCCTTGCATTTAGGATTTAATTTCAGGGAATCAAGTCCAATGAGGGTTGAGGTCAAACCTTGGAACGGATTCAGAAAACCGCTGTACTACAGTATTACATGTTGATTACAATACGTCCTTGTAAGGGCTTATAGATATTACCAGCATGATTTTGCCTGTATATAACCAGTCTAGGGTTAATAAGCATCATCGCTACAAATGCTATTAGCCATCGTTAAAGTAGGAGAGGGAAGCCTAAGCAGATTGAACCGGAAGCGATTAGCAAACATCTCTAGCGTCCAATAAGATCCGTAAGGATGGCATGATGACAGTAGCGGAGATTACAAATAAGCCTTACTATCGATCGAGCCTTACACAGCAACCTGATCCCGGGCAGACACGCAGAAAAGCACCAGGTGCTCTGCAGTAATGAAACCGCAAGATACAAAGAAGATGATTGCCAGATTGCCCATTCAACGACTGTTCTGTTTGCATGGTTTGCATGGAATCTTCCAGCCTGGAAAGTCAGGAGTAAATAACTATATAGTTCATACTTGTATTTTGGAATTAAGGTATATATTACTTGGTCAGCTACAAAACGGATTGATTACATACTACCCATATCTGGATTAGCGGATCACATGATTAGGGTTTGAAACAGCTTCTCTATGTATTCGACATGGAAGGCGAAAGCGGTCGGCACTGTATAAGTGATAATATTTAAAATAGTACCTACAGTATTCTTGCAACACAGAAATTCTACAATGATAATCCCTACGATAGCATCATCATGCCGAGTCGGATATTATGGTCAATTATGTACACTGTCTAGTCTACATTATTATATTCCGTACACCTAAAACGACTATCCTGATAGCATCAATTGCATCGCCTAGACGTGCAGGAGCGCGGATGCGTCTGACCGGTGCAAATATAAATCCAAAGGCGCCCGGGAGAGAAGCCGGCCAATTGAGCAGATACACAAAACGCCCAATGATCGATCCCAAAGGAAATTTGAAGAACATCAACGAAGACGCACCGTCCGCTCTAATGCCAACGCTTCTCTGCGACAAGCCGATATACAAAAGACTGCACAGGCTATCAGGGTCCGCACATGCCTCGCGGATTGATGCGGTGTCGAAGTGTTCGGGAAGACGGTAAAGATTTCCTCCAATTACTGATTCGAATTAATTATAGGCTGGGGCTAGACTGGTTTGGACTTTTGATTCTGGTTTGTGTTGTGTTAGAATACGCGGCCGTTGGTCGCGATGCATATTACCCGGCGACTGACACACCCACAGACCCCCTCTCACCAAATTAATCCTCTTCCCGAATGGTGTTCAAGGCCACCTTACTGGTGGCATTGAGGAAAGCAACAGCAACACTCCAGATATCCAATGAAATGCTAATCCCCGCCTTCCCGACCCTCTCACGACCGTGATCGAGGGGGTAAACAGAAAGAGAGAGGTCTGAGGTCAGCTCCCTGCTACAGTGGCATCCCCTTGCTATGGAATGAGTCAGGAGGCGGCGCTGACTAGCTGATCGAGAGTATGATATCATTATCTTATTCGTGCTCCGGTCGGATTTTGACTTTTGGCTTTGACTTCTCCCCGCGACACGTCTCAGATACGCGGTGAAGAGACGCGACTCAAGGGCCCCGTCGATCGCTGCAAGCCGGGCTCGCGGATGAGCCTTCCCGGTGCGGATTTGTGTTACTCACACTGCGAAATGCACAGTAACGGTAAGCTCTGATTGATTGCTCTGTTTTCCTGCAGCCTCCCTTGTCACATTCTCCAGAGTGGGGCGCATGCACATCTGGTACCCGAGCGCAAACTGTGGCCCCATGGGGGAAAGCTGCTTCCCATGGTTCGGAGTGGAGGAGGCGTATCCGCAAATCTGTACGTCCGGATGTAGTTGAGGATGGTCTGCAGGCTTCAACTTTTAGAGTCCTTGTTCCATTTGCAGATCGCACAGACCGAGCTTCGTGCATGTGTGGCGACTTGGAGAAATCGTGGCTGCTGCTGATCGGATGGCGGTGAGTTGGGTCTAGACACTGTCGATCTTCAATGTACTCGATACTCAGAGACGGTCAATTCATCAATGGAAATGGGAGGCGGGGAAAGGATTCTGGAGGCTTGAATCTCTACTGACTCTGTCGGGACCTCCTTTGTTTTATTGGAATCCTCGCTGTGACGTAGCGACCGAATACCTTGCTTCTCGATTCCGATCAGATATCTTGCATATGAGATGCAGATAAAGCTGCAGGGAAATCCCGGAATGATTTTGGTGAACCAGGTAGGTGGGAGACTCATGTAGGTGGACGAATCAAGCCGATTAAGATCTAGCGTGTTCTTATTTGCTGGAAGATTGATTGTTAGCGACAGTAGCCTCTCCTATAGCTCTAATTGATCTAACGCCTTCTCCCCCCACATACTGCAAGCTCCTGCTGAAGAAAAATTCCAAGAAAATTGTAAGCACATCATGGCGAGACTCCACTATCAATCTCGAAATCATTCAGGAGGTCCAGCCCCATTCCTTTGCTGCCCGAGGTCCACTTCGGGTACTTGTATCCACTATAGAGTAGTCTACCAACAGCTTGGTAGCAATAGTAATTCAGAACCGAGGGAATGGGACAGGGGAAGACCACGATCCTGCGATTTTTTTGGGCCGCGGCCCGCGCCAGGTCTATCCGATGATCGGCTTCATAACAAAGATACCGAGGAACCTGTCAAATCCATGAGATGAAATGTCAACTGTCTGAGGTCAGTGGCTGTCGCACATTGAAGGCGCTTTTTGGTGTTGAGTGCTTTCCGGTTCCCCGACGGGCCGATGCACGTCTGAAATAAATGGATGGAGTGCATGACGCATGGGATGTGTAGAGCTATAGGAGCTGGAGACGGGAGCTTCCGCATCGAGCCGTGAACGGTCTGAAATTCCAACCTCCCGAGGAGGAAGGAGGAAATGGATGTATCTTATGAAGATGAAGATCATAGACCCGAATAAGGGGCTCAGAACGATGGTGTCGCCGGGGAACGCAGGAAGGCGGATGAAGGCCCCACTTAGCGTCGGGGAAGCGCTATTTGGCCCGTAACACGCTAAGCCGTTCCAATTCGTAGGTTCCCGGGTCCGTAACGAAATAGACAAAGCAGAAAAGGAAACGGACATCAAATGCAGTGGAAGCATGAGTTAATCTATATCAGATCCAGGATATGCGATGATATGCGACCCTAAAAAGAAAGAAAGACGATGTGATGGATGAGCGGAGTTATTCTTTGTTGATTTGGACCGACCATCTAGACCGATGAAACAAAGAACAGGGGCGATCCACGGGGAAAATGGGGCTCCACTGATTCGTGCAAAAATGAATTCTCCACCCAGAGAGTGTTCTACACCTTCCACGATCCTCGTCGCGCCGAGGTTCCGCTTAATTGAAAGTTCAGTTACTCCGTGAGTCCGCGTAGTGCCTTAGATCGGTAAAAAGCCGAAATTGTCAAAGGGATCATACATTTCTTTCAAACAGACCCCTCGATGAGATTGAGAATAGTTTGTCCTTTGGAAGGATTCAATAAATAAATAATTAATTAATATACTAATAAAGACAAAGGACTGCTATGCATTTACCCGGCTTAACGCTCTCCCGAGCGGAGTAGACGGGGCGAGAACCGTTCCAAGTCCAATTTTCAGCGGAACCGTTGCTGTAGAGCCTAATCACTCCATAATCTCCACCAAAGGCTAGACAATAGTGGACACACGGGAGAACTCGTAGGGGATCCTTGATTCTTTCAAAATGAAAACAAATTCCACAAAGCACATCTGCTTCTTTTGCAAACCGAACCTATCTATTCATTCCAAATCTCCCCAATATTCGGTGTTGACGTGTTGTATCTCGACGTATTCACCGCCAAACGCCTTTTTTGTTATCAAACAAGCCTGAGGTTGGGTATTTCCCTGTTCTTGGGTGACTTGTCTGCAAAGTATCTTTTTGCTTCACTTGTCCAAAGCTGCATCTCATTCAGCGGTGAAATCCGGCCGATTTTCATTGGAAGATTTCCATCGCAACGCCCATACACCGCACAATCTGATTTTCATCGGACCAGATCCCCCGCTGCAGCCGGTTGGGCAGCCCTTTCGGGGAACACATTACTGTCGCAAGGGGCGGATCCTTTTGGGATATCTTTTCTAAGACCTTGTGAGGCTTGGAAAACAAACAAAAAAAAATTACAAAGAGACCATTCGTCTTCGATGCTTTGTATACCCGATCACGGAGCTCGATTCGACTGGGGCGGTAGTCAAAAATACTTGACAAGTTCGATTTGCTGATCGCTGATTTCTGATTGATCTGCTGCACGGAAGCCGGTCACTCCCTTTTTGGGCCAAAATTCCTTTTGTGGACTTTTCGCCCTATTTTTTCTTATTTTCTTATTTTATTTTGTCTTAGTCGGGACTGCAAGGGTGCGGGAGTCTAGAAGCCTTTCCCCGGCTTTGATATCTATCGCCCACACACCGTCTTCTTAAACACGGCCTGGGCCTCCCTGATTCACCCTCACTATATCTTCTCCACTTCCCTCACTTTCACTTTCCTCTCTCCTCTCTCCACACCTTTTCAACTCTATCAGGATCATATTCACACACCATGATTCCTATTCAGTCGCGGATACGCGATATGGCTCTTGCCAAAGCCCCCGTCGTCGCTCCTGTTGCAAGCACAGATCCTGCTCAGGTTAGCTTCAGTTGGAGTGGCAGTTCTTTTGAATGCTCGCCTCTCTCCAACCCATCAGCTCCTCCTCCTACGCCTACCGACTCTCTATACGATATCAACCCACGCAAATCCTCTTTCTCAAGTGAATATGGCATGGGCGCCGCATGCGCCTTCCCCTCATGGCCAAACCGTGCTTCACTATCAAGTGCCGACTCATGCGACCTTTTTGTGAACAACGCCTACCTTTCCGATGAAGACTTGCTATGGATGCCAGAAAACCCCATCCCAGAGGAGGAACCTGCACCCAAGCACACACATATGGTCTCGTCGGTGACCATGGAGCAACAACTCGAGCGCATGCGAGCCATCGCCGAGCAAGAGGATCGCGCCCGATTCCTGGCAAAGGTAGATGCCCATGCACGAGCAACCCAAGCGCTACGACAGCCAAAGACAGTTGCGACCGATCGCAGCCCAATTTCATCAGTTACACCAAAGAACAAGAAGCGTCGGGCTGTTCCCCTCAAGCGACGCGCCCACTCATCAAGCAAAGTACCAACCGTTTAAGCTCACCATCTGAGTGCAGCGCGGGCGCGCACTGAGTTCAACCTACACTTCACTTCTGCTATTGCTACGCAACAGCCTGTCTTACCTTCCATCCTTTCACCTGGCCATTACTTCCACCCCCACTACCCCTCCGACCCTTCGGCCTAGATCCGTGTGTTTGTCAACCACCCGTGATACCCGGCCCCAACGAATCAGATGATGAGGTCCAATCATCTGCAAAGGCAACAGTCTTCGCCCCGAGCTCACAGGGTCGATCTGACGGCGCGCTGGCCCCTCGGGCCGTTTCAGTTTGGCGCAATAGCAACGCCAAAAATCAACAACGCGCGCCTTATCGCAGATCTCCGCACCTCCCCGCGCTTACCTAATTATTCGCTGTCGGCGCTTCCAGAAATACCCCCACACCGCTGGTTGAGCCTTGACTCATTTTTTCTTCCTTCCCTCCGATCATCCTCGGAAGTTGCATTTTTGATTTTACTTTTGTTGCCTGGTCTTCTGGCCGTCGCATTCCGAAGCGGACCCGGTGTTTTTTTTTTTTCATTTTCATTTTTTTCATTTGCCGTTCTCTAGCGTGTGATTTTTTGCTCAGATACCCCCGCCAAATACCCCGTCGTGTACCATCCCTATTCATTTTCGCCCCGATATCGCCGATTATATCTGGATTTTATTGTTTTTGATTTATTATCCCGATCGCGCGCCCTGCGCTATCTGTGATCATCCAAGCCATGCGCGGACGCCACGCGCCACCGTCACATCATTTGCAGCCTACCTAGTGTCGGTGAAGAACTGTGATCTGGCCGTGGTCCCTCGTTGGGCACGCAACATTAGTTAGTACTTAGGTAGCTTAGCTCTAGCTTTTTCAAACTAAACCATTTATTATCAAATATTTTCTCTTCCTTGTTCTAGATGCCAACGTAGCATACCTGTACAGTGAAGGTCGGAAATCATTTCCACCGCACATACCTCGTTTCCCACTCGATATTATGTGTTCGGAGGGGAAGTATTATCAACCTCACTATACAAAGACAATGTATCTATACTTTTACATAAAAACAACCTTTCCACGTCAACGTCTCCTCGTGCTTGTACTTGTGCTTCGCCCCGTCCTAGTATGAGGCCCAACCTAACGGGCCGCCCCATCTATGAAGGCTGTGACTCGCATCTGACAGCCCTGCAAACAAAAAGCAACGGTGAGATTGTGACATTACAATATTAGATCAGGGGCCATCCCACCCGTGGGGCCGACATTTTACATTATAAATCCAATAATGAGGATACAACCTTCCCATCAGCATAAAACAAATGCAACATTCATGTAAAACATCCATATTTCTCTATTGTTGGTAATTATAATGCATGTGTTGGCCCCTGCTTTTTTCATTGGTGATTACAATCGGAATGGGGCCCCGGGTATTTCTTTGTTGCACCAAACAACTTCTTCAACCCTGACGCGTTTTAGGTTATACTGGGGCTGACCTATATCCCACTAAAGCGCTTATGCCATCCCACGGGGTTACGTTACCCGTTGCTGGTTCAATTGCCACCATGGGAATTGAACCGGTAGATGGATTCCGGTCATTACCCGGACATTATCCGAGGCCCGGGAAGACTTCGGGCATGTCTTCGGGCTATCTTTACCGCGATTCTCTTTTTGGCTTTGTTCGAATATTCTGGCGGTCTGGGCTTGATTTAAGCCTTTGGAATCAATTATCTTTATGTGGGTACACCGGGAGCCTGGTGGTTTTCATTTATTTCTGGGTCGGTTCTTTCGGCAGACTTTCCGAATGTGTATACACTAGCTGGACAACTTGTAAGCATGGAGGGTACGCCTGAAAGCCTACATACTAGTGTACTAGGCGCCTCGGGCACTTAGTAATAGTAATTATTGGCTGGGATTGATTTCCGATACCTGCATCTCATCAAGGTCAAAGGACGACAATGACTCACGGGCGATAAGCTTCGTCCTATATTGGATCGGAAGAAACGGAGGTTTACGGAGAAAAAATAATAGAATTTCTTTAGTATACTTGTGCGATCTTCGGTTCTCCATTTCGTTGTCTAGATACTCCGCGGTGTGGGGTATAGAACCTTGGTAGAATTTGTGTGGAATCCACCGATGCTTTCCTATCTGGGACTAGATAAGCGCTACGCTTAGTGAGGGTTTTTGCCGGACATGAAGAGAGATATACTTGATTTTACCCGATGGGATTGATTACTCAGCTATATGAAACAAGCTGATCGTTAGTGTCAGAATCGAGGGCTACATTCTTTTTGGAGAGACTTCCTGATATGGAGGGGCTCTTTGACCTATTGCTACCGGGACCATCTGCCTTGTGCCTATCTGGCTACAGACCCTTTTTCATGTGTCAGTACCTGTAGATGGTAGAATTATAGGAATTTCTGTCTTTGGCTTTAATATAAATCGTGAAATAATAACTATTATTGACTTATTAAATCCTACGTTGTTTTGGGTAATCTTTGAGGAGATACCAGACTAGAAGGTCACAATCAGACATCGAAATAGGTTTCTTGGCATGATATCCCACAGCTTGATTTTTTGATCAGTAGACCAACATAATAATGCTTCCTTGCCAGGAAGATGCCTGGACAGTTCCAGAAAAGGAATTGTCATGACTCACTCAACCAAAGGAAGATGAGGAAGTCAGAACAGCCAAGGAACCTTGGAAGTGCAAGAGCTAAAGCCCATGAATAGTTACATACATAGGTGATCAAATTCAGTGGAATAAACATATACATGAAGCTAGTAGAGCACTATGATCTCTCAACTCCCATCCTTAGAACATATGCATCTCGCGTCCAGCGTGGAACATAGCTGGTAGCAGTTTTCTGCTGTGATCAAGATCCCTAACAGGCGTCCGCAACGCAACAGGCACCCGTTTCAAAGCACACTTCTCAATTCGAGCTTCCAGGTGCATAGCCCAAAGCTCCGCGCCTAGACCTCCAACACCATAACCCGTCATCTTACCCAAATTGATAGTCTTTTCCAGCGTGTCCAACGAAAGATTTTGTATGATATCCATCGCCGTGTCGAAATCGAGATGATCGTTCTCACTCTGAGCCTGAGATTCCTGCATTTGCTGCATATGCTGCATATTCTGCATCTCATCCAAGTTCTTCCCAGCATTCTTCCAAAGCTTCTGCCGATTAAGATACATGTCAAGCGTATCGCAGGTCCGAGCTTTCTTCTCAGTAGTAAACTGGTGCCAGTACTCCGTCAGTCCCTGTTCCGGAGCGGCATCCTCAAAGCTGAACGCGTCGGTGGGAATTCGGCGTCCATAGAAATCATTCCCGGCGCCTAATTCGAGGACACAGAGGAACCATCTGGCTCCAGGGGCACCGGAAAACCGGGCCAAGACCCATTCTCCGGCAATTGTCTCGAGGTTGGGCTTTTGCACGAATGAGACCATGCGAGCGACTCGGATCTTCTCCCGGGTCTTCTCCATTCGTAGTTGGCTGCGGAAGCCCTGGTTCTGCTCGTCGTTTGGCTTCGGTGTCTGGTTATCACCGTCGGATGGTGTCTCGTCTGGATCAATGTGCTTGTTGATGACTTCTGATAGGTCAAGCTGTGTTTGCAGAGCGTCGCGCTCGCAGGAGAAAGACACTAGAGCCATGGAGAGACCAGTGCTGACGGTGCACCATCCGTCGATCTTTTGGCCGCTGACTGCATTTCGGACCCGAGAACGAAGCTTTTTGGGCTCGAGCATTGTAACAATTACCCGCTGGATATCGAAGATACCTCGAATACCACCACTGCTCACTGTGATCGGGTTGGGACAGACCATTCGCTTCTCGTATGTATTCACGTTCCGAGCGTCGATGTTCTGCTCGCTCGTAGAATCAGGCGAGCTGGGCTTCTCAGCCAATGGCAAAGTGACACTAGAGTCGGTGGTCGGAGCCTCCACGCCTTTGAGAACCGCAATGGCATGTGTAATACAGTTGTTCAAAGATTCATATTGATCGACAGGAGAACTCGCGGCCTGCACTGTCGATGTCGGAGTGGGGGGCTCAATTGGTGTCTTTTCTTCCGTCACCTGAGGAGCGGTCTTCTTCCTTCCAAAGGACATTTTGGGAACTTCAAACTTAGGGACTTCAAACTTGGGAACCTCAAATTTAGCCGACCGGACTGACTCGGCCAGCGAGTTGACTCGGGCAAAGCCGATGGGGCTTGCTACATCTGAGCTCTCATCCTGAGGCGTGAAGTCGCGAAGCTGCTCAACGACTTTAACCAAGTCTCCCAGACAGGCTTCCAAATTATCGAAACTGGTCATCTTGATTTTTGCGGCCAGGAAGCCGAGGTTCACAAATACCGAACATTCCTTCGGCAGTTTCTTCGTGAGACCCAACATTTCAGCCAGTAGCATGTTGACGTTACTAGCTGTTTCACTCTGTCGAACTCGCTGGGCTCTGAAAGATTTCAAGATCCGCTGATTAGCGTATGTCCGAGATGTGACGTTCATGTTAGTCGCAGGATCAACAAATGCCGCGATGCTGGCGGGATACATTGAGCGCCCCTGGAGAGGACTGCCTTGGTGTTTACCGAACCAGTTGAAGACCGAAACATCGTTGTATGAGATCACCACTTCATCCAGAAGTCGGGCCAGAGCTTTTGGAAGTCCTTCTGCGGGAAATGCTGGGAACCGCACACCAAGAATACCCATCAAAGAGTATGCCTGGTCGGTAGCGACTGTGGTGACTCGCTCTGCCGCGGTGACGAGAGAGCTGCTGGCGGAGGAGTCCATAAAGTCATGGCCGTTGATCCAGTTGGTCAAGTTTCCAATCTTGCTGAATGCTGCAATGGCCTTCCTGTCTTCGAGGATTTCAATGTCCGTTTCTGTCGCCAGCTCGCGGAGCAAATGAATGAAAACTGCTATTCTATCATTTTGATTGATTTGGTTGTTGGTGAGGCTCGACAAGCAGTGCGTATCAGAGATATCTGGGATTAGTTTGCTCAGGATATCGGGCAGCCGATCGGCAGCGTCAAGCACTGCTTTGCCAATCTGGGCGTCGGCCGTTTTCGCTTTGATTCCATTTGGTGCATAGAATCCAAGGGCCTGAAGCATGACGGAGATCGTCTTCGTGGGTGACATTCCATCCTCGAGGAAACGTTTGGATTTCTCATCACTTGGAGATGGTTGGGAAAGTACCTTTTTAAGCTCCTCCATCTGCTCTTTGCTGATTTCCTTGTGCTTGTTGACGAATGGATGACGGAAGAATTGGGCGAGGAAGGGCTGAAGGAAATAGAATGGACCGATGACCTCAACTGGTCGGACCAGCTTCTGCCAGTGCGAGTTAACATAGTAGGTAACCTTGCTCAGCACCAGCTCTTGCAACGTCCATCCACGCGTTGCCCATTCGATCTGAAACTGTCTTCTCTCCTCCGGACTATTACCAGCGGAGCCAATCTGCTCAAAGCTCCCCATGTTCACGGGGACAGCAGGATGGCGAGGGTTCTCCCAGTGCTTCCATTCTTCAATCCACGTGTTTTCGTCCCGTGCAGTATCCACATGAACCAGACAGAAATCGGCATTCTCATACCAATCACCCATCAAGGCCAGGGACTCTGTCAATTCACCGCCATCAGCCTTGTTGATGCAGCATGTGTCGAGCCACACATATCTTTTTCCTCCTCGGAGAAAGTGTGCATCGAAAAGTTCCTTGGCTACCGTGATAGAGTTTTCGATCTTGCGCGAGGACCGCATGTGCTGCAATAAGACTAGCAACTGCTCAATTCCGTAGCACAGTTCACGGTTCTTTTCAAAGAACTCAATGGTGGAATTGTATTCCGTTTGCTTGTTTGAAGCATTTGCGAGCCTTTCTTCAGCCTCTGTGCGTCGATTCTTCGCTTCAACATTCAAACTCGCGATTGCCGAGCGTACTTCTTTCACTCCCGGATCATCTCTCTGAGCAGAGTTTGGTTCGTCGGTCGATGGCTTTGAGTTTGTAAGGGCATTGAGAGTTCCCCACAACGTGTTGTAATACTCCGTCTCTCTTTCGGCACTGGATACACCAGCTGCAGCATCATGATGGGTTTTCTGGGCTCTCCCAAAATCATAAGTGGCTGTGTTGGCCTCGGTATACCACTTGAGCAGTGTTTCGATATCCTCGGGACGTTTTCCGTCGGCTCTAGGTGTAACAGTTGGAAGCACCTTTTCGATCTTTTTTTCCAAATCGCGAATGTCAGCCTTGCATTTGCTGATGACCCTATCGAGGTCGTTTGAGGGCTTCTTGCTCCCATCATTCGATTCGGCATCTTTTGTAGGGTCGAACTTTTTGGCCTGGTCGAAATAGCCGTAGCCAATTTCGGATCCTTTCCAACTATGAGACACAATGCAATACTGGTCCTGTAGGCCGAGATTATATGTGGGGACCATGTTCTTTGTTTCGATATCAATCATGCGGTAGGGCATCTTCAATACCCCGTCAGCCTTGGCCAGCCAACTATCGGGAGCCCGATCAATCTCTTCTTGTGTCTCGTCCTCGTCATCCACAAATTGTGGCTTGATGCTTGGTATCAAGAAGTGGTTGAGAATGCGGCGAAGCCTGTGCTTTTGCTCACCGTCCATAACGACATTCTTGAAGCGGGATGTGCGATCAGTGGCCCAGCTGGCCATGTCGAACGCCTCCCTGAGTGCCGAGTTAGAGACAAGGCTGTCAGAGAGGGTTGCTTTGAGGCTGCTGATGGAACTCATGTTGGATCGAAGCCAGGAGGTCCCCTAGTATTGAGATGGGAGGTTCTGGGATGGCGGTTCTCTTTACCTCCAAGGATTTATACAGCTAGCCGAGCCGATGGAGCCGAATAGGAGGGGGAGATTCTGAGCGGCACAAATTAAGAAGAAAGAAGGCAGGGGGGCAGCTGGAAAGCCTATCAATTTGAAGATCAAGTCCCACTCACGAGACTTTGGAGGGGTTGAGGCACTTCAACAGGGTAAATTAATCAACGAATCACGCGAACACGTCACCAAACGAGGGCTGTGCAATGCGTTTTTTTTCTCTCTGCGGAGTAGCTGAATGTGTACAGTACTAGCTTGCAGGGTTATGACCCACAGCGGAGACCGGCAGCCATCAGCTCTCTGACACTGATCCACTCCACGCTAAGTGGCTACCAGACTTTCAGATCCCCGTCATATTACTGATACATTGCCTTTGAATCCTGTACATATTTCATTTCGAAGTGTCTTCTCACCTTGAACACTTCACTATGGCGTCCTACCACCGAGTGCTGGAGACTTTTGGTCGATCTGTTCAAGATATTACCCTAGAATGCGACTGGTATGCGCGCTTCCTAAATAGTGGTTCCCTCGCTTCCATATTCAAGAGGCTAAGAATCACTTCAGTGATATTCACCCCTGGGAGATCTCTATCAATGGAGAACGATGGGCTGGCAAGATCCGATTAATCGGCTTCGTGGATGTGTTTTTCGTCATTTCATACTCAGCCAACGCCCGATTTGAGCATGGAATTATCGTTTATAGTATGTCATTCCTCGGACTACTTTTTGATACAAGGCTAATTGCAGTATAGAGGACAAGCTAGCCGTGGAAGAAATCACAGGTCATATCCCCGATGCAAAGCCAAAGCCTGCAGAAAAGGCCAAATCGAGCCAGGAAAGCGAAAACAATGACGCCAAAGCAGAGCACGAAGAGCCTGAGGGTAAGTATTCCGAGGCAACCTTATCAGTGCGAGTACTCACGACCGATAGATCTTGATGAAGCCGAAGAAGAGGATCCAAACGCAAAGCCCACCGAGGCAGAGTCCGAGGAAGCCAAACCCAAGCCGGCGGAAGAACAAGCCAGCAAGGCAGAGCAGACACAAGACAGCAAGCCAACGGCTGAGGAGATGGCACCCGAATTCCGTAAAACTAGCACCTACACGATCAGCAGTTGGGGTCACCCAGTCGGATTGCGGGCCACATATCCCAAGTCTTGGATCCAAAAATACAAGGTGGAGATCACCAAGCCCTGTAGTTGGGCACTCGGCAGTGAGTACGGCCCGAAACCACAGTGAGATACAATACTAAGCACAAGGGCAGAGCGTATCATGCGGGGCTTGAAGCCACACAGCACCTACGACCTGATGAATGATGTAATTCGTTGTGGTATCATCACTCAAGGTCAGCTAGTGGGTCACATTATGGGGGTTGTTCTCGCGGGTTCGCAAATGGACGACATGGCCAAACGATACATTCAAGGATTGACATCGGGGGATGGTGCTGGGCGGCAAGCATTGTCGAATGAAAAGATCTAGGGTCGGAGGCGATCTCCGAGGGCTGAAATTGTGCAAATCTAGTAGCGTGGACCTATTTAGGCTTAGTGCAACAGGATCGTCATGACAGTCCGCTTTTTAGTGCATAAACAGTCTGTAGCACGGAACAAATATCTGCATGGAGAATACTCCATTCTGATCCACTTCAAAGTCTGTACACGATCTGAAAATTCTGCATCTATGACAGGAAATTATTGGGGTTGTGTGGACCAGAGTCCCGGCGAAGTGGTTAAGAGGGGCTGGAGCTGGAGTAGCTGGGCCCGCAGCTGAGCCAGCCACGAACCCGCTCTAACATCAATACTGCATGAATGGTCGGATTGAAAAAGAATGCCCAGAACCGGGGAAGATTTTGCCGACGAACTGCCTATCATGTTATCGAATCAAACTGTACAAAACAAAAAGTCCGTATCTTCAGTAAACTCGATACTTAGAGAGACTTTGTGTATGAGTAAACAAAGAAATGGAGGAGGTGGGGTTTACCTCATTTGTCCACGAGCATATGCTCCACTTGCACGTCCCATCTGTTCTGATCATCACGAACGCAAAGTCCGATGGATTCATCCATACAGGCCAATCTACGGAGTATGCCTGTCCTCTCTGATCCACCGTGATGAGATGGCCCACAATAGGCACGGGAGACAGCTATGTTCTCGCTCATTTTTGGGCATATGTAGTAGAGTTCGCGTGGATCGCAATCTATTTAACTCCACAGTTCAGCAGACACGAACTATGCATCGACCCGGTGCTGAAAGATTATGTATGTATCCGTACAGCCCTGGAATTGTACGTTATCCACAGGTTTACGGACCCCACGATTGACGATCCCCTGCCAAAAAAAAAACCCCTGTCTCCGAGAACTACTCCACAAAGACGGGACGATTGGCTCAGAATGGGTAGGCTACTTGCGTGGCTGGGAAACAGCTCGTTGGCTTTTTTCTGACACCTTCAGCTCAAGCCCCTTCCCATGATGAAGTGGGTCGTTGCATGCAGACTTGCCGCGCTCAAGGCCTTCTTTCTTTGACGTTATCTACCTTTTCTTTTCCGTTGTCATTACACATCCTGTTCACCAGAGCTTCAGGGCCTGGACACGATTGAAGGGATAGCAAGATGGTCTGGTTCCCGCTCGCAGTCGATAATGAGGCAATCACCTGGAGCTTCGACATCGTCGGCCTGCTAGCCGTGGTCGGAGGGTCCTCGATCGAAAAACATGCCCAGAGTATTACCGCCTCTCCTTTGGCTGGTTTTCCTCGTCTCTTGCCTGCTCCAGAGACGATGCTCGATACCGACCGCCCAGATCGACTACCCTCTGTCAAGGATGTGACCGTCGTAGGCGTTCACTCGGGCAATCAATTCAACGAACTTAATTTCTTCGCCGACGTGATCCACCGCATCGGAGGACTGAAAAGCTTCCAGTTTCAATCCTTCAAGATCACATATAGGCAGAAAGATCCCGAGGAGAACGGCAGCTTCCTACGCCATGGTGTACCACCGGGTAAAGCTATCATCCCATTGCACACATTCTCTTCACTGAACCTGTTGACGTTGGTATCGGTTCTCATTACAATTGCTCTGTTTGTCTGGGCCGGTGTGCAGCACGATGCAGTCGCCATTTTGGGACTGGGAACTATGTCCATCTCCACCGCCACAGCGTGTCTGTCCGCACAGTGGCGCCCAATCCTCTCAGTCCGAGCAGCCAAGGGTATCGTGCCCCCAGGCAACGTCGTCATTCGTACACGTAATGGAGCCTTCGTCGCCATTGAGTGCAGCGAGGAAATTGCCCGTGAGCTTTACGCCGGAACAGAAGAATGCTCGTATGTGTATAATGGACGTACCCATCAATGTCTTCTCGCGGTCAGCACAGTACTTCTGATGGCTTCAATTATTTTCTTCAGTAACTGCGGCTGGAAGATTCAGATCGCTGTCGGACTGGCGTATATCATTCTCAACCTTGCATACTGGGCTTTGGCGCTCCTAACAGAGCCGCAAGACCTCTGGAATTGGGAGAGCCGATACCGAAAAGAGGAGCTTGTTAACGAGATCTGCCCAAACTACACCGTGGCAATGTGGAAAGCTATCCAGACAACCGGGAATGTCCGCTGGATTAAAAAGGCTGGATTTGCGCCGGCGACGAAGAAGTGGAATGGATGGCTGAAGGAGGCGAAGGAGAACTGTACCAATGAAGAGTGGGACCCCGAGGCGGCGCGTGATCGATGGATGCAGAAGGACCTAGAGGAAGAAAAGGAGGATTGATAGGGGAGAATTAGAAGTATACCCACGGATGAACTGAGGAGAAGAAAAGTGAAGTTTTACTATATTAATTGATGACATTCCATGATACTCAAATCTTGTTAGCCAGTATTTCCAGGCACGGCGGGCTTTCACATTATTCAAATCGATACCTAGAGCCGTTGAAAATGTGTGGCATTATTTCCTAGTGTATGTACATATCTACTATGTGCCCAGCACGCTCTCTCATTGACAGTCAATGTTGTATCATATGTATGCGGTTATGGATTTTGGCAACCTTGAAACTTCTAGTGTCAAAATAAGACTCAATATCATCTTTTCCTGAAAGAGGGAGGATGGAGAAGGCAATGAGGAGCCGAATAAATCTCGGTGGACATGAGGTAACGCGGCTAAAGTGGATGGGAGAGGAAGAAAGAATCAAGAACTGAAAGAAGAGAAGGTTTGGAGTTCGAAAGAGAGGGGGTTTAGACTGGTCGGCATCGCGTCTTCCCCCAAAGAATCAACCGTGCCATCGTGCTATGTATCTACCTCAAGATAAACGCAACTGCTTTATTGATTCAGCTGTGACATGACCCGGGATATACTGAAGAACAGAGTGGGGCGCGTACATTTCTAATCACCCAAACAATTATTACCACGAAAGGAACTACCAGAAATGCAACAATTCATAAGCCAAGTATGGTCTACAGTCCTTTCCCAAAGAGCTCTTCCCCAACCTCTTTAAGCAGAGGTTCCTTCTGTAAAGCCGCAATCTTAGACTTTGCAGCGATAGTTTCTTTAACACCCATAGCTCGGCAAAGATCAATCACCTCCCCATCCATATCAGCCTCATAAACAAACAGCCCAAGCGCAAACAACAGACCATGCAAAGCTTCCGGGCTTTGGTCCTCGCGCGAAGTAGCTTCCAACAAAGAGGCGAGCAATTCGACCTGATCAGCTTCAGGAAGTGGGTCTGCTTTGCCATCAAATCGGGCATTGTGGTTGAAGGCAGCAAGATTGTATGCAAAAGAGGCTGCTACAACACGAAGGTTTGCATGTAAGTCTAGGAGAGAATTGGTGGCGAGTGCAAGGCAGGTTTCTCGTAAGGGTGAGGAAGTTGAGGCGAGCTGGTAGGGGTATAGAGCGGTGCTGAAGAGATTGCAGGCTAGCTGCAGGGCGACAATGCGGAGATTATAAGGAGATGATGATAGCTCTTCACCCGTGAGTGGTGAGAGGAGAGTAAGTAGGGTGGCGTGCTGAGACTCCTCGGCGAAAAAGCCACTCACGCGTGGGTCAAGGAATAAGAGACGGACGAGATCCACGACAGCAAAGTGACAGTCAGTTGGGAGCTTCGGGTATGTCGACTGCAAAGCGGTAGCAAAGGCGTGGAGGTCTGGGACTCTAGTATCTGCTGCAGGAGCTTTGTTATCCGAAGAATGGCGGGTCTTGACGAAGTCTATGACTGGTGCAATGCCTGCGGCATCTTTAAATTCCACCGGTAGCTTTTGCACAAGTCTGTCTAGTGGTGGAACCTTTTTGTACATGACGAAATTGCTGATTTGTCGTTCGAAACTGGGTACTCGGAGCTGTCTGTGAGGGTGGGTTGGGTTGGCCATTTGGAAGAGCATCCGCACGTTTCCTTGAAGTTTTGCTGGGTTGGCTCCGGACCACTCATCGAGCTTCTGGCCTTTCAGAAAGGTCATGAATGTGGGCGTTGCACGCACGCCGTACTTCATGCTCACATCATAAGCCGACCCGATGTCGACCTTGATAAGCCTGGCCTTATCACCGGCCTCTTCTGCAAGCTCATCGTACGTCGGGTAGACCATCTTGCAAGGCGGACACGTGGACGAGGTGAAGAAGATAACTGCGCAGGAGTTTGACGCCGCCGCTAACTCGCCCTCGAGTTGGCCGAGATTACTGACAATGCGAACCTTCCCAAATGGCGCGTGAGATACAGGTGCAGGTCGAGAAACCGGCGGTGCAGCGCTTGGCCCGGGAATTGGGGCTGCACCGCCGCCCTGGGTAACGCCTTTCAATGCGGCCTCGATCTGAGGCTTCATCATCTGCCCAAATGGGGTTTCCAAGAAAGTGCTAGGCAGGTTCCGAATCTTCTCCGGAATACTTTTACCCACGAGGAACATGGCAAAATCCTGGGTAAAGTTGTTGCAGTTGTGAAGAAATAGATCATAGGACTAGAGAATATTAGATTCGACAATGCATGGTATAAGAGTCTGTTCGGTTGTGACCAACCTCTGGAGTGTAAATTTCGGCTAGGGAGCCAAGATACTCTTCTATCACATCAGTTGGGAGCTCTGTGGACCCGAGATGTATCCTCTCCATGGGCTGTCCATGGTGGGTGCTTCCAGGAAGGGCGGTCTGGATCCCTTGACCAAAATAATACTCCATACCACCAACCACAATGGATGTATGGTAGATCGCATCCATCTGGGTCCCTGTCAGGGCCACAGAGTACTAACGATGGCATATGAGATGATATTCTTGGATATTTATTGTGTTATATGCTGGTTTGTACATACCATACGCGCAAGACCCTAGAATTGATTAGCTGGTTGAATTACTTCAACTTGCATAGACAGAATACACACCTTGGAAAGGTCATAAACATAGAGCTCAACATCCATGGCTGTAATTGTTGTATTGGAGTTTTTGATAAGGGCGGGACCGGCTTGATAACCTTGAAGGCTGGGCAGGCACCGGGCGGATAACGTCAGCACTTTGGATTCGGGTGCCTTCGACTGTTTTCTAAACCCCCCAAAAAAGATAGTTTACTAGATCAAATGATCGAAATGCGGCAGAACTTTGGTTAGCTCGAGGCTACCTAATACGTACCTACTCTGCAACCTTGGAAGTGGATATTTTGATATTCTATACGGTCTCCGTTTGAACCGGTTCGTAGATATATATACCTTTCATGCTTTGCTGTGCAGCAACAGAGTGAGTTGTGAAAAGTACCCCAAACCGGCAAAAAAGAAACGTATCCAGACGGATTCGAACACAGACAAGCACATCTTCGAAATAGCCTCACACCTCAACGAAGCTCCAGCAAAGAAAAAAAAAACTGGTAGCTTCTCTTTGATTGAGCGTGTCATCCTTAGTGCAGGGGCCATGCTAATCTTCTCTGTATATTTTCATTTGACCAAATGTCCCGAAGGACACTATAATTACTTGGAAGTGAGATATATCCGCCCTTTTTCTGCCACCGCCGGATGACTCCACTCTGGGCGCCGGCGCATCACATTCCACTTCCTGTAGTCACCTTTACAGCTAAATTCCCTCAACATTAATACCCGAGAGCTCCCTCTCTTGCCTTGTGACATGGTAAGCCTTTTACTCTCACCCACCTGGCAGTGCATATCAAGCGACCTCTGAGACTGACCCACGCCTCACTATAGCCTCCCCAGAGGCGTGGAGCTGCTGCCGGCTCCTCCTCGGCAGGTCCCAAACGTGCGCGCCCCTCCAAACTTGCAAAAGAGAACAATATCAGTGCAGAGGAAGAGAATGAAATCAAGGAGGTCTTTCACCTTTTCGCCGATAAGCACGAGGATTTCCCTGCAGAAAAGGAGGGTGTCATTCCACGAGAAGATGTGCGCAAAGCACTGGTGTATGTAAAACCCCAAAGCCTATACATATCCCGGGGCCCCTCCAATAAAGTCCCTCGCCAAACTCCCCCGTCTTTCTTACTCATAATTTACATATACTCACTACTATACTATTCAATAGAGCTCTCGGCCTCCCTCCAGAAGACTCAACCGAATTCTCCGAGATCCTCTCTGCCCTCGACCCAACCGGCACAGGCTACATTCCATACAGCCCGTTCGTCTCCGTTGCCGCTGCAAAATTGCGCTCGCGCGATGACGATGCTATGGCTGAGGAGGTAGATCATGCGTACCAGCTCTTCACGCGCGGCACAGACGGGCCGATATCCATCAACCACCTGCGGCGCATTGCGCGCGAGCTAAAGGAGGACTCTGTGGATGATGACCTGCTAAGAGATATGATCGCTGAGGCAAATGGGGGTGCGGGCTTGAGTGCGGGTGTTACGTTGGAGCAGTTTCATGATGTCATGATGCGCGCGGGGGTTTTCTAAAGTATGTCCTCTAAATAGGAGTTTTAAGGAGGGGAGCGCCTGTACATTTGTTTGATTTGGATTGATCTACTGTTTTCGACGGATATAACATTTTGTTTGGCGTTTGTTGTGCCATGGGCCCTGTGGCGTTAATAGTTGCATAGCGCGGAGAATAAACGGGGGTTTCGAGATGAACATGATGCCTTTGTCTAGGTCATATATCGAAGCAATCGGTGCCTAACTTTCATGGTTCGGCCTAACTTTCATGGTTCGGCCTAACTTTCATGGTTCGAAATGCTTAAGAGCTATCAAAGAATCATGATCGGTTTGAATGTTCTTTGTTTGATTGTAGATACATGCCACCCTCTTACCCATTCGTCTGCCGCGATAAAGAATTAAGTCCCATAACAAGAAGAAAAATCCCAGATAAAACAAATGCGGAAAGACGAAAGCAAAAAAAAAAAATAAGAAACAGGTAAGAAAGAAGGGGGAGAACGGCAGAAGATATGGCCCGCGCATCAACTATCAAGTCCCCCAAGAGAAAAAGCCAGGATCCCATATCATGCCTGATAAGGGACAGCAAAAGACGTTATGTGCGATGCGTTGTCAAGACATTCACTAATGGATCGTCAGTACATATCATCAAAGAGTCAAGATACGCAATCACTCACCGAAATCTCGGCCATACCGAGGTCCTCACCACCGTTGGCCTGCGGAGCAGCGCCGTTGACGGGGGCACTGTTGCCAGCAGGGGCACTCTCACCACCAGCAAAGTAGTCAACCATCTCGGCATCGAGCTCCTCGATGCTCTTGGGCTTCCCACGGCCGGGGTTGCGGCCGCGACCACCACGACCACGGGTAGCAGTAGTCTTGGGGTTAGCCGCCTTGTTAGCAGTGGCGGGCTTGGGCTTGGACTTTTGCTTCTGGCTATCTAAGAGTTAGTGCCTGGAAATTGCGTGTAGTTGGACATAAGAAGGCACTCACGCAGCAATGCGCTCGTTGAGGGGCTTAGGGGCGGGGACCACAGGCGCGTGGGAGGCATCGTAGACAACCTCGATCTGTTCACATTTGTTAATAATTGGAAAAAGCTAGATCGCCAGTAACTCTTGCTAACCTTCATGGCACGACCGTCGACAAGGAGCCCATTAAGCTCCTTAGCAGCCTTGGCAGCAGTGTCGGCTTTGGCGAAGATGATCGAAGCAATGCCGCGGCTGGTTCCGTTTTGGTTGTAGGTAAGCATCACCCGCTTAACGGGACCTGCAGACTTGTTGAAGTATTCCTAAAGCGTAGAGAGGCGATCAGTATTTCGTCTGATTGTTTCAGATGCATCAATGGCGATCGAGTGTCGAAGGCAAACAACGGCGACAACGTGAACAATCCAACGGTGAGAGCATCAGCGAGCACACGGCTGTGGTCCATTGACCAAGCCCAATCCCAAATTTCCCAAGACTCAGTTTCCACTCCGTACCACATGCAAATTCACCAATTTATACATGATACCGTTGTCCACCGTGCTTCATATAAAACCTATCCCACACATCCACATATTTCTTTCAAAAGCGTTCCCAAGTTCAAAAAATCATCAATCGAGTGCGACTAGCTTGAACGACAGGTTTGTACTCCTAAAGCGCCCTTGTACACGCATTCCCACGCCCACTGCGTAACACTAGCTGGAGGTTTGTCATATGTTCTCGTGATAGTTCTCCAAGTGACAAACCTGGTAGCCCATTGGAGATAACTACCGTGTCTTCAGATAACTGTAATGGGATTCACCCCATGTGGCAGTAAGAGCCCCGATCGGAAACTCATGAAGAAAAGCCGGTTAACAGGTGTGAAGCCCTCGTCGCCAAAAGGAAAATCCGTTTGTTTACCGGTGCGCTCGCTGATGTCCCTCTGAAGCTAACAACGTAAAGTAGGAAAAAAGTGAAGCGGGACTTCGAAAAACGGGTCAGGATGGATTCTTTCGATCTCCTATCCTTGGCACAGTCCTCAGAATTCGCAAGGCGGGCAGATCACCTTGCAAAAAGCATTGACATGGAAGACATAGCTCCTTGACAGAGTACTGGACAGTGCTCAACTTCCCGCTTCATGCGATGCCAGCCAAAGAATGCGCAGAAGTATTTGGGAAGGAGCAACCTGTCTGTGCCAGACAAACGGCGACAACCACCATGGGGAATATAGGAGTGGCAGGTCGGAACACGAGTCGACGTTGGTTGCACCTCGAAGCGTTTGAAAGCAAAGATGGCGATCACAGCCAAGGCGAAGGCCTCTGGATCAACATACCTTGATATTGCCCTCAGTCACATCGGCAGGCTGGACAAGTTAGTCTATGGATGCAAAAGGGCAAATCAGGATTTGAGCATACCAGTCCGCTAACGATGATCTTGCTAGAAGCAGTTGGAGCAGCAGGAGTAGGGTGGACAGCCTTTGCGCCCTGCTTGGTGGCCTTGGCAGACTTCTTCACACCTCCAACGGAGGGCTTAGCTGCTGTAGCAGCACGGCGGTTGCCGCGACGGCGAGCGGTTTGACGGCGGTTGCCGACAAGGTCGTCAAGAGATTTATCCAGGTTGGCGGACATGATGAAGAGTTGCGAGAAGAGATGGGAAAAGCTGGCGATTCGGGTTTCCTTGGTTGCAAGAAGAACGCGTCGATGACAAATGCGCTCAAAATTTGAGAGCGACCTTGTGAGAGAAGATCGGCAGGGAGTTTAGTTGGCACTTGATAGGGGGGGATTCTCTCCGAGAAGGAAGGAAAAACCAGATCAGTGAGGGCAGAGGGTGAATGAGAGACCAGGAGGGTTGGAGGGAAAGGGAGTCAATGGGGCGCGGCACGCTAGTCTATTCTTGGAAAGTCGGGCACCCCGAGTGGTGGTGTTTGCCATGTTTGCAGCGAGGCTGATATCATGCATTTTAAAAGGTAGGCAGTCACTTTGTGAAGCCATTATGATGTGGAACAAAATACAATGATACCAGTGGGCAATATTGAGCTCCCTGGATGGTGATGCTGGACATATGGTATCTATTCCGGAGGAAAGATAGTGGCCTAATCTTATGTTACTAGCAAAGTAGAGTTGAAGATGTACCGCAATACAGTAATAGGACGAAACAGCAGTGAGATCTCATTCATTCTATGTAGGTCCAGCCTGCATACACAGATCATGGAATCATGCCCAAAACTCCTCCCAAAAATAAACAAAGACAACCAGAGACTATAGCAGTGGGGGCGAGGCGCTTTGAAAGAATGAGACATTGAAGTAAAAGAGAAGGGGGTAATGCTAGTGAAAGATCAACTCTTCAATGCTTCCAGGCGATCGCGCATTTGTTCGAGTGTCGCCTCCTGGTCCTCGAATTCGGGCTCGGCAACAGGGGCCTCCTCGACTGGGGACTCGGGTTTGGCCGGGGCTTGAGAAAGTTTGCTCTGCAGAATCTCCTGCAAAATCTTGTCTACCTCTTCGTCGGCCTCAAGGTCCTCCGATTCCAGCATATCATCAATAGGCATGGCATCGTCCACCATTTCTTCGATTATTCCAGCCTTGACCAACTCCGTAGAGAGCTGATGCATCGTAGATTGCAGCTCCGGCATTCGTACCAATGTATTCACATCTTTCATGATCGCTGTTGACTTCTGTAGACTGCCTTGAATCTTGCGAACAGAAAAGGCCTCGTTAACCTGCATCCCAACGCTTTGTAGCTGTGCTCGACTTGTGTTTAAGCGTGAGGTTTGTTTCCGAATTCGCACCAGCTCCCGGGCAAAGGTCTTGGTTTCGCTATTAGCCTGTTTGGCTTGCGATGGGTTTCGTTGAGCTCGCTTGGAGGAATTAATGATATACATCCGGGTCTTGTTATCAAGGGCTTTGAGCTGAGAAAGGTCCCGATCGAGTTGCCGAGTATTTGCGCGGATGAGGGCATTGCATTTTCTCATCTAACAATCTATCAGTCAGCGGATGAAACCGAATGCGGTGTTACCTGACGGCTAATAAGTGTCCTGCCTACCTGAGCTTGGGGGTCAGGCCCAAAGAAGACCGCTTTTAAGGTCTCCATAATGGTATTGGTATTGTCGCTAAGACAATTCAGTAAACCACAGAAGTATGAGCCGTCTCGCTGGTCTGTTTCCCGAATCGTAAATTCAACGTGTTGAGCAATGTGGGATGAGTGGAGGGCCCAGGCGCATATTCTGCAGGGAATGGCGGAACAGCGGGAGCTCTGGAGCAGTATGAGCACCAAGAACGAGGCAGAGTCCTTCAAAAGGAATGCTCGAGCCTTGTGTATGTCTTATCGGGATTGCGATGCCTGGGGCAACTTGTTGGAGGGGGCAGGAAGGGCTTAGTCAGAAAACCTGTGACGTCCCCAAATTCATACTTTCGCCTGAAAGACAAGGCTTGAACTAGGCAACAAACCAAGCAAACAGCCGCCGACCGTGCTTCCAGTACATTCTAGCATTAGGTGAAGTGAATGCGGTACATGCTTTCAAAGAGAGCTTCTCCTTCTTCCCACTACACTCACCATTTCATCTCTTTAAGGACTCACTTCCCCTTTTATAATCTTGAATCATCTTCGGATTATCATTCATTCATCCATCCACTATGCCTATCGCACAGCCCGAAGGTAAGTTGAGACAGCTCTCAACTTCCCCGCTCTGCTCCAAACACTCGGACCTGCACATTTTGCAAAGACAACCGCTATGACGTTAATCTAGTCCCTGAAAATTCAGTGGGGCGCGGCTTCTTGCAATTCTGTTCGGGTCGATTGTTGGAGATTTTTAAATGAGAAGGAAAAAAAAAAGGCTGACCTAGAAATTGTGTGGTTTTTCAGTTACCTGGGCTCAGCGCTCATCCGCCGATGATGCCGAGCGCAACTACCTCTACGTGAGCATCAAGGCCGCCGAGGTCCCTAAGGAGAAGGCCGAGTTCAAGCTCACCCCCACCACCGTCTCCTTCACTGGTGATTCCCGCAAGGGTGTCACATACCAGGCCGAGCTGGAGTTCTACGCCGAGATCGACCCCGAGAACAGCAAGGTCAACCACACCGACCGTGGAGTTGAGATGGTGCTGCGCAAGAAGGAGCTTAAGGAGGAGTTCTGGCCCCGTCTCCTGAAGGAGAGCAAGAAGGTTCACTACCTGAAGACCGACTTTGACAAGGTATGCAATTTCCGTGGAGTTTTGTGCTTGAAATGGTGAACTGACCCGATTCCAGTGGGTCGATGAGGATGAGCAGGACGAGGCCCCCGAGGATGACTATGCCAACAACTTCGGTGGCTTTGGTGGTGAGGGCGGCGGCGAGGGCGGTGGCCTGAGCAACATTGACTTCTCCAAGCTCGGCGGCATGGGCGGCATGGGCGGCGAGGGTGGCATGCCCGACCTGAGTGCCTTGACTGGTGGCGCTGGTGGCATGCCCGACCTTAGTGCTCTGGGTGGTGCTGGTGGTTTCCCTGGCGCCCAGGGTGGTGAGGACGAGGAGGACGATGTGAGTAACTTTGGTCTTCGGGCTTCTATCCTCTCTAAACAATATGTACATTGTGCTAACCATGAGGCTACAGGATGAGCTTCCCGAGCTTGAGGAGGAGAAGTCCTCCAAGATCCAGGAGGTTTCTTAAATATATCATCAGGATAGCTGCCTTCGGAATATCTATCACGACCAGAAATGAAAAATACGGGTTCATTCAGGCGACTGCGGGATGGTTTGCCGGATACTTCTTTTTTCCTTTGACTGCTTTGGATTTCTCTTGTCTGTAGAGCAACTTGGCCCAGCTGAACTGTCGAATTGGTTACCTCCCAGTCTGGGTAGTTCATCATCTTCAGGGATCCATGTAGCGGCGATAAAAATTGGGAAAACACGACTAGATGCAGCCTGCTCATGAAGAATCCTTTGCTATAAACATCATAATCAAAATCAAAATCAGATATTATATTGAAAGTAATGTAGGGAAGGCAGATCACTCTAGTGCTTCACTTTAGCTATTCAAGGAAGAGAAAATAATGTCTGCTATCCCCGTAGGAGAGATGTTTCCACTACGGTGTGCAATATGATGTGTGGGAGGAGAATTGGGGCTATGACGCAAATGGTTTCCTCCGGTCGGATTTGGCCAATTCACCACGCATGAGCGTATAAAGTAAAGAAGAAATTTATGAAAAGAGACATCAGAGACCATAGTTTCTTGATTTTTTTCTTCTAAATCATCAAGCTCATGCTATACTGAAACTTGCAGAGGGTTGCGTGGAATTCAACCCTTGGGATATACTTGAAGGGCCCGCGCGGTCATTGGCCAGTCACAGATTGTGCCGCCACACTTCTCACCCCTCGAATTTGTGGAGGGCTCTCTCTCTCTCTCTTCAATCTCAGCTCACAGCATACCCTGCCTTGACTTCCCTACTTTGGGCCTTTCCCTGTCTTTATTTTGGGTTGCATCAGCGTTATTTAGATCTCGAACAGCGACTCGCGCGACCGGGCGCATCTTTTTTTTTTTTTTTTTCCTTTCCCTACACGGCCTCACACGAGAGCAATCCGTCAAGATGGCGCCCAAAAAGGCCGACCAGCCTAAGAAGAAGACGAAGACTGTCGATGACAAGGTTCGTATCGTACTATGTGACCTACATGAATTTTTACAGAGACGAAAAATGGCCACTAATGCTTGAACCCTTCATAGACCTTCGGCATGAAAAATGTACGTCACCGGAAAAAATCCGCACGCCCGCCTACATGCTCCAAATGCCCTCGACTACACCAAAACCTCCTTTAAAGCATAACTGACTAACACAACACCAACAGAAAAAAGGAGGAGCCGCCAAGAGACAAATCACCCAGTTGAACGCGCAAGCCGCATCCAACAAGAACCCCGAAGAGAAGAAACGAGCCGCTGAGAAGGCCCAGCGTGAGCTCGAAAAGAAGGCTGCCGAGGCAGCTAAGAAGGAGGCTGCAGAGCTCTTCAAGCCCGTCCAAGTACAGAAAGTTCCATTCGGTGTCGACCCGAAGACTGTTCTGTGCCAATTCCACAAGAAGGGTGGTTGTGAGAAGGGTCGCAAGTGCAAGTTCAGTCATGACTTGAACATTGAGCGCAAGGCGGCCAAGAAGGATCTGTACACCGATTCGCGTGATGCCGAGGAAGGCGAGGAAGACACTAAGAAGGCTGATACTATGGATCAGTGGGACGAGGAGAAGTTGCGCAGTGTCGTGCTGAGCAAACATGGAAACCCACGGACGACTACCGACAAGGTCTGCAAATTCTTTATTGAGGCTGTGGAGAACCAGAAGTATGGTTGGTTCTGGGTTTGTCCGAATGGTGGTGATAAGTGCATGTACAAGCACAGCTTGCCTCCAGGGTATGTGCAACTTTCCCTTATAATCTTCTTGCCTTTTTGTTCTTTGTACTAATTATCGCAAAAGATTCGTCCTTAAGACTAAGGAGCAGAAGGCGGCGGAGAAGGCCCTGATGGACAAGTCACCGCTGAACACCCTCACTCTGGAAGACTGGCTGGAGTCTGAGCGCCATCTGTTGACCGGAAAACTGACACCGGTCACACCGGAGACCTTCGCCAAGTGGAAGACTGAGCGTCTGAGCAAGAAGGCCGCCGAGGAGCAAGCACAGAAGGCCAAGGAGGCAACCGGTCGCTCACTGTTCGAGGCTGGTGACTGGAAGGATGACGGCAGCAGTGATGAAGAGTCGGATGACGATGATGATGGCTTCAATTTGGATGCGCTGCGCGAAGAAACTGAGAAAATACGCGAGCAGAAGGAAGAGGAACGGATGGGCAAGCTTAATGGGATCCCTGGTATTGAAGTACCAACTGCGGGCTGAGCCCCCTCATCTCCTCGCGAGACCAGTTTCGTGAGTCCTTGAGAAGGGACCGATCCCTACCGGATTCCGCAGACCGACCATACCCAGGCCGGTCCTGTCGGCCCACGGGGATCGGATCTCCATGACGAGTGATCGCTACAATCGCCAAGTGTTCGGCGTTGTGTCATGATGCACCGAAATCTTGCGTTGTATGGCCTCGTGATGTCACTCGAGGCTCACCCAGTCACCTTTTCCCATTATATCCTCTCTAAACCATATCTTGTCTAGTAGAGGGGCATGGCGGGTGGATGGTAACGAGGGCAGAGGGTCTTGAGAAGATCCTGTGTCTTATGTGACGGAAGATCCAACGACTGATATCTTGTTATGACAGCTTGCTTGGTAGCAAAAAGTCCGTTTATTCCCAGTATCGCATGATTTCCAAGCTGAGGACAACGATTCCCACTGGTATATATAGCTTTGTCGAGGTTCTCGATGTTTAAACCCCACTGGCCTACAAGGTCCTCTTAAGCTTCCAATGTTGATCTCCTCGACGATGGGACAAGATACGGGCCTTGTACATCTATGCCCTTTCCATGGCCGCCAAAACGTAGACAATTTGTTCATATTATATCATGGGACCCAGATAGTTAGCCCAAGTGATAAGGATGTTACTCAACAGGCTACAAAGTTGCCTTCTCTCGCAAAATCCCCTTCTCCAGCATCAATGCTACAGTATCCTCGGCGACACCTCGCGAGAGCTCAAAGCCACGTCCACCAGCACCATATGCATGAACGATTCGTTTGCCTTCCCCGAGCTCCTCGACTTCAATTCGCATCCCGCCTTCTCGAGCAGGTCGCCGTCCGACTATATCACGAACCACGTCAAACTGGCCACCACTTTCCGGTTGGAAAGGGAACCACTTTTTTGCGTTGTCAAGAAGTCTTGCTCGGGTCTCCATGGACGGATTGGGGTCCCAGTTATGAGGCTCCTTCGTCCCACCAATGATTGTCCCACCGTCCAATGGACGTGGGATGCAAAATGACCAGGACCCATCTTCATTTTGGCGGGTGATAGTCGCTGACACAGGATTGCGAACAAGACAGGTTTGACCTGTACGTCAATAGAGAGCTTCATATTAGCCCCAACCGCCAGAAAATCTAGTCTTCGAGAAAGGGATCATACCTCTGATAATGAATGATTTCGGATCCTCGAAGCCAACCCCAGAACAATTTACCACAGCACTCACATTCGAAGCCAAAGAGAATGCTTCCTTTATATTCGCAAGATTATATTGCCTCGTGTCCCCACCTTTCAGGACAAACTTGCGTAGCATATGTGCACAATAAACCGGAGAATTGATAACATAAGATGTATACTGAACACCCCATTTCACGCTTTTGGGCATCTCGTCACTCGTCAGATGACGGAACCCATCGAGGTGCTCATAAACATTCAGCACGCTTTGCGCATCCAAGTACTCATTCGGCGGAGCTTCGAGGTGCTCAACGCCTTCAATGAATTTGACGCCCGCACCTGGTTCATCAGCGGCGACTCGCTTCATGAACTCGTAAGTTCGCTGTGCCTGACCTGCTTCACGGAGCGCCTGTGGCGAGGACCCCGGGACGGGCCGATAATGCGCTCCGGCCCATGGGGAGGCATAGTTAACGGATGTATCTGATGGGAAGTCCCTGGCCACTAAGAGCACAGACTGTACGGGACTCAGTGATTGTTGGATACATAATGCGGTCGAAAGACCTATCACGCCGGCCCTGAGATATCGTTAGTCGGGTCATACTGAAATTGCCAGGCTGTATTGGGTTAACTTTTTTTTACCCTATAATGACAATGGTCTCGGGATCGGACATTGTTGAATTAAACTATAGCACGAGCATAGTCTTTGAATTGGAAGCGCGAACAGGTTGTAGTTGACGAGGTTAATGTCAAATATATTAGCGAACATGTTGGTTAGGTTGATTTCAATACGTGAAGTGAGTCAATGTCCGAGGATGAGATAAGCCCCCGCACGCCAGATACGAGATCGCAGCCCGGGGATGGCCTCATGGCCATCACAAGCGCAAAAGAATCACCAGATCGATCCTGAAAGGTTAATGAGTGAATGGGAAAGGATATGAAATTTATGAGGCTTGATATAAGGTGTATCTCGTGATAAAAAACTAGGATCTATAAGATTATATCATAAAAGTGCTGGGTGCATACCGAGCGTCTATTGATCAACATATCCGCGGATCGCCTTTTCAACGAGGAACCAGTTCCCGCAACTCTTACCAATTCGAGGAAAGTAAAAATGGGATTGATCACCGGATCGTGCAAAGCAGTCTCCCGACCTCGTTCCAAGTTCGATTGCAAAAGTCTCCAAGTGTGCCTTGTCCCTCTCCCCGATACCACTCCGCAGAGGCCCAAGCTCCTCTGAGAACGCACAATATAGTGTGCCTGATGTGCAGCAAGCAGCACCCCGACTTGAAGCACACGGTCACATCACATAAGCCAGGGGCCTGCACTTGATTTGCATGAAGAAACAGAAAAGCAAACCCATCGAAATGATCGTCGTATATAATCTCCCCCCAAACCCTTATGAAACTTCGGGGCGGAAAAGATAGAGCGAGAGGAATCTTCGTAAGGTATTTCAGTGCTTCCATAGGCTGCCTCGAGGACCCTCAAGAGTCACGTTCCATAGCCTTTTCCCACCTCCTTATGAGATATGAAAGGTCATTGGTTGAGTAGAGTTGCTGTAGGCGCCGAGGGATCAGCAGTGATGAGATGTGATTGGTGGATGGAACGTGACGAAAGGTGCAGCTTGTCAACTAACTGCACGGATCTCTTCTATCACACTGGATTTTCACATTTTCTTGTCTCAGAAAATCAGAAAAGAGGAAAAGAGGAAAAGAGGAAAAGAGGAAAATAAATCAATTAATGTTTTCTGGGATTCTTGACTCGACTTGGGTAAATTCTCACGTTTCGCAACGGGACGCTGCATTCCAATAGTATCTTTCCCCGTTCTCTATCCGCCACACCATATAGCCACTGGGAAGTTCTCGGATCATTAGCCCATTAGACTCAACGGCTGTCAATTTCGTCACCAATTTCGTGCAGCTCCTTTAGGCCACGGGCCCTTTAGAATAATTGGATCGACTCCACGCGCTTTCTCTGATATCGTAGGACCCACTTCCTTACCTAGGGAAACCAGAGATGCTTTATGGTTCCCGCCTGTGATTCGGGAGCTTCCTGCATTGATCTAAACCCGTAACTTCTTCTACCTCGTTTCTGCATGCTCGTTGGTGCAGTCCCACCGACCTAGAGCCACGCACCCCAGCCACCGGAAAGGCTCGATCTCACCGTCTCCGCTAATGATGTGATACTTCTGGCAGTCTCCATCTTTTCGGGCAATGGTGGATTCTCGGTGTCTCCCAGGCGGCCCAGTTGTATGGTTAGTCGTGAAATGAAGCGCCCTGTGTCGTGCCCCGGCGCCAACCCCGATTGCTCCATGGCTCGATGACTCCAAGATTCTGATCGGCTACCGGCGCCCCCTCTGCTTCCTTTTGGACGAATTCTGAGCTTTCTGTCCTACCGGAGTAAGCGCATCCCCAATCTGGGCTCCACGACCAGGGTGGTGCCAGATTTTATATGCGTATATAGTATAGATATACACCCCTGCTGCTACCCATCTCCACCCCACGTCCTGTCACAAACTTAAGCCCTTCCACGCTAATGGAATGTGATGAACGTGGCAATCAAAATTCCTTCTGAATCCCTGTTCCCTTTCCTATCCTCCCCCGTGCATTCAAATTACGCCAATCTTCGCCTGGTCGCATATCACCCACAGCTCGCTTCGAACGCTCCCTTATTACGGCCCAGGTCATCGCGAACAGCCTAGCTTCCTGCAATCCTTTCGCCTTGTCCGGCACTAAGATCCGTTTCCCCAAAGTTTCCAAATGCCTGGCGGTATTCGCGCATTTTCCCCTTTGCCTTGGACGGTCTAGGGTCGTGGCCGATTAGTAACCTCTGACCTGGTAAGAACGCAATCAGGTGAGTTTTGATCTTTCTTTTTTGATTTTTCCTCTTTCCTTTCCTTGCTTGCTTTTACAGTGTGGGTTTGTGGGGTCTTATAATCCACTCAATCCACTGGCGACCTGGAGCAACAACCTAGCTTTTGCAAAAGGTCGCTCTGGTGATTGGCGGCAATTCTGACCACTTGATTCAGAAAGCATACAATAGAACAAGATGGATAGGTTAACACGGAGTAGGAGCTTGGCGTCAGATTCACGACCCTCGAAAAGCTTCAAAGCAATGGCCCCGCAAGCACCATCAGAGCCTAAGTTTGAGCCTTGTGCGGCAACGGCGTCACTGTTTCTATATACACAGGATACCACCATTCTGTGCCTTCACCATGACACACTTGCTGTTGAACGACGGTTCACTAGCCACCAGGAAAATATTGAATTTATATCAGTGGATAATGTGAGCGAGCGTGGTGCGGGTCGACTGGTGGTCAGCTACGATGTAGGCCAGACAGCAATTGTATGGGATATTTTCACCGGCACAGAAATCGCAAGATTTGCGTCCTTCGAGCACCTGCGAGTTGCATCATGGATGCGCAACGGGAATGTCGCATTTGGTATGAGAAAGAACATGGCCTGTGTACCTGATATGATTGCTTACGTTTTTCCTACTTTAGGTAATGGCAAAGGTGAAGTTATTCTATTCGAGCCTTCCACCTCGGAACATATTTCCGCGCGAACCATCTTTGATCCCATCACTTCTCTTGCCCCGGCTATGGACTGTCGGACCTATGCGATTGGGTATGTCGATCCTGCTTATATATATCTCTTGGATTTGTTCTAATCAATTCGAACCCACCAGTTATCAAAATGGATCGATTCTTATTGCAACCCTCCTTCCTCAATTCACTATCCTCCATACCTTGACTACTTCTCGCGGACCTTCACCAATTATCTCACTCGCCTGGCATGCCTCCTCATCGAAACAGAAATCAGACATGTTGGCAACACAAGCTTCAAATGGAGATTTGAGAGTCTGGAGTGTATCAAAGCCGCCAGGGAAAGAAGCTCCCAGAGTGATTCGTGTTTTAAAACGATCTGATTCTACCTCGGCGGATCCGAAGTGGATGGGGTGGTCCAAGAATGGAAAGATTGTGCAATATCTTGAAGGGTGAGTGAAGCTGATTCTCATTCAGTTATCCAATTTTTGGTATTAATTCGTCCCGAAACAGAGAAACTTGGGCTTGGGATGTTCGAACAAAGCATGTAACTTACGAACCCATACCTACATTAGAAGGAGTGCGAGGGCTGGCAAACCATGGTGCCACTGCGACTCTATTCACCATTGGCCCGAATAACACAGTCCAGCAGTACGATGTTGACAACCCAGCAATGGTGGCCAACGTGCAACATGTTCCAGTCATTCCTCGTTCGGTCACATCCGAGAGCCAAAGATCAAAGACTATGTCTCCACGGCGCCTACAGGATCCCCCAGAGCTTCGAGAGCCACCAACTGTTCGACGAACACCTTTTGATTCAAACGGACTCGATAACCTGAGGCAGCAAAGGGCAGATCTGATTAGCCCAGCCTCGTCAAGAAGCAGAACGGAATCTGTTAGCTCTAAGGCTTCATCTGGGAAGTATAGAGCTGATGCGTTCTCGCCACCCAGTCGATCTGGACAGACGTCAACAACATTTTCAATGACATCGGCTGGCCGCGATACACCACAGCCTTCAGCCGGTTTCCCGTATGCCTCGTCGGTATCGATGTCTTCGGTCAAGAGTTCTCGGGCTGGGTCCCGATTACGGAATGAAGTGCAGATGAGCCCTGCTGAGAGGAATATTGTTGATCTTTTTCCGTTCATGCGAGCACGTTTGAACGATGTGCCGTACAAAGCGCAACCGCCTTTTGACGAAAACCATCTGACCCCGGACGATCTGCGGCAACAAATGCTTAGCGTAGTTTTTGGCTGGGAAGGGGATATTTCAGATTTGATCAGAGATGAGTGGAGTCGCCATGCACCAGGAAGTCAGAGTGCAATTCTTCTGGCACAATGGCTGGGAGAGACTGACACAGATCAAATGGCTGAAATGATCAGCGCCGGACCAACGACTACTTCGGACTGGATGCTTTTGGCTTTGAGCCAAATGAGTGGACAGGCACAGGCAAACAAAGTTGGACAGAGCTTCGTGCAAAAGCTACTGGAAATTGGAGATATTCATACTGCAGCTTCCATTCTCCTTGGTCTGGGAGACAGCAATGATGCCATCGAGGTCTACGTATCGCGCAATCACTTCATGGAGGCCATTCTCATGACATGTCTTCTAATGCCATCAGACTGGCAACGCCAATCATATCTCGTGAGACGATGGGGAGAGTATGTGGTCTCCCATTCCCAGCAACAACTTGCTATTCGCTGTTTTATGTGCACCGGTGCCGAGCCTACTGAGCCGTGGACTTCGCCAGCTGCTCAGCAGGCGGCTTCTTTCGCCGAGATAATTCGAGGAAAATCGCCATTAGCCTCGCCTGATCCTATACAGTCTATGCAATCCATGCAGCCAAGTGCTCCTCCATCTAGACCGAAATCAGCATCTAACCAACGAGCTGCTGGCAAGACTCCTGCGTTAAAACTCATAACATCTTTCGACGCGCAGCCGGGCAACAATCGGTTCCGATTCCCTGGATTGAAATCCGATGACCGAACACCCACAAACGCGCCTGGTGTTACACCTATCGCCGAGTCTGCTGTAGCTGACTCGGCTTTGTCTCCAGGTGGATTAGGTTCTTGGAAGCTCAACAACATACAGAGTCTGAACCAAGCAATTGGATCCCGGACTAACACGCCTGCATTCAACCGACGCCGTCTTCCTTCCATTGGCGAGACCCCTGTAGATGTGCATCCCCCAACGTTCTCCCGGGCTCGTTCCTACAATACTGGCAGTGCCTATGGCTCGACTTCAGAGGCCGAAGAGGCCAGCGGCCAGGAGCAGAGTCAAGACGAATCCGGTGATGGATTGTTACTCTCGGCAACGAAATACACTCCAGGCCAGGATTCGATAAAGCCAAGCCCCCAGACTGCTGTTCAAGGCTCAGATAAGTTTGCATCCATCAAGGGCCTCCCATCGCCAGCAGCTGGATTCTTCGAAGCTCTCAAGGACCACTCTGATATCCGAAATGGCTCCCGTGATAGAAAGCCAGCCGGGCTTGAGATTGAACTCATTCATGCAGAGGAAGTCGCCAGCCCACGCAACCATTCTGGCTTGCTTCACAGTGCAAAGAGTACCTCAACAGTGCATAGTTACAATTCTGCCAAGAGTCCGAGTGTGAGCAGCCACAGCATCGACCAGTATATCAGCAGTCTGGACGAGGCCAACTACCACGCAAAGGGTCACCGCAGTCAGCGCTCTGGACGAGCAAGAAGAAATACCGATGACACTGGTGGCCCAAACCTGCGTGAGGCATCCCAGGAGACTCGTGGCCGCAACGAACGCCGATACATTCAGCCTGCGAAACGATCGCCTTCATCCCCAGTTCCCATGTCGCCTGATGAGCTCGCACGTTACCACATCGGGGAAACAGAAAAACGAGACGAAACACGAAAGAAGTCCCATTCACGTGCCCGAAGCAGCAGCAGGATGAGAAAGGCAGGATCACGCAATCGCCAGCGTTCTTCCAGTCGACACACTGCAAGCCGCGTCGCCCTAGAAAGATTGGATCCCTCATCCAGGGGTCGTAGTACTGACCGTCAAGGCTCTGCTGCTCGGTCGCCATCTTCGCCTTTGCCAATGTCCTTGCCAATGACTCTGCCTAGTCAGGAATCTTCTCAACATGATGGCGTAGACGATCCCCTCCGGATTGTTGTTGGGAACCGGGAGCGACTACGCTCACACCACCGAAGCGCAAGCCGTCGTCGTGGGGAAAAGGGAACTAACTCGAGACGGGAACCCTCCCCTGAGTCCAAGCACAAGGTGTCCCACAGCGTGCCCGAAGTTCGGCAACCCGTTGAGATTGAGTTCCTGCCTCAGCCTGAGGGCTTCGAGCAATTGAGCAGTAAAGCTTTTGGACAAGAGCAGACTTTGAGTACTCAAGCCTTTGGGCAGGAGGAGACTTTGAGCCCTCTCGTGTTTGGACAAGAGAGTACTTTGAGTGCTCAACCTTTTGGACAGGAGCACACTCTTAGCGCCCAAGCTTTTGGACAAGAGATGAACAACGAAACACCAAGACATGATGTTTTGGGCAATCAGATTTATGGACAAGGAGTTCAGACATTTGGACAAGAAGACACCTTGAGCAGCAAAGCCTTTGGGCAAGAAGACGTTCTGAGCAGTAAGATGTTTGGGCAAGACGTCTTCGCCCATGGACGCAGTCAAAGTAGGCCCGTTTCGGCTGCTAATGACATTCATGAGCAAGTATCTCCAACAACGCCATTTGTCACCTTGGCTGAGAAAAAGAGGAGAGAGTTAGCCGCTGCCGAACTGGAAGCCCGTAGGCTTTCTCTAGCACGCAATCCTTCTGCACCTAATATCCCCTTCCCAGGAGAATTGCAATCTGCTCGATCGCCCATGGAAAGCCCCCCTCCCTTCCATGGGAACTCTTATTTCCCGCGAGTCCCGTCACGAAATCAAATTCCCCCAGCCAAAAGATCGCCTGAATATGGCAGCAGCTCCGACTCAAGCTCATCAGGTTCAAGGCAACCCGTGGGACTGCCAGCGACGCCTCGAGCCATGAGGCACCCCAAGTATGGCGGCGGCCGAGAAGACCGACCACCTTCTGTTCCCCCCATCTCAAGCGATCACTATGGTTCCCAGGCTCTAAGTGATAACCGGTACCACAGCGAAGCGGCTGAGAGGATCGGACGGTCCATGTCAGTCCCCATGCCAGAAAACAAGGCATCCAAATACATGAACCCACCCCCAGTGCCATCTGAACTACCAATGCATCCACACTTCAACCCCAATCTTCCCCGGAGCCGCTCCAGCAGCCGTGCTCGCAACATGGGCCACCGTCGTACCAGCTCAGGAGGCTACGTCTCCGGTACCTCGCCCCAAGTTACCGTGAGCATTGAGGAGACAATTGAGAACGCAATGCAGAGAAGGCCAGCGCCGCAAGACATGATTCCTCCACCTCCTCCTCCAATTCTCCCCGAGCTACAGCACCTCAATACCCCTCCGCCTCCACCACCGTTCCCAATTACCGTGGATCCCACCTCACCCCGACAGTCCTCAGCCACTATCGACGTTGCGATCGAGAACGAAGATATGGGTCGCATGATTCCTCGAGCGATGACTGCCGCCCCAACCATCCATGTCGATGTCGGTGACTCCAAGTCCAGCAAACGTACCTCCTACGAGCATCGCCGCAACCGCAGCTCGAACGAGAGCTTCGCAACCAAATTACGCAGTCTTACGCGTATTCGAGGTACTAGCCGCAGTGTTGAGCCATGGGGCACAGCAACCGAATGGGGATCCAACGCTCTTGAGAATGACATGCCGTATGAACTGCTGCACTCGAGGGCTTATACACCCGGACCAGGCTACGGGGTCTAACGTGAGGTTGAACATTATACGAATTTTCTATATTTTTGCATTGATTTTTGCCTTTTGACGTTCGGTTTGATATCGTTGATCTTATGATTTGATGTTCTTATGTTTAGCGAACCACCGCGTCCTCCTCTCTCATATTGATTCCCCCTCTTTTCCTCTTGTTCTTATACCCTCACTTGCTATATCCCCCTTCATATGCTTTGATCTCATACCTGATCACTTGAAACAATTTGCAAGTACCCTATACGCCTAAGCCCTTTTCGTATACACATTCCTAGCATTTTCATTTCTCAATACTTCCCCTTGCCAAAACTGCAGGTTTTTATTTCGTGCTTCCCCTCGTTTACAATCTCGACAGCTGTTTTTACTAGATGGAATACTGTGTCTACAGCCATGCCTGCGAAGGCTAACAACGACGTTATGAGGCGTTATCATAGGAACTTTCAATTCAAATATCGGTATTCACATAAAAAGGGAAAATTCAGAGTAGCTGTAGTGTACAGTAGGAGATAGGGCTAGAAAATTAAGACTTATGATCCCCAGCCCCGTCGAGTGGACTCATCAGAGGCATTCCTCTCGGCCTCCATCATCCGGTCGAATTCTGCCTGAGCCTGCTCTCTCTCACGGCTCTTATCGAAGTCGTATCGGTCCTGTGCAGCAGCAGGAGCGGAGTCGGAACTAGGTTGGTTATGCGATTGACCCCATGCCTGGGGAGATTGACGCATAGGGGGCTGAGGTCTCGATGATGCGTTCTGCTGTCTGATACGGTCCCAAGAGCTCATAGGTGAACCATCGGGGTTTGTAGAACGGTATTCAGGAGCAGTCGGGCTGGCATCATCGTCGCTAGCACTGAAGAAATCGGAAGAGCGTGACTGAGAGGGCTGCGATTCATATGTGGATGGGCTATCAGAAGATGGGCCGTAGCCGTACTGCTGTTGAGACTGAGCCGGTTCAAAGCCACCCATACCAGAGTCATTACCACGAGCTTCAGACACACCAGAATCATAGTCAGATGATCCCACTTGCACCTTATTCTCAACCGACTTGCGCGCCCTGTGATAGGAATCACTCGCAAGTTGCAACTTGCGCTTGCGAATATCCTCATCCTTCGAAGCCTTCGAGTCCCGTCTCCATTCCTCCAACCGCGGATCGGAAAGAAGTCCACCCACATTGACGTACGCCGACGCCATACCCGAGAGGATTCCACCGAGCGTTCCGATGAAGAACAGTCTGAATGCAACCCTGGACGCTACGCTCATGAACTCCTGCCTCTGGGTGAGGAAGATGTGACGTAACAAGACCAAGCGCTCTTTCGCATTGACGCCGGCTGGGAAATATTTCGCTCCCCTTCTGTACATCCATGCTGCACCGATGAAAGTAGACACCGGGATACCAGCTCGACCGTAGTACATGCCCTTGGTTGTGTGTACGGTAAATGCGTCAAGTTCCTCTTGTCTGGGATTGCGGCCAGTCATGACCCATGTGCCCTCCAGTCTCTCAACGATCCTTTCTTTGGCTATGCTTTGCCAGTTTGAGTTTCCGAAAAATCCGAAGTATAGTGTGAATAGGTCAGGGCGGACGAGGAGCTCAGGTTTGATCTTGAGACCTGCGAAGTTCGGTGGGCGGAAGGTAGGGCTTGTTGTCTGTGTTGAAGGGTTGGCGGTCGAGGCATTGTCGCCTAGGTATGAGCCTGCCTGGGGCGAGGCATCGTCAATTGCCATTGTGCTTATTGATAGCCTTGAAGTGTGGGGTAAAAACAGGAACTTGGAGAAGCGAGCTTTCGGAGGTGAGCTCAAGGCCGGATGACGTTTTGGTTGCTGACTAAGCAACTACTTAGGTAATCACGAAGTATGAAAGGTCCAGGCAGTTCAAGTCCACAATGTCACGCAGAATACCTTGAATAAGGGATTGTAAGTAGTTCAGCTAGAAACTATAGTCTTTTAAGTAGATAAAATGAGGTTATAACTGCTATCAGGCAATGTACTTCTCGTATTTTATTCCGAGATCTTCAGGGCCTTCAGGTTGATACTGCTTGATACTGCCGCAATTACTTTGAAAATGGTCAAAAAAACCCTAGTGATAAATGATTTTGCATGCAATTAAACATTCTCCGTAAAGCTAGCGAGCTTTGCATATTTTAGAAGCCACTTGACACTACCATTTCTCAACGTATGGCCGGAGATCCAACTCGAAAGCAAACGTAGTTCGTGGCTGAGTATGCAAATGCCAGTACGAATCAGCAATCTAAAAACAATTAGCGACCGTAGCAAGAAAACTCAGTGGTGGGTGTCTTACAGCATCGGGATTCAGCTTGGCATCCTCATGCTCGAAGACCCATGCTTTAGTACGAGGGATATCAATAACACCATCAATAATAGCATGAGATACGTGAATGCCCTGAGGCCCAAATTCACGCGCTAGCGATTGAGCAAGCGCTCTAAGAGCAAACTTGGTTGCTGCAAAGGACGCAAAGTTGGCTGATCCTTTCACACTAGCAGTGGCACCTGTGAAAATCAGGGTTGGTGGGTGGGCGGATGAGTCTTTGGCTTTGAGGAGAAGCGGCAGAGCACGTTTGGAGAAATTGAATCCTCCCTTTCTGTTGAATGATTAGCATCAGATTATAGATGGGCATTTTGATACTGTAGACTCATAGATAGATTCGGATGGAGTGAGACATACGCCTGGCTATTAAGAGCATTCGAAAAATCATCTTCTGTCAATTCCAGAAAAGGTTTTCTCACAAGACCACCGCCAGGGTTAAAAATAGCAGCTGCCAGTGGTGAGCCTGGAAATTCCTTTTCGATCTGATCGAAGGCAGCATTGACGCTGTTGCTGTTGCTAACGTCGGTGCTAATGCCGACTGCCTGGCCACCATTCGAGGTAATCTCTTGAACAACAGGGTTGTAATTGTCAGGATTGCGGCCGAGGACGACCACATTGTAGGATTGAGCAAAACGCCTGGCGATAGATGCACCCTAGAACAATAGTTAGAGCGTGGCTATTGAGAAAGGCATTGAAGACGAACCGTGCCGGGGCCGACGCCAGCAATAACAGCAAGTGCCTTGGAAGCCATTTCAAATTGGTATTTGTAGGGAAAGGTTTGTATAGTCAGTATTGTGTTGAGGAGTCGGCATTAAATAGCCCTGGAGGAGGTTTCGGGGTTAATATCACGGTTGCTTAGAAATACGGCGGGGATGAATGATTGATCATCATGCACGCGGATGATCTCATTCCAGAGCTTTCTCTCTGGAACACAACTCAAAATAATACATTGATTATCCTATCTTCCGAGGTCACCATTATTGGTGCTGTTGATGCAATTTCAATTATGCGCATAGGATGCACCTCATAGTTAGCAGCTACACCTATGATGACTGACCAAGCCTGAACGAGAATGGCTTCGAAAATTGTATTCGGATCACAGACTTCAATATTTAGACGAGTCATCTAAATCCATAGCTAGGCCCTGTGAATAACACCCCCGTTGGTTCAACAAGTATGTATCTAGATACAGGTAAGCTTGGCTGGCACATGTGCACTCCGGGTTCTAAAATATGTTGGACTTCTTCACACTAGTTCTACTACTATTTGGCCAACAGAGACTTCCCACAAAAATGATGCAATGTTGGATCACTAACACCCGTCTGTGATCTTATGCTGAGATTAGAAAAATGTTCGTACATCTCGGAGTAGAATGTTGAGTAAGTATGAATAATAAGATCAACCTCGAAATATTATGATGAAATGCCCCACTGCTAGAATATTATTGCCTGAGGCAACACAATAATCTTATCGATAAGGATAAGCGTCTCAAATTTCCCAAGCTTCAAAAGTCGCATTTCCCCGATTTCTCCAAATCACCACCAAAATGGACTCCTCTGACCCTTTACTGAGCGAACTATGCTCAATATGGTAATACAAATACTCCAAAACATCAACAGCCAAGTATCCGGATCTAACACCACCCAAACAGCCATGTCAACCCCCCAAAATACCGCTGTCCGCGCTGCTCAACACGCACCTGCTCCCTGCCATGCACAAGACGCCACAAACTCTGGTCCCAATGCTCCGGCGTCCGCGATCCAGCCGCCTACCTCAAGCGGAGCGAATTAGCCACTGAATCAGCCTTCGACCGAGACTTCAACTTTATCACAGGCGTTGAACGCTCGCTCGAGCGCGCGGATCGAGAAGTTGAGAATCGGGGGATTGAGCTTGGGCGTGGGCAAGCCGCAAGTGGAGATGGAGATGAGTCCGGGCCGAAGAGGAAAATTCCGCAGCAAGGACTTGTGAAGGGTGAAGCCGCGTTTTTGCGCCGTGCCGAGGAGGGTGCTGTGACGGTCATTCGGGCGCCGAGAGGAATGTCAAGGAATAAGTTGAATAATTCGCGATGGCATCCGAAGTAGGTCCCCAGGGATTATGTTCATGGGACTTTTTCTGACTATTTTATGTTATAGGCATAAGTGTCTCAGCTGGTCTGTGGAATGGATCTCTGCGGCCGGTGTGAAGAATCTTCGGAATTGTTTGGAGGGTCATACTCTTGCGGATTGTTATGATCGTGGATTCCCGGCATCGAAGGTAAAAACAGGTGAATCGTCGAAGGAGGAGAAGAAACCGGATCAGCAGGAGGGTGATGCTGCGGTGCAGGATTCGACGGATATAGTCCCGCCTGCGACTGCGACCGAGCCGGAGAAGACTACCGAGCCCACTGGTGAGCAACCGGGGCAGGCGCAGATCTCAGAAGCCGTTGAGAAATCTACAGAAACAGTGGAGGAGAAACCACAGGACCTACCAATTGGCCCGCATCGTGGTCTACACTTTTACCTCCATCGTCCACGAACGACAGTCAAGAAGCCAGTCCTGGTACCACTGGCACCGCTAATGACACTGGCAGCCGCACTGCGTGAGCGAACAGTCATGGAATTCCCTACGATATATGTGCTGCCAGAATCCGCGGAAACACTACTCGCAGAAAAAGACACATCTTCATTCATGCTGGAAGAAGAATACATTCGCATTGTTGGCCCAGAAGAAGCAGCAGAGAAGAGTGCGCCAACAGAGCAGGACGGGGCGGAAGTTCATGCTTCGGGTCTACCTGGATCCTCATTTGATCTGCAGAATGTGGACGAGGACAAGGTGATGGAAGTTTTGAAACATGATTTGTTCGAACCAGAAACATGAGAGGGCCTTACAAGGCGAAGCATGACTAAATCCTCAAAAGGTGGAAATTTAACTGTACCATAATACTAAATAACAAATTCATCAGTGGTCGAACCATGAAGTTGATGACTGCATAACTTATTATTCCACTCGAAATTGACTAAGCCTGTCAGGCATCCAACAATTTGAGCGTGTTGGCCTTAAGAACTGGGTCTGGTGAAAGCTCGGACCACCACCATAGTTAAGAGCAATTTTTTAAAAACTTTTTGTACACTTTCACAGGGATTTGACAAATTTTCATCAAAATGATGTCGGAGAGTATGTAGATAGTGTAGATAGAGACTAGGCTAGAAAGGTCAGAGTGGGGGGACCGGGGTTCTCGCACACGGTACGCGGTGGGAACTAGTGGATAAGGCGCTACCTAGCTACCTTGGCGGGGCCTCTCAGGGCTGGCCGTGGGGCGTGCCTCCCGGGGGCAGTTGGCTCCCCGGGGCCCCTAGCAACTTCTAAGCGGCACCTTTAATCATTGATTAAAAGTGTCGCCATCATTGTAGAATTGATCAGCACGCAAGCCATTCCAAACTCGGGCGGCTGGTGGTGCCAAATGGGTCCCATTTGGCGGGGGGTTACAACGCTGCTGTGCAGGTCGGACTAGACGTCCTTAGCACCCATGCCTAACCTCACTAGCCATTTTAGCCAGTTAGTCGTTATTCAGGTATGTAGCGAAGCAAGCCACGAATGATACAATAGAAGCGAAGTTGGACGGTTTCATATACTCGATCGGTAGGACAGGAAACCTGCACCACGATAGAGTTAATCAAATTGATCATCATAATCAAGACAACAAATGCTAAACAACCCAAAGCAGGTAGGGTATGAAGCTAAATCACATAAAATCAAACTCCGAACATGCAAACTCAAGGGTATTCAACAACGCTGAAACGCAATAGACAAAATCATCGAATCCCGCAGAACCATGCAAATCAATCAAAACTCTAACCGGCACCTTCTTCCCCAGTTGATGTAACTTTAAAAACAACAAGATCCGCTCTGGCCGAGCCAGGATCATGGTAAAAGCAGGACAAGCTGCCTCTTTTTCATGATACGGATTTGATAAATCGTGCAAGCAATAATCACGATGACGATGACGATGAACTTTCGGAATCCGAAACAGTTGCTGGCGCGTCAATGAAGGCCCGCCGGGCTCTGCTGCCCTGCGAAGAGACCGTGGCAACTTCAGTGGGAACAGTGTTCTGTGCCGAGGTAGGTACATGGGTAGGTACAGGGTTAGGAACAGTGGCGGGTACGGTGTGCGGCTCAGTAGGCACCTCTTCGTGAGCCGGCTCAGCCGCCTTTCGAAAGGGGTTGCTGCTGAACTTCGACTCAGTAGGTGACATGTTCATCCTCTCAGATCGACTGGGCTTCAACTTCAATCGCCCTTGCTCCAAAGCACGGAGTACAGCGCCAAGGTCGTCGGGGTCGATTGACCGTAGCTTGCCTTTAACATCTTCTGACACATCGGAGAAAGCTTTCCAGCCCAGTATCTGGGATGGTCCAGAACCAGAGGATGCCGTTTCGGCATATGGCTGGTCAACCCCCGACGTCAGACGTTGCATGAAAGAATCGGAAACGCTGGGCCGACGAGGCATTTTCACAGGTTTGGACTTAGTACTGGTGCCTGTTGAGGCGACCTCCTCTTGTTGACGTTTGGGAGGACGAGGAGCAATTAGACCTTCACCCATCTCCTTGCGAACTTCCTTGCGGATCTTAGAGTACACAAGACCCAGGGTTGCTGCTAAGGCTTGGTGAGCTGCCTCCGGATACCTGTAAACGGCTGAATTGAGGGTGATAGGGTAGCCACTATCGCTGGCGTCACTTGAATCACTCTCATTGGCAAACATCTCCGCCGCAGATTGCATGTGCCTCCAGTCCTGGTAGCCTTGAAGTTGGTAGAACTCGCAGAGTTCAGCCAAGCGATGAACTGAAGGGTGGGTTAGCATTGCATATTTCGGACTTATCTGTCATACTATATTGCTCACCTCTGCTTCGCTTCTTGAGGCACCAGAATCGCCAAATGGTGCGAGGGAAATACTTGGGTAGTTCCAGAGAACCATCTTCCAAGAGGACAGGGACGGGCTTTAAATTGGCATGGACTGTGTGCGTGAGAGAGTTGAAGCGAATCCGATTCTCAAGTTCCATGCGAGCATCCATGTTAGCCATGCGAGAATTCATAGTTTCCATACGAGAATCCATAGAGACCATGCGAGAATCCATAGAATCCATACGAGAATTCACAGAATCCATGCGAGAATTCATAGATTCCATAGAAGATTCCATAGAATCCAGGCGAGACTCCACAACATCCATACGAGTGTCGAAAGATATAAAAATTCGGGAGAGATTGGAGAATTCGGAACGAAGCTGGTTGGTAGCGGTTTGTAGTTTGCCGATATCGATACGCGCGGCACAAGAATCCGACCTGATTTGCGCGACATCGGATTGAAGCTGATCCACGCTCTTCTGAAGACGGTCGACATCACTCCGCGTGTAAGTAGTCTCCATAGACGACTGACCGACAGTCGTCTTGAGATGCAAAATGCTACTGCGAATCTGGTCGACATCTGTGCGGAGAGCGATAACGTTCAAGTCGATGCGATTCGAGATGGCGTTTTGATGGGCAAATTCCCGTCGTAGATGTTCATCCTCGCGATTCCGGCGGTCGACATAGTTCTCCTTAGTCATAAGATTGGACCGAAGTTCGAGGACCCGCGTGTCCAGTTGGTTCACACGGTCATGGAGATGGGCGAAAGAGAGCTCTGAGCCGGGCGGTGTAGTTTCTCGGGCAGAGAGGCGAGGAGACATGGAGAGGGCGGTACTGGAGGTGCAGGATAGACTCCTCTCGAGGCTGGTCATGGTGGACATTTTTTCTCAGTCGAGGTCCATAGCGAGGTGGTGATGGTGATGTTGGTGCTGGTAGAGATGATGCTGTTATTGAAGGGGTGTGTGGTGAGAGAGAGAAAAGGGCCAAGGCGAAAAAGGAAGGGGGCGGCAAGTCGTTACGTCGTACACCGTCTGACCAACACACAGTCACACCAAGTCATCATCCACCACACTCTTGCTTTGTTAATGACTCTAGTTCTGATTATTTTTTGGGCAGAACTCTTTGCTAATTTGACTCCTTCATTTTCATGATAACTGAAGTGGTTTTTGACTCATTAAGTCGTCCTTCATCTCCTATTGTTCTAGGAGGGTGTGATTAATTACCCAAAATAACAAAGTGTGACCATACATTACGCCTGTGCCCAGACCTTGAAAGTTTGAGCCCGCATGCGTTAGTCTTTGTTAGCGTGCCTTAGTGCGACACGATGCATGATCCACTAGCCAGGCTGATTGGACGCCCTCCTCTTTCGCCACTTGGCGACAAACTATCCTCCAATCAGCCTTCATTGCTATATTTTGCCCTTTCGCGCTGACCGGCCCCATTCAGGCTGACCTACAGGTATGTGACGACACTCCGGAACACACACCCTCTTCAAGGTTACAATAATATCTTGGATTCTGGGTATCTCTGGATCATGATTTAGCAGAAATACGATTTGTGTACCCTTCTAATTCAGTGTATTCAGAGTAAAGTCTCGTAGGCTCCCTTTAAGCAATATCGTATGCTGCAGTAATCCTTCCGAGGTTGCCTGAGCCCACGCCAGAACGGCAGTGCGCGCGGGGTCAGATTGAAACCGCCCACTTCGTGATTTTAGTCTTTGGATCTCGGATCTCGGTTTCTCAGCTGGTCTTCTGAATGGGTGAATTTATAATATCTAGCCCATCGAATCCTTTTTCCGAAGGGGAGTGATGGCCTCCAATAATCCCGACAAAGCAAATATCTTGGACTCGGATGAAATTGCAGATTCCCACTCCACTTTCTGTTACTTTCTAGCTTTCTTTGTTGATGCATATTTACTCAGACGAAATTTGATCCCAGATAATAGCTTGCAACGGTCTTTGTAATTTTCATCTTTGTGAATACGCATGCCGTTGACATGAAGCCGCTGCAAAGCGGGTTGCGAGCAGCATGTACCGATGTGATTCAGAACTCAGAAAACAGCAAATACCAAAATGGATCGATATGGCCATGGAAATGAACGTAGGGAAAAAGTCCAAACTTGTGTATACTTTATTATTCTATTTGAAGTTCTTAGTTCAATGCTCCGCTGCGTTTTCCAAAAACATGGGGGATCTAAATCGGGAAACCGCGGAGCCCTAAGTCGAGGCTGGGTTGCGACTTCCGTACATTGGAAAGCAGACCGCGAATCTTGGCCAGAGGGAAGAAAGAGATACTGTGATCTCTGGAGCTTTTCATCTGTGTATAATTTGATTGCAGCCACCCAATATGAAGCGACCCATGCCGTCCATAGGCATCTTGAGCCTCATAGTTATCTGTTTCTTTGCACTTGCCTCTTCACAACGCGACCCGAAAGTGAACAACCCGTCTATTGTTGTGACTAGGAAGAGTCCTCGAGACTGTGACTGCTTTACTGTATCCGGAGCAGACCCAGGATACTTCCAACACTACAAGCTCTGGGACTTCCGCTCCGTTCCCCTCAAGCAAGCTGGTTCAAACCCATCAGAATTTGACAAACGCAATGACACGAAAAGGAAAGACTGGGAAGATTTACTTGATGAGTACGAAGATGGTAACGACGAGGATGATGACGAGGACGATGAGGACAATGGTGGAGAGAAAGATGATTTCCACAATGACTCCCTCTACTTTTTCAAAACCGCATTTGACAAGGATTGGATCAGCCAGAGATGGCACCGCCCCCGAACCCCCGAAGCACCGGTGGCCATGATCAATTCCAAACAAAACGTTTTCTTCACTCGAGACGATGAAGACAACGACCCGGAAGCAACGTACCTCGTCTTGCGTGCCATCCGCAATATTGACTTCACATCTACCGCCGAGATTGAGACTCGCGTGAAGAACATTTTCCACTGTTCTCTGCGCCTTCGTATGCGTGTTTTGCCAGCCAGTATGCATGTATCGCAACCTCCCTGGAGCACACAGTGGCCATTGACGGATCCAAACCAACCTCTTGTCTCAGCCCTCAACACCGGGTCCAGCATGCGCAACACAACATCTTCTGCACCCCAGGATACCAGAAAACCTCCCTCCGGTGCTTGCATCGGTATCTTCACTTACCACGCGAAGAACTGTGAGTCTGATATCGAGATCCTGACAAGCGATCCCACCTATCGAGTCCGATACGCTAATCAGCCAGACTACGACCCTCTCACAGATCGCATGATTCCAGGCGCAGCAACAGTTGCTAACATTTCAGTGCCTTGGACAACCTGGTCAACTCATCGCCTTGACTGGCACGCTGATCGGTCTCGCTGGTACGTGAACGGTGAACTCGAAGATGTCAAGTCTTATCGTGTACCCAATCTGCAAAGCAGGCTTGTGATCAATCTCTGGAGCGACGGCGGTTTTTGGACAGGCGACATGAGAGTTGGGGATAAGGTCTTTCTCGGTATTGAGTACATCGAATTGGCGTATAACCGGTCTTCGGATGGAAATGGCTTGTCTAAGATTCCTCCGGAGAATAATCATGGTGGGCATCAACGGCCTTTTGTCAATAACTCTGCAGTTGCGGACGAAGAATCACTGGAAGAGCTCTTTGAGCCTGAGACGGAGGTTTTGACTGGGGCCACTGAGAAAAAGAAGAAGTGCAAGAAGGGAAAGAAGGGCGACAAGTGTCGGGAGAAGAAAAAGAAAAAGCAAAAGCATGCAGAGCCTGGGAAGGGAGGCAAACCCACTGAGCCAAGATGCCGGCGTGTTTGCAATATTGATGAGCTGCGCTTCACCTCGAACTAACGTGTATATTTCTGGTTGAATTCGCCCTTTCCTATGTTATCTTCCTGTTGGCCCACTAGGCACTCATGGGTTGGGCTTTGAATGAATGGTATTATTAGGCAGATAATGGCATGGTTTTCAAGCCTCTGTTCTCACTGCGAATGATTTTTTGTTGTCTGAGATAAGAACGGACCGAATTAAACTCTCTGATATAGATTGGTTCTAGATTCAAATTATTGTATTAAACCGTGAGAGACAAAGGCAGAACAGAATTCTCTCAAACTCCACTTCAAAGCATTAACAATGGGGTATCATTTGCATTCATTCAAGCATCAAATCAAATAATGAGGGGGAAAAACAGATAACTCCGATCCGAAGCGACCCAAGACTATGAACCCGCAGTTCTTCTTTATTCTAGTTCGCCATGTACGCCGAAAGAAACAAGCCCAATGCCATGAACGTAGTTAGCATTGGACAACGTTCCATAATTGTCACAGTAGAGGAGATGATAAAGGTAGAGGGACTTTGTTGGCGATGAGAGAGGGGGGATTGCAAATTTCCGGTATATGTTGAGGGATCCAAGGGATTAAATGCAATATCCGGACATCTGGTCGAGAGGTTGACAACTAGGTGATTAGTCGTTAAAGATGATATCAAAGCAGGATAGCACCTGTTTTATCAACTGGACTAAACTCGCCATGAAGGCCACCGTTCATGATCTCTGCCACGATCTTCCTTCGTAGCAATGTGGTATCACGAGCTCCGAATGCTGTAGGCTCGATGTTCAAGGCAATTGCTTTCGCATTTGTCAAGAGAAACACGCCACAATCGCTGCCATTGTCTTGGCAAGACGAGGCGGAGGGGAGTATCGTCCATTCTGAGTCAACAAACTTAGTGCCAAGCTCTCCAAGCAGCCAAGATTTAATTATTTTCACTTGACGTGCCCCTCGCGCACCTAGGGAATCAAAGTACTCAATTGTTCGATCCGCCGGTCTAACTACCAGCAGTGTCCAATGACTGGACTCGTGAACGGGAACAAAGACCGTATCAACTTCCAACAGCCCCTCACCACCGATCTTCGCTCGCTTGGCCCATCGGCGTACACCGTCGTATCCCTTATCGCGAAGGCTGGAATAGAAGAAGCTGTTGAAAGCATGGTATCGAGGTCGGTCGTTTGGCGCCTTGTTCCCAGCCGACTGTTGAAGATATTGCGTTATAACGGCAAGGTACGAGTTGATGATTTCATCGTTGAGCCAAGCAAGCGGTTTGATGCAAGTGGCAATGTCTTTTTGGTATAGGGCATCTCCAGAGAGAGTTTGAGCCACCACACCGGAACTTTGCATGGCTCTTGAAACCTTATCCAGCCAGTCCCACGATAGTTGGCGCACACTTTCTCCTTGTGGTCTGATCCTTGCTGGGCGCCCTTCAACGCCTTCTAGTTCTCTTCTTTCAATCTCCAGCTTCTCCCATTCTGATGCAAAGATGGACGCGGTGCGATCCACCGGAACTGGCTTCCTTTGAGGATGCACCAATTGTACGGCAGAAACAGGTTGACCAAATGGTAATTTTTCGTATGCCCTGAATCGTTCCGCCCATGGGTCATCGATTTCCATGCCATCCTGGTGTACCTCATCTTGCCTCGGTGCTAAGGTGGATGGAGGATGTGAGGCTTGGTTGGGAACTGGTCTCGGTGCCCGCCGTAGTCTTGTAGGCCGAAGATGAGCCCCAAGGTCGGTGCGAAGTTCTGGTATGGAGGGAACATCGATCTCCATACGATCGAATTCCTGTGTTGGTACATCGTCCTCCACGCGCTCAATTGGCGCAAGCCGTGGGGACAGAGAAGGTGATGAGGGAAATGCGCCCGGTATATGCATAGAGAAGTCATCTACAGGCGAGATGACTGTGAGCCACCATCAATGCGATTGTTTTTGAATGTAGTGGTCCATACCTTGAGAGTCCTCCTGCCCAGTTGGTTGCCAGCCCTTGCTGGCTGAGAAAGGGTTCTCGGTAGCGACGGATATAGCTGAGCCATTTGAGGGAGTCGCCGTCGCCTTGCGCCAGAATCGAGATAATAGACCCATTGTGGCGATTCACTTGATATCAGTATGTCGAGACGGAAAGGCGATGGCTGGGATGGGGTGAAAGCAAGCTATCGACGCGACGGACGCGATCAAGCTGAAAGAATATGGCTGGAAATTGAGCGAAGGTGAAAGAACGTAAAGACACCAGAATTTTCCATTCTCAAAGAGCGACCAAAGCCGACTTGCTTCGAGAGAGTTGTAACTTGGGTTAATCGCGCCGCGATTGCTTCATCATCGGGAACATTGATGACTAAGTTGGTCTAACCACATCGGGAAATATGCAGGGCGAACTATAAAGAACCTTGTATAAACCGAGGTATACATACAACATGAACATCAACGTCCTGGTGGTCTGAATGTTCTATTTTAGGATGAATTTTCTGTAGCGGTCATGGTGTGTCAAAGTCTTGTGGGTGGCTATGTCCAACGAAAGGGGACACAGTTAGACCTAAAGATACAGGTCGCAATATGTACATGCGCAACCTAAAATATGTCCCAGAAAAGTACGCTTATAGCATGGTCTGCTGAACAGAATCGACCCTGAGCAGCAGCCAGAGTTGGACGCACAGAATGCTAAAGCACCGAAGGCCATGCGACGTAATTACAGGGAAACCCCTAGTCCAATCAGTTCGAACACAGGGGGTGCCACATTGATGACGACCCACGGAATCCCTGAATCGTACACAGATCAGCGTGATGATCGCAAAGATACCGAGCAAAAATACATACCTGCGTACACAACTAGCTTTGTCACAACCTCCACATCGTACCGCACACGGGGCTTCTTGATCTGAGAAAACACCTCCTTCTCATCCGCCCTTGTGTCGTATTCCGGCGGGGGAAGTGGTGAGGATCGTGGGATACTGGAATCTGTCTCCGCGGCAGCCGATTGTGGACTACCTCTACCCATCATGTGCTCATACTCATCTACTGTCGTGGGCTTTCTAAACACCAGAGGGGTCCCGTTGGGCTTGTTCTCTCCGTCAGCGGGCGACACGCGGGTGCCACCAGACTGGCTTTCACGCCGGCGTTTCTCACGGTAAGCCAGAGTCTCATAAGCGTCAGCTTCGGACTGGGGACCGATCGAAACGGCTCGGCGACGCGGGTGGCGCATGGTGGTGATGAGAGAAGGAATTTCTGAAAAGTTAGGAAGCACGTCGTGGTCCTTCAAATTGGATGGGACGGTTGTATATTGGCTGGTACTGGTCAGAAGTCTTTCACATGGGGCAAATAGCAAATCTCACTCACGAGGCAGTAGTGAAAAATCTCCGAGGTAGGAGAAGTCCAAGTTTCTCCAGGCTGCGGAAAACGGGAGGTAGAATGCGGAGCAGAGTGGGCTTTGTGATCTCCCGCCATGCGAAGACACACAAAACTCCCACAACGAGACGAATCGCGGTCTTCGCCAAGCCAAGGCTCTCGTAGCGGTATGGAATGGTCCCAGGAAGAGGCTCCGCCCAGGCAAGGCTAGACTGAGTGAAGTACCAGGAGCCCACATCAACACCGAGGGTCACACCCGCGAAGGCAACGCTGTCATCAAAGCAAGGGCATGAATCCGCCGGTTCCGGATGAATGCGAACCAATATCAGGATAGCAATGGGAACAACCAAAATCCCCTTCAGTGATGCAGACAGGATGTATTCATCAAACGCCGGGCCCCAGCTGAACTGGGCAAGACCAATCAATGCGCCCATAATGGAGCCAATGACCACATCAAGTATTCCATGCATACCACAGTATAACCGACCCAAAACAATGGAAGTTACATAGAGGTATGTGACTATCTGGAGGGCCAAGCTTGTCTGCGGGCTCACAGTCGAATCAGGGGAATTGAGCAGAGCGATTGCATACACGGCAACAGACACAGCGTTGGTAGAGTGTGTGGAGGGGAATCCGTACTCGAGGGCAGCGGATCCGGACATTGTGATCCGTTGTAAAGGCGGGGACAGCGGCCGAGGAAGACATAGCAAGTCCTTGATGAAGCCGCTAAAGAACACACCAGCAGCAAGGATGTGCACTAGTCTGTGAAGGCGTCACCAATTAGCCATAGCTCCAGTGATGTTCAGCTCTCCGCGAGCCAGGTCAAAACATACCCACGACCTAAACTGGTATGGCCGCACCAGAAGAGAAAGGGCAAGAAGACCATGAAGAACGTGTGGGTGCCGAGATTGGCTGTGAAGGCAAAGTATGAGTCCAGCGTCGGGGTGCGGACTTTCTCCTGCATCCACGCAAGATACGGCGTCTCATATCGGATTAAAGGTAGGAGTTTCTGTCGCGGCCAATAGCGCCAGAGGGGGAGTCGGTTAGAATCTAATCAGGTCGCGTCGTCAAAATTAGCAATCGTGCATCATTTAAAAGAACATAAAGGGGTGCGCAGATAGCAGGTATTAGTTGCATACAATGGTTTAGACTCCTAAGCCCTGCATCAGGCTCGTCCATTGCGCCCTTTCCCATTGTGCGGTGTTATCGATCTGGATGCGATTGGCCCTCATACATGGACAGGTCGGTGCCTGCCGCTCAATTCAGGACGTCGGGGCTCAGCGCGATGACATAAGGAGTGGATAAAAGTTGGATTTGATGTTGGAAAGGATATAGTTGAAGTGATTCTCTTCTTTAGGGTTGGATGCGCCAGGAGGTTTCGAGGTGTCGCGAAGATCACTTGTGACCGCGGCTTAGTGGGCCCCATATCCCGCCCCCATGTGTGGGCTTAGTCACCCAGGGGCCAAGGCTGAAGTAGATACTCCGATGTTGACCACTGATACATATGTGTTAACATTGGAAGTTGATGACACTGAGAGCAATATTGGATCATCTGGTAGTCGTTTTTTCCTTGGGATGGCTTCCATGCGCCAAATATGACTGCAGAGACAATCAGGTCTTGAATCGAAGGACCACGATAGTATATCAACATGAAGTACATGTATGTATTCATGACAATGGCTTTGTCGACCATACCCCCCTCGTAAAGTAGTGATAGTCAGATTCGAGCTTAATCCCATATGCTGGTAGTCATCATAATGCTCGCTCTTCAATAGAAGTAAACAGTAAACAGGTTATAAATAATAGCACCACTCATCTACCTTCGTGTCCTTTACCATTCTTTTCTCGAACCTTTTTCTGTCCTTTTTCCTTCTTTACCCGTTTAAGAAGAAAGATCCTCCTGAATCTGATGTCACGCAGATTGGGACTGGCACAACTACGATTACAGCATTGTTGAGCTTGCCGATACGTTAAGCCCCGGTGATACCAAAGTGGACGACTTTGACTTGTCTGAGTTCCGTGCCCGCGGGTAAATTGCTTCACTACCACGGTCTGGCGGACGGCCTCATCCCTACTAGGGAAAGTGAGTATCTCTATTAACAATACTTCTCTACTATTTACGGGAAGGATTCTTCTCTGGATGACTTCTACCAATTGTTCTTGATTTCCAGTATGCAGCATTGCCAGGGATTTATCAACGATGCTCCGTGGTACATTGGCGGTTTCTAGACCTCACTGATACTGCGGGTGTCCCTGGGTACCAAGATCGAGAGCGCGATGTTGTTCGTGTGCTTATGGATTGGGTTGAAAAGGATATTGCTGTCCATAAGTTGTTGCGATCAAGTTCAAGAACGATGACCCATCTGAGGGTGTGGTGCGACAACGGCCTCTTTGCCCGTACCCGAAACAGGATGTAAAAAAAGGAAAGGGTGACCTCAATGAATCAGCAAGCTGGAGTTGTGAGGCATGAAGCCCATAATAATCTTAACGTATAACCCAGCTAATATTGCGGAATCAATTGCCTGTTGATAAGTCTATAGGTTTGGGTGCTGCCATCACGCAGGGCAATATTACTCGTGCATAGGAAGTGACTCCAGGGCTATCACGCTAATTCTACCCCGGACTTGCTAGGTATGAGGGGCGATTCAAACTTGCAAGCAGATGTAAAAAAAGATTACCACATAGCGCTGCAAGAACATCAAGTGGACTAATAATGTGGTTTAACACAAGAATGCCTCTCGGTCATTGGGGATAGCCTCTGTATATATCATAAATACTCGTGCTCTGCGTACGATGGGCTGCATTCCAGTCGAGGCGTGCCTGAAAGTACCGCTGTTTCGTAGCAAGGGGTTTGAGAGATGTCACCTAGGGAGCCATGCCATGGAGACCCAAGGGATTCCGAGAGCAGGTAGACTGAGATCTTGTCTTGGACCTCGATATGCATGGCGAGTCATATTCCAGGTATAGCTGATCCCGAACATGGTCAACATAAGCTGGGGGCGGTTGGATAGAGCTAAGAAACATGTCGCTCTGGGAGGATTGGTGCAGGTTTGAACCAGGAACCGGGCACAAAATCAGGGGGAAAATCGTGGATATCTGAGACTGTATTAGTTCTGAAGCGGAGAAGGTATTTGGTAATGATTTAACCCATACCTCTGAATATTTCCCACTGGGATTCCGTAGACGTATCGACACTTTCAATGAATGCGTCACTTCGAGAACTGAAGAGCGGCTAGTTGGTCGGCATGCTTTCAGAGACATTGGCATAAAGATGGTGTGGGTAATGTTCCGCCATTGATATCCATCCGCTTCAAGGCTGAGGTGTTCCTCGAATTGTCCGAATTCTGCAAGGTCCTCTGCGACAACGGTCTCCCGTGTTCGACGTATTGCGGGTTGTAATCCAAATCGCTGGAAGATACTGTGAGCCTCAATAAGCCGCACCTTCATTGTTTCGGCGAAAAGACCCTTGAGGAGAGGAATATATCGCATATCGACCTTAATAGGACAGCCTAGAGGGAGCGCATGCCCGGGTACGGTAATATGGTAGGTAATCTTCTCGTCCCAAAACCCTTCAATTCCCTATACAAGAATTGGTTAGACATTGCATACGAAACTTTAAAGAGGTGACCACTCACCTGTGGTTCCATGAAAGAGAATACGTCCTGCAATTTTGAAGCATTCATACTGCGCGACTCGTTGATCATGCCCCAGGGGCAGGTGAGTTCCGCAGTCAACTTGTACCGTACAAAGCAGTCATCCAGACCCTCAATAGTGGGTGGCAGCCTGCTGTTTAGACTGACTGAGAAAGGGAATTTGTGGTTTCCGGGTTGCAAGGCATTCTGACCCTTTTTGAAGGCCTTCTTGAAATTCCAGATCTGATGATAAAATATTGACTCCCGCCATGGAACTCGCTTGTGCTGGCCTTCGGTGTCTGTGCAATCCCAGCTGATTGGAAATGTGAGACACTTTGGACGTGAGTGAAAGCGGTCCGCCAAAATACTTACTTGATATAGTGGGTTCCTCTGATGTGCAACTTGAAATCCTTCACTTGCATTGGCTTTCCGAGACACAAAACGACCGTCCCGTTCAGGGTACCGTAGCTCGAATCATCCCCAGCCTGTGGTAGCCATAAAGTATCACTGTCAAGCCTAGAAGCGAAAAACAGTCAATTGTATGGTCCAGAAACTGATCTGGTGTCGATCTAACCTTATGTCAAAATATGTGGGTACACTTGCAGTATGCATACAACCAAGCAGCCATGAGGTCATAGCTTTGATATGACAATTGATGCAATAAAGAATATGTTACTCGAACTATCAATAAGACAATAATTGGTTTAAGAATGAGCTAACCAGCTTTATTTATACAGAGGCCCGGTGGGCCTTACTCGCCTGCCCACTACAGCGACTTCCGATCACCTGCGGCGGCTTTGCAGCTTGGGGACCGGTGAACTAATTAGCTTATCTCTGTGGCACTTTGCAATCATACTTCCTAGCCCTCCCGTCAAATAGACCCGGATCTTCCATCCATCTTTTCCCACCGAGGACCGGTTTCCTTGACCAGACGGGAATGGCGGGTGGCGGGTGCCTTCCTAATACGGTAACCGTCCCGCCATCTCTGCAAAAGGGCATAGAATCCGACATATGAGTCGAAGGAGAAAGAGCTTTCAGAAGATTCCGGATATGAAAATAAGCGTATTCTTAGTACATTACAGCTTGGGGTTGCAAAGAGGCCTTCTGCACTACTCAACTTCTCTTTTCTTGGCATGAGTTGATTCACTTCTTCATACATCTACAATCACCCTACAACATGTGCAAAAGCCAGATTGAGGAGAGCTGTGTTTTCTACAGAGTTTGCGGGAGGATTCGAACCATTGGTAAGCTCAGCAGAAACGTGACTCCCTCCTTCAACTTCAAGGACATCAAAGCGCGCCCAAGAGCTTCCAGCAAGAACTCAGGAAACGTGTTGCTGTTGTCGAAGGTGCTTTTATGAGGCCGAGGGCCGATTTTGGTTTTGGAAAGATACAAATGAATATGTGAGGGCTAACCCGCACACCAGGAAAAGGACTACTTGGAAGGGATCCTCCTCCTGGACTTCCCCGGTGGCGAGGGCGAGAGCCGTCACGTTGGTCGATTCATCGAAGTCGACGTTCAGAAATCTAAAGATGCTGATGCTACGTGCTCTTTTGGATTTGACGCCTGGAATGCCGACCGGGGCGGTCTTAAGCCTGGGAACACTGCCAGTTTGAAGAAGGCTAACCAGATCTTTGGCCTTCGTATTAGATTGCTGCGAAAGCTTGCAATCGTGTACTTTATACATCGACTTAGCATATCATTCAAATAATTTGAAGTCAAAATTGATCATTTTGAAGCCTTTGAAAACCTTGACGCTGTATCTTGCAAACCCTTCTGGAAAGTCGGATTTGAAGTACATCCCTTTATATTGAGATGGTCGATGGACACTCAAGGAAACCAAGGGTCGTCTCGCAGATCATATCCCAAGTGGGCAATATTGGATCGGGCCTTAGTGCGCTGCAACTTGACGATCGCCAGTATAATGTACATGACGGGGGGGCAAATCGGAGTTCACATCCTCCCTATGGAGTCTTAAAGGTTTATCAATAGTTGAACTCTCATCAAAGCAGAATGGATGGGGACGGCACGTTTCCACGGGTGGAGAGGCCCTAAAGTGGATCAGGACAGGAACTACGGAGAACGGATCACAGATAAGAGGCTTGCGCCACCTTCTTATACCGAGGGAAATAAGTCCACTGTGAAAAGCTTGAGTAGCGCCAATCAAAAGATCTCGATGGTCCAAAGCCCATTACGTCAGGTTCGCCCAATCTCTGAGGAGTTTGAGATCGAAGTACCGAAGTAAGGATTTATGTTCTTCAGTTTTCCGAAATCCACTGTAATCAATTTTTCTTTTCCTTCGCCCTTGGGGACTTTCATCCACAATTGCCAATTATACTCAACTAATCGGCTAATCCGCTCGTAAGAACGAGTGCTGACGCCCCTTTACCCTTAAAATTCTTAATACCGCCATCTGCAAGCCACTTCCACTCCGATACCCACCATGGAAGGCAAAGAAATAGATCAGAGATCCCGAGCAGAGGTGAGTTCAATCGGCTAGAGACAATTTCACTGTTAGTCTTCCTGTGCCTAATACATGTGAAATCATAGTCCGGTGCAACTGCGCGAGGCGAGGGCCTGACCTCTCCTACCCGTAGCTCTCGTACCCGAGGCGAATCTATCTCCGGAACCACCCTCGCAGCCCGACCACATCGCAGATCTACTGTGACCAGGCCCGCTGAAACGTCGCAGCTGGATTCGGCCCATGAGACTTATGTGCAGCCCGGGTATACCGATCTAAACCCGGCATACGGGCAGCCGGCCAACAAAAAGAGACCCATCTGGTCCTTGGCGAAGCCTTTCCCCCGTGTGGTGCGACCGTCAATGGTGCCGACCGAGGAAGATATCCGTCGGCGACAGGCCAAGGCCGAGCTTCGAGCGCAGCACCGAGCACAACGGGCGCAACGAGCGCAACGAAAGCATCGAACAGAGAACTCTCAGGGGCATGGGCAGGAGGTCGGTCCCAATGGGGCGGAGCAGCAAGGATCGGAAGAACCACAGGGGTCATTGCGGCGCATGTTCAGGAAGCTCAGTTGCTCGAGCTAGGCTTGAACAAGGTTATGATGGCGATACCCAATTCCCGAAAGGTCCACGTCTCTCTTGCACCCCTACCCGCCTGAGAGGCCGACTCTGTTGGAACGCGTCGTGGGGTGCGTTCTCAACGGTCCGGGAGTGAGATACTCTAATCACCAGGGACTCCCTGGGTAGAATAATGAATTTAATGATGACCCATTGCGGCTTCTTTACGAGCAACAGCATCAGCTGGATGAGCCCAACAAGATCGAGATCCCGGCTCTCGACGAATCGGCCACGCCTGAGGGCCTAATGCCAGTGAGAAACAAAGCGGTGTTCCTGAATTTAGGCACCCATGAACATCGCCAATCCAAAAGTTTTAACCCCCATCTTCCCCTGAGCACGCTTGACCTTGCAGCACAGACAGCCAGTACAGAATATTGGTGTCACATATCAATCGCAAGTCAGATTCTAGTTTCCAATGGCGATCTTTACTTGTCTTGGACTTCAAAGATCAATGGTGGTGGATCAATTGGAGCAAACCCCGGTCATGTATACCCACGAGATACCCATTACTTGATGTTTCTGGATTGGGATGGTCCTGAGTGGATCAATAATGGAGTCATCGGAATATATTTTTTACCCAAAATCTGGACCGTTGAGATAAAACCAACATGTAACTATACACCAAGGTTTGATGCACGGGAAGTGGGAAACCTTGGAAGCAAGAAAAGTTTAAAACACCCCCACTTGTGTTGACATGTCAGAAATGGCTATGAAACCGGGCAATTCGAAAGTGCGATCTGGACCACATTTATCCAATGCTACCAATAGGTAGTAAGTGCTGTTCCAATCTTTAGAATATTGAGTTGTGGAACATTATGCGCATTGTATCGATGCACGACAGTCCATTGTGCGTTGACCTGCATAAGTCTGGCAACAGGAAGCGCCAACATCAAAATGTCTCTCCAATCAAAAGCCGATAGTTGAACATGTCGGATTTTTTCCAAGTATCTTGCTTTATTTAATCTATCCGGCTAATTTTAGTTCCTTTTTCGCAATTCTAGCCGACCTACCCCGAGGAACAGTGTGGTGTGTAGGTCACCTGATGTCGGACAGCCCCGAGGGGAAACAAAGATATCCGGTTCTGGCGAGCTGAACAGTGGGGAAGAGGGGCAGCTGAGGGGCTTCAAGCGGAGACAGGAGTCCAAGAAAGTAAATGGATCGGAAAGATCGCAGTAACCAAGGCGAAACTGACAGTTGAACCAAGAAGGATCGTGCTTCTGGCGTCATTGAGGCGCCGCCGTTGCCATAACAACGTGCATGTAAACACGGGTCTTCCAGACCCTCACCTATCTTTATCGCAGTCGATCCCTAGATCTGCGAACGATCGGATTTCCATTTCATTTCTTCCTCTTCTCAACTTTGAGTTCTACATCAACTTCCGGATTACGCCCTCTCCCGAACAAACAAATACACATCCAACCCCGATCCAGGCAGATAGCCGTTCAATCGCCTTTTTTTTAGACCCGCATTACAAGGGGGAATTCCTTCCATTCCATCCACCATGAGCCAGATGTATGACGACCAGTATTATGCGGCTTCGCGACGTCGCTCCGTTGCCACACCTCCTCCATCCCACTCACCACGTCACAGTCGAACCCGCAGCCACAGTGTCCGAGTGAGCAACGGCACAGCCAGTACCAATACCAGTTTCTCCAGTGGACGGATGTCGGAAGCTACCAATATTACGCAGCCGCCTTCCTACTCAAAAAAGTTTGTGGTGGTTGGAGATGGCGGCTGCGGCAAGACATGCTTGTTGATTAGCTATTCGCAAGGCTATTTCCCCGAGGTTGGTTACATCCCCGCGCCCCCCGCGATATCGTGCAGGATCGATAACTGATCCTGCGTGCAGAAATATGTCCCCACAGTGTTCGAGAATTACATTACTCAGACCGTTCACCGGGCATCCGGGAAGACGGTCGAGTTAGCTCTTTGGGATACGGCCGGACAGGAAGAATATGATCGTTTGCGCCCTCTGTCCTACCCAGAGACAGACCTGTTGTTTGTCTGTTTTGCAATCGACTGTCCCGCATCTTTGGAAAACGTCGTTGATAAGGTCAGCCCAACACTTTTATATGCATTATTGCCCATCACTAACAGTTAGCAGTGGTACCCCGAGGTCCTGCACTTTTGCCCCACAACTCCCATCATCCTGGTTGGCCTCAAGTCAGATCTCCGCTCTAAACGCACATGCATTGAACTCCTCAAGACACAAGGCCTGACACCAATCACCCCGGAACAAGGTCAAGCTGTGGCCCACCGGATGGGAGCCAGCTACGTGGAGTGCAGCAGTAAGGAGATGCGTGGTGTTGACGACGTCTTCGCCCAAGCAGTCGACACTGTTGTCTCAACCGAAGAAGAAAGCTGGAAACCCGCCAAGCAATCATCAACATCAAATAACCGCAACAGTGTCAAGCCGTCTAGTGGCGGGCGCCCGGGCAAGAAGGTCAAGAAGCGGACCTGCAAGATCCTTTAAATTGACTTTTCACTACCCTTGATATGACTTTTTATTTTTTTCTCTTATCTTCTCATCGGCCCGATCACAGCCTGGTTGCTTTGTCGGCTATCTTGCCTATTCCTTCGTGTTTGTGACACGTTGGCGCAAGCTGGACAGAGCTGGACAATTGTAAAATTTTTCTCTTCCGCGTTTGGAGACGCTGCGCGCTCCCAAACAACCCTCGATTATTTTCCTTGGAGGCGGCTTTCTCGATTTGACATTGTTTGTTGACTCTTTTTTTTCTTTTTTGGCTTGCCCCTGTGTCTTTTCCTCATGACCCCTCCTGTTCTCTTCATGGCTCTCATGATCCGGGTCGTTGCCATTTTTGCCTTGGCATGCATGGGACTGGTGTTCTCAATTATGTTATCTGATATGTTATGTTGGCGAGCGAGCTCCTATGTGTTATTGAATACATTGCGACTTTGATGTTAAGAACAATCCATCGTAAAACGTAGAAGCATGATATTTCGTCAAGTGATAAGTAATGGTATCTAGCAAGCAGAAGGGAAAAAGACGCCAAGCCCATGTCAAGATCAAATCTGCAATGGACTTTAAAGCATTGTTTCATCATCTTCCTCCTTCTTTATCGGATGGCCCTCACTCTCCCCACTGACCTTCCGCTTGCTCTCGCCACTCTCCTCATTCTCTTCTGGTTGACCCATGAAGTTCTCAAACTGTGACCAGAGAGCCTCCACGGAGCTAAATTCATTACCAACCTAATCTAATCAGCAATGGACACGGAGATTGAAAGCGCCATGCGATACATACCGTGATGATACTCTCCAAATTCCGATTAAGCTTATTCATGTTTTGAAGCACCTGCTCCATGCCCTTAAACACGAAAAAATCAACAAACGAAAGAAGTGTGCAAATTAGAGAGTAGCAAACATACCACCGCAATCTCGCGAACCAATTCCTCGCGTTGTTGCTCAAAAACAGTCGGGGTAGCGCGACCCCCGGAGCCAGGAGTAGAGTTGGCCCAGGCCATTTTGTTGGATTATTGAATAGAGTAGATCGGAAGAGCTAGTGGGATCTAGATTCCAGGCAAGGCTGATTCAATTCTCGTGCGCAATTGAGTTAACGCGACTGTTGCGGGATTCCGGTATGGTTCGTGCTGGATTTTCCCGATTTGAAAAGTCGACTGGAACCGATAACTGGTTGTTTGGGAATTTTGTAGCACGGTGGAACTTGAGTGACTGCTTGCGTGACGCAGGAACAGAAGTGAATGAGGCAGGAGAAGTTGTTGTTTAGTGGGGCACCGATAAGCGTATCTGATTGGCAATCGGGCTAACACTCGGACACACGCGAGTGAGAACTTTGATTTCTGTACTTACTGAACAGTTTTTCTTTTTTTGTGAGATATCTTGTGCTATCTTTTACTAACTTAGTAGCTGTTGAGGACGCGTTCTGTCAAACCAGTTGCATTGTCAATCTAGGAAACAAGGAACAAATCTATCAACATCGGATCTCAACGGGAGCATTAGATACAGTAAGCGAATGATTGGCCAGCCAATTCATTGCTCTTCTATAAATCCACCCGTACTGGAACGTGATCAGTTGATGTCGAAAGTTTATCGCCCAGCCGAGAAATCCTCGCATCTAGTTGTCGCAAGGCCAGTCACCCTCGGTGCAGTGCGAGCCCTCGCGAAGAAGGGCGGTGACTATTAAAAGAATAGTTTATTAGTTTATATTCGCAGCCTGTCTGTTTGATTTGCTTGATAGACTCACAGAGGCCAGGGTCCGCCTCCGCATCGGCGTTGGGGGCTGCGACTGGAGCTGCCTCAGGAGCGGGCAGGGCGGCAGCGTAGGCCATAGCGGCGAAGGTAGCGATAGCGAGGAACTGGGAGAACTGCATTGTGGAAGTGGAGTTGGTAGAACTTTGAAGCTTTGGAAGATTGAGTTGAATGTTGGAAGAATGTGCTTTGGATTGCTGATGGAATGTGTTGATGAAGAATCCAATTCCACGAACGACGAGCTCTTATTTATGTGTTTCTCGATAGTATACTAGCCCGCAATTTTACAAGTGTATCTCGACCCCATTTCTAATTCAAGTAGGGGGCTTATAGTCAAATGGTATAGACATCGATTTAGGAAGGATCGACATGTTAAAGGGGCGACCCCAAATCTTCGCAGTGCTTGTGCAATTCACCATCAGGTACTAATATGGTAGATCTGTAGAAGATTTTTTTTGTCTGTCAGGGGTATCTATAGGGCCATTGCGCGATTAACTGGGGTCGGCCCGGGGGCTGGCGTGGCGTACATCGCTGTGGAGCTTATATGTATGGTATAGATCGGCATAACAGCAACATAGTAAATTACTCCGTATATGCAGGGGCGAAGAATGACGTTCATAATCAAGGATAATTATTGTGCAGCGGCAGACTAATTATAGCTGAGTGGCTATTTCTCTGCTCGCTTCGAACAGTCAGTGCATTGGCACCTTAGATAGTACTAGTAGGTGCCCCAACCTCGGAAGATTTACGATCCACTCAGGAATTAGGTATATCCTTCACTCCGCCTCCCGCAGAGCATTTAATTGTCTCTTCCTTCCAAGCTTTCATCTCCTCTAAGACCCTCTCATTTTCAGCTTCGAAGAGTGCAATGGTCTCAGCGCCCATCAAGAGCCTCGTGGGCAAGGGTCGCTGGTCTTGGCTCACAACAGCATCAAAGAGAACTTTAGCACATTGATCCGGCTGAGAAAATGTCTCTTGGACAGCTGGGTTCATCATATACTGAACCAATTGGTTGAACGGGCTTGTCAAGGTATCATACGCGGGATGACGATGCTCGAGGTGCACATTTGAGCCAAAATTGGTCTGAATGCCACCCGGGGCAACCACCAGAAATTTGATTCCCCAGCTCGGGTCCACCTCTTTCGCGAAAGATTGAGTGAAGCCACTGAGCGCAAATTTGCTATAATCAAATCAGTACTCAATCATTCTATTGAGAAAATATGACGTACCCGGCATGATAGAATGAGCTGCCTGGGAATGTCAGGTAACCGCCAATGGAAGACACCTGAACGATTGTTCCACCCCTTCCAGCTGGATTGACTTCCCTAAAGATGCGAATAGCTTCTTGGGTGATCAGGACTGGACCCCAGAAAAGTGTTTCCATTTGAAGCCGAGCGTCCGATTCAGGCATGGCCTCTGTGTCTCCCATGAGAGCATATCCTGCGTTGTTTATCACCACATCAAGCCGACCAAACTTCTCTACGGTAGCAGATAGAGATTTAAGGATAGCCTCTCTAGATATAACATCAAGGCTAACTTTCAGAACATTTGCTTCGTCAGGGAGGTAAGAGAGTGTATCGACATTGCGTGCAGTGGCCACAATGTTGTGGCCGGCTGCATGGATAGCGCTCGCTAGGGACTTTCCTATTCCAGAGGAACAACCAGTGACTGCATCTAGTTAGCTTTAATGTGTATTTTTCCCCCGGGCAATCTTCATCTCCTTTCCATTCACGCACTAAACCAAACGGTATTTGAGTCCAACATCTGGAAGCAGGTTGAGTATTCAGCCGTCTGGCAATTTTAACAAGAGATGGAACCAAGCAGGCTGGAAATTAATAAGGAAATAAATATTGCGTTTGCTTTTAAAAGTCATCTCAATTTGTATCCCGGCGGGATCGGCTTTAAGGGGCAGCAGGTCAGCCACCGTCTAGACAAACCTTAGGGCTGTCAGCCGAAAGTAGTGTAATAGCATCAACGGAGTTAGTCGGAAATAAGAGGCTGCCATATCCCAGGCGAGACTATTGGCGAGCTTAGATCCGAGATTGGATCTATTTGTTTAGTTGAATCACCAATGAAAGGATTATAGGTGGGTCCTGGCATCTCCCCCAAAGTGTAAGGACCTCGCGATGAATATACAGTAGGTCTGCTCTGAAGTTTGTATCCTCACAATATGTTGTACGAATTGATGTAGAAGACTCAAGAAAATCTCTGTGCTTACCTGACATCGTAGACCAGTTTTTTTCTGCAACGGGTACAGATATTGATTATCCTCACGTAGTCTCAACATCTACACTCTCGCGTATACAATGCGGCACCTAACTTGGTTGGTAATACAGCATTGCTGGTTTGTAAGAATCAAGCCATCATGTCTGTCGGTTGGAGCGGAGTAAACTTTATCGCCGACATAATCGCCTATTCTGAGAAACAGTATACTGTCAGCCCTGATTAACACAGTCTTGGCGAAGGTTTTCGGGGCTGCCGGCCCGTGGCGTACGAGCGTGACCAAGGGCCCAGGATGTTGAACCCCCGCCTATGTTCAGCAGTGGTATCTCCCAAATTCCGGAGGGCGCTGACTTCCGTTAACTTAGTCTTTACCTATTAATGGCTGCTTCCTTGGAGGTTCTCGCTAATGAAAGTATTATTGAAGGGGACGCAAACTGAATACCAGGCATCTGGCGTCTTCATTATTGGATCGATCTCAGTCTGGAGCTATCAGCCCTTGGCGGAACGTAGCGCTGTGAATTATGTCTTTGAGTCTCAGCTATGCAACTAAAATGATTTATGCTGAGGGATGACATCTTCATTAAATTGATCTTCTTCCTAAGAGTGGCTGTTTCTAAATCGTGCATCGAGGTCCGAACTAGGAGAATAAAGATCTCCAGGGCTCGGTTCGCTACAAGCCTATTCAATATCAGTCTGTAAGAGCACAAGACCAAAATCCTTCATTGCTTCCAAACATTATTTCCAAGCCTTTGTGCTCCACATCTCGTAAATGTCGCCCTCACATGAGTAGCCCAGATTTTGGAGTGAAGGCCTGTGGAAGGCCCACAACATCTTGCAGGGTTAGACCCTTCCCCACAGCGACTCTGTGCTTGGCACCTCATTCGTCATCATTGCCCGAAGTTTGCTTGGCGTTGCAGATCTTTTGCCGAAGAACCGCCAAGGGAACGTTGTTGAAAGTCTACAAGTAATAAACCACGGGCGAATTAATCTAGGTGATGACACGGATGACATGACATAACGGGGATTGCCTCCCCTTAACGCCGAATATCCTTAGTTTCTAACGGAGACCAATTCAGACAATAGAAACAAAAATATAAATACTGTACAGATGATCAATCGCATGTAACAGATCCTTCATATCCCATTCTTCTATTTCACATTGTGCCTAACCAGATCGCACTCACCCATAAAAAGTTATCGATTCATTTTGTCTCAGCATGGAATCCAAGTACACCAAAGTCCACCAGTCGCCAAAAGGTCCTGGAGACGCCCGTCCCACCGCCCTTCAAATCATCAAAGACGCAGGCCGTGAAGATGCCTTGACCGACAAAGTGATCCTAATCACAGGTTGCTCATCAGGCTTGGGCATAGAGACCGCGCGCGCATTATACGTCACTGGGGCAACACTATATCTTACTGCTCGCGACTTAGAGAAAGCGAAGTCCGCATTGGGCGAGATAGTTGCAAGCCCCCGAGTCCACCTTTTGCACCTTGACCTGAACTCTCTGGCATCTGTGCGTGCATCCGCCAAGGAATTCCTGTCAAAGTCTGATACTCTGAACATCCTCATCGCGAACGCCGGCGTGATGGCATGTCCAGAAGGCCAGACGGCAGATGGATTTGAAACCCAATTTGGAACAAACCATCTAGCCCACTTTTTGTTGTTTAATCTCCTAAAATCTCGCCTCCTTTCCTCATCCACCCCGGCTTTCAACTCTCGGGTCATCATTGTTGCGTCTAGTGCTCACCGTGTCTCCTCCGTTCACTTCGACAATCTCAGCCTGGAAGGGGAGTATGAGCCCTGGAAGGCCTATGGCCAGAGCAAAACCGCCAACGTCTGGACAGCGAACGAAATCGAGAGACGATATGGTGCCCAGGGCCTTCATGCTTTCAGTTTGCATCCCGGTGCTATCGCGACCGAGCTTCTTCGCCATGTATCAGACGAGCAGAAAGCTGACTGGGAGAAAAACGACTTTTTGAAGAACTATTGGAAAAGCCCGGAACAAGGTGCCGCAACCGCTGTTTGGGGAGCAGTGGCCAAGGAACTAGAAGGTACTGGAGGCAAATACTTGGATGACTGTCAAATCGCACCACCAGCCGATCCTGCACAGCGGCATGGACCCGGTTATGCGGCATGGGCGTACAGTCCTGAAATGGAAGCCAGACTGTGGGCCAAAACCTTGGATTTGCTTAATGAAAACTGAGGGGCTGTCTTCTCTCGCATGACGAGTCTGACAGGAGCACACCCTTCGACGCCGCGTCTCAGACCTTGCTGGCTTCATTACCAACTTCGTAAGCTGTTCACTGTTCACTTCTGCCAATGCCAATAAAGGTCAATTTAAGCTTCTGTAGCCTTTGTAACACGTTTATCAAATTCGCCGTGGTTCCAGTAATCGCTTAAGGTCCGAGGCATGATTAGCAGCAGAGTATATGCCATCTACTTGGTGGAGCCAATATGAGTGGTTGAAGTAGTGTGTCGTTGCAGATCCGTCTATTGTTAAGAAGCCCTGGGTAAAACTATCAATGGGAGAACGTGTTTAGACTGGCACATAGTCCTGATATTTCGGTCGCTCAAGGCTCAGTTTCGGGATATTTTGCAGCTCAACTTCCGTAGAAGCTAAATGCGCAGGTGCCACATTAACCGAAGAGGGGATTCACATTATTTTTGAAGCCCCCGATGGCAACGCCTGATAGAATCCAGCCCCGATTGCGCTTTAAGGCTCACTGGTATCACCTTGCACACTCACACTAAAGCTTGTTGGAGCGCCCGGTGAATGTTGCCTGTGTGTTCGAACATTTCCTGCGGATAAAGTGCGATAAAAACTAAAAGCAGAATAGCTGCATCCGCTGTACATAATGAGAGATGGAATAGCATATGATGATGCGTTTTTGTTAGATCGAAAAGCTTCTGTTGAGAGTCCAGTACAGCAATTGCTGCCTGCAAAACAGCTCTTAGGCCTTCTACATGTGCGCTGATATGAGGTCGATGCAATGCCGTGAAAATGTGAACACAATAGTGAGAAGTTCCTGACGCTGTTGAGAAAGACATGGGTACTGCGGATCCCAAAAAGTGTCAGGAATTTGAGCCCGTTTTGTACTATTCAATCGCCATCAGAGTATTACAGGATGCTATCGAGAATGTTGTGTAGATTATGGCTGGTTCTGACCAGGGCGTAAATATCATGTATTTCGATGGGATGTGATGTCTAGGAGAAGTTCATTGGGCAGCTGAGTAAGGTTCATGGTAAGAGACGTACACGATGAGTGAATAGTGAGGGGTTCTGAGAATAGATTTGAAGTTCACGAGCGTCCATGTCCTTTACCTAAGCATTTTTCGGGACGAGATCTCAGATTGTCCCTTCTGATTGCGCTCATATGTTACTGACGTAGAAAAGTAAAGTGCTGATATTGATCCAACAAAAGGTCTGGGCCCAACCTAGATGCCTCTGGATGTTTTGGTACAGCTGTTTCCAATTTATTGGTTAATTAACGGTTTAATGATATAGAGAAAAGGTGGGAGTAAACCGCGGAACCAGGCATTGAAGAAACATGGTTCAACTTGACTCCCGAGTTCTATTTTCAGTTTGTCACCTGAGTTCGTTGCACATTTTAACGACCGGCACGGTCGGCATTAATCTGAAAGCCAGAGATCTGGATGCAGTCCATCGTTCCAATAGGAGATAACAGGCGACTACTAGAACACAGATGAAAGCCACCCTAAGCCATGGCTCCAACTTCTACACCAATTAGCAGAGCAGTAGCAGAAGGTTTAAAAATCCGTTGGGGTTGTGTAAGCCTCAAAACTCCATCGCAATCTCCGACCATCGCACAATAACATTTCCACAACATTTCATTTCCGCAGTCAAATTTGCTTACTTTTTTGTGCGGAGTATTGAATACCCACATGGGAGACTAAATGTCAGACATTAAAAAGCCCAGTCTGGCCATTGTGCTAGTTCGCCGGGCGTCATACCTTGTCTCACCTATAGCCGAGCCGACTCGTCCCAGGGTCCAGAGCACCACTAGTACCTGGAAGGCGTTCGGTGCCACGGATCACAAAAATTAAGATCCAATCCAGGCCAGTCGGCTGGGTTTCAGATCTGTTCAGGTACAGGGCGTTTGTGACGGGGGTATGGGCCGGCCATTTTGTGTAAGCGAAGTTCTGGCTTGTGAAAGAGATTCGAGGTGGGCCAAGGTGGTATTGGGATCGGAAGAATAAGGCTACGGGATCCAAATGACCTCATGGAAATTGGCAAGATGCAGTAGTGTAGAAAGAATAGAATTTAAACAAAATAAAAGTTTGGGTATCCTTTGTTTACTTTTCCCGTATATACAAATTTTGATGCTTCCATAGAAACACCAGGGGAAATGGGATTGAATCGGAGTATACCGATTCCAATACTCGAGTCATTGATCTCATAAGTAAATAGAGAAAAAGGCATAGAGTAGCTCGTCACGTCATTATCATAGAAGCGGAGACTCATCGGGTACAATCCTTGCTAACGCGACCAGCAGAATCACAACCCGGTCAAAGGCCAAACAGCTTCAACTCCAAGGGCCCCGCTTCCCACAAACTTCATGGGGATATCGGGTGTCCTGATGCCACCGCATACATGATTCATTTTTCACGTTCCGTCTTGTCCCGTAGTCTATTCCAGTTTGGAATGTTCCAGCATTCGTGTAGTTTCATTATCATTTCGTTCGTGCTCCTCAGTGTGTAGGAGAAGTCGAGGGTAATAGGTAGAGGTAGAGAGGTAGAGGGGAAAGTGGAGGGTATCAAGAGTTTCGTCGCGGCTGGACTAGCATATTGCTAAACCGTTTCCAGCGCGCAGTGGGTGAGGTCGAACCAGCTCGCGAAAGCTGGCCTTTGTCTCCGGTTTTGGAGGACGACTGTGTAGAGGAGCGAGGACGACCGCCAATAGTAGCTTCATGGTCGGCGAGGACATCCTCAAGACGGACGTCAGACTCGGACCGTAAAGGTGAGTCCTTTGGATCGAGGATCTCGATGAATTTGGAGGGTGTATCGCGCATTTTGTTTGTTTTGTGTTTTGTTTCTGTGGTAGAAACCAAAACTAAACGAGCGTGGGTCCCTCAGAATATTTGGAGATGTGGTGGAGGGGATGGCGAGTATGACCCATATAAGGTTGCCTTGTGGAAGATGAGACAAGGGATTGTCACAGTAAGCGCCGTTTCACCACAAAGCGAGTACGAGGTACAAAAGCGAGAGTATGTAGGTTAGGTTGTGGGATTAGGGGAAATTGTGGAAGGGAATGAATTTAAATAAGTGAAGATCCATTCGTAGTAATTTTGGCTTGAAAGCCATTTAGGTACATTGACCAGTCCGGGACTGTCGTGTGGATCCACCGAAGATCAGGGGACTGAAAAGAACCCACTAAGAATTACTCAGAATACGGAGAAATTTTCTGATGGTTCGCTTTATTTTTCTTTTCTCTTTTAAGGGAACAGGGGGGATTCCTGTTAGTACTCTGTCCTCTGTGCTACTATAGGTCCTTGTACTGTAGTACTACTTCGATAGCTCAGTCAGATGTATCATGCATGATACATCCCCTCTGCCCAAATAATTCCCTTAATTATAATTCGTTATACTTTTTCCTCTTTCTGTCATTGGCACAATTTCCCAATTGGGTCCAAGTTATGAGCAAAAGGGGGGTTGAAGAGGGTGGGTGCCGGCACAAAACGGCGAAAGATCAGCGACGGACAGCCACTCGCATGGCGCGGTGGCGTCTGCACTTTGGCCAGTGACCGTTGGGCGGAGGGGGGGGAAGAATCCTTGGGGGTTCATGGTTTTAGATCTCCGTGGGTCTGTGGGAGGGGCACACTTGCGTGGCCCTCGAGCCCTCAAGCCCTCGAGGGGAATTGCTCAGGGTCATTTGAGCAACGTGCGACTCACAGTGTACTCGGCAAGTTTGGGCGCGCGGTCTTACACACCACACTCAGCAGACACTTTACCCCATCATCAAGAAAAACAAGAGTCATCACGCTATTTTCTGCATGATGGCCCCCCCATTCTTATTCATGACGTCGGAGGCTCGCGGTGGCTCTGATGGTAGACCCTCGTGTTGCGGAGGTGTTCGTGCATTCTTACTCCACGATCAACCTCATGTTTCTATATAAAGAACTCAGTGAGGAATGTGCTGCATACCAGATTGTGGAGAGGGGCGATGACAACGTAATTCGTACATCGTACCACTCTCATAACTAACTCGATACAGTAAACACTCCCAAGTGGGATCTGCGCCCGCCACTCTGATGTCAATCACCTCGGCTGATAAGCTATTCTACTGCTCTATATTAATTGCTTCTTCTCAGCTAGCAGGAACAGGATTCCGGCCTACCCGCACATGCAGGGCTGAAATCACACAATTGGTCACGCCCCTTGCAGTCTTGTGAACTTGAGCATTGCCACATAGCTATCCATGAATTTCAGTATACATCACTGCCCCTCCATGATCCTACAATAGAATGGGGCCAACCCGCCACTTTGCTCATCGCAACTCCACACAAAAGCATCATTGGGCAGATTCGCATTCGTCATGTCTGACGATATCCTTGTAGCGGTCTACGCATCCCCGATATCTTACTCCAGGCATACTCATATCAGAAATACCGGAATTGAATTGATTTTGGCCAGTAGGCATGCAACAATATCGCATGGGAAGAACCATAAAAACGCCTCGTGAATCGAATAGCAAAAGCAAAGGAAACCTCACTGACAATATCGAGCCGCGAAAGCCCTCTGTAGATGTCTCGTTGCATCTAATCTCCATGCCTCTTCTCTTGGCTGCGGGGTCTGAGGTCTTCGGTCTGTGCATATGCTTCGTGGGTACAGACTCGCTGCTTCACATTTCCACTTGTTCAGTATTGGCAGCGCATGATCGTCGACCCAGTGAAGCGGCCTCCAAGTCCCCCGCAGGCGCCAGCTTGAGCACCAACAGCCGCGCGTACAGCTGATCTAGTGCACCGGTCGCACTCGCATCGTATGATCATATTATTTTAGTTGGAGGTCCGTCATTTCCACACTGTCTGCCGCGCCCATCCAGAGAATGTTGTTACACCTGAGACTCAAATTAGTGACTGTCCACATCACAAGCAGCATAGCGTTGCTATTGCTCTTAACAACCCCGTTGGTATGATGGTATGCGTACCGAATAAGAACAAGACCCAGAGATCCAGTCTGCTTTCCATCGATGAATTCCTCCGTATCGCGCAGCAGAACGTTCATGTAGGAATCGATGCTCTCGAGGGTACCCTTGTACTCGGTTTGGCCCCATTTCAGGCGGATGATCATCTCAGTGCCGACTCTGTAGTCAAAATCAAGTCAGCCTCTGCCATTTGCCAGTTTCATTTGATAGAAATGAATAGTCATATCGTGGATATCTGTGGGGAATAGGATGAATGCTTTGGGATCGTGGGGGATCACGTACCTAGCCTGCAGGTACGGCCGGGGGTTGACTGGTTGAAACTAAAGCACAAAAAGGAATGTCAGCACTCTCTACGCGATATGCATTGCTTTCTGGTGGCCACAAATGAGCCCGCGCCGAAGCTCGACGGTGGGAGGAGGGATCGGGGTCGGGTTCTGAGACGTACGCTCATTGTGACGGGGTATCAGCCGGACTCGGTCTGCTTGTATGATCGGGCGGTATTATGGGAGACGGAGAAGAGAAAGAGCCGAGCAATAGAGCTTCTTTCTCGGGTTGATCGTGATGGTCGGGGTGGTATGGAGTCGTGAAGCGCGAAAATGTGAGCTGGACGGGTTCAAGGTGCGGAGCCAATGAGGTGCTGGAAAACCTCACCGCCTTTTATCGACTTTGGCTTGCACACTAGCTTCAGCCTTTCATTTCTAATGGTCAGATCATGTCGGCATATGTCATGTTATCCTTCTTTGGTGCTGGAAGTATTCTACAAATGATCAGTAACCAGATTTACGCGTTGCAATGCGACTTGAATTTAATGTAGCTTCGATATCATCTCCGCTGGACGGCATATCCTGTCTACCAATTCATCCCACTCCACACGCTGACCACAAGCCACTGGTAGAAATACAGTGAAGAAAAAGTTCATAAAATGCTTAGGGAATCAATATCCATAGATCTCCAAGACTCATCATCATCACCGAAGAAAACACCCCTCAAACAACACCGTCTTCGCCATCCCACTCCGCAACTTGCTCGGAAACATTTGAATCAACGGCTAAGAGTCCAGGTGATCTCCTTGATGCTGACCTCACCAGCCTTCTCATCGTAGTCATACCACTCACCCTCCATGAGATCGATTTCCTTGAAACGTGTGGTGGTCTCAGCACCCTTGGCCTCCCACTCTCCCTGCAATGGTGTAAGAATGACGGCACAGGTAAAAGGGATACAATGATACTCACATCAGCCTGGAAGTCGACGAACTCAAGTCCGCGGCAGTCCAGCTCGATGATCTTCTTGCCAGCCTTCTTCTCATCAGCTTCGTAGACATTGGGGCCCGAGATAATGGAAGCAGTGTGAGTTTTCTGGTAGTATTGTTAACGTCAGGCGATGAAAAATGCACCCAAAATAGAACAATCAAGAACGTGACTAGATCTATGACAATATGACATTGTCACTAGAATTGGGTGACAGAAATGGGACATCCTTACCGTGCATAGCCGGCACTTCCAGACGAAGTTGGCCTCGCCACGGCTACCGGGGATCTCATGTTGCTCCTAGATATCGACATTCGATTAGTTTCCGTAACACAACATAACACGGCTTCAATGTAAATTATCTACACGGTCACTTACAAACCGATTGAAGCTGACCCAGTTCGGGTGCGTCTCGCGGCAAGAACTGCATTGCACCTTGAAAGTGTAAAAGTAGGGGTTTTCCTCGGTGTCAGAGGGCTGGAGGTCGGTTACGCTATTTTGGAAAGTCAGAGAAAAACATTTCCAAAAGCTCATTGTTCTCTGAACATGTCCATATGGCACGCAATAGATCTTCTTTTTTTTTTCCCTTTTGCGATGGTGCGGGGAGAGCCTAAGAGAATGGCGACCTGAAATCAAAATTGGGAGGGATTATATACGTACCCCTCCAACTCAGCCTTAAGGACCAGGGAAAGCATTTTTGTGTAGGGCTAGATTTGCGATTGTCTGTGGATGAGTGTCGACGAATCCAAGTGAGAACCGTGATGATGCGGGGTGGAGAAAATACATGAAAATAGATCAGCCTTGGCATGTGACCACCACAATAGAATCTTGGTCAACACACAGCTAAGACGAGATTATCATTATATTCATTACACCCCAGGGCTAGTTAACGGTAAAAGGGGCACCGGAAATGGCTACCTGGGACGCCCATTTTTGGCGTCCTTTTTGGCGCTCTTTTTACTAGGGGTTGTGTCATCATTGAGCCACGTGATACCAGTTGGCCTTCTTTCCGGTCTGCTCAGGGAGCACTCAGGGTCTCTTTGAGAACTGCCTATGGTTCAAGATAGAAGACATAATCCACCGTTGAATTAATTGTTGATATTCAGCTCAGATTGACTCTGTGGTAACAACTGCGTATGCAAGCAACACTAATCTCGCTTCTGGTCTCGTAATCTAAACACCAAAACCCTAATTTGGAAGACAAAATGCCTGGATAGAGTTCAAGACAATGAACTATCACATTGTTGTTGGAATTAATGTCGGTAATAATGGCTAAGATCCGGTCAACTCAAATAGGGTATGATTTTCAAAGTAGTTCTACCAGACGAGCATTGAGATGTACCCCAGTATATATCCTATCTAGAGGCTAGAAGCCAAGGAATACAATACGGAACTCCCAGGTTATATCAGTAAGATATTCGATAGTAACCAAGAAAGCTAGCTAAAATGGGAGTGGCTTTAGTTTCTTCTTCGCTGAATATTAGTCTTTGTGATTGAGGATTTAGACAAGGCTTAGACACTGATTTAATCAATCTTTGAGCTGTTCACCTTGTGGGCACTATGAAGAAAGAGGTTGCCAGCGCCTCCACCACTAACTTCGCTTCCATGAATTAGGATTTGGCAAGCTGGATGTTTCAATGCTTGGATCCAAAACCCAACCCCAAGATGGGCAGGGCTGAGGCTGGTCTACCGTCTAATTGGCGTTTGGAGCCGACTGCTGATGGTGCTGGACTTAGCTTGGGAGAAGTGGTAGTACCGTGCATATTGTGAACATACATCTTGGACTTCTGATAACAATAATATACTACCCAAGCTTGCAAGGTACCTAAGGACTGGTTCCTACTAGCTTAGGCTTGTTGCAACTATCATTGCCCCGCGATCGCTTCCGCACTCTCTTGGATCGCCCCTTTATTTTCCACAATCTTTTCATTTGTATCCCACTCATCTTTAACAGTTGCGAAAAACACGTCGTCTACCAGCAGGTCCATGGCTGTTAGCGCCAGGAAGGACCCCGCTGTCAATGCGCGCTCAAACGAGTCTTGAGTACCCGCTGCTGCGGCAAATCCATGCTGATGGGGCCCAGTCCCAGCGGGGGCGTCGATAACGAAGAAAGCATGGATACCTGGCACGGCATAGCTCACATTGCCAAAGTCTGTACTTCCTGGTCCGGATTCGTCATTGATAGGTAACACCAATTGGCCTGGCACAGCGTTTGCGATCTGTGTATATCTTTCCAACAGAGCTTTGGTGTGAACCAAGTCGTCATAGCATGTTTCACTTTTCTTTATTAGCTTTGAAACTCTCTATGGCAGTATACTGAAGTGCAATGCCACTCACGGTGTGATCTTGACCTCACATCCTGTCGCTAGCGCGGCGCCTTGGAAACAGGCTGTGAGCCGCTTGCCAAGTGCCGTTACCGTTTTCTTAGTTGGGCTTCTAGCCATGTACGTCAGTTTGGTATACTCCCCTATGACGTTCGCTGCGCGAGGTCCTTCCAGCATGCATCCGTGAATACGGTCGACTGGCCTGATCTGCTGTCGTAGAAGGCCAATATTGACCTGGGCTGCGATCGCGGCATCATTTCTTCGAATTATTAGCCTCAAACATCCTGCCAGAGTTCGGAAATCACATACGCATTGATTGCCTCCCATGGCGATTGGGAGGCGTGCGAAGGCCTCCCAAAAAATTCCACCGTAATACGAAATGTAGCAAGGAAGTTGATAGCGCCCAAGCCTGTCACAGCCGGGTTGGGATCAACCATACTCTGGGTTGCTGGGTGTGTCATCAACGCAGCGTCCACTCCCTCGTATGCTCCGCCCTTGAGCAGTGCGGCCTTGCCACCGCCACTTTCCTCAGCAGGAGTTCCTAGAAGCTGAACCCGCCCCTTGACGTTTGCCTTCTTGAGAGCAAAGTGTAGGCTGAGGAAGGCCGACATGCCAGCACAGGCGATGAGATGGTGACCACAGGCATGCCCGACAAGTGGAAGAGCATCGTACTCTGCATTAATACTAACAAGCCTACCACCCTCACCAGTGAGGACCTCAAATGCAGTTTGAACGCCATAGGCTTGTCGTTTGACAGTGAAACCGAGGTCTTCGAAGAAATCGCAAATAGTGTCATGAGCGATGTACTCCTCAAAAGCAAGTTCGGGGTGCGTAAAGAGCTGGGAGTTATTAGAAGCAGTAAGAGAATGACTGGGTACGGGTACATACGTGTTGGACAACTTCTTGGATTCTGCTGGAAAATCTCTCGATAGTAGCCGCCACTTCTTCCTTCACGTTGGCCATGAATTCATCATCCTTCATCTTCTCAGCAATCTCGGGAATTTGCGTGGCAAAGGAAGACATGTTGGACTATCCAGGGCAGGAAATATCAATTGACAGAGTAAGGCTTGACGTGATCGACAAGTGACTTGCGTAAGGGATTAGGATGGAAGAAAGACAAGATGGTGCAGATGCTCTTGGTTGTATTTTGGGAGGAGCGATGCCTTGGTTTTATACTGTACCTCGCACACTAAAAGTGTAGGACAACAACGCGGAGACAAGAGCCAGCGATCTAGAATTTGCCGAATGTTGTGTGCTGCATATTCCTAACAATCCAAGTCTTGCCGATGGCAGTGAACTTGCGCCCCATTTGTGCTGGATATCGCTTTACTGGGAGGAGTCATAACGCAGCAGTGGTATCGCAAACCGCAGAGCCAAACCAAGCGCAGCATAGATGCAAAACAAAACGCGGAAATGCACGTCATTTGGTGGAGGAGATAAAGACCTTCATCTGCGTATCTGGATAGGTCTTCCTAGTTGCCGGTGTTTGCCGAACTGCCAATCGGCAGAAGGCGTGCCGTAGTAAGGGTTTTGCTCACACACCAATCGGCAAACAGGTCTATTACCAAGACTGCGGGAGGATGTGGACTCGGCTGGGAAATCTACAAGCATCCAATGTGTACTAACGAAAATTGGATCAAGTCCGCATTTGCGGGGTTTGCCAAGGCGTTACTCAACTTAGCTACATGCCCTCATCCGCCTTTTCGCCCATCGATCTGTCGCCAGTCTCATCCATACGATTTATCATTGATTTCAAGTTTAAGTTCATCATTCGTGTACAGTAAGGGCATTCTATGGACGCAAACTCAGCTTATCTGAATCATTCGTGTAGTCAGGCAGCGCCGCTACTTTGCCGATATCGTAATACTTTTGCCTAGTACAGCTTGTAAATCTCGTTATCTCTTTTGAGAATCAAGAAGATATGTTGATGAAATATAGATAAAGTACGGTCGCTCTTTCTACGTTTTTTCTTCAATTATGATTTGGTTCAAAACGATTCAATTCTCTTAATTCAATTCTCTTAATTCAATCCAGCTGGATCGCGTCAAGCTCACACCTGGCTGCTTCTTTGTTGGCATCTCGTTAGCCGGGAACGCACACCTTCCGCGCATAGAATACCAGTAACCACAGTCTTGATATGGCTGAGATCCACTGCAACAGCCTCGCCAAAGAGGTGATTGCTGAGAAAGGAATCGATCTGTCGCGTGTCAAGCCTGAAATCATAGTCGGTGACGTTTTGAATATTCATGTCTCTGAGGATGAGGATAAAAAGGTCCTTATGAAGATCGACCGACAGTAGGTTCACTACAGCATCAACAGCAACAACAGACTGACTAATACTCTGCAAGCATTCTTCCTCTTATGGGGGTTTGTTACATGCTTCAATTCATGGACAAAGTTACCCTCGGCTACTCCACTAATTTGTAAACTTGGTCATCTGCCTTTGGTCTTCGTCGCTAATCGACGCCTCTCCAGGGGTTTAATCAAGGACCTAGGGCTTCATGGTAGTCAATATAGCTGGGCAAACTCTATATTTTGTAAGTTTCCCCTCCCATTTATGAATGATGACTCACATTTTGGAAGTTTTCGGATATTTAGGAATGGAATTTGCCTTCTCTTATCTTGCTGTTCGACTTCCACTTGGCAAATATTTGGCTACAACTGTGGTTATTTGGGGAGTCATTCTCGCGTGTCATGCTGCAACTCAGAACTTCACTGGCCTAATAATCGCACGGTTCTTCCTTGGAGTGATGGAGGCTGCTGTAGCCCCTGGATTTTCTTTGATTACCGGCATGTTCTACAAGCGAAGTGAACAGCCCTCACGAATGGCATTTTGGTTTGCAGGCAATGGAGCTGCCAACATTTTCTCCGGTCTCATCGCTTATGGAATAGGGAATATCTCTAGCCCCGTTGCAACTTGGCGTGTACTGTTCCTGATACTAGGCTGCGTAACTGCTGCATACGGCGTTGTGCTCCTCGTCTTCCTACCAGACTCTGTCAGCAAGGCACGCTTTCTCACTATCGAAGAGAAAGATATTGTTCTACACCGTACGCTTGAGAACAAGACGGGCTTTATGGATGACGGGCATTTCAAAATCTCCCAAATGCTTGAAGCGTTCCGAGATCCGCAAGCCTGGCTGCTCTTTGCCTACCAAGTGGCCGTCAATATTCCTACCGGGGGCATCTCAAGCTTTACCTCGATCATTATTGATGGCTTTGGCTTTTCAATGCTCGATTCTTTGCTCCTCCAGATGCCCTTTGGTGTCGTTCAGCTGATGGCACTAGCCATAGGTGCCTGCGCGAGCCACTATCTCAACAACATACGAGTCACCCTGATGCTCACCATGGTCACGGTCTCTTTTATTGGGATAATCTTGGTCAATTTCTTGCCGAGTGCAAACTCGTACGGGAGGCTGGTTGGAATTTGGATGACTGCCGCCTTTTCCGCCAATATCCCTATGTCTCTAAGCTTGATCACCTCTAATGTTGGCAGTATGACGAAGCGTTCTACTGTATCTAGTATGCTGTTCATTGCTTATTGCACCGGGAACATCATTGGGCCGCAGTTCTTCTATTCATCGGAAGCACCAAAGTATCCTGTAAGTTCAGGGCTATTCTTTAAGAACGCTCCGCTAACGAAATCTCAGACTGGTCTCCGAGCGACGCTTTCTGGTCTAGCTCTTGGTGTCTTCTTCCTTATCTCACTACTCGGATATTACCTCTGGGAAAATACTCGTCGCAACCATACATATGGATTCCAAACGGAGGCTTCAGATGCGGAGAATATTGCCGACGATTTTTCCAACTTGACGGATATGCAAATCAAGAGCTTCCGATATGCAATCTAAGTTTTTGTATCCTCATCTTCTGGCGCTGTCAGGAAAACAAGACCGAGAATTTCTTTGATATCAACTCATCAGGACTTCGTTATATTATTTAACCACTTTCGTTCCCGCGAAATAATTGGAAGTACATCTTCGTCTTGATGATAGCGGCCGAGTGACGTGACTAGTGTCGAATCGTGTTTAGCAGCGTATATTCTGATAGATGATCTGTTAACTCTTTCAACTGTTTATTGCTCTTCAAGGACCCTAAAAGCATCTTGATTGACTCTTACTCATATATCTGCTATATTGGGCCTATACTTCGCAGATCCGACTTTACATAGATGCATAGAAATCCAGAGCATTTTACTTTCACATCTGGAAAGCGCTATTTCACGTTTAAAAAATTACGTACCCTAAAACCTAGTCCGAATCATTCATTTAGTTAGCTATGTGAAAATGAGTTCGTCTCTACTTTACGCAATAAGATCTTCCAAGTTCTTTTTTGTTTATCAGCTCCCGACTTTATATGTACGACGCTTCTATCAGAAACATATATATTTTATTAACTTACATTACACTACCATGTAATAGTTGCCTTATCCTGCTCGCCCCACCTATTTGCTCGCCCTTTGTCCGCATCTTCTCTACTTGCTCTAACACTGATCCTGCCCACACGAATTCCTTACCAAGGCTGCCAGAGGCCTTCAGGTAGCTTTTCAACCAATCTCTGTGGATTTCATCTTCAGTCTCAATACCCGCTATTAATGGCTCCCATGGCCAGCCAATCATCACGCCACACTCTGTAGCATTGCTCACATTATGCACAATTTTCACTAGCTTTGACAAAGCGTCGCGTTGCATGGGTAGGGGTGGTCGCGAGGGCGTAAGGAGTAGGCGATGTAGAATCAGGTTTGCGTAGTGTGCGCTTACTGCCGCACGTACAGTGTCGATTACTCGATGGCCTTTGTATGCTGTTACGACTAGATGTTCTGACATCAGATCTGCGTATTTCTGTGCAAGTACTGTCAGTCCATAGCAATTGCCGCACATGTTTGTTCGTAGAGACTCACTCTGTCAAAAGCTATCAGATCATCCCAGATCGCGCCGGTAGAGTCCTGGCATGGCTCCAGATTCTCTTCTGCATCTGCCACTCTCCATATTCTACGGCGGAAGCGTAGATTATGGTGCACCATCTCTACTGGGCGGTAATTCTCAAAGTCATCTTGAACCTGGTCAGCGGGATAAGTCTCGCCGTACAAGATCCTATAGGATGACCGTGCGTGCGGGAAAAGACTGTCTAGATGGAGACAAGAAGTTGGATCGTGATCCAGGAAGTCATACAAGCGGAATGTCGTTAAGCCACGCACTCCGCTGACATCGATATATCTGTTTGATGTCAGTGAGGTTTCTATCCGTGATAAGCATAAATCTTACGCCATCCATAACAGTACTTGGGCACAAAAAGGAGTGACCCCAGGGCCATGTAAGTTGCCCTGATCAGCAGAGGAAAGACCTTCAATCAAGGTCGGTTTTAAGTATTTCGCTAGATATGACCGGATACCATCGATGTGCAGTTGAAGATTGGAAAATGAGGAGCCGAACTTCATCTCATAGGATATCAAGAGAAAAATGGAAGACACCATGGACTCTAGGGTCGCCGACGATGTGTTGAGATTTCCAAGAGCAACACACAGCTTCTGTATGGCTTGGTTGTAATAGCTGGTCCCGTAGTTGCCGTTGCTATATTTGACAAAGCTGTTTGTTTTCTGTTTGCGATGCACTTCGCCCGCACAGAACGCAAGCAGGCTGTTCATAACTAACGGGTCGCCTGCAGCTTTGTGCTGTTGAAGATACTTGAAATTGCTCCATTTGAAAGGCTTTCCGAACAGATACACTTGACAAGAATTTGGGAAAAAATCCATCAGGGATCGTTCTTGAGGGGACAATGCAAGAGAATTGGCCAGTGGTATGTGATCTGTGGTCAACGTGATAGGAATGAGGGGATGAGATGACCGTGGCGTAAGAGCGAGTTGAAAATCCAGAGGAAGATCATTAGAGAACTGGAAAGGGCTATCAGAAGTCGCTGCTGTACTAATTGGGTTTGAATAAACAATCTCAGCACTCTCTTCCAGGCCTGCGGTTATCTCCCGGGGTACAATACTCGGGTAGCTTAAGGACAGTGGGGAATTGGCCTGCCTAAAAGTCGATCGCGCATGTGTAATTTCCTTGCCACCAGTAACTCTCGGATGAGCCAAGCGATATTGTTTCACTCGCTGACCTTGATGCTCCTTCCGGGCGGTTCGATCCCAAGAGCATTGGACGTCTGCTGTTTCGCACTTTTGACATTGAGGCCCCTTCTTATCACATTTGACTTTTCGTACCAAGCAAGTGGTGCACCCTAATTTCGTCAGTAGACTCGGTCAACCTCGATTGCTTCTGTGTTCAACGCCAGGTAGGACTTTTAGGATTACGTACCATCCTTAGAGCGAGGTCCATGACGCCCTCGGCTCACCATCCTGCTCATGAGCATTCAACAGATTTGGAGAGGACCATGCAGACATTCAACAATACACAACCAGGTCGCAATGCGGGTGTGAGATCTCGGCAAGAGTGTTGCACATTTAGGGACGATAATCATCACCCATCACCCCCATCCCAGACAGGGAGATAAGGCACGGTCGCATCATGTGTTAATCCTAGAACAGGCATGCTCTGATAGGCTTATAAAGACTCGAGCCACCGACCTGGATCCACCTTAGTTGTTGGTCACTGGTTGGCTCAATTAGGTGATAAGATAGGATGAGATACGGTGATTATTGGTTAGCAGGAAGCAGCTCGCACCACCGCCACGGACCGAAAGCCTTATCGTCAACAATATTACGGAGAAAAGATGGTTAATCGTGAATAATTTTCATTCATAGAATATAAAAAGAACGCAACGCCAATGATGCTTAAGCCACTCAAAGCGGCTGGTAAAAAAAACAAGCTATGTACATCCAAATCTAAAGATTTGCCGAAATCTAAGCATACATCGTTCAAGCTTACAGGCGGCTCTGCTGAGAGTCCTGGCCCAAAGGCTTGGTGGAGAACGAGTTGAAGTACTCGTTCAGGGCATCAGCGGTGCCGCTGCCCTCCACGAGCTGCAAAGTGCAGGCAACGTGGCTGTCAGGGCGAGTCACGACAACACCACCCTTCTCAGCATCGAGACCGAGCTTCTCGTGAGCAGCGAACTGAGCGTTGGGAACACGGACATCAGGGATGTCATCAGCGTAGAGGTGGTGGTGGTAGTCTCGCAGAACCTGGGGAATGGTGTCGATATCGATCTCGTTCTTGGAGCCAGCGTAGATGACGGAAATGGTGAAGAGCTTGGAGTGGGGGTTGTGGCGCTCGAAGAAGGACACATCGGCAATGTCAGACCGGCGGTAGACAGAGAGGAAGGAGCGCTCCTTCTCCAGGTTGGCGGCCAGATCAGCGATGGCCTTCTTGGTCTTGTTCTGGTTACCGGCGAAGATGAAGATACGGAAAGACCCGTTGGTCGGGACCTCCTGCTCCAACTCAACAAAGTTGGAGTCGGCAAGACGGGTCACAGTGGTAGGTGTGAAGGCACGACCGGCAGTCAATTTAACATTGGGAATGTTGAACAGAGCAGACTTGGCCGGGTGAGTGGCATCCCAGTTGAAGACATTGGGCTTGTAGGCAACTCCGTATCCACTGGTGAACTCGCAAGAGGACTTGAAGGTCTTCACAAACTCATCCTCCTCGGCATCGGAGGAGTTGACGGCCTTGGAAGCAGAAACCTCGCTAGCGTTAGGGCGGCGCTTGGAGAAAAGGGCGGCGTATCTGGAATCAAAGTCGAGCAGCATCTCGGCAATATCTTTGCGCTCGCTCTCGTATGTGCTGAGAATGGAACGCTCGGCAAATCCGCTCTCCACGGCGTGGATCTTCCAGGCCATGTTCAAAGCGTCGTGGAAAGCAGTGTTCATACCCTGACCGGCCTTGGGGCTGTGGGTGTGGCAAGCATCACCACCCATGAAGACACGCTCATCCAGGGTGTACTTCTCGGCAATACCCTGGCCAATGGGGTACACGGAGTACCACTCAACACGGTCCCACTCAAGCCAGTATGGCTTCAGGATGTTCTTGGCAGTTTGCTGAATTTCCTCCGCGGTGGCAGTCTTGCGGGGGTTCCAGTCGGCATCGGTGGAAGAAGCAATCTGAACGTACAGGCGAACCATGTTGTCCTCGCGAGGAATAACCATGATGGAGCCAGCATCGGAGTGAATGGTGCATTTTGTCTAAATAATGGTTAGAAAATATTGAGACGGTATGGAACGAAAGGAAAGGCTAACCTCAATATCGGGGAAGTTGGTGCGGACAACACCATCCATGACACCCCAAACGTAGGCGATGGGGTCCTTGTGGTGGATCTTGATATCAAGCTGCTCACGAACGAAGCTGCGAGCACCCTCACCACTGAAGAGGTACTTGGTGCGCACGTTCTCGATCACATTGGTGTCCAGAGACTTCAGGTTGACCTCGACAGGGTAGTCGGCGTTGGCACCGTCGTTCTTGAAACCAACGATGGTCCAGGGACGCTCAACCTGGACACCAGCCTTGTTAATCTCGTCGATGAAGACGCGCTCAATCTTACCCTGGTGGACCAGGGTGGTGAAGGGGTAGCGAGTGTCGATGAAGCGTGGGCAGCTAGGCCAGCTGCCGGTGCGGCCGATACCAGAGCCATCGCTCTTGGGGTCCCAGAAAGCGACGTCGTAGACCTTGGCAGGCTCGTAGGCCATGATTGCGCGCTTCAGGCCCAAGTTGCGCAGAATTTCAGTGGATCGAGGCTGGATACCGTCGGCGCGACCGGTGGCGGTCGGCACGGGTCGGTTATCAATGTGTCTGACCTTGTAGCCCCATCGGGACATGCAGAGGGACAGCAGCAGACCGACAGGGCCAGCGCCCACGATCACGATATCATATTCTTGCACCATGGTGGGGATTATCGGTCGTGAGGATTCAGGTATGTGTATGTGCAATGGCGATCAACGCAGTGTATCACCACCAAAAAACTTCAGATAAATGTGAGTAGAAACTTTTACCCTGCGTATGCACAACTGATCGAGGAAAATAATCGAGGGCCATGGCTTTATAAATACTTGGAGGTAGGCCGGGGTAAGCGGGACGACCTAAGCTTTGTTGGACATGACGGAGCATAGTCACGGCATTGAGCATCGGTTTGTAGGGGACTAAAAAATGGCTAGGACAGTGGGACCGACCAATACCAGCCAATCACTGGTCGGAAAAGCCGGCTTATGTCAAAATGGACGAGTTCGATGCGATGCAGGGTGTGGGGAACACCCTAGTGGCCACCAGTGAATGCCGTCCATGAAACCGAACTGCACGGCCTAGCGTCATGGATTGGCACAGTCCAACTTCCCCACAGCACGGATGTCGTTTCGGCAAGTGGAGAGGTGGTCACGTGCAACCTTCTTCGGCAGCCTTGCCCGGGATTGATCTGTATGTTTGATCAGTTTGATGCCATTTCCGTGGTTGTGATTGGTCACTGCGTTTTGGGGTCCCGTGCCGATTGTCCTCGTGCATAAGTCTTTTTCACTGCCGTCCTATCCAGGGACTTAAATCTGGCAGTTCCCAACCAGGAAGCCCGGTGTACTTGCCACGTTTTTGATTCGGTTTAATTCTACGGGATATGGTATGAATTGGTAGTCGACATGAATGTTGACTCTAATGGTACTGGATAATAAATTTTGATCTATTGGTTTATGGCCTTGGAGATAGCAGGAAATCGAGGATATCTACTTGAGGTCTTATTTTCCAGAGTGACACCCGCCACCGATGTCTGAGCCATTTTACTATCAATGCCTAGCCTCGGGTCTGGTGCGTTTCTACCCCGGAATCTGTTTTAACTTCCGCGGAAACATACAAGGCAATGCTGTCCGCAATTCCGAACGGAGAAGCGGGGATGCACTAGACTCGGCACAAAATACCGGCTTGGGCCTGCATCGCCTAGGAGGAGGCTGACTTGCCTGATCGGGAAATCCATGAAGCTTCATGATTGATACTTGAACTTCGAGATGTTGCCACAAATCATCATCCGCTCCTTATTTAGGTGTTTAATATGTCTTGACGTGATTCTCGATGGTTTGTTACTGGATTGATGTCCACAGATGGCGCATGACTCACTTTCTCAAGGTGAATGGTTAGGGTTGACCATATTCACTGGGGTTCAACCCTGTCAGGTGAACCTCAGATCCCCACAACCAGTGAATATACTTCTGCTCTCCATGTCAAATGCATTTTTTCCTCCCTTCTCAAATAAATTCCTTCTTTCTCAATAAATCTTCTGCCCCCAGTTTTCTGTCCTCTTGTTTGAACCAATAACTTCGCAACTATCATGGATATGTACGTCTCGCCCGAAGAGGCGAGCTCGTCCATCTGCACCGACGCATATTTCTTGCCTGAGAAGACATACTCACCCGACAGCTCGGATTTGCTCTTATCACCGGGAGAGGAATACCGACCCGAAAGCATGAACCTGTGCCTTTTACCTGCAAACAAACTCTCGCCTGAAGGTATGGTTCTGTGTGAATTTTCTGAACCACACTCGGCCCGCAGCACAGATGTGCTTTTCTTACCTGCTGAGGCATATGTACCCGACAACTTGGACCTGTGTCTTCTGCCTGCCGAGACATACGTATCCGAAACTGCAGATCAATATCTCTTGCCTGCTAAAGCATATGAACCCGAAACCGCAGACCTGTGTCTTTCACCTGCCAAAACGTACGAATCTGAAGCTGCGGATCAGTGTCTTTTGCCTGCAAAGGCATACTCGCCCAACAGCACAAGTGACTATGGATGCCATGTCACGCCTCCGGCAGAAGAACCATATGCGCACTCGAGTACGTGGGTCCGACCAGTGGGACCAGAGGAAGTTGCAGAATATCAAAGTCTCGCCGAATGTAATCCATTTCTCATTGATATTGATATCGAAATGGCAGACCTTATGCATGAGTTCATGCCAGTCTCCCAATCATCGAATGCTGAGAAATCAGACCCATGTTCTGACTCCGACAAATCCTCCATCAGAGCTCTACTCAGCCCTGAATCGTGTAGCCCTGTTTTCTCCGACACTACACCCACATTTGAGGCTCGTCAGTCGTTGATTCCAGCTGCGTTAAACGTGCCAATCAATATTGACATTGAAATGGCAGATGCCATGAATGAGTTCATGCCTACGTTCCTACCATCAATTGCTGAACTCTCAGACAAATCTCCTGGCTCCAACGAATCCTCCATTAGAGAGCTTCTCAGCCCTGAATCGTGCAGCCCTGTTTTCTCACACACTGCGCTAGAAGTCGAGACTCATAAATCGTTGATTCCAGCCGCCTTGAATCTGCCCATCAAGCGCGGGCCAGAGAACCAGCCAACTTTGGTCAATCCTGGGGCGTTCAAGCGCCCTCGTAGCCAGGCAGCTTCTCTCCGTTCTGTGCACAGCACCCAAGGAGCGAAGCGACTCAGCGCGACCCGATCTATCACTTCTCGACTCAGTACTCGGCTCATCCTTTCTCGCCAGTCCAGCCTTTCTCGACGGTCCAGCATTTCGCTTTGTAGTGGTATCAATGAGTCGAACGAATCAGCTCGAAACTCGATGGCAAAAGCTGAGTCTCCCAACCGGAAGAAACTGTTTGGTAGTGACGGTTGGCTTGGACCGCATCCTGGTTCAGTTATCGAACCTCCAATTTTTGAGCCACCTCCGATGCGACCTCTGAAGCCGACCTCAAAGCCAGCCCTGTTCCGGGGCCTCAGCAAGAAGTTCAAGCAGTTGAATAACCATGAGCCAAAGAGCCCTTCGAAGTCATTCACGAATGGTTTGATGAAGAGCCCCTCAAAGTCGTTCAAGAGTAATTTGATGGGATCCCTCAAGACCAATCTTCAGGTATCATTGGCCCCCACCTGTCAAGCAAAACTGTACTCGGACCTCGAAGTGATGATCTGCACCAGTGCCAATGACTTTCTGCTTCGTCAATACTATGACGGCCGCATCTCTCAGTACTCCGTCAACAAGGTCCTTCAGCAATGGGGATCAAAGAACCGCCCACAGGTGTACCAGTTCCACTTCGATCAGGCGACCCAACGGGAGCTGATTCTGGAAAACCGTCGTACTCTGGATCTCAATGGTGGGTGTTCTACCAATGCAATGCAGTTCCACTCAAGCATGCAAAGCTGGAAAGCTATCGCAACAGAGATGAGTGCTCGAACTTTTTGCTTGCCAGACAACGCCATTCGGAAGAACTTGTTCGAGATTCAGCAGATTCTGGATATGTTGAGTGCACCGGTCTCAACCCTTCGAGAATTGAATGACCTTAGTTCCTGGGCACAGTCGCAGATGTTCGAAGCATCCGAGCTGAGCCGGTCTTCTACCCAGAGCCAAAGCCGTTGATACATTCATCTCGCATAAATCATCTTATTCTTTCTGTTGTCCCGCCGCCTTTCATCTGCAAGACAATTTTCATCGAAAATCGGTTCTGGCTTTTTGCGTTCTTAGCGTGGGAATCGGCTTCTTCAACTTTCTTTTTCTAGCTAACTTTGTCGTTAATGAGTTCTATCTGATGAGTGTTTATTAAGCCGTATTTTAATAAAGAATTTCACGTTGATCGATCTACAGTGCTCCACTGTCCAATTATAGTCGCAAGAAGCAAGGAAACAATCTGTTGGGTAACTGGTGGCACGTGCGGCGACGTCATTGGCCTCTTGGAACAACAAACGCCTGAGGCAGCAGCATCACCTTCCTGAGATCGGGTCTTTTCTGTCTCTTTGAACTTTCTCCATTATCTTCCCCTTGAATGCAACTTGCCAGTCAACTTTGACCACCCGGACGGGTGCTTCTGAAACACCAGCTTGACCAGTCACAGCGCCCGACCATGATCATCACCTAAAGCGGCGTCTAGATCTGGAACCCAGGCTTTATCGCCCCGGACTCTCGAATTTCCACCCAAAAAAAGTGGGACCCTTGGTCACCATGACCGGCCCATTTCATACGTACGGCTCGTCCTGTCTGTTGACGGAGGAAGAGCCAGAGCTCACAAGCTTGTATTCGCTGTCTGCCCCGCCAGAGATTCGATCTCAATTCTTCTACGTCTCATCCCTGCCAATCGACGATCCCTTGGCTCCGCTTCCAGCCGCTAGTGGGCAAGCATCAGGGAATGAAAGAGCTCCCCCACAGCCATTTTCCGCAAGGGATAATGTCGCCTTGGAGACAGCTTGGTCGGAATTACGGGAAGCCCAGCGGAGGAAATCTGGTTCCAGTGGATCCCGTTCGGGAACATCAAAGGAACGTGCGGGGATAGCTGTACCGGGCTATGAATCGGGTTTTGAGGCAAACCGCCGCCAAAAGACGGCAGCTCGAGGAGGATCTAGCCTGGGCAGCAGCAGAGGGACCCCGAGCAATTGGAACTCAATACCAGAGGAGGTTGCTGGACCATCCAGCAGCGGTGCTAGTCACCGAAAAAGGATGTTCTCTTCGTCCTTGAATGAATCAAGTACAGCTAAGAGAAGGAGTCTTTCCCCGCCCGGTGAGAATGTCGAGAGGCAGGAAATTGCGGGTAGTCTTCAAGCACCTCCATCTCGTGACGCGAGTATCAGCGGCTCTCCTTTTATCCGAGCGCCAGATTCTCAGCCAGGAACTCCACTTGGCCGTTCTTTCGAATCACTGGCGTCAAAGGATGGAGCTGAGTGGCAAGCGGAATTGCGCAGCAATGCCCCCCACCACTCATCTTCAAAGCCCTCGGGGCTCCGGGCGACTGTTAGTCTGGAGGACACAAGTGTGGATGACTTCGCGGAGACAGCGGACTCGGAAGAATCCCAGACGACGATTCCGGTGGGCGCATTGCGCCTTCACTTGGTTGAGTTACCAAACTTAAAGGTATGAACTGCTTCCTAGCATCGCAAACAATGTATTGAAACCATACAGATGAAACCAATCTATTGGAGCCCGCTACACGATATTTCAGCTGTGGTCAGGGCGACGTGGTTCTACAAGAACACCATGCTGCCGGTAGAGACACCAGTGGCAAACCAACTGGAAGAGGGATACGCCTACTTGAAGCCATGGACAGAGACATGGCAAGATGAGCTAAACAGTTGTGTAGAAAATGGTGCTGACGCAGAGATCAAAATCGCGTATAAACTGTGGCACAAGAATGAGCCAGGCTCTGCTAATCCACCCGGAACTGCACAAACCGAGCATGAGAATGATACTCCCTCGGCTGGGGCACAGGAAGCTTTATCATTTGACAAGAACCGTGCCTCTGGGGCAACAGCAGCTAATCCTGAGGGCGTTAAGCCATATTTCACCTCCAGCGCTATTTACGTTGACGCATTAAATGCCCAGATTCTCCGACCAAGCCTATTGCCATCTGCATCCAAGGGAAGAAAACCACTCAATTCAATTCGCAAAGGCCGCCAGATCGGGATTCCCGTAGTTCGTGGATTCAGTCGCAAATTGTGGGATCGGTTGCATCCGTCCAAGGCCAATCCTGTGGATGTACGGAATTACATTCGACGGAACCCATCGCAAAACCCAACACCAGCCCCTGGCGAACAAATATGCTACGCTTGTAAGATGGAAGAGCTGCGTCCGACTCCGACAGACCTAATGTTTGTCATACATGGTATTGGTCAAAAGTTGTCGGAGCGAATGGAAAGCTTTCACTTTACACATGCGATGAATGCATTCCGTCGCGAAGTGAATATGGAGCTAAATAGCGAGCCTGTTTGGCCCCACGTTCGTCAAGATCATGGGGGAATCATGGTTCTGCCCATAAACTGGCGCACGACACTGTCTCTGGAAGACCCATCCCATGATCCTGCGGATATGGAGGATCCATTTACGAACGAATATTCCCTCACAGACATTACCCCTCAGACACTTCCTGCTGTGCGGTCACTGATCAGTGATGTGATGCTTGACATTCCTTACTATTTGTCACATCACAAGCCAAGGATGATCAAGGCAGTTGTCCGGGAAGCCAATCGCATCTATCGTCTTTGGTGCAAGAATAATCCTGGGTTCCAGGAAAAGGGTCGCGTACATCTCCTTGCTCATTCTCTGGGGAGTGTCATGGCCCTTGATATTTTAAGTCATCAGCCAACAAATGTCCCTCGCTTCAACTTTCTCGATACCCCATTGCATAGCGATGTCTTTGAATTTGATACAGCAAACCTGTTTCTTTGTGGAAGTCCTGTCGGATTCTTCTTATTGCTCAATAAAGGTACCTCTAACTGTATCACCTGGTGGGCTTCTGGATCTAACTTTATCAAGCGAATCTCCTTCCTCGCAAGGGCAGAGAGAAACCAGGCAGCGAAGGTGAAGACCGACTTCGTGGCGTGGCTGGCGAAGCTGGCACCTACGGTTGTCTCGCGGTCGACAACTTGTACAATATCCTGCACACAACAGACCGTATGTCTATTCCTATTACCATCTCTGCCTTCCTTATCCATTCATACTAATAAATTCCTCTCAGCAATTGCCTACCGTGTCAACGCCGCTGTAGACAATGACCTCTCGAATTCCCTAAAGATAGCCTCAATTCCCAGCTCAACCTCTGGCTTCTGGCAATCCTTTGGCAGCGTCTTCCGCTGGAGTACGTCATCATCGAACTTTCTTCCTTCAGCGCACCCTGTGCGTCCCGCCATGGTCTCCAAGCTGCCCTCGAACGTCGAAATGGAAACGCATGACTTTACCCGTGAAGAGATTGCTGAGAAACGCATGTTGCTTCTAAACGATAATGGCCAGATAGACTATTATCTATCTGGTGGGGGTGGTCCACTCAATATCCAGTATCTAAATATGTTGAGTGCGCATAGTAGCTACTGGACCTTGACGGACTTTGTGCGATTTCTTGTTGTGGAGATTGCCAGAAAGCAGGGGAGGGACGGGACGTTGGTTGGTTTGCGGGCGGAGAAGAAGAAGGGATATAAGGTTACCAAGGGTTGAGCTTCGTCCCGGTCAGGACCAGTTTTTCTAGACGATTATAGACTTTAGTTGGTACAACTGCATCTCGGTTTTACATATTCATTTACGCGGAGGAGGTTGTATTGCTTGAATTTCTTGTCATTTGCTCATAGATATCTACTGGAGTCTGTCCAGAGAGCACTGTATCATATCGACGATAGAAAAGGTAGGAAAATATAGAGAAAAAGTAAAGTTAAATCACACAGAAAGAAAGTATAATCTAGGGAGTCCAGCCCCTGTATATAATCGTACTCGTCGTAGGAGGCAATCTTGACGCTCTAGCAAATAATTCGGGTATCAGATCCATAAACAGGACCCATCATCAACGCCTCCACGATCTCACCCTTGATTCCGACACCACGTCCAGGGCGGAGGACAACAAGTGCATTCGCACGGGCAATGCTGCCCACCCGCGAACTGCGCTGTCCTACGCCCTCGACACCAGTGCTGGTGGCATACAAGCGGCCATCGCAGCGTGAGCCTGTCACGACTGCACGGTGGTACTCAGTGCGCTTGGGATCAAGAGGGAAATGGTGTGTCAGCACAACAGCCACGCGCGGCAGGCCAAGCTGCGGTGCCATCCAGGGCTTCGTGGCCATGGCTTGTGAGCTCTCTCCGAGGCCGGAGAGCTTATGCAGAGAAGGCAAGACGAATAGGTTCAGAGTAACCAGGGCAGAGGCCGGGTTACCGGGGAGAGAGAAGATGAGTTTTGATTTACGTTCTTGTTGACCGGAGGTAGGGGCGGTTTCTTTGAAGGGAATTGTCGCAAAGGTAGTGGGCTTGCCGGGTTTCATTGACACTCGGCCAAAGTGAATTGTACCGCCGAGGGAACGCTCAATGGTTGGTTTGAGGAGGTCCAGCTCGCCCATTGAGACGCCGCCAGTTGTGACGATCACATCGACACTTGCAGAGGCCCGGCCAACACCGCGGAGAGAGTCGCGGAGGGCATGTTCTAGCTCGCTGGCGGGAGTGTCGCGGGCGATACCCAAATCCACGGTTTCGAATCCCCATGATGACAAACAGGAGAGAAGGGAAGGACGGTTTGAGTCACGGATTTGGCCACCAACGAGCTCGCGAGGATCATCGTGCTCCACGAGCTCGTCTCCTGTGCTCAGGACACCCACGCGGGGCTTCTTGAATACTTTGACAGTTCTGGTGCCTGTGGCGGCTAGCAACCCGATTTCACCACCGGCGGGGGAGATCAAGTCTCCGCGGGCGAGGATCTTAGAGCCGAGAGTCACGTCGCTACCAGGATCGCGAACATTCTCCGAGGGCTGGATGTCGTCCGCCAAGATTTCGACAGTAGCTTCTTCTTTGCCGTCTGGGGTGGAGGAGACTAGCACAGTGTCTTCAACCATGACTACAGCATTGGCATTTGGAGGGAGAGGAGCCCCAGTGGTAATTCTAGCAATGGTTCCAGGCTGGAGTGGCTCTAAAACTCCGCCAGCGGTGGCGTGGGTTATGGATGCTACAGGGAACACGCCCTTGGTCGTAGCTCCGGCGTCGGTAGGTTCGGGGGCAATGATGGCGTACCCATCAACAATACTGGCGTGATAGGCAGGCACCATCTCAGCCGCGTAGACATCTTCGGCAACAACTGATCCCACAATGGATGTGTTCACTGGGGCATCAATGACCATTGGGGCAGGCGTCTGCTCGCTTATCGTGCGAAGCGCCTCCTCCACAGACAGCATTGGGTACGGCGAAGAACGGTACCTTTGATTAGGTCCCGCGGATGGGTCATTAGATTGAGGTCGGTCTGTCGGGGAGGTATGAGCCTTGGGAACAGCATGTCCATGACCGTGACCGTGAGCATGGTGATGATGGTGGTGATGGTGACGGCTGTTGTCTGAGGAAACTCCGGCGTCACTCTCCAACTTCTTCATGCCGACAGCATGTAAACTGCGGGAGTTGGCCCCAGCGCTCTGTATACAGGCATGAGGCAGAAGTTTCACAACAGCTTCAAGGTTCTCCATGGCTCCTTTGGGGGATCCCGGTAAAGTGATAATCAATGATTTGTTGCGTACACCAGCTACTGGTCTAGCCATCATCGCAACTGGAAGGGGGGTCAGTCCAATGTTTATACAGTAGTGCACAGGCCGGGTATGGCTGGTGGTGATGTCATCTCACATAGCGTTACTTTCAATGAAGCGGCGATCATACCATGGCTGAACAGGTTAGTTCTTCTTTGGGCAGTTCATTTAATCTCGGAGATACGGTATAATAACTCACACTAGACCCGGGGCATGACGATGGATCAGGGGGGTCACAGCCTGGGGTGATGTCATTTAGCAAAACGTCAACCGGTTGACCAACAGACAACAAGATAGATTACCTCGGGTGTGTTATCTTTGACTGCAAAACCTGTCCCGCCGCTAAGCAAGATGAGGTTATACCAATCTTCTCCATCGGCCCAGTCGTAGATAGCCTGTTGGATCTGGAACACATTGTCCGGCACGATCCTGATTGCGGGGGGTTCCCACTTCCCCTCTTGGGCGAGGATGGGCGCCAAAGCCCCCGCTACTTTGTCTGAAGCGGGGTCCTGGGAGGCCGTGTCGGAGACGATCAGTATGGCTACCTTCAATTTTGGTTCCATTGTGCGCAATTGTGTGGTTGAATGCGGGTAAGTGGGGGTTTTTAGGTGGGAAAGAAGTGGTTTTTTATGGAATTCCGGGGTATCGCGAAACCTCGGAACGCATGCAACCCAAGCGGTCAGTGCTACACTTTGGTTACGACGATTTCGACGTAAGTTAGGTAAACCAGCAGAACATAGGGATTATGGAGATCTATTACTTCTTTCTGGAATAAGTGGCTCTCATTTGCTATAACTTCATTACTGTACACAAGTGGGCACGATTCCCCGGATCAGCGATGCATTTAGCATGACCCGAACCCACAAGAGAGCTTCTACGAATCGAAATCCCAGACGCCCCAATGCTGTGTATCAAAACATAAGACAAGAAAGAAGTTTTGAGGGGGAAACGGGAAACAATAAACAGAAAGTATGCCGAGATGAAATCATATATGGGGCGGGCTGGGCGGATTAGGCTGATTGGACTAGTTCCTTGATCCCAATGCCCCGGTCTAGGCACTCATAGCCTCTCTCTCTCCTGATGCAAAGGTCCCGCACTTCATGGCATCATTACGCCGCGCCCATGTCGAGAGCCTTGCCACCCACCAGCAAGCCAACAATGAGACCGAACAGACCCAGAACTGAACTGAAAATCTCGATGACGAGAATCTTCACGAACCTAAATGCGGAAAAAGAAATAGAAGGTCAGATACCGTCACACTGACGAAAACATGCATATAGGGCAAGGATCTGGTCACATACAGGCTAGGATCGGCGGCATCAGCAAGCGCTGCGCCACTACCGTTGATACCAACGGAAATACCACAAATCAGATTGCAGCATCCAACGGTGATACCTCCCCAGAACAGCGCATAGCCCGTGTATAGGTTGCTCTTGGTGTAAAGCTCCGTCTCGGGGACGGGGCCCAGCTTCGCGGAGAAGACGATCGCAATGATAACACCGTAGATGGCCACAACCTCACAGAAAATGATGGAGATCAAGTTCTTGGTCCTAATTCTGGGAGCCCGAACACCACCACCGACGATCGAAGAACCGGTAAGGAAGATACCCCTGTAAACAATGTCAGCGGGCGGGGCCGTACATCGCATTCAAGCTCAAAGCTAGTATCCCAGCACAATGAAGTACATACCATGAGGCTCCGACTACTGAGCAACCAATGCACATCGCAATACCGATGTTTGCCCAGGCGTAGGGGGATACTTCTTCGAGAAAGCGGCCAACCTAGTAACGCGTGTCAATAAGGTGTATGCGGGCGGGAAGTATGGGTTTCCGTATCGGACAAGGAACGTACATTGAAGGCTTCACCTTCTCCCTGGAAAAGCATGTCTATCCATCGCAGGCCTTGGTTAGCTCGAACTGTCCAGATCGGAGAGGTTCCGGGAGGCTCAACATACACAATCCGACCACCACGAGGGCGGTCGTGGAGAGACCAAGGGGGTACAGGAGAGCCATGACGACCTGTTTGAGAATAAAGGAGCGAAACGGTCTCGCAGTGAAGGAAGGCCGATAAAAGAGCTCGGCTTTGAAGCTGTCGCGGACAGTTGGAGTGTGAGTGGTGCTTCGGTGGCCGGAGCGGATTAACTGGTCCGTGTGGCTCGGGGCGGTGACAAGTCGTGGTTCCCCAGATCCACGGCTCGTTCAACTTGATCGTAGAATATCAACCAGAGAGGGGAGAACGTTCAATACTTAATTGCGACTCTCGATTCCTTTGCATGCTCTATTAGCAATCGGGCTTCTTCTGTGTCGCGAGTTCTCAGGATCTTGTTTCCTGCAGCACATTTCAAATCCCCCTGAACCCACTCTCCCCCCTCTCTTTATCACCAAACAGCAACCATGGCCTCCGCTTCTGGGGTAGGGTCGTATTCGAACCCGTTGAAGAAATTCAAGTGAGTCAGGTTCATCTTCCGCGCTAAGATTGAAGAAATCAGGAAGATTGACATGCATCATAGATTGGTATTCCTAGGCGAACAAAGCGGTACGATTTCCGGTTCCTTCGAGCTTCCCAATCGATCCGAGTGGATACAATGCAATAAGGACAGCCCTGACAAGATGCTACAGTGGGAAAAACCTCGTTGATTACGCGCTTCATGTACGACTCGTTCGACAACACATATCAGGCTACCATTGGTATCGACTTTTTGTCCAAGGTATGTTCCTGATCACCCATACATTGATGGGTGGTGGCAATGTGGCGATAGACGCTGAAACATCTTTGTTATAGACGATGTACCTGGAAGACCGAACTGTCCGCCTTCAACTCTGGGATACCGCTGGCCAAGAACGATTCCGCTCCTTGATTCCCTCTTACATCCGTGACTCTAGCGTGGCAGTCGTCGTATACGATATTTCGAATGCCAAGTCTTTCCAAAACACTCGGAAATGGATTGATGATGTGCGCGGGGAGCGTGGGAACGACGTGATCATTGTGCTGGTCGGAAACAAGACTGATTTGAATGACAAGCGGGAAGTCACCACCGCTCAAGGCGAGGAGGAGGCTAAGAAGAACGGCCTGATGTTTATCGAGACCAGTGCGAAGGTTGGCCACAACGTGAAGCAATTGTTCCGAAGAATCGCCCAAGCTCTGCCAGGAATGGAGGGTGAGGCCAAGCAGGGAGAAAGCACAAGTAGGTCTCCTCTCCGCACGCTTGGCATTTCCTCGATAGCTAATTGTGATCTTTCTAGTGATCGATGTCAACATTCATCCTAAGGAGACCACCACTAACGATGGATGCGCCTGCTAATCGTCCTCTAACCTCATTAACACACCTCTTGACCGATGAGGAGAATCGAGTCTGTCCATGATGTTGCGCCATTTATTTTAAGATGTACATGTTTCCACTTTTCTGATTGCTCGGGTGAATAGCGTGCGTTTCGGACTTTCAGTCGAAAGCGGTTTCTTTTTTCTTTGTGCGCTCACAGCCAGCTGAGCGTTATGACCCCCGCTCTCTTTCTCTCACTCTCTGCATTATATCTTGTTTTCCTAGTCGCAGTGGAGTTGTGGACTCACTGGTGGAAGGCGTCTCTTTTTCCAACATGGCCCCATAAGCTCAACATGTCAGATATCCTATAATCGATGAAGCTGTACAATATGGGTACTTTTCTTGATCCTAGACAACGTACTTCAAAAAGAAAAACCAACGATTGATATGTATGACACTGGAATAAATCCGGAATAGGCGAGCCAATTACTACTTAGTCATGCTCTTCCAATGGATTCCTCCATCTCAACTCAACTTTCGCGTAATCCTGCAAGAACTGGTCATGCAGAGACGGCATGATATATCGTAAGATACCCTCCTGCACTTTGGACGACACCAAATGTTTATCATTCCAGTAATGCCGCACGAGTCTGCCTGAGCATCCCGTATCCGCCACCTCAGGAGACCCATTCGCCTCTGCACAAGGTAAAGCCTTTACATCCTCAGGCCGGTTAAAGTCATACCGAAGATATGTCCCAAAAGCTGCCTGTTCATGTGGCCATTTGTCCCTCCATTGAGTACACTCCGGATACCGGGTCCCATTAAGACAGTTATCCCAGGCCTCGAACATTTCTTTGGTACGCGAGCTCTGTTGCGCAATCACGAATCCCGTGTTCAGAAATACCTGGCCTCTATCGTCATTGTTGATATCAGTTGCCGGGTCCTTTGCCATGGCGATGAGAGTCTCTGAGTTGATATTCCAGTAGTTCAAAAGCCATTCCAGCGGGACGTGGAGATGGGGGAGGACTATGTCCGCGTCGAGGAAGACGACAAACTTATAGTGCTCTATGGCTTGTCTCATGGCGGGTACTTTGCACCAGGTTCCATGTATATAAGGCTTGTCTTCTGCAGTGACTAATTTGTAGTCGTAGCCGTGAATCTTAGCTAGATTCGGATTAGCAAGTGCTTGGGATGCGTGTGTTCGAGCAAACATCAACGCTATGTTTCCCTTTCACATACCCCACAAGTAATGATTGAGTCGTCCATATGTATGCCAGTCCATTGATTCCCATCGAGGTGTCAAACTCTCCCATGTCTTGTTCAAGATACCTCCGGGTTCATCCAACGGTCGGGTATCTGCATCAAGAATAAGGACCTGTGAACTCAGCGGCTTGGTGAATGGGGGCTTTTGGGGCAAGTAATATGGAAGCAAATAAGTTTCTCCATTGAGGCCAGTGAAATTGTCGGCATCGACAGGGAGGCGGAGATCCTCGAAGAAATGTGCGATACTCGATACCGAGGCCACGTTCGCAGGGAGATGTGAAGTCCATGGTGTCAATACACTGTCAATAGAAATTTTGCAAGTTAACAAAGCGAAGTGCAAGTATTCCTGGGGGTGAAATTTACCGTGAGCTCTCGACATGTGAAGGCCTATTGTGAAAAGCAATGTACAGTAGACCGAGGGAATAAACAATCGCAGCGAGACAGAAAGCCCAACGCTGAGTCAAGAGGAAGAGAACCCTCTCGATGAGAGCCATGACTCGGGCTATCGATCCAAAGTGCGCATATCAAGGTAGAAAGAGGGCGGTTCAGGAATGACTTGTTCAACGGTGAGAGCGTGTGAAGGTGTCATACTAAAGTCAGAAGAAAAGACGGACAACGCACAGTGGGATTGAGTTTCCAAAATCAAAAGACCATAATATTTAAACTTAGCTGACAATAGGGATCTCCAATTGTGCGCGTTGCCGTGACCTAATCGGGGTGTTTACGCTTTAGGCTTCATACTTTGGCGATAGTCTCCTCGCTTCACTCTGACGACTCTTTCAAAATTATATTCAATGCCCGGTCATATTCATACAAGAAGTTCAAAGTCGATAGTCGAGGACACCACAGTACCCCATTCAAAGAAGACGGGAAATTTCAAAGAGAATGCCATGCACGGGTCAATAGGGACCCTTGCTGGAAATACCAACAGAACATCAAAGAGTAAGACCAAGCTGGATAGGAATGATGGCGAATTTCCTTGGCTAGAACAAATCACTCGAATGCAATTTATCGATATGGTGTAAAATACAACTGCAATTAACTGACCGAATGATTTATGTAGTAGGACAGGGCTGGATAGCCTACATTCTGTGTCACAATCCCGTCTTAGAATGTCTTGCGATCTTGAATGAGGAATTCTGACAAAGTGGTATGAAATATTATTGTAGGAGACATCCTAAAGCTCCAATTAGGATATTAGGTTGGTATACATGTGCAACTTTTGTGGGAATATCAAGAATGTTCAACAGTGCCGTCTCGCTCGGTCTCTTCCTCGTCACCGCAAGCCGCCTCCGCCGCAGGCTCGAAGAAGGGAGCAAACTTGCTCTTCATTCTCAGTCTCTTGCCGAAGAAATAGAAGCAAATAGGAATAGGAACCAGCACAGCCGCAAGACATCCAAGAAGAGTAGAGGCCCACTGGATGCCCATGTTTTCAAACATTTGTCGTGAAAATAGAGGGAAGCTTGCTGCCACCATAGATCGACAGAAGGTGTTCGCGGCAATGGCCGACGCAGCGCTATCAATTATATTAGCATCAAAACTAGTACCGGTTGCAATCAATCTGGGGAAACTCACAACATCAGGTAGGTGTCAATAAGGTAGTTGAACAATTGAATGAAGATGATCAAGAGGCCAAATCCGGTGAAAAGTCCACTCAATGTAGGCGCAATCCAATGAACAGTGCCGCTAAACCCGGTCCAACCGAACCAGAAAAGTCCAGCAGCGAAAAGAGCACCTCCGACAATGACTGGGGGCAGACGCCATTCGGGAATGGGGACGCCGCCATTAGCGTCCAGTTTTTTGTTATAGCCACTCGCAGAATAGACAACGTATGATGCAGCAATCATCAGACCGACCACCAGACCAAACAAAGGTAGGCCACTTTCTCCAGCATTGAAACCGTACACGCCCTCGAAAACGACTGTGTAAGCGGTCAGGAAGCAGTAAAGCAGGCCGTAGATAAAGCTCAAGTAGATCGTAACAGCCAAGATCAAGGGCTCATAGAAGAGAAGCTTGAGCGGGCGTGAGAAGTTGTTGACGATCAGCTCCCGGAAGTCGACCTCGATTTCTTCTTGCTTTGCGTGGATTCCCCAGTTCTTAGTACGACGTCGCAATTCTGATGCCTTTTCAATGAGAACAACGGGTGGGTACGACTCTTTCAGGAAGAAAAGGTTCAGGACGAAAGCCGCGTAGCCCATAAACGCGGGGATCCAAGCCGTCCAGCGCCAACCCAGGTATGACATGTTGATGTATCCACCGATAAAAGGGGCAACCAGAGGTCCCAAAAACACTGTGCCAGAGAAAAATGCAATGGCAACACCACGGGTCCGATTATCGTAGATATCCGAGAAGACCGCTGCCACGACTGCCAGCGGCGAACTACCAAAGATACCGCTGAAAAAGCGACAGATCATGAGGGTCTGAAGGTCCTTCGAGACGGCAACCGCGGTGTTGAAGATACCGAATCCCAGCATAGCGATGACAATACCCGGGCGACGTCCCTTGAGCTCTGACAGGGGTGCCCAGACCAACGGGCCTGAGGCATAACCGGCAATGTATAAGGTGCTAGATAGGACAGAGACCTCCAGGCTAACGTTAAAGTGGGACGCAACGTTCTGTGATGAGGAGCTAAAGACCGCGGAATCGAAAGTCGAACAGATACTCGTAAATGCAAGCATGGCTGTGATGTAAATCCTGGTTAAATTTCAAATGTCAGTGTCATGGGGGCTTCAAAAGGTATTTTATTTTATAGAATCGCCATATATTAACGTACTTGGTCATTGTGGGCCAGTTTTTAGGATACATAGGATCATTTGGGCCGTCAAATTCTACGACGTAGTCTTCACGATTGGGCAGTGGTGGAGGGTAAGGCTTGCCGTCACCAAAGGGCGGCAGTGGTGTTTTCGAGGCTCGCGACTTGACACTCTCACCAACAGTGAGCTGATGCTGAAGGCGCTGGGTTTCAATTCGGCTGAGCGTCCGAGAAACATTGGTGCGATTGCGTTCCAAATCAAGCTCTGTGTTTCGCGACTGGAGTCTGTGAAATTGAGGGTCGTAGTCAATGGAGCTACTAGACCCTGACGACGATCCAGTCGTCCCTGAAGTCTCAGGCCTATCTGCCTCCTCTGAGATTCTCCGCTTTTCTTGCCATGGCGAGGACTGCGACCCGGCGTCAATCTCAGCTTCTTGAATTTCCTTAGCTGTGGAGTCCATGGTGATCAGAGCTCTGGTCGGGAGCTCTCTTATCGAATGACGTTTGCGCGGGGGGGGGTAACGGGTTGCGCTCAGGCGCAGGTAGGAAGCAACTGCAATGATTAGGGCAAGTAGCTGCCTGGAACGTGCATAGTAAACAGGGGGCTTTTCAGCGGCGGTCGCTCATTTAAGAAGACTATAGGAGGAAGGAACAGGATCCGTTCTAACCGTCCAGACCCACTATCGTAAATCGACGGCTTCAAGATGCAACTGTAATTGCCGAGGGTCCAAGCAGAACGTGAGATTATACACGACTCAGACGGGGGTTTCCCATTAATTTGGAGCCTTTCAAATGATTTGGATCTTTTCATAAATATCCAATCAGGCAGTCCAATTCATGTGGTAAATTGCCCGCATTTGAAAATCGAGGCGGTATGGCCGAAAACAACAGCTGATGAGTGGATCGGCGCTAGTGGGAAAAAATGAGTAGCAGACAAATTCTGATGTCATCCATTGGCGCCATGATTCAAGAATGCCCAATTCATTGTGGATCCACGATTAATAATTCGGTTCCGAGACCGAAAAAAGTGGCGACGGATGTGGTTTACGTGTTTACGGGGCTATTCCGTCAAGGTCCAGATGCGGTATCTCCCCGAAGGTAACCATCGCCATCCGATGAAAATCTTGGCGGAAGTTGAACCTCCTCAAGGCAGTGATATCATTCTCCACTTCCAGGACACGTTCTATGCTCAACATACAGTAAATGCGTATTCATAAATGATTTCATAAACGAACAAACCCCACACTCTCCACATCTTTAATTGTTCACATAGTTATACGTTATGATTCATGGTATAATGTTTGCAAAGGTGCGCTTATGAAAGAACTCCACCTCATACATACTCTCCAGGGCTAGATCTCTGGTTCCCCTATACGGGTGTGCCTCATCAGCACTACCTAGATTCATTTGGAGTGAGCAAGAGACTTAGGGCTTGAGTGCTATTCATACATATAAATGTGACCTGTCAATTTCAATCTGGACCAATTTGGACCGTGATTATGTACCTAATAATTTATTTCGCGGGATCCTCGAGGTCTGTACATGTACATACGTCTGGTACATCCGTACATATAATCATGGATATATATAGTATGTAGGAGCAAGCAGTCATGGATCGCAAGCCCCAGGGGTTCGTTAATCTTATTCTTATCTTTGTTGATAACCGTTGTTGCGGGGTTGTAGATCTGCCCCTTCAGGAAATCCCGAATCCCCAAGAAGCAAGTTGAAAAATTCATAGACTGTCTCAGTTTTTCTTACATCCGATATTTCGAAGTGCCCAAAAGTTTCAACGGAATATGCATTTTAACCGAAAAAGTTGACCAGTTGAATACGGAGATAAGGCCAAGCTTTGGGAAGATCTGCATGTTCTCGGATTAAGAACCTGACGTCGGTGCAAATCCGGGGCTACACCGCATAACGTCCCCCTAATGCTGCACTAGTACGTCTTTGGACCAGACCCTTTTGATCTCAAAATCTTGAACTCTCAGCCCCTCCCCTTACCCTATCATTAAAATTCAATCTGGCCTCGAATTCACACAGAAATTGCGATTATCACGACGTCGGGGAGTAAGGCGTTGACCCTACCTAGTAAGCTTCAAGGCTGACATGCGAAAAAGCCGTTCAGAATAAATTATCTGCGGGTGGCATCACAGGATGTGACATGTTTCCATGGCTTGCCGATAGATTGGGAAGACGGGGGTCCATTCAAATCACTATTCGTATTATATCGGCGGTCATCCAGGCGGCATCTGTTCATATTGCAATGCTACTGGCTGCAACATTGTTTAATGAGTTGGGTGACTTAGCCTCTGAAGGCTCTTCCTTCACTTCATGTGCTGCTGTCTCGCAATGGCTGATCTGAGGACTCGTTCATAGCCTAAATCAAGTATGTTCAACACATTGATTTCCTTTAATCAATCGGAGGGTTCACCAACTTCTAATTATGGAAGAATGGTAAAGCCTCATGGTGCGTCGGCTGTGACAAGTTAAGTGAATACCGCAAAGATTTCCATTTCAATGGCGGGAGGAGATTTTTCAATTATACCAGGCTTTGGCGGGCATGGGTCGTTTTAAGATGATATCTTGAGCAGAGTCCACAGGCTCAGTGGCACCTTGCTCTTGCTTTGCAAAGTATAGTCCTCCACTGCGCATTTGAATCATCGCTAATGAACCTAGTTATCGGGTCTCAATGTCTCAATATCGGATCCCACCTTGCCCCAGAGTCTCCTCGGTAGCTCCACGCTCGGGGCGCAAAGACCACACGCTGCAAGCTCTGGTTCTCTTACATGACGATTTAGCTGCAGACAATAACCAAGATCTTGCGCGTCAAAATTTTATGCTGATTGAAGCCCAGATTGCCCAGACACAGAGAGTTTCTACAATTCCCGGGAGACCCTGAAGATTCCGACATATCAGCGGGTCTTTGTTGCTGTATTTGTCCAGTAAGCGGGATCTTCATACCCCAAGATAGAGTTCCACCATCCTCTAACGTCCATTCTTTCATAGATGTCTTGCAAAGTCGACTGGCGTTCTTATTGTAAACAATTATTAAGTTATGTTGTGCAGCACATTAGTCCTCCACGGGTCGATGACCCTCCTGCTCTACGGAGTCTATACAACATGGGCTGCCCTACTAAATTTCTCAGGGAGTCTGGTGATTGATCCCTCTGGTCGAGTCACCATGCTCGGCATGGATTGTATGTGTTGCTCTAGTAAATCCCATGATCCTATGACTAAGTTATAACAGGCTGGGTGTGCACTGTCCGTCGCCTGGGCCCATGGTGTGGCCGCAGGTATTATAGACATGCTTGCTATGACACTAGGTAGGAATACTCTCCCGTTAATAGGTCAAGAGTACGACATTTTGAATGCTGATTCGTCTCGCTTTGTTTTGTTTTTCTTTTTAGTCTACACAGATGTCGCTCCAGTTGCCTTCGATGATGTCGGGTGGAAATATCAATAGGTGTCTATCATTATTCCTTGCTTGGAAGCCCACTGATATGATTAAATCCCCCAGGGTTTATCACTGGAAGTAGTGGCCAAGTAGTTTGGCCACGAGGCAGTGCTGTCTGGTGTTGAAGATACACAGTGTATTGGTAAACCACACATTGAAGCATTGAACATGACTATTCGGATTACCAAAGCTAAAAACTCAATACTTATTTGCCAAGCAAGGAAAAGACTAGATAACCCAAGTATTATGAAAATTTTCGCGAACTAAAACAAACTAGAATAATACGGGCATAAACGAGGTGATGCAGCCGGAGCCGATCGCAATCGGGCATCGATCAGCAAATGCGGATCGCCCGGAAAATAGCGCCCCTGGACCACCTGCGGGACCATAATCTCATCCTTTTCTCTTTTCGCCCTTCCCAACCTTCACTTATATACACCTCCCATCTACCTAAACATCTTTGTATTGATTTTGGTATCCAAGATGGGGCTCTCATCCCGTCTCTTCCGCATTCCGCGGCCAGAGGTGAGCACTTCCCCCCCCCCCTGCGATCGCTAATTCTGGCTTATCCGTTGGCCTCCGGAGCTAATCATCTCGTGACTTCAGTCCTTTCTCTACGTTATGAGCCTGGAGACAGGCGCGTCATTAATCACCCTGTCGCTACTATTGAATAAGATCAGTGGCCTCTATGGCCTCCTCGCCCTGTTGACCGGTTACCACTTGTCGCCTGTACAACTGTCCATGTACCTGTACTCGCTCATCGCCCTCGCCATTACCGCCATCCTCTTCCCGCACATCCGAAAACAGTCCCCTCTAGAGTGTCTTGCGCTCGCCTGGCTGTACCTTATTGACAGCTTGATCAACGCTGCCTACACTGCCGCCTTTGGGGTGACTTGGTTTCTTGTGGTGTCGCAGGGTTACGATAGTGGCAAGCCCTCTGGACCAGGCAGCGAAACGATCGCAGAAACCGCCGGCTTCACCAGCCCCAAGTACGATGCCGCCTATGTCGAGATCCAGCACACGCAGGAGGGAAACAATTTCATCCCCCACCCGCCCAGAGCCGCTGACCACCTGAGCAATGTTGTTGCCCAACCCGAAAGCTTCCAGAGCATCGTTTTCATCTCACTTCTGTGGGCCGTGCGCGTCTACTTCGTCTTGGTAATGCTTGCATTTGCCCGCCAAACCCTACGTCTGTGGATTGCGGTCCCCCGACACACCCAACTCCCCACACACAGCCGCAATGTCTCGATCGCCAGTGTGGCGGACATTGACCGTGAACCTTTCACACCTTACAGCCCTGATGGTCAAGGGTGGAAGGGTAAGCTGGGCCGTATCATGGTTGGTATTGGCCACAGCTACTGGCTCGGTGAAGAGGAAGAGGGTAACTGGCTAGGTAACCTTGGCCAGAAGTTTCGTGCCCGTACCCAAAACAACAATGAGCTACCGGGTCCCTTGGAGCGAGAGCGAAGACGCCGTTCTGGCACTGGTCCTCCCCAACCTTCTCCATCAATCATTCGCGCCGGCGTTATTCAACAATCTATCCCCGAACACCCGGGGGTCAATGTTAAAATGCAGGACTGGTCCGAATCTCGATAATTGATCACGGCCCCCACTTACCATCACACTTTGGCCTTTTCCCCGAGGTTCCAACACATCACATGTCACTTTGAATCCCAACCTCCATATTTCCCTCCGCTGGCGCCAATGGTTGACCTACATTTCCCTTTTTCATGGGCCGGGCACCCCAAATCTTCTCCGCCAGTGCGATACCAAAGAACACAATCCATTCGGGCCCTTGTGTTCGTACCATCGTTTCGCTCAACAATCGAAACAAAGCAGCGCTCGCTAAAGCTTTGTACTCGGGAGCACACGCGTCACAAAGCTTAGACTTTGACAAAATCATGACAAATGTATATGAACAGACGACTCATTGACCCAGATTCCGTGGAGGAATTGGACATCACATCTCTCACCCACTGGCTCTTTACTCGGCGTCTGGTATCTATGTTTCGGGATTTTGAAAAGGCGTTTTGGTATCGAGGAATTGATGTGGATTCGAATGATATCGAGCGTTGCTATGCTCGATGTACATCTCATCTTCCTTTGGCGTCTGGAGATGTACATTGACTTCATATGGGATGGGTCTATAATGTTTGACGCCTGGGTAGGCCAGGGTCTGGCAGATCTCATCATTGTACACAATTTATATACATGCATGCACCTCATGAATACTTTCTAATGACTTCTATACAAAATTTAATACTTGTGGGGCGTGTTTCATCAGTCTTCTACTTCCAAGTCTACTTGCAAATCAGTATAACTAAGCTTACGGATCCTAATGAGAATCAGTCACTTACTAAGAAACAGTCAGCTTTCCAAGATTCTTATATCTTTCTAAGAAAGACGTTATAGGGCAGCGTATTGTTCTAAGCAATGCATAAATCGGGCTCGGTCGAGTCGAAATGGTGCCATACAAAAGGTTCATACCTAAGACAGACTCTTAACGTATGGTTCAAAATCCCTTATCCTTCGAAGTATCATTTTACTTAGAATAAGACCCTTCTTTATCGCCCGAACCACGCGACGGTCCGATCTATCTAGCAAATTGATATTGCCTCTTTTGCGTCTTCGAGGCTAACTTCCAGTGCTATTTTGCCATATCACGAAAAACTAGGGAGCACTTCCAGAAAAGCCTTCGCGGACTCAAACGAGGCGGCACGGTGCCTAGATCGATCGTGCGATATTGTCTTACATGGACACTAAGCTCTTAAAAGGCACGTTACATATAACTATCCACTCAGTGACTGACTTCAAGGCGCAGCGCATCTAGGCTGGTTTCTGAATTGCTGGACCTCTAGGAGATTATTCCAGTCTTATAATGAAAAGCTTTATTAAGCCAAGACATTTGTTTTCCTATGGGCTAAGGAAGCTTTCGCTCCTTCTTCTTAACAGTGGCCCTGACTGGTGGAAAGTATAACTCAAAGCCATCATACAACTCTCATACATTTCTTCACTCTAAAGAGGTTTGGCACATTCGAGTAGGCTCATGATCCCATAATAATCGCGAGGACTCGTATCGATTATTTTGCTTCGGAAATTCAACGTAAACCCACAAGGCTATTTACAAAACGGGATGTTACGGAACGCGTGCATGATAGTACATAAAGGCACCGCCACACTTTGTCCCCGCGGTATTATATACAATTGGTAGAGACTTTTACACTATATTCTGTAATGTATCACTCTCTCATCGGAACCAGCCGTGAAAGTAAGGTGTTAAGTCATTTAGAGTTGGAGCAACTTGAAGTGGCTGGTCAATATATTGACTGACACGAAACATTCTTTGGGGCATACTATCCTAGTATGATGAGTTTCCTTAAGAGACCATTACATCCTGTGTGCATCGAGCGAGGTATCTCAAGTCACTGTGTCCTTAATATCATGATATGGTCCCGAGGTCTGCTATTCGTGGGTTACCGTCACCTCCTTCGAAGGCGACATCTCGCGCACCTTTATGCTAAAACAAATATGGAACCAACGAATAAAGGCTTTTTGATGCACACACCGACGTAAAATGGTAATTAGGTAACCGTTATTTCCCAATCCGCCTTTAGTAAACAAGCTCATTTTTCTGCTATTGGTCAACTACACCTACATTGGAGGCAGCTTCATCACAATGATGCCAAGAGTTTTAACACTTTCACTAGAATGGCTGGAAATAAAGTATATCGACTTATATAATTCAGATCCATTATTTGCTGTTCCTGTATAGCCATTAGTAAGTCTATGGTGACTATCGCTCAGAGAGGAGTCGAGCCAGACCGATTGAAAGCACAATTTCACAGGTCATCCTGTCCAAAGTATCATTGCCATTGCTTTGGTGAAGAGGTTATTGAAGGCTAACACATAGTTTAACACATTGACTTGCTGCATAATTTTATATCCTGGCCTGCACAAAATTGGGGACAAGCGTTTTTATCCATGGAGCCTTTCTCTGTTCCAAACAAGCCTTGAATATTGAGCCTGGGGGCTTGAGACCTCAAGGGTCTTTGTGGCCAGGATTACATTGTCCTGTGCATACAATAGTTTCGCACTTGTCGTCAGAAGATATAGTCTCACAGCTTTCGGTTGTTTTCGAATTGCAATACCCGCCAAATTCGAAAACAGACCCAGTCTGATCGACTTTGACTTTCATCGAGCCTCCTTTCTCGTAGCAGTAACTTGCTAGACTTGCCATTCCTTCAGCACAGAGTGACTTAATGCCTGGCCCAATGTTGTCACTAGCGGCGACACCAAGAATAGTCCAGATGCCCTCACAGAGATATTGAAGCCTCTCTCCACATTGGACTTTGGAGAATATAAGGGCAATACCGCCCCAAGCATAAGGGGCTATTTTAAGAGCCCTGTCACATAAGATACCGTTCATGTACAACTGTGCTTTGTACGAAAACAATCTATTTGACCAATCGGGAGGATCTGTACACTCATGGCTGTAGACTTTACCAGTCCAGCGTTTGTCAAGAGACAACGATGTGTTTCCGGATACATCTCCCGACTGTGCCCATTCTGGACGAGGGAAGTTATCGGTTGAGTTGCTGAAGATAATCCCACTTAGGTGAGCTTCAGGGCCGAATTCAGAGGGAAGCGCAAAGGTGCCGCCCATAGCATCGTAGAGGGCTTGCACGTGGGATGTAGTATTGATATCCTGATATGTTCGAACCCAGATCTTTTCGGGAGTAGTGCTGGCATTGGTACCAGAAGGTGCGATGGTAATTTTGGCACTGGCAACGACAGGTTGACCAAGGATCATAGCGATGCCTATGCAGGCAGCCCAAGTAAAGTCTCTCATATTGGAGGAAAGACCTTGAGGGGGTAGATTGAGTGGTGAGAAGGAATAAATGTCTATGGACGGGGAATCGCCAACCTTTTATAACCCACTCTTAGCCTTGCTACAGACAGGCTCCTGATACGATAAGTCTACCAGTGGATATGTCAGTTTACTCTAACCACAATTGTCATAAGTCAGTCTCAGTAAAGTTATGGCCCTTGTATCATGCTCCCAAAATCTGAAAAAATCCTCAACATCTGAAGGATTTGACTAGTACATGCACTGTCTAACCAACCTTGGTGCTGTGTTATCACTAACGACGACAGCTCCCCCTACATTTTATATTAAATAATAAAAATAAAAACAGGTCGACGTCCGCCCGGTCAGTATTCAAACACCGTATCTACTAGCTAGGCGTAGTATTAAGAATTACATTTCTAAACCTTCTCAAACCACCCCTACTGGTGACCTCTCGCTCCTTCGTACGTTACTATATGTGTTATGGTTGTGGTCTTGCCATACCGGAATGACCGGCACAATCCATGGATGTTGAGTGCTGCCTGCGGCGTTCTCCGCTTCACTATATAAATGATTGAAAATTCAACGCTAAATAGGCTAAGCATGCGCCCTAGCACCCATTATGGTATATGCAAGGCCCCAAGCTCGTCGTGAATTTGCACCATGTAACAGCAATCTGGAAGCTCTGCCTCCAGATGCGATCTACTCTTCTCGAGGCCCACTACGCTCTCCATACTATGGGTAAAAAGAAGCATAATATCTCCCGATGAAGATTAATCAAATGCATCTAAAGATTTTGCGAATCTCTATTGTGGCATATACTATACTGGAACCTCATTCTCTGTCTACTATCTCAGGAATAGTGGAGTAGAAGGATGCATGAGATGAGCGATGATACGTTGTAATCTCTGGCTTAACGCTGGTGACCCACCTTACACGTAATCATGGGGCCATAGCAGGGGTATTGTACCCACAGCGTTTGCGGCCAGTTCCAACTACAGTTAGTGGTGCGCCCGAACAAGATTGCGGATAGTCAGTGTTCTTTCCTCTCTTCCTCTACTTTTCATTCTTCTTCCTGGGCCCTCCTTTGTCTGTATCCCGTATAGAAATGTCATTCGACGTTTCGCATGTCAGATCTGGGAATTCTTACCAAGATCAGAATCAAAATGGACCAGAAGTAAAGCCCATTATGCTGATCCTGGCCGGGTCTCTGGTTGTTTTTATCTTGGTGGGTCAATCCAAATCCAACTGTCATCTACACTATACAATAGGCTGATAATAAGAAGCTGATATATGCCTGTGGTAATGTCAACGCAACGCTAATCGCGACATCACGGCCAGTGCCAGGACGAGGTGGAAATCTCCTTATGAAGGGACAATTTCGAGGGTTGCCAATCTTCATTTTCCATCGATTGGCCAAAGTGTTTCTCCTCTCGCGATTCACTATAAAAGAAACAGATTTCTTTCAACTTTTGGTCTTGAACGTGGCGACAGAGATGCTGCTTTCAACCCTTAAAGTATCTAATGTGCATACAATTCTCGCCCAGCCATCGCAGATTCCTTTCTATCGACGTGTTCTTAGCTGGTCAGTATGGTGGAAGACCTTCCCGGCTACACTGCTATACAGCACCGCCTCGAGCGTGTGCTTCTATCTCACTGTCAATATGTTTGTTCAAATCCTCAGATCTGGAGAAGATTCGAATGGTATGGAGCGAAGGGCAATCGGCACCTTTCTAGTGATGTCCATTGTGTATTTCTCAGCTGTGGTTCCAACCTATGCCATCTTCATTCGAGTGGCTGCATCCACAATACACGTACAGGCAGTATCCAGCGCCCGGAGAACTCAACCGACGGGGGGTATTAAGAGTGCCTGGGAAAGCTTCCACTGGTCGGATCGTTGGAGCTTTGCTGGAATCCTTGCCACGGTTCTTTTTCTAGAAACGTGTGTCACTCTGTATGGCTATGTGCTTGTAATCGCTCTCTTTCACCCTGAGCTGCACGAGGCTGTCTTGCGATTTTGTATTAGATATGCTTGTTAGATAGTCATAGCGGGATCATCGATACATACTCTTATTCTTACATTGAGTATAATATTATACCATCTTGTCCGGCTAACACGGCTGTTTCTGTGTGGCAGAGTTCGGATTTGTGACCGGGTTGTGAGTTTACTGGGTATTTCAACACCACCTGAACTACTTTTTGTGCGATTAAACCTTCACTCTAAGAGCTTTAACCCTAAATTCTTTGGCGTCGCGCTGCATTTTCCTTTTTCCTTTTGTTTGCGTGGTCATCAGAGGTACATGGCGTACCAAATTTCTCGGCGAAATACGATGGCTGCCAGTGATGAGATTACATGGCTCAACTATGGGTTGGATTTGAGATTGGACTATGCTTCTCATGGTTGTACTAGTTTCTATACAGCAAAATATCTTAGATGAGGGAAGGTATGAATATTCCGAAATTCGCTTCCTTATATTGGAGGAAGAGTTTCGGGGAAGATGCTCACTCAGACCGTTATTATCATCTTCAAAGAAATCGAAGACTCTTATCGTCCCAGGACCCTCTAAGCCAGTAACGAGGGGTCTCGAGAGGAAGGAGAAAGCGCGACTTTTTAGATAGGTTCCAGTAGCTGGTGGTGTGTCATTAAGACAAAGTCCAGGTGAGACTACAGAGATTTGCGGGACTCAGAGGCTATGAGGAATCTCATGAATATAGGAGAAATTGAAAGACAATGATTCCAAGCCCGCTTTACCGAGGTCCCCTGCCCTACACTCATTTTAATGTATATGATCATCCGAGGTGCAGCCTTCTGCTTCGAATCTCTCATCCAAGGTTACCAACTGAGTCGCTGCCTCAGTAGTCTCTTTCTCTATGTTAATAGAAGGAGGCATTACTAAAATCGAAGTCGCTGGCTGCCAAGATTTTAGTGGCTTAGCGTGGCCATATTGATTCCGATTATATAGAAAGGAACAGATAGTGGAAAAGGGGTAGGAGAGAGCATTACGTAAATTTGACTGATTCCCAGGCGAAAGCTAAAAAGGGACGACTGTTGATCTTTTCAAACGCCGTCTATTTCAATTTTTCGGCGAACCCGTCAGGCCAAAGATCCCTGCTAACGTAGCGGCGCCATGTATTCCGGATCCATACACGAAGCAAGACCGGTAATATGACCAGTTTTCCCGATCTTGCATCCTAGTATGGCTTACAATATTATTGATCTAGATGTATCATTATCCTAAGGGTAGATGTAATTAAGATCTATGAGTTCTCACTCTACTTTATCTTTGGGCACAGTTTGTTCCTGATACTTAACCGGTCCAGAAGTCATAGGACCAATGTGGACCAAGTAAGTGGTCAGGCAGCGTGTATACATTGTAATCGTCCATCAATACTTCTTGAACTTCAGTTTGCGAAGCACATTCCTCCAAAGGCCAATAAAGAATGCCTCGAGCAGCATCTGTATAGTAGATCGCGTGCTAGGCTCGGTCATCCCCATATCCCAATATCTTTTAATCGCCCTGCCGAACCGAGAACACTCCAAGTCCTGTGGAGTAACGAGAATTGACTCTATCCCATGGCGGATCTCATATAACGCAGGTCCCGAGTTGTCAATCCACAGTGCGGGTTGTGTCTCCATGGCTGTTTCAGCACGGTTCCATAGTCGATGTCTTATTCGGCTTGCAACTGCTTTCGATACCTTCCATGTGACACCATATTCCAGGAGACCGATGATGCCTGCCTTGAAAGCTATCATTTCTTCGAAGGAGACGTGGAATTGTTCTCTCGGCGTACCGACGAGGTAGATACCCGCGGCGTCAAATTGGACCGCAAACATCTAGATATATTTTAGATATCGGGCGACAGATATAATGAAGGAGTCTTACATTTGTGCGCACATACCTTGGAGTCTTGCTATGATTTCGAAATGTCCTAAGGTCATTGATGCAGCATTCAACCCCGCGGACCCGGTAGCACCTCGCTGATAACTATGACCCCAATCATCAATGAGAGATATAACAAACAACATAAATACCGCACTCACCATAGGTTTGGAAGAATTGGTAGTAGATAGACATGGTGTATAGAATATTTGATTGATGAGATTCAAATGAGCAGGAATTCGTGGTTTTAAATTGGTCAAGGCCAAAGGGGATATATCACAAAGGACCCGCCGTTGATCCCCCTGATCACATCACACGCGCAAAGCGATGATCTTGGCTCCAAGCCACAGCCTTGGGTCCTACACAGATTACTTTTTTCAAGCCTAATCGTCCCACCCGGTCTATTTTCGGAGAAACAAATTTCTGATATCGGGCATCCATTGGGCAGTGTGTAACACAGAAAGGGAAAGGACCTGTCAAAAAAGGGGCAATTCATGTTTCATATGCTATTATGCAGAGCTTATTTACACATCCAATTCGCACTTGCTGGCTGCCTAGATATGTAGAGCTGGCCCTATGAAAGGGGGTGTGGACCAAGATCAATGAATACCTAAGTAGGACGTAGGATATATACCACCTGAATGTAAATGTGATAGACAGACATGCTTTCTTGAGTGGTGGAAATGGACCAGGTTTCTCTCCTATTGATATATTAAGACCTAGAGGGTACAAATATGATCTGTCATTCCCATATGGGGCCATATACGCATGGGCAGACGACGAAAAAAAGAAGGATACTACACATATCGAGATAAAAGTTAGTATTTTAATATTCGAGATTTTCTGATATAAGGCATCAAAATGATCTGCTGGCGTAGTGGTTAGCGCATCCGTCTTACACACGGAAGATCGCAGGTTCGAACCCTGCGCAGATCATCTTTTTTTGCATTGTCTTTTTATTCAATTCTTTTTTACAGCTTCAATTATTGCCAATCATACCTATGCATTTGCGATGATTAAGTACAGCGCTAAAATTATGATTGTATATGCGTCGATCCCTTTGTTCTCCCCCCCGAAGACATCATGAACTGGGATTGTAGTACAGACGAACCAAACATCAATGACAATTACATGCTGGCTTCGTTTTCACTGGTCACTGGCGGGCCCCACAACCTTAGCGCGGGTCTTGCCAGTTGCTTGACAAAGACAGGATCGGTTTTCGAGAATGTCAATTCACCCCTTATTCCAGGGTCATTATCATGGCCTATTTTCATCATTGAAAAATTTAAACGGTATCACTGCTTGAGAGGCAGTTCAGAGAAGTAGCCATATAGCACAGTTCATTTGTAATCATGCATTGGTTGAGTCTCTCGACCGAGAGTTGAAATCGGTAATAAACGCACTACTATTGGCACCATGCGGAATGCGGTGAGTAGCATAGCTAGAAAGCGCACATTTGACAAAATCATGTTTCTTCCGGGTATAGAACATCAAAATTATATAGATCATGCCATCTAGATATTTCGGTATTGCTATACAGCCAATGATGATTAAATGCCATGTCTATCGGGATCTGAATGTATAGAGCACTGTACTCTAGTCTTTCCATGAAGAACCTGCGTGGGCAAATGCCGACGCTGACGTGCTCGCCCTGGGTCACGAGTCCCCCGCACTATCGCCCAAAGAGGCAAGTTTGCATATCTTAAAGTATGAGTTTGCATTGATGTCGTGATCGTGCACCAATCAGCATGCTGCTGATCTAACCCCGATGGCGGAGAACTGACTGGTTGCCGCGAAGAAAACCGAGCCCTGGGACTTTTTTTTCCTTTTATATTTGTTGGATAGATCCAGTGAACGAGGGGAATCAATTGTGTCATTCCTTCTGTCTCGTTTCTGTACTTCCTAGGTGGATCTGCAAGGGAGATCGCTGCATGCGCCGATAAGCCAAGATCGCGAGCGATTTTCCCATCCCACCTTCTGCTGTGCCACAGCAATTACCAGCCATGGCGTCTATTCAAAATGCTGGCGAAGCCGGTATGTTCGGACATAAACTTCCATCATTCAATTCCTTGTTCAATTACTAATCTGGATGGTTCTCTTCATTAGTGGCGAGAATCGCCTACCTGGCTAGTGACGTTGTTCTCTCTGTGCAGCCTTCCCTGCAGACGGACTCGTTGTTCTCCAAGTCCCTCAAGACCTTGAAATCCCAGAAGACTGCTAGCTTGCTGTCAAGGGGTACCCCTGAGGTTAGTGTCTATCGTCTAGAACATAGTAATGACAAGGACACCCAATTAATCTGTCAACAGGTGCAAGCTGTGCGTTTCAATGAAGACCCTCTTCTTTCCGCTTTCTACCCTCTGCAGAAAGGCGAGACGGTCTCAGTTGTGACTGGTTCCTCCATTCTGATCACCTCCGTTCCTCACCTGTACCGCCTTGCCAGCTACCCAGTCGTCATCCATGTCGCTCTCGAATCCTCCCCATCTCCAGATTACTCCGTCATTAGCTCTATTCGGCAATGCGGGTTCACATTCCTCCACTCCGAGACTGTGCAGGAGGCTCAGGATATTGCTCTTACAGCACATGCATTGGCTCAGAAGTCCGGAAAGGGTGTGATCCACTTCTTCGACCCGGCCAACTCCGCCAAGGACACCGCTATTGCTGTTGAGGATAACGAGGTCGTTAAGAAGATTCTTAACCTTGGTGGAAATTTTGCTTCCCACAGCACCTCGGGAGCCGAGACCCTTTATGCCGACTCCGGTCGTGTGGCTACTGTTTCCGCCGAGACAGTGGAAATTGCTCCCGCCCAGGGGGATGCTTCGGCCAGTTTGCCTGCCGTGTCCCAGACCCAGACTCCTTTGAATGCGAGCGTTGCAACCTCCTCCGTTGGCTCATCACGACGTGAAAGTAGCGCAGGAAGCGAAGCACCCAGCTCAACCGCTACTACTGTGGAGACCGCTAGCGTTCGCCCGGTCAACGCTGCGGATATCTTTGAGTGGACTGCTCAGATTTGGAATGCCCTCTCCAAGGAAGTGGGTCGCACTTACCACGCCATTGAATACACTGGATCTTTGGAGGCAAAGTCCGCCATTTTTGCCTTTGGCTCCACCGGTGTCTTCGCGGATGCTCTCGCCAATGCTGGTGGTAACAGCGATCTTGAGAACATTGGTCTCATCACTGCTCGCGTCTACCGCCCATGGGTTGGTGCCCAGATAGTGAACTCGATTCCCACCTCCGTCGAAAAGATTGCTGTTCTGGAGCAGGTTCGCAAGACTACTAAGTGGGGACCATCATTCATGGATCTTCTTTCCAGCCTGACTCCCTCTACTTTGAAGATCGTTGGATACCGTCTTGGATTTGTGGAACCTTCCACCGCCGTACAGGCCCTGCGTGGAATTGTTCAGAACCTCAACGCTCCCTCTCCCATCCAGAACTTGGATATTGGAAGCACCAAGGCCCCCGCGCCCGAGCCTGCTCTTGAGCAGCCTCGCATTGAAAATGCCTACCTCAAGATTCTCAACCAACTCTTCGGAGAGCGTCTCTACATTGCGAACCAGATTGATTCTAAGAATGCCGGTATCTCATCTACCATTGCAGCCAGCCCCGAATACGGATTTGGATCCCTGATCGCGCGCAAGGAGCACCGCACTCGATTCATCAAGGAGGTTGAGGAAGCATCCAAGTCTACCACCTTCGCCACTGAGACCCCTAAGACCTGGCTGTCTCGCTGGGCTCTGAGCGCCAGCGATAGTGCCAAGGCCAACAAGATCGCCCCGGACGTTATTTCCCGCCTTTCTAACGATGGCTCTCAGCTGTCTCGCCAGCTTCTGCAGTCTAAGAAGCTCTTCTACGATGAGTCTCAATGGCTCATTGGTTCCGATGCCTGGGCCTACGATCTTGGAAACTCTGGTGTCCACCACGTTCTCGCCTCTGGTGCCAATGTCAACATGCTGATCATCGACTCGCAACCCTATACCGAGCGTTCTGCTGCTGACCCCACCCGCCGCAAGAAGGATATCGGTCTCTACGCCATGAACTTTGGCAATGCCTACGTCGCTTCCACTGCCGTGTACAGCTCGTACACACAGGTTCTCCAGGCCATGGCCGAGGCTGAGCAGTTCAAGGGTCCTTCGGTCGTCGTTGCCTACCTTCCCTACAACCAGGAGAATGACTCTGCCCTCACTGTTCTTCAAGAGACTAAGAAGGCCGTTGAGCTTGGATACTGGCCTCTTTACCGCTGGAACCCCGACAATGAGGAGAACAGATTCTCCCTGGACTCGGAGCGCATCAAGCGTGAGCTGGAGGAGTTCCTTCGCCGGGACAACCAGCTCACTCAGCTCATGAACAGCAAGCCTAAGTACTCGTCTGTCCTTTCTGAGTCTTACGGTGCCGAGGTCCGGGCTCTGCAGAAGCGCAAGGCCAAGGACTCCTACGAGAAGCTACTGGATGGCCTCTTTGGTGCTCCTCTGACCATCCTTTTTGCTTCTGATGGTGGTAACGCCCAGAACATTGCCAAGCGTCTTGGTAACCGTGGTCGTGCTCGTGGTCTGAAGACTATGGTCATGGCTATGGATGAGTACCCCATTGAGGATCTCGCCACAGAGGAGAACGTTGTGTTCATTTCTAGCACTGCTGGTCAGGGTGAATTCCCCGTCAATGGTCGCAGTCTGTGGGAGCACGTCAAGAACTCAGGTGATCTTGATTTGTCTTCCATCAACTACTCCATTTTCGGTCTTGGTGACAGCCACTACTGGCCGCGCAAGGAGGACCGCATTTACTACAACAAGCCTGCCAAGGACCTTGATGCCCGTGTTGCTTTCCTGGGTGGTCGCAAGCTCACTGACATTGGTCTTGGTGATGACCAAGATCCGGATGCTTACCAGACTGGCTACTCCGAGTGGGAGCCTCGCCTGTGGCAAGCCCTGGGTGTTGACAAGGTTGAGGGTCTGCCCGAGGAACCCGCTCCTTTGACCAACGAGGACATGAAGATCCAGTCGAACTACCTGCGTGGTACTATCGCTGAGGGTCTCCTGGATCAGACCACCGGTGCTATCTCTGCCAGTGATCAGCAGCTCACCAAGTTCCACGGTACCTATATGCAGGATGACCGTGATGTTCGTGAGGAGCGCAAGGCCCAGGGTCTTGAGCCCGCTTACAGCTTCATGATTCGTTGCCGTCTCCCTGGTGGTGTTGCCACTCCCAAGCAGTGGCTGCAGATGGATGCCATCAGTAGTTCGCATGGTAACGAGACCATGAAGCTCACCACCAGACAGACCTTCCAGTTCCACGGAGTCATCAAGAGCAAGCTTCGCGGTGCTATGCGGGCCATTAACCAGTCCCTGATGGATACCATTGCTGCTTGCGGTGATGTGAACCGAAACGTCATGTGCAGTTCTCTTCCTGAGCTCTCTGAGTTCCACCGTGAGACCTGGGTCTGGTCCAAGAAGATCAGTGAACACCTTCTCCCCTCCACCACTGCTTACCACGAGATTTGGCTCAAGGATGAGGCCGACAACAAGATCCAGGTTGCTGGAGATGCTGTCGTTGACCACGAGCCCCTCTACGGTCCCACTTACTTGCCCCGCAAGTTCAAGATCACTATTGCCATTCCTCCCCACAATGACACTGATGTGTATGCTCACGATATTGGTTTGATTGCCATCAAGGGTGCTGACGGACACCTCGAGGGTTTCAACGTCTTGGCTGGTGGTGGTATGGGTTCCACCCACAACAACACCAAGACTTACCCCCAGATCGGTCGTATGTTCGGTTACATCCCCAAGGACCAGATCCACATTGCCTGTGAGAAGATCATGCTCGTGCAGCGTGACAATGGTGACCGCAAGAACCGCAAGCACGCCCGTATGAAGTACACCATTGACGACTTGGGTGTCGAGGTCTTCAAGGGTATGGTTGAGGACCTGATGCCTGAGGGCCTGCGCTTCGGCGAGCCCCGTGAATTCAAGTTCGCCTCGAACGTCGATACCTTCGGCTGGTTGAAAGACGAGAAGGGCTTGAACCACTTCACCTTCTTCATCGAGAACGGTCGTATTGAGGACACTGCTGACTTCAAGATGCGCACTGGTCTTCATGCCATCGCTTCTCTCGGCAAGGGCGAATTCCGCCTCACTGGTAACCAGCACTTGATCATGTCTAACATCACTGATGAGGATCTGCCCCTCATCAAGGAGACCATGGCCAAGTACAAGCTCGACAACACCGCTTTCTCTGGATTGCGTCTGTCTTCCTCGGCCTGTGTCGCCTTCCCCACTTGCGGTCTGGCTATGGCTGAGTCCGAGCGTTATCTGCCCGTCCTCATCTCCAAGCTTGAGGATACTCTTGAGAAGAACGGCCTGGCACGGGATAGCATTGTCATGCGTATGACTGGTTGCCCCAACGGTTGTGCTCGCCCATGGCTTGCTGAGGTCGCCTTCGTTGGTAAGGCCTATGGCGCCTACAACATGTACCTGGGTGGTGGCTACCACGGCCAGCGTCTGAACAAGCGCTACCGCTCCTCCATTAAGGAGGACGAGATCCTCGAGATCATGAAGGATCTCCTCTCTCGCTACTCTAAGGAGCGCAACACCGACGGCGAGATCCCAGAGCGTTTCGGTGACTGGTGTATCCGCGCCGGTGTCATCAAGGCGACCACCGATGGACAAAACTTCCACGAGGGCGTAAGTTGAAACCGTCTCTACTCCCCATTTCATTTATCATATCTAACATTGTATACAGGTCGCCGAAGATGAGGAAGAGGAGTAAATACTGGAGCTTTCAGTATTAAGATCCGACGTGTTATGACTGCCATTAGAACCCCAAAATGTCTTTTTTTTTTGTTGCAATAATTTCGTGTCTATATCCTTGTTTATATCTAGATGCATTGTTTCTTGGCGAACGAACGTTCCGCTCGTGCAAAAACTCTGGTTGTTTTTGGTTTTACATATCTCTCTCATGTATCCAAGGATGCCATGTGCAAATGAACACTCAATACCGAATATTCCTTTTTTTGTTCGTATACACAAGTCTGCTGGGAATCTATTGTCAGTCTAATTCATCTTCAATCAATAGATTTAATTTTGACATCCAGCCTGCTCCGAATCCTATCGACTTATAGGGTGGGACATTCACGTGATCTGTAAGAAGAGGACAATGTGGGCGGTGAGTGAAGCTTCGTATTTTCTGCCATGACCGCCCCGCTTATCAAATCGATAAACCCGTTAAGAGAAAAAAAGTGACCGCAACACTTCCGAAGAGGCATGTCACTCAGAGGTTTATGACATTGACTGAGCTCTCACCTGTACCTATATCTCACTTCAGCCCTGTTGCTCACATCATCCTGCCACAATGGCTTCCCTCGAAGACGACCCGGTCGTTTCTTCATACGATGTCTACCTTACCGACTCCGAGATCTCTCGCTACGTCTTTCAGTACATTGATCGCCCCCAGAATAAACCTTACAATGAGCGAAAGGGCCAGAAACCAATTGAGCTTCGAATGAAACCCAACACAGGTCTTGTCGAGATCGATGTCCCAATCAACACTCGCGTCACCTACGATATGGAGAAGGGCCTTAAATATGGTGAGGCCATGAAGAAGAGCCGCTCTGCCCGCGATGGGGGTTCCTTCGGTATGTCTGGTGGCTTCAGTGGTGGAAGCATGGCTACAGCAGGAGTTTCCAGAGTCAAAAACGAAGGAGCCGATATTGAAGTGTTTGATAAGAAGAAGAAGGTGGACGGGAGTTCGGTGGTCATGACACAAGCCCTTGGCGGACGGATAAAGCCTCCAGAGGAGGGAGATCCTGTCCATATGCTGGGTACCTTCAAAGGAAGTATGTGCATTCTTCCCCTCCGGATTATTTGACTATGATGAGGCAAAATTCTAATGAGTATACCCAGAAAACCTGCACCTTTCACCTGTCACCGCAGTTGTCCAATTACACCCACAGCTCCACCACATAGATGCTTTGGATGAATTGCCCAAGGCAAGGGGAGCCAAGGGTAAGAAAGATGAAGAAGAGCGCGCGGAGCCCGAAGCCCGTGCGATCGACGTGAAAGTCAAGGGCGCAGAAGATGGTGGTGCCATGCTTGTTGGCAATTTGGATCTTCTCAAGAGAATGCAAGAAGAAAAATGGAAGACCCTGGACTGGGTGGATGCAGAGGTATGTCTCCGGCTCGACGGCTACCCCTTCAGATTTGGTAGTGGGACCATAACTAACCCAACGGAATTGTAGACTGAGGAGTCTTGGTACACCTATGAAAACTACATGATGAACCAGAACCCAGAGGAATTGCCTCAACTCGAAGCGGTTATCAACAGCGAGGCTTATCTAGATGGCATGAGTGCGCCCCGGATTGACCCTGCGCATCCCGAGATGACCGGGTGGGCTATGAAGCAAAACCGACAAAAACAAAAGGAGGGCTCCTCTTTAAGCGATGATGAGGAAAGTTGAGCTTTGGAGTCATGCGAGAAACGTATATTCCACTAGACAATCTAATAATGAAGATGGTTATCTTAACCCATGAAACAATTTTTCGTGTCCTTTGCATTTGTCAATTATGGTACTCAGCGATGCTACATATATAAAAAAAACAATCCTAAACCTTCCATTATTGAAATCAATTAATAAAGTGACTGCCCTATAGGTAGTAATAACTCACGTTGTCAAATACCCGATCGAGTTTCTAATTTGCCACTTAGATCGATCCGCCAATCAGCACCAGCAGAAACCAGGAACGGTCACGTGCAGTCACGCGTTCGCAATCTGATCCGCGACTTTTTTTCTCTCCCGGAAGTCCGTAGGTCTGCACGATCATCCCCTTTTCCCCATCAACCCATTTCTTTCTTTCTTATCCCTTTATTTGCTTGGGCTGAGGGCTGCGGGACGGCATTCAAAGGAATATAGAAAGCCATTTTCATAAGCGGGTAGCTATTAGTTAACCCATCGCTTCTCTGTTGTCCCTTTTTGCGCCTCTTCAGCCGATTGACTCTTTGCAACCCGTTCATTCCATTACACCTTTACATCTTATTTTAATGCCTCTCCTCTTTCGACCTACCTATCGTTGATTTAATCTTTCGTCTTTAAGCGACTATTTTTGCATCATGTTGTCTCGAGTGGCTCGGCAGAAAAATGCCATTCTCCATCTGCGCAAGGCCAATGCCTATCGGGCATTAGGGACACCTCCAACGCTGCGCCTACACTCTAGCTCGGCTCGACCGATCTCAGTCGGGAGTTTGCCACATACAACAGCAGAAAAACGGAGGCCCTCTCTTCAATCGCATCGCAATCTCGCTACCGCCGCCGACCCCTCTGTCCTCAACCATGCATCCTATATGTCCATCGAGGACACATTACCCCAATCCTTGGATCATTCCAATGCCCAAGAAACGTCATTCAACCCCCACGAACCCTTTGACTTCTCATCTTTGATCGTCGTGAATGAAGTACCTCAGACCCACCTGAAAACCTTTCGCAAAATCCGAGGTATTGGTGGTGATACGGATGAGATGATGGCCAATTTCGATATGTCACTCAAGGTCGGCCGGTTCGATCGGGCTGCGGCTCTGATCAGCCGTCTGAGCTCCGTTCATGCGCCCGATTCTCCTGAATTCCTGGCTTTGCACAATCGGTACCTGAAGGATATGGTTGCGCATATGATCATGTCTCGACAAAATGACATGATCTGGCCGGTGCAAAAATGGTTTGAGGTTGATATGCCAGCTGGAGGTGTGCAGCCTGACGCTACCACTTTCGCAGCCATGATTCGCATGGCACTGCGTATGCTTCACGGCTCCAAGCGAGATAGAACGGTTCGTCGATACTGGGAACTTGCCAAAAATGTGGACCTTCATGAAGAGCTCTTGGCTGTTGAAGTTCTAACCGACTTGGATTTGGGTGAATTGTCCGAGGTTCGTATTTGCTGCCATCTGTGATTCCCTACAATGTTATGAATTCATCTGACTTGCGTGCTCTTAGATATGCTCCTCCGATCTGGGTCATGCCAAATTCGATCTCCAAGAACTCGAGACCTCTTCCAACCTCGATTTGACACCTGAAAACCTCGACCAAGTTGCGGAAGTGCTGTCTAGTGAGCAGAAGGGTCTTGGCCTGTCATCCCTTAAGGAATCGCTTGCCTTGTTTGCGGACAAATATCACATTTCATTGCCCGCCGACTTCCAAGGCAGTGAGGAACAAAAGAAAGACTTGCTCCAACAACTTAAGCAACGGCAAGTTGAGACCGATACCATAAAGTCAGCCCACGATCGCTGGCAAGTTGAGTTCGAACAAATGACTCGCGTTGGAGTGGACGTTGCGTCTTCGAAGAAGAAGATCAAGAATTTCATGAGCCAATGGCATATGGATCTTGTGGCCAAAATTAATGATGAGAAGAGGCTTGCTGCCGAAGAAGAAGGGAAGCCTATCCGAACAGCCGAGCAAAAAGCTCGTTGCGAGTACGCGGTGTTTCTCGACTGCCTCGACGCCGATCGCCTAGCTGCAATCACCATGCTTGCGGCGATTGGCACATTCACTCGCGTGGGAATGGACATGGGAATCAAAGTCTCATCTATCGCGTCGACAGTTGGCCGAGATGTTCAGGATGAGTTAATTGCCATTGCATGTCTCAAGAAGGCTGAATCTCAGGGCACTCAACGCGTCAAAATGTTAAAACAACTTCTCAGCAACCGCAAACACAATGACGGACGCCCAGCGTGGAAGCACCTGTCCGAGACCGCGCAAAAGGATAATGCTGATTTGGCCTGGAGCACCCGGGTTCAAGTCAGAATTGGTGCAGTGCTGACAAGCTTCCTATTTGACGTTGCCAAGGTTCCAGTTTTCACCAAGAACGAGGAAACTGGTGAAAATCTGACGACCATTCAACCAGCCTTCCAGCATGCTTATCAGATTTCGTTTGGTAAACGCCTGGGTCTCCTTAACTTGCATCCAGAAATCGTCAAAATTATTAAAGCGGAGCCCCCGGCTGATGTGATTGGTCGCCATCTTCCTATGGTCTGTGAACCGAGACCTTGGACGGGACCAAAAGATGGAGGCTATTTGATCTACCAAAGCAATATTGTCCGCACAACCCCGGGCGAGGGCTTACAGCCTCTTTACATTAAAGCTGCTTTGAAGAATGATGGCCTCAAGGAAATCCGACGTGGTCTTGACGTTCTTGGCGGCACCGGCTGGGTAATCAACCGAGATGTGTTTGACGTTATGCTCGAAGCCTGGAACACTGGCGAGGTGGTCGCAAACTTATCACCGCTTGAGCCAAATCTCGAGGCTCCACCAAAACCGGATCCAAAGGCTGGAGTTGCAGCAGAGAAAGAGTGGCAAAACAAAATGCGTGATATGGAGAACCAACGGTCTTCCTTCCACTCACAGCGATGCTTCCAGAACTTCCAGATGGAAGTTGCGCGAGCTTTCCGTAAAGAGACCTTTTACCTCCCTCACAACATGGACTTCCGTGGCAGAGCCTATCCGCTCCCCCCTATCTCAATCAGATGGGAGCTGACAATGCCCGAGGCCTGCTTCTTTTTAGTAAAGCAAAGCCATTAGGTGTCAGTGGTATGCGCTGGTTGAAAATCCATTTGGCAGGTCTGGCTGGGTTTGACAAAGCCAGCATGGCCGAGCGTGAGCAATTCGCCAATGACAACCTTGACAATATCCTCGACTCGGCCGATAATGGCCTCCACGGAAAGCGATGGTGGCTGAAGGCCGAAGACCCATGGCAATGCTTGGCAGCTTGCTGCGAACTTCGTAACGCTCTTCGTCATCCCAACCCGCTCGAATATCCATCCCGTCTGCCAATTCACCAGGATGGTTCATGTAATGGTTTGCAACACTATGCCGCACTTGGTGGTGACAAGATTGGCGCTCAGCAGGTCAATCTGGAGCCTTCCGATAGGCCATCTGATGTTTACACTGGTGTCTCGGAATATGTGAAGAAATCTGTGGCGGAGGACGCTGCTCGCGGTCACCAATTGGCCGCTGTTCTCGACGGGAAGATCACTCGAAAGATTGTCAAGCAGACAGTAATGACTAATGTTTATGGTGTGACTTTCATGGGTGCGATGAGGCAAGTACGCAAGCAGCTCGTTGATCACTATCCGGAGATGAGCCTCGAAGAAAAGAAGCAAGGTTCTCTATACATTGCACGCAAAATCTTCCAGGCTCTGTCAACTATGTTCAATGGAGCTTCCGATATCCAGCACTGGCTAGGTGATTGTGCGAGTCGCATTACCCAGTCTGTGTCCCCTGAGTGTATCGAAGAACTTGCAAAGGAAGCATTGTTGCCCGATCCTGAGTCTTCTGATTCATATAACACCAAGACTGTTGATCCAACCAGGAAGTTCCGGTCAACTGTCATTTGGACCACACCGCTTGGCCTTCCTGTTGTTCAACCTTACCGTACCCGAAAGGCGCGGCGTATCTCGACCACCCTGCAGGACCTTAGCGTTGTTGACTACAATGCTGAAGACGTGGTCTCTAGACGCAAGCAGCTCCAAGCTTTCCCCCCGAACTTCATTCACTCTCTTGATGCGACTCACATGATGCTGTCCGCCAATGCTTGTGACCGGGCTGGCCTCACCTTCTCTGCCGTCCACGATTCCTTCTGGTCCCACGCCAGCGACGTCGACAGCATGAATCGCATTCTTCGAGACGCCTTCGTTCACATGCATTCAGATGACGTTATCGGGCGACTGTATGCGGAGTTCAACGTCCGGTATGGCAAGAACCTTTTCTTGGCCAAGGTTGAGAAAAGCAGCCCAATCGGAAAGGCCATTACCAAGCACCGCAGGGGAACCCAAGTTAAAAATCAGAGATTCCTGGAGCTTATTGCTGAAAACCAGCGACAAATCCTCTTGCGGTCAGACGACCCCGAGGACCAGGCGCAGGGTCGTGCCATGAAGACAACAGCCAGCATCTTTGAGTCAATGGGCGGTACCGATGATGACCTGATTATTATGAACAGTATGGGAGCAACAGACATCGGCAAAATTCCGGACGATCTGGCGACCGCTGAGCGGCGAGCCGACTCGAACCTTGATCTTAACGACCCGGCCATCGGAAGTCTGTTCAATGATTTCGACCTCCGCGATAAAGTGACCTCTAATGAGATCACCGACTTCGATGAATCCACCGAAGACCAGGCTCCCAAGAAGAAGGCGGCCACCAGCAGTGTGTGGCTGTGGTTGCCCCTTCGTTTCCGCAATGTCCCTGCCAAGGGCGACTGGGATATTACCCGCATTCGGGAGAGTGAATACTTCTTCTCCTGAACAAAAATCATTCGATCTGTATGGAGTTCTGGGGACGCATGTGATTGGCGTTGTATAATATTTTGGATTCTTTGTTCTATATCGGTTCCACCGATTGTATATTTACTGCCATATATGGCTACCTCTGCATATATTCATGTACTACATGTTCTACCTTATAAATGATAAATACCCATTTCCCCGAAGAAAATAAATATTTTCCCTTATGCATACCGTAGAGCAGCAAAGTCAAAGGAAAAGATTGGCGCACTCAGCTTAGCCTAAATACATAGCTATGACCTCCAGGGCTTGGGATACGATCATTAATTCATGGCTTTACGTAAAGGACCTGTGGTCGCCGAGACATTTGTTGTCACTGTATGGGCGGATTAGGCGTCGGACTAACGATGCTGAAATTTCAAGAAAAGGTCCATTCAATCAGACGTAGATGGCGAGAAGTCACGAAAAGTGATTTGATATACTTCGTTTCCTGAAGATCATGTCGAGTGGTGGACAAACCAAGGTAAAAGTATCCTTCGCACCTTCGTCATACTTTTCATGACTTCCTCCAGGAGCAAACTCGAGATCAAACTCGCTCGCAATGCGCTGCAAAGTGAGACGCAGCTGCACCATTGCCAGCTGCTTGCCGACACAACCGTAATGACCTTGATATGGTTAGCATTGTATGTTGCAGGGGAATAACGCTTGTGTTTTCCCTACCCAAGCTGAACGGGAAAAATGCGCGGTCATCTTTGTGCATCTCCCTGCCCTCTTCCACCCATCTCTCGGGCAGGAATTCCAAGGCTCGTTCAAAGTTGCGCTCGTCTCGGTGAACCACGTGTTGTGGAACGATAACAATGATGTTTCCTGGAATGAAAACTTCGTCGATGGTCAGACCTTCCGGTGGGGTGATTCTTCCCATTCCACCAGGAACAGGTGGTTTGAGGCGGAGGGTTTCGTTGATGATGGCATCGATGTAAGGAATTTGAGACGCATCGCCTCCATTTGAGATCACCTCATCTACCTCTTTTTGGAGTCTTTGGTATACCTTGGGATTTGATGTAAGGTAGTATACGATATTAGCCAATGTCGCTCCGGTTGTATCACTGCAAGAGTTAGCAGTGAAATGAATCCATGTAAGGAAACGAACCGCCCACCTTCCAGCAACAATGGCTAGCCTTCCGTCATCGTACAATGCTGTATCAGTTGGTGGGGCCGATGGGTCACGATCGTCCATCCCCTGGACTAGCCAAGAAACGATGTCAATTGGTCTTTCTTTCGTGTTTTGATGCCATTCCTATCTTTGATTAGAAACATCTACTGTCTTTCCAGATCATGCACACTCACCGCTCTTCTTTCATTCATCTGGGATGCGCAATAATCCGTGAAACGATCGAGTGGTGTCTTCATGCCGGGAATGCAGCCCAAAACATACATAATCCACGGTATAGGGGTAACCAAAGCGGTCATGTCCATTTGTGCATGCATGGCCGCGATGGCATAGTGCTCTGCAGAGTTGTCTAGTTGCTTATAGTCTTTGCTGAACGCAATCAACCCCATAATGTCAAATGCGTAAAACAACGACCACTGAGTGATATCGATGCTTTTACCATCATGCTCATTAAGCCTTTTCATGAAGAGATCTGTTTTGCTTAGAAATCGAGGTATATAGTCTGCCACAGCTAGAAAAATTTAAAATGTTAGTATTCTACAAGACTCGGGGACTCAAGGCACAGCTTTACCTTTCATTCCTAATCCCTTCTCCCAGAGCTTACGACGTTTGCGGTGGATATCATGGTCTCGAATACTTATGAGACTGACAACATCTGTATTCGCATTGAGGATGCTATAAAACGGACTTTTTGAACATGGGGATTGTGGGCCGTGTAGCGCGAGTCCAGCGGAGGCCCTATTAATGGATATATGACGAGGGCCTAGGACGGATCAATAATTACCAATGAAGAATTGATACAAGGCGATACATACCGACTCGGACAAAGTCGCCATATTGATGATGCATTTTTTCCAACTCCTGGTGATACTTCATACCAGACTTTTGAACGGCGAAAATGACTGGGAAACGGCTTATCTTTGCCCAAAGAGGACCGGGAAACCGTCGCACGCGATGGAATAACAAGCGATATACTACCATGTTAACACCAAATGCTGCTAGAAATGAAGCGCCCGCGAAAAAAGCTTTGAGCATTGCAATATGAACGGCCATATCGAAAGCCTTCGTAAATGCCGTGACTAGCCATATCCAGACTAATGCGTACAGACCGAGGAAAAAGTGGATTTTAGTGTCAATTTCGAAAGGAATAATGCTGATATGGAATAAAACTCCCAGTGAGGAAAAGGTGATTGCGATATGTGCTGGGTCTGGGACCCAGCTTGATAAGATGGACGCCATGTCCAGTTGACTGATGGGACTAGAAAAGCATTGTCTGTACTCCTAACATAGAGAGATTCTTGATGTGCTCCCACAAGGCATTTAAATGGCTTTAGCTCTGGCGGTCTGAGCGACGTTCCCCTCTTGCTAGCTGGTCTCACATGAGTAATCGTGCAAGGAGATGGCCGGATAATAGATGCTGCAATACGTATGGTACTTTTTTCTCCAGCCGATGCGTTGCTACGTAAAGCAAAGTGGGGGGCCTTATGCATGTACATAAGACCCAGAACTTGGCAAGGGAGCATTGATTGTCATCCTGATTGGACACATCAAACCAATTTCAGAGCTTCCTAGCCAATGGATTTGATGGGTTTTGCTGCTGTGTGACCCCATTTTGTCTGTGCGGACTTGTTTCGTACCGTAGGCCGATACCTTTCTTGTTAAGGGGGTATATCCGACGCCAAGCGCTGCCTCCCTAATAAAATGGAAGCAATGTGTCATTCCAAGGTTCTTGTTGTCGTAAATCGCTGGTGAATAATTGGCTCTCCCGTCTGCGGTGAAAGAGTGTACAGCATGGAGTGGAAGTAATCGCGGGTCCAATTCTTCCTGACTGGTGGGCGAAATGGGAGTCGAAAGAAGAGGGGGTTCACGAGTTTATTTGGGCTCAAAGAGAGACGGGAGGCGCCATTGCTCCTGCGAGAAAAGTTCTGCAGGGACTTGCAACATATGCAGGAGCGTCGCGACTAGTATGATTCAGTCGAAGTGAAAAAGGGTGGTTTCACGGCCCTACTAGGCTTGAGTCTATGCTCATCTACAGGTCCGAACTTCGAGCCACAGCTCCAAAGAGACTCGCGTCGGAATGGGTGATGCGTTGGGGTTCGTCCAGCTGTGAGGTTCGAAATAAGGGATCGGAGTCATGACTACCTGTGACCATGGCATGTTTTCTGAACTAATGAGTCTCATGGTCATTATCGATAAATTAAGTTTTTGTTTCTTCTTCTTCTTCTTTTCAAATCTCGACTTATGCCCAGGTGTGTTATATTAATCCAATAAACCAAGTCCTCTACATTCGATTCACTGTGCGCTGATATAGAATAGTTTCATTGTTCTCATGCATCCCTCATCCACTGATGTCTCAGATAGAAGGGCGTGGAGGCGGATATAGGCACTCAGTAGGTAGTTTATACTTTGATAAAGTCAATACCTCTGGCTAGCCAACACCCAATCTTGAATCCGATGATAGCACCACTTTCATCACGGTGGAAAACTACCGTCCAGTCACCTGGGGCCGGAGCATCCAATCCTCGGGGGTTGCGAAGCGCCCACACATCATCACCAAGGTATTTCATGGCAGTTGCGGTTCCCTGGCCAAGATATCCATCAAATGATCCGTATAACATTCCTGCTTCGCCCACACAGTGGAACACGGATTTGACCTCCTCGCACTCATAATCACCGGGGATCAAGTTGTCTTTGAAGCTAGTATCGTTCGGAACAAGTCGTCGAGCGACGAGCTTTCTGTTCTCCGAGATGCGATGCATGTGCAAAATATCTCCATCTATACTGGCAGATATGCTGGGATTCTTACCATGAATGGCGTCGGTCAATTTGATGGTTTCTGGGCTACCCTCGTAGGCAATAACGAGCTCTCCTGTGATCGACCCCTTGGTCACGGTGATAGACAACTGAGTTTCCTGGTCAAGGAAGCTGCCAATCCAAGCGGGGCTTGGCTCCAAGGGGGCGTACACGGGTTTGGGCTTATTGAAGATGGCACGCATGATGTCTTCGACGGCGGCGTCGGCTGCTGCGTCGTGGTTAAACATAACTACAACAGATAGACGCTCGTGCAACGCATGACGGCGGTGAATTCGGTAGCCACGCAGCGCACCACCATGACCCAAGGTAACGACGCCGTCAAGGCTGATACGACTCATTCCATAGTGATAATCAGCAGGAGTGCCATCATGATAGGTGGTTCCTTGTGCGACTTTATGGTACCAACTTCCCGAGTCGGCGAACAGGCCATGTAGATGCTTCTCCCAAGCGATCATATCAATGAGTGATGCAGTTAGTCCAGCATCACCAGACCACTCCATCCGATTCAAAGCTGGCACGAATCCCGTGTCTTCTGTTCCTTCGTAGCCGAGACACGGAGGTGGAAGTTTGGCATTGTCCGGACAGAGGAACGCAGTCTTCATCCCAGCTGGTCCAAGGATCCGCTCTGCAAGCAGCTTCCCAAGAGACTCCCCAGTCACACGCTCAATGACTCGGGCGACGAAATAAAAGTTGACATTGCAATAAGAGAACTCGGTGCCGGGCTTAAAATGAAACGACTTGGTACGATCCACCATTGGCGGACAGTCCCGTTCTACCAGGAACTCATCCTCTGGCTTGGTGCCCCAAAGTGTAGTCATTGCCCAGTAGTCACGTAGACCAGACTGCATATCGCACAAGTTGTCCAGAGTCAACCCTGTATCTTGTGTCAACTCCGGCAGAACCAATTCCCGAAACTTCTCCGTAAACTGGGCCTTGATGTCTCCCTTGGCAAGCATTGCAGATGTCGGGTTGCGCTGAAGGTCAATCAAAAGAGCGCAGACAAATTGCTTCGTGATGGAACAAATCGGCATTCGAATTTGAGGCGTCAGAGGGATGCGCTGGTCAACATCGGCATAACCCCAGACGCGCTGCCCGATCAGTTCGCCATCCTTGAGAACCGCGGCTACACCACCAGGTCCGCGATATCGGAGCGGGATAGTATCAAGGATTTGTTGAACAGTCTGCTTGTCGGCCATCTTTGCTATTCAGTGATGTGAAGGGATGGATCTTTAGCTTATCGCTTACTCCGCTTTTTATCGTCAGTGCGGGCACCAGATCGGGTTACAGTGGTTCCACTGCGTCTTTGGCATATTGTTCACTATTGACTATTTCACAGATTGAGAGAGGAATAATTAATAGACCTGCCTATAATGTCAATAATGGAATGAACCTCAAAGGCTAAAGTGAGGATATGGCAGACATGTAATGATCCCAGTTCCCCATGGAATTTAGGCTAAATACATATCACCCGGGATAATGGATAGAGCCATAGGCCACGCTATTAACCTTGGAACATTGAACTAGTGCTTTAGTTTCAAAGAGCTTGCAGCCTTAGTACTTCCAAGTGGTAGTCTAAGGCTGTCTCAATCTTCGGCCCAGGACACAGAGAAGGTGCATATTTACTAGCTAGAAAAGGACATGGCACCGGGTTTCGAGAGAGTAAGGGCTAACAATTTATCACACCTTGAGCGCCAAGACGTTAAACGATGGACACCTCAGATGGAAGAGGCACTTCGAGTCATCACTATTAACCAGTCATGTCCCGCAGGTCAATTCTTAATCTTTCAAGTGCGCTTGCAGCTGCTGAAGCAGAAGACGAGACACGGAACAGCCCCGACTGCCTCAGTGCCTCCCTTGTTCTATATCAAAATTTTACGAAGGCAGCTAGATGAGCTAAGGTCTTCATCTCCCCCAAACCTTCTCTAGCTAGTATGTCATTTTTTCGACTGATAAGCTGGCAGTCAGTTGAGAACATCAGGTTGTGGCTAGACAATATTTACCGAATTCATTGCTTGAAAGTCGTCGGCCAACCCTTTCAAATTCGGACTCAGATGGCTTTATCACACTTTGGAAAGATATATAAACACTTAAAGACCCAGAATGAGATTTTCAAGCGGTGTGGAACACACTTCACTTTGTATTGACGGTGGACTGTATGCTTCAGAAGCTCAATGTGAGTAGCAAAAAGCCGGAACTTCAGTGCGACGACCACTTCCTGGCATATCCATGCAAGCTTCTAACCCGATGTCGGGTGTGGGCTGAAGATCGGTGGAACACGACTTCTCAGACACAAGGCTTTGGGGGTCAGTCGGAGTACGAATCCTGATACAAGCTACCAGCGTCATATTCCTGGTAGAGATCAGATGGTGTCGATACGGTCGATAGATTTGGGAGATGACTACTGTAGTGGTATGAAAATGCCCTGAGTATGCCCACGGTATTCGACTAATTTGCTTTCAAAATATATGCACAACGCCCATCGGATTTACCCCACACTGGGCATGCAGCCACACGCCTCCACCTCCCAAGGCCTCGGAGTTGTTCCCTACATATAATCAATAGAAATGACCGAAAATTAGAAGGAAGGCCAGGATTTGCCGATGTCACCGTTTGTTGAACCTCGTTGTTCACCCTCCGAATTTATTGCCGCCACCTGGGCACCGAATAGGGTCAGGGACATGCTAGACGATACCCAAGTGGCAAGTTAATTAAGCCAAGAGCCATAGGGCAGGCTTGCCACTAGACGATTTAAAAACCTTGGAGCGGAGACCGTTGATCTATACCCCAATATTTGCACCACAGACCTCCGAAGAACTCCTTTAGAGAGAAAAAAGCGACGGTCAGCACTAAACCGGAAGGGAAAATGCAGGATGTTCCTGCTGATCATGAAGATCGGCAAGCAGGAACATACATAATTAGCTGAACTGCATGGCCCAGCTCTTGAATTCGGGATACTTTCAGAAATAATTTACTGAATAGCTTGATAAGTCTAAGATTCAAGGTCACTGACACAAATCATGGGTCTTATTTGGCCTCGGCTGTTTTAGGCGACAAGGGTCCAGATGCAAAGTTTAATTAATCTCAGTCAGTTTGCCCCTTCCCCGGTCCTACAAGTCGTATAGGCCGCTTAACTTTGGTATAAATATATGGCTTAAACGTGATTTATTGTCTGTATTCTTGTATCATAACTTCCCACGCTTAGACTGGTCTGATGCATGGCCGACAAGTAACCGTATAGTTCGGGCGCGATCCCGCGTTTCGGTAAAATATTCCGGGATTCGCGAATGGCAAGCCCTGCATGATCATCCTGCAATTCCGCCTGATTAACCGACGGGGTAAAAGGAAGTTAAAAGAAAAGCTGCATAGAATATGAATGGTCGTTCCACCTGGACGCCGTTGGCTCCGTCACCACGTGCCTTCCCCGCCTCCCCAGATTTTCCTTCCCCCTCTTCGTTTGCGCAACTTCGGCTCCCGTAATTATCTCCTCTACAGGGCCCGGTACCTTTCCACTGACTTTTCGGCACTTGAACCCGGAGAGAAAGGTCTCCACTGTCAGGGCAATGTCTCTCGAGTCCTGACGTTCTTTAGCTCTTCCGTTGTTTCGAATTTCTTGGCGCACTGGGATCTGGGATCTCGTTTTGACCAGCTTGATGTCGCTGAAAGTCTAGTCCTCATAGAGAAGCATGTCGACAACCTCCCTCCAATCGTTTGCCGATCTCTATTCCCCCTTCTCATCCCGATCGCAACCCGCTCGAATGTCTCAGTCACAAACCCCCGGATTGGATACACTCGCCGAAGGATCACAGTATGCGCTAGAGCAGCTGCAGCTGGCGCGACAAGCTGGCCCATCGGCCAATTCCTCAATCGATCCTGACCGCGGCCATCTCGATGCCGACTCGACCCAATCGCCACCTCCGTCCTATCGCGAACATAATGGCTCTCAGTCTGGTGGGAAGGTTTCTGTGCAGCAGCGAGACATGCTAGCCGAAGCTCGGTCGGCAATTCGCAAGGGTTCATCTTCGACGCCGGTACGCCGGCGAATAAGTCGCGCGTGCGACCAATGCAACCAGCTTCGCACCAAATGCGACGGACAGCAACCCTGTTCACATTGCATCGGTAATTTTCCTTCCTTTCTGGACGTACGAGTCTGGTGGTCCATTACTGATCATTCCTAGAATTTGGTCTAAGTTGCGAGTATGCACGAGAACGCAAGAAACGTGGAAAGGCCTCCAAAAAAGACCTTGCAGTGGCCGCCGCGAACGGTGAAAAAATCATCCCAGATGGCGCAGCCGGACAAGAGAACTCGCCACCTTCCCAGTCACCCCACGATCATAATGGCTCTTATAATCCGACTTTCAATGTTCCGGCTGCGCGCACACTGCCGGAGTCAGCGCAATCACATTTGCGCAATGCTAGCATCACAGGGATGGACAGGATGCAGCAGAACCCACACACTCAACCGCTACATCAGGAGCCTTTAGGGACAAATATTGATGGCATGTCCTTAAATTATGGGAATGTGACCGAATCAAATCGCCCTCCGATGTCCGTGTCAGATCTTCGCTCATTGCAGATGATGCAACACTCCAACGGAAACCCTCGATCACCATCTGCAATGCTACACCAAGGATTTGGATCAGGCTACAATGACGGTTCATATCCGGTGATGAACAATCATGAGGCCAATCCGTCGATCAACCAATTTCGCATGGGTGCTTCTACAGAAAACCCGTCCGCTGCATTTTTGGGGTTCACTCCGCCAGCACAGTCTCCAAGCTGGCTTCCTCTCCCGTCACCATCTCCCGCCAACTTTCCGTCTTTCAGCATCGCTCCATTTTCTGGCTCACTAAGATACCCCGTTTTACAGCCCGTTCTTCCCCATATTGCCTCCATAATTCCCCAATCTCTCGCATGCGATCTTTTGGATGTTTACTTTACAAGCTCATCGTCATCGCATCTTTCGCCATTGTCGCCATACGTTGTTGGCTTTGTTTTCCGCAAGCAGTCTTTCCTCCATCCAACAAAACCAAGAGTCTGTAGCCCGGGCCTTCTGGCCAGCATGCTCTGGGTGGCAGCACAAACAAGTGAGGCTGCCTTCTTAACTTCTCCTCCGTCAGCTCGAGGGCGTGTCTGTCAAAAGTTGCTCGAATTGTCAGTTGGCTTGCTCCGGCCGCTGATCCACGGGCCTGCCACGGGAGAAGCATCTCCAAATTATGCGGCGAACATGGTCATAAATGGCGTGGCTCTCGGAGGATTTGGCGTTTCCATGGACCAGTTGGGTGCGCAGAGCAGCGCGACGTGCGCTGTGGACGACGTTGCTACTTATGTGCATCTGGCCACCGTCGTTTCGGCCAGCGAGTACAAAGCAGCCAGCATGCGCTGGTGGACTGCTGCTTGGTCTCTTGCGCGGGAGCTCAAACTTGGTCGAGAATTGCCACCAAACGCTGCTTCCCGCCAAGACGGAGACTTGGAGGGGGAAGAACTGGACATCAATGGCAACAAAAGGCAGTCAGCATCGCTTCTTAACTCTTTGGGCCATGGGCCTGGAAGCTCTGCGGTGAATCTTACAGAGGAAGAGCGCGAGGAGCGTCGGCGCATCTGGTGGTTGCTATATGTGATGGATCGACATCTGTCGCTTTGCTATAATCGTCCCCTGACTCTGCTGGACAAGGAGTGTGAAGGCTTACTACAACCCATGAACGATGATCTCTGGCAGGCGGGTGATTTCTCGGCTGCCAGCTACCGACGAGCGGGTCCGGCTTTCGAGTGCACTAGTCATAGCATGTTTGGTTACTTTCTACCCCTGATGAGCATCCTTGGTGAGATTGTGGATTTGCATCATGCTCGAAACCACCCCCGATTTGGACTTCATTTCCGCAATAGTGGAGAATGGGAGAGCCAAGCCTTGGAGATCACCCGCCAATTGGATGTGTATGCTCAGAGCCTCAAGGAGTTTGAGGCTCGGTATACCAGCCCAATTGGTTTGGGGGCCGGAGACAACGATATCGCTATGGAAGGAGGGCATCCGAATCATGTTAGCCCATCTGGTCGCTCTAGTAGCACAGTGGGATCATTCAACGAGTCTGTTGTGCACACGAAAATGGTTGTCGCCTATGGCACCCACATTATGCATGTTCTTCACATCCTAGTGGCGGACAAGTGGGATCCAATCAATCTTCTCGATGACAATGACCTTTGGATCTCCTCTGACTCGTTCATCTCCACCATGGGCCATGCCGTTAGTGCCGCTGAGGCAGCCTCCGATATCTTGGAATACGACCCAGACTTGAGCTTTATGCCATTCTTCTTTGGCATATATCTTTTGCAGGGCAGTTTCCTTCTACTTTTGACCGCAGATAAGCTGGCTGGAGACGCTAGTCCCAGTGTTGTCAAAGCCTGTGAGACCATCGTGCGCGCACACGAAGCATGCGTTGTTACTTTGAATACGGAGTATCAGGTGCGTCTTATTTAGGTCTATTGAACCCCCTATGTGCTTGTGCTAATTCGTATCTACAGAGAACCTTCCGCAAGGTAATGCGCTCAGCTCTTGCCCAGGTCCGCGGTCGAGTCCCCGAGGACTCTGGTGAGCAGCAACAACGGAGACGTGAAGTATTAGCACTATATCGATGGAGTGGAGACGGCAGTGGTCTTGCTCTTTGAACCTTGAATCAACTCATCAACCTGTTGACATTGGTCATTGTCTCATTAACTGGTTCCGTGCTCTTGATTTCAACTCGATTTATTAGCCACGTGCGCCACTGGCAGTTGATATTCTTTGAAGACTGAGTATTGGACTGGGAAAAGAAATGAGGCGAATTATTGTCTTCTGGTTCGTGTACATTATTGTTATTCGTTAAGCATTGGACATACCCCGGGCGTACCGGAAAGCAGCCTCTTGTCCATATTGGATTTGGCAGATATGAAATACCCCTTTTGTTTTGAGATACTTGAATGTCTATATCTATTTCTGTTATAAGGTGGAATTCTCGAGTATTGGTCTAAATCTATTCTGAAAGGGAATGTCATCCCCACTTACGATTGTTCTGACATTGTCAAGCCCCACTTAAGCTCCCGCGATCCAGATCTCCCAAACAAAATCCCGAGTTTCTCATCTCCAACCTCCCCACACCATGAAGATCATTTACGCTATCCCCGTTGTTGGGGCTCTTGTTTACCGCGCCTGGTCAAAAAAGTCATTGACTCCAGTTGGCCTTGTCTTCGCGGGCTTGTCGGCTGGTGCTCACGCTTTGCACCCATGGTACACACCGTTTGCACTGCTCGCGGTGTTTTATTTCGGGGGCACAAAGGCGACGAAGGTATGTTATGAAGGAAGACAGGAGTAATTTCCAGGCTCAAAATTGAATGCTGACAAGATCTCCCTTTTCCTCATCAGGTTAAACACGACATCAAAGCTCGTCTGACACTCTCCGCGACCGGTACTGATGGCGGCGAAGGCCCACGAAACCATATCCAAGTGCTGGCCAACTCGGTCGTCGCTACTGTCCTGAGTGTCGCACACATATACGTCCTGTCTAAGAATACCTCTACCGAGTCCTGCTTTTCTTTTGGAAACAATGCAGCGGATATCCTGATGGTCGGAATTGTCGCGTAAGTGAACCCCACTGTGGAATTGTATTAGTATCCCCAGCTCACAATGCACCAGAAACTACGCCGCCGTTGCAGCCGATACTTTCTCTTCCGAACTGGGCATCCTCTCCAAATCCAAACCTCGTCTGATAACCTCGCTCAACTTGCGGGAAGTGCCGCCAGGCACCAACGGCGGCGTGACAGCCACCGGGTTGGGGGCTGGTCTACTGGGTTCTTTCACCGTCGCCCTGACCTCGGCCATTTCCCTTCCATTCTGCTCAGAGCGATCGGGACTTCAGGATCGTGCACTGTGGGTCGTTGCAATGTCATGCTGGGGTCTACTGGGTAGTGTGCTGGACAGTGTGCTCGGTGGACTGCTACAGGCCAGTGTGGTGGACAAGCGAAGTGGCAAGATCGTGGAAGGGGATGGCGGTAGAAAGGTCCTCGTTCACCCTGGTTCGATGCAACCGATCAGCACCTCGGCGGTTCCGTCTGGGGAGTCGACTGGTAGCTCCCAGCTCAAGGGGTTAGAAAGCGCTGCGAACACGGCTACCCTGCGTGGTACACGTGCGACGGGTACGTCCGTGGGCACGCAGCCTGGCCATGAAGTGAGTCACGAGAGCCGACGTGTGGAGAGCGGACATGATTGGTTGGATAATAATGGGGTGAACGTCCTTATGGCACTGCTGATGAGTGTGGGTGCCATGGGCATTGCCCAGTGGACTTGGAACGTTGATCTGCAGGAGTTGCTTGTTTAGATACGATTTCTGGAAGCTAATGTGAAGATTGGAGATCTACTGCATGGACATATTGTGAAATTGTGGAATTGTGGAATATTGGATCAATGCCTCCCCGGTGGTTCTCATGCATGTCAGAGAGAGATCGGGGATTTACATAATCTGCCAAGACCAGCGGAGGCGAGACTCATTCTCTTCCCTTTCTAGAATCACCGTCCGGACTCATCGATGGCCTTTCGCTGACCCCACGTGGGGTCGACCCGCACGCTCATAGGAAGCCATGGTCCCAGCGCCCCCGAACATGCCAAGACCCACACCAAGCGGGACGAAGTATAAAACCCGAGGATATATAGCACCGCCAAGGCCCCGCCAAGGTCGCCAATGTTGCTTTTCAACCATCGCCTATGAGAAAGGCTCTCCCTTCATCTTGGCTGCAATCTCATTGCGTGATTTTGTACCATTAACCAAGACGCGACCAACGCCGAGAAACAGCCACCATGGTCTGACTTCGACTAGATGCCTGCCAAGTCGAACTGGAAACGAGAGCTGCAGCGCGTACTGCGAGTCGACAGCCCACGTGTGTCTGGTTTCGATAGAAATGGGCCATTGGGGGCGAAGTTTTAATCATGAGAGCTGGTTTATTTCGAGCATGAGTTCTTGGTGGCAAGCGATGGGGCGTAACGTCGTATTCTAATGATCTCTGTATATAAAAGACCTCTGGACGCACCCTGCTTCTTTTTATTCGTACCAATCAACCGTTGCTCTAAAAGATATTCCGGCCTTTGCTGCCCTTTCCAGCCAAGATGTATCTTCATCAGTATGACTATATCTTCGCCATCGGCACGCTGTTTGCCATGTTGGATGCCTACAACAATGGTGCTAGTAAGTATACATCATACTCCCATCTCCCCAAGTCTAACAATACTAACCCCTTCAAGACGATGTCGCCAACTCGTGGGCAACCAGTGTCTCCTCGAGATCCATCTCGTACCGACAAGCAATGGTCCTCGGTACCATCTTCGAGTTCCTAGGTGCGGTCACTGTCGGATCCCGGACAGCAGATACCATCAAGAACGGTATCATCCCTCTTGCCGCCTTCGACAACAACGCCGGTGTCCAGATGATGGCCTTCACCTGTGCCTTGGCCGCCGCCTCATCTTGGGTGATGTGGTGTACCCGACACTCCGCTCACGTCTCCTCAACCTACTCTTTGATCTCGGCTGTGGCTGGTGTTGGTGTCGCAACTGCTGGAGCCTCTCAGGTTCAGTGGGGATGGAACAACGGCAAGGGATTGGGTGCTATCTTTGCGGGATTGGGAATGGCTCCTGTCATCTCAGGCTGCTTCGCAGCTATCATCTTCATGCTTATCAAGGTGGTTGTGCACATGCGTCGCAACCCTGTCCCATGGGCTGTCTACAGTGCACCCCTTTGGTTCCTTGTCGCTGCTACCATCTGTACCCTGTCTATCGTCTACAAGGGTTCTCCCAACCTTGGCCTGAGCAAGAAGCCCGCCGGCTGGATCGCCGGTGTGACTCTGGGTACTGGTGGTGCTGTCTGCCTTCTTTCGGCCTTGTTCTTCGTTCCCTATGTGCACGCTAAGGTCATCAAGAAGGATCACTCCGTTAAGTGGTGGATGGTCATCATGGGTCCTCTTCTCCTTAACCGTCCTACCCCCACCGATGCCGAGGAGGCGAAGGTTCCCAACTACGCCGTTGTCCAGGATGAGTACGACGATGAGGCCTCGACCCACGAGGCTGGCTCTATTGATAAGGATGCTCAGACTTCTACCCTCCCCGCTGAGGACCGCGAGAAGAACATCATGCAGGTTGAGGCTCACCAGCCTAGCTACCAGGAGGTCATGGCTGCCTCCGAGGCTCGTCACCGCAACAAGCTTCTCCAGAGCCGCGGTCCTCTCGGCTGGGCTATGCGCTTCCTCCGTGATAACCCCATGGGACCTGGTGAGCTTTACGAGCTGCGCAACATCTGGATGCTCCTCAAGCGTATTCCTCCCACCATCGTCTGCGGTCTTCTGTACGGTGCTCACTACGATATCCACTCTGCCCAGAGTGGTATTGCCGGTACACCTGAGGGTGAGCGTATGAAGCGTGTCTACGCTGCTGCTGAGAAGTACCCCAACGAAGTCGAGCACACCTACTCCTTCGTTCAGGTTCTTACTGCCTGCACTGCCTCCTTCGCTCACGGTGCCAACGATATTGGTAACTCCGTCGGTCCCTGGGCTGCCATTTACTCTGCCTGGTCCACCGGTGATGCCGCCGCTTCCAAATCTCCCGTCCCTGTCTGGCAGCTTGCTGTTCTGGCTCTGTGTATCTCCGTCGGTCTGGTTACTTACGGTTACAACATCATGAAGGGTAAGCACATTCAATTCTGCCTCCTACTGAATATATACTAACCTGCCTTTTAGTCATGGGTAACAAGATTACCTACCACTCCCCCAGCCGTGGTTCCTCTATGGAGATGGGTGCCGCTATCACCGTCCTTGTCTTCTCCCAGTACTCCCTTCCCGTCTCGACCTCGATGTGCATCACTGGTGCTACTGTCGGTGTTGGTCTGTGCAATGGTTCCTTCAAGGCTGTCAACTTCCAGCGTGTTGGTCTTTTGCTGCTTGCTTGGATCATGACAATTCCTATTGCTGGTACCCTGGGTGGTTGTCTTATGGGCCTGTTCCTCAATGCCCCACACTTTTAGGTTTTGGCAGATGAAAACTACACTCGTTACGACGAGGAACCAGTTCCTTGGTTAAATTGGCCAAAGCTGTAATTATAATTTTATAGAGTCAAGAATGGATTGTGGTATTATTAAGTTCAAATGTGGTATCTATCATTTTGCTTCAAGTAATGTACATGGTGTGTTAGCACTGGGAGTTGATCAACTGATAGACAAGGCCTAGGCCTTGGAAATTTTAAAAGAAAAAAATTCTCGGACTCGCTTGGCGGCAAGCCGAAGACCAAACCTTGCATGGAAAAAGGTAATTTACAAGGTTCAACTCGCCGTTAGATGAGAAGTCGGTCAACCGGAAGGGAGAAGGATGGAAGTTGAGTCTACGCTTGAGCGATAACCCCGGAAAGATAGGAATTTGATTACATTTCCAACTCGTTAAATGAGTTTCAAAAGTCTTTCTCAGCCAGATCATTACAGTTTCACCTGTTACAGCAATGTTCATAGCTTCTCCTAGTTCATAATGGTTCTCATTCTAAACTTCAATCTTGCAAGTTGGTATTCCCTTTTGACACATATATTCATTGACTGGAAAATATGGACAACAAACAGCTCTCAATTACTGCTGCAGCGTCAACACGCCAGGTCGGTAAGGCAAGTAATTGTAGTCTTCGCTGTCGTTCGGGTCACGTCCCTGGTAGAGGAACTGCAGGTTGCACACATCAATAGTCATTGTTTGATCAGGGTTTGTGCGAACCAAATCACCGTGGCTGATGTCGTCGGTCCAGGTAGCGCCACTGTTGGCCTTTCCAGCGAAGGGATGACTCTCCGTACCCGCCTGCACTGTCCAGGTACCATCCAGACTGTCAGCCGTGAACGAACGGAAATACCTCCCATTCGACCCGATCGCCTCGACAATCATTAGGTATTTATCCTGACCCTGAACAGTGTACACCTGGACAGCCTCGAACAAGTTGCCAGTCGTATCGCTCAGGATGATCTCTGATGAAGTACCGAAATCACCCGGGAAATCGTCAATAGACATACTGGCCCGGTAAATATTGCCATTATCGCCCGCGAAGAAGAGATACATGTTATCATCGTCGCCGATAACTGTTTGGTCGATGACACCAGTATCGGAGTCGGAGATGGTTCCAGAAAAAAGTGCTTGCTCTGATGACCATCCATTGGCGTTAGTTGGGTCACTTGATGTTCTGTAGGAGAAGCCAGTTGATCCCCACTGGTATGCCAGAATCCAGATGTCTTTTGGCGCAAAATAGAAGAGGGTTGGCGCAACAGTTGAGTCTGTCATTGCGGTCTGGCTGGCTGAGGCCATGTCAGACCAGTCTGAAAAGAGGCCAAAGTTCATAGAGCCATAATTCCCGTCGGAGGTAACGATTGATCCATAGACGAGATGTTGATCATTGTAGACAACATTGGTGAAATCCTTCAGCGATACCCACCCTGAGCTGGGCTCGGCTAGTGCATCGGTTGATGTCCAAGAGTAGGTGGACGGAAGATCGCAGTCTGCAGTAACACCTGGCAGAGAGACAAGCAATAAAGTGCTAGCTGACACAAGGCCAGTACTAATCGAAAGCTTCATTGTAGTTCTTTGAGCTTGCGATGACAGGTCAAAGTGAAATTTTCGACTGTTCAGATATGTGAGATAGGATTCTGGTGCGGAGATTCACCCGGCTTTTATAGCCATGTGGAATTAGCCCTGAGGAATGATTGACTACACAAGAAACGAGACATTTGTTTGGAATTCAGGCTAGAATGCAGGATGCATTGACCGGTAAATGACTTTACTACCTGTCAAAATCTATTTTGCCGACAAAGTTGCGGGGACGCCATCTTCAGGGACATGACCTAAGACAAAGTGGCTGAACCTAAAACTAGATAACTGCCTGAATACCGCTCTTGATCAGCGCTTCTATTATATGTGATACTCTTCATGTGGGGTACTATTGACGCCTCAAACAGGAAGTTCCCCGGCGGGCTTGAACCTGACCAATAACATGATGATATGCCAAGGAGCTTTTTAAGTGAACACCACACAGAATTAGTCAAACACTCTTGCTAACCGCATTAACAATAGCGCAGTATTCATGTATCAGGGAGTAGATTCAGGGACTAATATTATTGAGTACTTACACTGGTATCTACTTGCTCACGCTACTCTATAGACTACGCTGGAATTTCGACGTGATTTTAGAGTGATACCCACTGAGCCACCTTTTCTTACCTATACCAGGCTCTAATGAAGCGTTTGACTGGTATATTGACGTGAACTAAGCGAGGTAATGCGATGTTCTTCGATGATTGACACAACATCTTTTCTGAATTACAATTACTGCGCTACTTCAAATGCGGTTACGGAGGGTGTTCAACTAGATTTGTGGTGTTCAATTATGGCGCTCCTATGCCAATGGTGGCTGCATCTTGGCTTCCCTAGCCCCCACCGCATAGATGCATCTAACTTTTGTCAGGAAGTCTCAAATGTATTGCTTGCCAATTCTTGCAACTTATCTTTGACGGGCCATCTGTTCATGTAACAGTAGAAGAACAAAATAGAGTGGTCTGAACATCATCCAGCCACTATGGGAAACCCCTCAAACCACTAAGGTGCTTGGCGCCAAGCTTAAGGTATACCGGTTCTTACCATCTGCTTAGTGAGCAGGACCATTACCGAAAGCATGAGGTAGCGACTGCGTAAAACAACCTTGGGACGGTGCCGCATGAATTCTTCTTCCTTTTAATTCTCTTTACTATCCCAAATTAGTCCTCTTCCACAACGGAGTCTTTTCTCTATTTCTTGATCAAACTTGCCTCGTCACAATGCGCAGTATCTAGAGATGATACCGAATATAGTAAGGAAAGAGTACGACATATTCCTTTAATAAGACATATTCAATATGTATGAGCAAGTGTGGCCGAGTGGTCTAAGGCGCTAGATTTAGGTTGTTAACCTCTCTAGTCTTCACGGGCGTGAGTTCGAATCTCACCGCTTGCAATCCTTTTTTATTTTTTCCCTTTCCATATCTATGCTTATGTGATCGAGGGTGCCTGTGAAATTGTCAATGATGTATAGCAAGTGTGGCCGAGTGGTCTAAGGCGCTAGATTTAGGTTGCTAACCTCTCTAGTCTTCACGGGCGTGAGTTCGAATCTCACCGCTTGCAATATCTTTTATTTGTTTTTTGCCCTCACTATATTCGATCTATGCTCATGTGATCCGGTGTGTCTGTGCAACTAAACTAGGTGTTATCTCTCTTCACGAATTTCTAACGAAATTCAACTTCCTGTTTTCTATTTTACCTTATATATATCCCTAGCACCTAAGCCAAAACTTCGAACATCCACTAAGCCCGTATAATTGGGGTTTGCGAAGTCGCTAAGCTCCAGGCAGCTAGTTTTACTAGGTATCGCGCGCCAACATGGAGCCCTATTCGCTTGCGACAGCATGCTGTCCACGTGCACCACTTCGTAGCATGTAGACTTGTCGATCTGGCATGAACTGAGAGCTTGTGTTGACTTGTTATGATAGAAGAACGTGACTGGAATGTGATTCATGGATTAGCAGGAACCTTGGAAACACAATAATTGGCTTTGCAGTGTTCGGGCAATAGTTGACGTCTGGAACCTTCAGCTGTTGCCCATGAACCTCTTTGACCATCGCAGCCGCAGCCTAAAGATTTCCCGCAGAATCATTTTGTCTCCCGAAGATGCCCATATGAATATCCCATATCAGAATGTGGAGCCTACAGCAATGTGGAGCCTACAGCAATGTTTCATCGAAGGATGAATGCCTGGCATTTGATAATAAAGGTGGATATATATCTGGGAGCTCTGTACCTTAGACCGACCCTGTTACTAAGGTCAACCCCGTTACGGTATGCATAAAAAGCTCTTTTGAGCGACCTTACTAGTCGACTCACCATAGTAGTAGATATTGAGACTGGAGATGGCATGCAGGCACAAATGAGTACATATGCATTATAAGACACGCACTAAGGGTAATTCTGCTATATGCCTTTTGAATACCATATTCTTGAATTTCTCTGGACTGAAAATTCAATGGCATTCATGGATCTGTAATGGCTAGAATATGTACAATATAGTAAATCCTATCGAATAAATTCTTGGAGATCGTTGCTTGATGAGAAGATGGGCAAAGATTCCATATACTCCGACCTTGAATGCCAATCAATCTGAACAAGGCCATTCTAGACGAACGTAGAGCTTAGATTACTTCGGGGTGGGTTCACAGGCTTGAACATCTTTCATGGTACAACCTCTGCCGATCTGATATAATGTAAAGCGCTCTTGAACTTTTGTAACGCACGAAGCGAAATTCGCACCCTTCCCCTAATATTACTCTGTGCGATTCACTTCTTGTTCGAGGTCACAGTATGCAAAAAGGGCAAAAAGAAATGACCAGACTGGGGCTCGATCCCAGGACCTTATCGGTGTTAACGATACGTGATAACCAACTACACCATCCGGCCAATTGATGAAAGAAGGTGGAGATTGTTCCGTTATGAACCGTGGTCAGATTTTCCATGGAGTGGGGACAGGGCAGAGCGTGCACGTGACCACATACAAGGGTTTCCGTCTAGTATTCCTGGCGATGTATAAGCATCACAGCAATGATATCCAGTTTCTCTCATTGGATGACCTTTCAAGCTCTTTAATATTGATAACTAAGGCGAAAATGCTTGTCAAGCCTCACGTAAGAGGTAAATTTTGAAAATTTGTCCTGCCGCATGTGATGTATATATATCTCTGCGTACAACGATTGAAACATTTGATGCTATATTTGAAAAGGCCTCGAAAATTATTCTCAGAAATTATAGCACACGGCCTGTAGAAAGAGGAATTATTGATTCGAAATTTGAAATAATATGGTTCTTCATTGGGCTAGATCACTGGCTGATTCAAATGCCCATCAATAGAATGCGGCCACCTGGGCAGGGAATGTGCCGCGCATTCCGCGTTAATTTATTCAAAACTGATTAGTTCAAGAGTAAAAATGCACAGAGTCATATTATCACTATCAGTACGTGCTGTAGCGGGTGACGTGGAGGCGCATGCAGTTGTTTCCCAAGTTCTCAGATTCATACTATACGACGCACTAACAGCTGATACCCCTCATCCTGCACTAAGTGCTGCATTATGCCCATGGAATAACTCACCCCACAGCTGTCATGTACGAAGCGCATTAGACTCCATCAGTTGACAGGGAATAATTTCGTTACGCATACCAACAGTCCTAGTATTGCTGGAAAACCATAATAATCAACTAACACTGGAATAGTGTCTTGTAAAACCACCCATTTGCCTGGTATGCTCAATCCGATGACATTTACGCTATCCCGTATCCTCCAAAGTAGCTTGAGGAGCCAGCCTGTCATTTATGAGAAAATCATATACCGATATGATTCGTGGAAATGAGAGACCTAGACAGCGCCTTACTAGACCGTATTTATAGAACCGCGCGGGGTTCCCGTAGCGAAGCACTAACAGGGTTACGTGCAGGCTGCACAATATGCTTGCAGATAATGGAGCTCTACACGAGAGCCTACCAATAGAAACCCTGTAGCTCCACGGAAATTTTAATGAAAGGAACACAATACCATGAATTACGATGGCGTAGTCAACGAGGGCTAGGTGGGGATTACTTGAAACTTCACGACCCGACCCAGCGGTATTCTAATCCGAAAGTCGAGATTGGTAGGAAATTTCAGACCATTGAAATAGCTTGTTCTACCTACATTACCCAAAGTACGTCGGAACCAGGACACCAAAGAAAAAATTCAGTCTTGCTAAGTTAAGGATTCAAGTCTATTATTCACGATGAGCCTAATCAATACTGCTCTTCACATCTACACTTTAATCACTCCAGCCACAATCGGTGCTATAGCTGTCACATATGCTACAGTAATCATAGCTTACAGGCTCTACTTGCACCCTTTAAGCAAGTTTCCGGGCCCTAAGATCGCGGCTGTGAGTCGATGGTATGAATTCTACTATGATGTTGTCCGTGGTGGAGCCTTTGCGGGACATTTACCAGAGCTTCATCGAAAATATGGTATTTTGAGCGGGTTATCCATGCAGATCTTTGGTAGCTAAAAGGCTTGAAGGACCAATTGTGCGTACTGCGCCAAACCATGTTCATGTCGACGATCCCGAATTTTTCAAGGAGTAAGAATCAACCCCGAATAGCAAGTAAAAGTTTAGCTAACTGAAGAAAGGGTCTTCAAATCGCAGACGGATTTTTTGAAAGACCCGTCGTTCTATCAAAATGTGGGAATCTCCGAGTCTTTATTGTCGATCCTTAACCCGCACAAACATCGCGTGCGGAGGAATATCATCAGTCCTCTCTTTTCGACGCAGTCCATGAACAAAATTATGCCTCTACTGCAGGATAATGTGGAAAGAGCTGCCAGTATACTCCAAAAGCGGTACAAGGAAGGGAAATGCACGGATATTCAAAATCTATACCGATGCATCACGGTAGGCAATAATGTGCCCCATTCAAAGCATGAGGAAGCCGATTCTCATTATCTTACTAGGTTGATGTGATTTCTATGTCTTTATTTGGGAGTACTGAAGATCTTATCGGCCAGCATGAGAATGATATCTACCCATCTATCTTGGCCACTCTTGACATCTTCTCCAAGAACTTATGGCTCCTGAAGCATATCCCAATCCTCGCAAAAATTGCCCTCAACTTACCTGAGAAGTACTCCGAGATACTAGCTCCAGGCTACCAAGGGTTCCGAAACGTAAGTTTCGCGATTCACATATGTGTTTATCTGATCTAACCCTCGTTCATTTTAGCACTGTCAGAATTGGATTAATATGGTCAAGGCCCGCCGTGAAAAGGGTATACTTCAAACAGAGGATGGTAGAATTACTGTCTTTGATTTGCTTCTTGAGCCAAATGATGAAAAGAGCTACCAGGTACCCGATATGACTGGCCTGGTAGACGAGGCATTCTTGTTTGTCATCGCTGGCGCTGATTCCACCGCTTACACCACGGCCTGCGCGACCTATTACATCCTGACTCACGAAGACATCTTGTCAAAACTCAAGACCGAGCTCAGCGGGATTCCTCGCCATGACAACGGCCGTCTGGATTGCAAGAATATTCAATCGCTCCCATACTTGGTAGGAGTTCCGACCCCCTTGCGTTTATTGGGTTAACAAAATCGGGCAGACCTGCGTTGTTAAAGAAAGCCTACGCGTGGCTTCCGCCATCCCAGGGTTATTGCCCAGGGTTGTCCCTCCGCAGGGAGTTACAGTCCAGGGAAAGTATATTCCGGGAGGTGTAAGTGCTGTTCTGGATTGATGATATTCCAATGGTTTGCTGATCCTATATAGTCTATCGTCTCTAGCGCTATACGCACCGTCAGTGATAATGCTGAGCTGTTTCCTGAGCCACAGAAATTCAAGCCTGAGCGATGGCTGGGCGACGAGGGCAGAGAACTTGAACGCTGGAATGTTGCGTTTTCCAAAGGTCCGCGTGCATGTATCGGGATTAAGTAAGTAAAATCATCATTCCAAATCTGCGTGAGACACCATTGAGGGTGCTAAAATAAATACTCGGTTATAGTCTTGCTTACATGGAGATATACATCATCTTGGCGACTTTCTTCGCGGATTTTGACATGTCGCTTCATGGGACTGATGCGAAGAGTATGGAGTGGCGAGATTACGGAGTAGCGAAGAATAAGTCCAACGTCACGGTCAATGCCAGACCGTTATGGTTGTAGAGGTCAGAGATTCATTATAAGAGTGTGCGCCCAGGTGCTGGCATTTATGATGCGTGTTCTCGCTCGGCCTGACTCAAAGCTGACTCCTTTTTTCTGATGACTATCTCGGAAAGTTTTATAGGCTAGGTTGATGATCAAATTGATATATCTGTGGGGAGTCATAAGCCTTTTCTTTATAAAAAAAAAGGAAACCTCAATTTTGCGTCTCTTTATCATATTAGAAATGGGTATAGTGGAGACGATCGCTGCTTTTGTGGGCCCTTTTCAGGCTTTGCGCGCGGGGTTCGGTGCGACATCTAGGGGTCGGACTTGGTCCGTTTTTCCATCCGAAAAGAAGATTCACTTCTTGATACCAGACGAGACATAAGCTGATCTTGAAAGAAGAACGGCGCCATGGATCTCAGTAGTTCACTTTTTTCATCCTTCTCCGGAAACGCCTTTTCCTATCTCAGCTTCTTTGGTTTGAACCAACAACAGGCCAGTCTGGATGTTATTACAAACATAATACCAAGCGATAATGACTTTCTGAACAATGTTCCACTGGCATTTATGGATGTATCCATCGCTTTTTTGAAAGACAATCTTGCCGTTATCCCCGGTGAATGGCAAGTTGGTGGCATCAGTAAGTTCCTTTTTCTTTTTTGAGAGGACTTCGAATTAAATAATTCCAGAAACCCCATTTTATGACATTCAGTCAGACCAGTCTTCCCTTCAAGATATATTAGCGCAAGTGAAGTCGAAAGACTTTATTGCGTGGGACTCTTCTTTTTTCAACATCATTGGGCAGCAGGCAAAGCTCGAGAAAATTCAGTCATTTGAGGGAGAGCCTCCGCACGTCCATGAGGCGCCTGCCTTTGTCCCGGAAACAAATGAGCTTTTCTATGCCGATACAAGTGTCACGGGATGGCTATGGGCAATCAATGTGGATACCCATGAGGTAATTTTGTCAATCCTGTCACTTGAAATATCACAATGCTGACTTTGTCAACAAAGACACGCAAGGTTGAGACAACGCCACCGCTGGCAAATGTCAATGGAGCGAGATACCACAAGGGCCATATCTATCTGACTACAAACGGAGGACCAGCTCGAGGCATCTATGCTCTCCACCCCCTTAATGGCACTGCGACACCAATTGTGAACAACTTCCGTGGCCGACACTTCAACAGCCCCAACGATCTGGTTTTTGACTCCAACTCGAATATTTGGTTCACAGACCCACCATATGGATGGTATCAGGGCTTCCCAGATGTCCAGGTCCCTGAGCTACCAAACGGAATTTATTTCTTCAACACAAAAACAAAAGCGCTAGTGGCAGTCTCCAATTCGGTCGTTACGACACCGAATGGACTTGCATTCTCAAACGACGGATCCACACTCTATGTTGCCGACTCGAACTCCACTGCAGGTAGACCATTAGGATTTCATCCTGCTAGCTTACGAAATGTCTGGGCCTTCGATGTGACAGGCTCAATCCTTAGCAATGCGCGACTCGTCCACCAGACGGAGAGTGGATGGCCGGATGGGTTACAGGTCACCCAGGATGGATATGTCCTTGTTGCAGTACTGGGTGGAGTGGACGTCATAGATCCTTACTCTGGAGTCTTGCTGGGCAAGATCAACACCCCGGATGACATTATCTTCAATCTTGAGCGCGGGCCTCAACAAGGAAACCAGCAGATGTGGTTGCTGACCGGGCAAAATTATATTTACAAGCTCATGATGAACTTGAGTGAGCGCTAATTTATGAGCTCTTTAAATTGTGATCATAAGGTATTTTGGGTACATTCCAAGTATGTCAATTATTCAATAGCTGTCTTGTCCCCTTCTTTCACCGGTAGTGTTGGAGCCACAGGTGTATCAGCACATTCGACTTGAACAATCTGTTTAACAAATTCGCCATCAATAATCGTAATTACAAGCGCGCTCAACTTATTGCCGTATAGACACCCTGAATCCAAGCCAATCGCATATCTGCCCAGCTGTAGACGACGCTTTGCATCGTGTCCGAATATAACCGTAGTCTTTGACGCTACTTTATCTTGCCACTGGTCCCATTCCATGACCCAGCTTTCTTCCCCAGTAGTCTCCGCGGGAATGAATTCATCCCTATCGCCCGGTGTACGGGTAAGGCTCCGTATATGTAATAAATAATATGGATCCTGGTCCTCAAGCGGAATGTTTGGAACAAGGCCCGCATGTACGACAACTAAAGTGTCACCAAAGGAAGATGTTAGGTTCTGAGGTAGCTTGATGCGCAGTATCAAGGGCAAACCAGCAAGCCAGTCGAGTTGACCTGTCGAAAGTGCTAACGCAGTATTTTGTGTCTTAGGACTAGGTTTTTTGCTTGAGCCAGCTGTAGCGGATGCACATTTGTCAGGAATCTCGGCATCTCGGACAGTTTCCCCGGGCAGATCGGCTTCGGGGTTCTCAAGTACCGCCGGGCCGCCAGTTAAGCCTTCGGAATGCTGCAGGCTATCTCTTGTGGCGTTTATGTAGGCAGCTGCATTGAGCACTGCATTTTCGTGGTTGCCTCGCACTGCGCTGGCCCCGAGCTTAATAGCCAGATCAACAACACCGGGGCTATCAGGCCCTTTATTGACCAGATCGCCAACTAGTATCAGATGATCCCCATTTTGTTTGTCGAAGCTGAGTTTATCTAGGAGTGCCTCCAGAGATTTTCTCATTCCATGGACATCGCCTACAATGATCAAGCGTCCACCAGCAGGGCCATTTTCGGAAGATGTGAGAGGCTGCGGAAGAAGATGATCCGGTAGATCTGAGATGAGGGTTTTGACTGGGAATATATTGACGGTGTCTTTTTTGGTGGTCATCTTTTAGACTGAAATAATGTCTTTATTTGGAGGAATGGGAAGACAATGACGTGTAAAATGATGCGGTATCGCGAAGCAGGATGGGTGACCCAATCTGGACTAGCGTGATTTGGGCAAGAGCAACAGATGATTGTCGACTCTCAATGTAGTTTTTCATACGGCTTTGAACTAAGCAATTATGCCGAGAAGTTGTGAAAAAAGCATTGTATTATATTTTCTTTGTTTTTTTCTTCTTTTTCTTTCTAATTTGACCTCTCTTGAAAGAACATAACAGCACCCGGAGATATCCCTTTCTAGGAGAACTTCATTTAGGTATCACACAGCGCCATACTCCGATTAAAAACTGTGCTTGGTAAATATCCGAAGATCGTTGTGAAAAATCGGAGTAGCTTCAACCATAGAGCCAACAGATCCAATACCTAAATCAAGAGAGAAAGCATCAGCAGAACTTACGACAAATACTCACCAGAAACACACTCAGTCCGACTCACAATGGGACGTAAAGATGAGGAGATTGATGCATTATCTCCCATGGCCACCTGTCGAGTGAACTCAATGACAGAAGTCTTTTGGTAATCACGTGCCTTGGTATGATATCCAGGCGTGCCGAGAGCCCGCGAAAGTGAGTAGTAAGCATCAGTAAACTCTCCTAGCTCCATGAGGTTCCTTCCTTGGATGTAATGAGCAATACTTCTAAGTTCTTCGGATCGAGGTTCATCAAGACGGGTGTATCTGGCGATTGTCTTCAAAACAATGCCTATACGACGATTGGATTCGTCAAAATGTCCTGTGGAGTGGAATACTGCAGCAGCAAATATTCGGCAACGGATTTCCTCCGCTGGAGAGAGAAAAGGATTTGAATCGATCGCTTGAGAAACGATCTCCAGCGCGCACTGGGGTGATCCGTTTTTCCAATATGCCTCTGCTTCTTGGAGCGGAGTATTCTCGGAGGTATTGCAGAGCCATAGATCATCAATCCATACACGAGTGGGTTTCATCTCGGGGCTTAAGGCAAAGCTAGTTTGACTAAGCGTCTGGGTCTCAACCTGAAAAGCTGAAGGTGTAGGCTCAGCAACACGACACTGGGCATGTGCCAAAAGGACGTCGTACTCTGCCAATTGGCCCTTGAAAGAATCAATTGTGTCAATAGCTTGTTGCAACTTTTGGTCAAGGCTGAAAATCTGAGCTGTGAGTTGCTTAATCTTAATATAGGGATTGCTTTCTTCAATTTTGGAGCTGGTGGATTCCCTGTCCTTGTGCCACAATCGAACTGACCGTATTCCGAACCTGGAAGTCATCTTAAACAAATTCATGTTAGTTATAGGAGAGTGATTGTTGCTCTCTTCAATCTTAGAACGATCACTTGTTCTGGGTAGTAGCAGGCAAGCAAGTCATGTCTTTCCGTGGGGGTCACCGAACTATATGTACTCAGGCACATGGCTTCGACAGGCCCATTGTCCAAGAGGGTTATTGTTCAAGATGGTCATTGTCAATGATGGTTCAGTCGCCAAGTCCAAGGCGTACAATGAGCTTTGTGATTTGAGCTAAAAGGGTCTTTGTGGAGACACTCAGACATCAATTACTAAGAAATGCGTTCATCACAAAGAACCTTGGAACCTGGAACTATATTCAGACAAAACAGACAAACAAAACAAACCCACGCTATGACCTCAACACGTAGTGGAGGCCCCACATCCCACCTCAAATCGGGAAATGTGGTGGGATGCAAACAGGCATCTGTAACGTTGGACGGAAGGACCGGGCTGAGTCATCGCATCTGATACTGTGGTCTAATCTGTGATTGGCCAAGCAATATGCTCTAGACTTGCGGGGTGCCCAATGCAAACATGTCATACAAGTCATATGGATCAAAACCGGGCCTGATCAGCCAATCTTACGTCGAGATCGGTCATCAACCCTGTATAGCTTGAGTTTGTTTGAAAGTGTTGTAAACTGCGGCTTTCTTTTCCTTTTCTCTGCCTTGTTTTCTTCCAAGGTGTGGCACGATCCACTATGACTGGCTACTAAATACATTGCAACCGGAACGTTCCTTCCTCTGTTGTGATGATTTGTCATAGACTGAGCTCTCTATCCCGTGTCAAATGTAGCTCGGGCCTACTCAAATGCTAGTTCATGTTCCTGAGTCCTCAGAGCTTCTCATAGCTACTGCATTTAAATTCCGAGCTACCCCCCACCTCCTTGCCCCTCTTTAATCTTTCTCTGACTTTCTCGTATTTTCCCTACCCTTGGCTCTCGAGTCTCACCTTCTCGTATAACCCGCGGAAAATGCCTCCATCAGCACTGCCGAATGTTGGCGGCGTTGACATAGTCAACATTCACCAAGATGATATGGACTTTTCTCTCATTGATGAGCTTTACAAGAATCTGAGTCCACCCGAGGGCAAACAGCCCTCGTTTCCTACTCTCCTGTTGTATGACACCGAAGGCCTCAAGCTATTCGAGAAGATCACTTACGTGGACGAATACTATCTCACAAATGCTGAGATTGAGCTCTTGACAACACATGCAAAGAGGATGGTGGAGCGGATTCCAGAAAATGCACAACTGGTAGAGCTTGGTAGTGGGTAGGTTGACCTGGCGCCTCCAACAGGCCTTGGAGTTGTGGGGTTTTTCTTCAAACAAATAATCTAACAACTTACTCCAGGAACCTGAGAAAGGTCGAAATCCTCCTGCGCGAATGCGAGCGGACACAGAAGCGGGTAGATTATTACGCTCTGGACCTGTCCCTGACAGAGCTACAACGGACATTCTCCGAAATATCCCCGGAAAGTTTTCAATATGTTGGATTTCACGGGCTTCATGGTACCTATGATGATGCTCAAGATTGGCTCAAGAACCCGGAGAATCGCACTAGGCCAACCGTTGTGCTTTCGATGGGATCTTCTATTGGAAACTTCAACCGCTCCGAAGCAGCAGGTTTTCTCGGTGGCTTCTCTAAGCTTCTTGGCTCATCAGACTTTCTTTTGATCGGATTGGATGCCTGTAAAGACCCAGAGAAGGTTTACAGTGCTTACAATGACTCGCAAGGTGTCACCCGAGCGTTCTATGAGAATGGACTGCGGCATGCGAATACCGTACTGGGCTTCGAAGCTTTCCGGCCCGGCGATTGGGAGGTGGTTACTGGTTATGACGCCGAAAATGGGTGTCATCAAGCATTTTATTCCCCAAAAGTCGACGTCACGATAAAAGACATTACCATCCGAAAAGGAGAGAAGCTTAAGTTTGAAGAAGCTTATAAATATAGTCAAGACGAGCGGGATGAACTGTGTCGCAGCGCAGGCTTAATTCCGCAAATGGAATTTGGCAATTCTGAGGACAACTATCGTGCGTGAAAAAGAGCTAGTTTACCCACTTCTTTCTCCTCATCTACTAACATACAGAACCCTCAGATATTCATTTGCTCTCATCTGCGGCTCTCGACATACCGACTCAGCCTTCGGAGTACGCGAGTCAGCCTATACCAACACTGAAAGATTTCCAATCTCTTTGGACTTCATGGGATCTTGTGACCAAGACCATGATTCCTCGGGGAGACCTTGTCTCAAAGCCGATCAAACTACGAAATGAGTTGATCTTTTATCTGGGCCATATTCCTACATTTTTTGGTTTGTCGACATGTTGGTCCAAATATCATTCTCAGGGCTAATTATCGTAAATAGATATCCATTTGACCCGAGCGACACTCCAGAAACCTACCGAACCAAAATACTACCAGACAATATTTGAGCGAGGAGTTGACCCTGATGTTGAGGACCCGGAACAGTGCCATGACCACAGTGAAACACCCGCTGAGTGGCCTCCGTTGGACGAAATACTGGACTACCAAGAGCGTGTACGGAGCAGAGCACGAAGCATTCTCCAGGATATTAAAGCTTTGCAAGATCGATCTATAGGCGAGGCGTTGTGGATTGGCTTCGAGCACGAGGCAATGCATCTAGAGACATTCCTTTACATGCTGCTGCAGAGTGAGAAAATCCAAATGCCAGCTGGTATTGAAACCCCCGACTTCACCCAAATGGCCCAAGACGCAAAGAAGAATGCCAAGCCGAATAAGTGGTTCCGTATTCCCAGACAAACTATTACCATTGGCCTGGATGACTCGGACAAGGATGTTGTGCCCAAAGATTCCTACGGGTGGGACAACGAAAAGCCTCAGATGAAAATCAATGTTCATGCTTTCGAGGCACGAGCCCGACCCATCACTAATGGTGAATATGCGAAGTTTTTGCAAGCCAATCGCTCCCGAGCAATCCCTGCATCTTGGTTACTTGTCGACCCGGATCAGGCCTATCCGATTGCCAAGGGAATCAGTCGATCAAGCCCTGGCGCCACTGAGGAGTATTTGAATAAGTTTGCCGTTCGCACTGTGCTGGGGTCTGTTCCTTTGGAGCTCGCGCATGACTGGCCTGTTATTGCTTCTTATGACGAGCTGGCGAACTACGCCAAGTGGGTGGAGTGCCGAATTCCCACATTTGAGGAGGTCAAGAGTATCTATCAATTCTCCGATCGACTCAAAGACGGTACCGCTGGCCAGAAGCTGGATGGCCACAGGTACGTTAAAAATACCGGTCAAATGATGAAACCAACTAACCTTTACCCCAGCAATGGAGCTAAAACAGTGAATGCCACACATACGCCACCCGTATTTCGTGATCTCACAGGCTGCAATGTGGCGTTCAAGCACTGGCACCCTACTGCTGTTACTCCAAATGGTGACCGACTGGCTGGACAAGGTGAATTAGGTGGAGTTTGGGAGTGGACTAGTTCGCCACTGTTGCCTCAGGAAGGCTTCGAAGCCATGGAAATATATCCAGGCTATACCTGTGAGTGAAATCCGCTCAAGCAATCAATAAGCTGCTAACAAAGTCATAGCCGACTTCTTTGACGGAAAGCATAACATTGTCCTCGGTGGCTCATGGGCCACACTACCTAGAATTGCTGGTCGGTCTACATTGTAAGTTTCCTGGATGTATCTACTCCGATTATTTACTGACCAAACAGTGTCAACTGGTACCAACACAATTATGTCTATGCCTGGGCTGGAGCACGTCTGGTGAGGGATTCTCGAAATGGGTTTAAACAGACGATATAGAAGTAGAAGTTCGAATGGAATGACTTATTGATTTCAGCGCTTTGCTGCACATTGAAGAGTGTATTACCACGCATAATACTGAAGAACTGAACTGCTAAACAATTGGTAGTACTGTAGATTGGGGAAATCACCAAGAATGGAGATCTGTCACGAAAAACAAAATACAGATTGGTAAACGGTGATCCATCACCCTCTTCAGACTCCATTTTTGAGATCATATGGAACTCTTCGAAGTACGTACGTACAATAGAGACGTAAGAAGCAGACAATCGATAGACCCACTAAACCTAAAGGATCTTCAAGGCGTTCCAGCCAAGAATGGGATCTGCCGCAAGGTAACACCTCAAAGCGGTAAACCCTAAAGAACGGTGGAACTTTCGATGAATGGAGGAAAGAATGCAAGCACTAGATGGGCCGACCCAGCTTTTCGGGCCATTGCCACAAGAATTCTAGCATATCTGGGACCTTGCATTGCGAGGATCTCCCGTAACATGCCGGGATCATTTGATTAAGATCTGAATCGTGGATTGAAATCTTAAAGCTCTTGTTTAGGAAGGCATATACATCACCTAGTTACTGATACTCAAAGAGAATATTTGGTTCTGTGGCGGAGGCTAATAAGGACAACAAACGATTGAGAGAATTGATCCATCTACTCCTTACTATAAGGGTTGATCCCTTCCGATGGAAGATCAAGGTTGTCTAGCTTCACAAAACAATACTATAGAATGATTAAGCAAAGACCGAAAGCTTCTGTATTTTCAATTGCCCTCTCTTCTTATCTTGGAATGTGTACCTGCGTGAATATAGGCAAATCCCGCCGGGATCGGGGTTCTTCATCTCGGCATAGCTCCGACGCAAGGGATGGAAACACGAATACGGTAAACCTTTCAACGCGCAAGGACTTCAAACTTTGGTTCGAGGCTTGCTCTGCTTCTATGCTTGTGTGGTAGATAGAAACATTGCAAGTCTACCGAGTCTACTCATGAAGATACTTTCTGAATAAGGTTGTAGATTGTAAAAAGGCTTTATGTTGACGGAATTGACTTTTGCTGTCTAGACAACAGTATAATATGAGTCATACATACTACGGCAATACGAAACCAGGGACAATTGCCGAATGTAATGTTCAATCTCCGTTTGGGAGATGTAACAGGCAAGCATGTGCAGTTGAAGCCCTGTCACGAAGAAATGAATACAGCACATAGCTCTGAAGATTATAGGTGATGACTGTCTGGATCCCCCTGTCAGTGACAAATCCAGGATCGATCGACAAGACGATTCGCGATCGTTCGCCCATCCAGTTTTTAAGATTGTTGTTACGTGCCAGACGGTGTAGGGTGTCTCGTTGACAAAGAAACAAAGGAGCTAAGTTTTGATTTCAAGAGCACGATTATTCAAGGTTTGTCTCATTTCTATTGTCAGGAACAGAAACAAAAGGTGCACGCCTTGAAGTATCGGCATTTGCATGTCCCTTTCATGCGTGTATCCTAGGAACGTCACGATCGACGTGTCCTGCGCGAACCTTAACGGACAGGAGTCCTTTGAGCCGAAAGGGTCGAGGAATGGAGTATAGCGTTTCTAGGACACGAGCTAGCAGGCTCCCTTTTTCCTTTTTGGGCCATCGCTCCACTGATAACCGCCTATGATGCACGGGTTTTGCATTTTCTTCCCTGCAGCCTGCAGTTCATAATGGCCTTACTGCCTTAGTAGCGAGGATCGGATTGCATTGCCTGCATTTCTAATCTTGCATCGTGGCATGTTCGGAGTAAATAGCGCTTGCAGGTGATAATAATGCGTCACGCGTATCCAAAGGCACCTAAGCTTCGAGGACCCGGGTCTACGTTCTTCGGAAGCTCGACGATCGAGGATCTCCGAGGATCTCCAGTGGAGAACTAGCCCGCTGCTGCCGCCAGGAGAGTGTAGGCCGTCATGGAATGTGTCACAGACTCTCCAAAGGGATTTCACGGGCGAACCTTGCCGAGCCTGTCAGCTTGAGTGGCCCGCAGTCCATGCCACAGGAGCAGCCGGCTGTCGCCCAGTTCAACCTGCATGAGTGTGGGTCGGGTAAAACGGTGGAGAATCCAATCCGTCCTTGACAAGCCGTGCTTAGTATGGATTTACATACTACAGGAGCTGCCTAGAACTAGGCTCGGCTTTCCGACTCCTATATGTATCCCGGCCTAGCCGCATATTTACTTCATTGTGGTCGGGCGTCAATGGCATAGAATACCTGCAGCTTGGTAGGGTTTTTTTTTTCACTCATTCTTTGTTTCGGCGCCTTTTGTCGCTCGTCTTTCGTTTCGCAAATTGCCTTGTTTTTTTTTATAGCATTTTGACTTCTACCAGAGCGTTGCCTTTGACCTTTGATCCTCAATCATCAAAAGAAAGAGCTGGCTTTTAATTAAGCTCCAGTGTTCTCAACCACGCAAGCGACCCTTTCAACACGATCTTCAACTCGCAAAAATCCCGCATTCGATCAGCCAAACACAAATACCAGTAAAAATGGAGTGTTTTCGACAAATCTGGAGGTGCATGAAGGCGCCGTTCACAACGGAGGAAAGAGTGCTTGAAATTGTGCGTTAGACATCATCATCCTCCCATAATGTCCGGAAGACTAAAGAAACTGACAACGTCGCTCCTGCAGGGCCTCCCAACCGATTTCCGAAAGGAAGAAACCCCAGCTTGCTTCTCAGATGCGGAGTCAGTCCTATCGCCCAAGAAAAACACAAGCGAGCGACCAATTCTGACAAAGGAGCTACAGCATGTTGATGTATCAGGATCGCCGGGGATCGATAATGATTCGAAACGGCACGACAATCGAGATGACAGATCTCCAACCGTTAATGGAAGAGAAGATGCAGGCTCAGGTGCGGGAGATGAGCGTGGAGGTGTCAAGTCCCGCCTCCGATCGCGGATAAACTTGACACGATGGTTCAAGTCGACACCGGTCGATAATAATGAAGACCTTGAAATACAGGCGTTGGATAGGAGTGTGCGGGACGGGACTATTCACGACGGACAGCTTGCCGCAACTGTGGATAGATCAATTGTTTGATCTACAAGAAATTTAATGTGGTCTCTAGGGAGGGTTCGGGTTTCACAATCACATCAAAAAAGTTGGCACGTCGTTATAGCGAGATTCGGACACCAAATTGTTGGTCCCAGAGGCTTCCTTGGCTGCACTGTTTCCAGGTGTTGACTCTTCTTTCTGGTCAGAGATATATGAAATAGGCTGAGATGACTCTGGTAGCTCATCGAAGTCATCAAATAACATTTGGACTCTTGACTTGAATCCCGTTCCTGGTTTATTGCTCCTTTGTGTCGGCGTTGATCTCTCTTTGTGCAGAGTAGGTGTTTTAAGTGTAGATTTCATTGGCGTACCACTGATTTGCCGCTTTGCAGGTGGAGTTGATCTTTCTGCAGTTCTGCTGGGTGTACTCTCCTGGCGTGTAGGAAAAGATGGCATGACAACTGGGTAAATTCCTCCATCGATATCAGAGTCTTCCTCCGAAGCTGTCTCAAGGTCAATGACATCTATCGATTGAACAGCTGGTGCTGTAATAGCATGTTCAGACCTGCGAACCTTGCGGTCGGGCCTGGAGGCTTGTCCAAATCCTGCGGCAGCTCTGGTTGACGATTTGACAGCATGAGCTCCAACCAAGGATCGCGACTTCCGCGGACTTGTCATCAAGCCATGGAGATGTGTCCCAGCCCAAGCGCCATCTTCTTCGTCTGTATGCTCCTCCGGGTTGTCATCCACCGGTGCCTCCAGCTGGGCAAGGCCATCTTTCTGGCGCGCATCCAATGCTTCCGCATTCTTCCTCATCTGGAGAGCTTTCGGCATCGCGGTTTGACCATCTGTAGGCCTTTCTAGTTCTTTAATCGCTGCTGCACTCCGGGCCTTCGCTTCTTTCTTTCGGCGGACGTACTCCGCATAATGGAGATGCTGTGTGAATGTTTGTGCGATTGCGTAGAATTCGTCTTCAACCATGACCCAAGCGTCATCTTTATCTAGGCCTTCCACCAGAAATCTAATCGGTGTAAATAGAGATTACGACTAGTTCACATAGCTTGGGGTCTCGGGACGTACTCTTCGGTGGGACACGGTCGCGCGGGGGATGTAGGTGGGGTCTGGGCTGTACAGAGTGACAATTTGTTAGCCCATATGAGTCGCATAGTCTCTGATAGAAATCTGACACGTACATGATCTCATAAAGTCTCTCCTGCCGGGAGATGCGGGTGGTTTAGGCGTTAGGTCTGGGTCTGCATCTGCCTCGCGTTTGACGCGCTTCCGCGGAGTTGACTCTTGTTTGACGCGTCCCTCATCCTTTTTTTCAAGAAGCCAGGGTAAAGTCCTGGGCATGGTATCGTACAAAGCAGATCTTAATGGATCGCGCAAGCTGAGGTGTTGCGGAGAAAATATGTGGAAGTTTGGAGATCGGCGCTGATAAGAGATGAGGTCACCTGCCGCTTTATACAGAGAATACTGGGGTAAGCTGCATCAATGTTGTAAACCTCAATGTGTTGGGTATCAATTGAACTCTAGGCAATTTGTTTTGTGTATAAGAAGACAAGGATAGTGTAGATAAAAAAGAAGGGAATCAGAAATACCCAAACGCCACTGGAGACCCCAAAAGTACATGCCGAACGCCGTTACAACCACCTTATGCAAACGCCAGTAATCCCAAAACCTTCGCTCTGATATCTGACTTATACTTCGCCTGGTCGCTTGCTGTTGCAGCTCACAATCTTCACCTTATCGGCAGTGACTGTGGTCTGGTTATCCAGCTTGAAGGATACATCCTTGATCAAGAAGGTCCAGACTTCGTCGCAAAATCGGTAGGTATCGAGGTGGCCCTGCAAATTGAAAGAAGAAGTCAGTCTTACTGAAACAGTGACAGAAGGCTTGATCACATCGCAACAGCTCTTAGGCACTCCATGGTACCCAATATCCAAAAGAGCATGTTCTTACCTTGAATGTAAGTCTGGCTCGAACCTTGTCCGCCAGCACCTCAGTGACAATCTTATCAAAGGTGGAGAGAATTTTCATCGCAAGCTGAGGCTCGATGCGACCCTCGTTGATCAAATCATCAAGAGTGTCGGTGAGAGACAGACCGAGACTAAGAGTCACTTTTGTTAGCCTTGATCTCAGCCCGGACTATCCTTTGTCAAGAATACCTGCTGCCACGATAAAGCTCATAGTAAGACTGCTGAGTAGCCATCTTCGCGGCGTCGATCGGTGCTGCTTTGAGGAGAATGTGATGACGACGAGGAGTGTCGAGTGCTGAGTTGCCTTAATCCAGTGGATCGCGGGGATAACCCCCTCACGTGATGTCACGTGAGGTGATTGCTCTTATCGCCCATTTACGCCTCAAGGTAACTACTTGAATATAATAAGCTTTTTCGGAAAATAGAAGACTCACTTGAACAGCAAGGTGTCATATTCATCTATATGTGAGATGATCCAGATCCGAGTAATACAATCCATGAACAATAAGCCATCCCTGATTCTTCTCTCACTTAAAACTCCCACTAAACCCCCAGGCTTGCATAAGGCGTAAGGTTGACGTTTACTTGCTAACAACCATACCGGCTAAAACTCCTGCGCCGATAACACCACCATCGGAAGCCTCTCGTAAGAAAACTGACTTGCCTCCCCTCTGTGGACCAGTTCGCATAATTAGGCGGTCGATATGTTGCTGGCACATTTCTTTGAATTGTGGGTAGTGTTGGATAATCCCTCCAGTGTACGCTACAACCAGCTCTTCGGGACCGAATTGCCAATCTACCGGGGTGGGCTGTAGAACTGGGACAACATGTCCATGAATACTGTGGCCGACGGTAGCTGGTTCCACGCTGGCGGCAGCAGCAGTAACGACAGCGGAGACATCGCCATTACTTTGTGGCGAGGCTGCGTTTTCCGGGGTGTTGACATTGCTGTCTTCCTTCAGCTCAATTTCGCGGCAGCATGCTAATAGTCCAATGACGGCGGCGGCAATCAGTCCAGCGGATCGTCTTTGTACCGCGCGAGCGATTCGGCGGAATGCACCGGCTGTACGGGCATCCCAATGCCAGTCGCTGCTCTCTGGGGGCGGCAGAGATTGGTTCAGTTCCTCCGCAAGATTTTGGTCAGATCGGGCTCGGGCTACATTGTCGGAAATATAAGAGGTAGTAAGAGCATATTCTTGAACGAGGTTGGCGGGCAGGATTCGTTTCGATAGGCCTGTCACGGTGGTGAGATAGTCAAACAGAATTAAGCGAATCAATTCGCCTATATATCGTCCTCCCGTCATGTATTCGAATGGCTGGAAGCCAGGGCGTGCGCATGCCTTATCCAATTCGACATCCCACTTAGTAGTGATTGCCAGTTCGGTGAGTGGCGGGGCAGCACCGGAGATGGTCCACTCGGTGTTGACAATAGTCTCTGTGGCTCCCGGCTCCATTGCGTTGACGCTCTTTGCCTTGGATTCATGCAGCTCACTAAGCTTCATCGGAATTGTTGCATTGCAACCCGTTCCAACAATAATTCCCATAGCGACTCGACTGTTTGGTAACGATTTGACCGCATAAGCGAGTGAAGCCAGCGTCGCAACTGTGTCGTTAGTGATGGCTTGGATCTTTAGTTTGGGCAAGGCAAATAGCTTTCGACGCTTGGAAGAAGGCTCCTCTTCATCATCGGGTCGTCTTGTGTGTTTTTCATAACCGTTCAGGAGAATGTCGCGCAGGTTGAGATTTGATGAGATGGCGAAGCCCTTACCCATGGGCATCAATGTAGCTTCCGCAAGGGATTCTTGCCTAGGAAGCAGTCAGTATTTTTGTATGAATTTTTCGCGCAGCTAGATCAAAGCAAGATATCGCAGGTACTCACATAATGGGGAAACTAAAGGTAATTCCCATATCTAGTTCCGCAGGGATGTCTTTCCTGGTTGCATCCGAAGTGAGACTTTCTGCCACCACCTCAGCAATGCAATCACCAATCCAAGCAAACAGGTCTTCAGCCTTGTCCATTTTCAAATGCTCCTGAATGGGCCATGCTCGCTCCAATGTTCTTTTGACCCGTTGACGCTGAGCCTTGCGAATGGTGTCGCGCGACCTCTCTGACGCATCCGCGGATGCATCAGAATCATCAACCTCGCCCAGCAACTCAATAAAAGCAACCCGCAAGTTACTTCCACCCACATCAATTGCTAGATAGCGACCTGTCTCTTCTCCTGTCGGTAGCTGGGTCACGGGAGTTGGCAAAAACTGTTGATCCGATGTCAGGGCCAAATGGCGGTATGTGCCGGAAAAGCGACGCGCCAATCTGTACAACACGCCCTCTTCCAAAGACAGGGGGTGAAGGAAATCATCTAATCGCTGGCAATATTCGAGGTGTTCCCGCTGAGATGCATCCAATTCCACACTGAGGTCTTCATGCTCCTCATCCTCAATCACATCGTCATGCATGATGTCACGCTCCTCATCATGGTCTTTCTCAGACGATATTGAATTGACCGAGGCCATTGTAGGAACGACTTTCGGAGAAGAGAAAGTAAGGTACCTTACTCTTTTCCCCTACCAGTGATTAAAAGAAACAAAAGAATGTAACAATGAAAGCCAGTGGCGTAGATCAAGCTCGAACTAGCCGTGTAGCTATGGTCGTAATTTTTGGATGTGGAGACCGAAGATCAAAACAAAATAACAGTAGAAAGCAAAAAGACCGTTCCTTTCTGTCACAGTACCCGCCCCGGTCTCAATCGTGACGTCGGGGGCTCAGGAATGCAAAGCAGGTACGAGCAGAAAGGACGGCATGAACTTCAATATGCGCGCCTAGTTGGAGACGCTAAAAATAAAGCTCAAGAAGCTAGTTCGCAGGAACCGTTAGTCAGATTGTCATACAGGGTTGGGGGGAACATTGTGGTGACGCGGTCTGCAAGGTGATAATTGGGAGGGGGAGGGTTTCGGTACTGCGGGGGATAGGAACAAAAGGTTAAGATGATCATGCCAGAACAGAAACACCTGGGAACCATGATCTCAGCTGTCATGTTTTACGTACCCTGGTGAGGAATCTTGGTATGCGTGATATGGCTGAAGGGGGGAAACAGAAAGCTGGACAGGCTTGTTTTTTTTTTAGCGACCAGGGATCTACCAGGGGGATAAGCCTGCCTATATATGGAGATCGTCGTGTTTCTGAGTGCCCAAATATCCCTTGTGGTGCCTGAGGCAGATTATACCAAAAACCAGTGGGAAAAATCCGAAACGCATACACAGTAGATGTTTTTATGGTTCGGATGAGATATCTTTTACCGGGCGAGAATCATCAGAAGTGGAGCCCCCAAGGCATGGGGTCCCTGGGTAAATTAATCTCGGATTCCTATAGGTGCAGGCCAGTGAAAGAAGAGAGTGAGCACTCAAAAGGAATAAAATAAGAAAAGAAAAGGAAAAAAAAGAACTAGTTTAATAAGAAAAGCTATTGGAGATGCGACCATCGGAGGACACGAGGCGATGCGACGCTGTTCATTTTTCGGGGACGTGGACGACTTGGAAATCCCGGTAGTTATCGTCGAATGGAGCTTACTCAAGCCCTACGCTGGAAACTCTATAAGTCATGGCATCTCCCCAATTCTACTCGACCTTGCAGAGTTCTTGGGGAAACTTCGATGATGATCGCGGTCGGAGATGTTCCACTTTCTCAGCAACCCACATACGACCCTCGAACTATGTAACCCTACTGGGCATCTGACGCCTCCAAAACGTGGGCTTTATCCAGTTCGGTTAGACATCTCGGCTACAAATCCCACGTCTTCCTTCCCCTCCAGTCGTGGAGCTGCCCTTCTTCTTGGCCTTCCAATACACACGAGGGGGCGTTAGCGAAATGCACGGCCTTCCTCCGTCGCCTTGCGAGAGCAATCATAACTAAGTGGGGCCGGATCACGGTAAGAAAAACGTGCCAGGCTATCGTCATTTCACCGATGTCCTATGGATCGCTTCTATACTTGTCATTCGCCACGAGTCTCTCCGCCCCGGAAATAACCGTGTTCGTAACAACGTGGTCATTGCCGCGCAGGGCCTCGATCGTTCGTGTGCAGCCACCAGATGTCAGCCCTTCCACCAGAGTGGTTCATCCTCGTTTCGAAACATGGGGCGGAACCTGTCCGGATCACTTGCTCATCACGGTCATCTATGCGAGCGGAGGGCGGAGGTGCCATTGCGCTCGTGCTCGTGCTCGTGCATTGACCTGAGAGCCTCAAATATGCTTCAACCTTTTACTTCCACGCTGGCAGCATGAGTTGAAAGATTTCCTGGATTTAGCAATTCTACCAATTTTCTGGTTCGAGGGACCTTCAAGCTTGAACCTTAAAACAAGAAAATACTTTGGCACTCACGCCATGTCAGAGTGCCTCCGAGATCGGAGCCCAGACATGGTATCTTACCAATCAAGCTCCATCGGATGTGAAAGGTCTTGTAGATTTTAGCGTGTCTGTATGAGGAAGGTCAGTCGACTCCAATCAGTCTCCAGTCGCGTGCTTAGCTGGGGGGAGGTTATCATAAGTGCTACACATGACTGCTGCCGAGTACAAGGGTAGGTACCTGGGTATCACCTTAGGTGGAATAGGTTTGATACCTCCCAAATGCTTCCGGTTGAGCATATTTTCGCATATCTAATACCTGTGCACATTATGAATGCATGTCCGGTACAAAAGAAGCGCTAAGTGCGATGTGGAGTGTATCTACCTATCATTTCCAAGTTTTTCATTAGGGTGCATTTGATAGGGCATCGGGAAGAAACCCCCATCTGGCATAACCCGAATGAATCGGAAGCTAAACCTTGGAACATCCGTTAGCTTCCTACATGTTACCCGTTGCCTCAATGTCAGACACTTGACTTCATCAGGTGACTGATCCGAAGATCAGATTGCGCAACCTACCCTAAGCCGTTTTGGGGCTTAGCTAGGATTTCTCACCGGATGCTCTAAAGTTTTATGATGCGTCGGCTTCTTTTCATCATTGTTGACACGAAATGGGCTTCGGGTCGTTAGAATTGTCTAACGCTTTTGTCTCAAGATATGAGATCAAGTCTTGTTCGATTGTGTAGACGATATGGCCGACCTAGCTGATGGTTCGGTAGAATGCCTAGTGAATGGGCATGTCTGTGAAGGTACCTGAGGTAGTACCTTACATACCAATCACTGTTATAATGTTCCTGCCTGGCAAATTTGATTCATTCCAGTGTTATAATCTTCAAGGTGCCTCAGTCATCCAGAACCTAATATTCAGATATTCAATTAAGGCCCGAACGTCAGCGAAATGGGGCTTCAAGAGTCAACCTTGCATATGGACCACGGTCTCTGGTCACAAGACCTACAATGGTAAATTTACGCATAGTCCAGTTGTTACATATTTATGGTAATTTGTTTTCACCATTATACTTTCTCGGTTTTGATTAGCTGACATACCTGAATCATGACTACGTAGGCCACTTGGTGTCTATCTAATACCCCAGACTATGCAAGGCGAGGTACAGTCATGACTCGCGAGGGCGAATTTTGCCATTCTGGGCACTACATGGACTACACTTAATACTTTATAAATTGCTTCGGATACCTAGGTATCTCAGACCATCAATTGGTAGATTGAAAATATTACTCATTATATAAGACCGGATCATAGGTAGTTTCCAGAGGAAGTCGATACTCCCATCAACCTTGAAACTCTATGGGCCAAATCCGCTGAGGCTAAGTTGTTAATACTTCGTTACTCGTAAACAACAATGCTTTCCAGGCTTCCACATCCCCTTCAAGCTGGAGGTAGATTAAGGTTTCGTGAATGAGGGCAGCACTCAACAATCTGAACGACGATTGTTAGGCAAAAGGATAGAATAATTAAGATGCCTAATAACTCGTATCGAGAACTCTTTTTAAATAGCACGCCATGTGACCAAATGATTGATCTAGTCCCGAAGAGTAAAAGCGGTCCAAAATTACATGTTGGGCTACTGTCGGCGGCCGTAGCCCTAACCCGGCTCCACTCCAAATCAGCGGGCCCCCCTTATCAGGATCAACATCGACGTCAGTTTGAGCTTCAAACTACGCTTCCCCAACCTAGAATATGGAGAAACTACCTACTCACACCGGCGAAACCCATGGCGCTTCTCAAGAGCCAAGATGGATGGCCCCACAGAAACGTCCACGAAGAGCCATTTTTTTGAGACGCGTCTTTATCGTCTTCTGTTTCTTGGCTGGATATTACATGCTAATTAGACCCCGGTCTACCCAATGCATGTCGCCTGAGTGTGCACCCTGTGATACTTCTAAGTGCTTGGCCCCAGGACAGAACGCAGGCGGCTCTAAAGATTTCGCTGCCCAGAATCACGAACATGAACAGGCAAAAATCAGCCAAGACCCAATCACCAGCCAGTCGAATGAATCAACGAGAATTCCACTTGAGGCCCATATCATGAGCAAATGTCCAGATGCTCAAGGCTGCTTGCAGAAACTGATTCTGCCAGCTATGGAGCAGATTAGTGACAAAGTGGACTTCCGGCTTTCATTTATCGCCAGGTATTTGCACATCGATGGGAACAACACCCTAGGGTCCTTAGAACTCCACTAACATTACAATTTGACTAGTGTCTCTAAAGAAACCTCCGATATACAGTGCATGCATGGGCCAGCCGAATGTATCGGTAACATGCTCATGCTATGCGCTGCCAACCTACCCTTCCCTCCTACGTCGGACAGATCGCTTCTTCCTCAAAATTACCCTCGAACACCCATCATACGATCTCTAGGCTTTGCCAACTGCCTGATCAACGATTATACCCGCATCCCCGACCGTGGGCTTGTCCACCAGTGTGCACTAGAACATGGAATTGACTTCGACGCTTTGAACCAATGTGCAAGCCAGCAAAGCGACGCCCCCGATGATGGCCAGCGTGGGAAAAGTCCGCTTAGCGGCATTGCCCTTCTACGACACAATGCTCTGCACAGCGAGCATCTTGATGTGCATACTAGCTGCACTGTTCGGTTAGACGACTCAGTCTGGTGCATCCATGATGGTGGAGTTTGGAAGACCTGTGCCCAGGATGGCGAGGGGAGTAAGCCACAGGTCCTAGCTGATGAGATCAAAAGACTCTGGCAGGAGAGGAACTAAATCCTACGTGAAATAAACCTGTGACGATACCCCATGAGATGCCATTGATATTTTATTTTTACTCAACCATTAGACAATTGCAGTGACTCTTAGCAAAGCATACATTATATGCCTACAATAAGCCATCTTGACGAAGGTCAAGGCCACAGCATCTCTCTAGTGTCTTGAGGTGGAGCATTTAGGATATTTTGACGAACAGGCATAACCAAAAGTCGACATCTAACTATGCCAAGGTATGGAAGAGTAGACATCTTCAGTCTACTTATTTTGAATTCTGTTGGTGCACTCCAGGTGTAAATACCCAGAATGTCTCCCGGCTGGTCTTGTTAGACGCGTCCTGCTTTTGATTTCACTGAATGTTTCTCGACTTGCCTTCTTCACAACCTTTCCCTCAGCGTTATCACCCAGACACACAACCCACCTTTTTGCTTACCTCCTCTTCAAGAGGTCAGAAACAAAATCCTCGCAGCTTTCAGCGCGTCTAACATTCATTTTGTGGACGATAAGATGTCTCCAACCTTCCCCCCGGTTGACCAAAGCCAGTCACCTAGCTTAGCATGCTCGGACAAGACAAACGAGCTTGCTAAGTGGACCGATGGCGAGCCATCGGTCAATATCTCGATCTCTCCGCTTAAAACCAAGATCTTGACCACCGACGCGGAATATGAGCTGGAGCTATGCTCAGCAAAGTCGCTGTCCCAACTTCAAAGGCCAATGGCCGTTTATCGCCAAGCGCTAGTCGACTATTATCTTGCGGATGCCAAACAGGGTGGCCACTCTGACAAAAAAGCTCAATTGAGAAATGTTCGTTTCCTACGCGATACTGCAGAGAATATTCTCCATATCGCTGAGAACGAGGGCTTGAAAAACTCCGGGCTCTACCGCCAAGTACAACAAGTTTTTCAGAGCAGCCGAAATCATGCTCTGTATCTTTCCGAAGACCGCCGTCGTCAGACCAACCAGGTAAAGAGTGATAGCTCCGGGGGCAATCATGGCCTGAGAATTAGTCACAATCAGAGCTTTGGAGATCGCGGAATCCATTTCGCTTCTTCAAAGAGGGGCAGATCGCATAGTGAAGAACGCTCTTATCACGACTCAGTGGTGCACGATGACAGACAGCATGGACAAATCGCATTCGACTCGAGACCCGACCGGGAGTACGGCTCACGCTACCATGGCACCCGAAGGTTTCTTCGCAGAGAAATGGATACCATGACCGCCACTCGCGATGCCCTTGATGATTCTAATATTTTTGACGATCATGATACTATCGCTGCCCAAGGTGCCTACCATGATAGATCCTCATATTACGTCCAGGTTTACCCCCGCCAAGACACTGAATCGAACCGACGCAGCGGCAGAGGACTTTTGGATTCATGGCGCCCTCCAACATGATCTCGACATCGACTGAAATATTCTTATCATCTAATCTTGTGTGACTGCGCGCAGTACAGAAAACTCATAAGGCAAAAAAAAAATGATGAAAAGCAAAAACAATAGCTAGAAAGGATAAAATGATCAACGAAAATCAATCAAGTGTTCGAGAACGCAAATCAAACTCCAATTTGCATCCATAGTTTAAACAATTCAAGCTAGGATATACTTCGGTAGTTATTTAATCCGAGGCGCTAACCCCCCAAAGCTACCCACGTGCACCCCCTTACCTAATCATCTCCAGGTCCTGCAAACCGATCATTCAAGCTCCCAGCGAATCCCTTGGGACACCTGAGCATTTCAACCCCTGTCTCACATGGAGAAAGGCTCAGGGCCAATCCTTTAGTGAGCTCCAGCGTCCTAGAATCTCCCGTTGTGGCCAATATGGCCTTCCATCTCCCCCCATCAGCTGCGGGGAACGCATCCTCCTCCGATTCCAGCACTTCCTCAAATCCACGATACACGCCTGTTTCTAAGGGCTCTGAGGACGATGAATACCCTGTCTCTGGTAGTAGACCTAAACAATCGCCCGTTGGACCGTTACGACTCCAGACTGATTTTGGGGGTACAGAGGGTGCTGTTGGGGGTCCTGTTTCCGATATCGAGGAGGGCGATGGATTCAATACCAGGGCCGAAATGAAGGGGAAGAGGACACGGGGCCCGAAATGGACTTCGGAAGAGGAAAAGGAGGTGGTAAGGATCTTTGATAAGAGACTTGTGCCTTTTCTCGCTCTTTTGTACCTCCTGGCTTTCTTGGACCGATCCAGTATGTTTTTTGATACTCGGGGTTCTAAGCTTGTGATGCTGCTGTGCATAGCTCAGGGCTACACGCATGGAATTTTTGCTGACCACCTATTCAGATATCGGGAATGCCAGGATAGCCGGGCTTCAAGAAGATCTGCAACTCTCGTCTTCACAGTATGAATGGCTACTGACCGCATTCTACATCACATACATTCTTTTTGAATGGATGACGCTGATGTACCGCGTCGTTCCGCCGCACATGTACATTTCTCTCTGTGTTTGTGGCTGGGGTCTGGTAGCCTCGTTTCAATGCCTTGCAACCTCCTTCGGGGGCCTAGTCGTTCTCCGCTTGTTGCTCGGCATCACGGAAGCTGCATTCGGTCCTGGAGTTCCGTTCTATTTGTCGCTGTTCTACCGGCGTGATGAATTGGCTTTCAGGAACGGGCTTTTTATTTCAGCTGCACCGCTGGCAACCACGTTTGCTAGCAGTCTCGCGTGGGTGATTGTGAAACTTAGTAGCGATGGACCGATCTCCCCATGGCGTACTCTTTTCTTGGTTGAAGGATTCCCCAGCGTGATTGTTGCCATATTTGCTTGGGTCCTGATCCCTGATTCTCCGGGCAAAGCCCGATTTCTTACCCGCAGACAACGTGCTGTGGCTCAACGGCGGCTTGAGGAGAACAACACAAAATCGAATTATGAGCAATCGCAAGAACAGGGGTTGAAATGGCGTGAGATTTTGAAGACAGCTTCTGACCCTAAGGCTTACATGGCAGCTGTAAGTCTCCGTTCACAGTCTTTATGCTCTAATCTGACACCAATCACAGTTCATGTTCTTCAGCTGCAATGTTGCGTTTAGCTCGATGCCAGTATTCCTGCCCACCATCATCAAAGAGTATGTCAGCCCTAACAAAGGAGAACGGTTGGGCCTTCAAAAACTAACCCAATATACAGCATGGGCTTCTCCTCCCTTTCCGCACAAGCCCTCTCGGCCCCGCCCTACCTAATCGCCTTCGTCGTCGTCCTAGTAACAGCCTGGGCTTCAGACCGCACCCGCACCCGTAGTTCATACCTGATAGCGCACGCACTAATCTCATCTCTTTCATATGCCGCCATCGCAGCAGCAGGCTACTTTCACACCCACCTCTCTCCCTCCTTGCACACCTTCATTCGCTACATATGCGTCTACCCGGCCATATCAGGATTCTTCTCCGCAATCACATTGATCATCACCTGGTCGATGGACAACCGAGTTGAAAAAGAAGGCAAAGGAGCGAGCATCGCCATCTTGAACATAATTGGGCAGTGTGGTCCTCTTCTGGGGACAAGGCTATACCCCGAGGCGGATGGGCCATGGTATGTGCGGGGAATGGCAGTCTGTTCTGTTTTTATGGTGCTGGTCGCCATCCTTGCCTTTGCTCTGAGGGTACTTTTGCAAAAAGCTAATAAGGCTTCTTCGGGTGGGACATTGTTTGATTCCGCGCAAACTAGTGGATCTGGGGCCGTCGATGGGGAGGAGCGAGATGAGCTTATGGGCGGTGGGCGGAGAGAGGATTTGGAGTTTGATACTGGGGATCAGAGGCTCGTTTATATCATTTAGCGGGATGGATTATCTGGGTGGAATTTAATTTGACATTTCCGAAATAGCATAGATTTAGCGGGTTATACTAGCGTTGATTTTGAGGTCATATATACAACAAGCTTTGGTTTGTTACCCAGTGTAGTTTTGCTTTACTGGTCTTTATTCAAGATTGCTGTCTTCAATTCCTTCCCTAGCTCAGCAATGAGATTGCCTAGATTTAAAGAACAATAAAGACAAAATTGTAAGACGAGCAAAAAGGCTTTTAAATTGGGTAACACGCTCTGCATAAAACCCACTTCAACGCTATCTATCTTTGCTGGTTTAGCACCTGAAGAAAATAAACCAGTGATAATGCCTGGTAGAACGCTAGATCATCTCTATAGTCCAAGCTGATGATCAAAAGAAAGCACAAAAAGCTGCAGGGTATTCATAATAATCATGTCGTTCACCAGGCAGTATGACCCCCATCAATTAACAAAGTGCTACCAGTCATAAAGCTTGAAGCATCAGACAAAGCAAAAAGAGCACAACCACGGAACTCCTCCGGAAGCGCCAACCTCCCAAGCATATTCTCAGCTTCCCACGTAGCACGAGCAGCAGGATTCTGCTGAAAAACAGCTTCCACCATAGGCGTAATAATATGACCCGGACACAACGAATTGACCCGGATACCATGACGACCCCACTCCATAGCGAGTGAACGCGCAAGCTGGATAACAGCAGCCTTGGAGCTGTTGTACACCGGGGATGTCATGCCCTTATTGGCGATGAGACCGGACATGGATGCAACAAGTAGGATGGAGCCTTTGCCCTGGTAATTGAACATTTGGCGTGCGGCTGCAGTGGCTGAGTTAAACACGCCATTGTAGTTTATGCTCATCACATCGTCTAGGGCTGCACGATCATACTCCAATGCGCTTTGTAGGTGGTTTATTCCGGCTGCGGCGATGAGGCCATCTAGACGCTCGTGTTGTGCGGCTACCATGGCGAAAGTGTTCTCTACCTGCTTGTGGTCCCGTACATCGATCTGGATGTATTCCAGTAGACCGCCGTATTCGTTTTCGGCTTTGTCTTTCGCGGCAAGGAAGTCTGCGCTTGGGGCATCTAGCCGGTCGAGGCAGTAGACTGTTCGAAATTTTGAGATTAGCTGGGTTTGTGGAAATTGGGAGGGATAATGCTTACCCTTTGCGCCGGCCTCAATTAGAGCTTCGGCCATTGATAGACCTAGACCGCGCGCACCACCTGTTATGGCATAGACGCGACCCTCCATATCGAACTCGCGGAAGCGTTTGGCATTGCGAAGGTCTTTTGATGAGGGTAGCTTGGTTTGAATGTGGTCTGGACTGTGGGGAGTTTTGAGGATATCGCGCGAGTTGAAGGTGCTCTTTGTGGTTGAGTAGAGGCGGGTTGAGGATGAAGCTAGCACCCTGGGGATGACAGTGGCAGTAAAGCCAGTGCGAGCTGGAGCTAGCACGCGGGGCAAGGAGAGAGACATGGTGATATTAAGTGTAGGATATGTAGGTGGTAACGAATATGTGAATAAAAATTGAACTGTGCAAGAGAGGTACCAGGGAATTATTCTACTATGTATATGATTTTCCCGGGACAATTGACAGACGCGCAATGAATGCAATGACGATAGGGGGGAAATTGAGATTGGAGGATGGGATTATATATGATTCGCGGAACTGAACTTCCAGGCATAGTAAACCGAAGCGAAGAGGCAAGAAAGGATAATCGATGCAAGCAGAAAACGGTGAAAAAGCAGGCCTCGTGATCATAGATAATGAGCTAGAAATGACAATTGTTCGTAATCCCTGCTTCCACTAGGTTTCTATGGTCCAGATGCACTGCATCCACGGATAAAAGAACCGTTGCCACATCAGCTACAGCCAAAATCTGTTCGTATTGAAGCATCGTGACCTTCGGGCTAGAATGGCCCACTCGGGCGGGTCCGAACTATTAGCGCCGGGATCGACATTTTTAAAGACCCAGCCAACGATATGCTCGGGATGTATACACGACATGTCGTTCCCCTCTTGCTATTCATGCTGTGGTTCTAGAGCTTCTGGGAGAAATACGATGCAGTCTCGATCCACCAATGGTGTGGTTCGGAAACGAAGGTCTGACCGCCGGTCATATATGTACTATTTTCGTAGACTGCATATGTTAAGTCTCTGGAAAAATCAAAGATCAGGTCAGTTGGACGGGAACGGCAACAGATCCTCAACTCTCCATCTCATTGCCGGTACGTGTTCCGGGAGGCTCTACCTAAATCCTGTTCTTTATTTTTAGGGAGGCGTGACGCATCTTGGCCGGGATCGCCGAATCAGGTAATGCCGGGCTTGTGCCTGTACACTTTACATTCTGATCCTGATCCTGATTATCCGGATTTCTGAGTCATTTGAATGTTCAATGACCTCTGGATCAGGCATAGTCAGTATCTGGTGGATTTGATGGTGGTTCATAAGGTCGAATTTGGCTTACCCAAATGTCTCGACCTAGTATAACTACCCCAGGTTTACTACGATAGACTCCGAAATGTAACGGAAATCTTTTCTTAGACTTCGCTCTTCACCATCACAGAGCTGTACAGGACCACTTTTCCCGATCGAACTCAGAGCTTAATGATATCCACATTTGCTCCGCGATACGTGCATTAAGGTGCATGTACTTCGTTAATGGGTAAACAGCTCATGGTTCGGGGGCCGAACGATCTCGAACGTACTGGCGTGCGCTGGTCACCTGTGCGTGTCGAGACGTAAGGATCTATATACTCAATGCGGGATTCCGTATTTTCAATTGTTAGATGCAGGGCGATTGCCGGTCAGATTTCGAGATTAGAATTTTTATGATTTGATTGGATTTTCACTTGGCCTGTGCAAGTACACATGACCCTATCTTGCAGCCAGGGATGTAAAAACTCAATTGCCATACACCCGTGCTGTCGAGCCTGGTCTGGTCTTAATAAGTTTGCGATGGAAGCGTCAACTCCGCGGGGTATCAGTTCTGGTACCTCTGTAGGCATCCGAAAGAGCAAAATTGGTTAAATAACCCGTAGAATAGTAGTAGTGAAAGCGCGGAACCGAAAAAGAAACCCGGAGGAAATAAGAATAAGAAAGCAACCGTTGAAACTCCGCAATGGTTCCACTCAAATGGATCTCACACTACTCCAAATCCGTCAATCCCGGTGCAATGGCCACTCCGCCATCACTGCGTAAGCTGCCGAAGTCAAGCTTCATCAGGAGTCGGTCCACACCGGCTGGTTGGCGCGGCACATAGTGTCCCGCATAGCCTGTGCCTGAATTCGCCCGATTACTTCCTCCGGTGAACCCGTGGACTGGGTTTGTGGCGAAGCCGAGCCCCTCACCAGACCTTTGATCGTCGATATCACGGAGGCTCGCAACGACCCCCTGAATTTCGCTCTTCACATCATCGCGTGTTGCTCGCAACATGTGCCACACTTCACTTTCCTCTTGAGCATAGTCGACGAGCGCGTCCACCACGCCCTCGTCGGTCTCCAGATCCATATTTCGCTGGATTGTCTCAAGGCGAACCACGAGAGCCACGAAGCGGTCAACACTGGTGAGCAACGCCCGCAGGGCACTGGTAAATGGGACATCAGTTAAGAATAAAGACTGAATAAGCATGGACAGATGGCGGCGGTGGGCCGTAGCCAATGCCTCGGGATCGGTTCGCCCAAGGGTCGGCCCGGCTTGAGAGGTCGGCCGACTCGACGGTCGGTCGGGTGAGGCCACTCGTGATTGTCGTGTCTTTGCAGACGAAGCCGTACCCGGTCGAGAACCAGAAATTGAGGCACTGGAGGACGGGCGACCCTGGATCCACTCGCGAAGATGCTGCCAAGACTCGTGGACAACTTCTCCTTGGAAGAAACCGCCAATCTCCGAAAGAACAAACAAACAGGCGCTAGCAGTAGCCCAGATGGACCGCATCTGTTTAGTGCGAGCATTGTCCCGCTCGCGGCTCGCTTTCAGCCGCTGCTGGCCGAATGGTTTGTTACTGCGTGGGGGTCCCCATGGAGTAGGGTGATTCCTTCGTAAAGACGTTCGCTTCCATAGATCACCAAGTCGCATCTGTGCCCTGCGAATACCTAGTAAATAGGAGTGTATCTTCGAGTAGATAGCGATGTCGGAGCTGGAGAGAAACAGATCAAGAGGAGCACGAACTTGCGCAGTCAAGCATGTCGGTATTGGGAAGAGCAAATCATCGAATGGAACTCTCGAGATCTTGGACATCGCGTTCGAACCATGTGATGGGGTCATCGCTCGGTTACTTTTTCGGTCGCTAATAGATAGTCGTAGCAGCTCGCGAGCCAGCTCAAGCTCCTCATCGGCTGGATCTTCTTCTTTCTGTAAAGAGAAGAGCTCAACCCAGGCATGTGCCAAAGAGGTCATGACATCCCCTTCTTTCATGATAAGGCCATCAAAAGCAGGGCCCCGAGCTCCGGCTCCTCGTCGTCGAGTATCTTCGATGCGATTATCTGCATGCACTACAAGGGCCACGGCAAATTCACCCCGCCCTAGTAGCAGGAAGTCGTGTAGTAGTGTAAGCATTTCCAGGATCTTGGGAAGTGGGAGCAATCTTGATAACGTGGACTGAGACAGTGAAAGACGTATCCAATCCACGGCCGTGGTCAACTTCGAGGATGATATGGGTGATTTGAGTCCGGCCAGATGCTCGATATGCTCCTTGTATAGTGTGACCGGTGCAGTCGAGATCCCCGCAGAGGTCTTGCGCTTAGAACGGACGTGGTTCAGCGACTTTCCAATGAACAGGATAGACCCTGCAGTTTGCTCAGCAACGAATCTCGGGAGCAAATCGACATGCATGCTGAACTGAGCATCATCGTCCTCGCTGTCAAAGGCCTCCTGAATAAAAAAGTCTTTTTTACCATATATGGGCAGATTCCCATATAGTAGCCACATGGAAAGCTGTTTCATCCATGCTGTCTCGGCGACAGTCACCAGCTGTACTCCCATTTCTTTAATGTCCGTGTATCCGGTTTGAAGTCCGGCTCGCAGGAAGTCAATGAGTCCTGCGCCAGTACAGCCATGGCGGTGCCTTGTGTCTTCAGCTTCGGGCTGAATGAATTGGACCACTTCTAATAGCCACTCCATACGCCGAGTCCACGGCGCAAACTCCCCCACGATGGTTGATAAAGGGACAATTCCGTAACCACCGACATATAAGCTGTCCTCAGCGAGAATCGCCCTTTCCACTTCCAGGATTTTCTTCTGAAACTCGCCCAACTGAACGGTGACAATGGTCGTCGAGACCGACCGGCAGATAACGGAAACATGGGAGGAGGATATTTGGGAGGTGTGCTCGCGGAGATAAGCATGAAGGTGGCTTAGGTGCGCAATCGATCCGAGGAGGGCTTTTTCCGGAGGAGAGAGAAGGGCAAAATCATCTTGAGAGCTCGTCTCTTTCCCGATATCAGCGAAGAGGGGTGAGGGCTGGCCAGAGAGGGAGAGGAGGATCTCGTGTAGCATCCTGGCTTGGGTTGCCTGGTGGGTGTTAGTAATCCAGATCTGGAGGTTGTTGCAGTTTCATAGATATCACACCTACCTATAACACTGACTATCCTCTTCAGAGTTATGCCGCTGCCAGTATAGTAAACCACGCCCAAGAAGCTCAAGGCGACACATAGGTTGGGTATGGAAGAGTTGGGCTTGAGTCAGGACGCGTCGAAGTGTCCTAGGTCCCTCAGTGAGACCAGAACAATTTCATTGTTTCTGTCTCGATTCTCCCCTTCGATCCAGTCACCAGTTCTTTGGGTTGGAGAATGAAACAGAGCTGAACAGAATAACCTTGTGATCACCAAATCATCAAATTACCAAATCATCTAATCGCGTTCTGGACGCGGGGCGGGTCAATTAGTCATCCTGGTAGCTCCCTCTTACGTCGATGGTCCCGCTTCAACTGTTCCTTCCTCCCTTACCTCTATTTCCACCATACTTGTTTATCTTGTACAGTTAACGCCTTCCTCCCGTTGCCGGCTCTTTCCTCTGATCCGGCTTGAATAGCTAGGTACCTGGTACGCTAGAAGTTACTTGTTTTTACTCCGCACTATTGAAGGTCTTGCTCGTGGGGCAAGACTTTCACCCTCCATTTACCATCATTCCTTCCGATCTTGCTGTTCGTGAAGCGGCTAAGCCGGGAAAGCGCAGAGCGTCCGAAGACGACATCGCCGCTCGGCCCCAAAAGAAGAATATGTCGGTATGTTGGGCCTTAATCCAGCAAAATGCGGCGTTGCCACTAACCCGAGCTACACTAGGACGTCAAGATGCAGGTGGACAACCCACAGGAGACAGTAGAGTTGATTAAGCAGGGTGAGATCGATGAGTCCCTGTATAGTCGGCAGCTGTGAGTTTTGCATGGTATTCTTTGTTGGCTGAAGCCTGGATCTAACCACTTGCTCTTAGTTATGTGCTTGGCCACGAGGCTATGAAGCGCATGGGTTCGTCCAACGTGCTTGTTGTCGGTCTCAAGGGCCTTGGTGTGGAAATTGGTAAGTATACCAAATATGATATGGCAGCTCCCCAGCACAACTAACCTCTAATGAATCTCTTCAGCCAAGAACATTGCCCTCGCCGGTGTCAAGTCCCTCACCCTCTACGACCCCGCACCCGTCGCTATCTCCGATCTGTCTTCCCAGTTCTTCCTCCAATCAAAAGACGTCGGCAAGCCCCGTGCTGAAGTCACCGCGCCCCGAGTCGCCGAGCTCAACTCTTATGTCCCCGTTACAATTCATGAGGGCAAGAATCTCGTGGATGATCTGGAGCAACTGAAGCGCTACCAAGCGGTTGTACTGACACTTACACCTCTGAAGGAGCAGCTGGTGATCGCAGACTTCTGCCATAAGAATGGAATTTATGTGACAATTACGGATACCTTTGGCCTTTTCGGTTACCTCTTTAACGACTTCGGAAAGAACTTCACAGTCGGCGATCCTACTGGCGAGGAGCCAGTGAGCGGAATTGTCGCCGACATTGCCGAGGATGGCCTCGTGTCTGCTCTGGATGAGACTCGGCACGGACTAGAGGATGGCGATTTCGTGACTTTCACCGAGGTTAAGGGTATGGACGAATTGAACGACAGTGCACCCCGCAAAATCACGGTTAAGGGACCTTACACCTTCACTATTGGCGATGTGTCCGGCCTTGGCTCCTACAAGGGTGGTGGTATCTACACCCAAGTCAAGATGCCCAAGTTTATCGATTTCCAGCCCTTGTCAGAGCAGATCAAGAAACCTGAGTTCCTCATCTCCGATTTCGCCAAGTTCGACCGACCGGCGCAACTTCATGTCGGTATCCAGGCGCTTCACAAGTTTGCGGAGACACATGACGGTCAAATGCCCCGTCCACACAACGATAACGATGCCCAGGAGATCCTCAAACTTGCTGGTGAGCTCGCTGCGGCTGGGGACGAGAAAGTTGAATTGGATGAGAAGGTGATTAAGGAGCTGAGTTACCAGGCCCGTGGTGATTTGAACCCATTGGCCGCCTTCTTTGGAGGTATCGCCGCGCAGGAAGTTCTCAAGGCTGTCTCTGGAAAGTTCAGCCCTGTGCACCAGTGGATGTACTTCGACTCTCTGGAGTCTTTGCCGTCCTCAACTACTCGGTCCGAGGAGAGCTGCAAGCCTCTCGGTACTCGTTACGATGGCCAGATTGCTGTCTTTGGTAAGGAATACCAGGAGAAGCTCTCCAATGTTACCCAATTCCTGGTCGGTGCCGGAGCCATTGGCTGCGAAACCCTGAAGAACTGGGCTATGATCGGCCTGGGTACGGGTCCCAAGGGCAAGATCTATGTCACCGATATGGACCAGATTGAGAAGAGTAACCTGAATCGACAGTTCCTCTTCCGGCCCAAGGATGTCGGTCGCCTGAAGAGTGACTGCGCCTCCGCTGCTGTGCAGGCGATGAACCCTGACTTGAATGATAAGATCGTGACCCTGCGCGACCGTGTTGGCCAAGACACGGAGCACATCTTCGACGAAGAGTTCTGGAACCGGCTGGATGGTGTTACCAACGCTTTGGACAACGTTGACGCCAGAACATACGTGGATCGACGCTGCGTCTTCTTCCGCAAGCCTCTCCTTGAGAGTGGTACTCTCGGTACCAAGGGCAACGTCCAAGTTATCTTGCCGTTCATCACTGAGTCCTACTCTAGCTCCCAGGATCCTCCCGAGAAGTCTTTCCCTATGTGCACCTTGAAGAGTTTCCCCAACCGCATTGAGCATACCATTGCTTGGGCTCGGGATCTTTTCCAGACCTACTTCGTCGGTCCCCCAGAGTCTGTCAACATGTATCTCTCGCAGCCCGACTACATTGAGCAAACCCTCAAGCAGGCAGGCCAAGAGAAGCAAACATTGCAGCATCTCCGTGACTTCTTAGTGACCGAGAAGCCGCTCACCTTTGATGACTGCATCGTCTGGGCCCGTCAGCAGTTTGAGGCGCAGTACAACAATGCCATCCAGCAGCTACTCTACAACTTCCCCCGCGACTCCAAGACCTCCTCTGGTCAGCCCTTCTGGTCCGGCCCTAAACGTGCCCCGACTCCCCTGAAGTTTGACAGCGGCAACCCCACTCACCTTGGATTCGTAATTGCTGGCGCAAACCTGCATGCCTTCAACTATGGAATTAAAAACCCTGGTGCGGACAAGGGCTACTACCGCAAGGTTGTGGATGATATGATCATCCCTGAGTTCACGCCCAGCTCTACCGTGAAGATCCAAGCTGATGACAAGGAACCTGATCCCAACGCTCAGCCTGCTGGAGGTGCCAATGATGGTGAGGAAATCCAGCGTCTCGTGGACATTCTCCCTTCGCCTAAGTCTCTCGCTGGCTTCCGTCTGCATCCTGTTGAGTTCGAGAAGGATGACGACACCAACTACCACATCGACTTCATCGCCGCCGCCAGTAACCTGCGTGCTGATAACTACGAAATCCCCCAGGCGGACCGACACAAGACCAAGTTCATTGCTGGAAAGATTATTCCCGCCATTGCCACTGCTACTGCTCTGGTCACTGGCCTCGTGGCCCTGGAGTTGTTCAAGGTGGTTGATGGCAAGGATGATCCTGAACAGTACAAAAATGGCTTCATTAACCTTGCTCTCCCATTCTTCGGTTTCAGCGAGCCAATGCCTAGCCCCAAGGGCAAGTACCAAGGCAAGGAGGGCGAGGTCACCATTGACCAGCTCTGGGACCGCTTTGAGCTCGAAGACATTCCTCTTAAGGATTTCCTGGCTTACTTTGAGAGCCGAGGCTTGGATATCACCATGGTCAGCTCGGGTGTGAGCTTGCTGTATGCTAGCTTCTACCCTCCTTCCAAGGTCAAGGACCGCCTTCCTCTACCGTAAGTTTTTGATTATCTATCCTTCTACAGTCATTCCGAGCAATACTAACACCACACAGAATGAGCCAGCTGGTAGAGTTTGTTAGCAAGAAGCCCGTGCCAGAGCACCAGAAGAACATTATCTTCGAAGTGACCGCGGAGGACCAGACCGAGGAGGATGTGGAGATTCCTTATGTTATGGTCAAGCGGGCGAAATAAATGGGCACCTAAAGTCCCCACAAAAGTCAGCTATGAGAGGAAGAAGCAGACGTAGACTTAACGATTTGTCAATGAGCCCTAGAATTCCATCAAATTCCACTTTTGCTACATTTGCTTCCAAATGATTTCGTGATAGATTATTTTCCGATGAGTTGATGCTTTGTCAAAGCTGACCGATAAGAGCTGAGTAAGCATCTAGACGTCATCCCCGCAGCTCTTCCATTTTCTCTCTCGTATTCCTCTCGATTTTAGTGGCTATAAAGCTCACTATTCTGCTGATGTTCTCGAAGTTCCTTCGCTCACCAGCGTTGCAATCTTTTTCGCGACCTACAATCATCCGCACGGGGTACTTCACAACTTGCAATCCGTGCTTTTCCGCAATATCACGAACTATGGCTGTACGAGAACCTCATACATCCCTAGTAGTTCTATTACCTAATGACTCTTGACATTCTAACACTATAATCAGACCGGAAACTCTGGAAAAATCACCGATTGGGTGAACCCCAATGACAAGTCGGGCGAGTTCAAGCGTCAGCAATCTGCCTTCCGCAGCTTCATCTCGCGTGAGGCCGGCGCGCAGTTCCCGCCAGAGAAGGGCCGTTACCATCTCTATGTCTCATATGCCTGTCCTTGGGGTAAGAAAAATTGACCAACTCATGACCCTCAATTCTGGTGCTAATATTTCAAAGCTCACCGGACTTTAATTACCCGTAAGCTGAAGGGTCTTGAGGATTTCATTTCCTTTTCGTCTGTGCACTGGCACATGGGTGAAAAGGGTAAGTTATAGTGAAGCTTGTTCTAATGCTTCATTACACCTATATTAACCAGCAAAACAGGATGGCGCTTTGCTACTCCGGACGAAGATATTCCCGGTGAAAATACCATCCCCGATCCATTGCACCCAGAGTATACCCATATTCGCGAGGTCTACTTCTCCAACGACCCAGACTACGCAGGACGGTTCACAGTCCCCGTCCTTTTCGACAAAAAGACCAAGCAAATCGTCAGCAATGAGGTGAATTACATCAAACATACTTGTCTTCTCAAAACCACATACTTACAAACCCCAGAGCGCTGAAATCATCCGCATGCTTTACTACGAATTTGATGATCTCCTCCCAGAGACCTACAAAAAGCTAGATCTCTACCCAACAAATCTACGCGAAAAGATCGATTCAAGCAACGAATGGATCTACAATGACGTCAACAACGGCGTCTACAAATCCGGATTCGCAACCACCCAAGAAGCTTATGAGAAAGCCGTCACGACCCTCTTCAGCTCCCTAGACAAGGTCGAGTCCCACCTCGCCTCGCAGGCATCCGTCTCGCCATTCTTCTTCGGGGACACCGTTACCGAAGCTGATATCCGGCTGTTTACTACTATCATCCGATTTGATCCTGTGTATGTGCAGCACTTTAAGTGTAATTTTCGGGATATTCGTTCTGGATACCCGGCTATTCATCGCTGGGTGAGAGGTCTGTATTGGGATTTGCCGGCTTTCCGGGATACAACGAATTTCGAGCATATTAAGAAGCATTATACGAAGAGTCATAAGCAGATCAATCAGTTTGCTATTACGCCTGTTGGACCCGTGCCGGATGTTTTGCCTAAGGATGAAGAGGTCAATGCTGTGAAGGGGGCTTAGTGGTCTTAGTTTAGGTCTTAATTGAAATTTATGCTGGATTAATCCAAAAAAAATTATATCTACAGGTATCAATGATGAATTGCTGCCATGTTATGAGCAAAGTACGGTGCTACAAAAGACAGGCTACTTCACGCGCTAGATCCATCCATAGATGGAATTGTATTATGTATGACCTCTATCTGACCTTTCTAGTTGACCCAAAGCTAGTGGGATGACTGGATGGTGGGATTGAATCTTCAATATTGACACAGTAGAACAGAATGGAAGGACAAATAAAAATAAAAATAACCCGTGGTATTGCATTGAATCCACATGCCTCGACGCCTTGCCATGCTTATGTTTGGTGAATGGGGTTACCCCAATTTAGCTGCAGGTGAGAACCTCTGTTGAGGTGACATGTTCAGAGAACAAAAATTGAGGCCGAAAGCAAATGCAAATGTTCAGACGATAGGTTCCAATGGGCTAGAAGCCAGAGAAAAATTCAGAAGCAAAATCAAAATGAGATGTGCGGGGCAGGCACACAGAACCGTGCCACGCTGTATGTTGACCTTTTGGAGGGGTATCTTGGATCAAATGGCTCTAAATCAGAGACTGGGAGAAGTTGAGAAACAGAACGGAGTCGAGGGATGAGGGGGCGAGAGCGGTGGAGGATTAGGAGACCTGGGTTGCAGGTTTAGAGCAGTGGTGGTACAAGATTGTCGCTCATTTTAAGGCGAGGAATCGCTTCGAGTTCTCGTAGACCACGTAGCTGATGGACACTGCCGGTGCGACTTTGAGGAGGTTAGGGGTGAGTCCCTTGTAGAGACCGCGGGGCCCCTCGGTTTCGAGAGTTCTGCGTAGAACATCACCAATGCCGTTGTAGGTAGCAGGATGTAAGACGGTGCCTTGGGCTTGTAGTCGGGTACGGAGAACGTTCAGCGGATAAACGACTGAGGCACTCAGACCTCCACTGAGAGCTCCGATGGCGCCAGTGACGAAGTTGTTGAGAGGTATGTCATCTTCGTGACAGTTGTTCAAACGTGCTTGTCGGGCAAGGAGAGCTCGTTTGAGGTATTCAAAGGTTGTAAGATCAATTGCCGCATACGGAAACATGCCGATCAGACCAAGAGGGAGACCGCGGAAGAACCCGAACAATCCATTGGCGTTCCAAACTTTTCTCGCAGTTGCGGCGATAAGCTTATTTCCCTTCAAACCACCTTCGACGGTTGAACATTGCATGCGGCTATTGCGGTCATTAGTGGTAAGTTCACCATGGGTCCGACGAAGGGTACTCACAATTTCAAAGTATCAAGCGGGTAAACGAAGCATCTATAAAACGGTTAGAAATTTGACTTTTAGTAAATGAGAGCAAACCATACTGAGCTACCATTCCACCAATACCACCGGACAAAAATTGCGAGGTTGGTCTGAGTCGCTTGGGATCGTCATGGCCTTCGAATTGGGCAAAGGCACGTTTGGCGGACTATATCATATTAGCTCTGTATATCTCTTTTCAAGGAAGAAATGAAATTACCTCGTAAGCTCCAAACTTGATGGCAGACTCTGGCATGACCTTCACAACATTCAAGCCATTTCCTATACGATATTAGAGCTGTCACTCAGAAGAATCTACAAAAAGATTAACGAACCTGCAAACAAGCTGCGAATTCCACCGGCTTTCCAGAGTTCCTTCAGCGCAACGACCAGAGTTTTCGAAGCGGTCCCCGCGGCAGCCAGGGGGGCACCATCTTTTGCGGCGCGGACAGCGTGTTTCGTTACACCAGTCTTGGCAATGAGATAAACTTTGAGACGGTCAAGAGGCGCAGTGGCCGTCCTGGACACAACGCCAGCGATACCGCCTGCAACGAAGTAACCTAATTTGGGGGTATTCTCGGTCAATCTCCGTTTATAATAGCTGAACGACATCCACATGGCGGTAGTCTTGGGAATGGGCAGCCACTCCAGCTCTAAGTCAGCGTCTGACAAAGCCAAGTCCTTCCCGAGGATTGGTGACAACTCTGCGGCTGGGCTGGTTTGCGCGTCGGCTGACGAAAGGAGGGAGGCCAGGATAGGCAGGGAAAGGAAATGGTACAAGAGGGTCTTGGCGACAGGAAGATAGTTAAGAAATGAGAGGTCTGTACCTAAACCCTGCAGGTCATTGATGTGCACATCTCCTTCCGGGTTTAGATTGCCCGTAGCAGTGTAGTAAGATAGAACAGCGTGAAGGTCGGCGGGAGATTGGAGTGGTAGGAAGAGAAGGAAGTCCCTGAAACAAAAAAGTATACATGTTAGTCGCAACGTGATTCAGTAGAGTATCCACTTGGTCAGGAGTAGTGAAAGGGATCAGTGAATTAGAGCTGTAAAAGGTGGGTGTTCGAACCTCCATTCCGCGTAAGAGATCACCCCGTCATTGTTTTTGTCCACGTCTGCGAAAAATTCGTCTAGATTCGAAGTCGATACCGTCACGCCCGATTTCGAAAACGCATTGCGCAGCTCAGTTTTGTCGATTTCTCCGTTGTGGTTGTGATCGATGCTCTGGAACATCTGCCATAGGCCCGACTCGGTCTGGTTGATGAAAGCTTGGAACTCTGGAGCAAGGATTAGGAGGGTCCAAATAGACAGCGCGTAAGCGCCAGCGGCGCAGCCCAAACTTGTCAAAAAGAAATCATACCGTCATAGTCTATGCGGCCATCGCCGTTGGTATCAACTTCGCGCAAGATGCTGCGGAGCATGCCATCTGCATTTTTCAAGGCTACAGACCGCGTCAGTCGGAAGCTTTCGGCATCATTTCGGGTCAACAACTCACGGTGGTCGATCTTCTTCAGCCCTTTCTTCAGGCCGTTAAGATCGATGTGGCCCTCTTTGCGCGTATCCAACGTTTTCCAGAGCCGAGCAACTCGTTCGTCGCGCTCATCTTTCGACTCGCCGGGTGCCATATTTCGGGAGGGAAATTGTTATCGAGCACCCGGCATCATTCAAGGGAGCATATTCTGAGGTAGGAGTGATTCGTGACGTGAGGAGTCGTAGTAAACCGGTCACCCTTTGAAGATCGTGAAAAGCTCGAAGGTTGACAGTTGGCGGAGTGGGGTTGAGAGGTGAATGATTAATCGGGGCCCGATCATTGCTCCAAGTTCAACGCTTGACGCCATCACCGAGCACGGGACCAGGGTTGGACCCTAAACCCGATTGGGCCAGCTTCACTCTGGCCTTATCCAAGATGACTTCAATCTAACCGTGAAACCCCTAAACACCATGAATGACTAAATGAATTAACATCCCATGTTCTATCATGGCCGCCAACTATTGGGCCTCGACTCAGCGTCGTCATTGGCTGTTCTCACGAGAGAGACTTGCCGATATTCGGGAGAAACTACGTGAGCAAGATAAGGTCTCCCATTCACAGTTCCCGCTGCCGGATCAGCGCCTGTTGAACATTTATTGCAATCAACGTGAGATTACTGTTGCTCTGCTTTAATAATATATGCTAATTCATCCTCAGAGCTCATCAAGCTGGGGAAACGCATGTCCACCCGACAACAAGCCATTGCTACAGCTCAAGTCTATCTTAAGCGGTTCTATACCAAGAATGAAATCCGTCAAACAAACCCGTATCTTGTGCTTACCACGGCCTTCTATTTGGCCTGCAAGATGGAAGAGTGCCCCCAGCACATCCGCTTCGTGGTCGGAGAGGCCCGCGGACTCTGGCCAGGTGCGATATATCATTCTAATTCGCCAATGAAAGCCAAGCCCATGCTGATCATTTTCGCAGAATTCATTACTCCAGATGTTGCCAAGCTGGGAGAGTGCGAATTTGCACTCATCTCCGAGATGAGTTCTCAACTCATTGTGCACCACCCGTACCGAACCTTAACAGAGCTGCAAGACGAGCTACCTCTCAGCTCTGATGAGGTTGCACTAGCCTGGTCTGTGATAAACGATCACTATCTGACCGATCTTCCGCTTCTGCATCCACCACACATAATTGCCATCATGGCCATCATTATTTCAGTTGTTTTCAAACCCGCGCACTCTAGTAACTTTGGCGGGTCGGCCCAGTCGACCTTGTCCGGTGCCATGCGAGATGGAAATGGGATGAATATGCTCGCAGCTCTATCAGATAAGACTGGCCATGGTCCTCCTCGCATTCAGAAGTTGGTTCTCTGGCTGGCTGAGAGCGAAGTGGACATCAAGGCCGTTATTGAATGTACGCAGGAACTGCTCTCATTATATGAGGTGTGGGAGCAGTACAGCGAGAAGAATTGTAAGGAACTGATTGGACGCATGGTCAAGACGAAGAACTTGGATAAATAACGGATCTACGGGGTGTTCTATTTCTTTTATGGTACAGCATGAGCATTTGGTTATTAGGAGTTAAGGTCATTCATGTCGGCTACATTCATCCCCATAAATGTTGCATTGACATATTTTGTATGTTAGCGGTTCATCACATTATACTTGCAATCCGACGCACGTCTACACTATGATCGGCTCGGGGCTGTCATTTCTAAGCACTTCCAAATCATAGATGAGGCTATGGCGACCTGGAACTGATGTCTATGAATCTGGATTCGAAGGCTGTGTGATCCATGTGGCTGTGGCTGTGAACCTCTTATCAATCTATACTGCGCTTTGTTGAGCGGGAACCTCGGAACGTCCTAGTCCGGCGACATTCCTCAGGTTTAGTCGTTCAGCAACAAAGCATTAGCTCTATCGGGTCCCTTAGATTATTTCATACGAAGATTATATTTTGAGCACTCGGTCTGGCCATGAGACTCGAGGTGCCACCGAGAAACCAAGTGGCAGTGAAGCGCTAACATCGGCGTCGCCGCGGTCGGCCAGGTTACACGGAGTAACACAACTCGAGTTCGTCCGAAGCAGAATGGAACATGCCGTGGTCCTCACATTTGTTACTACTATGAGAGCTACTTGTCTTACGCCATAACCTCGTAACCCCCGCATTAGCATTGACATCCCACCTAGTCAAACAATTTCCGAACCGGCGTCGAGTAAACAAGGCCACTTGGAAACCGCCCGGGCCAACCAGACTGATTACAGTCCCTTGCGTGGCCTTGGGGAAGGACCAAGCTCCCCCCTCACTGGTAAGATACCTGCAGTTAAGATCGAACCGAGCCCAGGGGCTATCATGTCATGCACGCATGGGTTTCGATCTGTCAGCTGCATGATTCAAGCTTCGTAACGGGACCTCCACCTGGCCATTGCGCCCGTGCGTTATATCATGTCGTATTTCGAATCATCATACGAGATTAACGTGTGGCCAATTCATTGCCTTTCAAAGAAGCGGTGAGTTGGAATTTAAAGTGTTCCGGCGACCGGGGCATCCGGTGCACGGGACAGCAGAGTACCCGCGTATCTATTTCGAGTCAGAGTCTATCTGAGACGGGGATGGAATTTGTTGCAGTAGGCGCTCGCATCCCTCAGGAGTACCCCTTAGACCTACATCGCTCCGTATGGAGATGTGAAGACATGAAACCCAAAGACCAAAGAAGAATCCTTATTCGGCGCCACGATGATGTGGAACCCTGCAGTGACAAGTGTCCGACCGGAGTCGGTTGGGTCGCAGAGTAGAGGAAGATACTACCCAAACGGTCCTCATAGCGCTTACTAGGAAAATAAATTACAATTTCTTTTCCTTCGATGCTATTCCTAGTCCGGATCCCGTAGACGTGGGCTTATCCGTTTCGGGAGATCGGGAAGGCGATGGATCAGGTCAGATCTCGGGGCCACCAATAACGAAGAAGACCACCTGCAGCTAATAAGTTGGGAAGAGAAAAGTTCTGTTCGGTGGTCAAGGCGCTGCAGGTCGAAGAATTGGGGAATGTCCCCAAAATTGTCGATCGCCGATCCGCAGCCACAACCGACTTGTGCCTGGTCGAACAGGCTGTGCAGAACAGAAAATCGGAACTAGATTAGCACAGATTACCCCAATCCCCAACCTCCACAAGGCTGTCAAATGCAAAGCATCAGAGTGCAGGGATTCGCATCCGGACAAATGGGAGAAGAATAGGGGTGGTTGGTGAGAATGGAGTGGAGATTGAAGATATGGAGCATTGTTCGAAAGCCCTACAGTGAATGAAATTCCAGAAAGTTACCGAGTGTGGAGGTGTACGGTACCAACACAAAGGGGAAACAAAGTAGATCTCGTCACTCTTTTCCTTAATGCGGCTTAGTCTTCATTGGTCGTCGACGTCACGTTTTACCCAATTATACCAGTAATTGATCCGGCATTTGGAGAGTGGAGTCAATAGAGTTAACCCAGTCGATGCTCATTGGCGGCAATCCTCGTTCCTCGCCACCTTCGTTGGTGCGTGACCCTCGCTAGCGCCGTGTGTCCACCAACAAGGTGGTGTCACCGCCCATACCAATCTTTCATAAATTTCATCATTCATCACGTTGATTCGCACGTTGCAGCCCTTGCTCTGTGGCTGCCAGTGACAATACATGACCATACCTCACCCTTCTGAGTCTCAGCCCCATAACACCCCTCTTTTTTCTCTTCTCCTTCCCACACACCTTTCCATCAGTTCTTCACTACTTTCTTCTTTTTTCCCCCCAAACCAATATCGTTCGCCAATTTCTTTTCTTCTTTCCTCCTCAACTTATATACCATCTTTGATTATACTTGGGTGCTGGATTACCACCATTGTCAATTACTTTCACCATGTCTGCCTTCATGTACACCCACCACCAGCAACAACAACACCACGCACACCACGGTGCTCACATGCCATCAAATAACCACCACGGCCGGTCTCGTCGTGCTCCTAAGATGGCTACCCAGAATGCCCAGCGTCAGTTCCGAGGTGTCAAGAGCATGCGGGAGTTGGCCGAGGCTCCCGCCGTCACTGCCTTCCGGGCTCGTTTCGAGGCCGGTCGGTCTTTTGATCTCGATGATGACTTGGAGTTCTGCCCCAACCTTCTGACTGATGAAGATGTATGTTTTCTTATGATCGGAATCCGTCCGATGCTTTTCCCCCTATTGTTCCTCTCCTTCCTTGGTTGTGGACCGGGATGAGAATCATCCGAACAGCCTGAATTAACTATTTTCCAGTTGCACTCCATCCACTCCGCTGGTTCCGACCGCTCTTCTCTGTCTAGTGGCTCCCCCGATACTTCGCCACTGCAGCACCAGATCCAGCCAGTGCAGCAGGTCACTCCCGCCATCTCCCTCTCTCCAGCTTCCGCCAACTCTTACGTTCACGGAGTCGCCAACCCTAATCACCTCAACTACCAACAGCAACCTGCCAGCCGGACCCGCAAGGTTATTCCTATCGTCAACCCCAACACTGGAATGTCCTTGGCCAGCCCACCGTCGTCCATCTCCCCCGCGATGGCCATGCAGGCTCAGCGCCGATGGTGAGGACGTTGGTTCCATTGAAAATACGCGGCGCTTGCGCCCCCTTCTGCCCTAGCGGCATGTTCTATTGCACGTCACCTGCGTCTATCTGCATCATCGGGTCCCCCTAATCGCAGGTCTTAATTACTTTTTATCCCTTTTATCGCATATTTGTCCGATACGACTATTTGCATTCGACACGACTCACATCGGAAAAAAAATCTTACGAACGGCGAAACAACCAAAACCTTGCTTAAAAAAAATCAAAAACTCGACAAAATCTGGCTTTGTATATACCAGGCTTCTGGACCATCCGCCGATTTACGACTCTTTCGCCATGCATCTTAGATCCTTTGTGATGCTTTTAGCTTGTTGCGAGCGACGGCGCCTGCGATTTTGATTCCTTGCATCTCTTCTTTTGTTTTTCCAAACGATCACGTCTCTCCGGAGGGACTATTTTCTTTGGCCTATGTGTCTTTCGGTTGGGCCACCGATGATGTATAGAATGTGTGGTGACTTGCTTTTTTTCTCGACGTGCATGTCCCTGGGGACAGGAGTTGAAGTTTTTCTTTCTTTCAGGGAGAAGGGTTGCTTGCAAAGCATATTTTCTTGGGCCCTACTCACCTACGCTGTGACTTATTCGACGACTTCTTGCTTCTTTGGATTTGTTTTTTTTCACTGGGGTTATTTTTCTCTTGGGCGGGATGGATATCACATTTTTTCAAGGATCTAGAGGCGGAAACGATACACGTCTGCATTGCTTGGGCACTGTTGAAATACCTGGGTTTGTTTTTTTTGTTTTTATTGCTGGTTTGCACATCTCTTTTTATCTTGGTTCCTGTATATCGGTTTGGGGATGGTTGATACGCGATACTCATTGCTTCCTGCCAGTGGCTGGTTGGGATGCGAAACCATGGGATGCGGAGTTGTTTTTCATTTGAGATCGATATCCTGGGGGTCTCTCGCGGGTTGGGCGAGTCATAGACCATATGCGTTTGAAAATGGCTTTTTGGTTTTTCTATCCTTCGCTTCTTGTTTTTGCGTTGAACTCCAACTCCCGGGGAGTTACGCTATATGATCTCTTTATTTCTTGCACACTGTCATTTCAAATGCATCTCTTTTGTTCATATTTTCAATTGTCCTACAGCTGATAATTCCTGGATAAATCGATGTTAATCTCTTCTCTATACATTCTTGTAATCCTGGATATCTACCTTGATAGCGCTAGGGGATGGTATGAATCCTTCATACTCCCCTGAAAACGACATTGTACGTCATGTTTCTATATGACATGATGTCACCCCTAACTCCGCATTGTCAAAGGGGCGAAGTGGAATGATCTGTTATCTACTGTAGGAATTGATATTCCTATGACGACGAAACTCCGGATCAAGGGAAGATCAGTTCGGTCTCGATCTTTTAGACGAAGTGGCAACCTGTTGGGTTCCACATATGTCCATATTCTTCGAATCCTGTTCGCCCTTCCAGATTGCAATCTCCTCACTTGGTATTTCCAAACCCTTACATGCGGTAATAAACAGATTGATTCATATCAATCACCACATTCAGATATTCCAATCCGGGTCAATCCCCATCGGCTGCTGATATCTGAGAATATCGCCTCCTCCGAACGCATTATCCCGTCTGCGCATCTTCCGACGCACCATGCTCACATCATATCAAGCTAACTTTCGCTGCATCTTATAAAAATGCCATATGATTGGCTCAAGGCCATCTGATAAGCGTCGAAAGATTAATGTGAATTGTTTCCATGGATCTCGGCATGCCTCTCCAATGCAAGATTTCACTACCATTAGGAGAGCATTAAGTCGACTAACAGTTTGAGAAATTTCTCCACATACCTAAATCCATATTCCTGGAGTCAGAGTCGTAGTATTTCGCGAGCATATTGATCAGTTGCCTGCACCCTGTGAAAACCAGAAACAATTCTCAAAGAACATCTGAGATTGAACATCCCAAATCCCAGTAATCTTATCGAGGACATACTCACATGCAGGTACCTACTTATTCACACTAAGCTACTAAAAAATAGGAAGGTCGCTGAGGAGTGATACAGTCGCCTTCTCTTACTAAGGATTGAATGTTGTATAATCCGGCTTGAAGCGTTATCTTACATGCTCTCGAACCACAAGGGAAACAATGAGCATCGTTACCATTAGCACCCCGTAGAATCCATGAGCATAAGAGCCATTATGAATACAGCTGAAGCACTGACCGAGAGGGGAGCTGGAGTAGAGTGCGCCGCCACCATCACCGGTAATCATTGTTTGGGATCCAGCGGAGTCAATCAAACTCTTTCGATTTTACTTTTGTGAGGACAATATCCCCAATGTTGAGATTAGCGTCAGGCGGTATCTAGTCCCCAGTAAATGCTGTAATAGGACGTTGAATCTCAGTTGAAGTAATGGGCCTAAATATTTTGCGAACTGACCTAGGGATTTGATTACTAGCCACAGTATATCTAAAGTACTACGGCGGCGCGCCAGGCGGCGTGAGCAATCTGACAACACGTACTGTACAAAAATACCGAGGAATACATCAATCCTAGATGTGTCCTCACAAGTAATTATTTGATCATATTGATCGAAGTTCCACTACAAAGAGTAGGCAAGCATGATATTTGGCGCTCCTATCTCTGGGAGCGCCACGGGAGTTTCAGCTTTGCACTCAAGGTCTGGGATGATATCTTTGCCGGTCCCTCATCCATTGTTCAAAAATATATGGATATTTTGCGTCTAGTGGCATCTGCATGTGCGCAAGTAGCGAATTATGGTGGAGGAGCAAGCGCGCGCCATTTGAATCTAACATGCTTGGGCGTCAATGCTCTTCTCAGCCATGCGCTGACTAAATACGGAATTTGCCCCGCCAACTAACTATTGCTTGCCCGCAATCTTCTACCAACCTCGAATTCTCTGCTCCCCGCGTATATCACTGGAAAGCAAATGGCCGTGTTGATTTTTGATCCTCCTGTTGCAATCTCAGAAACTCGCACAACGGCAGTTAAATATGGCGGAGGTGGTCGGTACTGCATCAGCTATCGCGACCTTCGTGACACTTGCTCTCCAGTCTTCTATAGTCCTTTACCAAACAGTTCAAAGCCTGCAATCGCGGGACAAGGTGATTCGTGAGCTTCGCCAAGAATTAGAAGCTCTTCAGGGAGTGCTTCAGGCTCTCCAAGAATCGACCGGTAATCTCGATGTCGATCTCGCATCGCTTGAACAGCCTCTCAAGCGGTGCAATAATGCTTGTGAGGAGTTCAATACCCTTATCAGGAGATGCACCTCACATTCTACTGAAGACCGAAGTAGTAGAAGAGACTGGGTCAAATTGAGATATATGGGAGAAGACATTTCCGGTTTCAAGAACATGTTGGCGGGGTATAAATCAACCATTTCAATTGCCCTTGCATATGCAAACTTGTAAGTGCCTATTTGCAATCCTTGTCGGTTGTCTTCTGGTTAGCCTAATATGATATCTCAAGGCGCACAACAAAGACTACGAGGCTTGTACTCGAGGAATATAAAGAACTCATCGAGAATACAAAATATGATCTAGAAAGTCATTTGCATGATATCCGGGCACGACTACAAACCGCATGCTCTCAAGGCTCTGTGGTTTCCGGTGCTGGAACAGCCGAAATCCAAATGATGGAGGATGAAAAGAACAGCACACAAAAGAGCTTGGATATCTGTGAGCAGTTCCTTGGGTTTATAGACCAGGCTCGACCTAGTCTATTGGGTGATGTAGGACAATCCTCGAGGCCTTTCAGTCATACGCCTTTGTCTGCGGCTCCTACCCTATCATGGTTGATCAATGCGGAAGGGCTCAATTCTGCACAGAAGGAAATTACGAGTTGGAAACTACGGCTGCTCCAGCATATGTATGGAGTTGGTCAAAATATGCAGGGACAACAACGCTACCTGCCTAACGTGGCTGAGGAGCAGACATCTGCAGAACAAGATTTCAGGGAAGAATTAAGCGGTACTGAAGACCTATTGGCATTCTGCAAGCAAGCTGAGGAAGAAGCGAATCGACCCCGAACTCACTACTTTGAGGACATCAGCACTGGTGACAACAGCCGGCAAGCTATTGTCACTACCCTCGAAGATCTTATATCTGCGAAGCGCGTGAAGTCTGGCGATAGCTCATATCAGGCGCTTGGCAGAATGTCGGATGAGAGTATACAATCTTTTTTCCGGGGCGCCGAGCCTGGTGCTAATGCAAATGACCAAGCCAAGCAGAAGGGAGAGTAATCTACTTGAGAACCACTTGAGAGATCACGCTCTTGCTACTGAAGAATATATTAACACCTTACAATCAAGTACACAAGTCTCATTTAAATATTCATTCTTGGCTCGTACCCCAGTGCTACTCATTTGTATAATGTCTTGTGGCTAGGATAAACGGCTTGCAGGGATGGGAATGAGATGGAAATAAGGGCACGAAGAATAGATAGAAGAAATGGTCTAGTACTCGGAAAACGAGCCTTCCTAAAACGATTTGATGCTAGACAAACGAAACATCACATGCAAACCAGTTCAACACTTCCATAATATTAGATCGCAAATCAAATATCCGTTTTTGCGCCATATAATCCATGATGTCATGGTTCATGGACAGCCCATATTGCATGATATATGTACAGTAGGCTTGACAGCGTCGATCCCCCGCAAAGAAGCGTTCATGAACGACACTGCATATGTAACACAGTAAAGCATTATAGTAGTCAATTGAATAAAAACCTATTTCTGTCGCTCGGCCTTCTCCACCGGATACTCATTCCCGCCCACTCTATGTTGAGGTATCGCTGACGTCATATGCGGGACTGCAAGCACGGTTACCAGGGATCGAATCAAGGGTAACTAATTGGCGAGCAATCATAGCTTCCCTGTCTCGTATAATGACGCGGGGTTTCTTCTTTCTTCCTTTACTCTCTTCCCCTTCATCAAAAGACCTACAATCCCAATACCTTTTCTGCAGAACTCATACGCAGACGACATACTTCTCTTCAAACATCCTACCATATTCACATTACCAAGATGTCTTTCCTTACTTCGCTCCGCATGAGCTCCGGTCGCCTTGTGCAGTCCAGCTATGCGATCCCGGCAACCTCGGCATTCCACACGACAGCCATGCAGAGAGGCCTGAAGGAAAACGATCACAGTCAGTCATCTATTCCATCAATCAAGATTAAACGAGCTAACTAGTGACCCAGACCGCGACAACCTTGCGCATCACTACGAGTCCGAAAAGCATATTCACGTAAAGAAGGCTCAGGATGGTACGGCAAAGTGGACGGAAGTTCTGGCGAGCAACAGTGAAGCTGATGTACGAGGCTCTTCTTTTTTCTTTATCATTATCAGTACTAACTCGCTGTACAGGTCAAGGCGGATCGAGGTGATCTCGATGCTGATGACAAGGACTTCCAACAGATGCAGGAGCAATTAAAAAAGGGCAGAGAGGCAGCAAAGTCATCTTGATCGGATGAACACAGTCGAACCTGTTGATGGCGTCTAGGAGCATCTATGAGAAACTTGATAATGCATTCATCTTATAAATTTCTTCAAGAGGAACCTTGGATACGCTTGCTTATAGAGGTAGAACGGAAAGCAAATAACAGAGTCTAGAGCGGGACTCGGTTTAACGTCGTAGATAATCATAAACGCCAGAGTGGTCGATCCTATCAAATCCAAAACGCCCGCTTGTAACAGAAAGCCAGAGCAGAGCAAAGAGCTGAAGCCTATTTCAATATGACAATCAAGATAACCAAAACAATAATCAACCCTATGATGGTCATCATACTCCAGTTCTCACCCGCCTTGCGCCGGAACCGGTCCAGCCGTCGGCGCGCAGTATCCAGTCGGCCCTGATGCCGTTCCACGTCGCCATCCATACCATCTAACAGCGCGACATGACCATCAAGTTCATCCCCAATCTGGATACTCAGTTGGTGTTGTCTTCCGATGGACTCGCCCAATCGGTCAAGCTGGTCATCCTGATCACGCATGACTTGGTCGTGATGCAAGTAAATTTGTTCATTGTCCATGTTCGACATGTCAGGACCTGGCGGCGAGGGCTGATCACGATACGGACGGAAGAGATTCTGTCGGTTGCGATTCTCCTCGTCGTCAATCTCTTCCTGGATGGCTGCCGCGGCGGCGGAGTTATCCATGAACCGCACGGACTTAGACGGCGGATGTTGGGGAACGGGCTGCTTAAGGTCGGGGGTTACGGAATTCGACGCCTGCGCCGATTCGCCGTAAAATTGTGATGCAAGGTCGCGATATTGCTCGTGCAGAGGAATCAGTTGGTCCTTTAGCGCTGCGGCGCCAGTACTGTCGTGCGAATCCGCTAGCCGGGCCTGCTCGGCTTCGACGGCTTGGATGCCTTCTTGAAGGGACTCGAGGGAACGAGAGATCTCGCCATCTTGGGCGTTGGGTTCTAAGTCGAGAGAAATGGCGCGTTGTCGCTCCAGAAGAGAGAGTTTGATGTGGTCGGCGAGGAGGAAGAGCTGGGATGGGTTCGCCATTGTGGTCTAAGGAGTCTAGACGGGATGTTGGGTTCCCGCTCAGGGAGCTGGATTGATGAGTCGAAATAGAAGAGGCTCAGTTGTGGAAACTGCTGGAGACCAGCCGATCAGTATCGGGAGAAATCGTGGGGTGGATGATTGATGTTATGGGTTGGGAAGGTGAAGGCACCAACGACGATCTCACGGGTCTGCGCTCAGCCGCTTTCCGCCTTTCGCCCCTACTGCTCTCCCCGCAATAATTCAAATCCCACCTTGCGCATTCTTCTTCTTCACACTCCCTTGAAAGGGCGCTGTTGCTAAGCCGCTGCTCGCTTTACTTGCATGTCAAATATCGGGTGAATACCCTACGGCCCGGTGCCTCTCTCATGGATCCCTTGTGCCCTCTGTTCAACCTCGGTATCTAGATCCGAACTTGTCGTTCACCTGCATTTAGACCCGCCTCCGCACTGCCCTGCAGAACAAGCATCAACTTAAACCCTGAGCCTTCGCAGGCGAAAGACGAAACCATGATGGATCTACAGGATTTTTTGGCCCTTGATGCCGACTGCGACACCGAAGACCAAGTCGACCTGCGCGCTCTCGAATTCGTCTCCAGCTACGACTCCCACTTGATGTGCCCGATCTGCCACTGCCCCTTCGTCCAACCTGTGCGCCTACAATGCGATCATGTTTTCTGTGAGAAATGTCTGCGATCGGCCATCACCACTTTCCGCTCGGCCGAGTCAGACGAGTTCCCGTGTCCGTCATGCCGAACCCCCACCAGTCAGGTATCGATGAGCGTGCCCCGCCTACTGATCAACATGTGCGACGAAATTCAAGTACGATGTCCACTGGCTGGAGAAGGTTGTCAGGAGCTTGTTCCGAGAGGTCATGTCCAGTCGCATGTGGACAAGTACTGTGGGTATCGGTTGATACAATGCCCGGATGAATCGTGCGATAAGAAGACACGGAGAAAGGATCTGCAGGCGGAAAATAGATGCAGACATAGCTACTGCCGGTGCTCGCGATGTGAAGAGGATGTGATGGAGCAAGACTACGAGGTTCGTTTTTCAAATGGTCTGAACATACCTCAAGAAGTTGGTACTAACTTGAGGCATGATAGGAACACGACAAGGAGCTATGTCCCAGCCTGGAGACAACCTGTATTGGTTGTGGGACTAGTGTTTTACAACGTACTCTGAAAGCCCATATTGAAGCATGCCCCGAGGTTATTAGCTCTTGCGCTGCCGCCAAATATGGGTGCCCGACCAAGATTCGACGGGCCGAGATAGCAACGCACGAGCAGCAGTGTCCGCTTGTCGCGATAGGCCCATACTTCGAGGCACAAAATACTCGATTGAACTCTCTCGAGCTCACAATGCGACACCTGCAACAACGGAACGAGATCTTCGAGGACGGCATGGCCAATATTCGAACCACCCTGGTGGAGTCATCACGCATTGGCGATCGCAATGGTACAAGTTTTGCCGATGAAACAGAAGAACCCGCCGACCGTACATCGAATGTCTTCTCATCCAACGCCACCACATACCTGCTTTCTCTCCACGAGTCCCTGCGTGAGGAAGTCAGCCAGATGTCTCATGCCCTTACGGACCTTGATGCCAGAGCTAGCATGACTATTATGAACGAGTGTCTTCGAATCAAAGAAGACATGGCACACACGAATGCCGCAGTGAATAGCATTCGCATGCAAGTCCAATGGCTGATGAACCCTCGGCTTCACAACGGTACAAGGGCAGGAGGCGTCCGTCCCAACGCGAGTACCGGAAACGAAACTCGGTCTCAGTTAGCGTCTGCACCTGGTCCTGGCAATGTTGCTGGTCCTTCCCTAGGTCCACTCCGACCTAGACGGCCCAGCGATAGTGGACGCGAGGGAACCAAACTATAAGGTTTCGCCTGGATGTTTTTATAAGCGTTGCATTTTTTTTTTCTTTTCGGAGGTTGAACAGGGAGTTTCGGGACTTTAAGTGTCTTTTGTTACACTTATAGGTACATGACTGATGATCGGGCTGGGTCGGATCTGGACGGATTTCATTCTTCTAATAATAGCATAGACGGTACTTATGGGTACATGACTTGGGTATATTGACCTCCCATGTTCTTGCCCTACTTGTCTAGTTGGATATCATTGACTAGCAACGATCTAGTATATCTCAATGCAGAATCTGTTCTCTAATAACGTTGGAATGGTATTCAATAATATCCGTACAATGATCACCATAGAACACAGCGAAGGACCCCCATCTGCATGATCTGGGCTTAATGTCAGTTTAGACGGTAGATGCAACGCAGGAACTGGCTGACAAAGCGATTCAGGATTATCATGGGATGGTGAACATATGATCAAATATAATAAGTCCTCAAGAGTATGAGGCAGAAGCTGAAAGTCAGATGAACTGGATTAAGTTTATCCAGAAGAGGATTAATGTTTAGTATTCGTCACTCCTTGATGGAGGAAAAATCAATGATTACATCCATGGATTCCAAAGACAAATTCAATTTCGTAAAACAGCTGAAAATCTCTAATTATTCAACATGAACTTATCCATTACGTACCAACTGAAAGCAAATCCAAGGAAAAGATGATTTTCATGCATGACTTACGCAGCTTGACAGTCAGGCAAAAGCACCGAAACAACGCTAACAGCAGAGGGGTTAGCTTCTTAATCCCTGCTAACCCCCGCTTCATTTATAGGATCATTCTTATGCAAGTACCCAAGTGTGGTTAGTAAGTGTAAGAAAAAGTGGCATCATCGGTCCAGACCCTGGCCACGAAACGTACAGTTATCACATTTCACGCACATTAGTCTGAGGTATTTATCCACTCTATGGTGGTGACATACAACGATCCAATTAAGCATGAGAAACCCTCCGCATGGAAAGCCAATTACCGTAAGTTTGCAATATTAACCGAACAAGACGTACCTGTCGTAACCAAGAACTGTATCTACTCTGAGGTGGCACAACACGTTTAGCTGGCATGAAATCCCCGTATATAAAGGGCGTGGTGTCTCACGCAGGCTTCTTTAGGTATCAACGTACTCTTCTCAATTGAAAATTCGATCATGTTCCAAATCCTATACGCTGCTTTCCGTGAGAATGGCAAACCTGCTGGCAAGCCTCTTGCTCTCGAACCCCCTAGTCCTAGTCTCGACCTCTCCTCAGAAAAAGTACTATCTGTTGTTCATTGCGATGAAGTTGGGCCAGCTATCGTCGCTCAACACACTCTCTGTGATGAAATCGAACATCCCCAGGTTCTTCCTGGAGCTATGAGCTATAGGCTCCTCAATTCCATCGATGCAATTGAGGATGCACACCTAAAGAAACATATGCGGAAAGGTACTACTGCCATTGAGACTCTGGAACGTCTTCTTCAGAGAGTCGCCCCGGGGATCAATCCGGTTATTAATATTGGAAAGTCTGCTTTTATCTGTAGTCCACAGATGTCGGATGAGAACCAGTGCTTCAACATGTCAGAAGTTTTCAATGAGGTCCAGCTCCAATTCGGCAATGGCGTCAAATCAACCCAATACTTCAACGCACGTTTCTCAGCAATCAAACCCAGGCTTTTGAAAGGTCCCTCTCCTGTTCGGTTCAGGAGCATTCACATTAATTCCGGCATGTGTTTGGGTTCCAAGGCAGCCTTGGCAATGTCCCCAGGCCATGGCCAAGGTGACGAATGCGTTATCCCCAAGGTACCCGAAAACGAAGAGCCGACTCTGTATGAGCTAGAGACTATCGCCCGACTTTCGTCTGGTATTGCAGATGCTGCCGCACTTTTTGGAGGCTGCAGTAGCCACACTGCAATTAGTGTCAGCCTCGACGTCCCCGATTTCCAGTACTACTGGACTGTCTGGGAGCTCTTCAACAAAAAGCTGGTTACGATGAGATATGTTCAAGAATGGATGGCTGCTATCAAGAGGAGGCGGAGTCAACTCCAAAACATAATGGTGTCTACCATTTATAAAATGTTAATGGATCGGGGAATTGGTGATATCAAAGTGAACCTCGCCTCTTCTACGGGAGCGGCAGTGGAACTACTCCAGGAGAGATCTCTATCTGGCATCGTTCCCTCTCTAGAGGAACTCTTACTTGCCTTACAGACACAGGGGACTGACTCTGCCCAATGGGGAGAGTTCCTCACCCACCTCGAAGCAGGGGAACAACCAGCGGATGGTACAGACCTCGGAAAATTGATGTATGTTTTCGAGGCCGTAAGATATGCCCTGAAACCCCAATCTCCAACAAATGAGAACGCACAAGAATCCCATGGTGAAAAGCTCATCATCTTCCTCGACGACACGGCAGAATGTCGGATATTCAATCGCGCAACCAAATTCATCAAACGCTACTCGGAAGAAACAACTATGATTGGTCTATTTCCCTTACAGCAGATTCTAGCCGCTGGCTATGGCCGCTCAGACCTCTATATGAACTGCCCAGGCACAGATCTACGTCTGGAACGTGGGGAACTGAGAATCAATCTATTCGATGTCATTAAAATGACCTACGGGCCGCAAGCTGCAACACTACTGCAGCGTTCGTGTCAGGAGCAAGGCTTTCGGACCGAACTGGCCGACAGACGTCATGAGAATGGATGGCCTCTTTTGACACAGGATACTTTCAAATTCTTGGGGACATGTGCGGCAATTGGAGCTGCTATTTGGTTCAAGGGACGGTTGTGGAGCTAGATGACAGGGGCTGTTGAGAGCCAATCATGAAACCATGCTATTACTGTTGCATGCAAGCAGTGTGGTCAAAAGCACTGGTTATGGTCTAATTTGGTTAGTTGAGCTATTTTCAGAAATGCCACCTATTTCAGCCTTGAGCTAGAAAGCTGGTGGTCGATAGCGCCTAAATGTGCAACGGCTGTGTGTAGGAGGGGTTCCCCCACCATTCCCCCACCTTGGGCTCTGTGATGTTTCATGCTCTACAAATTAGTCTGGAGTTTTCGCAGCGAGGCTTTCAGTTCTCATGCGCATGTGCAGGAAAAAAGAGACTTATCCCAGTCTCGAATATTTGTGGTATATTCTATTGCTGGGGGAAACAAAAACAAAAGGGGAAACAAAAACAAAAAGAACCGAACGCGGGGGTCGAACCCGCAACCTTGAGATTAAGAGTCTCACGCTCTACCGATTGAGCTAGCCCGGCTGGGCTTGTTGAAGGAGATTCCATTTAGTGTTACATAATCCTAAAAACTTTTCCACTGTCTCGATTAGTCCAGGCAAATGAACTGCAATGGGATAAAGCGTAGTATATTAGTTTCTTTATTTGTTGTCGATGCTAACTAGTAGTTCTCAATTCTAGGTATCTATCTAGGTAGGTTTTTGTCTTCGTACATGCCAGGTAACCATTTGGCTGAGGGGGCTCTCTGCCCAGCATTTCCAGAGTGAAGATTCCTCGGAGATATATGTTAACAGGAACCAGGGCGAACCAGCTCCTCCATAACAAGGACCTCAGGAAAAACTTAACAGCTCACTTGGGCTTGGTAATTGGCCGAATATCGAAACGAATATCCAACTCATCAGCCTTATTGTAAGTAATAATCCGCACAATGCGGCGCGTCCCCCGTTCAAAGCCACCCAACACAAGATAAGCCACCGTCCGTCCGATCCGAGTCCCCATAATCTCTTCATACTCCTTCGACCCATACTCCCAGCACTGCGGGTCCCCAGTACCCGGCCAAGACGAATAAAGATCATGCGAAATAAAGTGTTTTGTCTGTCCATTGATGATAGTCGTGGCAAAAACGTATCGCAGGTTATCAAGTCGGCCGTGCTCCTTCGCGTAAAGAGTCAAGGCAATTTCGGAGGGACGTGGAGTGCCAGGTATGATTCGGCGCATGCTTTGGATAACAAGGATACCGGGTGCAAAGAATCCGCTCCATTGGTCTCTGCCGAATCGCATTGAGTAGTACACGTATCCTTCTCTTCCTGTACCTGGGGGAGCGGCTACACCTGGTGGTAAGAGGAGAGTGTGTCCGGCGAGGTTGATGTCGATGTTTGTGGTTCGCTCGAATTTGGTGGTGTTTCCTTCAATCTCTTCGAAAGCTAGTGTGTTTCTTGGGATGGGACAGCCAGGTTCGTTGGGATCGGCGATCCATCGGGTTACTTTTGCTCCTATGGCACCGAGCCAGGAGGCCTCCCTTAGGATGTCGTGTGCCATTACTTATTGACGAGTTGAAATGCTACCTGCTTGATAGGAGTGTTTCCCGGAGGGGCCTGACTAGGCGTTGTGAGTACGGAGACAAGCTCGAGCCGGTGTCTTTCTCGAATTCACGGTGAACACTAGAGACTGTAGAGACTTGGTGTTTTGGAGATTTGTTCGGCAGTGTGAGAACTTCGACTAAGGAGAGAATGGTTCTCACAGAGGGGCTTGGGATTGGAGTCTGTTCGGCGTGCTGGGTTGTGACGAAGAGCCACTGCTCTCACAAGGCAAGCTTTCGAGAGGCTACAACGATAAGTTGTTAGCGATGCAGAGCAGCCAACACGGAGATTCAATCTGTACCAAGCAGCAGGTAGTTAGATATTGAAACCGTGATAGGAATTTCAAGTTCTTGTGCTGGTTTGTGGTAGAAAGGAACGATTGTGGACAGCTCAAGTAACCTGGAGATAGCGTGTAGAAATGTCGCATAGATATGAGTGGCATGGAGGAAAGGAGGTCAGGCTTTGTGAGATGGAAGGAGATGAGATAAGTCAATAAGACTATTCATCTCAAGAACAATCATGGAATGAATTGAGGATACAGTCTATCATTCACTGCGTGCCACATGCATATAATAGAGCAATTGGAGTGACAGAGTTTCCCTTGTACACTGGAGCTTAAAAGCCAATTAAATATCTTACAAGATAGAGTAAGTTAAGTGTAACTGCAGCCATTCACCTTTTAGTCTTAACTTAGTATTATTGTTTTGTTAAGAGCAGAGAGGGTGAATGAGCAACCATTCAATTAAATGACTTGAATCTGACTTAGATCACACAAATTCATTCGCATCCCAGGTATATAACGCCCAAATCAACCGACATCTGGTATTCAAGGATCAACCGCTGAAATTACTCTCGAATCCCTATTTTTACCACTTCAAACCATCTATGGCTACCCGCTCCTCAACACATCGTCAGACCCCCTGGGAATCTCATTTTGCTAGATGTCAAACCCAGGGAGCACAACGCCGACGATGGATCGCCAATCCAAACGAGCCTGGATGCTACATCCATCGATCCGAACTTACATTTTCCTACCTCCGCACTATGCACCCTTCAGGCGTAACATGGAACTATTCAACCACGGAGGGATCTATGTCAACACACCTCATCCAAGAAATTCCAGAGCTAAATGATCCCCCAATGTCATACCGAGACTACACCCTTCTCTCTCCATACATCTACTGGAATGGGACAACAGGACCAGGAATAGTTGTGATAAACCAGATTGATCGGACCCATTTTGCTGACGAAATCCCCCCAGTGGCCCCAGTCTCTGCCGTGACTCAGGCTATTTACGAACACTTCTTTCATATCGATGCTCTACGCCATGTCTACGTGAACAATGTTGTGAACACAGGGACTAGGGAGTTGGTTCAAGGACAACTATACACTCCCCCTCGGACCACAACGCGCTCCTACATCCATGGTCAATTACCAGATTGGGACCAGCGGATTTGGAATTATGAGTCACCAGAGTACGATGCTATACTGGGCACGAGGATTGGGAAGGTAGTGGCTTATTTGGTACTTGGGGCTTTTGAGAGAGGTACGAGGAAGATTTCCAGAATTGTCACTTACTCGCTTCGGACGAGACCGAAGCATTTTCTTCATATGCGCTTTGATATTGAGACCATTCGAGGTTTCGATGGTCATGGTTGACGATAAAAGGTGATGTGTAATTGAACATGAAATATAGAAAATCTTAATAATCCAATCAACACCTCAACCAACTCTATCATTCGTATAGGCGTCAAAAGTAGACTTTTTCGGCGCCCAATTTACCGTCAGTAAGGGTTGGGGTGTAATAAACCATCGTGATCATGGACTCATAAAATTGATCGGATAGACAAGTATTGCAAATTATCAACGATAAGGCTTCAACTTTTGATCGTAGTTGATCATCAATATCCTCCGCCATGGTATCCGGAACGGCCATCAGAGCTGTGCTCATGATATTGCTGTTCCTGGTGCATCCCAGTCCCATTGCCAGTCTCATCTTCCAGCCCTCTGGAGCCATGTGACAGACCTCCTGGAATGAAATTGGAAAAGGTACTTTCCAGCTTATTCAAATTGGACATACCAGGAATAGGAAGGTGAGAGAGCTTATCCCAAGGCATACCAGATGAACCGTGGGACTGCTGTGAGCTTGAAGAATGCTGCTGCTGCGAGAAAAATGAGGTCAATCCACCAAATCCACCTGAGGAATGACTCTGGCCCTGATTATGGCCCTGACTCTGGCCATGGCCGTGGGAACCAAGCGCAGCAAACCCGCCACCACCGCCGCCATGAGTGTGCGGAACACCGCCGGTGTTGCGACCTGCTCTGACTCCTTCAGAACTGAGAACGTCGTTCAGGTTGGAACCACGGTCTGGACGGGAATGGACCCAATTCTGCACGGCTTCGAACATCGTGCGGTGGGCTTCGTTGTTCATGTCTCGGAAGGTCGGGTGATGGAAGATACGCATGCAATCATCCAGCACCTCGTGCTCTGGAATGTTGATGTGCTGCCAGGCGTAGAGTACCCGGGGGGCAATGTACTTCACGATAACGGAGGCGACCTGACCAGCGGGCTCGTTCAAGATGTTTGCGAAGTGGTCTTTAGAGAGAAGGGAGTGAGTGGGATCAGTGCAGTGGGGATCGGTCCAGGGTTCGAACTGGTGCTTGCCAGAGGCGGCCACGACACCCGAGGAACCTGTCTGCAGAGACTTTGAGGCGGCGTTGATGAGAGGACGCACGAATGGTGCAAGCAAAGACATGATGAACACGGTCAGTGTTTCGGAGATCTTTTCCATGATCGCTTCCAGGCCGGGCACCTTTTCAATGACCGAGTTTAACTTCCGGACAACTTTGTCTCGGAAGGCGAGGATTGGGTAAATCTTTTTTACCGTCTCTTGTGCGTTGAAATCAGGCATGCCCTGGAGACCGGGCCCGGGCGATGGACCGGCGCGAGATTGTTCGTCCATACCACGGTAGTCGTTTGTTTGCGCATAGCCCATATGTGAGCCTCGGGAGCGGTTGGTTACTTCCTGTGCATCTGAGAGCTGTCTCAAATGCTCAGCCTCGTGGACTAGATCTCTGGTTCCTGGAACCTTGCCAAGCAGTCCGGTAAGAGCATTGAGGGAGTTGTTGGAATGGGCATTGTTCTCTGCATCACCAAGGGCAATATCCATCTCATTGACCTCTGACTGGGTGAAGTGATCGGTAGCCTCACCCAAGACAGAGTGGAAGAAGTCGACCATGCCAAAGGTTCCAGTCACCAGCGGAAAGATATGATGCCCACGGACATTGATCTGGGTAGCTGTACCGGTGTGTGTAAAGACGTTATGAAAGCCCATCTCTCGTAGAGCCAGCTCACAGTAGTTAGTGTGCGCTGCAAAATCTTCAAGTGTGTGAAGACCCTGTCCAAGACACCGCAGCGCCTCACAGAGATCCTCTTCATTACCCTTGCGCTCACCACCATGGGTATACATGCGCCCGTAGTGGATGCTGCGACTCAAGCTGTACTTGACATAGGCAGCACTGGTTGCCCAATCACCTTTCTCATTCGCGATGTAGTTCTTCATGCCAGTTTCCATATCAATATCCAGCTCCACCTGACGAATCGGCCCTCGCAGACGCTCGTCATACTGGCGCGCATCTTCGTTATCAGCGTAGTCCTTGGGATTGCTGGAGAGAGTTAGCGCAGGTCCTTGGTACTGTACTCAGCCAGGACCCACTTACTCGATATGCTCCTCAGGACGGTAAACACCAAGACGCTCCGACGTGACCTCAAATTCCCCCGTCGCATAACCGAAGCTCAGGAACGAGAGGACCCACACCAAGATGCGGATAGTTTCGGCCTGGAGGTTTTTCAGGGTCCCGACATCCATTGCTTGCGAACTGCGCCACTGTTAGTGGGGCTCGGGTTGACAGCTCTCCCACACAAACTCACTAATCGCGTAACCAGTTTCCGAAATACACGCGCTTGATCATGGTAGAGGTCCATTTGTGCCCCGCGATGCATGCGATCGTTTTGAGAACATCTTCGATATCGCCATGGCGCCAGTTCTTGCCCTCGACGGCGGAAATAGATGCGATATCTGGAGAATTGTTAGTAATCGATGGCAAAGCGTGTATTTGAATACCTACTGCCAGCACCGAAAGCGTGGACCTGTGGCAGTAGCGCCAGGCACACGACCAGGATGGGGATGCCCGTTTGAAGGAGAGGCATGGTAAGGCTTGGCGGAGACTTGGATTGTAATGTAGTTAGTCCTTGCAGATTTCCTCACTTTACAAGGTTGGTGTCCCAAGAGTTGGGTTTGCTAGCTCAAAGAAAGAAGAGAATCGCACAGAGGCTGTGTCTCAGCTCGATCTTGGCAATCAGACCGTAGATCGCGATGACGTCCATCGTGGCCCAATCACGGTGTGGATACCTGAGGTATACTTGGCACCCATATCTCCTTTGAAAAGCATACCTTGTGCTTACTGTACGCTTTTCACTGTTGAAGCTGGATTGTTGTCCCGGGTTTACCCGTTGCCAGTTGGTATAGATATGAACAATCTTACGATCCACGGTTCCGAGGTTCTACCATGTGCTGTACCGATAGGTCGGGTTAGCTCCCATGTTATATAAAGAGCATATAGATTCGAGGTGAGTGTGACCCTAGTAAGTGCAACATGCTGATATCGCGGGGTAGCAAGAACCAGCTACAGTATCCACTCGGAAATTGAATTGACTCCGATCTAAGAACATTATTATTGATAGCCACATGGTTTGCAGAGAGTCGCATTGTGGATCCACAGTAGCATCGATAAAAGTGGGAATAGAAACGAATAATGTCACTGTAGTAGGTAGCATCGAATACCCCGCAGCGATAAGAATGACCCCACACATTCGATTTCTATAAAACAACAATCCAGGAACCTCAAACCACCTTCCACAAACCTCCAAAATGTCTTCAACACCCCACCTCGACGCGCTCCAACGCGACGGCTTCGTCGTCATTCGCAACCTCCTCACGCCAGCCGAAATAACCCATTACCGCACCATCGCAACCGAAGTCACAACCAAAACCCGCACCGGCGGCTGGCCCCATTTCCGCACCGTCCCCAAACAATTCCCCCCATGGCCCACCACCCCACCCCCAGCCTCAGAGGGCGGAATCTGGGGCGTCCAGCACCTCCTACACCCAGAAATGGAGCATAGACAATCATTCGCGAAGTGCTACTTCTCCGAATCAATCCTGAAAGTAGTCGAGGAACTCGTCGGCGTCTCCAGCTCCGCTGATACCGAACCGCTCGTCATGGAACTATTCAATCTACTCGTGGCGCCAGAAACAAAGGATTTCGAACTCCGCTGGCACAGAGATGATATTCCTGAGACTGCTACGGCCGAAGAAGAGCTTGCACAGCTAGCTGCGAAGTCACCCGGTGGAAGACAGTCGCATGCGCAATACAATCTTGCGTTATGTCCTGATGCGTCGCTGATTGTCATACCGGGTTCTCATCGACGGGCGCGTACGGATATCGAGCGTAATGCGAAGCCTTACGAGCCCTCTCTGCCGGATCAGTTGGTTGTGCAGTTGCAGCCTGGTGATGCGGTGTTTTATGATAGTAATATCTTGCATCGGGGTGTCTATAAGGGGAAGGATGAGGGGGCGGAGGAAACGAGATTGACACTGCATGGAAGTTTAGGGGTTAAAGCTGATGGAGATGATGAGAAGAAGAAGGTACGGGCTACTGCGGTGTTGCAGCACGGGGTTGGGGCCTGGGTGCACCGGGATGATGCTGCTTTTGGGATTGGGGAGAGGCCGGAGAAGATGAGGGCTAATTTGGTGGCGATGGGGACTGGGGAGGGAATTGGGTATTCGTTGCAGGGATAGGATGACCTTGTGTTCTTGTATACTCTTGAGATTGCATGTACATTCTTGCCTCGAAACTTATTCTTTGCATCAAGAGATGAATGGTAACCGACGATAACGCGGGTGGACTGTGTAATGGCAGACATGCGTAAAGCTACAAAGTGACAAAAAGGTATTTGGAAAGACCAACAAGGCAAAGTCTGAATAGTGTCAAAATATCAAAGAAGCAAAAAGCAAATACCCGCGTTGGGCACATGAGCCAGGTGACCTCCAACTTCACCTAGACCACTCATGTGGGCAACGTATGAGCCAGGGGATCCTTCGCCACTCACTACCATGTTGGTCCGCCAGACAGTTAGGGTTATGGATCGCGTCAGAATCACCTGACTTGATACTAATCACCACTAGGCCATCTGTGGGGGCTTGCTTACTTTCCTCTAAAAAAAATAAAACATAAAGGAACAGGGCTAACAAATCCAGGGACTTTAGAGGGTTTAGGGGATATTGACCCCCGTCCCGTGGGTGTTTTGAGTTGATTTTGAATACATAGATAGACAATGTTCTCTTTCATCTATATCTGCTATTGTTTGGTGAGATTTGCTCTATATCAGGGCTTTAAAGGTTGTGGCTAGGTCTGCAATCTGGGAATCCTGTAATGTTTTTGACTTTGTATACAAATGAAGATTTTCAGTGTTACAACGAGGACATAGGTTTCCGAAGATCCCACGTTCGATTCTTGGAAGGATTACTTGGATTTGAAATCTACTGCTTTTCTGGCCATGCCCATAGCTTGGAATTGACGATGATGAAAAGAATACCGACATGATATAGTATTTATAATCTACCTTCTAGCCCAATATCTCATGCTATGCTATCAGTCAGTACCAGCAACCAGCTTCACACCACTTGGCAAACCCATCATCTGCCCAGCAACACTTTGATCACATTTTTCTAGACTAGCCCCTGAAGAATCAATCAAGCAGTCTCCACCAGCACTCTTCAAATGACCCGTAATGAAATGAGACCAGCTAGTCCCAGAGCCAGCTTTACATGCCATAAGTGAGATAGACCCATCCTTGGCCGCAAGACACTTTGCTGTATCCGACAATGGGCTCAGAGTAAGTTGGCTACCGGATCCAGAGACAGACCAGACTTGCGAATCGGCTGCATCACAGGCCTTGAATGTGACAGTGCTCGAAGAAGCGGTCAAACACTTCTCAGATGCCGTGTTAAAGATCATACCAGTTGGAGTAGTCTTTGTGCATCCGCGCGGTGGTGTGATGCGATGGACACTAGTAGCGTGAGAGTCAAGAGTAACCTCCACAGAGCCATGAATTGTTTTAACAGTGCCAGTCCACAGATCACGGGCACGGTACTGGCAACTGGAATCCAGGCCAAGCTGCGAAACCGGGATCGTGATTTTCTCAGTATTGTTTCCACGATTCAACACGGTAAGAAGTCTATCACCGTTTGCCAATGAGCGGGTAAGGACATCGAAATTGGCGCCACGGGTAACCAAAGCAGCCTGCTCAGCTAGCGGGTCCTGATCCACAGCGATTAGATCCTTATTCTTAAGGAAGGTAATGACCTCCTCCGGAAGAGCGGGAATATAAGCACTGATAATAAGCGGTGCCCCGAACGACGCCCAAAGTGCAAAATGGGATTTCTTCTCGTCCTCCGTCAGACCCGAGTGATCTGGGATCAGGAAATCGGGATCATTATAATAGCCCGGCTGCTGGTAGCGTACCAACTGAATCTGATACTCGTAGTTCACCATGATACTATCCCAAGCACTGCCTTCACCGACATAAACAAGAACATCATCCGAATGGCGCGCCAGCTCCCCATTAAAAGGGACCCAGTCCATGACTCTGGCCCACTCAGTTTCACTGGTGCAGAAATATGCAGGCGCAGACTCGGAGAAGATCAGTGGCTCTGACATGCCGCTCAGGATCTTGTGCCACTTGCTATAAATAGACTTGTATTCGTCTCGCAGAGGCTTTCCATCCTCGGCGTAAACATTGCACCCGTCTAGCTTGAGGTAGTCAATGCCCCAGCTGGCAAACGTCTCAGCATCTTGCTCCTCATGTTGAAATGAGCCTGGATAGCCACCACAGGTCTCATTGCCTGCATCTTCGTAGATTCCCAGGTGAAACCCGCGTTCCTGGGCATAGTTTGCTAGCCAGGGGATACCATTGGGGAACTTGGTAGTGTTCCACTGCAGGGAACCATTGTCGGAACGGGCAGTTGACATCCAGCAATCATCAAGATTGAGGCGATTGTAGCCTGCATCAAGTAAGCCGCGGCTTACCATGGACTGCGCGGTTTCTGTGAAAAGCGTCTCATTGAGCTCGCATTCGAATCGGGCCCAATTATTGAATCCCATTGGAGGACTCGGGAGAAGACCAGGGTTTCCGACTGACGCCTGGACTGGGAGTAGTGGAACCATTAGAAGATTCGCCATGCTTGCTGTCATAGCCCAGTTGGTCGATGGTCGTCTCATGGTCTAAGGCTTTCGCAGGAAAAAGAGTTCGAGTTTCACAATGCAATTGATACTTGCAACCAATTAGCAAAAGTGACGGTTTTGTTCTCAGGCATCATCCATGCATTTAAGCCCCAGATTTCGACGTTGAAGCTCTTGTTCCCCGCACCGGACCTCCGTAGACGATCTGCAGCTACCATCGCCTGCAGCGGGGAACGTGGTACCGAGGACTGTCACGGTGGTATTGTTGATAAGGATGTCGATGATCGTCAATCAAGCCAAATATGACCTCGATCGGGGTTCAAGATTCCGACTGAGGGGGGTCCAGAAATCGATCTGCGACGAGCTGAAGTGCTGTACCCAGCAAAGTGGCGCAAGTGCAAGAGCTGAGCCACAGCTGCCCCTTGAACATGCAGAATAACATGCCTGCACGGATATCTCCGAACATTCCTTCCTACCAATGATGCGTAGAGATGAAGATCGGGGTCCCCGTTAGATGCATCACATCGCAATCGTGCATAGCGGTGGAGGCCTCTCCTGAGGAAAAAAAGAAATTATTGGGAAGGGTCTTGCATAACCAGGTTTATTAATCGATGCAAAGAAGAAAAGTGATCCCTACTAGTTAGATTCCAGTTGTTGAGCTGATCATCTAATCAAATCCTCACAGAAGTGGATGATCCAAGTGATCGCCGAGGTTTAACGGCTGGTGGGGGACATTAAATCAGCAATCGCAACTTTGGACTCTTCTCGAACAACCTCCCATTCCAGGGAAAATGCCCCCCGACTCCAAAACCAAGATCCGCCCGCAACAATCATGCCTAAGATGTCGCGAGCGTAAAGTCAAGGTATGCCGGCCCCCTAGCTTAGACCCTGAAAACCTCGAGCTTAATCCAACGGACCGATCCACCCCGATCGACCGCAGACACATTCCAATCGATATACTGATTCGTTCCGTCTAGTGCGATCGCTCAATCCCTTGTCACGCCTGTATCATTCGTGGCATCGAGTCCGAATGCACATACCTAACTACCCCCGAAGACCGCGAGCATATTGGCCAAGCGGAGGTTATTGACCGACTACGTCGCGAGGTCGCGGAGCTGCGTACCCAGTTATCTCAGGGTCCGCGACCAAGACCCCATCCGAAAGCGCTTAGTGAGCGCGGTAAGAGCCGTGATCGTGCGCCGTATGCGCGCCCGTCGAAGTCGGGGAAGGGTTCAGGGTCAGGGTCAAGGTCAGGGTCAGGGTCCGATGGCGTGGGTGGCGGGTATGCGGGGGGAGCTGGTGCGGGCGGCGCAGGCGCTGTCGCAGATATGAGAGAGGGGAGTTGGGATGGCTCGTCGCCTTCTTCGTCTATGACGCGATCGATGTCTATCAACAGTCCTGGTAGTACGGGGAGTGGGACCGCGAGTCATGCGCAGGTGTATCCGGGATCGACGTTTGGGACGAATATTGCAGAGGATATGACGACCACAAGCGCAGCGTTTATTGGAGCTAGTAAGTCATTTCTCTTTTCTTTTTTTGCCATTTAGTACTGTTTGTTTCTTTTTGCGATCTTATACAGAGCTGACCTGAGAAGATTTCATGGACGAGACTCTAGCACATTGCCAAGGAGGCATCTCGGCTTTTGCACCGGGCGAGATCCCTGCCTCGATTCCTATGCAGAATTTACAGCCACAAGCTTCAGGGATACATGTGATGCCTGCATCACAGATGTACCAAGGCGGCAACGCAGTGGAAAATTGGGGCAATGCACCATACATGCAGGACTATGCTCCAGCCCCAGCCCCACATACGAGTTCATCTGGAATCTACGAGCCTCAATTGTATCAACATAACCCGCAATGGGGACAGGCACACCAGTTTGCGCCCGTACCCCCGTATCTGGACTCATATTCTTCGTCATCTATTGGTGTATTCGCTGCAAACACAGATTCACTAAATGTCCATTCGTCGCAGCAACCATCACACAGCCCGAGTTCACAACAATTTTCTAGTCCTGAATCACTCTCGCAGCATCCTCTCTTTGCTATGCCAAGCTCATGGACAGGCAAGGGGAAGCAGGAGCTTCTGGAAACTCTGCTCGAGACGATCGGTAGTTGTGACGAGGCGCAGGTGGCGCAGGTCGTGCAGGTTGTCAGGACCAGTGCGACGCCTGAAGAAGCTGTCTCAGGGATCTGTCGGGTCCTTGGGATTGGGAGGGGGCGATAAGCGCTGGTCGCGAATCGCTCTGAAACATATATGCCTGTGATGCCAATGCCCATGTCTAATAAATAATGAGTAAAGGAAAAGGAAGCTTTTATACATCAAATCCGTTGTTCGTGAACATGTCAGTCGTAAGGGGAAAAGGCAATCCATGGTCGTTCGCCGTAATCCTTGAAATCGGATTTGTTTCTCATGTCGAATCCTCACCATTTGTCTCCATGGGCCGCTGCCCATAAACAAAGTGGAAGAAGAAGTAAAGATGACACTTTGTGTTCATCATCTCGGCTCGAACTTTCTCTAGATAGCTCTGCGCCTCTTGGTAAGTGAACCCAAGGACCCGCGTAAATAGTGCAAGACTATATGGCTCCACCACTTTTAGAACCAAGACTTTTCCAAGGCGACCGATCTCCTTAAGCTGTCGGTCCTTCGCCCATCCTCCAACGGGGCACTGTAAGAAGTGATGAGCATGCTGTATAGAAGACCACAAAGTAGAAAAGTAGAACAAGAGTCTAACAAAAAGAAAAAAAGAAAACAAACCTTATAAATATCGTCCGTCACGTTTACAAAACCACCACTCTCCATCCAAGACTGGACCTGAGAAGCAATATTCATCGGTTTCCCAAACCGCCTCGCCGCATCATTTACCTTCTCTATCCATTCAACCATTGTAGGAGCAAGAGCATGCGTCCCGTCGTCCGACGCCACAGCAGCTTCAAACTCCTGCACCTCTATCCACCCACCAGGCCGCAAATGCTGATAAGCCTGCTTGAGTAATTTCGGCCAATCCCCAATCCCACCGCCCATACTCCGCATATGAATATAGTCAAACTTTTCCCCGGGCGTGAAGGTCCAATCACTCTCTGCATCATCGATGTAGAAGCGGCAATTCGGCGGCGCCCAGCTCGGCTGGATGGGACTGAGGTCTGTACCGATAATTTCCGCATTTGGGAAATCTTCCGCCATTTCGAAGGCCCATTCGGCTGTTCCGGTGCCTATGTCGAGGATGCGGCGCGGGGGTGGAGTGGGGCGGTCGTCGCGGGGTTGGATCGGGGCGCGGTAGAGCTCACCACCGAGTGTTAGCTTAAAAAGGTGGTGGAGGAGAAGAAGGCGGTCTTGCTCTTCTTGGTCGTTTGGGAATGGGTATTGGCCATGGCGGTAGGCGTGGTAGCGGCGGCCGTTTTCATAGCAATAGTCGCGGACGGAGGAAGCGAAAGAGAGGTTGGAGTCTATGAGGGATTGGCTGTCGAAGATGGATTGGCCGTCTTGGGAATCCTCGTCGCTTGTCTGTTGGTGGAGAAGGTAAGACAAAGGTCCACTGGGGAATTGTCGTGTATGGAATCATAGCTGTGAGGAAGGGAGGAAGATTTGTTGATCGGTGTAAAAAAACAAGGGGGTTTCAGGCCTGAGGGTATGGTATACATGGCCATGGCATCTTTTTTCCTCTTTACACGAGGGAAGAAGAGGCCGAGTATGACTCGCTTAAGGAATAAAAAAGGAAATTCACTTACATCGACTTGAATGCGTTCGTGGGGTTTTAGTTGGGGCATCATTAGAAGGGGGAAAAGGGGAGAAAGAAGGGGGATGGGGATAAAGAAAGGAAAGCGGTAATGAAGCTATCCAAAAAGGTTAGAGCGCTGAAGCCCATACCGAGACACAGGATACCGGGTTGATCTATCCAAACCCCGCAGTTCGAACTAGAATTTACTGCAGACACATCATATTGGAGCTTGAGGGATCCACCGTACGGTAATATTATCTTGACTCGTAATCTAACTCGCTCTTCATGCCGACCTTAGGTCCCCACTTTTCTTTTAGTCTCATTTGTACGAGATCCGTCAGTTCAAGCTTTGTAGCTTAACCTGCTCATCCACTGTCAAGGCTCCATAAATGTCCTGGAACCCAGGTTGCTGGGATGCTCGTCGGAAAAATTCTCCCAAGAAGCTCTGGGTTTCATCGTCTCGGCGTCGCACCCCAAATACGCTCTCTGAGCCGCCTTCGCCAAAGCTCATCAACTCCTGCTTGGTCATGCCCAACCCGAGATCCAGAATTTGACCGGGCTCATCCTCCCAGTCATCATCCCCATCATCACTATCGGCATCCTCAAGTGCGCGAGCCGCAGCCGCATCGATCTCCTTGTTGCCCGAGGCAGCCGCCAGCTCTTCCACCAGCACCTTAATGATCTTCAAAGGTGCCGAAACCGTTGTGTACCGATCTGGGTTGTTGCGCGCCTGCGACCGGGTCTTGATGCGACCGGTATCCTGGACGATGAGGTCGCCCTTGACGGGCACTCCTAATAGTCGCGGGTCGGAGAGCTCGTACAGATGCGCTAGCGCGAAGATGTTCTGCTTGATCTCATCATAGCCTGCAAAATTGACCGAGTTCTCCAGCCACTTGCTCAGGACCACGACGAGTCCACTGGAGCCACCCAGATCAATCTGGGCGAGGAAGTCCACGACTTCGCGCGCGCTAATGAGCGTTAGCCGGGCGAATACCAGGATCAGGCTCTGAATGAATTGGGCCTGTTGGGCAGTAGCAAGCCGTTGAGCCACGGCCTGGAGCAGCTGGGGAAGATAGGGGCCCAGGCGCTCCGAGCCAGCCCGCTCCACCAGTTCGGCGGCCAGCTGACCAACCTCGGTGGCGGCATTGTCGTCCACAGCCGGCCCTAGTAGTCGATCAATGATCACGAGCACGACCTCGATTGCCTCCTTGCCAGATTGGGGATCTCGCCAGGCAATGAATTGGGCAAAGTCGTGGGCAAGCATGTGGCGGACTGCCTCTGTTGCTGGTCGGATGAGCTCGGCCTCCTCAGAGTCTAATAGCAGGCGGTTAAGCTTGGGCATCACGGTATCCACAAATCCAGCAGGGAGAGGCTCCAAGCTTCGTTCGGCCAGAGCTCGAAGCAGGTCGGCCGCGAAGTTGGTCAAAGCATTCTCCTCGGTCAAATTACCCACGTCAATAGCACCCATTAACGATGGAAGCACCTTCTCACAAAGACGCATGTAAGCCTCAGCGCCATGCTCGGCAATTTGATCTACAATATCCTCAAAGGCTTCCGTAATGGTCATGGTCAGTTGAAAGTTTTCAGCCCCGCTGCTGGCAATGTTGAACAGGACATCGATGGCGATCGATGACAAGACAATGGCCGGGTCTGTCATGATGGTGTCTCGAAGGGTTTCGGCCAGGGTGACTTTGAGGTCATCACTCTCGACATCTTCGCGCAGATCATGTGCCGAAACAAATTCCGAGATGGCCGAGATGACAGGGGTCTGGAATGGACGTGCTGCAGAGGCGGGCAGCGACGGCATGAGGTCCTGCAGGACCCGAATGCCAGCTACCTTGACCACCTCGGCGGGGTCTTCAGCAATGGCCTTCAACGTAGCCTCCAAGTACGAGGAAGTAGTCTGCTGGAATGCATCGCCTGAAACTTTAGCCAAGGCACCAGCCACAAGGTAACCCCGTGCACGTAATAGCTCTTGCTCTTGCTGAATTGCATAGTGCACGAATTGGTTGAAATGTAGGGCCAATTCTGGTGAAATTTGCTGAGATACCTCAGAAAAGTCACGAAGCAGACAATTGAGAATATAAAGAGATGCCTCGCGGGATTTCCAACTGCCAAAAGTTAGACTGGGTTCTAGTCATGGGGCGCTTTGAGATATTTCGAACTTACGAGGCAGAAGAATCCGCGAATACAGTGTTCATGTGGCTCAGGAGTCCCTCTACCGCCGTTCCCTTTAGCCATTCGCCTGTCTTGATTACCAGATCACCACTGCAGGTACGAGGAGTGTAGTTAGCAGTGAGAGATGTTTCCTCGGACAAAAACAGGTTCACATCGATCTCCCAGAGGCCTTCCTCTTCTGTGGTAATTTGGGCGTAGGAGCTAGCCAGCTTCATGATCTCAGGCAACCAACCGGAGGAGCTTGCTGCCGCACCAGCATTCTGAAGTTGCTGTTGCAGCTCGGCCTTGACAGGAGGGGCCTTTAATAGGGTCTGAATTAGGTCTAATTCCTCCAGAACAAGGAAATCAAGTGAGTAGGGGAGCCCATCAACATCCTCCAGGCGCCCTTGACGTTCGTCCTCAATGAAGAAGTTTTGGTAGATCGGCAAAGCATTGGTGAGCTCGGTCCAGATCGTTGAGAAGAAGTTCGGGCTCTGGGCTGTCAGAAGACCGGGGAATACCATACGAATCTTCATAAGGGTCTATTTTCTTTGTTAGCCAACTTACTCAAATTTGAACAAGGAAATCCTTACCTTGACGATCTGAAGTTTCAGGCCGATAGTTCCACGCCATTGCGAGGGGATATCACCACCCTTATTAGCTTCTTCTTCGCTGGGCTGTTGGGGGAGGGGTGCCTTCAGAGTCTCAATAAAGAATGGCGACCATCCGCCCAGAAGCTCGTCCACAAACTGCTTAATTGCAACCTTGTGTTGCTCCAGCACCATCTCCAGAGTATCAAAGCAAGACCGGAAGACTGCGACCGAGAGGGCGCGCAGCATCGGTCGCCGGGACTCAGAAGTAGCGACGGCAAATAGAGACGAAACCAGATCACGAGCTACATTGAAAAACTGTTCTTCGCCGAAACCTGTGTCAACCAAATCCAGCAAAACCTTCAAGGCGCCGTGCAACGCATTATCAGTGGTGGCGGAATCATTGATGATGTGCAACAGCGACGGCAGAAGTTCTGACCAGTCGTCTGGAAAATCAGCACTGGCAATCTTGCTAACAGCGTAACTAGCAGAGGCCTTGACCTTGCGCTCGGGAGTCTCGGTAGTGGTCGCTAGCTCGAGGAGCGCACGTCGGATCTGAGCTTTATTTGCATCATTCACGAGGATCTGGCCTTTAAATTCGTCAAGGACCGGGGACCAGGAGGCGGCGATGAAGGTGCGAAGCACGGACAAGGAGGACTGGCGGAGGTTGACGGGGACCGACTCATGGGAGGCAATTGCTGTGAGGGAGATCGGGAAGGATTCGTTGGAATACAAGCTTTTTAGTTGAAGCTCTGCGGCCTTTCTAGTATCAGCCCTGGCGGACTGGGTGTCTGCCAGGAGCGACAAGAGCTCTTGCTCCATGACGAGTAATGGATCAATGGATCACTGGGCAAGATCAATATGAAAAGTTCTCCAGGCGATTGCGTTACGCCAAGGGGAGTCGGATGAGCGAACAATGGATTACTATGCAAAGTCTGAGATGAAATGTTGGCTCCAGGCCACTGTGTCGCGCTAAGAGAAGTTGAGTGTTTGCGCGCGGCGCGATAAGGGGACACGAGGGGCAGAGTGCGGCGGTGTTTGACAGTCAAACAAACCTCATCTAATTTTCTAGCGGCAGAAATTATATTACATTCAATGACTTTCTAATAAAGCTATTGCATATTGACCGGATCTGAATAACTCTGACTTATATTTCCCTTCCACTGTGACAGTGAAGCTCTTTCTATACTGTATTTTGATGGGTTTGACTGATCGAGACTGAACTAAATAAAGCGGATTAACGGACATCAGACACATTACTAAGCGGTCTACAGGGCGGTGAAATGTCCCTTACCGCCGCAGGGGTCAATCCCCTCCTGTATACAATTTTGACCATGAAAACTATACAGTATACTTGGGCACCACTTAATGGTTTGCGCAAAGTGTCTTACATACTTAGTAGTCCAACATTAAAATGACTAAAAAAGGCACATTTGCGATAGGAATCATGAAAGATTGACAATTTGATATTTGTGGGTATGCGGAACCGTGGAAGTAATCTTCCCCACTCCCCCATTGTTTGTCCCGAGGTCTCTCGTAAGACCTGCCTTGATGGCCTCGGGGTGATAGAGCTTATACTTCAGAGTAATGCCACGCCCTATGAGAAAAAAATGCGACTTTCGCTTTTCAGAAAGAGTGTGAGGCCTTGCAACTGAGAGCGAGCACTCCTTATCACGATAAACACTTTCATGGAGCGGTCAAGAGTCTCGGGCGCCACTAAAAAGGCGGGCTCCAGGTTAATCTACGCTAGATTGTATCAAAGGATCGACGGTGAGCAATCCAAAACTATATATCGTATTTTCGCGTTGGCGTTGGCGTTGGCGTTAGGGCGCGATTTGGCCCAGATAGTTAATCTCCCAATCCGGGCTTTTCCCCACGTTGGGCTGACAGGGAATTGACGAAGCCGGGATAATCTTGAGACTTATCTTTGGCCCGTCCAATGGCAAAGTTCCAGGAACCCAGGTAATTGGGCGTGGTAAGCTAGATACTAGGGGTAATCAAAGATCTCAAATGCAGTAGCTGCTCCTGGGATATTCGTCAGTTCGGTAGCTTTGGCAGTTTTTTGTTTCGCCAACTCTTCCTTTCTTCCTAAGGGGTTCGCAGTAAGCTTAGTCAATTCACCACGCCACTCTGAGGCAAGGAACCTTCCATCGGGGGCTAGTAATCCTCATAATGTACATTGCATACATTGCATCATGGTACACACGTACAGTATGTACCGAGAGTGCCTGGTTGGACCCGCGTCTGTTGGGCGGTCAAATCAGCAGAGCCAGGAACACTATTTCCCCGTTTGAGATAAATTGGAGAGAGGGGCCTAAAGAAAAGCACTGTTGTCGATTTGCGGCTTGACACCGCTTGGTCCCATTGGGTGGATCACGATCTTTTCGGAAAGAATCGAAAAGGCCCACCGGATTGACTCAATGTCTACCGAATGGGACCAGGTGGTGGCGGTATGGGCTGAGGTTTTGGATTTTGGATCACTTGGTTGGCGACAGGTGTCAGACATCACAAAAATAATTGGAAGTAGTAACAAAGAACATTTGGAGCTGTTGATAGCTCCCAATATACAACGCGTCATGATTGAGGGGATGGAATGATTCCAAATGGGGATGTGTGCCCCTCACTAAAATTCCTCTCAAAGATCCATGATCAGCGAAAGGTGAGGATCATCACCAGTGGCGGTGACAGAGTAGAAACGGATGGAAAATCGATTGATAATCGTGGTATTTAGAGCTCATCTCATACGCTCTACATACTCTAGGTTTTCTCCTAGTGCCGGAGATGCAATGGTGGTCTCCCCGGGGGGTCGTACCCTTGTCTTGTCGCCGCCACTGCCGTCAGAGATGCGAAGATCATCGGTAAAAGGGCCCTAGTAAAGCCCTGGGGCCCGTACCATAATGTATGGGAGGGGGTACCGGTACTGCCCTTATGCATGGCCACTTGGAAATTGGGGACCTGCGGTGTATTCCCACTGTACTACAGACCTTTGGTATCTGTGGATCAGCTTCCCTATAGGCCATGGAAAGAAATTCCCCAAGATCAAAGAAGGTTTCTGTGGTTCAAATTCAGGTACAGTATCGGTGTTTTTTTTTCCCCCTAACTTCTACGCGAGAGATTCGTATAAATCTTTTTTTTTTTTTTTTTTTTTTTTTTTTTTTTTTCCGACAAGACTAAAATAACCTCGAAAACATTGCAAAGAAGCTTACTATATCTTTAATTCTGCCACAACAATGACGGGCTTGACCTTGTTCTCGGCTATACCCCGTCGGTTCAAGTCGCTCCCAAGGTTGAGTATTGGGATGTTCTATGGTTCCCTGCCCCATTCAGACCCCAATGGGTACCTGTTACGCTTTTTTCTGTCTTTCCTTTCGCTTGGCTGCGGTGATCACCCCTCTTGCCGCTAAATTGTCCTATCAACCAACCCACTTCAATCATCCAGTGGGGAACAGAAATGATACAGAAGGGTAAGGAAAAAAAGAAAAAGAATTAAAATAAGACAAATGTGCGCTCTATCACTACGAGAAAAAAATTTATGAAAAAAACAAATTTAGACATAAACACTTATACTGAGGCTAAAATAGGTGTATTATTCATTGTTCCTGATTATTATTCTTATACTCTTCTCGCACTACGCTATGCAGAGTTTTCCGCCTGGATTTTCACCTCTATATGAATCATAATAGTGTGCAGCAACGTGTAAAAGTTTGACAAGCATGAAAATGTAAATGATACAATTTGTTGACCCTCACTCCTCCAAATCCTCATAATATTGAAGTTGAAAAAAGCGAGGTTCTGCAGGACCCATGACGCAACCACGTGACGGGTACCGTAACCTCCACTGACCGTCGAACTCCCACTCCTGCTTTTCCCCCTCGAATACACTGGGGAAGCCATCGTGACCAGCCATCGCCTTCATCTTTAGTCCGGCTCGACGCCCATCATCCACTCGACAGCCTCGGAAGGCATCTCCACGAGTCCCTGCTCCCTTACCAGGGTTGTTCCTACGCCCCCTCCTTCCCTTCGCTTCAAAACCCCTCGCCCTCCCCTCAAACGAGAACAACATTTCTCCAAAAAAGTGACCTTATTTTCTTTTCTTTGGGATCGGCGCCTAGGATTATATCGTTTACATTCCTCATGCTTTGAGGGTTTGCATCTTATTGTCTTGTCCACCCAAGCGTATGTATCTTTGTTTTCCCTTCAAAATCCCCCTCCTCCCCTCCCACCAGTTCAACCCACCACCCCATCACCACCAACCCCTACACAAGAGGATCCCGCTACACACTATTATCTCTGCTCTCGATCATATCAGCCTATTCGCCTATTTTCTCGACACGATCTGTCATTGGCACTACTATTGGTGGGGGAAAAAAAAGATTGATGACGCTGCATTTAAACCCCACTCAACACCAACCCGATCACCTTCAAATATTTCCGGTAGATCGTCACATTGACCGATGATATAGAAAGGCAGAGCGATGATTAGCTTCAGGGTGGAACATCATTCAGATTCTTCGAGACTCCGTCAAGATCACCCTTCCCGTGGAAACGACGTCGGATCGTTCGACGGCAATGTCGATGGCCAGTGAGACTAGTAGCACCACCACCATGACCACTTTCTCCGCCCCGATCCCTGCTACCAAATCGTTGCCCACCAACCAGTCGGCGCTGGCGGCTTCTTTCACCAATTTCCTTACCGTATCGGTACACCAAATACTTTTCCTGCGCTCTGTTTACCCGCGCGCGACCTTCCTCCCTGTGCGGGCATACAATTATCCTGTCCGGCAATCCCGTCACCCGAAAGTCTGTGACTATATCAACGATGCATCAATTGCAGTCGGAACAGAGATCTTGAAAGGCACAATAACTGCAGTCAGTATCATCATTTCATCTCTCCGCACAAACCAGCCCCTCGAACGATATGCCTTTGATTTGTCGGGCTTCCCTCGGGCTCCTGCCGGAGAGGTGAACACTACATTTGAAGACAGAAGTGAAGATGATTCATCCAGGCCAGGTGCCCCTGTCTCGGACCGGGGTCCCGCGCCTACCTCGGTCGACCTCGAGTCACAATTCCGGGCGTGTTTAGCTCGACTAGCATCCGCATGTGCGCGCCTGACCCCACTGCCACGAGATGACGAATTCAGCTTCACCGTCTGCATCGAAGTGCGCGAAGACGCACTACCTCCCGCGGGAACCACCAAAGAAGAACAAACATGGATTGTCGCCGAGCCCGGCAAGGTGCACCTGAGATCCTGCACCGCCCCATTTTCCGTATCAAAATTGCGAAATGGTGAGCCCCAACAGCCACCCCCTCGGGCCTCGAATGGCCGCGCCAAAACTGTACCGGTACGACGTGTGGAGGCCGGAGAACTGCGGTTGGAGTTGTGGGTGGAAGAGGCGCGGCAGAAGTTTAACGAACCGGTGGATTCAGAGCAACCGTCATGAACATTTTTATTCATTCTTGTCAAGTTATGGAAATTGTTCGTTTGTCTGTCCACACCCATTTTCAGTCTTATTCTTGATTTAGCGTGACCAATGATCGAACATACATTATGGACGAGGAAGTTAGGATGCCATTCGCAAGAAAGTGGCGCAAATACATAAAACGGGGAGCGGACGATTTTTGGGACTCGCATGGCATTTACTTACATAGATCAGGATCATTATCTTTCCTTATTTGGGCTCTTTTTTCTTCGTTATTTATCTTCCCTTATCTCCCCAAACCTCCTGTTTATTTCTCTTTTCTCCTTTCTCTTTCCTTCATCACATTTTTACGACGCTCCTTCTCCCTTCCACCCTCATTCATCTCTCTGGGTTCTGACTTTTGGCACTTCATATCTCTTGCATCTTGTGCTGAATCCCTGGGGTTTGACTCCTCGCTGACATTTGTTTTGCTGCGATACGGCCTTTTACTCCATACCATCTCCCATTTTCTTGTATTTCATTACATTTCCTTTGTTGAAATATCTCAACTACATCATTCTACTTCAATTTAGCCAATCCAAGTACTTAGCAACTAGTTCCCAAGGTCGTCCTTTCCATTTTTCGCTTTAATACACCATCAGCATGTTAATCTGTGTGGGCTGGGTGCTGTTGGTGTTACGCCCAATGCTTTTCATATTTGCATGTTACAGTATATTCTCTCTTTTCTTGTATTTATTGTGGTGCTCGATCTTCTATTTTCCTTGTACCTTATCCCTGGAAATTTTGGCTCTGATAGCAGGAGGAAAGGGCCGCCACGGTTGACTTTGCAAGTAGTAAATAGTCAGTACGCATTAGAAATAGATGATGTCAAAGCCTGTGAAGCTGCCTAGTCGACTACATCTAGGATTTCTACCCAAAGAGACTTCATCTGTAGATGCGCTGGGCAATGAGGTCATAATGCATATTCCTAGATGCAACTTCGCTGCCTTCTGCAAGGTTAGTTGGCAAGTGGTCGAAGAATAGCACATGAATTTTACCTAGGAAGCAGATGAAGTAAATAGCGATCTAGATCAGGACCTTGAGAACTTAAATGTGATGTGGAACATACATTCCAATGATGGGCACCAAAGTCCCTTCTACCTTGAAAATCAGATTCATGAGATAAACATTGGCTTATACTACGTACAACTGGAAAAAATCTCCGGCACGGACTAATCTATTACCATTTAATCCGGCCCAACTCCAAACCAATCAAAGTAAGGACGCTACCAGTTCCAGTTCCAGTACCTTGCTACATTCCAAGGTTCAGTTCAATGGAACCTTTGGATCATTCTATCTTCCATAGGCGTATGCAAAGACCGAAATGCCACTTACATAACCCACCCACCTGACCCGCTCATACCCTACCCGCACATGACACGCCCCATAACCCTCTTACGTCAACGGCAGGTCTAACCGGCGTACGACTTGAAGGTTATAACATCGCTTGCCGTCGCTTGCCATCGGGCCGGTGACAAAGAGAAACCGTATAGAGCAGGATTCTCCGGCCCGGATCACGATGCGGAGATGAATGAGCGGGGGAAATTGGTGGGTGAGCTTCGGAATTTGCGGGTTACACTACGTAGAAAGGTCATGAGCGGACGGAACCCCGCCGGATTCCAGTAAGGGGAGAAGTTATATAAGGAGATAATGGGAGGGTTGTTTTTTGTATCCACTTTTCACCCCGGATACCTATCTCATTTTAATTTCCTTGGATCGAATTTGGTTTCCTGACACATTCTGGTCTTCTAAGTGGAGTCTTTGACAGGACGGTTCTGACTCACTGATTTACTTCTTTGAATCGTTCTTGATCTTTTGGAGCTTAGTGAACGGACGAACGTGTTCTATATTAGCTTAGAACCTCCACTCCCTTGCAGGTGCTATTTGCCGAGAGAATCCTGGAATACTATTCGAGGCCACGATAATTTGGTCCACCCTGCCCGGCAGTTCCTTCAATCACAACCTCTACCAGCTTCAGATCTTCGGGATACAAGATCGTGCATAATAATCTACAAAAAGACCACAGACTCATCTCATTCCACCATGATTGCAGCAAACGTCTCCCTCCCACCAGGAGACTCACCCGACCTGATTCTTGTACCCGCCACCCCAGAGGAGCGTATCACCTCAATCAAGCTCAACAGCGTCGCATGGAAAGGCCCACTAGACATCGACACTTATATCGAGCGCGAGAATCATCTCTTCGCTCAGAACCTAACTCGCGACGGCCTGACATGCTGGATCTTGGTGGACAAGTCCGAGCCTGAAGGGGACCGTACAATCCTCAGTTCTTGCGAGACTTACAAGAAGAAGGCACTGCTTGCACACGGCGGGAGCGTGGAAGATGTTTCCACGCACGGCATCGGGAGTGTCTATTGCCGGCCTGAGTTCAGGGGGAAGGGGTATGCGAAGAGAATGTTTGAGGAGCTGAGCGGGAAGCTCGATACGTGGAAGATGGAGAAGGAGACGAGGGGGAAGGCTCTATTTACTATTCTTTTCTCAGATATTGGCAAGAATTTCTATGCACAGTTTGGATGGAAGCCGTTCTTGTCTTCGCATATGGCTCTTCCACCGCTGGCGAGTGAAGGACAGTCCAATGGAAACGCTGACATGACGAGAGATCTTTATGCGGAGGATGTGGAGAAGTTCATTTGCAATGAGTCCGTTACCGCCAAGTTGCGTGATCAGTTGCGTGATGCTTCGCAGAAGACGACGGGTAGTAAGATCGCAATCATTCCTGACTTTGACCATTTCGTATGGCACTGGGCGCGTGAGGAATTCTTCTCGAAGAATCTTTTGCCGCATCGCTCTCCACCTGTTATCAAGGGTACTGGGAATGACGAGGCTCGTGTGTACTGTGCATGGAACCGCAACTTTGGTGAGGAGCCCGAGGACAATGTGCTGTACATTCTCCGTTGGGTGTATGATGATCCCCAATCGGCGGCGGAGGAGCAGGTATTGGTCCAAGCCATGGCTGCCATCTTGAGGCGAGCCCAGCGAGAGGCACATGAATGGAATATGCACGCAGTCGAGTTCTGGAACCCAACACCACTGCTGCAAAAGGCTGTGAAGATGTTGGATTCAGATGCCCAAGTTGTGCATCGTGAGAAGAGCAGCATTTCCAGTCTGCGCTGGACCGGTGCGCAACAAGGGCTTGGTGATGACGTTGAGTGGTTCTTAAATGAGAAGTACACTTGGTGTTGAATGCCCTTCACCAGTTCATCAAATTCAGGGTTTTTGTCTTGGCTTTCTTTTCTTTGATCTATCCCACCAATGCATTTTGACTTTGGAGCTCAGGATGAATGTTTGGGCGGCATGGGTGTCAATTATGTTTTCTAGAGATGCTAGGCATCATGTATGGGGTCCACCGTTGTCGGACGCAATAGCGACTGGATGGTTGGACACTCAATTGCGCTTTGAATTTTTGAGCAATTCATGCCAATTCCTAGTGGGTTTGGCCTTGGCCGCCGGAGCTGAGCCAGCGGTGGCAGCTTTGCTGCTCTGCTGGCGCTGCGAAGGCTCAACAAAGAAAATTGTTGTAGGATCGGGGCTTCGGTATGACCCATCTTGTAGTTTTGATAGTGCTGCATCGCCTCTCCACGACTCTGGTAGACAATCTTTCCATGCGCGGAGGAAATCACTCCGTCCAATGGCAGAAGACGCTGTAGGTGCCTTGGCCGCAAGATACGTCTCGCCTACCCATCGTGTACACTCGACTTTTTCAAAGCTTGCCCCTAAACGGTTGAAATTGCATTAGTTGAATACTCACATTTTTCAAACGAAAATTGCCTGTCAGAATATACTCACATTTGAGCTCATCTGCTAGCGCTGGTCGCTCCTCCGCAGTACAGAGCTTTCTCACCACAGCCTCAAGGCAGGCTCTTGGAAACGGTTCCGGCGTATCATCGTCATCAAGAACCGATTTCCACAAGTCCCCGACAAGGAACTGTTTTTCCAGATCGATACCTTGTAGAACGGCACCCTCCATCATCCGCTTCCAAACGTTCAAACATATCCGCGCCGAGGGTCTCCAGCACGTCAACTCATGCTTTCCATCTATAAATGCGCAGATTTCGACCCAGCCCTGCTCGCATTGTGTTGCACAGACAGGAATATCCGCGCACACCAAATCCCTTAATCGTCGTACCTCAGCGGGGCCTTTATCAACAGGGGAATCAGAGGACTCGTCCATCATGACATCCCCGTCGTCATCGCCGCTTCGCGGGTCATATAGTTGTAGGCTTTTCTCTAGGAACGGGACCGCAGAAAATCCTCCTGGTGGCACATGTAGCTCCAGTGTCGATCCGCACTTCGCTATGCTGCTCACCGCATCATCGGGAATCTTCAAAGCGCCACTATCCTCATCCTCCTCTCCAACAACTTTGATATCCGCCTGAGAGATGTTGCCAGGACTTGGTCGTAGGATATGGAGTGAATTGGACGATTGGACCTGGCGGATTCGGTAGGTTTGGGTAGGAGTACAAAGGTTGACGTATTCCAGGGCACTGGGATCGACTACCGCTTGTGCCAGAGCGGAGGAGGGGGACTTGAGTTCCAATCTTTAATATTCCCTTTCATCAGTATGGATTGTGCTGAACAAGCAGGAGTCGGATCGTCCAAGAAAGAAATAAATGAGCTGTCAACTTACACGGGGGCATCTTTGGATGTAAGTAGTGCCTCCAGGTCTGGAGGCAATTCCAGCAGTCGAAACCCCTGCTGATGCTGGGTATGTGTGAAAAGAATACCTCGTACGTCCTGAGTTGCCATTGCCACAATTTTCCCGACGATCTCGAATGAAATGTTGGAGGGGAACAAAACGCGGGAAAGATGGAGACGCGATTAGACGCGTTCCGCACGGACCACCTTTAAATAGATTTGGATACACAGTTATACTTGGCTTTTCTTTTGCCTACGCCATTTCTTAAGCACATAATTTATGCTATGTACGTTCCCTCTTGACAGACTACTCTGGATGTAGTTCCATGGCGGCTACGAGGACCAAATATGGCCAGGCCACCCGGAGAGTTGTTGAATGAGTATGCGAATTGCAGTAAATCCAAGGGTACCAGAGATTGACTTGCCTAGTAATTCTGTGTCACAGCACATGCCTCTAGATATTATGGGACATATGGATTATCCCTTTCCATATGGCTTGCGTACATATGGTGTCGACGATGTGTTGGTTTACAACGAAAGTATGGCGTCAATAACACTGGGTGGAGAAAGAAGCCGACCGGATCATTGCGCCTTTTACTTGGAGACAATGCACCATGGCCGCAATCGTGGCCTAGGATCCACAGTTCCGTACCAAGAAGGTCTTGCATGAGACCATACAGACACCATAATGTCTGCTTGTAATGCGAGGAGATATGAATACTGCCGTTATTGCCAGGACGATAATACACCCAATTATCCTAAGCAAGTATCCTAGAGAGATGATAGGATGGGCGAAAGCAGTGATTTGTAATTACTTTGCCTAAGTCCCCGATGCTCCAATCTTCTCCACAGTCTGTCTGTGCTATTATCGGGATTCTGTTATGAAAACTACCCCACCTCACTCAATTTGAATTCAGCAGTCTTGAAGAAATGTATAGAGTTCATATGTATAGAGCTCATAGAATCGGTTTGATGAATTCCTGTTGGAATCAAATTCCAGGCAAAATAAGTAAGGCCCAAAAATCAAGCCGTTACCCAAGACTTTTCAAATCCTTATTTATGCTCCAGGTGAACACTTTCGACCTCATCGTCAACGTCACTTCTACGGAAGACTGGCAGTGACATTGTATTAAACTTTTTTTTTGGTCCTGCTAAAGGCTTCGAAGGAATGTATCCCGACCTTTTGCCACGTCAGTAGAGTTACACAGCATTGACTGACTGGTGTATTGGTGCTGTTTGGGGAAAGTTTCCCCTCTTTTCTATGTACTCCATGCATGCAGAAAAATAAGAAAGGAAATCTCACCCTAACCAATTTGGAAGTGATACACTCTGAATGGAGCCATAGAGTCTGTGTTGCCAAAAGCATATTGGGCATACTGCATAGAGTTTCCCCTTGCTACATCTGATCTGCGCTCCCCATGCGCTCTCTAATCATTCATGGAAGGTCATTGTTAAGAATCCTGGAAAGTCATAAGAACCCCTCATTCCGCCACAGAATACTTTTGAATAGCTCACTCGGGTTTCTTCTGAGGCATCTTGATAACTTTGTGTATCTATCTCGCCGAATACTAAGATGGGCTCACCAAGTGGGGTTACGTCTAAACTCAAACATATCACTCAAGATGAGAGCACGATAAGAAACGCCAAAATTGAGAATTGCATTGGCTCCGTCAAAGTTCCTGTGGGCATCGCTGGCCCGTTGCGTGTCAAAGGTCCAGATGGAACTGACGGTGATTTTCACGCCCCCTTAGCAACCTGCGAGTCTACATTGGTAGCGAGTTGCTCCCGCGGATGCAAGCTGCTTAGCTCTAGTGGTGGTGTTCAGTTCAAATTACTGCGGGACACTATGACTAGGGCTCCTGTCTTCTGGTTTGCCTGTGTGGAAGATGCTGCTTCGTTTTACGACCTGCTACCCGGCCTCTTCTCCGAGTTCAGAGATGCTGCACAATCTACTAGCAGACACGCCCGCCTTGTGAAGATACAACCTCAAATTGTGGGAAGCACTGTCCACGTTATCTTTGAGTACTACTGTGGGAACGCTGCAGGTCAAAATATGGTTACATTTGCTACACAAAAAGCGTGTGATCGTTTCGCAGCATCCAATACGGCCCTGGCAGTGAATCTTCGCAAAATCACCATTGACGGCCAGCTGACCTCGGAGAAAAGCCTATCTTGGGGAAACATTTTACACTCGCGCGGTGTTGCTGTCATGGCTTGGGGGGTGATCACCCAAGAGGCTTGCCAGAAGATTTTAGGCACTTCTACATGGGGCCTTTATCAACTTGTAAATAACAGCAAGGAGGCTGCTACTAGAAACGGCCAGCTAGGGTACAGTGTCAATCAAGCCAATGTGGTGGCTGCAATGTTCATCGCATGTGGCCAAGATGCGGCCAGTGTGGCGGAATCGGCTTGGAGTCACTTGGCTGTTCAATTTGACCGAGAAACTGAGGAGCTGGGTGTATCAACCTATTTCCCAAGTTTGCCAGTTGGAACCGTTGGGGGTGGTACTACTTTGGACACGCAAAGAGAAGCGCTGGAACTTCTTGGCTGTACGGGCCCTGGATCTAAAGGTCGCTTAGCGGGCCTAATTGCATCGTTTGCTCTTGCGCTAGATATTAGCACGGCTGCTGCTATTGGCAACAACACCTTTGCAACTAGTCATTACAAGCTCGGAAGATCTACTCGCAGAGAGCAGTCAAAGCTTTGACCCTTCCGGCACAGGCCTCACCCCACCCAGACAGACCCTTCCCGAGACTTCTTAGTTGAACCTATAGCCTATTTTTTAGTCACTAGCCAACATCAACTTTCATCTATCTCAACTCCCAATCTCTAGCAGCTGTTGGTTTCAACAGAGGAGTTTACCTTCATTCGAAAGTGTTACTTGTATCAACTCAAAGTTCGATAATGGGATATCATAATAACAAAGAACGAAAGGAGCAGACTGAACCTCTATGTAGAATCACCTCCGTCCTCCATCAACACTCTACTGATCTACACTCATCTATATCTCTTATAGAATGAACCTCATCAACTTCCTCCCTTGAAACAGGGGCGTGAACGAACAACAACCCAACAAAACATAGCAGAAACGCCCCTGCCAACCCAAAATAAGGAAGCCCAACCAAAACACCACCTCTCTTCTGACCCAACTCAAAGAGCCAAGTAAGCACTGGGCCCAACATCGAGCCCGACGTCCCCACAATCCCGATCAATGTATTAAGCCTAGAAGTTTCCGATACTGGCACGTAACTCAGAGCCAAAGAACGACACAATGGGAGCATGCCTGCCCCTAAGCTCTGAAACGCCAGTCCACCAATAACGACATCAACCTGCGACGCAGCCATCCAAAGTGCCCCCACAGTAGCGATAGCAGCAGAGAACCGGGCAAGTGTCAAGTCCCTCGTGTTCGGCTGCTGCCACCGCAAGAGCAGTTGAGATAGCACTGGAAGTGCAACCAACAAAACAGCCATCTGAATGATGCCGCGCATGGCAATGAGGTAGCCGGCGTCAGCGAAAGTCCAATTAAATCGTTTACTAATAAATTGCGTGAAAAACCCTGAGGTGGCCATATCCTCGGGCATGTCGATAATGTTGGCGGCAATGATAATAATAATCGAGGGAGTTCGTAAAGAGGCGAGAGAAGCTTTGTAGAGCTGTATGGATTGTGATAGGTGCGACTTCAAAGTATGAGGCTTCAGTACTGAAGGTGCACGGCCTATCTCGGCGATGGGGTCCTGCTTTGCTTGTGGTAATGTCTCTGGTACGAACATCAGGATAAACACGCCGATAGGCCACATGCAGAGGCTTAGGAATATTGGGGTCCAGGGTGAATATGCGCTCATGAGTTTGGAAGAGACCATAGGACCGACGGCAGAGCCGGATAGTATTCCAAATGTTAAGAGAAAGAATGCCGATGCTCTGATTGCGTTAAATAGTTTCAAGGCTATTGTAAGACCCCGTGTACGTACCTTTCTGATCTAGATACTAAATCCGATGCGATGGAGTTCAGTGCTGCTATTTGAACGGCTAATCCACCGCCGACGACGAGAAACAGAGGGCCGGCCAATATATATCGTACTGGTAAGATTGATGGAAAGGCAAGGACGAATAGTTTCCATCCTTTGGAAAGTATGGACCCGGCAAATGCAAGGTAGAGAATGGGTTTGCGACCAATTCTATTGATTTTATCTTAGTAAGGATCTTTTATCAAGCTCAACACCCAGAAATAAGTTACCTATCGGCCAGTACCCCGAACGGAAAAGCTGTCGTAAGACCTAGCGCCACAGTCAGCGTCCAAGCTTTGCAGTACGATTTCGAAACATACTAACGACCGCCTCCATTACAGGCATATAGCCCATAATAGTAGCTAACTCGAACTGAACATGGTTATTTTTGCAAAGTCCTGCCTTAACAGCATCTCCTTGAATATATCGATGACAAAGGTTATCTTCAAGAAGTTGCGACATGGGTGTATTGACCATGGCGAAAGCAAGGGATATGAAGAAAGTGTGTAACGACAGCAAGTAAACCGATAGCCATCTTGTGGTCGGTTTCTGTTGCCCGCCGAGCAACGGGAATGTTTCTTCACTCATTGTTTCTGGAATCTGTAAAGAACAAGAACCCGAGCTCGGGAGGTACATTATTAAAGAGAACCACGAAGGACGGGAGCTACGTGGCAGGCCTTAGGACTAGGGAGAAGGTAGGTAACATGGGGGCGGTCAATGTGACTGCTCTGACCTCGCGACCCCTGTGCGTTGCTCGCGTGGCATTCTTGTGCAACACTACATACTTGACTCTGATTGGGAGTCGGACCCCTTATCAGATCGCCGTTTCACCGTTTCACCGTTTTTTCTAACCGAGATCTGGGAAGTGGGCCACCTGCAGGAAAGGTGAAACGCAGAAAAAGCGCACGACTTTTTTTTGCCCAGGATTCCGATCGAATTATTCTAGAAATAGTCAACCGGCGCTTCCTTCGAATTCCAGCAGGAATCGAACATTCAAGATTGGTGGTTCGTGCGGCTCGGTCCGATCTAGATCAGATGACATCATCGGTGCACGCGCGTTTTAATCTAAAGAATGAAGAAATGTGACTGGCCAGCAGGGCACACTACCTAATCGGTGCTGACCCCGAGGACTCGCTTGTCTTGTTTTTGCTTATTTTGTAGGTCATCCACACCGATACGGGATAGCTGTGATCATGGATAGAGTTTCAGGATCTGAAACTAAAAACTACTTATTTAGACAACTCTATTTTTTGGAACTATGTTACTTTTTAGTAGATATACATATTTTATTTTATGTTAGGCGCTGCTCTGGCAACCTAAGCGCCACAACCTCGCATACACTCAAAATGTATTGCGAGACGATAGAGGGATCAGTCAAGTAGGCATGTCGCAGAGCTATCCTGCATTGCATATGCCCTTGGAATAGTTGAGAAACGACTTCTTCAAATTAATGACCATGTTGGGTCTGCTCGTTCAAAATTCAATGGACCCCGACGCTTATGTCAAAAAGCTTTTCGACGATGACAAGTTTAGCCGTTCGAGGCTCTACTTTTAGATGATTGATTGTCTCAGCGAATTGCTTCTCAGCATTGAAGACAGCATCAGACAATGCGAGCTTTCCCGAGAAGCCCGGGGACTTCATGTCATTGATCCTCTCTCCCTGAGGACCAGAAACATCGAGACACCGACAAGCTTCGAGAGCTTGACCGAAAGGCGGGGAGATCCAGCAGAGGCTAGACGTCTCTGCTGAATGATATAAGAGCACAACTCAAAGCAGAATTGGAAACAGTGGGGGTACTGCGTGATGGTGTGAGTAGTCAACCTATTGTCTATATTTATCGGATTAGACTCTAACATATTGAATTTGCAAGCCTATCAATGCAAGTGCCCTTATTGAAAGTAGATCGTCCTCGAAGCTGGGTCAGAACGTGCAGCTACTCACTTATGTGAGCATCTTCCATTTGACATTGGCGTTCTGTGCAGTGAGTATGCATCACAGAAAGAGCAAGCGTAAATATTGAACTATCTAATTAATTCTCTATAGGCACTTTGGGCCATTCCGAATATAACGGACGGCGGCACAACAAATGCGTTCGTTATTACTGCTGTTATTGTGGGATTCGTGACATACGCGATTGTATTTAATCTCGAAAACATCGCGGGTGTTTTTGGCAGATTGTACGCCAACCAGAGAGACCGACTGCTACAAGACATGGGAGATGATCGTGATAAAGATTGGAAAGAACTTCGATATAAATTCGATGACTTTCCTTCTAATAAAAAGCGAACGACCCCATCAGAGTGGGGGATAACCCGATATCCGATATCTAGGTGGCTCAGCTTGGGACGTGCGAAAGCCGCTAAGGACGATGAGGAACAGAATGATATGTGATCATACCGATGAACAGTATTTTGATAAGAAGAGAATGTCAAATCTACACCGAAGTTAAGGTCCATATCAATCTTCCTGTCACGAACACCTGGTCAAAGCTCGAACCACGCGCCTTTCTTATCGCCTGACATTAGTTATAATGCTGATGCCTAGGTGCCCTGCTCATCAGATTTGAAACAGTACCATCCACTAGGTAGTACGAGGTCCACTCTATTAGTTTTATCCACCCTTCAAACAGTCGGATGGTATGCGCTTCTCCCTAGCCTATAGTACAGGATGTACATACTGAAGAGTACACGTGATAATATAGAGAATTTACCTTCTGAGGTTGAACTCTAGTTTTGATAAATAGGCAGTAATTTCGATAACTAGTTTAAAACAACGTGTTCTTGCTTCCATTTCACACCTCTAATATGCTTCTAAGAAACACCGACAAAAGAAATTCAAGAATAATGAAGATATACACGGGGGAACTGAAATCAAGAAAATTGCTAGACATTGCTTCCAGCCCAGCAAATAATAGTTCCACCCGATAGATAAGAGGATTAGAAGAAAGAGGCACAATATGGCTGGCCCACATACCAGGTTTCAGAGCAAAGGTGCCGGCCATGCAGATGGAGGCCTGAAAATATTCCAGCCAGCTGGACGCTTATAATTGAGTCCTTGAAGTACCGAGTGGGAGGTGGTAATTTAGGGATGCAGAATCATCGTCTGCCCTATTTGTTTGATGAGCCCTTCCCGGCATCTTTCAGGGCTTGTGCAGCTGGTCCCTCTTCGGAGCCCTTGGCAGCCGCAACGTTCTGGGATTTCATCTGCCCTTCTTTTTGCGCGGCGAGTTGACGTTCTTTTTCTTCTCGCTCGAGAGCCTCTTGCTCTTGTTTCATTTCCTCCATATGGCGCAGGTCATCCAAGCTCGGCTCGTACAAGTGCCAAATGACATAGTGGGGTAATCCGATAACCGAATACTTCATACGTTTGGCCATCTGAATAAATGTTAGATCTCGCAGTTGTGACTAAGTGGGGCTAGTCCTTACCTTGCCGAAACCTTCTGTTTCCGCATGCTTCTCGAAGCTGAAGGCTGGGAAATGAACACCGGAACGGAAGACCTTAGCCTTTGCCAAAATACTGACACCTCCGATGCCGTCAAGCTCCATTTCCATATCAGGATCGCCGTAGGGGTCGCGTAGGTAGGCAAGATGGGGTCGCCATGTTGCGTACTCTGCGTATCCTTCCACGATGACAGCATCTTCATCCAAGGTATCTGCTAGCGCCAATGCTGTCTCCGACTCTTGCCATGAGTTCAAGTCGTACGGTTGCTCTCCACCGAGCCAATCTGGAAGCGGACGCCACACATCTAGAGACATTCCGTTAGTATGAATCGCAAACCGAGGAGATGAGGATTAAAGATAGCCACACGCTGCTACTCACTTGGAACTATGACGTCCTTATTATGCCGCATCAGATCCTCAAGAATCGTAAAGGGTGCAGTCTCCACATCCGCATCGCGCCAATAGACCCAGCTGTGTGTGGGACGCAGTGTAGCACTCAGTAGCCAATTTCTAGCCTGGGCCATCAACTTTCGCCGATTCGCTTGCGCTTGGAAGGTATGACGACTCTCCACATCCTGTTGAACCTTCTGTCCGAAATCCTTCTGGATCACCGAGATCTCACCAAATGCCATCTTGGGATCGGAATCATTCTGCAATTCCTGCAGCATTTCTGTGAGCATGTTAAGCGTATCATCGCGCGAATCTGACACCAAGAACGCCAAATCGATCAGGTTGTGTGGGTATGTGAGGTTGCGGAGGTGCGAAAAGAACATGGGAAGGTGGGAGGAAGCATCGCGCAGAGGCGTGAGCATGAGGACGCGTTCGCCGCGCTCCCAGCCCCTCTCGGTGCCTTGCACTTCGGAAAGATCATAGTATCGGACGGTCTGGAGGTGTAGGTCGGCGGCTGGGTGAAAGAGACCGAGGGACAGAGCTGGAAGGATTGCGGCGCGCCATGATGGGAAGATGAAGATCACTAGCAGTAATGATACCCCACCGAGGAGGATAAGACGTTGGAAGAGCTGGCGGCGTCGGCGGAGAGCTGGCTGAGACCGGGGTTGGAAGCTGTGAGGATATTGAAAGTTAGCTTTGAGGATATTGCGGATCCCTCGTGGAGGACTGGGTCATTGCATGCTTAACTGCAGCAATCCCTTGTGGACAGGATACGCGGCCCGGCGGCCGGAGTGACGACGCACCCGTTGAGAAAAGCGCTGGACCCGCGAGGGTAGGCCGAGGTGCCTTTTGGGGAGGCGTAGTGCCTGTTCATAGCTTAGAGGCTCAACAGCATTGGGTTCCTTTGCTCGAATTGTAGATTGTATGGGCGAGAAAGCCTTGTAGCTACGAAGCTAACAAGGTTCAGTCTCAAAAAAAGGCCAGCTTTGCGCCCGGGTGGGTTTTGTTGGGGAATCGCAGAAAAGTAGTAAGAAGGCAAGAAGAACGAAACGAGGATTCTAGAAGGTAATGTAATGGGAGAACCACGATCAACGTGCCAGGTCAGTAGAGTGTTACAGAAGAGAATTCGATGTTTCGCCCTTGAACCTAAAGCAACCGAATCCGGACATCCGCTTGCAGTAGGAGATTGTGTATCTCCACAATCTATACAAATTAAATTAAAATGAAGGTTCAGGGTGCAGACATGAGAACATTAATTTCGCTAAACGCTCTAGTTAATAAAAATTGCGTTCACAAGCTGTTGACTTTGGCTCGAGATCGCCGTTGACTACGTTGATGATCCTTTGACACTTAAACTTCCACATTTCCCAGTACCCGTACCACACGCCATTCGTGCCCCATCAACATCGGACGGATTCAGCCTCACTCGTTTTATCCTAGTTACCATCGCCATCCACTGTTCCCCACCCTGAGGAATGTAACTTTTGCGATCACCTTGGTCTTCCGTCCTGGTCGAGCTTCGGGATACCATGCGCAGAGTAGGCCGAAGCCTAGATCGGGCCGGGTGAGTGAATCAGAGTATTTCACATTCCACGGAGGCTCCATATTCCCAGGGGGGAATTGCGCGAAAATACTGGGATCAAGGGCGATGATATCCGGGAAGATTCTGCTTGCCTACAATGAGGTACCCTCGCCGTCCATGGATCCCCATGCTGCCATGCACGCTATTGCTTTGGTGGAACCCGAGATCTCCATTGATCAGCACAACGCAGCGCCGCCAAGAAGGTTGAGGCTGAAGTGTCGGAGATTTTTCACCAGAACGTCCAATGTGGTGTTCACTGGTGCGCGACTCTCTTAACCTCGGTCACGCTCAAAGGACGGAGTAGCCCAGTGGGAGCGCCCCATAGATCTCCGGGGCCGCTGTGGCGTGCCGTCCCGGATGGCCCCCAGCAAGCCACTGCCGGAATCGAGGGACACAGTTCGTTTGGCTGTATCAAGTTTGTCCAGAGTCAGATTATTGCAGCATTGGATTAGGTTGACCACTGGATGAATCTTGTTGCTTCGCACATGATCTGGTGGAATCAAGCTGGTCAAACGAACTCGACCAGGCCAAGGCAAGACTCACGATTTGTTCTCCACGGGGCCAAATGAACCGGTTTGATTCCAAATTGCTCAAATAACCTGAAAATAGCATAACATCATTTCGTGGACAGTACTTTCAGCCGTCAATTATGCAGGCACATCTTCTATCCTAGCGATGTGGCCAATGAGGTTTCTAAAATTACCCGAGCTAGGTATCAGATCTGATACAGATCTAGTACCTAGAAGGTACTTGATGCGACCCAGATCTACCCTCAGGGTACTTAATGTAGAAATGTCAGCCCTTGTCAAATTAGTGGATCATGCTACTGATAGAAGTGATTGGCTTGGCCATGTATAGGGTCCGCCCCCGGCCCCATAGGGGTATAGCGATCCCTTCCTAGATGAATATTCGCCATCCAACTAGAGTCCAACAGAGTGAACACCTACCTAAACTCGTAATGCAAGCAATTCATGAGCTTGAGCTTCACGGGCCGAAGCCTAGGTACAAATAACTTAAATAAGATGTTCATGTCCGTAGAAATCAAGTTTCTATCAACAACAGCTTCAATCATACACTCTTCTCTCAATCTTCCCGCATCAACTTCAAGCTCTAAGCTTCAACCGCCTCCAAGCACACAATGCAGTTCTTCAAGGTTCTTACTTTCTCTGCTTTCGCCGCCATGGCTACCGCTGCTGCCCTTCCTGCCCCCGAGGCTGCTCCTGCCCCGGTCCCTGTGGCTGCTCCTGTGGCTGAGCCTGGATTCGGTAGGCTACGACACGATGAGAAGATCATATTTAACAACTGCTAATATAATTATAGGAAGCCTTCTTTTTAAGGCGCTGCGCAAAGGCGCTGATATCTGGTCGGACAGCGACGACAATGACGACGACGATGACAGCAACTAGATTGAGAATACCTCGTTTCTCGAATTAAGAAAGTTCTGATGCCGTCAAGTTTTATAGATGAGTGCATGTGCTGGCTGGTCCAGGCATTTGCTTCTGGTATCGGGATTGATGGGTTTGGCGTTGATCTGAGATATTCATGTTAAATATCAAGTAGCCTTCGAGCTACTAGGTACCTAGAGACTATGAAACCTCTTTTTATTCTACATACAGCTTTTCATTCATCTCTTTGAAAAATGAAACAATAGATTCTTGTTTGGCAGACGAATAGATTCATAGGGTAGTAGTATGAGGTGAACATCTCAGTCCTGATGCAAGCTTGCCTCATAGTCCAGGAAACGGATATGATATCCAAGGAATTACAGTGTCCCAATAAGAATCACTCTGCTATAACAATCTACTTTCCACCAGCCCGTACCAAATCCGCAAACCGTGAGCCGGTTATACCTTTCAAAACAGCTGGAACCCCAACCTCTACAACCTCTCCCATATCCATGACCACCACCCGATCAAAATCCATAACCATATCTAGCCGATGACTGACAGAGATCACAGTATAATCCTTAAAGCTGACCCGGACAATCTCCTGCATCACGCGCTCCGTCTCATGGTCAACCCTAGAACTGACCTCATCCAACAGCAAAATGCCCCCACCATTATTGAATCTAGCGCGGACCCCACGACGTAACATCGCCCGACCCAGTGAAAGCAGCTGCCGCTGTCCAGCACTAAATGTCCCTGACACCATGGGCGCATTGAGGCCGCCGTGCTCCTGGACGAAAGACCAGAGCCCAACTGCTTCCAGAATGCTTTGGCATTCTGCAGCAGTGGAGATGTGGGAGGGATCTAGGTTTTCTTGGAAGGTGGAGCCATCTGGAAGGAAGACTGCGTCTTGGGGAACGGCGATGAGACGCTGGCGGAGGGTTGAGCGATTAATGCGATTGAGGGGGATGTTATCCATGAGGATCGCCGCGTCTCCAGTAATATTGGGCAGGGGATCAAGGATTTTAAGGAGAAGTGCGAGGAGACTTGATTTGCCGCTTCCAGTGCGACCACAGATTGCGACCTTCTCGCCGGAATGAATGGAAAGGTTGATGTTGTTCAGGGCGAGAGGGGTTTCATCTTTAGCCTCTTCCAGAGTACTGAGGAGATATGTGAGTTTTATGTGGATTCAGAAATTAGATTGTCATTGACTCTTACCCATATCTTGCGGAGACACCTTTCAACTCAACCGTACCATGCTCAGGCCACTCTTCATCCGGGCTTACATCCTCCTCTTCTCGGTCTTCCGGCGTGACGGTTTCATTGAAATTCTTCAATCGTGCAATCGCACCAATTGAGGTTTCCAGCCTTGTGTAGAAGAAGACGACACCGGACAGATTCTCTCCGAAGCTCATGAGAGAGTATAAAGATGCACCTGCGAAGCCAGAGCTCGAACGAAGGCGCACAGCGAGAGTGGTCAGAACCACTGCGATCACCATGACCACCAGATTTAGAACTAGATTCAACCATTCTTGGATCATTAGAAGGAGGTATGCGGCTCGTTGACTAGAATCAACCAGACGAGCATTTTTTTCTACCTCCTCTGTCAGGAAGCCTATAGTTTTGTTAGGTTAGAGACTGAATCACATTATCATCTAGAAGTGTAGGTCACTTACCCAAGGCTCGCAGCGTAGCAATGCCTTTGAGAGTATCGAGGAAATGAGTGCTTAGAAAATCGAGGTTAGTATACGACATGCTGGAAGCCCAATGCAGGTGGACCCACTATAGAGGACTTTTTGCCTCTAAATCTAGCAACCTCAACTGCCTCGAAGTCCGCAGATAGAACTTCTGTACGACATACAGTAGGCTGCCGAGGAGCGGATAACTGATAGCCAGATAGACTGACGAAGTAAGCATAACGGCCGCTTGTCCAATAGATTGAGAGACCTAGAGACCCAGATTAGACAAAAAGGTGTTTACTTCAAGCTACAAGCAACTTACACAAAACAGAGTGTTCAAAGTCGCATCTGGTAGCTCAGTGTCTATCAAATTCAGATCCTGCGAAAACAAGTTGGTTACGACGCCAGTATCTGTCTTCGTAAAGAATGAAAGCGGTGCTCGAATTAAAGTTCTTAGTGCGTCTTGATGCAAAACAGCTCCGGCCTTCTTGACAGAAACAATGAAGAGCGTGATTCCCAGTAGGAGCAATGCTACCATGGCGCACATCTGAAGCAGCGCATAGATCCCTGCGTAGTAGGCATAGGAATGTGGCGGATTATCCGAGGCAACGGCATTGCCCCAATATGTGAGCCCTGCGAGTTGGGGATATTAGTTCGTGTCATGGTTCAGATTTCTGGCAAGGAACTTACAAATAGATGGGTAGTTCGTGAAGAATCCCCAGAGGGCCGCGAAGAATAAACTACACGCCGCCACAAACCATCCCATGCTTTTAAAATAGTGCTTATACACAGTAGCGTCTCCGACTTGCCGCAATGCAATCGCATCTTGGGAGAGGGGTGCCGTGCCACTGCTTCCTGTAGTCGCACGGTCCAGCTGTGGCTGATTCGAAATGCCTTTCTTAGGGGCCGGCTTCTCGCACGAAGGTTCACGGTCGGGTATGCTCTTCAATCCCAGACGTTGAATATATCCTTGACTGTTTGACAAATGATCGAAAGTACCTTGTTCCCTTATTATGCCATCCTCAAGCGCAATGATATAATCTGCGGAAGGGAGGTGTCTGATACTATGAGTACATAGTACAACCGTGGACCTCCGTCTTCTTAGCATACCATCTGCTCCAAAGACTTGCTGGAAAACATGCGCCTCGGTGTCCGCATCCAAACCACTGAAGACGTCGTCCAGGACTAGCAGTTCGGATTGTAGATATAGCGCTCGCGCTAGCGACACACGCTGCTTCTGGCCCCCAGAAAGGGCGATTCCGTCTGACCCGATATTCGTGTGGTCTTGGCGGGGCAGGGTACCAAAGTCAAAGGCTAGGGCTGTGGCTTCAATAACTTCATTATACCTCTCGCTATTAAAAGGGGAAAACCCAATGATATTCTCTCGGATCGTCCCGTTCGAGAGAAAGGCAGTTTGCTCACAGAAACCAATGTGCCGGAATTGGGTTTTGGTGACTACACTACCTTCGCTGAAAGGCATCTCTCCAAGAAGTGCCTTGCAAAAGGTTGATTTTCCCGAGCCCACGGGCCCGACGACCATCGTCAAGAAGGACTTAGATATCTGCGTGTTTATGTTCTGCAAGACATACTTCTCTGCTGTCCACCCAAAGCAAGCGTCTCTGATGATTATAAGACTTGAGGACTTTGAGCTCGGCTCTGAGATAGCTGCATTGTCTTTAATTGTGTCCTCTGAACTTCTCCATTGGCGAAAGTCCTCACGCGGTTCGCTTTCTAGGTAAGCCTGAATCCGACCCAAGCAGGCCAGGCCAGAGACAAGCTCAGGAATTGATTGAAAGAGCTGTGACAACGGGTTGGTCAACAATGTCAAGAAGGAAAGACTTGTGAAAATTGTTGAGGCATCTATGGTGCGTTGAGTGAATGCAAAGGTAAGGGGTGGACTAATTAGCTGAGACATAAATGCGAAGACCGCCGCAATGATGAAGATCTTGCGGAATCGGGCTCCTGCTGCAAGTTCGTCCACGCGGAGCTGCTGCACATAGTCGCCCACGGTAGCCGAGAGACCGGAGATCTTTAGTGATTTCATACTAGCAATGACTGTCGCGGTAAGTCCGACTCGCTTTTGGATTCCAGACATCCACGTCCTTTGCGAATCACCGGTGAAATTGACCAATATTCCCAACCCAATAGAACAGACAATGACAACCCCGATGGGTGCGACGAAAACAACACCAAGTTGCTCATACAACATCCAACTAGCAAGACCCGCTTGGATTATGCTTGCCCAGGTCTCATGAATAAACCGGAGGCCCATCTTGATGCGTTCTATATCCGTGCTCATCAAGGTCAGCGTGGCGCTATCATCACTGGATCCGATCCGTGAGTTCACAGCCGCGGAAAATATCTCGGTGACTAGGATTGACCGTGCCATAGTGCGTAGTCGGTGGTGAAAGTACCTAGGCCGCTATGTAAGTGAACTTTTCTTCTGAGTCAGTCTTGTGAAAATTGACTATACCAAGACAAGGCATAAGATATGGCCATTCCAAAGTAAATCAGCATGCTAGCACCAATCAAACCGTATCCGGTATTCGGATCTGGCTCTGACTGGGATAAATAAACCAATAGTCTCTCGATAAAAAGAGGCTGACAAAATGTGAAACCAACCAGTGCCAATCGCGGAGCGATAGGGAGGAGAAGAGGCACCTTCAGTGTACGGATTAGCACTTTGAGAAGACCAAATCGATCGCCTTTTAGTTTCGAGTAGTCTATATACTTTTTAAAATCTTCATGCAGCACTTGGGCATTGAAAGAGCTATCGAGGGGATAGAGGTCCTCGATTGTCAAGATATTCTTATATCCGACAAAGAACATCTTGTTTAGCCAGAAAAAGACACCAAGAGAGAAAATGCCACTTGTTTCCTCGGGACTGTGCTTCTGCTTGTCCCAAGTAATCCATTTGGTTTTCTGACGAGCCTCCAACAGCAAAATGCCTGTCTTGAGCGCTATAGACGCACAAAATATGCTGCTGTAAGTGAGTTCGGGCTTGTCATCCGATGATAGAAAAAGCGTTCTTGCCTGAGCCGCATCGAGAAGAAGAGTGAGAAATAGATAAGTGCTTAACAATATAGACGGTCTTGGGCTTCGGCTATGGTCCACAACACTCAGGGTAAGCATGAACAGAGCTGATACGAGGTTGAGGGTCGAAGAAGCTATGAACATGCTGGTGGCATGGAAAGAGCCGGTCGCAGTTAGAACGAGGAGTGCGAGCTCCAGACCGATGTAGATGGTGATCGTTCCCTTTAAGCAGATTAATGAGCGCTCGTGCATGAGGCCTTTTGTGAGGAAGATCATACCGACTTCATAATTTGAAATGTGGGGGCGTTCACCACAGCCGGCTTCCGTGCCCGGGAAATGGTACGCCATAAGGATGTCAGAATAAATAAGGCGGATGGAATGATGGAGAAGAATAGATGCTCGAACTGGACATTGAAGTCAAAGTCTTTTTGATTCAGATGGAGCAAGGCCCCAGTAGCGAAGGTCATTTTGAAAGGGCTGTAGCTATAGCGAGCCCTGTCACCTGCTAGGTCCTAATGCAAGTCCAATGCACCCAAGTATGACGAATAGTAAGTTCCAAAGCTTTAAAAAAGGTGAAGTATGTTATGAGTCTCGGAAGAATTAAAGAAGAGAAAAAAGTAAGCAGGGAAGGAGGCTTATCTTAAAGACGTCAATCTACCCAAACAACGGACAGCCTGAGCAATTTAACAAGCCTCAGTGAGTTTAGCGCGCGCGCTGCTTATCTACCCTCACTCTACAATCCAATCGACTATGGAGTCCCAAGCCTCTGGCGCAGGAGTATTAGGCAGCCTCGTTCAATTGAAGCTTCAGTAAATACAAATCCTGCCTCTCATCAGTGGTAGATAACATCGTACGCTAAGTCAGTTTACAATGGCTCGTCAACTGTGGATAGACCATGTTTGGTTTCCACATCACCCAGCGCCCCCAAGTGATATCGCTGAATATACTAATAGTGACCAGAAAATGTGCTAATGAATGCGGCCTGGGCCGCTCGCGAAACCAGCTTTATCCCAGACTTCGGTATCGGGAGGTCATACCGTCGGAGACCAGCACCATAGTAATGTAAAGTTTCGATAGACAAATTAGCACGAGCGGCTGCAAAAGCTTTGCTAGGAGAGTCCTGCATCAATAATGCGCATTGGCCCCAATCGCATGAAAGTAAACAGACGTCGGCTTTCCCTTCCGAGAAATTATTAAGCTGAAAAAATCTGAACGAGTAGAGAACATTTTACTTTGAGATTCGCTACTGCGCCGGTGTGACTTGGAGGCCTGATCTATACATGCAGGAGCGGGGCTATTTTCCCCGCTTCGGGCTCAGGACTTAGGTACATAGCTTTCAAACTCAAATTATAGAGTCAAATCAGTTCTCGAAGAATTAGAAGGAATTCAAAATGTAGCCTTAGGTAATTGTCGCAAAAGTTTGGTCTTTCAATAAAAGACATTTTACCTTGATCCGAGCAACTATAATGCCCACTTCTTGCTGATCACCCGCTCACCCGCACCCGAGCCCGTGCCCGCGCCCCAGCTTATGGGGAACGAGTCGAGATGAGAATCAGAAAAGGAGGCAGATGAAAATTGCTAGGGAAAGCCAACAGGTCATGTGTACTCGAAAGATATTGATTATGCTATCTCATCCTAGAGAATATGCATCCTATCTCTAGCGTCTCCGCCCGCGACCCCGGGGGCCGTGATGAGCCGTGATGGTGGGGTTAATCCATTTCCCTTACCCAACACCCCTGAAGATTTTCTTGTTCGAACTTTTCTTGATCCTGCAAGACCCCATTCCGATCTCCCGGATCATCGTGCATGATCTCTCCAAAGCCACCGTGGTGATCGCGATCCGAAGTTGGCCCAACCATGGCAGAGACAGAGACAGTGACAGCGGACACGCTGGTATGTAATGAAGGGTCCTTTTATTCTGTTTTCGTTAGTTATCTGAAGGAAAGCTAACATATTATTAGCGCAGCCACTGGAAACCTCTTACTATTAAATCGGAGGCTTTTGACAAATGCTACAAGCACTCGGTCAATTATCTTCTGAAGGAAAATTACGAGAGGGTTTTATACTGCTTTGAATGCGAAAGAATCGAATTTCATGATGAAAAAGGAAAAGTGATTTGGTCTACTGTTGGCTCGGGCATGATGGATCCTTTTCCGGTTGATGTGCAGGTCTTCATAGTCCATGGCAAGATACGGCTAAGGGACAAGATTTGAGAGCACGGGAAATGTTTCCGACAAGATGAGGGATCTTGACATACTCAATGTATCTATAATTTTACCTGTTAAAGTGCTCACAAACCCACGTGTTAAATTGGCCCCCATTCCCAAGAGATGGATCCACTTTGGAGGCTTGACAACCAAGCAGTTCATCCGAGGACTTGGAGGTTCCCGAGGTCTACGAGGAATACTATATTTGTAGGGAAATTAGATTTACGTAGATATGAGGGACACAATATCAGTTATACATGATATTTATTGAGAGAGACCGGCTCAAATATAATATTAAAAAAAAAAAAAAAAAAAAAAAAAAAAAAAAAAAAGTGCCCAAAGACCTCATTTAGTCTGTCGAGCAAGCAGCCCTTTCAAAGCTGACGTTTCCCCCTCTAGCTTCGAGACCTTGAGTCTCAGCTCATCACGTTCCTTCCTCATAAGTTCCAGCTCGATCTCAAGATTCTTAGTTTGATCAACGCGCCGCTGCCGACATCTCCGAGCCGCAAGTGTATTGAGTCTGCGTTTTTCCACGCGAGACGACTCAACACGACCCAGGACGTTGTCAGCCTGCGATGTAGCAGGACTGGACTGAGATGTTGCAACGGAGCCCACAACCTGAGAAGCAGGAGAAGCATGCGAATGCCCGTCTAATCCAAAGTTAGAAAACACATTCAAGCGGAACTATAGCTGTCGGAGAAGCTCACCTTGAGAATTCGCCGAACTAGTAATGAGGGAGGAAGTAGGCAGAGCCAAAGACTCAATGGATCCCGAGTCCGAAAGGGAAGGGTAGGCCGAAGCCACCCCGTAACCTGGGTCGTTGACAGACATATCGAACCCGTCAAAGGCCGCAGGATAGGGTGCATTTTGAAGAGATAGAAAGTTCCAGTCGGTATTGGCAAAGGACAGTTCTGAATCTGTCCAATGATCCGACTCTTGGGCAAAGGTATCAAAGGATTGGTTGAATGGCGTCGAGAGAATACATCCCGTCGGCTCCAAAGAATTAAAGGATTGTTGAAAGTCGTGAGAATTAAACCGTGGAGGGAACCCCGAGAGCACCGACCCCTGGGGACTGGGTTGAGGGCCGGAGCTGGCTCGGTTGCCAGAAGGTTGGGATCTGGAAAACGGCTGCGGAGCTGGAGCAAGCGCAGGCCGCCATGACGAGATAGTTTAAGCGGGCCGAAGCGGGCCCGTGGCGCGGTAATTTAAGGGTAGAGAAAGAGGAAGCCCTGTGAGCTCGCGGGAATTGACTCGGTCAGGAAAGCCGAGGAGTGGTGTCCTGAGGAAGAAATCGAAAAGTGATGAGAGAGGGATTGATATACTCGGGGGTGGATTTACGCCTGGACCGCTTGTAGGTTCCACTGGTCGAAGCTGATTGGTTATGTTTGCTTCGCCCCCTCAAGACTCACAATGACTCATTTTAGCGTATTCCCATTGACCAATGAAAACTGCTGAAATTGAGCGGGCTAACCCTATCTGAGATCTAAAGATACAACCCAGTGATAAGCTAGGAATCAGACAGATATGGACCATCGAGCACAGCGTTTTGCTGGATATGGATTGGGTTGTGGGGTATTTCGCAGCTCCAGAACCAATAATCCACAAATTATACGAAATCTTGGAAAGATTGAAGAACAGATCTCGATCTCTTCAGCCTTGGAAGGGCCCGGAAATACGTAGGACATATGTACGGACTCCGGTGTATGGAGTCAGATACCAGATAAACAGCCGTGGCGCCACTCAGCGCCAAAATGCTACCTCGTGACGTGTACCTCGTCAGTAAGAAAGTGTTAATAAACCTTAGCTATGATAGAGTTAAGATCACCACAATAGCACTACACACGCATGGTTTGGCGGTCCCCCCAGCAAGCACACATAATTACGAATTACTCATGGATGTTTCTAGTAAGCCTATGCCGGTTTTTGGGGCTATAATCCTTCCTTCAAAGTTGTAGAATATCGCTCAATAAGGTTATAACAATCGCAATCAACGCGAGCCTTTTGAGTTCAAACACACAGAATGCTGCAACAACATATAAAATTGCCACAAACCTAAAAAGCTTATTTGCCAAATATTAATCGACCAGGTCAGATGCATCTATAATAGTATTCCTACAGTCCTTACTATACACAAGAATCAACCTATGGAAGTGAAGTCATCATGTCTATCAGAGCTCCTAGCAGTGAATCTGGATTCGGAAGAATTTCATCTTTCCAGCAGGGATTTGGGTCAATAAAGTTCTTCACTGACTTTTCAGAAAATTTATGTCTTTTTGGACTCAGGCTGTTGTAGAAGGAAAGCGCAAAATGGTCACAAAACTAAGCAATTTCGGCGCCGAAGTTACGATCGTCTGGCAGTGAGACGCCAATGACCTTCTAGCACTTGAGATGGTATTTAAATCTTATACTATATATAAATTCACAATCGCCCTGATACCTTCAGAACATACAGAGAGCATGGCTGAATAGGGATTAAAGCATTAGACCGGCGAATTTCCAAAATTTTTGTATAGTAGATAGCAGTATGTAGACTATGCAGCCATGCGAGCCCTAGTCAAGCTCAATTGAAGTAAATTCTCTGCGATATTTGACAAACATGCCTTACTTTTCTCAATGTAGTATCACTGTCTGAATGGTGGCAGCCACTTTGATTTGGTTTCGTGCTTAGCTATGTGCTGAGTCATCATACAAGCTCCGCGAAAAAAGAAAAGGGGTTTAGTCGTGAAATTCTCAGAGCTACAAGGATTATTTAGCTCTCCAGACCGATCTCATGGTACTGGGACCGTCCGTCAGGTTGACGGTCTTTAGATGTGTGACCCGATTGCGGGCCCGTAGCACAACCCCGCGGGTCCAATCGATGACACAGATCCGTGCCCCTCCTCGAATTTCTTTTCTTCCATCTCCCTCACGCGCATTCACCATGGCGACCGCAGCAGCCCCCGAGTCCTCTCTCCTGTCCCTCCTCTACCGCTCATACCCTACCGCCATCTCTCCCGATGCCACCGAGCTCGATTACTTCCATGCCTCTCCTAAGATTTTCCCTCAGGTCACCTTCAGCGAGGCCGAGGAGGCCGACATCAAGCAGTGGCTGAACACCGTCACTGGCTTGACCACCGCTACCGCCAGCAATGACAAGCCTGTCATTGAGAACATCTTGGCTCAGCTGAACACCCACCTCGCCACCCGCACCACCCTGCTCGGTGCGAAGCCCTCGGTCGCTGATATTGCCGTGTACGCTTTTGTTGCTCCCATCGTCGAGAAGTGGACATCCGAGGAGCGCACAGGCGAGAAGGGATACCACCACATTGTGCGTCACGTCGATTTTGTCCAGAACTCGCGCCTCTTTGCGCTGCAGATTCCCAGTGAGGAGAAGATCGCCATCGATGTGAACGACGTCAAGTTCGTGCCCAAGCCTGTCGACCCCAAGGAGGAGAAGGAGCGTAAGAAGAAGGAGAAGGCTGCTCAGCAAGGCGCCGGCGCCGAGGCCCAGAAGCCCCTTGTTGTTGGTCAGGGTAAGCCCGAGAAGGCTGCCAAGGCTGAAGCTGCCCCCGCCGATTCTGCTGCTGCTGCCGCCGCTGCCGGCCACAAGACTGGCAAGAAGGAGAAGAAGGAGAAGAAGGAGAAGGCTCCCAAGCCTGCTCCAGTTGCCGCTGTTCCTTCCTCCCCCTCCATCATTGATCTGCGTGTCGGCCACATTCTGCGCGCCATTAACCACCCCAACGCCGACTCCCTCTTCGTTTCCACCGTCGACTGTGGTGACGCCCCTGGCTCCGATAACACCTCTTTGGATGAGGAGACCGGTAAGACTGTCCGGACAGTCTGCTCCGGTCTGAACGGTCTTATCCCCCTGGAGGAGATGCAAGGCCGTAAGATTGTTGCCGTCTGCAACTTGAAGCCTGTCACCATGCGTGGCATCAAGTCCGCCGCCATGGTTCTGGCTGCCTCTCCCCGTGTTGCGGAGGGTGAGGATTCTCACGCTGGCCCCGTCGAGCTTGTCATTCCCCCTGCTGACGCCCCTGCTGGTGAGCGCATTAGCTTCCAGGGCTGGGCCGAGGGCGAGCCTGAGAAGCAGCTCAACCCCAAGAAGAAGATCTGGGAGACTTTCCAGCCTGGCTTCGGTACCAACGATGACCTCGAGGTTATCTTTGACAGCAACGCTGTCCCCGCTGTCAAGGGCCAGGAGGGCAAGCCTGCTATCGGCAAGCTGGTTACTGCCTCCGGCGTTATCTGCACTGTCAAGACTCTCAAGGGTGCTACCGTGCGGTAAAAAAAAAAAGTATATCTTTATTGGAAGACGGCGAATCTATCAAATTAAACAGCCACTAAATGCATACCCACGAGAAGATGAGAAGAAAATAGCAAAATTCACAATCGATTATTCTGTCTATAAATTCAATGGTTCAAAGGTCGTCGATACTTGGATACTACACATAATATTCGCCCGAAACCGTGCCGAGCTTTCTAGATCGCGTTCAAATCTTAGCATCCAAAACGAAGTCAAACTCGGTGCCTTTGACGTGTTCCGCATGGGACATGATTTAAGCGCCCAAGGCTTATAGTGAAACTTGAAATCTGTGGGGCTCGCGGGATGCATTGGCGCTTGGCCATTCACAACACGGATAGAATTCGATCGCCATGGTATGACCAGGATCTGCTCCCTGGCGCTTAAGTTATAGTCTGAAGGCCCAAGCACACTGCTAGCCCTTGACTAGCTGAGGAGGAGAAAACAGTTATATGCCCATTCTCCTTGCAATGTTCCTAAACTACTTCTCTACTGGCTCCGCCTCGGCCTGAGTACAGCATGAACCTCAAAAGGAATGGGAAAATTGAAGTTGATTCGATTATCTCAATCTCCTCTCACACAGCCAGCTCGAAACCCCCCTCGAAACCTGGCTGGCGACCTTTTTATCTACGAAAGTGGGTGTTGATTCTGTTCGTGATATCCTTCTGCGCAATTATCGCCACTCTCGAAGTCCTCAACTATGTATCCTCTGCCAATCAGGGTCTTGCGTCCTCCGTTGAAAGCCGTCACTACCTATGGACCTACGGACCAACCGCCATTCTCACAATTATCGCTGCACTATGGGCTCGCGTGGAATTTCAAGCAAAATCAAGCGCACCATGGCAGGCGATGTCTGAAAAGCCAGAAGAGCCTGAAAAGAGTGTGCTCCTCGACTATATATCTGCAATGCAACCCGTTGCAATGGTCAAGGCCATGAGAAACAGACACTATGCTGTTGCTGCTGGAATTGCCTGCTCGCTTCTCTTGCGCCTTCTTATCATTGTCTCAACTTCCTTGTTCAGCTTAGAGGAAGTGCAAGTGTCGAAAAGCAATATTCCAATCCAGTTTCAAGGCAATATCACCACGCTCAATGTTTCTGACTTTTCTACTGCGTTTTCCACCCCATTCAACACCCTCAATGGCATTGTCTTTGAGAATGTTTCCTACATGGACGGCACCACGGCGAACCTCTCTTTTCCAACATTTTCTGCTCCGACCATTTCCAACGATTCCGTCATCACCGCAAATGTAACAGGTCTCATCTCCGATCTAGACTGTGAGCCTGCCAAATTTGATATAAAAATTTGGCAATTGCAGACACTTTGGATCGGTACCAGGAATCCCGGAGGAACCGGTCAGGTGGAGGACAATATTCTCTCGTCCTCATCGTGCAAAATTTACAATGTGACGACTTCGATGCCATCCAACCTGGGGTCTGGTACCCAGATCGTTTCAATAACCCCTTATGCCGCACGGTTCCAGTCTGGGAAATGCAGCAACAGCAATGATCTGGATGGCAATCGCATCGTAGTGATAGCCGTGGAAGCTCATTTGGGAGATCCCGTTGAATCTCCATACACTGGCAATTACACGGCTGATGGAATGGAGTACTTCAATCATTCTGATTGGTATAAGACGACGGTCAATATCACTGCGAAGCGTGTAGTTGCGGCGATTTGCAAGCCGACTTTTTCAATTGTCAGCATGGTTGCAACAAGTAACACGACCGACACAACGTCGACTACCCACCTGGAAATGACTGGAATCAAGCGCACGGTCTTACCGGACTTGACAGCGTGGCAAGTTGCGAACAACATTCTAGGAGAGGCTGATGACATTGATTATTCCCAGCCGATTTGGAATTCAGATGAATTTCCAGCTACAAATAAGACAATGGTGGATGTTGACTACCCCATACAACTGGGTGCCAAATTCATTGGAGAGACTGGAAACATTGATAAATTGTTCGACGACGGAGTTCTTCTGAATGCCTCCACGTCATATTTTCGTGCAGTGAGTGCTCAGCTGGTTCATCAGGGGCTTATATCACAGTCGCAGTCGGCTTCTCGTGGCTCGGCAGTTGTTAGTGAGAATCGAGTTGTTATGACCCAGCTGCCACTCCGTGCCATGGAAGCTTGTTTGATTCTAGTCATCATGTTTGTAATAACGATGATTGTTTTGGTACCTAGTGCGCAGTTGTCACCTTTCAACCCAACCTCTATCTCTTCTGTCGCTGCAATCTTGTCGAACAGTAAGGTGCTTCGCAAAATACTCTGCGGAAGCAGTGCTATGCCTTTGAAGAGGCTTTCTCATCTCCTACAGAGGCGGCGCTACTATACTGAGCCCACACCAGGGGGCTTTTGTATCGCCGCCGTAGGCGATGAAACAAAACGTCACAGCGACTCCAATGACACCAATCTCAATACTAAGAAACCACAGTGGAGTCCATTGCCAAATATTATGGTTCGTGTGGTCGTCTTTATTGTGGTGGCATTATTGATAGTCGCTCTAGAGACTCTTTTGCATGTTTCTCAAACAAACAATGGACTTGCAGATGTCTCCTCGAGTGATGAAAGCATTCACTACCTGTGGACCATGATCCCAGCATTGATTATGGTTACTATTGGCCTTCTTTTTGGAAGCATGGACTTCAACACCCGGTGTTTGGCACCATATGTTAGTTTGAAACACAAGACCGGTGCATCGTCGCAGTTCATGACGGTGAATTTTCTAGACTCACTAAGCACAACCAACATCTTCAATTCCATACGAACGGGCCATTTTGCCGTTTTGGCTGCAACTCTGGCTACACTTATCACCTCTGTCTTGACCATCGTCACAAGTGGTCTCTATACAGCAGTCAACGTGACCGAAACGACCACCATGGACTTCACCCCAGTGACAACCTTCTACGGGGCCGATTACGGTAACTCGGATTCCAGTATCAGCACAGCAGAATACATCCTCCGCGATAACCTCGCCTATCCAAGATGGACATACAAAGAGCTTGCCTTTCCAAAACTATCCATGAACGCAACCACCAAAACAAATGACTCGGGCTCGTACATTGATATCGTCGTCCCCGCGATGAGAGGAACCCTTGCCTGCAAAATCCAAACAGAGGACGAATTAAACGCCGAATTCAGTTCAAGTGACATGGAAATCAGCTACGACATCTTGGCTGTAATATGCGATACAAACGGCACTTCCTGGACAAAAATTACCCAAGATGTCTCCCTCAATCACCAGACCTTCTTCGGATTTACGGCGGCAATCGTGTGCCAGGGTAGCCCAGCTGATGACTTGACCCTGAAGACTTTTTCCACTTTATCCTATATATGGGGCAAACTGCAGAACGACTCTATTGAACACATCACGGCTTTGACATGTCAAGAATCAGCAGAGATGGTGGATACACAGACGCGGTTCTATCTTCCTGATTTCTCCATCTCGGAGACTTATCCACCCGTTCCAGATGAATCGACTGCACGAACAGCAAATAATTACACAGTCGGCGACGATTGGGCTGAGTCGGATAGCGATACCGGCGCGGTATTTGATCCTTTCTTCCAGGCGCTTATTTTTGGAAAATATGCTATTCCGGAAGAGTGGATTGGCAACAAGGCGGATAATGAGAGGGTTATCGATGCAATTAAGGCCCAAAATAAGATTGTTCGAGCGCAAATTTTCAATGCGTTCAATCGGGAGACGGCAGATGGGTCTGCTGATTCCCCTCTGGTAGGGAATGTTACAACGCCCGGACAACGGCGCTTGTTTCAGGATGTTGTTTCAACGCGGGTTCTGGATATTCTGCTGGGTCTATTACTGCTCTTGGGGGTTTTGGGTTCCGTGTTGATGAATACTGATCATGTTCTTCCAAAAAATCCGTGTAGCATTGCTGCTGTGGCAAGTCTTTTGGCGGATTCGAACTTCCTGCATCGGTATGGTTCGGATGTGGATCCAAACAATAAGGGAATTGAAAAGCTTTTTGCTAACTGTCGGTTTTTTCTTGGATTGTGCTATGATGGGCCTTTGAGGGGGTCTAATGATGATAGATTTACCATTTATCTTACGGACTATGGGATTGAGAAGAACTATCCTTTGGCTCCCGAGAGGTGGATTTGAGATGGATATCGCTATTTGAATTATATGATATGATGATTGATGATCCCATTACACTACTAATGTATAGACCAAAAGAATCCCTTACATACGAACATTGATTTGTATACATGTATATAAACTTGCCCACACATCATACCGCATTCTCTATATCGTCCTCAACCCTTTAGGTTCTGTCTATGGTGATCCTGCATCATGAAGCAGGATATGCGATTCCCAATGACGGGCCACGCTGGTCAAAGACCACATAAAACGCCTTTAGGAAGATATCACCAAAGATCTGAAAGCTTGATTCTCCACTCGACTGTAAACCGCCATAGCACACTATTAAAGGGATTAGCAAATGACCGCTCAAACTTGAGACAACAGAGTGGAGAACTCACTAGCTTTTCCTGTGTTTGTATTAGTCCCCACCTCTTCATAAGCCAACTCTGATCCCGCTATAGTGGCGTTCATGATACCATTGTCAATTTGAATTGTCAAATCTGGCAAATCCGTATCACAGGGGTAGATATAGGCACCAACACTATTCGAATAGCTGGAACCATTGACTCTCGAATAATAATCCGTTACAATAGCTGGACTAACCAACATCAATGTAGTACCAGTATCACAGATAGCGGTATTGTTGATTGAGACCGTGGGTTTTCCATTAGAGTTCACGCCATACCCTGTCGTTTTGAATTGCCAGAACCCGTTCGAAGAGTCGACACTGATATTAGCCAGAGTACCACTGTATAGACTATGGTCTATAGTGCCGAATTCGTACAAGCCGCCTTCGCTGCCCAGGAGAGAGGTGAAAACCGGTAGTTCGAGGTCTGGGGCGACGTTATCGAAAAAGGTCTTCTGGGGCCCTGGGTCAAAGCTGTTGATTGAGGAAAAGCTGAGTCCGACTAGGCCGTTGGAGTTGGTGTCTGAGACGAATGAACTGGATACTTTGGTCGGGAGACCGAAGACTTGATCCTTGACTACTGCTCCACCAATGCTGACTGTGTCTTTGGCTAAAGAGCCGTACGCGGATGATGAGTCTCCGTAGGAAATTTTGAATTCACCGGTCATGTTCTTGAAGGTGCTGGATTTTGAGGGGTCGTAGATGGTGTGCCCCTTTGTCATAGAGGATGGTAACTCGGAGTTCATCACCCACCTTCAACAATCGGACCGCACGGATTAGTGTCATTTTTCGAAGCACGGGGCTAGTTATTGAGAATCTAATCCGACTTACATATCTGCTGATCCAGTATCGAAATCCATGGTGATGTTCTGGCCCCCAATGAGGACAGGCGAAACATACTCCGAACCTCCCTCCACTGACGTCGCACTAACAGTTCCCTCCTCACCCATGTCTGCACTTGAGCTTGCGCTGGCGGAAGAGGCACAATTGGTGGTTTTTGAGGCGCTCTTGCTGCTCGTAGCAGTAAGGAATGGCAGGAAGTCATAACGATCTTGACCTTCCATGTGACCAGCTGTAATGCCGAACTTGTTGTATGCTTTATTCAAAGCACCAGGCGAATTGCGGACATAGTCGTTGTGCTTAATGCGTTCAACCCGGAAAGATCTTTTCTTGTGACCATCTTCAGTAGGTCTATGTTGAATTGGGGTAGCGACAGCCTCGTAGCCCAATGAAGCAAAAAGTATAAGAGAAAAAAGGAGATTCATGCTGTCCAATTCTGTAGCCGATGCTCGCCACAGCAAGGAATGAAACACGCGTTGTATGCCACCAGGGCTTCTATAATGGAGATTTGCTTCAATTTATTGGTCTGAAACGAATGAAACCAATGCAACGAAAATGAGACAGGGCACAGCCTAGACTCGTAGGAACCTGTACCAGCAGGCAAAGAAATAAAAAATGAAATGAGAGAAAGACAAGACTCAACAAGAGCAAAATAAAGAGTGAGAAAGCTCCAATTATGAACAAGGAAAAGCATCCGAAATCCCGGGGCATAACAGCAGATCTATAAAGGCCAGGCAGAAATTTTGGAACCCACAAGACACTCCCCAGCCGCCATGCGTACTCCGTACAGTGCACAAAGAAACAAAAACAAGTACAGTGTACGTAGTCCAGACCACATCACTGTTTCCAATGCTCAAGCCATTTTTCTCCGTCAGACCTATCAGAGCCGTCGCCACAGAGCAAAGACGTGACCGTACTCGGCAATTGTTATGGTTGTTGAGCTGTCCACAGTGGGTCACTAGCGGTGAGCGTCCCTAATAGGGTAGACACTCGCTTCTGACAGCTCATTTGTCTCTAACCTTGCCACGTATTATGTCGGTGGAGCGCCTCCTAGCGCGTCAGTTTGGGCGTATATGGGGCTTAAATATGGTTGGGTCTGTTGTGGGATTATGAAACGCTGCTTGCGTGGTTGGACGCTTTGGCCAATCACCGTGTGCGCGTGCCCCGGGCCTACGGTCCCGGGCCTTCCAGATGCCCCCTTGAAACAAGATAGGGTTCTGGAACTCTATTTTGTTTTCTTTGATGTCGTAACTCCGAAGTCCGGCTTCATTCCAAAGAGAGTCGATGGGTGCCATATTAGGAAACTAAAGTGTGATTGCGACCGATATGCTCTTTATACTCTTCTTATCTTGACACTATTTTGTCTGTACAATATGGCTTTGAAAGGCAATTCAGCCCAATGCATAATAGTTTGATCTCTATTATTGAGTTTAACAAAGAACTGGTACGCAGGCCCATGCGGACGAGACTGGCCAACGCCAGCTTAAGACTTGGCGCCATGCTTTTTAAAATAGTCAACAGGAGGAAGTGAGTACATATAGAATAATACCAAGACTTTTAATTTATGACATAACGGAGGAAAGGGGTCATTTATGGGCCAAGGTCCACGGGTGTCCATATTTCTCTAACAGGGTCATTCCATGGCGCTTTCACCAGCTATTGCCCAGTGCACACGGAAGGCTGGATTTCCTTGCGAACCTAGAGGACCCTGTAATCACTCCGATATTAAATTCAGGGGACGAACGCTACTTTAGGCTGGTATAATCTCTCATCTAGCTACAGCAACATCCACTAAAGGCGTGCCAATGTTTATAAATTGTGCCTACCGCGGGAACCAGGCACAAATTAAGAAACAATTCCGCCATTTGTTAATCTACCCCTACGCATAGCCAAATTTACATCTTCTTAGCGGTCCCACTGGAAGGTCCAGGGGTCTTCTCATTCCCTATTACTATTGTCCAATCTTGGGCAGGACTGTCTAGGTACACGAGCATGGTAAATCCCAACTTGCTATGTACGAAAAGAAAAAAAATTCACGACCGATTGTTTTTTCATGCACGAGAACGTTGGAACATACTGTAATATTCCCCGGATTGCTCGGGTGTATCCTGCGAAGCCAAATATCATACCAGGTTTGGGGTGGGGAAGTATATGCCCTTGTCAGCCAAATCAGGTAACTCATACCATGAAGATCGACAAATAGTGCTTAAAGTTGCTCTTTGTGGTGAGGAAAACAAGCTTGGAACTGAATGCAGCATGTCGAACCCCCTTCGGCTAAACCCCGCAAAATTTCTCCGCGGATTTACATCGCGATGGGCTTCTTCAGCTTCAATGTGGGGAAATGACGCATATTCCAAGAAATCCAGCAGGGTTCAGTAGTCATCTCAATATACTTGAATGGATGTTAAATATTCGATTCCGCTGGGTTTGGGATCAAGTCCTGCATTCAAATCCATAGATCATGGCATCCATACTTCTACTCACGCTGCTAGGGACACTGGCCGTCCAGGTCCTCGGCAATGCAGTAAATAGATCTGCACTTTTACCAATTCCAGACAAACCGCGGGTGTTCATTTTATCGGATATCTCCAATGAGCCTGATGATCAGGAATCTTTGACTCGGTATCTGCTATACTCCAATCAATTCAAGACAGAGGGTATTTGTGCCGTGACGTCAACTTGGCTTCAGGATGAAGTCCATCCAGAAGCTATGCTGGCTGTTATTGATGCTTATGGAAATGTAACGGATAATCTAAATCGACATGCTCCTTTCGATGCACCCTATCCATCGGGGGAGCATATGCGCAGCCTTGTAACCAAAGGCGCCGCTGTAAGTCAATACCATCCATTACTATCTAACAACCACTCTATCATCAAATGTCCATATCTAACAACCTCAGACATATGGCATGAAAGCGGTTGGTAAGAATATTCCCCTCAGCGATGGAGGCAAACTCCTCTTCAAGCGCCTCCAAGAAAAGACCGACGAACCACTTTGGGTCCTCGCCTGGGGCGGTACAAACGTCCTAGCCCAAACCCTTTACAAAATTCACCTTGAATTCTCTGCAGCAGATGCAGAATCCATAAGATCCAAGCTTCGCGTTTACACCGTCTCCGACCAAGACGACACAGGCGCCTGGATCCGCCAACAGTACCCAGACATATTCTATATCTCTTCCACGCATGGCTGGAACCAATACGGTCTAGCTGCGTGGACCGGTATAGCAGGAGATAAATATTATGACAAGGGTGGACCCGATTTCTCCAAAGTAACGCACGAATGGCTTCGTGACAATACTCAGATCGGATCTTACGGCAAGGCGGCATACCCGAATTATGAGTATATCATGGAGGGTGATACACCCACCTTCTTGTATCTCATTCAGAACGGTCTTGGTGTACGAGAGCATCCGGATTATGGATCCTGGGGTGGAAGGTACATGAAAGTCACGCCATCGACGGTGCTGAATTTCAATCATTATGCTGATGCGGCTGATCGGGTTGTTGGAGCCGATAATGAGACGTATGTTTCTAATCAGGCGACTATTTGGAGATGGAGAAATGCTTTTCAGAATGATTTTGCGGCGAGGATGCAGTGGTCTCTGCCGGGGAATGTTAGTAAGGCTAATCATCAGCCGGTTATTTCGATTAATGGAAGTCGAGGTCTCGCGCCGTTGAACATAAGTGCGCCGGTTGGATCGACGATCAATTTGGATGCGGGGGCAACGGAGGATCCTGATGGGAATGATTTGACTTTTCGGTGGTTCCAGTATAAGGAGCCTGGATCGGATGATTGGAATGTTGTGAGTCAGGTCCCTGAATTGAATTTCACTGTTTCGCACGGAGGTCGGAAGGCGCATGTGCGGATCCCTAGTGAGAAATTGAGCTGTGATGGGACGGGCTTCAACCCGTCTGGGTGTTGGCTGCTTCATTTGATTCTTGAAGTGACAGACAATGGTTATCATCCGTTGACGAGCTACAGGCGGGTGTTGTTGCAGACAACCAATGTTACTATGTCATCGGCTTGAGAGAGTGTTCTTGTTGACCATGTTATACGAATGAATGGGTCCATTGAATGAAAAGTGCTTGTATGCTCGTAGGGTCGTGTAATCCATGGTATCAAATCAAAGTTCTATATCCAAACGCCACAGATGGTATCCATCCATCAAGATCAGATGCACGCTAGAATGAAAGTAACCAACCTCGTCGTTTCAACCGACGATATCCTCTGGAAGGACATCATCCGGGTTCTCCCCAACCGCTTCACCAACCGCCCGAACAACCCGCTTGATAGCCTTGGACGCAGGGCTGTCAGGGAAGTTTTCCACGAAGCTCTCGCCATAGTCGCACGCCATGCCAACCCGAGGGTCCAGAGGCACAGCCCCCAAGAATGGGATCCCCATCTTCTTTGCCAACCGACGACCTCCACCCGTTGTGGCGCGGAATATCTGCGACTCGTGTGTACAGCTGGGGCACACGAATCCGGACATGTTCTCGACTAGACCCAGGATACGGATTCCAGCTTTGCGACAAAAATCGATTTCTTTGCGCACGTCCAGCAAAGAAACTTCTTGTGGGGTAGTCACAACGACTGCGCCATCAACTCCGGATTCCTTCAGCAAAGAGTTGACCGACAAATGCTCGTCCGAGGTTCCAGGAGGGGTATCCACGATGAGGTAGTCCAGCTCGCCCCAGTCCACATCCTTAAGGAACTGCTTGATGAGACCGTTCTTCTTGGGTCCGCGCCAGATGACCGCATCGTCGCGGTTTGGCAGCATGAACTGCACGCTCATAGCGCCCAGGTTATCTGTTACCCAGACCGGGCTCCAGCCAGCATTACTGACGTGGATTGTCTCTGCTTCCACACCCATCATCTTGGGAATCGACGGCCCACAAATGTCGGTATCCATGATTCCCACGGTTGAGTCAGGATTGGCGGCGAAGGCATGGGACAAGAGGGTCGAAAAGGTAGATTTTCCTACTCCGCCTTTACCAGAGAGAACAAGGATCTTGTGTCGGATCTGAGAGAGTCGCTCGGTGATGATCGCGATATCGGGGTCGGGGCCTTTGGGTGCGGAGGCACAAATCTGTTGGTTGGGACAGCCAGCACAGGCATCGCCTTGGCCGGCTTTCTCGGACTCGGGGCCAGGGCAGTGTTCTGCAATAATCGTTAGCTGAATATTTTGTATCTAAGGCGGGTTCCCCGCAGAGGGTAACGTACCTGGCTCTGGGGCTACCAGGTTGGGAGCCGGCTTGGCTGGCGCAAAAGACGCCTCATCATTCGGCTCCTCCACATAGGGTGCCATAACGGTATAGAATTCAAGTAGTTTTGAAAGCGTGAAATGTCAGGAATTCAAGAGAGAAATTCCATAAAGTGGCGGAGATGCTTGATAAGCGTGATGACTAACCGATCCCCCGCGATTGGTGTTTGCGGTGGCGGAGTCGGATAAGAGCATGATTAAGAGGTCAACTGGTTGGTTTATACAATTTTAGAGAAGACTGAAAGATTTCTTTTGATGCTATTCATCATGGTTAAAAGCACAGTATTGGAAAAAACAAAAATAGAAAATCCAATTTAAGGAGGGGCGAGCCTACACATTCTTTGCCTCGTCTTGGTGGACCCTGCTTGAGCATCATTTTGTCTGAGTCTATGTAACATACACCTGGGCATGCTCAGTTCATTGGTATAGAAAGCGACCTGCAGCGCCGATTCTTTCCTTGTTAACTTGCTTTGACCTGACGCTAACAAACATCCCTGCTGTGGTGTGGAGGCTATCCAATCTCAGGTGCAGGTACCAATCATCCCTTGTCCTGTCAGAACCTTAGGAGGCAGGCCAAATCTTGATTTGGGACTCTATATAATCCCGTGTGGAAAAGTCCGATGCAGTTGTGTACACGAGGGGTCAGAGCTGCAGTGGTCACATACCCGGCACCATATCACTGGTGGATGTGAAGGAGATTTCCGTCTCGAAATTAGTTTAGTGATATTCATTATCAATCTGGGAAGCACCTTGCCAAATGTTAAGCACGCGTTTTCTTGCTGGCAGTCAACCTTCTGATGATGTCAACCTCCACTCACCGGAGTCTCCACTCAGAACCCCATCGTTTATTCAGTCTACGCTTATAACCATGCCATAACAGTTCTGCATACTACGTAGGTTCGAATCTGCATGCAAGTTGCAGTAGAGTAATGCACAGTCGCTGGTATCCGCACTTGCCGCTTCCTTTATCCCCCGCTTTGTCCAACGTGTACCCCGTGGCCCGTCGGGATGAGTTTTTGGAAGAGCCCGGGGACTTGAAGTGAAGTGTCCTACTTGTCCTTAAAAAAATGATAGGCTGGAGGACTTAGCCATAGTAGGATGAGTGGGAAAAGGGGATCGCTTCCGGTTCTTTCCTCTTCTGCTTCGTTCGAGGGCCCGCACCAACTCTCGTGAACTAATTCACCTATGGGAGACGGGCTGGCAGTCGAGGCTCATGGGTTCCACTATGGCTTAGTCTCTCACATAAATACGTCCCACACACCCTGGAATTTCTTTTCAATAATTCAAACCTTTAAATATCAGGGATTACACAGATCTAGAGGGAAAATCTGATCAAAATCTAGAAACAAACACGCTTGTTGCTAACATACAAATACTGCAAACAGATCACGTTGGGAGGGTCCACTGTCACATGCTGCGGTCACCTTCCAGAATCTCGTTTCCCAACAATTTCCTTTAACCAACTTCATCATGGATCAGGGCCATTCAACAGGTGCCCTGCAGCCAGATGGGCTGAGGGAAAGAAACGTGTCGCGCCTTGATTCAACTGGAGGTCGCGATGCTTTAGCTTCTCATGCTGAACTGGAGAACAAGGATGCGAATGGCAAGGACAAGAAGACCTTTGGTCGCACCCCCAATGGAACTGGTATGGCCTCCTTCTGAATATTACACCTCTTTGATGCGACAAGCTCGGTGCTATTGTTTTTGGGATTGTCTCAAAAACTCCCTTGCGCGATGATGCCCTTGTGCCCCCCATGTGGAGCTTCCCCGCTAATTCGGTCGATCGCATTTTGACAGTGTTCACCGTGCCCCAAACCCATGACATGGTCTCACAGCTCCTCTCTCCATCCGAGCCAAAGAACTTGTCTGATGTGGTGGTTCTCGCTCTGCTTGCAGCCCATATTTGGTTGCTCTGGGTTCTTCCAGCAGGTGCCAAAATCCCCGTCTTCGCCGTCGTGTACCTATTTTGGCGCGCGGGCTATAATGCGGGGATTGGATGGCTTCTGCACAACCAATCGCACCACAGAACCATGATTCGATGGGCGGAGAAGACGAAGATTTTTGTCAATCCGGCTACTGGTGACAATCCGCACCCCATGCTGTACAATTGGATCAAGCGGGAGATGGAGACCAAGATTCCCCACGACTATTCCTTCGAAAAAGCACCTATTGAATACAACACCTGGCTTGTCTTCCGCCGTCTGGTGGATGTGATCCTCATGTGTGACTTCACTTCCTACTGCCTATTTGCGATAGCATGTGGTCACCGTCCCATCGATGAGAGTGTGGTCATGACTGTTCTTCGGTGGGTAGCCGGCATTGTGCTGGTGCTTTTCAACCTCTGGGTCAAACTAGATGCCCACCGAGTAGTCAAGGATTACGCCTGGTACTGGGGAGATTTCTTCTACCTCATTGACCAAGAGTTAACCTTCGACGGGGTCTTTGAGATGGCTCCGCACCCTATGTACTCGGTCGGATATGCCGGCTATTACGGTATCTCCCTGATGGCCGCGAGCTACAAGGTGTTGTTCATCTCCATTATTGCCCATGCAGCTCAATTCGCCTTCCTGGTGTTTGTGGAAAACCCACATATTGACAAGACTTATAACCCACCGCCACCTCGCAAGCGTTCGGTCGTTGCGGATTCCACGACCAGCCTGCCTTTAATTCCAGACTCTCCATCAGCGACAATTCCGACTGCGACAACCCCGCTCGCGACAACTCCGAACGCGCCAACTTCGTCTGAGGAAATAATCCCCAACGCGCCTTCATCGTACTCGGCCAAACCACCACCCTCGGTGCACAACCTGCTGGGCAATTTGGATCTCTTTAGAACCACGGATTCCTCGATAATTCTCGTCCAAATGCTTGTATTCGCAGTGACGGCTCTGAGCCCCTCGACGCCATTGTATCAATTTTTCTTCGTGGTCAATGCTCTTGTGTGGCGTTTATGGTATTCTATAGGCATCGGTTATCTTCTCAACAAACAATCTAGGGATAAAGCATGGACGAGGCACTTCCTGAAATTTGGTGAGACGCCACAGGAGGCGTGGAACCAGTGGAAGGGCACCTATCACCTCAGTATGATTATGTGCTACGCCAGCTTTATCGCTGCCGTGTGGAAGATGTACACTCTCCCAAGTGACTGGAACTACGGTCTAGTACTCTTCCGTCACATCCTCGGGGCTGGCTTGATCAGCCTTCAACTCTGGACCTCGATCAGCATTTATGACTCTCTCGGGGAATTCGGCTGGTTCTTCGGCGACTTTTTCTTTGACGAATCGCCTAAGCTGACTTACAACGGCATCTACCGCTTCCTCAACAATCCTGAGCGTGTGCTGGGTCTGGCTGGCGTTTGGGGTGCAGTTCTCATCACAAGCAGCGGAAGTATTACCTTCCTCGCTCTGGTGAGCCATATCCTGAGCTTGGGTTTCATCCAATTCGTCGAGCGGCCTCATATGCAGAAGCTCTACGGCCAAAGTTTGCGCCAAGATGGTGGCGTAGTCAAGAACTTGAAGAAATCTCTGCCTCCGTCACTCAAGCAGTTGCATGGTAGTGTGGACAAGATGTTTGACGACTCTTTTGAATTCATCGAGGAGCTTCTCGACAACGCCCGCCCGAAGCTTGCCGCTGGAGTCAATACATTCGTCAAAGATACCAGCGCTCTCTTCCAAAAGTACCCCGCTCGCATTACCATTTCTCGCATTGATGCGGATCTGGCTGGATACGATATTCGGGACTACTCACTGACGGTTGAGGGAACGGATGCCAAGTCTCCAGAGGCAACTGAACAAGACAAGGGCCGCGAGGGAGCCAATGCGCGCATGCCTTTAGACCGCCGGGGTGATCTCCAGAACTTGACTTTCGAATACGGTGCGCCGATCAAAGTTAAGTGGACTGCGCCCCTCAACCACAGCAAGAAGGACTGGATTGGTCTCTACCGCGTTACGGACAATACTTCCCGTGAGGTTACTCGTGTTTCATCACAGGGCCGTTGGATCGCGACCAACCAGGGCTCTTATGACAACCTGACTTGTGAAAAGGGCATTCTCACTAGTGATGTGGTCATCAAGTCTTCTGACCAGGGTCGTGAAGGCCACGAGCTTGCTTCTGGAGAGATTATATTCTCGGGCGACAAGCTATTCTGGACACAGGGTGCCTTCGAGCTGCGTTACCACCATAATGGCGTACACAATGTGATGTCCATCTCCCGACCATTTGAGATCCGTATCCCCCACTTTGATGAGGTCGACACCTTCGAAGCGAATGGAAGTGTTCAAAGCGCTGTTGAGGAAGCTCTTCTTCCCGTCGTTCGCAACTGCTTCGATCGTGACCCCGAGGTTGCACCGGAGACTGTTGAGGAGCAGTTCGGGGGCCTAGTGGAGCGAGATGGCAAATTTGCCAAACGAGTTGTCTTTGCTGTTCAGCAGATGTATGTATTACTTATCCTGTCTTCTAATAGATCCTTTCTAACCAGCATTCTCCTAGGTTCGGTGTTGAGTTAGCACCTGAGGTCGTCAAGGCTGATGGTAATGTCTTGAATCTCGCCTGGCGGATATGTAACGCCAAGAAGGTTCTTGTAAGTGCTCCGCTTTCTTTGGAACTGGCAACTTCTAACCCATCATTATCCAGGCTCCCTACAGCATGTCCCGATCCAATGGCAGGTCGACACCAGTCGATGTCAAGGAGCAAGTTCCTTCAGGTTCTTCTTCTCCTTAGTCACGGATTTGTCCATCGATGGACAACAGGTCACAATAGACGGCGATGATTCGAGAAAGGACTCCCGTGGTTATTTGAATGTTCATATTACCTTCTTATACTTGAAAACAAGAATACTAGAAGGATTTGGTTTTTTTTTTTTTTTTTGCTTTTCGATCTTTGCAATGAGATTCCCATGGCTGTTTTAGAAGGGGTGGGAGGGTTTTTATTTGTCCTGCTGGGGACCCTGGGAGGTGACTATGTATGAGGACCCGGGCCATCTGCCTTTACTTGTCACCATGTCTTTTGTTCTACCTTGCTACCTTCAACGTACATATTCTCTATGTGGATCTATGGTCTATGTGGTCTACTTCAAAATTCATTTTTGATAATTCATGGTCATTGATTGTTTAGATAAAATTACTGTAATGTACTAAATAGAATCTGCACAAATAAATAGTCAGCACTAATCGCACAAGAAGCACAATAGAATATTTGTAAATTTGCAAAATAAATCAGACAGCCGTCTTAACTCATCCCATCCCCTGCTGGCCCGTCAAACCGAAACTGCCATCCAAGACGGACGGACAGCCCAGCCCTCAAGTCCAGCACAAGTCAAGCATAGCAAGCCAACACCGACCATTGGCACCAGAAGACGACTTCACCCATGTCTCCCCGGTGCTCCACAACCTTCCTCCCGATTACACCCGTACCGAAGTACAGTCATAAAAGGTCCAGTATAAGGGAGTCGCAAAGACATGGATCGTGAACTGTAGTGTGCCGCAGGGAAGCACGGTTACGTACCCGAGGGGCGGTTCTCAAAGAGATCGTTGAATGGATTGACTAGGTGTCATCATAATACAGAGGTGGGACATAGATGTATAGAGAAATCCCTGTCTGTTCGTACCTTTTGGGTTGAGTCTACAGGATAGACAATATGAAGATGGACTAGAGGTAGATAATACTTGAGAATTGTCAGTGCTTGGTTCATCAAAGATAACAAGATTCAAAGACAAAGTATGTGTATGACACGATCAGGAGTTTTGGTAAGTATTTTTATTATCTTCAAAGTTTTTGCAGAAGCAGAACTGAAAAATTGTTTCTCATCATGAAAAGTGGGGAAAGAAAAAAAAAACCAAGCTAAGCTTACCTGTTAGATGAAAGGCGGCTAGCCGAGGGACACAAGCTAGATCAGTGAGTAACCGAGAAATCCTGTCTAAATCGTTGTAAGCTTCAAGCCAACAAGAGATGCAATTGATGAAATATCAAAATGTATGAATGTCAATCAGATGGTAGTGCATGTTGTTCATGACCCATTTTTTGTCGTCGAACAGATATTTTGGTAGGTTTTCCTCATAAAGACAGGGGGTTGGAGGGTAGCAGGATTTGGGGGAAATCATCACTCACCATATTAGTTAGAAGATTGAACGCATCCTCCTCAACTCTGCATCAACTCAAGAGAAAACCAGTCACATTTAAAGGTTTCTGTTGAGAAAACCAAAGTTGAGGTGTGTGAAGGAAAGAGAAAAGAAAAAAGTTTCGAAATCGAAGAAAAGCAGAAACCTGGAGTGGGGCCCCGCACAAACACTGCAAACACCAAGATTTCCGTTTCTAGGCTCGCAACGCCGCAATATTGAAGCTTCCACTCATCAAACTCGAAATGAATGACCGACGAAGAATCAATGGCCCGCCAGGAGGTACCCGGCCAGCGGTCTTTGCATCGCACCTTGAATCAAGCAGCGCGGCTGATCGAGCCCGCCGCGAGCGCCAACCAACCGAGCTCCGGAAAATCTGTATGGATTATTGAGCTTCCTATCGCGAATGATAATTGCTAACACACACTGCAAATAATAGTCCTGAAGACGGGTCTAATCCCTTCCGCCTCTGGCTCGTCATATCTCGAATTTCAACCCTCTGCTTCTCTTGCCGCCGCACGCGAAACCCCCAAATCATTGATCCCGCCTTCCTCAGCTTTGAAACTTGCCTGCACAGTCCATGGCCCGAAACCATTGCCTAGATCTGCGGCTTTCTCCCCGAATCTTGTTCTTACCACACATGTCAAGTACGCACCTTTTGCGGCCCGCAAAAGAAAGGGACATATTCGCGATGCAAGCGAGCGGGATCTCGGCGTCCACCTGGAAACTGCCTTGCGAGGAGCCATCATTGCCGAGCGCTGGCCCAAATCTGGCATTGATTTGACCATTACTATCTTGGAGGCTGAGGATGATAGGTGGTGGGCAGATGCTCCGGACTCGCACGATGCTTCGTGGGGTATGATGAATGTTCTGGCTGGCTGTATTACTGCTGCATCGGCTGCCATTGCCGATGCCCATATTGACTGCTTGGACCTCGTCGCTGGTGGTGTCGCTGCACTGGTTTCAGATGACTCTGGTGATTCTTCGACTACATCCCCCCGGCTTATGCTGGATACTGATCCGGCCGAGCATCGCTCCATCATGTCTGCTTGTGTTGTGGCTTATATGCCTGCTCGTGATGAAATTACCGAGCTTTGGCTTAAGGGAGACAGTTCCAAGGCGGCTTTGGGAGATGGCGATGCGAGAAGTGCCCATGAAGCCTTAATAGATGGCGCTGTGGATGCCGCGAGGGGGGCATACTCTGTCCTTGGTGATGCTCTTCGGGAATCTGTTTTGCAGACCATCCAGTCTTAATAAAAGTTTGGCTACAATTAATGAAGCAATGATATCTGGATCTGAATTGCAATGTCATGAATATCTGTATACTGAAAGTGTAATGGAGTGGCTCATGCCACGTGATAATATTGGCTTGAAAACAAGGTCACTAACAGACACTCCATTGCTTACTTTCGTCTTAAAAGCCTCAAGGCGCCTTTCTTTCTGTCTTCCCATCCATCTTTGAACCCCCATTACGCCGTAAATCGCGTCCCCTCTATCTCTTGATCAGATAACTACCTACCTGGCTTGTATGTAACAATCCCTGAGTCTTCAAGCCCGTTGCCTTGTTGATCTAACAAAATTCATATCAGCTGAAATGCCCACCAACTCCTCCGCCAAAAAGGCTCGTCCCAGCAAGGGCTTTCCTCTGACCAATGAGGTCATGTTGCTCTACACGATGCTTGACCTCCAGGAGGACCTCAAGGTAAAGCTTCAGATACTTACATGTGGCAGTAAAATGCTGATGCTACTTCACTAGCATGATTGGGATGAGATTGCTGAGAAGCTCGGCATCAAAGTTGGCGCTGCCCGTAAGCGCTGGGAGCGTACCAGGAATTCCATCATAGAAAGAACCAAGAAGCCTGAGGCTCAGGCATCTGAGCAGGCGCCCGCCGAGGATGAAGAGTAAGCAAGTCGCCTTGACTTGAATATGTCGTGGCTGGATCTTATTTGCTATCTCTGCTCATTCTGCCCATTATTCATGTGTCTAAAGGGTGCACAGTTTTTGAAGACTTTTGTCTAGGTGACTCAATGAATTGAACCTTCCTCAGTCACGAAATGAGTAACGTTACCGAGTAAATGCCCAGGTACCTAGAACATATCTCGAGGTCTCGAGCGGCTTAGCAGAATAACATTTTGTCGATCTATACACGCACGTGACGAGCCGAACCCTGGAGGTCTGACGAGCTGGCAGTTACGATGCCTCCTCGATCTATACGCGCACGTGACAAATTGGACCCTGGCAATTCTGAGGAGCTGACAATTACAGGGCCTCCTCGGTCTATATACGCATGTGACAGACTGGATTTTGAGAAGTCTGAGGATCTGACAACTACGAGGCCACCTCGGTCTATACACGCACGTGACATACTGGACCCTGAGAGGTCTGGTGACTTGCCAACTGCCCACCACCTAATACCAATCACGAGGCCATTCGCAGCGAAATAAATGGCATTAATGAAAAGCAACCAGGCTGCAACACTCCAGACCTCCACCAGAGTCACAATATCCATCCTCACATGAGGCAAACCACCCTGCTCAAAGCTGCGAAGGGGAAGCCGCCAGGCATGCTCTGCGCAGTTGATACACAAGCTCAGAACTTGCCAGTCTTGCCTTGCGGCACATCAAAGACGCTTTCTGCGAGTGAAATCTGCAGCAAGTCTGACTTGCTTTGTATCCTCCCGGGCTTTGTTCTGTGTCTAACCCTCTTCCTCTTTTGCTCCCTGAGAAACATAGCTACGCTTCCGTGTCTTCTTCATTTCAGATTCTTGGGTAATAGATAGTCCATTTGAATAACGGCGAAACCACTAACAGTCAGCGTGTCTATTGCAATACTCCCACAGGAGCTTCATTTGTTCAGGCTGTCATCGTCGTCGTCTTCGGAGCGCCAGGTAGTCGTGAAAAAACGGTTACAGACAGATTTGCCGAATGTGAGAAAGGCAGATCGAAGCAAAGAAAACGGGAGATCCCTTAGCTTTGCTGAAGAGAAGCATGTTATTTGAGAATGGAGAATGTCAAATTGACAAAGAGAGCAAACCCCTCTATAGACAATTCAAACGAAGTCTGGATACAATGTGTTCTAGCATTATTCTCGCTCCTGCTGGCTTCCACATCATGTTATGAGGATATCTGGCTTATCCAAGTGCTTATTTTCGGTTTGGGTATTCAAGCTCCAAATATAGAAATATTGGGCTTACAACACTAAATAGTAGTTAGAACAGATAGACGTCTGTCGGGTGTCGCCCAGGCCGTTGAGGGTTCTTGATGATCACGTGCGTAGTGAGGGTTGGAGCGAAGCTCGGAAGCATAGACCATTTTTGGTAACATGAAACATGGGCAAGAGGGGCAGACCACACATTAACCATGGGTCCAGTGGGGATTCTCATGCATAATCAGTAGATACAAGTACAGAGTACCTCGAGCATGAAATACCGACCGTGATATAGGAGATATTCAAGCCTTTTCTTGGTTGTATGACGTTGCAATGGTCTTGTGCTGTTTGGATTACGTGATACAAATACCCTCCTAAATTAACTACCATAGACGCTGCATAGATAAATGGTCGTTTGTAAGATTGTGCACGAAATTAAGTTTGAAGATCTACAACGTGCAATCAAGTTGGCAGCGGTGAGCGGAGCATCATGTTTATTTCCTATCATAGGTTGTTCGCCGCCACAAAATTCATATGTCTCACTTCTTCAAGTCAAATGAATAACCTCACGGACCAGCGATATCGGAATCGAAATCGGAATCGGAATCGATCGATCGTAATAGTACGAGATTTGGTGGAGCTAGGAAGAACTGTATGATCTACTATACTATCAGAAGTTGACTATAAATATAGAAAAAAAAAACCATGTAAAAACCCCATAGAAAAACAAGGAGATTCTAAAAAAGAACTTGGAACCGGGGAACTCGGATCCAAGGATCCAGAGCGGATCGTATTTTTAAAATTCCTGCTAGTGTTTCGATTTTCTTGCCCCTGAGTATCGATGAAGAACCGGTTCGCGATGTCTTTGTTTTTCATTCCAAATCATTCCTCGATCTAGATCCAAATTTTGGACCTGTTACGTTTTTCTTTGTTATAGTATCCACGAATTTGAATCCTGATCTCCATCGTGCCCAGCTCCAAGCAATCGGAACAGTTCAGCAAACCAGAAGTTGACTGGGTTCGCGGGCTCGTGCCGCTAAGAACGAGGCGGATCCACTTCTGCTGCTTGACGATCACCTCGTCACACCAATCATCAACCGACGGGAAATTGGAGACTCCATTTTATGCTTTCCCTTTGTCCACTTCCTCGGGCTTTCCCACTTGGCTTTTAGTTCGGCATTTGATCCCCCATTCCTGGAACGTTGATTGGAATAGATCGAGGCTGCGCACTGGAGCTGATGCGGCCTGTTTCCGAAGGAGAATACATCGTGGCAAACATCCTCGCTTCAAGGTTTTTTTTTTCGAGCATCCTGTCAAAGTGTGGATCCCCCTATACTGGGGCGGCAGCTGTGAGCTAGCAGCCTACAGATGGATTATGGACGTTTTCTCGGAAGAAAGGTTCTGCTAGCTGCATATGCTGACCCAGTTGACCCAGCTGTCGACGCTTAGGTCCTGTTAGTACGGAACTAGGAAACTATTGACAACCTGCAGGGACAAGGTAAACTTTGAGATCGGACACGGGAAACTTTTGAGTTTACCCAAGACGAATTAGAAGAAAACCGTTCGTGTGTCAAAACCGAGGCGCGGCAAATGGAGCACTCTTAATTTGTTAGCGTTAGAACCGTCACGCTGCATCTGGCCCCATCTAGGAGCGACGGATCATGGAGAAGACCGGGTCACAATCTCCCCCTGATCCAGTCTCTCAAAGAGTATTGGATCTGCACGCCTGCTGCTTGACAAGGCAAGTCTCCGCTGCACTACGGAGTACAGAGGTACTTCGAGTTTTCTGCTTTCTTTTCTCCCTTTTCCCATCATGCTTGCCTGTGAGGAATTTGGAACCGTATGTCGGTCTTTCAATGACAGTTTAATGCTGTCATGACTCTGGCTTGCTGGCTTGTTTGTGACGGCCCTTGGTCTAGTTGCTCCACCAATTGTTAGTCTCGGGATACTATTTTCTCCGACGTCACTTTTTCTTGGGCCGTGTTGTGCGCCCCAGGCCCTTCCGAGTGAAGAAAAAAAAAAGAAAGGTTCACGCATGAGGCCACAAGCTGGTCAATTTCACAATGGTTGCTCTAAAGCTCTTTCACTCAGACCGGAATTCCTCGCGGCCATCAACCAGTCCTGGATATGCGCCAGATGAATTGTACTTTGGCGAGCTTTCTAGAGAACCTCATCTCGATTCTGGTCACCTATACCCGGCTCCTCCATCACCGGCACTTCCCTCCCCCGTTCTTAAAGTAGGACGGTCTTTAGATGTCTCTCATCATTTTGAGCAGATTGAAAAACAATTCGAAGATCTACATCAGAATCTCGGTCCGAGACCGCTATCTTCCCAATCTTCTTTGGCACCGGATGTACCGAATGTACCGGATCGCCGTTTAGCTCCAAGAGCACCCAATCGTCGGCATATCGATTTGATGGATGCTCTTGCCTCCTCTGAGCAATATCGCCAGGAATCGAGCCCTCCTCCTATCTCGCCACCTGCCAGTCTATACAACGAAGATGTTGCAGAACGGAACATGACCAGGTTCCTTCGGATCCAGCACCGGAGCGGACTGGCAAACTCTCGAATATTATCCGCATTATACCAGGAGGACGTTGCAGACAGAAATATTGCAAAATATGGAGGCCCAACTCGTTCATTGTCAGCATTGAGTTCCCGGTCTTCTCCTCCTGCGCCTGGCAGAGTGCGTAGATTGAGCCCGGATGCACAGAAACGCAATCCGAGGAAGCCGAACTGGACTTCAGATGGAGACTTGCGCAATCGGTCATCACCGGACGATGCCTCTTCGAGGGCTTCAAACTCTAGCAATCACCTACGTTTGCAAAGATCAGCACCAAGCTTGTCTGCTGAGGGAGATGATTCTGAAGACGAAGGAGCCGTGCCTCCAGTAATTCAACGCTTAGGTGTCCCGCCTGCTTTCAAACAAGGAAGGCGATGGAGCAATACCCCGTTGCCAGACAGCCCAACCTTGCCCCCTCCAGTAGGTGAGGGTGATGATGTCGGAAACAACAAACGCAGCAAATCAGAGACACCCCCGCCTGTTCTTCAGCCTCCTTCCCCAACCGCTCGGAGCTCGTCTTTGGGTCTGAGGAGTATCTCCCCACCACCTTCTTCGGGGTCAGCATCAAGGAGAAATGTGCGAGACCTATCAATTAACACCCAGTTGGCCTCGAAGGGCCGGCCGAAAATTGGGCATCGAGCTATTCAGCCTCCCACGCCCTCCAGCAATACTACTAAGCGAGCACCTAGCATTGCAGAGGTCATGAATAGTCCACTGCCTGTGCAAACACCGACTTCTGCTATTGCACCCTCGCCTCGTTTCAAGGTCTCTGAGATGATGGATCTGTTTAAACAAGCCTACATGTCTACTCATGCTCTGAGTTCTCACCCGACCTATGAATCTCTACAAGATGCAATTGTCCGTGAAATAAATTCTCACGATGCATTTAAGCGTGTGCCTGTTCCTGCTCCCGTTGGTCCCCTATTCACCCCGTCAGATGAGGCCTCATTTGTTTCTGCGCACCCAGGATTGAACCGCAGTGCATCAGCAGGCCAATTCTCAAGAATCATGAGAAAGGGCTCCTTCAAGAAACACAAGAGATATACCGAATCCAGTCGCAGCATCTCTACAAGCGTACCTTCAAAGGGATATGACCGCCTTCTCCGTAGGGTCTCCGGCTCTCCTACTCGACGCAGGCACACCGATGCCCCAGCCCCGTCACCAGGCCTCCTGGCTGATTTCCAAAAGTCCAAGGAGAACGCCGTGCCTCAGACTTCATCTGGAGAGCAGCTTACATACATGGACGTTCTGATCCGGGCCGGCAATGATCAAACCGGATCCAAGATCCAAGCTGCCTCCTGTCCCAACATCACGGGCACCCGCTCTGCTACCCCGGTTTCCACGGTGTCCAACCCCTTCGGAACCGTCTACTGTATGCAGGCACACTCCACGCCATCTAAGGACAGCAGAAGCAGCATGTCGATGGAGGACGACGATGACGATATCATCCATCTTCCCAGCATCGACGCCCCACCTCCCCGGGTGCAGATCGAAGGTGTGGATGAGAACAACGTCCGCTATGTGATTGACGGTGCCACCGCTACCAATGCCCAGAACCTCATAAGCTGGCCGCAACGTCTCCGCCGCGCCCAACCATCCCAGTCTTTCTGCGAAAACAGCCTATCCCCGCTTTCCCGCGCGAGGATGCAACTTCGTGGAGCTCGCTCTGTCGAGACTTACTAGTGCAGCTAGCATTTATTAATTGCTGGCCTGTCACTTCCGCCCTATAAATAAGGAAGACCTTTCTTTCTCGCACGATAATGATTTTGCATGATACCTACCAAAAGCTATCTGACCCTTTCAGCTTCTGTTTCTTTTCTATAGCGATTTTGAAATCCTTGATTTGAAGCGTCTGATCTGGAAATCACAAGCTTCGTTCCTTTCTCTTTCTGCATATGACTGCATACCTACCTCTGTCCATACCCTTCTACCTGGGTCCTACCCTCGTCTCCTTTTCTCGTGACTTCCACTATCCTAACCTTGATCTAACCATTAACCCTAGTCCGTCCTTGCACTCTTTCTTATTTCACCACATCTACTGCCAACAAGAACGGCCCACTACTTGTCTTTTGTCTTATTACCTTGAAGGTGCATCGTCTGGATGGCGTTCCTGTCTCCTGTTTCACACTTCGTCATGTATAATATATCCTTACCCATCTTACTGACCCTTTAGGGCTCCCTGCTATGGGATTCTCCAATAATAAACTACAAGTTCATATGGTACAGTATTGTTACATTCATTATTCTGTAGCCTACCTTGTATTTTGTTTCAATACGTAGGGGTAATTCCTATGATTAATGATATTCATAGCATTTGGACGGGAAGGTTCGCCCGAACGTGGGTCCTTTTTAGGTTTCTATCTATTGACACTATTCGAAATTTTCTATTGTTGGTCTTTCTTTCCCTTTCCCTTTCGTATGTGCCTGTCCACTTACCACTAAATGCTTTTCACGCATGCCTTTCCTTTCCATCTGTATTCTTCGACTATTGAAATTGAAGTTGTACAATACTCGGGATATCTATGCTGTTGCTCACGTAAGTACTTCAATACGACGAATGGCCTTCTCTCCGGACCCCTGTTTTGGTTTTAAACTTTTTTATTGATTGGCAAAATATGAAAGACATCACTCATTCCTTCTCATAGACTCATTCCGACTGGCCATATGCCACCAGTCCAACCCCGTTCGCAACTCCATAATGCCATGAATCGTGTGGTAACTTATAGACAACTTTGGAAACGTTGAACATGACAATAACAAGATTTTTGTGCTTTTTCTGATATCGATTCTAACAGACTGCGATGAGAAACGATGGCTAAAATCTTGCCCCTAGTGAGAGGCAAAGATAAGTCCTCGCATGCAAGTTGAGTATAAAATCAATCCGCTTAGTAAGAGCCTGTACATGCTGTCAGTATGAATGTAGATTTTGCGAGATGGTTGAAAAAACTTACGGCCGAACATGCACCACTTCTGGGCGGGGTTCTTGCACTTGGGGTTGATACAGGCACCAAGGGCCTCGGTGGGCTGCTCGAAGGGAATACACAGCGACTTGGCACCCATGGAGGGGGCCTTGGAGTCCTCAGCTTCACCAGAGTCCTCCTCGGCCTTGCGGGCACTCATATCCTTGATCTGGTCCTCACATTCCTCAGTCAGACACGAGGGAACAATGAGAAGGTTCTTCTGGTTCAACTCCGGAACAAATTCGTCCCAGTTTGTGATCTGCTTGCGGTGAGCCTTGAACACGGCATCAGCACGAGCGAACAGATCCTTATGGATGGTGTCCAAGAGAGCAGGGACAGCAGTGGCCAGCTCAGGGATGGGGATAGAGCCCTTGCCATCCTTTCCAGGAATGTCACGGCGGGCGGTGGTGACGAAGTGGCCGGCAGACTCGCCGGGGCCAAACTCCAGGCGCAAAGGCACACCGCGGAGCTCGTACTGGTTGAACTTCCAGCCGGGGGAGTACTCGGTGCGCTTGTCACTTTCGGCGCGGACGCCGGCAGCTTCGAGAACGGCAACAAGGCCGTCAACCTCGGCGTTAAGCTTCTCGCGCTCCTCATCGGTGGTCTTGGCGGTGATACCGACAGGGACAATGACGACCTGGGTCTCAGCGATACGAGGAGGCAGAACAAGACCCTTGTTGTCACTGTGGATCATAACCATGACACCCAGGGTACGGGTCGACAGACCCCAGGAGTTCTGCCAGACATTGAGGGCAGGCTTCTTCTCATCAGGCTTGGCAGAGGGGTCCTCGACGGTAATGTTGAACATCTTGGAGAAGTTCTGGCCCAGACCGTGGGAAGTACCACCCTGGATACCACGACCGGTGGCGGGGATGTAGCCCTCCACAGTTGTGGTGTAGAGACCTCCGGCGAACTTCTCACGCTCAGTCTTCTGACCCTTGACGACAGGGACAGCGAGGAGCTCAGAGTAAATATCGGCGTACCAGTCCAGGATCTGGAGCACCTCCTCTCGCGCAGCACCCTCGGTCAAGTGAGCAGTGTGGCCCTCCTGCCACAAAAATTCACGGGTTCGCAGGAATGGCTGGGGGTTCTTGAACTCCCATCGCACAACGGAGTTCCACTGGTTCAGACGCAGAGGCAGGTCGCGGTGGGAGCGAATCCACTTGGCGTAGTAAGGGTACATGACAGTCTCCGAGGTGGGACGAATGGCAATCTTCTTCTCGAGAGGGGTGGATCCACTATAATCATCATGTTAGATATCCAAAGCAGCATCCAATTGATAGTGATTAAAGTCCTTACGCATGGGTCACCCAGGCGACCTCAGCAGCGAATCCCTCGATGTGATCCTTCTCACGCTGCAGCACATCCTCAGACACAAAGAGCGGGAAAGAGCAGTTCTTCACACCCATCTTCTTGATACGGAGGTTGAAGTATTGCTGGATCTCCTCCCAGATGAAGTAGGAAGCGGGCTAAAAGGCACATATATGCGTTAGCAATGGGACATAATAGAACAGATCTAAAAGGGTAGACTTACCTTCAGAATGAAGCAGCCAGACACATCATAGTAGTCAAGCATATCACCCTTGGTGAGAACCTATGGCACAATCAGAATACATGCAGACAATGTAGTCTTCTCTGGTATAGTACCTGGGAATACCATCCAGGGAAATCCTCCTCCTTCGAGACATCGATTCCGATCAAAGCAGCGCCCTCAACTTTCTTCTTAGGGGCCTTCTTGGGTTCCTGCTTCGCATTTCCCTTGTTCGCGGCTTTAGCAGCCTTGTCTGCAGCCAATTTGGCAGCCTTTGCGGCCTTCTTGGCGGCATTCTTAGACTCATTCGCGTTATCAGCGGGGGGTTGGGTGCGGTCAGGCAGGGTTTGAGGGGCAGCAGCGCCGGGGGCGGCGACATCGCTGGGGTTCTGGTCGGCCATGATGATTGGGAATGAGCACCTGGCAATGGAATCAAAAAAAGAACGGCAGTTGAATGCGCAAGTAGAACAAGAGGAGAACACAAAATAAGTATGACTCTAAATCTCAAAGTGGGATGTATCATCGACACCGCTTCGGCAGAACTTTTAGCGTCAACTCAACCAAAACCCCCCGTCTCCGACAAGAGAGCTTCGCCATCCCACTTTGCTTTATTAATTTCTTGAATTCGCCATGGCAGGCATCTTCGAGGCTCCGCGGAATGCGGACACTCTCTGTAAGTGCTTTTAGCCCCCTGAACTTTCAAGCTCAAACCGACTAATGTATCTCGCACACAGTCTTGGGTGGTCAGAAAATCACCGGTGCCGATGTTCGAGAGCAGAATGGTATGTTGGATGGTTTATCTCAATGCAATCAATCGTATTGACCAGAATTTTGCAGTCCTTGCGACTCAGGCTATTTCAAATGTCATCAAGAGCTCTTTCGGTCCCTCGGGATTGGACAAGATGATGGTGGACGACATAGGGGTATGAAACATCAGACTCCCCCGCAGGGCTGTGGGACAGCTTCTAACATTGCTTTCTGTGATATAGGATGTAACCGTGACGAACGATGGCGCTACCATTCTGTCTCTGTTGGATATTGAGCACCCTGCGGGCAAGATTCTTGTCGACCTCGCCCAGCAGCAGGATAAGGAGGTACGGGCTCTACGTCTTTCCATCGAGTATATCAAAGCCTCATGACTGACCATTTCTAGGTCGGAGATGGAACTACTTCCGTCGTCCTGATTGCCGCCGAGCTTCTCCGAAGAGGAAACGAGTTGATGAAGAACCGGATACACCCTACCACGATTATCAACGGATACCGCCTTGCGCTTCGAGAGGCCGTCAAGTACATGAATGAGAATGTGTCAACAAATGTCGAGAACCTGGGCAGAGATAGCTTGATCAGCATTGCGAAGACTTCGATGTCCAGCAAGATCATTGGTTCCGATTCCGATTTCTTTGCGAACATGTGTGTGGACGCGATGCTGCAGGTGAAGTCGACAAACCAGAGAGGCGAGGTCAAATACCCTGTCAAGGCTGTGAACCTGCTGAAGGCTCACGGAAAGAGTGGTCTTGAGTCTGTCCTCGTCAACGGCTACGCTTTGAACTGCACTGTTGCCTCCCAGGCCATGACAACCCGTGTGACCGATGCCAAGATTGCGTGTCTGGACATGAACTTGCAGAAGGAGCGCATGAAGCTAGGTGTTCAAATTACAGTGGAGGACCCTGATCAGTTGGAGAAGATTCGTGAGCGTGAGGCCGGTATTGTTCTGGAGCGCGTTGAGATGATCCTGAAGTCAGGTGCCAACGTTGTTCTCACAACTAAGGGTATCGACGATATGGTCTTGAAGCTTTTCGTTGAGAAGGGAGCTATGGCTGTTCGCCGCTGCAAGAAGGAGGACCTTCGCCGCATTGCCAAGGCTACCGGTGCTACCCTCGTCAGCTCCTTGTCTGACCTGAACGGTGATGAGAAGTTCGAGGCTTCCAACCTTGGTTTCGCCGAGGAGGTTGTGCAGGAGCGTATTTCCGACGACGAGTGCATCCTTGTTAAGGGCACCAAGGTCCACTCCTCTGCTTCTATCATCCTCCGCGGTGCTAACGAGTTCAGCTTGGATGAGATGGAGCGCTCTGTTCACGATACCCTCTGCGCTGTAAAGCGGACTCTTGAGAGCGGCAGCATTGTGCCCGGCGGTGGTGCTGTGGAAACCGCCCTCCACATCTACCTGGAGGAGTTTGCTGTCACAGTGGTATGTATTTTTTCATTCAATCCTGTACATCTATTTTCTAACCATGTCTCTAGGGCTCTCGCGAGCAACTTGCCATTGGCGAGTTTGCCCAGTCTCTGCTCGTTATTCCCAAGACCCTGGCTGTGAACGCCGCCAAGGACTCCTCCGAGCTGGTGGCCCAGCTCCGTGTCCGCCACGCCCTGTCACAGCGTGTGCAGGATGGTGATGCCAATGAGGAAGAGAAGGCCATCGCTAAGAAGAAGACATACCGCAACTACGGTCTGGATCTGTCCAAGGGACGTGTTCACGACACACTCAAGGCTGGTGTTCTGGAGCCTAGCATGAGCAAGGTTAAGCAGCTGAAGTCTGCCGTTGAGGCCTGTATCGCCATTATGCGTATTGACACGATCATCAAGCTGGACCCCGAGCAGCCACAGGATGACGGCCACGGCCACTAGATTCCAATACGGTTTTGACTATTATGGTGTCCCTATGAAACAAAAAAAAGGCAGTAATTGAATGTTACATAGAAATGAAATCGCAAGTGGATTGAGTGATTCCACTGCGGCTGCATATTATTTGTTCTTGCGCAAATTAGAGTAAAGTCTTATAATCAGAGCTCTTAAAAGTTGTATACCACTAGACACAGTGTCCATAATCCCAACGTCCCAGGTCTACTCTATAGTAAGGGATTATTTGGATGCGATTGACGGGCATGATTGAATTGGCATTTTTATGCAATAAGAGGGATATTTAATACGAGATTTAAACAAGTTATAGTAGGTTCAACACCCCTTCATCTTCATTCTCCCCGTTTCTCGGCCATCAAACGCCGGTACTCTTCCACAATAGTCCTTCTCTCCCCAGCCAACTCCTCTCGTCTCCTCAAACTTCCCACAGCATTAGGAATGTTAGCAACGTCCACCTTCGCACCACCGCGAACCTTGAAGATCTCCCTCGGCTTCGCCAAAGTAGGTGGAGCCTGAGCCACTTCAAACGGATTGGCCTTGCGCTCCTTATCCCGCTTCTTCAGCTTAGCCCAAGGGTCCGGGTCATCATCACCACTACCCGCATCATCACCCTTCTTCTTAACGACATTCTTCTTCTTCTTCTTTCCACCCCGCATCTCACGCTCCCACTCGTTCAGAAGTTCCAACTGGTCTCCCATCTCGAATTCCCGCTCCTCCCGCTCGGCCTGCTCCTTCTCCTTGAGCCGCGCCTCATCCTTCCGCCATCCCTCTTGGAGTCGGCGGAGATGCTTCTCATGCTTCGTCATCTTGTGAGTTCGCATGCCAGGTGCACCGGATTTAGCCGACTTGGTCATTTCTGAAAGCGGGAGCGAACGGTCAACGCGCGCTGCGAAATCTGCTAGCTTCTCGCCCGGTAGAATCTTCGGCAGGGCCTTCTTGCCGTCGACATTGGACGCGGCTTGCTCAGAGACGGTGGTGGCAGGTTTCTTCTGCTTAGGCCCTTTCTTGGTGTCTGCCGATTCCTCGAGCTTGCGCTTCTTATTTTCCCTCTTCTCGCCGGTTTCTAGGCCGGAGGGGGCCCGTCTGCCTGTTGTTCTGTACTGCATTAAGCGCTGGAAGGCTTTCGGGGTGTCATCTTCCTTTGCACCCTTGCGGCGACTGGTTGCAGGACCCAATGGCTTTTTGGTCGGGTCATTTTGCTTCTGTTGGGGCTTCTTGCCGTTTTTGCCGTTCTTGCCATTATTGGTCTTGGATGCTGGATCGCGCACTGGAAGTGACTTTGCGATCATGGAAGGTGGGAGATCGAAAAGCCTGTGTAAGAACCGGAAGGTTAGATCGTTGCTATATATGGTAACATGTAGGATAATACGTACGAGGCATCTTGCTCGCGTCTCTTGTGCTTATGAGGCATGATGGTGGTGTGGAGTGTGGAGGATTGGAGGTTGAGCGGAACTTTTTTTTTCGGGTCAACTTCGTTATCAGCCAATCTCTTATCGCAAGTATAGAACAGTTTACAGCTTCTTGCAATGTTCGATTATGACGATGCAATGACTTTCAATTCTATACCTTAGGAATCAATAGAATTAATTATTGGCATTTCGAAACATTGACTATCCATGTGATGTATTACAGATAATCGTCACAGTCCCCAACACTGCAATTAGAAAGTAAAAATAGACTGGCAAGAAACCCCCGAAAAAATGCAACAAAAATGCAGACGGGTATGTTCGCTAACAAATAAAATGCCTCCGAAAAGCGCCGGGAATATGCCCACAAGATAACACCCTAGAAAAGCAACACCATGAAAATGTGACATGAACATATGGAATCAAAAGCAGCACAGAAATCATTCATCTTCGTCTTCATATGAGTCTGTCGTAGCAGCCCAGCCGCATTGCCAACGACGACCCTCAGTGTCGCCATTATTGCGAAGCTCGCGAGCCTCAGGGCCTTCACGCCAGCATCGGGCGCTATAATCGTCGCTGACGGTAATCAGCTCACCGTCAACTGTCCACGACATTCCGGTGACTTCTTTCTGGTGGCCTTCAACAAGAGCAGTGCCGGATTGATGGATGGGGATGGTATCCTCAAGACGCCCCGACAAGCCAATCCCGGAGTTAGTTCGTCGGAGGCCTGATCGAGTAGTGAACAGGGATGTAGGGCGAGGAAGTTCATCCTCGGAGTAAGTCTTGACTGGGGACTGGAGGAACCGTTCGTCGGTAGGAAAGAGTATTGGGCAAGCGTCACTACTGCCTACTGCCAGCATTTCTTGGCGGTCATTGACGGGTTTGCGCACTGCGAGCTTGACATAGAAAGAAGAAACCTGAAGACGTGGGTGGCGGAATCCGTACAAAGGTCCAAGGCCTTCTTTGTCGGAGCCACCAGAGCGGCGGGGGCGATCATGATTAAGGGAAAGCTCTGGTGCGTGCCCAAGCACCAGATGGGAAGTCGAATATGCGTAGACGGTTCCATCTCGACAGAGAGTATACAGTCTTGCACCGTCACCTCCGAGTGCCATGGAGGTGAGACCAAAGCGCCGGTACTTGATATGGCTATCAGGCTCCCGGGTCGTGGACAATGGGAGCACAGGCCGACCGCGGCGGTTGTTGTGGGCAGTTCGCAAGTCCCAAAGCCGGACACTCGCGCTAGCCTCGGATGCGGTGACGAAAAGATTCTCTTGGCCAGGGGGAAGAAAGGCCAAAGAGGTGACGGTAATATCTGAACGACCAAAGGGAGGTGCTTCGGTCTTGTCCATGGCCGGCTTTTGTGGGGTAGTATACGCATGGGCGCCATGAATCGTGTTCAAAACATGAGGGTATGTCATTTTGGGGGGAGCTGGTGTGGCCGCGTTTTCGGCATCCGATTCAAGTGAGCATCGAACTTGTAGTGAGGGACGCTCAAAGCCTTTGCAGCGAAGATCCCAAATGTTGACGTTGCCGTCACGGCTGCATGTAGCTAGGACTTTGTTATTGGAGCCAGGCTGAAATTGGACACGCTTTACCGAGGAGACGTGATTGGACAAGCAATGGATCGGTCGTTGCGTTGTCATGTCGATGATCAAAGATGTTTGGTCTCCAGAGGCTGTAGCCAGCAACATGTCATCAGATGAGAACTCCAAGTCCATGAGCGAGTTCATATGAGGGCGAAATCCAAGATATGCACTGGAAAATCCTCGCTCGTCGTCTTTAGATGAATCGAGCAATCGAATACCTCCCTCTTCATCACCCACGGCTACAAGGGAGTTTGCTTTGCAAGTGTCAGACATCGCCCAAGCAAATATGTTGGGGGTTGGAATTCAAAGTACTTACTATTGCAAGCAGCATTGCAAAATGGAAGTGCCAGTTGTCCCTCTGTGGCATAACTGGCACATGAGTGACGGTCCTCCGGGCGAGTATGGAAGTCGGACGTGAGATCTTGCCATCCTGCCGATATTTTAAGCTTCAGTCCAGTTGCATAATACCCGCGGGAAAAACAAACCTGCTCCATAAGTTGACCGGATAGTGAGCCGATTAGCACGACCTCCCTGCAGTGATCGCATGAACAAAGATCCAGATGTCTGCAATGCTCGCGAGCGGGTGACCGGCGAGACTGGGCGCCGTTTTGGGGGACTTGGTGATGTAGCTCCGTCATAGCGTCCTCGGTTCACATCGATATCACCAACTGTTGTCTTCTGCTCGACATCGTTGCCCGGAGATCGTACACGAACTTTTTTCAACGGCGATGATTGCAGCGGGGAAACAACCGAAGAGAAAGAATGTTTTCTTTTCCGGCTCGGTGTACGGAATGTTTCCTCGGGAACCTCTGGCAGTCCATCGAAAGGGCTTCTAGAGCGGCCATCGGGCGAACGAGTAAAAGCGGGACCGAGACGATTAACGGCGGGCGAATTCAACACCCGCAGGGCCTGGCGACTTGTCTTTACACTAGCATTGCTTCCACTATTGAGCAGAGATCGAGGGGTGAAGAAGCGTCTAAAAGACCGGGGTGTGACGGTGGGAGGCTTTCGAAGTTTTCTTCCACTGCCCAGATCGGATGCGACAGAAGGTGGGGAAGATGGGATTTGAGGGTAGGTTTCTCGATGCGAAGTAGGTAGGATTGGTTCTGATTGGGGTACTTCAGGAAGTCCAGAAATCCGAACCATTGTGTGCATGGGCGGTGGAGAGAAGAGTCGCAAAGGTGGGATACATTTGGGAGGTGAAAAGATTCGGCCCAAGGGGGTAAGATGGGAAGCGGGTCGTGTTGCGCGCAGTGGACGTGACGCGGAACGTGTGTCAAGGCATTTTAGACAAAATTATACCTATTTAGGACACTAGCACAACATTTTGCTAACTTGAATTTTGGAAACATCTCATATTGAACCTGTGTTAAAAATCGGGTTCCTTCCCAACCTTTATCCTTAAATACGATTTTCAAGTGTGTACGATACTCTACCAATTTGACACGCGTGAAAAACGGAGCACGCGATGTGCAAATAATTCTCAAAATCTGTAGGAATTAAGCCATAAAGGTCATACAATTCAAATTGAAAGGAAGTGATCTTGATAATCCATGCTTCATCAAATTAAGATCATTGTCCTTCCAGTATTATTTACATACTTCCAACCGTGGAAGCTTGAACCATAAGTGTATCTGAAGGCGGTCCCACTCTCGCTCACCGCTAACCATTCTGCCGCGCAGAATCGGATTTTTCGATTTTTTTTCCGTTGCGATACAACGAGATTCCTCAACCGTTTACAAGTCGGTATTGCCTAACAACAATGGCGCCGATAAAGCGCAAGGGGAACGCCCCTGAAGAAACGGCTACTCGACAGCCCCAAAAGCGCGCAAAGGTCGGAGCAGAGGATTTCAAAGACCAGAAGCCCAAGGATACCGCCGCGAAGGCTTCGGAGCTCTCTGTCCTGCGTGATGATGAGCCATCTTTCCCTCGTGGTGGCGCTAGCGTTTTGACCCCGTTGGAGCGCAAACAGATTCAGATCCAGGCTACCAAGGATGTCTTGTTCGAGCAAAAGGGATCCAAGGGACCCAAGAAATCCACCCGCAAACCTGACGACGACAACGACGATGAAGATGACGACGATGTTGAGATGGAGGATGATGATACCACAGCCCCCGCCAAGAAGTCACGCAAGAAGAAGACTAAAGGCAAGAAGTCTGATGATAAGGAAAAGTCGGAGAAGACTGTTCGCATTGAGCCTCTTAGTTTCAAGGTATTTTAAGGTCCACCCTACAAGGGAAAAAAATTTCCCAAAAGTCCATTGGGTTGTGTCACTAACTTTTACCAGCGCATTGTGGCTGGATCTATGATCCTTGGTCAAATCACAAGCATCAGTGCCCACGAAATCGCAGTTTCTCTACCGAACGGCCTTGTTGGCTTCGTCCCTCTTACCTCCGTCTCGAAGGTCCTTGATGATAAGATCGAGAAACTGCTCAACGATGAGGGTAGTGATGATGAAGACAGCTCGGATGAAGATTCTATCGACCTCAAGGACTACTTCTATATCGGCCAGTACCTCCGTACCTATGTCGTTTCCACTGGCACTGAGGCTGCTGAGGCCGGCGTTCGCAGCAAGAAGCGTCTCGAGCTTGCAATTGATCCCAGAAAAGCCAACACTGGTCTTTCTAAATCTGATTTGGTGAATGAGGCGGCTATTCAGGCGTCCGTTATCAGTGTGGAAGATCACGGTCTGGTTATGGACCTTGGTATTGAAGGTGCAGAGCTGAAGGGTTTCATGTCCTCGAAGGAAGTCGATCCTCGCGTGGATTACCACAGTATTAAAGAAGGATCGGTCTACCTGTGTATGGTCACTGGCCAAAATTCCAGCGGTAACGTGATCAAGCTTTCCACCAACCTTCAGTCCGCCGCTTCTATCAAGAAGTCCCACTTCCTCAGCGCAGCCCCCACAATCGGCACCTTCCTTCCTGGTGTCGCTGCTGAGATTCTCCTGACCGAGGTCACCGAGAACGGACTGATGGGAAAGATCATGGGCATGCTTGATGCTACTGTTGACCTGGTTCAGTCCGGTGCCAATGATGGAAAGCTTGACCTAGTGCGGAAGTACAAGATGGGAGCCAAGATCAAGGGCCGTATCATCTCAACTTTCCCATCCTCCGAACCTTTCAAGGTTGGCTTTTCTATCCTGGATCATGTTCTTAAGCTTTCTTCCGAGTCCTATGGCCCTGGTTCGTCTACTGAGGCACCTGCTATCTCCGCCATCATCCCTGAAGCTAAGGTCATCAAGGTTGACCCCGGTATGGGTGTTTACGTCCAGATCGGAGATACCAAGCACATTGGATTTGTTCACATCTCAAGACTGTCAGATGGCAAGGTTGAGTCAATTTCGAATGACGAGGGCGCCTTCCAAATTGGTGCTACTCACGAAGCCCGAATTGTCGGCTACAACACACTGGATAACCTTTACCTTCTCTCTTTTGAAAAGACTGTCATTGAACAACCATTCCTTCGCCTCGAAGATGTCACCGTCGGTGCCATTGTTAAAGGAAAGGTCGACAAGCTCCTGGTCGGTCCTACTGGCATGGATGGTTTGATTGTTGGCCTTGCAGATGGTATTTCGGGTCTTGTTCCGTCTATGCACTTTGCGGACTCTCAGCTTCAGTTCCCGGAGAAGAAGTTCCGGGAGGGCATGAAGATCTCTGCGAGAATCTTGTCCGTCAACCTGGAGAAGCGTCAAATTCGGTTGACACTGAAGAAGAGTTTGCTGAACAGTGAATCCGCCATCTGGAAGGACTACAAGGACATCCTGGCCGGTGCTCAGTCTCCGGGAACTATTGTCAACCTCCAGGCTCACGGTGCCGTTGTTCAGTTCTACGGTTCTATCCGTGGTTTCCTTCCTGTGTCTGAAATGAGTGAGGCCTACATCAAGGACCCCGCACAGCATTTCAAGCTTGGTCAGGTTGTCAATGTGCATGCTCTTAGTGTGGATGCTTCCCAGGGTAGACTTGCAGTGTCTTGCAAGGATCCTTCCACTTTCACTGATAAGTACCGCAAGGCCTTCGAAGACATGCATCCCGGTCTACTCCTTGCTGGAACTGTTTTCGAGAAGTCCAACGATGATGTCCTCCTCAAGCTCGACGAATCCGGACTTGTCGCTCGTCTGGACGTGCAGCACATCATTGATGGCTCCCCGTCTAAGCAGAGCTCCACTTTGTCGAAGATTCGTGTCGGTCAGAAGCTGAACGATCTCATGGTTCTCGACATCCAGCGTGCTCATCGTCTTATTCGCGTCACTTCCAGAGCTAGCCTCAAGAAGGCTGTTAAGCAAAAGACCATGCCCAGCAAATTCACTGACCTTCAACAAGGCAAAGCCGTTACTGGTTTTGTTCGCAACATTACTCCCGCTGGGCTGTTCATCGAATTCCTGGGTGGTCTGACTGGTCTTGTCCCCAAGCGTCTGATTGAAGAAGCCAACCTTTCTCAGGTTGAATTTGGAATGTCGAAGGGCCAGACCATCTCCGTGACAGTGCACTCCGTGGAGAGCGATGTTCAACGTTTCATTTTGAGCCAAAAGTCCGCCGAGGCTACCACAGAGGGTTCTAAAAAGACTAAGACTCTCAACCAGCCAGATAACGCCCTCGTTCACGCAGTCGATGAGTCTGTCAAGACTCTTTCCGACCTCACCTTTGGCAGACTTGTCAAGTGCAAGGTCGTTTCTATCAAAGCGACCCAGGTCAATGTCCAGCTTGCGGATAATATCCAGGGTCGTATTGACGTGTCTGAGATTTTCGACAAATGGGATGATCTCAAGGATCGGAAGCAGCCCCTCCGCTTTTTCAAGGCCAAGCAGGAGCTGTCCGCCAGAATCCTGGGTGTTCACGATGCCCGCAGCCACAAATTCCTTCCTATTTCCCACCGCAGCGGCAAGTACCCTGTCTTCGAGCTCTCCATTAAGCCAAGCTTCCTAAATGCCGCCAACCCCGAGCCACTGAACATGGATCAGGTCAAGGTCGGATCATCCTGGATGGGCTTTGTCAACAATGTTGCTGAAGACAGCCTCTGGATTAACCTGTCTCCCAACGTTCGGGGCAGACTGCGCTTCATGGATGCGTCAGATGACTTGTCTCTTTTGACAGATGTTGAGAAGAACTTCCCCATTGGATCTGCACTCAAGGTCCAAGTCACTGCTGTCAACGCCGATAAGGGTCATCTGGATCTTTCTGCCAAGCAGGGCATTGATAAGCTTTCTTTCGATGACATCTCGGTCGGCATGATCTTGCCTGGTCGTGTCACCAAGGTGACTGAGAAGCAGGTTATCATGCAGCTTAACGATGCGCTTGTTGGTGCTGTCAACATGCTCGACCTGGCCGATGATTATTCCAAGGCCAACCCGACTGTGCACCAGAAGAACGAGGTTCTGCGGGCCTGCGTTGTTGCCGTTGACAAGGCTCACAAGAAGATCAACCTGTCACTTCGTCCCTCCAAGGTCATGAGCTCGTCTCTCACTGTTCAGGATCGTGAGATTTCTTCCATCAAGGACCTCAAGCCTAATGATGTTGTCCGAGGCTTTGTCAAGCGTGTCGCTGACTCTGGTCTCTTCGTGGCTGTTGGTCAAGACGTCACTGCCTATGTCCGTGTCTCTGACCTCTCTGATTCATACCTCAAGGAGTGGAAGGACTCTTTCCAAGTCGACCAGCTTGTTAAGGGCCGTGTTATCGTGGCTGATGCTGAGCAAGGCAAGCTGCAGATCAGCTTGAAGGAGTCTGTCTTGGACCCCAACTTCAAGGCTCTCATCACTTTGCAAGACCTTAAGGTTGGTGAGATCGTCACTGGTAAGGTTCGCAAGGTTGAGGAGTTTGGTGCTTTCATTGTTGTCGATGGATCCAAGAACGTCAGTGGCCTCTGTCACCGTAGTGAGATGGCCGACAAGCGTGTGGAAGATGCTCGCAAACTGTACGATGCAGGCGATGCTGTCAAGGCCAAGGTCATCAAGATCGATCGCGAGGCAGGAAAGGTCTCTTTCTCGCTGAAGGCATCCCACTTCCAGGATGAGGAGAGTGAAGACGAGGATATGAGCGAAGATGGTATCGGCGGCGTCGAGCTCGGAGAAGACGACAGCGATGACGATGACGTTTCCATGGGAGGTGTTGAGGTGGAGGATGAGAGCGACGAGGATGAGGATGAGGATGAGGATGATGATGAAGAAATTGAGAGCGACGACGAGGATGTTGCCATGACTGGTAACAAGCCATCCAAGGTTGGCGGACTCGGTGCTTCTGGTTTCGACTGGAGTGGCAACGCTCAGGACGCGGCCGAGGCTGCAAGCCCCGACAGCGACGACGAAGGCTCTAAGAAGAAGAAGAAGAAGAACCGCAAGGCTGAGATCCAGGTCGACCGCACTGGTGACTTGGATGCCAACGGTCCGCAGTCCGTTGCTGACTACGAGCGTCTTCTTCTTGGTGAGTCTGACTCTTCACTGTTGTGGCTACAGTACATGGCCTTCCAGCTGGAGCTGGGCGAGGTCGAGAAGGCCCGCACCATTGCTGAGCGTGCTCTCCGCACCATCACCATGGGTCAGGATTCGGAGAAGCTGAACATCTGGGTGGCCTTGTTGAATTTGGAAAACACATACGGTGACGACGATAGCCTCGAGGAGGTGTTCAAGCGTGCCTGCCAGTTTAACGATCCCCAGGAGATCTATGAGCGCATGATCAGTATCTACATTCAGTCCGGAAAGAACGAGGTACGCTCTCAATCCCCACTAACCCACTATCGATCAGTACTAAAAATTCCCTATAGAAAGCGGACGACCTCTTCCGAACTGCCATGAAGAAGAAGATCTCGAACCAGTCTCCCAAGTTCTTCCTCAACTACGCCACCTTCCTCTTCGACACCCTGGCTGTCCCCGAGCGAGGCCGTGGTTTGCTCGGACGTGCCCTGCAGTCGCTTCCTCCGCATACACACGTTGAAACCACCTCCAAATTCGCACAGCTGGAGTTCCGGTCACCCAACGGTGATTCGGAGCGCGGTCGCACCGTGTTCGAGGGTCTGCTGTCCTCGTTCCCCAAGCGTATTGACCTGTGGAACGTTCTTCTGGATCTGGAGATCAGTGCTGGCGATGCTGAGCAAGTGCGCCGTCTGTTCGAGCGTGTGCTTGGCCTGCAGAGCAAGAAGGGCAAGATCAGCGTGGACGCTAGCAAGAAGCTCAAGCCCAAGCAGGCCAAATTCCTATTCAAGAAGTGGCTTGCTTTTGAGGAGACCCTCGCTGCCGCCAACGGAAATGAGAAGATCGTCGAGGACATCAAGGCGCGGGCAGCGGCCTACGTCAAGTCTCTTCAGGAGTAATTTGTACCAAATCTTGTTTCTCTGTTTCCGACAAAAAAAAGAACGGGTTCCATGTACTTCTGTGGAACCCGTGGGTGTTTGGGATCATAGCATTCGTTGTATATAAAGCGCCAATAGCAGATCTGCCGATATTTTCCTAGTTTATAGTTTGCGCATGATGAACTTCCATCCACTTAGAACCTAGTAGGAGGCCCATGATAAGACTAGGCCAATTCAAGAGACAAAGTAAAGCATTTGACCGTCGGTCTATGTGCCTGATGGTGGCTAATGATATGGACTCTCGTTGGTTGGCAGTCGATTCAAAGCTGCATATGTTCCACAGTCTTCGCCCAATCAACCGCGCTATCTCCACAACATGGCTGGACCCATTGGGGTTTGTCCGCCTCCAACTTTGGTTACCAATAAGAGGAACCAAGGTTATTGGTTTGTTCGCATGGAGGGGGAAAAGCAAGACAATATAACATTATCCAGTGGAGCTGCTGCAATTTCTTCTCTTGTCAACCTCTCGGTTCCATCTCTCTGCGGCAATGGCGGTCTCATTCCGATCTCAGGGCGGAGAAGCCTCCCGCGATTCCTCTGACGGTCTGTTGGAGCCCTACGAGGCTTACACAGACTCTCCGAATACCAAAAATGTGAACAAACCAAGTGTACAAGTACACTCTGTTCCCCAAGGTCAAGTGGGGCGCCGCAGCCGGTGGCGTCAGTCCCTGGACTGGATTCCTTCGTTCGCACCGCGCAGGAACAACGGAGACGACGAGGAAGACCTGCCCTTGCTATCGGAGGTACCGCAGCGCAAAAAGCGATCGTGTCGCTCGCGCTATTGGCACTACTTTTTGCGCACGTTAACCGCATTCTTTATCATGTTGTATGTCACTCAAGTCCTGGACCATCAGTTCAATTCGGTCCGATCCGATCAGCCCGGGTGTGGATCTAAACCAGAAGCAGGTAACTAACAACTCATGGCTTTCTAGGGGCATCATTCAATCCATCTCTCTCGCCTGTGGTATCGTCCTTACATTCTTCCCTGACGAATACGACCGAGCAGCCCCCAACTGGGCTCGCACCGGCGATCAGCTCGACGCGAACGACATCAATCGCTGGCCCACCGATATCTCCCGCGATATCATTCCGTTTGGCTGCCACTCTCATAATGACTACTGGCGCCGTGTACCGCTTTACTCAGCGCTCCAGGCAGGCTGTATTGGCATCGAGGCAGACGTCTGGCTATTCGATAACGAGCTCTACGTCGGTCACACCACCACCTCTTTAACATCGCGCCGCACCCTGCGCTCGATGTACGTCGACCCACTTGTCCGCATCCTCGAGCGCCAGAACCCTATCTCCTCGTTCCAGCGCTTCATCAGCCAGCCTCCGCATGGCGTATTCGACACAGACCCTTCGCAGACCCTGATCCTCCTCATTGATTTCAAGACCGACGGCGCCGCGACATGGCCCGTAGTCGCAAGCCATCTAGCTCCGCTACGGGACCGGGGATACCTTACACACTTCAATGGGCAAGAGGTCATCCAAGGACCCATCACCGTTGTCGGAACTGGCAATACACCCTTCGACCTGACAGTCGCAAACTCCACATATCGGGATATCTTCTTCGATGCTCCACTAGCCAAACTAGTCGATACCGATAAATCAGATGACGAGTCGTCTCTAACTCCTACCGGTTCCGGTCAAGGTTTGTCCGGTATGCCAGAGATCATTACGGCGAATACGTTCAATCTTACAAACAGCTATTATGCGTCTGTGGACTTCATGTCTGCCATTGGTTTCCCCTGGCCATTTCATTTCTCGAAGCATCAGATTGATTTGATTCGCACTCATGTGCGGATTGCGCATCGGCATGGTCTTAAGGTGAGGTATTGGGGGATACCGAGCTGGCCGCGGAGCTTGCGTAATCATATCTGGCGAATTCTTGCGCAAGAAGGGGTTGATATGTTGAATGTGGATGATTTGGTTGAGGCTACCAAAGGTACTTGGGAAATTAAGATCCTAGATTGGTGGAAGTAGGTTTCCTGGGAAATGGCATGAATGATGATCTTAGTACCTATTTGATGGTTTTTACAGGCGTTGGGGTTGCGATTTAGATACCTTTCCTTTGATTTCTTACATAGATCTCTTTTGCTATACATCCATATTTCCATGAAATGAATTTCTGATTTCAAAGAACGCTACACTCTGGGTATTCATTGAACAAGACTGCAATGTAAATATACTGTGTTCAATGACTGCATTCCGCAGCCAAAGTACCATGAACTTTGACAGGTAAGGCATAACTACTAAGTCAACGCTTGCAAAAACTTGTGGATGCTTCGACTCGTCCTGATTACGCTGTCTTTAATGTTAGTGTTTTCAATTTGATGGCAGCAGAATTGGGAGAGAAGTTTCGCCGAGTCTACATTCTTTCGGAACTACGTGTACGTGGGAAATGTTTCTTATAGATGCACTCAAAATCGAGTTCTTCAAATTTTCCACCTTTTGGTCTTGACTTCACTTTGCATAAAGCGATGCCTATCAATTGTCGCGTATTGATCGATATAGTGGAATATGTATAAAGCAGACTGGAAAAGTGGGTGAACCGGTATCACATTGCTCAGTCATGACTCAAATCCCGGTAAATTGGGGCGAAATGCACTTCGTGTGCCTCGACTCAGGCGATTGCCTCCAAATGACTCAATCGCATGCATGGCTGAAATAGCAGTACAATAATATCAAAAAAAGACGAGGACCAACGAGGCCCAGAAGGTAAAGAACCCCGCAAGGGAAGGTTCTGGGGGTATCATCGGTAGAATATTTTTTTTCGCACATGAAATTTGGGACAAAGTGTGAGACGCTTTACAGACAGAAGAGTGCCTCTTCGCCGAATTCGCGCGCAATGCTTCCTTCTTCACGGAGCAAACCGCCAAGCCAGACCTTAGCTGTCTCGAAGTCCTTTGCACCAAACTTGACCAACACAAAGCCAGCACGCACACGTGCAGCTGTCCAGGTAACGTCACCATTGGTGCTGATCGAGGGTTCCGGTGCTGATGACTCAGAGGACCAATTCCGGCTGCCGATGCGCGGCTGTGATGTGAATTGGTGCATGAAGTAGGCACCAAGAGAGTCGAAGACGGGGCCAGACAGGATCAAGGTACCTACAACTCCATGCGGTCGTGTCCTTTCTTGAATGATATTCAATGGCACAAGACCAGCTTGAGATGGAGTGTCTGCGTGGACTAGGTGGCTATTTGAACCGCTCATACCACCTATCTCGAGCTCCTCATCATCGTCGGCGTCTATGGCTTCGGATTCATCGTCTAGGATAACGGAATCACGGAGCAGAAGCCTGTTCTTTCCGGTCTTCTCGTCTGCGGCCCAGACTTCGTTCCGACCCTTCCAAAATCGGAAATTCCAGTTCTCGCCACGAGAAGTGCGACCCTGCGTTACCCAGTCTAGAACACAAAGACTGCTGCGCTGATCACCCTTAGCCGAGGCATCAACGGTGAACTTTTGGACTTGCGCATAGCGACTATCCTTATAAGGTACAGACGGATCAGGCAGGTAGCAGATAGCAGCCTGGCGGCCAATCTTCACGTCTAATGATTGCTGACTCATGTCTGAAATGCTTTCATTGGCGGGCAACTTCTTACGGTGGCCTTTGATAACGTTGAAATTTGAGTCGGTTTTGGAATCTGTCTTGAAAATCTTGGTGCTTCCTTGTGGAGTCGTCACCACCATTCTGGTGCGGGGGTCAAGCTTGATCGACACCTCAATATGGTCACCTGGCAGCAGGCCGCCGCCGTAGGTGAGGAGATAAAGGTGGACAGGCATTGATGGGCATTTGTCTGATAGTGCAGCTGGGTCAGGTTCTGGTATAAATCCTGGAGCCCGTGGGACCAGCTTTAATGGATATTTGTAGGTGAGGGTGGTGAGGGTGGGGTTATTAGGCGGGAGGAGAGAGAGAACGACGTTGCCCTGACCCGGCTTCGCTATGGAAGACTCAAAGGGCGAGCGGATAGGCATTGTTGGTTGTCGCATAATGGCGGTTGTGTGATATTGGTGTTGCAACCTTGGGAGAAGAGTTTTGGAAGTTGAGATTCGAGTTTTTGAGAGGGGTGGAGTGGAGGGATTTATCTCGATGGGACGGAAGGACAGGGAATGCGCCAAGAGGGCATGAATGTCGGAATCAGTAAGGTCTTTGCGTGATGCAAGGATGTTCAATCTGCAGCATGATGTTTTGCAGGAGAGTAGAGTTTTTACCCCGGAATTTTGGGGACGTGACTGGTATATAATTTTAGCACGGGTGATGATGGCATCTATTAGTCAATGGCGGAACCCACCTAGTCTGAGTCTGGGTGGCTCGTTTCTTGGACTATGTGTCAAGCGGGGTCCCTCCTGACTTCTCGTGCATCAACTTTCCTTGGCTCCGTAAGACCGGACGACAATGGCTTGAAGAGTGGGCGCATCAAGTAGTTTCCATGACACACTTATTCCCCACAGTCCGCCTGATCTAGTCCCACGTGATATCACTCAACCAATGACTGGCGTGATCGCCGGTCCCGTGATGTGGCCTACTGGCACGGTTATGTAAATTATTGCCTGTATATTCAGGCTCCACTATTGTGCAATCGTGTTTGAGGTGCCACATCATACCTCTACGGCCTAACACTACCCCGTATTGTACTCGCCAGCATTCTTGCAAAGGGCCTAGGTGGTTAGATTTCTATTTTGAAATTTGACTGAAATTGGCCCCTTTGTCTAAACTTCTAAATCAAATGGCTCAGCTCACCTGACGTGTCAAGCAGATCCTGTCTAGCCCTGGCGATCTTACCGATCCGCCAAGTCCTCCCGAGGTCCGCTCCACAGCCACCAAAAATGGGGTAAAACGACTCCTCAACAGGGGTAAAGGTAAAGTCAAAGATCAATTCAATCCAAGGTCTGGTGATTTGTAGTAGGGTATCTGCAGAAATTTTCCACCCGATCTTCTTTTCTATCATACGTACTGAGTATTCATACATGTGGGATTAACCGCATAACTAGGTGTCCCTGTTGCGCAAGCCCGAGACTTATCATAGAACATTACATTACATACTATGCTGCATCTGCTGGGACTTTTGAACCTTCCAAGGTGGTATCAAATAATCCGCTTGTCTGAGAGGCTTGTGAAGTATTCAAAGGTTCAAGAGTGGTTCTACTGATGACTATCACCTCAGCCATTCTACTAGTAACTCCTCACATGCCATAATCATCAAGTAGTCCCAAATAGAGAATCTGCCTTCAGTGGAGCCAGGCCAACTATGTAGGATAGGGTGGGCTCACTTGTGAGATATATACAATGCGGCATGGCAGAACAATAGATTCTGCTCTATGTAACAATACGACTTTACAGCGTGTCAGGTCCAATGTGTAACAGCGGTAGATGCCTCATTATATATCTTTGGGCTTCGCTTGGGATTATAGGGAACCTTAGAAGGTGGATGGTTATATAATTTGAATCATTGCATATGTACCCACCACAGCATTAGAGTAGAGCCATGCGCTCACAATAAAATCAAAAAAAAAAAAAGACAAGCTAATGATTATTATCCACAATGCATTGTTGGACAACGAAGAAAGCCTGGGGTAAGAAAAGAAAAAAAGAAATGACAAGAGTGGGATTTGAACCCACGCCCCGAAAACGAGATGCGGAAATCTGGATCAGGTGAACCTGAACCGCACGCCTTGGACCAACTCGGCCATCTTGCCCAATTGATGTATAAGATAAAATATTTTGACTATATGAGACAAATTTACAATAGGACAGACTAAAACCCTATGGTTCAGGCACACAGGCAACGAGGCGCGTCCACCTCCTTTACGCTTCGCTCCAGATCCCCGCTCTCTTGCTCCATCGGGCCCTTCTTTTTTTTCCTACTCACCCAGTCTTGCTACATGCGTGTGGGGCATTGATCGGATTGTCTTCGACTTGATAATTTGACCCTATCTACTCGGGCCTGACTCCTTCCTTCTCTGACAATTTGTCCGATTTTGTTTGCTGCCACGCACGGCGCGTTCCACGGAGCGCGTGTCGACCTGACGTACGGCGCTTCGAAGTCATTCTCACATTAGATACCCACCGAACTTACGCAAACTCTTTCACTCTCAATAGTCGCGAGACATTTCTTCAGACAACCCTAAGCTATTATGGAGGTGGACAGCCCTAGTGATCCGTCATCCACCCCCGCGGAGGACCGGCGCAAATCTGGTCGAATGACGCGGCGACCAGACATATTCTCGCAAAGCACACACTCATCCCATGAACTGAGCGCCAGCGGCAAACGAAAGCGTGGGGACGCGCAAGGAGCCGAGGATAGCGACAATGTGTTGTCGGAGTCGGAGAGTGATGCGATCGAGGATGATACCGATGAGGAAGAGCTAAGAGAAAGGCAACGCGCCGCTCGCAAGGCCGGAACCACCAAGAAGACCACCTCGAAGAAGTCATCACACGCATCAAAGAAGCCAAAAGTCACAGGCAACGGAGTCAGAAGACAACTTGCCTTCCGGCCTGCCGTCAACGGCGGAGTCTCGGCCTCGCGTCCTCGCAAGCCCAAGGTGCGACCTAGCCTAGCGGCAGGCGAACGTGGACTTTACGGTAAGTCAATACCTCCCATCCTTGTACAACGTTATCTAACAAAGCAAATTTAGCCGAGGTCTTTGGCAAGAGCAACAACGCAGACACGGTAGCCGCGCAATTCCTAAATCTATACCAGCGCGAGAACGCAACAGCAATTCGGGACCTGATAAACCTCGTGATTCGATGCACCGGATCTGATCTGGAGATTACAACGGAGGATGTGGAGGATGTGGATCATGCCCCGGATCGAATTCGGGATTTGCAGGGCCTCTACCAGGCTGAAGGGTTCACCGAATACCCTCTAATCTCTCGAGCAAAGAAGTACAGAGCTTTCCAACCAGTGCTCGAGGAGTTCACAGTCGCGCTCATCCAGACTTTCCACCATTCATCCGTCTTGTACACCGATGAGTCGCTCATGGAGAACATCCAAATTTGGCTTTCCTCCATGTCCACTGCCAACTGTCGTCCATTTCGGCACACTGCTACCGTCATTTCACTAGCAATCATGAATGCGCTTTGTGACATCGCACGTGAGGTTACAACAACCCTGTCAACTTCTCGCAAACAGCTTGAGAGTGAGAAGAAAAAGAAGTCCGTGAATAAGGGCAGGACAGAAGCAATTCAAAAGACCATTTCTGAGGGGGAAGAAAAGGCGCAGCAACTAGACGAGCTCTTGCAGGATTGCTTTGATACTATATTTGTCCATCGCTATCGCGATGTCGACGGCAATATCCGTGCTGAGTGTATTGCAGCCATGGGCGGATGGATTCGCACATACCGGGAATTTTTCTTTGAAGGTCAATACCTTCGATACATTGGATGGACCCTTGCCGATGTTGTTCCGGGTACTCGGTTGATCGCATTGTCGCAACTACTTCCCCTCTACGAGAACAAGGACAATATCGGTGTCCTCCATTCTTTCACAGAGCGTTTCCGTCAACGTATTGTTGAGATGGCCGTTCAAGATGCCGAGATTGCCGTGCGTATCGCCGCTGTCGAGCTGCTGATTCATCTTCGAGACGGAGGATTGCTTGAACCAGACGATATCGACTCTATCGGACGTTTGGTCTTTGATGTCGACCCTCGAATTCGGAAGACTGCAGGCCAGTTCTTCGTTGCAAACGTTCAGGATGCGTTCGAGTCGATGACGGAAGAAGTGGAAGATGAACTCAATGAGATGTTTCCCGATGATGATGAGGATGATTACGAATCACCGAAACGTTCGTGGATTAAGTTCAAGTGTCTGGCCGACATATTCCAGGCTTATGATGCACAAGAGGGCGGACAATCAGAGGTTTCCATTACATCCCGAGGCGTGCTTTCGGGGGCCCCAGCGAATTCACGCTTTGTTTTAGCTACTGAAGCTATTTACCTCCACATGGCGGAGCTCTCTCAATGGCAGTCTCTGGCTGGGTACCTGCTTTATGACCACTCCCAAATCGCCGATGATCCGCCTGAGGATGATACCACGGGAATTGTCCGCAATCTGTACAAGATGCAGGAAGGATTAGAATCGATTCTCCTTGAAGTCCTCTGTGCTTCTGTCAAACTCCGGGTACTTGACATTGCGAAATCTGACATTGACAAACGGGGGCGTAAGGTCAAGGCGTTGACAACCAAGATCCCCGAGCTCCAGGAAGAGATCTCTCACAACCTTGCTCAAATCATTCCCCAACTACTCAACAAATTTGGCTCCTCTCCAGAAGCCGCATCTGCTGTTTTACGACTGGAGCATCTGGTGGACCTCGATACCATCCAAGATCTTCAAAAGGATGCCACGGCGTATGCATCTTTGCTTAATGAAATTAATCGGCAATTTTTGACCCACTCCGATCAAGATGTCTTGGCAGAGGCTAGCGTGGCTTTCCTGCATGCCAAGAGCTCCGAGGAAATGCGGGAAGCACTTGAGGGCAAAGTTCAGGAGTTGTGGGATGACTTGGTGGAGGCACTCGGTGTTTTATCTCGCAAAAGGGAGGTCCAGAACGGCAGCTCTATCGCCGATCCAACTTTGACCGAACTCGCCAATGCTGTGACGCGTATCTCGAATCTTGCTGGTATCACGGACAGTACCGCGATTTTGGAAACAGTGCCCATCTCGCATTCAAGGTCTAAGAAAGATCATCCCGAGGCTCCTTTTAATACCCTGATTCATCTTACCATGCGTGGCACCCGTGAGCCCGATGAGGATGAAGATATTGCCAGAGCAGAGACCGAGTTGGTAACCCACAGTATTAACACATTGTTGTTCTACTTTATGTGGAAAGTACAGGCTCTATCATCTGCCCTGAATGAGGGCAATGCCTCTTTTAACACATCTTACTTTGAAGCACTTACAAAAAGTCGTGAGACTTTTGCATCCTCACTTCTACAAATCATGGAGAAGCGGCCTGGTCTTGATGATGTACGCTTTATTGCTACTACCACATACATTGATCTTCAAACACTATTTAGCACACTCCGCAACATGGGTCAAGGCATTGGTAACGACGAAGATGTTATTTTCCAGACTCAAACTCTGGTACACGAAACCTCACCAGAGGCCCAGGCTCTTATCACCAAGATCCACGGCATTGCCGAACGCACATTCGCCAAAAAACTTGGCAAAGGTCTCGATGTTGCCGAGGATGATGAACCGGAATCTGAAGACGAGCCTGAGGACGATGACGAGGGCGACGATTCAGAAGATGAGGCCGTGATAGACGAGCGACTTCGCAGCAGTATCATCGCTGAGCAGCGCCTATGCGAATTGACCGGCAAGATCGTCCTGGCTATCATCGGCCGGGTCATCGATGCCTCTGGCTCAAAACGCGGTTCATTGAAAAAACGCTTGCTTCGTAACAAGACTTCTCTTGGTCAAAATTACCGCGAGGTCTTGTCATATATGGAAGAGAGAAAGCCTCGCAGCGCACCCCGTAGCAAGGGTAAGCAGCCTGCCAAACCAGCCGCCGAGGGCCAGACACCTGGTGCAGGCGGCAAAGATTTCAAGTCCACGGAGCATGTGGACGAAGAAGATAGTGATCACGCCGACCCTGCGGAAGAGGATGACGAAGAAGATCTGCGTGCCCGTGAACTTGTCGAGGAAGACATCGATCACGAAAATGACGAGAACGAGGAGCTGAATAACGGCACACCCGAACCGGATGAGGATGAGGTTATGGGCGACTAAATTCAGTCGATGTCAGGCTATTATGTTCAGGGGCGTGTCGACTTGTCCCTTTCCCCACTTTACATTTCAATGTCTAAAATTTTCGCTTGTGCTCACTGGAGGATAAGGCTTGCTATTGTGTATGCTACAGATTTGTTATCTCTTACTGTTTCTACCTTTATATGGAGTAAATGCTATGCTTCTACACTTGGTTCACGTGAATGGTGAACATGAGCTTCAATTACCGTGTCAGCATGTGCGTGTTTCTTTTGAGTCAGAGAAAGCTGGACTCCCAGTGGCCTCAATGAACGGCAATAGAGATCTGTGGGCTCGAAAAACAAATCGTTGATTCAGTGGGCTAAGTAGTAAGGATTTAAGGAAATTCAAGGGGAGTAAAAATTTTAAAAGCATTGAAGGGGATACCAAAAAGTAGTAGATTAGCAATCTTCCCTTGCAGTATCACTTCCAGGGCCCCCAATTAACAATTCAATCCGCATGTTCGAGTTGGCTAGGCCCTCCCTAGTACAAACTAGCCACCGACGGGTGGTACACGCAGGTTTAGCTTGTAAGGATTGAATAGACTGGGAAACATCCTCAGCTAACCCCCTTGAATAGCAGCCGTAAGGCGCCTATGGGGGGTGACACTGGGCTGTATGTTTGCTACTTTTTTTTTTTTTTAAAAATCCAATCAGCAGGACATTGACCCGCTGATTCTGAAACATCATCAGTTTTCTCGATACCCAAGTATGTGGTCTTTTATATCGAAAAGAAGATTTGGTCGAGTTTCTGGGCGATGTTGATGATACTATTCACAAAGTACCTCCTAAGTACATGAATAATTGATAAGCCCCGGGTTCGATTCCACACCCCGGTTGATGTGTTCTTTTATGACTCTTTGCAATAACGATGTCCAAGATGATCAACTATATCAAACAGCTAATAGGTTTTGCGGGATAAGAGAAAGAGGCTTGTGCACAGGCCCACAAGAGAGGATCAAGCCGAATCGGAAGCAAACCGAATCCCCGCTGCGGGCAAGGCTAGCAACTCACCCGCGCCCTAAGTACATACATACTGTAGGGAGAAGTTTTCATGGAACCTGGAGCCTGGCCAATGCCACGTAAACTGACAGGGGTAGGATTCGAAGGATCAGGTGCATCCTGGCGGTGTAGATTCCCTTTAGGCTCAATATACATACAGCATATCCCCTCTCGTCTCTACGATTCGTACAATTTCTCTCCCCAATTCTCCTTCATAATTTCTCTGACTCACAAGCAAAATGGCTGAAATTCAGGATTATACCAAGGCTCTGGAGATTCTCAAGGAATATCCCTCAGGAGATGGCCTCCACGTTGATGACCTTCTTGACTCGGACAAGCATGGAGCATTGACTTACAATGACTTCCTTATTTTGCCCGGCTCTATCAGTAAGTCAATCAATTGCATTTGGTTCAATCGTACTAATTCTAGGAACAGCTTTTACAGCATCGGAAGTTACATTGGAATCAAAGGTATCCAGACGCTTCAGCCTCAAAGCCCCTCTCCTGTCTTCCCCTATGGACACCGTGACCGGTCACAACATGGCTATTCATATGGCTCTCTTAGGAGGCCTGGGTGTTATCCATAACAACTGCCCTCCTGATGAGCAGGCTGAGATGGTGAGGAAGGTAAAGCGGTACGAAAATGGCTTTATCCTCGACCCCGTTGTTCTTTCCCCGAAGGCAACCGTCGGAGATGCAAAGCAGCTGAAGGCCAAATGGGGCTTCGGTGGCTTTCCCGTAACTGGTTAGTATAATTCCTTTTCCTTTGGGCTTGGTGATTCTAATCTATTCGCTCATAGAAACTGGAACCTTGCATTCGAAGCTTCTTGGCATCGTTTCTAGCCGTGATATCCAGTTCCACAACCAGTCTGATGATCCTGTCACGACTGTAATGTCGACGAAACTTGTTACTGCTCCCGCAGGAACTACCCTCACCGAGGCCAACGAAGTTCTCCGGAATTCGAAGAAAGGAAAGTTACCGATAGTGGATAAGCACGGGTCTTTAATATCATTGCTATCTCGGAGTGATTTGATGAAGAACATTCACTATCCTCTGGCATCAAAGGTTCAGTCAAAGCAGCTTCTCTGTGCCGCAGCCGTGAGCACTCATGATGCGGACAAGGTCCGACTCCAGAAGCTAGTTGACGCAGGGCTGGATATTGTCGTTGTCGACAGTAGCCAGGGACACAGCACATACCAGATTTCAATGATCAAATACATCAAGCAAAACTTTCCACAGCTTGATGTCATCGCAGGCAACATCGTCACCCGGGAACAAGCCGCAGCATTGATTGCTGCTGGTGCGGACGGACTGAGAATCGGCATGGGCAGTGGAAGTGCTTGTATTACTCAGGAAATCATGGCCGTTGGCCGTCCTCAGGCTACGGCTGTGCGCAGTGTCTCTTCCTTTGCCGCCCGCTTTGGTGTCCCCTGCATTGCGGACGGTGGAGTCTCGAACCTGGGCCACATTGTCAAGGGACTTGCGTTGGGCGCCTCGGCGGTGATGATGGGGGGTCTGCTTGCTGGTACCAAGGAGTCTCCTGGAGAATACTTTGTTAGCAACGAAGGGCAGCTGGTTAAGGCTTACCGTGGTATGGGAAGCATTGCGGTCATGGAGAGCAAAGGTCAAGCTGGTGATAATGCCGGCACCGCGCGTTATTTCTCAGAGAATGATAAGGTTAAGGTTGCGCAGGGTGTCGCGGGATCAGTCATTGATCGTGGCTCCATCAACCAGTTTTTGCCTTATCTTGTGGCTGGTGTGCAGCATTCGCTTCAGGATATTGGTGTGAAGAGCCTTGATGCCCTACACGATGGTGTTAACCAAGGCCAAGTTCGATTTGATATGAGGAGCGCCAGTGCCATGGCTGAGGGAAACGTCCATGGCTTACACAGCTATGAGAAGAAGCTATACTCTTCCTGAATTGGAATCTCTCTTTACCCACGCTCCTTGAATGTACTGTCTTTCCTCCAGCCGAAAATCTGTTAGAGACGAAATTCGATCATCAGCAATCTTCACTCGTTCCACATTTGCTTTGCCATTCATTTTGATAACGATGAAGCGTAGAACGCCAGTCAATATTTCTTCACGAAGCAATGCCAAATCTCCTCAAGGTGACATACCAGCCAATTTTAGTCAGTATAATAAAACGCTGATTCATATATAGGAGAACATGGGGGAATTGGCAGTGATTCTGCCAATACTACATATACTGTTTTCTACTACATCCCCTCATGGTTCCAATCATGCTTACTTCCAATACGAGGTCCACGAGCGGTGTTTATTCCACGGCTGACCCCTGCAATTACTTGCCCCTCCTTTCAAACAATCACCCCTATGAACATCGAATCAACCCTCAGCTCATACTTGCTCTCGAGACGCTCTTCCTGTTGACTGGTGCTCTTATAAGATTGTTCAGATCTTCAAGGATTCCCGTAATGACTGATCAAGCCGGCGATAAATATGCTCAGGTGATAAGCGACGGCCAGCAAACAGTTACGCTAACAGGAGCTATTGTCGAGCTCGTCGGGCGCCCCCTTTCGTCCATATGGCGGAAGCGAAATACAACTCAGGCCTTCAAGGAAAGGCTAGGGGAGTGGGCTGACGAGGCAGTTGATCGCAAGGGCCGGTGGCTGCAGCCCGTACTCCGTAGCAGGGCGTTCGAAGATCACCTGGTGCGTGAGAACGGGTATTTCCAGCCTACTGGACAGTGCGATTCGTCGTTCGCCTGGGCGCAGTTACTCTACGCCCTCAACATTCGTCCCGGTGGTGGTGTTATAGCCTGGAGACTGCCACCAAAAGTCATCAACCCAGCGGTCGCCGGGGATGTCGCACTTGAGGTCGATGGCGCTGCCATGTGCCACATTATCAATATTTTTCGTATGTATAAGAAATCTGCGCCTGAGGATTTCAGTCGATGTTCTTTCCCTTTCGGTCGCTTGTCGATAGATCAAAATGGTGCCAAGTTTACAGCGACATTCGAACCGGGAACACAAGACGATCTCCGAGAACAGCGAGTGCCTTTCTCTTATAGGTGCTGGGCGATTCCTGGAAGCTACCTACTCATCGACAAAGAGGTGGTAGTTGCAAACTACTTTAATGCAATACATTACGACATCTCAGATGCAGCAGAAATTGGGGGCTTACCCAATCCAAACCAGCCGATGAAGGATAGGGCTAGTTTCCTCTTACGAGCACTCGAGCTGCTCAGGTCCGGTGGTCTAGATCATGCGTGCACGAAATGCCCCAGAATCTGCACAGAAGCTTGGCACAGACCCAGGCTGATCACCAGAACATGGATGGAAGAGATGAGCCGGATCAAGCGTCGAGTCACAACCAACGGGGGAGAAGACATGAGCCTAATCGAATACGTTGTATCCTCTCTCGCCGACAGACCCAACTTTGTAGCTGAGGTGAATCACTCGTGCTCAATATTTTTTAGGTTTGCCGGAGAACAAGAAAGGTGGAAGCCTTTGGTGCGGAGCTGGCTGGACGAGAGGTGTATGTCTTCGCAAAGCGGATTCAGTTCTTACTGGACTCAGTCTAGTCCGTCAACGGGATTGATGGAGCAAGTTTTGAATCGGCTTATGCTGAAGGAACTTCCGTCTGTTCTCGAAAATTTAAAGATGCAGCCGAAGGGTTCCTGGTTGAAAGAGCTATCTACGATGGTCTCGGACCTTATTGATCTGCTTACGGCTGGGGATGACTTGATAAATGCACCGCTAGTTGTCCTTGGGTTAGGCGCAGATCATAGCCTGTGGCAGGGCACCTGTGAAGTCCGAGGTCAATGAGCTGGTCCTTGTAAAAAAAATCGAAAGCAGATAGTCCATGAACAAAGAGAATTCACAATTCATTCTGATACTCCTTAGTTTTCAGATTTCCAACAAAATCGAGGTCATCACATCATTCCCTGTTATTCCTCTTTAAAGGGGGTTGTTTTCCTTGAAATGCCAACCGAAATCCTTTGCATCTCGCTGTACATCCCCAGAAATAGGAAACAGCGGGACGCCTTTCATGTTCTCACCATCAACACTTCCCTAAATCTCTAAAATACAGTACATTACATCTTGATGTGGTTTCATTATAGAGTGCATTGGGAACAGCACCTTACAAGGTTATCTATAGCAGAAATTACGACTGGATTTGAATGAATAATGGCTTTTGTTTCTGGCAAACTGCGATAGATACGGGAACAGCGTAGCATAATCGACAACCATGGTCAGGAAATGTGGCTTGGCTAGAACTATCGGCAATAGTAATCAATCACCGGATTATATCATTGCGGGCAATAACATCTCCAATGTAAGATCACCAAGACACATGCCCCTGATGCCAGCGAGCAAGTGTTCTCATGAATGGGACCAATACCCTCCACAAGGAACACTAGAAGATCGAGAGATAGGGTGGTAGGGTGACATTAACATAAAAAAAAACCGATCCTGCAAACAAATACGCCTGTGTATGAGGATGCTAAAAAAAAAGGGGGATAGGGGTTACATGACGGTGAATCTTGTTTATCGTGAATCACAAAATGGGGAGGATGAAATGGCGAAGGGGGAAGGGGGAAGTGAAAGTCGTGACAAGTGACAAGGAGCCCAAGGAAGAAGGAGAAAATAGAACAAAACCCCAGCACCGTAATATAACGATAAAGAGATTGAAAAGGCGGTCGGTGGAAAGAACAAAATAACCACTTCTTTACATGTCCATGGAGTCACCACCGTTGGCGAAGTTGAATCCACCAGCGGGCTGCTGCTGACCAGTACCGAGGGTGAAACCAGTCTGGGTTTGCTGGGGAGCCAGCTCGTCAATATCACCGGCAGCCTCATCCTCATCGGAGAAGTACTTCTCGATGATGTTGTAAGCCTTCATGTAGATCTCCTCGTTGGCGTTGTTCTGGCAGTCGTGGATCTTCTCCATACCACCGGCCTCCTCAATAAAGAGAGCATAGCGGTTGACGCGAGCCTCACCTTGACCGGCCTCCTTGTCCATCTCACCGACCTTGAGGATGTTCTCAAGGCCATCAAGAGCAACCTGGATGATCTTGTTGTCGGGGCAAGCCAGGAGGTCACAGAGGGGCTTGATGCAACCTTGGGAAACAAGGTAGCGAATCTGATCAGGCTTCTGCAGACCACCGGAGGTGGCGTTGGAGATGGCCCAGCAGGCCTCCTTGCGGGTCTTGAAGTCACCGTTGGCAAGCAGGTTGATCAATGGGGCGATGATGCCAGCATCAATGACAGACTGGATTTGGCTGGAGTTGCCGGCAGTGACGTTGGAGATAGTCCAGCAAGCCTCCTTGCGGATACCGTCCTTGGTGGAGCTCAGGAGGGACAGAAGAGCGGGGAGAGAGCCGCAGTTGATGATGACCTGGGTCTGCACGTCATCACCAGTGACAATGTTACCTACGGAGCGGAGAGCAGGGGTCTGAACAGAGGTGGAAGCGTGCATGAGGAGCTCCACAAGGCGACGGGGGATGCCAGCCTCAATGACGGCCTGGATCTTGTCGTTGGCACCATCGGAAAGGTAAGAGATAGCCCAGCAAGCATCAATCAGGACCTCATCATCAAGCATGTAGATGAGCTTGGCAAGGACGGGGAGAGCGGGAGCAATCTGAGGCAAGGTTAGAGATAGTCAGGCAAAAAACAAGCAACAATCAAAGACTTACAGTGTTCCAGTCAGGCTGGGGGGTCTTGCCACGACAGAAGTTGCTCAAGGTCCAGGTCGCGTTGCGGAGCATACTCAGCTTGCGGCCATCGTTGATGAGGTTCAGGAGAGGGCGCAGGGCGCCAGCTCCCAAAACGAAGTCACGGCAGTGAGGGCTATCACCAGCAATGTTACCAAGGGCCCACACGGCCTGCTCACGGACATCGGGCTCAGGGCTGCTCAGGAGCTCAACGAAGATTGGGACAGCGCCGGCCTCAATGACGACCTGGGTCTGCTGGGCGGAACCAGAGGCAATGTTGGTCAGGGCCCAAGCAGACTCAAACTGAACCAGGGTGTGAGGGGAGCGGAGGAATTCAACGAAGCGGCTGACAACGCCGGTCTCAATAACGCGCTCGATAGGAGGGTTGCGCTCCTTAGACAGCAATTTGCGGAACTTGGTGGTGGCCTGAATTTGCTCCTCAACCTGATCGGAGAAGACACCCTTCACCATCTGGGGAAGCTCGACATTGAGCTAGGAAATTCATTGTGTTAGCTTTGTTGTTTGCTTCTCGGTGTGGTTTGAGATTTTTATAGTGGGGTTGTGCATAGTAATGGTCCGTGGTGGAGGGGTCGGCCCCATGGCAACAGGGCGGTGAAAAAAAAATCCATGTTGATGATCGCATAATAAAAACAAAGGACAAAGAGCGTTGGAACAAAGACAGCATGGGATAGCATCATCCATAGGGTATTTCCAGTATATGCCTTGAAGTACAAGGAGAGGAGCAGAAAAAAAAAAGGGGAAGCTTACCTCGCTCTCAATAGCACTGGCCTCGTCGTCACTCTCAGTGGCGGCAGCCATGCCACCAACACCGACACCACCATCGCGAGTCTGAACACCACGTCGCTTGGCCATGTTCTCCTCACGCTTCTGCTTGCGGATCTCCACCTGCTGTTCTTCACGGCGGCGGCGGAGCTCATCGGGGCGGAACTGGTTTCTGGCCTTGAACTGCGTCCGGCGGTGCTCGGGGATATAACGTTCCGCCATGATGGGTGGATTTAATTGCGAAAATGAAGCGCGCCACGAAAATGAGTTGGGATACGAAGAAATATGGTAAATGGAGGGCGCGCCGTTGATGGGGAGGAAGGAGGAAAAGAGATGTGGGGGAAGGAGAAGAGAAAGAAAGGATTCGTGTGTGCAAGGAGGGGGAGCTGTCACATGATCCCCTCAGCTACGACACATCAAATCAAATCCCTTACTTTTCTTTGTATCAACTTTTCAAACGTTTTATCTAGAAAATTTCAAGGCAGTTTCCTTTTTATTACTTTCAATTGGATTTCCTCAGCTGGAATTTGGGGGTCCTCAGTGTCCAATGGCCCCATGACAGACCTTTCTTCATTGACCAACCAAAACCGCGTCTTCTCTTTTTTGCCATCTTGCTAGCTCGACTCAAGACATTTCTTTTAAAGAGGCATTTAGAGATTCTGCCGTGTGCAGCCAAAAGACGTTATGCCTGCTACCGACCCTGTAAGGAGCATTGACGCTGCATGTTCTTCTCGCGGGCTTGTGACAGTCATCGGCATGGTGGTTTCCAAGCTAGACGCCTACCGCACCTCTGGCTCTTCATATTGTATCACTTTTGAACTCAAAGATTATGATTTCGATGGCCCCGACTGGGCAAATAGTCTGAAAATCAAGTATTTCAACGACAACGAAAGCAAGCTGCCCCCCGTTCTGAAACACGATGTAGTCCTTCTTCGGAACATTCGAGTAAGGCGTTGAAAATGGACATAGGTCTACTTATATGATACCAATTTCCATGCTGACATCATTGCGCTAGGTCGGTGAATATAAAGGCAAAGTTACCGGCGCTGCCTATCAAGGCCAAAAGGTCCCATGGGCTATATTCAGACACGAAGAAGATTCCACCAAGAGCCCATCTATCACTACCGGGCCTGACCCTTTCTCTCCGACAGCAGCAGAAAAAAGGATTGCACTCGCGCTTCTAGACAAGTATACACAGGAGGTGCAAAATAACACCTGGCGAACCGGTCCACCAGGCCAAAACCAAGTGGTCCAGGCTATTCCATCTGCAAAAAAGAAATCAGGTCTTCCTATGACCCTGATAAAAGATCTTGAGGCCAATTGCTACGTCCAAATCGTCGGCCAGGTAGTAAAAGACCACAATTATGAGAGCGACAAAAGTACCATTTGGATTACTGACTACACCGTCAATGAATCTCTGGTTGATTACAAGAAGGACGACGACGAGACAGGGACCGATGGCGACAAATTCGGCTACTTAACTCGCAAGGAGGATGGATGGCCTGGTCCATGGGGAAAATTGACTATGCAAGTCACGCTGTGGGATCCGCATGCCGCTTATTCCCGGAATAATGTCAAGCCAGGTGACCTCGTGCTCCTTGGATCTGTTCGCCCCAAATACAGCAACCACGGTAACCTTGAAGGAGTCGTCCATGAAGACAAGAAATTTCCAGAAAAGGTTCATCTGCGCACTATTTCGAGTGACTACAGCGAAGAAGCACAAGAGCTCATGAAGCGTCGAAAAGCATATTGGGAGATCCATGGAGAGCCCAAAACCGAGAACAAACAGTCCAAAAAACAAAAGAAGAAAGCAACAGAGAAAGAGAAAAGCAGGGAAGAGGGCCAAACGGTAATATCAGCAACGTTGTCCCGGGCGAAGCGAAACCCTAATGTGAAGACACGCGAATTCGGAATTCCAGTGCGCTCCGTGGATTCGATCCTATCAGCCGAAACCCACATCATCTCTCTCCCGGGTGGTATTAGCTACAAATTACCATTTCAAAACGTTGCCTACAATATCATCGCTCGAGTCGTCGACTTCTTCCCCCCAGATCTGGCAGATTTCGCAGTGCAAGTCCGAACAAAAACCATTGCACACCAAAGCCAAGAACACAGGACATGGGAGTGGCGTTTTTATCTTCTGGTGGAAGGCATTGAACCAGTGATCTTAAAGGATCAACCGCGAGAACAAATGAAGATCTTCGTCTCCGGTGCAGAAGCTGAACATCTGCTTTGCCTGGATCCTACTGAGTAAGTTTCCGGGTTCTTTACATCTTCAAATCAAGTTTGGAATCGCTGATTATGATCTATGCAGTCTTCGCCAAAATCCAAGTAATCTTAATGAGCTGAGGGAAAAACTATTCCTCCTATGGGGCAATCTTGAAGAGAAGAAACGAGAAGGAGCTGTGAATATGGTTCAGGGTCAAGCTTGGACACCACCAGCGGGGATTTCAGGCGTACCGATGCAGTGTTGTATTAAGGAATATGGGGTCACATGCGTCCATTCCCGAGACCCAGATGCTATGCAGGTTGACGGAGAGCCGTGTGGTGTTCAGGAAGGGTGTTTTGGATGGGAGAGACGGTTTTCTTTGTATGGTACGACTATTCATGAATAAGGAGATGTCGAGTGGTATGTACATAACGATTTTAGCTATCCCTGTAATATCAATGGACCATTTCACAAATCAAAGAATGAAACCTCCGAGACTTCAATTCATTCAATGTCCGATATTTTAAATAATTTATAGTAATACTAATACAATTTATCATTGAAGGCAATACGTTTTGGGGTAGATATAGATGGTTCCACCCCATCCACACCTTATAGACCCCATTCTTCCATAGGAAGGCAATAGTGGTAAATCCAATGACAATCAAGCCCATTCCGTGCGCCTGAGCCTGTCAACTCCGAAAGGAAACTTCCCAATCTACCATGAGTGTTTCCATCTCTTGACGACACCGAATTGATAACCCCGAAACCAAAGGCCCCAAATAACCTTATAAGGAGAACAAAAAAATAAAGAAAATAGGAAGAAAAAGAGAAGAGAAAAAAAGGCAAAAAATCGAGGAACGACTATAATTCCGATGCCAGTCACCAAATTGGCCTTTAGATCTTGGTCACCTTGACGATATTGGTGTCGATGCCGTGGGCCACAGGCTCAAAACGACAACTATCGCCTCGGAAGCAGGTCTTCTTGCCCGGCTCACTCTGCGGGCAACGGTGTCCGTAAATGCATTCAGGATCTTCACATTCCAGTCCAAAGCGACAGGGGGTCATCCGCGCGATGGCAGACAGAATATGGAGTTCTTGCCGGGTCAATTTGCGATCATGATCATGATAGCAGTTCTCCTCGTTGGGACATTCCCCAAGGAGGAAGTAATAATTGCACAATTTGAGCTTTTTCAATCGATTCAGGTCATCCCGAGGGATGCTCTTGAAATCTAGACGGTCCACTCGCTGTCCGTATTTATTTCGCTCCACTGTCTTGAGAGGTGACGAGCCAGATCCCTTGGAGCGAACAACCTGGAAGTCGGGGGCTTCGTTGTTTGTATTCGGTGTTGGCGCTAATGGCTGTGCGCCCAGGCCTGAAGCACTCGTGTTGGTGGAAGTGCGGGACAAGGGCGGAGGGTTCTGTAGCTGCTGCGACGGTGATGGGGTGAGCAAGGACCGAGAGGGCAAGCTGCTCTTCCAGGGCGCAACATAGATAGGTGCCACCTTGGATGAACGCAGGACATCAGGGAACTTGGCAGTCCGAAATGATCCCTTCACCGCATCCAGTTCCTTGTCGAATGCCACACCTTCCACGAGCGACACACGTCCGGTAAGATCTCCATCATTCAATGTCTCTTCGAGGAACTGGGCATATTCGGTATTTGAGGCGCAACCAACGAAAACCTGGTGGCAATGGCAGTTGTAAAGGAAGACCTGGAACATCTCTGCAAGGGAGAAAACAGGTAAGAATTAGCTCGTGGGTCTCCACCGCAAGCGCAGTTGGTCTCTTTCCACAAACCTTGAATTTTATCATAGGCCCTGTTCTTGCCGCTGCCAATGTCAATAATCTCCGAGTATGACATGGTCTCATTGAACCCGCGGATAAATTCATGAACCGTCAAGGGATCCGCGAGAATCCCACTCCGGATACATGTCTCTGTGAAACCCTTCACATTCAAGTAGAGCTTGAGTATTATCTTGGGCACATTGACACTCGGCAGGTTTTGCAACAGGTATGTGTGCATGGCCGTGTAAAACTGTGTAGCGGCATTTCGGCCACCCTCTTCACCCAACTGCAAGAACTCGTCCTTGAAAATTATACCCTCGCCATCTAGGAGTACCACCACGAACGGTTCTCGGTCCTGTAGGGAATACCGGCATTAGCGCAGGCCTAAATTAGATCGGTTGCCACTGTCGCCCACCATTATATTCTTGATCTGGGATATCTGTTGCATGAGCTCCATTTCGTGCAGCTGGATATCCCGGTTGAAACGTGTCTCGCGTTCATGGTCCAATTTCTCGCGCTGGAAGGAGTTTTCAAGGTCGGTGACTCGTTGAAGAAGTTCCTATCATGAAGCGCATTAGCATTTTCATTCGGAGAAAAGAAGGGATCGTAAAAATACCTCAATGAGCTGATTCTTCTGTTGATCGAGCGCGCCGATCTGACGATAGCGATCCAAATATGGTGAAGAATCCATGATGAAAATTAAGTCGGTGGTGGAAATGGGTTGAAAAAGATAGGATTGAAGGTTTGGAAAGATCAAGGGAACAGATAAAGTTAAAAGGCAAGCTTAGTGCGCGATCAACGCGACGAACAAGTTCACTCCCTTTTTCCAGGACTGAACGGTGATAAAGATTCACTCACGAAAGAGAATGAGGTCTTGATTAAGATACGATCTCTTTTTTTTTTTCTTTTGACTCACTTGTCCTTGTTCCTCTGATCTTCTTTTTACCCAATAAATTTCAATTCCAAAAAAAATCTGGAAAATGGACATGAAAGGCTGACTCAGCTTCCCCGGGCAAGTGGACCTTGACTGTTTCCCTAATTGCAACGTGTGATCACCCCTACACTTCCTCCATCAACACTCCCCTTCACCCAATCTTCAAGATGACTCGCTTTGGTTTCCTCTCCCTGGCTCTGCTCTCCCTTCAGGCCTTCGTTGGCACCGGCTTCGCTGCTGTAAGTGAATCATACTCGCGTGACTCATTGGGAAGCGTGGGAGGTAAAGAGATGATCAATTGACTAACCATTGTCTTGTTGATAGGATGCTGAGAAGGTTGAGGAGGATCGGACCTTCGCTGTCAGTGCGGAGGCATCCTTCCCCTCTTCTGAGATCTTCGGTGTGAAGCTCGTCAACGGTCACCCGACCCAGGCGCTCATCGCTTTCACTAATGAAGAGCCCAACCCGATCACCGTGAACTTCATTGGTGGTAGCCTGTGGACTGTGGAGGAGGAGAGCCAGGCGGTCCGTAACCTGACTGCCACTCGTTACGGCGTCGAGATCCCTGCCAATTCTAAGGAGAGCGTCAGCTACAGCTTCGCGACCGAGATGCACCCCCAGGATCTCCGTCTGAACATCGCTGCCATCCTGTCTGACAGCGAGGGCAAGTTCTTCACCGTCCAGGCCTTCAATGGCACTGTGAGCGTGGTGGAGCCCGAGACTAGCATCTTCGACCCCCAGATGTAAACATTTCCCCTTCCCAATCCCCCGCATACTCTGGCGACCTTGTCTTATGAGCTCAGTTGGCTAACCCAAATCACTTTTTTAGTATCTTCCTCTACTTCTTCCTCCTGGCTTGCTTCGTTGGTGTCGTCTACTTTTTCTACACCGTGTGGGTCGCCCCCTACTTCCCCCAGAAGCGCAAGAGCGGCAAGTCTGGCGAGAAGCGTACCCCCGCTAAGCGCGCCGAGTCCGTTGCCACTGAGGAGACCTCCAGCCCTGCCGTTTCCTCCGCTACCACCTACAACGCCGACTGGATTCCCTCTCACCATATTGCCCGCCCCGAGGCGCGCAAGGTGAAGGGTGCTGGCAAGTCCAAGGTTCGCTCCTAAATTCGCATATATGACAAGACCGTCAGTGATGGAGGAAAGGGCTGAGAAGGAGGTGTGGAGAAGCATTAGGCTTCTGTCCAATTCAGGTATAGAATAAAAGTCTGAAATATAGGCGCCCATGCTGAAAATGCATGCAAACCCAGCAATCTGACTTTCCATGCCGGAACATGTACAATTTTACGAAGGTTGGAAAACCCGATATAGCCTCTTCCTGGAACGGCCATTTTGGACGGTCCTGGGAGAGTGTTCGAATACAAATATGAAATCCGGCTGCTTTCTGTCGCAAGACGTGAGTTTGCGCAGTTCTGCCCTCGGGTTCACAATCTTCTCCATTCCTCGAATTCCCGTTCTAGATGTTCCTTCAGCTGCGTGAACTTGTTACCGAACTTCTCTCCACAGCGCCAGCAGACAAAGTCTCTCTTTAGATACCCTTCTCGCGTAGGATGCCTTCGCACATCATCTTCAGCCAGCGGAAAGTCTTCAATGGGAACAAAGAACGGTGTCGCAAAGCTATTGTAGTGCTTCCGGTGCTTGAGTCGCTCGCTATACCGATCCACAGCAATGACATGCACATGTAGATGGTTCATCGAAGGTACGGCGTGCACTCCACACATAATCTCCTTCTCCCAGTCTCGACCCGTGGGCAGTTCTTCTGGTGCTGGATCAGCAATAAGAGCAGCCTGCCGAGCTTGCTCCTGTGCAGAGTCCTTGCCGTATTTCCGCCTCAACTCAGCGGCAGCTAGAGTGCGCAACTTGTATACCTCGGTTCGGACCTTGGTGAGAAATTCGGCGTCTTCAAAGGCATCGAAAGGGTGCAGACGGGTTTTTGTTGGATCGCGAGGGAGTAGCAATAGGTGAAGCGATGATTTTGGGAACATATCATAGATTGCGACGAAGTCTTCATTGTGGTTTACTACCACGTTGGACGGATAGGTCTCAGGCTTTGCGATGTATGCTCCTAGACCGTCACGTCCACTTCTGAAAGCGTTTTCGGAACGCGGCGTGTTTTTCGTCCGGGTAATTTCAGGTGTTGACTTTGCCTGCTTTTTTCTTGACGAGAGAAGCTCTGTAACTGGGTGATAGTCAGTATTTTGCCATTGAGCTCATCGGTGTATGGCGGTCTCACAGGCGTTTCTCTTCTCCGCAGTGCTGCCAGTTTGTTCGTTCGCCTGATCTTTCGCGAGATCACTATTCTGATCTGACCCAGTCATTTTGAGAGAGAGAGAGAGAGAGTATATGAACACGCGATCTATGAAATCAATTGTAGAGAGAAGAATATATCCAATGGAAATAGAAGTTGATTGGAAAGAGCTCCCCGCAAAAAGCCCAAAGCGGTCTAGTGCGGGACAATCCCAGCCCGATTGAATGAATTGATGATTTGGACTTTTTGGCTCTCGACGCTACGAAGCATATAATGCCTCCGAAAAAGAAAGCCAGCAACCCGGGAGGGCCTAAGCCTGGCACTAAACAGGCCAAGGCTGCTGCAGAGATCAAAGACAAGGACAAGAAGGCCGCAGCCGTGCCCGAGGAGCCCAAAAAACCAACCGTGAAGGAGGTTATTGGCGGCGCATCATGGACGGGCAAATTACCCGTCAATATGCTCTCAGAGCATTGCCAAAAGCAAAAATGGGAGAAGCCAGAGTATAGCATGGTATATCACTCGGAACCCCAATGTTCTATCTCGCAAACCCAGTCCAATACTAATGCACTGCAAATTGCGCTCGATAGATTAATACCTCAGGCGGCCATGTATCCGCCGTCACGATGAAACGAGTGGACCCTAAAACTCGCGAATTGACCGTTCTCCCTCCGATGAAGCTGCCTCCATCACATAAGGAACTAGCGGCGCAGGCGACGGCACTCGAGGCTCGCCATTTTGCTGCCGCATGGGCGCTTTTCCGTGTGTGCAACATGCGCAATATCCATATGATGATGCCTCCTAAATACAAAAAGCTTTGGAAGGAGGATTTTGCGGAGATCAAGGCGGCAGAGACTCGCGAGGGCAAAGGCTGGTTATACGAGGCAGATCCATTCTTGGCTAAGCAGGAACGGGAGAGTGCCGCCGCAGATCTGGAAAAGAAGAGGGTCGAACGTGCAAAGGCGCAAGCGAAAGAAAAGGTCTCCTCAACAGATCTTGGACTTGGAGGCGGTGATGCTAGAAGCAAGCGAATTTGGTCGCAAGCACCTAAGGTGGAAATGGGTACTCGGATTCGGCGCGAGATCGAAGGACTGCTACGCCAGCATACAAATTGGAACCCATATGGGGTGAAGGTTCCCGAGCAGGAGAAAAAATCCACGGTAGAGGAATTCTCGAAACTCGGATTCCGTCGAAGCCACGTTGAGGAAGCTGTGGAGGAGTGTAAGGACCGTGAGGAAGTTCTAGAGTGGCTTTTGGTCTATGTGCCTGAAGACGATCTGCCTCGATGGTGTTTGCCTGAGGGATACTCTGCCGGTGTCAGCCTTGCGGCTGGGGACCTGGCACGAGAAGCGAAGATAAAGCGTCTTGCCTCTATTGGCTATCCTGTGGACCTGTGCTCTCAAGTTCTCGATGGAAAGGATGGTGATGAGCTGGCAGCTGCAGAGTATCTACAAAGTACCTTGGCCCATGGATCTGAATTCGCATCTGCTTCAATCCCGGAAGGAAATCCGGAAGCTTGGGCTGAAGAACAAGACACTCTTGAGGCTATCTTTGGAGAGCGCTACGTCCGTATTTCGCCGCGAGTCTGTGAAATCAAAAGCGAGGCTCCTGAGATTCCAGAGAACACCACGTTCCGTTTCCAAGAGCCATCTTCTCACTATCCCTCAGTCGCTCCGGTCATATCAATTCAAGCCAAGGGAGTCCCGGCTTATATTCGTCTCAGCGCTATTCGCCGGGCTGTGCAATATGCAGAGGAAAAATTTTCGGGCGAATCTATGATTTTCAATATTATGGATTGGTTAGAGATGAACCTATCTGAGATAATGGAGAACCCAGGCAGGCTTCGAGAGATCTCTGCCGTGACAGTATCACCAGCCGCGAATACTCATGAGGTTTCTGTGCGCGGATCTCGCAAACAGCGCCGGGGTATTGATTGGAAAGCCAACTCCCCCGCAAGCATGGCAATGCTGGAGGCCTGGGAAGCTAAGCAGAACAGCGCTGCACAGGTTGAGATGTCTCGAAAGAGACGGTCACTACCAGCCTGGAACACTCAATATGCCATCGTTGAAGCTGTTAACTCGCATCAAGTTACCATCATCTCTGGTGAAACTGGTAGTGGTAAAAGTACACAGTCTGTACAGTTTGTACTCGACGATATGATTCAACGAGGCTTGGGAGGCGCTGCAAACATTATTTGCACGCAGCCCCGTCGTATCTCAGCTTTGGGTCTTGCTGATCGAGTTAGCGATGAGCGATGCTCAACTGTCGGCGACGAGGTTGGATACGTGATCCGTGGTGAATCAAAGGCCAAGCAGGGCGCAACCAAGATCACCTTTGTGACGACTGGTGTTCTGCTTCGCCGTATTCAATCTGGTGGCGATGCCGATGGAAACGTCGCCAGCTCTCTGGCAGACGTTTCACATGTGGTAGTTGATGAAGTCCACGAGCGGAGTCTTGACACTGACTTCCTACTGGCCCTGCTGCGGGATGTTCTGAAACACCGCAAAGATCTGAAGGTCATTCTCATGAGTGCCACGTTGGATGCAAACATTTTCATGAGCTACTTTGGTGGATCGAAATCCGTCGGTCTAGTGAACATCCCTGGACGAACCTTCCCGGTTGAAGATTACTACTTGGACGATGTCATCCGGGATACTGGATTTGCTCCTGAACTTAATGAATGGGATGAGGACATGGAGCCGTCACCACAAGAGGAAATGACACTGGGTAAAGCTTTGCGCAGCGTCGGAATGGGCATCAACTATGACTTGATCGCATCTACCGTTCAATTCATTGATGCCGAATTGGGAGACCACCCCGGAGGAATTCTTATCTTCCTGCCAGGAACAATGGAAATTGAAAGGTGCCTAACGGCTATAAAGAGAATTCCCAATATGCACCCACTGCCTTTGCATGCATCTTTGCTTCCAGCAGAGCAGCGCCGTGTATTTCAAAGTCCACCCAGGGGAAAGAGAAAGGTCATTGCGGCCACGAATGTGGCAGAAACATCCATCACCATCGAGGATGTTGTCGCCGTCATTGATACCGGCCGAGTCAAAGAAACAAGCTACGATCCCAAAGACAATATGGTCCGACTTCAAGAAGTATGGGCGTCGCAAGCAGCTTGCAAACAGCGCCGCGGTCGAGCAGGCCGTGTTCGTGCAGGAACTTGCTATAAACTATACACTCGCAAAGCCGAGTCCAACATGGCCCCGCGACCAGACCCGGAAATCCGCCGTGTCCCCCTCGAACAACTATGTCTGTCCGTGAAATCCATGAAAGGTATTGAAGACGTCGCCACCTTCCTAGCCAACACAATCACACCACCAGAAAGCATAGCTGTTGAAGGCGCTCTCAACTTCCTGCACCGGGTCGGAGCCCTGGATCACAATCGTCTTACCGCACTAGGCCGGTATCTATCCATGATCCCGGCAGATCTTCGCTGTGCCAAGCTCATGATCTACGGCTCGATCTTCGGCTGCATGGAACCTTGTCTCACAGTCGCAGCCATTCTAACAGTCAAAAGCCCCTTCGTGTCTCCCCGCGAAAAACGAGATGAAGCGGACGCCGTGAAAGCCACTTTCTCCCGTCCCGGAGATGGAGATCTTCTCACGGATTTGTCCGCCTACCAGGCCTGGTCCGAGCGTGCCCGCACCCAGGGCCATTGGCAATCACAGTCGTGGTGTGGTATGAACTTCTTATCCCATCAAACTCTCCGCGACATCTCATCCAACCGAGCTCAATTCGTCACGTCCCTCAAGGATGCCGGTCTTCTGCCGGTAGATTACAACGATGGCGCAAACAATTGGAACCGCAACGCCTCCAACCGGAACCTCATCCGCGCGCTCATCGCAGGAGCGTTCCAGCCACAGGTTGCGCAGATCTCATTCCCGGATAAGAAATTCGCTAGCTCGGTCACTGGTACTGTCGAAGTTGATCCAGATGCCCGGACAATTAAGTACTTTAACCAGGAGAACGGGCGTGTCTTCATTCATCCTAGCTCGATTCTCTTCTCTGCACATGGTTATCCCAGTTCTGCCGCGTATCTGAGCTACTTTACCAAGATGGCAACGAGCAAGGTTTTCATTCGGGATCTGACTCGTGATTTTTCTCCAGTATTCCATTTTTTTCGGATCATTGTTAACCATATTCCAGCATTCAACGCATACTCGTTGCTCCTCTTCTGTGGCTCTATCACTCTTGACACGATGGGCCGTGGACTCGTCGTAGACGGCTGGCTCCGGCTACGTGGTTGGGCTAGAATCGGTGTACTTGTTTCACGATTGCGCACAATGCTAGATGAGGCTCTTGCTGCGCGCATTGATAGTCCCGCGCTTGGCTCGGATGGTGGGGCGGGAGACCGAGTGATCGAGGCTGTGAAAAGGTTAATTGAGTTTAACGGTCTAGACCAGTGATCTGTATAGCATAGATGATAAACGATTTAGACGATAAACAGAGGAATTTACTGAGAGTGTATACATACCTCCTTAGGCGGCCACAGCCGCTTTTCGTGCCCTAATTTATGAAAGTGCCTCACTACAAAAAGAGTCCGAACTTTTGTAAACATAACTCATTCTCGGTAAAAGCATTTCCATATGCGATATCTTAGTATGAATAGATGCAACGGAAACAGCAAGAAGGAACTGTACGTGGCTCGGTGCAGAATACCAGTAAGCATAAACATCAACGGAAGGCAGGGGTCGTCATTAAGGAAAAAGCGGGCCATGCCACCGGGGGAAGGGAAAATAGGAAACTCTCGTGAGCAGAATATCAAAGAGGTATGTGTCGTGAAAAGAAAATAATGAAAAAGAAAAAAAGGATTAGGTGACGCCGAGAAGCAGAAAACGCCTTTCCGATCCGTAAAACTCCTCGCGGAACAATGGCGTCAAAGTCATCTCGATGTCATGATAAAAGAAAAGAGAGCTCCATGAACAATCAAACAAACGCCTTCCCGTACCATATCCCCTCCAACAGCCTGATTCCGAAACGCATAAATGAAATGAGAAACGCGATAGAGAATGTGGGGTATTGTTGAGCAAGTTAGAAGCGCTTTCAGCTTGCGGAAATTCGAAAACAGAGTTTAGTAGTTGGCTTCTCCAGCCAGACGTGCAGGTTCGCGGAAGGGAGTAGCGGCAGGCAGGGAGAAACCAGCCTGAACCTCATTCTCCACGAACAGCGAGGCACGCTTGAATCGACGGTCGACGTATTTCTCATAGATCGCCTGGTGATGAGTTTGTTGGTTTTGACAGCAGTCTAGCATGTTGGTGATGACAGGGAGCAGTTGGGCGTAGGTGTATCCGGAGTAGTAAGCGTGGGCCGGAGTCTACCAAAGCTGTTAGCTGAAAATCAAGTAAAGAGATGGGAGAGGAGGGAAGCGTACCCAGCATCCTTTGCGAAGCATCAGTCGGGCCAGACAATGGGCGCCTGCGGCGGCAAAGCTAGGAGGAGTGCAAACAAAACGCTCATCCATAATAGTGAGCTCAATAAAATACTTGGCGACAGTCCGAGTCTCCAGGTCATAATCGTCTGCTTTGCTAACCCGACGAAGGAAGCTCATTGGGCCGGGCCATCCCAACTCAAAGTTGAGTATGGTTAGCATGTAGCGCTCGGCCTTGAGAATCTCATCGACAGTGTAGCCCCCATCAACCATGTAGACGATCTCTTGAACGGAGGGCGCAGTAATCTCCTCGTACTTGGCTGCAATGAATAGCGCGGTGGCACCCACTAGCTGCAGCTTACCCAAGGAGACAATTTTTCGAGAAAGGAATCGGTCGATGTAATTCACGCAGAGATATAAGGTCTCTGGGAAGAGGGCAAAACGGAAGTGCACCTGCACCAGCCAATCCATTAAGACTGCGCGCATGGACCATTGAATCTCGGTCTGATTGGCCATATAATCAGCAACTGGAAGCATCGAAACCTTGATAATAATTAGCGTCAGTTACGTCAAATGGGGAATGCGAGTCAGAGGCGTACCTCTTTTTGTCGAAGGTAGAGGAAAATCTCAGCACTATACTCTGGAACCATGCTAGAATCATAGAAATCGTCCAGAATATCCTCCTCTGTGAGGGAAGCTTCGACGATCTCTTTCGCCTGCAGAATTTGGCGCTTGGTACCAGCGGTGAACTTGGGATAAATGACCATGGTGGTGCCGCCAGTAGTGTTGTCGGCGCGCAAATTTGAGGGTGCGGTTAAACTATCATCTTCGTCCTCCCAGTACTCTTCAGGCTCAGAGACAATGGGTGCTGTGATTTTAGCCGAGGTAGCAGTCTTAGGCTCTTCGGTATCAGAGATGGTGGTATCCGATGCAGTCGACACTAAGGACTCGTCTGCGGGAACAATTGAAGCTTCCTTCTTTTCGAGCTTCTCAATCTCCTTTGGTCCATTTGCTTCCGTATCAGAAGATTGCTCAATCCTCCGAACAGAACGGCTAGTGAGAGTTTCCTTGGATGTTTCCTTCTCAACGACGGGCTCGAGGTGGTCGCGGAAGACGGCAGTGCTTCGCTTAGTTATTTTGGTAGCTTGGGCCTTGCCAGCTGGGTTGACAGGCTTCGTAGTAATATTGTTCAACAGACTCTTGGAGCTAGATAGGGACACGGGGCGCTGGGTAACCTGTGTAAGCGCAGGCTTCTCCGAAACCTGCAACGCAGGCTTTCCCGTAAGGGCCGAGTCATCGCGACTAGCGCGCGACAAGTCCTTATTGATGTTCACATCACCGAATGCCCGTCGAGTACCATTCTTGGCGGCCTGGGTGGCGTTTAGCGCTGACATGGACTTGTTGCGCTGATGGATGGTTTTATTGTTATGAAGGGAGGGCGGCACGTTCTCGTCACCGCGGGCGCGAATACGATGAGGCTGTTATTTGGGTCAGCTATGTCTTGGTTCATTCGATCAACAATGAATGGAATCAAGTAGATGGACCCAGGCCCTTGATAGGTTTGTTGGTAGTTCAAGACCCAAGGCACCTAGAGCATGAAAGGAAACAGTGATAGTAGAAAATAAAGTGAACACATACCTTCGCATCCATTTTCGAATAAGTTCCCAGGTGTTGTCAACACAATTTGGCGCGTGAATGGTTGAATGAGAACGTGAGAAAAGGAATTGTTTATGTTTTGCTCAGTTGAGAAGAGAAGGCTTGCAGCGGGTCGGGTGCATGAGTGGTCACGCCAAGCAAAACAAACAGTTCGAAGCTTGTGCAGGAACAACGGTAACGCGGTGATACAAATGGAAACCACGGCGACCAACACTAATTGTGTTCTAGTTTCAACCACGCAAAGGTTCCATTCATCCAAAACAATGATTGCTTAGATCGACATCCTGTCCAGTATTACTTAATTTTTCTCCAATATATCACATTTGTAGAATTAGAAGACGCAAAACTACCTGATCGTACAATTCTCACACACTGTTGTGGACTATGTTATCTATACAAGATGACAGTACATGACAATACACCTCAGGAATGATTTGATCTGTTTGCTCAGCACATGTTTGCGTTGTTTGCAGGAATCATCCCTTCCGCTGGCGCCAAGAGTTCTTATCACTTTATCAGTGACGTCACAATCTTATCGTCACGTCTTCCCGGAGTCCCTCGTTTTTACGTTTTTCTCCAAACTAGGTCCAACTTTTGGTGTATTTTTAAATTCTTCCTGGCCAGCATTTTCTGTGAACTTTTGGATCATTTTCCGCTATTTCTTCTGTTTCCATTATGGTTGGTGGAGGCACAATCGCCATGCCCACCGGTCAACCATCTAGAACGCGCTAGTTACGCGGACCCACGTGATCCACACCGCTTCGTAGGACCGGATCGAGCGGTAAACGGTTGGCACTTTCTAGATCAGCCGAATCGCATCCGAACTCGCTCATCATTGCGACAAAGTTGGGCATCGTTGTGACCCGCTCCGGAAATCTAAGTGTGCGGGGGTCCTCGCCTCAATTCGGGTTTCCGCACTCTGACTGGTCCTAACAATCCCGTCAACTGCAATCCCTATGCACGGTCTGGACAATCTTTTTCGTGCACGTTCCCAAGCATTCTGGGCCGCAGTTCCTGTACTCAGACACATTATACTGTAAAAAATGGCTTTAGAATTCATGTTCCAGCTACCCTTGAGGACCCTGTAGCTTTGGCTCAACCAATTTGCCTCTTCGTCCTGCAAGGTTCGAGAATGCTCTGTAACCCCCATCCCTTTTCTATTCTTACGTAGGTCCCGAGGAGGGGTAAACTCACCCGGCGCAGATCATGCGAAAACACACCATGACAAGCTTTGGTCATGCGATTGTTCTATCTGAGGTTTCGATAAGCTGGTTTTTGTTTGTTGGATGCTTTTGGTACTTTGGGGGCTGCTCGCGATCAGCCACTTGCCTTTGGGAACCGCCGTCATCTGGAACTCCCCGCGCCGGAAAGATTCCTGGCGGGTTTCAGAGCATCAGGCTGATCGCATTGGAATTTGAAGTCTTTAGCGATACTCGGATCGGTAATGCGACAAGGATCTTAGAAATCGCATGAGCGCAATGTCGCCAATGTGCGACAGGCGTGCCCTGGCCAGCAGCGCCTTTGGGGCCTATTGCGGCAAGATGGACCTTTTCGGACCGTCCATTGGCTGCGATCTGTTGAATCTCATTCGGGCTGAAGTTCTTGGAGGAAAAGATGCTCTTATTTCCGACAAGGTACCCGGTGCGCTTGTTGGCCGACCAGGATACTCTCCCCCTAATGTGATAAAGCAGCAGCAGTGCTACTTGCTCGATCAGACTGAGTCTAGTTTACATCGAAGCTATGCGTGGTTAGACAGGATTCTCGGCGCAATAGCACCACGGCTTGCGACAGCAGTGCGCATTGCGAAATGACCGATATGGCTCATCGAAGTTCATTTATTTAGAGATTATAGTTATTTGCACATGATAAACTTATCTATACTAGTTTTGCTCAAGCGCTTTCTACTTTTTGCGTGGTAAACATGGAATGTGATGAGCAAAGCTTGGGCGGAAGCGCAAATCGCCATGTCACCGACCCAAGTAGGCCGTTTTCTCGCTTTAGGTGAAACCATCGTACGCATCCACTCAACTTTCTTCCTTCTTCATTCGACAACCCCGCCTATCGCTGTCTATTCTTCGGTTTTGGGTATTGTCTTCTTTCTTGTCGAGGTTTCCCTCATCTCGGCTACTGGGTCACCGCTGACATAGCCCACCCCCCAAAGCGCTTCGTAGAACGAACGACAATCCACACCTCCACCCACAACCCTCGACCGACACCCATCGCTCGCCATTTCGCTCCGTGCTGGACATTCCTGAGTCTCTGCGATCCTGTTAGAGTCATCTGTATCTGTGCTAGGTATGTCTACGCTGCTCTCCATCCTCATCCGAGACTGCTCTCGTCGTCTCCTCCCCAAGGTCGGCCGGACTCGGCTAGGCAACGTCCATCTTTCCATCTTTCATGGATAAATCCCATCTTCATGATGATTGGAATCCACTGGGACGGCATTGTACTAACATTGGTGTTGGATTTTGTCCTAGGTGATCCCACGCTGCCTCTTCCGGGTCATTCTCGGTTGCGACACCCAAGTTCCCCCTCCATCCCCATCGAAAAGCCCTGCGTCAAACACTTTTCCTTTCCCATCGACAACCCGGGGGTGGTACATCCACCTGCCAACCTTTTCGGATCCTATAACTGTGGTAGGTTCGATGGATCCTCTTCCCCCTCCCTCTACACTAGAACCCTTCCTCTGTGCCCGGTCATGGATCCCATCAAAACCGCTCCCTCCTCCTCCATCGTACAAACAGTGGGTTGATGCAGTCATCGCTATAGCAGCAGAGGACTTTTTGCATAATGGACATGTCCATCATGCAATCGCTTCCGCATGAAGGGTACTCTGTCCTAGCAGAGCAACCGGTGGTCGATGACTCTCGAAACTTGTCGCTCAAGAGCCCCGTACCCAAGAACGTCGCTTTTGAGCTGCTACTGGACGAGAACTCCAAGGTTCGAGCCCGTATTCCCATGCGCGTTCAAATATACCCGCATGATACCACGGATTCGATTGTGACGACGGTCAAAAATTTCTATGGCATCTACGATGGCACCGCCAGTGGGGTGAGCTTCGAAGATGAACATGGGACCACCCTCATCGCAAGGTATGAAAATCTGAAGAATAACATGACGGTTTATGTGCGAGTCATTCCCATTCCAACATATGCGGACCACTTCTATGGTGGGTTTTCTGTTGAGCGCAAGCGACCCAGTCTGGGCGAGCCATTTGGAATGGATGCTGTAGCGCCAGTGTTGGATCAGCCATCGCGGCCGCCATCTCGCCTTGCTAGAAAGCGCAGCACATCTCCATCTAACCGGAGTCTACGCAGCGCTTCTCATCACAAGCAGGGCTCTCGCTGTGGGAACAAAAGCCGCGGCTCTAGCCATGCTGGCTTCCCTGATGACGAGATGATGAGCGACAGCGAGGATAGCTATAGTCGCAGATCTCGGGGCGATGCTTTCGCTAGCTCAGAAATAAGTATGGAAAATATACTACAGGACGGTCGTCGCAAACGTCCAAAGTTTGACAGCTCGGTGAGTATTGCGCTACCTGATCACTTTAAAGGTTTTTTCTTCTTCTTTGATCTTCGCTTCTAACCATTCCATCTCATAGGAGCTTCCACTCTTTGTCCCTCCTCAAGTCCCCCTCACTACCTCGACCTCCTCTATCTCTCCTCAACGTCGATCGATCGGTCAAGAAGGTGCCGGTTCACCTTTTGCTCGTCCTACCCACCGCCCATATAACTACCACCAAACACTACCATCGCCGCAAAGCTATGGCCACAGTGAATATGGTGTACACTCAGGCAAAAGTACAGTCTATGCCACACCCACAGTTCCTGATAATGGAAACCGTATACCGTTCAGCAACTCAGCTCCTCGGGTGAGCGGTGCTGGCATTTTGCCCACACCAGACCCGACCATCGCAAGCTGCATCTCTGATGAGGACGTCGCAATGCAATTGATACGCCTTGGTGATGCTTCCAATTTCTCTCATGGTCGTACATCTGCGTCAACGCTGGATGATGCCTTCAGTGGTGCTGCTGATGCCGCCTCGTCGACTGGTGCTACCAGTGAAGGCGAGGACTTTAGCGAAGAGGAAGACGACTTGCCGGCTCGTCGCAGACTTGACTCGAGCCCAATGCTTCCTCCTGGGGCTATCAAGCGCCATCATAAGGGTCTTGATGACATTCTTCCCAGCGCAGACAGCAGCGAACATAGTTCAGATGGTCTTGAAGACGGCATCAAGAGCGAGGTCGAAGACGACACCTTGTATAAAGAGTTTGCTCCTAAGGCGAAGAAGCCCCGGAGCCGTCCTATGTCTGTCAAACCTCGCAGTCAAAAGCCAGTGCAGAAGCCAAAGACCAAGAGCGCGCTCCCCGCTCCCCGCAAGCCCTCTGATAAATCGGCAGCGCCTATTGCCCCTCTTAGCCCAAGCTCATCGCGCAAGGTTTCAGGAGGGTCGGTCAACTTCCAACATCAGCTCGGTGCTGATGAGGAGGACCTTTCTACCAAGCCTCGCTGCCAACGGTGCCGCAAGAGCAAGAAGGGCTGCGATCGCCAACGCCCATGCGGCCGTTGCAAGGACGCTGGTATCGGGATCGAGGGCTGCCTCAGTGAAGATGAGGGCAATGGACGCAAGGGTCGTTATGGGCGCCACATGGGCGTTCCCGTCAAGAAGTCCTCTGAGTCACCTGAGCCTACTGAGTTTCCCCTAATGCCGGGAACTCCCCTACTCGCTTCCGTCATGGCCGATAAGAACAAGAAGCGGAAGCGTTGAACAGCTCCAGAATACGTTGTCCCTCCCACAATCTCTCTCCTTCATTTTCCACCATCCTCACCTCCACCCTCCTTTAACTTTCTCTCCGAGAGATTCGACATTCCTTTTCACTCTCTACCTCATCACAATCTCACACTCTTTCTGTCCCGATCCGATCTATACAAAGTCCAGCGGGTTGATTTTCTGTTGGCGTCTTGGATATTTTTTATCTTCCCCATTCATTCTTTTCAAATCAGTAGCTGCCTGCCTGTCCTTGATAAACATCAGTTGTCGTTTTGTGCTGTGTGCTTCGAGTTGGACCTTGAAGTAATGTGAAGATATATATACTTCCATGATAGCAGATGGAGGGGCTAGCACAGGCTAGAGAAGATGTCATGGGTTTTTGTTCGTTCGCATGAGTATTTTGGGAATCAATTCTGTCTGACAATCTTTCCTCTTCAAAGAATAACTGTAGTCACCAAGGTTCTATTCATTATACCGACACCCGAACCTCGCTGTCAGTCTGATTCCATTCATACAATGTCACGTGATCAAGATTTATCTAAAGCGGTGTAGGGCCCCGCAGCTTTTTTTGTCAAGCTCAACTTTTTGCCCGCATCGTGACACTACGACCCTGCTGTCTGTCTTCTTAAACCGCTTCTCGATCTCAATTATTTGCTTAAAATCCAACAGCGCATGTGTTAAAAATTGACTCACCAAAGACCCCACAATTTTAGCGGCACAGCGCTGCTTGCGCATCAACCACAATGCCTCCCAAAGCAGGCACCAGACGAACTGCCGCAAAACCAGAAGACACAGACTCTACACAAAATGCACCAGCTCAAAGCGCCGCTTCAGGTGCCCCTGGTCGACCCTCTGTACAAAGACTACAGTCACTGAAGAAACGCGCCCCAGCAGGCGGTAGCATTACACCAGCAACACGCTCACCCTCAGTATTGAGCGGCGATTCTGCACCGAAACCACTGAAATTTCGACCAAAAGCCGTCCAGCGAAGGAGCAAAGAGGAGCGTGAAGCTATGGAGAAAATTGAACAAGAACGACTTAATGATCGGCTGAGAGATGCGGCTGCTATCCAGCGTGGCCGTGGAAACCGCGGGGGCAGAGGCTCCTTCCGCGGGCGTGGTGGTGCTAGTGGTGGTCTTGGGGGTGCATTCAGAGGTCGGGGTGGTGGTCCAGCACGTGGCCGTGCACGATATGGAATTACTGGAGCGTCTCGGGATCGGGAAGATGATTCCTCAGATGATGACTTGCGGATGAGCATTGATCAGATCAACATCGAGAGTGATGAGGATGACGACTTCCAAGAAGATGGGAAGGGCAAGATGCCGGCTCGAGGACGCCGCGAGAAGGGACTGCGCCCTGTTCGCGTTACGCGCCATGAGCACGAGGATAGGGTGGTTGCCGTCAATATGGAGTCAAGTTCCAGCAAGGCGGCAGAAATCCGACGGCAGGCACAGCAGGAGGCTGCTGAGGTTGTGGATGATAAGCCATCGCCTCCAGAGGTTGTTGGTGACGAAGCCCCTGTGAAGGACGAACCGACAGATGACGGCGATACACCTATGGCGGATTTGCCTCCTGCTGAGGATGATGGATTGTTGCCCACACAGAAGTATCGTGTGCGCCGGAAGACATCAGACCCCAAATCAGCGGACCGCAAGCCGGAGAAGGCCAAGGAAGTTGCTCCGCCTAAACCTAAACGAGATCCGCGCGAGCTTCTACGTACCAAGGAGGAGATTGATGAATACGACCGCCACCTGGATGACCTGGAGCATGTTCGAGAGCTCCTGACTCACCAGGAACCAGAGCCAGAACCGGAACCAGCAGAGCCGCAGACCGTGCCCGAGACTACCCCGACCGAAGACGCAGCAACAGACGATCCACAGTCACCAATCGAAAAATTAGCCAATCAACACCTTCTCGGACACCTCTTCCTTATGCAATTCCCGCCTATGACACCCAACCTCTCTATTCCTGGCTCAACGGAACCGACTGCCGAAGACACGAACCCACCCGAGCCCCAGGCACAGCCCCAAGTGAAATCCGAGACCGAAGGCGACGATGTCCAGATCACGGGCGAAAATGGTGTGGACACAAATGGAAAATCTAAACTTATCACCGCCGCTACGAATTGGTCCCTACCGGCCGGCCGGGTAGGCAAATTAAATGTGCACAAATCCGGGCGTGTGACAATGGACTGGGGTGGCATCAGTTTCGAGCTTGATCGTGCTGCAGCGGTTGATTTCGTGCAGGAGGCGTTGATTGTCTCTTCTCCTGAGGCAGATGAATCTGGACAACCACCAAAGGATGAACGACAACAGGCTTGGTCTATGGGTCAACTTTCGGGCAAGTTTACGGTGATGCCAAATTGGGATGCGATGCTGTGACCATGAGCGATTTTTTACCTCGCATTTATAATTCATCTTCATGTGCTATATATGGATGGATAGACATAGTAGACACAATCATATTTTCTGCTTCCAATGATCTAAGGCTCCGAGGCTAGCGCACCTATAATATGTAGGTAGGCGGCACAACCCTGTAATCTTAGGAGTAGTATACATTGTCAATTAAAAAGTTCAAAATGATGAGCTGTATCGTACAGCTGGTAGATGTCAATTGAAAGTGGATTCAATATCAATATCAATATCTCACGCTGATTGGCCGAGGTATTCGTGTGCCCTTTTCCACCTTATGTGAGAGTGCGGCCACTATACCACACTATAATTCTCACGGTTTTCTCTTCTAGGCTACGGTAAAAAATTGAAGAAAAAGCATAGGGTATCAATAGTAAAATGAACAGGGGAGTAAAGTCAATCTGAGAGCACCTGGGGAAGATGTGAGAGAAAAATAAAAAAGAGAATGCCCTCGTCCAGGATCGAACTGGAGACCTTCGGATAGCAATCCTGTTAACAGGAGCGTCATATGAAAGTGATATGAGACCAACGTCATAACCAACTAGACCACGAAGGCTTCTTGATGTGAAGGAGATTGTACAGTACAATATAGCCATTTGAAAAAAGAGATGACGAACGGGGGCAAACTCCTACGCAATGAAGGACGCCAGCTCTCGTTGGCCACTTGGCTTGAAGCCTTTTAGTTGGGTAATAATAGAGTTGCTGTTCAGTGCAATACAGGAAGATCCTCACAGAAGCATGCCCTACTCATTGCCGTCCTTACAAAAGATCCAGTGTTCATCTTCGGCTGTAGGCAAAACAGCATTGGGGTGTAAACACCTCAACTATATTGAGTAGACATAGTCACGTGTGTGGATGGTAGGCAGAGATTTGCGTGGAAATAAAGCAAGAGGCAGAAGTACCTTGTCTGTTGCAATAGTGTGAGGAATGAATCTAACCTGACTTGGTAGTATGCATGCTTTCTACTTGAGCGTCATTATTCGGACATAGCAATTTTCCAGTTGGACATGACACTTTTCAAATTGGGAAAAAATGGTATTTGTATTGCAGACGAGTATTTCCGCGGTCACATGACCCTTCCATCCACTACACAACTCACTGGTTTACCTTTCATTAGCTAAATTTGACTGAACTGAACTCAACTTTACATTATCAATTCATAGGGCTTAGTATGAGAACCGAAATAAGATCATGTGTGTGTGTGTATGTGTTTGTGTGTAAGTTCTTTATTCTAATGATATAGTCTACCTAGTCATGTGACTATGAACATACTCGATCGAAATACAGATACCATGTTTTCCCAATATGGAAAGTGTTATGTCCAACTAGAAAATTGCTATGTCCGAATAATGACGCTCTTCTACTTGACAAAAACCATGAATTCACTTCAGGTGTATATGTATTCCATAGAGCTATAAGCAATTTACCCCCGATCTTTCTCTTCTCTACAAGATGAATATTGAATGATAAATTACTTTTGAGATGAAGGCCATCCAATTTGCCATGCTTAGTCTTATCGTAATCCAAGGTTCTGGAGAATACCAAGCAAATTTGATCCCAAGAGCCGTGCCATAACTGTTCGCCCCGAACGCTGCCACGATGAAGCTTTGAGTTGCCACGAAGCGAGTGTCCTTGTTGAAGATCATAATGGTAGCCTTTTTTTTCATAGCCTGCTACGTCACGTTCGCGAAATACGATATACGACAAACGAACAACCCCAAAGAGGTAAGCACGGAGCAAAGACCAGATGTCAGCCCCCACCCCCATACAACCTTGGTACTCCTGTGGGGCCAAAGCAGCGACGACGTCCGGACGACGGTCCAGGCAGAAAGAAAGTGTCTTAAAGCCGAAGAATATATAACTCCCCAGTAAGCTCCTCAAAAGTCAATTATTAACTACAAGTCTTGTTTTGAACCAAGACCGAAAATACAGACCCGCCGTCCTCGAATTATCCACAAACCTCTTCCAGGAAGCATGAGTACAACATCCATCCCAGATCCACCAAGCTGGTGGTATTTACGTGGGTGGTGTATCCTCCAAGGTCTAAAAGGGTTTGAGAGCAGTACCCTGACCGAAAAAGATGTCCCTCGCAAGGACATGCGCGGAAAATGGGTGATAATAACCGGCGCAAACAACGGAATTGGATTTGAGGCCGCAAAAACATTCGCAGAATGGGGCGCAAATATAATTATGGCCTGTCGGGAGCCCCCGAATTGGGAAACACACCCCTCTGAAGCAGTAGAGCAATGCTTGGATCTGGCTAAATCCGCGGGTCATTCGTCTATCATTGAGTGGTGGCCAATCAACATGACAGTCCTAGCCAGCGTTGATGAGTTTGCGGAGAGATGGCTTGCCACCGGCAGAGCTCTGGATGTTCTATGCAATAACGCCGGGATGGCCCCTTATAACTCGGATGAGACAATGACTAAAGACGGGTTCCAGATTGTGCATCAGGTACGTTTAATTTTTTACCGAGCACCAAGCGAAGTAGCACTAATAATGAATAAAGGTCAATTTTTTATCTCATACCCTTCTAACGTTCCGAATCCTTGAATCTCTGGCTAGAAGTGCGGAGCCAAGAATCGTCTGCACAACCTCCAATCTACATTTCTTCGGCAAGTTGGAGTTTGAGATAGAGAACCTGCCCGTCCCCAAACAAAAAGGTCCTTACGAGAGAAACAAGCTGTACTACCAAATCTGGATCACTGAAATGAATCGTCGCCTTGTTTCAAGTGAAAAATACAGACATATCACCATCAACGGCATCCACCCCGGATATGTCAATTCGGGTATCTGGAATTTCTCGGGAACCAATCAAGGAACATGGCAGGAGACGATATTCAGATTATTAGCTGCATACCTCACAATTACCACAGAACAAGGTAGTTTCGCTATTGTCAATGCGGCTACTAGCGCTGAATTTGGACCGAACCCTGAAATTCAGGGTCGGGGAGAGCCCGGGGCTAAAGGGGGAGGTAATTACATTAATCGAATTTGGAAAGCGGTTCCAATGCCTTTTGTTGACGATGCTGGGACGAGATTGCGGATCTGGAATGGGATTGCCGCGGAGCTAAGATCGGTAAAAGAGAAGCTGCATGTCCTTGAGGAGCTTGATGTTGAAAGTGTATGAGTTGTTTGAAGGCTGGGAGTTGTATTTTGGATTGAGAACTTACTTCCCATGGTTTTAGATGTACGATTGAGTGAGCGTTCAAGAATTGTGAGCTTTAGATTTGACTTCAACGTCGTTTGTTTGAAAAGAGAAAGGTGGCCAAAATTATACGCAGAAGCTTCCAAGATTGACCTGTACACAATCGAAGAAGCTGATGTTGTGCGAATGAGACCTTGAAAAAAAACATTTAGTCGTTATCTTGTATATTTCTCATAGCAACTGATAAACAGTGATCTTCCAGGATACAAATGAAAAGGATATGTACAACTCAAAACAAAACTCTATATTACACTGTCCAGCAGCGAAGATGAAACCCAAGCCCAAACGCCGCATCATGCAAGGAGACTAAAGGTGAAGACGGCCAGGCACTGCACGGCCACCAAACAACCGGGTAACACCGCCCTCTTCTGTGGTGGTATTGTTGTCACCGGACATCCAACGAGGCAGACGGAATGGTTCGCCTTGGAACCATTGGGGGGTATTAGTGGTCTCAAAGGTATTACGAACGCGATGGGCAAAAGATTGGAAGAAATTTTCCTCTTCCTCTTCCTCCCCGTCAATGACCGTAGGTGCAGTGACGGGCCGCTGGGTGGTTCGAGGAGATCGGGATCCCTCGGCAGCGGGGACTCGCAGTCGTGAAGAGCCACGAGAGTCGCTCTCGTCATCGCGATCTGCGGCCCAGGTCGAGCGAGTTCCTCGAGAGGAAACGGCTAGCGAGCCAAATCCGTTCAGTTCGCGCTCAATGAGGTCACGGCCTTCGCGCCAGCCACCCATTCCGTAGCCAGAGGGGTTGTTTTCCACGTCATGAATGTCATCCTCTTCGGCGAGACCAAAGCCAAATATCTTCTTGATACGGCCGTAGAGGTTGAACAAGGTGGCGCAGATGGGCAAAAGGATGAAAATTGGGAAGATGAAATCAAAGCCATGGCCAAGTGGCGTAAGATTGATGAGGCGGCCCAAGAACTCGTAGAAAGTGGTTTCGCGACGGAAATCTTTCGGCAAAAAGGTCAAGAAATTGTAGGCGATAGGAACGGTGAGACGAGCGACCAGGCTGGCATACCAGCACGCGCTCTCGCCGTATGTGTTCCGACGCACCAGGGCTCGGTTACCCCAAACCTTGACATCGTTGACGCCCACCAGGGCAGCAGAGCACATATACAAGAGCCAAGCGGACGTGATGAGCTGTTTGCCAAATCCAAGTGGCTTGGGCTCTTTGTAGTTGGGCAAAATGGTCAAGCTCACAATGGACAACTGGGGAGCCACAGACTTGATCAATTCCGACCAAACAATACAGACCGATGCGACAGAAAAGAAGGCTCCGAAGGCCATCCGGATCGATGGAATGACGTTCGAGTATACTTGATAACGCATGTACGGAGTCAACATCTTGGTGCGAGGGAGACAAGATGATCGGCGGGGTGCAGGGCCGAAATCAAGTTTCTTGGAGGCGGCCGAGTTGATAATAGCCTGGAGATCAGCTGCGAGTTGAACCAGCCGGTCCCACTCATCCACAAACCGAGCCTTCATGTGCCGGGAGCGCTGCAGGCGCCGGGTCAGGTCGGCCAGGTAGCGCTCCGTGATCACAGAAGGAATTGTACTCGAGGACTCTGGGGCTTCGAGGATTGGGACTCGTACATCGGCCGACCCAGAGCCTTCCGATAGATCTTCAATCCATTCCTGGAAATCGCGAGCAGTCCCGGTTTTGCGCTGCTGGAGCTGGGCGACTTGTCCATTGAGACTTTCCAATTCATTCACTGCATCCATCAAGCGATCGTGGACCTTGGGCGCATGGGCCTGAACCCGTCGCAGGCGACCGCTAACATTCGCATTGAGGATCAGATTGCGGGGAATGGAGACCAAGCCATGGCCCATGAGGTAGATGGCTAGCACGAGACCCCACACATACGCCAGAGCCATGACGAGACCTTTGATGGAGCTGAAGTGAAATCCATTGGAGATCGAGACATAGACCAGTCCCACCACTGCACAAGTCAGGACGATCAACTGATAGCGGGCGTTCATGCGGAGGGAATAGATGATGCGGGCCTTGGGTTCGCGGTATCCGGAGTCGACATATTCGCCCAATAGTGGGAGGATTGCCCTGGGATTTGTTAGCGACCAGGCTGAGAGCTCAAAAAAAAAAAATAAGAGGGCCAACGGTACCAGGTCAGCATAAAGATAAGCCAGTATGCGATGCGCCAGCAGACCAGCACCACACGATCGGGTAACCAGATTGCCTTGGGACCAGTGCCATCGTGTGAGCTGGATGCCAAGTCGATGGGAACCAACAACACTACACTAGCGGGAAGAGCTAGTGCCAAGAATATGGGGACAATGAGATATGCCGGAGTGGCGCGGAGAGTCAAAAAGCGGCGCAAGAGCAAGAGGACGAGGGCGGAAATGGCGAAGAGTGCCAAGGCGAAGAAGACATTGGAGCCCACAGAGATGGGCGACACGGAGACAGAGAACATGTTCATGTTCAAGAGATAGAAAGGAGAAAAAAAGCCAAAAGGAAACCAGTATTAGCCGGCACTCATTGCGTAGTTGTAGAGATTCAAGATTGAAGATCTAATTCCAGACTGTTTCCAGGGGAGTGCTGACTTAAGCGGCGCACGGTGTACCATAGACTTTGGGAGTGCGCGGCTGCCAGGGCGCCCAGTGGGTACTGACTACCACCACCATGGCAATCAGGGGACGTTTCTGTCGATCCTGTCAATCCGCATTAGTAAACTAAATGTAATCTTAGGCTAGCTTAGTGTCGGATCTATTACAACCTCTTCCAGTGAAAGCTATCTATCTATTCATCTAGACCCTGGTTTCTGGTAGCTGTTTCTCCTCTAGATCCATCTATACCTACCTTGGTACCTTTGCCAGACTGGCCTAGTCCTCCGGGGCCGTGAAATGAGATCCACAATTATGACGACGCAAGATGAGTGGGGAGGAATCTGGGATTGAGATTGAGATTGAGAATGCTTCGATGCGATCATAGATGGCATTGAACATTGGACATGTAGAGTATATATGGAATTAAATATATGCAGGCAATATGTAGTCTTAGTCACGAGGACCTCGTACCTGGGAAATTCGCCTTGTGACCTTCGATGACATCGCAAACCTTCATTTCCGTGTCCTCCAAGGGCCTCACCTTTCTTCCTGGGGAATTGAATTCACTTGTCCTGGTTCCATTCACTTGATACTATTTCCTACTTCTGATCTTGTCACCATTTGCCCTGACTTTCCCAAATTTCCCCCGAAAGTCCCCTCCTTCCCTCTTCGCCATTCCCCCTTCGCGCACCTTCGCCATCGAAAGCGTCCTGTGCACGAAACATCCCCCTCTGATCCTCCAACCTTCTTTTCCTTAGTCTCTTTTTTCTTTGCGCATTTGTTTTTCCTCATCTTCTTTCCCCTTGTTTTATCCTGTAGTTTCATCATTTGTGCCCGAAAGTTCCCTCATTTCTTCCCGTATTTGTCGTCTCTCTCCGAATTCATTTCCGTCCTACTCTCTGCAGACTGGTGCAACTTGCGCAGTTGCAGCATCCCTGTCACGGATCCCATCGACCCTACGATTGCGCCCGTCACTCTCATTCGCTCCAAGCCACATCCAGGCTTTCGTCAGCGAATTGGGTCCAATTGACGCTGCTGCCCGAACGCCTTGCTTTCCCGCCGTGCTGGTCGCTCATTGCTCATCTCTCCACTTGTGTCCTCCGTTTGGACCATTTTGATTTCCATCCCCACCCTCCCTGATCATCGAGACTCACCAAGGTTCCACCCACCGTTGTGTCTTCCTTTTTCCTTTTTTTTTTTCTCTTTATTGATCCATTCGGGGTTTTCACTTTCGGGTTGATTTTCCATCTTCCTGCCGATCTGCGACCTTGACACGATCTCCCCGACCCTGCCCCGATCACCTCAAATCTCCCTTCTGACTGCCGTATCCCGCCCGCCAACCTTAGCGAATGCTGGTCACCAAATATTCCCGCGGATTACTCTCAGACCCCCATTGATGGGGCTCTCGACATGAATCCCAACCCTCAATTCCCCAATGCCCCCGGCGGCGGGGGCATGGTTGGTGTCAAGCCCGGCATGCAGCAGCCCAACAAGGATAGCCAACAGAGTCAGTCCATTATCATGGGCCATGTCGCCCAGGTTTTGCACGCTCAAGGCCCCTTCAGTGGATGGAAGGCAGATGTCCACATTAAGATACGTGCGATGAATGTTTGGCAAATGTATGTGCAACGGGCCCTCTAGCCTGCGGGCGCTTCTTTGACACCCCAATCGAATTTCGGCCCAGCTGACTGTTTGTTGCCTAGGATCACCTCTCTCCGCCTAATCCAACCTCGTATTGATATCCAAGCCGCCGCCCAGGCCGCCCTCAGTTTTGAACAAAAAGCTTTCTTAAAAGCTAACGAAAGAGTGCGCTCATCCGATTATTGACCCGTATCCTACCTTCATCGGACGCAACACTAACTTAGGTAATGCACAGGTTGACTACGAACGTGAATGCAACGAAAAGCTCTCCCACATCAAAGATACCCGTCAGAGACAGGCTGCGGTCGCGCTCCAAAGCGGCATGCAAAACGGCATGATGCCCCAGGCGGGTGGCATGCAAAATTCTCTCCAACCCGGTTTCGCACAACAAATGAATCGAGGCATGCAGGCGTCCCCAATACCAGGTCAACAGCAGATGCCCATGGGCATGAATGACCCAAACCAACAGGCAGCGATGCAACAGCGTCAACAACAACAGTCGGCTATGCTTCAGCAACAACAACAACAGCAACAGCAACAGCGTGCTCAACAACGCCCAACGAACAGCGGCCCCCTCCACGACGACCTGAATACCCTTTCCCCGCAAGACGTTGAGCATGTCTCTCGCCTGGCCAATCAAATGTTGGCCAAGACATCAGCCGAAGACATGGAGAAGATCAAGATGAACCTTTCCAACATGAGTGCCGAACAACGAACTTACCTGGCTCGCAAGAACATGGACCCGATGACATATTTCTTCCGCTCACAAGCTTTGAATCAACTCCGCCGACACCGCCGAGCGCGTATGGAAATGGGCCGTCCGAATAACTCTGGAATGGACTCCAACGGCGCCATGATGGGAGATCCCATGATGAATCAACGTCAAATGCTGCAGAATATGATGAACCTCCAGCGCAACTCAGGCTTCTCTGGAAGTCCTAGCCAAGGTCTCGATTCAAATTCTTTCATTGGTAATGTGGAAAATATCCAAGGTCAGCAGGCAGACGGTCTGCGCTCACAGGAGGCTGGGCAACTGGTGGTCCCTGCAAGCTCTTCACAGATGAATCAACAGCCTTTCCCCAACCAGCAGCAGCAAAACATGTTTCCGCAGCAGATGGGCCAAAATGGCCAGAACATGAACCCACAGCTTTTTGGCCAGCAACATTTTCCAAACGGTTCTAATGGCCCGCAAGACCGCATGCAATTCCAAGCTCAGCAGTCGCAAGCCCAGGCTCAAGCCCAGGCACGTGCGCAACAAGCGGCCGCTCAGAAAGCTCAGCTTGCTCTAGCAGGCCACAATGGACAAGCAAACCCCCAGATGGCCCAGTCTAGCCCCGTCATGCCGATGTTGAACCAACCGATGGCTCCTGGTCAGATGTCTCCCGTCCAGGTGCCTGGCCAACCTCGACCTCCATCTCGTCCACCAAATGCGGGTCAGCCCAACATGCAAGGTCGACCACAGATTCCCGCCAACCTTCCACAGGCGGTCCAGGAGCAACTCGCCCAAATGACCAATGAGCAGCTTCAAGCGTTTTTCCTCACTCAACGTCGCAACGCAATGGCAAATAACATGGCTCGCAATGCTGGCCAGCAACCCGGTCCTCTTCAGCAGACAGCATCACAACCCGGTCAAAACCAGGCCATGTTCAATGGCCAGATGACCGGCAACGGTCGAATGAGGAATTCAATGAGTATGCCGCAGGGCATGAATCCTGCCGGGTCAGCTCCGCCTCAGCAGATTCCAGGTCAAGCTCTGACCCCCCAACAACGTGTGCAGCAGCAGCAGCGCCAACAAGATCTTTACAAACTTCAACTCTTGCATCAGCAGAACAATGGCTTGGAGATGACTCCTGACCAGGTCAAAGAAATGGATCGCGCAGCCTTTCCACCCAATATCATTAATAACCAAAACCACAACCCTTCTCAGGTACCTAAGCACATCAAAACTTGGGGCCAACTTAAGCAGTGGGCCAACACTAATCCACAAGCATCGAACGGTGTCGATCTGACCAAACTCATGATGCTGCAAAAACTCCACTTTGGCCAGATTTTAGCTAATAGGGCCGGAGCGAACAACCAGGGCCAGGGCATCTTGTCACAGCACCCCCCGGACAGCCAGGTCAAATGCCAAATGTACAAAATCTTCCCAACGGACAACCTCAGCCTCAGATGCCTCAGATGCGGCCACTCACGCCCCAGGATATCCACATGGCTCGTCAAAAGATGGGTCAAAATTCCAACAACCTCTCTGATGACCAGATTCGTGAGCTCCTCCAACACCGCCAGAGGCAGATCATCCTGCAGGCCGCACGTGCCCGCCAACAAGAGATGAATATGAAAATGCCACCTGGGCAGCACAATCAACCCATGCCGCAAACTCCTGTCTCCGTACCCCAGCCCGCTGCTCAAGTGAATCCACCCACAGGGCCGCAACCATCGGCAATGACCGACCAGCAGCAGTCAAATACTAAGCCTCAAGCTGGAGCTCCAGCAAAGAACGCCAAGGCTGCAGCCGCTAAACAGAACCAGAAGAGCAAGGTCAAAATGGAAGATACCGGAGAAGCCCAGGCCTCAGTCACACCTCAGCAGCCCCATCAGGTTGCTGTCCCTGCAGGTGCCCCCCCTGCAGCTCGGCCAGGCGTTCCATTCTCCCACGAGCAGCTTAATTCGATGACTCCCCAGCAACGCATGCAAGTCGAAAGTCATATGCGGAAGCAACAGCAGACGTTCCTTCGTGGCCCGATAATCAGTCGAGCTGCAGCGGATGAGAACTGGAAAAACAATCTCAAGCCTGAGATCATGAGCGTTTACATGGATATCGCCAAGAGCGCTCCACCTACTCAGCCCATTCCAAACTCTCCTGAACAAAAGGCGGTTATGTCTCAGCTGCTGATGGACTCGTTGGATATCCTCGGAAGGTTGGATTTCTTGATGTCACACGGGTTTGCTAAGATGCAGGGCCAAGAGAAGAACGTCAGAAATCTTCTTGCAATGCGGGTTCAAATTATGCGACAATTCAAGAACAACACACAGGATTGGGTTCTCAACGATCAGTTCACCATCAGCCACGATTACTTGACTGGCGCTATTTTGTTTATTCGAAAGTTGTTCCAGTTGATGTTCCTTCGCATGAATCAACAACGGTCAAACGCTGCTGCCCCTGGATCTGCTGCACAGGCACCAAGCACCACTGCGTTAAACGCGACCAATCTTCTACAGTTACAAGCACAACAGGAAGAAGCTCTTCAACACGCCCGACGTGCCTCCAGTCAGTCTGGTGCAGCAGCTGCCCCCGCACCATTCGGGGCGCCGTCTCCACAGGGTGTGCCGCACGCTTATGGTCCAGGTGGTCTTGCGCCGGAGAAGCTGAAACTTCCCCCACCCAAGAAGAGAAAGCAGTCTCACGCTGGTGCCGCCAGTTCCTCACCGGTGCAACCTAACTCTGTCACCAACGCTGCGGCGACCTACCAAGCAGCCGTGGCGAACGCCAAAACAAAGGCCGCCGCTTTGGCTGGCGCATTCAAGTGTAGCTTCGTCGAGTGTCAACACCATTTCCAGGGCCTACCAACCCAAGCGGCCTTGGATAAACACGTTGAAGAAAACCATCAGCCCGAGGAAGAGGAGATTATCGGCGATCCCATGCAGTTCTACCTTGACAGTGTTTCAATTGGCCTGGGGTTGACCGCCGACGGCCAGCAGCCCAAGCAATCCATCGAATCCGCTCCTTCTACCAACACCAACAACAAACTCAGTGCAATGGCCTCACCCGCTAAGCAGGGCTTGCCCACACCTGTCACTGCTAGCGCAACACCCATGGCTCGCGTGACTAGCCAACTCGGAGCTAAGACTGCGTCTCCTGCGACATCTGCGCAGCAGCTCACTCCCCTTCAGGCCGCGATTAAGAGTGGAAAGCCCTCCCCTGGAAAGCAACCTGGCAAGCGCACCTTGGATGACCTCGAGGCTGAGGAACCTTGGGCAGATGCCCCGATGAACCTCGAAAAAATTCATGATACTTTCGCACCCATTCTTGCAGATTGCCGGCGCAAGGGTCTGGGCTACGATCCCTTCGATGAATTCCTGAATACCGACATGTTCTCCCTCGAACAATCCGATGATACTCCAGACTCTCGAGACACTGCTCTAGCAATCCTAACTCCCAAGGATGAGCACAAAGATTGCAATGGTGTTGTTTGGTATGATTTCATGCCATGGGATGAAGACTCCATCCAAGCCACCCAAGACTGGATGCAGTTACCTCCTTCCTCCGAGTTCTCTAATGGCGTTCGATTCCCGACCGGTTCTGATGCTCTGAAATTTGATTGGAATAATGACGAAGAACCGCAAAAGGACATGAGCCTTGAGAATGGCACTATTGCCATTGCCGCCCTATGATTGCCGCAATGTCCATAATGTGACCTGCATCTTTACGATTATTCCCTTGGATTTTCCCTTCTTTTCTTCTGCCTTTATTCTACACTTTGACTTCCCATTTCTCATTCCGGTGGTTTCTACCTGGCGTACATACGGATTTTCATCTTTTTATGGGGCAAGCGTGTGTACCATACCCGACGCAGGAGTCCTGTTTTTCTCTTTCTTTCTTTTATCAACCAGGAAACTAATCCAAGATTAATCCTACCACAAATTCTTCCAATATATTTGTCTCAAACCTGTAATCCCGATTTTTTTACATCTCAAGTTCTGGCAACGAGCAGGGAACAAGCATGGCTGCACTGTAGATCCCGATATCTTGTCGATCACGGCCAACCCCGTCTCCACTTTCCATCACGTCAGCGTATCAGCTGATCCTTATCAGCAGGGCCCGATAACAAAGACCTCTCCGCTTTGTCGAACCTCCCAACTCCAACTCCCCTCATCGCCCCCAATCTACGATATCTAGGTGGCAACATGGCGAGCCGCACGTTGATCCCATTCCTGGTCACGATGATGCTCGTGACCGGGGTTTGCAACACCATTTTAAACAAATATCAGGTGTGTCATTCTAACTCGAGCTCCGTAGCAAGTCGAGCCTAGCTAATGTCGGCGTGTTTCTTAGGACATGCAATGTGTTCGAAATTGTGATTCTCCCGATCCTAGTGAGCGAAAGATGTTTGAGCAGCCAGTAATTCAGACGTAAGTGTCTCTTCAGTCCTGCGTCGACAATCCAGATCCAGAAATGGTTCCAAACCCGATTGCTCACCTCTATTGTTCCTTGAACAGAGCACAAATGTTTGTCGGTGAGATGGGCTGCTGGCTAGTCCTCGGATTATCAATTATATATCAACGATTCATTGCTCCTCGTTTGTCCCGCGACCCCTCCCCTCTCTTGGCGGGTGGCTACCGTCCTATCCGCGGCGAGGACGGCGGCTTAGAAGACGATGAGCACACGATCGATGAGAATGGTAACGAGCGCAGAAACTCGATCAAATCTTTCGTGGATGATGAAGGCCGTATTCCGCTGCGTGGATGGAAGATCCTCCTCCTGGCTGCGCCGTCCTGCTGCGATATTGCAGGGACTACCCTTATGAATGTGGGCTTGCTCTTTGTCGCAGCGAGTGTCTACCAAATGACTCGAGGAACCCTCGTACTTTTCGTCGGACTTTTCAGTGTTATTTTCCTCCGACGAAAGCTGTACTTGTACCAGTGGAGTGCACTGTTTATTGTCGTTCTTGGTGTCGCACTCGTCGGTCTTGCCGGTGCTCTTTTCAGTGGTGACTCGGGCCATGATCTCACGCAGGATGACAGTGTTTCTTCATCCGCAATTGCAGGAACCCCAGAGGCGGTAAAGGCTGTCGTTGGAGTGCTATTGATTGCCGGAGGGCAAATCTTTACTGCCTCGCAATTTGTGCTGGAGGAGTGGATCCTCGAGAACTACGCCATGGATCCGATCGAGGTTGTCGGATGGGAAGGAATTTTCGGTTTCTCCGTGACCTTTATCGGCATGTGCATTATGTACTTGGCGGTTGGCCGCACCGAGGCAGGCCAGTACGGCTATTTCGATATGAAGGAGGGTTGGCACCAGATCATAACTAATCGTGCTGTGGCCATGTCCAGTATTGCGATCATGTTCAGTATTGGGTATGTTCTCATTTCCTTCTACTTAAATGACTAATCTCCCAGAATACTAATACCTTCATCAGTGGATTCAACTTCTTCGGTCTCTCTGTTACGCGCACCGTCTCTGCAACATCCCGCAGCACCATCGACACGTGCCGTACTCTGTTCATCTGGCTTGTCTCTTTGGGGCTGGGCTGGGAATCTTTCAAATGGCTTCAGGTTGTCGGTTTCGGATGCCTCGTCTACGGTACATTCCTGTTCAACGATATCATCCGTCCTCCCCTCAAGGCCTGTCTCCCTGGTGGTGAGCCGAGAGATCACGAGGAATTACTTCCGGAGGAACCGATCGAGCATATCTAGATTATCTACATATTCTCTTGGCTAGTTTGGACTATCTATAGCCTCTGGCTCTAGATCCTCAATTTTTGTCGTTAGCTTGATCATAACTGCTGCAGTGCAGGTCGGTGTGCAGTTGTGTTTCATGCTTTTGATATCTCCATTACATCGATACGATCATTCATGCAAGCTGTTACTTTGGCGTTCGATTGACTTGTCTTGTGTTTCCTTCCTGTCTCATTTAACAGGGCGCTATTATACCTGTCTTTTTATTGACTTTTCTTCCATTTCTTGCATTGAACGCTTTACTCTGATAGAATCTCGTGGGTGAAGCTGTTGGTCTCGGGGCTCTTTTCTGTATCGTTCATCTAGTTATACTGTTAGCTGTAGCAATGATACAATGTTGCAAATTCACATCAACTGATACTAAATACTAGTCATGATGGACAGGTCACTAGAAGTCGATTCGTTCTGGCCCCGGGAACTGTAATTTCAAGGCTGTAGTAACACTGCGCATGGCAACATCTGAAATTAGGATCAACTACGGATACATTGTTAATCATTGAGACAAGAAGTAATTTGCAACATGCAACACCTGCTATGCAAATCTCATCTACTCAAGGATATTGAAGCATGTACAAGGATATGGCCTCTGAGGTAACAGAAGCAGAGCAGACGAGACAAAGGTCTAAATGAGGGCATTCGGCGAAAGGTAGAAAGGTGTATAGAACTGGGATTGGGGCTGCTCCTGAAAAATTAAAGGTTTCATCCGCCAGAAGACTTTTCGTTGAAATAGAGTTCCTATCCTCCAATTGCGGAACAGAATAAAGTCGTTTTCACTGCGTAAATCACGGCTCAGACCAGTCTACTTGGTCGATGACTGGAGCGGCTGTATCTTGAGCAGAAGTGACCCGGAGACGGAGACGGAGCTTAGGTGGCAGGGCCTAAATCAAAACTTGTTAGTGTGTTTTCATAGAAGGAAGACTGGTCTAACTTACCCCATTCAGTGCCGTTACCCGCATGGTCTGGGTGGCATCTTCGCCAGCTTCGAGGTCAGCTTTACTGATAGCGCTCAGTTGCAGACGCTGGCTCTTTGGCACAGCGGCTTGCAGACCGACATTGGTGAAACGGCCAAAATTAGACTCATTGCGGAACCGAGCGAGGATCTGGGCGTTGGGACCGCTCCGTTGAACTTGCAGGGTGAGCACCAGGCCATCCTTGTTGAGCGCAGTGTGGGCAGGGGTCGAGGCGGTAACGGGTGCGGGCGAAGCGGAGGGCGAGGGAGCGGAGACTCCCATGCCACCACCCAAAAGATCCATTGAAGCCGATTGTTGCTGTGCTGGCTGAGGGGAAGGGGAGGCGCCAGTTGAGCCAAATAGGTCCATAATAGAGCTGTGACTGCTTGTGTTCGGGGCAGGGGCAGGAGCGGGCGATGACAAGCCTGAGTCGCCGCCAAGGATATCTGCCAGCAGATCGGCGGTGTTTCCTCCATTCGATGACGGGCTGGTCACAGGTGCATCGGAGCCACCCACCAGGTCAAGCAGTAGGTCGTGATCAGCAGGCTTGGACACCTTAGTGGGCTTGCTACGCAGGACCTTGCTCTGGCGTTTCTTAGCGGGAGCACCGAGAACGCGCTGCTCCTCACGGATCTCAGGCGCGGGCATTCGCTCTAACACGCCACGGCGGATTTGGTCATAGCCAAACAAGTTGGTGTATTCAACCGCACGTTGCTGGATTTCGACACTCAAGTCCGACGTGCGGTTAGTGAGGAAGAGGCGCAGGCGCTCGATCTGGGCTGGATCGGACATGCGCACGGTCAATTTCATGGATGCGGTAGTGATATACTCGACGACGGTCTGGTTGGCGTAAGTGCTGTTAAGGATGTTGGTGAATAAGTCCACAATGTCGCCCTCCCGCACTTCCTTGACCAGTTCCTCCTCCTCATACTGACCACCCTGCAACAGACTATCAGCGTATTCACCAATTGTCCATGTTGCTGCCAGAGTCAATCCTTCCTGTGAGATATCTTCCTTCAAAGATGAATACAGCTTCTGGACGGCATAGGTCTGCAGCTCCGGGGTAGTCGCGATGAGACGAACGAATGACGACAGGATTTGTTCCTTGACGTAGTTCCCAGCCAGCTTGAGAACCCGAAGAATGGTATCCATGTGCCAGCGCTTGTTCGGAGCAAACCGATCCGCGGCGATACCAATCTGTGTTGTCATCACCGGCTTGAACTCGTTGTCGGCTACCTCCAGGAAAGCTAGCAGCTCCCGTACAAGCACCCGTACATTGTCCTCGTTGATCAACATGAAGCTGAGATCGAGCGCTCGCCGGCGAATGCTGATATCAGGATCCCGCAGACATTCCAAGATGGTGTTACGATGTCTTTGCACCGCATTTGGTTCGATGGCAACGACCTTGTTCAGAGTGTTCAATGCAACATAACGGATGTTATTGTCTTTGTTGGACAAGAATTTACCGAGAATGTTGACACCCAAGACCCTCAAGCCAGAGTCAGCTTCAATATCCAAGATGGTGAGAACCGCCTCATATAGAATGGCATTGCCCACGTTCTTGGACGAATCGGTGTTGGTTGCTACCTGGGCCAAAATATCGTTGATCAATTCACTGGTAGCCGCATCGCCGCGACCCAAGACTCGGAGGAACCGAAGAATTTTAACCTGGAGGAAAGGATCGGTGATTCCAGATACGTCGTGCTCCGGAGCATACCCTGATGTGGTCAGTCCCTTCAGAGCACGCACCAGCCCCCCGGCGAGAGGCCGGAACATCTCAATAACACCCTCTGGGCCTTCCTCCTCCTCTTCCGCTTCGCACAGATCGGTCACGAAAGTCAACCCGCAGAGAAGAACTCCATGGTTGCGGTCTCCTAGCAGCGTCTTGGCCTTCTCGAGGAAATGTTCGTATAAGTCAGGGACCTTGCGACATATCCGCATGGCGCAAATGGCCGCCTTACGGCGAATATAGGGGTTGGCCGTCGACATGAGGCTTTCGACTTCGGGAAAAAGGTCACGAGACATCTCGACGGAGGCGATGTTTCCGAGGGCGCAGAGGGCGAGACCAACAATATACTGGTTCGAGTGGTTGAGATCACTGCACATGGTTAGCATTGGAAATCAAGCAATTTTCTTGCTCACACATACTTCTTCAATGAGTTGGTGACGAGAGTCAACACCTCCTGGTTCTCGTCCAGCAACAACATGGTTCCTAGGTAGCCCAGTCGCTTGTCGGCGAATCGGTGTGACGCGAGTAATTTCAAACATTCGATCTGGCCGAAGTGAGTTCGCTCTCCCAAAGTGAAGAGGTAGAGCAATTTGGCCACATTGTTCCTCCTGTTAGTCGTTAGAAGTCGGTATGCAGCGAATGGGGGTGCGGTGTAGCTAACCGGACGTTCGAGTCGTGGCTCTCCTCTCGAAATGAGGCACGAATGGCTGCGCTCTCCTTTTGAATCACGGCTCGCTCATCTGCAATGGTCTTGGCGGATCGGACATTGCGAATAAATTGCTTGACTGTTTGAAGCGGTGGGTTAGTCGCATCTTCAGGGGAGGAGGGGCGGCGGGCCACTCACGAGAGGCCATGATGTGAATTCAACCCCCGGACGGGGTTCCAGGGGAGGTAGGTAGAGCAATGGAAGTGAGGGAGAGAAGCGGAGAAAATCCCAGCAAGATAGGGTTTCCGGGCAAAAAGAAGCTTAGTTGATTGCAGCACCTGGAGAGATCGGGTCTGGGCTTTATTATGCGTGGACTTGGGGGGTCTTTCTTGGGTTGACCTGGCTTCTTGGCATCCACAGGGTACACTAGGCTACATGTGGCTAGTGGGATATTATCTCATCAGTTCTGGCCTGAGGCATGAAATGCTGGTTATTACATAATCCAAGGGGGGCTCTCATCGACGCCCGATTTATCGGGTGTCAGTATCCTGCATGTTGCTCAACTGCACTGCACGCTGTTGACCTCAGCACGATGGAATGAAGGCCAGTCAAAAAAACGTATATTGTGGTAACTTCCCGTAAAACCTCTAGATTTTTACTTTCTGCCTGATTTGATCCAAGACTATAAATCCCAACAATGCGAAATTCAAGTTCTATGGCGTTTCCCTTTAACCATTCATAGCTTATTCTTAAAGTTCTACATATTTGCACCAATGTGATTAAGCCAATTAAAAAATCCTTAATGAAAAAACAGGCTCATTCCATAGCATAGCCTTGACCATATCAATCTATTTTCTTGGTTGTGAGGAAGTAAGTTCCCTAACTTGGAAGTAATAAGGGAGCCTGATGACGGGTGTTGCATGCTCGATAAAGGTAAATTACCAAGATACTGGGAGCATCAGATGATGGTCCTCAATAATCTATCTTTTGCGAACCACTTCCAATGATGTATTTACATGAGAGTAGTCTTGTTTTTGTCAGGATGTATTGACTATTGCCCCCAAGTTCTCTCCGAACTCCGACCCCACATAGGGGGCTCTTAAAATACCTAAGGCTGACCGTTGACGTAGTTAGTCCTGGTTCCGTTTTTCCGCTCCAACTCCCCATCTTCTACTTGAATCCCCACCAAAACAAAACAAAACACCTATTACTTCTATGAGTCCGGTCACGGTCAATGTGAAGTCTTTTATATAGTCCCGCAATTGCGTCCTCCCCCACCATGTCCAGCGCCATCTCCCATGGTTCTTCTACGCTGCGGCCGCGCGCCGCCCCCCTCCAGTCGGAGAAGTCGGACGTGAGTCTCACTCCACCGGTTTCTCAGCTGGGCCTGGATGCAAGGTATACACTCTCGAACAGTGACTCTGCCACCAACGGTCGTGAACAATGGCTGACACTGGCAATTAAACTACAGTGGTCGCTCCACCCCCGTCCCTGAAGATGCTCCTCCCTCGGCGCATTCCATCTCAACGGCCCGCAAGCAAGTGCGCGCTCGGAATCGCCTCTTTTACACCATTGACTATGTTCCCCGCGTGTCCCATTTTGATCCGGATAGCGATCACCATAATTTCCGTGGTTTCTTCGTCCTCTTTTGGATCTCGCTCGTCATCATGGTTGTTACTACCGTGCTGCGCAATATCAAGGATACCGGATACCCGCTGCGAGTGCGGGTGTGGAGTTTGCTGAGTGCCAATGTGTGGGAATTGGGCTTGAGTGATCTTGCTATGGTTGTGAGCTCAAGTCTGGTCCTCCCGCTGCACCGGCTGTACCGCCGCGGCCCGCGTTGGTTGCAGTGGGCTCGTGGAGGCATCGTTGTGCAAAGCATCGGTGAGGCCGTGTGGCTAGCTGTTTGGATTAAGTGAGTTGGAGCTCTGATTCATGAGGTTTAATTAGCTGGCTGCTAACATATTCAATAGCTGGCCGTTTATGCGTATCTGGACCTGGACCTCCCAGGTCTTCTTCACCCTTCATGTCCTGACCATCCTCATGAAGCTGCATTCATACGCTTTCTACAATGGTCATCTCAGTACAACCGAACGCCGCCTTGCAGACCTAGACAAAGCAGAGGATGTGGTTCCTAGTTCGCCTAAGGCAGTCCACTACCCGGAACCCCAGCGCCGTCGGCGTCCATCTACGAAGCAGCTGCATGATGACACCGATAATTCAGAGCCCTTGGACCGTCTACGCGAAGACCTAGCCACGGAGCTTACCTCTCCACTGGGAAATATCTCCTACCCCCAAAACCTTTACATTGGAAACTACGTAGACTTCCTCTTCTGCCCAACCCTCTGTTACGAACTCGAGTACCCCCGTCGACCCGAACGCCGCTGGTCAGAGATCGCCTACAAGACCGCGGCTGTATTCGGGTGTATCTTCCTACTCACACTCACCAGCGAAGAATTCATCGTACCAGTCTTAAGCGAAGCGGGTACCCAACTCCAAGCATTCCCGAACCTCGCCGATAAGGCCCTTGTCCTAGCCGAGACTATCAGCATGCTCTTATTCCCATTCATGGTCACCTTCCTGCTAGTCTTCCTTGTCATCTTCGAATATGTCCTGGGTGCATTCGCAGAACTTACCCAGTTCGCGGACCGGCACTTCTACTCTGACTGGTGGAACTCGTGTGACTGGTTGGAATTCTCTCGAGAATGGAACGTCCCCGTTCACCACTTCCTCTTCCGTCATGTTTACTTCCCAGCTCGATCCAACTTTTCTCAACCCGTCGCCATGCTCATCACCTTCTTGGTTAGCGCTGTCTTCCATGAACTGATTATGAGCTGTATTACCAAGAAGCTGCGTGGCTATGGGTTTATGGCTATGATGCTTCAGTTGCCCATCGTTGCTATCCAGAAGTCACGATTCTTCAGAGGCCGGACTGTTCTGAACGTGAGTAATACACTCAAAGAACTCTAAATATCTCCATGACTATAAATTACTAATTTGATTTAGAACGTCTTCTTCTGGTGCTCGATGATTCTGGGCCTCTCAATGGTAAGTCTTTCTTGGTTTCCGTAGCCGTTTGCAGGGTATGACATTTCTAACATTTGAATTAGATGTGTGTATTCTATGTCTTGGTCTGAGAATTTTTATATTTCTTGCTGCTGGGATTGATACCCCTTGGATCGGCAGTATTTCTGCACATATGGCTTTTGGATGATAGGTCAGTGATTGTCGGTTGGACATTGTATGGTCTACTGAGAGTGAATACCCCCATGTATTTGATTGATTTGATTACTCATACCAGTATATCTGGATCTTTGACTTGTATATAGCTGCAATGGCGTGATAGTCTACTTTTGAGATTTGTCTCTAGAGCTGAGATTCCATGGATATACAAGAAGCTTTGAGACCAATTCTAATAAGCACTCGCAAACGATAAATCAATTTAAGACTAAGTAATTGAAGATACATACAGTAAAAGAAATTGTTCAACATTAAGCAACAGACAGGACATCATTAGCAGGACCTTTTTTTTCTAATTTTGTGATGGATATGAAGAGTGGACATGTTCCATGCTTATAAGTATCTAAAAGACCAAGAATATAGTTCATATGTCATTCCAAAGGACATAAATTCGTAAGGATTTTCCAATCAGGATCCACGGGTATCTAGACATAGCGGAGCCCGGGATAGAGAAACATCCCCAAACAAGCTGCAAGGAAATAAACCAAAAAAAAAGCAGATAAGTCATAAGTAAATTGAGAATTGCGCCACTTGAATGAGTATGTTATGTTGTGTTAGGAACGAAGTAATAACACCGAAGAGTCCCCGCCCCATTGCGCCGAAAGAAACAAGCCCCACCGGGGGAGATCACGCAGATATCCAAACCAAAACCGTCCCAATGCTTAGTGTGCAGGGGTCCTTAGGTTCATGGAGGTTGGAAACATCCATGTTCACGGCTGGCACGATGGCTGCAAGCCAGGAGTTTCCGTGATAAGGAACTACCAAAGGCAGCTCGTAAAATATAGACAAGAAGGGGAGAGACAAAGGGTTCATGTGTTGGTTCATGGGTCATAAAATGCGTAAAAACAGGGATGAAAGTAGAATAAATAAAAATAGTAGAGCTGCGCACGGTCGTCAAGCTGTCGTCAATGGATTTCATTGTGCATAGGCCACGGAGGGTCGACGTGAACGGGCATGAGGGACATGATCGGTATAATAATAATTGTGACCGGGTGAGACGTTGACATCGCTAGGCCGGATTTCCCGGGTGTATTTGACGTCTTCACTTCGGAACTGTGGGGAGTATTCCACGTTGGTGTGGGTTCGGGAGGGTCGTACAGAGCGGACCTCAATGCGAGGACTTGACTCGCTCATGAATGACTGGAAGGTACTTGCCCGCTTGGGTGGAGCCATGCGAGGTGTACGCTCTCGTTCTCTTTCAGGCGAGAGATTGCGGTACCTGGAGGTCTTTGGAGGTTCGATAATGGTAGTGTCCTTGATCTCGTACCGAGCAGTAACCTTTGGGGAGCCCTTGGGTGGGAGTTCGGGTGTGTTGGGGCTAGAGTAGCCCGAGTCATATTTCTCGCGTAGCTTGGACGAACGTGGCGGGACAGGCTCACTGGCCATCTTATGGAGGATGTCATCTGGCCGGCTGCGAGATGAGTCCCGCTTAGGGCGAGTGTATGCCGAGGCGGTGGCTGAGCGACTCCCGCCGAACAATGTTGGACGAAGAGATGTTTTTGGACCCGGCATTGTCGTCGCAGTGGGGATCTTAGGCGGCTTGCCCGAATCGTAGCGCGGCTCCAAGTCTTCGTAAGAGGAGTTGTGGCGCGAGGACGAGCGAGTTGGGTCCGTCCGGGAGGACCGTCCCGAGCGCCGGGGAGCGGCGGTCTCTGGTTCAGCCGAATCGTAACCACGGGATCGCTGTGGAGACATCCGGGGTCGAGAATCATCATACTTTGAACGCTCAATGTGTTCCTCGGCCTTGCTGAGCTTGTAATATTGATCTTCCTCGTAGACGTCCCGCACATCTCGGTCGCGACGTCGAGAAGACGACTCTGTAGGCCGAGAGCGAGACTCTCGAGATTCTCGAGACCGACGAGGCGGCTTGGGATCATACGCTCCAGTATCACTGGAGTCAGAGTCTCCGTCAGACACCACATGAAAAGATTCGTATTTATCAGACTGTTGTCCCCGGCGCTCTTTGTCGCGGCGTCGCTGTCGCTCGGAATGAGAAGCTTTGGTGTTATCGCGAGATTCCTTGGCAGCACGTTCACTGCTTAATGGAACTCGGGTCGTCTTCTTCTTCTCTTCCTTTGCCTTGGGTCGTTTCACGAACTCATCGGCCTTGCGAGCGAAGGATCGGGGCTCTTCACTGTATCTTTGATCTTCAAAGAAAGCATCAAAAGGCACGCGCTCCTCCACAACGTGGCCCTCGCGCATCTCGCGTGCGGAGGGCATACCACGTGCCGCCATTTCTGCCTGCTTCGCCCGTTGTTCTTTCTCCAACTGTCGTTTCAATTCTGCCAGTCTCAACTTCTGGTCGTAGCGGAGTCGACGGTCTGGATCGGAGAGAAGTTCGTAGGCCGCTTGCACCTCTTGGAATTCTTCTTGAGCGACATCTCGCTGAGCCTGATCTTGGATCTTATCGGGATGACACTTCAATACTCGTTTGCGATGGGCGGCCCGGACTTCGGCGAGAGTAGCGTCCCTAGGCACGCCCAACACATCATAAGGGTCTATATCAGGAAGGGACATAATGTAGGTATCAAGTAAATGATCATCGATGATGACCCCCAAGGAATTGAGGGGGGAGGGGTGGGTAAGGTAAATGTAGGTGAATCGAAAGAGGGGGAAAGAGGCGGTGGGCGATTGCCAGCTTAACGTTGGCGATGATCGGGCAAGAATCCACTCATACAGAATGGAGTGGGCCGATCAAGATGGTTCCAGGGCAATTTGGATTTCAAATAAAAATCTGGGAACCATTAAAAGATTCTTCAATATTCCAGAAGACCCAGACAAATCATAAATCAGTAGTCTGTATAATGTCGTCAAGGGCGGGAAACGTGAAAGGAACCAGTGTTTATGTCAGGGGCAAAACGTCGTTTACGGTTTAGGGGAACATTCCCGCTCTTCTCCGTCAAGGTGGCGTGGAGTCCCTTTAACACGTAGGTACCGCCTCACTCCGATGCCCAACGTGGGAGAGTCAACTTTCTTATATCATTCCAACTGAAGTCAGTTTGCATTATTACTGCCCTCAGCGCGAAAGCCCCAATAATCAGTCCTAAGATGACATGGGTGACATTCTCTTTCTTTGGCCTGTGCGCCCTGTGATTTTTTTTTGACATTATCCGCCAATCAGACGTCAGCCTCACTTCTTTCTCGAGACAAATTATCCTTGAATTTTCCACTAGACAGGAATGGCGAGGTACTGTACGCATCAGTGGGGCGATCAATAGGAACCCCGCATACCACAGGTCGTGTTGTTTCGCCCCTCCCGATTTGGAGGGCAATGATTCGTTGTCAATCATTGCGCTTTTTTGAATAAATGATTTCTTTTGCCAGTGCAGGGCTGTCTTCCCCCTCCTTCTCTAAAGCCCCCAATTTGTAGGTAGATGGCCACCGCCCCTGCTTCTCGATGCTTGGGTCCGTAATTCGTATCTAAGAGATCCCACACAGGATCACCCCCACAGATCTTACCAGGCCACCCTACACTTAGCCCGGGACGCCCTGTGTGCCTGGGTTTCCCGCGTGGGCAAGTATTGCGTTCCGTGGATCCTACGGTGGCTGTTCTGGACCACGTTCAGAAAAAGCCTAAATTTAGATTGAAAAAATCTAACACACATCTGACTGTACAGTGACCTAGCTGATGTACTTGGAACCGGCAAGGGGCCTGGATAAACGGATATGCCTAGTCTCGCTCTTGACTCCCGCATCCCGATCGCCGGTATGCATGGCTCAGCCTTCATATTCGTAATCCCGATCCCAACGGACACCCGGAGATTCTACTGTAGTAGAAGGTATCTGGGTCTCTCCACCATCACTGCGACATCACGGCATTACGGCATCACGGCAACACCGACTTCGTTCTGTCATCGGACTCCGTTCCCTTCCATTATATCAGCTGGATTTGTTTAGTCGATCATTATGTGTCATCTAGAAGGAATAGAACCAGATAGATTGAATCGGGCAAGTCATTTCTAGTATCACCAGTTCCCAGTCATTTGACTAGAATGTGATGAGTGCTGCAGTAACCTGTTCAAACCTAGGTTTTCATTTCAACGCCTCCCCCCTGGTCTTCATAATCCTCCGGTCCCAGTCAAAGTGTTTGCTCTGGTAATACAAGGAGTCCCGCTTGCCGAGATACAGGGTTTCAACCTTAAACGCCTCATGGGCTGGGCTCGGTGAATTCGCGATTGGACGGTCCGTGGTGGTTACCCAGAGTATGTTGCAGCTGAGAAACGGTCCATACAGAAGCGAGAATGGTCTTTTCTTCACCTCGGATGTAGGGACTGGTCCTGGATGTACGTAGAGACATATGGTGTTTCACGCTCCTGACACATGCATCTCAAAGTGATAAGGAGGGAAACCCAGCCGCTCGCCTGCGTCATCACTAATGGCTCTTTGTTTCATTGGAGCCGGAAAAGTCGGCTTGACCAGTCATGATGTTCGTGGAAACCGCACTAGAGATAATACGGGAGGTGATAAGCCATGAAAGAAGGAAAGAATCATTTTTTCTGAAGAAGATCCTTTAATGATCGGCCTCGCATGGTCACATCCGTGTCAAGATGGTGGGCGGCCCGAGGGTTGGTTCGAGCGGGTTTTCCTGTTCCACTCCCGTTGCGCGAGGAAGCGCTTGCAGATGTGATTTGGGTTCCAGAATCACTATTAAGTTTGAGAGCTAGTTATTGCAGATGACTGGCTTGATATCACTGCTTGGCTGGATACGCCAATTTTTGTGGAGCGCGATATGTCAGATGGAGAGATTGACATGCGGGGATGGTTTGGTTCCAAGATTGTCGGCTTGCTTGTTGGTTGGTTGGTATTTTGGGGCTACAAACACAGAAAATGGCTCATCGAATCTTCCGCTACCAAAATGATTTTATGGCTTTGTTTGCTGCTTCATATCATCGTATCATTTTTACGCAAAGCTATAGTCCATAAGGAAGTTCGGTTCGAAGGATCATCAAAGCCTCTGGTCGCATCACTCGGATCCATCAGCCAGTCCTGTGGGTCGACGACTAGCCTTTCCTAAACGCTCTGTTGATGAAAGCGGTGCGAGGCTGCATCATAATGGCTGCTATCCGACGAATCCCTGAGCAGTCATGCATCAAAGCGCCCACTCATAGCTGCTGACAAGGCCAAAGCTCCTGGGGATCATGCATGGCAGTGGGAATACGACTGGGTCGATGCAAGCCTCCATGCATGGGAAAAGCACCATTGCCGTGCACCGATCAAGTTGGAAGGCATCGGGGTAAAAGTCCCTCATCCAACGGGTTTGAGCAACTAGGTGGATCACTGTGGAGAGATTAAAGCAAGGCATGGGATTAGTTAGGTCAGATCCAAATCACCTGAACACGTAGTCGCCCTGTCGCACTGGGAGCTCTAGATCCACCACGATCGGTACATTGAATCGCTTGCCTCCCTGGTGCGGCCAGCTCGTAGCCACAATGGCAGCATTGACAATGCATGTCTCCTTTCTGAGCGTTTGCAGTGTCATACCGTCGTACCAGTCCCCATCATTGTACGCTTGGGTATCTGCGCTCAGAACCGGAGCCTTGTTGTTATTCTTGTTCGAATTATATTGAAAATCCAGCGCTACATTGGCAGCTGACCCGAGAGAAGATGGTGACATCGACGCCATGTTCGCAGGATCCAGCTTCAGTTGCGAATGAGGAGTCAAGGATGAAAATCCATCATTAACCAGGCGCTCTCCACGTTTTCCCGTCAAGTCAACCAGAGCCTGTTTTTTGCTGCCCGGTGGTGGCAAGACCCCCTGAGTGATAGCGCCGCTGCTGTCAGACTCGATAAGCGTGCGCGACAGTGACATCTGCCTCGGCCAACAAACACGCTCGTAGCCCCGACCTTCATGCACATGGCCGCAAACAGCTAACGGCGGCCTGATGCGGCTCAGTTCCTGGCGAAGTGCATCGCACCCGACCTTCCTGCCCGTCGGCTTCTGGTCGCAGTGAGATTTTGGTGGCGTATGCGTCACGACAATATCGGTGTCTGGAGGGATCTGGCCCCAGAGTGCTGTTGCATCCTTGCCGTTACTATATCCAAACGCCCAGTTCCCTTGGAACTGCGAATATGGGGACCCAAACACTTTAAATGTAGTATTTGGACCATCTTTCTGAGTCATGTTGATGACAGCAGCCTGATGTTGGAGGTAAATGACAGACGGTGCTGCACTCGTGACCGCTTCGAGGCATTGGCTTGGATCTTCGAGCTGTGAGCCATGAAACTCTTGTCCATGTTTTGCATAGAAACCGGGATCCAGCGTGACATCGTGGTTCCCTGGTAAGATGTTGGTCAGGGCATTGAACAGATCGCGCAAGCTCTTGTCGTGGCATGTATTTCGCCGAAAGAGTCAAAGACAGCGTGGACATTTGAGCACAGAGTCATTGGGCAGCGTGTTTCATTTGTTAATGACCAAGAAAAAAGGGACTGACCCGCCACGATGATCTTCACTTCAAAGTTGGTCTTCGATATCCAATCCATCGTCCGGCGCACCTCGGCCAAGCTCCCCTTGTTAGTCAGATCGCCCGCATGTATCAGTACATCTCCGGCTGGGAGCTTGAATCCTGCCTCCGAGGGCGTGTAGCCATGCGTGTCGGATATGCAGACGAAACGTGTTTTGCGAAGCATGGTTTTGGCGATCCCGGCTTCTCTTCTGCAGTTGTCAATGTAGGGGCCTATCGATAAATAATTGCCAATGAAGCTACGTAGGTCAGCTTATACCGTCCAGCGACGGCGCTTGGAGCGCAGGCGAATGGGCTGGATTGGAACTGAAGTTCATAGGGCGTAGATGCATGGATTGACTCTAGAGAAAAACATATTACTACTGGGGCTGGTGATGCATGGTAAAGATTAGTCATCGGACCCAGTCTTTCAGGTGCTCATCTGGACGATTTACGATAACCTTGAATGGTACGTAATGCGGCGAAGGCCGAATTGATTATTGTATCTACTCCAGTAACGTTTTTCAAGATTGGACTATCAATGTATGCTGTAAGTGATGACTATTTTAGGGTAGAGAAAACTTCATATGAAAGGGACACCTGTAGGTACCTGGATTGGTACCATATTTTCAAATTTCAATGCAGTTTAACCCTTGCCACCCATCTATGATCAACGGGCTTTCTAGAACAAAGAACAGCCAGCCCTAAATCAGAGCCCTAAAGGTCGATGGCCATTGGCACACACATTTGGGAGTCAGGCGCCTTAGTCAGCTCCACGATGTGAAATGCGGGCCTTACATAATGCACGGTGGGGAACGATTGGTCAGGATTAGGGCGGTAGCCCTGACGGCTAGTCCACACACAGTAGTCTCTGATCAGGCTCGCTTAGCCTCTTCGCCTGCGATCCATCCGACTTCGTTGTGTGCGTGCCTTTGACTCCAACGACAACAACCGCCGACAACCATCCAACCCATACACACGGTGACAGAGCAGGATGTCCACCTTCGATTCAGTGGTGCGTTATTTATTCCCTACACTCGATTTGCGCCGCCTACTGCTGCATCGAAATCCAACCCATCTCGAATCAATAAATCGCTGACTTGAATGTCTTCAATAGGTCGTCATCGACGGCAAGGGACACCTCCTTGGTCGCCTGGCCAGCACTGTTGCCAAGCAGCTGCTTAACGGTCAGAAGATCGTCGTTGTGAGATGTGAGGCCCTCAACATCTCCGGCGAGTTCTTCCGCGCGAAGTGTACGTTCAAACCTCCACCTTGTATCGATATGGTGTCCATTCAGTCCAAGTCCAGCCCAAGGGGCACAATTTGTTGCAAAGAGGAAGGGAACTCGGGAAGAAGAGAAAGGGATACACGAAAGGACATGGACTTGGGACAACCATGCTGGAACCGGCTTAGGGCAGAATGCTGACTTGAATTTCGATCTACAGTGAAGTACCACGCCTACCTCCGCAAGATGACTCGTTTCAACCCCACTCGCGGTGGTCCCTTCCACTTCCGTGCTCCTTCCCGCATCTTCTACAAGGCTGTCCGCGGCATGATTCCCCACAAGACCGCCCGTGGTGCCGCCGCTATGGAGCGCCTTAAGGTCTTCGAGGGTGTCCCCCTCCCTACGACAAGAAGAAGCGCGTTGTCGTTCCCCAGGCTCTCCGTATCCTGCGTCTGCGCCCCGGCCGCAAGTACTGCACCGTTGGCCGTCTCTCCCACGAGGTTGGCTGGAAGTACCAGGACGTCGTTGCCAGGTACGTCTTACAAGCCCATGATCGGGCCTATTTGGGTCCCCCACTGCTTCATGTCCCACTAACATATTCTTTTCCTACAGACTCGAGGAGCGCCGCAAGGTCAAGAGCAACGCCTACTACGAGCGCAAGAAGGCCGCTCGTCGCAGCCTCGCCAAGGCCGAGTCGGGTGCGAACGTGGACAGCAAGACCAAGACCCAGCTTGCGGAGTACGGCTACTAGATACCAGATTGAGTGCGGCCGGTTGTTGTGTCTTGAGTGACGGGTCTGGGTTCGGATCGTGGACGGTTTTATTTCAGCGAAACTTGAACGGCAAGCCGGTTCGACCTTGTTCTTATGGGCTTGGTCCCTCGTCTGTTTCAATGAATATCCACATTTGTTTGTGATGCACCATGGGGGCAGACTTGGGGGACTTGGTTCCTTCGGAATTTTCAAAAGCAGAAAAAACGGAGTCGCGGGATGAAAGGTTGTTCAAAATAGCTGGCTGTTGTCTCGCGCCGTGGCGGTTTAATCCAAAATTACAAAGTTCAACATGATCTTATGATGATGCAGGTTCATTACTACTATCACTATCTGGTCCGCCTTTGGTATATCGGTATCTTCTTTTCATGGATATGCTACCTAGGCTATCCTATCTTCGGCTGGGTACTCGACTCCTTAATACCTCAACCTCCGAAAGCCCAATGCGCCTATTTAAAATGCACCGATTCCAGCCCAACTATCAGTCACTTTGTAGTCCGGACAGGCTTAGGCATTGGTCATCGGTTATAAATCGTAATAGGGAATCGTAGAGTGCCCTGAAACTTTGGACAAATATAGACTTAAATCCCGAAAATTCAAGAGTATCGAATATTCAAATCATCTAAACCATGACAACCGACGGCGTGAGTCCTACATTGAATGTGTGGTCCCAGTTGATCCCACAAGGTAGATCCCACCCGAGGACTAGTTCCCGAAGCCCGGCCCGCAAATAACCTAAGTCACTTAACCTAGGTTAAGGGTATTACTAAATGTACCAGTACTTCCCCGCATTTTCTCCAACACCAAAACTCGCCCTTTCTTCGGTCACTCGCATCCGCACTCTGCAACATTGTAACACAGAAGATTCTCCCTTCACCTGGCGATAGGTCACTCACTCACAGCATGTCTGGAACAAAGTCCCGACTCTCGAGCTTGCTCGCGCATCTTGCGCCTAGTACCCCGGCTCCGTTTGAACATGACTTCAATCGTCATACTCTCTCGCCGACATTCTTCCTTCCCAGAGCTGCGGCTATCGAACCTGATGTAAGGGACAATACAATTTACGTTTTGGGCCTATCAATGGCAACTCAAAATTGAGGAAACACTAATAATATGAACAATGCAGGCGGAAGCGATCTACCATGTGACGGTTGATAATCAGGTTCTACGCCGATCTTATAAAGAGACTGCGACCCGTACTTGTGGTCTGGCGTACTATCTCAAGAAGCAAGGGTTTGGAAGAGTCGGGATCCTCGCCACTAACACTCCAGCATTCCTGGAATCAATTTTCGCAATTGCAGCTGCGGGCGCGATCAATGTTGGTAAGAACTGCCATTGACCCATTTATCAAATAACATGAGCTAAATTATCTCAAAAAGCCGTGAACTATCGACTTAAACAAGATGATATAGCTTATATCTTTGAACATGGAGACGTGGACATGATCATTGTGGACAAAGAGTTTGAACCACTACTTGCAACTTATCGATCCCGACATCCGAATGTTCCATTTCTTGTGGATGATGACAAATACAGCGAGCCCTGGGGAGTGTCTGGGAATGGTGACTTTGGCACTGCTATTCAGGAAGGTTGGGCATATGACCAGGAAACTGGACAGCGCGGATGGGAGGGACTAGAGAGTCAGGCTCCCGACGAAGATTCCATCGTCGCACTTGCGTATACCAGTGGAACAACTGCACGCCCCAAGGGAGTGGAATTCACTCATCGTGGCTGCTATCTAGCATCATTGGCAAATGTGGTCGAGTCAGGACTGAATTTTCATAATGGGCGAGCTAAATATTTGTGGACGCTACCTATGTTCCATGCAATGGGTTCGATGCACCTCATAGATCTCAAATTGGCGTTGGCTGCTAACTTGATTGATAGGATGGACTTTCCCATGGGCTGTGACCGCTGTTCGCGGAACTCACTACTGTCTCCGCAAGATCGACTACCCCGAGATTTGGCGACTGCTGAAGGAGGAGCGTATCACTCATTTCAATGCCGCACCGACTGTCAATACGCTCCTCTGTAATGCTAAGGAAGCTGAAAAGCTGTCTCATTCTGTGCGCGTCACGGTGGCTGCCAGCCCGCCAACGGCGCATCTGTTCGAGCAAATGACGGATCTCAATCTTCACCCCGTTCACGTTTATGGTATGACCGAGACGTACGGGCCGATCACCAAGGGATATTTCTTGCCGCAATGGGATCAGATTCCCTTGAAAGAAAAATATCAGAAAATGGCTCGCCAGGGCCATGGTTTCATCACGAGTCTCCCCGCCCGTGTGATCAAAACTGATGTGACCGAGGGAACAGTCATTGATGTCCAGCGAGACGGCAAGGAGATCGGTGAGATTGTATTTGTGGGTAACATCTGTGCCCGCGGTTACTACAAGGACTCTGAGGCCACCCGAAAACTGTTTGCTGGGGGTGTATTGCACTCTGGAGATTTGGCAGTATGGCACCCAGACGGCGCCATTCAAATCCTCGATCGTGCTAAGGATATCATCATCAGTGGTCAGTATCTACTCATGAAGAATTCTCTCTAGTCTGAGATACTAACATGAAGCAGGCGGCGAGAACATCTCGTCTGTTGCCCTTGAATCTATGCTGGTCACCCATCCCGACATCCTCGAAGCGGGTGTGGTCTCCGTCCCGGATAGTCACTGGGGTGAACGGCCACAGGCCTTTGTCACCGTGAAACCAGGGAAAAACTTGGAAGGCGAAGATGTGATTAGCTGGGCTCGCAGCTCCAGCGATATCAGTAAATTCATGATCCCTCGGGAAGTGGTAGTGGTGGATGAATTACCCAAGACCAGTACAGGCAAGATTCGCAAGAACGTGCTGCGAGAGTGGGTGAAAGAGCCTGGAAAGAATACTAACTAAGACTGCGAGGTCTATCGGTCCAAAGAGTTCATGTTTAGATCTGATTTCAACATTTGAAGATAGATAGCGATTTTAGGGGAGATTTGGACATTCCAACCATATTTACATGACTTCATCGGTGCTTACAATTATATATCCACCTCGTGGGGGGTTTAACAATCAGCGGGCATCAGCTGCACGAGATCAGATCAAGCGACTCATCACATCATGAGTTATTTCCCCAGGGCTAGTGATAGTCATCCATGATCTATTTATATTTCTCTTTTAATAGTATTCCATTTCCCCTCATTTAGTGACGACTAACTAAACCCTGACCATCTTATCACTCGATAAGCAGTGGCTTGGCACTCCACGAACCGGCCCCATCGCCTCATCCTCCCCCTCCATTTACCTCTCTCCTTCACACCCTGCATTCAGGCGATCTCCAAACCAGGGGGGTACATCTGCAGGTGATGCACTACTGCCCTTTGTCATAAACATTTCGGAACGCCACTCCCTTTCCTGCAACTACGCGCTGCGGATCCCACACTACGACATCACCTTCTCTCTCGCCCCATCGGGTTACCGAGAGTACAGGCCCCATCAAGCGTCCTTTGTCAACAAATCCAGCAAAGACTCAAACTAGCGATCCTAAAACTAAAACTCCTAGAAAGGACCCGCCGTCCAAGTTCTTTGCTGCAATCTCCAAGTCCGCACACGCACACCGCCCATGCAGACATCATTCTGCGAGTGATGAGACCCTAGCCCTGCGACAATCCCAAGCCACCTCATATTGGATACCCAACTCTTAACCCCCGCTCATAAAGGCTGCCAAAATGCCCCGCCAAAGACCTACTGCTCGATTGCCGAGCGAAGCACCCTCCGAAACCTCTTCCTCAACGTCACCGGAACGCGCCGCAGATGACGACACAGACTTCTTTATGGCCCAGGCCAACGATTCACAATCCTCGATTGGTGTCGCCAATTTTCGTGACCTCCGCGTGCAGAACAGCCAATCTGTTCCAGTGTCCCCGATCGGCCGCCTTCCGCCCGAGATCCTGATCGCGATCTTTTCAAAACTGGTGTCCCCGGTGGACATGCTGAACTGCATGTTAGTCAGCCGCAACTGGGCTGCCAACTCGGTCGGAATCTTATGGCACCGACCATCCTGTGGTAACTGGGATAATTTGAAGAGCGTGGCTTCTTCTGTGGGTAACCCAGAGAGCCTATTCACATACGCAGACCTCATTAAGCGACTCAACCTGTCCGCTTTGGCGCGTGATGTCAGCGATGGGACTGTTGTTCCCTTTACACAGTGCAAGCGCGTTGAGCGTCTGACTTTGACAAATTGCTCCGAACTCTCGGACAAGGGTGTTTCAGATCTGGTTGAGGGCAACCGGCATCTGCAAGCATTGGATGTCTCAGATTTGCGACACTTGACCGATCACACCCTCTATACGGTAGCAAGAAATTGTCCGCGTCTACAGGGCCTCAATGTTACCGGCTGTAACCGGGTGACTGATGACTCGCTACTCGTGGTATCACAAAGCTGTCGCCATATTAAAAGGCTAAAGCTCAACGGCGTTACTCTTGTCACTGATCGGTCAATTCTGTCCTTTGCAGAGAACTGCCCAGCGATCTTAGAGATCGATCTTCATGACTGCAAGCTTGTGACCAGTCCGTCAGTAACGGCCCTCATTACCACCCTTCGTCACCTTCGAGAGTTGCGCCTTGCACACTGCATTGACATTGATGACTCGGCATTTTTAAACCTACCCGAGGGAAGAACATTTGACAGTCTACGAATCCTAGATCTCACAGCATGTGAGGAAGTCAAAGATGATGCTGTGGAGCGTATTGTCAACGCCGCACCTCGTCTGCGAAACCTGGTACTGGCTAAGTGCCGCTTTATCACAGATCGCTCAGTACAAGCCATCTGTAAACTGGGCAAGAACCTCCACTACGTGCATCTTGGCCACTGCTCCAATATCACTGATATTGCGGTCATGCAGCTCATCAGGGCTTGTAACCGTATTCGATATATCGACCTGGCTTGCTGCAATCGCCTGACCGACGCGAGTATACAGCAGTTGGCTAGCCTGCCCAAGTTGCGCCGTATTGGTCTGGTCAAATGCGTAAATATTACGGATTTGAGCATCAAGGCGTTTGCACGCCGTCGAAGCAACCCGTCGGTCAGTAGCCTGGAGCGTGTCCACCTTAGTTACTGCACTGGGCTTAGCATGAATGTAAGTTGTATTGTGACCCGCCTGGAGATTCTATGCTAATATTGGTCACTTCCAGTCTATTCGGCCTTTGATCAATGAGTGTCCGCGACTCACTCATTTGAGTCTGACAGGAGTCCCGGAGTTCTTGAGCCCGGCCCTCACTAAGTTTTGCCGAGAAGCCCCACCGGAGTTTACGCAACAACAGAGGGATGTATTCTGTGTATTCAGTGGGGATGGTGTGTCCCAACTCCGGGACTTCTTGAACCGAGATGAAACCGAAGCCACCATGTACGATGACGATGACGAGTTGGACGAAGATGCGGGTCAGATGACCGGACTTATGGATGCTACGGGCATCAACGATGAAGATTACATCGATGTCGAAACACTTCCATGATTGATACCCCCCTGCTTTCCTTCTTGCTTGTCTCAATTATCATACAGGAGGCTCTTTATCAGTTTGTTTCATCGGGTTTCTTTCTTTACCCCAGTTTTGGTTACCTCTATTCCACAGGGCTTTTTAAATACCAGGCCCAAGAATGAGGATTACATACAGGTCATATTTCTACCCATATGAGCGAACATTACCCTCTACGTTACCCATCAGCTTCCCCATCAGTGTTGGTCCTCGGAAATGCATATTCTCTGTTAGCGAAAGGGAGCAAGTTCTTTTTCTTTAAATCCCACTGGACTATGTGAAGTTATCAAATTTATGCACGGATATGACTTATGCTTTGGTATTCCTTGGTTTGTAGTTTTGTAAAATGTAGTGTTAAGTTGTAGATTGGCGTCATCGGTGCCTTCAGTTGGCGGTAACGTCCGAGCTCCTCTCCCCGCATTCTTGCTCCAACTTCAACCTCCTGCAACGCCACTAGGTGCAACCCCCCATGGCTCTCCCAAAGGCCAAAAACCCCCTGGCCTTTACGCCATGGCCGGTGACGATTATCATTACTGTGGTGTATCTGGCCCTACTCATCCCTGTGATCGTCATCCACGAAAATGTCCCGGCCGCACCCCGAACAAGCCCCAAGGGCCTGGACCTGACCGAAGCTTGGTCAGACCTGCAGACTCTGACCGAGGGATTCCATCCGTACAATTCTCACAAAAATGACGAAGTCCGATCTTGGCTGCTTGATCGCATCGACGCGATTCACTCATCTTCCGTCGCAGAAGCCGCAGTCGCAAACGAGACCACACCAGAAGTCTTCGTGTTCGACGACCTTACCTCGAACCTGACTTCGGTCGACGGCCAAACTGGAGTGTATTTTGAAGGAAATAACATCCTCGTCTACATCCGCGGTTGGGAAGATAAACAAGAGAACTGGTGGGAGACCCCCGGTAAAACTCCCGCAGGAAAGGGTGGTGTACTCGTCAACGCGCATTTCGACAGCGTTTCGACCGGATACGGTGCTACAGATGATGGCGTTGGCGTTGTAACTTGCCTTCAGCTTATCCGTTACTTCACGACGCCTGAGCATGCGCCGCGCCGCGGACTGGTGGTGCTGTTCAACAACGGCGAGGAGGATTACTTGAATGGTGCACGCGCATACAGCCAACACCCGATGGCTAAGTTTGCGCATACATTTGTTAATCTTGAGGGAGCGGGTGCTGGTGGCCGTGCTACGTTGTTCCGGAGCTCGGACACGGAGGTTACGCAAGCATATGCGAAATCGAAGTCTCCCTTCGGGTCGGTTTTGAGTGCCAACGGGTTCCAGAAGGGGCTTGTCAAGAGTCAGACGGATTATGTGGTTTTCCAGGGTATGCTGGGTCTGCGTGGCCTAGATGTCGCCTTTTTCGAGCCTAGAGCTCGATATCATACCGATCAGGATGATTCGCGACACACCAGCATGGACTCATTGTGGCATATGCTATCTACTGCTGTTGCTTCTACCCAGGATTTGGTTTCAGACTCGAGTGATCGGTTTGATGGTCATGTTCGGGATGATGGCCTTGTGCCGAGCGGGACAGGTACTGATGCCGTCTGGTTTGATCTCTTTGGCAGTACATTTGCTGTGTTCCGTACGCATACGCTTTTCGCGCTGTCAGTGACTCTGCTGATTGTGGCGCCTTTGACGCTGCTGGCAACTAGCCTGGCTTTGTCTAAGGCTGATAAGATGTACCTTTTCCGTTCTTCTGTGCGGGTGGATATCAGCGACGAAACAGTACCACTTCAAGGCCTGCGCGGCCTCTTCCGGTTCCCGTTTCTCATTGCTATCCCTACAGGTGTTACGGTGGGCCTCGCCTACTTGGTCACGAAGATCAATCCCTATATTGTGCATAGTAGTTCATACGCCGTGTGGAGTATGATGGTTTCTGCCTGGTTCTTCTTAGCCTGGTTTGTGTCCTGCGTTGCGGACTTTTCACGACCGTCGGCACTCCACCGAGTCTACACGTGGACTTGGATGTTCGTTCTGACCTGGGCTTTACTGGTCGTTGCCACTGTCTATGTGCACGAGGAAGGGCTTGCTGGTGGTTACTTTATGTTCTTCTACTTTGCGGGTACCTTTTTGGCAACCTGGATATCATACCTTGAGCTTTTCTCTCTGCCTACAAAGTCGGAATACATCGGTTATACTGCCCAGGAATCTCGGCGACCCAGCGGGTTTGGCACCTCGTCTGGGGACGAGCACCATGATGACGATGAGATTGAGGAGGGGGAGCCGACAGAATCTACCTCCCTGCTTCGTAACCAGCAGCGGACTACATTCGCCAACTACGTCAATGTTGGTAGTCATGCCGATGAAGACGAGGAAGAGGAGTACGATCCTAACGTGTATGGACACGAGCAAAAATGGAGCGCTTCGATGCCTAGTTGGACCTGGATCCTGCAGTTGCTTCTTACAGCTCCTATCATTCTGATTCTGGTAGCCCCACTCGCACTTTTATTAACCAGTGCTCTTCACCAAACAGGTCAGGATGGCAACCCCTCGTTGTTTGTGTACATGTGCATCGCCAGTCTGACAGCCGTGCTATTCATGCCGATGCTGCCATTTATCCACCGCTACACCTACCACATCCCTATCTTCTTGTTCTTTGTTCTACTTGGCACTCTCATATACAACCTCATCGCATTCCCATTCTCAGATGCCAACCGCGTCAAACTGTACTTCTCCCAACAAGTTGACTTGGACCTTGGGAACTCAACCGCCTATCTGACTGGCGTCCTTCCCTTCGTGGAAGACGTGGTCAGAGGCCTTCCCAGCGCTGCTGGTCAGACTGACTGCGTTTGGAATGACGCTCTTAGCCGTTCGCAGTGCTCTTGGACTGGCCCAGAGCCCCATGTTGTCCCCAGTGACGATGTGTCTAGTACTTCGCTTTCTCCATCCTCAGAATGGGTCTCCTTCACTACAGAGTCTACCGGAAAATCCTCCATGCGCTTTGAGATATCAGGCCAGAACACCCGCTCCTGTCGCATCACTATGGACGGCCACACCGTCACAAACTTTAACGTCCTCGGTGGCTCTGAGCCTGATCACCGCTTCCTCCACCCATCTCAAGATGGTATTCATGAAATCCGTCTATGGAGTCGCACTTGGCAGAATAAGTGGACCGTGGACGTTAAATTCGCCGAAAAGGAGAATGATACCCCTACTGCCGAGGAGACAACCCCAATCTCGGGTCGTGTTTCCTGTATTTGGAGTGACAATAATACCCCCGGTCTTATTCCTGCCCTCGACGAGCTGAGGAAGTTTGCACCTTCCTGGGCCGCCGTGACCAAGTTGACTGATGGGCTGGTGGAAGGATATCGGAAGTTTGAGCTGGAGCGAACGAGCTCTGGAGAATTGCAGCGGATTGACTTGCTGTGAGATTGTTGTATTGTTTTAGGTGATTCCCTGAATCTCTGTATCGTTCTTGGGCAACAACCTAAAGATATTTTCATTACCGGGAGGGTATCTGTCTACATCGTGTACGCCATAGTCATACCAATAATCATTCTTTCGGTGACTACATAAGCATGTGATTTAATCCTGCTCAAATTACCATTTTTTGCCGTGCGACAAAAAGACAGATATTGCGCCAATAGGCAGATATTAGCCACGATCCTGGGAATTTCCTGGCTGAGTCAATCCCGCTAGACCATTGGCCCTTCCCGATAGAACTTTTCATTATACCAATCATATAATCGAAAAACTTCACAGAAGAGACCGTATCTGTTAAATCATCCATCCATTCTGGTCATGCTTACCTCCCAAACTCATTGAAAATTCGCATTCCTCGAAACAGCCAAAAAAGCAAGAGACCAAAGCTGCCGGATATCAGATTCTAGTAAGATCAGCACAATCCTAACCACCACATAGATACTCAGAATATTCAACTTACCAGTCTGACCCGAAAGCCCAGGCGGCGGCGGCAAATCGACCAACTGCGTTACCTGAAACTTGCCATCCGAATAGACCCAAGACCACATCTCCGTCGAAAGCTGATCATTGTTCAACTCAATCGAATCCCAAAGCACATTATATGCAGCTTTAACATTATCAAAGATAGAATTATCGGTGCAGAAATCCGGCGCAGCCACAACCCTCTTCTTGGCGGAGGGTACAGAAAAGTTAGCTGTAACCTCGCACCGGCCCATTTGCAACTCAAGCCCCTTTGCCATCATAGCTAGCTGCCACGACCAAACGACTGTCCCGTGGTACGCACCCGTCGTCCAGTTACTTGCATAAACGGGATCACCGCCGAAGGCCGGATTTGCGATTAGCATTCCCACATCGGTCATCAAACCAGCTGGGAACGTGCGCCGGATGTTAGTAGCGGTTGCATTGAGCAACTTGGAGAGCTGGGCGTTGTTTGTTGTGTTCAGGAGGTAGTGTCGGAAACAGTCGTCTGTGTGCATTACGTTCACTTTTGACAAATTGTTATACCCATCGAGAGATATGGAATAGAATGTGAGATCTGAGTCGATTGAGGAGTATTGATCTGGTCCTGCAAACGAGGAAGCGTTTTTGTATGATTTGACGAGCGTTTGGGCTTCAGATTGTGGAATCGTGACTTCGAAGAATTGAAGGGTATTGTCTTCCCATATTTGCGCGTATTGGTCTGCTAATTGGCTCCACTGTTGTTTGTTCTTGTAGATGCCTCCCCGGGCGAGTAAGGCTATGGAGCGGAGAGCTGCTGGGGCGAGAGCTGTGTTTACGTCGAAGGGAATGCGGCCTCCGCCGATACCTTGCTAATGTTAGTTCTTGGTCTTTGGAAGTAAGAGTGGTGCGTTTACCGAACTCGCTATCTCGCCATTGGCCAACGGGTTGTCCTTGTTTCAGGTGAATTAGATTTTTTTTGGTTTGGTTTTGGGCAAATGGAGCTGTGAGGCGCATTATGCGCTCGGCGTTGATGAGAGCCAGTTGGCCCCAGGTTAGATTCTGATTTGCTGCGTTGATGGACCCTGCCGTTGTGCTATAGAGTTCGTTTTAGACTGTGCATTTCAGTACGAAGGTTAGGAGCTTACTTGAAGAATACTGAAGCTCGCTTTTGGCCAACTGGGTTGTCTAGGAAATAGCGCTGCATCAGGACGGGCAGATAGTAGTCTGGGTCAACCTGGATTATTGTTAGAGGGCTTCTACACATTAGATATGGGCTAGTGGAATGCAAGTTTCATAAAAAGAGCGTGAAAGTAGTACATACCATTCCATAAGTACAGACCATGGCGCTACTAGTGATATTATCTTGCAGATTGGTCCAAGTCGCGTAGTCGCTAGCAAATGTCAGTATGCATTTATAAGTGAATAGTGAGCAACTCACCCAATGGTCTCTTCATGACAAACACTGCCATCAGACCGGTTGACACGCTCCAACACAGCACCCAGGACAGCCTCCATAGCTGTTCCATTTCCGGTGCTTAAAACGGACTCTAACAGAAGCGCAGAGATCATCGAGTCCCGCCCAAAATACGTCAGGAACCGCCAAGCCCCTGCAAGCAATTTCTCAGAGTACGATAGGAAAGAGAGCGCAGTTGTCTGATCGGGCATGGTGGTAGTCAGATATGTAGACTGATTATTCAGTACTGCATCTGGCTTCAATGATGCGAGTTGTGGATAGTTAAATTGTGCTGTGAACAGATACTCGCCTGCTCCGAATTCCAGTGTACCGTTAGCAACTGTGACAGTCGAATTGCCACTGGTGAAGCCATTAATCCGAGGATGAAAAGAAAGACTCGTAGTAGTGACATTATCGAACCACTGCCGCTCGACCGAGGCACTTCCATCACTGTTGGTAGTATACTTATTGGCATTCTGAATCTCTGGGTAGAGGATACTAGCACCCTCAACGAAGTCTCGGATGGTGCGAATACTCCCCAAGATAGGTAGAGAGAGGACAGCGGATGAGTTGAATCTTATAATCCCTTGAACACCCACATTGGGATAGTTGCTTGTTGCAGAAGCATTATAAACCGGTGCTAATGGCTGTCCGATTGTCGAGTTCACCAGTTCAACTGATAGAGTTCCGTTGACTCCATCCTGGGGCGCAAAGAAGGTACATATACCACTGTTACCCGCGGGCCAGGCAACGATTAGACGTGGGACGATGGTGGATAGATTGCTGTCCGGCAAAGGACTAGTGACTACCACCTGGGCGGCAACATTACAGTCAGAGTAAAAGTAGTTACTGTAGGGCGGATCACTGAGAGACAATGTCGAAGCTGAATTTGTGCATGGCGGTGCAGAAGAGCGAGAATGAAGATGCTGTTTTCTGTTTAGTATGATGGGATGGAGGTGAATATGATGGTTCTGCGCCACTCACTACATCACCACTCACTATAGCGGCGGATGCCGTTATACCCAGTAGGGAGAGCTTCATTCGAATTTTCATGGTGCAATGATGCTGCAAATCTGCAGATAGAAGGAACAAATTTGGTCATGGCCTATTTATGCCGTGCAACGTAGTAATGGGATGGACCTGATCATGACGAAAAGTGGGTATTTCCCCACGGGGATTGTGGAGTTGCAGGTGCGAAGGTTCATGGTTCCCGATATTTCTCCGCGCCATCGACGTCTGCGAAGCTGGCCGGACTTGGAAGGTGCTTAGGGAATGTAAACTCTAAGTCAATTCCCATTAAGCTTATTTAGCGTATTGCATTAGGTGTCTCAGAGAATATCTTCATCTAATACTATATCTACATTCAGCTTTGACATTCTGGAGGGTTATACAAATCACGTGGAAAGTATCACCATGGACTGTATGCCAGGCCAAAGGCTCGATCGAGTATGGGAAACACTAAGCATAGACCAGATAACCTCAACCACCGACGAGCTCCGTTCCTACTTCAATCAACTTCGCGCCTTGAAAGGCGACTACATTGGGCTGTGGATCGTGGCGAGGCTATGATTGGACCGAATCCATCGATTAAAGGCGGACCTTTTCAGACTGAAAAGGCATTCAATGGATATCTCGTACGGGAGATTTTACCCTTGGCAACATGGATCCTACATGTAGGCATGGGCTTTCTTTGGGAGATCCTAAGGCACTAGCTCACTCAGAACCACTGCAATACCGTTTTAATAATTCTCTAGGTACAAAGTGAATAAATGAAGCAATCTATAAGACAATATTATTCAGAAATTACCACCCGGGAGGCTCATATATCGGATAGCACAGTACGTATATTGAACAAAAGTCAAAGCGACAAGGACAACTCCGTAGAGCCCCATTCGCTTGGTATCACAAGCGTGTATATACAAAACAAAATTGACATGACATCCAAACCACGAGAATCCTTCAGCGAGTATAGGTTCAGTACTTCACCTGGACATGACTTATACCAAGATATGGAAGCATAAGGATAACCGAGAATTCGAGGGCCGGACGCAGAGCCCGGGTGCAGAAGCAGCGCGGATGGGGATATCCTCATCGCAGCCGTACTTCGGAGGTAAGTGATAGGTTGTTGGGATATCACTGGTCACAAGGACAAGGAGGCATGTCTCATTCATAAGTCATGATTCATTAAAGAGATTAAAATAAGGCTTAGTAGACCGAGTCCGCCTTACCCTGGTTTCCGTGGTTTTTCGGATAACCGAGACGAGTGTCGCTGGTATCGAACAAATGGATTCGTAAAATCCATAGGGCGCACCGCATGACTTTCGCCAGATGCGTCAGAGGAGTTGGTGGGAGGCGAATGCTCGAACATCGCGATGGAGATATCATCGGCGTCCATCCAGTCTGGAGTCCGGTGATTTTTTGTTGTGGTAGCGTGGGTGACGTCGGAAGGGACTCGGGTTGCGTCGACAAAGTCGGGGAGATTTTCGGGTCCGGAGAAGGATTCGGGTTTCCAGACGTGGTTGTGGACTAGGTGGACGAGTTTACCCAGGACTGCGAACTCAAGCTTCAGTTTGATACTATAGACGGCGCCCTTGAGCATGGTCTCCATGATATAATAGTTCATGTATTCGGCGACCAGTAATCCTAGATCTAGGATGATAATAATTGTGTTGATGATGAGGAGCTGCCACTGAATCTTGCGCTTGGTGCGGTCCGGGTCGAGACGTAACATGCGCACTGTTTCCCAGATGTATAGGCCCGAAATGATAAACTCTTGAATACAGAAGCCGGTCATCTGTATTTTCTCCATAACATTATATCCACGAATATATGGGGCGTTGGGTTTGGCCAGGTTGGTGCCATAGGTTAGGACGGTGGTTGGAATATGCAGCGCGATGGCGTTGACAATGATCATCGTTAAAACGCGCCGTAGGACCCGATGATTCGATATCACCAAATGCAGGCGCGAATATAAGACGATCGATTGGCCTGTGACCATACACCACCATCCGATAGTAAGTAAAGTGACCGGAAGCCATGTTGCAGAGGTGAGGTCGAAGAACTTCATGAGGAATCCCAGCGAGTAAGGGACTAGACCGATCGACGACGAAATAAGTAAACTCCAGAAGTATAGACCCCGATATTGCGCGAATGTGACGAAGAGGAGGGTGACTAGTTCAAATGCATTATACCAAGTGACTCCCGCTAGAGTCGCGATGGTGATCTGCATACCAAGTGAGCTGCCCCTATAGCCGCCGGTGATGCCATCTCCGGCGGCGGTTATATTAACCATGACTGATGGTTCTTAGGGAGGGTGCATTCTGCGTGAAAGGTGCGAAAGAGAGGAATCAGGTGAGGATAGATTGGATATGTGGGGAGAAATAAGCCCTGGGCGCACGGTTGCGGGGGGGGCGTAAAGAAAGAGGTCAATGAGGACTGTAAAAACCAGATCGGAAATGGCCCGGGGGCTTAAACAAAGTGCAGGATTCGATCCTGCGCCATACTACTTTGGTATATACCGTAATGTACTTGATTTTTAGACTGCCAAGATTCTTTGATCTGTTTAGTTGCGCGTCTTTCTTTGATGCCCAAACTTTGATATTGGAGAGTTGATATTCTTGCTCGTATACTAGAACATTCGGAGTTCGGGGGCCAAAGACATAGAAATTAACCGTGTCTTGGATGAATGCACGTGTACCGGGGATGCGGTGACTTCATCAATACCTGTATTTCACCCCGGAAATGCGCGTGGCTTGAACCACAATCCGGCCTTAGCGCAAGGATCAGTGGGGGCCTCATCCAGGCGGGTCTCGCCTTTTTACGGGAGCAAGGAGTCCCAGTTTAAAATGCAGTCCTATTTCTTCCGCAATTTGAACTCTATTGACTTATACCGCTCATCAAGAAAGACCAAAGGCAATCTGTGGGATTATGGGGAAAGCTGATCAAATCCCGGGGCAAAAGCTGGGGCAAAAAGCGGTCTGCCCCACACATATGGGATGCAACGTATGCATATAATCAGAATAATCATCGAAGGATATTGGTGGAGTCTTAGGCTATAGAGCCGCCTGATCGGATCCATCGACTTGGTCAGTACCAGACATGCAGGTTCCAAGGTTGTATTTGTCGGTTACGGGCCCGCATTGGCCTCCACGCGAGCTCCAGCACAACGAGTCAGGGCACGGTCACAATAGTCACAGGCATAGTTAGTGATGCTGTGTCCCAGTCTGAAACGCTACAAAAGGTGTCATTGAGAGCGGACTTTCCATTTCACCGCCACTCCTCTCCCTTTCATGACTCTACTCGGCGAAGACCGGAGACTGAAAGCAATTCTGGAAACTTTAAAACACATTTAATGCCTCACTCAAATGCCGACTGGAATAAAGCAGTCTATACCCCACACAGGGCACCAGGGGTATTTATTTATCTTAGCGGCTCGTCCGCGCCCGTTATCCCGCGCCCGCACCGACCTGCCTTTCCAAGATTTTGCCACTGCGATTCAAGTCCAAGCTCATGAAATCTCCGAGATCAACATAATTACGTAGATTGAAGATAGATGCTCGCAATCTTTCGAATAAGTGTTCTCTTAGGCTAGCTAGTCATAGTTTCAATCAACGATAAGCACTTGAGAACGATCGTGTGTAGGGGATACAAAATGCAAACAACTGGAATTGACATGAAAACAGCTTAGCGCCCACGAAGACTGTATTTCAAACGACAGCAAAGCCTCTGCAAGTGCCATTAAATTCCAATTGCAACACTAAAATCTCTCTACTCCGTACAGTATACCTATAGGTGAAGAAGGGGGGGGAAGAGCACACGCGTGCTGGCTACAACAGGATCTTCGAATGACGTCAATCAATCTAAACAACTAAACAAACCGATCACGGGTTGCGCCATGACTCAATGCTCGAGAAAGTTATGTCCCAAGCCCTAGTTGATTGCTAGAGCCTTATAATGAAGAGAATGTTGCAAGTATTGACCATCGTCGAAATCTCATTCGCAGCATGATTCTCGCATGGAAAATGCTTATGCATACAGCATACATGAAAACGAGCCCTAGATCACTCGTTCGACTCGAAATGAATATATGTTAATAGTCCACAGCAAGCGTTTGGTATTCATGAAGGCAGTTGCCTTGTCAGCTATGATCTGCACTGCAACACCCTCAGCATGAGTGGCCTTTTGAGGCCCTCGGTGGATAAAGTGCGAGAACGTATGCCTTTCCTACATTGCGCTCGCGGAATTTCAAACACTGCTCCTCTCCAGGTGCCTTTTCTCGAACGGGTACCGAGGATATTATCTTGAAATGACCCGGCGCACATGAAGGTAAGAATTCTGAGTACGTATACCGGCACGGCCCGGTCCGAACGCCGCCAGAGATAGGGATAAGCCACATGGTTAACCCTACTTAAAGTAGGCATGTCTACCAAATACAGAGGTATCACCGCCGAAATAGGAGTATAGCAGAAAAGGCTAATTGGACTGACTTATAAGTCGCTCAAAGCAAGATTATCTCCCGAACCACGAGGCTGGTAAAAGGCCTAGAAATACTGTGGTAGAAACTTGAAGGGTACTCCAGCCGGCTCATGGGACTGCACCACCTGAGCATCCTGCAAAGGATATGTTGGTATGTTCACAATCCACAGCTTACCATGAAGGCTTGATTGTGACACGTAAGCTTGCCAGCTTGCTCTGGACATATCGGATTCAATTGCCTAAAGCGCCAGATGCCAACAGTCGGTCGTCGGAAAAGAAGGCCACCGATTGAATCCCATAAATAGTCTACTTTGTATATGAGCTACTGAAGAGGAGCAAAGACTGGACTCAGAAAAACAAAAGTGGTATTCTGAAATGATTCAGAAAGTCAGAGGATGTAGAGCTGGAGAAGCTTCGGAGGAACGCACCGGTCCCACTTAGAGTGTAAGCATTATGGTCTGATATAGCACGCATGAAACCCCATATCCGAACCGTCCTATCAAAGGGATTGGATGCTAGTGGAATGATTTGCCCCTCCTTCATCTGTTGCAGTGATGCAGTCTGGCGCCAAAGGCAGTCCGGACCAGAGTCCGCTGTAACGTGGGGTCCATCTCACAACTATGAAGGTCACTCTTGGCCGATGTAGCGAGAGGCTTTGAGATATCATAAAGAGGTCAAGCACTCAGTGGCCCATTGGCAAGCTTGCCACCCGTGTTATCTCCTAATTTGGTAACTGCAGCCAAGAGACGAGAGCCAATCTGGCCATTTATAGTCATAGCCATCCATCTTTTGCTGCTGCGGCGGCTGCTCGTCGCACCATGTAAGGCGTACCGCGCCAAGCCAAATCAATCCCTTAAGCAAGGAGTCGCGGACTCGGGCTCAACATCCGCTCATAGTCCCCGATTTGATCATCACATGTAGTATTGTACTTCCGGTCACTGTGCGGCTCCAGCCCCAGCCCCAGCGTCGTGATCAACACTGCCCCCTGTCGTAGCAACAACGCGATCCACCTCACCACGACACTCAGGCATCGCACTCCGCATCTCACGGGCCAAAACGTCTCGGAAGCCAGCGAAAGCCTCGCGCTTTCCCTTCAAATCTTGGTTTCCGCGCTGCACCAGCTCCACGAACTCACGGGTGTAGATGTCTGGATTGCGCGCGGAGTCCACGTAATCAATGATCTCTGGGGGAAGCTGGATGCTGGCAAGTGAGGGGTTGGAGGGATCGTTGGATTGGCCGTCGGGCGCCTGGTCTGTATCTTGGGTGTGGCTGGAAAGGGTGGAGAGTGTAAGGGTAAGGTTTTTGCTGGGGCCTTGTTAGTCTCGTGCGCTTCAGGAGAATTGCTTGTCCAGATATTGTTGAACGTACATTTTGCGCACCAGCTCTTGTTGGGTCTCTGGGCCTAGATAGCCGTGTACGGCGGATTGAATTTCGAAGAGGTGCTGGATTGCGTCCTTGAGGTCATCTGTGGTCACTTGTTAGCCCCGTTGAATTTCTAGACTTGCTCTATCACTTACTATCGACCGTTTTCAGTGTGACTGGAGCCATGATGACAAGGTAATTGGAAGAATACAGTTACTCGCCAGTTGCGCGCAATGAAGTTTCGCGGAGGTGGAGAAGGCGGTGTGAGGGATGAAGGTCCTGATAAGAGAACTTTATCGCGATACGCAAGGAGTAAAGTGAGGTAAAGCTAGGTCGGAACATGGTTCATCTAATTCCTCCAGGTTCTAAAGCAAAGTGCCTGATTAAAATTCTTTAAGTGCTCCAGATAGTCCAGTCATGTCCAATATGTCACTTGTCTATATATGCATCGCCGTACAAGATCATACATTCCCGAGGCCAAGTCACGCCCAATTCGGGCAGAACACGCTAAAGTGCACACGAAAATCACATCAATCGACATCTCTTTACACTTCTCGGGTCCGCAGCTTCGGGAACTTAGGGAGCTCGATTTCCGTCTCCATTTCTATCCCAGAAAGGCTAGGGAATCGCCGGCTGAAATTGGCTTCCCAGTCTTCCCCGCCCGGGCCCGCCGATGACTGCTGGAAAGATGGACTGCGGTCTTGGCTGGTACTGGTGGCTGGTCGGGAGCTCTCCTGTGTTCCGACACGCAAATTCTTCGGCTTGGGTGGCGCAAGTGGGCGTGTCGTCGCGGGGCGTGGCGTAGAAGAGGCAGTAGATTGGGGAAGGCCTGAAGAAGCAGCGGCTCCATCCTGGCGATCTGGCGGAGCTGAGACAACTGCTTCATGCCTGCTGTAGACAGGACCGGAAGTTTTGGAACTGGGCAGTGTACCAGTATTCGAGGATTGTACGTTATCCTGCTTTGCCTGCAAAGCAGTGGTGTCGGTGTATTTCCCATAGCCAGTTGCGGATTTGGGAACAGCCGCTGGCTTTTGAGTCTCACTGAGCAATGTCTGGACTCTGTTCTGAATCACACGAGACCGCGCTCCATCAGTGCCAGCTCTGCCACCTCCGTCTTCAGCTACGCGGCGCCGGTATTCAGCTGCAGCATTGGCCACACGCTTCTCTTCCTGGGAAAGACGACGGCGTTCTAGCTCACGGCGCATTTCCGGGGAGATGTCTTCACGTTCCAGGTCATCCAGAGGGTCGTCGTGATACGGCGAGAAACTTTCGGTAGGTGAATCTACACTTTCTGAGCTGCCGACAGTTTGTTGCTGCGAGGGAAACTCTTCAGCTGATGGAGTTGTGGGCTTGTCCGGATTGCTGCTCTCGAAACGGCGGAATGCATCACCAAATCGGCCTGCAAACAAGTTTTTGCTTCCAGAAAAGGATAGTGTAGACAAGCTGCTGCGCTTACTGTGCTTAGCTCCACTGCTGACACGTTTATCACGCTTTCGGTTGCTCTCTTCCTCCTCTTTAAGTCGTAGATAGTCCATATCCGACGATATATTGGGCTGGTCATAGTCTCGGTCCAATTCCGCTCGAGAGGGGCGATTTGGCGCGCCGCCCTCATAGCGTGAGAGGTCTAGGGACGAGCGTGAAGCCTCGTGATCGCGGGGCAAATCATATCGGGTCGAACCCTGGACTGAAACTGGACGAGCTTTGCCAACCGCAGACCTCGACCGAGCTGCCGGCTGTTTGACATCTAGTGTTGAAGTTCGTCGCAATGTCTCCATAGAAGGACGCGCGGAGTTGGAATGGTGAGATAGTTGGTCAGATGACAATCGTGGGCTGGATTCTGGTCTTAAACTCGAGGAGGGGGGCGATGGGGCCTTCTGTTCCTCTGGAGACCAAGGCTGACTCGCGGGCCGTTGCTCCTCTTGTGGCGGGAAACGGTAAATTGGGCGACTGGACAGCTTCGCTTCTGGAAGACGAGGAGTCTGGGCAGGTGATGTCATTGTACCCGTTGACACCATTGCGGGTCGCGTAGGCGTGGGCTGGTACAGTGGAGCGGATTGCCGAATAGGAACTTCTTGAGGCTTGGGTGCTCGGACAGGCGATGCCTGTGATTGCCGACTCGCAGCCACTTCTTGTCGTTCAGGGGAAGATCGCCGAGCAAAAGCTTCATCAGCCAAATGATTAGTGAGTCTCTGTGAGAGGTCCTCATCCTCAGGGATAGACTCTTTAGGAGTTGGCTCAAAATCAAATTTGTCTCCCGTTTCGTGTAGGATGTCAAACTGCTCCAATGAAGGGAACCGCTTAGCTGCTTCGTCCGCAGCCTTCTTCCCCCGGCCATCCAAAGCCGCAAATGGGTCAGACGATGTGTTGGGGGAACCGCGGTAGGGAGAAGGACTAGGTTTGGCAGAGTCATGTTGGGACTGAGGCTTCCCAGGCCGACCTCGTCGCATAGGCGCAATCTCAGGGATGATCTGCGTCTCTTGCATAGGAGGCGTGAATTTCGCGCCCACTGCAGGGGCCTCTACGGGCGTAGGAGGCAACTCCTGGTGCTTTCGTGCTTCAGAGACGGATCGGTTGGAGTAGATCTAGACGTGTCAGTATTCAAAACAGACTGATGTACCAAAATAGGGAACGAACATCTCGAATAGGAACTTCTTTTCCTTGCATCTTACACACTTCCTTCACCACTTCGTAGATGTTCGGGCGCTTGGAGGGGAGCTCCTTGAGCATCGATGCTGTTGAAATTAGTCATAAGCCCTGCTTCAGGCGTTTTAAGGATCAAACTCACCAATGAACAGCTTTAACCGATCTGAGAACTGAGGGTATGCGGGGTACTTGAAAGTGGCGTTCAGAATGGCCATTTGGCCAACTTCTTCGAAGGGGGTTGTATAGTAACATAATTTGTACAAGAACACACCAAGAGCCCAGATATCGCTCTTCTCATCAATGGGCTGCTTCCGATAGACGTCAATCATCTCCGGGCTTCGGTACTGCAGAGTCGTGTGTCGCTGCACGTCATCCTCAATCAATCGACCCTCCGCAGCGGATGTAGCAGCAGGCCGAGGAGGAGCCGAGGATCCAAAGTCGCACAGTTTATAGCAAAGCGAGCCTCCAGTTCGCGAGATCAAGACATTCTCTACTTTGAGGTCGCGATGAAGCAGAGGCGGTTTGAGGTAGTGCATGCAGGCCACACCTTCGGCCACATCTGAGAAGATCTTGATGATCTCCGGCTCTGTCAACCGGTTCTGCAGGCGGGTATTCATGAAGTCAATCAGACCGCCACCCCCGCAGTACTCCATGAGCAGAAACACCTCATACCCGCCCCCACGCAGCTGAGATGCATGCGAATCAATGTATTTCACGATATGCCGGTGGCCCTTGAGCTTCTTCATCGTCTCCACCTCGGTGCGCATGTTTGCCAGAGCCGACTTGTCTGGCACAGCGACGCGCTTCAGCACCGCGGTCTCCGCGCCATCGATGGGTTTCGGAGGTCGCACAACGTAAACGTGAGCAAAGCCACCTTCAGATAGGTACTTCTCTACCACCACGCGGTGGCTGCCCACCTGGACTTTAGTCCCGGGGAGGAAAGTCCCCGCGGGAGCTGTAGCGACCGCGACCGGGTTATACGCAGCGAATTGGCGTGACGGCGCTGCATTTCCCTGGTGGGGCTGGGGAGAGGATTGAAAGGAGGACATGGTATTGGAGGGGGGATTGCCCTTGAGGGGCAGGAGGGCAGACGAGGTCGTTCGGACTATCGACGCAGCATAGGAGACGGAGAGGGATAGATGCCTGGGGGCGAAGAGGACAAGCTGGCGGGGGGAAGAAGAAACAACCGGGGTAGTGCCTGACTACCACGAGCAGGTAAAAAGCCAAAAACTCAGAGCCTCGTCTCAACGTTTAGACGGGGAGATTATGCAGAGGAGGGAATGGATGGAAAGTCGGGGAATACGATCCAATCATCGGGTGCGGGTCACGTTGCGGTTCCTGTCTCCTTGCGGTTTGCAGGTTTGCATACTTAACCACAACTACAGTATATAATGAACTTCTGTAGATCAGCAATTTCTGTCAGGATCTTCGCTTTTTCTTTCTTCTTTCTCTCTTTTTATGATATATGATAGAGTCGACTGTCATGACCAGTGCACCGTGACTCGAACTGGATTGTCTTGATCAGGGTTCCATACCGCCTGCCCCGATCATGGGGCATTCCTCCGCGCTTGGTGGGCATGATGCGGTGGCTGATAATCTCCCTGCAGACACATACTAATACAACAATACCTAGGCATCCTATATAAGTCCAGCTTGTCAAGATCACTGCCAGTCCAGGCTCCTGTCTACAACTTGTGTTTTTATTGGTTTCTTCCACCGTCCTGACTGTATGTCTCGAGTCCCCCGTCATGATGGACCCACTATGCGGGCTATTAGTGCCCCAACACTTGACCGCAAAGTCGACACGGTTTCCAGTCAACCCCTGGGGTTCCCGCCCCCAAATGACTGCAGGAAAGGCATATCTATAGTTCGTGTCTCGCATTGCCTGAACCCATTTTTCTTCCGTGATTTTATATCTTCAGTAAATATGACATGAGCAGATCTGTTTTTCGACTCAAACACTCGTCATAGCGAGACAGCAACGAATAGACTTCAGTAGGAAGATAAACTATACTCAAAGCGTGGCGCATGATCTGCCTGAGGCTAGATGATCGGCTAAGGTAAGCGGTTTACACTATCCCCGATGTGGCAAAACCAAAACAAACACTTTAGGCCATCAATTTGCACTCTTTATCTCGAATCATGGAGGAGATTGAGAGCTGTGCAATTCTCGGGGTGACTAGAATCTTGAATGATTGTGGGAGAATACTCATCTGTCAAAATATTACATCGAGACCGAAAGAATGAATCAAGCAGGGCTTAGACCGAACTGGTATCCCTAGATGCTGTGCCACTGGGTCCAATCTGTCCAGTCAACGGCAGACTTGCCCTCGCGTGGCTTGTAAAGAATTCAACATTTCAATGAAAAAAAGATATCGAATTTCCCGTAAACATTCATTCGATAAGATATCGACTAATGTGACATCGGGACAAACGCGCCCTTGTTTCTGTGTGATGGCCACGTCTTCGCTGCATGGAGCCGCCGATCGTTAGCGGCTCCCACTTTCTCCTAAACAAACCGTCACCCCCATAGCAACACTTCCGGTCCTTCCTCCTCTTGCGACTCTCCATACATTTTCCTGGTTCCACCATCCGGACCCTGAAATTGTTGTTTTCTTGGTCCTTGAATTATATATCTTTATTTTCGAAAACCCCCTCCTATCTGACAAGGCTTCCTGCGCACTGAGTGGCCTAGGGCCTCAGTGCAGATTACTTTCTCAACGAACATGACCTGGCCATCGACTCACATTTGCGCTGAGAACCTGTCCAAATAAAGACTAGCCAGGTCATTTGAATCGACGAGAGGCGCCAGGCACTGGTTTGCTACAGGCGGGGTAATAGGAAACGGCGCAGTGTACGAAAATTTTTGGATATCTACTTTGCCTCGAGCGCCGACTCTCGAATCAGTCGCAACTTTGGATCGATCGCAACTATATACTGAAGCGCGAATCCTGTCATGGATGGACCACCACCCCCTCCGCCGCCCCATGGCGAGAACCCTCATACCACCGAAGGCGAATACCGCAAAGCTTCCGACTTGCCAGATGGGAACTACGATATCTTCGTCATCCCCCCACACTCCTCCGGCTCCGGCTTCCTTTATCTCCCATCCTTGCAAACCAATCGCAACAGCTTCTTCGCAGGTGCCGCAAGTACAATGCTATTGGTCATAGCCTGGTCTTTAATTTCACCGGCGGTCAAAACTTGGTACATTGCTGCTGTCTCCTCTAACGGCAGTGGACATAGTACCATGGCAATGATTGTGGTGGCTTTTGGAGTAGGTATTGCCGGCTGGGTGGCCGGATTATCGCAGTCGCAGATGGACGGCTTCTTTGGAGGAAAGGGCGGAGGCTCCCCTGGAGGCCCTGGAACTGGTGGGTCCAACGCCAACAGTCAGTCCAATGCCAATCAAGGCAATGGGCAGCAGAATCATAGTGGACAGCAGCAGTATAACCCCGGATCGGGACAACAGCGACAGCGATATAGTGGAAACTATGGAGGACCGAAGCCGGGCAATCAGTACACCGGCAATCAAAACCAAAGTAACGCGGATCCCCCTCCAAATCCAGAAGAAGAGAAGGAAAAGGAAAGGGAACGCGAAAGACAGAAGGAAAGAGAGAGAGAGGAGAGAGAAAAAGAGAGGGAAAGGGAGAGGAAAGAAAGAGAGCAGGAGAAGGAGAAGGAGAAGGAGAGGGAGAGGGAGAGGGAGAAAGAAAGGGAAAGACAAAAAGAAAGGGAAAGGGAGGAGAGGGAGAAGGAGAAGCAGAGAGCCGAAAAAGAGCGCGAGCGTGAAGAGGCCAAGCGCAAAGAGGATCTGCGCCGAAAGATGGATGAGTTCAAGCGCAAGCGAGAACAAGAGGCCAAGGAGAAGCAAAGAGCAGCAGAGCGCGAGGCTATGGAAAAAGAATTGAAGGAGCGCCGCGAACAGCTTGAACGAGAGATGGCAGCCGCCAAGGCAGCTGCGGAGAAAGAAGCTCGCGAACGCTTAGAGAAAGAAGCCGCCGAGGCGCGCGCAAAGCATGAAAAAGAGGCTGCTGAAGCCAAGGCTGAGGCCGAAAGGCTCACTGCCGAAGCAAAGGCAACAACCGACCGGCTGGCGAGAGAGGCAAAAGAAAGAGCTGCCAAAGAGGCTGCCGAGAAAGAGGCTGCAGCTAAGGCAGCCGCTCAAAAGGAGGCCATGGCCAAATTCGCTGCTCTCAAAGAAGCTGCCGCGAAGAGATATGCCGAGAAAAAAGCCCAGGAGGCTAAAGAGAAGGCAGCAGACAGCAAACCTGCTGCTCCTGCGAGTGCTACCAGTGCTCCTCGAACACCTTCCCCCACGAAACGACCACCTTTCCCAACTGCCAGGACCACCGTGGAGGAAGACGATGCCTATTCATTTCGACCCTACGATCGTCCACGACGGCCGTACGGTGGTGCATCTGGGTCTTCTGCATACTCCGAATCATCATATGCGCCATCTCACTCAACAGCTCGGACAACACCTCCACCATCAACTCGCAGCGCATACTCCACCAAGGATCCTGACAAGATCGTGATTCAAGGAGTTTACCAATTCAACAACGCCTTTATGAAGACCCCAGTTTCTCAACTTGTCTCGGGTCAGGGCATGGTAACGGACGGCCTCGTGCTGCGCATCACAACCGAGGGGCTCTTCGTCGATGACGACCTTCGAGGAGTTGGTCAGCGTGAATGGGACGTAAAGGCCTGGACTCTAAAGCTGACAGAGGTGTGGTGTCCCCAAATGGGCGCACCACCCGCTAAGCCAGGCTCCAGTAATCCCTTCTCCTTCCGTCGCGGCGGTGCCCACTCGGTACCCACCAGCGAAGAGTCCGATGCCTTCCTTAACAACCTGCTCAAGGTCTGCAAGAATACATGTCGCCTAGCATCTCCAAGTGCATGTTTCGCTCGCAGCGCCAATGCCAATGGAAACAACGAGGCACGTGCTCCCCAGTCCGAGTTCCGTGGTCTCCACGTTCTTCGCGCCAGTGTACGCGATCAAGAAGGGAAACGATACGTTTTCGTGCTGCAGGACACTGAAGCCTGGAAGGTCGCCATTGGCCTCCAGCGTCTCCGTGCTGGAGCTCTTGTCCGTAACCTAGGTGTCACCGCTCTGTCCATCTCAGACCGCAAGAGCGTTCTCGGCGGCCTTGGATACGTCTAAGACTGAAACTATCTACAATGGCATTTTCTCCTACAACCATCTACAATTGGGTAGCTAAGCCATACTGGATCACATCTTCCCCCTGTTTTAGCGGTTGGTTATCTTTTTTCGTCTTTACGCCGTTATCCCTGCACTTTCTTTCTCATTAGCGGCGGAGTTTGCTGCATACTCTTCTCTGGTACATTCATTCGCTCTTGGCTATGCCTTCCACACAAAGTTTTGAGATTCCCCCCCATTTTTGATTTATGCCTTATGCCTTATGTTTTTTGTTTTTAATCTCTAGTACAGTTGACCAGCATGTGGATGAAGTTGATTGGGAACGTATATAGCACCATTAAAGTGAATCAGTGATGTCGCTCTTATATTTACATATTTCTTCATTCGTGTCTAGTAGTATACGTAGAGGAGGAGAAGGTGACACACTGGTATCGTGATTCTGCCAGTTTAGGGCTTCACTGTCTATTCCTATAGTATCAATGGAAAAGAACCCAAGCCAGTCAAATGCCAGAAACCCTCAGTTCATTCATGAGTAACACCCAGATGAATAAAGTAGATTAAAAACAAAACTCCACGAATGATGTTTGATGTATCGCAGCCCGGTGAACTGAACAGTCCAGAACGATGCACCACGGTCATTTATTCATTCCCCTCATTCATGTACACAAACAGCTCGGATCAGATGACAAAAAAGTAGAAAAATGGAGAGAAAACAAGAGAACGATAGATAAAAGTAAAGTAGAAAACAGGTGTCTATCGTTGGGAATCATTTTGCTTCGGAAAGCGTCAAAGTATAGGGAGAATGAGGCAAGTGCCTTTCATCAACAACAGATGGATATCGTCTTCTCGTCTTAAACATGGATAATGGAATCCAGGAACAGCCTTATTGGTGTCGGGATCCAATAACCTGGGATATCGAGTTGTAATGACCAGTGGTGACAACTGAATATTTTATCCCAAAGATGATTTGGATAAGCCGAGGCTTTTATCCCTGGGCATGGAATTGTAGGGGGGTCGTATCGATAGGGGTGGGAGGTTCATGTTTAGAAGGAGAACCCGCCAGGGAATCCACCGCGAGACTGACCACCGCCGAATGGGTGGCCACCAGCAGAGGCGAAACCGCCACCGCCACCGCCGTTCATCATGTTGAACAGGATGTTCGGGTCGATGTTGATATGGGAGCCGTTCATGCCGCCCATACCGCCCATACCTCCCATTCCACCCATACCGCCCATGCCACCCATGCCTCCTCCCATGCCGCCGAAGCCACCGCCGCCGAACATATCAGCAGGGTCCATCAGGTCATCACCGTTGTCATAAGCAGCACGCTTCCTGAAGTAGATGTTAGCGTTTGTGTTAAAATTGTGATATACGAGTAAACACTTACTGAGAGTCCATCAGACACTCGTAGGCCTCACCAATCTCCTTAAACTTCTCATCGCCCTGCTCGCCGTCGCGGTTCTTGTCGGGGTGGTACTGAATAGCCATCTTGCGGTAGGCCTTCTTAATCTCGTTCTCACTGGCATCCTTGCCAACTCCCAAGATCTTATAGTAATCCTTGCGCTGGGACTTCTTCAGCTCGAACTCAGCCCGACGAATATCCTCTCCGATACCCTTCTCAGATGGGTTCTTCTCAGCAACGCTCTTGTAGTCGCGAGCAGCCTCCTCCCACTTCTCAGCGCCACCGTAAGCCTTGGCACGCATCTTCAAAGCCTTAAGGTAATCAGGATCCAGACGCAGGGCCTCAGTGCAGTCTTCGATAGCGGCATCGTGCTCCTTCAGGTTGATATAAGCCTGAGCACGGTTCTGCAGGATCTTCGAGTTCATATCCTTGTTGGTAGGATCCACCTCAAGAGCCTGAGTCCAGAGTTCAATAGCACGACGGTAATCCTTAGCCTTGAAAGCAGCATTACCCTCCTCCTTTGTGCGGCTCAACTTCTGCACCATGCGCAACAACTTGATCGCCGCCTTCATATCCGGGTCCAGCCCAAGACACATCTTCAACAGCTTCAGCGCTTGTTCCGTCTCACCGGAGGCGTAGAATGCACGCGCCCGAATCATCATCGCATCGGGGTCCTGGCTGTTATCGCGCAGCAATCCGATGGCCAGATCCTGCGCCTTACCCAGCGAGTTGCTGTTGTTCATCTTCAACTGCGCCTCAGCAGTCAGAAGAGTCCACTTGCGTGGCTCCTTCACGCCCAGTCCGAGACCCTGGCGGGCCTGATCGAGACAGAAAATCGCCATCGATCCACCGCGGTCCTCGGCAAGAGTCTCCTCGGCCTGGCGGACGAATTTCAACATCTTCTCGGCGGGGGCCCGGTCGGTCGCGGTCGCAGCTGGTTCCACACGAGACAAGACCTCGAGCGCCTCGGCGGGGCGACCCAGGTTTGTCAAAATTTTAGCCCATCGGTGCACAATCTTCGCATTGGTGGGGTCGAGCTCGTTCGCGCGTTCAATGTCCTCAAGGGCGTTCAGGAATTGCTTTGCCGACATGTGGGCCGCAGCGCGGTTGGACAGGTAAGCGGACGAGTTGGGGTTGATTTCGATAGCTGCAAAAAAATAAGGTTTAGCAAACTAGTGTTTCACAAGTTGACATATCCCATAGATGGAGATTGGATGGAAATCGACATGTCGACGTCTCGGGTGTGAGGACTTACCCTTGTTGTACTCCTCGATAGCACGAGCGTAATTGCCATCCTTGAAAAATTTGTTGCCAGCCAGCTTGAACGAGTCTGCCTCGCCCGCATCGGAGTTTGAGCGGTGCGGAGGTGGGGTAGGACTGCGCTCTTGAGTGTTCACACCGTTCTTCTGCTGGGCTTCCTGAGGATCAATGTCCATGGAGCTCCGCTGGTCATCCCGAGTGGCCGCCATAGCGGACAGACGACGGCGCAGCTCGTCGGGGGGTAGGTTAAGTGGGTGAGAGTCCTGGTCTTTAGAAGACCGAGTGCCGAATTTGAGGGGAGTGGAAGTGGAAGAAGACCGACTGTGCGAGAATCGGTTCTTGGTGGGCGACTTGGAGGAAGATTTAGAGGGGGATTTAGCGGGATGAGGTTTGGAGGGTTTGGAGGTGGAGAAGGACGCTCGGGGTGACGAAGCGGGACTATCGGGTTCGTCCTTGGATTTCGTTTTTGGTTTTGATTCAGAGTCTTTGCTCTCTTTCTCCTTATCCTTATCCTTTTTGAAGATGTGGGCGAGTTGGACCATTGGGGGGAAAGGGATTTTTTTTTTTTCTTATGGAATCGAAGGACGACGAAGGCGGTAGAAGCGCCGAATCGGAGGGTTCAACTGACTGGTTTCAACCACGGTCTCTTCCGCCAAATGTTATCATGAACTTGCTTTAATCATATCGAGTACAAGTTCAAGTCATTCTTCAGGGGTTGAGGAAAGATGTTAATGTAGACCGATGTGGGAACAAAGGTCTCGGGTAGAGGGAAATAAATAGTAGGAATAATGTAGAAAGAGAGAGAAGAAAACTGGATAAAAATCGAACGCCTTTTTTCAATTATATCTACTTGTCTACTGATTACTACTGGTGGACTCCCACAAATTATTCCAGAGGCTGGTGTGAGCTGCTGGTCTGTGTTAGCGCGCAAGAATACTGGAGACAGGCATGTCACTAAATCCTCCCCGGCCGCAGGATGACGAGCCGGACCAATGTGAGAGAAATTCAAGATTCGAGAAGTTTCGATAAGAATTGATCTGATCCCCAGCCTCTTCTGTGATCTCTTTGGTCCTTTTGCTCATGTACGCGCCATTTCGAGGTTTAACGTATACGGAGCGGTGGAGGATGTGGATCCGATATGCAGTTGCTAATGGCAGCACGCCAACACTTGGACCAGTGTGCGTATTGCCCCTCCCCCCTTAATAATGCAGAAGTACGAAGAAAGAGGGGAAAAGTGGAATAAGGAAGTGTTATAATATGTTCATTTCGTAGCGGCATATACATCTTGAAACCCGCCATAATTATACAGGAAACCTCAATTCGAATCCCGGGAAAAAAGAAAAAAAAAATCAAAACAAGATCGTCCCCGTATGACCCGACGGGCCAGCCGGTGGGGAAACGAGCGAGGGGGTATCAATTCGGTGCCTCATCGCCCAGGCATGCTATCGTATTGTTGTATGTTCTACCGATGTAGAACCAGTTCGCTTTTGGAGTTTTTTTGAGATCATGTCTCAATCCTGCTCCAGTTAAGGAGGAGCTAGAGACAGCCGTGTGAAAGGACCATCAGTTGGCGTCGTCATAGAGCCGAGACATGGGGCACGCGACGGGTCCATCCTAACAACGGCCCATCTTGCATTCGCATCACGTAAGTTGGACTGAAAGCATGGCTGTCGTATGATGGAGGCGATTCGCCTAGCGCGCTGTCAATATGGACCCGAACAGTGTCGAATTGGTTTGGCGGCCATCCATGGTGCATGTGCATAGGCCATCCATCCGGAATGGCACTGAAGGCGGTCGAAGCAGACGATCGACTGCGGCTGCGTCGACTGCCACTTCGTTGACTGCGTTGAGATGGGATAGGCGCCCGTGGTGGCCAGCGACTAGGGATCTCCCACAAGCCTTCTTCCTCTAACCAAACAAGAGGATCACAGGTGTGTGATCGTCTGGGTTGAGGGGCGGTCGGAGTTGTCCATATTTGAAGGCTCGAGCGGGAACGATTATCGTCGATGTCCTCGTCTGCTGATTGCATCTCTTCATCAGGGCTCACTCGGCCTCGTCTAGCAGGGGCACGTCTGAGATTGGTGTTGTCGTTGTCGGCTGAACTGTCGCCATCCAGGCTGGCTTGTCGTCTGATGACCCTGTGTCGTTGACGTGATGGCGAAGAATCTGTAGAGGCTGGCCTTGGGGGAAGAGGCTTTGAAAGCAAGTGATACTGGGCGTCGGTCTGTGGAGTGGGTGGTCTCTGGATACAAGGAACGGTAGGATTTGGGGGGAGATAAGCTACCGAGTCGGCGATGACGGGACCTCCATCCAAGGACGAGAAATCTATGGGGCCTGATGTGATGGTATTCCCTGGGTCAAAGATAGGTGGGCCATCTAGTGAGGACAAGTCCATCATAGGAGGGCCGGGCCGGGCCAGAACCTTTTGAACCCCGAGTGGGCATCTCTGGAGGAGAGCACAGAAGGGCATGTTGTAGAACTCAGCCAGATGGGTATATTTATAATACCTGAAATGGCAAGCAGATTCTGGTGACTTCAGGCACGAAGAGAAGAGGGCCTTGACAGGTAAAACGTGGAGTGTCGGAAAGGGCCAAGTCAAGGTTTAAATCTTGAAACTTGGACCCTGAAACCTAATGAGAGTACCCGGCAGAACGTTCGTTATATAGGTCACTCGAAGGCAAATTCCCCGGGCAAAGATATAGCCTTAAATGATGTTTCAATCAGGGGGGATAAGAGATTTCTTTATATGAATTAGTTGGGAGAGTCGATTTTCCACCGGGGCCGATCCTTAGTTCCTTAGGTGTGATCCTGGATAAGCGGGCCTATGAACCCCTCTCTTCCCGTGGTGAAAAAGGAACCGTAGGATCCTTTGTTAGCATAGATTCACCGCCACATAATAAGGCGTCGATGCCCCAAAATGGTGTTGTTATATCCGATAATAGAGTCGAGTATGCAGCGCCTGTCAGCCTTGGGGTCCAACAGTCAACCCAGTGTTCTGATCTGATCCAATTCTCTCGATTCTACCATTGTTTTTATTTTGTTGGACGCTTTGACGGTTTCCGTGGTGGAGATTTGGACAACACTATTCCCTAGCCTCGATCCTTGGTGCAAGCTATTTCAAATCTCCCAACAAGCGAGACAACAAGATGATGAAATCCCGAGAATATCTGAAATTGGCCCGCGGATTTTGGATCTCCTAGCCCCAGTGATTAGCACAGCCCTAAAGGGGCCACCGTGATCTCAATACTGTAGAATGTAGATATTATCGACCCTGTGCCATTCGACTCTGGCTTGTTTTATTTTCGCACAATAATTTCGGGAACTCCGTGGTACTGAGTGCCAGACTAAGCTAAACCTCCGAAAGCATCGTATTCCGTACTTCATAGTCGCGCATAACCTATGCTGGAAAGTAGAGTTCAATCTTGGAAGCGGGCACAGTAAGCCACTAGAGTCGAAGGAGGTGGGGCAACCTATTTTTGGCTCACCAATCAGAGTACCGGAAATGTATAAAAATTTCCGCTCGTCCCCAACTTCGAAGATGCCATCGGGGGCTCCGTACCGTACCCAATGACTATGTGCTTAGTTCAAACTGTTATTGTGGATAACAAATTACCAGCACAAAGATGACGTGTATTTCATTCCTTCATTTCCTGACCCTATCAGGAATTTGACATTGTTTACTTAGACCCAGCTTTGGATTTATATAATCGCAGGATCAACTCAGGTCCGTGGACGGTAGATCGCAATGTAAAACCATCAGCTTATTCCCATGTGTACAAAGGTACCAAGCTTAGATTAGACATCGAGACAGAACCTGGAGTAGATTTGATGTCCACCATTATTTGACTATGCAAGCCACCTGGTCAGCCCAGTGCCCTAGAAGGGTTTAAGGAAGATACTAAGAACACTAGTCCACGTTCCATGCCCCATCCGCGATCATCCTACAACCCAACAGACCTTTTTCCACCTCAAATCGAAAAACGAACCTCAATGTCTGATTTTGCGATGCCATGACCTCATTCATCTATAGTCAGGTATCCATGGGGCCGTTGCTGGTTACGCCGATTGGGTTCGGTGCTGAGTGGGAGACTCTTGTGCGGTCACTATACTACAGGATTCAACTGGGGCTCTGGGGGCTAAAATTTACACAAAGGCATTAGGAGCACGTGGACCAAGCTAGCTTGTTTCAAGCCGCATAGATGTCCAAGATTGGATTCATGGCCAAATCTAGTATGCAGCGCGGCTAATAACTCGAATAATGTCATTGCACTGGAGATGTCGAATGCCAGCATATTCCAAGAGTGTATAGCTTCCCGGATCACCGGCTCACCAAGTATCCGGTAGAGCCGAAATCATCCCGTTCATCTTGCATAAATAGCGCTTGCTTCCCCCCTTTCAAGAATAGAAATTCACAAACAGTGGAAGTACACGGCCAATTCATTTTCCTTGCCTCTGGGACTTGTCATCATATGTTCCGCAGCCTCAGCAAATTCTACTGCGATTGATGTCGAGGTAATGGCTACATATATACCTGGGCACTCAAAATTTGGCCGACTCAGGATAATTTTCACAAGGGTAGTCTATGGCCTTGAAGTGGATCCCAGCCACTCACTTCCATAGAAAACCCGGTAAGCACGCGAGCAACGGGAACTAATGTCTGCAAGCTCGTCACGGCCTCATCACCTGCAGGTTCAGATCACACTTCCACGTTTCAGGTGCGATGACGGGCCGCACCCGCTCAGGGACTAAACTTGGCGCCATGATGCGGGGATGCAAACTTGGCAATACAGGATTATCCCGTTTACGGATACTTTGGACTGCACTTCAGATAGCGATATGGATTGCATTCATGCCTCCAGATTACAATAAAAATAAGATAGCAAAGTGGTATGGGTACATTCAAAAAAGGGTTACGGGAAACGCTGGAAAGCGAGAAAATGGTGAAAGCAGTCATGGTTTACATTAAGGTCGTGCTCAAGCCACCAAGCGCTTCACACAAACTTTCGAAGCTATCCAGGAAGCCCAAGAAGAGGAAATATGTATATCGAGAAAAGCAAAAGGGGATAAAGCATATCCAATCAGAAGCAAGTAACAAGAGACATCGGTCAGGTAAATCACCAAAACCCAGTTAAATCACAAAGAAATCTTCTCCATTCCCGTACCATACCATTCAGGATTAAACTACACGCTAATCCCACAAGGTGGAGCTAGATATATAGCAAGCCATCGATGGATGGGGTTATTTAAGCCAGAACGAAGGCGGCCATGGCAGCGAGACCAGCGAAGCCAATGGAGCCAGAGACGGCACCAGCACCGCTGTAGGCGGGGGTGGCGGAGGGAGAGGCGGCAGCGCCGGAGGAGGCAGCAGCAGCACCGCTAGAGTATATATTAGTATATCAGTCGGAAAATGTAAGGGTTCAATGATAGCTTACCTGGGAGCGGGCTTGCTGGCGGAGGGGGCGTGGGGGAGCGGAGCCACCGGAGCCAGCAGTCACAGGGGAGGTACCCATGGGGATGGGGACGGTGGAGTAGATGACAGTGGGCACACAGGTGGTGTGGGCAACGACGCTGTAGGACATGGAGGCACCGGAGCCACCGTTACCAGCGGGAACGGAGGGAACGGGGGCAACAGCGGGGACGGAGGTGGTCCAGCTGGGAGCGGCCGAGGGGGCAGGGCCAGAGGCAGCAGGGCCAGAAGGAGCCGGGGCACCGCTGGTAGGAGCGGGGGAGGAGGCAGCGCCAGCACCCTCGGGGACGGAGGCGGAGGTCACAACAGCAGGGGCGGAGGTGGGGACACCAGAGTTGGCAGGGCAGTTGGTGACGGTAGGACCGCAGGAGGTGATGGTAACCTCATCAGTCTCGTAGACGGTAACGTCAGCGCCGTTGGGCATAGCGGCAGCCAGGCCGGCGAAGAAGGCAACGGTAGCAATGGTGAAACGCATTTTGATTGTTTGAGAAATAGGGCCGTAAAGGTGATTAAAAGCGTAGAGCTTAGAGAAAGAGTGTAGTAGTTTGGGTTGAAAGAGTGGATGACCGAAGTCTAGAGAGTGACTGAATGCGTAGGCAACGAAGATGTACTTGAAGAAGAAAAAAGGAACGATAGGACGGGGGGATCTAGGGGCCCTTTGTATGAACAGGGAGATTAGCCGGAGATCAACACGCATCAAATTCGCCCCTAAAAAAAGGGGAAGCTCTCTTGGCTCTCTGGTACCTGCAGTCTAAGTGTAATGTTATACGGTGTGTATGGGGTTTTACTTGCTAATTACCGGAAGTCAGTACAGTTAGTGTCATTATGGAGTCGTCATTATGGTATCAAGTACTTCATCTATGCGCCACATCCACACCGTCTCTTCAAGTACTCGGTACCGGGGGAGAGTTGCACTGCCCGAAAGGCTGGACCCTCAATGATCCAAAGTGATTGGATAAGAGAGGCGCGTGGGAGCAAGGCTGTTTCATCGTGACCAGTCGGTTTCAGTAATTTACTTAACTTACTGTGCCGCTAATGAGCTTTAGTGTGGGAACTGCACTGCCGATCGCGCCATATAGTGGGTGCTACCCATGAGACACAACTTCCTTACCTACAGATGTATCTTGTAGGTTGTGGTTGATCTCTGTTTCTTATTATTTGTTTACAGTAGCTCGTGTACTCGTATCGTCTAGTTCCTGTTTCATTTCTCACATTTAATTGCACTATATAAACCCGAGGACTGGAAATGAACCCGTTCTTTAGCGGTTTCAGCCCGTTTGTACTGAACCAATCCACCTACACACCGCCGATCCACTGCCGGTTCCTGCTTTCCCTCCACCACTCACTGTCTTTCTCCGTCGGTCGATGACCCACTTTACCCCTGAGCAACCCGTGGGTGTATTTCCGCCCATTTGGTACGGAGTAAACAAGGGCGCTTCTCTCTGCGATGACTGCACGGTCTCCCCCGCGACGGTTCGTGATGGCCACCTGGTTACTGGTACATACGAGGCTCAAAGTTCAATCTTCCCCCAATAATGAATCGATATTGACAACATAATTGGCACGCGAGTCGCTGACCCCTTAGTTGCAAATGGTACATGATTGTCCAAATAATTGTTTTTATCTCATCTGTGTTCTATTTCTAATCTCGCAACGAGACCCATGTCTTTGTTCAAGTGGATCCCCTATGGAACACTGCAGGATCCGTTGTAACCGTATGGCGGTCCAAACGCCCTTTGTTTGGTGCGTTTTTTCTTGAATTGTCCCCATAAGCCCTCGACTTCATCACTAAGCGAAACACAGACTTTAGATGTGTCTCCGCTTGCGGGCCTAGTTTCACTCTTGCGCCATGACCACCATCTCCGAATGGTTTAGCTTACAAGCCTCTTTAGTGCTTGAGCTTACCCAAGCCTAGGGAGGGATAAGAAGAGAAAGCGGGGGAAATTCCATTGAGGCTTGGGCTTAGACCTGGAGGGTTTACTCCGTGCCGCTTCGGCGTTAACGTCGTGGAGACTGGCTACCGTGGACGCTGTATGGCGCGTGCCGATCGAGACCGCGTGATGGTTCCTGGCCGCATGGTCTCCCTAACTCAAAATGGGTAACATTCCCTTGCCCATCTCCCTGAGGCTTACCCTCAGTGTATTGTTGTAACTTGGTAAAAGTGACCTGTACCGAATGAGGACCATCATCACAGCCCTTAGCTTAGAGTCGTTCGAGTCGAGGCCTCCCAACGCCGCGGCGTCGGACCGCGAGCTGAAGAGTCCTTTGTTCTTCCAATCATGGTCTGATGTCTCGGCTTTACTTAGTTCAATACTTGGTTAAGCTCCATGATAGGGGGCGTGTGGTTCAAAGAAGGCTCAATGGCCTCGTGGCGCCCCCAGACTCCACATTCCATAACTATTGATTTTCTTTGAATTTCACTGGACCGCCATTCCCCCCTTTTCAGAATACTACAGATTTAGTCGACCTCGATCTTAGTTAAAATCCATTATCCTTGTCCGCTAACTCCATATCTTGTGCTATGTTTAGATTGCCGAACCATTGGACCGTCCGGCTTGAGAAAAGGGGGAAGATTGTAGCATTCAGTGGATAATAATAGTGCCCAGTGGATCTCAACTCTCAAAAGTCGTTATCGATCCCGGCACAGACCACGCAATATAGTTTCCATGGCCCGATGGATACTACACAGTATCATGGCAACATAGATCAACGGAACAGAAAGAGAAAAGGGGCACCCGCTGGTCAAAAATAAACCCACAGAATGTTGGCGATCACGCTCAATATCTTGCTCCTCGTGACGACTTACGAATCTGGTGGGTCCAATGCTTGAATCCAGCCCTGGACACGAAGTCCATCGGGACTGCTCCGTCAGAGTATTGAGTTCATACTGTACTCAAATTCAAGTGTGCCGTACACCTCTGCCCCTGATCTGTGTGGCCCATCTCGACTGGAGATTGCCGAGGATCTGGGCACATGTGCATGAAAAACGATGATGATCGGTGGACTGCAGATCAGGTACACACGGGATTTTCAACTGTCTAGCAATTGTCTGGCTCAGTCAACGCACTCGCAGTACTCTGCAGTCTTCCTGGTCGTTTTCAAGTCTCGAGTGTTTCATACGTGCACTGGGGATTCTGTTACTTACTGAAATCTATCACCAATGCTCGACCATTGATCAACAGCAACGCGTCACACAAGACGGACAGTCTCCATCACCGATGATCACGATGAGCCACAGAATCCAATGGCATCGTCCACGCGTTCGGTTATACATGACTGGGCCCAGGCTTGACAAAGCTCTCGGCATATGTCATTACTCTTGATGATACGCAGCACACGAGATCTATCTGTCAGTTTTGCACTGAAGCTTACTGTACCTCCCAGATACTATCATTGCGCTTATTGCACTGACTTTAACCCGTGGGGTTCCGGCACTCCATCTCACCATTCCTTCACTTTTAGCAATCATGCTAGCCATACCTTCCCAGAGCAGTCCTTGTTCCAATCGAGCCGCGCGTCAGGGCAAGGCGGAAATAAGCCGCAGTATGACATCGGGTCTGTATGTACAGTACAATCTGGATAAGAGTCGATCTGCAAGGGTTTTCCAGGCTAGAACCATTGTGGCGTCTTTGGCTTTTTGTACAGATGGAGGGTTGTGGTTTGATGTGTGGCTGTACTTGGCTTCCCGATTGGATTTGCTCTTGGATGAAAGGTGGAGATGGATGCCCCGATCGTCTCAGAGTTGACTTCACCCAGTCCTTCATCCGAAATCTTGGAAACCTTGGCCTTGCCACAGACCCAGCCACAGGGTGTTTCAAAAAGAGTAATCATCCCCACATGCATCGGTCGGGAAATGCCGAAAATTGATCATATGTAGCCATCATAATAGCAATTAATTTAACAAACCAAAATAAACAAATTTTCATTGCTCTGATGACATGCCTTATTCAGTGTACCGTGGTTGGATGTGATGATCGGCGGTCTATCTACGCTGCGGTGATGACATCGTTCTCGACAAATCGATTCCTCGACCCCAGGGTCTTTAAGCCACCGCCTCTATCAAGGGGTATTGCCCTAGGTACTTCGTACATGTAGAGAGATACAATGTGCATGTACTACTTACTGAGAAAGCCGGAGACTGCTTACAGGAAACTCCATAATCAGCCCTATCGTATACTGTAGGTACATCTAAAGTCTGTGGTTATACATGACGAATACAAACCAACAGTTTGTAATGTTGGTTATTGCCAACATCCTAATTAGCCATAAACTGCATGGCTCCCCGCGCTGTATGCCGGGATCAATCAAGTTGCAGATCTGGAACTGGTACTTGAAGCATTGACAGATGATTCTCCCCTCTTTCCCAAGTGGGGACAGCCCTGTCTGTGTGTTGGCAATGATGTCGATGGACGCCACCAATACCAACGGTAGGTCGATGGTTGGCGAGATGTTAAGTGGAGTTCCCGGACAAGGTAATTTGCGGCTCCAAGGCAACCACATATTGACATTCATGCCCAATTACGAACATTGTGATAAGTTACATATCAGCGACTTCAATAGAGGGGGGAAAGAGAGACCGAAGGCGATTTAGCGATGTGATTAGATGGCGTAGAGTGCATGAAGAATGCAAGTTGGAACGAACAGCACAAGTCGACCATGCGTTAGCGTTAAGTACCTGGTTTGTTTGGCTTCTGATCCATGGTTCTTTGTGAGAATTCAATCGGACCTGCAAACTCTGCAATGCTGCCAACACACGTAGAGGTGACTACATTCATCACGTAGAGAATCGTCTTTTCCAACTTTTCTGTAGTCTACAATCGCCTTGTTTCAGTTGAGGGCGCTTTCTGAAACAGCCCCACCACTGCCCGTAGGACCCGATCTTGTCGTCGCTCTGTCCCACTCGGCGGCTGTGTTGCCGTCTATTAATATTCTTGGTGATCTAAGCTCTGGAAGAATCCATCTTTAGAACACTCATGATTAAGCTCAAGCATTGCCTCGACATTTGCTGTAGTTTATAGTGTCCGTGGTTTGGCAGGTGGAGAACAAAAATCGCTTTTTCCATTGCGCATTTCGCCCCGAGTCACCTGCTTTCCCCTCTCTTCCCCTTCACGTTCCGCTCGTTTACGTGTCCACCCTTTCTCTACACCCCAACGCTCGCTACTGTCTTTTCAGGGACCCCATCGACACTGTGGCTACCCTGGCTGACCCCAACGAGTTGTTCTTGCCTGGCGATAGGCAGAACAATCTCGCTATGTCCTCCGTGCCGCTTCTTCGGACCCCGGTCCCCAGCCCTCAGCGCAACAATGGCACCCCCAGAGCTCCGAAGCTTACACTGGGTATCCCTCCATCGCCAAACGCCAAACCCGTCAATGGCAATGGCGTCCCCGCCATGGTGGCCCCTCCACAACCTCAACCTGGCCCCTCCCGCCCGGCTCTCCGCCTAGCCACTCCTATGATCAACCCGAATGCCCCGCAGCCGGTCAACCGCATGGCCAACGGTCGACCAGGTCCTCCATCACTAGCACTTTCTACGGGTGGACTTGGTGTGAATGGCCAACCGATGTTGAAGGCGAATGGCGGAAGCAGTAATCCCATCTCCGCAAACTCCTCCGTTTCAACAGTCGACATCGCGAGGGGTCTCCGTGAATCTGGCGGCTCCGATCCTGCATCCGCAATCAGCTCATTTGATGGAGAGGGCAACGATCAGCTGGAAGGCGAGAATGGTGTGAGCGCACTTGGTTTCGACCTGGATCGGTTGAGTTTAGAGAAAGGTCGTCCCCTCGATGTCGAAGATCTCGATGATAAGGGCTGGCACGCGGCCAGCGAACAAAAGAAGATTATTGAGCTTGGTAGCCTGGGTGAAGGTGCCGGTGGTGCTGTTACTCGGTGTCAGCTCAAGGGCGGCAAGACTGTATTTGCATTGAAGGTCCGTTCCTCTTGCCTGTTATCTCTACCATGATTCATCAGTGACTAACTTTCTATCGCGATAGATCATCACTACCGACCCCAACCCAGATGTGAAGAAACAAATTGTTCGTGAACTTAACTTCAATAAGGACTGTGCATCCGAGCATATCTGTCGCTACTATGGTGCCTTTATGGACAAGACATCTGGTACAATCTCTATTGCCATGGAATTCTGCGAAGGTGGTAGCCTTGACAGTATCTATAAGGAAGTGAAGAAACTGGGTGGGCGTACGGGCGAAAAGGTGCTTGGCAAGGTTGCAGAGGGTGTGCTAAACGGATTAACGTACTTGCATAGTCGCAAGATCATCCATCGAGGTATGATATACTGCCCGCGCTTACTCGAATCATATCACTAATGCCTCATATAGATATCAAACCCTCCAACATCCTCTTGTGCCGGAATGGCCAGGTCAAGCTTTGTGATTTCGGTGTCAGCGGCGAGTTCGGCACCAAAGGCGATGCCAACACTTTCATCGGCACCTCCTACTATATGGCCCCGGAACGTATTACAGGCCAATCGTACACCATCACATCCGATGTCTGGTCTTTGGGTGTGACTTTGCTGGAAGTCGCGCAACATCGATTCCCTTTCCCCGCCGATGGCACTGAGATGCAACCCCGTGCCGGATTAATAGACCTCCTCACCTACATTGTCCGCCAGCCAATCCCCAAACTGAAGGATGAGCCGGAAAATCGGATTAAGTGGTCGGATAACTTCAAGTACTTCATTGAATGCTGGTATGTTCTGCGAATCCCTTTCTTGCTTGTTCCTGTTTTAACCCAACTACTAGTCTTGAGAAAGAGCCTCCTCGACGAGCAACTCCTTGGCGGATGCTGGAACATCCATGGGTGCAGGATATGAAGAACAAGAAGGTCAACATGGCGAACTTCATCACGCAAGTGTGGGACTGGAAGAATTAAAACACCAAAAGTCGCCCGGGCCCTTTTCTATCTTGCATGTTGTTTCCATGGAGGTCTCCATCTGTTGAGTATGAGTGGCTGGACCCTAAGGATTGACCTGGCTGTCAACACGACTCAAATACGACCCCATTATGACACCCATTGTTCTCTATTTATAGTTGGCGTCTTTGATCATGATGCTTCGTCCCGGGCCGGAACTTGGGTGAAGCGAGCTGTCATTTTTCTTAAATATCTTTTCCATACCATACCCTGTCATTGCTTTCATTTGCCAGCGACATCGACATGAAATTTTCTCCCGGCTATGTCCTACTGCGTACGATCCTTTACAGCCTGATACCTACAATTGTCATTGCATCATCTGAGTCTTCTACCTCCCTGTCCTCGATGCCCTTTCCCGCCTCTCCTTTACCCATCTTTCTTCCCTCCCTCTGAACTTTCTCATGACATCTTTCGAGCTTGGACATATCGACCACCACCATATATTGCTTGTTTTTGTTGTTGTCTTCTCCTTGTTTAGGTACAGCCTCGCCCATGTTTCAGGCGTCTTTTCTTTGGGGTTTCTTCTGCTCTGGCCGTGGAGTATATGCAATGCATTGGAAACAATCTCGCACTTACTTAGGACCCTAATACCGTTTGCATTTAAGCTTTAGTTTCAGTGTTCAGTCCCAAGACTCTAGACTAGCAAATGTCTCCTAAATAATGGAAGATGAAGTATATCGTATTGATATCTATATTGTCAACGCAAAACATCGCTAATGTTATCATCGCTATCATGATGCCAAATACATTACTTATGGCAGAACAACCCGGCCGTTTAGCTACCGATTCACTGGCTCGGCACCCAAAACCCATCCAATTCCACTCGCCAAACCCCCAGTAACCATATTACTAACCATATCTCTCTTACGCACACGATCACCATGCTCCGAAAACTCGCCGTCGCTCCCTTGCATTTCCGTTCCAGCTCCAGCAGCAGCCGGATTGGAACTGGAAGCCGCAGCACCCCGCAACGGAAACGCGTTCTTATGCAAAGCCATCGCAGCACCCCTCGCAACCTCAAACAACCCCATAGGCGCCTCATGTGGATGCGAATTCGGCATTGCAGCCCTCGCACGCGCTCTTCTAGCTGCACGCTGTTGCGCAGTATCAAAGGCGTCGCGCTCCGAGTCTGAAGGTCCAAAGCCACCTGGTACAGTAGATAGACTGTCGCCCTTAGCGTCCCAGACTTCTTCCTCTGTTTGCTCACGGGCACGGAGGGATGACATTTCCTCGTCGCAGCGGCGCCAGGCACCTAGGATTTCGGGAAGAGGGTCGGGTGTTGGGGTTAGGACAAGGGCTAGAGAGAGGAGTTCCATGCGTTGGGAGAGGTGGTTTATTTGAGATGTGAGGGGGGTTGAGGGGTTGGGTGTTGTGGAGCGGAAGCGACCTGCATTGTAGACTGCGCGCCAGGAGATGTCGTCTGGTGTTGAGTTGGATGTGAGAAGTGGAGATGTCGTGTTTAGATGGGAGGGGGGGCGCGAGGCGAGTTAAGACGTAAGAGTAGGCTGTGCCGAAGTCGTTGGAGGATAGAGCGGAGGAGATGGCTAAGGAGGTGATTCGACGTTCGGCTGTGATGAGGGTGTCTGAGACTTGGTCTTCTGTTTCAGTTGATGTGGGCAAGCCTGTGACTAGGTTACGGCCAATGAAGAGGAGGTCGTCGAGCTTTGTGTAGCTTTTGTCATTTTGTTCGAGCACTTTCTCAACTAGTGAGAGGGGGTCGTGGTGGACACGGATGCTGACTGGCTGGAATGGGACGCCATGTTGGAGAATCAATGAGTAGAATGATAGCGCATGGGTTGCTGCTATCAGGGCACCGATCTGCTTTAGCGAGACCGAGTCAGGAAAATATGGCTGGAATGCTTGCAAGCTAGTGAGACAGTTAGAAGGTGCACCAAATGTTGGCCTGGCGGTATCAAAGCTTACATATCATAGGCTCTCTTCATGCCTCCACGGGTCCGGTTGCCATTGCTTGCATTATCATAGACGGAGAAGATAGCTTCCACCACGGACTTTTCCACTTGAGTGGCACTCAGTGGTGCTGACTCTGTCCGAGTATATAGATCGACGGCCAATTGATATTCTAGAGCGATGTTAGAAACCGATCATGAAGTATGCAAATCGTTTGTTAGAGTACATACCTTTGGCTCCAAGTAGGGCCTTGAGAATCTCTATTTCAACAGCACCTCGCGATAATCTCCAAAAGAGACCGTGGTGGGTGGATGGCTCATCCCAGCCATTATCAGAGTGCTCTGCCTGCCAATCCCGAAGCCAGAGCAGCTGCTGCCGGGCTATCTCCCAACCTTCATTTGATCGAGGCTGCTTCACCATAGATGCTACCACAGCTTGCAGCTCTGCCATTTGCATATCCTCATTGCTGTGAAGGCACATGCTTGCTGCGACCCGGCAGGGGATCGCATGGCCAAGATTGGTCAAGATGCGTAGAGACAGGAGCAAGGCACTTGCGAATGCAATGGAAGAGGGCGACGGCGATGTTAGAAGATTTTGCGGCCTTAAAAGAGCGTTCTGCAATAAATGAGCACGCAAGGTTGACGAGATCAAGTCTGCATCAAAATCCACAGAGGGGAGGACAGTATCTGAGGATGACAGATATGAATGTTCTTCGAGACCGAGCAGCTCAGTAACCCGCGACAAAATTTTGAAGGAACCTTCAAGTGAGCCCTTAGATGAATCCGCCTGGGCATATACCACGGCCAGGCCAGATTGGCCATACCGATTCAGCAACGCCTTTGCGGTTTCAGATGAAATTTGGGCACCATTCTCGTCATATCCACCCAGATCAACATCCTCGGGCCCATTCCAATTGACAAAGGCATTGACTACGTTGTCGGGATCCACTAGACTCCGCGACAATAGCCATTCGTTCACATGTTCCCAACCAACCAGCTCAGTGAGCTCGGGCTTTGGTGCTCCCTCGACGAAGGAAATCGAATTTTGTTGGGCCGCTTCATTCAATCTTCGCCGCTTCGATCGGTTGCTTCCATAGAGCCAGGGACCAATTAGTCCTCTCAAGTTGTTGACTAAATCCATATCGCTCCTCTCTGGTCCAGCAATGGACAACAAAATATTGACCGCAGTCTGATCATCCAACTCTTCCAGGGTCTCCAGTGATAAAGTACCGTCACGGTTTGGATAATATTCGTAATTGAGTCGAAGTGCTGGTAGTAGGCTTGAGATCAGCCATGCTCGAACCACTGGTTGCTGTTCGTAGAAGGGAAGAATGAGGTCGAGAACTAGTGGCTGGAGAGCAGTTTCCGTATCAATCAAGTGTGCGCGGTGAATAAGAAATATAGTCAAAGGGTCACACGCTTCCACCTCCTCTTCTTCGTCGTCCCGCTTTAAAGGTCGGAGGCGGAGCTTCCGCACGCGCTGCCTTGCTTCCGATTCAGAGAGGTTCTTGACGGCAGAAATATCAATATCACGGCCTTCGTTTGTACGCTCGGAAGTTCCAGTCAGCTCATGGAGCACTGGAACATATTGGGACGGTTCTATGCTCTCGGGTAGGAATGTCAAGATGATGCGTAGGAGGCGTTCCAACGACAAACAATGAGGGTATTGCGCTTGCAGAGTAGGGAGGTCGATCACGTTGCCGCCTGCGCAGATGTGAGTCGCAAGCAGGATTGCGTGGGCATCGGATATCCCTTCCAGAGTCATGGCGACTGAGGGAAGGTGTAAACTAGTCCTGTGATTTAGTAGCGACATACGTAGCTTGAGGATGCGGGTAACTCATGTACGGCGGAGCGCACGGGCCAGGTCGGAAACGAAAGGGAAAGCGTCGCATCCGCGAACATCTTACCACCTTCTCTGCGGTCTGTCTGTCTTCACCCTGCCAATTCCTCTCTACAACTCTCTAAAATGGCTTCTGGATACGGTCTCAATGGCGGTATGTGCTTTTCTGGCTCTTCCCCAGCCTGTGTGGTCCGCCCGCGGCGACATCACCGGCATCATCACATCTTGCGCAGACCCTCCCCCTCCACACGAATCCCCAGGCTGACCAGCTATAACTCCTTCTAGGTCCCGGCCGCTGCTACCCCTTCTGGCAAGAGGTTCTTGGATGCTACGTTGTGAACTCGGGTGAGGGTGAGGCTGGAAAGAAGAAGTGCACTCCCGCTCTGGACGACTACTACGAGTGCCTCCACCACCGCAAGGAGGTATGTGTTGACCCCTTCCAGGAGAGACTGTTGGATAATGGAAGGACTGGCTTGGAATCGATCGGGGCACGACTGACCCTTGTTCCTGATAATAGGCTATGCGCACAATGAAGATGCAGGTTGCCTTCCGCAAGGCCGAGGCTGCCCACCCTCGTGAGAATGCCCCCAAGGCAGAGCAAATCCGCAGCTTAGGTCTGCTTGGGAAGGAAGAGGAGGCAACTGCTGTGATGTCGCAACTGTGAAGGAAAACCCCAAGGGCGCGATGTTTCTTTTTCTTTGATGCGTGTGATTCCTCGTTTCTGCCCCGGAACATTCTGCCGGGTGCCTGTGACTGTATAGAAATGCTCAATTTTGGAGGCTATTCAGCCTCGTTCTTGCAATGATACTCCGGTTCTATGAAGTATGTCATGGATGTTTTCGTCGTATTGGAGATGCCCAAGTGGGCTTGGCACATCCGTGGATGGTCTCAGGCCTCGGCTGTGAATAGGTAGCTGGGCAGGTGAAAGTAGATAGTTTATTTAACTGGTAGGTAGGGCAATGCTAATGGATTTCAAATAAAGAGCAACGAAACTCTGTATATTAGTTGTGTAGGTATATGCCCAGGTGATACTTCCATAGATGTCACCAGGGCACCTGGGCAGGCTCAGAGCTGCCGTGGCACGCCACCTGGACATCTTGTGAGACTTGTTCAGAGCTCGGAAAAGCTTTAATTAACTTGTTTGATAAGAATTGAAGCTCGCAAATCAATAAGTCTACGTAATATGTGGTTCAGGTTATTACTTTAGTATAGCATCAACATTTAATGTGAGGGTAGATAACCAGCTGGTGCAAGCTTTACTGGTCTAGTGTGGATATATAGTTCCCACAAATTTGCAATATGGGCTTGTCCATTGGTAGAATACAACACCAAATTGAACCCCACTAATACTGGTAGAAAATACAGATCACAAATTTTCAATCTTCATTTGATGTATCCAAGCAAGACATTTAAATAACTGCGAGAAGACACACATACTCGGTTCAACCCTTACGATCATCAGGGGAATCTTGACACTGCTTAAGGCCATCTGGCATGTCTTGGCATTTCTATGCCATGCAGGAAGTCAGAATCGTTAGAATTGTTTTAATTCGCACTGTAGGATATTCAATGAGAGTCAAAACCATAGATGACCAGGGATTGGAAATATAGTGAAAGCATAGTGAAAAGCGAGAATTCTGTATAGGAACTTCTAGTACATTAAATCTCTGATCGAACGCGTCTTCCACGTGACCCGCACAAACCCGGGAGTGGAGGCCCAACCACCGCTAACCCAGAATAGGACTAGCGCAACACACCCAAACATGGACCGGCGCGCCAGGCAAGAGCCCCCCAATGATATAAACCCGGCTGCGTGACCTCGAATCTCGCTCTTTGTGTATTGAATCTAATCCTCCCTGCTGAGTCATCTCCACCCGGCTCACTGGTGTTGGGCGTTGGTGTTTTTTTTTCATTTCGCAGTTTCAGGGTATTACACGCTTTTTACAGTCGCGTGTATCTTCTCTATCTCTTTTCTTTCTGTTTTCCCCCATTACTTTCGGCGGTGCTGCTCACTCGGCATCAGAGTGACGGCCCGCCATGACTTCCCGGTAAGTGCCCTGGACCAATAATGACGCGTCAGTCACATGATACTAATGCTCCACAGACTCGACCGCCTGGTCACGTGAGTACCACCATCAATATCCAAACCAAAGGTATGATCTAAGTGAGAGCTCCCTAAACTAATATTTTTTTTATTTTTTTTTAGTTTACTCGAGACCGGAAGCACTCAGTTGATCCGGAATACAGCAGCCCAGCAGCTAGGTGACGTTCAAAAACAACATCCTGATGAACTGTTCAATCTCTTGGGCAGAATTCTGCCATACCTGCGATCTAAATCATGGGATACGAGAACTGCTGCTGCCAAAGCGATCGGTTTGATCGTCGGGAATGCAGACGTATATGACCCAAATGAAGACGATGGCTTGCAGATCAAGTCTGCAGCTGATGACGATGACGTGGAGATCAAATCCGAGGTCAAATCGGAGGATACTCCGTCCACTTTTCTTCAGCTCGACACCATGGACATTGCATCTATCCTAAAGCACGGTAAAAAATTACTCGGCAGTGCTGGAAAGGAGTATGAGTACTCTCTGGCAGCAATGGATCCCGCGACACGACTTCAGCATCAAAAAAAGACACTGACCGGCCGCCTCGGCCTTGCCGGGGAGTATATAGAGGATGATATACTTGATACGGCCGAAATGGTCCCCAAAGTGGCCACGCCTGCTCCGAAGCGAGAGCCCACACTGGCTGCTTTTTCCCGAGAGAACAGTGTCTCGGATTTAGCATCTCGGCGGCCATCATCTCCAGACGCCAAGCAGGAAGAGGCGGGTCTCAGCAAGCGCCAACTGAACCAGCTTAAGCGCAAGAACAAGCAAAATGCCAAGATGGGCGCTAATAAAGTCCGCGTGGTGGACCTGTCTTCCCGTCGACCATCGGAGAACGTTGCGACACCAACCACCCCTCACCCTATCAAGGCCGAGAACGGTGACGACCAGAATGGAGAAAGTAAACCTGACTATTTCTCATTTGAAAAATCAGCCGAAGATGATGACTCAAAGATTGTTGCGGAATTCAAAGGACCCATCGCACCCGAGCGATCAGTTATCCAGCCTGATTTTGTGGATCAGGGCTCAGGCTGGCCCTTGGAATGCATGTGCGAATTTTTGACCATGGATATCTTTGACTCAAATTGGGAAGTTCGACATGGTGCAGCCATGGCTCTCCGTGAGGTCATTAGGGTCCAAGGCGCAGCAGCTGGTCGGTTGGAGGGTAAGACTCGGGCAGAGAATGATTCGCTGAACCGCAAATGGCTCGATGATCTTGCCTGTCGTTTGCTTTGTGTTCTCATGCTCGATCGATTTGGTGATTACATCTCAGATAACGTGGTCGCCCCGATTCGAGAAACCGTGGGTCAGACCCTGGGTGCCCTTTTGTCCCACTTACCGCCCAAGTCTGTTCGACAAGGTTACCGAGTCCTTTACCGAATTATCATGCAGAATGATCTCGGTCTGGATCGTCCTGTGTGGGAGGTATGCCATGGTGGTATGATTGGCCTACGTTACTTGGTTGCCATTCGCAAAGATCTCCTTGTCAATGACTCTGTCATGATGGATGGTGTCCTCGAAGCCGTCATGAAAGGCCTCGCTGACTTCGATGATGATGTGCGCGCTGTTAGCGCGGCAACCCTTGTGCCAATCGCAGAAGAGTTTGTAACATCACGAGGTGGCACTTTGGGACCTCTAATGAACATTGTTTGGGATTGTCTTTCCAACCTGCAAGACGATCTCAGTGCCAGCACAGGATCCGTGATGGATCTTCTCGCCAAGCTGTGTACGTTCAATCAAGTCCTGGATGCGATGAAAGCCAACGCAGCGGACGACCCGGAGGCATCGTTCGGCAATTTGGTCCCTCGTCTCTACCCATTCTTGCGGCATACAATCACGAGTGTTCGTTCGGCTGTTCTGCGGGCTTTGATGACCTTCTTAAAATTGGAGGGAGAAGGCAGCACAGATTGGGTGGATGGCAAGGCCCTGCGCTTGATCTTCCAGAATTTGCTTGTGGAGCGCAACGAGGATGTGCTCAAACTCTCACTCCAGGTTTGGTCGGAGCTACTAAAAGCCGTTGAGACCCATGGATACTTTAAAACCGATACTGAGCTCTCAAGCTCCATTGAACCCCTCGTCACTCTTACCCTTGGACCGTTCGGTGTTCCTCGCTACCCCATCAAAATCAACGATTGTCTCTTTATCAAGCCATCCGGTCTTCCATACTCTGTTGCTCCTCAGCCCCTTGCCAAACTTTCACCCCCTGCTACTGGTGGTGGTGGTGCTGCAGAGCCCCTCAAACCTGGCCGCAGACGCAAGTCCGAGAAGAAAGAAGCCCCACCCCCATCTATTCACAATGTGGATGGACATATGTTGTCCGGCGACATCGATCTTGTTGGTGCAGACACTATGCTACGATCCAAGATCTATGCTTCAAGGGCGCTGGGTGAATTGCTTTCTGTCTGGGACAAGCACGATCTTCCGAGCTTCTGGTCGCCCATTTTGGATGGACTCAATGTCTCGGCCTCTACTTCCCAGCTCTCCGCTGCTATGGTCATGGAGGAGTACGCCCGTTTCACAGGACCAGAGAGCAAGTATGCCTCATCTCTTACAGATAAGCTGCGCCCGATTGTTGAAGGTGAACGCCCATCCTGGTATTCAGACATCGCCAGCTACCTGCATGTCGCTCGCGCTCAATGCCACTCCCTGTTGAATACCTTCCGGGACCACGCACATGTTCCACAATCGCGACTCCCGACCTTGGCTGTCGTTGTTCAGGGTGACTCTGAAGCCGGACCTAATGCATTCTCTCTTGCTGATGCTGAGAAGATCGTAGGCCCTGACTTTGAACGCCTCAAGAAGAGCTTGACTCCTGCGCAGAGAATAACTGCCACTCAAGTTTTGAATGACACCCGTGCAACAGCGCAATCGGCTGTTAACGAGGCTCGTGGAATCAAGGAGCAACGAGACATGCGTGTCCCAGCTGCTGCTGCAGGTGCTCTAGTCGCTCTTCGAGATATTCCAAAACGCCCTGGTCATATCATTAAGGGCATGATGGACAGTGTGAAGAAGGAAGAGAATATTGAGCTTCAGCAACGCTCAGCAACTGCCGTCGCAAGCCTTATCGAGCATTACACAGCAGCCACAAAACGTGGACCAGTCGATAAGATCATTGGAAACCTCGTCAAATACTGCTGCGTGGACACCTCCGAGACTCCCGAGTTCCAGCACAATGCCCAATTGGAGACATCAATTCTGTCTCTTCGCAAGGAAGAAGACCGACGAGACCACCCCGATGCTGCTAAGTTCGAGCGCGAGGCTAAAGAAGCTCGTATCATGCGACGTGGTGCCAAAGAGGCTTTGGAGCAGCTGGCTGTCAAATTTGGCCCCGAGCTCCTTGAGAAGGTGCCCAACCTTGCGGCTCTTGTTCAACAACCATTGAACGATGCTTTGGTTGGAGAGCTGCCTGAAAACATCACCAAGCCCGAGACAACGCTTGGCCAGGAGGTCGTAGATGGTCTATCCACTCTTCGTGCCCTTCTGCCTAAGTTCGATTCTGGCCTCTATCCTTGGGTTGTTGGTCTCATGCCTATCATTGTCAAGGCTTTACAGTGTCGTCTATCTGTCATCCGTTATGCAGCAGCGAAGTGCTTTGCTACAATTTGTAGCGTCATTACTGTAGAAGCTATGACGATGTTGGTAGAAAAGGTGCTTCCGACTATCAACCACGCTTTGGATGTCCACCACCGTCAAGGAGCTATCGAGTGCATCTACCACCTTATCCATGTGATGGAAGATGGAATCTTACCATATGTTATCTTCCTGGTGGTTCCTGTTCTTGGCCGTATGAGCGACTCCGACAACGATGTTCGACTTTTGGCAACCACTTCATTCGCCACCTTGGTCAAACTCGTACCGTTGGAAGCTGGTATCCCCGACCCACCTGGATTCTCCGAGGAATTGCTGAAGGGTCGTGACCGAGAGAGAAAATTCATGTCTCAGATGCTGGATTCGCGAAAGGTGGAGCCATTCGAGATTCCTGTTGCGATCAAAGCCGAGCTTCGGCCATATCAGCAGGACGGTATCAACTGGCTTGCCTTCCTCAACCGTTACAATCTCCACGGCATTCTCTGCGACGACATGGGTCTTGGAAAGACTCTTCAAACTATCTGTATTGTTGCGAGTGATCATCACATGCGAGCGGAGGAGTTTGCCAAGAGCCAAGCTCCTGATTCTCGCAAGCTCCCCTCCCTGATTATTTGCCCACCTTCTCTTTCTGGCCATTGGCAACAGGAGGTCAAGCAGTACGCTCCATTCCTCAACTGCATTGCGTACGTCGGTCCCCCGGCAGAGCGAACGAGACTTCAGGCTCAGCTTGGTACATCAGATGTGGTCGTGACCTCATACGATGTTTGCCGGAACGACAATGAAATCCTCAACAAGATCAACTGGAACTACTGTGTGCTTGACGAAGGACACCTCATCAAGAACCCAAAGGCTAAGATCACAATTTGCGCCAAGCGACTAATGAGCAACCATCGCTTGATTCTTTCAGGTACGCCGATTCAGAACAACGTTCTTGAGCTTTGGTCACTCTTCGATTTCTTGATGCCTGGGTTCCTTGGCACAGAGAAGGTTTTCTTGGACCGATTTGCCAAACCAATCGCCGCTAGCCGATTCAGCAAATCCTCGTCCAAAGAACAAGAGGCTGGTGCTTTGGCGATTGAAGCCTTGCACAAACAGGTCTTGCCTTTCCTCCTCCGTCGTCTGAAGGAAGAGGTTTTGAATGATTTGCCTCCCAAGATCATTCAAAACTACTATTGTGATCCTAGTGAGCTTCAGAAGAAGCTGTTCGAGGACTTCTCGAAGAAGGAGCAGAGGGAGCTACAAGACAAGGTTGGAAGCACTGATCGCTCTGATAAGGAGCACATTTTCCAAGCCCTACAGTATATGCGTCGCCTGTGCAATTCACCTGCCCTGGTAGTCAAAGATGGACACAAGCAGTACAACGAAGTCCAGAGCTACTTGTCTGCTAAGCGTTCCAACATCAGGGATGTGTCACATGCGCCGAAGCTTAGTGCCCTGCGTGACCTCCTGGTTGACTGTGGTATTGGTCTCGACACTCCAGCAGAGGGAGAGCTCGATACAGGTGCAAGCTATGTCAGCCCGCATCGTGCCCTTGTTTTCTGTCAAATGAAGGAAATGCTGGACATCGTGCAAAATGATGTCCTCAAGAAGTTGTTGCCATCTGTCCAATATCTTCGCCTGGACGGTGGCGTCGAAGCCACGAAGCGTCAAGATATTGTCAACCGATTCAACACCGATCCCAGCTACGACGTGTTACTACTGACTACCAGCGTTGGTGGTCTCGGTCTCAACCTCACAGGAGCAGACACTGTCATTTTCGTCGAGCACGACTGGAACCCGCAAAAGGATATCCAAGCCATGGATCGCGCCCATCGTATCGGTCAGAAGAAGGTTGTTAACGTGTACCGCTTGATCACAAGAGGTACCCTAGAGGAGAAGATTTTGAAGTAAGTTTTCGTCCCATCCCGCCATTTGACCCCTCACTAACATGCTTTTGTCTAGTCTACAACGTTTCAAGATCGACGTTGCCTCTACAGTGGTCAATCAACAAAATGCCGGTCTAGGCACAATGGACACAGATCAACTTCTAGATCTATTTAGTCTCGGCGAAACGGCTGAAACGGCCGAGAAACCCGACGCAACCGGCAATGAAGTCGATATGGTCGACATTGACGGTGAAGTCAAGGAGAAGGGCAAGAAGGGCTGGCTGGATGACTTGGGCGAGCTCTGGGATGATCGCCAATACCAGGAAGAATATAACCTGGATTCATTCCTAGCTACGATGAAGAACTGATGTGTCTCTTTGGCTTCCCCGCCTGCCATGATACCCCTCAAAGAGCCTCTATCGCCCTCCATCTTGAATCTCCTTCCCCTCCACTACGATTCTTACGTTACGCCTCACGTCCTATGCTTCTTTATGTTCCTGAAGGGGCATTTCGCCTATCTGCGATTATTAATCCTTATTTTTTTTCCCCTGGTCTCTGAGTGGTCTGCTGCTTTAACTCTGTACTCGTTATATTTTTATCCAACCACTTCCATGTATTTTTAGCTTGATTTTCCCCACGACCAATAATCTCTAGCATGTATATAGAGATGATATGTTTCTCACGCTTCACTTTCTACACCAGCTTTGTCGAACATAGTTTATCATAGTTGAAAAGACCTCGTCTGTTGTCAACTTCGAAACTACGTGAATAGTACGAGCCCATCAGGACTCCCCACACGAATTATTTAACGCGATAGCTTCTTGGAATTAGAATGCAGGTGTAAAAATAATTTTGAAAGAAATCTTGTGAAGTCATTATGTCATACATAGGCCTGAAAGCAGGCAAAATGGCAAAGCACCATACCCATAGCCTGTCGTCTCGGTCACCAAAACCTAGCAGCCGCCCAGCCAGTAAAGATACTGAGGATCAGATGGCACAAGCCTCGAAAAAAGTCACAGGGGACCACAGAAACAAACAGGACAGGAAAGAGAGGGACCGGCCAACGAAAAGAAAAAGAGAATGAAAAAAATAAACGCCGCCATCACGCCTAGATTGAATATTTTCCGGCTCCAGCAAACCGTTGATGCAAACCGGGACACAAACTATGTGAAACCGAGAAAAGAAAAAGAAAAGAATAGGACACCCATGAGAAAAAGACGTAGGAGCCATGAGGGTAATAGGAAAAAGATACAATGTAAGAAGATAAAAATGTAGTCACTGCCAGAGAAGCAGAGCAACAGGCAGCGGCCAAGTGGAAAATCGAAAGCAATCAAAAGTTGGGCCGAATCCTACGCACTGAAATCGGCACCACGGATCAATTGCCCCGTAAACGCGCCAGGCGTTTTTCACAACAAATCGGCACTTAAACTTGTCCTTTGGGTTTGGCAAGCATGTTCAGACGACTCAGGCTAAGCATGCCGGGGCGTTTCTGCCTCGTACTAGCAGGGGTGCCAAACTTATTGGAAGAAACGGAGCGGTTGGGAGTCTTCATAGGACGTGATCTGATAGGGCTGGGAGTAGGCGGGTTGGCCTTCAATCTCTTCACTCCACGCTCCTCGGTCTGGGCGTCAGCGGGTGGCACGTTTTCGGCATTCTCAGCATTGGGAACATCATCATCATCGTCCAAGTCCTCCCGACGTCTCTTCTTGTTGCTCAGTCCATGAGAGACTCCGTGGGCCACAACAGGGAGTTCGGGCCACGTAGGTTCCGATTTACCAGCATCTGAGGTGCGTACATGGCGAATAGAGGGTGACCCGGTCGGAGTAGTGCTCTCCTCAGCAGATGATTTATGATCCGGGGTAAGAGTAGGGAGAGTTGGATAGACGATCTCGGACAGCTTGGAACGGGACGGAGTGGTGGGGATCTTCGACGGGGAGGGAGAGGCCTCAGCCAAGGTATGACGAGACTTAACGCTAGGGGTGAATTCAACGTGCTTCTTTGGCGATGGAGATGGGGCGGCGTCATTCTGATCATTCTGGCCAGCGAAGAGCAAGTCAGGGTTGAAGTCAGGAGCAGCAGTATGGGTACCAGCGGCGATCTTGGCTGGATTGCGGGAGAACAATGGCTGGCGTCTGCGGAGGATAGACTTGAGATTGCTGAAAGTGGGCAGGTTGGTCTTGAACCGCGGGTTAAATTCAGTTCGAGGAGTGCGCGGTGAGGCCAGAGCCTGGGTGGAGGGCGAACGCGCCAAAGATGGAATCAGCGATGTTTTAGGGGCCTTCAAGCTGAGGGAGATTGATGTGGTGCGCGCCATGGAAGACCGAGTCGGTGTCATTAGAGAGCTGCGGACTGTGGAGCGAGGCCGAGCTCGAGGGCTAGCAGGCTTCGGTACAGTGTCTTCCTTCTTTTCGACAGCTTTAACACTCGCATGGCCGACTGTCGTATCATCTGCGGTGTTGTGCTTGACACGCTTTGCTGTGGCAGTAGGAACAGGCACGGCCGACGGCTTTGCTGACGACGAGGATCGTGATGGCGATTCGTTATGGGGTTCGGGTTCGTCCAACTGAGCCTTGGACTTTGTACGTTTCAATGACTTTGTCGCAGGCTCGAAGCGACCTGGAACGGCCCGGAAAGAAGAAGGGTGATTGGCAATCGAGTCCATTTTCTTGAACTCGGCCATATGCACGTCGCTGAACCGTCCCGCTTGACCCCTTGCCTTTGCGATCTTTCGATCAACAGGGGCCTGAAGATCCCGCTTTTGCTGTTCTGCTTCGGCTGGCCCCATGTTTGCTCTGGCCTGCCTGGCCTCTTGGCGAATTGTTTCCATCAATTGCTGGGCCGCATTGCTGAGGTCCGACTCTTGTCCGAATTTGAACTCGTAGCCCGGTGTACCGAATTGGCTGGGCGCAGGCGAGGGCTTAGTCTTGGAGGGAGTCTTCTCAATGGGGCCGTCTTTCAAGACATTTCCAGCCGCGTCTTTCTTGATGGGGTTGAAGCCGAGGATTAGTCCCGAATCGACTTTCTTGGCAGTGCTTTGGTGTGCCTTGCTGGGATGCATTTCATTCGCAGATGGGCGAACAGCGGACGTGCTAGTTGGTGTTCTGGCCTCCTTAGGCTTCTGGTGGGAGTTTGTGAACATGCGCTTCTGAGGAGTCTTTTTGGCGACCGGGGTGCGGACACCAGGCTGATCATTACTCCGCGTCTCATCGTGTTCCTTAACAGAAGGAAGTTGAGGAGGCGCGACAGGCTGAGGGGTAGATTCGTCACTCTAATAAGGTAGCCATGTGTTAGTCTGAATCATGTTTAATCAATGACATTGCAAGCCCCTCTCTCGGGCGTTGCTAGGACACGCACATCTGGACCCTGGCTACGCAGGCGGGCGGAACGCCGAACCGCCATGGCTAAAGAAATTGAATGTGTTGTCGAGTAAAAATGAAGTAAGATCGAATGCAACCCCGAGGAAAATTGTGGATTGGAGTGGGGAAGGAAAAATGACAAGTGGATGTTCTGGCGTCGAAGTCTAGGGCGAAGCGAGTCTAAGATGTAAACAAACGCGCTTGACGTCACATGACTAATCAACAATACCCCAACACAACTGATATGCGATGAGTTTAAAGTATTCAATGTACATAATCAGATAGCTCAAATCTATCCCGTGTTCCGTTATTGCTTTGATCGTATTTCCAGCTCACACAGCTAGTTAGCCGACCTTGGGCTGTCATCAAGCCGGCGGTCGTCCCGTGATTAGGCGCAGATCATTGATCATCACGGAACGCTCTCACCGACAAGCGGCTCAAACACCATAAACAGCATCCCAGCACATTCAGCATTCTAGAAATCAGGCTTAACGAAAGTCATAGACATTCGTTATACGTCTTGAATTTACGATGAAAACATGCAGTTCCCGGAGCCTCACATCCAAGCCCCTCGAAGTGAGCATGCCCACACAGCCATTCTACTTCATGGCAGGGGAAGCGATGGTCCGGAATTCGCCGAAGAACTATTTTCTTCCGTGACTTCACAAGGGGGAAACTTGTCTGACAGTCTGCCGAGCTTTCGCTGGGTCTTTCCAACCTCTGGTGACCGATGGAGTGCAAGGTTTCAAGAATACATGCCATCTTGGTTTGATGCATACTCCCTCGAAGACATCGGAGCAAAACAAGAACTACAAGTCGATGGACTCAGGGAGTCGGTACTGCATATGCTTGAGTTGTTGAATCGTGAAATCGAGAAAGTGGGTGGGGATCCTCGTCGTGTCTACCTCGGGGGCATCAGCCAGGGCATGGCGACCGCTTTATGGACATTGTTTTGCACACCAGGAAGATTCCAAGGGCCGCTTGGTGGGTTTTTGGGATTCTGCGGGTGGCTGCCTTATGCGGGACAGGCAGAAGATCTCATTAAAGGATTCCCAAATACCCCCGGCGGGTTGGATGTGCCTAGCAAACAACGCCAAGTGTCTCAATTATTCTTGGATATCATTGCTAGTCCTAACACACCCTGTATCAACGAAAATACTGACTTTTCTGTGCTATCAACCGCAATTTTCCTGAGTCATGGCTCGGATGACAAATGGGTCCCTGCGGAACTAGGTCGTCAAGCAGCTCGGGTTCTTCAAGGTCTTAATCTCACGACAGAGTATTACGAATTTACTGGTGCTGAAGGGGATGGCCATTGGGTTGCAGAGCCCGAAGGATTTGATCAAATCTTTACTTTCATCCAAAAACAGGTGGAACAAAATCATTTAATAGCCTAGGAAAACCAATTATACGATAATTATTGGACAGAATTAGCGCCATTTGAATACAACTCTCACGCTTTGTCATGTCAATCTATTATATCAAGATACATCATGGTGAAGGTCAATCACCGCGTCATCAACGCTCGGTGGCCCAACATACTTCTTCCGTCCCCAGGCCCAGTACCAAGCGGTAGCCATAATGATGAAGGCTACAAAGACAACCGGGGCATAGTTGACAGTTTCCGCAGTGACGGGAATATAAGAGGGCATGCAGAATAGAGGCACAACCAGAATGCTCCAAGCTGCAATGAAAGTCAGTAAAGGTCATTTGGGGGGGGGGGGGGGGGGATAGGGTCCAGACCCACCTATAGCCACAACATTACAGAACACCCCAAGTTTGCCCAAATCAAAATTTCCGTTTTTGATTTGCGATCGCCCTCCAGCAAAGGAAACAGCAATGGGACAAGCATAACTCACAGTCAGAGTAATGACACCGACTCCAGAGAAAGCGTTGAAAGCAGTAGTCGATCCAAAGTAGATCAGTCCAAGGGCGATTTCAATTACCATACTCAGAATCATGGCATTGAAAGGAACACCCAGAGTCTTATTCACCACCTTCCATTTTCGGGAATAAGGAACACCCCCATCTCTTGCGAATGCCCATATAGATCGCGATACAGCTGTGGTGCATCCGATACCACATAGTAAAGCGAGAACGGCAAGTGGAAGTAGTAGAAGGAATGCACCAGCTGAATTACCGACAGCAGATTTGATTATGGTGGGAATGGGTTGACCAGATTGTAGCGCAAGAAGCTCCTGCGTGTTGGGAAGCACAAAGACCAAGGGGATCAGGAAGAGAAGACCGGCGAGTGTGTTCAGAATGATCGTGCCGACAATAGCTTTCGGAACTTGGCGGGATGGCTCTTGGACTTCTTCGCACATTCTGTAAGATGTGAGTATACGATCGAGGGCAGTACAGGGAGTCTTAAAATGAAGAAGGAATGGTACATACGATATAACCATTCCGGTCGATGAAGTGGTATAAGCAGCTTGTAAGAGTCCAACACAGAACGACCAGCCTACCGGCCATCCGGACTGAGGCTCGAAGTTTGTAAAAACGTACTCAGCACTATGTCTGCCATTCTTGGCAATGACCAAGACGCAAATAACGGTAGCCAAGACACCAGCTAGAGTCCAGAAAATGGCAAATGTCTAGATAGATGTGAGTAAAACATTTCACAGAAGCACGGATCCAACATACATCAAGATGGGGTAGCCACTTATTACCGAATGCTGATACAGCATTACACAAAAGGGTAATAGCAAGAAAGATGAGGAAAATCTGATATGACTCTCCTGCAAGGACTCCAGCTCCAGACGATGTCTCGAAAACATTGACACAGGCGACTATAAACTGGGCTGATCCAAAATTCACAGCGAGCGTAATCATAATATTGCCTACCACGTAGGACCATCCGCAAATCCAGGCAAAGATTCGTCGATAAGCGGGTGAAGAGAGCATAAATGTCTGGTAATAGACACCCCCGGCGGTTGGGTAGACTGAAGTGATTTCACCCAAAGAGGCCCCGACGCAAAGGATAATCGCTGAAACCATCAGCCATCCCCAGATGATATTTACGGGACCGCCGCCGTAGAGGGGGTAGATGAATGTTGTTGACAATCCATAGGGAATGGATGCGAGAACGAAGGACATGAAGGCCACCTGGAGTGTTGATCGGTTCCTTGTAAGCTCGGGCTCATAGCCAAGGGCTTCCAGGAGACCATTTGCCGGGGCTGAATCGGATTGTTCGAGGTCGGCATCATATTTGGCGTTCTTCTCGTCGATTGAAGGATTGCTTGGCGCGGAAGCCGACTGTGAATGGGATTCGATTTTGGTTGCCATGATTAAGACCACAACTCTGGTTGATAAATTAACCAAGGCTGAAATAAAATGAGGATTAGAGAGAACACAGACCCCTTATGTATCAGTCTTCCAGAGTGATTGGGGCGTTATATCCATGGCTGTTCAGGCCCCGGAATGGCTGCAACCTATGTATCATGAAATTGAATGTAGCAAATCACAGTTGACAATCTATGATAAGTTTTACTAGTGGTAATCATCATTAAGGGCGGTATTTTTCTTGTGGACCTTTCCGTAGTATGATCAGCGCCTTGGACATGAAACGTGGGGTAATTGCCTATCACTTTGTTCTTATTGGAGTTGGCTTGATGACGCAGAGTGCGGAGCAATGCCGAGACTTTGAAATCAGGATCAGACCCACCAGCTGAACCGCTTGGTCGCTAGAGGGAATGGCTTGCCCAAAAAGGTAGGATCGACTCCGCAAGCTATGGATTCATTGGTCATCCCCGCTTAATAGGGCCCTTTGCAACGTGAGTCACATTGAACCAGTCCATAATGCAGTACTTTAAAGATCCTCTTACCCCCTTCTAGATCATGAGACTAGAGTTCATGACATCAATGGGCTCCTATGGAACATCGGTCTCTTTCAATATTGTGTGATCACCTCTATGAGGCATTTTGTTCGAAACACTCTAGGGTACGCAATGATCATGTTGTCATGGGCGTGTATAGAAAATTAACTCAATCTCTTATCAAAGGAAAATCGAACTGCGAGAGCACTGTGATACAATCGTATCAAGGGACTTGAACGATTATTGGAAAGATTAGGTATCAACTGAACAATTGTTGTGGAGACTGATATCAGCGCCCCGAAGACGTGATTAGGGCGTTATTCCAGAAGCAGTTTATCTTTCCTCTAAGACACAGCCCTAGATGGCTTTCATCTAGGTTTTCATCATGTAATGCTATCTTGACCGAAGACTCAAAGCCAAGTGTGTTATCCCTACTCCTATACGCTCAGGGCCTACTGAGCCGGAGCTCGCGGCTACGCTAATGCACAGCGGCTAGGCTAGTCCAAGAAAGGAGAGCATCCGAGGAATCTGATGGGTCCATTTCAGATAAGGATGGGGCTACGTAAAAGCATCAGCCTCAAGTAGAAATATTAACGATTACGGTTGCCTATCGATATGGTTTCGGATCTTGGCTCCCCCGCAAAGACGGGAAACTATCCGTGTAGCCAATAGACACCGGTATATGTAGCCGTCAGTGGCTTGACACTTCGGGTGACAAGGACACAGGAAGCCGATCACGAGACTTGCCCCCTGAGAGCAGCATCTCCAAGACAATGATATCAGTAATGCTAGCCCCCCTATTTTCATAACCTTGAAACAGTATACCCACAAGCACTGTGGAGATGTATGGACCATATTATCTAAGAAACTCCCCCTTTTCAGTGATCAACTTGTGCAGCAAGGGATGAATTGGTATCATTATTATCCCATCATGGTCTCAAGGTTATGTTCAAGCATTATGTCCAGCCAATATTCACTAACTCCAGCATCCGCTTTACTCCAAGTCTCGTGCACAATGCGAGACATGCGTTGCAACCGCAATTTTGGAAGAATCAAGGTAAGTTCCGAAAACCACATGCTAACCTTTCGCCGAGCCTGAGCAATTTCCACGTCTAAGGCGCTTAAACAAGCAATAGCGTTCGCCGCGGGACCGAAAAGAGACTGATTCGAAAACACAAGATCGCTCGAAATGCAAGTAAGAACTACGGGATGCATACATCTAGTCCCGGACGTGGGAGGTATTTGATCAAGAAGCGATACGATATGGATAGCCAGTACTCGACGTGCTTCTTCCACCGAGGGTATTGTGGAATCAGCCCCAAAGAGAAGAGAGAAGAGAACGGAAGGTTCTTGTTCAGAGGACTTTTCGCGTCGAAGACGCTCATCTAGGATGTCGGGGAAGACATGGTAGATTTGAAGTAGAGCCGTGCAGCGATATGCTTCTGCTAGAGTAATGAAGTGGGTTGGGGGCGTGTCTGTGTCCCCGATATCGACCGGCCCACAGTAAGAAGAAATACCCGTAAACAGAATCTCCTCTTCGAGCCGCTCGGCTGTTCCATGTTGGTGGATCTCTTCGACAAGAAAATCCAAGTCAATATTTGCTAGATCTAGATCTTCGTCGCGTGTGCGATAGGAGATCCGGGCCGCTCGAATCAATTTTGCAGTTTGGTAAAAGAGACTGATTGATTTAGAAAGTGGTCCTGTCCATGGATGGGGAAGGGCTTGACCATCAACCAAGTATACCGACATCTCTGTGTCAGGTCTTTCCAGGACCTTCTCTTCACTCAGAAGCAGCGAATCCTCCGCCACAAAAGCGGCCATCATATTCCAATAAAGCAGACATTGCTGGAATAGAGGGTATTGTTTCGCAAAAGTAGATTCGGGATTCTGACACGTTTGTTGTTGGCTCACGAGGTAGTCCTTCGCCTCTTTCAGATATTCCAACCCCAAGTCCGAGGCGTTGTGCCAGGCTGTTGTCAAGCCGATCATTAGAAGAGCCAAGAAAAACTCATCATCTTGATCATCTCGATGCAGCGAGCCTATGCGAGGATTGTTTCGAAGACACGCAATTGCTTGTTGTTGTGTCTGAATTCCAATTGCTCTCATACTCGGAAAGTCATTTGCAAGCGAGGCCGCAGCCATGCTCTGGATAGCATAGTAGATTGCCGCATTTTGACTCCAAAGACGGCTGACAATGAGCCGGAAGGGATTCAAGGGTGAGTCAAACGATGACCAGGCTTTGCAGACGAAGTCAAAATAGTATTGGACTAAAATGGCTGGCATGTGGATCAGAAAAGCGGGTATCGCTGTATTAGCCAGTCGGCGATGCAGACTTGCCAGGCTATCTGATTGTGACGTCGTCTTGAAAACAGTGATATCGTTTAATCTGAAGTCTGGCTTGGATCGGAGATCCATGGACGCATCAATGTCTGGAAGTTGATCCAAGATCGTTGAGCTCGCCTCGTCCCAAAGCTCCTGTAGGTGCTTGCTGTGGGTAGCTTCTGCCTCGCCTTGTATGCTCTCGCAAGTGTCTTGTGCTAGAGCAATAAGCGATTCTGATGACTCCGCAGCTGATGGCGAGTTAGATTGGATTTGCTCCTGGTTTTCAACTTGGTCTTCTCCATCCTGAAAAACATATCGCCATTCTAGAGGCTTTTTCTGATATCCAGGGCATACAAAGCCCTTTCTCAAGCACTCTCGACAACTAGGTCTAGTTTCATCGCACCTACGCTTGAGGTAAGGTTAGTCCAACAGAGCCGACGTATAGATGCGCATTATTCACACCTCGACTTACCCGCCGTTCCTTGCATTTCTGACAGCCTCCTTTCGATTTGGGCTTGCACCGATTCGGGTTCTTCTGCCCTTTTTGTCGCGCAGACTCACTCGTGGCGCGGGGCATTTTTCTGACCCAGAAAAACGAGCGAAAATAATGACAGGTTCCGCTTTAAGGGAAACGAATGCGCCTTATCATTGATTCAATGACTTCAGGTGATCGGGCCGGATATCGCCTCCTTACCGTTCTACCCCGCACATCACTTTTCGGATCCAGAGGAACTACTGCCGTTTACACAAAAAGTAGCCCAATGGACTTGACTCGTGTGTAATTCACCGCATCTTACGCCACTAGGCAGATTTACTATCTTTTTCTTGCCGCCCCACAGATTGGATGTCGTGGCATCACACATCCATCCCTGGTGTGTTTGATTACCGAATCGGGGTATGGAACCCGCCAGATCAGTACCACTGACCACAAGTCTACGGACGGACCACCCCATAGTAGATCGTGTTCCTTTCCATATGGCTGATTGACCATTGAAAACTGGTTTATTTTGTTGGCTTGAGGTCTCGTGATGCTGTGGGAAAAACAGTCACTGCTCAAAGTGGGAGATATACCACGATATAAACCTCTTAAACTTTGGCTGTTCTGTACCTTGAGTAACTAATGACTACCATATGTTGTAGCAGAGCTTGGAAGAGTCTGAAGCTCTAGAGATTTCCTGCTCCTGTGTAACAATCTTGGAAAGCTCCCAACCTGACACTATTACCCCATGTGACCTGATGCAACAGTCACACTAGTGACCGCATCGAACTCTGGAAGCAGGTACACATATTCAGGAGATTGCCCATGGGAAGCTTTGTGGCTGGATCTAGCGTGAATGTTATTTGCTATGTAAATGTATATCATCGTATATTGATTGGTCATAGCTATGCCAGGATCTAGCAAATCAATATTAGGTTATCCTGGTTCGAGAAGAACCTGCTGACCATGTTTCGGTCAGACTCTCCTTTCCATACTTCTTCTAATTGACTCAGAGCTGTTGACATGACCCCCATTCCGAATTCTTCTATTAAAGACTGCAAATAAGATCGAATCAGCGATTTTTGGTGGCCATGGCAAGCGATTAACCCGAACACAAAAAGAGGCCAAGTGGCTGTTGTGGCGATGGGTGAGGTCGGAGGTAAGCGTGCAAGCAGCAATTTGAGGCCTTCAAACGCATATTCAATATCAATTTGTGTCCCATTGCCAGCAAACTGCGAGTCCAAAAGGAGCAGGAGGCTCTGTTGATAAAGTTCTGCGCAGGCAACCATGCCTGATTGTTCGCTATAAGGCTTCCAAGCTCTAATTTGAGCACTTATCTCATGATACTGAGTACTGAAATCCTTTCTGGGCAGCTTCGGATCGTGCGATACAAAGTCCCACAAGAGAGTCGAAACCCTGGGGACATATGTGAAAAGTTCATATGCGCAGCCGCACATTACGCCATCGATGCTGGCAGGCACCGTGGGAGAATTGATCGAAGATATGGGTAAGGATGTGGGTGAACAATTTGTCGTGAATGATGCAAGAGAGGAATTGTACACATAAAGTTCTGTCGTTAATGATATAATGCTGGACTGAGTGGGGGAAGAGGCCGAGCGTACGACATAGGCCATCAAATGGTGCGCACCGTCGAGGTGCCTTTGCATAGCCTTATGATCGGTGCCTCTAGTAGCCTAAATGCATGTGAGCAATGCTTTTGATCAGTCGAGGAGCCTAGGCCTACCTCTAATAAATAGAATACTAAGACAACTAGTAAAGCGCGCCAAGCTGCATCTACACTAGTTCCCGCATTGAAATCTGTTGATAAGGCCACTCTAAGCTGCTTTAATGCCCGGTTATAGCTTAACCAGGTCAGAGTCTGCATTTCCCGATCTAGTTGAGGAAGCCTTTGCATCATATGTGCACCAGACAAGGCCAGAATCGAATTCATTAGAAGTTCATCATTGAGAGCCGCCGGAAGTAGTGTATGCAGGAATGGGTTTTGACTGTCCTGCAAACATGACAAACGGTTCGCAGTATCCTTCAAGTAATGATCTAGAAGTCTCCACGTCTGAGACACAGACGAGATCGACCCAGGAAGAGCGAAGCTGGGCAGACACGAGGGAATGGACCCAATCGGGAAATTGGGATGTGCAACAAAGGCGAGGGCACGCGCGTCTTCAATCACACGCGTGTCCAATGCCTGCAGTTGCGGTGCCATTCCTCCCTGTGGGCTTGAGTCTGGCCACAAGCAGCCAAGACTATTGCGCAGACAGGCTGTGCAGATAGGTTTTTGTTCATCACATTTCTTCTTCCGACGCCTGCAGGACAAACAGCCTAAACGAGATCGAGACCCCATGTCGAACACCAAACAAACATATTGCATTCACCTTTGAGGCGCTGCCCAAATGACTTTCCAGGAGGATGAAATTCCCCATGATAAATGCTTTCCGGATCCCGTCAATTGGGCACTCTTCTTCCTGCCCCCGCTCGAGAACACCGTCACAACCGTCCACGTGATCGGTGACAAAGTACAAAGTTTCACCATACCCCCACTGGTACAACAAGTGATTTAATCTGCAGGGGATGCAGACTGACAAAAGGACAAAGGATTGCCTCATGTGACCCCTCATGGAGGTCATGCACCGAACCAAGATCAGCATGACCCCAACTTACCATGGGCGATTTGCAGTCCGTGCGAGAACAGTTCGCTACATTATTTTTAGCGAAAGAGTTCCTGGGGAATAATCCGATATTGACCAATGAGCCTCACAGTGGAACTCGGAAGCAGGTTCCTTTGGGAGTTTATCTCCGGTGATCTATCGATTGAAGTTAGGAGGGAGAGAGACAGGAGGAAGATGAGAATTATCGCGCTAATGGCGCCAGCGATTACGGCTCCAAACCTCGGTAAATTCTCGCAAAAAGCAAGTAAATCGGAGCCACTTGTTTGATTCATTGGATTGCGACCCCAACGACGAATCAGAATTAATGGTTTGCCAACCAGATCCAAATGCAGAAGCTGGAGGAAAGAAGCAGGCTGGGCAATTAGCTAGTGTTTGGAACGATGGTATAAATTGTCCTCCTGATCCAGCATAATTGACATTCAATCTAAGCCTTGACCACCTTTCCAATCATACTAATCAATCATGCCTTTCTCACGCTCGCTTACCGTCGTCGGCTGCCACGCAGAGGGCGAAGTTGGTGATGTTATCACCGGCGGCGTCCTCGACGTACCAGGCAAAACAATGCAAGAAAAGCTCGTTCACATGTCCACCAAAAAAGATCACTTGCGCCAACTTCTTCTCAACGAGCCAAGGGGTCGAGCATCCATGAACACAAATCTCATTCTCCCACCCTGTGATCCAAGAGCCGATGCAGGATTCTTGATCATGGAAAGCGAGGAATACGCCCCTATGTCCGGATCCAACATTATTTGTACCACAACTGTCCTTCTAGAGACCGGCATGATTCCCATGAAAGAACCCATTACCGAGATAGCTTTGGATACGGCGGCCGGACTGGTGACCGTCACGGCCGAATGCGAGGCCGGAAAGTGCAAAACTGTCGAATTCAACAACGTGCCTTCATTTGTGCTTGAACTTGACTACAAAGTCCCGGTTCCGGGTCTCGGAGAGGTGACCGTTGATATCGCTTATGGAGGCATGATGTATGTGTTGGTTGATGCCGCATCTTTAGGCTTAAGGGTCGACAATCAAGAATCTCCAAAACTCGTGGAAATTGCGGAGCGCATTAAGCGAGCGGTTGAAGTGGCCTACACTCCAGTTCATCCTGAAAATGCTGGTATAACGGGCTTTAGTGTTTTGGGATTCACAGAACCTGTGAAAATAGAAGAAGGATGCAAGACTTCTGTCAATGCTGTGGTTGTCTCTCCCGGACGATTCGATCGGAGCCCCTGTGGCACTGGAACATGTGCTCGACTAGCAGTTCTACATGCTCGAGGCCAGATAAAAGAGGGAGAGATTTTCAAGCATCGTAGTATTCTAGGGACTGAGTTTATCAGTCGAATTCGTGGTACAGCAACAGTCGGGAAATATCCTGCTGTTCTACCTACGGTCAAAGGTCGGGCTTGGATCACAAGTTTCAAACAGGTCGTTTTGGACTCGACAGATCCGTTCCCAGAAGGATTTCGTATAGGTGATCAATGGCATATGCCGCCAAATTGAACAAGGCTTTCACTTTCAGGGATGGATGATTTAGCTCAACAGTGGAGCACTGGTTTTGTTCTTCCTACATAGCTATTCTTGTCCAATGATCACGATATAAAAGACTCAGTACAGGTACAATAACTTTAACGCTTCAAAATTCATCATCGTATAGTCATAAAAGGCTCTTTGCATTATGTTTCGGTTGTGAAAATCCGAGTCGCATCTTTCTTAGTACCCGGCGTGCCAGGGGAATCATAAGACATGGACGGCAAATACTGTGTGGTCGCCTCTGCCTTGGGAGGAACAAGCGCGTACTTCTTGCGCTTGACAATATAAAATCTGGAATAAACCAGGTAGGTTAGCCATTGTCAACCTCAAAACGGGGAGGTTGTCTTACCCAAGTCCCAGGATCAGAGCCAGGAGGAATGGAACACCCAAGCCAACGCTTAAACCGATTATAAGCTTGTTACTAGTTCCATTGGTCGTACCGTCGAGGATACTGCTTCCACCGCCCGTTGCAGATGTCGTTGATGTGCTGATTGTGGGAGTATAGGATGTGGGAGATCCTGATGTTGCTAGCAGGCTTCGCACATTCGTTCCAAACGGAATCGCACTTGTCACAGAGGCAAAGGTGTTAGCAGGGAATGTCGCCGAGGATCCTGATTGAACGGTAACTTCTGATGTCACGGTACGCTCGTAAGAGGTAGTATTCTGCAGACTCGCGGGGCAATTGATTAGCCCCGAGGAGAGACAGTTGACGATCGTGTAGGACTCAATTGACGACACAGCTGCTGTGGAGAAATCATCTCGTGCATTAAGCTCTGCTCGAGCAGTGATCATGGCAGACGTGGTAGAGGTGGCTGATGATGTCTTGCTCGTTGCGCAGACACTAGCCAAAGTGGTATACCAGACAGGGACGGTAGTATTGGGCGATGGACCCCAAGAGTATGTATCAACCGCGACTGTTGCTCCAGCTGCTGCTCCGACGGCCATCGTATACTCTGCAACAGCAGCTAGTTCACAGTCACCGTCATCTGCTGCCGTGGTACCGTTGACTTGCAATAGAAAATCGGCCACGTAAGCAAACACGTCGGCCTCGATACCAGAACTGAAGGTGAATACATCTTCGAGGCTGCTAGAAGACATATCTACACCGAGACTCGCCTTAAGGCTTAAGATAGCTTGTATGGAGCCTTCACCAGCAATCGTGACAGGTAGAAACTCGTAAACACCGCCTGGGCTATCAAAGATATTCTCAGTCAGAAAGATCCCGTGAGTTTGAAGGATTACAACTTACACAGAAATGCTTGAAACATTCGAGTTAAACATCTCCAGGTCAAAGCTAAGTCCTTCCTCGAGTTTGATGTGGATTCCGCTCCCAATATCGATCTCAGCATCAGCGATAAGGATCAAATCCACGCTAAAAACCGCCCCCACTGTGAGTCCTGGAACTTGGAATCCCGCAGGAGTTTCCGACGAAAAGATGTTGAGCGTGTAGGTAGCCCCTGCCGATAGCCTAATGTCAAGGTCAAGATACATCTCCAAATCATCAAACTCAAAGTGGATATGGGCCTCTGGGAGAGCGGCAACGTTATCCAAATTGAAGTCTAGGTCGAGAGTTGGCCAACCCGGAATAGCATCGAGATCGAGATTGGCGATGTCTTCGACAGCGTCCTCAGCGACCGCTTTGACATAGGTTTCCAGCTTATTGATCGCTGTATCTGTGATATTCACGATATCGTCTTTAACATCGTCAACGGCTTCGGTGAAGTTGAAGCCCCCGGAGAGGGTCAGGTCACCAGTAACTGAGCCATTCACGTAGCATGTAGAACATATAATTTCTATTGCTGCAGTCTGATCCAAAGAGGCGCTTCCATCGGTAGTGTAACTGAAAGTCTGTCAGCGATTGGTTTCTGGCTACGCTCGCAGCAATCAAAAGCTCATACCTTTCACCATAAAGAAATAAAGTTGCGCCGGACCAGCTCTTGGCGAGAGAAGTGTTGTTCATGGCATATACCGTATTGCGAGACTGTAGGGATGCCTTATGAAGGGCCCGCCCTATTGTATTAATAGTGTCCCCATCAGTCATCTCAGGTGCATTTCGAGTTCGTAGCGCGCCATTTCCAGGCGCGAGGGCCGTAGCGACACTCGATGAAAAGAATAAACAAAGTATCCCCGTCAAAAGAGAGACAAGCATCTTGACAATCACTTTGCAAGACCAAAATGCGAAAAGCAACAGATGTTCAACTTGCGACATCCGATTCCGAAGGGAAAAGACATCAATTTTAAACATACAGAATGCCCCGGCCTAGTGAGTTCCCTAATTAGAGTCGACCCCATCCTAGTCCTTAATCACTCTTATCTGGCCAGCGTTCGTGTTTGTGGGGACATGACAGGGGGTTTGTGAGCCGTAAAACGACGGCACCCGGGCGTGCAGGTCTAGTTAGTAGCTGGTCATCAAGCTAGTAGGGAATAGAATCCTCCGACCCAAGGATGCGTAATCATGGCTTCACAGCAACTTCCTCGAGAACAACGGGGAAGAGTCGATTCTAGGTTAGTCCCATGCGGCTTATCTTCCTGCAAGCTAAATTTGATCTCGCTTTTAGCCAGGAGGGTTAGTATGTACCTTGGTTCGTGCAATGGGGCGATGCTGTATGCTGTACGGGCCGTTCCTGTGCACGGAACTCGTCCCAAAAAAAGACAAGGAGCCTTGGCAAGTCTCGGGAAAGCAGAGGCGGAGCACATGCCCCTTGTCAATATTCGACTTAACCCACAGCTGCTGAATCCACCAGGGCTGATCTGGAGCCATTCATGTGAGGATTGTGTGGGGGCTGGAAACTAGCGTGGTGCGAGTAGGCCAAGACGGAAACAGATAGTGTGGGGGCCGTTTTGAATGCATTCGCATCATGGCGGTGATGGATCTGGGGCTGTCTGGCAATATGTGTTTGGAGCACTTGAAGTAGAAGTCATTTTGCAAGTAAAAAGTCATAGTAGCACGGCATGGCTCGCCCATTTAGCAGAATACACAGGTGGAAGGGCAGCCGGGGCTTGTTGGTCCGGACCTTTTCGATCAATTTTCAAAACTTAGATATGACAAGAGATGTAATTGGACATTTTAACTTTTAACGTGTGCCCGGATGGTCTAGTGGTAAGCAAACCTGCTCTAGCAATCATCACGCTGTTACTAATTCTCTCTAGGTATGATTCCTGCTTTGGGTTAACATCCTAACTGCAGGAGGCCCCGCGTTCGAATCGCGGTTCGGGCCCTCCTTTCTTTTTTTTTCTATTTCAAAATGGGATTCAATATTCATTTCTATTCTTTTTTTCACCATTCAGACTAACATTAACGGCTCATGTAAACATTTCGAACAAAAGTCTTATTTCATTTGGAGCTATACATCACCATCGCATGCCTCCACCCAGTCGACGGTGCGAGGACCGTGCCGATGTTGAACCCGTGAGAAAGAAGAGAAATCGTCGTGTCGACTTGCTATCGACTTGCACCCGCTATCAGATAGCCCACTGTTGGCTTCTAGGAGCCCCAAAATTGTAGGAACCCTTATATACACCAAGAAGGCAATCCATGTGCCAAGATGATTGGTGGGCCAGCAGATGTTTGTCTTAATCCTGTGTCCTCGTGCATCGAAATCATGCGGACATCGATTTATGAGGGACTCTTATTCATTAAGCGATATCACCGCCATGCGATTGCGATAGGCTAATTAAGGGCGCCATTGGTGAAGAAACGGCTCGCATCGTATAACGTGGTGCGCAATCTCCTATCATGTCAAGGAGCACATATCCGATTTGAAATCACTCGAGTGTTTCACTTCCGCATGTCATAAGCCTAACAGATCTTTCATTAAGGTATTGTCAATGGCCCGCCAGTGATCCATGTTGTTGTCAAGCGCGTCGTTAAAGTAAGGGATCTTCCTACAATATTCGAGAAAGTCCGTTGCTGGTCTTTGCCTCGGAAGGCAAGAATCGCGGTTCGGTTTGGGCTTTGAATTCCTGAAGGTAAATTTTTGAGGCTGCTTTTCAGTGGCAAATTCTTCAAGGGCGTTCGGAAAGGCTTTCTGGCAACGTGAGGCGAAGGTCTGTTTCTCGTTCTCGCTCTTTCACGTGGACAAATACTTACTGAATTTAGCCACGTCGTTGATTCTTGAATGCCCAGGTGGCCGAACTAGGCATGACCTAGTGCTCGTAAGAACCATGGCTACGGGTCCACATGGCGTGGTGTATGAGGAGGAAGGGCAGGTGGCGAATGAGAGTCAGTGCTAGCCTCTATGCAGATAGAAAGATAGAGAGGAACAGAGAAAATATACCCATGATGATTATATAACGGTGAAGTAAATCCTAATTCTGGGTAACAGTGATAAGGAGACTGGTAAGATTCAAGTATGATAGAAGACCAGGTAGAACTGGGACCACTGAGGCATGGATGCAAACACCCTTCTTCTATCTCAGAACATCTGATTAAATCTTCCTTGTTCCTTCTTCTATCTCCACCATCTTCTTGCTTTCATCCTTCTTGCCCGTTTCACCTCCTTTCATCAACCATTTTGATCCTTCGTCCTTCTCGCATTCTTGCCTGTTTTCAATCATACCCTGCACTTCTTCTTGGTTCGTGTCATTCATCTGCCACTCCTATCCCTGCTGATAGAAGGCGATACTGACTCTCATTCTACCACAAACAAAGAAAGTACATCCTACAATCTGAAGACGAGCACACCAAAGCCTACGGAATGGACTCAAGCGACTTTGATGTCGCTCTGAAGCTTTTCTTGGAGGATATTACCAGGATCGAGGCGGCACAAAAGGGGAAGAACCGTGCCGGTGTGCAAAGCGATAATGAATACGCCGTCCAGTGTATGAAAGACCAACTCTTATCGATCCAAACCGCGAAAGACGACAGGAATGTTGCCCTTAGTACATTGAGAGCAGTAACCACTGATGCAAATGCTCTTCTCTCCATCCGGCGTGACGAATACATTGCCCTGAACGACCATCAGTATGCTCTCGACCTTGAACGCGGTGATCAGCCCGATTCAGCAATCCCATACTCGTTAAAGTTTGCGCAACACACCGATACGATTTCTCTAGCTATGGGAGACCTGATCCGTCGCATGAAAAAGAAGGATCTGGTGGACAATGGCGAAGGTTCTTCTTACTTGAACATTATCACCCAAAAAGTCAAAGTGAAGTGCACCGCTTGCCTGGATGAGCGGGAGGACATCACGTTTTCTGGGAGATGTGGCCATCAGTATTGCCAGGAGTGTACGCGAAGGTTGATTCTCTCAACCCGAAACGAAGCATTGTATCCACCCCGTTGCTGTGGTCAGGTCCTACCACCTATCATTGTGCTCTCCGTTTTGAGCTATGAGGAGCTCCGAAAATTCAGCGACAAAGCAGTTGAGTACAACACAGAGAACCGAGTGTACTGTGCGGACCCAAGGTGTTCTCAATTCATTCCTCAGTTTGCTATTGACGACAGGAATGCAACCTGTCCAAGGTGTTTCAAGATTACGCATCTACCATGTCGCTCATTAGCCCACCCAGGCGCTCCTTGTCCTAAAAACAACACACGCCGTGAAATCTTCGAGATGGCAAGAACAGAGAAGTGGAAGAAATGTTCCAAGTGCAAGAATATGGTTGAGCTGTTGCTCGGATGTAACCATATCACCTGCATGTACGCTTACTCCCTGCATTCCTCGTCGTTGAGATAGACCTCAAAGAACCTAACATACATTAGCTGTGGGCATCAGTTCTGCTATGTCTGTGGACTAGTATGGGATACGTGTGATTGTGCCCTATGGGATGAAGCAAGACTCGTTGCTCGGGTTAATCAAGAAGTGGAGAATGAGATCGCTCCCGGGGCAAATGCTCATGCTCGACAGAGAGCTTTCAATGAGATCTACAACCAGCTTCAGGGCCATGAAGAAATCCCCTGCGAGCACCACAGAAACTCCCAATGGGCTTACTGTGAGAAAGGAAAGTTGAAGTGTGAAATTTGCGACTGTTATGAGCCCCTTTACATATGGAGGTGCAAGAACTGCCGAGTGAAGTCGTGCTATGACTGTCGAAAGCATCGATTGTGATCGATCCAATTAGTCAAATATGTATCTTCATGTATCGATAGCTATCGTTCCGACATTTTTTATGTACCAATAGCTTTCTAGGCAGACATGAAGATTAAAAAATAATTGAAGTTCTTTCTTTGGTCAAGTCTCGCCTATGGGGGCTTGCGCCAGGTCAAAAAACAGGCCAAGGTTTCTAATCAGTTCTCTGAGCGAGTGATGAGAAGCCACTATAAATGCGCAATATGACACAGTACCCTGGCGACTGGGCTCAACCTAGCGCCATATTGCTGTTTTCAATACCCTGGCGTACCCGCAAACCCGCATGAGCTCGTATATTACGGAATAAACGAAATCCCTTGTGTTTTCCTTCCCTTTTTTTTTTTTTTTCTTTCCAATCTCCTTTTCTCCTGCTTCTAGCTTTAAGTATTTGATTATAATCACACTGAGTTTTTTTGGTCATACAGTCATTCTCAAAATCGGCTTGACCGATACACTCAATCACTGTCCTGACCTCACTGCCAAGACCTTAGTGCCGATCAATTATTGGGCTGGCCGCAGGAAGTTGAGGACCACTGTAAGATGCTGCTTGTATGGTATCGTACAGTGCTAGTAAATTCACGCAATGTCTAAGAGAATTGAGTAGAATCGAGCTCATGATTGACATTCAAATGTTATAATTCCGAAAATAAAGCGATATCATGCCTCGCAGCGAATGATTAGTTAGTACTATTCCTGCCGACGCCCACCTTGACGCGCCAAAAAGTACTTAAATCCTGATACGGACATATACTACCTACCAAATCTTTGATCCGAGGTGATCTGATAATTCATGCCTTGTACCATCCTCAGTGGGACATGCATTCCGGGAAGTCCAAGTCCTGGCGAATTCTTCAGCTGCCGCCTCGCAATAGCACTTTGTAACTTCGCGGCCCAGTTGTAGTCGTCATCCCTAAACTCGGTGTCATATCCCGCGTCCGAGAGTAACTTTTTCTCTATCTTTGCTTTCTCATCTGCGCGGAATTCCTCCTCCATCTCAGGGGTGAACTCTTTCTTCCGGAAATACTCAAGTCTTTCTCGCATGTCCTTTGACTTGACCAGTGGAATGAGTTCATCCAATGTCTTGTCCTTGTGCTCCTCCGGAGGGCTCTCGAGCAACTTGCGAAAATGATCGTAATCAGTCTTCCAGTGATACGAGAAACCCATAACTTTCTCAGTGAAAGCATTTCTAACGTACTTCTGTACGGTTGTCTGGTACTCTGCCTCGGACAGAGCTTTGTACGAGGGCACCTCGCTGACAGTGCTCGCGGCGAGTTCCGCGGGTGTTGCCTCATCTGGCACTCCCTTTTCCACGGGTTGTTTACTCGCCTTGTCAGTGTCGTTGCTGCTCTCGAAGGAGATAGCTGGAGTGGAGGATGGCTGATCGATCTTCGCGATCTTAACATTCATATTATCCTTGCTCTCACCAGCGAGCTTTTTGAATTCCGCGATTATGCCCTCTGCCAGCTCGACCGAGGGTATTTGTTCTCTGAGCTCGTCCATGAACTCATCCGGGTTGATGATAGCCTCCATACCTAGTGCGGCTCCCATGGCCAGAATCGGCCCCACAACGGGAACCAAACCACTGACGATAACAAGGGCATTCTTGAGGTAGTTAAGAAGCCAATGGGGTTTATGGTTTCCCACTGTCCACTTTACACTAAGACCGTGGTTGGCCGAAGCAACCTTAGTCTAATCTGCCATAGACTGCTTAGTGAATCTCTGATTGATCGGAATCACTGGGATAAGGCTGGAATCCACAAGAATAATAGCTCCGGAGCTAAAGGCGTCTTGCTTGCGAAGCTGTCGAGGAACAATCAAAGTAGTCACTAGCTTGGTGACGTTGATCCCAAGTGCAGTCTTCACATCATTTTCAATGCCGAATTCTTGATGACATGTTAAAGTTGTGGTGGTTTCGTCAACTGGCTCAAAGTCAAAGATCTCTGCGAATTTTCCTGGAGTTTCATCTTTGTGGTACTGAAGTTCGATATCTGCCATATTGTTGAATCGCACATGCAGGTAGGTGCAGAGATCCTGGCTTTTCTCGCTAGCCATATAGGAGACTGGTATATAAATGGCACGGATAGAGCAAAGACGCTATTCTTCTCGTTAGTCTTAAACCTCATGTGCTTTCATTTCCAAGAAAGGGTGATTTGCGGAGAGATAGCTTACATCGATGAAGACCCATTGTTCGTCGCTAGTGGGAACGGGAACAAACATAAACCACGACTAGAAGAAGTATTAGTGTGATGAGCAATTGATCAAACGGCCTGGAAGAAAAAAGGACAAGGCGATCCATCAGTACCTCATATGCGTCTCCGCACTCTCTCAGCTTGAATCTGTGGCCCCACGTGCAAAGCTCGTGTTGAGCACGTCTCGATGGCTGACTGTAATGCCCGTAGTTGAAAGGAAGATGGATATAGTTCCCATACATCGTTTGCCATGAAGACGCATGTGCCCCGACACTGATGTCGGCTTTTCCATTCTCATCAAGGAGTACGCCTTTATCCATAAGTATCTTGTATTTGGATCTTTTGTGTGGTGGAGCCTTCCCGCATTGCTTAGACCCATGATAAGCCTCTTTGTTCCAGATCACTTCCACCAGCATTGTACTATAGAATTGTTTCTCGTCCTCGGCATCGAAGCGGTTCCCTTCGGCAGACTTCAACGCGCTTCGTTTGAAAAAGCATTCTCCCTGGGGGTATGACAATGCCATAGCGAGTATTGGGTGTGAGCAATATAGAACAGAGAAGCAAAGTAACAGTCTTTGATAAAGCAGTTCAGACAAGAAAGGACTCGGGTGTTTTAGCAACTGTTGACAGATTCGAGTATAACCAATGTTCTTTTATAGCTGCATTGTTCAATTCTGTGTGGGTCTCCTGGCGGTGGAAGGAGACCTTGAACATTCAGGCGGTTCTTCGCAATTTGATTTCATTTGTCGGCTTGTGTTTGCCCGTGTTAATTATGGCTGTATGCTCCTGTATCTTCTTTCTCTTCTAGCGGGGCTGTTGCAGTATTCTCAATTTTATTTTTCCGTCATGGGGCAGTGTAACAGAGTGACACAAAGGTGGAGATCATGCGTGTTCATGTAGGAGCACATAGTACAATGGTGGGCCGAATGTGATGAATCGATTTGCAATTTAAAATTAGAAGTCAAAGAAAAACATTGAATAACCCATGATTGTTCTCACGCCTCAAGCAAAATACTAATCTGATTGACACCAGGTAGTAGCAGACGGAAATTGATCGTGGAAGGAGACCATTACTGGTCTGGGGTGGTATGTAGGCGCTGTATCGAGTTTCTCTCCGTATGATTAGTCACAACATACAGCACCAATTGCTTTAGGTGCCGATTCTATCTTGGCATATCTGCATGAAGTTGCTCGTTGCTACGCGAAGCGACTTGCGGTATAGGTCATATAATATGGAATGAGGTGGGAAATTCTGTTATCCTGCAGGACAGCGCAGGACGATGCGTGATTATTATCCTTTGTGTCGTCCAACCACCTGGAGATGATGCGTGTCGAAGTAGCGGTAAGGCCTATAATAGAATTGTTTACCACTCTCATTTCTGTCTGTGGTAGCTTTCATCGTTACACAAATTGCAAAAACGAATCACATCTTGTAGCTCCCACATATAGAACATTGGTCATGCTGTAGGTTGACATTACCTCGGATTATGAATATCGTAATCTCCAAGCTAGCATTACTGCTCCTTGTCGGGGTGACAGAGATAAGCTGCATTTGAACGTAAAATCCCTACCGCAACGCCTGGTTCTATTGTTCTAGCTCGGAACACGCCATTTGGACGCAGGAAACTGACGGCGTACCTTCAGGAACTATACATGTGATCCCAGCACCAAAAAGGCTCCCAGGAATGAAACACATTGTTCCCAGATACACTCCCGTCGATTCAGTGATAGCTCAGAAGGCCCTGGGACCTGTGTTGCTCTGGGTCCGATGAAGGGGACATAACGAATTGCTTCTTTTGGATTAGCCGCACTCTCGAGTCCATGCGGAATTGATTGTTATGAAACTTCACCAGTATTTTGACTGGAATGAGTGCCTCGTCCGACTGGCCTCCATTTTATGGATATCTATCGGATGCATATTAGCCTAGTCGGGCGCATCAAGTATACATATTTGACAACTAAATGGCATACGATGGCCGCACTTGGCATCCATGTAACACGCACAAATTCGCCGCATATCCTCCTATCTTGTGCAAAACGTCCTCCAGATCAAGTCGACAAGCTCAGTGTTTCGTTACACGCATATCGTCTTTGTATTGCTGACTTCCGCCTTTATGTTCTATCTGACCGACATGTCAACCGGCCTATCGATGTCAAGCTCTGGCGCCATTCTATTCCTCTGCACTCAGGCTCTAGGGATCTTTATCGAAGATTTGATATGCAATGCCTATCTCTCTATTCGCGTTGTCTCGCAAGATCAACCTACCCGGGGCCAGAAAGCTCTTGGGTACATTTGGGTGGGAGTTTTCTTGGCTTGGTCATTACCGACATATGTTTATTCGATGCTATATCGAGGTAACTTGGGCCTCGAAGACGCTGTTACTCCAGTCAGTATCGTCCAAATATTGAAGGACTTGATTGTGAGATTCCATTTAGACTGCAAGGGTGAGGTGATAACCATTCTGAGAGGTCTATCAAAAGTATTATTGTAACAAATAGGAGATTTTTTTCAATTCTGTCATGGCGCGATTGATAGTACTAGAGCCGGTAGTGCACACCGAGCATAGATTCCAAGGTTTATAGGGAACGGTAACACCAAAGCAATCTAATATCCAAAAGGATACGTTTCCTCTTTTCCAAGAGCTGTTTTGGGCTGGATAGCCTCCAACGGCCTGACGGCCTCTGTCCGATCAAACCAAACATATCCATCAAACTGCTTATGAATAATTGCCTGGGAGTAATGAGAGGCCCTTTCAGTCTCGGGTCTATAAATAACACCGATGAATCGCTGGAGACGGTTCTCTCTAGCAAGAGCAGCGCGGAGAGTAGTGTCAAGATGGCCCCGTCGAAGGTCAAGAAGAAAGCTCGGTACGCCAGTGTCGTGGGCAATTATCTCCCAGCTATCTTCTCTCGAGGGCCGAACATCCATGATCTGCATATCCTCGTCCCATTCATGGGCCGCAGCGACAGTTCCTGTGTGGGTTCCACAACCAAGAATAGCAACGTTCTCTCGACCAAATCCCTCTCTGCACAATTGGCCAATGTTGAGCTCATCGCGACGCATTCCCATGCTTGTGTAACGAGCATCGCCAACGTGCGAGTTATGAGCCCACACGATAGCCTTGTTTGCCGGCGGTGGACGATGTTGCATGATTCGTTGTAGAGTGCCGAACATGTGCGTATCTCTCAAGGTCCACGAGCTAGCCTCACTCCAGTACATAGCCTTGTAGTATTTCTCCGCATCACGCACAAGATAAGCATTCTGTTCGCCACTGTGATATTCATCGCCGTCTTTAAAGTTCTCCGTGATATATTGCAATCGTTTCTCCAGAAGGTCATGCAGGATCAGCAATACCTCGCTCTCGCAATCCTTCAATCCACGAAGCGAAGCCAGTCCATATGCTGTCGGATCTTCCGCCCATGGCGCAAGACACCCATATCGTTTTCGTGCTTCTTTGCCCGCTTCTGGGTCCACACTGTCAAGGTAGTCGATCACAGCTCGAATCGATGCGCCCATACTATATAAATCCAGTCCGTAAAATCCAACGCGCAGGGCTTGGGGGAGATCTTTGTTCCAATTTCGCATCCACTCTACGAGATCTTGCATCTCGCGGTTGCGCCACATCCAAGTTGGGTATCGCTTGAAGGGCTCGATCCCTTTCGCTTTACCGCCGATCTGCGCTTTGGGACCTGCTCGCAGACGCACGTATCTGTCAATTGCCTCGGCATCCGGCCAGTCAGCTTCAATGGCGACCATGGTGAAGCCGTGTTCCTTTATGTATCTTTTCGTTATCTCGGCCCGTGCGTGGTAGAATTCAGACGTGCCATGGCTGCCGTCGCCTAGAAGAACTACTTGTTTATCGGCATATCTGTCAAAGTGCGATGCGAAACTCGTGTCCGAGATTGCTGGAAGTGGCTCTATGGCTCGGTTGAATAGCTCTTGCAGCTGTGACATTGGTGTTGTTATTCGCCGGAGAGATCCCAGGCGCATAGAGTGGGATACCGGGTCTGACTGGTTTCTCAGAATATGCTCAACAATTTTTATCGGATTTCTTTTCCATCTATGACCGTTAATCTATACAAATTTAGCTGCTTAGGTACTCCGGAAGGATCCATTCCATGAGATCACACTGAGCGACGGGCCAGTAATGATGACTTCACACCATCCCGAGCCAATCAACCATCACGTTTTTCAACAAACATATTCTTCACCTAACTGCAAGACAATTTTATGATCATATCGCAGCCTAGGTGGTGTTCGCCACACCTCACCACCAGAAATATTCTGGGTTTCATCATTCGCGCTGGTACGCGATCTTCTTTCCACAGAGCAAGTACTGCAAGTATGGCTCTCCCGATCAGCAGTCCCTCCCCGCGTGTGGACCGCTTCCAGCAAGCCATGGAATCAGTATATGGTAGCTTCAGCCTCATAGAAGATCCTAAGAGCTGGAGCCCTCCATTAAAATCAGGCGGGCACCGCGGTCGGTATCTGTGGACCGATGCATTCGGCGTCATCAACTTGTTGACTATGCACCATGAATACAGTCGCGCAGGCGGAGATAACGGCTCTGATGATAGGTACATCCAACTTGCTCGTCGACTCATCGAGACTGTCCATGATGTACTAGGTCGCACAAGGGACGGTGCATCGCGATTGCCTGGAGCAACCGAGTCAAATCCTCTCGGCGGGGGATTGCGGATTGGAAAGACGGATGAGCATGGATCCGATTGTGATGGACAGTATCATCATTATCTGACGGTGTGGATGTTTGCACTGAATCGAATGGCCATGGCATCTGGTGATATGAAGTACAACCGTCAAGCTGTCAATCTGGCACGCGCAATCCACCCCAAGTTCTTCGTGGATCGATCAGCGGCACGCCCGCGTATGATTTGGAAGATGTCCATGGATTTGTCAAAGTCGCTCGTCTCCTCTGAGGGGAACCTAGATCCCATTGACGGATTCGTTGTCTTTCGCATACTCCAGGCAACGGCTGCTATGGCAGGCGACGGAGAAGTATTGGCAGAAGAGATTGGGGATTACAAGCGAGTGATGGAGCGGAAGGGGGAGCATTTCGTTTCCAGTGATACCCTGGACTTGGGTATGACATTGTGGACAGTGCATTGGTTCTCTGAGAAGGAGAATTGGGCCTCAAATCTGGCAACGAGATGCTTTGAGCAGTTGTGTCCGTTCTTCACCCCAGGTTTCGGGAATCAGCTATGCTAATATTCATGATAGACAACCTATTCGAGATTGATCGTTATCTTGCGCGTAACATCAAATATCGCTTGGCGTTCAGAGAGTTCGGGACTTGTATGGGAAGCCAGTGTCAGTCGCAGCAGACGACTGACAAAGAACGGGCTGTTGACCTCAAAACTTGGTCTGATGCTATCATCGCCGCGTGGGATCCATATATGGAGCTCTCCATACATGATGAATATACACCTCAAGATTTGCGACCGATCACTCGTGTGATGTATGCATCGGCGTTGAATGCAGGTGGTATGATCTTTCCATATCTCAGAAAGCGAGGAACATACTTTTGCTAACCTTGTGTGCTATTAAGCATTTTGCGCGGGGTATCTAGGCCCCGAGCCTCCGACATTGCAGAAATAAGAAAGAAACATTCCTCTACTGTTAGAGGAGACCTGTGCGAGGTGACATGTAGGAGATTGATTAATTGGGAGATATCTATCAGTACACTGGGATTCTTTGTCTAGGAGCACTTCCACGATTTTGTGAACCCAGACTGCTATGCCCGAAAAAATGCAATACATCTTCAAAACAATATATGCAAAGCAGAAATGTTGGTCGGGGTAACTTACGCCCCTGGTATACCGACAATGTTTCTCCAAGGAGCTAATGTCCTCGGGAGGATGTAAATGACATATACAGTGCTCAAGGCAACAAACAAGCCAGACCACTGTAGAAAGAATAGAATGTTAGCGGAAATCACAAGTAAAGGCTCCGCTTCAGATAATGACTCACCTTCTCCAACCACGTATGGAACCAGATGGCGGTCATGAAAAGCATCCACCAACCCAAGCCCACCACTCCCCAAACGAAGCGCAGCGACCACGTCCTTACTAGCGAAGAGCCATCATCTTGCTCGCTGGTTCGGATATCTTTTGGATCGCTCCCTTTCCGCTCGCGCGAACCATCTCCATCCACGCGCGAACCGAACGAGAAGGCTCCAACGCCAATGGCCTCGAAGGCGAGGAGTGATGTAGTCAAAACCAGCATGAAGACATGACCACTGATGTCATGGCCACCTCCCCATAACCCACCCGCGGCTTTACAGGCAGCAGCCGAAAACAACGTTTCCAGCTGAACAGAGGGACTCAAATCTGAGCTCGCCTCTCCGGCCTGTTTCATAATCTCCTGGCATTTTCCGCCCGTGACGACGAAGCTGCGATCAATGATAGCCGGGCCAAAGAACCACTGCGTCATCAGATACCATACTGTCGTCGCAAGTGCGTAGCGGGTGATGGCCTGGATCATACGGCGGAATCGGGCGTGTTGTTGTGACTGAGAAAGCGAGGCGGAGTAGTGGAAAGCCGGTTGTGCGATGAGAAGCGAGGCAAAAGCGAGAGTTGTCCATAGCCATCCGATCTTCACGAAGTAGATGTTGAAGATGTTGTTCTTCCGCGCAAAGTAATTGACTGGACTCTCGGATAAGTGTAAGTCGGCAGCTAGGGAGGGTGCTAAAGGTCCTGCTGGCTGGGTGAGCGGGGGCTGTCCCCTTGAGCCATGGGCAGTTGGTGAGAGAATTGAGAATAGCGATCCTAATAGCAAGGTCGCGGGGTATATGAAGAGGACCACCGGGGAGGGGGGGAGGTCGGGCGGGTGTGGCCATTGTTAATGTGTTGTGAGACCCTAGTTCGAGGGAGCCTCTTAGGGCCAGTTGAGACAGTGAAGTAATAGTATAGTTGCAGGAGATGGAAGAAGTAGCTTCTGTGTCATGCCTCGTGGAATTGAAAGGTTCAAGGTCGTGGTAAACAGGGAAAGTGTAAACGCCATGACAAGTGGAGGATGACATCAATTTCGCCGGCCGAGGCATATACCTGATACCTCAGGCATCAATGCTCACGCTCCCACCAATCATGAAGTAGTCCAGTCAAAGAGTTGTCAAAATGACGTTCAAATAGCCAGTTGGGGGCCATTATTTGACAATCGTATAATTATTTGAGGCTCATATCGACCTTGAAAGGCTAGAAGAAGCACAACCAGGTTAGTCTCAAGAATAATATACCTGTCACCCGCATGGGCTTGCTTAGTGGGTGCGGACATAGATGTATTGTATCTAGACTCCCTGGTCATACGAAGTAATAGATGTCGATCGCAGCTCATAATTGAGGGATTTATTCTTTCTAGATATCATATATGAGCGGGTTTTAGCAGAAGATAGAGAAAGTAAAATCATGGATTTAATGCGTCAATTTAAGTTTCAGCCGTTTTCGTTGAAGGACCAAACACCTGGGAAACTAAAATGAAAAATGATATCGACCGGCTCCTGAGTCTGAAAGAGAAACACACAAGGATGTGAAGTGGACGGAAAGAGTGACTTGAATTCGGATATCAGACAAGGCTTTGTTCCCGCTAGACCCTCGACCATAAATATGCATGAAATACTAAAATACGTTATCGACCAATTAATTTGATCTGGTTTTGTTTCCGTACGACATGACGAATGATCCGACTCAACAGCGCGCTAGAGAACCTCAGTTTAAGGAACATTGAAGCAACCAATCAAATTTCGAGATCCAATAGAGGTCATAATCTTATCGGCCATTGAAGATTCGAAGATCGCTGTACAGTACATGTATCAGCACAGCGAGCATCCACGTAACTCGTATGCGGTCCATGGGTAGCAGGGGTGCGACACGCATTGGCGGGGGCAAAAGAACATCCTGTGATTTCCACGAAAGTTGGACTTGGAGCGGTATTCATCTCCGCTTTTAGTGGCTACGAACCAGAATGCCGGGATCTCAGTTCCATCCAGGTTATGCGACAAGGGCCAGAACGCCAAGCCAAGGGACTTTGGGACTTTAGGGCTTTAGGCGAGTCACCCGGATGCCCCGGGAATCTCCATGATCGGTCTGGGATGATATTGGAGTAAGCGAGATGAACCCTCCGCGAGGCTCTGAAATCCGAATGACATGTACAAAAAGCTTAGCGCTAGATTGAGTCAGTAAATGGCGAACAAAGCTGTGTATTAGTGAAACGGTAAAGTTGACCCGCTACGGTTCGTGATTGGGGGAGATTCGGCCCCCTTTTCAATCCTGCGGATCTCACCTGACTAATGACCGTGAAGGATTCAATACGCTAGCCCTTCTCTCCTTCCTAGATTGCGAAGTGATTTCCATGGGGCCTTGGCCGAGCCTGACCCGCCCGGCTGGTACCGCAGTGGTATTTCTCGTGTTAGTGCGCACAGGGACCACTTATTTGGCGATGATACATCAACGGGTGAATAGCGTAGAGCCCGGCGCTTTGGTTCATTCCCAGTTGTCGTAAGTATCATAAGACTGAAGTCGGTGTGGCTGTTGACGCTTTTTGCCAAGTTCACCTCCTGCAAACATCCCTTCCAACTTTTTCTCGAATTTTCTTCATCGCGTTTCCCCAGGGGCATCTCAGGGATGCAGCTCAACACGTCAAATGGCTCAGACAGCTCTGGGTTTATCGAGCCGGACGTTAGTCATCGATCTCCAAGCTCGAGACCGTCCACTAACAATTCATAGGTTCCTGACAATGATTCAGCGTATTTCGGCTCGTGAGTGTTCTGGTCATGGGGATGCGTCGCTTGTGCTGACCCTTGCTTCAGGGAAAAGAGCTATACCGAAAGCATCACATCAAGTGCTTTAAATTATCAGTATGTTTGATTTCCAGAACAGATTGAATTGAATCTGAGTTACCCCGCAATATGTTGCTGATCGGATAGATATGAGGTACGAACCGTCCTGATCCCCATCTGGGTCATTCGCTGAGTCTTTAGAACGGTCGCAGATATCACTCTTATCACGAAGGAGAATATGTTCTTGTACGTGTCCCCTGGCAATTCCTGATTAAAAGAATTGAAACTAATTTCATCTTGGATCTAGCCGAATGATGAGCAAGAGCAAGATCGCCTTGATCTGGTTGGTTCCCGCTGCGCAAATGTGACATCATCTATGATTGATATTGACAATGATTCAACAGAGCCATCATATTTATTTAATGCTTCTGAAAGGCGAACTACACAGAGCTCCAGTAAAAGACCCCCAAAGGGTGCTTGATATAGGAACAGGCACGGGGATATGGGCGATTGACTTCGCAGAGTAAGAAGCCCTCTCAAAACTTCTCTGGCACAGTACTGATTCTTAGTAGTGAAAATCCCGGTGCTGATGTTATCGGTATGGAGTCTAATTACTAGTGCTTTACCTGAACCGAAACTAATTTCAGCAGGAATCGATCTCAGCCCCATTCAACCATCATGGTACATGCAACAACAAGACTTATATAATCAAGACTAACAGATCCAGGGTACCATCAAATTGTCGCTTTCAAATCGATGACTTCGAAGAACCATGGTCTTACAGACATCCATTCGACTACATCCATGGACGCGAGCTCGAGGGAGCCATTCGCGATCACGACAGACTATTCCAACAGGCATTCGATAATTTAACACCAAACGGATGGTTCGAGATGGCATCAATGGAAGTTAACACACATTCAGATGACGGTACCCACCTAAACGCAAGATGTTTAGTAGAAAGTGTGAAAAATCTTCAAGCCTCATCAATAAGCTTCGGGAAAGATATGAATTCAGTGAGCACATGGAAAGAGCGATTTGAAAATGTCGGCTTTGTCAATGTCCGCGAAGATGTATACAAGGTAATCAATCAGTTGTCCGAACCTGAAAATACGTCTGCTAACCTGAACTAGCTACCCCAGAGTCCTTGGCCTAAAGACCCCAAGTTGAAGGAACTCGGACGATATCATCAGCTCAACATGCTTGAAGCAATGCCACCTTACACATTTGCGCTTTTTACTCGCGTGCTGGGGTGGACTCGTGCGGAGATTGAAGCCATATTGGCGGGTGTGCGGTATGAATTGAAAGATCTTTCTAATCATTTGTACTCGAGAGTACACATAGTATACGGACAAAAGCCGGCATGACTTGCCCTCCAAGGGATGCATATAGTATAAATAATGTTAATAGTGCAATGAATGATGACATACAACTACTTCTAGGGCTGAGAAAGAAAGTATTCAAGCAGAAACTATCCAATTTGGTTTCAATGTTCAGGGTATTGCTCATAATGCTAATTCAAAGGGTATATCAAAGTACGCCGAACATAAAACATGAATCGATCAATGCATGGATTTCTTCTCCATCTCAGCGAAAATCCGAGCCAGAGATTCGGATTGCTGCATTTGAATATCATTTCTCGTCTTCTCCCAAGCCATCATCTCATCCATCTCCTTGTTTTCATAATTGGTGAACTCGTTCTCGTCCATTTCCTTACTTCTGCTCTGCTCCGCTGATAAATCCTCCACGGCCTGAGTGACAATGATTCTAGGGATTGGCAGCATGGTTTTGCGCCTAATGCTGCTCGAAACGGCAGGTAGCTCTCCGATGAGCCCCTGTTCGTTTGCGGGAAACAATGACTCGGAAGGGAGTTCAGCAATCACTGGCAAAGATGCTGCAACTTCAAATTCGACTGGAAGTTCGACCAATGACTTCACTGTTGCTTCGCAGAGTGGAAGCTCTGATAATGATGCTCCGGTTGGCTCTTCGGGTGAAAAGTCCGGAGAAGCTGGTGTGGTGGTCAGGTGGGTAAGCACCTTTTCTAATCGGCTTTGATGGAGCACGAGGCGAGGGTATTTTTCTCGAACGCGTTGGCAGTCTTGTGTTCTCCAGCGCTTGCGGCTTGATAGGCCTAGTTTTCCTTTGCGCTTTTCTGCGATGAGGCGGTAAGAGCTGAGAATTTGAGTCATTTCTTGGTTTGAGTCTTTAGCGTCGTTGATGGTAGAGTTGATCCAGTTGTGCTCGATCTCGCCTAATTGGGAGGACTTGGAATCTCTTAGTTGTTTGGCTTGCTCCAAGTCGGTATCGATCTTTTTGGTCAATTCAATGAGATCTTTGGTTTGTTGATCTGCTGCATTCTTTTTATCTAAATCAAGATCGATCGAGAGTGAACTGGATGATGTAGAGTTGGTGTCGGATTCAGATTGAGATCGGCTCCGAGATGATGGTTTTGAGTATGGTATATATTGGATTGTCTGAATGGATGGCAGCGGCTTTGTGGGCTCTGGTGACCCAACAGACTCGGGCGAATATGGAGTGTTAGGGATGAGAGAAGGCGCTGGTATTGTGGAAGGATCGATTTTTGCTGAAGCTATTGGTGCTTCATTTACAACTTTCGCTTCATTGCCCGTAGTCTGTAGTTTCTTTGCGGCAGTTGTCAACTTGTCCGTTGATTGGAGGCAACGATTCATCGAATTTGTTACTGAGTCTGAAGAACGATGCCACACATCCATGGTGGTTTGGTGACACATATGTTTCGAGTCGTACCATAAATTCGTAGACCGACGCCAAATGTCGGTAGTCGACCGGTGCATCTTATTTGTAGATTGTTGCCATAACTCCGCCGGTCGGGTCAGCAGCTCAGTTGGTGCCATTTTGAGACATGCAAAAGTTGAGATTTGTCCCAAGTCAGCTTCTGGAAGGTGTGAAATTTATCAAGCCTCAAACCTGAGACAAGGCTGCCTTATAACGCGATCCCCAAGGCTGGATCTGCAAAAATGATCAACTCTCTTGGGTAACTATGGCTCTGCCTATTGGTAAGAAGGCAAGGCTGTGGAATTAATACGAGGCTTAGAGCTGACAGGGCACAGCGTACACGGCGTCTTACTGGGGCCGGAAAGTATATGGCAACCTTGAGCCCCACGTTGACCCTATGATTGGACGTCGTATAAAAATAGCGGGGAAACCCATCCTCTCCGCCATGGCTATTTTTATCCAAGAAAAACAGGCTGCACACTTTAAATGAGACTTGCCAATCTAATCTGTGACGTTATTTCAATGCATCGACCTTCAGGACCTGTTTCATTGGCATGGGGTCACTCAGCATCCGTGATCAAATTGCAATTCTTGATTTTCGTCAATAATTCACGACGTTTCGCAGTCTAGGCCATGACTGTGAGTACAGCATGTAGATGTTATCACTTTTGGATATCGAACATAGCATATATTGGAGAATTCTGCCCAGGAATGTGCGTGATAAGAACAGCTAAGCAGTAAATTGCATAGCTTTGATCATCGTTGCGAACGAGAAGAGTTCTGTTGGTCTAGATGTTCCAGATGTTAAGATCTTCCATAAAATCCATCCTTCAGTAAGCCCGAAAATTGAGTCCAGTCATATACAATCTAAGTTAACTACATAATTACAAAACAATATTAATAGACCGAGGTCGTGTGGGACACCTGGCTTGGAGCATCCATCCTGGTGGTCTCCACCTCAAATGACTTCGATGTAGTCTCCGAAAGAGATTTCGTGGGTTGAGTCTCGCCATCAACAGCTGTTAACTGAGACTGTTCGCCCCACGCTTCCTCGGGTGTTGCCAACGTAAGTAGACCATCCGCCTTTTGCACAATCACAGGCTTCAGCCAAAATTCTTTCTCGTCGTCATTACCAAAGGCACAGCGCTCCGTTCGGCAACCAGTCCGCAGTTCCTCGTCCAATTTGTCGGCATAGATATACGCAGCCTCTCCAGTAATAGCCAACCGCTCATAGGAGTCCATTCCACCTAGCCTCCACTCAGGTATGGGTTTTGACGAGTTACCCATGTAGTACTCAAATCTCACGTTCCCTTCAGCATCTTCTACTCTGCGTCGCTCATAATTGGTACCGGGGCTGAGCGGCAGGTATAATGGGTGCTTGCCATTCTTGCGATTTTGCTCCTTCATTTGTTCCACCCGGAAGTTCACGACAGGGTGAATGAACTCGAAGGTTTCGCCAAGATCTTTGCCATCCTTTGAGCCGTATGATCCCGGTGTGCGCCATTTTTTCCCATTCAGCCAGTACATGGATGTGAAGCTGTCTATCAGTTCACCCGTTCCCCAGCCATAGGCGCGAATTTTTCTATAGGCTGGCTCAATCGCGGAGTCCAGGGGATGCATGATAACTGAAGCCGTTGCTCTGGCAGTGTTATAAATCCAGGTTTTGAGAGACCCTGCTTTCTTGCTCTCTGCAAGGTATTCCTGATTGATCTTTTGGAGGGCCCTCGCGCGCGCATTGTGCTCCTTAATGATGAATCTCTCATCAATCGAAAGATGCGCCTTGATTTGGTCGAGCATCCAAGAAAAGGTAATGCTGGACATCTCTTCCATATCACCGATATTTTGCAATGTCTCGATGTCTCCTCCACCGATGTTTACGTGGTAGCCAGGGAACCACACCTGCTTCAATTCGGAGTGGACTCCCACTCGATTTTCAAACTTGATTCGTGTCCGAGTGGCCTTGTTCCAGGCTCTCGCAGCCTCGTTGACGGCGCGGGCGGCGTCATTTACTTCTTTGTCGGTGGCCTTGCCTCCTGCTTTCAGATCCTTTGCGTCCTGCAAGGCTGTCCAGTACTTTTTTTTGGCCACTTCCTCCTCCGCCTTTTTGACTTCGCAATCCTCGGGGGTAGCTTTCTTGTTTGGTAGGAACCACACTGACGGAGAAAACGCCTGACGATGTTCGTCCAGAGCCAAAGCATGGTAAGCATGCTTGATATCTATGGTTCACTGAGTCAGCGGCCCATTTCGCATACATTCAGGACAAATATGAGGAGGGAGGAAACTTACTCGGTGACAGCCCAACATTGTGCCAGCCATTCTTCCCTGCGGATGGCAATTTCATTCCAAGAACCTGGGGCATTCCTATAGCACCGACAGTGTCGAAGACTCCAACGACTTCAACCTCCTTGGATCCATCCTGTGCCCATTCACCCTCGGGCACCTGCTCATAGACAAACGTCCGGTTGTCCTTTGTGCCAGCACCCTGGTTTTCATCGGCTTTTCCCCACCTCCAATCAAACCAAAGATCACTGCGATCGAACCGCTTTCCGTGTCTGACTTTCTTGTACATGGCCCATAGATCAGGGAACTTGTTCAAGTCTGACTTGTGGCAAATTCCAATGTCCGAAATCAAGCCCGCAATTGTGCGTGCCGTGTACGCGCCGCGTGAGAAACCAAAACACATAATCTTGTCGCCTGGCTTATAGTTTAGCACACAGAAATTGTAGGCCTCGATAACATTCTGCTCCACCCCCTGGCCGAATGCACCCTCCACAACGTCTCCGATCACTCCTGCAGTCGTGCCAACCCCTGAATCATACCAGACAACTTGCTGCCATTGATCGCCCTTCTCGTCTGTGCCTATGTGATTCAGGGCTCGGCACAGGCGGGTAACATTGGATGGGACGTTTTTCTGTCCCGACGTGGCAGACTGCCAGGTACCGTCGCAGCAAATAACAATTCGTTTCCGGATAGCGGCGTGCTGGGCGTCTTTGCGTTGACGAAGAATATAGTCCTCACCCGGGACATAATCGGCATTACCCAGGTCCATGGTGAAAAGCGATATAAACAGACGGTGGAATTATCGACCGGTCGGTAGAGGTGGAAGAAATTGAAGCAGAACGGAGGACTCCACAGTTTCATACTTATACGCCATTATTCTCACGCCTTACAGCATTGGGGGCCTCTTGCTGACACTCAGGCCAACCATCGCCCAGCACTATCCACAATCAACTCATCAGCACGAACTTGTGGAGCTGACACGGGCCAAGCTCCCTAATTATACCAATCATGGATTCCTTGATGGGGACCTGGGACGCTAAGGCCTTCAGCTCCCCCACCCTTTGCCTTTTTCTTCTTCAGCTGCAGGAGTTGTGGATGCGCCTTGTGGGGATCATCTCGGCTCGCATCACCCGTGGGTTCGCTTTGCAGCCAATGACTGCGCGACGAATGCCAATGATACGAACGATCAAGTTCTTCGCTTTTTATGTTTGATCGCATGTGGATGTCATCATGTGCCGATTTTCGAGGAAGTCTGTGCGCAAGGCGGACGGAGAAAGTACGATCTTAGAAGAGCCCCTGAATTAAGGAATCCTTATTGGAACCACTACTCCGTACAGAGTTTCCCATCTTTCACAGCCTTGGCCCCTGCGCCCGACCTTCCCCAGCTGTATTCTCTGTAACTTCACGTATGATTCATGCAGGCGTGGTCATCACTCCACTTCTTGGATGGTGGCGCATTTTCTGGTGGGCCATCAGGACCCGGCAAACCCGCAAAGGCACCCGCACAGCTGGGCCCTGGTCAAGCATAGTGACAACATTGGCAAAGGCCATAAGAAAATAATACGCCACAGCGGTTATGTCCGCTCTAGTGAACCGAGGACTGGACAGCGATGTGGATAACAACTCTAAATAAACACCAATATCTCACAGCACCACTTCGCCAGCCTTGACGATCATAACCTCGGAAACAGTTCTGCCTTTTTTCCACTGAGGGGCTTTTTTTCGCAGACACGACCCGCGTACTGTTAATTCATTGGTTGATTGAAAGTTGTGAAGGCTCATGAAAACCTAGTATCCACCGAGCCAAGGCCCGTACGCTCTCGTTTTCCCCCGGATACGGACGCTCGGATGTTACACAATCTCTCAGCTGTGTTTTTGTTAAAATGGGGAAGAACTCAAAATTACTGGGTATAAAGCCGATGATTCGATGCGCCCACTGTTGGGTTTGGTGTTTTGGTGGACTTGTTGAAGGCGTTGATCTCGTACTCGAAACAGCCTCCAGGTCTCCGTGGGTCTAGGCAGTAAAGATCTGATGTTGTCGCATTGGTTTGGTCGCTGTTCTGACAGCTTACCTGCATATACGAAACAAAAAGGAATGAAAATCTGGGGGCTAATGAGTAAACCTTTTTTCGAGCAAGGTCATGAAGACGTTCTGTGCTCGATCTAAGGAGTGGTGAACGAGAATGGACAAGTCCCCCATGTTGTACCCAGGTGTACTTATCTCCAAGATTGCTTGCTACCTTCTGCAATTTTCTGATGGTTCATTCATTTCTTGATAAGCGACATCGATCTATATGTAAAAATAACGTAAGAGACCTCACAAAAGCCAAATCAGGAACGAAACAAAAGCAACAATATTCTCCAAATCTATGCATTATCGAAAACACCCGAGCCCTATATACAGTATTGTCAGAAAAAAAATATGTAAAGGCTGCGCTGATTTCTGGCAGAAGGTCACTTAGTGTCGTCGCTCTTGAGGATAGTTTCCCTGGTTCTGAGTATGCGCAGGGGATTTTTCGTTCCTACTTTCATAGGCAGGGTTTTGCTGATAGGGAGGAGGAGAGGTTTGCATCGACCTTGAGCCTCCATTCCTCGAGGGGTCGTCGACACCGCGGCTATACTGTTGAGGCGGGTAGCCCTGGTAATTGCCCCCGTAGCCTTGCGAATACTGCGGAGCACTGTAGGGGTTCTGGCCATACGGAAGCTGGCCATACTGATTCTGTGGTTGATAGCCAGGGTGGTAATAAGGCTGTGGCGGCGGAGTCGACTCGTTCTTGCGTTCTTTCTTTTCTCCACTACTGGAACCTCTTTCAAACAACAGTAAGTCTCAAGAAAAGTGGAGTAAGACGAACTTGGAGAGGGCTACTCACTTTTTGCCAATATGGTTGGCGGCGGTTCCAATCAGAGCTGCCCTCAAGATACCCATGATTGGTGTAGATGTTGGTCAACGTTGACAAGTGATTATTTTGAGTGTTCTTGTACACTGGAAGGAGAGATGTGTCTAAATTGTCTGGCGCTGATAGACCTTTTTATAACAATTACGCAGGTCGATCATGTCCCATTTGGCGATGACAATGCGCAATTATGGTGGTGCCCGGTAGTGAGCGGAATTTCTTTGCATTGCGATAGGATATTCTGGGGCTGTCAGATTGAAAGTATCCACATCGAAATCATATTTGCGCGTGCTTTACCCAATATGATACAACGGACCGAAACCGAGCACAGCCCGTGGGGGCTGAGTGGCTCACACTAAACTCAGAACACCCCACTCTAAAGTCTTATCCAGCACCTCTAAACATTTCTCCCGAAACCGAAACTCCCGAAACCGAGGTTTGTCTTCTATTTTCCTTTTGATTGACTGGTTACAGTGTCACGTACGTCTTATTGGTCAAGTGTACAATGCCCCCGCGCCTCAGTCACCGGAAATCCACAACAGGCTGTCTTCGATGTAAATCTCGGAAGGTTAAGGTAAGGAACCCCGTTGGTTTCACGAGGTAGATATTGATGCCCGATTAGTGTGACGAAAAGCGTCCCAGATGCACACACTGCGGCCGACACAGCATCCAATGTGAATATCCATCACTATCGACTCGCATATATGATCCTAGCCAATTCAAGGCCGTGCATGCTCGAGGGCGGAGGGCTGCCGAAGCTCCCAAGCTCGAGGAGCCCTCCCCACATGGAGGGCTGCCAGTCCTTCAAATTCGTCTCATGCACCATTGGGTAACAGCCACTGCAGCTACAATGAGCGCAGCGGACCTGCCAGCCGTTCACGAGATGTGGAGCGTCGCTGTACCCGAGATGGCATTTGAGTATGAGCCACTTCTTCACACATTGCTCGCACTAAGTGCATCACACCGCGCCACATTGTTTCCAGACCAGGCGAATTCTCTGCGGCCTATTCAACATGCCTACATTGACTTTGCTCTTCAGGAACACCGTCCGATGACAGCCGATTTAGATGGGAATACTAGTGAAGCGGTCTGCGCCAATGCAATGTTGCTCTCCTTGTACACTCTGTTCCTCCGATCGGAACCTTCCTCGGATTCCTACGAGCCTCCGTTACTGTGGTTATCCGTGGCGCGGGGCATTCGAACAATTATGAGGACTGTCTTCCATCAGCTCATCCAATCAGACTCCAAGCTCAACCCCTTGTTGTTGGCAAAGCCGCTTCTGTTTCACGAGGGGTTGAGTAACTTCAAGGGAACTGCAAAGCCATTCCATTTTATCCTTGAATATCGTCAAGATGAAGAAAATATTGACGAGAAGACGCAGAAAGCCTATTCTGAGAGCGTCGACTACCTGGAGTGTCTCTATACAGCCTCGAAATCCCCAACATCTAATTGGGTTCTCCGCAAAATGTTCACAGGATTTCCACCAATGGTCCCCCAATTTTATGAGCTGGTTACGGAGAAACGCCCCCGCGCTCTTGTTATCCTCGGGTACTTGTTCGCGTTGGCCAAGAAGGTAGAGAATGTTTGGTGGCTCCAGGGGATTCCTGAGCGGGAGGTGCGTGGAATCGAAAGCATTTTACCAGCTGAATGGAAATGGACCATGGTCTGGCCTCTCAACTTGATTACTGAGGACCCTTCTGTTACATCTGAAGAAGGCAATATTGCAACTGCAACCCCTTCCGCTACATCAAACATAGCAGAGGCTTCATCATAATGAGCTGTCACGAAACTGCCAGGAATCCCATGAAACGCCACTCGGTTGTTATCTACCCGCTTGGCGATAATTGGAATTTCATAGCTCTGACCGATCTCATTAACAGGGAAGAAATTTGGGAGATCGCCAATACCTGAGTCTACGTCACTTGCGACAGTCAAATAGAGGTACTTCAGACCGGGCTGACAAGTGAAGGCGCCGCCACAGAATAATTCGGCTCAGTAGCCCCTATGGAGGGCATACAGAGGACATTCACATGTGTAGGGACGAGATCGTGTTGTGATTCAGCGATAAGAGAAGGCAAACGAGGGGGAATTCCACCTTCTTCCCCCTGGTTAAAGGCTGTCGGGTTAACTTTCGGCCCTCGACAGCACGGTCCGACTGGTCTGTTCTCAATGTCTGAATATTTCCTGCCCTCCCTTGCTTCCACTCAAACACAAGCCATGCGAGGCAAGGATCCGACACCCATGGTCTTCCACCTTGACGATCGCCATGGAAGTAGCTGTTGAAGGATCCAAGGGTGAAAATCCCATCTTCCACCCCTTAACAGAAGAATTCAAGATAAAGACATGTCAATCCCTACATACTCAGTCGATCATTTTATTTCTGTCCCGAGACCCACGCTTTGCATCGCGCGCTTGCATGACCTACCCGCACATCTAATCTAATCGATTCATCGACAAGTAGACATCATGGCCTATCCTCCGATTGAGGCCCTCGAGTTAGCCAGCTTGGTTTTCTTCGGGATTTCAATACTTCCTGTCTGCTACTGTTTTTATATGCATGGCCTGCAGGGCCTCGGTCCATGGCTTAACGCATTCATCTGGAATTCTCTGCGCATCGCCGCTAATGCCATCGCGTTTCATTCGATCGCGACAACTGGTTTGCCCAGTATCATCATCCCACTTGTAATTAACGGGGTCGGTCTCTCGCCGTTTTCATTGGTGTGTCAGGGCTTTGTGAATGAAGCGTGAGTAACAACATCAAGCACTACTGATTGATGGACTAACGAAATCATTCAGCAACTTTTCAATCCGTAAAGACCTCCCGGTTTTTGCGGGAATTTGGGGCTCCATTACTGCCCAGGTACTGATCATCGTTGGTGTGTCTTTGTCGCTGAAGGGTCTCACTGAGCTTGCCATTCTTAAAGCTGGCCTCATTATCTGGCTTCTCGGATGGGTCTATACAGGCGTGTTGATCGTGGGAAGTTGGTCTTGCAAAGGCCACAAGAGACGTCTCCCTGATGAAAAAGTCGTACGTTTTATAGCCGTCCCACGTTTCTCAGGTGGACTTTGACTAACATCTAGGAAGCTTCTGTACGCCGCCACAATTTCTTGGCCACTTGTTGGATTCCGTGTCGTCTATGTGACGTACTGTGGCTATGTTTACCACATCTTTGACCAAGGTGGTATCACAATCGTGTCAGTCTTCGGACTGCTTCCAGAGTTCCTGTGTATGGTCATCTATCTAGGTGCCGGTATCTGGACTCGGAACCTGTCGCGTATACACAAGACTTTACGACAAGAAGAAAAAGCAGCCAAGAAGCAGGCCAAAGCTGGTAACTTGAACTCTTTACCAGGGAGTTCAGAGCCTCTTGAAAAGTTTACTTCTTATTCTGGGTCAGACAATACTCGCACACATGGTGCAGCGAGTATTTCGGGGACTACAGTATGAAATAGGTTTACAACGTAAAACGATACCCTGTGGACTTCCTCATCGCTACTATACATCAACGACTCGGGACTTTTGACCCCACAACCCTGCCCGGACGGAAGAATGGCAGACTCCTGGAACGATTGATCAGATATGCTCGACAATGACACTTTCCACCCAACCGCACCGCGACGAGGATATAGCAAGAATACCCTCGAGCTCCTGGTTTTTTGCACGGAGCAAGAAATTTTGAAGCAAGAGAACAAATGTTTTTCTTGTGCGATCTTCTTCCTGTCCGAGATGGGACTAAAGAAAAGAGGCAAAAAAGAATGACTAGACTGGGGCTCGAGGACCTTATCGGTGTAAACGATACGGTGCAACTCAATCTCCACGCTCAAGTGCTGTGACCGACCGGTGAATCGAACATAAACCCCACCCCACTCCTTTCTCTACTCCACCTCACCAACCACCTCGTGCTACAGATGGTAGACGCGCTTCAACTGCCGAAGATAGGATGTTGAACACTTGGAGAAGCGCCTTCAAGCCAGCCTACTGGCAAACCTACTAACCCACGAGATTTCGCTGCGACACTGCTTGCTGAAGATGTTACTGGTACAACGTTGCATGTATGGGCTTCCAAGGTTTCAAGAGACACCGCATATATATAAAGACATGTATAGTAGACTCGTGATATTTGCCTTTTCGGTTCAGCCGCCGAGCCTGAGGAATATTATTATTATTATTATCGGTTTTTCACTTCGTACCTAGCCGGAACAACTTCCAAGGTTGCGACCTCCCAGGGGAGTCAGTGTCTGCCTACCACCAGTGCACACAGGTCAGGGCAGGGAATGCCCTTAGCACAGATGCTTATAACTCAAGTGCTCTTATTTCCGATGTTAGTATTATAGTCGTTTCACATCGCAGTACTGATACAAACTTGGGGTCAAAGCAAAAGTAGAAGGTTCCGTTTCGCAAGCTATATTTGGCTGATCATCTTCTCCTGCCCTTTCCCATACCAGTCGCTGATGCAAAGATTTTCTTCGCGAAATGTTACTCCTCGCTCCACTTTGGAGTACCATTTCTCCTTCCTTTCAAAATACAGGGAATATGGACGCGGCATATACCAGTGGACTAGTAGCTTCGGCAAAGCGACCGTTAACTCCGACTAGTCGCGGGTAAAGATAGCCAAAAGGGTACAAGGGCCCATGGAGGACCCGCATAAAATTTGCCTCCCAGGTATATGGACCGCTAAGCTTCTAGCGCCACTAAATTACCCGAGCCTGGGCGTCAATAAGCATTTTCCCTAGATTTTCCCTGCTCGACTTAATTAAACCCCAAAATTCTACACAAGAGCAAGCCTATCACTTCGTTTCAAATCTCTGTCTCACCCGGAAGGAAAGCTGGATGCAGAATGCGTGTTTATCAAACGGTACCAGCCGTGCTCTTCATCACGACCCTCGCTGTAGTTCGTGCTACAACGGATACGAGTAGTTCCGCTGGGCTCAACTTTCGACCTGACAATGTGACCTTGAGCGACCTTTACCGTTGGGTTGGATCGTAAGTTGAATATCCGACCCTGAACGCGAGACAAAATATCTTATCAATCACCTTTAGGTACTACAATGGAACCACATATTTTGAATTTTCTGCATATTCTGGATTGGCAGCTTCTGAAACGGAATATTGTCCTGATCTTCGCAATGAAACGATCACTACAAATTATACAACGTTGCTAGCGCTCACAGAGTCAGCCTCATACAACAACCTCGAAGATGACCCAGTAAATGCCTTTTTGACTCTTTGGCCCCCTGGGTTCGACTTCACTTCTGTTCCTTCCGGGAAGTTGATTCAAGAGATGATACCCTCTCTCAAATACGCACTATTTTCGTCCAAGTGAGTCTCATCGCCACAGGCTTAAAATAATATTGAAGATCTTACTAAGAATTACTAGCCCTGTCTATAACAATCTCTCCTTAGACGGTGAAAATAATTTCATCTGGTCCCTTGAGAAAGCTAAGGCCCCGCCCTATAATCTCTCAAGTACAATAGGTGATTATGGGGGTTTCAATTTCTGGGAGGTCAACAGCACAACAGACTGCGGTGAAACCAAAGTTCTCAGCTGGTCATTCGCTCCCATCTCGTTCAATACTACTTTCAACGGGACCATGTTCACAAACCCAGTTGTGAATCTTCAATTTGATCCTACAACTGCAAACCTATCGATGCAGGGATACTTTGCGGCGAGCGCTCTCTCGACAACGGGGCCGGGTTTTCCTCTCGATGCAGAGACCGAGATGACACTTGTGGGTAAGTTCGTTATGAACTTTTCAGGTGTCATCGATAGCTATCATTCTGATATTTTGCGGAATGATACCGAGACTCCGACCTGGCTTCGCACTGTTGGCTATCAGAATAACTCCTTGAATGTTGGCTATACAACTACGTCAGAGGGTATTCAACTAGTAGGATCTTGTTCATTGGCTGCAGTATTACTATTTTTGCACGTGCTTGTTTGTCTCTCTTGATTGCCTATGCAGCAAATAAATTGCTACGCGACGATTCGAGGAGAGCTTCAGGATCAAGGCTGATCGTCTATCCTAGTTAGCAGAAAAGATGTCTACTCTGCTCTAACGCGCTGGAGCGTGGCAATGTAGTTATACCAATTAAACTCAATCTTCAAATAATTCCCAAATCATTGATAATCACCCTCAGTAAACTGCGTACGCCGGAGATGATGGTACCGAATATTCTCTATTCTCGGTGTCAACAGGCAGTTATGGAAGTGTGCGATTAAATTCCAATTTTAAGTCGCTGTATCCAAACGGTCTAACAGGTTGTGCTAATAAATTGTAATTCAGTGGCGTCTGAAAGAATAATGCTAGATTGTGTGCTTCGTACAGCGTACACCTCGGGCACCCCGTGAAACCTTCCAGTTCCAAGCGAGCCGAACGGTCCCGTGCCTAGGTCGCTAAAAGGTCTTTTTTGATCCTAGCACGGAGTATTCTGTCGGGTTTGAGGAAATCTATGGGCCCTGGAGACCTCGACGCCTGAGAAGTGTTCTTCCGATTGAATCGAATGGTACCATCTCCTGTTACGTATTTCCGACCTCGGGACCAGGACGCTGGAGAGTCAAATACTGCAGGAGTGACCTCTCAGATTGTACTAACCGAATAGAGTCAACTTATATAGCGCAAAGATGGGGCGGGGCACGGGAATGGCAGAATTTTCCTGGGTATGGAGTTGGTAGAGAAATTCTGGACAAAAAGCGCAACCGAAGCCGCTCTATCCGGAGGGTTCCAGGGTTCCAGGGTTCCAAGGGTTCAGTGTTTTGAGCTTTCACCAAGATTTCGCTTCGTACATGAGACGAGTGGACCTTTGTGCCGTATATTGGAAAGCCAACATCTAAGGAGAAAGGCTTTGTTGATGGAAATCAGCGCCACTAAATGTTCAACGCCGGAGCCATTGAAACTCTGAAATCCGTCCGCACCTTTGTCCATTATTTGCTACCAGAAGTGGAAAAATCTCTTTTTGCTCGCTCCTGTGAGGCTCCAGTATAGGGGTGGGGTGTCTGAAAATTTCAATCCCATGGATCGCACTTCACTTCTCATCATAAGCAACATGCCTCTCCTGGGATTATCTTGTCCGGCCCTGAGCTTGGTCATTGCTGCCCAAATCTGAGTACCATTCAAGGAGTTTTTTTTTGGATTACAAGTCTACATAGTATAGGACCAAGGCTTCACTCCATGAAAACATCCATGCATCCACGTTGCACCTGTGCTCAGATAATGCTATCTCCCCATGGCATGGGTAGCTTAACTTGCGCCAGGACCACAGTAGACTCGGAAGGCTTGAAGGTTGCAAATTGTCAACTGGCAATGGGAATTGGAGAAACTCTAGGGACCCTCAATTAAGCAAGTTCAAAGTCCACGGGTAAAAGTCTTGAATATCGAATAGTTGCCTTTACTGATATGAGAAACTTTTTCCCTAGATGGTGGAATAATCAACAAATTTGGATAGATTCGAATGAATATGGGAAATCATAAATGTGACATTAAAACTATATGCAAAAGCAGTATTTCTGTCTATACAAGTCAAGAAGCAGACATCTAAACTAGTCTTCGTCCCCGAATGTATACAAGCTCTGCTCTCAGTGGACAGTAGGCAAGTTGGCCGAAAGAGGCAGCTTGCGAGACGAGTTACCGACATACACCTTCTTGGGGGTCTTAGTGACAACCCAGTTCTGGGCTGCGACATCCCAGCTGGAGAGATCGCGGCGGTTCAGGGTGGTGGTCCACTGGAGCTTCTGGCCAGGGGCGATGGTGACACGGTCGAAGGCGCGCAGGACCTTTGGTGGGTCATTGGCACCGCCAAGGGAGACATACTAGATCATATGGTTAGATGTTATATTTGAAAAGGGGTTGAATTCGGGAAAAACTCACGAGCTGGGGAACTTCGTCACCGGTCATGGAGCCGGTGTTGGTGATGGTGGCAGTGACCTGGACCAAATCCTCAAAGAGACCTGAGTTGCCACCACTGGGGCCGCTAGCGGGCAGAAGAGGCTGAGCAGATCCGTTGGTAGCTCCAGCAGGAACGTACTTCGAGGTCTTCTCTCCGTAGTAAGGGTCACCAGATGACTCCTTAAGGTTGGTGGAGTTCAACCAGGGGTAGAGGTACTGAGTGACACGCTTGATGTTCTTGGGGAAGAGGTAATCGGAAACAGGGCCAACCTTGCCCAGAACGGGGGCAGCCTTGGACCAACCAGTGGTCTTGACGTACTTGTCGGCGTTCAAAGCCTTGACCTCCAGATCGGAGAACTCAAAGTCGGTGTAACTCATACCAAAGCCGAACTCGTAGATTGGCTCGGCGCCATCCTTGTCGAAGCGGCGGTAATCAATGAAGACACCGTCCGTGAAATCATCCTGAGGAGCGCCGATACCGTTGTTGGGCTCAGTAAGGATAGAGGCGCCGTACTGCTTGCGGGTCTTGCCCCAGGTGAAGGGAGTTTTGGCTCCGGGGTTGACGCGGCCGTAAAGGACATCCACCAAGCTCCGGCCACTCTCCTGGCCAGGCAGACCAGCCCAGAGGATAGCAGTGATGTTGGGGTTAGTATACCAGTCGTCAATCAAGACGGCGCTGGGGGTGTGCATGATAACGATTGTGTTGTTGCAGTTCTCCGAGGCGGCCTTGATAACTGCTTCGCCATTCTTCCAGAGAGTCATGTTCTTGCGGTCACCTTCATTGCTATCGACGTTGATGTAACCCTCACCGGAGTCGGCATTGACAAATACTAGGGAAACACTAGAATGGAATAAGTCAGCGATAATTTAGAACAGGGACGTGGAGTTACGAACCTGGACAGGGCGGCGATGGCGGCAATCTGATCAATATTTCCGTTGTCGGTCACAGAGAAGACATTGGTCTGACCATTACCGTAGTTCAGAACCTCATTCTGGATAGCCTGCTCGGGAGTGATAAGGTAAGGGAAGTTGGCAGATCCACTACCCCAGCCCATAGCCAAAGTACCATTGTCACAACCACGGTCAGAGCAACCGTTGGCGCCGGCAGGGTTGGAGCCCGCATCCTCACCCAAGATTCCGACATAACGCTCGTTGTGAGTCAGAGGCAGACCACCATTGTTCTTCAGGAGCACAGTGCTGTCGGCACCGATCTTGCGGATGACTTCGGCGTGATCACGCTGCACGTTGACGCGCTCATTGAGCTTGACAAAGTTCTCGCTCACCATGAAGTGCTCGTAGCCGTACTCGTCGCGAGTCCAGGAGCTGAAGTTCGGGGGAGTACGGTGGCGGTCACGACCAACCTTGTAGTAGGCTGCCATGATACGAGTGGCCATGTCGTCAATGCGCCATTCGGGGATAGTACCGTTCAGGACGGAAATGGTCAGGTTGGTACCCCAGAACGAGTAGGGACTACCCAGGATAACATCACCGGGCATAGACATGTCCAGACCAGCAAGAGCATCACCAACACCACTGTGGTGGGCACCCCAATCACTCATAACGAAGCCCTGGAAACCAAGCTCACTCTTCAGCAGCTTGTTCAAGGTGTGACTGTTAGAGCAACCGTAGCTGTTGTTGATCTGGTTGTAGGAGCACATGATGGATCCCACGCCAGCACGCACGGCATCGACGAAGGGCCAGAGGTAAAGCTCGTGCATCGTAGTGTCATCAATGTTGGCGCTGATACTCTCGGTAATGTTGTATCCGTAGCCCTGAGCCTCGCTGGACTGGCGGAAATGCTCCTGCTCGTTTCCGATATAGTGCTTGGCACAAGCAATGATACCAGCATCTTGCATTCCCTTGATGGTTTCAGCCATCATCACACCAGTGAGGACGGGGTCAGGAGAGAAACCCTCCCAGACACGGCCACCGTCGGGGTTCTTGCCCAAAGGACCAGCAACGGGTCCCAACTGGACATCAACACCCTTATCCCGGTGCTCCTCGCCCATGGCCATACCACGAGCGTAGGCCAGTCTCTTGTCAAAAGTCGCGGCAACATTGATACCGGCGGAGAAACCCGAGTTGTAATCGCCTGTTCGTTATAAGTCAGTTCCTGAAATTCAAGTTGTCGAATCACAGCTCCACATACTGTCACGAACACCCAGAGGCGAATCTTGCATGCACATGCCCCACATTCCTAGTCTTTACAATCATGTCAATTTATTTTCGTTCTGGCGCGCGACTTTGATTGCGGATCTTACCTCGGAATACCTCCAGTCTCTCCCACACAACGTTCTTGCTCCCATCTAATGTTGTTAGTTTACGAGCATCACGCGACTTTGTTTACCACATACCCAGCACCAGTAGTCAGATTGACCTTCTCAGCCAATGTCAAGTTGGACACGAATTCGACGGCGCGTCTGTGAGCCTCTGCCCACTCGCCTTGGCCGGTCATCCATGGGGAGGGATAGAAGGGAGGTGAATATGCCAATTCCTATCGCGTTGTCAAGTTAGCCTCTGGATGTAATGCGCATCAATGGCTTCTTAATCTCACCTTGGCACTAGCCACCGAAGCAGCGCCCAAAAGGCCTGCTTCCAGCAAACCAAACTTCATGGTTGCTGGGATAATAGCAAAGCAAATTTAAGAACTCAAATATATTGAGTGTACTTAATCGCCAAGCGAGGGAAGGTTGAAGAGATTGACAAGCACGATCGTAATCCGAAAATTGCTGAGGGACAGGAGACTATTTAAATGCTAAATTGTGGATTATTTACAGGGACAGGGGAATCACAGTATGGCGTAGTGCTCCACTAGAATTCCAAGACGGGGGAGCTGGGAAGTGTGGAGAAACCAGTAAGGATCGACAAATAGTTGGAGTTTGTGTACTAGGGGCGTAATACAATGTTTAGGTCTTGTTTTTGCTTGGCACACACGATCGCGTTAACTTCAATGATTTGTTGATCAAACATCCGCCATATGTCCCTGAGGAAGGGAGAAAGTAATGCGAGTGGCTGGACACGCGAGGAGACGCTCAAGTATGGACCCTGCATTGGCCCCATTCCCGATCAAGGGATAGGACAATCCCTTTCTTGCATGTAGAGTGATAATCCCATTCACTCGCGATCGGATCTGATTCTAGTGTAATACTTTCCAATACATACACGATCAAACAGGGTCTCGCCAAGTTCCTGATGCCGAGTGTGCCGGGGAACGGGCACTTGCCGCCTAAACTCCGGGTGAATGCCATTGCTACCATGCCACTCCTTGGCGTGTTGAGCTCCGCTAATTCCCCGCCTCGCTCCATGCCTTCCAGGAATGTTCTTCGCGGTTTGACAGCGGGGTAATTCTCCGTCGCATTCCAGTCAGACAAGGCCTTTGTCAGCTACAGTAAGAGAAGTGTAATTCAGCTGCGGTCCCTTAATTTTGAATAGATTTCGGCAGTGAGGGAATATCGGGTCATGCCATTGATCTTCACTCGTATTGCCAAATGAGGGAAATCCCCGTAGGTCATTTTAGGTGACTTCCCACTGGGTCTTGAAGCAATACAAACCAACCGTATTCACGTATGCTACCTCTGCGTGGAGTCCGTGGCATGGTGGCGCTCATTTGCATACGGCGTGGCGGCGTACTTAAGGTACCCAAACACAGCCAGGCTTATGTTTGTTCTATGGATTGGGTTTTCTTGCACCCATGGTACGACTACTACTTTATAGTTCCCCGGGGCCCATACTTGACATGTTGAAAAATCCAGTCTTGTTCCCAACTTGAAAGTAATGTTTCCAACAGTAATTGTTATTTTTCTCAGTTCATTGCATCGGATCTCCAAGGATTTTGTGGGGACTAGTGCGGCCGGGGTTTGTTATGCGGGGCTCCAGTCCCCCCGGGTCGTATGCACTCCGGATGAGAACTTTGGCGGGGCTCATATTACCTTATGCTCATGATTAATAATTCATGACTGAAACTATTACAGAATACAGAGTAGATTAATATGAAGAGGGGTCATTCCAACACCTTCCAATATTGGCTAGGTAGTTCCTCTTGGCAACGCCCAACCTTGGAAGATATGTTGCGTCCCGCGCGATGAAGTCACCCGACCCCGACCTGCTAAGCCCGGGCCCGTGCCGTGCTAAGTCGGGGTCCGATCTCTTTTGGTATACCGACCTTGTCTAAATGTAACTTCCAAAGGTTCACGCCTTATTTCTGTCACCCTTCACTTCTGAGGGGTTTTGTTTCAATCGGAATTCATTTCGGCGCGAACTTGGCTTCTCACCAATAAGTATACCCAACATCTACTCGCGCGCCATGAAGAGGCTGCTCAAGACACTAATTGGCGCTCTCCAATTTGACCATTTAGTTGAGCATAGTTTTCGATCTCAAATTCATCGTGCCATCATTTAATCAACTTAATCTATTCCGCGTTTTCATGTTTCCAATAAAAAACAAATCCCCATGTTTAGTCGGCACTTGTCCGGGCCGAGATTCTTGCTCGGCAAGGGTGGAGAACGCCCAAGTATTTCACTAGTGCACGGGGTCGCAACTTTGTGGAGTGCATATTCTGGGGAGGTCAGTGTAATGTGAGATGATTTATCATAGAATGTCTACCAAATTCTATTCTAGACTGTGAACGAAAGTATTGTATGGAGACAAGGACCAAAGCCGATCCCTACTCAATTGGCTCTTTAATCTAATGTACCAGAAATCATACCGATGCAGAGACACATTTCCCTTCTTCACGGCTAATAATCGGTAAATTGCTCCACTGTTCTCCACTGCACGATACTTGGAAAACTCTCTTCGGCGATATTGGTATGAGACTTCAATTAATCAAGGGCTATGGCCTCGTAAGGTCCCCTCAAAGCTTGGCGGCTGCTATATATTCTCTAGTCAAAATATAGCTACTAACTATGGCAACTACAAGGAGAAGTTACTGGAAGAGACAGGTGCATACGTTCACGAGAAAAGAGTTGATATTTCTGTAGCATCCTCAAACAATTGAAATTCAGGCAGAAACCAGGCCATTATGGATTATCAACTGGGGTTTTAAATTGCAGACTACATCCTGTAGCCAGGAACTGTTCTCTATTGATTTGCAGGGCCATTAAAATCTGTCTTCAAGCGGGAAATTCCTAGTCTACGTGACTCGGCAATCTATTCGGCTTTGTCGTTGGGTAAGAGAAAAACAAATGTACATAAGATCAACTCCATCGCCTCGGTGATCACGTCTGAAGTAATGGGGCACACAGACTAGATTCCTGTCTGGACACCTAATTAGGCTTGTTGCCCTTCTTTGGAAAAGGCTCCGCAGTAGAGTAATCATTACTACTTACATTCATCATGCCACTATCGCTCAGCATCAAAGATTTCAGATTTAGATTCATTCTGCCGATAAATACAAGATTTGTGTCTACATGTATCGGTTCTAATCGAATCGGCATTCGTTGGTACGACAACGACCCAATCTATTGCTTGATTTATCTTTTTGTCAATGTAGGATGGAACTGATACGGGATCTCATTACCACCAGCGGATCAAAAGTTGCGAAAGCGATTCGTCGAGAAAGCGGTTCGTCAGCAGCAAGGTATATGAGGTCACTGAGCATCGAAACAATCCGGACTTTGCTCATTTGAAGCAGATGTTCTGGGATGGATTCACAAACCAGGCTAAAGGTGACCGCCTCTCGATCTGTATTGTCGGTATCGTATACGATACTACGGATTGCATGCAATATCACCCCGGGGGTGCTAGTGTGATCAATAAATATGCTGGTTTGGATGCTACGTGGGCTTTTCACGGAGGTCATCATGAACATTCCCTGGCGGCTCAAGGTCTTTTAGCAATTATGCGAGTTGGTTTGATCAGGACCGCACAGAATTCCAGATAGGCAAGAGAACCTAGTAGATGATTAGATAAAACCAGACTTGGCTGTTCCGTTTCAGCTGTGTATATCGGTTCCTTGAGCAAAATGTTTTCTTAACTCGCTCTCTCGCCTTTTTCCCTCCTCACGTGGAGGAGGTAAGATATATTGGTGTAAGAGGTAGTGGCTACATACTAGCAGCGACAGGCAGGTTTCCTAGTGGACTTTATTCCTTGCCCTGATTAGTGATGCCCTGATTGGTACTCGGTCCACTTTTCCCCCGCGAAAGAAACAAGCCAAAAAAACAGAGCCAAAAGATTTTGACAAAAAGATAACAGGCCCGAGCCGTGGATCGAACACGGGACCTCGCGCAGGAGTGCTTAGGAGTTGCTGCCCTAAGCGCGAATCATACCACTAGACCACCCGGGCTGTTCTTGATGCAGGGATTTGAATTTATGGATACATAAGGGGAAAATCATGATATCCGTGCAGAAAGTGGCCTCGACACAATTGGTGGTCCTTATACTAGGACGAAGCACCACCGAACGCCACACGTCTCTGTTTGGACTATTGGGAATTTTTGACCGCTTCCTGAGTATATACTTATTAGAAAAAATCAATTACTGATCTCATCTAGTATTTGAAACAAGATATTGTTCTGAACACGGCAGCCATCGCCCCGTCCTTTAGAAAATCCCGAACAGAGCCTCTGCCGAAGCTCTTCTATATCGGTGCCTCGTGCATTGCACTGAGCAATGAGATCTTCTGCGATGGCACAAAGAGTCGTGTTCAGCACGTCTTCTTCAGATGACCATATAACCGATTGCTCCTCTGGGCAGTTGCAGAGAGACGGAGTTGAGCCTCCCGCCTGAGGCAACGATTTATCTCCTGGTGGCGAAGGTGGTTGTGAAACGACCTTGTTGCAACTCAATATGGAAATGGCTTCTTTCTTTGGTCGAGGAGTTGCGGGTATTGCGACTTTGCGATCCATCACTGTTCCTTGGCCAGCCAAAGTAACATACTGATGGATTAGATCCGTGGACACTCCCAACGAGCCTAGCAGGATTTTGAGGTTCTGATTTTCTGCCTCTAATTTCTGTATAGCAAGTCGATGCTCTATATCTTTTTGTTGTGTTTGCTCTTTGTGGACTGCCAGTTGCTGTTCGAGTTCCCGAACATACTCTTGCTTTCTCGCACGGCTTTTACGTTGGTTCTCACGCACACGGGCCAGCCGTTTCAAGTCCTTGATCAAAAGTCAGATTTCACTCAACATTTTGAAAGGAATGTGAACAAACCTTGTGTTTATCTTCCGGGTCCATTACTGAGGTGGTTGCAGGATCTGACTTTGAAGAGTCTGGTCTTTAGAGTTAAAAATCGGCTATACTGCTTTGGGCCGCCTTTGGTGCCCGAGACTTCAGGCGCCGCTGGATTGAGACACAAGCTGGATTACTTTCTATCAAAGGTAGTCCGTAATGTTCCGCAACATGCCAAGGACTAGAAGTAATTCTTAAGTTCAACAGGGATGTAATCTCCCCAGAAAAGGAGAAATCCCAGCCGATTGGGTCAACCCCGGAATGCACGAGCCCTGGCGTGGGGTAAAGATCATTCGATCGAGAATCGAGGTATACTCCTCTGCGAAGATAAATTCATTAAGCAAAGTCCAAGTCCCAACAGTTCGGTGCAAATCAGGACCTAAACCGCCCCGTGCCGCACAGTTGCCCGCAAACGATCATCCTCGGGCACAACGACGTCACTCGCCGTCAGTCGCGGCGAACTGTGGCATTCCCCAGCATTTTTCTTGCGCTAAAGCAAACTAGTTGGATTCCTATTTGCCTCTCACGCGAACACTCTTCCCATATCGCACGAACCTTTCTCTTCGATTTCGTACTATTCACAGTCACGCGACTATATCTTATATACTTGCGATTTGGTCGCAATATCGCAAACCCCATCATTCACCATGGTCTCCACACGACATCACCCTAAGGAATTTCCTTCACCCACGCAAGCCGCAAAAGAGCTGGTTAAGTCCTCACCTGCGCCTACCACTACCGGCAATTCGCGCAAATGGGTTCATACACCGTCAGTCGCCGTGACCCTCTGGCTTGTCTTTTCTGTGCCGTTGGTGGTGTGGGATGCTGGCTATGTGTTGTTGCGACCGCATAGTATGCCCGGTGGCCGCTTGCACTCCCCCATCTGGACCCCCTACGCGCTTTACGGTAAAATCGACTATATATACGGCTGGCCCGCATTTAATGCGCGCAACGGTTTTACCGCTGCGCAAACTGCGCTGAACGTCGTGGAAACTCTGGGTTACCTCTACTACCTGTTCATTGTGTACCACCACGGCGCAACGGTCGTGAGTGGTCGCAGCGCACCGAAGCAGAAGAAGGGCTTCGTTTGGTTGTTGACAGGCGAAAAAGTCGTCGCGGGCCGGACTGGCGCGATTGCGCTCATGGTCGCGTATACTGCGTCTGTTATGACTCTCAGCAAGACCATCCTCTACTGTAAGCTGACCTTGATCCTTGGAAACAAAATCTGCCCTGGTCCGCCGAATCAAGCTAACCTGTGCAGGGCTGAATGAATTCTTCTCTGGCTTTGATAATATTGGTCACAATGATGCTTTAACTCTGATTGTGTTGTGGATGATTCCGAAGTGAGTACTGAATTTTATCCGTGCGAGAATTATGGCTAATAGTGTATTCAATAGTGGCCTGTGGATTGTCTTCCCCACTTACAGCATCTACTCTCTTGGGAGCGAGATCCTCACTTCATTGGAACTGGCGAGCCCTCGTGCTCGTGTGGGACGTCCCAAATCCTCATAGGAACTGAGACAATGTCGAGTGTGGAGTAGCAAGAGGATGCATGTGCAATTCGACATGATCGGATTGTAAATGGGCAGAAACAGACGACGAACGATTATGGGTATGTTAAAAATCCTACCTACCTGTCAGTATAAGGATGTGACTGTATCGAATACGAATGCTTATAATGATATTCAATTGTTCAGCTGTACATTTTAACAAGCATATATATACAGAAAGCCTAGTAAATTGACATGAATATCAAAGTTGATTGCCCTATAATTCGGGCCGAGGGTGGACCACTTAGGCACCGCACCAAGTACAAACAATACAGAACCGCGTGAAAGTACCTTGTGAAAACACCCCGAATGCTTCTTGACAAGGTCTCTGATCTACTGGAGTAATTATTAATCGTGATCATCAATAATGAAGATCCAAAGCTAAAAGAATTAAAGTACATCATGACCGAGTCCGGATGTAGCATGTAACCTTAGGCACTCCGTGGGTCCGGTTGTTCCTTTTTTTCTTTTTGCTTCTCTTTGACACATTGTTAATCTTCCAAATCCTTGTGGCTGAAATTGAGGCTTGTTCATTGGTGGTTTCATCGAAGAGAAAAAAGCGGCTTCAAGCTCGTAATATTAATTGAAAGCGCTGCCAGTGGGAGACTTTGTGCCAAGCCGCCCGTCGCCGCTGAACCTTTCCCCATATTCCTTTATTCTCCTCTCCTCCCAAACCCTCGACTCCCGCCCGCTATCAGCCCGGATTTAAATTCTCATTCTTATCTCCTCCTATCGGCCTTGCCTGCGCCTCCGGCTGGGGCCTTCTTCTTCTCCTCTCCTTTCACGCCGAACGATGCTTCGGGTCTGGGTCCTGGGGTACCCGCACCCGTCATGAGCCATCCCGACTCCGACGACTCGCCATTGAAAACCTCTGGTGTTGGCTTTGGTTTGAACCAGGAGGATACTGCAGCTTTTCTTGACGATTTTGATACCCAAAGCCATGCAAGCTCCCGCGACCCTGGTAGCACACAGACAGCTGACCCCGCGACGGGTCCCGACGGTGCGCTAGACAGCCACTTGGATGCCATTACCCGAGACCCGAATTCTGCAACTGTCGACAAAGACGACAGACCCATGTGGAGCGAAATGAAAACTAAAGCTGGAAAGGAGCGGAAGCGATTACCGCTGGCATGTATCGCATGTCGTCGCAAGAAGATCCGTTGCTCGGGCGAGAAGCCGGCGTGCAAGCACTGCACGCGCTCAAGGATCCCTTGCGTATATAAGGTCACCACGCGAAAGGCTGCCCCGCGAACAGATTACATGGCCATGCTAGACAAGCGATTGAAGAGGATGGAAGATCGCGTGATCAAGACGATACCCAAAGATGAGGCGAGAGACATGGCCTCTATCGGCAGATCGGTAGTCAAACCCTCGGCGCAAGGGCAGCTTTCAAAACAACAGAAGAAACGAAGCGCTGAAGAGGCCTTTTCTGCGGAAATGGATGAATGGACTCGAGAAGAGCGTCGCCCGCCGCATGAGACTCTTCCGATGAATCGCGAAATTAAGTCCTCAGATGGGTCCGGACTCTTGACCGAGGGGGCGGAATTCTTGCCTTCGCTGGAGATACAAGAACACTTGGCCGAGGTCTTCTTCGACTGCGTCTATGGACAGTCATATCTGCTCCTACACAAGCCGAGTTTTATGCGGAGGCTCAAAGCTGGCACTGTTCCCCCAGTCTTGATTCTCGCGGTCTGTGCGGTCTCGGCTCGATTTTCGACGCACCCGCAGCTTAATTCAGAACCGCCTTTCCTACGTGGCGAGAACTGGGCCAACCCGGCTGCAGCAATTGCGCTCAGCCGACACGATGAGCCAAACATCACAATCCTGACCGTTTTCTTACTCCTGGGCCTTCACGAGTTCGGAACATGTCATGGTGGAAGAAGTTGGTCGTTTGGAGGACAGGCGTTGCGAATGGCGTACGCCCTGCAGCTTCATCAAGAGCTCGAAAGCGATCCATTACTTGGACAGGGTAACAGCAATTCACAATTGAGCTTCACGGACCGGGAGATCCGGCGACGGACTATGTGGGCATGTTACTTGATGGATCGCTACAACTCCTCAGGAAGTCAGCGACCACCCATTGGAAATGAGAAATTTCTACATATCCAACTACCTATCAGGGAAACCCACTTTCAAATGGAGATACCTGGCCCTACAGAAGACTTGGATGGGGATATATTGAACCCCACGCCTGAGAACTCCGGTGAGTTATCCAATGCCAAGGATAATATGGGAGTATCGGCGTATATCATTCGCGCTATCGTCATTTGGGGTCGTCTTGTTGACTATCTAAATCTCGGTGGCAAGAGGAAAGATACAGTTCCCTTGTGGCATCCGGAGTCTGGATACACCCTGCTGAAGCGGCAGATTGAGGAGTTCTCTTCTTCACTTCCAGGGTCTCTCACTTTCACGTATGAGAATCTCCAGATTCATGCCGCGGAAAAGATAGCAAACCAGTTCTTATTCCTCCACATCATTATCCACCAGAACATGCTATTCCTCAACCAATTCGCAATTCCTCTTTCGCCGGGAGGGCGGCCACCCAGAGACATGCCGAAACCGTTCCTTAGCAATGCGGGTCGAGCGGCAGTTGAGGCTGCTCATCACATTTCTGTACTTTTTGATCGGGCTTCGGCCTACCCACTCACGGTTCCTTTTGCTGGCTACTGTGCATATACGGCTAGTACTGTTCATATCTGGGGCATATTTTCGAAGAACGTGCAACTCGAAGCTCGTTCGAAGGAGAATCTTCGACATACCTATCGATATCTCAACAAGATGAAGAAGTATTGGGGAATGTTTCACTATATGGTCGAAAGTGCGAAAGACCGGTATCGACAGTTCGCCGACGTGGCCATTAAGGGATCTGTTGCTACACAAAATGGCAACACATTGGCTCCGATGTTCCAATATGGCGACTGGTTTTCCAAATACCCTCACGGTGTATCCAGATTACATTGGGAGGACCCGGATACCCGACATAAAGAGACGGGTGATGATGCCGTTATGGGCCAGAAGCCGGATCTTCAGAGTGTCGAGGACTTCTTCGCCAGCCTATCACCAACGCCACAACCCGCTCTGCCTCGCAAGGTACGCTCTCGCAAAAACAGCAAACTCTCCGACAGCTCAGGCGTAGATCAAACATCTCCATCACAGATGGAGGTGACCATGGGAAATACGCCAGGTATTCCAGGAAATACATTCCCCCAGCCATCCATGTACCCCCCAAATCGGGCTATGTCATTCAGTCAGTTTGACTTCAACATCCCGCAGGACCAATTGCACCAACTTGATCGACAATTTGTCTACGGTTCATTCTCTGAATTTGATCCCACAAACTTCCTCCCCCAAAATAATCCGCCTATTCCACCCGTCAACGGCGTTGATGCACCGGGCACGGACCATTCCCTTTTCACTGGTCAACTTGATCCAGGTGCACCCTCCGGAACTGGTGAATTTTATCAACCAAGTGCATGGTTCCTTCCTTTCAACCTGGATCCGCTCGGCGGTGCTGCCCAAGGCCCCCCGCCGCCGGGTAGGAACGCACAACCTCCACCCGGCCCAGTCCCAGCCCCCGTGCCCGGTTCCAGTGCCGGCAACGGCTCTGTGAATGTCTCGGGTATACCTCCCTATGGAACAGGAGACCTACCCTTGAGTGCCTATGATCTAGGCCTAGGTGGGCCGGATATGGGACAAGCCTCGCGGCACGGGTAACTTGAACCACACGGGTATGGCTTCGGCCTCTCAACGACCGATATGTGGTGTTTAATATTGTTTATAATGGGGTATTTGGTTTTGGATATTGGTTTGGCAGGTGTTTTGTTCTGTATTTTCCCTGGTTTGTTCTTTCAATGGGCCGGGTGTACATATTCTTGACCTATGCATGTACCTATATTCCCCTGTGTAGTGATTTAGGCTCTACCGAATTGTACTCGTGAGTTTCAATTCCTTCATAACAAAAAGAAAAAGGATTCATAACCAAAAGAAAGAGGAAAAGCGACTTATCGCTCGGATCCCACAGATAACAAGTCCAAAATAATATTCCCATCGAGCTAAACGCTTGTGAGTCTAATGCAAAAAGACAAAAAGAAGAGGCTTGCATCATCCGTGAATCGAACACGGGCCTCGTCGATGGCAACGACGAATTCTACCACTAGACCAATGATGCTAGTTCATGTAATGAGCAGCCAACTAATGCACTATGAACGAAGACTTGCTATTGCTCGGATATGGTTCGAGTTGCATCGCATTTTGCCGGTGCTTCATGGGCGAAATTAGTTCTCTACTCAACTCCAGCCAGGTTCGGATGAAAATTCATTATTGAAGTAATTTTTGCTAGCGAAGTCTTTCGCTAGTGACTAAACGATTCAAAGGGCATGGTAAAAATAAATATCAATTGCTGAACGTATTCTTATCAGGCAAGGCTCAGATGAAAATATATATTGACACTATATTCAAGGTCCGAATGATGCTACCTAGATATACTTTTCAAGGTCCATGTCCGTATGTCCACTTAAGCAACCCAGCTAGTTATACCTATCACATTCACCAGTAATCCTAGATACTTATTGGAAAACGCGACACGCCTATCTACATGACGTAGGTGAATTTATTCAGTCAACCGCCTAGATGTACATTATGTTATCGGAGCTTGACATGGTCCAATCGGAACCAAGCCGACGGGCACTCATCCTTTCCTTAGTTCCAATTTTATGTATGGCTCCTGCAGGAAGATGCACCTGCAGGAAGATGCACCTGCAGAAGGGTGCTGAGCCATGATTTTCAAAGATTTGAGTTTGACTGAAAGGCTGTCAATCCAATCAGAATCAACCTTAACGGTACCCGGCCCCTTCTTGGTTTCAGTCCACGCTACGTACCTTTGTTGAAGATGCAACTGAGCCATGATCTTCAAAGTATCGAGCCTATCGGCTACTAGTGTCAAATCATAATGCCCATCCTGTGAGTACCAACCGCTCACCTAGTCTAACCAGAGCCAATAGATATAGCCGTCAATCAACTCAGTAACAATTTTGAACGTCGATGTCAATAGCAGTGAACATCGAGCTGTGATTTTAGCAGGTTGAGTAGTAGGTCTCAAAACCAGATTGTCGTTTCTTTAGATCAAGGTGATTGGGGGAAGGAATGACCGACATCTACCCTGTGCTTACAGCCGGGTGTAAATACAATAGTGGGGGACTTGGTGTTCATCGGAGATTAGGTCGAAGTAGACATCGGGAAGAAAAGAAAATCACTTCAAGAGTGAGTTTTACATACTCGGTTCCTAAATGGATATAGTATGTAGCAGGTAGTGGAAGTCTTGGGAACCCTTAAAAGATTACTGTAGTAGAGCAATATGGAATTTGGGGTCGTTTCAGAATTTCTTTACATGTTGAGTTAAAATTGAAAATGCTAATGCTACAGCAATTTCTTCTAGCACAGGCGTGGGATCGCCTCAACATGGCATACAGCCACGGAGCGCCGAAGTCTAATCATCCCACTCCTCATCCAACTGATCTATCAAGCGATTCTCTGCATCCACATCACCTCGGCCACCAGAGCCCCTTCCACCTCGACCACCAATAGCACCAATGAAGCCGCCACGGTCATCGGAGCCAGGACGTGTGTAGCCACCATTCGATGGAGAACGTCTCAGACGAAGGCAGTTGCCAATGGAAGAGAAGGAGATGATGAACATGTCCTGTTTTAGGAAACATTATTAGCATGATAATTTGCTGAAATAATCCCATGAAATTCGAGTCTCTGGTCATAGATATGAAGCAAAAGTGGCAGTGTACCCAGTCAATCAACTACCTAGAACGGTGTCTATCTAGGATGTACCCAAGGTCCGGCTCCAGAATAGAGTAATTAAGTCCATAAAGAAATGAACGGATGGACAGTCTGCGATGTATATCATGGCACCTGGCTTCAACTTCGTAAAGAGAGTACATGCTGCGGTCAACGCAGGTATGAGAGAAGCTGATCGGCGAAAACAAAACGCGCCGCGCATGAATGGATATCAATCAATCGGAGAGACCGGCTCCCCAATGAACAAATTTTAACAATTATGAGCGTTTTTGACGCGATTGAGCTCCAGACCAGCTGGGGTATGCTTAATCCAAGCGCGAAACGGGTAATCCCGCTAGGCTTGAATTCTTGTGCTGATGCGAGGCCACATTGCCATATCTGACCCTTCGAGACCGACATGGAACCAAAGCTAAAAGACATACCTTAATGAAGTCAAGCATTCCAGCCCACAAACTGAAGTTGGGGCATTGGCGCCAGCCGCGCTGGTGCATGACGGTGCGTTGATAAGCACAACCACCGATAAAGTAGGCGGCAACGGCGATGAGCATGCTTTAGATTCAGACGTTAGAATCCTCAGATTCGGAGTTGGTAGGGATTTTGAGGTGAAGCTTACATGACACCGAAAACACCGGCCGGCCCCATGCCGCCGGAGTTGGGATCAACCGCAAGGCCACCACATGCAGCAGAGCTGCGGATCTCAAAGTAAAAGGAGCAGGAGTCCATGGTGCCAACGAAGGATGCGGTTGCCTGATTTGCCGGAGCGTCGCGGTCGCACATGAAGGACATCAGGGTGGACATGGTTCGGACCGAGGCGTTCGAGGCCGCGCCATTGAACTCACCCGGACACGGAGAACCGTTCGTATAGTTGAGAACCAGCTTGCGACCGCGGAAGAAGGGATCGGAACGTTGTTCGCTATTGATATCCATGACAGTCAGCATGCGAGACACCGAGATCCAAGCACCAAGGGATCATCATACCCCAACGAATATATCTTCCCATGCTGCTCGTAGAACGCGCTGATATTCTGCCACCGCGAAGCTGGCACGCCCACCACATCTGTGAAGTTCTCAATCACCGGCGCGCATACATTCAGCGTGAAGTTTGCGGGGTAGTCGTGCCCCTTGGCGGGCCAACTTTCATCCCGATCCTCCTGTGATACTTTCTTGCCGTTCTTCGTCTGCGGTGGGGATATCGAGATCGGATTGAGATCATAGTATAGGCCACTGGTTGGCGAATGCGCCACACATGTTAATTCATCGTTCAAGTGAGAGGAGCCGGCGGCGCTGGAAAGTCCCAGAATGGATGATAAGAAAAGAAGAGAATAATGAGCGGAGCTAGTCAGTTTCATGGCTGGAAGGAGATGGCACAAGTCTAAGACTTGCAGTGTGTAAGAAAAAAAGAACGTCTATTCAAATAAAGAATATGAGAGTCCAGCTCAGTGGAGATAGAAGGTGGTTTGAAATGAAACAAGAAGCTTACGTAGCATCAGGTGTTTCACTGCGGTTGTGATTGGCGATTGCGGAGAAACCGGAGCACGGGATCCGGCATCGTACGCGAACTCAATCAACTCGGGAGCTTTGATATCCGCGCCTATTTATTCGTTGGCTTTCCCCCTCATTTTTGATAGGCAGATTCATTGAATTTGATCTATTACATTCGCAATGGCTCCCAAAAAAGCTCCTAAGCTTTCAAAGCCACAAGGACAGCCTGTCCCTGAGAAGCGTGGCTATGAATTCGGTGGGCCGTACGTACTACTGCTGTACTTGGATGATTGCGAGAGCTTGAATTAACATATATTGTAGCCTAGGCGCCTTCGGAATCGTGTTCGGACTCCCAATATTGGTTTATGTTTTCACCTTTGTTTGCAATGACGTGTCTGGGTGTCCTGCGCCCTCGTTGCTCAACCCCTCGACCTTGTCTATCGATCAATTGAAGCGTGAAGTGGGCTGGCCTAAGGAAGGTGTTGCAGGACTCTTCGATCTTGAAGTGACACTGTGGGTCTTGAGCTACTATGCATTCAGTCTGTTCTTGCAGATTTCATTGCCTGGTCAGGTCTTGGAGGGTGTTCCTTTGGCATGCGGGGGAAGACACAAATACAAGTTCAATGGTATGACAGAGTCGGAGCTAGCACTCGGGGTTCCTCAATAAGCTAACAATGGCTACTTTCAATAGCATTCCCTTCGGCCCTCATTATCCTCGGCAGTCTGGCCGCCGGTACCTATATGCATGGAGCGGACTTCGTGGTGTGGACCTTCCTGTGGAACAACTACGTGAAGGTTATTACCGCCAACCTTCTGATCTCTTCCACCGTTGCGCTTTTCGTCTACCTGAAGAGTTTCTCTGTTCCCGAGCCCGGCAGCGCCAATCCCGACTCGCGCGAGCTGGCTCCCGGTGGTCACACAGGAAATGTGCTCTACGACTTCTTTATTGGTCGCGAACTTAACCCCCGGCTCCGTTTGCCCATTCCTTTCGTCAGTGAGGAATCGCGTACCATTGATATCAAGGTGTTCATGGAGATGCGACCAGGTCTGCTCGGATGGACGATCCTGAACCTGTCCAATGTGGCTCACCAGTACCGCACCTACGGTTACGTCACCGACTCGATCATTCTAGTCACCATCTTCCAGGCATTCTACATCTTGGACTCACTGTACATGGAGCCAGCCATCATGACTACTATGGATGTGATCATGGATGGCTTCGGCTTCATGCTATCCTTTGGTGACGTGGTCTGGGTCCCTCATGTCTACAGCATTCAGAGCCGTTACCTTGCCGTCTTCCCTCTCCAGTTGGGCTGGTCCGGCATGGCGCTCGTTGTGGGTGTTACTGCTGTTGGATACTCAATCTTCCGTGGCGCCAACAACCAGAAGAATCGATTCCGCACTGACCCCAACGACCCTCGCGTCAGTCACATCAAGTACATCGAGACCGCCAGTGGATCGAAGCTCATGATCTCCGGATGGTGGGGTCTCGCCCGGCATATCAACTACTTGGGTGACTGGGTCATGTCGTGGGCCTACTGCCTGCCCACTGGTATTGCGGGTTATGCCATCATTGAAACCATCAACCCAGCCAGCGGTCACCTGGAGAAGCATGCCGTGCAGACCCCCGAGATTCGCGGCTGGGGAATGATTTTCACCTACTTCTACATGCTGTACTTCGCGGTCTTGCTGATTCACCGTGAGATGCGTGATGAGGAGAAGTGTGAGCGGAAGTATGGCGCTGACTGGACCCGGTATACTTCGCTGGTTCGCAGCCGTATCATTCCCGGCATTTACTAGAGGATTGCCTTATGATGGGGGTTTTCATCTTTGATTAGAAACAAGCAGAGAAGCAAGGGGCTTCAAGCTTAGTGCAGGTCTGATGCCTTGTCTCTGACCTAAAATTCGGTTTCTGTACAGTATTTTTTAATGTGATGTCCTATAGACATGAACAACAAAGCTTGTCTTATTTAGTGTCTTGGCTGAAGCCAATTATTCTTTAATATAATTCTTGTTCTTTATTGAGGGCCCGTGAGCTTCAGCGTTTTCGCTTCTTAGGATCACACAAGACATCTAATCCCCAGTCCTCATCTCCCGTGTTCCTTATCCATCCTTTGAGAACCTCTCTAGCATCTCGTATAGCTTCTTCGCGAGGTTGATGGGGACCTGAAACCTTGTCTCGGGATTGTTTCAGGTCTTGGTACGTAGCTGCTGTTTGAGTATTTCCCAAGGGGCATATTTCTGGAAGGGCTCCAGCGGTTGCATCCACTGGCTGTTCCTTGGCGTTTTGAGAGTCCTGCGCGCGACCTTCTGACTCAATAATAATTGACATGAGAGCCCAAAGCTTCGACCGAGATAGTGCTGAAGCACCGCGTGGCAGAGGCGAGGACGCCTTGTTACCTTGCTTCACACCTCCGATAATGCTTTCGTATAAGCCGGTCTTGGATCGAAAGAGCGCGGGCAATTGCTTGCTACCGGTATCTGATAGCACCGTACACTTGTGCGAATGAGATGGAGCTAAGGTCCATACAGCGCTTACATTGCCTGGTTTGCTCTTCTTTGGTGCGACTCCAGAGTCTGTAGCTTCCGGAGTGATAGATTTTGGCTTTGCAAACTTCCAAAGTGCCTCGATTTCCTCAGCTGGCACAGACATAATCTGGAAAGGACGGAATTGATATCCGATACGACCTAGAGTGTCACCCGGCCAAGACCGTCCACCTAAAGCTTTCATTCGACCGTTTTCGCCGAATGCTCTTTCGCATGCAATATGGCTGACCTCGTCCTCAGGAAGAACAAGTCCTGCCAGGTATGAATTCTGAGTTGGGGCAACCAACCGACTAGTCTGCCATGATAATAAAGAAGAAACTTGCTTTAAGGCAAGTTTATCTGAGCAAGATTTACTGCGCGTTGACTCTGCATCTGTGCGTGCTGGTTTGCGCCGTACAACGCCCAGAAGTGAAAAATGAGCTCGACCGTCGAGGAGATTGTCTTCCACCAAAGCAGGTCCTTCCTGTGCCTCTGGGGTATGATTGTGTTCACGTACCACCTCCCATGGTGTTGCGTCGTCTTGAGCAGCCATGCACAGCTCCATGCTTCCATCGCCACAGGGAGCACAGGTACAATACATGTATAGCTTAACGTCGGGCTGAATCTCAAAAGGTGGCCAGTCTATTGAAGAAGCTGGCGTATCGTTGCAGCCATTTGGGGATTCTCTTCTCCGAATGATTGGTGATGGAGAAGGTTTAGTACTCTCAAGCTTTTCTTCGGTCATTAAGCCATGACATTCCGTCAAGAGCCAGTAGTTGAAGGCACGGATGGCTAAGATCTCTGCATGACAATCGTGAAGAACGAGACCTCGGCACCGTGGAACTTGAGATGCTGATAAACATTTTGCACCGCTCCTGCAAGCAAGTCAGTGGATCATTACTGATGTGATGTGGCGTAAAACTTACGTGACCGTTATGCAATGAAGGCTTTCTGAAGATGTACTTTCACCTATAGATCAGAAAGAATTTGTTAATCATAAATCAACTTTCGAGTTCCGAGCTTTGATACATACCCTTGACAGCTACAATGCCAGTCATCGGGATCCACTCCCTAGAGCCATCAGGAAAGATAGTTGGTTTACTGCGTGTGGGTAGCGCATCAAAATGCGCATGCACCAAAGAAGCTATCCGAGACGGCAATGCCACCGTAGATGACAGCTCAGACATATCTGCACAATTAAAATGAGAAAGTCACCTCGTAGAACATGCGACGAAACTGCCCGATCCAACTTGGGCAAGAAACGTACGATGTGGGCTAAACTGCGATTTCGATATACGGTCACATGACCACATGACTTATCTCAACCTTCTCCAAACTTGACCGGCCCCGAATACTTCATCACATACAAGAAACTTCCACAATTCAAAATGGCCGACAAACTCCGCACTCTCCAGAACCTTGAGGCGCTTCAGGCCCGCTACATCGGTACTGGTCATGCCGATACTACCAAGTACGAGTGGACCTCCAACATCATCCGCGACAGCTGCGCGTCTTACGTCGGTCACAACCCGCTTCTTTCTTACATGTCCGTTGGAATGGGTGAATCGAAGGAGAAGACTCGGGTCATTATGCTGGAGAAGATGGTTAGGGGAGCAGGCAACCCTCCGGAGGTATGCGTTATTGGTTTCCTTCCCCTTGAGAGCACATTACTGACGTTCCTTCCTTGGATTCTAGACGCAGGAGTAACAAGTTTAAGCTTACTTTTTACGATACCAAATGTCCAATACCTGATACCTGATACCTGATACCCGACACGCATTCTTCGCTTCAAGTGAGGACCATTGAGAAACTACATTTCCCTGTCCTTCTACCCTGTACCCGCAAATGCGCTTGGAGACATGGCACGATACCCGACTGAATTCGAAGATACAATGCACTCTTGCCGATATACTATCCGCTGGGAGGATTGCACCTCAAGGAAGAGGAACCGTCGATGCAGAATTGGCCTTTCGCGTTCTCAAACAACGTTACCGCGCAAGTGAATTTTCGAGCCCGAGAATCTCAAGGCCATTCAAGCACAATAATACCTGTGACTGGACGTCCGAGTATGATTCAGAGTTTCATCTGATCTGTCCTGCATGTTGGACCCTTGAAACCCTTGAGGAGCTCCGACTACTGAAAATGCAAAATAGCTATTGGACCTGGAATAACTCAGAACGCCATGCCGCATGTAATCTACTCGTGGAATGGGGAAGAAGTTATAGTTTTGCCAATACACTCAATTCATAATAATCAAACTCCTTCGCTATAAACCAGTAGAGATACATATCAAAAATGAACTATACTCAAGATACCATCAAGTAGATTCATCCAACGAACTCTTCGCCACCAACCTCGTGTTCTCCGCTTGCAAAGCAGCAATGATATCAATCCACTTTTGGCGCTCAGAACGCAAAGTAGTCACCTCCTTCTTCAAGTCCTTTAATTCCTGCCGTAAATCCTCAACCTCAGATCGAGACTTGGACTTTTCCGAACGTTTTTCCGAACGTTCAGCATCCTTCCGTTGCCGAACCTCATTCTTTGCCGCATCTTTCCGCTGACTAGCTTGAATCTTCGAAGCAACTTTCAACTGACTAGCCTCAACTTTTCGCAGTTGCTTCATCAGCTTGCCTTCCTCAGTAATAAGGTGCGCAGATGCTTTGTGATTTTGTACCAGTGGTTCGGGCGTAGGGGTCTGTGTTTGCACAGGCTCCTGTCCCTCATTGCTAGTGCTACGATGATGGCTTCGCGGCGAACTGCTTGGTGCTGCGGATCTATTCTCCGCTGCACGTTTGAGCATCCCGCTGGTATCGCTGTCAATGTCGTTCAAAGCCCTCGCGGGGGTTAAGAGGCCAGTCTGTGTGGATGTATGAGTTTCCAGCTCTGCGCGGACGGTGTCGAGTTTGCGTTCAATTTCGCGTTTGCGGAGGGCTAGCTTGGCGAGTTCTTTTTCGTGGGAGCTTAGTTTGCCATTCTTGCTCATTTCCATCAGTTCGGCTGGTGGAATGTTGCTTTGTACCACTTCTTCTACCATTGGTGTGGCTGATTTAGAGTGGGCCGATACTAACGAGGCTCGTTCGGCTTCCTTTTCTGTGGTCGATAGAGCGTCGTGGGAGGCTTTTGTGTGGGATGACTTGGAGCTGCGAACTTCGAAATCGTCCTTGGTCTCGTCATGGGTGCCGAATGCGCCTGGGACAGAATGGGATGGTTCTTGGTGCGGGAAGTAGTCTAAGACTCCTGGTGCGTATCTTTCGAGACTGGAGTTGACTAAGCCTGTAACGCTGGCGATCAGGCCGTGATGAGATTGAACATCTGAGTCTGTGAGATCCGAGTCCGAGTCCGAGTCTGAGTCCGAGTCAGACTGGCTTTCCTCATCATCGCAGTCGGCTTCATTCTTGGCTTCCCCAGATTTGAGAGCCTCAACACCATCACCATTTGAAGAATTCTTCGTTCGTTTTGCGGGCTTGTCTTCCTGTATAGCCCAATCAACAAATTTGGCAGCATCTGCTCCCACACTTTTGGGGGTGCCTTTGTCCACCATCCACCGAGGGATGCTGCCACCTGGGTCACTTCTCGTGACCATAATCCATTCAACGGGGTTTAGTTCGGGGTCAACTCCTTGCGTTGATGCATCCGTGGTTCCACTGTCCTCACTCTCCTTCTCCGTACTCTTTGTACTGGCAGAGCTGCTGCTACTTCCAGAACCGCTTTTCCGGGGAACTTCACGGATAAGTTCAACAGACTCATACATGCCTCTGGTATACCCCGCTTTATGCGGTATATCAGGGTGATCACAAGGCTTGGAAATCATTAACCAACTCCGACCAGGTTGCTTAGTTCCACCAATCTTTAAGCCAGAATTCGACGTGATGATCAGCGTCACGAAGTCTCGCGGAGCCGTAGGCTTCGGAAACTGCGCCGAGACATGATAGACGGTTATCTTGGCCATCTCTGATCCATCCTCATCCTTCACCTCCACCACCTCGACCTTCCGTTCCGCTCCAATACCACGGATACACTTATCAGGAGTTTGACCCTTCTCAATCTTCTTCATGTTGACCTTCAAAGTCTCATCATATTCCGAAGACATCTTTTCTTGCCAACGTGTAAATGGCATACCCTCATGCACACTCCGTCTGCCGAACCATGAGCCGCCTCCATCGTTGGCGGAGAGCTTCCAGACGTGTACACCGAGTGGATTATCTTTCGGTCCACCCATCTTGATAGGCTTGCCCCATTGCTTTTGTAGAGGTATAATATCTGGGTCTGTTTCCCCGACTCTGGCTGATGAAGGGATAACGCGGGGTGTGGACTGCGACTCGGAATCATTGTGTCCTTCAGGTTCGTATGATGGAGGATCTGGAAGTGATTCCGCTACCAACCTACTGTGGTGGAAGATATCACGGACAAATTCGCGGAGTTCATCGGGGGTTTGGGGAACGTCACCCCATGTCGTCGGTTTGAGACATAGGAGCGCATCGTGTAAGGTGGCCATTGGGACTGAGGCACGGGTCGTTCGAATTGGTAGAGAATAAAGTGAAAGAGACAGTGAGATATGCTGTGCCTCAAATAAGAGCTCGAATGCTCGTAGAGTGTCAATTAATGCAGGGAATAGAACAGAATGCGATAGACAAATGACAAATGTTGCGGGGAAATGAGTAGTTCCGATAAGATGTATGTCATGGGTTGAGGTAATCAAGGCCACAAAAGCGCCAGTTTAATACCTCGGGGGTAATGTTATGCTTTTGCCACTGTTTTTTAGGAGAGTGAGAATGCTTGCTCGGCTGTTACGGCTTCTGGACTTGAAGACCGAAGTTGAAGCCTGCTTGGCGCCCCGGAATTGCTGCTGACGTCATACAATGGTATGGTATCGGCAAAGTGGAGTCGTGCTACGAGCTATACTGGACTTTTGCCCTGGTCATTCGTCCCCTCTTACCCCTGATTCTATAATGACCTGCAGATCTACGTGGTACATTTCTTGTTTTCATTAAACTCGGCCTAGAGTAAGGTTGGGTTCGTGGAGCCTTGTTTCTCACCCCCGGATATCGAAAGAGTGACACAACCTTCTCGCGGATTTAATTTCCATTTGAAATCATGGAGGATAAAACAAAGATGAAAAGAATCTCTTATTGTTGGTCTGATAATCTACTGTACACTCTAATTATCAATGTGTTGGGCCCATTGCCGTATATGTACCTTACTCGAGGAGTGGAACAGGGACAAGGCTTTTGTGGTGTATGCACCTTTCAAAGAATTCACTCTAAAAGATACATACAGATTGGAGTTTAGGCAACAGATTGACAAGAAAGACAGGAGAAGAGAAGGCAGCCAGCGTGGGAGGTCTAGCCTCCCGAACGTGACAAAAAGAATGAAAACCAGCATCCTAGTCTCGGTGTCAGGGTAAAACAATAAAAAAGCTCGATCAACCAGTGACAGAACTCCTGACATCCGAACTCATCTGAGGCCCAGCCTGGAAGATGTCGTAGGGATTGACCCTAATAGAGTGCGAGCCATGATGATATGATAGTGAAGTCAAGTGAAGCCGAAGAACAAACCCGTTAGGCCACTCGTCGCAAATTCGAGATATAGGAATGCTTCAGGTCACAGACCTAGAAGCCTCATATCCAATCCCAGCCTTCGCGCCCGTCGTTCGCCACAGGCGAACAATCAGGGCTGGCGAGGACGTTCACAGGGTATGTTTTCTTTTCGCTTGATCTGCAACACCATAGACCATGACAAGCGAGAAAAGAAGGGGTGAACAGATCCAGCATGTCAAATGCTGGAAACACCCAAACGCGTAGAGTATCCCTTCAACCGTCCCAATCAAGAGCAGGTTGAAATCCGGTATCCGGTACCAGTAAGGATAATCTTCAACGGCAATTGGCAATCGAGTAACAAACGTCAATCCAGTCAACGATGAAACCCTCCTGCTGATCACCATCGAGCCGCGCCAATGATAAAAAGACATAATCGTGGAGACATTCCACATCCAAATTCATATCCCGGTGCCGCGAGGCTTCCTGGTCTTCATGACATATATATGGGACATGAACAAAAGAGAAAATAACACACAAGAGCCGACCCGTCGCTTCTTGATGCAAAAGGAAAGCTGCAAAAAAGTAACAGACGCTGACGCTAGCTGAGTAAGACAAAAAACGCAAACAAAAATTCACAAATACAACAATACCAAAAAGATTATTCTGGATATGATGCAATGGCAACGAGGTGGTATCACAGATGCACACAGGTCTCTCAAACAAGAACGCCGTCAAGAATGCCAATTAGTCAGAAGTTGGGATGCGATCCATATTGGGATCCACACAAGGACTGTCGGAGAAGTCTGAAGTCGCACGAGGGAGGTCTGACCGAGAACGATCCACGTTCAGGGGAATCAGGCGTGGCGACGCGGGAGGCTCGCGGAAGGTGTCACCGGCAGGGAGAAGGGGAGGAAAGAGGGAGTGGACACCATCGGGCCTAAGCGTAATGGGTGTATCCCTTTAGATCGTCGTGCCGTAGGGCAACGGGGCGAAGTCTCCCCAGCCGAAGCCTGCCATGTTGGCTCCCATACTGCAATGTTGCACGAGCGTACTCGGGAGCGGGAGGGGTGCGAGAAGGGCCGAGGTCGTTACCATGTTGTCATACGGAAGGTACGGGGCGGTGGTGAACGGCTGGCAATAGGATGGAGTCGGCGATGGCAGCTGGGCATCACTGAAACTGAGACTGGCCCAAAGATTCGGATTAGAATCGTCCGTGGCCGGGGTTGGGCTGGGCGGCAGTACTTTCCACGACTCGAGTTGCGCGGATGGTGGGCAGGGGTTGTGCCACCAGACTTCGGGGCCTGTCGAACTGGGTAGAAGAGGAACGGCACGCATCACATCCACCACCCGTGGTGGAGGTGGTAGCAGGGGCACGAATAGATTCGCGATGGCCTGCTTAGCGTCTTCGCCTCGTCCACACATTAGGTCCCCGGCGCCATCCTCTTCCAATCCTTCCAGCGCCTCGGCATCGGTCCGGTACACAAACCTGTTAGCGGCTTGCACGAACTCCTCCTGTAACTTCTTCAGCTGACTCTGCTTCCCTGACCAATCCCACGTGTTGGCGGCCGCATCCACCGAGTAGATGTCTTGATGATAATCCACCAGGGATTCAATCGTCTCCGGGGTTAGTTTGAATGCGACCTCATTCCGCGAGACCATGTCGACGTGCACGACATAGGCCTCTATGTGGATCATCTGATAGTTGAAAAGACCTTCCACGAGTGGGTTCTCATCTTTCCGCAGCTCTGCCTCGGGAGCCTTTGTGAACATCATTGAACACAAGGTCCAGATTGCATTCTGCGACGACAAGGTCTCCGTCAGACACCGGGTGTGTTGGGTGACGTTGTTCAGAGGACGCTTGACCCGATTGACTCGTTTCAAAGTGGCCGTCAACCATGGCGCCACCTTGGTATTCAACACGACATTCGGGGAGGACCGCGGCGCAAAAGCGGCCGCGGATGACGGCAATAACATGGTTGGCATTATGACTCTGTGCGAATAGGGATACGACCGGCGTTGTCAAGGAAAATAAATGAATGTAGATAATAATCGAAGGCCAAAATCATAAAGGCGACATTCGCCCACACAAGTAAACACCGAGTTGGAAGTCGGATCTGGTTCACGGTGACGTTTCTCGGAAATATCGTTTAGATCGATCGCATAGTCTGTTGCGGGTATTGAGGACCTATGGCCGAAAAAGTTGGGTTACTATTAAAGTGCGGGCGAATGCGCGTGGAAAAAGAAAAAAAAAGAAGGGAAAATTATGAATATCAAAAGGAACGTGAACAGTGGTTATAGAAAGAGAAAAGGATGGAGGATACCACACATAAAAAGAATCGGGAGGGGCGGGATCCATAACGGAAGAGCCAATGCAGTGGAGATTTGCATTCTTTTCTATATAGAGTGCATTAAGGCTAGGGCTTTCTGTATGCAGCCTGATGGAGTCGGGTACGATACAAGTAATGGGCCACACGGACTCCCCGATCTGCGTGCACTCGGGGGTTTCGGGTGGCAAAGATAGTATGCACAGTTGAAACAACCTGCAGTACTGTCAGAACCAACCGTTAATTCGAGAATACCGAGAATTATCATCGGTACTATCATATAAAATACTTGAAACGGGGAATACTGATCGCACAGTATTTCCCAGTCTCACGGTCTGCGCGTTGCACGTCCATTTGGTCAGAGCCATCTGCAAGATGCCCCAAACTGCAAAAGCTAAGCCCCGATGATCCGCACTGCGAAACAACTACCAAATCTTCCGAGTCCAGAAGCCCCTACGAGAGACCCAAAAAAAGACTAGGATATGGCGTCTTGGCTTGCATCTAGAATTTCGACTCTGCATTCGAATGTTCTATTTACCCTATCCCCATGTAGAGATGTTTACGTTCTCAGCTCGAGCCTTGGAATATCCAAAAATACACTGTGCGATGGGGAAGTTAATGTGGAAAGAGAAGGAGCAAACCATGGAACTGAGCTCTTGAGCGCTTCCTATGCCGCTAATAATTACTCCACAAACCCTAACCAGAATGATCTCTAGGCAGATCGCACATCTCCCACGTTCCCTCCCCGCGACCTTCTAACGTTTCAGGGAGCAATATTCTATGTACGTCTATGAAAGGGGAACTGAGAAAATAAAAAGGAGTGCAATAAAGGAGGTAACAATGCATTTCTCCCTCAAGACTTCTTTCGGATGAGTCGAATGGGGGACAGCCTCAGCTGATGGAGGGTCGAGCAGACGTGGGGCAACTTGGTCTTGGGCCGCTTCTGGTCTCGGATTCGTCGGTCATGACCGAGTCCGGCCGCTCCACTGTGAGCTGAGATCCCTGTTCCGATCTGCGATTGGGCTGAATGATGACCGGTCATTGACTTTTGAGGCGCCCGGCTTTCAAACCAGCGGTAACAATACCGGTTTTGTTGGTTCTTCAGCACTCTGTGTGAGGGCCACATGATTGTGATCTCATCTTACAGCGACTACCCTCTTTCCATGCGCCATGAGGCTTCTCTCGTTCAATCAACGTTCGGCAATCCAACAACCCTGGAGCCTGGCGGCATACGATGTTGGTCATGTGGTCTGGAGTGTCGCAAGGGGGGGTAGCGGTTGGAATCGGTGATCAACGCTTTCAAGATATGCATCCATGAATTGACTACATACAATATGTACTTCGTGTATTGTTGGCTTCGGCTATGGAGCCAGGTATCCAAGAATTTCAAGAAATTTTGCCTGCTTTGTTGGCATTTGTTGGCAGATCTCGGAGAAGGCGAAGGCGTCCTGGAGTTGTGGATGATTTTCTTAAAATAGCAGTTTGTTGACTTTGCACTGCCACATGCGCCACGTCACTCGCCACCGGACGGAACTGTGGCGGTGCCTTATATTGTAGGCATGAACTCATCCATCCCCAAGGTATTGCAGCGCCTAACAGAGTTTGGCACCAACCAAAATCTTAGATTGTGTTCATTTCCAATCGATCAGGCTCAATGCTTGTTCCTCAAACCATACTGACGCATATCGTGGGGTCTAGTTGATAGCCCTGTAGCACGGTCCAGGACTAAAATGTGACCATTTCGGTTATCTTGACGATAACCTGGCAGAATACTTTTCTAGAATACGCAGCAGACTAGTCCGGGTAGTCTAAACATTATGACTCATGGTCTACCCGATGACGGCAGGTTTGAAATCGAGCCGTCTTTTTCTTCACCGACAATATATTCGGAGAGCATTCGGAGCGATGCCCAACCCAATATGAAAGTATCAAAATATTCCACTGTTTGGTTTCGAATCTGCTTTGAGTAGGTCTACCCTGAGTCATGTTTTTGTTCCCCGAAATATCACATTTACGGCACGGGATAACCCCGGGCGAATACCAGGTTTATGTCTGGCACTAAACTCAACAGGATACTTACTGCATAGACGGCCTGAACGCGTGTGATATATCATGTTAATGTAACATTCTCTATGACGAACATATTGCCTTTGTGATATATGGCGGAGTGTCTTACATGGGATATGTGACGAACTGCAAGCATCGCTCTATGCGGATAAGTGTCTTATCTACTAGCGTTTGCAGTGATCTAGAACTTAGAAAGACCATTTCAAGGTTCCCTTAAGATGTATCTCACTCAGAACGGGAGTTTGCCATGGAACACTTCGGGAGCCGGGAAGTCAAATCCCATAGAATGCATGTTATCTGTTATCTTGTATATTTCCCAATTAGTATGGCATGACACCAGGTCGTGACCTTGAAAGCTTGTGATCCTATATTTTAAGATCTTTTAAACTTTGGATGTGATTCTAGTGGTTTCTTTCGGACCAAGTCGGGTTGACATCGTTTCCTTCCTCACCCAAAGATTACGGTTAGAAACGAGAGGTTGTAAATATCTATACCTTGGAAAAATCTGGAGCCTAAAGACGAACTAAATTGTTTAGGACGAAAACTACTCCCCACTAGATAGCGATATATTCTGACTGCTAGATTTATCATCTGGAGTTGAGTCAAAGTTGAAGGTTTGACGAAGCGCTTGGGTTACGACATAAGCCCCTAGAGCGGCTACATTAAAGGTTGTAGCCCACTATTATGTGTGAAACAGCTGAAGATATTCCAGTGGGGCCTAGAATACAGTTCGAATATTGGTTTTGGATCTCTCAGATTTCGCTCATCGTTCTTGCCCAAGCCCCCACCCCAACGGCTGTAGTACATCGTCCTTATTCTTACGCCTCATCTTGAAACGAAATAAGGGTTACATTCAAAAATATGAAACAGTTCACTGTGGCAAAGCGATATTTCGTCGCCTCACTCAGGAAGCCTCACTGCAAAAATTCACCATTCGTCTCCCTCAGAATTAGTTGATACTCAGGCTCAAATTGCATGTACATAGCCTCAGGGCTACCTGTTCCTTTCTTAGTGTATAATGCAGTTTCATCATCAACAATTGTCTTTTTCAAGTTTGCCAAAACATTGCCCACAGAGCCAGGCGCAATAGAAGACTCGATCAGAAGCTGAGTCTGACATGCTCGTTCAAGTGCAATGAAAAACGCGGCTGCCTCAGCAACTGTCCCACCAGCAGTAAGCAGACCATGATTTTGCATAATCAGATTTTTGTTTGTCGGCCCAAGATATTCTGCAATCCGTTGGCCTTCTGCTTGGGCAAAAACAACCCCACCGAAGGCCGGATAGACAGAGAGATCGCCATAAAACATGCATGAATCTATGCCGACTCCGTTAGAAAAGCTTGATCACACTAGAATCGGTTTATCTTACCTTGATTCAACATATCAATGCCTTTACCAAAAGTGCTCCACGCTCTTCCATATGGACTATGCATATGACAAGCCGCATTTATATCAGGCCGTTTCTGGTGAATTGCAGAATGAATCATGAAGCCCGCGGCGTTCACAGGCTTATCAGCTCCCCCTACTCGGTTCCCTTTCTCATCTACCCGAACCATATCCGAGACTCTAAGAAGAGCAAAATGAACGCCATACGGATTAAGCCAAAATGTTCTGGGCTCGACGGGGTCTATGTATGTTAGCATATGTTGATGGTAGGGAGCTAGGAGTTCAGGCAAACCTCGAAGACTGATATGCCCACTGCTACCATCTGCAAACCCCAATTTGGCAAATATACGGAATGCGGCAGCCATTTGTTGCAAAAGCCATTTTTGCTCTGCTTCTTTGGTACTGGGTCGAGGGATGTGATGTAATGGTTTGACTTTGCCGTCTTCTGCTTTTTCTGTGTTCAGGGCTGAAGATGGCCGACCGGTCTCGACTGCAGCAACATCTGATGACATTTTGATAAATTATGAATGGAAAGGCCTGAATAAATCATCCAGAGTGAATTTGAGAATATTTTGGTGTCAGTGTTGGAGAGAGGGGAAGGGTAGCCCCGCATATTTTTCATGACGTGCCGAAGCTTTGCGTAGCTCAGAAGAAGCCATATGGAAGTATCCAAGAAAATTTGAGCTGAGAATCCAATTCAAATACTTAGTATGAATCAACGTGTAGGCTTTTAATCCCATAAATAACTACGCACGCGAGTACCTACCCGGATTGATAAATTAAGGCCCAGGAGCTCCGTGGATGTAAGAGGAGACAGTCTGATACAGGAAAATCCTCAACATTCGTCCCGATGCAGCAATATATGCTGTGCACACAGAACAGATTTCCAATAGACACGAAACTGTGAGTTTCGATCTAATGGGGTTCAGCCAATCAAAGCAGCTAGCTGGATATCACCGAACGAGGGGCAAGGCTGCAACCTTGAAATGAGAAGTGCATTTTACTCCGCATTCTGTCGACACGACCACTATTTTAGCCCCATAATTCAAAGATGCCATCATTCCTTGACCTTCCGCCAGAGATTCGACTGATGATATACGCTTATTCGCTTAATCCAAATGAATATGTGAAAAGCTATCGGAAGATTGTCAAAACCGTGGCACTTGCTGCGATAGGTCCTCCCCTTAGTCAAAACCCTCGTTTATACGTGGAGCGATACACACCTTCTATTCTGTTGTTGAACAAAAAAATCATGACCGAGGCTCTTCCTGTCCTATACCGAAAACCGCTGGACCTCTATGGAACTCCATCAACATACTTTACGATGCGCCAAATGGATATTTCCGAATTCATTAGTGAGCATCTTCTTCAGCGAATCCAATATAGTGCTCTACGTCTATATTTTCCCAATAAGACTTTTGTCCTAGCCTTGCTGGATATCTGGGGCGCTGATAACCGACTGGTAAGGCTGGATGTTTATCTTCCAGAGCAAGCGGCACGCAACAATCGACACTGGGAGATTGTTGAAAGCAGGGTACGTCTTCTGTCAAACCTTGATCTATCTACATTCTAACGATTTTGGCAGCTTCGAACATTTTCCACAATGGTCCCTGTTGAGTGGCATGAGACTGTCAATTCATTGAAAGAGAATTGAATACAAACACAGTTATCTTGGAGACACAGACCTGGGTCAGAGCCGATTGAACTACATGGATATTTGAACGAAGGACCCTGTCTTATGTAGGTTGTTAATTGATTCCCATTTGGAAATTTTGATTCTGACTCGAATAAGGATACATATCCTGAGCCATAGTCTCATGGAGATTTTACACGGTACAGAACCGAGCTAGCAACCGCGACGGAGTAAGTCCTGGATCTAGTTTCAGGAACAGGAAGTTAGTGACGAGACCACCACTGAAATGGGTCTTCAAGACAAAGTTGAGCTGGATCTAAGCGAACTTGAGGAAGTGATCGCCATTATTATGATGATCGGCCCTCAGACCTTGGAACCCTTACGAGAGAGGCATGTTGTCAGAAAATGATTCCCCAGGTTCTGGGGTAAGCGACTTGGCGACTGACTGCGCCTCATTGCGGAGCCTAGTACGACCCGCTCAAAGAACTTATTAAGGATAGGAAAAGCTGGATCTCTTGGTCTTCTATGAGGTTGATTAAAAACACAAGGAGGTCACCCAGGGCACTTGTCAATGCAGATTGTGTCTGATAAATGCTGCTAGTTAGTACGCAATTGATTTCTGTATAATACAGAGAATGACATTGATTGAAAGACCGTTAACAATGTCAGACATGGTCCGGGGCTTCGGCTCCAAATGAACCCCGACACTTCATTACGCGAACCCCACGATGCCGATCATCATTGCGCTAGCAACACATATGACCCACTGTGCACGAGAACGAGGAATCATGTTCCGTGCGTATTTCAACCTGTCATTGAAGGGCCCGGGGGTTTCATGCAGGGTCCACTCCGCAAAGTAGGTTCGGGTAAGACAAGATACTACTGGTATGCAGCCACCCGAGTATGTATCTGGGTAGGTAACAGCAATTTGATATTCAACGGAGCCATTGAAGTTGGACCATAGGCACCAGTCAAATGAACCAGTAGCACTGATCTTGGTAGACACATCTCCTCTTATAATGACTAGTCCTCTCACCACGATGCTGTATCCCTGAAAGTAAGATGGCAAATTACGCATGAAAGATGCTCTTTAGCACTGACCCAAAAACCAAGATCTACTAAAACAAGATCAGCATTTCAATTGACCCGACCATCCTGCCGCTTTTTGCTAAACGAACGACGGAATGTAAGCGACTGGAGCTATGGTTACATGCAGATCCTCGAGACCGCGGGCAGCCCCGGGTTTCGATCCCGTCCCAAGACCCTTGAGACCCATCGCGAACTATAGATCCATAAACTCCAAGCTAAAAAAAGGGAATTAACCCGTCATGAAGGGTCAAAACACTCTATATACTGACATCAGCGAGGGTTCCGACACATAGAGCCCGATCAACTCACATGTGGAGTCCTAACGTCCTCGGCTCAGGACATTGAGTGGATCTGGGGAGTAAACACAGGGACATAAAAGGGGTGGAACATCTCCATGCAATATGGGATTACTTCAGCTAGACGCCAATTGCCAGCCACCAAGTCCGCGTTCTAGGAGCGAAGAAGCAGCGGTCCATAATGCGTTTCTCAGCAGCATTCATTTCAACCCTTGTGTTGTCTAGCACATCTCTAGCTGGACCCGGCAATCAGACATCTCAATCAACTCAGGCAGATGCTGAGACACAGTCCATTGCTCAGCAGAACGCGAACGCCGATCCTGTGTCAGAAACTCTTTCTGTCGCCGCCCCCCAGAATCATCCTACCAACGCTGCTCCTACTCTATCGGAACCTACAGAAGTAACCCACCATGCCGCTGCGACAGCTAATCCTCCAAATGATCAGGGAGAGGGTAACAAGACCTCCGACAGTCCAAGCATTGCACCATCGCAACAGACGTCTCAACCAAGTGCCCAAGAGTCTGCTGGCACTAACACCGTTGGAGCCAACAATGATCCGATGAGCGTTAGCAACTCTGTCCCCTCTGCTCCTAGTGCTGGCATGCAGACCGGCCAGAACACAAAGACACCTGGTTCGAACCCTTCTGGCACGCCAGCCACAGAGACGGCAATTGTGACCCGAACCGGTACTGCTGCAAGCAGTACCAGCACATATAACGGTGATGATGACGATGACACTCTGCTCAGTTCCTGGAGCGACTTCGGCAATTTCCTGGATGGATTGAAAGGTCTTCTTTCCCCCACATTGCTAGAAAATATTGAGTCATTCTTCCACCATGTCGCTTGGCTGCTGGATGATCAGACGACAACAAACACCAAGAACCTGATCAACACTGCCAACGGACTCCTCACCAAGAGCCTGATCAACAAGCTGGAGGCTCTATTGGACAATGCTAGCGCTCTCCTGACCCCCGACGTGGTTAAAAATCTCAAGGAACTGCTTCCTGAGCTCTCACCCCAGCTTCTGAAGGAAGCGAGCAGCTTGCTTGATAATGCCAACAAGCTCCTTACTCCTGAAACCACATCCGAACTCCAAAAGCTGATCTCAATCGCGGGGCTATTTATCAAGCCAGAGCTGTTCCAGGAGGTTAACAGCCTGCTGGCCAATGGCAACAAGCTACTCACACCCCAGTTCGTCGATGAGACCAAGTCACTGATTGGCACCGTGGCACCGGTGATCACGCCCGAGCTGTTGAAGGAGGTGAACTCTCTGCTTTCCAACGGCAATAAATTGCTCTCGCCCCAATTCATTGATGAGACCAAGTCATTGATTGGAACCGTGGCACCTGTTATCACACCTGAGCTTCTGAAGGAGGTCAACAGCCTGCTCTCCAACGGAAACAAGCTTCTTACCCCCGATTTTATCATCGAGACTCGTAACTTGATCGGTACTGTGGCACCGGTGATCACACCTGAACTCCTGAAGGAGGTAAACTCTTTGCTTTCCAACGGCAACAACTTACTGTCGCCTGAATTCGTTAAAGAGACAAAGGGATTGATTGGTACTGTGGCACCGGTGATCACACCCGAGCTCCTGAAAGAAGTGAACTCTTTGCTGTCTAATGGTAACAAGTTGCTATCGCCTGACTTTGTCAATGAGACCAAGGGACTGATTAACACCGTGGCGCCATACATTACCCCCAACCTTCTCAAGAAAGTCAACGCGTTGCTCTCGAATGCCAACAGCCTCCTGTCTGAGAAGACTACTAAGGAGTTGACCGGTCTTTTGGATATGCTTGGACCAGTCTTGACGCCGCAGCTCTTGCAGAATGTTTCCTGGTTGCTCGGTAATGGTACCGCACTTCTTTACCCCGGTTTCGTCAACAAGACGGCTGGATTAATTGATGGTATTGCACCTGCCATTACACCCGAGCTTCTGGGCCAAGTTGGTGGGTTGTTGGGCAATGCGGACGATCTTCTCACCAAGAAGTTTGTTAACGAGACACAACTTTTAATCGAGGATGCTGCTGATGTAAGTCGACTTCCTGGGGTGGTTTGGATACTTGCTAACTCTTCTTCTTGTTTAGATTCTTCCTCTGGTCACAGAATTGTTGAACTCGTTGTAAGATATAGCAGTGGACTCTGAGAGAATATAATTCACGGTATTCATGACTGATGCCTGAGTACGTCTAATACGACTTAATTGATTGAAATTTTGTATTGCCACATGTACATTCATCTACTTTAGTCTAGTGGAATAATTGTAAATATCCCGACGTAGTCAAATAGATGCACTATATGATGGAGAAGGAAATTGAGAGGAGAAAATCGGATGAGTATTGAACTCGAAGCCAGAGCGTACATCTAGCAAGAAATTCTGTACATGTAGCAATCGATTCTCGTTATTATTTGGCATTCCTCCACCGTCTGCCTTGCGATCCCTTTTTTGGGATGAATCGTGGATTCGAAAAACATGCCGTTAATATCACGGGGTAGACAAATATGGAGAGAGCGGCGAACTACTGATGCACCATGTAGTATCATTAATGCGCATGATAATGGCATGCGAATGATTGGAGAGTCGTTGCTGGAATGCATACTCCAGATGCCGCACAACCCATGAGACAAATTGTTGGCCATTGTTGACTTGTCCTTTTCAAGGAAGATGCCAGGGCCTTTTGCGAAGCGAAGGGGTATTCCAGACTGAAGCAAAATGGTCTTTGGGGTTGGGTGTGTGGGATCTCAGGGCCGGGATATGAGTCGAATGTCGATCTCAATAAGCGCAAGCGCATATGGCCTGTTAATAACAGACCCGAGGCTTTCATAGTGAGATTCCGTGGGCTGTTGACCGGAATTGGTTTTAGCTCCTGGCTCACTACCCATATGGAGTGTTCCGATTGTTGAGAAATGTATATGATAAAGTATCGTCTCGGGTGCCTCAAGCTGGGATGTCGGAAGCCTTCACATGGTGGTATTTGGAAACAACTTTCAGCTCGGTATCTCGTTCCTTAATTTTCTTGTCCATTGCTCGTTGAACCTGTTCCCTCTTCTTCTCGGCTTCCTCGATTTTCCTTTTCACTTCCTTTGCGGCCTGTTCTTGCGCCCTTAAAGCTGTCTCGCGCGTTGGGAAATCTTGGCGCAACTGGTCAAGCTCGGCCTGCACATCTTGCTCAACAATTGGCTGGCATGTGATTGGGTGATAGCGATACACTGGAAGTGGTTCTCCTGGTACTTGAATTTCAGGAAGATCGGGGTGAATTGGAGTGGTGCGTAGGGACGAATCAAGCGGAACAGCGGAGGCAGACTCGGACGGGGGAGAAAGAAGAGAAGCTTCTGTTTCAAGCATATTTGCAAGCTGATAAATTCAGATATGGAGCGTGGCTAGAGGAAATTCAGTGCAGCTTCTTGCTTTGGGGTAGGAAGGGTGGGAAGTAGAAGCAGAGCGCCGAGCTTCCGCGGCTCTGGAGATTCTGCTATAAATGCGCCTCACCGCCTTTATTCACGACGTATGCGGGGGATCAGATCTCCATGTACTTTCAGATGCGCAAAATCATTGGTTCCATTGAATTTTCCGCTTAATACTAAGTCAATCATCTAAGGCAGGTCCTCAGTGGACGCTGCTCTGCCTTTGTCGCTCAAGGTCAAGCAACGAAATCCCAACTGGAACACCGTCTTACCAATAGGGTGCATTGGGCTTGCTTGCATACATTGAGCCACCATGCAGGCCTTCGGTGCGTTTTCCCCTTGGATTCCCGGTTTTTTCCTTCGTCTACTGTACCATGTAGTGACCTTCTAACCATGTTGTGGAATTTAGTCCCGAAGACCAGAAGGGTAAGTCTGAGAAGCTTCAGATGGAATGCAAGTGCAGACTAACATATACCCTTAGCCCCGGTTTGAGCTTGTTTTAAGGGTATATTTCATTCACCCCGTTCTTGGCGCATCTTCATACTAAATCAGTACTAGATCATTGACATCAACAATGTTCCATTAGGAAATGGCACCGCGTGGGTAAAATGGCGTCTTCCATCCTCATCTGGTGCATCAGAAAGCCAGGGCCACACTGAGAAGGCACCTCTTGCGGATCACCGTGCATCTTGGAACTACGAGAAGACCTCTCTTGTGAGGATCACTATCGACAGGAATTCCATGCTGCAGGAGTGCGATATTAACTTCGAAGTCATTCAAGAGTTTCACTCATCGCCTACCAATGACAAGAATGTACTCGGCAAAATCAAACTCAACCTTTCGGAATACGTGGACAAGGTTGACGATGATGAAGGTGTGGTTAGAAGATACCTAATGTTTGACAGTAAAGTCAACAGCACTGTCAAGATTGGTATTGCTATGCACCAGGTCGAGGGAGATCGTAATTTCACAACGTATGTCTTCCCACATGGGCTATCCCTATTCAACAACTAATCATAATCAGGCCACCTTTGAAATCGGCCACAGTATTTGGAGGCATTGCAAGGATAGTGCATGCCGCAGAGCCCGGAGATGCAGACGAATCAGGCCACCTACCATCGATCAGCACCAAAACCAACGAAGCGGCAGATATGCAGGACATGTACCGACGAACCCTGGCAGCGTCTTGGATGTCTCGACCTTGCGACTTGCCAGCTGACAAGCTAATCGAGGAGCTGTTTGCCGGAAGCTCCTGCTGGAACAACGATGCCCATAATACAGCCGAGCCAGGAGATAGCCACTCGAGCACCTTTCTCAACGTAGAAGCAGCCGAGCGCCAAACTCGCTCAGGAAAAAGACTCTCCCCTAGCTTCGAACGGCGGCCCAAGAGCTCTATCAGCATTCACTCACACAGTAGTGGGAAGACCCCAGACTCTCTTTCTACCCTTGGGACTTCCCAAAAAGGCAGGGATTTGGAGCACAATCTCTATGATGGGAAAGGCAGAAGCTGGAAAAGCCGGAATGCCGAGCACGAATGCTCCGAGTTTGATGTTCGAGAGGATCTACGAAGTTGGGAATTCTCATCTAAAGAATAGATCTATGGAAGCTTGAATGATTCGAATTAATCAGGATAGACCCCAAACGTCATATCTAAGCTTGGGTATATTTTTGTACTTATACCACCCTCGTGAGCAATAAGATCCTTCAAAATAAAAAAGAATAAATACTGACATGTTGTTGATTGAGCATAGCTTCTCAGGTATTTTAAATAATCCACCAGCTGGCTTATGGAGTATAATGCAAGAAACCACATGAACAGAAATGTATCGGCTAGCGGAGCCATAATGTAGCAAACGCCCCCGGAATCCAGCCACGGAGAATTCAGCCCCACCGGGTATCGGGGACCCGAAGCCTGACCTTAACGTATAACTCTTCCTTCCCAACCACCGGCTGTCCCTGCCCGACTTATTTTTGGTCCTTAGTAACGGCTCTTTCAATCCGAAAAAGATTTATTCGTGGCCTTAGCATCTTCGTCCCCACCACCAGCGCCTCGTACTCATTTCTTGAGCTGTTGACCCCCTCCATTATGAAGATCATGCGCGTATAGTGATTCAAGTTTCCCGGCATGGACAAAACACAGGTTGCTAAGGTCAGCTCCAGATTGATAAAGTCTTTGCTTTCTCAAAACCTAACTAACTGCTGTTTATCTCGCAGGTTGATAATGTAACCTTGGCTCGCCGCGGCGAACAAGTTGACGGAACCCTCCACCTAACCCCTCACCACCTTATCTTCTCCCATTTCCCTCCCCTCTCCAGCGAGGACCAGGCCAAGGGTTTGACTATCAGACCGAAAGAGCTCTGGATCACCTACCCTATAATTGCTTTCGGCACCTTGCGACTGGCTCCCGCGGCCTCCCGCCAACTATCCTCTATCCGTCTTCGCTGCCGTGATTTCACGTTTGTCTGTTTTTATTTCGCCAACGAGCATAAAGCGCGTGAGGTGTTTGAAAGTATCAAACAATGGACTTGCAAGTCTGGTCGGCTGGACAAGCTCTATGCTTTTACCTACCAGCCACTGCTCGCCGAGAAGGAGTTTAATGGTTGGGAAATATACAACCCTCGTAAGGAGTGGATGCGCCAGGGTGTCTTAAAAGAAAGCTCTGGCTGGCGTATCTCAGACATCAATACTGATTACAGTGTATGTGCTTCGCTTGCGGTGATCTGCTATTCTTGCTAACGCGTTCTAAGTTCTCTCCAACATACCCTGCTCTGATTGCCGTACCCTCTTCTATCTCCGACAATACGATCAATTACGCAGGCCGATACCGTTCCAGGGCGAGAATCCCTGCACTTACATACTTTCATCCCGTAAACAATTGCACCATTACTCGAAGCTCGCAGCCCCTTGTTGGTGTGCGCCAGAACCGCAGTATTCAGGATGAGAAATTACTTGCCACTATCTTCTCAACTTCGCGATCGGAACGACCATTGGCCAGCTTTTCTCACCCTACTCTAGAGAACGAGCAATCAGACTCCAGCCATGGCAGTTCGGAGTGGAACGAGGCAGGCCCTGACATGTCAAATGCCGAGGATGTCAAGGACGATATGCTTGCCGCTGCTCGTGGAAACTCTGAAGATGAGCGCATGATATATGGTGCCCAACAGCAAAATCTCATCGTTGATGCACGTCCCACTGTGAATGCCTATGCAATGCAAGCTGTTGGTATGGGGTCCGAAAATATGGACAACTACAAGTTTGCCACTAAGGTATACCTGGGCATTGACAATATCCATGTCATGCGCGATTCTTTGAACAAGGTCGTTGATGCCTTGAAAGAGACTGATGTCACTCCCCTTGGTCCCAACCGGGACCAACTGGCGCGAAGCGGGTGGCTGAAGCATATTGCAGGCATTTTAGAAGGGGCTAAGGTGATTACCGGTCAAGTTGGACTACAACATTCTCATGTGTTGATTCACTGCTCCGATGGATGGGACAGAACAAGCCAACTTAGTGCCCTTAGCCAGGTATGTCTCGATCCATACTTCCGTACATTGGAAGGCTTTATGGTTTTGGTAGAGAAAGATTGGCTTTCCTTTGGTCATATGTTCCGGCACCGGTCCGGTCACCTGAACAGTGAAAAATGGTTCCAAATTGAAAATGAGAGAATCGGCGGTGACAACAATCGTGGATTTGAAAGCAGCGGCGCAGGGCAGGCCCTTGAGAATGCGTTCCGTAGCGCCAAGGGCTTCTTTGGCCGAGATAACAACAGTCGTGACTCGTTGCAAGAGTCCGATGGAGAGATGCTGAGTTATGACTCCGACACACCAACAAAGAAACCCAGTCCCAGTTCAGCTCCTCGCTCAATTGTGGCCGAGAAAGAAGTTACCAAAGTGAAAGAAACTAGCCCTGTTTTCCACCAATTCTTGGATGCGACATATCAGCTACTGCACCAATATCCAACTCGCTTCGAATTTAACGAGCGCTTCCTCCGCCGTCTGCTATACCATCTCTACTCTTGTCAGTTTGGAACATTTTTGTTCAACAACGAGAAAGAACGAGTGGAAACGAAAGCAAAAGAGCGCACTCGCAGTGTGTGGGATTGGTTCTTGGCCCGACGGGAGCAATTCATGAACCCACTATACGATCCAGAAGTTGATGACCACAAGCGTGGACAAGAACGACTGCTCTTCCCTCGCCCAAAAGATACACGCTGGTGGGCCGAGTCATTTGGTCGAGCAGATGAAGAAATGAATGGACCCAGACCTTCTGATGCATCGCCGGCAACTGGCTATGATAGCCCCGGTGCGGTTAGGACGCCCATCGTAACTGGCATTGAGACCGCACAGGACACCGTGACAACCGAAGCTTCTAGCACCAATGTTTCCAACGTTGCAGCGTCAGGACTGGCTGCAGTCACGTCAGGAATATCTAATCTTTCGATCCTTAAAAACCATCAATCCGAACCCAAAGGAGAAGAAAGCCTGAAAGAGGTGGAGGTGGAGATGCAATAAGAGAGGCAGTGGGTGGACATCTAGGATCTGATGTATCTTCCGATCACAGATCGCCTATGAATCATTTGAGAATAAGAAGCAAGACATATGGACATCTCTTCAAAATTCACATTCTCAAGGGCCTGGGCCCAGATGGAGGTTAATTTCTTCCGATTCTATGGGAACTGAAGAATTGAGCACATGAAACATTTCCATACTTCCAACCCGATAACGTCATGAATGCCTTGATGCCTAAATTTGTAAATCACTGGACACCCGATGGCTCAGGTGTCAACACTAGACCTGATCTGTGCTTTAATGTAAGCGAGGGTTGAGCCCTAGCCTAAACGGGCAATGGAAGCCCTACGCCCAAAAATCCCCACTAAATCAAACTCGCAACCGAGCGACCAACCTCTCGACCTCGACCACGCCCTCCCCCTCGTCGACACCCCCAATTCCACCAACCAGGAACGCAAAAATGGCCGCTGTCCAGGGAGCTATTTCCAAGCGCCGGAAGTTCGTCGCTGACGGTGTCTTCTACGCCGAGCTGAACGAGTTCTTCCAGCGCGAGTTGGCTGAGGAGGGATACTCCGGTGTCGAAGTCCGTGTTACTCCCACCGTCACCGACATCAGTACGTTCGCCCTTCGATTTTCCTTTTGTTGATGGATATTGGGTGGAATTTGAGATCTGCAAGAGCAAGGAATATCTGGAATTGCCGACATTGAAAAATTTAAAGATCACCATTTGGGGGACATATTCAGTGAAAATTGGGTTTCAATGCTAACGGATGGTGCTTCCTACAGTTGTCCGTGCCACCCACACCCAGGAGGTTCTCGGTGAGCAGGGTCGCCGCATCCGCGAGCTCACCTCCCTCATCCAGAAGCGTTTCAAGTTCCCCGAGAACTCCGTTTCCCTCTATGCCGCCAAGGTCCAGAACCGTGGTCTCTCCGCTGTCGCTCAGTGCGAGTCCCTCCGCTACAAGCTCCTGAACGGTCTTGCCGTCCGTCGTGCCTGTTACGGTGTCCTCCGCTTCATCATGGAGAGCGGTGCCAAGGGTTGTGAGGTTGTTGTTTCCGGAAAGCTCCGTGCTGCCCGTGCCAAGTCCATGAAGTTCACTGTACGTTTACACCGATCATGAGAAGATATATGGGTGGTAAAAGCTGCGTGTTGGGATTTGGCCTTTCGACCGATCAGATCGCGTCCAGGCCCAATGCGTGGTGGTTTTCCCATATGCGCTCCTCAGATCTCACAGTTGTCTGGGAATATTTTTCTAACATACACCAACAGGATGGTTTCATGATCCACTCCGGTCAGCCCGCCAAGGAGTTCATCGACTCCGCCACCCGCCACGTCCTCCTCCGCCAGGGTGTCCTTGGTATCAAGGTCAAGATCATGCGCGGCTCCGACCCCGAGGGCAAGTCCGGCCCCCAGAAGACCCTCCCCGACTCGGTCACTATCATCGAGCCCAAGGAGGAGCAGCCCGTCCTCCAGCCCATGAGCCAGGACTACGGTGCCAAGGCTGTTGCCGCCCAGCAGCTCGCTGAGCAGCAGCGTCTGGCCGAGCAGCAGGCTGCCGAGGCAGAGGGTGGTGCTGAGGCTTACGCCCAGGAGTAAATGTTTTTTTCTCATTAATCCTGGCTATTCCTTTTCTTTCTTCCTCTCCTAAACTAACCTCATACTCTCTACCTCACGCAATCAAAATTACATGAAGATTCAAGATTTTTTGCACTGAGCATATTCCATTGGCGTAATAGTCGTTTGCTGCTACATAGTATATAAATCCACGTATCTGCTACGAGAAATTGTTTCGCGGCATAGGGCAAATCAGCTTCCTGCGGATTCATGATCATCAACAATCATTATGCCGAGGTTCTCACGCATTTTCATGCATAGAAATTCTATCACAATATCGGGCAAGGGAGCAATTGAGATGATCCAGTTCTTGGTACACTATCCACTTTTCTGTTCAACAATTAGAAGTTACTATCAGTATAGTACTGTTGTTAAGATTTTTCATAGAATCCAATACTCTGTCATGATCCACATCTAGGTATCCACACAGCACACTAAAAATTTTCAGATATTTTCGTTCGTCGTCTTAATAGCTGACCACAAATGCATGAATCTGAGATTATGAAACAAAGTGTTGTTGTCTAGTAGCTAATCTTGGAAAATCTTATAGCACTTCTCTGTGACTTTATCTTTACATCAGATCAAAGCTTGAATTCCACGTGGGGTACTTGTCAAAAGAAGTGGGTCCATACATTACGTAGATTCAAGGTTGCATGCGCATGATTAAAGATTTCAAATGCTATTGGCGTTGGAATATTTCAAGGCTTCTCGAGTAGCATCTATGGATTGTATTTCTAAGACGGAATATAACGTGCAAAATAGGCTGAACTTCCAACATCTACGAAATTGCCCTCCACTGCTCAAAGCAAGGACTGAGTTAACATTGAAGCATATTGATTTTATTTTGGCATCTCTGTAGCTCTAATCGAAACAGGGCGTATCAAAAATAAGAGCACTCCTCATCATGTCATCAGCTGCGTCAGTCTTCACAGGATATAGCTATATTTAACCTAAAGGAAAGGCTCGATGTTGATCTCCAGGGTGCTGACGGGGTACTTAAGCTCGTACTTCTCCAGCACGGTAGGATGAAGGATACCAAAGGTACCAATGACGTGTTCCTTGTCACCAATACGGGCGTGGATGGTTGCGGCATGGCCGGCGAAGTAGGTGGGGTCTGTACAAGAGTACGTTAGCATTTTATTAATGGGTGCTTGGTGCATTAACAACTTACCATCCAGCTCCTTGATCCAGTACTGCGCAGCACCAGAAGCAGCGTTATCGAGACCCTCCTCGCCGATGATGAAGGCGCTGCGCATCATGGCCATCACACGATCCAAGAGACCGTGCACAATCTCGAATCCACTGGTCTTTCCGTACCAAGCAGCGGCAAAGTGGCGCTCGTTGCGACTCTTGCGCTCCAGAGTCAGGTCCTTGAAGGCGACATCGCTGACCTCGAAGACCTTCATGGGCACACTGTGGCCCTTGTTCTCTCGGATGGTCTTGAGGAGACCAGGAAGCAGACTGGTGCGGACAATCTGGAACTCCAGAGTCTTGGGGTTGGCCAGCTTGACGGCGGTGGTGCCATCGTCTTTGCGGTTCAACCAGGCAAAGTTCTCATCGTGCGAGCACAGGATCAGAGGGAGAACCTCAGACCAACCGGCCATGGCGGCCTCCATACGGATGATATCGGTCAGCTTGTTGACGGGGAGTGGCTGGGCCACGGTGCCAGATTTGCTGGGGAACGAGCGGGGGAGGTTGTTGAAGCCGTAAGCGATGGCGACATCTTCCATAATGTCGCACTGGTGAAGGACATCGGCACGGGTCGGGGGAATCTCGACCTCGACGATGTCTGGCTTGGTGGCAGAAGGCTTGGCCCGGAAGGCCATCTTGGACAGTCGGGTGCTGATGTCCTCCGCAGTGAGGTTCAGGCCACAGCATTGGTTGATGTAAGAGACCTCGGCCTCGGCGGTGCGGGGAGAAAGGTCGGGGGTGATGCGAGTCTCGTTGTTGTGCTCGGAGACAATCTTGATGGGCTCGATACTGTACATCACATCAGTGTATATCCATGGGTCCCTATGGGATTCCACTTACGTGAATGGCTCCGAAGTGTATTGAGAGAACATGGTGACCATCATACGGTTCACGATCTCGAGCTTTGTTCGGTCAAGCGCAGTGATCTCAATGAAAACATTGGTGGTGTTCACGGAAATTTTGGAGTGGTCGCCGTTAATAATGGGGGGCAAGGAGCAGACAGTCCGCTTCGAATCGTAGATGACGGGGTACACAGGGGAATCGCGGATAATGTGCAGGAATTTACCCAACTGTTGGTGTTTCTGTTGCGCAGCATGAATGAGCATCTGGGGAATACCAAAAGTTTGAAAACCTGTCATACCTCGTAGAAATTCATCATTTCCTCGCCATTCATCTCCTGGGTCTGGTTCAACGGGGTGAACTTGATGTCCTTGGGAGGGAGAGCCTCGTAAGTGAAAGGCCCTTGAACGGTATCCAAATCATGGGTACCGATTGAAACGAGGGTTCGTTGACGGGCCAAGTTCTGGTGAAGCTTGTCCTGGAGAGCGATGAAGGACTCGTAGCGAGCCGTGTCGAACTTGACATTTCGTAGGATAGCACCGGAGACGTAGGGGCGAATTTGAGTGGTCTATTACGGCAAATTAGTAGGTAAATCACTAGAGAGCATCACCAAGAGTACCTACCTCTTCCTTGACGATAATCTCCTGGAGCTGGCCGTTCGGGGGCGGAACCAACTTATACTCGGGCAAGGGTTTCCGGCCCAAGAAGATATTGAGCATCAATTGGATGCCCTCGAAGCACAGCAAATCATATCTTTAATATGTCTTAGTCTTCTCTTCATTGTGTTCTTGTAGGACCGAACATACCGGTTGGCGGGGATTTCAATCTTAAGCTGCGGGGGCTCCTGCACGCCGTTGACGATGGGTCGGTCGGAATTGGTGGTCTGTAGTTTCTCAGTCGCATATTCCCCATTCAAGTGATATCGGAGAGGATCATACGTCTTCGTCAAGTTCGATACCTAAAAGAACTGGTCAGCGCAATGCCCCGCAAGAGTTTATCGATGGGACTGACTCACCAAACTCGAAGCACAACTCATCGAATTCCTCTGTGGTATATCTATAGAGTTGCACAGAATCAGTTTAAACAATTCAAAGAAAACAAGTTTTTTGAAAGAATGACATACTCCCGGCCCAACTCCTTGAAGAGAGCGGCCTTGTCGACCGAGATAGTGGGCATGGCGGGGGAAGTTCGCTATGCGATGCGACACAAAATCTGGCAGCGAGAAAACTTTTATGTTAGCGGAGAAAGGTATATGGAATATTCAGAGGAAACAGTATTACCCGTTCACCTGTAAATTCGGGAGTAACGTACCAATTCCGAGTCACCAAAGGGAACACTTAGCGAGGAGAGAGATATGATAATGACTCCGAAACAGAAATTCTACGCGCAAGCCACCACCGCCACATTATGTCCCCCCTCTTTTGTGACATGCTGTATGGTATTGTCACATTTCCATGAAATCTGACCTCATAGTGTGGGTTCACGGCACAAACTGGCCCGTGCCATATGGTATGTAATTTACACCCAGCCGCAGTGTTTGATCGCTGAAAGCTCAGAGGGAATCAAATCGGTGGAAAACATTCAACGAAAAAATACCCAAGGCTTTTCCAAGATTTCCAACGCATTACAAACTAGGTTTGGGTGATAGACTATACATCACATCTCAATTGTCTGGTGTGTCCTCATCTCCCGCATTTTCCCTGCTTATTGCTGCTTCACTCCATCCAAATTAGTGGTCTGCGGCCCAAAACCCCACGAAACCTCGCTCCGGCCGCTCTCTCTCCAACTACCACTCTCCCCTTCCTATTTTCGATCCACCCCGCGTCAAAACTAACCTGCCTTTGGACTCCTCAGTGTCTTGAGTTCATGCCGTCATCCTTCCTTTGATCACCATTAATTTCTACTTCGCTGGGTCGAACCAACCCGCCCCCGATATCAACCCTGCTCTCAGGACTGGGACCTCCCGCCCCGACTCCCCGACACGCCACCTAATACACAATCTACACCGATATCCGTGATGGAGGGCCAAAACGAGAACGATGAGCTTTACCCTATCGCGGTGCTCATTGATGAGCTGAAGGTATCTCAAGGATGATCTCTATGCTTTCCCCCCTCCCTCCGCCGGTGGAGGGGTGAGTCTGAATGTGTCAAAGCTCACATCTCAATCTCCTAGCACGATGATGTCCTCCTCCGCCTCAATGCTATCCACCGTCTATCTACCATTGCTCTTGCTCTCGGCCCCGAAAGAACCCGAGAGGAGCTCATTCCATTCCTGGACGGTTCGTTCCCATCTACCGACCCCTGCCCATCTTGCATGCGCCTAACAGAGATCATCTCTAGACTCCGTGGAGGATGAAGACGAGGTTTTGACCGCACTCAGCGAAGAGCTAGGCAACTTCACAGAGTACGTCGGAGGGCCGGAACACGCGCACGTGCTCCTGTCTCCGTTGGAGAACCTGGCGGCGATTGAGGAGCCTTTGGTTCGGGAAAAGGTTGGTGGAGATAAATTTAGGGGCTTGGTGAACATGTTGCTGATTGATAATGCAGGCTGTCGAGTCTCTCAACAAGGTTTGTGAGCAGTTGTCTGAGAGCCAAGTTGAAGAACACTTTGTCCCCTTGGTTCTCCATCTCTCCAAAGCCGACTGGTTCACCTCCAAGGTCTCAGCAACTGGCCTGTACTGCACACCATACAAGAAAGCTACCGCAACAACGCAGCAGAGCCTTAGACAGCACTTCGGTGCTCTCGTACACGATGAGACCCCCATGGTGCGGCGGCAAGCGGCGAACAACTTGGCCAAGTTCGTCAAGGAGATGCAAACCCCCGTCGTTATCGATGAAATGATACCCCTCTTCCAATATCTCGCAAGCGATGACCAGGACAGCGTTCGCTTGCTGACTGTCGACATTCTCATCGCCATCGCGGAGGAAATTCCCAAGGAACAGCAGCCCAGCCACGGCGTGCTGCTGACTTCGCTGCGGAATTTGTTTGAGGATAAGAGTTGGAGGGTCCGGTACATGGTCGCCGATAGATATGAGAAGGTTGGCGCCCCACATACGGACATGTTGGAGTTTCTTGCATTCGGTACTAATGTTTTACCAGATCGCTAAAGCAGTGCACGAAGAAGTTATCACACGCGATATGGTGCCCGCATTCGTGAAGCTTCTGAAGGATACTGAGGCCGAGGTCCGTACGGCGGTCGCTGGCCAGATTCCTGGTATGTTGTCAGAACCTTTCTTTGCCTCGTGACAGCTATTGACATTTTGGTTAGGCTTCTGCAGCTTGATTGACCGCGACACCCTGCTCAACGAGATCATGACCAGCGTAGAGGATCTTGTTTCCGATCAATCTCAGCATGTTCGGGCTTCTCTCGGAACTCAAATCAGCGGTCTTGCGCCCATTCTTGGAAAGGAAGAGTATGTTTCAATACGCCCCATTTCAAATGGCCATCACTTACTCATCTGTCCCTTAGAACCATTGCCCATCTTCTACCCATGTTCCTTTCAATGCTCAAGGATGACTTCCCTGATGTTCGCCTTCACATCATCTCCAAGCTTGAGCAAGTTAACAAAGGTAATACTAATATTCTAATGTCACTTTCGAAGCTTGATCTAACATTGTTTTAGTTATTGGCATTGATCTACTCTCTCAATCTCTGCTCCCCGCTATTGTTCAGCTGGCTGAGGATAAGCAATGGCGCGTGCGTCTTGCCATCATTGAATACATTCCCCTTCTGGCGAGCCAATTGGGAGTTAAATTCTTTGATGAGCAGTTGAGCGATCTGTGCATGGGCTGGCTAGGCGACACAGTCTTCTCGATCCGAGAGGCTGCCACTCAAAACCTGAAGAAACTTACAGAGGTCTTTGGTGTAGAGTGGTCTAAGGAGTCTATTATTCCCAAGGTGGTCGCCATGGGACAGCACCCCAACTACCTTTACCGGATGACAACATGCTTTGCTATTTCTGTGAGTTCCACATTCTTCACCCGATTGCCACTCGTGCTAATTTATACAGACTCTTGCCCCAGTTGTCACCCTTGATATCATCGAAGAATCCATTCTCCCCATTCTTGACCGACTGGTGGCGGATGAGATCCCTAACATCCGTTTCAACGTTGCCAAATCTTACGCCGTTCTTATTGATACCTTGCGCCGCCTTCCAGCTGACAAAACCCTGGTTGAGGTAGAGAAGTCGGGAGAGACCGTCACTCCTTCACCCCACAGCCAAGAGCTCATTCAGCAAAAGGTTATGCCCAGTTTGGAGAAGCTCCAGGAGGATGACGATGTTGATGTCCGATACTTCGCCACCACCGCGGGTGCTGACCCGGAGGAGGCCATGCAGACCTCCCCTTGAGGGACATAACAGGGAAATTGTGGCTTCCCATGCAAATTTACTCTCTTGCGAGAACTCCCAGTGCGCAAAGAAATAACGCAAAGACCATTGTGGTTCCTGGGCATGGACATCCTGTCAGCTTAGAGAATAGCCAGCTTTGTGGGATGATATGTCTTGATGGCGTTTTTCTTTTTAATGTAGAGGTTTTTTTGATCCATACATAACGGTCTATGCCGGTCCGAGGTAGTCATAAAAGCAACGACGACAGTATTAATTTTTGCTCGGCTGATCCGACCCTATTATCCATTAGAGGCTAGCACTTGGTCTAGAAACTAGCTACCGACTCACTCTGCTGCTAATTGCCTCCAGGACTAGGACGGCTCAAAGATCTTCGCACCTCTCCTTTCATGCGGCAATAAAAATATCTACTAAGCCTCTTTACATGTAATCCGATTCACCAGGAATATACATATCAATTCTGGTCCTAGGCGTTGACTATGTGGTCCAGTAAGCTAGAGTGACGGACGAGTCAAATCACATCATTTGTCAGCGGGCCAGGGACGGCGTCGCCCTAAATCCGTTGCACGCGTAAGTCGATGACACCTGGTCAGTACCTTCAACAAAGCTCAGTTGCAAGCGTTTACACAGTCGATCAGACACCAAGAAAACATCACTACAGATCGCACACCAGATTTCCCCTCCAGCATGTCGATGTCCCGCTAATTTCGAGTTGTCTTCGGATCCGCGGGTTCTAAATTATACAGCATCATCTTCAATCAGCACTTCATTTTATTGAACTATTAGTCGAGAGATCAACCCTCAATTCGTGTCTCAACAAAGAATACAATTTGGCTTACGATATGGAAACTCCTTGGCCATGGCATTTCGTGACTCTTTCTGAAGAGGAGAAGCTCCATCGCAGGGAGCTGCTGGATATACGGGGTGCATTTGCGCAATGGTCCATCATGATAGTCATCGTTCTCCTTCGAGTCATCTATCAAACCCAGAAAACCTTGTCTGAGATGCAAAGCGGGGCGAAAACAACTCGAGGACCCGTCTCATGGTTGGATCGACCTCTGGTCGCTGGGTGGCTCGAAACTCGGAGGCAGTATGCTGTGTGTGGCCTTTGGCTATCATGGTTAGTTGGCCTCTGCGTATGGAATAGCGGTGATGGTATGTTTGCTCTTTTCCTTCTTTTCTTTTCTTTTATAGTCCTTGTCAACAGCAGCTTACCTCCCGCAGATTACCTTCACTTGACCAAGGCGCTAGGCCATGTTGCTCTCTCTCAGATTCCCTTGCAGGTATTGATGTCGCCTGCAGCATACATATCCACCTCCAAGCCATCTGCATCATCTATCTTTTCCTTCATTACCTCTGTTCCTCAAAGTACCGTTACCCCGTACCACCGGCTCTTTGGCCGTATGGTTATCTCGCCTTTGATTTTTGGACATGCCAGTCTCTACCTCTTGTTCTTTGTGCAAAATAGCCACCCTGAGTTTGGCACGCTTTTGGCGAAGCGAGTGTATGACTTCGATGTGCAGTGTGGTCTTCTAGCGCTGTCTACGGCCGTCGCTTTGTTACTCTTCGTCCGGCCTCGTGGTACCACTCAGAAGGGAGCAGCTCGCGACCGGGCGGCCGCAGCTCGGTCTGTACAGGATCGGCGGCGGACTTTCTATCTGGTACATGTTTCGTTGGTTGTTCTGTTATCTGTCGCAGTTTACTTCCATGTTGCCCAAGCGCAAAAGTATATGGTTCAATCGTTTGGTGCCTTTGTGTTGAACGGGGTGGGTTCTTGGGTGGCTATACGGTTGGAAGCTCGAGTATAGTGCTTGTTGAGAATTTGTCTCGGTTGGTATATACTGTGGATCATTACAATTCTTTGAAGGTTTCATGGCTCTATGTTTGGACCACCGTCAAGTCTGCCGCCACGGGCTGCTCCCAGCCCCGACATTGCCCAAGAACAGATAACACAGGAGTATACCGGGGGTGTCATAGACTGTGGGTGTATAGGGAAAACTGGGCTCGACTGTTGACCCAGGTAATTAAAAACATACATGTTCGACTGTATTTCTCGAACGAGCTCCGCTTCCAAGATTCCAAGGTTTTTGCACCAAGGGAAAAATAACTAAGCGAGATGCAGTCTAGTCTCAATTTGAGGTCTTTAACAAGGACCAGGCCATCTGTACCTAGGTAAATGAATTATGTATTTTGCTATTGTTTCTGTGTCTAGAATAGGATAAATAATCAGTACATACAAATCTCCAGGGCTCGTCTCAATTCTAGATCTTTCAGCCCTGCACAACGGTGGTATCTTTACCCGATGTATGAACTTGCCTCCTACGCTTGAGGCAAATTTGCCCATGAGATCTTTGAAAGCTGGACAAAGGAAATATAGAACACAAACCTTGATAATCACAGCCTTATAGGTTAAAAAAGCTTGCGCTGACATGGTACGTGGACAATTATGTCAAGCGTCTTGGCAAGTGCCCCGGTTTTTTTAAGTAGGTTTGGCCAACCTGGCCAGCCTGGACACCTCCAGAATGTAAATGGATCCCTCTCCCTAGACCCTTTTTTCCTTGTCTTTAACCCCCCTCTCAAGTTAATTACCTCCCCCCCTCCTTCATGCCTTCTCCAGATGGCAGGATGCGACCCCAACGTCTGATCATCCTACTCGCGGTCGTTCTGCTCGCGTGCTTCTCTCTCGTTTACCTCCGGCCTCCGAAAACAACCCCCCAGCCGCCAGTAGAACTCCCTCCCCCCGAACCGATTAAGCACCCTCAACTCCATGCGGGCCAAACATCGTACACCCCTGAGAAGATTCATCCGATCGCCAATCTAGTCGACAATGCCGAGCAACACTTTGCTCATGTGCAGTCGCGCCAGTCCGCCACCCTGGCTGAGGCGGTTGAGGAGTACAAGCGTCGCTACAAAATGCACCCGCCACCCAACTTCGACAAGTGGTTCCAGTTTGCTAAGGCCAAGGGCGTGCAGTTGGTTGATGAATTCGATTCTATATACCACTCCTTGCTCCCTTTCTGGGCTTTGAAGCCGGCAACCATCCGTGAACGCGCCCGTGAGACTCTGGGTTTCGACAACGCAGTCTTGGGCGTCCTGATCCGCGATGGCAAGGTGACTTTGACTGAAGGAGGTGGCGATGGTCGGAAATGGCAGCGCGATGCCACAGCTGGTATGATGGCCGATTTCGTCAAGTACCTACCCGATATGGACTTGGTCTTCAACACCCACGATGAGCCTCGCGTCGTGATCCCCGGGGATGACCTCCACCGTCTTGTACAGACCGCTACTGACTATGTGATTCCCGCTGCTTTCAATGGTGATCCCCCCATAAAAGTGTGGTCACCACGCGCCCCGGACCTGAACAAGGGAGATCGTATCGATGAGGTGCGCACGACTCGTTTCAACCGTTTCGCGCATCAGCCCACATGGACCAACTCGCGCATCTCCTGCCCTGTCGATAGCCCTGCAAGATCGCTCGATGACGACGTGGCCGATAATGGTGACCCATATGCGTATGGAGAACTGGGCTTTATTTACAACACTACCGCATTCTCTGATATCTGCCACACTCCGTCCCTCCGACACACTTACGGATTCTTTGACCGCCCGAACGCCTTTGATGTCGTCCACGACTTGTTCCCTATCTTTTCGCAGAGCAAAATCTCCAGCTTTCAGGACATTCTTTACCCCAGTCCTTGGTACTGGGCCGATAAGGTGCCCTACGACCAGAAAAAGGATTTCAACTGGGAAGCGAAAACGGATCGGATGTATTGGCGTGGATCTACGACCGGTGGTTTCTCGCGTGCAGGTGGCTGGCGCCGCCAACACCGTCAACAATTTGTCGACAATGTCAACTCCCTCGGTACAACCAAGATCCTCGCCCGCCAACCGGATAATTTGTGGGCCGCGCAGGAGGTGAAGCAGGAGCAATTTCGGGATGCATTCGATGTCAAATTTACCTTCATTGGGCAGTGTGACCCGGACGATTGCCATGCCCAAGAGGAATATTTTGAAGTCGTCAAGGCAGCTGGCCAGCAGGACGCATGGGCGCACAAATACCTGGTTGATGTGGATGGAAATGCCTTCAGTGGACGCTTCTATGCTTTCCTTCATAGCAACAGCTTTGTCTACAAAATCGCCATTTTCCGCGAGTGGCACGATGAGTGGCTCAAGCCTTGGGTGCACTATGCGCCACTCAGCTTGAAAGGAAATGAGTATACAGAAACTATGCGGTACTTCTTGTCCGAGGAAGATGGCAGGAAAACAGCGCCAAGAATCGCAGCTCAGGGGCAGGATTGGGCCCAGAAAGTGTTGCGGAATGAGGACCTGGAGGTCTGGTTCTTCCGTTTGCTTCTAGAGTAAGTTGTACCCCCCCCCCCCCCCATTGTTCTTGTCGATCCTGAACTAACTTGATGATAGATACGGCCGTCTTGTGGACGACAACCGAGATAGACTCGGATTCTCGCTGTGAGCTGCATAGCATCCTCCAACCTCCCTTCTTCCAAGACATCGCTTCTGTATATACCCTAATTTCCCACCCAGTCCCGCATGCTGAATCGAGACAGCCTCGCGCGGGAACTCGACGAGATAACGGCCTTTTCTTTGTTGTCTTCAATGTTCTAGATGTTATTCCCCCTTTTATTTCGTCACGTCGCTACCCCCCATCATGTGTTAATACCCTTTTCGATGTTGTTTTACTCATAATATTTGCTTCCACCTGGGGTCTTTTTGGTCCCGCCTGATACACTTGTTTTTTTTTTATCTGATTGCATGTGAAGATGGACTTGGCGTTTCCTGGGAGGATCCGATCCATTGAGGCGGATATCACTGTATTTCACCAAAATTCTGGAAAAACATTCTTATCCAAGCGAATTGCATACTTGACCTGTTGATTGTAATCCAGATAAATAATGTGTAAATAGGGTTTTCGTTGGCTGATTGCCAGGTGGAGACCTAAGGTGGATGATTAATGAACCCGAGGCCGAGGTTTCCCCTCTGGCGTGAGCTTTATTTGATAATGCTGTGTCACCCTGAAACTCTCCGCAGACATTTCTTTCACCTTTGTCTATGAGCAATTGCTAGTTTTCGCACCAGGATGGCAAGCTTCCTGATCAGGGGTACCATCTGGATGGTAGCCTACACCTATGGATTTATTTCTTTGGTCTTGTATGGCCTCCTAACAGCCCGATTAGGTCTATTTTTCAAAAAGCCCACTGAAAAGGATCAGCTGGAGCTCCAACTTGGTATGTGCTATCTGGCTTTCTATTATTTCTCACCAGAATTTCTTCTAATTTGGCACAGCTCATGACCGCCTGTGGAATCTGTCTAAGGACTATGCTGGACTCTCCCATTACTTCCTGACTCTCCCTACTGGGTTTAAGTTCCATTTCCTCAGCAATGATGTCCCCAATTCCAAGGAGGTGCTGGCTTCCAGCAAGCCTTTGGTTATATTTATCCATGGTTTCCCAGACAGTTGGGCTGTGTGGCGACACATTGCTAGCAACCTGGACTTGCAAAAATCTGCTACTTTGGTAGCAATTGACATGCCTGGTTACGGTGGTACCCAAGGCGTCAAGAAATACAATGGGACAAACGTCCTCGAAAACATGGCGCAGCTTATTATCAACCTGCGAATCCAATACGGCGTTGACAGTGCTACGGAAACGAGCAAGAAGAGAACTATCATTGTCGCCCATGATTGGGGCTGCGTTGTCGCGATGAGACTAGCAGCTGAAGCACCATCACTGGCTGATCGTTTCCTCCTGAGCAATGGCCCATTAGTAAGTAGTCCCGAAGCCAATCCTTGTCGCCTACTGTGTAACCCCAGCTAATTTGCTACCCAGATGAGCCTTATTAGTTCAAATATCCGCCGTATGCTTTCTGCTGCGCGGAAGATGCTCAACGATGCATGGAATTCTCCACTCAATGCTCGCGTGCCGTTGTGCCAGGCATGGCAGACCCTAGCTCCCGTGAGGTATCAGCTAAAAATGTCGGGATATATCTTCGTGATGCAGCTTCCCGTCCCCTTCTCCCGCTTCTTCCTGACAGGCGGCAACCAAGCATTCATGAAGATGATTCACATCGGTTCGCACGGCAGTGCGAAACCTACTTCTGAAGATCTGGCGAATTCCATGGCTAGCAGCATGGGTCCCTCTCTGGAAGAGTCCAAGACCGAGACCGTAGATGGCGGGACATACCCAAATACTGTTCGCTTCGACTCCAAGTTTGCCAACGTGATGAACCTTGCCGGCTACTACCGGGACGGTGCGTCAGTCAGTTATTGGAAAAAATCTCCAGAGACTGTGGTTGCTTTGGATAAGCTCGCAAACGGAAAGGAGCCCCAGGGAGCCAAGGGAGCTCTTAAGGCCCCCTCGACCATATTTTGGGGTAAAAAAGACATTGCGCTACACACTGCCATCTGTCTGGATGGCATGTCGGATTTTATCCCCAAGAACAGCCAGGTCGTCCTGCTCCCCAAGTCGGGACATTTCACACCCATTGAGCTAGAAAGTCGCGTGGCTCTAACGACGGCGATTCAATGGGCCATTGCGGGCGAGCAAGGCGATATCGGCGCTGCGTTGAGTAAGTCCAGCGTGGAAGTCATTGCCCAGAAGTAATTTCGAGCGAAACATACCTATATGGGTATCTTGGCCCCTGGGTATGCCTATAAATACCGTGGCCGTTATCCGGAGCTTTTTGTATCACCATGCAGCGTCTGGTACCGGTGGCGTCCCGCCTAACCCCCTGGCAACCATCCCAACCAACCCCCGGCTCCGAATGGGAAGCCCAATTTACCAGCAAAAACTAGTTGATGCACCCCCCTTTCTGTGCGAAACATCCCAACCTGCAAGTTGTGAGCAAATTGAACAATTCAGATGTCGGTTTGAATTAATTTGGAGTAATTGGAAGAACGTAGCGCGGGATCAACCTTGGAAGTCTCGTGTTGCAACTGCTATAACCTTGGAAGTGGAGCTACTGAACGCGGGTGCTAAAGCTCGGATCACCCGTGTCAGCAAGTGGAGATTCTTCCCCGAAATCCACTTTCCCCTCGATCGCTAGCTCTCAGAAGTTCAACATTTCCCCTCTTTACTTTCATCTCTCAAGATTGGAAATCTCTTCATTTACCATTTACCATTTACCCCTGATTGCCACATCGACTGATAGTCACCTTGCACGACTTCCCGGACAGAATGCTGCGGCGCTTGTGAGAGCAAGTCGTTTTCGTTTTCTTCGAACCTGCGTCCGGTTCAGGTACCACAGTCTCTGTGGTCCGCTAGCTTGTTGAGCAGCGGGACCAGTCCAAACTGTCATTGGGGACAACTTCACCCAAGATAAATATAACCGTGGGCCAACGAGGGTTTCTTTTGCTCGGTCTCTTCCCTCACAATTGCGCGCGTGCTACCTGCTTCCAAGTGTTGGGTCACGTTGAGCCAAGCTTGTCGTCATGGGTTCCGAACAGAGCGGCGTTTATTGCACGGTCAGTAACGCCCCCTTTTGTCCGATGAGTTGGACGAAAAGAGAAATGAAGCTTACCTCGTTCTTGTAGCTGCTGTTGAGCGATAACTATTTGCCCGGTAAGAAGCTAGCATGCTCCACCTTGAAGCTTGTAACCTGACTTGAGCTTCGTCTAGGTGCTATGGTACTGGCGCATTCGTTGCGCGATAATGGAACATCAGCAAAGCTGGTTGCGCTCTTTACACCAAACACACTGAGGTCAGAGACGGTCAATGAGCTTCGGGTATGTTCTATTATCATCATTTTCGTCCGATTCGATTTTAACATATCCACGTGCCCTAGACGGTCTACGACGAACTCATCCCGGTCCATTCAATCGTGAATGGCAAACCCGCAAACCTATGGCTAATGGACCGACCCGATCTGATTGCGACCTTCACAAAAATCGAGCTTTGGCGCCTCACACAGTACGAGCGGATCGTCTATATCGACTGTGACGTCGTGTCTCTTCGTGCACCAGACGAGCTCTTCTCACTGGACGAGAACTTTGCCGCCGCGCCCGATGTAGGCTGGCCAGATTGTTTTAATAGTGGGCTCATGGTTCTTCGCCCTAATATGCAGGACTATTATTCTCTGAAGGCACTGGCTGAACGCGGCATTAGCTTTGATGGAGCCGATCAAGGATTGTTGAACATGCACTTCCGAGATTGGCATAGGCTGAGCTTCACGTATAACTGCACGCCCAGTGCAAACTATCAGTACATCCCTGCATACAAGCATTTTCAGAGTACGATCAGCTTGATTCACTTCATTGGTTCGCAAAAGCCGTGGAACATGCCCCGGCAGGTAGTTCCGCTTGACTCGCCATACAACCAGCTACTGAACAAGTGGTGGTCGGTCTATGATAGACATTATCACTCGCCCTTTGTGAGTATTGTGCTTCAGTTGGCGAGCCTAGCTAATGGTAGAATCAGGTTTCCTACTCGCAATCAAAAAGCGCTCCACAGGCTTCACAAGGTTCGGGCTATCCACAGGCTACTCATTCTGCAGACCAGTCAGAATCACTCAGAACCCATCATGATCATGAGCATTGGCCAGAACCTCATCATTTCCCCCATGCCGAGAATCACAATGTGCCTGGTCAGGTATTATCGGAGGCTATGCAAGCGCATAATGAACAGCAGCACCATGGCCACCATGCAGCGACCCAGGATTCTATTGCGACCCAGATGCCAGTCTTGAGTGCAGTTCCGCAGTATGTTCGCGGAGAAGAACAGTATTCGACGTTCATACCGCCCGTTCCCTATGCTCCCGCGCCGGTAATTCATGGGCACCATGAATCCTACGAAGCTCACCCAGAAGCCCAGCAAACGCAGCATGATCATGATCAGCACCACGATCAGCACCACGATCAACAACACGATCAACAACACGATCAGCACCACGATCACCAGCATCCCCATCAGCAGCAGCACCACCACCACGATCACCAGCACCAACACTCCCAATCGTCTGACCAAGCTGAAGCTCACATCCATCACCCTCAACCCGTTTCACCTTCCGCAGTGGTGCAGAATTGGCAACAAGCCCCCTCGCCTGAGCCAGAACATTTCCAGGCGCCAAAGGCAGAATGGGATGCCTCCCGGTAAGGCTTGGCTTTTTGTTTCCCAGTTATTCATCCGAAGGCGACTCGCTGATACAATATAGAGAACCACCACCGCTCAATACTAGGCCCGAAGGTATTAGCCTGGAGCAGAAGACATACACTATGTCCGAGGACACCGCGCTGTTTCAACCACCTCCATCGTATCCTGAAGCCCCCAAAAACATGTACTACCAAGTCCCCGAATCCAAGCCCGAGCCCGAAAGGGTTACAAAGATCTTCCCTTGGGAAAATCACGCGCCCAAGCCGACCAGAGTCTTCACAGAGCCATCTGTTCCTCGTTCACCGTCTCCAGAACCGCCCATACCTATGCTTTCGCAACAGGCTGACCCTATTCCTCTTGAACCGGCTCAATCCGAATCCACTCAATTCGAACCTCAGCCTTTCCCACCCCAAGCAGCATTCGAGCCTTCTGCACAAACCTACGAACAATACTCTCGTTCCAATGCCTGGGACGAAGACCTGGAAATTCAGCGCTACATGGATTCCCTTCAACAAACTCGCCGGGGAAAGCCTCAGGTAATATCAGGCTCTGTGGAGGCTGACTCAAGCCATAGCCGGAGTACCAGTATGAGCACAAGCAACTTCTCAACAGCTTCCACAGCCACTACAGTCGGTACATCCGCTGGACACCGACCAGGCATGAAACTGACCGATTTCCCCACGGAAGTCGAACGGCCAAGTCTCCCGGTGACACCGGCGCCGATCCATCGAATGCGGGGCCTGGAGAGCGACGACGATACATCCACCCTACCTGCCGCAGAGGGAGTTCCAAACCAGGAAGAATGGGTGGGTGTCACGGTTGATGCGTTCTCTCACCTCCTCCGGGCCACTTACTTATTATGGCGATCTACAGAACCCCCTGATGCAGCTCGAAGAGCTCCGCCGTCGACAGTCCGCAGCTTGGGAGGATCAAGAAGTCTTTTCTAGGGAGCTTTCTGAACCTCAAGATTCTAAACCTCGGGAATCCGGGTCCTAATCTGCTACGGGTTACTAAGGGACGGACAGCAGTCCAGCAACGATTTCTTTACTTCATTTCTGCGATTCGATTGGTTTGAATATGCATGCCCGCTACGTCATTAATCTTGTTGAAAATCTTCGTACCGAGGCTTTGAATTTTGTTTGTGCGCATACTTAGTCTGACACGCGTTTCCATCGCACTTTGTACATTGCATTTGCATACATTAGGTAGTGACCGCATCAATCTACTGGAATGAACCGCGTCTCCATACGGCTCTTCAGCCCCACCTGTCATGCAACGAAAAGGCAATTTCAGCCGGCATATCAATTTGTCAGTAAAGTCGGTCATTCAATTGTTGAGATCGCGTCTATCAGCAGCGCTACGCGTCCGGCCCAAACATCAAGTGTGCGATTCATCCGACATCCGAGATTGGACCCCACCAGACCGTGTGGTAAGTGACCTTCCTAATCCGGTAGTGCAGGTACCGAGTGGATTCGCCACCGTCTGGAAAGCTCGGAAGCTCGAAAATGCCCAAGGGACCCCCGGACGCAAGACCAATAGCATACTGGGAAAAAAAATAAGCAAGAGGCTTATCTTGTGCCCTACATAATGTGTTAACCTAAATTCTCGGGTGAACCGGTGAGAGAAAAGGTTGAAGATCTGGGTCGACCACGCGGAGTAAATGTCAACCATGCGAAAGGCCTAGATTCGTATTCTACACAAACTTTTTTTGTTTCGCCTCGAAAACTTTGTATGAAGTCTATATATTTGGAAGGGAAATTTGTGTTCATGCAGAATTTTCCATCGATTTGAAGCCTGTAAGGTGAAATTTGGTGGAGGAAGAAATTATGTAAAAAGATTATGATGCCAAGAGAGATTATGCCAAGCATGGGGACAACATGCAATGCGGGCGATCTTACGCGTGAATCTCGGAGTGTGAGTGTCCAAGTCCGAAGTCCCGCTAGGAAGAAAATACAACCGACCCGGCACGACTCACTTCCTGAACGGTTCCTGGCCGAGCCACACCGGTGAACAATAAGGAACAACTTGAAGAAAAAAATCAATTTGTCACAGTCCATGGAAAATATGCATTCGCATAGTTAGCAGTCTACAATATAGAACGGAAATACATTTGCCTCCGCATAACCATCTAACAATCATACGAGCACTGTACCTGCATAGCGCGGCTGGGAGCCGCCCAGGGTAAGATCATTGCAGAAAACTTTATTAGTCAAGGTTAACGAAGCCGCCCCGCTGATTGGTGAGCCAGCCGATTCTCGGCCCGGTATCAATCCATCAACCAACCATGTTCCAACACGGAATGTTCGGTGGATCTTCGATAGGCTTCCGACAACAGTTTTGCCTCCAACGGGGCAAAATCGGCACGCGGAGATTTTGGGGTATTCAAAACTTTATCCCGGGGCCCTTTTATTAATGGATTGCCCATTCGCGTGGGATTCTTATTTCTTCCCCATACCTGCTTGTTGACAACCCCGGAATCCATCGTCTTTCCTCTTCAACATGGAGTCCGTCAACACCCAGCCTCCCGCTTACAATGACAAGATTGGGCAGGAGCAGAAGTATGAGCAGGATATCGAGGATGATGTCGCTGCCATGAAGCATGGTGAGGTCTCGGATGCCTTTGGTAACGAGGAGTATGCCGAGATCAAGTACAAGACTTTGAAGTGGTGGTATGTACTCGTTTATACTTTGGATTTTTGAATTGCGGTTGTTGACCAGGTTTTAGGCAATGTGGTCTGCTCATGATTTGCGAGTCTGTCTCGCTCGGTGTCCTCTCCCTGCCTAACGCTGTCGCTACCCTTGGCCTGGTTCCCGGTGTCATCTTGATTGTTGGCCTCGGTCTCCTTGCTACCTACACCGGATACAACATTGGTCTCATGCGTGAGCGTTACCCCCACATTCAGAACCTCGGAGACGCCGGTGAGATTTTGCTGGGCCGATTCGGCCGCGAACTCTTCGGTGGAGGTCAATTCCTCTTCTGTATCTTCGTTATGGGCAGTCACATCCTTACCTTCCGCGTGATGATGAACACCATCACCAACCACGGCACCTGCTCCATCGTCTTCGCTCTGGTCGGCATGCTCATTTCCCTCGTGCTGTCCATCCCCCGTACCATGAAGGGCATGACCTGGATCTCGTTCGCCTCTTTCATCAGTATCTTCAGCGCTGTCATGATCACCATGATCTCCGTCGGTGTTGAAGAACACCCCGGCCGTATCATCGAAGCTACTACCACACAAACCCTCTACACAGCCTTCCAGGCCGTCTCCAACATCGTCTTCGCCTACTGCGCTCACGTTGCCTTCTTCGGTCTGATCGCCGAGATGGAGACTCCCCAAGACTTCAAGAAGTCCCTTTTCATGCTTCAGGGCTTCGAAATCTGCCTTTACCTCACTGCCGGTGTCGTCATCTACTACTACATTGGTAGTGAAGTTCCCTCTCCCGCCCTCAGCGCCGCTGGTCCCCTCATGAAGAAGGTCGCCTACGGAATTGCCATCCCCACTATCGTTGGTGCCGGTGTCGTGAACGGTCACATCGGTCTGAAGTACATCTACTTCCGCTGCTGCTCCAAGTCCGGCCTGATCCACCAGAACAACTGGAAGTCCATCAGCATCTGGATTGGCCTCGGTGTTTCCTGCTGGGTTGTTGCCTGGATTATCGCTGAGGCTATTCCCGTCTTCAGTGACTTGAACAGTTTGATCAGTGCTCTGTTCGCTAGTTGGTTCAGCTACGGTCTTAGCGGTATCTACTGGTTGCACTTGAACAAGGGTTCTTGGTTCGCTACCAAGAAGAAGATCGCTTTGTTCGTGCTGAACGTTGCCATTGCCCTCTTCGGTCTTGCTTTGTGTGTGCTTGGTCTGTATGCCTCTGGTACTGCCATCCACGACGACACTAGCACTGCCAGCTTCACCTGCAAAAATACTGACACTTAAGTGCGGTGTGTGGGTTTTTATTGTATTATTTGGGACGTTTACGATTTTGCATTTGCATATATAGCATTTTATGGCATAGCTTGGCCTCTATAGACTAGGGCTCATATAGATTACTGGTTAATCAAGCATATTTATGATTTACTTCACTTCCATATTCTTAACTTCCCGAAACCTTGTGCTCATCATCATGAACCACCTAGTCCGAATTACTATCATAAAAGCTATCCGCAGTCCACCCATTGACAGCCGAGTAATCAGCAAAAGGCGAAGTCCCATGCAAAACCTCATAATGCCTCCTATCCCCACACTCCGACTTAGTCGAGTTAGCATGACACCCATCTAAGATCCCCGCAATCTGTCGGCCCGCATCCCGGCCCTCAAACCATGCTCCATGCAAGAAACCAAAGTAGGTGGGACTAGTCGCCTCCCCCGCAAACCAGAGCCGGCCCGTATTGGCGCGCAGGTTCTCGTGCATCTCTAGCGTCGTTGCTGGGGGCCAATTGGAGTAGCTACCGTGGGCCCAGGGCTCTGTGCTCCAGCGCGGGTAGAGGAAGGCTGTTGGGTCGGGGATTGTCTTTTCTGGGAACATCTTCCGTAGGACGTCCATTATTTCTTGCTTAGTTTGCTCGTCTGATTGGCGCTCTGCACGCCAGGAGAACTCATTTGTTACCGTCACGAAGAGGATGTTGGAGTCTGGGAGGAATTGTGGCATTGACAGGGATTGGAAGACTGGGTACCAGCCTCGGAGGCTTGGGTCGGCGTATAGGAAATATTGGGTGTTTGTTGGCCAGAAGGTTTCATTGAACTGCATGAAGATCTTGGTGTAAGTGCCCATTGTGAATTTCTGGATGGCAGTTTGTTTCCATTCTGGGAATGAAGGCGTGAATTTGACTTCATCGCTTTGTAGGACGCCTAGAGAGAATGTACAGATAGCATATGCTGCGGTGATGCAGCTGCCATCCTTGTTGTGTATTGTGACTCCATCGTCGGAGTATGATATTTTCGTGATCTGTGTGTTGAGATGCAGTCTTGGGTCATCCTGCTTGAGGAATGTGGCAGCCTCTGCTTTGAATATGGTGTTGAATCCGCGCTGGTCAGTCACGAAGTTGTCGTGGTCGCTGAAGACGTTCCCAGTCAAATTGTCGCCAGCGCAGCCGAAGACCAGAGAGCTCTCCAGGGGGCTGAAGTTATCCTCGAAGTCTGGCAGATGGTAAGTGCATAGTTCCATGGAAATCCCAATCAAGTAAAACAAAAAGAAAACTTACCCCATTTCCACCAGTCAACTGCCTGGGCCTCCATATCATGCTTGCCCGGGCTCCAACCAGCCAGAGCCAGGCCAGACTGAGCCGTCTGATCCTGAAGATTCTTACTCAGAATCTCACCAGCCTTCATATTGGCAATATCATAGGCATTGTCATATTCAGACAACAAATGACTATAATCAGAGTAACCGTTCTCGTTATACGTCGAAACATTATCATAGTCAGAGTAATGGGTCTTCAGGTTATATTTTTGAGCCTGTTTAAACAATCAATTCATGGACTGATGACAGTCTAGTCTTCATACGTACCAGAGTCCATATAGGATTTTGGGGGCCCCCGGGGTTTCCAAGACCTTGCACCTATGAATTGGTCATTAGTGTGAGGATCATACTTTTAGTGGAGTTCAACATACCCAATTTGCGCCCATCTCAATGGTGTAAGGTTTTCCGGTCTTCGGATCCTTGCCAAAAGTTTTGTGCCAAGCTCGGCCTCCGATTGTGTCCCGGTACTCCAGGATAGCAAAGTCATGAACCGAGGCATTAGAGAGAGCTTGCTGTGGACTGTTAGATTAAAAGCTAATAATCCACAGAAACAATTGGGGTATTGACTCACAGCTGCTGTAATGCCTGCAACTCCACCTCCCCTCCAGATTGTTAGCTCTGAGCCCGGTATAAGGAAGCCAGATTCTAGGCAGTGCTTACAGAATAGCAACAGTCGTCTTCTTGCAAGTCCCTTGATCTCTCGGCTGGTGTGGCACATGGGCAGCAGCCGGAATGGAGCAACTAGCCAAGGCCGCCAAGACCGACAGATGATGTAAATGCATGGCGCTGAAGAACGTCCAGATGGTGTGTTTTGGAATGAGATCCGGGGGAGAAGACGTCGTAATAAATCCTGTAGCACAGTGTGCTGCACGAACTATTATTCATAGTAAAACGTGACGAGATAAGTGCCTAATCGCATGGTTAATGCCTAGGTACATAGATGCCTATGATCGACAGGGCCATGTAACCTCTACTAGATCCGCATGTCTCAAGATGCAGGATTGGGAAAGTCCACCCGGAGCAGGCTCGTCCATGCAACGATCATCACCGCGATACCTCATTGAACATAGCATCTATGCGACATTGATACCATTCCCCGCATCGCTAGGTTAAGATAATGTGGTTCTCATTACGTGTGAAGTTGGCGGGCTGATCCGTGAGTATCTACGACCGAGATAAGGTACTCTTGTTGATGAAAAGTATGCGGCTTTTCATCGATAACCGAACCAAAAGTTCGAACCGTTCCTTAAATGTACTGCAGGTCTTCAAATGTAACACCATCCTGCTATGCAAAAGTAATAATATGAAATGTCGTCCCAAATTGTCCAAACGCCGCAGTATAAAGCAAAATAGACGCCCTCGGACTCAAGCAATCGGAGCCGGAGGATTACTTAGCACCGCTAAATGAGAACGCCACGAAGAAAAAGGTAATACAGTGCTGGCAAACCACTGGGCGCTGTTAATTGGCACCACATCGGCTCCACCTACCGGAAAGAATAAGATGGACGGGTCATCATGGGACTTTCCGGTTTTAATGATAGTTGTTGATACGGCGAGCTTCCCGGATCATAGTAGAGACCCTCGATTTGACCATTTTCTCGGCAAAGAGAGATATAGTAAAAGCCAGAGATAGTAAGACCTTGACGCGAATCTGTCGGGGTGATGAAACATCGTTCTATTGTACGTTAATATGCAATCCATAAGGGGAATATACGGAGCATCATGAGACTTACCCTTCCATCGCATCAAGATCCACCCTTGCGTTAGTTTCTCGGTGATCCATGTACGACTGACAAGGTTCTTGGCTATGTCCGCATCCGACAAGTCCTTAAATGGTTGGAGCTCTCGCCAATAGGTGGAGTCGGTGTCCGCATCTGCTTTGAAGTTCTTTGTCTCGAGAGTATGTTTGTTGAAATCGATGATTTCTCCTTCCAAGAACGTCACGATATGCGCATCTTGAGTTGGGGACGTCTTGTCAGGAATGTTGTAGGCCTCCATTGTGCCAGAGAGGGTCATTTCGCTGTAGTTTATATGGTGAATGGTGACCTTGACGGGCCAGTTCTCGTCTCGAGGGTTGGCTTGGTATCGCCTTCCACTACTCGTGGACACAGTAATTCGAGCGTTGCTATCACTCCCATTGACAATGACAGGGTCACTTGGTGCATTCGGACTTGGTACCCGCGCTGACATGACCGAGCAGCCTGCATTTGCAGCCCTTTGACAGCCAGTGAAGACAACGCCGGGCTGGAGCCAAGAAGAGGCTGCTGGTGGAGCAATAGTATTTGTATCAAGAATAAAGTCACTGGAAAAGTTCTCTGGTGACAGGAAACCCCTTGCGTGAGCCGAGCTGATACTTTCCTCAACGGAGTTAGAATAGCGCAGATAATCGAGGTAGTTGATTGTATCCTTCAATAGCGTGTCCCCAGGGCTTCCAGAATATAGCTGCCGGTGTGCGGCAGCCCGAGCACGCAAATCACTGTGAGTGAGGATCCGATGCGATTCACCTCGGTTCGTGGGGCGGTATCGGTATGCCCGGGAGGAGGACGAACCCGCTGCCGGTCGCTCGGTTTCTTCTGACTCTTCGTTGGCCCGACTGTATCTATCCAGGAGGTAATTTTCCAACGTGCGTGTTCGTGATAACCGGGGTTGTCGCCTTGCCGACTGCAACAGGGCCTCCATCGTCGAGAGCGGGGGATCCCGAGACGGGTTTTCTCTATCAGGTGTTTCCTCTCTGTCCGCAGCGTTGGTGGGTGGTGTGCGACCTGTCGGCTCACGTCGCCGGGGTCGACTTGATGACGTACTGCGGTCTGAAATGGCATGGAGGAAGGGCTGGATCTGTTCGTCTTCTGATTCGTTGGCACGGCGAGTGTCCTCATCCTCATCATCTGACCCGGGCGCCCAGCCATAGAGCGATCGGGTATTTGATCGGCGACCCTCATAGGTGGGCATATTGGTAGAAGTGGTATCTCCGTGTGAACGACGTACAATAGGGATGCGATGGGTGATCTCGACTGGTACGTGCACGTTGGGTTCATCCACCTCCATGCGATCTTCTTCGTCTTCCATCGGCTGCGAGTAAGATGTAGGGTATCGGCGTTGGCGATGTCGGCTGAGGGCTGGTAACAACGGATTGTACAGTAGGGAGCGAGAGCGAAGGAAGTTTACATTCTCGTCGTGGGCGTTACTGCTCTCCACGGTGATGTAGGTATCGAAGTTCCAGTCGTCGTCGGGGTGCGATGACGAACCAGGTGCAGGCGTCGTCGGGGACAGCGCTGGAGTGCCGTGCTAGAATATCCAGTATTAGCGCGCAGGTCGCAATACCGGCGTGGGATATATGAGATAAGCCAGGGGGTAAAGTGTGGGATGCCGCGGAGAACATACTGATGCCGAGTTGGGAGGCGGCATCTCCTCACTGGGCCGGAATCCGCGGTAAGGGAGTCCGCTGGACAAGGTGATAATGGCAAAAGCCCAAATCAATGAGAAATACCAAGCGTGGTCTGAACAGGTAGAGGAAAGTGATCAAACGGCGCAAGTCATGAAAATGTGGAGAGATGCCGGTTGAATGACGTTTGGTTGTATTCTGCCGACGCGACACAAGAAAACTGTATCTTGCCACTTCAACCGAACCTTGGAATGGCTTTCCTCATTCTTAAGAAATAAGGATCTCCTTTTTATTCTTTACAAAATTTTCGTGGCCCGATCAACATTGTGTAGTAAAGAAACTAACGACGCCACATCTCGTGGCCTATATTGATGAGCACAATAGGAACAAATTGATTGTTAAGTGTTCCACTTTTGATCAGCAATTATAACATGGGTATATATTATAGAACCTCGGAATGCCTTCTATATATTTCTAAGTAAGCAACGCATTGTGAGTGTGCGACAGCTTGAGACCCGTCTGAATCTATCCCGTTCATAAAGCCATTATGTATGGAGGCTTGGCAGCATTACTTCGCACTAATCCTACGCTAATGTCAACGGAGTCCAGGCTATCGGTATCCATTGCCAAGATGACTGACGTGCCCAGGGGTTGCTCCAACTGCCTAGAAACTTGCAATGGCACCGCAAAAGATGGACGCTCAACAAGGAGTTTCAAACATTAGAAGGCTCAAGCTTCGTTCTGGGATTTGAGCCATATCGCTGCTTCAATAGAAGGCTCGGCCCCGAGGCATCGCCATCTATGCCTGCGTTTGTGGGGAGCCGCTAAGATGGGGCGTGCAGCCAAGTTTTCCTGTGGAAGTCTAAGTGGTTCAGTATTTACCGAGGTAGATGGATTATGAGGCTCTGCGTGACAATGATGCTGACCGCATTGCCAAGATCATCGAAAAAAATCTATACATAGCTCCCACTCTATAATCTAAATTTGTAGTCACCAGGCATGAAGGAGTGCAGTAGATATGTGCAGTGAAGTGCACCTCCCGAGTCTAGCAAATGAACAAACCTGTACTTCAATACAGACGTTCAAGGACTTATTTCCCACGAGCTGCGTTGCAGTCATCGGCGAGCTGCACACAGTCCAAAATCAGATTCCAGAACGCATCGAGGTCGACACCACGGGGAATAGCCACACCAGGTCCCTTGACTGGAGCAGCCAGCGAGCGACCCAGCTGACCTGTGATAGAAACATCTTGACCGTGCTGGCCATCAGTGACAATACTGACAGCGAACCTTTCGCCTCCTTTGTCATCAAATTTGATTATTTGACCTGGATGTTTCTGAGCGAAAGCTGGGTTGAGGTTCGACAGGATCACTGCCACCGCCAGAGGATCATGTAGTGGCGGTCCAGTGGTTAAGCCGAAGACCTTCTCATATGTTCCGGCAAAAAAGAGCAGTAGAGCATGTAGAATTTGTCGAATGACTGTCGGTCCCTCAGTTGCATCTTTGCCACCATGTAGAATACGGGTCTGTACATCCGTTGAGGCAAGTACTTGGTGAGTCAAGTCCAGACTCATGATAGCTGTCTTTGCTGCCAATGGAGCGTTACTGAAAATTGCCTCCGAGGATTCAGGATCGCACTGTGAGGATTAATTAGCACTTGTCCTCATGTGCAGGAAGGTAAAAAGCTGACATAGAGATTAAACTCAGCCCAAGGAGTCACATTTCCAATACGTGACTTTTCACCTGGCAGTCTGCTCATAGGAGCATCTGTGAACCCATTGCCGACGGCACCTCCCATGATACTCAGGCCAGCGATATGATCCACCACTTCAGGGAACGTTGCAAACAACAGAGCAACATTAGTCAGAGTACCAGTGGCCACTACCCACGGAGTGCCTTTAGGTTGAGCCAGGAGTGCATCCCGCATAGCTAAAATTGGGTTTCTATCCGTAATGGGTCCCACGGATGCCTTAGGAAGAAGGTCTGTTCCATCAAGGCCCGATTCACCTGTTCGATAATGTCAACATTGCATATCCACTCAATCTACTCAATCTGGACTTACCATGAATATCTGGGGCATGAAGAGCGGGGCGGGAGAAAGGCTTTACACTTCCGGGATACACGGGAACTTCTGGGCGGCCGATAGCTTCCAGGATACTCCCAGCATTCGCGGTAGTCTTTGCCAGGGAGGCATTGCCATGAATGGTTGTGATTCCTAAGAGATCCAAAGCAGGGTGTAGAGCAGCAATCAGAATAGCAAACGCATCCTGCCAATAGGCCGTTAATATCTCGTTAGTCGTCGAAAGGAACAAGACTTACATCGTGGCCTGATAAGAGTCAGTTGTGTACATTATTGAGCATAGAGGAATGATTAACGTACCAGGATCACAGTCGAGCCACAATGGAGTCCGAGTCTCATATTCAACATCAACTGTCATTTTCAAAGGTGTCCAGGGGGAAAGCTGATGAGTCAAAGGAGGCCAGCAATGGAGTCGGGGTAACAACATATATCCCCGCATCCTGATAAGCTTCCTATCTCTAGCCCTAAGCCCTAGCTTCCTGATATGGAAACTCCAAATCATTGACTTCGCGGTGAACGCGACAAGCTGTCGTTTGCTTTCATCCAGAAGGGTTGAACCCCTGGATTTCTGTTGTCTTTCCAGAATTAACCTCAAAAAGATATTGTGCATCTGCGATGCCATGACCGACTCTCTCCGCCCCGGTTTGCAACCGGTTTCCCACCTCAAGGCTGGACCGACAACCTCCAGCTCCAGATCCACCGCCTTGCCTTCTCCGATTCAGCCGCCATTTACACGTCCCTCTTCTCGGCTGAGAGCCCAGAAAGCCTCTCATCGAGATGAAGTATTAGATGCTGGAAGCGAAAAAGCTACCGTTGCCCTGATTCGACGTGTGCTCTGTCCTCAGACCAGCAGCCATGGCGCCACCTCTTCACAGCCTCCGGAAGAGCTGTTACCTCCCCTCACGAGCTCCAATGACGTTGACCGTCAACTTTATGCGATTTTGGCCATTATAATGAAAGAGTTTGTCTACTCATGGTACTCGAAGATCACTCCGGATCAGACATTTGTGAATGAGGTCCTACACGTCATTGCGCATTGTACTCGTGCTTTGGAACAGAGAATACGGAAAGTCGATGCTGCACAGTTGATCCTTGATGAGATCCCAGCGCTAGTGGAAGCACATATAATCTGTAAGACCCGACTATCTCAGTGTTTTGAGTCCTGGCGAAGGGAGTTACAAAGGCAATTTCTAACTTGAACGGCAATATTTAATAGCCTACAGATTAGCCAAGCAACAGTCCCATCTATCTGGGTTGGCAACGTCACATAGAGCGCTGTATCATGAGATGAACCCTCATCCTGGCTTATCCCCAGTCCCTGATATCGCAGATCCCGAGACAATCAACGCGCAGTCTGAGAATGAGGCCGTGTATCGACAATTACTCGTCCAAGGCACTCTGGCGATTTTGTTGCCTACAGATGATCTGGAGAATGGTAGCCTTCGCGCATTAGTCGGAGACATTCTGGCAGACCTGATCCTGGGCAAAGCTGTTGGGGACCGAATATGTGAAGGAGTGTTCCTCTATGAAGTCATCACTAAGCTCACGGAGATAATGACACATCGTAAAAGCCCCGAGACTACAGGCTCCAAGAGCGCTGCCCCTACTAATCGACTAGAGAAATTCGGTCTGCTCTCGACCAACGACGAACCTGCCTGCCCGCAACCAGCCACCCAATCGCAGGTCACAGTCTGGTTATGGAGCGTTCTCCAAAGCATCTATATTGGCTACGTTGCCTTGCGTTTCATTGCGACGGGCCTATTCCGCGTCGCATCGAATCCTGCGCCAGGATCCTCGCACGGAGCCAGTATCTCATTTCCCGCTGCAACGCCGGATCTTCCCAAGAAGGACTCGAAGTCCTCCTTGTCAGACGGTATCACCAATAAGCGCCCGGTTCTAGACTACCGAGTGGTTTCGATGGCTTCACAGTTACTTGGGACGTCCCGAAGAATGCCGTGGCTTTCTGGGCTCCTTGCTCTTATCCAGCACCTGATACTGGCTGGACCAGGTCGCATTGGTGACACGGACGGAGTCCTTGACAGGTGAGTCTAATTCTATCCGGAGCATTTTCCTGTATCTTTTCTTGTTTTATCCCTCCGGGCTCGGGCCTTCCGAGACGGCATGAACTCTCGACTGTGGAGCTACTACGATCTCCGAACCACGATCTACGAGGGTCAAGTGCCACTTGTGCGAGTCATGGTGGGACGAAGAAGCGTCCTGCTCGCATGCAGTTGCGATCACTTGATCCTGTAAGAAATATTGCATACGAAACGGGGATGGTAATATACTGTGACTCTTACTTACGGGTACGGTCATTACCGTCCTGCTGACGGAGCGATTCTGGCCTATGATTGGCCAGTTGCAACTTGGCCCGAGCATCGATTTGCGTGCAGGGTTGCTTTTCTGGGTCTTCTTCTCCCATCTCCACCTGCGTCTCATTTTACTGTCATGATAGCGCCGGGGCCCGGCCCTTTCCGTGCCGCTTCTCATTCACTGGGTCTCGAACTACTGCTGCCGAAATCTGTTCATTTCTTTGAAGTTGCGATCTGCAAAGGAAATCAAAAACAAACCGCAAAATGCACGAACAGAAAATCAAAGAAAAGAAAGCAACAAAGAAACTTTTGGCTGCCGAAGGACGTTCAAACTTTACTTCGGCCGGACGGGGCAAATCGCATGCACGAGCAGAAATCGTCTGATGCCGATCCCTCATCGGTGGGCGATGAATGACCATGCCCCTTTGAGAACCTGCATGAAAAAAAATTGGTCGCCGAGGCTAGTAAATTCCGTCGCTTGGGTCCAATCAGCGAAATTCCTGGTAGCGATATTTCGAATTCGCATCCTGACCGAGGCTGGCGCATGAAGCCCGCAGGTTGGTGCCAGGGCCAGGCACGCTACCGGGATCTTACCCGCCTGAAAGAGAGGGGAAAGGGGGCTAGGCAAAAAAGGCACAGCCATAGACCAAGAAAAAAAAGAAAGGATGAGGCAGGACCCGCATTTCGCCTTGTTTTTTTCTCTTTTACTTGCTGGTCGCCTCGACGTTTCCAGGAGTGACATCCCTGGTACACACCAGATAACTGGCCCAAGCTCCCAGCTCACATCCACTAAGCCGATCATGCTCCGCCTACCCACCCCACTTTGCTCTCATCCTAGTCAATTGGGGTCAAACCGAAGTCCTTCTTGGCGGTGGGACTACTCTGAAGGAAGAAAAATAAAAGGCGCGGCTTAACGTCCCGGCAGAGCTCCACAGTCGAGACCAACAAAGAAAAAAAAAGAGCCATTCTCCGCTTCACTTTGTTTTTTGTCTACTCTTCGGTTCAACCGATGTCATAATTCATTATTTGAGATCTTTGGCTGACTCCACTCTGTTTAGATTCCTCCGGGAAACCATTGAGGAATTCGTCCTGCCCCCCACTTTGTTGCCCAACCTCCTTCTTGCAACGAGGACCGCTCTTTTCCCAGCCAATACCCGTCCAGTAGCAGTAGCAGCGGCCGCTGCAAGTAGTACTGGTGCCCCGGCTTCAACTCCGCAGGTGTCCGTGCCCGCCCTAACGCCTAGTGGGAAAAGCCCCACCACGGCACCAGCTCCTCAGATACCCATTACGGAAAAAGCCAAGCTTAATCCTGGTAGCGAGGCGATTGGTAAAAGTAGTGCCGACAGTAGCAGCAATCATGTTGCTAGCGGGAGCAACGGTGGCAGTCAAAGTAGCGGTGGCGTCAATGATCACCTGCCCGCAGCACCAGCGGTACTATCAGGACCTGCTCCATCCCCATTGACGACAGAGGCGATCAAGGATTCGACAAGTTCACCAACGGGATCGGAGAAAAACTCTTCGCTCCCTAATCCCGAGATCGACACTACCAAGCGGCGATGTGCAGCTAGTCTCCTGGCTTTGATTCCGCGCAATGTCGCACGAACCTACTTCGGTGTTCCGGCTGCCTCCAAACGTGATGGTACCTGCAGCACCACCACTGGGAGTTCGCCTTCCCTCACCTCCTCCTCTCCGTCTCCGTCCCCACCCGTATCTAGCGATGAGTCTGGTGTGGACCAGATGACCCGATCGTCATCCCAAGGGACGAAGCGGACGTCAGTATGTCCACTTCCAAACGATACCTCGGCGTCTACCCTGTCAGGGCCAAGGAATAGCGAATTCATTGCCGCTGAGAAATCGCGCACAGACATGGATGACGAGGCCGATAATGGTCCGGACGAATTGTTCCTCTTACAGTCGATCGAGACCGATCTATTAGATCCCTTTTCGGATGAGTACTGTAACAAACATCTTGTCTACTCCATTATCGAGACCGTCTTAGTTAGAATCATCCCTGAGCTGGCTGAGCACAGTGTCGCAGATCTAATGGAGGAACGGGGTATTGCCCCCGTGTCTGCTGGTTTCTAAGTGCATACATATACTCTCGTGATGCTAGATCTCGCTTTATGTTCCTGCATGATACATAACTTTCTTTTCTGGCGATATACTTTAATGAGACACATTTATGTTTTGTACAAGGCTAAAGTGCTTATTTTAAGTCTACTTTCAGTCTTGATCACGCATAGTGTAGATTGCAATCTGAACGTAAATGGACATTTCAGAAGGGAAGGGTATAAAATAATGTCATATTTTCGAGTGGAAAGCCAGAAGTGTAATCAATACTCATCCTGGCTTTTGAACACGAAAAATAAAACAGAAAAAGATTGAAGAAAGCGAATTAAGTAAGAAGGATTAATTCGACAACCGGCTGGTTCATATATAAGGTATCCAGCTTCTTTCCGCGCGAGCGGGCTCAGTTTAGAAAAGTCAAACGTGTAAGTACCGAATAAAGAGATTAGAAATAAAAATAGAGAATAAGGATTAAAGAGAGCGAGAAAGAAGGGGAGACCAAGCCAGTGCAAGTACACTGAATAGAAAATAAAAAGTAGAGGCAAAAAGGAAGGAAAGAAAAGAATAATAAAAACAAAATCAGGGAAAGGGTATGGGTATGGGAAAACAGGGGAACAAAAGAAAGCAAAAGAAAAAGAACAGAAACCGAAAGAAAAACAAATTCAAACTCCACGAGATGGCCCAATCCAAGAGCCACGATCACCGAGACCCTCCATGTAATTTACCACCGGGAACCCATGTGCCATATCCCATGTACCATGAAAAGCCGGGACGAGTAGCGGTCTCGTCAGTTCCGGGCGTTATATGCGTGTGCCAGCGCCAATTCAAAGCAAGTGTGAGGTCGCCCTCTGATTTGTGTATGATTCTGGATCTTTTGGGGATGTCCAGTATAGCCGAGTTCCAGATTTCGGCGTGGAAATGGAATACAGATGTATTGAAAGGTGAATGGCAAGAGAAACGTGAGAAAACGTGAACAAAGCATCAAAAACAGAACAAAAATCAGAAAAATAGCCGCCCAGGGGATCAGATCAGGGGAATCATATAGTGGAAGGAAATGAGAGTAAGAGTTGGGGCAGATGCAATGCGAGAACGAAAATGAAAATAAATGCAAGAACAATGCGAAAGATTTGTCGAAAGAGGCCGGGTCTGGGGCCTAGCCGAGGTTGTGGATGCTGCGTTTCTTGGTCACACGGGGTCCATCTTCATGCTCGTCGATTCGAGGAAGACCGCCGAGGAAAGCATAGCCTTGGCTTTTTGCTAGCTCGAGACGCTCCATCAGCTTGCCGATTGTGACGTATTCTTGTGCTGCGAGGCCAGATGGCTGGTGTTGGAAGTAATTCATCACAAGTTCCAGGGCTTGACGGGCTTCATCTTGTGTCGGGGATCCGGGAGTACTGATGGGCGATACGGCGGCGGATTTAGAAACCACTGGTGGTGGTGGTTGCATGGACTTGGTCTTGATCTCGGGGTTGCTGCGGTTCCGCTTGATCAGTTTCCTTGGGTCTTTTCCCTTGATGATCGTAAGGGATTTCTCGTCGTCGAATTCCAGGGGCGATTCGAGGATGGCAACCGGTCCTGCCTTTCGTTGGTCCGTCTTGCCACATTCTCGGTCGATCGAGTGGTCTGCCGTGATTAGGGTTGGGTCGATCGGGAGAGGGAAGGTCGAGCTGCGGGGCCGGTTGTTGTTGTTACCCGAGTACGGAAGACGGGACTGGCTAGTCGGCGTAAAGGGGCTGTCCGAGACCAAAGTTGAGCTGGGGCTGATCATTCCACTGGAGGAAGTATCCAAGGAAGTGGTGCTTTTCGAATGTCCATGGAGATAGCCGCCCGACAGTTCAGGGACTGTATCGTATTCCCGCTTGATCCGGTCTGGGCTTTGGCCAGGGGAAATTGGTGATCCAAATACATTGGTAGGAGAGACGGGAGATTGAACAGGACTCTTGATGGCGCCGTTGGAAAAATTCGTGTTGATACGAGTAGGGCTGTTGGACCCGCTTCGTCGGGCATCAAGAGAACCCCTGCGTGACGTAGCACCCATCAGGTTGTTCTTCTGCTTGAATCGCTCCAACCAAGCAGCAGTGAGCACTTTATCTTTACCCTCGGGGCACCCGCAGGTACTGGCAAAGAACAAGGCTTTCTCCTGGATCATCTCATCATTGATTGGGTAGCCCCCGCGTTGGTAGTTTCTGACCCAATTTGATAGGGCCTTCTCAATATCAGGAACCCGACCCTTGGACCGTTTAATAGGTGACCGACTTCCATCATCGGGGTTCAGATACTTTTCTTTCTGTCGCAAAACTTTGGAAACAGTACTAAAAAAATAATGTTAGGATGAATCTGATAAACCGGGGAAACAATCCATGTACCTTCTTTCGACCCCAAATAATGCTGTGTGCCGAATGTCAGCCAAATGGCCCCCACATGTCTCTAAATCAATGTAATTGTAATCTTACCTCCAATATCAGTTTGCTTTGCAGTCTTGTGTTCTTCGTGGTATAAACACATCTGCCGACGATCTTCGTCGGTCAGGGTTCTGCGCGGAGTAGCTCCTCCGGTAGAAGATTTCCGGACTGGAGGTGTGGGCGCAGAAGGTGAAACCGAGATTGGCGCCGGGATTGGTGGAAGTCCATCATGAAAAGGAGAATGGTTCGTAAGCATGCTCGGCCACGCATGTGAAGGCATCGGGAGTGGCATCGAGGTGTAAGGTGGCGGCAGAGACATGCCGTACCCATCCACCGCCATAATGGGCGAAGGACCATACTCAAACCCACTAAACTCAGGCATCGGAGGAGAATTATGAGGCGAAGTAAATGGACCACCCAAATCTACCCAGGGTGAATGTGGGAATTCCCCTTCTGGCGCATGGGGTTCCGTCTCCATGGCGGATGAGTCCTCCATGGACATCAATGTTGTGAAGTTTTGATTTTCTTCGAAATAGCTGTACCTGATAGGTTCCAGCAGGATCAAAGGAAACAAAAAGCAAACGAATAAAGCCCCCAAAGCAATGGGAACAATGTGGTTAGAGGTGAGACAATGGGAGATAATGCATGTTCCACATACAACAACCCACACAGAGACCCCAACCCCGTATCAAATTGAGGGTGAGAGAGACCACTTTAGACAGAGAGTGATGAAATTGCCGCGCGAGAAAGGAATCTCTTTAGAAGCAAGCTAGTCGCCTAATAAAGAGAAAGGGCGCGAAAGAGGATTATACATGCAGGAGGGAGGGGAGAAAGATGCGGCATGCGGGTAAGGCAATGGGCGGAGTTAAAAGGAAACCAGTACTCAGACGATCAAAAATCGCGTGGATTAGACAGACCGTGAATCTCGATTGCAACTGGCAGAAGGACACAGAGTCCGGAGAAATCCATTGATAACCTTCTGCCCCGAGAAGAATACCGCCGATCTACGCTGTGATTGGCGGATACCGTGAAAAAGCCATTCGGACTAAGAAAAGAAAAATATGGAAATGGTTAAAGTGAAATTTTGTTGAGCAATAAATTCGAAAAATACCCCTGTAAATGGTGAGGGGAACGGCTGGTTGGTCCAAAGCCATATAATGGCGTTGCATCTAGTTGCGTACCTGGTTCATGTATTACCGTGTCATGTATGCCCTGTATCGTACTCCAACTACTCTATAAAATAGGGCAAACGCGGGAAGTCCGATCTTCCATGGTAATTTGGCCTTATATGAGTCTTTTTTTGATTTGATTTATTCCATGGATTCTATTTCCCCTCTAATCTCTTCATTTTGACCAGGGTTGAACTTCAAAACTTGGGTATAATTCTGACAGAATTGTTGGGCATCCCCAATCATTCCCATGGTCCCAAGTTCCCCTAGTTACTAGTAACTCTATGAGGGTCCCAGGATCCATGGTTCAGTTGTATTTTTGAATTTACCTCTTCAGTATCCGTCCGTTCCCGTTTTTTGACGGCTGTCGGATCCTTCAGCATGACTCGCCGTTGTCGGTGAAACTATAGGACATCCACAAATCCTCGGTGGGCAATCAGAGGCAGATCATCCGTATGCGAAGTACGGAAAGGCGACGCTCCAGGTCGATCATCACCATGATTTGCTAAGAACCGGATAGCCCATCGATAAACCGCCGAACTTAAAGCCCGCATGACATCCGTGTAGGACGGACAGGACGATCAAGTGGAAGTAGAGCGATTGCGGCGGTGCTCAGTTCATCCCGCTCATCTTTTTTAGGATAGCAGGCTCCAACGGTCGGTTTACCAAAGCGGCCAACAAGAGCGTCGCATCCCAGTTTTTTATCCATACCATGTGATATAATCAGGGGCACGGAGCTTCGCCTCAGTCGAGATGAAGGTTGCGAATTAAAAGCTCGAAGAGATGATCTCTCTCATGACTGGACCAAACCTTTCAAATCAAAATTGCAAGGTGGTGGGGGCAAAAATCGGGGTAGCAGCAGGAGAGCACATCCCTAGATTGGATTGAGCAACGATGGATCTGTGAAGGACATGCCGATCTCCTTCATTTTGGCCATCTTCTGACTTTGCAATTTTGGTCAGGATTTGGTTATTTGGGAATTTTCCTCTGTTTTTTTGAGCCAAAATGCATCATGACACGGCAAATGGGCAAATGAGGAGCAACATAGCTTCTCTCCTATGGGCGAATCCCCCACGCCCATTCGCTTGTGCACGATACGGAATCGATACAAGGGCCGAACTTGGTGGCTTAGACTGGTCCTATCACAGGGCAGAAGTGGCCTCTCGGCGAAGAGGGGGGAACTCTCCAATGATGCGATCGTGCCTTTTTAGCGCTAACTCTCAGCCCTCGTTTTTTGCTTTCTCCACTTTCAACCCTGCGCGACCCACAGCGGTCCTCTCCGGGCCGGGAACCTTCAGTAAAGAATGACAAGAGCGGATAGCCTGATCATCAAACAGCTTTTTGCACGGATCTTCGCCGGGGGCGTCCCATAGTGGGGGGCAAGACAGAAGTGGTAAGAGAAAAATAAAGGGAGATGATTACGCGAGCCGAAAGTAATGTATGGCTTAGTCCTATTGATCGGGATTTCTTTGGATGCGGTCTGGGTCGCATCCACGATTACGAGGATACACTTTCCCCGCTTGTTCGAAAACCCACGAGGGAACAAATGTAGAATCGGACTAGATATTTCAATATCTACATGTAGATTCCCAGGGACATTATTTTTCGTGGTTGATTCCAGACATACTCCCTCAATGTTTGGGGATGGCATGTTTAACAAAAGAAAAGAAAGGTGACAAATTATTTTGTAAGTTTGGGAATTAACCGTCGGTAACAGCGGGTTTTGATTCGTCCATTAGATCAATCATTCCTGCTTGTTGCCGGATTTTTTTGCTAGCTTGCGCCAGTCATATCGTTTCTGACTGGAAAATTCTTCTTAGTGCATCCTTCGCATTTTGCTTTTTTTCATTTCTTAGATGGGCTGACGCCATAATTCGGGGGGTCATATTGGTATCAGATATCAAGACCCACTGGTCAGTGGATTGACCAGTGGGTCCATGCAACTGGGGAATTGATGGATAATTCCTTGACTCGGGGCTTTTCAACGTAGTAGATAAATCTCTGGTTTCGGAGCAGAAGAAGAAACGAGTATAGGCCGGTCAGAATTAAAATTCCCTGTCTCATGGCCTGGCTATAATTGCTTCTTGAATATCCACTACGCTTCCCGCCCTGTCATGCGCGATAAGGGGCCTGAGTGCAATGCACCGTTAGACTCAGGAACGGACTGAACAGACTGGTCGGGGAACACAAGGTCAGGATGCATGGAGGGACAAGGATTAGAACCGGGTTGATAGTTGGGTCGAGTCAGGTACCGATCATTAATTATGATTATAATCTGTAATTTCCCTAGACCCTCGGAAGTTGCCCTAACGAAATATTACGGCCGAGCTTCGCAATGCTTTCCTGATGTCGATCGCCTCCCCAAACCAGGAACTATGGAGTTTAAAAAGACGAACCAGCCTTATTATGTCAAATGACGAAACTCCCTCTCGTGGGTAATGAACCTGTATGCTCATTCAACTCCGGGGAAAGATTGCAAACCCGGCTAATGCAATGCAATGCAACGGGGGCGACCGATGGATCCTCCACGAGAAAGTCCACATACCCGGCACCGGTACTACAACAGTCACCTGATGAGAAGAATTCTACAATATACTGTCATGGGTACATTCATTAATTAATTCTTACGGCCCAACAAGAGCCACCGGTATCCAGGTGAATCCTGCCGATCTTGCATCAGATCGTGAACAGCTCTCCGTGTGGTCTGGGCTGTCGAGATCGGCGATTTGCGGGCGAGACTCCACTTTGGGGGCAGAAAGTCCGTCCTCCGCAACAATTTATACCCAAATGTGGTCAAGCTGTGCCCTAATTGGGCAATACTTCCCAATGACATGACCATACACCTGTTGTGACACCTGAATCCGCGTACTCCGAGAGTCACCGGGTTCCATGGGTGGAGTTGATCAGATAACCCGTAAACATCGTATGCCCACATTCACCGCTTGTTCTCGTTAGCTTCTCCCGAACTATCTAGCTCAGTCACGTTGCAATGCAGGTCAAACCAGGAAACCAGAACGTGATGCAGATCCTGAGAGAGCACGTACTTTTGACCATCCCAAATTTCGGTCTTGACTCGGCTGAGCTCAGCTATACTTTGGATTGACATATCATTTTTGCTTTGTCCCCCACCCCCTCTCTGCAATTCATGACCGACCCTATCGGATCCCCTCGTTCTTTGTCGGTTGATTTACCCGGAGCTTGCGGGTATACGCATCCCCCCGAATTCAGCTTCATGATCACCGTTGCCGAAGTAGCACAGGTGGGTATATAGGTCAGTGCACGGGGTCGCGGCCCTTCCATGTATGTAATTGTCGGGTCGAAGCTATCAATTCCCCCCGGAGCTTTGACCTGGCTGACCTGACGACTCGTGGCAATCTGTGGATCGGTAAAAGGGGAAACCGGGGTTTGTCCACGGGGGCTGGACCGGGGAGTTGCCAATGTTTGAGCTAGCAAGGATGTTAGTGCAGGACGGCAGAGAAGTGTAGTAACAAGGCTGGAGATGGTACCGATAAGGAGTATATACCGGAGGCGTCATTGGCTGTAACCGAGAAAATAGAATGCAGGTCGCAAATTGGTTCCGTGAAGGGTAATTGTGGCTTAATTTCTGATTATTCATATGGTCTTTTGTATGATTGTCGATATTAAATGGACTGATCTTTGGACCAAAAAGCAAAGTCGACACTATTCATCGTCATCTTTAAATTTCGCTGTTTTCTTCAACGAGGCGCCGCCACGGGGAGGTGTACATGTAACTAAATTATGCAGTAGATGGTCTGGTTGACAATGCATTCGATCTAGAACTTTTGGTTTTTTTTTTTTCTGGGCTGACACTCAAGAACTTTCCCAAAGATCAGGTAATCATAACAATATGGACCGGTCGCTTTAAAGGCCAAAATAACAGGATAACAAGATTGAGACATGGCGCCCGCCAAGACTGTCAACAAGACGCCCATGGCTCGCGGCCCCTGACCCTTGGGCTTTTCTCCAACTTGACCTCGTGGGTTCAGGTCACCGAGACAGGGGATGGGATTGAAAATCACAATAAGCAAGTGCATGCATGCATGCTCACCCAGCAATCAATCTCCACTCTCAGAGCCTTAACAAAACTCTGAGAGGCCTAATTCGACATAACTGGTTGTCCGTGCGAGAGCGATTCTCGCGATCCAACCACACTTGGGTTCTGTGGCGTCTTACAGGGAAGATGGCTACAGTCCAGAAGCCCGTACCTGTCATCATGGAGACACTTGGGTCAGGTATTTTCTGGCACAGCCCAATCTGCCACCCCCAGCATGTTTTGAACCGACTCGTCGCCTCGCCCAGTGGGCTGTGATGGTCGAGTATCGGAGTGGAATCCATTACCGCTTAACAATAGACACTAGAAGCCACTGTCGTCAGCATTTTTCCATTGTCTCAGTTTCCGAGTCAAAAAGTACGCACCAATATCCTCGTCACCCAGCTCGTGCGCAAGACCAACACGCTGAGGCTGGTGCTTGACAGATTTGCCATACACAATGGCATGCTTGAATTGTTCCTTGATCGTGCGGTGAATTTGGTTACACTGAGTACATTGTTAGTAAAACACATCGAATGACAAGGTCAAAGTCCCTTACGAAATCTTCCACGGTGCATGAACCAGCACGCAGAACAACAGGTGCTGAGTAGTCGGGTGCCCTGCCCTTGGGCTTGGTGTAAATTCTGCGCAGGTTAAGCTTCTCCCACATCATCTCCAGCAATTCGTCGACGTTCCAGCCGTGCTCGGAACTGATGGGGACAGCGTTAGGAATTCGGTACAGAAGATCCAACTCCTCAATAGAAATGGCGTCAATCTTGTTGAGCGCATAGACAACGGGGATGTAGCTTCGACTCTTGGCTTCCAAAACATCAATCAAGTCATCAATGGTCGCGTCGCAACGAATGGCGATATCGGCGGAAGTGATCTTGTACTCGCTCATGACGGCTTTAATTTCCTGTTCCTTGGTGTGAATGGCCGCTCACGGGGACTGCAAGTTGGATAAAACTCACCTCGGGGGTAATGTTCGTCAGGGGAACGGTGCTGGTGATCGCAATACCACCCTTCTCCTTCTTTTTGAAGTTGATGTTGGGAGGCGACTTGTTGATCCGAATACCAAAGCCCTCCAATTCATTCTCGATGACCCGCTTGTCGACCAAGGGCTTGTTCACATCGAGAACAATAAAGATGAGATGGCAGGTCTTGGCCACGGCAATGACCTGACGACCACGACCCTTGCCGTCTTTGGCACCCTGAATAATACCGGGGAGATCGAGAATCTGGATCTTGGCACCGTTGTACATAACCTGTCCAGGCACGGTCGTAAGGGTTGTGAACTCGTAAGCGGCAGCTGCAAAGAGAGTCAGTATGCGGAAGAAAGATGACAGGCTATGCTTAAACATACCTTCGGAGTGCTGGCCAGTGAGCCTGCTCATCAGAGTACTCTTTCCGACAGAGGGAAAACCAATGAAACCACTGAACAAAATGTGAGCAACCGGATAAAATCGCAAATCATTACTTGTCCATGGCACTTACACACTAGCAACACCAGTGCGAGCAACATCGAAACCGGCTAGATGAATCCACATTAGTGATTTGTCTAGTATATAGAAGTCCTCCATGCGACTTACCACCACCGCCACCACCTCCACTGGTCGGGGTCAAGAGCTCTCGCTTCAGCTTAGCAAGCTTAGCCTTCAACTGTCCTGCACCGATTGTCAACCTTGTCCATTGTCGTGATTCAATCTCGCTCGTTCGTTCATTCGGTGTTTCGTACCCAAGTGGTAAGAGGTGTTCTTGTTCTTCTGAGTCCGAGCCATCTCGGACTCGACCTCCTTAATCTAAACCAGTACAAATCCCGTTAGCATTGTCCTGGGCGCAATTCGAAGATATTCGAGTCCCGCACTAACCTTCTCAATTGTGGTCGACATTTTGGCGGTCAAATATCACAGCAGGCACAGAGCAAAGGAAGAGAAAGGTATCCTAGTCGATACCACACAGATGGCTCTCTCCGCGGAGTAGATTCTCTCTGCAAAAAAAGCGACTCGTAAGTTGTGGCGAACAAAGTGCACCAAGGGTTGCGGAGACCACAATCTTTGAATTTTAGTCAGGGCGGGGTGCACGCCTGAGGCAGTAAAAGTGGGAAATTATGTCATATGCTGCCTGACGACTCGGGCCGTAATATAGTTGCCTCAGGCAGTTATCGCTTATCGACTGCAGGAACCAAAAATTGTGGCAAGTAACTTTATTCGAATAGTGTGCAAGCTTGTTGTTCGCGATTTTGTAGGTCAATTGCGAGTAATTTCTCTTTTCGCCTGCTTCAAACCTTTCATTTCGTCCCACCTCATTGCACAGTGGGGAAAGAGGACCTCAGTGAAGCGGCACTTCCGGCTTGATCTCAAACTCCGATAACGGTTTCCCTCCTTGTCTTTTCCTGAAGACCACACCAACGCGTCATATCACTACAGTATCACTACAATAACAAGTCGGAATCTCCATTTCGGCCATGCCGTTCCTCCGAAACGGGTCTGAGACTCCTAAAGACACTGAGAAAAGCTTAAATGCATTTGAAACGCTCGTGCATGATCTTAGTGCGGCTCTAGGCCCGAGCTCCGGCCTTGACTCGGATGATGTTGACCCAAAGACTATCGAACTTCTCATGGAGAAGTATGTCTCCAACTCTGAAGAGTGGGAGGCCTGTGCCTTAGGAGATGCCAGCAGATCTTACACACGAAACCTCATTGATGAGGGAAATGGCAAGAGCAACCTGGTGAGTCCAATATGATATATAGCCCCAAGTATGGATCTATTGCAGGTATGCCACACAGTCTTACTAATAAAGCTTCCCAGTTGATCCTTGTCTGGAGCCCCGGAAAGGGCAGCGCAATCCACGACCATGCCAATGCGCACTGCGTCATGAAGGTAATGTTGCCATAAGTGATGCCGGGACTCGGGACTGACTGTTTTGTAGATTCTCAAGGGAAAGCTACAGGAAACACTTTACTCCTGGCCTGATCAAGAGAAAATTGAGCAGGGAGAGACATCTCCCCCTCAGATTACTCGACAGACGGTTTATGGAGAGAACCAGGTTACTTACATGTCCGACAAGGTTTGCGATTGTGCTCAATGAGATTTTATCAGGAAACAACAATGCTAACCTACATGAAGCTTGGCCTTCACAGAATATCCAATCCGGACCCGAAAAACTTCGCTATTTCGCTTCATCGTGAGTTTTTACCTTGTCATTGACCATGGAACGTCCACTCATACTTTATCTAGTTTACACACCACCTAACGCAGCTAAGGAAGGCTTCTGTCTCTATGACGAGAAAACCGGGAAGGCAAAACACATCAAGCAAACCCACTTCTATTCTGTTCGTGGAAAGCGTCTTGACTATGGACAGCACTAGGGACATCTTCTCTTTTGTCTGATGTTTTCTTTTTCCAGGTGGACTCAAGACCAACTGTGCATTCGAAGCATTGACTTTCAGAGGCATAATGTATAATGATTGAATGACAACATATCTTTATGAAATCTACTGGCTTCTTACTACATATCACAATCACCACTGCACCCGATAATGTTGGAATTTTCTATTTTAGGTACTTAGATAGTGAGGTCGAGGGGGCGCTCTCTGGAAAGATCAGGTGTATCCGGGTGATGAACCTTTTGATAATTTGACTCTTTAGAATTATTCCTCTTTGGACCTCGTTGATAACGATCTATGGGAAGCTCCCGAGTCCCGAGAGTGGTCTCGCACTCGGCTTTTCGGAGCTCGCGATCGGAGCCGACCGATATCCGCGATGCGCATGAATAACCACCGCTTATCTCCTATTTATACTCAAAGATTCCCAATACGTCCACCAGAAGCAAACACTTGAATCCAATTGCCAAATGAGGCTCATACAATTATGGCGTCCGAAGATCATAAACTCAATACCGACACTATCAGGACCGTGGACCCCATGGATATTGAATTAGCTCCAGTCAGCGATCTCAGCAAAACAGACGACCCATTCCTGGTAGCATTCGCGGAGCCTTTCGACGCAGAGAATCCTAAGGACTGGCGCTCAGGTCGGAAATGGGCCGTCACCGACGTGCTCTCCGCAACTGGCTTCAACCGCATCATGGTATCCACTATCATGGCCCCGGCATTGTCGACAATAGCCAAGGAGTTCCACATGAATTCTACTGAGTCGGCCATGGCGCTGTCGATTTACTTGTTAGCCACTGCATTCGGTCCTTTGGCTATCGGACCGTTGTCGGAGGTATATGGTCGAAAGCCGATTCTGCACGCGTCGAATATTTGGTTCTTGATTTGGAATATTGTGTGTGGATTCGCGACTAGTAAGGGGCTGCTAATTGCATCGAGATTCCTGGCTGGCTTTGGTGCTAGTGCTATCTATGCGCTGGCTAATGGAGTGCTTGGTGATGTGTGGCGGCCAGAGCAGCGTGGTCGTTCTTTGGGCGTGTACTTGCTTATTCCTCTGCTAGGCGCAGCTGTTGGTTCGCATGCCCGATCCTACAACCTTGACTCTCCTTTTTGCTAACATCTACATAGGTCCCATTATTGGAGGCTTCATGGCAGAGCGCACGACCTGGCGCTGGATGTTCTGGTCGACATCTATCTTCCAAGCCGTGATGATCGCTGTTTCGTTCACATCCTTCCATGAGACATATGCGCCGTTAATTCTGCGCCGTCGGGCGGAGCGTCTTCGACGTGAGACTGGTGACTCGCGATACTACACCGCAGATGAACGTCTCAACGCAAACAGATCACCTACCAGAGTCTTGGGAAGAGCGCTGACCCGTCCACTTCGGCTTTTGACCTTTCACCCCATTATACAAATATCCTCGCTTATCTCCGCATTTTATTATGGTATTTTGTACATTGTGCTATCTACCTTCTCCGATCTATGGACCAAGCAATACAATGAGTCCATTGAGATCAGCGGATTGCACTATATCGCGGTTGCCCTTGGTGAAATTGCAGGTAGCCAGATATGTGCAAAACTTATGGACGGGCTGTACCATAGACTCAAAGCTCGTGCCAATGGAGAGCACGCTCCAGAGCTCCGCACCCCTTCTATCTTCCCAGGAGCTCTTCTTGGTCCATTGGGTCTGTTCCTTTACGGTTGGGCTGCTCATTATCATTTACATTGGATTATTGTTGACATCGGTGTATTCATCACTATGCTTGGCATGCAGATCACTAGCATGCCGATGACGGCCTACATAATGGAGGCCTATCCAGAGCACACAGGAAGTGCGGGTGCTGCACAGCAATTCATGCGCAGCCTTACAGCCTTTTTGTTTCCGCTTTTTGCGCCGACTATGTACAATGTACTCGGATATGGCTGGGGTAATACTACTATTGGACTTATTGGTTTGTTTGTTGGGCTCCCGGCTCCATTGATCATTTGGTATTACGGTGCCACACTGAGGGCGAAGGCGGGGAGAATATATTAGTCAATATCCTTGCAATCGAAGCATTTTAGCGCTTGACGTACAACCATATGGCGTGGGTATCGCTAAACAAATATAAAACTATTGAAAGAGCTTGCTCTTCCTTCGCAAGAGCGGTCCATAGGCTCTGAAAACAAGAGGAATCGGAATCATAACAGCAGCCAAGCATCCAAGTAGCGTGCAAGCCCACTGGATTCCCATACCTTCAAACATTTGCTTAGTGAATAGTGGGAAACCTGCAGCGACCGACGAGCGCATAATGATGTTGGCAGCAACAGTAGACGCTGCGCTATGATCTCATGTTAACTTTCTTTGCTATTTCAAATTACCAGTGCACCACTTACAGTGAGATATAAGAGTCGACGAGGTAATTGAAACACGGAAGAAAGACGCACAAAACTCCGAACCCAATGAAAATCCCTGCTGCAGTGGGGACAGCCCAATGGATTGCAGGAGTGAAGCCTGTCCAGCCGAACCTAAACACAGAAAATCAGCATATAGCCAATAAAGAATCAAGTAATACTCACCAGAAAATCCCCATTGCAAATACCGGAGCCCCAACTATAGTAGGGGACAGTCGCCATTCAGGCACTGGGACATTCTTGTTCTCCGCTAGTTTTCGTGCATACTTCCCCTGCTGGGAAATAATGAAAGAGCAAGCCATGACCTGACCAATAATCAAGCCAATGAATGGTAGCCCATCCACTCCGATGCTCATCCCATATGTATGTTGAAAGACATATGGATATGCTTCCAGAAGCGCATACACCAACCCATAGATAAAGGACATGTAGAGAGAAACAAGAAGAATGACCGGTTCGGTAATCAGCATCTTCAGCGGCCGCGTAAAGTACTTCTCAAAAAGCTGCATAAAGTCCACCTCAATCTTCTCATGCTTTGCATGAATCGCCCAGTTCCCACTCTGCTGACGTAGATAAGCCGCTTTCGCAACTAGTAAACACGGGGCGTAGGTTTCACCAAGAAAGAAAAGCGAAATAACACCATTAGCAAAGCTCAGGATGGCAGGTAGATAAAGGGTCCATCGCCATCCCAAGTAACTAGCTGTGATGAACCCACCGAGAAACGGCGCTGTGAACGGTCCAACAAATACCGTCAATGCGTATAGCGAGATGGCCATTCCCCGATATGTATTGTCGAAGACATCTGCCAAGACGCCAGGAACAACGGTCAATTGACTCGCGCCACACATCCCAGCGAAGAAGCGACAGATTATCAGTGTCTGGATATCTTTGGCGACGGCTGACGCGATCGTGAAGATACCTCCCCCGAGCATAGCGATGGTCAAGGGCCATTTCCTTCCGCGTAGCTCGGAGGCGGGTGCCCAGATCAGAGGCCCGCATGCAAAGCCCAGGACGTAGAGAGATGTTGCGAGTGATCCTACTTCTGAGCTCACGTTGAATTCTGCGCTGGCGTTGTCGATTCCGGGGGCGAAGATGGCGCTGGTCAGTGAAACTATGAATGTTCCTGAACAGACTAGGATAGAGAAGAAAAGCCTGAGTTTTCAAGCAAGGTATAAGCAGATTGCACAGTCAAGTTCTGGCTTGAATCAACATACTTGGTAGAAAGTTTCCAGTTGTAGGGATGTGTTGGGTCATCGGGGCCTTCGAAATCGACGACATAGGCTTCCAGGTTAGGGGGTGGAGGAGGATACGCTCTTCCCAGCTCTGAGCTTTGCTTTTCGTTCATGGTACCTAGCTGTAACACATTCCTTGGTTCTGTGTCTGACTCGGTTGACGGCATATTGTGGGAATGCTGCACACGTATGAGGTAAAGGGGCTCTGGAAGACAAGGATGGGGATATTATTACAAGTAAAGTGATGAATTCTTTTTATTATAAACTATTGACTAGCTTAGTTCCTTTCAAGTGAATGGCTATTACGGATTTTTTGCGGGATGAATGATTCACATTAAAATGTTACCAAGTTGGAGCCGCAAATCCCGCAAGAGCCGCAATCACGATTTTGGCTGGATTCGCCACATTTAAAGGCAACCCAACCCCATTGCAAAAGCCACCTTGAACAGACTGAAGATTGTGAACATCAGACTTAAATTGAAATACGTGCTAATTGACATGCATAAGATTCGTTCCATCCAGCCTATCAGATAAAACCTCATAGAAACGAAGACGGATCCATCATATCTGCATTCAAGAACTGGTCAAGATCTACCCGTTGTAGCCCAGGAAGATCAGCGACGAGCGCTCCAAGCCACGAGTACTCCTCAGAACTTGGGTTGAGCTGCGGAGGAGACTCTATCGGTCTACCTTGCTGGTGAACATTAAGTGCTTCTCCCAAAACAGCTATATCGTCTTTTCTGCGTTGCTGATGCAACAAAACCAACAGACAAGCAGTGCTATATGCTTCTGCCAAAGCTTCCGTGTCATAGGTAGAGGCCACCAAGCTCAGGGTACGCATTGCTTCCGGAAGTATAGCCAGCGATGATCGCGTATCCATCGTGAGGAGAACACAAATGATTTGAAAGGGCACATTTGCGACTTGATGCCATGGTGAGCAATCTAGTACCATACTGCTAGCACAGTCAAGTCCTTTCTTCAATAGTATCAACACACGATCTGCTAGACTTGAGGAAATATCCATATTCTGCGTGTGGATTCGTCGAAGAATGCAAAGGGCGAGATTGCACTGTGCGAGGACTGATGGAGGTTGCGTGTGAGTTCCGTCCAGAAGCTTCGCCAGTATTGATGTGAGATCTGTTTCATCTTTTACTTTCCCTGGATCGAGACTAACTGAAATGGGCAAAAGGCCTAGGATTTCATCGGTATAGTCACCAGGTTTGGGCGATGGAGGTAATGGTAGGTCGTTCTTTTGAAATGATACTCGTGATAGACCCAGGTCGAAGGAAGTCCACATATTCAAGTGGTGTGCAACACCTACCAGTCGTCTTTGAAGGTCAGGGTCGCAAATAGCACTGTGTGGAAGGACGGAATTTTCAGGTGTCTCGGGGTGAAGACCTGCGGCCTCAAGGAGATGCATAAGAGTTGAGCTAGCTATCCAGGTCGAGTATGGTGAATCTGTTAAGCGAAGGTAAAATGATCTCAATACCCATCCAGTCAAGAGATCGATGGATGGAGGACCACTCAGATGGTGCGTGTTCAAGCAGCAGTTGGCCGTTCGAACCAAGTGTAGTTCCGTGACTGTGGCATGTCTTTGAGAGAATAGACAGCCAATCGCAGCGACTCCAGACAAGACACTATCGTAGATATCGGGTACGAGTGGCGATAGCCAACGTGCATCTAGTCTCTCAAAGAAGTTACGTCGATCGATAAACCCATAGCAAGGGTCCGCTTTGTCAAAATAAACTTGAGCCAGGGATTTCATGTGCTCAAGCGAGGTGATCTCGATGATCGATAGTGCAGAGTTCGGAACACTTTGAGCAGATAATTTACGAGTGCCAATATTCCACCCAAAGAGGTTAAGCTTCGGTGCCTTTGCAGGATCAATCTTGAGGCCAAGCTTCCTCACGAAAGCCGCCCCAGAATTGGCCTCTAAACGCCGGACCAACCCCGATTGATCTGTATCAATAGGGCTTGGACCCACAGTAGTCTTCGGAGAGGATAGTAGCTCGGGTTGAGCATCTGGTGTTGGTTGCGTGGCTGTTCGAGGCTTTCGTTGACGGGTTTCATAGTAGCACTCGTAGCCCCATTCAGAGCAAGTGATGCAGGGTTCATCACCATTGCACTTTCTTTTTCGCTCCCTGCAAGGCTTACAAGCCAGTCGGGATCGCTTCCTTTTTAGGGCCTGCATATCAGGCACATAGATATGGCTGTGTTGATAATGTGAAGAGCTGAAGTGGGAAAAAATGGGAAATGCGGAAATTGCGGGATTAGCGGGGTTGAAGACAAGAAAGCTGAGAAATAACAATTTGTAAGTACTCTTCGCTTTAATTTAGTCACCTAATCACTACTTACATGATCTCACATCTAAATAACCTATAATTATCTTCAAATATTTTCCTAATTTGTTTTGCTAAGATAAACGCCAACACCAAGCGACACAAGGGGTGAGGGAAATGAACGTGAATGACTTCATCGAGACACCTCGGTTAGTTCCCCTCACTCACCATGCACGTATGAGAAATTAATTACCTTCAATAACCCCAGAGAGCCAGTCAATATGGCCACGAAATTATTATCGCGCTACCCATGGACATCAAGACCGTTTGTCATCAGCGCGCCGATGCGCGTGATGTCAGGCCCAGCACTGGCAGTCGCAGTCTCACGCGCCGGTGGCTTAGGCTTTATCGGCCCCGGCATTAAAACAACAGATGTGGGCGTTGACCTCGAAGAAGCATCGGCTCTCATCCAGAAGACACGTTTCTCATCGCCAGTATTTAACTCTTTATCAAATCAAAATTCACCCTTGCCAGTTGGAGTCGGGTTTCAACTCTGGGGAGATAAGCTGACAGATGCCGTCGCTGCGGTTGGAAAATACAAGCCTTGTGCAGCTTGGCTGTATGCCCCTATTGACGCGAAGGATTACGACGAGTGGTCGCGCCAGATTCGTCAAGTATCTCCCCAAACCCAAATCTGGATTCAGATCGGTACTCTTGGAGAAGCGAAGCAACTTCTGCAGATATCTCAGAAACCAGATGTCATTGTTGTGCAGGGATCCGAGTCAGGTGGTCACGGTCGGGCAACAGATGGCATGGGCATCATGTCACTGTTCCCAGAGGTAGCAGATGCAGTTGCGAGCAGCCAGATTCCTCTGGTAGCAGCAGGAGGTATTGCTGATGGACGAGGAGTTGCAGCAGCCCTGTGTCTGGGTGCTTCAGGTGTGGCGATGGGGACTCGATTCCTAGCTGCTGATGAAACGCGCATTAGCCATGGATACCAAAACGAGGTCGTGCGTGCGTCAGATGGGGCTGTGAATACAACACGGACACTGCTCTACAATCATCTTCGGGGTACATTTGGTTGGCCGGCTGCATACAGTCCGAGGACAGTCATTAACAAATCATTCGTCGAGCAGCAGGAGGGTGCTTCCTTTGAGGAGCTCAAGGGTCTTCATGATGAGGCTTTGAAAGCCGGCGATGATGGATGGGGCCCAAATGGCAGGCTTGCAACGTATGCGGGCGCTTCTGTCGGATTAGTCCACAATGTGGCCAGTGCAGAGGATATTGTGCGAGAAGTTCAGGAGGGTGCTGTGAAGAGAATTCAGTCATTGGGATTTTAAATCGTCTAGCTTTGAACACCTCCTCTCGAGGTCTTGAACCATCTCCCAATACAAGGTCAGGGAGGATCGACAGGAGTAGTATTGCACCATCTGCAGTAATTAGAGCAGTGATCGTCCATTGCCAAGAAGGATCATTCAAACCTGACGGGAAATGATCAATGGAGATCCAAAGTGGAGGCCGTTAGTCTACGGGATGGATTACGAATTGCATTTGCGTGAGTACACCGTCCCGTCTGAAGTCTGACGATCAACCTCGTTCCGTAGTCCGGGATTCATTATTTGCCAAAGTTCCCTTTTTAAATCCTAGCTCCGACAATGTATGAAATTTTGGGTTTCTCTATGGCAAAAGATAGGTTTCATGGACCATGCTTCAGTCAGGTCATCGAAGCTACGTCACTCGATCTACGTTCATAACACAAATATTCAGCACCAAAGGATGTCCAGGTTGGCGGCATTTATTTGTCTATATATGATAAAAGAATGTCTCTCGGACTGAGAAAGTAATGTAGATATCTTGACAAATCTCGCAAGACAAGAACCCACATATTGATGGTACAGGCAGTCATATCATCGGCTTCGAAGTCCAGCCAGACTGCAGTGCTATTCCTGATTCAGGAGCTTAGTTGGAAGGCTGGGGAGCAGCGCAAACCTTGTTGCCCTTCTATTGAGAGAAGAGATGATTAGCGCATGCATATCTAAAAGTGCTGGAAAAACTTACGATCTGCTGGCAAGTCTGGTTCTGCTTGCAGTCGCCGTCAGTCTGGCACTGGTCAGTCTAGTAGAAGTTTAGTCTCAACAGCTCTGAATTTTCATTGCACGGAATACTTACGTTGCGCTTCTGGTTCTGGTTGTCGTTCTGCTTCAGGTCCTTGGGGGCAACGCAGACGTTGTCCTGGCAGGCAAGGCCCTTCACACAGTCACCCTTGACCTGGCAAGCACCGTTGGCCTGAGACTTGGAGTTCTCACGCTTGTTCTTGGCAGCAATGCAAGTATCCTTCTCGCAAACCAGACCCTTGCGGCAGTCACCAGTGCTCTGGCATTGTCCATTCAAGGCAACGTCAACCTGGTTACCCTTTCTAGATGTTAGACAAGTTCAATCTCAGGCTCTCAGCAAGTTACTCACAGAGCTACGCTTGCCCTTGGGGGCGAGGCAGGTGTTCTGCTCACAGACAAGACCCTTCTGGCAGTCGCCCGCCTTTTGGCAATCCTGGCCAAGCTGGGAGCTGGAGACATCGCGCTGCTGCTTAGGGGCAACACAGGTGTCATCTTGGCCACAGACAAGGCCCTTGACACAGTCACCGGAGACCTTGCAGTCCTGGCCGATCTCCGACAGAGTCTTTTTCATGTTAGATATGGGTATATTACAGCTATACTGGGTTACTCACGTCACGCTTGCCGTTGGTGGCAACACAAATATCCTTGTCGCACACAAGACCCTTAACACAGTCGCTGGTGACCTTGCAATCGCCGTTGAGGTGAACGAGAGGAGCATCACGCTTGCTCTGGGGAGAAACGCAGAGGTCCTTCACACATTGGAGGTTCTGAGTGCAGTCACTATCGGCATGGCATGCCTCGTTCAGGTGAGCCAAGGGAGTGTCACGGGTGACCTTGTTAGCAACGCAGTTGCCGGTGTTGTCACAGTGCTGGTTGGCCTTGCAGTCGGTGTCGGCCTTGCAGCTAGGAGGCTGCTGGGCCGGGGAAGCCATAGCGAGACCAGCAAGCATGGCGGAGAAAAGGATGGAAGTCTTCATTGTGGCGGGTATGTAATGGAATAATAGAATGAAAGTAGAGATTGGAATTGATCAAGTCAGATGTGAAAGAATGAATGTAATTGTTTGAATGATGTCCAGAGAGGTAGCACTGGAGGGCCTTTTATAACCTTTGGATCACAAGCAATGTTCCGTTTCCGAGTCTCGAGTTGGGTCTATGATGTCGATCTGAAGTTCTATTCCGTGCCACGCGTTGTATACATGGTGGTTCAATATGATGCTACACGCGTACAACCACCGAGGCAATGCCCAAGCGGTTAGGCCATGCCTTCAGTGTAGGACTTTGCATCATAAGAGTTATTGATCTACACTTCGGCGATGCGCGGGAAGGCCATTAGCTTCCGGCGTGAAGTGGACTGCCAAGATACCCAATCCTCAAGGCCCACAATGACACGAATCGCCGTACATCTTTCTCCCTTTATCATTGTCATTACAGACTATGGGTAAGTGTTTCGCACATTTTTGTGTTCATAATCAGTTTATGAGCTCAATACTAACTTACATAAAATCTGGATTCATCGAGAACCTCGGTAGAATATACACGCGTTTCAAACCCCAGATCTTGGTACAGGACCACCACGGGATAATCTCAAGTCTAGACCAGTTCAGTATTGCCGATCGCGCCAGAAAACACCAAGAATTATTAAACAAGATTCACAGTAATTATGATTCGGGACCTGCATCATAACGATAGTGGTTACGTTGGCGCCCCTTCTTCAACGCCCCCCATTCGTTAAAGCTTATTTTAGAACGATGATCCGCCAAGAGCCGGCCTAAGACTCCACAGTCGACGAATCCAATATAACGTTTACTCATATTCTGGGGCGGCAAACCCACATCGTGGTCGTCAATAGAGGTACGTAATCTTTCCACTCAGCCGTACCCCGGATTGAGATGATCAACATAAACATGCGTGGCGTGCATCCTGTGTCCCACCGATCCTCGTTACCAGAGATCTTAAATTAATTAAAAGAGAGATGATCGTTGAGAAATTTTTGGATAATGCTCAACCAGGCCTGAATGCGTAAGCAAAGATGCTTAGTTCGTTGAGTTCTCATCAATCCCGCCTTTGGGTGGGGGCGGCGCGTGTATGCACCCATATAGACTGGAGAATGTCCGCCGAGTGGGGCCTTCCTAGCTGCCGCCGCTTTTATGAGGGCGCTCAGTGACATTGACCAATAGAACGGCGCCAGTCTCGAGATATTGTCTGAAGATTAAATGCATGAAACCCCTGAGAATATTGACCTTACCTGGCTTATGCGGCTCTGTGAGCCCCACCGTGTAGGTCATGTGCCTCGGTGCTCCGGTGACCGGTGGTTACTGAATATAATACCACAAGCTTGTAATGTTCGCCCGTCTTGGCTGACACATAACGTGCTGTGCGATTAATAAAAGCTGCGGTGTCTCTAGTGATTGCCTCTAGTTGAGGCTCCGGGCCCAGGCTGGGTCACCCAATCATAACCCGGACCTAAAACCCAACCCGGCCCGGGGTTTGGGTTCTGCCCAAGAGGCAAGGTTGGGTTTTGCCCGGGTTATATTGGGTCGTGTATTAATCTAATTGGACAAGATTGCATTATACGCCAGTTCGTGTATGCGAGGCTAAAGTAGCACGGGCGACGCAGTGTTTCTCCCATTTGGAAAAGCCTACCTACCCGGGACTAATGGGATCCAACTACCTAGAGTGCCTCATTGTTGTAGCCTTGTTTGGCAATATACCTCTTTATGGTATATTTCCTACTGACAGCTTTATATATAAACTGTCCTAGTCCTCTATTTTGAATCTAAGGCGGTCTATTTCTCTGTCACCCTTACTCTGATATTTCACATACTTCCCAGTGGGCCTCGTTACTAAATACTAAGGAGAGGCAACTGTATCCCTACCCCGCACCCTATTGGTAGTATCCATCTGACTGTGAATAGAGCCCCCTGATATTCTACAATGTCGGGTCTATGCCGCAACTGCCACGGCCGGGGAACCCTACAATGCTCAGTCTGTCGAGGGTCTGGGAGATTATACAGAGTTTGCGGAGCATGTATGGGCTCTGGGCTTAATAGACTGCGTGAGAGTTGCTTCAATTGTCATGGAACTGGACATTTAAGACGACTTGTTACCTGCGGCAGTTGTGCAGGGGGTCGGATCCGCTGTCCACAGTGCTGATGGCCCGAGAACAGTCACCATGCGAAGCAAAGGTTGATAGTGTTCAGTATTTTCCTTCGGAGATTTGGGCTTTACTCATGTTGACTGCCCATGGAATTGTCAACTTTCAGTCTTTCCTGCCTCGGAATATTACTCCGCTAGGCAGCAGGGAGACGATCTGCTGTGACTACTGAAAGCTGGATCCTTTCATATCTATGCTCCACATCTTCAACGCCGGCTCCACTACGTTTCTATTCGTGGGACCATGTCGTGTCAATAAGGTCGGTGCTTGTACGCTAGTTTGTAGCTCGAGTCAATTTAACTAGTTGAAACGCCACATCACCGTTGTGGGTCTATCTAGCCAGATTACGAAAAGGGCATTTTTCTATATATTGACCTATAGGTCTTTGTGCTCGATGGTTTTTTTTCTTCTCGAAGGCTTTTTAATGTAAAGCCATCCGATCATAGGATATCAATAAAGCCGTATGATAGCTTTAACATTGTTGTTAGACTAAGTGAAGCAGCTGAGTCAACTGTGGTCCCACAGTGCGGTGGAATTGAAGATAATCCAGGTAATTTTGACCAGGGCCGATCTTGCTTGGCATTAGGGGGTGAAGTCGAGAATATTATATAGTACATGGAGTGGATATTCTATTACCAGGAAGAACGCCGAAGAATGAAAAGAATGGGTTCACATGGAACCAAGTATCTGCATCATCCATGCATCGTCAAGGCCATTGATAGGTAACATGGCGAGATCAGGGGCTGGTGGAACGAATTCGTCACCACTGAGATCACTCGACGGCAAGCTCGGATACCATACTTCCATAAGCTTTGGCTCCCATCCTTGTTTTAATGATTGGACTATTCTGGTTCCTTTTTCAAGGACGCACCAGTCCGGATCATCGGGAGACATGGTCGTTTCAATACATCTCTTCATGCTGTAACTTGTTCTGTCGAGATAGTCGAGGACATTGGCAGTGTTCCGAACCATGGTCTTGTCCCAGCTTGGATCTTCCAAAGTGGATAGTCTGAACAGGCTCACAATGACCCTTGAGAATTGGAAAAAAGATGTAAACGGAAGGGCCTGGCACAAAAAAGGTGAAACGGAGAGCCAGACATCTAGCCAGTTTTTAGTGGCATGTAGAGAGGCACAAAGGCTCTCGAGTCGGGAAAGCTCGGGGGATTGTGGGTCAATAGGGGCTTGGATAGCCCAATCGTGAATGACGAGCTCAGCGTTGAACACGTACGCCAAAACAGTTTCTATTCACATGGTCAGTGGATATCAAAAAGACAGTTTAGGTCAGGCTTACCATTTTGTTGTAGGTGTACGGGGATTTGTTTGCGTACAATATCAAGTTGCGCTTGAAATGATTTGATGTAGAAGCGTGATAGTAACTGGTCATCACCGTCTCGCCGAGCTTGATATACCTTGTCTGCCACCAATTGGATTTTGACCAGGTTTACCAGGATTTCATCCTCAGGGCATTCATGTGATTCTGTTAAGACGGTCAAACTTTCTTCCATATGTGGACTCCATCTCAAGGCATCAATCCGATTCAAGTTCAATGCAACACTAAACAGATTTTAATCAGCGGCCATAGAACGGAAAGTAATGAAGTAACGAAGAGCTTACCTAGACGTAATAAGAAAGCATCCTAGAACAGCCCTTCTTTCTTCCAAGGTTCTTGTGGTAATTATTTGTGGTTGCCAGCCCACTGCGCATTTGAAAGCCTGCAAAGTTGACAGGTCTTTTGGGACAGCTTTATTTATTCCCATGTCGCAGATGATTCCCATGAGCATGTGGGCATAGAAGTTGATAAATGGTCTCCTCTGAAAAGTATTCCTGGATATGTGAATAAGCTTTCATTGAAAATGAAGTTGTTCTGGATGTTCCCATAGGTTACTCACCATGATATAAACGTCATAAGTCCTAGGAGGATATCCATGTTTGGGGAGACCCCGACGATAATTTCTTGGTGAATGAGGTCTGTTACTTTGGTGAAAAGAATGTTCCTTTTACTCTCGCCTGGGGTGTTGACAGCCATGATGCATAGCCAGAGAAATGGCTTGTCGTTGCGAAGTTGCTGAGAGGTGACATGAGAGGGAATGTGAAGAAAAGGGAGTAACTTCAAGTTTTGTTTACGAAAGTCGTTGATGGTCTTTTCGGCAATGTCAGGGGCAATTTGCATTGAGGTGCAAACATCCAATATTGAGCTATTGTTTGGCGAAGGCATCGTAGGTGGTGGAGATGGTAGGTCAGTAGGGTGACACTGAAACGGTGATGGTTGCTTTGACCCCGAGGCGCTTGAATCCCAGTCTACGGGCAGACCGGAATTCGAATTGGTAGTTTGCAGTAACGAAACAATACTATCAAGCTTTGCCTCTAATTGAGCTGTTTTGGAAGCCGATGAGCGACTACTTCGCTTTCGCACCGTCGGCGACGGTCGACAATCTTTCTTCAGTCGTTGACATCTACGGGCGGTGAGCCTTTAATCTTGGGGGCGCCACATCGTTACTCACCTCTCACAACCTCTGCCGACTGTAAGCAAGATACATTTGCTTTTGGCTCGAGAGCAGTTGACGCATGCCCGGCCATAGGGAGCCGGGGTCCCACTTTGGCTTGGACTAGTGTCCATCCCGATATCCGATCGTAAAAATCGGGCCACGAGCCGCAATAGATCCGTTAAGAAAAGAATCGCCGAAATAGACGACAGTAGGGATTCAAGAAAATTTTTGATCAGAACCCGAGAAGCTTAAGAGAAAAAGGAGACATTAGTGCGGTCGGGGTGGTCCCTTGGAGTAGTGAGCGGGATTCGGACATCGTATAAGTCTGAATTCCGCTCAGCGCGGGGGCAAAGCTCTGCTTACGTGACCATTGATTGGCTGGCTAATTAGTCATTTGGCATCATGATCAGAGATCTTCGTGTTCAACAAAGTAAAAACAAATTCGTACGACGTTTTAGCTAAAGAAATCCGGATTTTATGGCTAATTCATCAATCTGAAGATAAAGATCATCTTACAAAATGATACATCATTATGAAATCGCGAATTCATGCCACTTATTCTGCATATTCTGGCCCACCGGGATTCGGGATTCGGACATAGGTGTTTTGACCCAAAGGGTTTACATCCTTGCAACCGCCCACTTGACCGCATTGGCTTTTAAGATTTTGCGAAATTTTTGCGAGTCATTAGAGACTATGTCCGACTGTAGAGCCGCGCATTAATTACGTGTCAGATGCACCATGAGCCCTTCAATATAAAGCTGATTCGGTTCCCTGTCCTGATCGAACGGAGCTGGAAAACTAACACCTAAAAACATGGAGACGCAAGTACCCACTCCCGAAACCCCTGGATCCCCCCACCTGTCAAGCTTGGGACTCGAGAAAGAAGTGGAAGTTATTTCGGATTCGCCGCCACGTCATTCAACGAACGATCCTCCAAGGGAGAGTCTGGTGGCGGTGGAAGCTGTCAAAGAAGATGTCAAAGATGATGAAGGCAAATATCTCACTGGGACCAAACTTGGCCTGGTGATTGCTTCTATCACCTTGGTCACATTTTTAGTGCTCCTTGATATGTCAATTATTGTCACGGTGGGTTGTGCTTCCGTTTGATCATTAGACAAGCTTCTAACATCATTAAAGGCAATTCCGACGATTACCACCCATTTCCACTCTCTTAAAGATGTGGGGTGGTATGGAAGCGCTTATCAGATTGCAAGGTATTTCTCTTTGCCTTGGCGGGGACGTTGGAGCTAAGCTAACCATGCCATTGTTTAGTGCTTGTCTGCAACCTCTTACGGGTAAAGTGTATACCAATTTCAACTCTAAGGTACTTATTGACATAAATTTTCTTTCAACAAGAGCTAAGATATTACAGTGGACCTTTTTGGGGTTTTTCTTCGTGTTCGAGCTGGGCTCTCTGCTCTGTGGTATTGCGACATCTTCCAAGATGCTCATCATCGCACGTGCGGTGGCAGGCATGGGATGTTCTGGACTGATGAATGGTAGCTTGACTATCATCTCGTCCTGCGTTCCGCTTCACAAGTCTCCGAGTATGTGCTTTTTTCCTCGGCTACGAACATTTGCTAATCGGTCACAGAATTCATTGGCATGGTGATGGGCTGTCAGTACTTCCCACCTACTTCTCTTAGCCATTCTGCTGACAATATACACAGTCTGTCAAATGGGTCTTATTTGCGGGCCACTGATTGGAGGTGCCTTTACCGAGAAGGCATCCTGGAGATGGTGTACGTGATTTTGATCAATCTTCCTTCAAACGATAATCTAACCCATTATCTCAGGTTTCTATATCAATCTCCCTATCGGAGCTGTCGTCGCATTGGCGATGGTGTTCATCCACATCCCCGATCAATCTCCCAAGCCACCAAACAAATCTGCTGCCAAAACTATTCTCCATGAGCTTGACCTGATCGGCTTCGTCCTTTTTTCTCCCGCAGCCATTCAACTCCTTCTTGCGCTGGAGTTTGGTGCAGGCAGCTATCCATGGGGAAGTGCGACAGTCATTGGACTCTTCTGTGGATCGGGTGGTGCATTCATCGTCTTTCTCCTCTGGGAGTATCGCCAAGGAGATAAAGCAATGATCCCTCTGTCTATGGTTGTGCAGAGGACGGTCTGGACAAGCTGCCTTTTCATGATAGGGCTTTTCGGGACGGTCCTCTCCATATCTTACTATCTACCCATTTATTTCCAGTCAGTTAGAAACGATTCGCCAATCATGAGTGGTGTCTCCCTGCTCCCGATGATGTTATCACAGGTCGCATGCGCAGTGAGCTCAGGTATTTTAAGTATGTCACTGTCCATTATCACAAGTCATTTTCGTACTGACCAGAAATAGTTGGAAGGCTAGGATACTATCTTCCCTGGGCCGTCTTCTGTGGTTTACTTACTGCTATCGGCGGAGGGCTTTTTGCGACTCTAGATCCTCACACATCAGTCGGGAAATGGATCGGATTTGGAATTCTTGTTGGCGCAGGCCGAGGAACTGGATTTCAAACGGTGAGTCCCCTGCACCTGCATTTGGACTAATTCGCTAATTCATTTCAGCCCATCATTGCTATCCAAAACACGCTTAAGCCGAGTCAGATATCTGTCGGTATGGCGGTTCTAATGTTCACTCAAACGCTTTCCGGTGCCATCTTTCTCACATTAGCAAATGTGATTTTCGATGCTGGTCTCCGGTCTTTGCTCCCCAGAGACGCACCCAATGCCGATGCGGCGGCTATTATTGCTGCCGGTGCTACTGGTTTCAGGTCTGTTGTGTCGAGTGAAGATCTTCCTGGTGTCTTGACGGCTTACGCAAAGAGTGTGGATTATGTTTTCTACCTGACTGCTGGCATGGGAGTGATCATGTTCATCTTTGCATTCGGCATGGGTTGGAAAGACATACGGAAGAAGAAGCCTTCTTCTGAGAATGTGTGAACTACTCAGATGATGTGGCTCTAAAGTAGCCTGTTGGGCTTTGCATGTATATCTCGCATCGCGGTGATATAGCTACGGGAATTATCCATAGAAAGTACTCCCATCTCAATGTATAAATCTTAATTATATTTACAATTATTCTCTGAAACATCTTCATTAACAATGTGTCATCGGTGCAGTAGCCTCGCTGAGCACCTGGTTGGGGAATACTAACCATTCCTCCCAGTCAGGCCCCAGATACTCGCTGATAGACTGTATCAAGTAACGGCCACCATCCCCAAACAACCAATTATCCCGGTGAGAATGCAGAATAACTGCAAAGTGTGCTAGAATCACCAGAGCATCCGGGGCCCGACGCGCAAGAAGATCAATATATTCGGAAGGAACAGTTACTGGCCAAGAATGAACCCCGACACTGTAGATCCTGGGGGAATTGGTAGAGAAAACCGAGTTGAAGGCCTTTTGCAAGCCCTCGATAGTGGTTTGATAGATTTGGGTAATCGAGGGACCTAGTTTCGACTTTTCAACAAGCTTTAACAGCCGGCTGCACTCCGGACCCAACCCTGTATTCGGTTCCAGCTGCGATGCTCCATGTCGCAAGATCGGTCCAAGTGCGGTATCTGTCAGAATGTGCCATTTATCGCGGATCACTGAGCGTACTCCACAATGTATGCGTAGATAGTGCGTGAAGGTATCGAGGAAGGCAGTAAAGTCGGGATCTCGAAAATTCAAAGTGTCGCACAGCATATGCATGCCAAGCACGGAGGAAAAAATGAATCGAGACATATACTCCTCAGATTTTTCGGGATTATTAGAGCTGTGGAAGGAGGCCAATGCATGATTTTGCAATTGAGCTGCATGATGGCGATAGAGACTCCGGTCTGATGGGCGCAATATGCTAATATGAGTGGCGGCTAGAGCAAGGAGCTCATTCATGAGGTATGGATTCACTGAGCTGCACTTCAGTATTTGAACATTGGCCATCCCCAGCTCATCTGCCTGTATTAATGGCAAGGTATCTGTGACCAAGTGGCAGAATAGCTCTGCATGAAGGATATTGACAGGTGGTTCTTGGAGAAGGGCAGCAGAGTCATCATCCAGTGTTTGATTGGATGGGGAATCCTGAATGGTAGATGATGCCGGCGTTGATGATAGGCTTCTTCTGATTGGCACTGTCCTCTTTGCCTCCCATTGCAAGTATTCACAGAATCGTTCTGATGTTGTGCATTGTGAACAGACTGGATGTCTTTCATCACACTTTTTCATAAGTTAACTGATAGCCACGTCGAAAAGAGCCATTAAATTGATAATCCTACCTTAATATGCCTTCGCTTGCATTCCAAGCACCCGCCCCTTGATTTCTTATGTTTCCTGCGTGGCATCCCGTTCTGGGTTGTGGCAAGATGAGACGAACCAGTGATTAAAAGCTGTAAAGAACAAAGACGGAAGATAAAAATCACTGAGTGACTTGAGGTAAATTGATCTTCCTTTAATTGACTCCATCAATTTTGTATGGACAATTAAAGAAGAAAAATCAGTAAAGGGCAATGATTCTAGTTTCTTTCCAAGGTAACCATATTCCGGTGAGTCTTTGTTCCGATCCGGTCTTAAGGATCCACATACTCCTTACCACTTCTTTTCTTTTCTTTAAAGAACAGGGAGAAAGGCATGTATCAAATTTATTGACGCTTTCTCTAATTCTACCTTGCATCTCACTGGATGATGTGTACTCACTTAGACCTCACCACAACTAGTTCCTGAGTTCAATTCCACACTCGATTCGGGTCGTGAGAGCTCCCCAGGGTACCAGATCAACCAAGACACCATGACTGACCACATCAACAGAGAATCAAAGATATACAGAGTCCACTCATGGGTAAGAGGGTATCCATCAGTCCCCATTCCATACTCCACAACCCGGAATATCGAACGTATCATGATCAGCAAGCTGACTGCATATAGTAAGTAGAGATGTCTCTTCCACGACATCAATCCACCTCCAGACTCAAACCTCGAATCCCGCTGGGTACGGATCTGGAACACAAGTGCAGTGACCACAAAGAGCGCAAACATAACCACTTGAATCAAGAGCCCAACTATCTCTATATCCTGACCAATTCCAGCATTTGACCCTGTCACCATCAAACCAGCTGCTCCTCCTTGAACCACAAAGGAAAGAATGTCTCCTGCAACGAATGTCTTGGTAAGCCAGCGGATAGGGATTAACGAGTTTTGCTTGGCTCCGATGGCGGAAATGATTCGACCCAGTGTCATGTAGACCGATGCCGCGAACAGAACTGGTCCAAGAAGAATGAAGACGTTTTGGATGGCGAAAGGCATGATGCTAGCGGTGTTGTTGTGGGAAAACGCTCGAGCGATGTAACCAATTATTTCAACTGCAAGTTCAGTTAGGATTGGACCGGTGCAGGATAGAAAAGTTAGAGAGACAACATACATATACCACCAATGGCAAATGGAATGCAGAATCGGGCTCGATTTTTCCATAGTTTGAAGAAATGAAACGCCGTTGTGCAAGTGAAGAGGATGATGAAGATTATAGCGGCTGCGAGGGATGGCACATATTTCCAAAGGTAGTACCCGCCCTTGTATGGTTCAAGCTTCGCCATTCTTGCTTTGATTGATTTGCCTTCACTTTCTGCAGAACATCAAGAGAAGGAATTGCGGAGGTCCTCTTTGGGGGTAGGGAGAAGGCATCTTAATTTTAAATCTTCCCCTGGATGTTCCAGACATGAATCTAACCTCATAACCACAAGCCTAAAAGGAAAACCCGACTAAAATAAGAATTTGCATCCGTTGATACGCGCATAGAAATGAAATAGTGGAGTCAATGCGCACGCTAAGTACGCTCGGGAAGTGTGGATCCTCAATGTGGTCAATGCACTCAAGGGTTATACGCGTATAGACTCTAGGGCGGGTCATGTAAAAGCCAAGGTTTGTCTTTTGTAAAACAATGGGTTTTCGGGTTTTCTCCCAATGATTTGATACATTTGCCGTCTCATGTACCCGATACCAGCTCTGCATGTAGCTCATGCCTGATGGTCGGCATACTGACCATATCTCGGGCTGGTTTTCCCACCATAACCTCCGAGTCGAGCTCACGCGGTTGCTGGTTCACGTATCCGGACCTTGTGCCACTGAATTCCATGGTCTTTGGGTGCTTTTTCCGTTGCATCTGTATGTATAACAACAACAAGCCTACTCCCAAAGCCGCCCCAATTCCACACCCTATTCCAATGCCTATCTTCGCCCCTGACGATAATCCCGAAGACGAATTGCTAGAGTCGATAGATGTACTTGTTATATTATTAGGAGTGTCTGTAGCACTATTTGTCTGCGTAGCTGAAGAGGATGCGGTTATGGTCGTGCTAGACGTCGATGTGGAGGAGCTTGACGTTGATGTGCTTTTATAAAGATCCGCAGCAATAGAAATCGCAGCGGAAGTACCGCAACAGGTGGTATTTTTGAGACCACAGCACCAGTATTCGGAAGTTTCCGTGCCATCGCATGGGGTTATCTGCGCAGTACCATCGGAAGAGCCATCCTAGCAAGACACAAAAAGCTATTAGCTCAATGCACCATATATGACATCGATGTCATAACCTTGGGATTTGAAGGCAAAATTTTTTCTGTGGCATACCGTCCCATTGGTACAAACGTCCAAACACCTCCCACTGCTCCAATCGCTAACTGTGCACTGATCCCGCCAATAATCTGATGAAATTGACCCGTCGTCATTTGTATGTGTGTTCATACAGAGGCCATTCTCGAGACACATATCCGCAGTCAATCCAGCGCTCAGGTATCCGCCAGATGGATTTGTGCGATTCGTGGCACAGCACATACCCGTCCCACCGTCTGTGCCGGGACATGGCTGGTACATGACAGATTGTTCGCTATGGCCATTTGGATAGTAACAGACGGAAGAGTGCGCTACTGTGAGCAGATAGAATAAGAAAATCCCAGCATAGTGGATCATTGTATTCGCAGTGGAGGTGTCGAAAGGCTTAACCCAGTGAGAGAAAGAAAAAGAGCGGCATGGCTTTAAGAAGAGGTGTCACAACTGATTCAGTTTTTCTTTTTCCTCCGTCATTGTTGGGGGCCTAAAATTGTGTCTTAAGGCCTATACTGTGTAACCCGAGAGATGCATATCCCTGAGACTGGACCAATAGAATATGACCCTTTCATTAGTGGCTATACATTCTAGAGTTGCTTTTTTGCGGCGCATGGCTTCCAATCTTTATTTTTAGAAACGGACCAGAGCTGACAGCGTCTTGCCGAGGTCAACAAGAGATCGGAGGCTAGTTGGGAGATCATTTGGGGCGGAAGAGTACATGTCGATCACGTCATTTTATTTTCTGGAATGGAGCTTATGGAAACAACTCGACGTACCAGCTGTGAGACAATGATTTGTGTGCGCTTAGAATAAGCAAACGGTCCTCGGTTTTGAACATTCATAGCAGGCTCAGGTATACGCCACTTGGTCTCACTAGTGGTCTCGCAGTCCATTGCTCAGGTTCTGGGTTTCTCTTATATGTACTTCTTGCTAGCGAACGCATAGGTCGGGTAAATTTAACCTAATTTAAGATTCCAGTAGATCAGCACTCTATTGTGGGGTACACCTTCCAGCATTGCAGCACTTCGTAATTACTCTTCCTCCTTGCGGCGCAAAGTTCCATCTGGTTTTCGACTACGAAAACTCAAATCACTGAAATTACCCATCCGACTCTAATTCAACTGACAAATCTGATCATTTGAAGATTCGTGTATATCATTTAGCTATAGTGAATATCATAATTGTGCCACTTGTGAAGGCTTTCTAGTGAAAAATACATTTCATCACGACATTAAAAACCCCAACCGCCAACGCATCGCACTTGATAGGCATCACAAGATCAAAACAAAGGTAACTCCGCGGTGTTCACATAGTCAATATTATCGTCATGTCCCTCTATCCGAGGAATATCTGTATTGAACAATCGATCCCACACCCGTGTCTGCTTGCCATAATTATGGCTATTCTTCCAGCCCTTGCGATGATGAAGATCATGATCCTCAATAACAAGGTCCATATCACACACCCGTAGCAGCCATGTCCAGGGATTCACAGCAGTAGCTTTCATCCGCAAGCCACTATGACCCAGGACCTCCGTGAACACCACGTACTGCTGACAGACCCACCACTCATAGAAGCCCATGGGGAAACCCATTAGCTTCATTGTAGCATAGGTGATGAACGGTGTGCCAACAATGTCAATAAACTCCTGCACGGTGTCCGCGTACGCGGTCAACAGAGGGTTGGGATGCTTAGTCAAGTGGTGGGTACGGTGGAATCGCCAAAGGTGCTCGATCTCGTGTGCGGAGCGGTGCATCATGTAATACCAGAAGTCGAGAACGACCGCATACACGCCAGTCTCGAAGAAGACCCATCCCCATCTCATAGAGGCAGGGCCTTCATCGGCGTGGTAGGTGAGGAAGGTGGTGAGCATTGGTCGGAGCGCTATGACCGACAAAAGGGAATTTGCTGTCTTATCAACACCCACGTCTGGCACACCATCGCGAGCGTGCTTGTCTCCATCGAAGAATCCGATCTTGTGGCCCATGCGGCGGAGAACGTGTGTTTCGTGCACGGCAATGAATTCCAGGGCTAGGCTGTAGAAGATAAAGACCAGCCATACGGAGGGGTACCCAACGTAGTTGATGTAGAGTTGGTGGAGGGCCAGTGGGACGAAAGCGTGAAGGAGCACCCATCGGTGAAACTGTAACTCTGGCGCATATGGGACTTTGTCCGTTTTCTGATGCACTGGGACTTCTTGATTCAGATCAATGTGGTGCACATTTAAGATTTCGAGAAGCCAGTGGCTGGATGTCCATTTTGAACGATCCCATGAACGCCAGGTGGACGTCATGGAATCCTTTGGGTTACGCATGGGGGCGGCCATTTTTACCAGCGTAGAAGGGGTATAGGTGAAACGATATTCTCACCCCACGGAGCCCACCCGGATATCTTATATGCATTTCAATCCTTGACGACACATGGGAGTGTGGGTCATCTAGGCACCGAAAGAGTCGTGGGGAACCGAGGCGTATGCCGATCACTTCTCTCCATCGCTAGTTTTACGAATTTATAATCTTTCACACTGGAGAGTGGGATGATATTGAAGCAGGATTTGCCCCTAAAACGACCCATAGAACGCCTTTGACTTAATTCATACCTATTTGGGTTAGTGGCGGAGTTTAGTTAACAAATAGTAGCAATCGATGGGGAATCATATGAAGACCGATTGACGTACAATCAGGCAATTCCCAACAATTTAAGATTTCCAACTGCTCTCCTCACGCTTGGTTCACATGAGAAAGCCCAAAAAACAGCTGGTAGGTTGGAACTTGACCTGTTGAGTCAAGGGTAGTGCATCTGATACCGAGGCGTGGTGGATTACGTTATCTGCTATTGACCACTCGGGGCGTTTCTACCCATTTAGGCATAGTTCAGATCCAGCCTTTGATCGAAGATCCATACTTCATAGATACACAACAGTTGGGAAAACACCACTAAGGCTTTTGAGTTCGAGGATTCACTGTCCCTGACGTTTTGCCATGAACCATTGCCTGTCATGAGCATCCTTAATTCAGATTGTTACGGAATTATTACATCAGAGCTAAATATCCTCTATCAATCGTGGCGAGAACAGTTCATCTGAGCGCTTCAGATTAAAAGTCGGGCGAACTTTCTAGACTTCACTCGTAGCCATGTCGTGTTTGTGGAATCTGTAAAGATACTTGGCTGCCCACGAGACCAATTGGATGATGACGGACAGCCATATATAGGCTTTCGACAGGCTGACAGGGATCAGAAGTGGATGCTGGTCTGCCTAATGAATATCAGCCTGGTTGGGTTCACAATGTGAACATAACGTGTTTGGACTGGTTGGCTGAATAGCGATGAAGGGTGGTTGTCACTTTCATGCTCCGGAGATATCCATCGGTTACTGAAGGGGAGTTCTTGGTGTACAACTCGCTAGGCCGTGAGTCGCATTTCTACACAGTAAACGTTTACTGGTCCCATGATATGACGTCGAATTGCAAGGATTAAGAGAGGAACACGTTCGTTAGCTTTCACCTTCTGGCGAATGATGTCTGCTGTCGTGAAGGAAATTTATCTACACAACGTCATACTTCGCGAGAATTCAAGTCTCCAACCTGGGGAAGAGAGCGTTCCTAAGTTCGACCGTAGTGCATGCTGGAGTTTACGAGCAAGTAAAATATTGTCATCACACATCGTGTTGATTTTTGTCCATAGTTAAGACGCTCAGAAACCACAGCACCGCACACCCGAGCAAACGGGGCACAGCACAAGCCTTAAAGGCAGGATTAAAGAGAAAAAGTAGATCCGAATATACAGGGCCCATCCATCACACCAGAAAATCCGGCCAATATCCGATCCATGTATCCCTCACAACCATCTATTAAATCCTCGATATTCCGAATCGTCTCACCCCTAGACCGTTGCCACAACTAGCCCTGTTGATTACAGGAACTAATTTACTGCTCGGTCTGGAAGTAGTTAAGGAGGACGGAGCGCTCCTGGGACTCCTCACCCCAATCCTTAACAACGACGCAAGAGCAGTTAACAACCTTGCGGGCGTTACCCTCACGGTCAAGGGTGCCTGTAGACAAAATTGTTAGTTAAAAAGTTCACAATTTTTAATATCTCAATCGGTGGAGGGGTAACGTACAGAGGCCGACCCACTCGCCGAGCATCTTTCCATCGGGAACCTTGATCAGGGGGATCTTGTGCTCAGAGCAGAGAGCGACAACGAGCTTCTTGTAAGCCTCCTCCTCGCAACCCTCGTTGAGGACACACATGTGAGCCTCACGGCGGTCGAGAGCCTTGGCGGCCTCACGGAGACCACGGGCAAGACCATCGTGGATGAGGGAGATGCGGAGGACACCCTTGAGAGCATCGAGGACGGACATCTGGCCGGAGCCAGCGTCAGCGGAAACCTCGACCTCGTCGGCGGCAACGGGGGGTTGGACATGGTCTCTTCTCCGTCCGACTATTAGATGCAATGTTAGTGAGGTGTCATACACATTGAGGTTGACAGTGTTTGTAATTGAACAAGTGACATGGCGGTGCTGTTTTGAGAGTTCGCGACAAATTTTGTTGCTCGACGGCGAGCTGGCAGTCGGCGACAGGGCGGCTCGCTCACTCTCAAGAGCGTATCCATTCACATTGTTCAAGTTGCCAACAACACTGACAGAGTAGATCTCGGTGTCGGACGTACCATTTTGATTGCTACTGTGGTTGTTGGGTAGCGGGTATGTTCTGAAATGTCGGAAGATCCTCAAAGAGGTATTTTGTGTTGTGGAGATTGGTTGGTTAGAGCACGGGGAATTTTTCGGCTTCAATTTCGATTTTCGCTCTGTGTGCCCTACGCTTATGTCATGCCCCGCAATCGTGGGTCACATGATACTACCACCGCCCGCCTGATGCGGAATCTTCATTATCTATGGTTGCCTCGTTTTCAAGGTTTTAATGTCGATCTACAATCAGACGCAATATTGTTTGTAGCAAATTTTGGCCTTTCGGGGTCAAAAATATACCAATAATAGTAGAAAGAATTCGTTACATGAACGCAAAAGGTATCATAATCGTACAATCAGAATCCGACCTGTACACCCCGCTGGAATTCTGCTGATCGCGCCATAACCTGGATAGCGAAGACGCTGCAAACAAGGACAAGAGGCTAGCAAAGACTAGAAATATGTACCGGCCCGTGGATAGCCATGGCCGTTAGGAATTCCGGTGCCATTTGTTTCAGCAATGGCTGCCGGAGCGTGACCGTTCATTTGAGCATTGGAAGAGGAAGGCTCTGGGTCGATATGCATGGTCAAGAAGTCGTCGAGTCTGAGTCCGTTCAGATGGGGGATGTGGGGGACGAGGTCCATGAAATCAGAAAGCTGGTTTTCAAGTTAGCGAGACTGTTGTAAGGTTAATCGAACAGTGGGAAATCTTACCCTGATCCAGAACACATGTTCCATACCGAAATACTTGGGCTCCGTCTCCGAATCCAGCTGCATGATCTCTCCGAACGATGCATCGCGGTACTTGGGGTCATCTGTGTGAACCAAGTGACGACGAGTACATCGCCAGAGATTGTTGCGCTGAGTCGGGGTGGCCTTGCGTTTCTCCCAGCTAGCGTACTGCGCCAATTGAAGGTCATTGGTAGCTAGCAGGGGCGCAACCAAGTAGTTCGGAATCCATCTTTCGTCCGCCACGTCCACAGCACAAGTGGGTTCAAGCTGCCGAGTAAACACGGTAACCAGAGGCGTAAACTTTTGAAGCCAGTCGCGGCTTTTACTGTAACGGTCATTGGAGCCAACTAAATTCGCAGAGATACGAAGACGGCCGGGAAGAGCGTCACGGCGACGTTGTTCCTGGATCTCCTGGTCGCGACGCATCTTCATAATGCGAGCTCGCTCCTGTTCAAGTCGCTTCTGTCGTTCATCCTCGGCTTGTTTGGCTCGTCGTTGTTCGGCTTCCTTGTGCTTGCGTTCATCCTCCTCTGCCTTCTCGCGTGCGGCTTGCGCAGCTTTAGCAGCTCGTTCTGCTTCTTCCTTGGCAATTCGTTCACGCTCAGCTTCTTCTGCGAGACGCTTTTCTTCCGCAATGCGCTCCTCCTCTGCCTTTCTGGCCTTTGCCTGTCGTCGTTTTTCTGCCTCAATTTCGGCGCGTTTCTCCTCTGCGGAAACATCTACGACGGGTTTCTCGACTGACTCCGATGGCTCTGGTTTGATATCACCATTCTTATGGGCGGTATCGACCTTGGCTGCTTTTGGAGGGGCAAGCTCTGGCTTCTTGGACTCAACAGATTTGCGCGGTGCATCCACATTTCCATCCTCTTGAGATCGGCGGTGTTTAGGTTTCTCGGCGTCAGCTGTGTCCTCGGTCTTGCGATGATGACCATTAGGTACATTCGAGGACTTGTCATCAGCCAGGACACGTCTTTTCTTCTGCTTCCGAGACTCAGGTGAAAGCCGGTCACTGTCCGCGCCTCGTGAGCGAGATCTTTCGGGAGACGCTTCGGTTCGAATGCGTTTGAGGGAGGCGTTTGTATCTGGTGCAGCATCATTGCGCGACTTGGGGGCTTCTTCGCGGCCGGATAGAGAATCGGATGAAAAAAGACTGGGGCGACGGTCACGCTCTTGAGGGCGGCGGCCGGCGATGAGGCGGCGTTTTCGAATCTCATCGGGGCGAATCGCACCACTAGATTCGCTATCCCTGCGTACTGGGGGTACAGATTTCGGTTTCGCGGAGTCAGGGTGGGTTGAGTCATGATCAGAGTTGGCAAGCGCCTTCTCACTCGCATCACGATTCAACTTGGCGCGAGCACTGAGCAGTCCAGCTCGCTCCTTCTCGCGTCGCTTCTCCTTTATCTCCTTTATCTCCTTGAGGGATTCGATGTCTTTGTGGGGGCGGGGTTTGCGTGTGGGACTATCATTGGGTTTCTTTGGGCGAGGCACGGGAGACGATGAATCTCTTCGGGCGGATCGTTTCTCATCCTTATCCTTGCGCGATTGACGGGGCGAAGAGACAGCTTTGCGGCCTTTGCTGCCTCCTGGGTATTTCTCGTAGGCTGACTTGAGAATATCGTATTCGTCTTCCCAATTCTCACCTTGACGGGATGCAGAAAGTTCGAAGTAAGTTCGATCATCATATAAGCGACGGGTAGGATTGAAGCCTGGTTGGCTGAGAATGAGATTGATGACGGCGGTATTGCCTCTGCCTATCGCAGCCAGCATCGGTGTGTTATAGCCGGATTTGAGACCAGCGCCACGTAGCGGATTTGGATCAGCGTCCGCATTTCCCATGGCATACATCAGCGATAGCACGTCGTGATGACCTCCCTTTGCGGCCGCAATCAAGGATGCATTGTCCGCTTTCTGCAGTACGTTCAGTATGCTCACCACCCCCATCTCATCGCCCTTGGCAGCAAAGTTCATGAGATTCTCCGGGGTTGGTTGCGTCCATAACAGGTCATTCCTTGTTGCTTCGCTTCGGCCAGTCTTGCGGCGACCAGCGGCGGTACTGCCTATTGGTGGGGGACTCCGTGATTGACTAGCAGCAGATGCTCTTCGAGACGATGGGCCCTTGCTTTCTGACCCAACACGCTCTTCCGATCGACGGCCCGGTCGTGCACTGGCCTTTGCATCCGCAAGCGCCTTCTTGATCTCATCATACTCGTCATCATTCAAGTCGGTCGACACTAGTTCGTATGGTTCATCTCCGGAGGCGTTCACGGTGCGAGGATTTGCGCCGGCTTCGAGCAAGACTTTGACTACATCCACATGACCATTTTCCACCGCGTCGATTAGAGGTGTATCCTTATCGATATTTTTGGTATTGATATCGCAACCCGAATCCAATAGGAATTTGACAATCGAGGCCTCTCCATTGAGAGAAGCAATCTGCAAAGGCGTGTTTCCCGCATTATCGGGGACATTCAGATCTTCCGGACGTTCATTGAAACGCAAGACCACTTGATCATGTTTCCGATCGGCACATGCTCTAGCGAGCGGGGTCCGACCACTTTTGTCGCGCAGCTTCTTTGGTCCCATATGTTTCGCGGGGGACGCCGAAGCGCCCACCCCAGAACCCAAACGGCGCAAGTGAGCACTTGGTAACGGAGAGCCACTCGCCGACGACGATGTGGACTGTCGGTCTTCTGACGGCTGTCGCGGGAAACCGGTAAGAAGGGGAGTAGGGGCCTTTTTCTTGGATTGGATCTGGGAGCCCGACGCAGAACGCTGATGTGATGGGCGGGAGGGGGAGAGAGAGCGGGTATTTGGGGGATGGGGAAGATGAAGATGGTTGACATGTTTGAGATCAGCGTGCGAGCCACGGCGACGTTCGCCCTTCTCGTCTACGCTGTCACTGAAACTCCTTTTGCGATAGATTCGTGGCTTGTCGGCTTGGTTCAGACAGGCTTCATCCAATACATTTCGTGGTACCGACAGAGGATCCTCGAATTTCTCGATCTTGACGACTGACGGAGGCGATCTAGCACGCTGAGAGGGACTGGGCGACCGGGAAACCGAATGCCTCCGATCACCATTGATACGTGGTTTCTTTCGCTGAATGCCGTCGACCCCGTCAACGGCCTGGCGTAATGGATCATGGCGAATGTGTTTGCGTTTCTTTTCGGGGGACAGCGACTCCCTGCCGGATTGAATAATGGTTTCCGCCTCCGAATCCGCCTTAGGACTCGGGGGTCCCTGCTCATCGTCCTCCAATACTCCCGGATTCGATCCCAGACTAGCGCGTCGTGTTGGCGGATTCGGCCTTCCAGGGGATCCTGGGGCGTTCGCCTTCACGGCCGCGAGCGTATTGGCACCAACATCCAGGGCAGTGGGTAGTGAGACAGCCTCGACATCACTCATAGCGATAGCACTCGATGTGTGAGAATTCCGATCGTCATTTTGGGAGGTACGCGACCGGTCCCGTCGAGGGTTGGCAACGCCAGCCAAAGCAGACGCTGGAGTGAGACGTGGGAAGACCGGCTCCCCAATGAATTCCTCGACTTTTGAAATTAGGGGGGCGTCGGTGGTTGGGTGGCGGTAAATATATAAGATTAAGTTGAATTATACCAACACGGAAACGAGGAGGAAGGGGGGAAAGGTCGGAAAAGATTGAAGGATTTGAGGGAAGATTGGGGGGAAAGGGAAGGGAAGAAGGGAAAACGGGAAGGAAAAGAATGGGGGGGAAGTTGTTAGGGAACTTGAACTTGGACTTGGCCACCTGTGGAGATGGCTCTACGCATTTCATCTCTTTCCCTCTACAAATTCTTCTGTTTTAGAACCTCAATTAAACTTTCAAATATTACCATCACTGTCTTCATATTAAAATACCTAAAATCCAAAATTCGTCTTAAATCATTCCAAAAAGACCGTCTGCGGGCACGGCACGGACCCTCATCATTCCGGACGCAGCCAAACCAGCAGGCTCCACTATAGGTGGCGATCGTCCTGATGCAACCACTCAGCTTTCGCCTCTTTATCGAGCACATGGGAGCTCATCATTTACTCTCATAATTAAAGTACACAATGGCCATTTAGAATTCCTTCTATACGATCCAACTAGATCTGATCACTACCTGGGTAGCTCCTTTCGTGAAAGAAAGTTTAATAAGCATAATCAAGCGGGATCGACGTCTTAATTCTCCACCTTTTTCGGCTGGGACATCAGCTATAGCTTGCCACAGCTAGTCTGCCGATTATATGTCAATAGCCGCCCTGGTCTAGCTTTGGACCCTTCGAGGCTCTCTCCCTTGCCGCCACACGATGCAGTTTAGCTAATGATCCTTCCGCCATGGCCCCCAATAGAAAGCTTAGAGATCCTCAGTCACAGCTGCAACTCCTCCCTCGTCTATGACAACCTTGGAAGCACCATCATGTTCTCTGACTAGAGTTAGCGATATGGAGTAGCACAGAAGGCAGCAAAAAGATGCGCTAGATCCAGTTCGAGCACTATGTACCGACTCCCGAGGTCGAACATAAGCAAGGTATGCAAGCGATATATATGTTCAAATGCAGATGTACATTCATGGCTACATAGAATATAGGACTTGCTTACATCTTCACTCCGGATGACCAAAGAAAATTATTCCATTAAGGTCCGAGGTAACTCTTTTTTCGCATGGACTAACTCAGTAAAAACTCATGCTACTTCCTGCCCGATAGGTACGTCCGCATATAATGTAGCTCCCCGCGTCACAAACCTGCCTCAGGCACCAGCCCCACCTCACCAGCATTTGAACCCTCCAATCCAAAAGAACCAATATCTCCAAACACTCACCATGGCGCCTAAAAACAACGCTAAAGGCGGTGACAAAGCCAAGCCTGCAAAGGGAAAGGGAAAAGATGCTGGTGATGATGCAGGAAAGGGAAAATTGAAGGCTGCGACAGCGATCAACGCGCGCCACATTCTGGTACGATTTTCTTTACTTCGGTTGGATTGATATGTGCTGGAAATATTCGGGTCTAATACTTTTTTGCTCTGGTATAGTGCGAGAAACACTCCAAGAAAGAAGAGGCGCTGGAGAAGCTGCGCAACGGCGTGAAGTTTGATGAGGTTGCGCGCGAGTTTTCGGAGGATAAGGCGAGGCAAGGTAGGTTCAACCTGTTCTTTTTCTAAATTTTTTTCGAGGGGTGTTGGTCGTGATTTAGGATCTAATTTGTTTCCAGGTGGCTCGCTGGGTTGGAAGGTTCGTGGTAGTCTGGATGCTGCCTTTGAGAAGGCGGCTTATGATTTGGAGCCCAGTAGCACTGGCAATCCCAAGTATGTGGAGGTGAAGTCGGGCCACGGGTATCACATTATCATGGTGGAGGGCCGCAGATAGACTATTGATCATGGCCTGGGAGATGTCGCAGATTCAGCGTCAATACTTCGATATTATCCATTAAAGGGAGTATGCATGACGATTCATTCAGGCATTCTGATTGATTCGTGTTGACTTCCAAGCACTTGATATTCTTGGTATAGATCGACTTCGTATATTGAATCTTTCTAAAGGACTCTACTTCTCGAACTGAACGCCATAATAAAACAAAAACCTATACACCCTACTGTGCCTTCTTGGCCGCTTCGATCTTTGCCTGTTCCTTAGCCTTCTTCTCCTGTCTTTGCACCACAGCCTCGGCTCCGATACCACCGAATACCAAGGAAATTCCAAGCCACTGTCCAGCGGACAGGGAGTGTCCAAACCAGAAAACGCTCAGAAGCATGGTAAGCATCTTACGGGTCACCGTTACGGTGACAAGCAGCAGAGACGAGAAGTGCGACAGGGTGTAAAAGATGAACAGCTGACCGACAGCACCACATGCAGCAAAGCCAAGAACATTTTTCAGGGCTTCGGGGTGACGCTGCAGGAATGAGACTGCAGACCACAGTTCCGTCTCAGTAGATGGGGGAATCGGGAATGGGAGCAAATTATGCAGAATACCGCTTTGGGACAGTTGCGGCATAATCAGGAGATAAGCTGTGGTGAGAATGGTCGACAACACATTTTGCGCAACCATCATCTGGGGCCCGCTGAAGCGGGTGTACAACTTGGGAGAAGTGAACACATGATCTTGAGTTGTGTTGGTCAAGCCGTCGAGAAGGAGGTTGATGGACAACAGGAAGATACCCCACATTGACGATCCGGAGTCTCCCTTATCTGCGGCTGCAGCCACCTTCTTGCTCGTGCCAGGGTGGTGCAGAGTGAACGTGGCCACACCCAAGGTAACCATGAGGACAACACCGTACTTATACAGCGGGTATTTCTTGCGGAAGATCGTCAAGTGAAGAAGCATGACGGGGAGAAGCTTGCAGGACTTGGCGAGGATGAAGGTAAGATAGTCGATATGCGCCAGACTGGCGTAACCGAAGGGCGAAGCGAGCGAAGAAGAAATGCTCACCAGGACCAGTGGGACGAGGATCCGGCGGGTGGGGAAGATCGAGGGGACCTTCTGACCCTTTGGGGTGGAGAACAAGAGGTATGCGAAGCCGGTAATGGCGGCAAACGAGGACTGGATGGTGTTCAAGACTAGCGAGTAGGTAAACCGTTCGGGTGCAGGTGATGGATTGGCGGCTGTCGCGGGGACAGAGTAAGTGGTTGTGGTGATTGCCTCTTGTAAGACACCCCATGAAAGGCTTGAGTCATGTTAGTTCTAATAGATCCACGGATTTCTGTATCATCATGCCCTTGCAAGTAACGAGTAACGTACAATGCTGCGTATATACCGAGGACGCAAATGAGCAATTGCATTAGACCGGGAGTCTCCGCTACAGTTTCCATTGCTGCTACTGCGGCTTTGGCGGGTGCGCTTTCTTTCACAATCGAAGAGACATCTGCTGTCCCATTTGTATCTTTCTCCCGAGCTTCAACCTCATTCCGCATCGACTGCGACGGGGTTCGCTGCAGCGGCGTTGTTTGCTTTTGTCGGCCCATTGCTTTGTATTCGGGTTCGAAGGACTCGAGGGAAGGGTCAAACAAAATCTGCAGACTCGGTGATTAGGCGCTAGACGAGTAATCGAGAGGATTGGAAAGTAGTTGATCCTTGGGCCCTGAAGTGGAGCTTAAAGAAAAATAGATGATGCCATGTGTTCTTAGTTCACGCGCATCTTATCGGTAATCAATGATCGCCAGGGGGCCCCACTCAAACCCTGCAAATTAAACGCGATGGAAGGGGATTGAGGCATAGAAGGATCTGCATTTCATCTAAAAGTCATCAATGTCAAAAATCGAAAACAGCGATTCCACAGAAGAGCATGAACCATTTTCTCTCCGAACCTTGTCCATGCGATAAGCTCCTCATTGAGGAAAGCGGTGGATCAACTTGATCTCGTTCGGTAGGCGGTGAACACAGCTCCTCAATTTCTGCACAACATTTTTCAACGGATCCAAGCTTGCGTATCAGAAAGTGTCGAAACCTAAACCCCCAATTTTCCATCTCATGCTCCCATTGCCCAGCATGACATCTACACAGCCAGAGGTTCCAGCTCTAGAACCATCAGCTCTTACGAATCTCATTGATTCCGCTTCCGCATCGGGCAACCCTCTCTCCGCAACCACAATCCAAGTCTTGCACAATCTTCAACATCAACATCTATGGACATCTCTCCAAATACACGACACTGATGCCTCACAAACTGCTACAGACCAAGCTACCGGGATCTCAAAAGACATGTCCGGTGCTCCGACCTTGATCTCGGGTATTCCCCCGCATCGGGTCTACACGCACCCCGACCAGCAGCTCTACATGCTTGGCAAGGGTATTCACGAAGATGATCTTCGGCCCGAGCGGCTTTTCGTGATCCCCACCGCACAAGGCCAGACCTGGAGCTTGCGGCGTATGGCGTCTGCGTTTGATGCAATGGCAGAGCTTCAGATTGTCGAGGATGGGGAAGGGCGTGCGGCTCCGGAGGTGGATGCCGAAAAGGCGCAAAAGCTGGATGAATATTATAAGAAAAGAGAAGAAACACTCGTTACAAAAGAATGGGGCGCCCAGCGCTTGTTGCTAGCAATGGTGGATAAAGGCATGGGTGGAGATGGTACTGTGGTGTACTATGTTGTACAGGAGGGCGAGGTGAAGCCTAGGCAGAACTAAGAGAGTATCACTTTTTGGGCATGGTTCGTTTCGATGAACGGTATGTATCGTTATTCTGTCTTCAATCCATTGATTGGACGTTATTTGCTCACAAAATTATCTGCTAGAAGCGAAGGCCGGTATCACATGTACATACACGCCAGAATTATACAAGGCACAAACAACATTGGCCACCGGGTATAGTGTTTGGATGAAAAGGGGAAAGAAAGACATAAAAGCAACCATATATCTGAACAACATGCAGCGCCCCTCAAGACAGGCTCAGGCTACAGTCTCAAAGTAGCAAGTTGTCGTTCCTTTGAACCAGCTCTTGCTCCTGTCGACAGCTGGTACAATACCTGTCATACCATTGCTTCACGCTGTCAGTGTTTTCGGCGAATATGCGTCGGGCTTGCGCATCTTGCTCGCCCTCGTCACTGCCACCACCGAGAAGAATCTCGACCTGACGACAACGCCGAAGCTCTTCCCCAAGCCAGCGCTCCCATTCGGTCTGGATGACCTCCTTCTCAATGCCATTGACCACGCGCAATCCCACCAAAAGATTATGTCGATAGGATCCAAGGCGTTCACGAGTCTGCTGGAATCGTTTTGCAGCGCTCTTGGCCACTGCATCTCGGGGACCCGAGGTGCTGAGGGATAGAGGAAGCTCCGCATTTCGGAGGGCATGCTCATGGAAAGCCCCGAAGCAGTTGCTTGCATTCCCAGTATGAGCCCACATCGTCGAGTTCGCGATCGCCTCATCGATGTCTCGGATGTAGATGGCTTTGCTCATGACCATGTCAGGCTGCACGCCAAGCTTAGCCATGAAGTTCCTTGCATGTCTCTCATGCCACCAATCCCAAGTATCTCGGGAAGAATAGAAACCATTCATGAGCACGCTAGTGACCAATAGCACCAATATTATCTTATGTGCACTTACGGTCTTCACTGACCAGCGAACGGCATCGAAAGACCACATCATAAATAGTGATATGGTACTTTCCAAGAAGGACAAGGTTGTCTCGGTAACAAGCTGAGGCAAAGTGCGCTGAACTCGGGGCTTCCGGGGTTCCACTTTCAAATTGACTCCAACGCCATTGAAATGAGAAACATTGTTCTGGCGCCCAACATGGCCAAAGATAGTGATGGCCTTTTTGGTGCGGCTGTGTGCGCCCAAACGTCGCACCTGGTCGCTCACTAGATCAACCAGATCTAAGGCATCCTCTTCCAGGTCGTTACCTGCCCTCTTGTCGATCATATCTGGATGCAAATATTAGCAATTAAAACAAAAGTACCCCAGGAGAACTAGACTCACTTCTTAGACCGTAAGGGGACTTGAGCCACTCGACTTTGGTGTAGATAGCAAGCTTGCTCTTGGATTTGGCAACAAAGGTAATGACAACCTTGCTGACCAACCGGAAATTTCTTCGGAATGGAAGATGCCATGGAGTTCGCTTGTCGGTAATTACATAGCACAAATGATCGTTGAGCACATCGATGATCTGGTAGTCAGAAATAGTATTATCGTGGGTGTTCCCTGTACAACCATTAGATCAGTAGAGATTTCAGAGATATTGACCATAGAAAAATTTACCAAGAATGTCCGTCGTCGCGATTTTGTATGTGAAGTCTCGCCTGAGGTGTCGTGATTCGTTGCTTGTCCAAGGGCCTTGCTTGATGTCTTCACAATAGGTCAGTATGTTTGTGGAGCGAAGACGTGATTACAGCATGGCTTACCTCGGGCTTGTCTTTCATGAAGTAAAAGTTGCCAAACAGCGCTCTTGTCTCCAAACAGAATATGGAACAAGGCCTTGGGACTGACATCAAGTGTCTTCTCTGTGGTAAGTAAGAGGTCTCCTTGAGGAACATACTCCACGGGCTGGGTGGGAAGTCTGAATTTCGGAATGTCTCGCCCACGTCCGCCTTGACCCCTATCTAGATCGAGATCTTTGTCGATATAAATGGGAGCATGGAAATTTTTGCTCATGGAGCCGAGCTGTCCCTCATTCTTAGCGTCAGATTCGACATCTTCCCAGCTATCTGCGCTTGTAGTCCTCTTGGCGGTTCCGCTGTCCATTTTGATCAGCTCCTTCAAGAGCTCTTCAAGGGTCAGTTGCTCAACAGAAATAGACGCTTGGATCAAAAAGTTTAAGCGTTTCTGGAGAAGTCTCAGTGGCTCGAGGAATATTTTGACGGTGACCCGACCAGGCGTGTCACTTCCGAGAGGTGGAATGGTATGAAGGAAAAGGAAATCGCAATCTCTTCCTGTAGCAGCTGTGACTTCTTTGATGTTATCTAGACCGACACTTGTGGTCAACACAAGTCCAAAATGATGGCTGTAGAAATAGACGTTCCTAGTCGTAATATAGGCTCTGCCAGGAAATTCCTGCTGGTCATTGGGATTCCAAGTTGCCCTGAAAACCATAACCAGCGCCTCCTCTTTCTTGACATCAGGGAACAGCAACCGGAATTGAGCATCTTGGATCCTGAGTTGCTGTGGATAAATAGCCGGGTATTGGCTCTGGGGGTTTTTCTTGACCGCACTCTGGGCAGCTTGTTGGATTTTAGCTGCAGCTTCTCCATCGAGACTCACAGTCTGCCTGTGGCGGGGACCAGACGATGTACTGGTATTTTGCGACGTTGTTGGGGGATCGATTTGGGCAGCAATTGTGGAATCGCTCATCGGGGATGAAGGCCTATCATGATCTCCGTTGGCTTGCAGAGGCTTTTCCAGCTCAAATTTATTGAACATTCCCCAATTAGAACTTCCCCAAAGGTTTGCCATCATACCACTCGGCATACCACCAGTGTTATCCAGTCGTCCTAGTCCAATACCCCTTTCGTTACTCACAACCACTGCAGCCTTGCTCATACTTGTTGGGGCAGGTGGGTTAGCGAGGGTTGGAGGGGCAAGGCTTGCTCCGGGCTCGTCTAGGGTGCTCATGCTGCGCCCCCGGGCCCCGTCTCCGTCTTTCGTGTTGACGAAGTTGGCGCCATTATAGGGAAGAATATTGTGACTGGCCGAAATGAGACTAGCGATACCACCCGCCGGGCCAGGAATCGAGGGCGATGCTGGAGGTCCATTGTTTGACTTGCGATGAAGGTCCAATTTCTGGATGATGTGCGCTCTCGTAGAGCCTTCGGCATCATGACCCGTGAGTCGGCGACCACCCACCTCAGTGCTAGCCCTGAACGCAATTCCATCTCGATCTGGCACTGGCAGCGTTGCGCTGCGATCTGCAGAGCTTGTTTCGTCGTTGGGGTGCGGCACGAGGGAATCACTTGGATCTGCAGTGAACTCGGGAGCAGGAGGCTGCGAAATTGCGAACGCAGGGTCTTGCACAGTCATCTTTCCAGATACGGAGAGATCTGTGCTACTTGGGTTATCGAGGGCTTTTTGTTTAGCAGCTTCGAAAGCACCAATCCAGTCCATCAGGTCCTTTTGGGTTTCAGCTTGCAGGATGATGCTGCTATTTTTGGTCTTCACTTGGAAGCAGAACCGTCGCTCCTCCTGGAAAGCAGGACGAACACTGCAAAGTAGCACGCCTATCCGTTCACTTTCTTCGACGCCACCAGTACGAGCTCCTTGGATAAGACACCCAAATATACCATTCTTCAGAAAGGCCCAGCGCCTCACCCAAACCGTACGAGTGGGTTTTCCAGAGAGAGTCCGCAAGCCGAGCCAGCCCTGTTTTTCTGGCTTGGCTTCCTTGCTCATGTTGAGAGATGAGAGGGGACGAGAGCCAAGGTAAGGTACAGTGGAGATGGCATAATCCTCTAATTCGCGGGAGGGTCTGGCAACAAGTTCAGCAGCTTCTTCGATCTGCTTTCTTGTCGAGAGGAGCTCTCGTTTGGAAGATCTGTCACTTGCTTCCATCTCGTGAATCCAGCCTTTGATACGGTCCATCTCATTGCCCCACTTGGAAAAGGTGGCAGAGTTATTGTTGTGAAAGCCTCGCACCTCTCGCCATTGATCAAAGGAGACCCGAACAAGCAGTCGATCAAGTGCATTTCGAAGCTGGGGTCCCTGGACAGAGAAGTCCATGGAAGCTCTCAGATACGCCTTGCGGGCCTCGTGAAGCTGGAACGCTTCCTCCCTGAGAGTGGATGTATCCTTTGACTTCGAATGCGAGGCATATCGTGCGTGTAGGTAGTCAAATTGCTTTTGGGCTTGTTCAAGGGCGCGACGAGTATCCTACGCAAAGTCCACGGTTAGCCGTCGTCAACAGATAGGTAAATATAAGGGGAGATTAAGGGAGTGGATACTTTGAATTGTCGTAGATCTTCCTGCATGAAAACCCGAATCGGCTCGGCGATCAATGAATCCATTTTCTTGATTGTTGATACCAAGCCATGCCACAAATCCTTCGAGCTCTCCCCATTCCTCCTCATCGCCAACAACGTGTAGTCATGGTCCACAATAGCTTCAGAGACCACCAGAGGGTGGGTGGAGTAGGAGAGGAAACCGCCGACCACACTCTCTAGAGTTAGCACCTCAGAGGTGAGTTTAGTCGCGGCTTTGGCATATCCATCCAGCCATTTCTCGATAAACTCGATCTGGTCGCAGAAGTGGAGAGTGGTAGCACGGAAGGTGGGCGAGTCGAGGGCAGCTTCTTTGAGGCCAACAGGACTATGTTTTTCAGAGCATATTAGCATTGGCAGTTCTATAGAGGATGGGGGCGCGTTCAGAACTCACACCACGCTCACAAGCTTCCCTACCTGGGGTAACGGGGTGTGCGCTTGAGTCGACATCTAGTGCATGCCTCCGCCCATACACTTGACGCGAGCAAATGAGCCACTGGGGGTAGCAATGAAGAATTATACTAGGGTTCCCTTCACAGTGAATTCGAGTCTAGCAGACAAGAGATGCTGGAGAATCCTGGTGAGAGCTGTCCACGTGCAGGTCAGCGGATTTGAAGCCTCACAATAGTATGATCTAATTGGCTACGTCAGTTCGGCGGAAGCTGGAGTACTTTAGTGCCTTATTGTCCAGGTGTTAGTCAGGCACCTATTCTGGTGGCTTGTCCAGGGCGGTGTGTTATTTTTTTTTCTGCCCATCAATTCTTGCCGCGAAACAGAAAAGTTATACAAGCTATTCTACGAGTCTCCTTCATTACCACAATGGAGCCCCCTTCGAAGAAAATGCGGACGCTCTTGGATGATGATAGCTCTGACTCTGGCGATGATGCTGGTGGTGTACCCGTCAGCAAGTCGCCAGAAGCTGGCTTCAAGATCAACGAAGATTATGCCAAACGGTTCGAGTACAATAAGAAGCGGGAGGAGGTTGCAAAGCGTATGTTTGACCTATTGAATTGATGAATTATTTGGTTGTGTGAATTCAGCTAACTTGCGCCTCCGTTCTAGTGGAAGCGAAATACGGCAAGACAACCACTCTAAGCAAACGCGGCTACGAAATGGAGGAGGAAGATGAGTCTTCCACTGACGAGGAGGAGGATGATATTGGAGAGCTTGCAACGGAGGCGCTCGATGTAGAAATCATGGAAACTCTCAACGCTATCCGAAACAAGGACCCGCGCGTGTACGATACCAACGTCACTTTCTACTCCAAATTCGACGAAGACGAGGCCAACGCAGCTCCCAAGGAGAAGAAAGAAAAGCCCATGACATTGCACGACTACCATCGCAAGAATCTGCTGAGCGGCGCTCCCACTGGAGAAGAAGATGCTCCCATGACTTTTGCGCAAGAACAAGCTGAGCTGAAGAATGCACTCGTCAAGGAGTTGCATGCATCGGATGATGAGATGGAGGATGCGGATGACTTCCTAGTCCGCAAGTCTGCCCCAGAGCCAGTTGAGAAAAAGGAAGTCAAGCTGGACATCGAGGGTGCCGACAAGGACCCAGAGACCTTCCTCTCCAACTTCTTGTCCGCTCGAGCATGGGTTCCTGAAGGTCGGCCGGAACTCCAACCCTTCGATTCCGATGATGATGAGGAGGTCGATCGGGCCGATGCCCTTGAGGAGGCGTACAACTTCCGCTTTGAGGATCCCAACAAACTCAACGAGGTGCTGGTCACCCACGCTCGTGATGCAACCAACAAACAATCCGCCCGAAGAGAAGAGAAGAGCTCCCGCAAAAAGATTCGTGAGGCCGAACGTCAGCGCAAGGAGGAGGAAGCAAAGCAGCGCGAGACCGATAAGAACCGGCTGCGCAAGCTCAAGACCGAAGAACTGCAGAAGAAGATCGAGCAAATCAAGGAAGTGGCTGGATTCAGAGCATCGGAACTCACCGACGATGACTGGATTCGCTTCCTCGATGGTTCCTGGGACGACAAGGAATGGGAAAAGGAGATGGAGCAGCGATTTGGCACGGACTACTACGCTGAGGATGCTGCTTCTGGCGATAAGAAGCATCCCAAGAAGCCTGAGTGGGACGATGATCTCGATATCACTGACCTGATTCCGGACTACAAGGATGAGGACGGAGATCAACCCACTTTAGAATTGGATGAGGAGAATGAAGACGATGGCGAAGACGAGGCTCCAGCCTCCAAGAAGAGCAAAACACAGGATAAGCGCGACCAAAAGAGGGAGGCTCGCAAGGAACGAATGCGCATCCAGGAGGCTGTTGACCGCAATCTGGACCTGGACATTACCTTGCTTCCTGGTGCCACCAAGAAGAACTCTACCAAGTTCCGTTACCGTGAGACTTCGCCCCAGAGCTTTGGCTTGACAGCACGGGATATTCTCATGGCCGATGATACCCAGCTCAACCAGTTCGCTGGTCTCAAGAAGCTCGCCTCTTTCCGTGATGAGGAGAAGAAGGCGAAGGATCAGAGAAAACTGGGCAAGAAGGCGCGTCTTCGCCAGTGGCGCAAGGATACTTTCGGTGATGAGGCCGGTCCTTCCTTTGACTTGGGTCCCAAGGTCCAGGAGACTGCGGATGAGCAGGCCGGTGATGATATGAAGGTCGATATCCGCGAGGGTGATGGACGCAAGAAGCGTAAGCGGTCTAAGAAGCACTAAGCAAAGTGCAGCCAAAAAGAATTTATTGTCCATAGTTATTATCTATATGAATGGGGTATGGAGTTTTGACTTGATAGTGATTATATTTATGGTTTAATTGAATCCTGAATCGATTGTGCCTATCCATTCATCCTATGCAGCCCTAGGCTAGGTACCTACATCGGTGGATATATAAAGTTGTATACACTCGTATCCGGTTACATCTATAGCCCTAGAGGTAAAACCTTTGTATCCCGAGGCACTCAACATTTGAAACTGGAATCCTTGGAATCCTCTGGTCAGGGCTAATGGTAGTACGTAGTAGTAGATATCCTGGCTAGTTTCGAACGTCTACGACCCTATCGAAATTCGAAGAGCCCTGAAGTGGAGACATATACTCCAGCACATGTGACTGCTCAGGTACCTAATAAAAAGTCGGCAGAACATCGACGCTGCCATACACTTCAGTTCCAAAGCTAGGTACGATCAGATTAACACTGTTGCCCCTTGCCACTCATGAGACTGGTTCATTGGACCAGTCCATTTGTTTCTGCAGGCCCTTCTACGAGTCCTAAAGAAAGCAAACCGGCTTTTGACCAGGGGTATCACCAAGTTATCGCCGTTTCAGGCTGTATGAGTCTAAGATTCAAGCCATAATAAAATTTTTGCAGATATCACCTTGAAGCCTAGAAGCTAAGCTCTCGGACAAAAATCAAAAACATCTGCAGCTTAGGATTTATGATATGCACATCAAAGCTGCATTGTACATAGATAGCGTATCCGTAGTTCCCGGAACCCAGCAGGCAAGTGGATCCGTATTGTTGGCGTACGGAGTACCTGGCCTTGTCTGGGTACTTTGCACATGCGGCTCACCTCCACTTTAAACCTTGTACCCGGTACATAAAATTGAAGAGAAAAATGGCTCATATTGACAAAATTTGATTGCACCTATCCAGGGGTTCAATGTACATAACAGATCTCGCATTGCGTAGAGTCCCAGATGCTCGAATGAAAAGGTTCAAAGATTATATTGTATATTTATAATAGCAAACGTCTGCCTGTGAGAAGATCTCCAACATCAACCTTGGAGGACCTGATACTTTGTAGATCTCTGGGTTTCAGTAGGCTGGTACCTCTCTTTGTTCAACTTTAAAGTATTAATTTTTCGATTCATCCAGGGCTCTAGAACTAATCATCAACAGTGGATTCCTAATTTCCCCAGGAACAGGTATTTGGTTCGGGGGTATAAAATTCTACAGGTGGCAAGTGAGGTCGGGTCGCCTCCATCGGATGCTCGGGGCAGGGGAAAAAAGGAGTGTTGCCCCGGTTGTGAGTGGACCAGCGGATGGGGAAAGATACGCTCGTACCCAGACATGACGGTCCACCGGGCGCTTGGACGCTCACCGTTGCTCGGGCTACGTGCTTGGGAGTGGTTGATAATAATATATAGGGCTTCAGAAAACCAGGGAAATTGATAAAATAAAAGTGAAGCAGGGACTTTACAAGGTATTGTTAATATGGGTACGACTTTTCAGTTTTTGTTATGATTCCAAGAATGATCTATAGGGGTCCGATGTTGTAACCAGTAAACTGATGCAGAGATTTTTAATTACAGGCCGATCGGGAGATATCGGCAAGGTGGCCGGCCATACAGGGAATTACGGTAATAAAATCCTGATTAGGTGTTAGTGTGCTGCGTGTCGCTTCTGCCCGTGTACGGCAGTATTTTTCTCCCTTCCGCCCCCTGCGCTCTCTTATTCTTTTTCTTCCCTTCCGTCCCCGAACCTTTCTCTCTTCTCCATCTCCTCTCTTTTTTTCGTTGTAGCATCTATTTTCTTGCACAACCTTCACAATGGCTCAGGGTGACGTTAACCAGGGCGATAAGTCCGTCTTCGGCATGCCCGTAAGTTCTTTCCCCCTGCTATCCAGATGAGCTGGCCGGTCCTGTCGCACGCGTCTCGAATCGATATCCAGGGTTATCCGCCCCGGAGTCAATTCCAAGATGCCAGCGTAGGGAATCATCAACTAGCTCATCACAATGCAAAGCACAGCGTGAAGAATAACTGGCTAACAACTACTTTCTTCAGGGCTTCGTTGTCGACTTCTTGAGTATGTGTTCACTTTTTCAAGTTTTAGCCTGTGGCTGAGATTTGTCTCCATCTGGCATCCATAACCAATGATCAATACTAACTGATTCTACAGTGGGTGGTGTCTCCGCCGCTGTCTCCAAGACCGCTGCTGCCCCCATTGAGCGCATCAAGCTGCTCATCCAGAACCAGGTTGGTTACACCCCCTTCATAACAAAGCATCCATCGGCGTGGATCGACGAAGAAAAGAATCAAATTCGAATCCAAGAGTGATGGCAATCAGATTACTGGTATAATTTACCGGAACTGGTCGTTTTGACACTTGGAGGCGAGATGAGAAAAATTTTTCGTTGGTCCGTGGCGGTCGGGAAATATGCTTTCATCATCCGATCAGCCATTAACCTTGCTTTCACTTTAGGATGAGATGCTCAAGGCTGGCCGTCTTTCCCACAAGTACGCCGGTATTGCCGACTGCTTCCGTCGCACTGCCGCCGAGGAGGGTGTCGTCTCCCTGTGGCGTGGTAACACCGCCAACGTCATCCGTTACTTCCCCACCCAGGCCCTGAACTTCGCTTTCCGTGATACCTACAAGTCCATGTTCGCCTACAAGAAGGAGCGTGATGGATACACCAAGTGGATGATGGGTAACCTTGCCTCCGGTGGTGCTGCCGGTGCCACTTCCCTCCTGTTCGTCTACTCCCTGGACTACGCCCGTACCCGTCTGGCCAACGACGCCAAGTCCGCCACCGGTAACGGTGACCGTCAGTTCAACGGACTCGTTGACGTCTACCGCAAGACCCTTGCCTCCGACGGTATTGCCGGTCTCTACCGTGGTTTCGGTCCCTCCGTTCTCGGAATTGTTGTCTACCGTGGTCTGTACTTCGGTATGTACGACTCCATCAAGCCCGTTCTCCTGGTCGGTCCTCTTGAGGGCTCTTTCCTCGCTTCCTTCCTGCTCGGATGGACTGTTACCACTGGTGCTGGTGTTGCTTCCTACCCTCTGGACACTGTCCGTCGTCGCATGATGATGACCTCCGGTGAGGCCGTCAAGTACAAGTCCTCCATGGATGCTGCCCGCCAGATTATCGCCAACGAGGGTGTCAAGTCTCTCTTCAAGGGTGCTGGTGCCAACATCCTGCGTGGTGTTGCCGGTGCCGGTGTCCTGTCCATCTACGACCAGGTCCAGCTCATCCTCTTCGGCAAGAAGTTCAAATAGATAACTCGCCCTCAAAAGCGGTTATTTTAATCACCTTGTAGTTTATACTGGAGTCGGGGATGTCTTCCCTGCCCCCAGTGTAATCACTGGGCGCGGGAAGCTGAGGTTGTGGGAATGGTAAAAGATAGATGCGTCAAGAAATGGGTTCTGGGGGATCTTGAGCATAGAAATGGTGTGATTCTTCCTTTATGGACCCGATGTACTTTACTGCCTGCAAGCTCTTTTTCTTTTCTTTTCAAAATCTGTATTTTTTTCAACGTATCTGTTCTTTTGTAAATTTCTCCTTCCGTAGAGACTTCTCTTAGTGCACTCCGACCTTCGAGACATCTTCATAATGCCTTGTCTGTTCCCTAGCATCATGGTGGTAGCTGCTTGCTTCCCCTAGTGAATAATCCTGGGACTGATTGCTTCCAGCGTCCAGATCATCAACTCTGTGCTTGCATATGCAACGTGTCCCGTCGACCACAGATAAAATTGGCCCTCCCACGGTACTCGAACATGTGATTATTACACCAGCTATAAGCTTTAAAGACATTGAACTAGAATTCAGCTATCGTTAAATAGCTTCTCCTCAAAGCTCAGAGCCAAGTCTCAAGATAGGGGTCTCCAACTCCACAGCAAGCCCACCCTAGATGCGCCCCACAGTAGAAAGCGCATGACGTCTCGGGCGGCACCAGGAGCTTTCTTGTAGCTCCCTTCACCTCCTTCCTTAACCACATCAAACCTACCCACAGATCGATAGCTACTCGCCAAGATGTCCGAATCATCAGGTATCCCAACCTACACATCTGCGCCTGTGAATCAAAACCAGAAAGAAGAAGACACCACCGCAGTCAAACCCCAGCCTCAACCCGCCACCGCAATCGAGTCCTCTACAACTACAGCTCCCCAACCTGCAACAACCTCAGCTACAGCCACTGCACCGTCATATTCCCCCATATACGCAACAACACAGAACGCCCCGGCATTGCCTGGCGCCGCAGCAAGCCTGCCAACTCCAACAGCAGCTCCTCAACCTCCAGGCAACCTCCAGGCAACCCCAACGACCACACTCCCCTCTGCAACTTCTCAATCACCACCAGCGCCTCAACCAGGTGCGTTCCCAACTCCCGGAGCAGGAGCCACACCCACAGCTACCTCATCAATCCCCCCACCCCCCAAGGCAGGCGAATCAATCTCGCCCTTGCACTCCGCGCCCCAGCCCGCAGGCGCATCTCAAACACCGTATTCGCAATCATACGCCTACCAGCGCCATCCATCAGTATCACACGGAGCTATTCCAAACTCTACCTCGTCTCCGTATTCGACTGTGTACAGCGGTTCCTCGGAAGGGGGCTCACGTTCACATGGACTGCCTACGTACCAGAGTAACAGCAGTGGGGGTGGAGCAGGCAACATCTTCCCTGATGAGGAGCCTGGAATCATGAATGTGGCGAAGGGTTGGATGCAGAGTGCTGGGGAGAAGTTGGCTGAGGTAGAAGCGGAGGTTTGGAAGAGGATTAATGATGCCCATGGGAAATAAGTGTACTTTGAATTGTTGGAGACTTGTGTTGTTTCTTTAGGTTTTACTGGGCTTTTTTTTCGGGGTGAGCTCTTGGTCTACTTGGTATCTGTATCTTCTCTACGGGGTGTTTCGGGGGTATGAGGCTTGCAGGTGGAATATGCTTTGAATGCCCTTAGCTTGAGCTACTACTAGCATGATAGGGATCTGGAGGAGAGATGTGAATTCGTTGAAGCTCTGTGTACTTACTGGCGTCGTGAATTATGTATTATTCGGGCTTGATCCATAAATTGACTATCCGAATCCTATCTTGATACTCACAAGAGGCCTTACAACTCGCAAGGGCTCATAGCTTGCCTGAGAAATGCAAGCTTAGTCTAATGCGCATTTTGTGATACTGATGAGTCTACAGAAAATCGTAGTGTTATTTGCAATGACTTGGCTCATGTTGATGAGAGACCACAGTCTCACTTGATTCAGGTTATAAAGATCAGCCGAATCCAAGCACTAGTTTGGACTCTAAGAACACCTAAACCAAGACAAGATACATATGCTTGTCGTTTTATGAACAAAACCCGTCCACCATCCACCACCCACTATCCACCATTTCCGCATCCCAACTCAGTCCCAAGGACATGAGTACCCATAGCACGTAAACAGAATAAAACCGGAACCAAAAACGCACTCAGTGAAATCAGTAAAGATGACTGAGAGCACAACCACAAAACAGGAGCCAAAAACCAGAAACCGCGAAGTGCGTGCCAGTGCAAATCAGTCAAGACGACCAACACCGCACATCGTAGTTTCGGTTGGAAAGATTCGACAATCTGTGTGCAATCGGTATGGAGCCCGGAAATACTCGAACAAAAGAAAATTGGAGAGATCAAATATTAGGTGAGAGGTAATAAGAAAAGCGAGCTCCACGGGGAAGGTTGAAGCCCGAGACTCGATGCAAAAGAAAAGAAAAAAGCCCACAAGTTGTGCAAGACCAGGAAAGCAAAGCCCAGATGGAGGGGGTATTCAGTAGTTCAGTGAACTAGTTTGCATGGGCAGGACCATCTGGTTGCAACAGGTAATAACGCCAGGAACCATAAGAATAAAAAGAACAAAAATACAAAACTCCAACGCCAAATGGTATCCCACCACCAGCGTCATGTTGCAAGCGTTCCAAACGGACGCCTCATTTTTCTGATGAGTCGTAACAGAAGCCAAAGTGGTCCGGACCAGCCTTGATGACCTCATTATGAATGAAGGGTGTATCCCATGATAAAACGAAAGAGAGAAACCGAAACGCCGACCCATGATGTGTAGAGCTTTACATGGAGCCCAAACGAAGAAGCGCCTCTACCGCAGCGCGTTCCTGGTTGTCAAAGGTGTGGGGAGTGGACCTAGCGATAGTGGATGGAGTGGGTCGGGCGTTGGCGTGGGCGCCTCCGTTACCGAAAAGCCCAGGCAGAGGTTTCGCTCTAGCCGCAACATTGCGCACAAAGCCACCACCACCAGTCATCGACCGAGCACGCAGTGCATCAGCACCAATCTGTGCCCAATCCTCTTCATCGGTGACATCACCTTCATTCCACTCTTCGTCTGGCAGATCATCCGGTGCCTCAGAGGATGAACAGTACTCACGTACATCGCCATCCAGCGACATCTTATCCGCTTCATGCTCAAGCATATCGAGATCCTCATACCGCGTAGCATAATCTTCCGCCTCCGCATACGAAAACGCGATCGAATCATTACGAGCCTTATTGATGGCATAATGATCCCGGCTGTCACGACGGCTATCCCAGGCTGAAGAGCCTTCGATCTGCAGTCCACGCTGCTGGAAGGATTCGGCTACACTGGAAGGGGGCGACGCGTTAAAGGAGCGGTCGCGCGCCGGCTCGCCACGTCGACGCGCATCCCAACGTCCCCAGCCGATCTTCTCGAACACAACATCGCCATTCACGCTGCCTGTTTCCCCGTTTCCGCGACCCTCTAATGCGGCCACGACCAGTCGGCGTGCCTTGGCGGGTGGGATACGCGAGAACCCGGGCACCGACGTGGTCAGGTAGCCCATGACATGGCGAATAGCCAGGGGGCCTTGCTGCAGCAGGATCTCGGGCAGGTGGTATTTAGCCAGCATAAGCGGGGTGATATCGCCGACGCTGTCTATATCGGAGGGCTGTGATCGGTCATGGAAGTTCGCGTGTTCGTCTGCGTCATCCAGGTCGATGTCGGAGTCCAGCTGGGGTACGGTGGACAGTGGAGAGCCTGGAGACAGGACAGGACGGTGTTTGAAGGCTTGAGGGTGAAGGGTTGGGGAGATAGAGTTGGGTGGCGTTGGGAGCATGGTCGGCTGTCCTGGGCGCGACTGGGTCTTGCCGTTCGGGCCAGCACGGGGCTGAGGGATATCAACAGAAGCGGTCTTGGTCTTGCCAGCAAGAGCCATAGCGATGCTGGAGGTGGACTGGAAAGCCATGATGGATGATGGGAAGTTGTTGGAAAGAGAGCGCACGCGCAGGGCATATACTAATCGTATGAGTCAGATTGGGCCGTTCCATACAATGCGACAGCGCGCCATGGGATTGGGTTGGGGGCAGTTTCAGTGGCGACAGGGGAGGGTTTCTATTTCCAGATGCGGCTGCAGGAAAGAAAGAAATGTAGAACTTACCTCTCAAAGAAACAAAGAGTTGTGGTTACGCACTAACACGCAGGTACGCGAAGGTGCTTCCAGGTAGCGGGAAATTGGGGGATGCGACGCGGTAAGGGGGGGCGCGACGAAGGAGAAAGATCACCACGATCAATCTACCAGGTAGAATAAATTTGGAGGAAGAGTTTATTAAAGAAGAAAGAGATGACGAGGGGGGAGTTAATTATTTGTGCGACTTGAAGGGTTGAGTCAATATACTGCCCCTCTTACACCTTGGAAAGGGAAAGTATGGGACTCCGCAGGTGCTGTCCAGGCGCAGCGCGTGGGCGAACTGATTGGCGCCTCGTGGATCTACTACGCCCCGGGTGGTTCCGGACTTGGTCTATACTATGAACTATACAATTTATTGATTTCATATGGTGCGATGTCATCTTGACATATTTCACGAACACGTTCAAAGAAACCCTGATCGGACCCAGGATCCCTCTCTCACTTAGTCGCTAATCATTATTCACCCCCTCAAAAAAGATACAGGGGGTCCAAGTGACCGAGTCCGAGAGATCGACCCCTCACGGTCTCTTATCAGTCACTAGTCCGGGAGTTGCAGGGCTGTAACCCCATGTACCCGCAAGCAGCATATAACATACAAAGTCACTTTGGGGTGGAAGTCAAGTTCGCGCACTGATAAGCCTCCCTCCCGGCACGTGGTGCGCCCAGTAGATACCAACCGTTGACTTGAACCTCACGTAACTCGGTACAATCGTCAAACTTTTTATTCAACCCTAATGACTTCCCACACTCCTAATTTTGATCTCACGAAACCGGCCAACAACCCCGCCGACGTCGCGCCCCATCGCACACTCCACTCTCACGGGCCTTGCATGGCCATCTGGACTCGATGACTGGCGCTGCCCTTGACGTCATGCCAGTACCATCTACTTGGCGGGAGGGTACTGGGTACCCCGTGCCCTAGGGTATCGAGCCCCGTAGGCCCAAATCGCTCGCCCCTCTACACTCCACACACGAAAATCCCTCGACGCGTGTCCCAATGCGCCCTTAGCGCTACCAATAGGAATTCTAAGCATGCGCATCTGGTGGCTGGGGGATTTGTGCATTGCACTTTTGACTTTGATCAGCCATAAGATTACTATGCTGCATTTTCCGGTGCTGTCTGGTATGTTGCCCGGTTAACCGAAATAGTCCGAGGGAATGCCGGGTTACTACTGTAGGACATGTTGTAATCGTACTCCGTATATGGCGGAAATTATACCCTGATTTTAGCCTCTATTTCCAAGATTTCTATTTTTTGTTATCTGCTTTGACTATGAAAGGGCCTTGGTCTAGTCCGGAATGACGCATTGCCTTGAATTCCGTCCCGTGATGGTGGGGGTTAGCCGTCGTGGGGTCGATAATAAATCGAGGGATTTACTTCGGTATCCAGTCCGAGGTTTGATTTCGGATAAGTTGTTTAGTTTCAAGTTTCGCGAGGATGCCCGGTCTCCTAAATTGTTGGGAATTGACATTGGTCATGCGCTGATTCGTATAGAGGGTTGTAAGACCCCGCGGGAACGCATGTACAACTCAGAAACCCAGATCGTGGAAGATGATGGAACAAAAGCAAATGCATGCTCATCACTTGGCAGTGGTATTTGAGAATGTTAAATTGAAATTCAATTGATCAGTCGCAGGAGCTTTTGTGCAACTTGTGAAGGAATCCAGCAGGTTTCTATATACGTACGGAGTACAATCCAGGACACTCTTTCCCTCTAATCTTGGGACAATCACCCGTTTCAGCCACACGCTCAATCAAATCCCATCCGATTCCTATTCCCCACAAAGAAACTCCCCACCTGCAGAAGATCCCGCCAATCCAGGTACCAAATGCCGAGTTGTCTTCATCTTAGAATCGGCCAATTCCTGCATGTCTACACTCTGGACATTGTAAACACAACCCTCCACCTTGCCACCTGGACCACTTCAAAAGAGCTCTATACCGTCTCCACAGTATATTCATACCCATCAAGTGAGGCAGACCGGACTGTATGTAACTCGGGCTGCATGCCCAATCTCAGGATCTCGGTGAGTCTATTCGGATCTTCTAGGAACCCATCGGGGTGTTCCTGTCAATACGGGATTTGAACTCGTTCTTTGGGTGAAAGAAGAATAAGATCAAATGTACTTTTGAGCACTGCTAATGATTTGTGTGGGCTCACTGGAGCGGGGGCGGGGTCTTGTTGGGCTTGGTAAGTAACGCCGCTTACTAGAGTGTGCTGAGACCTCGAGGACTTCTAGAATTTTCCAGCCTGAGTCTGCCAATTTATCTTTTTTCAGAAAATCAGATTGTCGTGCTTGCCTTCTGGATAAAATGGATTGGGTTGAGCCGGTTCGTAGTGGCCGAGATAGAATCCTGACACTTTATTTGCCTGATTCCCCGCTCAAAGCTACTGCAGATGCTGAGTGGAAGTCTGTTATACACTTTAGCCAAGGAGAACGCCCCGGGTGGCTAATTGGGTGTCCTGGCTGCTCTATATGGCACGGAAAAACTCATGGTCTTCAGTTCCCCGCAACTCTCAATAAACATCCGCTAGTCCGGCCCGCCGAGAATATCTGATCTTCAGGGTCCCAACTTCTTGAATCCGGTTGAATGCCTCAAGGTCTTTGGCGTGCCATTTTCCCGGCGCGGGGTTGTCTGGGGTTGAATATGCTTGCTAATGACCCCCGCCTCCGTTCTGAAGAACTTTATAAGGACTATGGGAGACTCAGCGGTAAAGTTGATAGACAAGGTGATACTCGCAAATGTAGTCAAAATGTTCAATTTTATAAGGGTAACCCTCTTCCTGGCAGCTACCGTAAATGCGGCGTTGAGCCCTGGCTCACTAGACTCGGACCTCTCAATTCTTATTCATAATGACCTTCTAGGTAGCTTCTTCCCTTTTTTCTGACGAGAAGGCCTGAGATTGACACAAAGTTTACAGAAGGGAACAGTACCTTGGCTGGATCAGGAGTTCTGCTTCTGGATTCAATGCCATTGCAGAAAGCCATTGAGACCTGCCATAGCCTTGGGGAAACTCTGTGGTCATACCAAGTAGGGGGTTCAGAAATCAAAAATGACTTAGACTATCTCGCTTTCCAGGGCAAATACAGCGAGAGCCAAAGATATTGGATCGCTCCTGTCCACAACACACCCTCAACGATCAACGCGAATGGAAAAGTCCAAAGAGCTTCTGCAAACACTCACCTCCCAGCGCTTTGTACCCAAAGTGCCCCATACTCCGATTCTGACAGCCAGGATACGAGCTCGAGATGGCAGGTCTCGGTTCATTCTAACAATGAATACCTCACGGGGTAAGATGTCCTTTTTTTGTTGCTGAGCCATCCTCACATCAATCCAGGTTTCGAGATCGAGTGAGCTTCCGCTTCCTCGGTATCCGATATGCTCCGCAGCCTAAGCGCTGGACCTACTCCCAGCTATACGAAGGAACTGGTGATGATGTCTCCGCTCTCGACTACGGTTCCGAATGCCCACAGAGCTCCAGCGGAGCAGAGGATTGTTTCTTCTTGAATATTTGGACGCCATATCTCCCCAAATCCACCCATCCAAAGAAAGAAAACTTGAAGCCTGTCATGTTTTGGATTCATGGTGGTGCTTTTCAAACCGGAACTGGAAGTGACCCCACCGTTGACGGGGGCAACCTAGCATCAAGAGGTGATGTAGTGGTAGTCACCACGAACTACCGTCTGGGAAACCTGGGATTCTTGGCTTTAGATGATGGGACCACAAACGGGAACTACGGATTGGCGGACCAGATCATTGCACTTGAATGGGTGCGACGCAATATTCGGGACTTTGGTGGTGATCCGGACCGAGTCACTATCTTTGGACAGTCTGCTGGTGCAGGGTCAGTTCGAGCGCTCTTAGCCTCGCCAAAGTCTCGCGGAAAGTTTGCAGGTGCTGTCATGTTAAGCAACCTTGGAGGCGTGGGATATGGAACAACATACTCCGAGTACTACAGCATCACCGAAGAGATGGAGGTTGTGGGGAACGACATTTTGAGCGAAACGAATTGCACAAATGCTAGCTCCAGGATTGACTGTCTGCGCGAACTTTCTGCATCCACTATCATCAATCTCAGCGCTAGTGCCAGATACCTCGTTGTCGACGGAGAGTATCTCCAGGCCCCCGAGCTGGGCTTAACAAACCCTAGAACTACTGCAAATGTTCCGTTACTACTGGGCACGACCAGGGATGATGGAGCAGCGTTTATAGCTTATCCATCAGTTAACGAAACCATCCAAGAGTTCCTTAACGCATCAGATCTCCCCTCAAACGTCGTTCCAAGTCCTCTTTTCCCCATTCCCTCAGGAACAAATCATACCCTCGACATCTTCAACACCTCAGCCCGGATATGTACAGACGGTGTATTCCGCTGCATAGACCAAGCAACCGCATACGCAGGTCTAAAAAATCACATCTTCCCATCCATCTTCTTCTACGAGTTCAACCGCACCTATCAAATGCCAGGCTGGTCACCGAATCCACCACTGTGTCAAGCTCCCATCACACCAGAGTTCCCGTATGGCGATCCGAGCTTGGAGTATTTCAAATGTCATTCCGGAGAGCTATACTATGTATTCGGAAACATCTTGCGTGTGGGACTTCCGCTACGAGATGACTTCGACTTGCCATTCGAGCAGTATGTGCTCGATTCGTGGGCGAGCTTTGCCCGCTCTGCAGATCCGACGCCTGATTTGAAATTCTTGAAGGCGAGGGGGTATGTAAATACGACAAGGGAGGTTGAGAGGACGGGGTCTTGGGACAGGTTTCAAGAGGGAAGCTATAAGATGAGGCGGTTGCAGTGGCCATCGGAGACGGTGGATTTGGATGAAACTCTTCAGTGTCGAGCTTTGAATATGTCGTTGAGTTACTATACTACCTAAGCAGATGAAAATCATCTTCTTTGATCATGAATATTCGTCAAATATCCCGAATTTCATGATGACCTCAAACATCGTATCTTATAAGGCTCAATGTGACTGAACTCTTCCCTGTACATAGCATTCATTCCGAGAGACGTGTAGTAGGTTTTTTTTTGAAATCCGAAAAGTGTCTACATATTACCTCTTTTGTAATTGTGAATGTGATGTCCGGATTTGTTCGGTTGATACGAGGTGGCGAAAAGCAATCACCAAAGCCGGGGAATGGCTACATACTCCCAAGGTTGGCACATGTAAATCTGGGATACGAGGGAATCCACTGATGAATCATTAATAATTCATTATCTTAATTTGACCAGCAATCTCTTAAGTGATTGATACTCCGAGGCCTGCACATTTCAAAATAACCTCATATATCCGGCTCCCTTCTATTTGTATCACCTCGTAAACCACCATGGGACTCCCATCAGTTCAAAAAGCCATCGTCGTCATAGGACCACGGGAAGCTAAGCTCATTAGCGACCGGCCAATCCCAGCTCTCCGGGAACATCATATTCTTGTCAGAACCGTATGTGTTGCTTTGAACCCTGCGGATTGGAAACACATCGACCACCTCTCAGCCCCGGGTGCCATACCCGGCTGCGACTACTCCGGTATCGTCGAAGAAATCGGCAAAGGCGTAACTCGCTTTACCAAGGGTGACCATATCTGTGGCGTCGTCCATGGAGGTAACGCTCTTCATCTCGAAGACGGCGCCTATGCCGAATACATCGTTGTGAAAGAGAACCTCCAGATCCACATCCCCAAGCATCTCAGCTTTCAACAAGCTGCTACCCTCGGTGTGGGTATAACTACTGTTGGTCTATCTCTATATCATAACATGAAGTTGGAACTTCCCACCGATACCATTGTGCATCCCGTTTCAATCCTCATTTACGGTGGCTCGACTGCTACTGGGTCATTGGCGATCCAATTCGCTAAACTTTCTGGATATCTCGTTTTTACTTCTTGCTCACCACACAATTTTGATTTCGTGAAAAGCCTTGGAGCTGATATGGTTTGTGATTATAGGGATCCTAGAGCTGCGGAGGAGATTCGGAAACTCACTGGTGATAAGTTGAAGATTGTTCTTGATACTATTTCGCTCGAGTCTAGTGCCAAATTCTGTGCTGAGGCGATGTCAACAGAGGGAGGCGTCTATACTTCTCTTTTGCCGGTTACGGCGCCTCGCAGTGATATTAAGTCCGACTTGGTCCTGGGATATACTGCTTTTGGGGAGCCTTTTGTATTTGGCCCACAGTCGTTTGATGCGGTCCCCGAGGATGAAGCCTTCTCTGCGTGGTGGTGGCTACTTGCTGAGAAGTACTTGGTGGATGGCAAGATCAAAGTACACCCTGTGTCAGTGCGTGATGGTGGTTTAGAGGGTGTGTTGGAGGGGTTGGACCTTATGAGGAAGGATCAGGTTAGCGGTCAGAAGTTGGTTTACAATGTTTCTGAGGCACCCTGAGCGATACCATGGAGCCGCATTGCCGGTTCTGCTTTGCAGCAACAGAATGTAATAATATTCTCCATGATGTTTACGAGGTGAATGGTATCATTCACTTCAAGGTTGGAATCGGGTGCCCCAATTGAAAGCTGTGTAAGATATATATATACAGCGAGACCTTCTATTTATTGTGTATTCAATTTCCCTTTCTTCCGCTTTGATAATTGAAACATGATCTGGGTGTGCCTCATTGGTATATTGGATGGAAAGAGCATTTCTAGTTTATCAAGGGCTGTCCGTATGAACTCGCTTCCAAGGCAGAAAAGGGCCGTTTATACATAATGAAGCGACTTGCTGGTGGGGCAAAAGGTGGAGCAAGAGTGGACCGAGCAGGTTCAAGCCATGTACAGTAGTAATTGTAAGTCACTACTAGAAGAATAAAAATGGAGTAGAGCGTGGTATGATTGAATGCAATGAATCAAAACAAGGTTTCACACGAGGCAAGGAAGCTTTTTTGGTAAGAGGGCACTAGACCTAGGCTCGGGGAACTTATTAGGAAATAAGCCCGGGCCTTGTATCCATTGCCAAGAATTTTTAAGGACTCGATTGGAGGTCATGTGATCCAGCTTAGGGTTTTGTGCCGGGCATAAACCTGAATAGACAACAGTGGGTCAAACCGTGAGGATTTTGTGCCAACGTTTCCACTCTCTCCGGTCACAATTTTGGAGTCGGCTTGATTTTTGTCCCGGTTCCATCATTTGATGACATATCTGCTTATCAATTGGCTCGTAAATTTGTCATATAACCTTCGAAACGATCTGCAAATATGGACCTGAGAAATTGCTTCAAACTTCGAAATTCAGTAAAACACAATCTAAGTCAAACCCCTTAGTGTTCCGGGACATTTGACTACGACAAACCTTAAAACTAGATATTCGACACTCTCAACAATATCAACAAAACCCCCATCATGTCACAAGTTCCACGATTTGAGAGTGCTGATGTCGACCCTAGCCCCCTAGGCAAGCCTCTCACTTTCACCTTCTCGGGTCGGACTGCCCCCAACAGATTTTTAACGGGTGCCATGAGCGAGCGTCTTGCATCTTTCACCCTAGCTGATGTCGAGAACCGTGGTGTTCCCACCCCTGAATTGATCAATGTGTACAAGAACCGAGGTACCGCTGGAATTGGCATGAATTTGACCGGCAATGTGATGATCGACCCTGGCCACTTGGAGGCAGCTGGCAATCCAATCATCCCCCGCCACGCGCCTTTCTCTGGTGAGCGGTTTGAACGTTTCCAGGAGCTTGCAGCTGGCGCAAAGGCCCAGGGAAGTCTCATCGTCGCTCAGGTTGGCCACCCGGGCCGTCAAATTCCTGAGTACCTTCAGCCAAACACTATCAGCGCCAGTGCTGTTGCAATGAAGGCTGATAATCTTGGTATGACCTTCGCCACACCTCGTGCTGCGACTGAAGAAGATATTGCTGCTGTGATTGAAGGTTTTGCTCATGCCGCTGAGTACCTTGATAAGGCTGGCTTTGATGGCCTGGAGCTACACGGTGCTCATGGATATCTCCTTAGCCAGTTCTTGTCACCTACTACCAACCACAGAACCGACCGTTACGGTGGTAGCCTGGAAAACCGGATGAGATTGATCGTGGAGGTTAGAGAAGCAATTGCCAAAAGAGTGAGCCCTGATTTTATTGTTGGTATCAAGATCAACAGTGTTGAGTTCCAGGAGAAGGGCTTCCAGCCCGAAGAGGCTAAGGAGCTTTGCAAGACTCTTGAGGACAACAAGTTTGACTTTGTTGAGTTGTCTGGTGGAACCTATGAGAACTGGCCTCTGTCTGACGCTAAGCGGGCGTCAACCATTGGACGTGAAGCTGTAAGTCTATCGTCCGTTTGTCATATGAGTTAGATGCTTGATTGACTAACTCGCACCAAAGTTCTTCTTGCAATTTGCCAAGCTCATTGTTCCTGGTCTGACCAAGACCAAGACCTATGTCACTGGAGGAATGAAGACTGTTGAAGGCATGGTCAAGGCATTGGACACTGTTGACGGAGTCGGTCTTGGTCGTGCTCTGTGCCAGGAACCCAACCTCTGCAAGGATATCTTGTCCGGAAAGGTCAAAGGCGCTATGCTGCAGAAGATGGACATGCAGAACTTCTTTGTGACTGCAGCAGCAAGCGGTCTGCAGATTAAGCAGTTGGGGCAGAATCTTGAGCCCATCGATCTTTCCGTTGAGGAGAACACTCTTAAAACTTTCGGTGCTTTGGGTCAGTGGAAGGTGGCACAACAAGCAAACCCTGACTTGTACCAGTTCCCCGCTGTGCCTGATTACAGCACCCCGTTCATTGCTACCAAGGCCTAGAAGGCCAAAGCAAGATATTTGCTGTTATATAGGATCGTGTCACCATTTGCGAAGTATAGAAAGCCATTGATACTCCATCATCAAGAACCGTGTACAGGTCACCCGTACTTTTGTTCAATACATCTTGTGTCCGATTGCAGGACACCTGAAAACTATTTATTTGCTGCGTTTGCCTGCTCAGGTGTCTTCTAACAACATTCCGCGTCTGAATTCTTGGAGATAAATGGCACCCACATAGTGTGGGGATTAATGAGAACGCCACATGATAGCAAAGCCTTTCTACATGACCAAGTAACATGCACCAATAAAACTGTGATCAAACTGTGGGGCCCTTGAAAGCCACCAATGTAGATCGCTTTAGCGCCATTATCTCGGGGAATATGAATCTACCGCATCGTTAGCTGTTCCTACTCAGATTGCCAGGTTTTCCTTTCTATTTCGCCTGCCGATAATCTTATACCCTTCGATTACGTGATGCCAGGTAGGGTCTCGCCAACGGGAAATCCTGGTTTGAAGCTTGAAATCTGTCTGACTTCGTAGTGCGAGGTCGTACAGTATCTGAAATGTCATCATTGAGTTGAAACGTTGGCCACGTCGGCTGAACGCGCTCATATTCAAGCTCACACATCAAAAGCTGCACTCAGTGGTCAAAATCCCTGATGAATCACACTTTTTGAAACGCAAAAAAGACCCAGTCTTGGAATTTGTCCTCAAGAATGCGACTGCTCTCTTGGTCACATCTGGTGCGTGCGAGTCTGACACAATGCAAACCCAGCTGAAAAGATCATCACTGAGTGCGGATCAGGCGGAGAACGCTAAAAGGAGGGTTTGCGCCGAGCTCGCTGGGTAGTTGAGAGTGGTCAGGCCTGGTTTTTGGGGTGTTTCATTGAAGTTACCAATCGGCTTTCCTGAGAGCGCCCCTGTCGATGTTTTGTATGGCAGTCCAACTTGTGCAATTCAAAAAGCTAGAGAGCCATTTTGAGAGCTCAAAGACAACTGTAGTATCTCAATTTTGTACCTAATATACGCTCCAGTATTCATGGTGTTCAACACCTAAGGGGACAGGGCTGGGGAGTACACGTGATTCAATAATTATTCCGAGATACTCGGCATAGGTTCGCACAGCAGATGTTTGAAGCTTATTTCAAGTTTAATTGACGCAATGAGACACGTAGTTTTATCGGAGATGGTTCAGGTTTCGGAAGACGTTGCTTGTTCAAGCGTAAGTTCCGATTTGTCTGTGATTAATATACATTGGCGTTTCAAGCTGTAACCTCGAGTAGGGCTGCACTGACTTGATGGTCAGAAACATGATGAATTTCCCCCATGCGACTCTAGAAGCCGCGCCGAACAGCCGTACCGAATGATCCTCCCGCATTTGTACATATAGTCTCTTCCAAGGTTGAGTGTTCCAAGGTTACCTAATGCACGTTCCGTGAATGTGCATCATAGTCTAAAGGCCCCACAAGCTAGATCCTGACCAATCGGCACCTCGGCTGAGCCCCACTAGACCCATCAAATATCGAGAAAAATCTTCATTATTGTTTACCAGACCATTGTGGAGCCTCTCTTTCACAAGCAAATCCGATATGGTGTAGTGGCTAACATCGTCGTCTCTCACACGACAGCCGGGGGGTTCGATTCCCCCTATCGGAGTTAACTTTTTGTTTTTCTCCTGTTCGTATAGACCGGAGATATTACGTTTTTATTGATCGATGAATGGTTCGGGGTAGTCAGCACCGATGTTGTGGCGGACTGGAAAAGCCGAACAGCAAGGTGGCTTGAAGTTTCAAGGAATTATAATATAGACAACCCTCATTGTACTAAGACTATTTAGAGAATCCAAATCTGATATAGGTGTGCTCAGCATATTCATGTGTAAGGCCTGGATCACCTATGACGTGAGGCTCTGCCCGAGGTCTAGAAAATCTATTTTTTTGCCGAGCACAGTGTCAGCTGAATAGAATAGTCTTTTAATAATAATTAATCTACTTGAACGTCTAGCGTATTCGAATTCGGCAAATGTTCCGGCCGAGAACCAGGGGCGCACAGTCTAGTCTCAGACAAGTGCGTGGGCACCCGAGCAAATTGTGGTAGAACCAGGCGTGGGTTCAGTGCGGAGACCCATTCAAGAATTGTCATTGCGCGATTGTATCAATCGCTTTCACCGGACCTTTTTCTCCACTCGATCCTTTGGGGCTTGTTAGGGTTCCGACTAGCCGCGGCGGTTTTTCTGCCTTGGTCCTTCGCTTAAGATGAACTCGCGTATTACTGCCACTTAGTGTGACAATTTCATTTGGAATGTACAAAAGTACGGACTGTGACGCGGCAGATAGAGTGCTAAGATTTCGGCAAGAGATCTTACCAGGGGAAAGTAAAACCTTGAACGCTTTGACCGTTCGGTGGTTTCCCTTGGATTAGTGGTCCGATCCTTTGGTTCCAGTTAGGCGAACCCGACTCCACTAGATCGATCTATAGGTTTCCAACCGCCACCCATGCCTGTCCATCCTGTGGTTGGTTCCTCTACTTGAAAATGTTCCATCCTATTGCGGATGTTGGACGCGATCCGACGGAAAACCCGGTACCTCGGTCTTATTCCCCCATCTTATATATGCGAGTGCCCTGAAAATGACCACCGCTCTTGATTCTTGATCTTTTACCTCCTGGTATATCTATTATGGGTCTTAGTGATCGTTACCCTGCCTATGGTGGCCGTGGTCCCGATGATTTGCGTCTGGGACTCGGACTCGGCGCTGTCGCTACCATTTTTATGGCATTGCGTGTCTATGTGAGACTTCGAGTGAATAAGTTCGGCACTACAGCATTGATCTGGTCTCTTGTGGCTTGGGTATGAATTCAATTGCCCTTATACTGCCGATCACCACACTAACCCCACCAATTAGTTCCTCACTGCCATCACACAAACCTTCGGTGTGATATCCATTCTCCACGGACTCGGAAATAGAATCACAATTGTTGAGGAAACCGGCCAATTGGGCAATTATCTTCTTTTCACATGGATCACCGTCTTCTTTTTCAATATGGCCATTCCCATTGGAAAGGTCGCCGTGGCAGCGTTCTTGATTGAAATGAATGCACAAGGCAGTACGTCACCCTTATCGGGGTTCATATCTTAGTGGACCACAACCGTTGGAAACCTTACTGACTTGTTTTCAAGACCGCAAAATCCGTCAAAGTCTGGTCGCCGTCGCCGTGCTCAACATTGTCATCAATATTCCCCAGGTCTTACTCGCCTGGTTCCAATGTAGCCCACCCAAGGCACTATGGGATCCCAACCGACAAGACCTATGCGACCACAGAACAAGTGTACACTATACCTACTTCGTCGGTGCTGTAGCCGCAATCTCCGATTTCTACCTCGCAATCATCCCCGTCACAATGCTCGCCCCCTTGCGAATCGACCGCAAGCTTAAATGGGGTTTGAGTTTCCTAATGGGCTGCGGTGTTTTCGCCGGAGCCGCAGCCATCGTCCGAACATGGGCAGCGAAATTCATTATGAGCGACGACCCTTCATGTGAGTGGCACCAATATTACCATTCTATCGTAAGCATACTAATACAAAACAGACGGTGTCGGCATTCTATTCCGCTGGGGTGAAGTCGAGGAATGGATTGTCCTCATTTCAATGTCCATTCCACCAGTGTGGCCTCTATTCCGTCCCTTCACGACACGATTCATCAAGTCTACTGGACACTCTCGCAGCCCGCACAATAACTATCTTTACAACCAATATGACTCGAAGCGAGCAGAGCTCAATTCGCATGCTGAGCCGCCTATCATCACCACTACTATCTCGATTTCGTCTACCAAGGGTGTGCACGCAGCCGCTGAGCCTGTGGGTGCATCTTCGTCGAGTGGTTCGATTTCTCGATTTGAAGAGGAAGAGGCCGAGACACCTCACACTGTTTTGAGTCGTAACGGTGATCCAGAGGGCTGGGTGGAATTATCTCATTATAAAAATCACCATGGTCAGTGAGAGGTGATTGACTTGCACTTGCAGTGCGTTTTCCTTTATTTTCACATATATAATTGACAAATCAAATAATAAAACATTTGAAAATTCTAATCAACCTCAATGAGGGCCCTTTCTGAGGCAAAGAGCCGTCCGTATCTCAAGTACTCCGTGATACACGGAAAATTCCCAGCTATAATCTCGTTATAACATATCGGCCTGTTTCGATGTTTCATGATGCGACAAAGGCGAGATAGTAACCCGCCTTTGGAGTAAGCATTCGCCAAGAGACCCTTAACGGGTATCCTCAAGTTGACTCTTGAGCTCCCCATGCACTGTAAATATTTACGCTCCAGCTTTCTACACTGCAAGTTTATCAGTAAGATAAGCACGTGCAAATGTTACACTTTGGAACCTCACTGCTATCATTGTGGATGTTCAGTTTGCTCCGGGGGCTTAGGAATCTCTAAGGAAGCAGTAGGACGCAGTCGGACCCATGGGTGCATCCTGAGGTCTTGAACATTGAGATACTTTCTACCACTTTTGATCAAGGATCATGCAGAATCATGTGCAACGTCATCACATGACGACTGCTGGGTTGGAAGTGTAAGTATTGGATTGAAAAAGACAAAGCAAAGAATGATACACGCAAACTGGTCACCAAGACACCATTTCAGACATGCAAGCATATAGACTCATGTATAGAAAGTCCAATGTTCTTCTGGTTTCACACCGGTAGTCCTTCCCTCTTTCCTCTCCTTGACAGCCCGATCAATGATTTTCATAGACTCAGCTCCAGACCCCTAAGATCCAGTAGCCGGACCGTTATCTTTCATTGACTGACGCAGCTTCCCTCCATTTGCCTGGAATTTTCAAATTGAAATTTGGATATTCATCGGAATTCCATTTCTTTTGATTGGATAATGTATATTGAAAAGTCTAATAGATATCCTAACAGGTATCCACATCAGATATCCAAATGTGATATCCAAATGTCAATGCCTGTTCCCAAGGCTCTTTGACGGCGGATAACCCGGGCTTCCTTCACTTTAATACAGTGTACGGACCTCAATGAATATACTCGTCATATGTAGAAAGACACTTAGATCATCAAGGCTCCTCTCGGCTCTACTGGATTCATGGTGGGGTCCACTCGTAGTGTACTACAACCGTCGGATACCACTCGGCATGTCAACTAAAACCTTCTGGACAAGAAAGTCCCTCGGCAACTACGAAATCTACAGATTACTCTACAGCACAGAGGGAACTTTTAACGTGTTCAGTCAGACATGCTCTTTATTTCCAGGAGACCGCGAGAGAAAACAGGATCAGAGACGCCGTAGGGTTGTTCGGGTCAAAGAGGTGAGGGAGATCAAATATGTAGAAGGAAAAAGAAGCCCCCGTTCGTCTGGCATACGCATATACACAGACAAAACGGAAACTGGATTGCCCTGTCTCGTCCTCTTCTCTCTCGCTCAATGCTCTCAGGAATGTCCTCCTCATGCATAAACACCCGTTCTTCTCTCCGCTAGCCCCGTCTGGTCGTCATGATAAAAAAGGTGGAAGTGTGGATGTGGGAAACAACAGAAAGGAAACGTAAACAAGAATCGCCGGGACCAAGCTCCGATTTTTTTGATGTCATCTCATTTTTGCCCTGCTAAGCATTTAAGCAAACTCAAAACGACCCCCGAAACACATTAAGCCCTGGGTGACATGTTTACTCCTCATCAGACTCCTCCTCGTCAACGGTGGTCTTGGCAATACGGTCAAGATCACGCTGGCCGGACTGGGTGATGCGGCGGCCACCCTTGTCCTCGTCGTGCTCAAGGACACCGATCTTCTCGAGGGCCTGGAGAGCCTTGCGGTCAACGGAGCCGGAGGCGTCAACGTGGTGGGCAGGGCGGGAACCGCGGTTCTTGGTGGAACCGTGGACCTTGCGGAGACGGCCGACACCGACGGTCTTGCGCATGTAGATGTGACGGGCGACGGCAGCGGCGCGAACGTAGAACCTTGAAAAAAAAATCATGTTAATTTCAAGCCTGGTGCTTGTTAGAAGGTAGGTCGGTCGTACCAGTCAGCGTCCTGGGGGGAAGCTCGTTGGAGGCGGAGGTCTTGACAGTGTCGACCCAGCCGGGGATGGGGAGCTTTCCCTGACGCTTCAGGAAAGCGGAGTAGGCAGCAATGAACTTCTGCGCCTGTATGAAAGAGAAAGAACATGTTAGCGTTGTTGATTCATCGAGAGTAGTCCGATCTTGGTCTTGGCGAAAGGGCGCAAAATTGCATATTTGTGTTGGGTTCGTTTCCATTGGCAATTCGTTCAGGATCCATCTCTTGTCGCAGAAGCAGAGTTTTCATCGTGCTTATATGGCCATTGAGTCCAGTGTGCCCGTTGTAGGATGTGAATGCTGATCAAGAAGATAAACGTTCAACCCACACTAGGCACACATCAAATTTCAATGCCACCCTTTCTCCCAGCAGCAGCCTGTCCTCCCATATTCTTTCCGGTATTTTCAGGCGATATGCCTGCTGCCGCTGCGAATAGCCTCCTTGTTATGAACCGAGACCTCCAGAAATGAACCCAGACACATATATGCACGGCGAAGACCTGGCGGACGAGGGGCTGATCGGAGTGATCAGGGAGGACACTTACGTCCACATCGCGAACGGTAACACCACCCATTTTGGCGACTTGTTGAGGGCGTAGGGGTTGAGAGAGGCGTAGGGCGGGAAGTCGAGGTGGGCAGGGTCGAAGTCGAAGAGTCCAAAATTTCGAGACACACAAACTCTTGCCCCGGTTGGGTTGCGCTGGCGTCTGTGTGGTTCGCTTAGCCTGTTTGGGTTTAGCCGTACCCTAAGCGTGTGCAAGGATAACATAATCGATCACGTGATAGAATCACATTAATTGTCCATAAGGCATCAAGGCAGACATTATCATATCAGCTAATCATTCATTCTTAAGGTTATACTTTAATGTATTGTGCTTCGTTCTAGGAAGAATTTGACAAATCTGGAGAATTTAAGATATTCATTAATCATTGATTTCCTAATAGCACATATTTGCTGGTTCGTTTCTCATAAAAGTAAAATAAAAGAACAAGAACGCAAGAAACCTTTACTAGACGCCTCTGGACCTGTGTCGTTCTCCTGTCCTATTCTAACCATAACGCCATAAGACCATGAAAAAAGAAAAAAAACCATGAGAAATCTAAAAATTACAGAGTTGGAACTCTCTTAATTCCTGCATACCGGGCATGGAGTTCATCAATGAAGTGATCGTGTCGAATACCAGGGGGTCGGCACCGGTTGAATTCGGCGACTGCATCCTTGACAGGATAGTCCAACTGTTCAATCAAGTAGCACACGATGAGGAAGCCAGTTCGGTTGTACCCATAGTGGCAGTGGACGCCTACTAGTGGACGCGGCAAAGATGGGTCCTCTCGCTTTTCCATCAGGTCGTCAATCTCCTTCTGTAGGCGATCAACCAGAGCAATAAAGTCTCGGGTCTCGTCGGGAGTAGGAGGGAGCTTTGAGACGGTAGGATGTTTGCAATAATGAATCCCGCCCTTTTCCATCTGTGCAGGGCTGTACACCGGGCTTTCGTGGCTGATGTCAATGACAGCGTAAATCTTGTCACGGTATTCCGCAGAGAACTTGACTGGGTTGTGGTGTTCATCGACCTCTCGCAGCATCTTCATCGCCCGGAAAGTATTGGCAATCGGCGCTGAGACCGGGGCAACTTTCTGCCATTTGGCTAGGTTCTTCACGTCCCATTTACCTGAGGTATTCAGGTGTTGCAATTGCCATCCCAGTCCGAGGCGCTTGTCAATGTTTGATGACAAAAATCCTTGGATGATGCCAGCCAAAGTACGGTAGGTCGCCCGGTCGTAAAGAAGAGCATGTGATGCGGGAGCCGGTAGGATGGCCGACTTGACCACTCTCTTGCGCTCATTACTAGAGCTGGTATCTGTCTTCTTTTCATTATCAATCACCACCTGGACGACAGGAGGTTTTTGGTGGGTGTTTAGCGGTCCAGACATTTGGTCATGGACTCGTGAAGCATCCGGAATAGTACTGCTTCCAGTGGTGTCGATGGTGGTATGAGCTGCAGCCTTGCCAAAATATTTCAAAAGGTTCTGGATTTCCACCGGCTTCGTCACTGCATCTGCTTCTCCTGCCACGAGCAGAATTGGCATGTGAACACCAGCCCATACCTTCTCTCCTGGCATACCCCCAATGGCTTCATCACCTTTGTAAGTCGGAAGCGAACCCCACGCCATACGGCGCCAAACAGGTGTCCGGCTTTGCTTGTTGAAGCGGACCTGAAGGTCTCGTGTCTCTGCATCGGCATCGTTGCCGACCATTCTCATAACGCTGGCGCTCTCAATACCACCACGTCGGTCCCAGCAACGCCACAGATCAAAGATCGGACCCGGGACATGAAGCAGGCGGCGGGCAACTGCGGTCTCATGAGCGGACGGAGGCGACGCTCGAGGACACACGGCAATTAAACCAATGATATGCTCCTTGAGAGGGGTTTCGATGGGCGAGGTGGACGAGGCGAGAAGAGCAGACAACGAGCAACCCAAGCTATGGCCAATCAAAATCACATCTTGATCAGGGTCCCGTTGTTGCTCAATGGCGACGGCTAGCAACTCAGCCAGTGCCTCCACGGTGTATGCATCCCAGTTGGTTGGCTCAAACTTGGACAGACCGCACCCAGGCAGATCAATACCAAAGCAAGATCCGACGTTCGAAAGACTAGTAAGGAGATGATGAAATTGTGCAAGCGATCCACCGAGTCCGTGTACAAATACGAGTAAAGGCATCGGGGATGGTTTGGTGGGAAAGCGATCCAGGTGCGGGTGACGACAAAAGAAGGTTCGAATGCCAGGATAAGTTTCCACGGAGGTGGTGTACTTTTGGTAAGAAGTGAACTTCTTCAGGATTCCAGGGTCTGTTTTGAAGGCTGGGGTCAAGTTAGGCATGGTCTCGGCGACGGGAAGATATTTTGACTTACCATCGCAGGTCTTCTGCTTAGGCTGAGAGTATTCTTCGGCTGGTCGAGATGGAAGGGTAGCATGGCGCAAAGATCCATTGCTATCATATTCCTCATCTTCATAGTCATCGTCCGATGAGGTGAGTGTCTTCGAAGACGACTTGGACAAAGTTTTGCGAATGGAGGACCGCTGCGAGCGAGGTTTTTTCGCTGGCGAGCGGCGCCTGAGAGAGGAAAAAATACCACAGCCAGCCATGGTTATCACACAGGTAATGAGAAACACGACTTGGCCCCAGTTCACAGTCTCATTGCGATGGAGGTTGCGAAGGGAGTTTGCGATAGAAGAGAAAGAGGTCTGTTGGGCTGCGACACGTGCGGAATTGCAGAGCTGTACGAATGCCCCAAGGCCCGATCGATTGGCGGTTTGGGAGGACAACGATTGGAAGAGCGTGGCCAAAGTGTTGGGCGAGTCATTGTTCCCCATGGCGCCTGGTCGGGTTTATACGTATCAGAAATCCCAGTAAGGAGGACTAGATAGATCTCTCCCCCAAGGTTCTGGGCCCCCGGGGATCTCGCTGCCAGACCACGCGACGACGCAACAGTTCCTCCTTGGATACGCCGGATGTTTCGGGACCCAGAATCCAGCAATGCGACGCCAATGAGAGAGGTGAGATCGACAACGTTGAACAGAGATAGTGAAGAAAGGAAAAAAGCAATTAGACTCGGCCAGTCAAAACTCAGAACACCGCCCGTGGGGGGAAACAACGTGACTCAGAGGGCCCACCCGGCAGCGGATGACGCGGTGGCGGTGAGTGCGGAACACGATAGGGGCTCATAATAGGGGGGAAATCGGGGAAAGAATGGGTTCTTCTAGAAAAATAGAACCATGGAATATGGAGTACATAAAAACTAATGCGCAAATCCCAGCCACGATGAAGGTTGATTGGACCATACGGTAATAACGATCTGGATCTAGCATAGAAATGGGCCGGAAGTATACTAAGATCGAACTATGCCAGTTAGGGGGATCCACATCACTGCATGGCTTGAGGATCTGTTTGTTTTCTTCGGCCCTAACATAAAGGACATACTTGCGCCGCGATAAGGTGCGACACACTCGCAGTAGCACACCGCTAATTTTAAGTGGATGTATCACCTTTCTAACCCCTTACTATGTAGATGCCTGCTGAGCCGCTATTAGTATCCCGTAGTCCACATAATGCGATTTACGCAATCCCGTGGAACGGTTGAACAGGGATAAGTTGAAACCAAACTTAATTCAACCAGGAGGCCCCTGGAGTGAAAATCCGGTATTTTTAGCATATCGGGCAATGATTCATTCTATGCATTTTTCATAATAATCTGAACCAAAGTGGCCAGGAATAATGCCCCGTCTTCTATACTAACAGGTTACAGGTTAAGCCGAGCCCTCTCCACTTGATTATTAGTGAGGCGAAGAGAACCCACCTTTGCCCCCTCGTGGTTGAGCTACGGTTCGCTATTCCTGAACCCTTTGGTCATGACCGTCGTCAATACGTGGCAAAAATGATCTTCTTCCCCATCTGAACCTTGTAGTTAGATTTCGGTCCCTTACTTGAGGTGAAGAGGCGATTGCAGCTTGTGGAACGCTCGAGTCGCCAATTGGGCTGGATGGCTGCAAGTGTAACACGGCCAATCGGAAGCACAGCATGCCCATCATGCGCGCGGAGGAGTTGTTGTCCACTCATAGAGAGTTCAACCCTTTCACGAATCATGATTCGACGGCCGGCAACCGAGCCGATCATCCCTGAAAGAGAGTACAGTGTTTTGACGTGGACAGGAGAACATGAAAATCGGGTTCAATTTTTTTTTATACTTGTATCCAAAACTAGAATAGATCTGTCATGGCACCGTGCGAAGCGTCGCCCACCAAGCGCGCATACTTGGCCAACACACCCCGAGTAATCTGTGGCACCGGTGGGGTCCACAGCCGACGACGTTCCTGAATTTCCTCGTCAGGCACGGCCATAGAAATCTCGTTCTTTTCAGCGTCGATAGTGATCACATCCCCATCTTTAACAAGCCCAATGGGACCACCAACGGCAGCCTCAGGAGTAATATGGCCAACAATGAATCCGTGGCTGGCACCGGAGTAACGGCCATCGGTGATAAGCGCAATGTTATTCAATTTGGCTCCCATGAGTGCGGCACTGGCTTTGAGCTGCTCGGGCATACCGGGTCCACCCTTGGGACCTTCATAGCGGACAATCAAAACCAGATTCTCACCACGGGGAATACGACCCTCGCTCAGGGCGTCATTGAGCTCGTGTTCCTTGTTGAAAACGCGGGCTTTGCCTGTGAACCGGAGACCCTCCTTACCGGTAATCTTGGCAACGGCACCACCAGGAGCAAGATTGCCACGCAAAATCTGAATATGACCCGTAGCCTTGATAGGATTCGACAATGGGCGGATCAGGGTCTGCTCCTGGGGAAGCGAGGGCCAAGATGCTACGTTTTCGGCAAGAGTCTTGCCAGTCACTGTGGGAATATCACCGTCCAATAGACCCGCTGCGATCAGCAGCTTCTGCACAGATGGAATTCCACCAATCTCGTATAAATCAGCCATATAGTATTTACCACTGGGTGACAAGTCGGCAATAAATGGGATCCTGTCGCTGACGCGCTGGATGTCGTCCAGGGTCAAGTCAATGTCCGCTGTGCGGGCCATAGCCAGGAAATGGAGAACGCCGTTGGTGCTACCACCGAGCGCCATGGTCATTACTAAGGCATTATCGAAAGCTCGCTTAGTGAGCAAATCGCGTGGTCGTATGTTCTTCTCCATGCAGACCTTAATAGCATCGGCCACGCGCACACACTCGCGCATTTTGGAGGGCGATGAGGCAGGTGTGGATGAGGATCCGGGTAAAGACAGACCCATGGACTCGATAGCAGTGGCCATAGTGTTTGCCGTGAACATACCACCGCATGCGCCGGCGCTTGGGCAAGCGTGCTTCTCAAGGTCATCCATGATCTCATCTTTGGTCTTGCTGGTGTCACCGCCATCGTCGGGCTGGCGGAGAGTATCATATGCGTACGCGCCGGCCGCCTCAAAACATGTGGACACATTGATGGGCTTTCGGAGGCACTCTGAGTATCCGATATTGATTGTACCACCGTAGATCATGATTGAAGGACGGTTATGGCGCGCCATAGCCATGACCACACCGGGCATGTTCTTGTCGCAGCCAGGAATGGCGATACAGGCATCGTGGCCCTGGGCACAGGTAACGGTTTCAACGCTATCCGCAATAATTTCTCGAGTCTGCAGCGAGAATCTCATGCCTGGGGACGAAGTGTTCTTAGTATGACAGCCGATACACAGATGGCACTGCTAGCTTTCCTGCTTACCGTCATTGCCCATAGTGATTGCATCTGAAACACCAATCGTGTTGTACTGCCACCCAAGCATGCCCTTTTCCATCACAGCCTTCTTAACAGTTTTCCCTAAGTCCATCAAATGCATATTACATGGATTTCCCTCCCACCAAACTGACGCGATGCCCACATGGGGCGCCTTGGCCATTGCCTCCTTATCTGGGACACCAGCAGCGAAAAGCATAGCCTATAGCACGTCAGTTATCATCACTGACACTAATTGAGTCTAGGACTAACCCTCGCGCCTGGGAAATCATGACCATTGGTGATTGCCGATGACCACCGGTTGAGTGCGGGGGAGCCATCCGGGTGTTTGGTGTCGGGAGGAAGACAAGGGAAATTGATGTATTTCGGTTCCGACATGGTAATTTCTGAGGAGTCCATTGTGATGCTGAAGTTGACAGCCGACAGAAAATCAAACAAGGAGAAATGGTAGGATATATGATCCAGGTGTTGCTCTAAAAAATGTGGGGTTCGCACTTCAGTCCGACCCCGCATTGAGCCGGGTTGACCACTCATTGTTTACGGATTTCAGATCTCGGAGTTGCGCCTATTCCCTCGTTCTTGTTGCGGGGTATGCCATGTGGGAGCTGATGTGATTTGATGTAATTTTAGATTGAAGCTAGAATTACTACATAAAATTTGACCGATATTGCCGCTGACGGAAGTTGAGACAGCGAATCTTTGGAATATTTTGAATACGATAGTAGAACCCTCCAATGGTAAATAAATGTATGTACCCCCAAGATTCCAAGGTGGAACTATACACATCCGTGGAATGTTTTCTGGCATTGAGACATTGAACCACCTACTTTCCTAGATTCGAAACTATTCCAAAGGTTGAGCATACTGTATATTCGATTGTTACTGCTGGCATAAATATAAACTCCTGATGTACCCGCCGCTTATTGACCTAAGTAAGCGTCATCTAAACTCAAAATCCGAGTCTCACCTCAGCACTGCGTTCCAAGGTTGCTTATATGCATTAAGTAGCAGCTAAACCCATCGACATTTCTCTCACTTGGGAGTATCTTCTTTTGAGGATCATTTGCATACAAATATTAAAATGGGTACAGACATCCTTGTAGCCCAGATGCTCGGTACGCTCGGCTGCGGGTTCGCAGCAGGTAAATTTCCCTGTTGTATGAAACTCGGGAATCAATGAGAACTCATGTTCGCGGTATAGGCGGTGTTATGACTCTCTCTATGTTGAACATCCCCACCCTCATCCTCCCAGCTCGTCAACCGGCCTCCGTCGCCATCCCTTCGCAGCAAGGACCGGCCACTCCGTTTCCACATCTCACGCATCAGTGGCTCGACACCTATGAGCGGGGAATAAGAATATTCCCTGTCATTTGCCTCGGTGCTTCAGTCGTGAATGGATATCTTGCTTGGGCTTTGAGAGACATGGCGGCTCCGGAGTCGGGTATCATGGGTGGAAGTTGGAGCGGATATTACGCTACGGCTATTGCTACGACGATGGGATTCGTTGTTTGGACAATGACGGTAATGAAGAGCACGAATGACCGGTTGATGGCGATTGCGACGCGGGATGATGCTGCGGCCGCGGAGGGAACGAAGGGGATGGTCGTGGATGACCAGGAGAAGGCGAAACGAGCCAAGGAAGATGCCGAGGCTCTCGAGCTGATGAAGAAGTGGGCAAATTTGAACATGTTTAGAGCTATGTTTCCATTGACGGGGGCGATTATCGGGTTATATGGGATTGCAAAGATGTCATTCACCTGATTCAAATTGATCTGCCAAGCGATTCCGCTCCTGCGATTCCGCCCTTGGCACGTTCTTATTCCCATGGTTTAGGAGAAGTAAACCAGCAGTCCATGAGTGCTAATGCCTTGTCACGGCCAGCAGTGGAAAGGCAAACACCAATGAGAACCCCTGTTCTGACATCGTGCCTGGTGTGACGAGCGTTTGATCACTCCACTCTTTCACTTCAATACCACAATGAATTCGGGGAGTACAAAGGTACCCTGAGTCCTTGTACCTAAGCCATTATAGATATCGTTGTAACTGTCATCCTGAAACTGAAGTTTCGGCAGTTTGCTCTCAAGAGGTTCAAGTGCCTGTCAGGTCTACCACACGTGCTCCTTCCACATGTCGTACTTCCCCCATTGTTTACATCCTTCATCTTTCTTGCCTTCTTGATCTTTTCTCTTTCTTCCTCAGCCCTCTTCCCACTCTCTTTCTTAATTACTTTCATGTCCTCATCAAAAATCCATTGCTCACGTTACAGTCACATCTCTCGCAACCATGAAAATGGTCTTCTTGACCCTGCTGGTTACGGCCGCTGTGGCTCTCGCTGGCCTGACAACCATTTCTGAGCCTGAACTTTCTGATATCAAGAAGGCTCAGGCAACTACTCTGCCCGAGGTCACTACCTCTAACGTCAAGGGTCTTGTCTTCGACCGATTCTTCCAGGTCTGGCTGGAGAACATTGTAAGTGGCGGTTTGGATAAATCAGAACGTGCTCATCACTGATACCTCACTACAGGACTATGAGGACTCGGCTGCGGATCAAAGCCAAGAGTTCTTTGCTGCGCAGGGTATTCTGCTGTAAGTTCAAGACAACCTTTTCTCTCTGTTGTTTACTTGACTGAACCTCGTTTCCAGCACCAACTTCTATGGCGTTGCCCACCCGTCTGAGCCCAACTATTGCGCTTCGGCTGGTGGTGACACCTTTGGCATGGACAACGACAACTTCCACCAGGCCCCTGCTAATATTTCCACCATTGCCGACCTACTTGAGACCAAGTCTGTCTCATGGGCCGAGTATCAGGTAAGGAAGAACAAATGTTCCACTTTGCTGCTTGACCACTAACCAGATTGCTCAGGAGCATATGCCTTACCCTGGCTTCCAGGGTTTCAACTACTCAAACCAGGATAACAACTTGCCGGACTATGTCCGCAAGCATAACCCTCTGATTCTCTACGATTCTGTCGCTTCGGACGATACTCGTGCCCGCCGAATCAAGAACTTTACCGACTTTGAGAATGATCTCAAGAACAAGAAACTTCCGCAGTGGGCATTCGTCACACCCAATATGACCAATGATGCGCACGATACCAACATCACCTTTGGTGCATCATGGGAGCGAAAGTGGATGGAGCCTCTGTTGAAGAACGACTACTTCATGGAAAAGACGGTGGTCCTCCTTACTTTCGACGAGGACAAGGCCGTCAACAATCGCTACCCTAAGACCAACCGCATCTTCAGTGTTCTTGTCGGTGGTGGCATTCCAGACCATCTCAAAGGCACAAAAGATGACACCTTCTACACTCATTACTCCACCATTGCCTCTGTGTCTGCTAATTGGGGTCTTCCTTCTCTGGGTCGCTGGGACTGTGGAGCCAATATCTTCGAGTTTGTGGCCAACAAGACTGGCTATGTCAACTACGACGTCACCATCGACAGTCTGCATCTTAACAACACCTACCCTGGCCCCTTTTCGGCCAACGTCTACACCACGTTCTCACCTGAGTGGCCCGACCCCATCACCGAGGGCAACTGCTCGGCTGGTCATGGTATCTTGGACATTGTCAAGAAGACCTACAATGGAACCAAGCCCAGTCACAACTACAGCTGGCCTTTCCCGTGGGATGCAAAGACGAATTATAACATCGATGTCACTGCCACTCGCAAGTTGAATGGCAAGGAAGTCAACATGACTTCGTCCAACTCGACTTCGGATGGTGGCTCCAAGAAGAAGAACGGGGCTTCTGGCACTGTGATTCTCTCCGGCTCGGTGACTCTTACCGTAGCCCTCGTGGCTGCCTTTGCCTACTTCCTGTAGGCCATTTGCTTTGATCGTGTTTTGGGCTTAACGCCCCAGCTCACCAGGCGGGTTAGTTTTGCTGCCTGTAATCTTACGAAATGTTTGTACCTGGTTGAGCAAGGTGTGTTTGATTTTCCCGGGCTTCAGACATCTTTTATTTCGCGCGTGATGTGGAAGGAGGCGGATCGTCATCTTTTCTAGCACTATGGGCTATGATCATGATATCTTAATGATTAGCTATGACTCAAAATGGAAACATGAATTTATCGATTGACTCAAATGCTTGTAGGATTCCATTATTCGAGTATAAAATGCTGCCAGTGCATATGCCTGATTCCCCATCGGATACGTCAATCATGTCGATTTGATGAGAATGTTTTTCGTCTGGAGGAAGTTCTCAATGCTATACAGCAGACCCTCCCGGCCAGAACCACCCATCTTGTAACCGCCAAATGCCACATCTTTCGAATTACTTGGGCTGGTTGTATAGTGGACCGAACTTCGGGATAACCAGGAATCGCCCTGGGGGCCATAAATACATAGAGTAGTATTACTACTACTACAATTTTTAATTGGTCAATGTAGATTCGTACTTTTGTACATACCCACGCAGGCCGAAATTATGGGGACCTTGTCACGCGCCCTCCGATTTCATGACTGCTAGCAATTACATCACGATGCAGAAGCGTAATCTGCAATTGAAAGGGAAAAAGACGGCCCCCACAGGACTTAAAAGTCTCAATCTTGCAGGTCTAGGTGAAGTCTACCGTTTATAGCCGGCAGATTTGGATTATTTCCAAGTACTATGATATGCTTACGACCATGCTGTAGCTTAAGCATAATCCGCGGGTATGTCAGTTACCAGTATTATACCTACTGGTACCTAAAGGCTATAGCTTTGACCATCAGCTGCATGAAATGATCAAGCTAATGCTTACGAGAAGAAACAAACATCAAGAAACTAGGTCGGAACTAGCTACAAGGACCATTTTTTGAAGGACTCTTGCCAAGTGAGAATGAAAACGGAGAGTTGACTTTTTAGACGGAAGTGAGGCTATTCACAATGTTGATCACTTTCATGTGGCAGGTAGAATTGAGATAATTTATGCAGGCAGGCTAAATTTCAGCTGCCACTATTATGATGATTATTTTGTTTTAGGATGTGATCTCAGGTATATCAAAGATAGATTCATGTCATTATCGTAGAGTATTTAACACGCTCTACAATGTAGAGGGTTATTCGGTTTCATGAGACGTTATAATACAGTATGATAATTTACTCTGCGATTCCCCGCTTCTTCATGTCTTGCAAATTCAGTGTATCCTGATCTCCGGGACGCTGCTCAGAATCGATTTTGATATTGTCTTCGGGGCCACCAGGTCCCTTGAAGTGTTCGGCCTTAGGAAGTCTAATCATGGCAATGTCATATTAGTATTGGATCGTCTGGATTGGATTGATTGCCTTACCTGCCGCGGTCATCGCGAGTACCGCCCTCATCCTCCGGAACTTTGCGGTGGTCACTGCCGGAAGCAGTCGCACCAGGGCCGTACTTGACACTGGCACCGTGTTCCGCGAAGCGCTTTTCGGTCATCTCGTCGACGCCGGACTCTTGAGCTGTAATTTTTAGGATTAATACCGAGCACATAATTCGTAGAGGAATGCGGGTAACCTACCGGAGTCACTCTTCTTTCCGAGACCCTGCTTGGCCTGGTAGGAGTTGAGATCGTTCTCAGCATCGTATGCAGTCTTGCGCAAATCTTCGAAATGAACCATTTTGGAGGTATTTAATAAAAGTCGAAGAATAGAAAATTTGGGAGCTGAAGTATGGAAATTTTCAAGACAAGTCCAAAGGATGTATATGAAAAAGATTATAGATAAAATAGAAGGACTCTACTATTTATACTTGGGACTCATAATTTTGGACAACAGTTGCATCATGGAGATATCATAGGTATGTCACCTTTGCCTAGAATGGAAAACATGGATAACGATGGCCGAATGCAGTGAACATAGATAAAATGTCACCACAAAAACCGGGTAGAAGCTATGATATCGACAAGACCCTAGTGACTTCATGGTCTCCACGGCAGTTCCAAGTTGGGTCAAAGGTAGGGTTCAGACCTAGGGCTTCCGCCGGCCCGGGGTAACTATCCCCCGTGGCTCCCGGCCCGCTGAGGGGGATCGCGGGCAAGCTTAATGGTAAAAGAACGGTGAACTCGGAAGTTGTTGTCGCGTCATTCCAGCTCAACCAGTGATCCTTTACATGGATAATCATTAATTTCCAGGGTATCTCATTCTCTCCAGCTGTACTTGTGGCGTTCGGCTGGTCTAGATCTCTCTGATCAACCTCTACGCGACCACAAACACCATGTCCCAGCCGATCGAGGTGCCTGGTGAGGCGAGCCCATTGGGATACCAGAATGTTGTCAACACTCTGGTAATGGCTGCTAGCTCGAATCAGCAGCAAGTCAAGACGGGCACTGCGCAGTTGCAGAACTGGCAGAGACAGGGTTCATACCATTCCATGCTTCAGGTATTATCAATCTCCCAACTGATATCATGAACCGAAGAAAAACTGACTGGAGTATCCATAGGACGTCTTCTGTGACCACTCATTACCGACCGAAGTTCGATACCTCGCGATTATCCAGCTGAAGAACGGAATCGACAAGTACTGGAGAAAAACTGCACCCAAGTGCGTTCCCCAACGGCCTACCCAAAGCATGATCCGAATGAAACATACTGACTCCCATGGAAGCGCAATCTCGAAGGACGAGAAGGATAAGATTAAGACGACAGCTATGCAAGCAGGTATTACTGAACCTGCCCGCCCACTCGCCCTTCAGAATGCCTTGATGATCGCCAAGATCCTCCGCTATGAATTTCCTCAGGACTGGTATGGTCTTCTTCAACTCAGCTTCTTGTCACGATCATAATTAACCGTTACAGGCCGGATGCGATTACCACTGTCATCGCCTTCCTCCGATCCTCGACCCAACCCGGTGCACCGCCGATCCAGCTTCCCCGGACCCTCCTTATCCTTTTGCAAATCATCAAAGAACTGTCCACCGCGCGTTTACAAAGAACCCGAGCGCAGCTCCAGTCTGTTTCGCCAGAGATGTTCCATGTGCTGGGGAGCATTTATGTGGAGAAGGTTAACACCTGGGTGTCCATTTTGGAGCACGGTGGCGGCAATGAGGAATCGTTGTTGGACGCGATCGAACAGAGTTTGGTCTCATTGAAGGTTCTCCGACGCCTCGTTATTGCCGGGTATGAGCATCCTGGCCGCGATCAAGAGGTCCAAAACTTTTGGACGTTGTCGTATAATCAGTTCGTGAAATTCTTGTCCTTCGTGAACGAGTCGGGCAAGCTGCCGGAGCTTGTCGAAACAGGAATACAAAAGCACATCCTACAGCTTTCTAAGCTCCATGTTGAAATGGCCCAGACTCATGCAGCATCTTTCGCGCACTTTGCACACAGCATCGAGCTCGTCAACACATATTGGACCTTGCTTCAAAAACTTAGTGAGGTATATGTCAGTCTCGGAGCCGATGCCGAGACGGAAGGGCAATCCCTGCCCGAGAGGACGGGCCTCAGGGCCTTGCTTTTGATCAGAGCGTGCGCAAAGATGGCTTTCAATCCAGTGCATACTTTCAAGTATCAAACCCCGGAAGATAAGGAGGAGAGAAAGCAGGCCGTCGAACGGATCAAGACTGAACTTTTCACTGATAAATTCGTCCTGGATACTATGGAGTTGCTTGTCACGCAATTTTTCAGATTCCGGAACGCTGATTTCGAGGAATGGGAAGCTGAGCCTGAGCAGTGGGAGAAGCGGGAAGAGACTAGCAGCGAGGCTTGGGAGTTTTCTATCCGCGCTTGCTCAGAGAAGCTGCTCCTTGACCTCGTAATCCACTTCAAGAGCTTGCTGGTTGGTCGATTATTGGATGTTTTCCATTCGTTCGCACGTAAGTCATTTAACAAGGCCCCGGGAGAACAACTCTCTAACCATCTTTCTAGGGACCGACAACCGCAATGTGATTTTGAAGGACTCTTTGTACTCTGCTATTGGCTTAGCTGCAGCCAGCCTTGAGCAGCATTTAGATTTTAACACATTCCTCGAGGCGACTGTTGTTCCCGAAGTCCAGATCCAGGATCCAGAGTACAGGCTTCTAAGAAGACGAATCCCCATGGTCCTGGGGCAATGGGTGCCAATTCAGTACGAGAAGCTGAACATCGATGCCATCTACCAGATCTTCCAACATTTGCTGAACAAGGATGATCCGTTGAATGACTTAGTGGTCCGCATCACTGCTGGTCGACAGCTCTGCAATATCATTGAACCCTTTGAGTTCACCTCAGCGGCCTTCATCCCATACGCGCCATCAATTCTGGCAAGCCTTATGTCTCTTGTCCAGGAGGTTGAGATTTCCGAGACTAAAATGGGTCTGTTGGAAACAGTGCGAGTAGTGGTCGTGAAAATGGAAAGCCATGTAAGTTCTATGCACGCCCTGACTTGTTTACAGCCTAACGAGGATTATAGATCGCCCCCTTCTCGGACGCAATTCTCTCACTCCTTCCACCTCTATGGGAAGAATCCGGAGATGAACATCTGATGAAACAAGCTATTCTCACCCTTCTCTCGTCCCTGATCCATTCGCTAAAGCAGGAGTCTGCACGCTACCACTCACTCATTCTCCCTCTGATCCAAGGATCCGTCAACCCTGAATCCGTGAGTCTCTGCACGAAACGCCTGTCAAACCAGGCGAGTCCGTGCCATTTCTAACATATCGTGATCTATAGGAAACATTTATGTACCTTCTGGATGAGGCTTTGGAGCTATGGGCCGCCATCATCATGCAAACACCCTCACCCGCCTCCCCAGAGATCATCGCCCTCATGCCCGCTATATTCCCCATCATCGAGCAAGGAACAGACAGCACCGCCCAAGCCCTCAGCATCGTCGAATCCTACATCTTCCTCGCACCCCAAGAGGTTCTCCGTGACGGAGTCCGCGATGCCCTCTTAACCTCCCTGAAAGAAACACTTTCCTACACAACAAAGATGCGCACCGGCGTAGTCCCCCGCCTCGTCGACATGATGATCCGCGGCGCCGAAACAGTCGACGGCGGCAGCGAATCAACATACAGCATCATCTCACGCTCCCTCCTCGAGACCTCATTCCTTCCATCCCTCCTCGAAGGTCTATACACCGCCTACGAGTCCAGCCAAACCTCCGGACCTAACCGAAAATCATCAAATGTGGTCGGTGTCATCGAAACAGACTACCTATCCGTCCTCGCAAGACTTGCTCTGGGCAATCCCACCATCTTCGCATCTGCCGTCGCGGCCGCGACAAATTCCACTGAAGAGCAGTCTCTGAACTGGATTCTGGCTGAATGGTTCTCGCATTACGATAACATCGGTAGTGCGAACCAGAAGAAATTGCATGCTCTCGCTCTTACGCAGCTTCTTTCTCTTCAGGGTCAAGCTAACCCCTCTGGTCTTTCTCCACCGCCCGCATTCATCCTTAAGCATCTTCAATCATACCTCACTATGTGGACCGATATCATCAACGAGCTATCCGAGGGTGGATCGGATCCGAATGCCGATTACCTTGTCTACTGGGACGCGGCTAAGGGGTCTGAGACTGCTAACCCGGAGAACTCGGAGGAGGTTGAAACGCCTGAGAATGTTCGTCGTAGTGAATGGCAAGCTGCAGATGCGATTCACCGATTCCCGATTCGTGACTTTGTGCGTCAACGTCTGGAGCAGGTTATCCTTGCTTGTGGGGGTGCGCAGCGCTTCCAGGAGGAGTGGTTGGTTAATGTCGATGGGGAGGTTGTGTCGGCATTTGGTGCTTTGGGACTTCTTTAATTTGGATGCTTTCATATTATTTGATTGCATTCTGGTTATAATCCCTTCTGTTCTATTGCGCTATTGCATACTCCATCTCCGACTCGAGAACTGCATGAACACCATGCTCTCTGAGCTTTTTAGCAACATACCCAATCTATACAATTCATAGTTTGACTATTTTACTGAATTGCATTGCGCTTCTCCTTTTAATATATGCAGTACTTCCATAAGGATTCCTCGTATAGCTGATTAATAGTTGGGAAGGATTTGAAGAGAAAAAAGCAATGGATTTGTGAAAAGACTGGCCAATCCAGTTGAATCCTAAACATACACCATAACACCTATAGGCTGATTAGCTTGCACCATGCAAACTCCCAGAGTCCAGCAGCCAATTGAAAAAGAACCCCAATAATGAAAACCTAGCAACAAATAATAGACCCCCAGCTTGAAACAAGGAATAAAAAACATGAATCACACACATGCATCACCACTAACACTGGCTAGGGAACTGGCGGCTGGTGACAGGGTTGGGGAAGACTCCTCCTGCAATCTGTTGCTGCATGTCCCACTCGGGGGCACCCTCAGTCTTCCAGGTCCAGTAAATCCAGCCGTCTCCTTTCTCAAAGGCCTCAAGCTGGGCCTCAATAAACTGGCGCAGGTTGTCACGATCAGCCTGGGGGAGAGCTGCCACGGTTCCAGTAGACTTGCCAGCACAGCTACCGTTCATGCTGCTGCCCTGGTAGGATCCGTCATAGCGGGCACCAACACCCTTGCCATTCAGGTACTTAGCACAATCAGTCATGGCTCCAGTCCATTCACCAACGATGGTCCACTTGTCAGAGTGCAAGACGTGCTGGTCGACGAAGTTGCAGACGTTATTGGCGTGGCTCTTGGCGTCCATGGCAAGCAGGCTTTCATCAAAGACCTCGTAGTGGTGAGTATCCATCATGACATACCAGACACCAGTGTCCACGCTCATGAATCCGTTCCAGGATTCGGTAGGCATGAATCCATCGTGAAGAACCACAGTGGTATCTTGGCTAGACTCACGGACAACACCCCATGAGTCATAGTAGTATTGCTTCAGGCCATCCTCGTTGACGCCACCGGGGATGCTGGGCTCATTAAGAGCCTCGATGGCGGTGACGACATCGGTATCACCTTGGTACCGCTTAGCCAGCGCTTGCAGAGCAGACTTAGTGTTGACCACATTGTTGGGGGTTTGTTGCCATCCAATAGAGCCTCGCTTGCCACTGTTATCAAATCCATTCTGGGATCCAGGGGCTTTTGGAAAATTAGCATTTACTATCCACAATTGAGACGATTAAATTTGATTCACTTACCGCCGTGAAGATCAACCATGATCTTGATACCGGCAGCACGAGCCCAGGTGACGGCAAGGTCAAGGTACTCCAGCTGGCCATCGGCGTATGGGTCGCCATCCAAGTGCTCCAAAGCCCAGTAGCCGACTGGAATTCGAACATGGTTCATACCCGTGGCTGCGATCTGATTGAAATCATCCTGGGTGATGAAGGTGCTCCAGTGCTGCGACAGAAGAGTGCGGCACTGTTCCGTACCGAGGACGGTGCAGAGAGACCACTCATCGACGGCAGCGTCTCCGACTTGATCAAAGATTGAAGGAGTAATCCAAGGCTCCAAAACCAACCAACCACCGAGATTGACACCACGGACCTTTGTATCGGTACCGTAGCCAAAGAGAGGGCTCCTGTCAAGACATATCAGCCAAAGGAGATCATAATGCTAGCATATACTAGATCTGGGATTATCAACACTCACACTTCCATAGCGGCCTGGCTCATCCTGGTGGCGTGGCCGAGTTTAGAGGCTTCGCCCAGTGCAGCCAAAAAGGCCAGCACGAGGGTCTTCTTTGATACAGACATTCTGAAGTTCCTTTAATAAAGTTAATCTAGAATCCAGGTGGCTGGGCTTCAGGAATGAAATGAAATGAGAAATGTGTCAAAGGGCATGGAGATCGGCTGCTATAAGTAAATTCCATGTCGATATTTGTGCTTGGTGGTGACCGGATGCAGCCCGACAGCCTGGGAACGGAAATTTTGAGGGCTTTGGATAAGGCACACGACGCACCTTCGAGTGTTTGTTTGTAGATCTTTTCTTGACGCAGCAATTGTTAACGTTTTCCAGGTCTTTGACAGCTTCCGGTATAGGTTTGGTCTGGCCGAAAACAGACAACAGCGGGTCCCAGGATTGCGGGGTCTGGGGTTGATAAATGGGACAATGGCCTTCAAACTGGGCTTGGGTGACAGCAGTCTAGCTCACTCCGGTCACTTATTAGCTCTTCTGGTGGGGATTTAAAATCTGACAGGTGTGTTCATCCTCACAGAGTTGGATCTTGTGAGAGCTCAGTCACCGTCAGCAAGGAAATGGGGCAGGTCACAACAGGTCTTGGTGGAGAGAAAGGTGGGTCGGAAGAAAGGCATTGTTCGATTAAATTTGGGTGCTGCTGTTGCTGTTACAGTTGCGCGTTCATCTTAGTAGGCAGGCGCTCCCCACTCCTGAGGTCGCTTTTGGGGCTCCTAACTTCGATTACATAGTACCATACTCCAGCGCTCTAACAGAAACACTATTATGCCTTAGCAAAAGTCGGCATCTATTATCGTAATACGGGCCAATTCTGACACATTGCACGTTCGTCTAGTCAAGATCATCAGGTTCACGTCATGATGATCCTCTGTGAAATCTTACAGACGAGCGCAGCCGGTTGCGGTAAGAGGAAAGACCGCGCCCCAATGGAGATCGGACCACGTGCGATTTCCCCGAAGAATGTGAATGGAAGCTCTTCTTGACAGGTTCCATTGGACTTGATTTCAAGGGTGGTATACTAGGACTTATTGGCTTGGTTTCGGGGGGTGGACGGTTGTACAAATGTACTTTTATTAGTTACTCAACATGTAGGTCCGCACGTATCCCCAAGCTGCATATTTTCAATGCGGCGTTCGACATGACTATATTACTTCTGCTCTGAGCTACTGAGCTACTGAGCCACCAAACCATCTGAGAACAAGGCCATTGTGTAGGTCGAGCCGATGGGTGACTCGGATACTTCCACAGGGCTGTATTTCCGTTCCCGGCGGCCCTGACCACGTGTTGGAGGTTTTGTGACGCATAATTTGAGGTTTTAAACAGGAGTTGAAATCGTGACCTTGCCCCGAGGATAATGACGCTGTATATGATCGATCTGATGGCTTGCATTCCCGCCCTGGGGTAGCCTGACAGGAGTTCACGGAAGAGACTGCAGCGTAGGAATTTGCGATCTTGTTTGTGACGCTAAGATCGCAAGGAATGCGGGCTGGGAATGCAGGTCCGGTGATTAGGAATGCACGTGTCCTACATTACTCCACTTCTGAGCTGGACGAAGTTTCAATTGGTAGGGAATGTATGAATGTCAGCATTGAGGGAGTTACAGTAAACGGCTCGGAGGATGCAAGGAGGAAAGAAATTTTTGGTTCATCAATGCAATGAGTAAGTCTGAGGAGAATTTTGGGACAAATTTGCCAGGCTGTCTGAAAAAAGGAGATGCCCTTTTTCGTTGCTCGTTCTCAATTCAGTAAGATGATCCAGCGTCATTTCCACTGCCAGGTCTCGTAGACCTCGGCCACTTGCTTGGGTTGATTTGTATATCTCAACGACAGCCTGCAGAAACAAGGTGGTTACCAATCGATCCGCTAGCTCCTGCTGACCTTTGGTCCTTCCACAGAGTCTTCAACCCCTTAGTGGATGGTCGATCTGCAAGGGAATACATAGACATTTGAAATGACAGGGCCTTGATTGACAGCCCTGGACCGTCCACTAGGTCCTCAGGCGTTCGATTATCAAGATTCATTTCTGAATCCGCCGCGTGAGAAAGAGGACATTCGTCGGTATTCGTGCTTGTCCTGTTGTTAGTAGCCACGGCGTCAAACAAACTGTCATCAGCTGCAAATTCACAATTCCTCAACTCATACATAATCCGGTGTGTAGAGATACTCTATTATCTTTTTATCCAGTCCCGCTTTCTTTTGTGGGACGATCCTATGAGAGTGTTGTATGGAGTAATTGGAAAGAACTCGAGTTCCAGCGACATCTTGGTATTTCACCTGGAAATGACAATAGCAGGCTCTGGCAGGAACCTCTGACTATGAACAAATTAAGCAATTTTGCAGGTCATATTCGTCGCTGTATTTGAACTATGTTACACGTCATGGTGTTGATAGGACTGCTCAAGCTTTGTGAAAGCGACAGGTACCTTGCGTGAGCATCAAGGATGGCCAGAGGCATTTCGTGGTTCACTCTGAAGTTGCACCTTGGCAAGAGGGTCTTTGGCAGGGGAACAAGCAGCTGGCTGCTTGCGAGTGCCTGGGCGAAAATTTCACTGGTGTGCTTGGGGGTGAACACCGGTGCTGGAGGGGACGCGAAAGTAATGTGTTGTGGGATTCTGAGGGTAAACGAACAACACAAGACTTTGTACACATGAATGGAAGAGATTGCGAAAATACGAAAAAGAAACCATTTCTTCTCCAAGCGATCGGGCAAGCCGACACATTTGATGAAAAAAGGATTCGCGTCGATCGGGGGTAGTGTGAGCCCGATGACACAGTGCGTCCGACATGCGCAAGCACAGAGGTCGGTCGCGAGGTCCAAAAATGAGAATAATCAAAGTGTTTCCCGTAGGAAACTTTCAGAGATTAAACTGAAAAGAACAGATACTACACTTGATCTAAGCCAATTGGCAAAGAGAGCTGGAAAAGAAAAAGAAAAGAGGAAATGGGGGAGAGAGGGAGAAGATATTTATACCCTGCGCGACCGCGCTAGTGCTAGTCTCGTTTACGTCAGCCAATCAAACGACGCAAGGGATGAGTCCTGCGATGACTCATCTGGGAAACCCATGATGATGACCTAATATTCTTACAATTGAATTGCCCATTTTATGTCACCGCCGTGTGGACGGTGTATTCTCACTCTATAAGTCACATGACTCTCCTCTCTCGATCCTCGATAATAACATTACAACATGCCTCTTAACACAGATCATATCAATGAGTCTGCCTACTATGGACTTGTTTAATGCGCCCTTGAATACCTAGGTGTCTGATGCAGTCATAGTCAGCTGGAGTTAGCCCTCGTGTGTTAATACTACATGTAATTAGAGCAACTCCTTATCTCAACCAGACATGCAGCATGAGATAATTAGATATATACTTCTTTGTTTTTGAAATCAAGCTCCTTTCGAGATCTTTATTACCAAGATCGAGCGTTCAAATCTTCGCCTTCTTCTCACACTTTTCAGATCTTACCTGCCTACAATCCTCTTCCAACCATCTCACCTCACCTGACCTACTTCACACCATTCATCTCTTCGTCGAATCAAGGCTTTCATGATAGGGATTTCATGATGTCCAGTGCAGCCGCCATGAACTCTTTCAACTTTCCGTCGTCGACAGATTTCCTATCGTAAGAATTCCAACCTCATTTTCCAATCCGGATTCCTAACTCGAATATAGCCATCTTCACAGAATCAGCGGGCCTACCGTCAAGATCAAAATCGGGTCCTCACCTCAGGTGCATGAAGTTTCGGAAGAAATGCTATGTGAAAAATCACCCTACTTCGCCGCAATGTTCAAAGGCAAATTCAAGGAGACGACAAAGAATGCAGTAACGATTCAGGAAATCGAGGGCGTTGTCTCGGTCCACAGCTTCAGTATGCTCATTGAATGGATATACTTGGGCAGAATCGATTATAATACAGCAAAAACTGAGGAGCAGATCTCGGCTCTGATTGAGTTTGCGAGATTCGCTGATATGTGCATGGTTTCTGAAGGGCTTTTCGACTTGATCAGACACAGTCTCTCGCACGTTATCCGATGTTCACGATGCGACGCGGTACAGAATATTTCTTACTCGCAGTTGCGCTACGTTACCAAGGAGCATATCGGCTCAGCGATGCGTCTTCCCCTTGGAAATCCGGTGCGAAATTTAATGGTCAAAGCGTGTGTCCGCGACTTCCTCGGGCCAACAAACTTCAAATTCGAGAATGAGATTAGAGAGGTTGACAACTTCGCTGCTGATCTTCTTTGCACGGTTCAAAACACTCTCAAGGATGCCACCTATGGAAAAGGCGCGATCAATTTCGAAGATCCTTTCGACTCTACCCGAGGAGTACTGTTTGCAAAGGATGGGAGTCGGTACCATCGATAGTGCGGTCATTTTGTTTTCCTTCCTCCTGGATCGACAATGAATATTCTTATTTCTCTTTTTTCTCTCTTTTAGCCTTATACAGCTTCGCAATTGATCAAGGGCCAATTTATTCTTCTTTCCATCTTATGTGAGCTCACTATCGACCATGAAGATTTTTTCTTTCTCTCACATATCAGTCGAAACAGAACACTGAGAATTTTCCTTCTCTAACTCCCCCGCACGGAGCCCCCAATACCCCACGCGGGGAAAAGAACATGGAGATATAGAGCTCCGGTACAGAAAAGGAAATTACCCGAGTGCCAGCGGAACTGCGGAGCCACATCGCTAACACCCAATCGCACAGGACCGATCGTCACGCCAAGTCCGAATGAGGGGGGAAGAGTCAGCCTTCGGATTCTTAATCTCGGTGCTCGGGCGCTTTTATAACTCGATGATACCTCGAAGTACGACATGCGCATGGTGCGCTGTCCATTTATTCTTTTAGTTGTTTGGTTTGGGGAAATTCCGGTTCTTCGGAGCGGACTCAGGGTCTTAGGGTCTCAGGGACAGGATCCGTGCGGCTGCAAGGAGTTGTACGCACGATCCATCAGTCATACAGCTTATACAGATGCCGAGAGCCATGGGCTCGGCAAAATGCCAGTCAAGCTTGGTTGTTCCCTGTTTGAGCTACTTATGTGTTGTCTCTGTAGGATCGAGGCCTTGTCACGACATGCAAGTTCAGTGCTCTCAGCCGTGATCGCCCCGATAATTCTCCACAACGCATGCAACCAACAAAGACCGAAATCCGGTTCAAAAACTAATCCCACTGGTCTGGGATGATCGATTCGATTAAAACAAAAAAACATCGCTTTTCATGCCAACATATATATCCTCGCAAGAATTCATCGTAGCTTTCTGAACCTACAGATCTGATGGTCACTCTATAGTCAGGATGTCTGCTTCACCCTCAAGTACGCCAAGCGGAAGCTCCCTGGCATCGGCCCATTCCAGGGTACCTTGGCTGTTTCTTGCCCAGATTATAATAAGTTGCCCCTGTGCGCCCTCCCTGCGGGGATTGCCGACCCTATGTGGAGATCATACTTCAGCAAGACTGGGCGGTGTCTGGCAAGTGTACTAGTCAAAGCTGACCTGCATCTCTTAGGGGTCTTGGGGCCCTCTTTTGCCTTTCCCACTAGACCACAGCAAGAATGGTCAAATAGCTCGGTGTTTCGGCCCTGTCGAGTCCGTTATTAGTGTACATAAAGCCAAGCATATTCGCCGATGTGGCTGTTCCCTGTTGTGTAGATACCATTGTGGCCCTCATCCAGTCCCACACGTTCCAGGCCAATTCAGTTGCCTGTAAAGATGCATTTTCTGCGGAGTGCCATAATCTCCCTGCTCGCTGGCACTAGTCTTGCCCGGCCGGGGAGTCATGATAAAGCTTCCTCAGCCAAGCAAGCACGCGCCGCTGGGTATGCTCTCAAGGAGCCACCATTGACAACCCCCTGGACGGACAAAGTGGGCACTGATCCGTGGCCTGAGTATCCACGACCACAGATGCAGCGATCTCAGTGGCAGAACTTGAATGGTGTATGGCAATATCAGAATGCATCTAGTCTCGCTGCTGTTCAGAATCCACCTTTTGGACAAGATCTTGCACAGGATGTTCTCATTCCTTCTTGTTTGGAGAGTGGTTTGTCAGGTGTGTTTCTCAATATTGACCTTAGCTTGATGAAGCTAACAAATCTTTGCAGGAGTTCAGGGTGAGTATATGATATACTCGTGGTTCTCAACCTCATTCAAGGTGCCAACAAACTGGCATGGTCAGAGTGTCTTGCTCAATTTTGGAGCGGTGGACTATGAAGCCACGGTTTTTGTCAATGGACAAAAAGCAGGCTTTCATCGCGGTGGATATTTCCGTTTCACTCTGGATGTTACCTCGTTCCTGAAGCCGGGACAACAAAATGAACTGTTAGTAGCATCGGAACTCAATTTGAATGAAACTGACTTGGTTTAGTCTTGTCTTTGTGCACGATCCCACAGACGATGGTGATTATGTGATTCCTATTGGAAAGCAGACTCACAGACCCAGTCATATCTTCTACACGCCTTGTAGTGGAATTTGGCAAAGCGTCTGGATTGAGGCTGCGCCACAAAATCATGTCTCGGGACTCGACATTGATGGAAACATGGAAGGCCAAGGTATGCCATCCACCTTCTAGGCTCATATCCGATTGTTAACAGCGTCCAGTCAATATGACCGTGCATACTTCCTCTGCCAATGTCGCCACGACTGTTCAAGTTGTCGTGCATGATGGCGAGAATGTTGTTGCAACTCACAGAGGTCCAACGAACCAGCCATTCCAATTCAAGGTCGACTCCCCAAAGCTGTGGTCCCCAAGCTCACCTAATCTGTATAATATCACGGTCACATTGGGCAAAGATCAGGTCCAAAGCTATACAGGATTCCGTACTATCTCCAAGGGCACTGTCGATGGTGTCGTTCGGCCGTTGTTGAACGGCGAGTTCATATTCATGTTCGGCACCCTCGACCAAGGCTTCTGGCCCGATGGAATCTACACAGCACCTACCAAAGAGGCCATGGTCTATGATCTCCAGATGCTGAAAAGTCTCGGCTTCAACATGGTCCGCAAGCATGTAAGTACAACGACAAAATCTCGAGAGCTTGGTATTAACAAATTGTAGATCAAAGTCGAGCCTGAGCTTTTCTATCGTGCTTGTGATGAGCTGGGCCTGCTTGTTATTCAGGACATGCCTGCCTTGCGGCCGATTCAGAGCAGAACGCTGGCCAACTGCACCTCTCAGACCATTTTGCCTAATGCAGCACAACAGGCTGAATTCTCGCGGCAGTTGGAGGTCTTGGTGAATCAGCACAAGAGTTTCCCCAGTATTGCAACTTGGGTATGTCAAAGCCGAACTTCTTTCCTCTTTCAACGCTGATGGGTTTTAGATAATCTACAATGAAGGCTGGGGGCAGCTGACTGACTACTATCCTGAATTCGAGTTGACCGACCGAGTCAGACAGCTGGATCCGACACGGCTAGTGGATTCGACAACCGGTTGGTACGACCATGGAGCAGGAGACTTTAGTGTAAGGCAAGCCCTGTGAAAATCTAATGGTCTTCGCTTACTCTAACAGGATAATCACCATTACGCCAACCCGCAATGTGGAACCCCATTTTACTCCACCTCCTCCAGCCCTTACGACGACACCCGGATCGGCTTCCAAGGAGAATTTGGCGGAATAGGCAACAACGTCTCCATTGAGCAGTGAGTCACCCTGGTAATCTCTAGCTGAAACCTCTGCTCACATTTTCAGTCTCTGGAACAACCAAAACGCAATCAACACCATCAATCAGACCTATGAGATTGATATTACTCTCGACGCCTGGAACTACCGGAGTCACCTCCTCCTCAGCGAATTGCAGGACCAGGTGCGCCTTTTCTCGTGCAGCGGTGGGGTCTGGACCCAGACCACCGACGTAGAAGGCGAGGTCAACGGACTCATGACCTATGACCGACGCTTATCTCGAGTTGACGAAGACCAGTGGAAAGCCGACATCCAGGGTCTGTATGATGCAGCAGCGGCACGAAGTAACGGTACCATGTCTTCGTGAGCGGGGCAATTGCTTAGCCGAGCTCCACGAGACGGTATCCATAATAGCTCATCTATTACCAATCGAATTAAAGTTTCCTCAGACCCAAAACAAGCTCGGCAACTCCCATATTGGGATAGATACATCCACGTGTATGAGTTATAGTAATTTGTAGATTTGGAAGACTGATCACATCCGTGGATTCAAAATTGACTTTCTGATATATCTTATCGCATTTTTAAGCCATGTGGAAAGCCATATGCGGGCTGCAGCTGTCATATTCTTCACAAAGTCAATTAGATTATTTGGCGTGGCAATCCTAGGATCATAGCGCCTCCGGTGTGTCAGAGAACGCGGGGAAAAGATGAAACAACCCTCATAATAAGGAAGCCGAGCGTCTAGACCGCGTTTTTCGAAGTGATCAACACAGGCATTGCTGATCGTCTAACGCGGCTGTTTAAAAACGGCCGTGGCGCGTCTCAGGTTTATTACCAAGGGTCAAAACATGACATCAATAGGAAAACAATAATGATGTATCCACGAACTAAGAGAAAAGAAGGGAAAAAAAACCTCTCGACACTGGTCCATCATGTCCGGCAGCTGCGAGATCGGTGCCCCTTTATTTTCCCCCCTTTTTGGATGTAAAATTTTTTCTCGCTCCGTGTCCGTAATCGCGTCCAACCGGAAATCATCCATTTTGATCAGGCAATTAGCCTCCACTCGAGTCCACCAGGATCGCAAATCAGGCCACGCCATCACACGATCAAAATAGATCGATTTGTTCCACCGGGTAGAGGTCAGTTAAAGCATTTAGTAATGCAAATTACCTCCGACGTTCCCGTCCATTTAGTGCTACGATTTATGCATGTCTTCGCAAATTTGCGGGACCCACACGCGTTGAACCGTTCGGCGGTTTTCTGGAAGCCACTTTCAATAATCTAACTTTCATTCTATGGTTTGATAGGGGCCCAAGCGGAGATGACGGTTTTGATGTCATTCGAATCTATTGTAATCGAGTTTCATACAAACCTAAACCTTCTTTCCCTTTGCCCCCGTTAATCTTTTCTTGAAAGAGATACATCGGAAAAGCAAAACGCCCATGCATATAGTCATAGAGAAAAAAAATCCATCGCGCCCCGTACCGTCGGCTCCGACTCTAAGTGGATTCTGTCTCGGCTGGAAGCCGTTGGGACCACAGCGGAGCTCCGGCTACGTCTTCACGTCAAACTTGGAAGCCTGCTTTAGCTGCATCGGGAGCTACGGCAGGATTTGAGTTCTGCATTTTCGTTGGGATCAAGACTAGTACTTGCTGGTGTGTGTTAGCTCGACGCCCAACTCTTGACCCTGAGAAGGAACATTCCAGTCCTTCTAGAAGCCTTCGTTTTCAAGCGAGGGGCGTATCTAATGGGCTGCGGATATTGTACCGGACACGAGTATTGTTGGTTCTCCGCGTTTCCTATTTCCCACGTGGAGGCTTGTTTCAAATTCGACTATGACAGGAGGGTGGTCCATAGTTTTGACGCCGTAATGCCAGTGGAGAGGTGCAGGAGATTGCAGGGATCAGGCCATACCTACTGAAGCCTTGTTTGTGGCTGGGTACTTTTGCCGGGAATTTTCCCATTATCTGATTCGACAACGCATGCATCTAGCTGACCTCCATCTGGAGATGAGTAGTCGTCTCAAATCGGGTCTTTTCGCTTTTCTTGGTTAAAGGCCCGCTCCACTTTTTTTTTTTTTCAAACTTGCTGGGGCCCCTTTTTGGGATCGTCAATCGTGATGTCGACTGAGGGTCTGATCGGATGGTTTGTCCGTTGGAAGGTATAAAAGATCTGGTTGTCCTGGCCATGCGGATGCCACGAGGAGCCCCAGTTTTTTCTTTCATTACAATCTGACTTCTTTCTGGTAGAGAAGTACCTTGAACTTTACTCAACTGAACCGAATTGAGTCATCCTTTTCATACCATCATCATGCCTTGCGATTATGGGGTGGACTTTGGCTTTGAGCCGGAACATATTGACCGCAAATCATTATACGTCAGCTTGGAAGAGCGCATTAAGTATCTACATGCCTTCCTTGAGTGGACCTCTGGTATGTATACTCTTCATACTTCGTACTTCCTATACAAATGCTAATCCACTTCTTCTATAGAGGATGTCGAACACCTCACAAGCGGAGCCAAATACCTCAAGCAACTTATCCCCGCCGTCGTCAACCTGGTCTATAAAAAGCTTTTAAAATTTGACATCACGTCGCGTGCCTTCCACACCCGCACCACCGCCAGCGAAGAAGACCCAGAGGACGACTACCTCACCGAGGAAACCCCACAAATCCAACGGCGCAAGATGTTCTTGCGCTGGTACCTCATCAAGCTGTGCCAGGACCCTACCAGCATGGATTTCTGGCGATACCTAAACAAAGTCGGGTGAGTGCTACCAATCCGACTTACCCCTCTATCAAACGCCACTAACACGACTTCCAGCCAAATGCATTCTGGTCAAGAACGCCTAGCCCCCCTCAACATCGAATACATTCACCTCGGCGCCTGCCTAGGCTACATCCAAGACATCTTCACCGAAGCCCTCATGTGCCACCCCCAACTCTCCAACCGCCGCAAACTCGGCCTCATCCGCGCAATCAATAAGATCATTTGGATTCAAAATGACCTCTTCGCCAAATGGCACCTCCGCGACGGCGAGGAATACGCCGACGAGATCTCCATCTACAGCTTTGGCTCTGGCAATAAGGAGGGATATTTAAGCGGGAAGCGCATTCTTGGCAGTAGTTCGGAAAGCTCCATCGATGATGACCAATCTAGTATCGCTAGTAGTGTGGCGCCGTCCACTTTCAGTGGCGCCCACTCTACTCACACAACTGGACCGTCGCGGACACCCGAGGGAGTGACAAAAACCTCAGCATGTCCTTTTGCAGATTTCGCGAAGAATAACTCTTCGACTGAGACCAAGATTTGGCATTGAGGAGTTTGAGGTATTTAAAGCATTGGCATTTCTGGTGCGGGATTGGGAATTTGGGGCGCTAGGAACATGATGCATTTGGCGGTGTTTGCTTTTTATTTGTTCTCTTTCTGCAGAATTGATTCATCAGAATTGAACTCGAATGAAATTTATTTCTCTTCAACCTTTCTTCCTTTCTTCCCTTCTAGTATTCATTTCAAGGCGCACTTGCATTCCCAGCGGAACTCTTCCGGCGTCTTTGGTCGCGCTTAACTAAGCTTGTCCACTTATTTTTTTGACTCTCGGGACGTGACCCCCACTCGGTTCACTCTGAAGGCAATTCGGGCCCCATATATCCATTCAAATCCGTGGCTCCCATCGAACCAGATATATATCCGACGGCCTTATCGGATTTCCAGAAGACTGTGTCGACGGAGATAAACCTCGATTTCCGGATTATCGAATTCAGTGGGCTATTGATTGTCTAAGCTGTCATTGCTCCACAACACCCCTCCACCTCCACACTCGATCCGGCAAGATCTACCCTGCCTAGACAATTGAACCACTATTGTAGCACGAACCCTCAATTGCTTTTAAACTCTTGTCCCCCGGACAGAAAAAGGGGCGTTCGACTATCCCTCGTATTCACAACAACCCCGACTCCACAATTCATCATGTCTGGTACAGCTTCCAATGTGACGCCACTCATCATTAACGGTGAGTCGGTTGTCACCGACATCAAGTTCGAGGTCACTGCACCTGCTACTGGAGAGCTGTCCGGCTACTGTGCGGGTGCCTCGGTTGATGATGCGCGTCGCGCTGTTGATGCCGCGCAAGCTGCTTTCCCAGCCTGGGCTAAGACGCAGGCGTATGATCGACGCGACATCTTGCAGCGGGCTGCGGAGATCATGGAATCACGCAAGGAGGAGCTGATCGCCTACCAGCGCGAGGAAACCGGCGCGGGCCGGCCCTTCTGTGAACACACCTTTAACCTGGGCGTTGGCTTCATTAAGGACTTTGCGGGTCGCATCGCGACTATCGAGGGTATTGTGCCCAATATCACTCGGGAGGGGGAAGGCGCGATGGTCTTCAAGCAGCCATATGGTGTGATCCTGTCAATTGCGCCCTGGTAAGATTGCATTTTTTCTCTCTGTTCTCATTCTCCATTCCTGGTTTGACATCTTGGCTTGGCTTGATGTTGGCTCGGACGTCAATTTTCTCCTGCCGAGATCCGTTGTGTAACACGCCGCTGACCGGGATCCCGTCATGATTACAGGAACGCACCTTTCATCCTCGGTGTCCGTGCCGTAGCCATACCCCTCGCAGCTGGCAACACAGTCGTCCTCAAGGGCTCCGAGCTCTCACCTAAGTGCTTCTGGGCTCTGGGTGATATCTTCCGCCAAGCTGGTTTGCCAGCCGGATGTTTGAATGTCATTCACCACCAGGTTTCCGATGCCGCTGCGGTGACCGAATCGCTGATTGCCCACCCCGCCGTGCGCAAGGTCAACTTCACCGGTAGCACCATGGTCGGATCGATTATTGCGTCCACTGCGGGCAAGTACATTAAGCCTGTGCTCCTTGAGCTAGGTGGCAAGGCATCGGCCGTTGTTCTGGATGATGCGGACTTGGATAAGGCAGCGATGAAGTGTGCGCTTGGATCATTCATGCACGTATGTTGGAAATTTCCTTGTTATTGGTTTTGGTTAGGGCCATCACTAACGAACGTCAGTCCGGTCAAATCTGCATGTCAACCGAGCGCATCGTAGTCCAGCGTGGCATCGCCGACGAATTCAAGGTCAAACTCGCTGAATCAGCTGAGAAGCTCTTCGGCAAACAAGCGCCCGCCATGGTTCTTGTCAACGCCGCTGCAGTCGCCAAGAACAAGCGACTCGTCTCGGACGCCGTCTCTCGCGGTGCGAATGTTCTCTTCGGCGACGCCAATGCCAACGAGGCCATCAGCACCAACATGCGGCCCGTCATCGTCGCGGACGTCAACAAGGAAATGGACTTGTATGCGACCGAGTCATTCGGTCCGACCGTGTCGCTGATGGTCGTTGACACCGAGGAGGAAGCCGTAGCACTCGCCAATGACACCGAGTACGGCCTGACAGCTGCCGTATTCACAGCTAACCTGTTCCGCGGATTGCGCGTCGCGAAGCAGATCGAGTCTGGGTAAGTTTGGATCTCTACATTCTAGTCCGAACTTGTGAATACCCCTGCTGACATGATCATATCCAGTGCCGTTCACATCAACTCACTGACCGTTCACGATGAGCCTGTGTTGCCCCACGGTGGTTGGAAGAGCAGTGGCTTCGGTCGCTTTGGTGGTATTGGGGGTTATGATGAGTTCTTGCAGACTAAGACTGTTACTTGGACGGAGTAAGCAGGTTTCCTGCTCTGGATACGAGATATGATGCATCGCTGCTATTTGGTGGTAACGGTTCTATTCGATTAGCGGGCGCTGAGCTGGCTTGGCTCTGTCTTTGGGAAGGGGAAGTGGGAAGTGAACTGGACTGGTCCCTCGCTGATGCTGGTGCTGATGCTTAGGTGACCGGGATGGATACCCAATTGGATTTCATAGTGAAAATAAATATCATACGATTATTTCGGCTTCTACTATACCGGGCTGGGAGTGATATGTGGTGATTTGTAGGGGATGGAAAGGGAGGGGATGTGATACTGCAGGTGTAAGCTGTAGATGGACCCAACAGTAGTAGAAGTGACGGACATCCGGCTGCCTAATTTTGGGCGTTGCAGCCTCGCATATCCTCAAGTAAATTGGGTCCAGATCCTTCAAGGCAACTGGACCCTTTCACTGATCGGATGATGGCCGAGACCTAAAATGTTCCCCAACACATCACAAATCAGCAACCAATCTCTGCGGCTGAACCAGTTCCTTAAGATCTATGGCCGTGGCGTTTCTCAATGCCCTCGTTTTCTATACGAGATTCCAGGACGGTGTTGCCGATGAGGCTTGGCAGAGAGTGTAACCTTGGACTAGCGTTGCGATAATCAAACAAAGAAGTCAGTCCCGATCGGGGCAGGCTTCCGGACATCCGAAGTCCCGTTGGATCCTACAATTTCGTCTAAGATTAGCATCCACTTAGATGGAAAGAACACAACAAGAGGAACACAAATCCTAGCAAAAGGATCTATTTTGAGTTCAGTTCACCAGGTTCTATGGATCCGGTTCAATAGTAAAGCTTCGTAGTTGAACAAAGTTTAGACAAAAAACAACAGATCCACCGCCATTTCAGGAACAGGAAAATAGCCAGAGAAAGAGCGAATCAGCATTGACAAACTCTGAGACAATCCAAATTTCCCAGATTTTGCTTTTGTTTTGGTGGCGGTACTGAGTACAATACCGTCATCTGTCCCTGTCCCTCGCTAATTGGAATCTCCTCACCCCTCACCCCTGATCAACGGTTGATCCCTTCCATGGTTAACGTCGTCTCCGATGAACCAGTGGGATCGGCGATTTGAGCCTTTATGATGGGTTCTTGGGTTCGTCGTTTGTGGGGGTTTCTTCCGCGATCGTCTGTGCGAATGGATTGGTCGTTGAATACTGTTTTTGTTTTCAACTTTCAGGGTCAAGGGTAATCCAGGGTCTTGGGGGCATTGAGGGGGGCATGGAGGGGTATCATTGGCTTGAGGGAAAGCGGTGGCGCTAGTGGATGGATTTTGTGATTGTCTCATTTGCGGTTATTCTCCGGGAAATGTGCTCTGTTTACTTTTTTTGCGCACATCACCGTGATTGGACTCGGACTTAGCCAGGTGCGCATGTACGTGCATGTACATGTCACCATGCAGTGTGCCTCAAATTATTTCCGGAGACAAACTTTTCCACGGGGACACGATACTGGACAGATCCCTGGTACCTGGCGTTAGTGGCGCGCCGTCGCCTTTTAGTCTGGCTCGGCGGCATTATTTTTTTTACATTCCCAAGGGTCTCTGGAAGGAATGATACAAGTGCTAGTATTGAGCTAGGAAGGCCAAGAAGGCCCCCAAATCATAATAAACTGAAAAAACAGGTTCATTTCCCACAGCCTTACACTAAGGTACCATACACGAGCCTAGGCCACGAGCCACCTGCATGCCCCACGAGGATAATTACCGTTTTTTCCCCTTTCCTGTCTATTTGTTGTGGACTACATATCTCAAGGGTCATTGCAATGTTATGAATATGAGAGGTCTTACTCTGTCGCTAACTCATAGGCTGTCTTACCAGGATTCGACCTATAATTATCTCTCGTATACTCCGTAGACTGCGCCCCGAAGCCACCGTCAGTAGGTCCTCGCTTGGAAAGACGCTCGATGGCGTCTCCACTATGACCGCAGGACTGGGTCCCTGGTTGGCCCGCATGCTTGGCTTCAGGCCCTGATGGGGCTCTGAAATGTCCCTTCTCCACTTGGTCAGGGACGCTTTGGCCTTAGGGCCCTCCTCCTTCCAGAAAATGTAGCTCTAATCTCCTTTCCCGTTTCCTTTTCTTCTTCTTCTTTCCCATCACACTCATTCATTCTTTTTTTTCCTCTTCCCAAAGTCATTCCTTTGTGCTTTGAAGTCATTCTTTATACTCCAACTCAGTCATTCTTTCCAGAACATAGCCAAAATGCGTTTCACCACTGCCACCGTTTTGTCCACTCTCGCGGCCTTCGCTGCTGCTTACACCCAGCCCGACTACTCCAAGGATCCCTCGGGTAACCCCATCGCCTACCCTTCTCTGAATGAGCAGGTTCCTGAGGGCGCTCCCTTCAAGATCCAGTGGGACCCCACTCTTGGTGACAAGGTCTCCCTCGTCCTCCTCCGTGGTCCCAGCTCCAATGTTGTCCCTCTCGAGACCATTGTTGAGAACATCGACAACACCGGTTCCTACGAGTGGACCCCCAGCACCAGCCTGACCGTCGACACCACCCACTACGGTATCCTCCTGGTTGTTGAGGGCACCGGCGCCTACCAGTGGTCTACCCAGTTCGGTATCTCCGCCGCCGCTGGCTCCAGCTCTGTCGCCGCCTCTACCACCGCTGCCGCTGCTACCAGCACCCCCGAGACTGTCGTCACCGTCATCGACAACGAGACCACCACCATCTGCCCCGAGACTGAGACCCAGGCTACCGCCACTGCCTCCGTCACCGAGACCCCCGCTGTCTCCGCTGTGCCTACTTCCTGGTCCACCATGATCGAGTCCACTGAGGTCACCACCACTATCTGCCCCGAGACTGAGACCGGTGCTGCCACTACCATCCCCATGCCCACCGGTTCTTTGACCCGCCGCCCCATGAAGCCCTCCACCTCCCCCGCCATGTCCGTTGGTGCTTCTGCCACCACCTCCGCTACCCCCTCGGCCACCCCCGCCTATAACGGCGCTGGCCAGAAGACCATCAGCTTCGGCGCTGTCGTTGCTGCCATGTTCGCCGTCATGGCCTTCTAAATGTCATGAGATACCCCGGGTCATGTGGGAGGTATCTTTTGTCTCTTTTATCTTTCTCAGCTTTCATTTCAAATGATTGCTTGATCTTATCGATACACTTGATATGAACCTCTTTTTGAAAGCTTTTACTTTTGCCCTTAATTTCTCTCAGCTGGCCTTGTCTTTTTTTTATACCATGTTTGTCTTTTCTGTATGTTCATGGGAATTCAAGTCAGCTATGTTTGTAATGTCGAGTTTCATGCCCTGATGTCTACTCTGGTTGAATCTCGGTAGGCTTGTACTGTAAATGAATTGGATTTACTTTTGTTCATAAGTGATGCTTTTTATCTGATCATTGTAAATTGAATTGTAGATCAAAACTGTATAAGGTAGAGATGGTGGGGTTCTCGGGCCGGTTCCAAAGTTGTGTAACTTACCCCGGATTTTGTCCAGGGTTCGGCGTTTCACAATCAAACATTTGTGTAGCTAAATGTAACGCAATGGTTGTCTGGGATTTAATACCTCTAATCTTGAACTAGAGCCTCGATTCTTCATTCTCTCCGATATAGCATTCTATTAATGAAGTTTTGCATTCCCATCAAGGTTCCAAGACCACACCAGATCATGGACATGTTAGAACGTAAATGTACATGGCAAATCTCGGAGCTTCCCAGGTAATTGCTCATTTTAATTTCCAACCACATCAAACCTCACGGCTGTATGAGTGATCTCTTTCGTAACTCTCACCACTATCATCACTCTTCTACTCTTCTACGCGTCAGGAACCACCGCAGTCCCAGGAGTAAGTATTAAGGAATTTTGGTCCTTGCTTCTATGAAATACACATAAGTCATTAACTTACTGTAGTCCAGAACCCAATACAACACTTTTGACAAAAAGCTACGGAGATAATAAGAACAAGTTCATACACAGGACGATAGCCTTCGATTTGACTCTATATAGCCATCCTTCTCCTGTAATTTGACATCAAAAGATTGCTCTTTTGCCAGCTCGCAGGACGATGATGATGCAAGCTTGGTATTGGCAATGGATAATCCCCGAAGACGTCCTTTCAAAGAAACCGCAACCAATAAAAGCTTGCTGAACGTATTCCACTGACCACAAAAAGCAAAATTGCTCCCGGGGTACCCGATGCTAGCACCGACGGAGCTGTAGGCGGAGATGACCTCGAAAATCACATTAAAGGTGGAGAACTCCACAGGTTGAATCTTATAATGATCTGATTCGGCGATTGTGATGAGCAGAATGGCGAAAGATATCCACCAGATATCGTGGCTGAATTGAGAGCGTAGTTGTTGGTACAGAAATCGGCTGCGTGCAAGTCTCGAGGGGGTTGGGCTGGTTTGTAACGACGAAAGATTTTCGCCTGAGGCCTCGAGGCAGTAAATTTTCGTTGGCTTTTCTGGGTTGGTTGTGCTTCTGATATTTGTTAGAACAACGTCATTAATTCATGGAGCGGGACTTATCATACCCAATGGCAGCGGACACTGGGAAGGCAGAAAGATACTTTGATCCAATCGTTAGATTTTTGCTCTATCTTTTGGCTCGGTTCTGGCGAGGTCTTACCATCATAAATGCTAGGTGCTGTTAGCAACTATTTCATTGAATTGTAGTCTCAGAACTGTGTTAGACTCACCATATAGCATAAGCAGTCCTTGTGGTAATCCCCCAAATTCCACAATTGAGAAACCACCACCACGTATAGCTGTGTGGAACTTATCAGCAAAGTTGCAAACACAGTGTTTGTGAGGACGTACACAAAGACTGGAAAAGACCATCTAACGCTCTGTACTTGGCAGGCAGAGAGCCGATCTCCAGGTTGCGAATCGATGCAAGCTCGAAGGCTGCCCACATGATCGCATTGAGGACTATCACTGAGCCAAACAGGAACCACGTATGCCAAGTAGGATACAGCGAAGAGCATACCTATGCAAACCGTCAGTCCAGTCCGGTATTGTTTAGCGCGGGGAACTCACATTCTGGGATTGAATAAGAGCAAAATCCAAACTGTGTCGCCACGTCTGCCAAGTCGGTGTATCCGGCAGCATCTTCCTTATAGTCCAAATGGATAATCGGAGTAAGCAAGGGAACAGCGTATTTCCAGCAAGTATTAGAGTTCCACAAATGAGAAGCGGAGCGGCCCTGTCCAGGTCTGATCAGCAAATACCTTGCAACGATAATGGCAGATCGGACTCACTCTCTCTGAAACGGAATCATATTTGTGTCAATGAGAGACATGCCATTATTGGTAAATGCCGATGTAACAAGGAAAGCTCCTGTCCAGAATGGCGATATGCCATCGGTAAGAGAAACCTCTGGGCTGTATATCTGTAACCACAGGCCAAGAGCTAGGCTTCCAAAAGATAGGAAAGCAAAGACATAGAGTATCATAAGTGCGGCAAGGAATAAGCGTGCTTTGTACTCTACTCCCTCCGGATCCGAATAATCGACTGAGGCGTCCAAGTTCAGGTGCTCTTTTGTGCGCTGTACCATGCCCGTGAACCTGGCAAGCATGCGTGAAATGCGTCTTTTGGTGTTCAAGACACTGTCCTTTTCATCAACGGGAACGAAGCTTTGGACTGGCTCTGGTTGTGTGAGGTCGGTAACTACAATGCAGTTACTGGCCTTGTTTGGTCCATCAGGTTCGACGGGTGAAGAAATGTCGGTCGGTGCTTCCAGCACTGCAATTTTTACTTCTGGTGAAGTCTTGCATTTCTCAGATTCATCTTCCTGTTTTTCTGAGAGTGGCTTTTCTGGTATATCCAGGGATGGAATATAAGCCTCCTCTGCCTTTGTTTCATTCTTTTGTTTGTTGTTCAGGGCAGAGCCCAGCGCCCAGGCGCGTGTGAAAGAGAGGACACCGAGGATAGGAATAGCGTGACCCAAGATAAACAATATGAATAGGGTAGCTTGTTGAACAGTATTCATCATAGATAGATCAATCTGTATACCAGTTAGTTATCGAAATAGGTTGATGATCGGCGGTGTATACGTACCACTGTCAATCCAGTGCCAGTCATGGCACTGAAGCTCATGAATGCCGCGTCAGCATATTGAAACCCCGGGATCTTCCTCGATGTATAAATTATGACACTGCCGATCGTAGAGGTTATAATAAAATAGACATAATGTGCAGTAATAGTGTCCCAGCGCAGAAAGGCGGATAATTGAGGCATACTCTGGGAAAGTAATGTCGCTGTCGCGACCGACTCAGGGCTGGGATTTCCCAGATCCATATATTAATTACGGCATAACAGGGCTTTGCCAGCGCAAGAGCGCCCTCTGTTGGCTGGGCATTGTCTACAACCTACTAATTACCACATGGGACCCTTTTCTTCAGGGAAGGAATGCTTGTGTGGTATTCTCCCACCTTCGTTATCGCTCTTCGGCGGTCTGGGTCCAGGTATCGGGCAGCACCTGGGCGCAGAACTAGGTGAAAAAAAGGCGCGACCGCTTATCAGAGCTTCAGGCCAGTACATGTGAATGTAAAACTTGGCGCATTCCAAGGGATCGGAAGGAGCGGCTAAATTCTATGGATGCAAGGCTGAGGTATGTGGATTCGATACAACAATGCTCGGAAATCTCCGGTCTTGAGGAGTCTAGATGACCTCTACTAAAGGCCCTTTGATAACCTTGGAACTTGAAAATGGGTGAAATGAGATGGAACTGTCAGCAGATGACGAAATATGACATATAAACATGAGGCTTCCCTGGTTTCATCCCCAAATCTTGGCCTCCCGAGGTCAGCCCTATAGGTACCTGGCAGTCGTTGCACTTGAGGATAATTGGCATCAATATGCAACGTAGTACTGCCCTGGATTCTTTTTTTACAGTAACCTGCTACGCTATAGTAATTCGCCTCCGGATGACAGAACCAGATACCCACTGACAACAGTAGTGTGAGCGCGCATGATGTAATGTTACCAATTGAAATAACACTGAAAATACCACAACTGGAGCATTTGAGGGCTCATGTGCTACTAGTCAACTGGTGGTTTGTTGTGGTTATATTTGGGTGCGTGGGTGTGGGTCATGTATATAGGCATTGCCCAACAGCAGGCCTGGACGCTAGGCTTGATTTGGGGGTTCAACCTCCGTTTTGGGAACTTCATGAGCGGCAGTCTTCAGCATGAAGTTTGACCTCTTCAGGTGGATTAACCATTTCGTCATATAATTCTGTTGGCTTTAAATTACTATACAAGACATTGGATCCATAGGCCCTCGAATGCTAGAACTTGAAGCCTGTGTCGTCTTTTAGTCAGTGACTGGGTATACTCACATGACTACATATATATACGGCCTTTCACAAAACTCTAACCACAGCATTTATCCTTTTCTAAGTAAACCTTCGAGATCATTGAATACGTACCCCAACACTGGAGACCGAAGAATCTCAAAGTCAACATTGGAATAAGCTTCTTACTGATACTAAAAAAGGTTGTTTAAATTAAAAGGTAAAATAAGGCTAAAATCCCTTGTCGCAAACTTTCTTTTAATGTTTGGCATGTGGCCATGAAACAACCTTAGAAACACGTACCTGCAACCACAAAGACTGGGCAGTAATCACGAGCGAGAGGGAAGGAGGTGTGCATCGCAGGGCTTGCAAATACTGGTGAGACTACTGTAGAAGGTGCGGTGTGACGGTGGCCATCATTGTGAGGAATGTATCTATCTTCAGGCACAATGACCCACAAAGGGTGCTTCCACTGAAAGTGCGAGGGCACTACAGAGCTCAGTTCTAAAATGGAGTCTATTATTCAAAATCGAATGGAATATCAACGTGGTTAATTTGTCTGGTAATTTTGTGGCCCTACATTTTCTGATCGAGCTTAGTTCCTTATCGGGTTAGATAAGAAGACCCACCGTACTGGAGAGTTCATTTGGGACATCATGCCGGATACTTTCTTCGCATTGCCTCAGGTCTTCCAGCATGGCTTCAGTCTGGAGAGGGTTGGCTAGGATAGGTCCATATGCGACCACAGTTGGATTCAGATCTCTCCGGCCCTTCGGGACCTCCGTTAACAATCGCGTCGCCACCGTCGCGTCTGGTCAGTCCTCAGGACTGTCGATTGAGACATTATTTAAGATATTGGCTAACGTGAAACTCAATAGCACCGGATAGCAGAATAATCGTCATCTCTGGCCCGTCAGGCGTGGGCAAGGGTACTCTGATCCAGAAGCTCTTCGACGCGCACCCCGACACCTTCGCATTTACCGTCTCCCATACAACGCGCGCACCGCGACCCGGCGAAACAGAAGGCACAAGCTACTTTTTCGTCAACACCTCCCAATTCTCCGATCTCGTTTCCCAGGGCGCCTTTGTCGAGCATGCCACATTCGGTGGGAATCATTATGGCACCAGCCAACGAACAATCTCGGACCAAATAGCAAAAGGGCGAGTGGTTGTGTTGGACATTGAAATGCACGGCGTGAAACAGATGAAGGCGAACCCGAGTATTGACGCTCGCTATATCTTTATCAGTCCACCGAACTTTGAGGCTCTTGCGAAACGTCTTCGAGGACGCGGTACTGAGAAGGACGAGGCTATTCAGAAGAGACTTGCTCAAGCGAAGGCTGAGCTTGATTATGCTGATACGGGCGCTCACGACAAGATCATTGTCAACGATGATCTGCAGGTGGCATGCAAAGAGCTTGAAGACTTTATTTTCCCGAGAGGTACCTGATTGCATGAACCTGCTGACCCGACGTAGCGGGCATGGATTTGCTTCCCACGTTGTCAGATTGTGAGCACCCCTTAAACAACAAGGAATGCAGGACGGCCTCTCCCTTAACCCCCTGCAGCCCCTAGCTAGTGACCCGTGAGTACCATCCTTGCGTAGAGATAAGAATAATTACTGATATTTCTACTAGTATAGGCCACCCGGTCCTTCCTACGAGAGTTGAATCACTCTAGAGTACCCGAAAGACATTGTTCTCACGTAATACAAGCGATGATTATCAATACAATGTGTCTCTGAATCGGGCTCATGCCGCAGACTCGACATTGATTGGTAATGGCTTACTAATTGTGACTTCAGAGAGCAAGCCTTTAATAATGTACCCCAGTTACGTACCGGGGCCGACAGCGTTGATGTGATATGTGCTTGTAGCACTACTGGTTCGCTGCGCTTGACAGTGTCCTTCCCCTATATATAGCTGTCTGACACTATTTATCTTTTTCTGAATTAAGGTCGCTTATTTAGTACTCAAATGCTCAATACTTCATCTGAGATTGTCGATAAATACAACTTTTAGCAAGCAATCATCTTATCGCTATAATGACACCCCAGCCCAGTGTTTTTCTCGTTGGAGCGGGATATATCGGCCTGAACGTCCTCGATCAGCTTCTCGCCGCGGCTTATCCAGTAACGGTCTTGACCCGACATCCCGAGCAGGCCTCAGCCCTCGAGAGCCGTGGTGTCAGAACTGTTCTAGGCTCTCTGAGTGATGTGGAATTACTTACAACTCAAGTGTCAAAACACACGATCACCATCAACACGGCATCCTGCGATGACCTGCCCAGTGTGCAAGCAATATTAAAAGGCATACGGCAACGAGTCGCTGCAGATACCCCGGCTATCTACATACACACCAGCGGTACAGGAGCACTCGAGGACGGCGCATCGGGCATGTATAAGAGTGAGAAGATATACCACGACAACGTACCAGAGGATATCGAAGCCCTTCCATCTACATCTTTGCACCGTCATGTTGATATACCCATCGCGCAAGCAGCGCGCGAGTTCGGAGATCGAGCAAAAATCGCGGTGATTCTCCCCCATTTGTGTATGGTTTCAATTCCATCCACAAACGTCATTCGATAGCCCTGCCCGTATTGATACGTTTTGCCTTGAAACATGGATTTGCCGGGTACGTGGGTGAGGGCTTGAACACATGGAGCTTAGTACATGTCATGGATCTTGGACGTGCATATTTAACACTGCTTGCATACATCGAAAGATCCCCACCGGCAGTTCTTCTGGAGAATCCATATTTCTTTGCTGAGAATGGTTCCGAGGCTTCAATGCTTGATGTTGCAAAGCATATAAGCCAGGTATTACACGAGGCCGGTAAATTGGAGAGCCCTGAGATTCAGAGCTTTGCTGAGTCTGACTATGACGATGTTTTTGGCCCCTTCACAGAAAGAGGGTTTGGTTGTAACTCAAGAAGTCGCTCTGTCAGACTACAGGCGTTGGGCTGGAAGCCAACCGAAAAGGATATTTGGACAAGTCTCAAAGAAGATGATGCTCCAGCTATACTGAGGGAGTAGGGCCTATTTTCAGGGCCTTGTCATTGTGTGGTTTACTGTTGAAATGAATGAGTGACTCAGTATTGAGTGGATTCAAGGACAAATACAATATTTGAATTCAACACAAGACCTCTAAACCAAGAGAATAACGCTCCCCAAAAGCAAATAAATTAACCACGCGCAAGACAACGCGCCAAATCAACACAAGGCTGGCAATCACAACCGTGACGGAAAGCCTTGACGCATCCAGCCCCCAAATCTGCCTTCCTAGCAGTCAATATATCATCAAGAAAATCACTGCACCCCTCGCAAACAACACCCAGCAACTCGAGACGCATGATTAAATATCTTGCCCAACGTTGACAGCTTTGTAGTGGAATTGCCATTGCCTGTGCCACAACTTTAGTGTAATCACTAGCCTGAATTTCGCCAACTGACTCGTAATATTTTACAGAATGGCTGTCAAATCGCTTATCAGGCTCAATTGCTAGCGTATAGATAGGGTCTCCATTCATGCTAAGGAACCGGATACAATTTGCGGAGCCTGGAGGGTGGAGAACAACCATCCAGTGGGGTGGAAGGCCTGGACAGTCTGGATCGTCATGGCAAATCGCTAAGTAGATTTCGTAGTGAGAGGGAACTGGCATCTTGATTAACGATATTTGAGACTGGTAGTGAGTGCTGCTTGGATTGTGACGACAAACACAGGGTTAATATAGGAATCTTTGGCTTCTCATAGCGATGGTGAAACGAATGTACTATAAGGAGTGTGAGTGCTTCGCTGCTGATCTGCATTGTGAAAGGGTTTCGAAATTAGAATGGACCTACTCTAAAACAGCATTTTGTCTATAAGAAGACTGTACAGGCAAAGGATGTAAGACCCTTTCATACATGGGTTTAATTTGAGGGATTGTCTTAAACAATGGACCCATGCTGTCTTTGATCATCCTAGAATATTCGTGACTAACGTCAAACTGCTCTACAAGTTATCAGAAAAAGTAGGAGATGATTAGGAAACCAAACAAGCTCCTTGTAGAAAATGAAAGGTAATTGAATAGCAGTCTCAATCGAGAGGTCTAAAAGCTATGTGAAACAGGGGTACTACAACTAAAGGAAAAGGCACATGGACGATGATAGAAACATGATTAACTATTATCAATTCAAGAGAATCAGAAGCTTCCAGAATAAGCGTCACCAATCACTAATGGCGAATGTATCACTATCAAGCCCAAAATCTCAATCTTGCGGTCGAAGCGTCAACGCAACGCCTAACAATCCATGAAACTTGTTCAGCACGATTATACATTCTGGCGTCTCCGAATCTTGCAAGGCCATCCGTAAGGAACGGCGAGGAACCGAGTGCCAAACTGCCATTCTTTGCTCGGATCGACCATCTCAACATCGTAGTCTCGCAGTATAGTGGTGAGGACTTTGGAGAGCTCGAACTGAGCCAGGTTGCGCCCGGGGCACTGATTGTATCCGACTCCCCACTGCAGACATGATTAGCTTGATCGAGAATAATTGAAGATTTGGCTATACTTACGTGGATCAAGAATGCATCCATCCTCTTGATGTCAGCTTGGAGCCAGCGGTTGGGGTTGTAGCATTCGCTGTCTTCGCCGAAGATTTCCTTGTTGCGGTGAATGACCCAGGGGTTCACACTCAAAATAACCTGGAGGTCCTTATTGGTACAAGTAAAATGAAACAGTACAATGGGGAATACTTACTCCCTCGGGGAAATATTTTCCAGCAATTGTCATTCCTCCTTTAGGCACAATTCGGGGAAGATTGTGGGCGACGCCGGGGTGGAATCGGTACGCTTCTTTCAACTTTATCGCAGTCAGCATGCTAAGTTACCATCTAGTGGTATCCTATATCAAGACTTACACAAGCCTGGAAGAAAGGCAGCTTGGCTGCCTCGCTATTCTGAATCACCGGAGAGAGTTCTCCACGAGCCTGAGCGGCATCGATTTCTTCTCGCACTCGCTTCATATCCTGGGGGTTCTTGAGCAAATAGTAAATAACAGCCTGTGCAGTTGCGCTGATAGTCTCTGCACCTGCGCCAATATTTGCGACAGCCGCCGCGAATATGTCTTTCTCGCTAAGGCGATCTGGGTGGGCAGCACGAGTGTCAAGCCAGCGCTGCATCATGTCATATCGAATCTCCGGATTCTTCTTGCGATTTTCAACTGCAATGAGACATGTATCAAAGATGTGGGAGCTGGGCTGCAGACCGAGTCGACTAAAGAGGGGATTTCCCAATGTGAGGTAGTGAAACCAGACATAGTTACCCACTACGGCAATATAGTAGACTAATGAGCCAGTATTGGCAATTGCGTTCCGGATATCGGTGCCCGACTCGACAAATCCAAAAGATTTTGAGAAAGTCACTTCGCCGAGGACGTCAAAGGCAAAGAAGCTGAACCAATCTTGGAATTGGACCGTGCTACCGGTAGCGCTTAGCTCATCGAAGCGGGTTTTAAAAGTCTCAAGCACGGAGTCAATATACGGCTCCATCTTTGTGATGTTGGTGAGCGAGAACCCGGCCGAAAGGTTACGAGTCTTTTGGATGTGTCGCGTTGGGTCTAGTTCGGACATTTGGTTGACATAGTGATAGTCTGGCAGACTAAACATGGAGTAGAATGTGCCCTATCGAGAATGAGTTGGTGGCCCCAGATGATGCATTCGACCTGTCAACGTACCTTTGCGATATTTGCCTGAAGAACCTGTTTGACTGCATCTGGATGAGACACGCTCACTTCATTCTCCGCAATGCGAACGAAATGGCCTGTAATATTAGATTGAATCCTCTAAATTGAATCTATAGCATCATACCGTGCTTCTTGTGGAGCTTGAGGATCTCATCCTCACTATGTCCTTTCACAAGATGGTAAACTCGCCACAGACTGGAAAATGAGGCCACGAATGGACCCGGAACGTCTTTGATCGACGTCCCATACTTCCTCGAAAGTGCACATATCACAAGCGCCACAGCGAGGAAAGATAATGCATGATACCTGTCAAAAGATGATACCAATGCGGGAATTACTATCATGTTCAGCTTATTCGACGGGGACTCCATTATGACTGCAGGGCAATTCAAGGGGTTCATCAAACAAAAGCAAGAAAAATAATCGAAAGAGGGGGGGTGTCTGGGGAGTCCATCTGAATGTGATCAGAGTGGCCCCTCGGCCCCTCCCGTGTTAGTGAAGTGGAGTCGTCATTTACCATTGGCACGAGTCTAAAAGGTAAACAAAGTACAAGAGGCGTATGGGTGAAACCATCAGGCGTTGATCTACCGACTGAGTGGGGCCCCGCGACAAGAAGTCCACTTAGACTTCCCGTTTCTGCAAAGTTGACAGGCGAAGTATAATCTACTCGAGACCAATTATCTGCTTACTAGATGTTATTTCAATTGAATTGAATACCCCAGACTCATCATGTCTTGTATGCAATCGAAAGCAACCAGAGTCGTACAGGTCTACTTTTGTCCGCCGTTAGAATCACTAGTGGTTGGCTAGTGTCACTACCATTCTACCGTTAGGGTTAGTGCAACGGGCGGATTACCGTAATCAACCAAGCCAACTAGCCCTAGGCCGTCTGGACCAAGCCTGCTGCATCCTGCGACCCGAAATCACGGTCTTTTGTAAGTGACACGTTCTATTTTGTCTATCACCTCCATTCTAGGATTTCGCCGATCAGGATCAGGATCACCGTGACTCTAGCGGAATCTAGATTTCTAGGATTCCAAAGTTATTTCTGCACTCTGCTTTTCGCTACGGAGACAAACTCTATGTACTACTCAACCTACCAACACTTAGCATTCTGCACTCACAAACATGAGGGGCAGCCTAATTTAGATAATTCATCAATAGGTTGAAGGTTCTCAGGTGGACTAAACAGGGGTACCGGGGTCTGCTGCCTAGTTTTTGGACATTCTCCAGTTTTATTAATTAAATCAATATTAGTGGGACCGCACGTTGACGTGCCCGCGGGAGACAAGGAAAAGTTCCGCGCACGAGGCTTACTGGCCAAGCAATTTGGCGTTTGAGCTAGTCTGCCAGCCTTACCCTATTCTGATCAAAGTGACAGGGCAAAGACTTTAAGGATGCAGAATATCAGTTTCTTCTATTATTTGCCTCAGCGTACTTATTGTCTCTCGAATTATTTATAAGAGTCCCTTGGAAATCCAAGCGGAGCTCAAAGTGTCATCAACAAACACGGTGATGGCTTCAACATATTCCGCTGCCTATTTGGCAGAGGATCGCAGCAAACCAGCGTTAATTGGAATTATTTTTGTCACAGCACTTTCGTTTGTTGTGGTCACGGTTCGAATCTATGCGCGGAGGTTCTTGATCCATGAATTAGGCTGGGACGACCTTTTTATTGTACTTGCCCAGGTACGCCGCTATCCACGTATGAGTTTTACCTCCACAGCTAATATATCGAAGTTGACCAGTTGGGCCACCATGGTCCTATGCATGATGATTCTTCGTCATGGCTCTGGTCGACATTTAGCAGCACTGGTCAGTCACCCAGAAGAGCTTGTCAAGATGTATAAATGGCTCGTCGCCACGCAGATGGTGTATATGTTCAATTTATGGCTCTGTCGAGTATCTGGGCTGGCTTTCTATGCTCGTCTGAACCCAATGCCACGATTTATCCTTTACCTCCGCCTCTCCTTCGGCTTCGTGACTGCTGTTTACGTCGCACAGACACTCATTATTGCCCTGCAGTGTGTTCCTCTTGCCGCACTATGGGGGGCCGCGGAAGGCAAATGCATGGGCTCTGGGATAACCTTCATTTCAACGGGCGCTCTTACAATCGTCTGTGATTCATTGATTCTCCTTCTTCCCGTCAAAATTGTTCTATCATTACAAGCGAAGATGGCAAGAAAGCTCGCGCTATTGGGTATTCTCTGCTTTGGAATTTTGTAAGTGTTCAGCCCTTAAGATCGTTTGCTACTGATTTTTGCTAACCTGTTGTTCTCCAGTGCCGTTGTGTGAGTACTACTTCGAATGCTGATCGAGTCTCAAGCTAATATCAAATATAGAACATCGGCACTTCGATTATACTCAATGATTGTGTCAGTACAACATGCTAATGATGCCACATGGTTCTTCTCACCTGTCATTGCTTGGACCTGCGCCGAGATTAGCACAGGCATCATTGCTCTCTCTCTACCAGCACTAAGAGCCATATTCGGATTTGTTAAGGAACGGCGCTCGACCAAAGACCAGAGTTATTCTAATGGCTCGGAGGGAATTGGCCTTGAATCCGTACCTCGGTCTTTCAAGCCACGACTATTTCGAGGGTCGGATATATATGAAAACACGGTCGAGGTTGATTGTGCAAGAACTCCTAGCCGTGAAGCTCTATGGGATGGAAGAGCTGATCAGAAGATCAGAGTCACCGACACTGTTGACATAGATGTCCGTGAGTAGGTAGCTTGGAGCACATAGTAATAATGTCAATAAAATTTCAAGAGCTTAACGCCCGATACACAGATTAGCATGATTTCCGAAGAAACTTTGAATTACGATACGGGGGGGGGACGAGATAGGATAAATGATTATCCGATCATCGATCCTGAGATAGAAACCAACGGCGCGGGTTCCACATTGCCATGGATCTGCACGCCGGCCCGCCACCCGCTTCCCGCACCATGGCTTCTCCCACATACTACTACTCACTTGAGAAAACGCTGACCGGATATCCTATTTAACAGGTTCTCTGATTCGGCGATTTAAACCATGGTATAGAGCAGAATAGTGGGTCGACTGAAAGAGGAAGAGACCAAGTCGCGTTGCAGTGGAAGAGAGAAGCTAGCTGTGACTTTGTGTTTTCAACGGAACAAAGAATTATGCGGAAAAAGTCCTATAGATTGGTAGAACTTTCTAGAGTGTTCAAATTGTTGCATATGCAACCTGCTTAGGTGAAGATGAGTGGTCATACGTTTGGGCATTGATAGAGAGATACTTATAGAGACTGGCGTGTTAGGCGTCAAAGGATATCAAATATGCTAATCGGATCAGCTTAATCTTTCCTTCTTCACTCCCCAATACTCGAACCTCCACCACAGATTGATGATACCCGAAATGGAGGTAATGTTAATCACAGTGCTGGACTACGCTAAGTTGCACACGCTACTAACTTCCTACTTCAACATGGACTATCACCCAGTAAGAGTATCTTTCACTATGCAAGCAAGCCATTGACTGACTTGAGTCTTCAATATAAGAGGATGATAGTGATGATGAGGTGCTCCACTCACCGTTTCTAACTCCGATGGGATTCGAATTGAAGAATGATTTATTCTATCATTATGAACGGGTCTCAAAACAAGCACACCAGGAATGAGCCTTTATTCCAAACGCCGAATTTCCTCCCGATGAGTCCACCGTTGCCCTTGAAGAAAAAGTGGAGACGGAGCTCGGCAGGGTCTCCAATATCTGAAGTTATGAACACCAAGGAGCCGCCTGCGTTTGGACTCACTCCCACACGACTGGATCACATCTTGCTGTTCCACTTCAACATTCGGGCATCCTTCACGCGAGCTTACCATAAGGATGAGAGAAGTTACCTATAAGGTTTCTTGACGCTTCTAAATATATGGCCAAAGAGAGTACTCGAAATCACAGGCGCGGATGAGCCAAGAAAGGCTCAAAGCTGGTAATGGAAGCGTTTTACATGGCATGTGGCAATCTAGCACCGGAATAGGCTATCTTGTCGACCACAAGGCTGCCAATTATCGCAGTCTGAAGGCCGCGAATTTTCAAATTTGCACGTTCTTTATTATCGCCCTCACGCCAGTTATGCAATTAGGAAACCTATATGCTATGAAGGAATACATAAAATGACCGCCAGTGCCTTTGCGAATAATCATGAGAATCTCAAATATAGATCAGTCCATCAAATACCAAAAGGAAGCATCAAAGCAACTCGTATCTAAACAGACTTCATAAACCGTAATAATTCAACCGAATCATCATACTCCTCCTCAAGAGCCACCGAAGGACCGGGTCGCTTATAGAAAAGTCCCTCAAAATACCCAGGAAAGAATCCCGCATACTCCCAGTCTATAATAGCCTGAATCCTCAGCGTCTGAGGATCAACAAGAATATTATGCTGAGAAAGATCCCCATGACAAAACACATACTCGGCCTCTGAGCTCGTCGTTCGATTTCGAGCCCAAGAATCATTATTCGAAAGATTCATCACCCGATAAGGCGGGATCACCAGTCCAGATGGTCCACCAATCGTATCTGATTTGAGCCTCCGAAGTGTAGCGAGGTGTTGCTCGACTTCTTTCGTGACGATTACTTTCTGCTCGTCTGATAACTTTGCCATTTGGATTCCATTGATATGTTCCATGATTACCATGAAAGAGTTGTCTATCTCGAAGGCGCCGTATAAGCTTGGGACGGGGATGTCGGTTGTGTTGCGGATATAGTGTAGTGCTGCGGCTTCATTCTGGAGTCGTTCTTTCCCTAGACGGGGTATTATTGTTTCGCCTCTGTTGTTGATTAGGTACTCTTCTGGCCGGAGGGACCGCTTGATGAAGAAGTTCTCATGGTGGTGGTAGGCTCTTTCGGAGGTTTGGGCATTAGATGTTTGGGGGAGGTTGATAATTCCAGGTTTGGTGCTTGTGATGGGGATCTCGTCATGGGGGGCTACTTCTGACATGGCTTGACAGAGAATGGAGAGAATGTTACTTGAATGAAAGAGGATAGATTGTACACAAGAGGGAAACACAATCAAAATCGCTTGAGTGGTAAATTAATCACGAGGCGCGGTGGCAGGGATCCCTCGTAAAGCGTTGCAGACCGCAATTACAGAGGCATATTTTGACTCGGGCCGGTGGCAATTTTAGAATGACTGATTGAACAGCAGCAGGTCTCTAGGTAATCTGTCCAGTGCTCTCAGTGCTCTAGGGTCATTTCCATTTAGCATTGGGTCTCGTTTCTCTACTGTGCTCTGTAGATGAAACCCCGCTATGATTGGTCAAGCTATCAGCGAGCCAGGCCCACCACGTGACCACGATAAGTCGATAAGGATTTTTCCGTAGCAACCGCATCTGCATTTCTCCCCTCCAACTACAATCTCGATCTTATTGCACTTTGTACTGCTGGCAGTGCTCGATCTTACATAACAACACACATACACATCTCCATCATGGCTCAGGGTTCTTTGAAGAAAAACAAGCCCTCCACTGCGACGGCAAAGCGGTAAGTTTTGGATCCTCTCTTCCATCCGGAAAAAAGGAAGAAGAAGAAAAAACCCAGGAAACATATGAAGTACGGAATAGCATGAGCCTTTGCTAATCACTCTGTGCTTCTAGATCCTCGCTTCTCGCTTCCAAAACCAGACCCGGTCCGAGACAGATTGCCCCCAAAAAGGCTTCGCTGGTGAAGGCGGCGAAGTTGAACAAGGTATGTTGGGATTGCATGCATTCCGTTCCTCGACAATGCTAACTCTGCCTACAGAAACTCTGCTCCGGTCTCGTCGGCAAAACCGAACGCAGTCTTGCGACCAAGGCGGGTCACTTGGAGTTGTTGGCTGGAGGCAAGAAGGACAGACTCAACAAGGAGAAAGAGAAGAACAAGAACCTGAGGAAATAAGGTCGGAAAGGTCTATCTGGATTAAAGTTCTTCTCACATCGCATGTCCGTAGCGATGATTCATGAAATCGATACCCCGTTCGTGGCTTTCTAGACAAAAGTTTTTGGAGAGAAATTCATGAAAATAGTAATTCTAATCACCCAAACTCGAGGCGAGGACAGGTAAATATGTAACAAGATGTCCAAATTTCATGTACAGAAACCAAAATTGGCCGCGAATGTTGGAATCAACATGTTTTTGAGGTTAGAGCGGCATTCATCAATCGTAAACTGGTATGAAGGATACATGTGCATGATCCAACCAGGCGCAAAGGGAACCAAATAAGAAACCAAACCAAAGAAACAAGAAAAGTAGATCCAATAATAAACATAGAAAAGAAAAGGAAAAAGGGTATCTATTATGTCCAACTCCAGTCCCGTCGCACCTTGCCAATCCAAGCAATCTCCCATTAAACCTTGGAGACCTTGTTTGGAACGCCTGCTTGCTCAATCAAGTCCTGACCATGGTTCATCCAGTTCAGGAAGCCCTGGTCCGTTGGGTCATGGGGGAAGTCATCCCACACAGCGTTCTCTGAGTCTGCATAGGAAGACCAGATACCCTTAGGCACCTCGGTCGTAGACCAGGACGGCAGCTTCGCTAGAACGCAGGTGTAGTAGACATACAGGATGCGGCAAAGCAATTCAACGCGATCAACGTAGTGTTGCTGGCTGGGGTCGGGGCTTTGACCTCCGTCACCCAGTCGCTTCCACCAGGAACAACGCCATCGGAGCGAAAGGAGGATGTGACCTAATTCACCCAGGAAGCGGATGTGAGTCTCGTGGGAGATCTGCTTCCACTTGATGTTGTAGAAGTCACGCTCCAGCTTGCGGAAGCCTTCGACTTCGAGCATGCGGCACACGATGCGGGATAACTGTGCTGCGAGCAGAATGTCTCGTTGGTCGTCGGGGTTGTTGATGTCCATGTCACGCTCTTGGCCGTTAGCATCGAGTGGAACAATGGTGTATTTCGCACGGCTAGGCATGTTGTTCCATTGGGAGAGCAAATTCTACAAGAAAAAAAGTTAGTCTGGGTCAAGATGAGTGCTAGGTGCTGCCAACTTACGTAGGCTTGGTTCATTGGGTCGCAGTCCTTGACGCAGGACAGCCAGTTCTTAGACTTGTCCTTCGAATCCACGATCCGGCGATCGATGAACTCAAGGAAAGTAGACTTCGAGTTGCCGTTATACTCGCTCAGACCCTTCAGGAATCGGTATGTCTCTCCAAGGTCGAGAACATACAGTGAGCCCCACGCCTGACTAGCACGGATGTTGAACCGTCCCTGTCGCTCACCAAGGAATGACAGAAGCTGACTCAGGTCAAATTCCGATGGAATTGCCATGCGGACTGTGCCACTTCCATCCAAAGCTGGATGGTTGATAGCTCGTTGAGAGATGTAATTGCAGGTTCCGAATTCAACAATGCTGGAGAAGCACGCTCGCGCACAAGGCTGCTCGTGTAGTGTAGGACGACAGGCGTCGCAAGGCGCGCTTCCGTCGCATTTGCGCTTGTTCAGTCGACACTGGACACAAGTATCCTTGTTCTTGCGGCGTAAACCAGCGTTAGCTCGGCCGACCATACTCAATGGTCCCTTGCGGCGGGCGCCCCTTGGAGGGGAGACAAAGTCTGCAGAGGCAATAGAGCCACCTTGCCCATCTTCCTGGACAATTTGAAGAGGCTTGGCCGGACCCTGATCCATGGAGCCCGGAGCACTTCGGTTCTTACGCTTCCGCACAGTGGCCACGGATTGCATGGCAAGAGGCATAGGTCGGCCTGAAGAGCGCTGGTTCGCGGTCGAGGAGTTTCTTGATCGCGAAGGAATGGCACCCATCATTTCCGATGGGGACTCACTGACCATGAAAGCCGTAGTCTTACATCCAGACTGCGAGTTCTCAGGAGAGCCAGTGTCGGGCGTAGCAATCTTCCACTGAGCGGACTCATCCACCTGGTGTTCCACAAAAGTGGGTGGGTCCTCACTCGTCGCAGAGTAAGAGCACTCATAAATTCCAGACACGTCGCCTGAAACCGAGGAACTCTCAGACTTGTAATGAAATCCGTCTTGTCCGGTCTGGCCGCGTTTCTGCGACGCCATCAAAGATGGAGGAGTCATCTGAGAGACCGGCAACTGCGACTCCAGGTTATTGAGCCAGCGTGACTCGAGCGATCTGATGGAAGGCTGTTGGTACCCGCGCAGTGATTGATCTTTGCCATGGTTCTGGGTATCAATCGACAGCTGGATTGCACCTTGTCCTGGAATGTTCTCCATCGAGATTCCATGGGGGATCTCCCACTGCTCTGGGATCAAAGGGAAAGATTGTGGCATCTGCTGAAACATCATGGCCTCAGCCGGAGCATCCGGGAAACCCTGGCCTTGGGGAATTTCACCCATATCCTCCACAATTACTGCACCATTCGGAGGGTTCGGAGCTTTGCCATACGGGTACATGAGAGGCGTCTCGAGCGGCATCCCAGCCGCGACCGAGTTGAAAAGCTGGAAATGAGGCCACGTTTCTTCGGCGTGGAAATTGTCATCGGCGGAGGAGGGCATCGTCCGAGGACTCACAGTGCCGCTCCCAGAGCCCTCACCAGGACCGTCGTAGTTGAAGTTCTCTGCGGTCACATCTCGCTTTCTAGAAATTGCATCACTATCAGTACATCTTTCGCGGTCGACCTAATGAGGGATACGAACCGGTTATCCGGGCGCTGTCGATCGCCCGAGCGATCTAACAGTGAACCTGTTAGCGGATCATGGTAGGCGCCTAGATCCGCGACGTCGGCGCACTGGCTAGAATCCTGGCTGGTGTCCCACTCGGGAGGTTGTTCGTAATTCAGATGTTCCCACGACGCGACTGAAAAAGCCCCGTCGGTTTGCCAATTATCGAGAATTTTGGGGTCGATCCCCGCAGCCGTTCCAGCGCTTCCACAGTCCATACAGGATCAACTGGAGGAAGATGGGTGTCGGAGCCGACCAGTCCGAAGAGCAAAAGTCCCAAAAAGAAGCTTTTTGAGACCTTTGCAAGAGCAGTTGAGTAGTCGATAGAGGAAGGGTCGGTCGCGAAAAGCAACAGACCAGTATGCGCGCGATGAGTCGTTGGGGGCGATGAAGATGGAAGTAGTCGAGGGGAAAGAAGAAGGCTGACGGGGTTCCCCACCTAGAAAGTTTTGCGTGCTGCGATCGTCTCTAGCGTGTATCAGCACAGACCGCCCGTTGCTGTTCCTGCAAGTTTTTTTTATTTTTATTCTTGATTATTTGGCTGGATTTCAAATCAGGATATTTTATTCAAACTATGTCTATTCAATAACACACAGGGTCAATTGTAGCTATCGTATAGGGAAGAAAATGATACAAAAAAAATTAGATACGGACGATCAGCGCACGAGGTGGACTGATACGCGAACTAGGGACCCGTGGGACTTATTGTTGGAACAGGCACAAGGTTATTGATTACATCAGTGCCCACCTTTACGGTGTATTATGTAGCACTGAGAATGGTTTGCAAACAAATGTAAAATATGCAAACTTAAAGTATTAACGTTAAGTAATGGCATCTATCACAGTCTACTGCACAGAGTATATAGCCCTAGTCAAGCATATAATTGTTTCCAATCTCTATCGCACATTTCGGTAGAATAAATTAAATCCAAAATTCCTAAACCTTGGAATATAATCATTTGCCAAGTATAAATCTCTGCGCTGAGTTTGGCTCACCGCAGACTCTATCCGGTCAACCCTACCAGTACCGCACCCCGCCACCTGAACAGCTTCACCGAGACCGGTCGGTGGCCAGTCCGGCAAATACCAATGATGGCTCAATGCTTACCCAGTGCATTCATTATAAGTTCCGGGGACCCCAACTACGCGGGGATGAGTATTTGCATTTTTTCCTTCTTATACACTTGATCTAGAAAGATCTTTGAGAATATCAAGTTATATCCAAAATCCAGACTCAAAAAGACCTACCTACTCCACTTGCCCGCAAAAAAGTCACGATGCATATCCTGGTAAGTTCAAAGGATTGACAACACTTTCTTTTCTTTTTCAATGTTTTCTTCTTTGCCTTCTCGCTTCTGTCATCTGGGGAGATCATGGATCGCACAAGGTAGTATAGAAACCAAAAAAAAAAAACAAAAGCCAAAAAAAGAAAAACCACCAAACCTACACCCCGCACATCTAGTCTACTCACCAGTCACTGGGGCATTCCTACTATTGCCCTTTATTGATCCCTGTCAAATGATAAGCTCAAGTCAATTCAACTTTACTCATACCAATAATAGCTTGTCAACGATGATGGCCCACCAAATTCCCGCGTATCACCCTACGTCAGACCCCTCGTGAACGCCCTCGAAGCATCAGGCCACCAAGTCTCCGTCGCCATCCCAGCATCCTCCCGCTCCTGGATCGGCAAAGCTCACATCATCGAAGCCCCCTGACCGCCAGCTACGTACACCCAGATTCTTTCCGGGAAGACGGCACCTGGGACGAAACCCCCACTCCACAAAATGACTCCGACTGGGTGGTAATCCAGAACGGCACACCCGCCAGCTGCGCCCAGCTAGGATTGTACAACCTGTTTACCGACCGCCCGCCCGTAGACCTCGTGATCTCAGGCCCGAATCACGGCCGTAATGCGTCTACTATCTACAACCTGTCGTCGGGCACTGTGGGCGGGGCGCTTGAGGCTGTTTTCTGCGGAAAGCGCGGCATCGCTATCTCGTTTGGTAGTAAGGATCCGCAGACTGATGAGGTAATTGCTGCCGCAGCGCGCTTGGCTGTGAGACTTGTTGATCATCTTAATGCCATTTGGGATGAACGGGTGGAGTTGTATAATATCAATATTCCTATGCGTGAGGATGTTGAGGGAAGGCCCGTGCTTTATACACGGACGTTGCCGTATTACTGGTCGCGTGGGTGTTTGTATGCCGAGGCTGGGTCGGAGAAGAAGTTGACGAATGGTTTGACAAATGGGGATCATTGTAATGGGATTAACGGGCATGCTGAGACGCAGCCCAGACAACGCCATTTCAAGTGGTCGGCTGATTTGTCCGATATGAAGAAGAGGTTGCAGGAAAGTGAGGTAGAAACTGATGCGCATACTGTGTTGAATGGGTCTACTAGGTATGATCCTCTGGTTCCTTATTTATTTACCGTTACTGACTATCACAGTGTGACGGCTCTGCGGGCCAACTTCTGGCATGTCCCAGGGCTCGAGGGACCTTTGAACCTGGACTAATAAGTCTATCATACTGGTCCGGTCGACCCGGTAATGCATAATGCATGTAATGATTCATTTTTAGCGTTTCGTCTTCGGGCGCAGTGCCTTTCAATTGCATTTGGAAGCTTAATCGATCGCGTCGAGGCACCAGAGCAAATACCCCTAGGCGTCTTTATACATAGCTATACATGGGGAATGAAGTTTATACACCATGAAACATCATTGACATTGAACTAAAAAAAGTCTAAGCAAACGCAGGAATGCGCTGATAAAACTTTGGGAATAAACTAAGGAGAAGGTGAGGGTGTATCATAAACAGCTCAAAGGATCAATAGAAGATCCTAGATTGCGCGAGCAGCTTCACCAGCGCCGCTCTCAACGGTGGATGCCTGCTCCGCACGCATCTTGCCCTTTCCGACACCACCCTCACCAACGCCCATGCGGCGAGCCACGTAGCGTTGCGCAACAACTCCAGCCGCCAGCGAAAGAGTCTCCTCAATCCACTCCGCGACCCACTCACGAGGATCGACACCACCGCTCTCGATGATCTCAACAATAGCTTCGGGCACCTCGGCGTGCGCTACCTGCGCATCCTCACCGTCGACGTTCTCAGCGGCCGGTGCAGACGCATCAAGCCACTCAATCCATTTGGCAGGCACAGGCTGAGAAATAGTGTGGAAAGCAATGCCATGCACAGGGTCATGGAGGTATAGCGCGAATGAGATCTCCTCATCAGCCTCCGGAAGCTCAACGGCACCAGAGGCAGTGTCCTTCTCGCCCGAAGCACCGGCCTTGAAAAGATCCCCCGACACAGACTGACGGATAGCCTGAATGGCGAGGAAAATATCACTGCTGCGGACAGGGTTCGACTCGCTCAGGATCTCACTAGCCTGCTTCGCTGCCCCTTCAATTCCACCTCGAGTCGAGAAGTATTCCGTCGCATAGCCTTCGGCGCTGGCGCGTGCCAGCTTGGACCCCTCGATGGATCCAGGAACAGCGTTGATGGTGCGTGGGTTTCCAGGCGTCACAGTCCGCCACCAAGGCCCGTCATTCCAGCCGGCACTGGAGATGTAGCCACCAACGTCGAGACTGCGCTTCGGGGCGGACTCTTGGCCCCGCTGGATGACGAGAAGGTCGCCACCCTCGACTTGGGCCATGACTCGTGAGAACACGGCGTAAACGAGTGGGTCGACGCCCGGGTATCCGGAGAAGTCGTGAGTCACATGGATCTGGAGACGTTCGTGTGATGAAATAGGAGGGGCAAGGGTGTGGATGAGGTTTGTGAAGGTAGGAATGGCCATGTTGCGAATCTCGCCACCTATAGAACTGAGTTAGTGAACAAGAAACAGGAAACTGATTGGAATGATGGATTGCATACCGAAGTCGCGAAGAGCACCAACATTGCCCTTTACTTGTTGTGCCCAACGCTGTGCTTCCTCATTGTTTTGAATTTCCTTCACAGCGGCTTCAGCCTGCTTCATAGCCGCGCTGGCCGTTGCAAAGATTCCTCCCCACCAACCACCACCCTGCTCCTGCTGTGGCTGTTCTTGCTCATGTTCTTGTTGCGGTTGCGATGGAGCATTTTCCTCTGCCTTCGGCTCCTGCTTGATACCAGTATGAGACAAACGACTCGTCTCCTCTGACTGGCGAGGGGCCTTCTCTTCAGGCCGCTCGATGGTCGCGCTAGGGCGAGGTGACCGTGTTGATGACCGTGGCTTATCTGTAGAGAGACGTGGCGTACCCGGTCCACTGCTGGGTCGCTGGATAGAGAGGTTGTCGAGCTCAGCGAGGACATCTTCCTGGGACTTTACATTGTCGGTGGGGGCTGTAGGCTTGGACGACTTTGGCTGGTCGACGCCTAGATTGTCGAGGTCGAACTGAGCCAAAAGCTCATCATTGGTGGGTTTTGCACCCTTCGGAGGCATGGTGACTATTTAGGGAAGCCCTGAAGTGTTGGTTCAGGAGAGGTGACGACACAGGTGGGAGCTCCCGAGTGTGGAGTCACTGTGCCAAGACCGCAACTCACCTTCCGCCTTGACCAACACAGTGGCTGACCAGATGATGGGTCATTTTTGACCACATGATACACGTTCCCTGGTAGAAGTATGCTCAGGAACAGGTACATCTAGCCCCTCTTGCCTGATTCTCTTATATCTTTGTGGTGGCTGTATATCTCGGCGCCCTTAAACGGTTAAACGGTGTATGTTAGAACTTCTAGGTTTGGCGCCACAAAGTGTATAAGCAGCAGGGTATACAACAGGTATCAACAGGTGCAACAGAGCCACTAGGGTTACCCTTGTTCACTTGAGAAGCCACTATGTGATAACACGAAAATCCAAGCATCGTCCCATCGGGTGGCATGCCAGCCAATGATAGTGGCAGTGTGGATGATAGCGGCGCGAGTCAGTAGAGGGGCAGAATTTTTAGCATCACAATCCATGGATTTTGAGAATTACTCATTTGGACCCGACGGTCTGGTTCCCATACCCCAACGGTGATCATATCTCCATTTTCTCCCTTAAAAATGTTTGGTTTCATCAATAGCCCTAGAGCTTGCTTAGTCTAACCCGCCAATCAGGTTGAGAGGGAAACGACATTATAGATCCCGCCAATCACGAGCTTGAAAAGACCATAAAGCGATAACTAGGTGAATATAAAGATCTAGGTACAACCTTCTAGTTGGTTCCGTATGCACAATAGGTTGATTTCCTTCCGTGGTAGCGGGTGTGGCCGGAAAGCTGGGGAAGGCATTTCGCGCACTTTTTAATGCGCTATTACATAGTAGGCGCACCCGAGGCTTAAAACTAACATTAACCTATGGATCTATGACACTATACGCTGAAAACTTTTCCGAACCAGTCAACCAATCGAATGACTACCCAGTTCTCCCTTGCATGACATTTTCGTAGATGCCTTCCCACAATTTTCACTTACTTCATAGACCCGCAAGCCAAAACATCATAGTCGGCCGAAAGCAAGTTTATATTAATTCCATTGATTATCCAGACAATCTACTCTTTTCCGCCAGGTTCCTGAAGTTGACAGAATCATCCACTGATGCTCTCAATCGATCGTATCCTCATTCTTGAGGCCAAAAGGACCCACCTGTAACCCATCCAATGCAGGCCTGTCATTGGTGGCAACTCATGCCGAAGTTTGACAGGGCCGCACTGGAAATCTATATATGTTGAAGTCAACAACCATGTAGCTCAATTTACTCCTATAATTTTACCTTTACCCTGTCATGACTGGGAAACATCCCAAACAATCCAACCCGGATGGGGTAGCCGCTCAAAATGATGAGCCTGGGGATCCACCAGAGCGACATAGTGCCCCTGCAACGACCAAACGCCCTATAATCGTGGAAGCCAGATCAACAAGAATCACCAAGTCAACTCCAACATTTGGAAATTCAGGAAGCTCTAGTTCAAAAGTTGCAATTCCTCGTCAAAGTACGGGTTATACCCCGCGTTACAACCGCAGAGTCCCACGGGCTTGCGAGTCGTGTAGACAACGAAAAACAAAATGCAGTGGTGACACGCCAGTATGTCGACAATGTCGTGAACTAAGGGTTCAATGTCAATATCCTGTGGGATGGAGAGATAAAATGAAAAAGTGTGGGCCCAAGGATGATCGGGATCTATAGACCCAGTACCGTGGAACTAATCTAAGATTACAGGGAACTCGACAGATTGTCTGCGGAAGTGCAGGAATACGAAAACTTTTTGGAGGATTTACGAACGAATGCCGAGTCTCGAACAGCAGACTGGGTCATACTCTTAATGGAAAAAGTACGATCTATCCCCAGATCAGACTCGGGTAGCACTATGCTAATGTTGTCACAGTATGGCCTGAAGGGGGATCATCAAGAACGAAATCAATTCTTGATGCCTACTCCTCAGAATGAGATGGAACCTGACGAACCATCTCCGCTTTCTTCAATCGGGTCTCTGGAGGCCATTGACCGACTAGAGGAGGATCCCAATCGGTCGGAAGATACCCGAGCAATGGGGGTGGTGGGCAAGAGCTCGGAAATCTCTTGGATGCAACGAGTCCAGAGAGAGGCAGAGCAACGAGCTCGAGGAAACCCCGGCACCTTGGAAACGAGTCCAGCTGACGACGAAGAAAAGGAAGCATTTTCCCTTCATGCTCTGAACTATCATCTCGACGACCTGGATATCTCCGTCCCCGAACCCGTACAATTGTACGCCATGCCTCCTCGTGAAACAGCCGACCGACTCTTCGATGATTATTTTTCAAAGACACACCCTTTCTTCCCTATCCTCAGCAAGCAACTATTTCGTGGACAGTACCAAACCTTCCTTGACACCTCATCTCGACCCGACCCTGCCCGACCCGGCGACAAATGGCTCGCCGTATTGAATATTATTTTTGCGATTGGCGCCAAACACGCACATCTCACCAATGCAGCGTGGCGTGGCGAGGATAACGATCACTTGGTGTATCTCACACGAGCCAGACTTCTCAGCATGAACAGCGATGTTCTGTTCAGTCATCCCGATCTTCAACAAGTCCAAGTCGAAGGACTGATTGCATTCTACCTACTGGCATCAGACCAGATCAACAGGTTTGTACTCTTTACAGCAAACTACTTGAAACGACTCCAATTAATCAATATAATCCGTATAGAGCATGGAGAATATCCGCTTTGGCCATACGGTCGGCAATCACCCTCGGCATCAACCTCAAGATCACCAGCACCAAAACCCCCAGCATCACTAAAGAGGCCCGCTACCGGGTATGGTGGTGCTTATACAGTTTCGAGCACATGTTAGGCATTATGACTGGCCGGTCCATCTATAGTCTAGACGGAGGATACGCTACCCCGTTACCGCTCCCATTCGAAGAAGAACAACTACAAGAAAACCCGGCGGCCGCCGAGGTTCTGAACAACCCGACCCTACGAGATGCATTGGTTGGAAATGTGATGGCGAGTTCGTGGATTCGACCGACCGGTGAAAAAGACAATTCACACAAGACCCGACTACGCGACCAAACATGGCTGAAGAATTTACCCGTCAACTTCGGACTCTGTTATCTCTACTACAGTGATTTGACGGTCGTCACACAAGAGATACTTAACAAAGTCTACACGACAACGGCAGTGCTGCTTCCATGGTCGGAGATCGAAAGTCGACTCGACGACTTAAGATTTCGCATCGATTTATGGAAATCGAGCCTCCCGGCCGCTCTCGACTTTACAAAAGAGGAAACGGACGGCAGCTCGGATCACCTCCGTTGTAAATTGTTTTTGGCATTTCATTACTACAGCGCCAGGATTACTTTGGGTCGACCATGTCTCTGTCGACGTGATGCACGACAACAGAACTCACCGCAAACATTCAGCCACACAATGGCGTTGATCGCCTTGGAATCGGCCAACGGGATGCTAGACTTGATCCCAGACGTTCCAGACGTTGTCCAGCTGTATCAAGTTTGTCCCTGGTGGTGCGTACTTCGATACCTCATGCAATCCGCCACGGTGTTCCTCCTCGAACTATCATTCGGCTGCATCCACAGCCCAGAGCAAGAACAGAAGTACGTATCCTTGACAAAGAAGTCAATCCGGTGGTTCTTCGCCATGTCCGAGCATAGCATTGGTTCTCGTCGTGCCTGGCAGATCTGCGATTCCAGCTTCCGCAATTTAGCCGGTGGCATGAAATACAATACCGATGATCTCCCAGGTCAACCAGAAGAGCGCACGACGACTGAAACGGCCCCATCTTTCCAAGCCGACCCAAGCCACAATGTCCCCTCAGGTGACTTTTTTACTCTACCAACAGAAGATCTTCATCTATTCGGTTCTCACCCCATCCCCGATGGAGACACATTCCCGAACTCCTTCAACTACCCAACACCAGATGTCATGTCTTCGCTACATGGACATACTGATATGACTGATGATAACTACTTTCCATACGACCCCCTCAGCGGAGAGTTTATCAGATCTTTCTTCCCGTCTTCGGAGGAAGAAAATAAAAACTGAGAATAAGGGGCGAGTCTTGATATCCCTTCCATGGCGTTTGGTTTTTCAGCATGGCCCGGCCCGATCGAAAAATGAAATCGTGGTCAACTGCATCGCTTAGCGTATCAGCATTTCAGCATAAAAAGGCATTGCATCAATCAAGAGTTTCACATCCTCACAGTGGGAATAGCATGGAAAAGGTTTGCTTCTGGTATTGGCAATTTGATCAAATACCGATTGTTGAGTTTCATCTTCATGGCAAACTTGAACATGTAAACAGAGGTGTAGCAACATATTTTCGTAAGCAGTAAGGCAATATCAACATATATATCTTGTGTGTTCCACCAGTCTCAGAGTCTCAGATTTTCCAATATCAATTGTGGCTCATCTTCTTCGTGTTTTGTGTTTCGGTTTGTGATTAAAGTCCCATTTAGGCTCTGTGAGGAGCAGAGTTTGATAGCCATACACTTCAGGCCTTCAAGGGACCAACATTGGCTCTCTAGAGAGTTTCAACAACTATGTTAGAATGCTACAGTATGTATCATTTAATTGTCTGTTATTCTATAATTCTGGAAATTAATGACAGAACATATGTTTGATATTAGAACGTTACCATGTACCTGTATAGATCGAAGTGGGGGCTTCGGATAACAGGATGATGACTAATGGATCTGCCCCTCGATCTTCAGCCTTAAGGGACCTCTACCTACCCTTTCAGGGCAGTATGTGGTATCGGCGATATTTCTCCAAGTACCTGTGTCTTGACCAAAATAAAATGAGGAAATGTTGAATCAAACACACTTCTGTCTTCAAAACATGAATTCGCTCAATTGAAATCCGCTTGGCGACCCCACCTACACAGTACACCACGCTACGACTTGCGGGTTACTCATTAGCTGAACCGTCGATCCTATATCACGAATGGGTACTAGTTTGCTGGACTAATCACAAAAATAAGCAGATGCTTATCAGGATTTGACCCAGCATCCTTGAAATACTATGTGTCAGCAAAATACGGGAGCGGAATGCAGCCTTGCATCGGACTCCCGCCGCAGTGCGACTTATCGGGGCCGATCCCGCAGCGGGACCGCGGGGTCGATAACATCAAGCATAAATAGGCGCCCATTGCTTCCACACTACATGCGCTAACAATTGCAGCCTGGAAATCGTTTTGACTTCAAGGATTCATTGTCGCAGCTGAAAGTTATTTTTTGTCTCTCAATTGCATAGGTGAGTTCTAACGTTTTCTTGTCTATGGATCCTTTATCCGATCTCATACTTGAGCTACTTTAAAACAACCGAAACTTGAATCTAACGACATCGGACTACATCCAGTGACATACTATCCAACATAATGCGTCTTCCCTACGTTCCAGACCCACTACCGACCACCACCGACGACGAAGCCAGAATCCTAGCAAGCGTCCAGGCCCGCCGAGCCCCAAACCCCCTTCTGCCCCTCGACCTCGCACTCCTACACTCCTTCCCGGTGACAGAAGGCTGGAATTCATTTTTGGGTGCTATCCGCACCCGAACAAGTCTATCGACTGTGGTTCGCGAACTAGCCATCTGCCGCGTTGCGATCATCAATGGCGCTTTATTTGAATGGGAGCAACATGCACCGTTGCTGAAACAAGGTGGACTGAGCGAGGACGCGTTCAAACTGGTTGGAGACGCACAAGTGGATTTCTTGGATGATGGCTCATTGAGCTCATTGAGTGCAGAGCAGAGGGCAGTTTTGAGATATACGGATGCTATGACGAAGACTGTCACTGTGCCGAATGAGGTGTTTGAGGAGTTGAAGGGGGCTTTTAATGATCAGGAGATTGTTGAGATTACGGCAACTGTTGCGGCTTATAATTGTGTTAGTCGGTTCTTGGTCGCGTTAGATGTTGGTGAGAAGAATTGAGTGTACTAGGAGATACTTTCCTACTGGATGTATATTTTGCCTGCCTCGGGTATCTATGTACTGTACACCCGAACGCAGAAGCTGATTTCTCCAAAAGACCTCCTGTAACCACAATCAATTGCTACCTTGACATTCAAAATCCCACAATATAAATATCTACCCGCGGACCTGGTTCATGGTATTCTGTTTGTGAATCCCCGAAGTCATAGCTTTATGCTGTCTGCGATATAGTAGAACTGTTAAGCTAATGTCTCCTAAGGTTGCAAAGCTTAGAGTCGATGAAATAGATATGCCTGGCCATGGGGCTAGAGAAAAAGCACATGCGTAAAAAATTTCTACTATCTGAATTTGATCGAAAACCTTGGAATGTAAAATGAGAAGTTGAATGTGATGTGTGATCGCCAAAAAAGGACATCCTATATTGGCGGTCTGTGCTCATATGAGACACGCGACGATCGGGTTAAGGGGCTAACAAAGGGATCTAGAGAGAACAGGCATGAAACCGACTCAGCAGTAGTTCGAGCTTTGTTTTCTATTTCTTAATGTATAAATCTCTCTTCCAAGTGTCCCATTTCTTGGCAAACATTCTTTTGCACACGGTAGTCTTAGTATGGTGTTGAGGAACCGTCGCCGCGGAAGGGGTACCACGTCAGAACAAGGCATCCCGTGAGAAAAGATTCCTCCGATTGGTGATACTATTAAGCAAGTACAATTGAAATAAACAAAATGCTTAATGGGTCCCAGTGATTCCCCTTAGCGCATTGCGCCGATCTGCTATGGTACCTAAAAATTCTTTTTCTCCGTAGAGCCGAAAAAGCCCGGTCCAGTGCTCACCGTGGCGACGAGGTCTCGAGAGAAGTATCCGGATGGTTCTGAGTATGAATAGGCTTCGATCTGACGGTTATTGGCCTAATCGAGTAATTTTGTGACCAGGGGCCATAGTCAGTTCATCTGACGTCGCGGCTTGCAGTAAAGTGGCCTAGTAGATAACTGGTGTGTGATTGGTTGAGAAGGAGACAGTGGATCCGGTAAGTTGTAATGGTCACTACAAACTAAACCACGCTCAATCTCTTTTCTTTGCCATCTGCACTGTTTCCTTTCCCATGCTTTACTTCATCGTGCTGCGAGTTTAAACTAATTCGAGCTTGTGCCTCGATATCTGTAACTTTCCTTCTATATCCCCACGCTATTTTTCATTTCTCCCCCCCCCCCTTCTTCTCCCCACGGAGAATCTTTTTTTTTCTTCTTTACTACCGCCTGGACCTGCAACCACCACTGCATCGCGGCATTGCTTGCTTTCAATATCCTGATCCCTGTTTACCTGTCACTCTGTTTCTGTCATTTCCTTACTTTTTCTTTCCTCTCGGAGGTTGTGGCCGCGTAGGTGAAAAGCCTCGTTATCCGCCCAGCCTTCGGTTCAAGTACACATCCCTGGCAGCCGCTCTCACCACCAAGCGCCGCCAAAGTGTCTCGCACCCGATCAATTCCATTGTGATCGGGATCAAGGAAGTCTTTCCAACTCATTTGATTTGGCTTTCTACCTTATGGTATGTTGTTGTCGCGTGCGCGCGTTCTTTTCCTTCCATTTTCCGTTTTTTCTTCCCTTGTATCTGGCAAATACACTTCCGGGTCAGATCCTGATCCACACAATTTGCCGCGACCGTGTCTGCCTCTACTCTTTGCCCTTGTTTCTGTGTCCTCAATATGTTTGAATCGGTTTTATCTTGCGCCCTCTTGCTTTCTACATTACTTTTACTGTTTTCTCGACGCGACTTTCCCGTTTTTCTCGTTGATCTCGCGATACCTCCCCTGTTCTGGAGGGTTCCCGCATAGCGCTGCGATTACTCTATTGGAGTCTTGGCACCCCAAGCGAAACCCGGCTAACTCATCTATACAGATACCTGCGCCAAACATTCTTCGATCTTCACGGGGAAATTCCGTGTTTAATCTGCCTGGCACTTATTTTCTTTTCTGTGGACTGGATTCCTAATTTCTATTTCTGTTATCTGCCCAAAATGGCCCCCATCCCGCGGGCCGATTTTGATATGGATAACCCGTCGTCTGACGTGGGTGACAGCCAGGACCAAGATTCCCCGCTGCGGCGTCAATTCTCTGAACCATTCCGTCCACAGTCTACCTCTACTCAAATTTCACAGTCTCCTGAGCCAGTCGTGCGCAAACTTAAATGCGACTGGTGTGGGAAACTGCTGGAACTTCCTGAAGATCACTCAATCTCCGAGGAAGACCTGCTTAATTTTCACATTGCTTCAGATCACCCCAATTCTCACTCATTCGAATATGAAGAGGGCGAGGAGGGCGAGGAGGGCGAGGATGGAGTCGATGCTGACGAGCTTGAACTCGACGAAGAAGAAGCCTTGAACGCGTCTCAGTTTGAAGAAAACGATGATGCATACCAAGTTGAAGAGGGTGACGATGCTGAGGGCGTTGACGAAGCTGAAGATGCTGAAGATGCTGAAGACGCCGAAGACGCGGAATTGACTGAGCATGTTGAGCTAGCAGAAGCTGAAGAAGCGGAGCCTGGTGAAGAAAATGAACAAGAACAAGGAACGCCCATCGCATCTGCGACCAACGGTGATAACAGCGAGGTTGATACCTCCAAAACTTCCAGCATCAGCTTTAAAATTGCGCCCCAGGCTCAAGGAAAACTGGATACGCTCGAATGGCTCTCAAATCCCAGAGGTGCATTCCCCGAAGACTTTCGCCGACGTTTGGCTACATGGCAGGAGTCAGATATCAAGAACCGCCTACCCAAAGTTTGGAACGTCCATAAGCCACAGATATTCTCAGATAGCTATGATCAGGATATGGCTAAAGTGGAAGCCACTTGGCAATACGTCTTTGGCGACAAGCCCAAGAAGAAGGATCTCTCGGAGCCACTGGCACGACCGGTCCCCTACAAAAACTCACAAGTTTCCAAGGGTCAGTTCCTCGAAATCAACCCCCTTGAGGAACTACTTGAAACACTCCGGAAGCCGGAGCTCCTTACACCCGATGAACTCTACGCAGCCACTGAAGCTGTTGCAGTCGTAATGAAGACATGGCAGGATGAATTCATTGCTCTTGATAAGCTCTACATCCGAACACACCGACACTACCGGGCCCCACTTCCCAGCGATGCAAAGCGGGAACAGCACGTCGGCCACAAGAAGCGGACGGGACAGCCGCTTGCCCGAGTCGCTGAGCATGAACGCGATTTTGAGGACAGAAAAGAATCAATGCTGTACGGGTACAAGCACAATTTCTTTGGCCACAACTTGAGCAATTCAGTTAGCTGGGTTCCCCAGAACCCATTTGTCCAAGGTGGTTTTGTCCCTACACCCGCGCAAGCTCGAAAGATGGCTACAAAAGTTGCCCCTGATGATCGTAACCCTGATGGCTGGGCACCCATTCTGCGGGATGGCGTGGAGTTCGTTCCCAAGCTGTGGGAGGCACGACGAGAGCCGGTGGTGAAGTTAACGCGCAAGCGTAAAGCTGTGGAGGTTGAACCTGCCAAGCTCGAGGAGGCTGAGGACACGCAGAATGAGTCTGAAATCGCAGAGGAGAGTGAGGAAGACGCCCGCCCCGTAAAGCGACGAACTCGAGGCCGTGGTGGTCGTCGTACGACACTCGATACCTATCAACCCTCGGAGGCTCCAACCTCAGCCCCCCGTGGTCGTGGCGGTTCCCGAGCCCGTGGTCGTGGTCGTGGTCGAGGAAGTGGCCGAACTACATCGGCTCGTGTATCCCTCGACGCTCCTCAATCTGGCACATTTGCCTCACCAACCTCTTATCGCGGCCGTGGCCGTCGGGGCGCGAGCATTGTGAGCTCAACGCAGACACACTCTATGGAGGGCACCCCTACGTCTCTGCCTAACATCTCTCCTATGCCAGAGGCAACTCCACCGCCGAAGGCCGCATCTACGAAGCGAGACGCCACAGCCGAGGAAATGGAAGAGGCTCGTCGACTGAAGATCGCTAACTCCAAGAACCCCAAGCGCACCAAGGCCATGTTGGATCATTGGGAACGATTCAATCGCGAGGGTCGCATTCGCAATCCGAAGCGGTCAAAGGCGCAAATAGAATCAGACCGACAAGACGATCCTATCAAGTCTGAAGTCTTGCCTCGCGCCCCTGGCCGACGCCGGAAGTCTCCATCTCTCGCACCCATTTCGAATGGGAACCTGGCCCCGAAGGCCCCAGTTGGGGCCCCCATGACCAGTCACATGGGACCTGGGCCTACGTTACCGCCGCTTGGAATGCCACAGTACGCGCCTCCCAATCCGTACGCTCAACCACCACCCAATGTGCCGATAGGGCAGCAGTTGCCCCCCCAGTATGCGCCATTCCCCTATGTTCCTTATGCCATGAGCCACATGCAGGGTCCTCCCCCAGGCTCTCATCCCGCTTCTCATCCGGCTCCCCATCCGGCTTCCCATCCAGGTATGCATCCTGGCCCTCATCCGGGCCCGCATCCTGGCCCGCATCCTGGCCCGCATCCTGGCCCGCATCCTGGCCCACATGATCATCTCCACCACCGTCGTGCTGTTTGATTGTGGGGGAAAGGCTCCGGCTTTCAATATCCGCAATTACACACGTGGCTACTTGTGTATGTAGCATGGCAAAGATAAAGACGACCAAAGTGCACCGTCTGTTGTGGTAGCAGTGCAGTCATCTTAGTCTGCTCAGAGACACATCTGCAGCAGTCTCAACTTCAACAGCCCATCTTCATTCTTCTGCATTTGGTGATAGATTGGCCTCACAATGATGTCTCACTGGAACGATCCAGGTGACTTCAGTGTTACATTCAAGTATTTTGACCAAGTTCTTTCTTTTCGCCTTTGTTTGGGTTGTTCTATACTGGAAAGTTTTGCGGGTTGGCGTTCTGGAAAGGGTTTCCGGGTTTCAGGTTGGGGGTTTCAAGCACAAAAGGGACTTGTACATTTTAATGGGAAGCTGCTTGTCTTAGGACTGGTCTGTTCTCGGCAGCTAGCAAGGCGTGTATTCTACTGGATTTCTGTGTATGATAGGGCATTGAGCAACTTGACAATATTATTGCCTGAGGCATCAAAATATGGCACGTGTAAATTCTCATGTAGTCAGACCGCCCTGGGGCAGTTCGCTTCATCTTCAGCTCAACGTCTTCGTCAACGACCCCTCATCTCGAATTGTCCCTGCTTCCCTACTATCCTTCTATCTTTTTCTAGGGATATTTATTCTCATACGATAAATCCTTCATTATGGGAAAGAAGAGACGCGGTCCCTCCTTGGAAGAACTGCTGGCTCGTCCTTGGTGCTACTACTGTGAGCGTGACTTTGATGACCTGAAGATTCTGACCTTGCATCAAAAAGCCAAGCACTTTAAGTGTGAGCGATGTGGTCGCCGACTGAACACCGCCGGAGGTAAGCTTACACCCGCGCAGATGACTCTAAGGGAACGCGACATTGACATAGCGCGACCTAGGATTGTCGGTGCACATGAGTCAAGTCCACAAGGAACAGCTCACAGAAATCGAGAATGCGCTACCCAACCGCGCAGGCCTTGATTATGAAATTTTCGGCATGGAAGGAATACCCGACGATGTTCTGCAGGCCCACCACCAGCGTGTTGCCACTCAGTTCCAGCAGGCCGAAGTTGAGCGACAAGTGGCCACAGGCAACCCCCCGGCAGGAGGTAGCTCAGGTGGTCCAGCGGCCAAGAAGCCCAAGCTGGAACCTGTGTCAGACCTCAAGAAGCGATTGGCAGAACATCGGGCCAAGCGCGCAGATGGAGCTGCTGGCGGCAGCAGTGGAGAAGCAACCCCTGTGGGTGCTGGACTGACCCCGTCTGCATCAACACCGGGTACCTATGTAAGTCTTACTTTACTGGAGTAGAATGACGTCAGAACTAACATGACCTTAGGGACAATCTCCGACTGCACCTGTGCCTGGAGCATCGCCATTGCCTACACAAATTCCTTCACAGCCATACACTTATACCGAACCCTATGCTCTACATGGAGCCCCCCCTCCTGTTGCCCCCTATCAGCAGATCGCCAGTCCAGGGTTCCCACCGTTTTCTCCAACCGGCATACAGCCAGGCCCTGGGTCTATGGGTTATAATGCGACTGGATACTCACCTCAACCGTTCTCTGGCCCGCCTGGTTATGGCGCTCCTTCTCCTGCTTACCCCTCACAACAATCTACACCAACCGAAAGTACACCTCCTCGCCCTGGCAGCTTGCCAATTCCCTCCGGTCTCCCACAACGCCCGGCCTTTGCTGCCCCGCCGGTCAATGCACAGCAGATGCAACAGATGCACATGGGCCACCCAATGGCTCAGCCTCCGGTGCCCAGCTATTCCAATGGCGATGCTGCGCGGGCAACCCCGCCAATTCCATCGGTAAACGATACTCCGGGCGCGACGAACGACGTAACAGAAAAGCCAGCAGATGGAACGGACAAACCCAGTAAGAAGGACAAAGCGAAACCAACACGCATGATTTACTCGGATCAAACGGTCAGCCCCGAAGAGAAGATGGCCCAGATTCCTCGTTATGCATTCTCGCGCGATCGGTTCACGCAGGAAACAGTACTAGGCGAGATCCCCGATGCGACGGTTACGGGAACGATCCGCGACCAAGATACAGTTGTCGATCCGGCTCATTAAACCTCTCAATTTCGATCCCGCGATGAGACGTGATGATGTTTGAGGACGGACAACGGAATCCAGCTAAGTTCGACACATACTCTAGCGACACATGAGCATTTCCATTTGGCTGGCTTTCTTCTGTTACCTGCCCTGATCCATCAGTAGTTCTGGCGAACAACCCTTCCAACCAAACAAGGGGAAACAAGTTTGTCCCTTGCGCGATATGTTCGATGATTCTCGTGAGTCCTGTCGCTTCACAGGCCTTTCCCGCTAATCAGGGTCAATGCTAGCGGGTTGGCTATGAAGGATTTGACCGTACGTCCCTGCCCTGACTGTTTCTCCCTTCCATGTTCCCTCATGGCTCCGAGCTATGGGGGCTCAACCATTTTTGCCTATTAGGTTTGACGATGCCATTGCATTCGGATGTAAGTTTTTCTTTTTATTAGCGTTTCAGGTAGGAAATGAACCAATTTCAGAATGTCGTACAATTTCCATATCCTCTACGAAATGCCCGAGCAGCCTTTAGCTCTTGATGGAACCAATAGATCCAAATCCTAGTCAATTGACAGAGTAGAGTATTTCGCTGGAAACAAAACTAGAAGACATCACACCACACATCATACGAGTTCCAGCATCAAATAGAGCTCAAACTTAAGGTAGTATCCAGACCGCACGACCCACTCAATCATACGATCTCCGCAATCCGAAGCTGCGTAGACACTTGCAAAGGAAAGGACCTAAGCCCTCTTCTCCTTGGTCGCAAGACCGAAAACAACAACACCATACGTAGCCAACAAAGAAAGTCCAACGGGAACAGCCTTTCCACCCGTCTTAATCGCACGAGGAATGGAGCTTCCACCCAACACAGTCGAAGCAAGGAGACCGAGCTCCTCGCCATATGCCTGGCCTTCGCGAAGCTGGTAGTATGACAGAGCGTAGATCGCGCCTACGGAGAGACCGGCCGCGATTGAGGGGATGGAACCTGTGCGGGCGTAGCCGATTGCGCCGCCGAGGGAGGTTAGGAGGGAGAGGGTGAAAGCGGAGGTTGTGGGAGATTGGGTGGACTATAATCGAAGCTTTAGTGGGTTGAAATCATTGCATTTTGATTCGATATTGGGGTTTACCATTTTGAGGGCTGGTTGTGTTATGGTTTGGGTGGAATGTTGGTGTTTGGAGGGTAGATGTAGCTGGCCAGTGAGCGGGAGATGTTAGTCAGATGACGTGAGATGGTATGGGCCGATCTCGAACTATAGAACTATACGCGTGGATAACTTCCGTTACATATGTTACGTGGATTACGTGGAAATAGTTGATTTAAATTAACGCATTAAATAATCTCAATATAATAGATATTATGCTGGTTCAAGTATGTATAAACAAAATCTCATTCATGTATTCATATCATTCTTTTGTGCAGTCTGTATACATTAACATTCTATCATGACTTGGTAGACTCACCTAGAGTCCTTGCCTGATGATCTATCCTCAAATACTTTTAGTCCGTAGCTTTCATAGCTTCATGGAAATGCATCTCAATCTGTGACCATCATTCAGCATGCTCATCATCCAACTCAGTTTTAATCATCCCGAGCACCCTTCACATCAATCTGTTTCGACACACTCAAGGCCCCATACCCACCAGCAGAGACTTCCTGTTCGTCTTGCTCAGTGTCTCCCTCTTCCTCTACCACGTCCCGATGGGGGCCATCTTGCTCCACAATCCAAAAAGCAGGAACAACACTCCACAGCGCTAACGCGCTCAATAACCACCATGGGATAATCACATACCCTCTCTTCACACCATAGGAGAAGGCAGAGCCAATAATCGCGGGGCCTGCCGCACGACCCAGGGCACTAACACTCGTTGAGACTCCATTCAACGTACCAAGAACAGACATGCTTGAAGCCGAGTTCGTGAGCAGGATTGTCGAGCAGGGAATACCGAAAACTGTTGTGCCAAGTTTAGCGAGCATAATTAGGAGCACGGCTGATAGCCTAAAGGGCTCTGGGACGAGAACTGTAAATGGCGTGAGGAAGAAGATGATCGGTTGGGCGATGGCGGCCAATTTGAAGCAGCGGAGGATACCGAGGTGCTTGGCGATTGGTGGGAAGGCAAAAAATTGAATGACCATGCCAACTGCGCCAATCATTGTGTAGTAAATGCCGATTGTTTGGGAGTCTGGCGTTGGTCAGTTTAGGAACTATAAAGTATGTGGTCTCCTACTTACCAACACCGAATCCACCTGCAAACTTGAACGGTAGTTGAACATCTGGGTTATTGTTCAAGTCTTGAACGGGATAGTTGAGGAATACGGGGAATACGGCATCGAACGCCATCCCAAGTCCGGACATTAGTGTGTATGAAGTCAAGATCAGACATGACTGTGGCGTGAAGACCTGTGACCAGCTAGGCCGAACAACGGGCACCGTTTCCTTGTGCTTGCGAGGAAGCAAAGTAGCTCGCTCCTCATCCAAAGCCTTCGCCTCTGCACTCCGCTTATTCCGCGAGGTACATGGCCGAGTAAGTGCCTTTCCAAGCTCAAGACCATAATCGCGTTGATGTCTCCTAGTAATATGGGTTTCCTGCATAAACCATTAGCAATAACATTCATATCCATCCGGTTTCTCATTCTCACCCGCAAGAACAGAATGCCATTCAAGATTCCAACAATAAAGAAGCAAGCTGAGACAAGGTTCGGCAATGCAAACGGATACTTCTTCAGAAACTCCGAGCCCCCAAAAAGCCCGGGAAATTTCTCCGCAGGCCGCGCCAAGGCACCTCCAAATGCTGGACCAAAGATACTCCCGATCGTCCATACTAGCGGCATGATACTAAAAGCCCGCGGTTGGAGCTCGCGCTCAGGCACAATCTCCGCAACCATGGTCCGGATAATACCCACGTTTCCGTTCATTAGACCGGCCAGTGCGCGTGTCACGAGTACCATGGTCAACGAAGAGGACATGCCGAGCAAGATAGACAGGATCATGGTGCAAAACAGGCCGCTGACAATTACCGGCTTGCGGCCTATATAGTCGGAGAAAGCGCCCCAGGGGACGGCCATGATAGCTTGACTCACGGAAGCGACCGCCGAGACAATGCCAGCCCATTTGGCGACTTCAGGCTTGGGGACACCGACATGTTGGATTAATTCCGGCTGTTGAGGCGTTAGTGAGTGTCTTCACGAGCGTTGTGGGCTGTATAGGCGGGTGTCGTCGCGGACTGGACTCGACTAGAAACGACTTTGCGCCAGTGGAGCAGGCGTGTTTAGACGGACTTACAAGGTACGGAAGAATAGACGTGAAGACAACTATTTCACAATAAAATCTCTTAGTAAATTTTCCTCACGCAACCGAGGTACGGCCCCAGCGGGGAAATAATAAGAGCCATGCACATACTGGGCTCAGCAAATCGACATATTGCTATAAGACTGTTAATAACAAAACAAACATGCCGAGATCCGGGGGAAAAACATACCCAATATCGCAAGCTGCTTAACCGGCAGACGAGGTTTCTGCATTCTTTCTACTAAGTCGGTACCGACACCGAGAGAAGAACCAAATCTATCCCTTCAAAAGCAACGAGAAAAAAAAGACGAGCTGAGAGGAAGGAGTAAGGAGTGAGAAGGCCGATTCGGATCCAGATCGGCACCGGTTCTACGTGACTGAAGCCCAAGAGGTCCGAGCCGCTAAGGGCCCCGCAATCGGACTTGGGGCCGCTATGTCCAATCGCGGTAGTCCGTGTCGGTGAGACGCCGGATCACGAGTACAGCTTTTGGGCTGTGTAATTTGGTAGACAATGTCATTGGTCCAATTGTTGATTTCGTGGTGGGTCTTTGACTTATTTCTAATCACAAGGGTTGCATTCTGTTTGGTTCGGCATTTGTTCCGCGATGTACTATACATGCTACGACTTCAACAGTAGCCTGTACGCTCCGTCCATTTACTCTGCAATATAGAGAGAGAGAGAGAGAGAGAGAGAGAGAGAGAGAGAGAGAGACAAGATTTGGGTTCGCATTTTCACTGCTAGTATGTAACATCCCGAAAAGGAAATATCAGTACAAAGATAGGTATCAAAAACTATCATATAACGCTGAAATGGACTCGACAGCAGGGTCTTAAACCAAAAACACCAAACAGAATATAAGCTACAGCGCGTCTCACAGTTAGTAATCATCCTCATCGACAGGCACGACGTCATCCAGCTGAGGGTTGAGTTTCTGTCCAATCTCGATACTCTGTCTCATAATCTCGCGCGCAGCGCTAGCGTGAACATTCATGTCTTCCCCAATAAGCCGAGTAGCAAGCTCAGGGACAATAACGGATTGTGCATATCCAACTACACCCATCTTAGCGACAAGGGAGTCATCTTTGGCTAGTCGGCGTAGCCTGACACCAAATCGCTCCATGACCGCATATAGCCTATACGGTCTTGTTAGAATTTGCATCAAAAATCACAAGGGTATCTCTTACATTTTCTGGGCACCTTTCGTCCCATAATACCCACAAGATATCACCTCGATACCATCGCCGTCAAGAGTAAGACGAAGATTTTTTCCAGCCTTCTGAGCACTCTCGAGGATATTACGATAGTAAGATGGTTCTTCTGGATCAAGATACTTGTCCATATCGGGGAAATATCCTTCTAAACGGTGTTCAAAGGTATCCCAGTTGATATCGGGGTACCCCTGCGCCTCCCATTCCTTCGTAGCGGTATCTTGCTTATGTGAAGCGCAGAAGCGTTGTTGTTCACGGAGGCGCTGCTTTGGCTGGGCCTGGAACTGTCTGAGAATCTCTGGATCCACTTCGGCATTACACATAGGACATAATGCCTTGCGTGGCGGTGATGGTGATCTTCTATCGGCGCCTGACTCAAAGCCTGTTTCTCGCTGCATAGCGTCCATAATAGATGAAGACGGGGAGCTGAGGGGAGTGGAAAGTGAAGAATCAGATGAAAGGTCAATAGCGTTGAGTTGAATATCTCGGGAGGAGGCACCAAGCGAAGATGCAGGGAAGGGGTCGGTTTGAATAGCTGGTGGCATTTTGAATTGTGGTGAAGGGGCCTTCTTCACCTCGGTGCTGGACTTTGCCTTCTTCGGACTGGGCGCATGGATATGCATGGGAACTTTGAAGCCCACCTCCGGGTCTGATTCGGACGATGAATCTCCCTTTTTGCTTTTGCTTTTGCCCTTCTTGGTTGACGATTGCGCAGAGTCGGCTTTGGACTTTTGAGGAGTCCTCCCTGGCGTTACGACTGAACGCGCGCTCGAGCTGGGGATGCTGGAAAAAGACGTGGATTTAGATTTCGATCCATAACCGGTCTGTCTCGCCCGCTTATAGCTTGTCTGCGACGAGAGCGAGAAGTACGGGTTGTCATCATCGTCATCAGCAGTCATCACACTCGAGGTCCGTCCTAAAGGCTTCCTTGTAGATGTATTTCGTTTGGCCGAGTTGTGGGTGTTGGAAGGTAACGAAGATCCATTGCTGGTGCCAGCTGCAAGTTTTTCTCCCAGAACTTGTCTCTTTGTATTATCTTTCAAGCGCTGAGGTGCGTCAGAGTCACTCGAGTCAGCATCGGTGGTGCTGAGGGGCTCTGCGTCTATTGAAGGTTCGCGAACGTTTCGTGGCGTCTCGGTTTTGGGTGGATCAGGGAGCTTGTTGTCTTTCGATTCTGGCTTGTTGAAATTCGATAAAAGGTGCCCACCCCTCAGTTGAGTGGTCCTTGTTAATCGGTTCGAGGCATAACTAGCATCTCGATGGGGCCTCATTATACGAAGAGACGAAGGTGGGAGTCCGAAGTGCGGAGTGCGGAGGGAGAATGGAGACGTTCCGTGGTTTATGCTCCGACTAGTGCGCAACCTAGACTTGCAATTGTATTTGTCGCGGGATGAAATCCAGGAGATTACGAGCACTTAGGGTCAACCTTTGAGAGATTTGAGGGGATTGGGCTGGTAATGGAGGACGAGACAATGAAGATGAACAAAGAAGGGAACGCGTGACACGCGACTGGACGTGGAGGCCCCACTTTGATTCCGTTCTATACACCGTTGACCGAAAACTATACACTTGCGCCTGTATAAACAATGCTCTGATAAAAACAATTCTAAAGCTATGGTCTGTGACATGAATATAATAAAGGGGAAATTTTATAACAATCATTACTCAAATGTCATGGAGATCCCCCCGTCATCATGGTCATCGGCCCAGGCATTATGCTCCAGCGCCATAGCCCCGACCGCACTGCTTCCAACATTGCTGTTGGGCAGGCTAACGGTAGATCGTAATTCTGGGCGAGTAAGGGTATCAAATGAGTACTGGGGTGGTGGTTCATGGAACGAGGTATCAAAGGTCATTTCGAGCTCATCTTCCTTGTACGATGCAGATTCATGCGGAGGGTGAGACACAGTGTTCAACCCAGGTTCTGATGCTGTTCGAGTGACGGGGGGCGCTTCAAGAGTTTCGGGCTTGGGTTGTTCCTCCTTCGGTGTTGCGGGTTGAGAGGATTCAGGTCGAGGGTTCAAATCGAGCTTCATTGGAGGCAGGGTAGACTCCAGCTGCTTGACTTCGATAGCCTCGGAAGCCAGCTCAGCCCGAATAGCCTCGATATCGAAAAGTACAGTACCGGGGGCACTGTTAGGCTCAGTCGAGCCACGCAGCGGAGAGTTGCGGTCAACATCATATGTCTCCCATGCCTTTTTCTCCGCCATCTTGCCTCGCTTGAAGAGGCCAAAGCGCTTCTTCTCTGGTTTCTGCTCGGCTTCTCGACGAGCCTCGTCGATCTCGCGGATCAGCTCTCTCTGTCGCTCGGCATGACTATCTGGATCAGGGTCTTCGATCTCGGCGAATTCGTCCTCAAGAACCTCGAAGCCCACCTCCCTTAATATACGAGGCATGGCAGCTCGATAGTCCATATGACCGTTCACAAGCTCTGTTAGATTGAAATTCTCAATCCCGGGAATACCTTCAATGGGCGCGAGACCAGACACACGCATGACACCACCACTTGTGGCCCGGAAGAGGTATCCAAGAATCCAGTCGTTCCTAGAGTATCCGTTCACAAACCGACCAGATACAACACTGCGGGCTTTCAGATAATCATCTTTACTAGCCACAATTGGGGACCCAAACAGATACACGTTCTGAATTAGTCCATGGGCACCCTTGTCCGAAAGTTCCTTGAGACAAGAGAAAATGACTCTTGCACCCAATGAGAACCCAAGTAGCGTAATGGGCCGGTTTCCAAGGTTCCGGTCCTGCAAAGAATCCGCCATGATCAGGCCTGCGAAGTGAGCGCGTGACAAGGAGACGTTCCAGGGGTTGTCGATGAGATAGGCGAGTTTCGTAAGAACAAGTGGTAGTTGCAAAGAGGCCATTAGAGCCATCAGAACAGTACTACCGAGTACTTGTTGGAGACCTGTGGCCAACGCCTGGAGGATTCAAAATGATCAGCACTCAACCAATAAGAATGGTGGAGGTCAACTTTTAGATTCAACTCACCTCTGTCGCAAGAATGTTAATTGTGTCACCCATGCTACGCAGCATCTCAGGTTCCCAGAGAACGGAATAAATATCACCCATGATCGGATCGACAGTACTGTACGGGAGCCGGACATCATCGACCTTGCCAGTCATCCAGCCAGAGACCGTCACAATAAGATTAAGCTTCTTATTATTGTGAAGAGGACGGTATTCGAATGTTTGGACCGCTCCTGTACGCCGATGTGAAGCCTTGAGACCAATGACGCTTCCACCCACACTAGCACCGGAGGCAATCAAAGCAGTACCGCCAACGCCTCCCAAGAATGCACTGGTTCCGGAAATTCCCACGGTAGTCAAACCTGCAGCAAGACCGGCTCCAATCACTGGAGCCAGCAGTCCAGCGGAGAGGCCAATAACAAGTCCACCACCGACCGTCGCCAAGCCCATGAGCATATACTTGCGCTTTCGCGACATCTGCCGGCGATTCTCCATATGCTCCGACTCATCCCAGGTCTCTTTATCTGCTTGTTCTTGCATTTCTAGAGCATCAGTCACTCGCTTCTCAAATCGAGAGATCTGTAACCACGTCACCTCCATGGCTGCTCCCACTCTTTCCAACAAAGTTCGTGACCGAGCATCGTAGGCGGAATCTGCAATGAGCACGAGGAATAAATCACACAGAACTGTCCAACGAAGATCAATGTCAATTCGATCGGAAGTCGGCATCTGAGATGGCGTTTGGACTTCAGGGACTATCCCCTCGCCTTCATGTGCCTCGTATGGAGGTGGGGAGCCGGGTTCGGAATAATTTGCAGTCTCGGAAGAGAATCTGTTTCGGGGGTCTGATTTGGAGGTTGGAGATGAAACTGAAGAGGTTGAGGGTCGTGTATCGCTCTCGGCCATTGGGTTCTTGACCCGTGCATTTTGCATGAGAGGCCTGATAAGGTCCTCAGGTTGAACGCCATGTCCGGCAAGCTGTTCAATCATGATCTGCTCAGCCGTATTGATATCCATATGAGCATATAATCTCCCCATCATTGCTTGTCCCCACTTCCTCATGTTGTCGCGAGCTTTCTGTAGCGCTTTGCGTGTGCCCTTCGTGGTGGGCATCTCAGCCAATTCGGAATTCATTTTATGAATTGCCAGTCTGACCACACCAACATAAGCAATTTTTTGAGTTTCGTTGAGGAAGTCCTTAGTGGCTTGTAGTTGGCTCATGGTATCACGAAGTTCCTCGCCTTCGAGGCCAGCCTGGTTGCCTCCAGTCTCTCGGAAAAGGTAGCTTGTGTCCTCATCCAAACTAGTGGCAGACTGAGCATCTTCATCCAGCTGGACTCGAGTATAGCCTTTTCCAGCACCACCGAGTCCTTGGTAAACAGCTTCATCGTCCTCCTCTTGAGCACCGCGTGCAATCAATCTTCCATAGTCATCGTAGTAGTCGAATTCCCCAAGGGCTGGCATTGCTTGCCAATCTTCGGGTTCCTCTTCGTCGTCGCTCTCAGCATGTGCCTCCACGGGTTGGGCCAGATGCATGTGTGACCATTCTGAAATCTCAGCAGTCCTGGACTTAGACACTGATGTCCGAGACGTAGCTGGCTCGGCCGAGGCTCCCGCAGCAGACTTCTCCACGGGTGTGGTGTCAGATTGAGTTTCCGCCTTGATGTCCGACGGTGCTCGTTGTTCCGCCACGCCGAGCGTTCCAGTTGCAGCTTCAGCCTTGGTTTCCGGTGCTGCCTCGGCTAGCTTTTCTGCCTCTGTGTCTTGTTTCGGCTGTATATCGGATTTTGTATTCGGATTGTCGGTCAAGGGCTGGACCGCTTTGGCTTCAGAACCATCGCCTGCATTCTCGGGGGAGCCGTCGGGGGGCCGTTCAGGCGTTGAGCGCGTTCGAATAGGGAGGCCAAAATCATCGAAATCTCCCGTCTCTTTCGAACCCTGTCCAATTTCTTGCGCTTTCGCTTTCACCTCCTCCTGGGGCTTTATGTCCTCTTCTGCGCCATCTGTGGTATCTTCGGAGGGGCGCCCGCAGCGGGCTGCGGCGGGTTCGACGGAGAGGTTGCAGGGGGTGTAGACTGGCCGTCGGTGCCGCTAATGGTGACACCTGCAGGCATGATTTCACATAGACCAAAGGCCCTTTGGAGCTTCGAATTCAGTCGGGGGCTTGCAGGCTTTTAAGATCCTGATTCGTGGTGTTGCTGCTTCCTCGCACGTTCCTTGGACGAACTTGAGCGGTCTCCCATTCGGCCCCAAGCTTGAACTTCTGCAACTCTTGGGCGTTCTCTATATTTTTCAGTTCGCCCTGTTCCCGATACTAGACCCCGTGGTGGTCATCGGACTGGGGAATCTCCGCGTATGACGATCGTTGGCCACGCGGAAAAAAGGAGGTCGCGAGGGGCGGAGAGCATGCGGCGGGGAATCACACCACTGACGTACCACCTTGAATCTTGGGTGCTCAATGATCAGAACTGAATGGAAAAATAAGAGTTCAACAACCAACAAAGCACTGGAAAATGAAATTTACAATTGTCAGATGTCGAATCCACCCCGTCAAAACCAAGATTGGGAATTATACGGAAGCGGAAGTGTTCAGCTTGTGGAATGCTGTAGCACAGCCTTTGAACCAACTGTAGAACTGGCCTCAATGAAAACAGCGAAAGAATCTTGATTAGTTGAAGATTGGCTTATCAAATAAGACACTCTGGTGAGTCTAGTAGAGGGAACTCGGGGTAGTAATGTTATCAACCTTGGAGGTACATCCCCAGCCCCCAGGTATCTATTACTCCTACTAGGCTACCCCAGAGCTTGATCATATGCACTTGCTCCAATACCTAATTTGGGCGTGGTATAAGATTAATCAAGTAATGCTGAGCCGATTTCTTCTTACCTAACATTGACATGTTCGTGTACATGGCTCAAATTAGGCGTGTGTATACGTTTGGGGGTAGAGGGGATGGCCTACAAGTCCCTATCCAATAGCTAGGGAAGATATCTACATACAAGCGAGCCTTCGGTGATGACCTAACCACGAAATCTAAGATCTTTCATGATCTATAATTGTCAAGGGACTTCCATCGTTCGCAAGTATCTGTCGCAAATCAAATCCGATCGCTAGGTCATTACCCTCCTCTTCTGCCTCACGAAAGCCAGGAGCATAGTCATTCACTCAATCGACTTCATCACCCTGGTAGATCTCCACAAGTGGCTTCCGCATATCGACCCTAAGCACCGATTAGTATATAAATCCCCCAAACTAAGAGCAAAAAGACTCACGGCTCACCCTCTAAGATAAACTTTGGATCCCTGTTCTCATCAAGATCAGGGTATCCTTTCTCAATCTACTGCAACGCGAGCAGTATCGACCTCTGATTGCCAGGACCAATGTCACGATAATACTCGGCATGTTCCGCCGACATAATTTGGGCCCAGTAGGCTGTTTTATAGATACCGTTCGTTTCGAACTGAACCCAAAGCCCCAGTTCTGTCTCCAGGGTTCGGTCATCAATAATCGGCTTGCGATAACAATCCCTGAAAAGCACCGTTTCATCAAGCGCCATATGCATATCGAGAAAATCGGGCCGGGCGACGCTTTGCTGGAGCTGGAAAGTGTCGAGAATATCGCCTTGATTCCCTCCCAAGGGCAAAAACATCACAATTCCGGATGCTAGAAATTCCCAACCATCCTCCCATGGGAATAAACCCAAGTTACACTTAGTCAGTAGGGCTTGTTTACCTTCGTTTAATTCAGTGATATAGATGTAGACCATGCAGGAACCTTCAACGTCACTTCTAATGAAAGACTCGTCCTATTCTCGGATCAATATCAGAATCGGAAAAGCAGGGGATGTTGCTTACTTTAAGTTCCGGGCCTTCGAAATAACTAGGCTCGTCCTCTGGTGCTCGAGATTGATAGCCCTATTGCGGGGTCGGTAGAAAACCCCACAAAAATCTTTATTTAATCAAGTCATGCATCTCGGAATTCTTGGTCTGCTGTCGCCCATTCTTCGATCAGGTCTCGTTTCTGTTGATCTGCGGTGTCGCCGCCGACCCACCGCTCACGAGCAAAATACCTCCATGCACGAGTGGTGGCACCGAGACTGTCCCAATCGACATGTTCTTCGTGTCGGCGAATAACTGAGGGGATACCTTCAGGCCACTGGCTATGCGACCTTTTGAGGGACATGCTTGAATGGTGTGGTGGGAGTTGTGAGGGTGAAAAGAGGTGACGAACGCTCAAGTTTGATGATGGCACTCAATGACACTCTTAAGCCTTGAGGACATGGAACGGTTATTTCCACTATCCGTATCTGTTTTTTTTCCCGCGTGCAATCTTGGAATCTGGACTATTAGCGTGGTGTTAGTGGTCCGGAGCCCGGAGATACAGGGTTCTTTGACTTCTAAGGTTTTCGTATGGATCCAACCTTCTGAGGTTAGCGTGCTATAGTGACTCCCTCTAGTACTTGAGGGCTATATACTAGTTTTCGGTCTAGTACCCGGGGACACACTTGAAACATTTGAAGGCTTAGCGTATTTACAAGTATGAACAACAAAACTACAAAAATTTGAAGGGAAATCAAACAGGTGATTCGCAGAATTGAAATCTCCAATATATGCGGCAAAATATTCCAAAGAAGCTGATTTTACCACTCGGTCCTGGAATATTCTTCAGATCAGAGATTCATGATAAAGGTGCTGACTGAATACGAACTTTGGGATGAGCGAACAATGCGTCGATCCGTGTTCCCGCGACTGGTTGATCGAGGCAGTGCTGGGCGGCTTTTGCCCGGGTTTTCTTCAACGAAGTGAAGCATGCTTACTCCACTAACGCTACGTATCCTCATGATTGGCTACTTTGTTCTTCTTCAGACTAATCAGACCAACCAGAGGCTATATAGATGAGCATGGCGTCAGAGAGCCGAGCCTTGCTTTGCTGACGGGCGTCGAGTCACTTGATAGGCATAGCATTGCGGCTCAACGCCAAGGTCTAATAGGTCCAGGATTGCGGGAATGCATATCATGTTTGGCTGTGGCAACTTGTCCTGAAATAACCCATCGACTCCTCACTCCTCCAACCTCCACTCCGCTAACGCCGTTGCCTCTACCTCCAACCATTTTGATCTGAGACATATTAGCACATCTTCAACTGCCCTCCGTAATGACAATGGTCCAGGGTAAGAGCCCTGACTGATTTTCTGAACGCTTCCCCGCCTTCTGAAGTTGCTAACTCAGAAACTCTAATGACAGGTGCCGAGGCATCAATCATTCGAATTGCAGGTGCGGGGCTTCGCCTCTCCTTACTTCTCAACGCAGCAGCATGTCAACTGGCACAGTCAAGAATAGAGATTCACAGTATTGCAAAAGGAATTTCACTTTTTGCTTTAACTCTGAAAGATGTGGCGCAGAAATTGGACGCGACGAACCTGGAACTCTCCCCCGAAGTGTCAGGCAAGGCCTGGGAGATTGCATACCAAGGCCAGGCAACGTTTGTCGAAATTGAACACATGTTGGATAAACTACAGGGCACCGATGCAGATGATGATCTGAGACGGCTTCCGATGCAAGAGCGGCTGAAATGCTGTTTCAGAAAACAACACGTCACGTATCTGTTGGCGTCCCTCGAATCTTTGAAGCTCAGTTTAATAGTTATCACACGGATTCTGCAATTGGCATATGTCATACATTCGAAAACTAGTTTGGCAAGCCCAAACGATCTCGTGGCAGATGATATTATCGCCCAAGAGAAGGCAGAAACTCAGAACATGATCATTATTCGATATTGGTCGACAAAACGGTTGGACCGCTTGTGGGACATGGTGGAGCAAGAAGCTGTGGACGCTGTCAATGATCCGACCAGCCAAAGGATAAATTTCAACTACTCTTCCAACACAGCACAAGTAAGGCTGCCAATCGCGGGGACGACTGGTTCTGGCCTCACCAAGCTCCCAGTGGTAACTTTTGGAGATATCGATGTTGGGTTGAGTGATGTTGAGCGCTCTCCAAAGGATATGGTACATCTCTCGGAGAGGGCAATGAACCGGCTGTTGCTGCTTTGGGCTCCGCCGATGAGTTTGGAGCTGCAAGATACCAGCATAATCGCTCGTGGTGTCGAGCCCAGCCGGCCCCAAGTCTATGTCTCCTCTGACAGCGAGGAAGATATCGAAGATCAATTTCCTCAGGGTCCTGGTGTTCGTGGTTATTACCTGGAAGGTAATACCACAGACTGGCGAAAGCCCCAGTCACAGCAAGCCCGTTACGAGGCTGCTCGTCTGCGCCAGCATTATTCAGACTACCAGGCCCACGTGGAAAGTGAAGCCGATACCGAAGGTCTGCATCGGCAAGACTCCACTCCGAAATCTCGGACAGCGCCTCCGAGTGAAGAAGGCGAGCAGGGACCTCCTTCACGCCAGTCATCTGGCTCTGGCAGCGTCAATGGAGGACGGAACCTTTCTCACAGCTTTACATCTGGATATGCACCCCCCCCATATCATAATCCCGATCCCAAGCATGTAGGCTTTACCAGTGGAAGCTTTCCACCGCCAGATCAAGCCACCCCTCGCTCTCGAGCGTCGTCATATCTTCAACCTAGTTCACCAAGCAGCCCGGGATACCCTCCACAAACACAGCGAGGCTTCTCTAACCAGGAATACTATGCGAGTGCCCCGAGATCCATCCCAGTAAATCCGAGGCCCACAATACCCCCACCCACTTCTATGCCTGGTTATTCACCCCGAGGAACTCCCCCAAGTCCGTCCGAACCCCCGTGGCCCAGGTCACAAGGATATAATAACGGCATACCAAAAGCTCGGCAGCCTCAACACCCTTACCCACTTTCATCGTCCTCCCCGGAGGCTAATTTTCAAGCACCTCCGCGTTCCAGCCAGCGGTCTCCGACTCACTCCCGTCGTTCGTCACGGGAAGAAACCAAGGACCGCAACAAAGATTTAAAGCGTAGTGCGACTAGGGGACTAGCAGGGATCGGTGCCATTGCTGGATTTATGGACGCATTGGAAGCATTTGAATTTCTCTAAGCTGTCTTTACGTCTTTCTTACTTCAGATAATGTGTCTTCTGATTGGATAGCTGGCATAATGGGTACCTTGTGGTTTTGCGAAATTGCGCACGCTAGATCGTTCACCAACAAACTTCTACGTGTATTAGGTACTTTGTAACACCGTATTCATAGTATATTTTTTCGACCCGAGAATCTTTTGGGACTTGAACGACCCTTACATATATATTTCGTGTGGAATAGGAGTAGAAGATACAGTATAGTAGAAATTTGAGTATATTTAGGAGTGACCGCATTTTCCGAACAAGAGATAGACCCGCTTTCTGAAAGAAGGAATCATATCCGAGTACGTCGGTATCGACTGAACATCCCATAGATATGTAGTCATCAAAAAGCTTGGCACAAAGAGTAGTCACTTTGAAGGGCATTTCTTCCACAGCTCGTGCTTTTAGGCTATATTTCCCTAGATTTTCGATGATTCATCGGACTGGATGTTCGGTCCGATCCACCGTTGTCACGCCGGAATTTCCGTTCCCTCCGAGACTCCGATTTCAAGGGTCTTGTACTACATCCGTGCTGTATTTTGGGGCTGACGGGCTGAATTGTGGGCTGGCTATGTGGTACTGGCTGACAATTTATTGAAAACTCTGGGTCTTTAACGGGGCTTTTCTTTCTTATAGCCGATGGTTCGCTGTGGGGGCTTAGTTCCTCCCTCGGCCTCTCTCTTTCTCTTTCTCTCTCTTTTGCTCTGATTCCGACCCAGGTATGCATCTTTTACTGCCTATGTGTGTCGTCTACCTGGGTACCTACCTGTACCTACCATGCTATCTTGGAGCTTCAGAGTGTCTGCCAGGATCATGTTAATTTAGGGGTGAATTATATTGACAATCATCATGCTCTGTCTCGTTTCCATCTATCTCCATTCCCGATGACCACCAATCGTTGCATGTATGTGCATGGACTGCTGATTCTGTGTGAGCAGAGATCACGTCTAGGTATATACACTTGATGAAAAGCAGAGCACCCCAACCGAATCAAAACTCAGGCAGAGGTGGCATGCCAAAAATGCTTCCGTCGGGTAGCCATCCATCTAGCTCCATGCTGGCGCCAGAAATTTGTTGAAATGGGAGCCTTGATGGATCAAACGCAAATTGCTGCGGGAGCGAAGCTGCCTGCTGGGAATACCCACCATTGAGAGACTGGAAGAATGGAGTTTGGTGACTCACATCGATAGGCCACATACCCGCGCCGCTCATAGCGACGTATCCATTATCGATCTTTGGCGCCATGTGTGATACACTCGGTGTCACGGGGAAGGCAGAGTCCGTATGTACAGCCGGATTATGTGAAGCCACCTGTGTCGAGGTCGTTCGTTCAGTGGGGTTTGATGAGTCCCCGCCAACCACCCTTGTTCTATTTGAGGAAGAGCCCGAATAGCGTTCCTCTAGGCGTTCGTACCAATCCCGGCTTTTGACTGCTATCACGTGGTACCACCGAGTGGGGATCTTATATTTACCACCACCGCTCGCCTCGGCCAGTTTATTGGACATCGCGTTGAGGTAATAGCTGGCATTCACAGTCTCGGGTGTGACGACTTCGCCGAGGGTACTAGTTCGTACCGAGAAATGGATCTTCAGTAACGAGGTCATTGCCATCGTGAACCGCGTGTACATCAGGTTCGGGAACCGACGCATCGTTTCTGCACTGCATGTCAAGAGGGCATCTAGGACCTCATGTGCTGCGTTCATCCATTTCACAGTGATATCGATGCGGATTACGCTCATTGGGATGGGATTTTGTAGATTGCCGTCTTGATCTAAGTTGGGGAGGGTAAAGTCTCGTCGCTTGACGGCGTCAGGATCTCGATAGCCTGCCCCTACGCTGAGTTCGTACATCGCCAGAATGGTGGATCGATATTCGAGGATTATGGGCACTGTGGACATTGAGGGTGAGTAAAACAACTCAACGGAAGCCTGGGATGAATTTATGAGCGTCTTACCTGTGAGCAAATTATTGGGAGTATTTTTTCTCCATAATTCCATTTGCTTATCGAACCATCGCAGCACGGCTTGAACTCGCGATTCAGTCAATGTCGACAAAGAGCTAGTGTCATCAAGACCAAATGAAGATAGGGATTCATCGGTGATCCGCTGCAGTTGGAACCACACAGCTAGACGTTGATCTGTCTGGTGAGGTGATTTCTCCAACATGAAAACGCACTCCGCCATCCAATCGTTGAACTGGAGCAAACTTGGTCGACGAGTCTTCATCCCAACACTGTTTCCAAAGTCAGATAGGTAAAAGGTGCTTCGGACTCCTAGTCACTCACGTGGAAGATAAATGGTAACATCCAAGAACAGCTCTAGCCTGTTCCGCCATAAGCTCATCGTGTGGGCCTGACCTTTTGCGATCAGGATTATTCTGCGTGGTGCGCCGTTTCGTCGCGAGTCCAATCTCCAGTGCCATCGTTGATGCGATGTGTGCATACTGGTAAAATTGCAGCTTCAATGGCGAACCCGGCGGGAAGTAAAAGATCATCATTAGCAAGAGTGCCTGCACCAGCTCTAGTGATTTTTCGCCCTCGATGAAGAACCGATCTGCATATAACCGGACCATCTCACGATTGAGAATGCCGGCTAAGTCTGCATCGATGGAGATCGCAGCTGCAGAAATCACAGAAAGGAAGAGCACCGGCGCTGTCTGTCGCAGCTGTGCTGCCGTAGTAGTTGGTGGAAGTATGACCAATGGGAAAATGGTTGACAGTTCATGAATGAAAAAAGCGACCAATTGCTCCGCATCTTCGAGAGAGATGATGCCACGATCGACAACATCGTCATCGCGGGGTCTGCTGGGCGCAGTGAGAAAATTGGCATGCAACCCTGACAGGGTCAGTGGCGCTGAGAGCGGTCCACTTCCATGCATTCCGGAGTTTGATGTGCCCAAAAATTCGGTAGAGTAGTCCATGAAACGGGAGGAGTCAGAAGTGCCCCCGGCGGAGTCCGGGATGGACCCCAAGGCACCCTGATAATCCATATCGCCAGACTCGTTGTCTTGAGAATTATCGCTGGCATCAGAAGATTCGGGCTCGCTTTCTTCGCGAATCTTATCTTTGATCAGAGTGCGCATCAAACGCATCTCCTTCTCCAGTTGAGCGACCCGGGAGTCAGTGCGTTTACGCGGCCGCCGCCTTTGTGGTGCTACAAAGGTGCAGGCCTTGTTGCCTTTGGCACATCGTTGACATTGGCTTGGTGTGGTTGGGTTGGGGAGACAGCGAACTTTGAGGTTTCTGCAAGATTCACAGGACCGGTTGAGCGATTGTTGCGGTGTGGCCTGAACTGGGCTTGTATCACCATGGGGAGTGGAGGACTCAGACATGCTGACACAGTAGGGCGTGAGAGGAGAAAGAGAGTAGTATGCGCTAGAAGGAAAACTGAAGATTCCAGCAGCGCCGAGGATTTGCAATGCACAGCAAAGCAAGGTAAGAATTCAAGATCAAGACCGTTTTATTCCGCGGGGTGATCTCGACTCATCATAACGACTGCAGGGAATGGATTTGTCGAAGAGGACATGTGGACACTAACTGCCACACCAAGAAAAAACGAAAAGGAACACAGAGAGAATCGGCGATTGACAGCAATCTTCACAAGGGATCATAGATGTCGCAGATCTCAGCAGCACGGCCTCTTCCGCGCAGAAGACGATGATAGTAGTGTGAACGGGCAAAATCCAGCCGGTCTTGGCTAAAAGCATGTGCACAGTCGCCAATTGCATCCAAAGGCCGAAGCTTAAAGTCCAAAAAAGTTAGGTAAGTTAGACAAGTTGGCAATATGTGAGGTCGACTGGACAGTGGCCTGTTCCCACTTTGATGCGATCCACTTAAACTGCCACCCTTTGCGCTATGCGGTGGCTGTGAGAGGCTCTGTATGGGGGAACCGAGGTGTTGTGTGGCAATCTTTCAACTCAAAAATCCGGGGTCCAACGGGCCGGCGCTAGATTAGGGAGGAACAGGCACCAACCGACAGTGCTGTAAATCCGAGATGGTTGGAGTTGCGAATGAGAAGTCGACACCAGATAAACCTGACGAATCAGGCCCAGTTATCCCCAAACACCCCGCAAAATAAACTGATTTCATTGGCTAGAAATTCTCCAGGGCTGACGGGCCCGGCCGGCTACCCCAATTTGGGTCTAAGCCTTAGTCAACACTCTCGCTGTTGATTGCCTAGGAAATTCGGGCGTCGGGGTATTCGGCTTATGACAGCATAAGACTCCGGGATATTCACTATTGACCGCTGAATACCCAAAATAATAAATATCACATTGGAGAAACCTGTGATGCGCCCGGTATATTCGAAAATCACCGTAGGAGCGGAAATTTCAGTATATAATCTAGTATGCACGCTGATAATTCTCGAATTTGAAATTTGCCATCAGTCTCATATCCTAGCTTTCCAAAAAGATCTACACGTGAGAGATAAAATGAACGTGACGCACTTGATAGAAACACTCAACGCCACGGCCAAGACTCTCCCGAGTCTGCAAGAGTCGGAACGTCGTCAACTGTTACAAGCATGTGATGAACTGAAGACAAAACTGGAAACACCTTTTGATCTGGCTTCTCGTCTCGTATTCTCGGTATGTCGTATAAATCTATATAGGCTAAGTACCTGGGTACCTACCAAGATCTAACAGGACAAATAGGGTCACCAAGCGATAGCCCTGAGATTGGGTGTCGATCTGAAATTGTTCGACGCGATCGCTGCCAGAGCGGGTCGGTCCAATGGATCAGTCAACATTTATGAGCTTGCGGAGGAAACTAGTGCAGAGCCACTGCTAATTGGTCAGTTTTCTGGCACTTCAAACCATGCTCACCAGCCAAATATTGACCATCATAGTGCGCATAATGCGATTCCTGACTGTCATGTCCGTGGTTGAGGAAGTATGTCCAGGTTCATATAAACCAACCTCGTTGGCTGCTGCGCTGGTATCGAGTTCTCCTTTGTCGGCTGCCATGATCCACGGGTATGGATACTTCCGGAATTGTGATTCTGATACAAGCCTAACATCAAATTATAGCACACATTTCATGACTGTGTTGTCAAGCTTGCCCGAGTACTTTCGTACCAAAGGATGGGAAAGCCCTATTGATGCCTTCGATGGGCCATTTCAATTCGCCATCGAGTCACCCCATTATTTCGAATTCTTGAGCTCCAACCCCTACTACCAGCAAGCATTCAATACGACCATGACCATGTCATTTCGTCGCCGCGGCAAGGACTGGTTCGACGTATTCCCGGTCGCCAATCGATTGCGCGTACCAGGGGACTCTGATCCGCTATTGGTAGATATCGGCGGCGGCCAAGGGGAGGATCTCAAGAAATTCAAAGCCCAATTTCCCACCATACCAGGGAAGCTCTTTCTGCAAGATTTACCAGCAGTGGCGCAAGGGGTCCAAGACCTGCCTGCAGGAATCGAAGTACAAGATCACGATTTTTTCCAGGTGCAACCGGTGAAGAATGCCAAGGCCTACTTTATGCGGACTGTTCTGCATGACTGGCCTGATAAACAGGCAGCCCAGATTTTAGGTCGGGTACGCGATGCGATGGGCCCTGATTCTATATTGTTAATAAGTGAGACTGTGCTACCTGAGTCCGGTGCGCTTCTCTCGTCTGTTCTATCCGATATGCAGATGATGGGCTCTTTTGCGTCGCTGGAGCGTACAGAAGCGCAGTGGCGAGCGCTACTTGAACAAGCTGGGCTGGAACTGGTTCAGACGTGGTTTCCGGATGAATGCGATGGAAGTGCCGAATCTTTGGCAGACCAGCCTGCTCTTTTCGAGGCTCGGAAGAGTTTGAAGGAATAAATTGGTGATTGGTGGTGCCAAGTACATATAGAAGGTCGTAATAGTCATACCTCATGGCGGTGTATAGAACATGCCAGGCGTGCGAAAGTCTTGGCGAACGGGAACTCGGATTGATTGCGCGGGTTGAGGCTACTATGTTGGGATTAGGAGGCCGCGTATGCACTTTGTAAGTTAGGTTAGACTAGACCAGATTGGCACCTTTCTTTGTTCGGCTTACTTTCAAGGTACCTATGTTATATTTTATACATGAAAACCAGAGCAACGGTCAATATGATGGCCTAAACCTCGAAATAAAAAAACGTCGTCATCACGGACTATAAATAAAGAATCCCCTTATGCCAAGACAGCCTCGTACACGTTTCCATACTCAGTGGAGAGTGACAAGCCTCTCCGATGTGGGTCCAGGTGATGTGGCGGACCACGCAGATTCTGCGTTCGCAACCACGGAAACGCCGGCTTTACAGCCACTATTGGCGACAATGCGAATACGAATCCCGAATTCGTCATCGTCTCAGGGACCGTGACCAAGTAGTCTCAAATGATTCTTGTTCTAATTGAATAGATTGCACTAATATCTCTGCGGATCATTTGGAATCTCTATGGCACTGTCTTCAGATCCTAAACGAACGATTTAAAATAATAACGAGCGGGCGATCTCCGAAATCCCGAGCCAATCTAACCTCGTACATCTGATACGTAGGGACGGAAAAGTCGGTCGATCGATTAATCACTCTCCACTCCCCACGCTGGAACGGGCAACTGGCCACACGAGATTGCACCAGGCCCGCTTCCTCTGTTCTTTCATCCATTCCGCCCTTAGCCTTTTGACTCCACGTTTCTCCCCTGACACTCGTTCACTTCTCCCTTGTACATTTCCGTTCGTTGTGGTGTATATACCCTCTTCCGATCCCCCTGGGCCTTTATCGACACGCCCCCCTTTTCGTTACGCGCCGGACACCCGCACAACCCGCCGAACGCCCCAGCCCTCTGTACCACGTCGGGTGCTGTTGTATATATCGGAGCATGAAGTGGGAGATTGTGGGGAACTTTTAATAGATTGATATCCGAGTGATGCGGTTCCCAGTCCCCAGTCTTCTAGGACTCTATGGAGTACTTTCAGCCACTGCAGTCTCCTTAGTCCTTGGAGAAGGTGAAGGAGAAGTCAAAGGCTTGGAGACCCAGGACCAGCCGCCTCATTTCCTGAGCGTGCGGCCAAGTCTTGCCAAGGGCTATGAGAGCGAAGCGAACATCCCGACAAAGAAATACTTCAGTAAGTCCAACCCCATCTTGCAATCGCAACGTCCCTCTCTGGACAACGGGGTTCAATTGCAGAGCTTTGACTGACTCACTATGATTTTAGCGGAATCAAGGTATGCCTGACAAGAGTTGAAGAGTGGAGATAGATCCAATGTATACTAACTTTGCTTTTTTCTATCAGCTTCCATCATCACTATGACGGCCGGTATGTGTCTGCGGCACCTTTTATTACCTCTGCTCACATGCGCTGACTTTGTATTCAGATTCGCAAACTCAACTCTGCCCGAAGAAAAAGTCATCCCATTTTTATCAAACCTGATCCAGACCTATCTGGAGACCATGAACTCAATTGGCGCCGAAACATGGATTATGCATGGAAGCCTCCTCTCATGGTGGTGGAACCAGAAGGTATGCAGAAGGTTGGCATGTGGCGTCTACCTGTATATGCTAATAATCTCCAGATTTTTCCTTGGGACAACGATTTAGATGTTCAGATCTCGGAGCCGACAATACACTTCCTGGCTGACTATTATAATTTCACCGACCACCATTTCGAGATCCCCGGCGTCGAGGGCGGCCGCACCTACCTTCTCGAGATCAACCCCAACTATGTCGTCAAGAGCACCAAGGACAGATTGAATGTGATTGACGGGCGATGGATCGATAAATCATCTGGACTTTTCATCGACATCACAGCTGTTCGCCCAGATGACGACAAGCGAAAGCGTGGTTACCCTGAGGCGCTTATGTGCAAGGATAGACACCACTATGATGAAAGCGATATTTTCCCTCTTCGAGACAGCTATTACGAAGATGTCCCCGTTAAAATTCCCTACGCTTATGCCGCACTGCTCGCCGAAGAATATGGAGCCGCTTCGATGACCAAGACCGATTTTCAAGGCCACCATTTCAGCGACGAAAGCAAGATTTGGGAAAAGTACTCGCGTAAAATGAAGCGTTTCCTTCGGCGAGCCTGGCGCGGTGATGATCTACCCAAGCGGTCTGGTACCGAAACTCTTATCCGCATGGATGATGTATAAATCACATTTCCACATTTCTTTGATCTCCGGTGTGATTATTCAGGGAGTACCCGATGATACATTTGCTGCATTTACCTGGCGTTGACAATATGTGTTTGAACTTGAACATAATCTGTTTGGCATTCTTGTACTGATATTGATTTGCATGTACATATTATTCTGATGAACATCGGTGTTCAAACGTCATGGATAAGCTTTGTCCCACTGAGATGGACTTATAGTTATGAAAAAAATAGCACGTTACTATTCGAACCTTCTTTACTTCTGTTGAGCCTTGCTGGGCCCTGTCGAACCTTATTGATAGCCCTATAACGTCACCAATCACGAGCTCTTCCGTAACAGGTAAGTCGGGGTTAAAAGGGGGTTTCCCAAATGGGGCAACGCAAGACCCCGAGCTGACTCACCCCGTCACATGGTGGGCCCCCTCAAGTGTGCTTACTCAAGGTTTTGGTGGTAATTATTGGGAATTCTTCTTATCTGATGGAGAAATTTGGCAGGCGAGCTCCGACTCTCCTGCATCATGTCGTTCCACTCAGCTTCTCCAGAAGGAGGGAATCACTCATCCAGCGATAATTCTCCGAACGGGGTACCTTCTGCAGCCCCCGCCACCGCCCCGCGCCCGTCCCTCGATTCCGCCAGCTCACGAAGCTGTGTAACCTGCCGCCGTCGCAAAGTTCGTTGTAACAAGCGATCGCCTTGCTCCAATTGTGTCAAGGCAAATGTCGACTGTGTCTTTCCTCCACCGGGTCGTGCCCCACGCAGGTCCAAGCGCCCGCCCGATGCGGAGCTTCTTTCTCGCCTCCGACGCCTGGAAGGTGTTATCAAGCATTTGAGTGATAAAAACGGCGAGGCGGGCTCAGTTTCGAGTGTTTCTCCGATACAGACAGCTTCCTCTACTTTTACATCTACGGCTCCTACCAACACGGCCAATACGTCACCGCCTGCATCTACAAACCCTCCTGCCTCCGTCGATCTCAAAGCTCAGAACGGGGTTTGTCCGTTTGAGGATAATGATCCCAAGAAGCTTGCACCGGGAAAATTTGAAAATGAATTTGGAAGACTGGTCATTGAGGAGGGCCGGAGTCGATATGTGAGCAATAGGTTGTGGGCCAGTCTTGGAGATGAAGTCGAGGAACTTCAAGATATCCTGGATCATTCTTCGTCCGAAGAGGAGGATGTTCCATCTCCTGATTACTCCCATTCCGGCTCTCAGGATGGCTTTCTTTTCGGTTACTATTCCCTAGCCCACTCCCTTCGAGAGTACCACCCACCTCTTCCCAAGGTATCAAAATTTTGGGAAATTTACAACCAGAATGTTGCTCCCTTGATTACCATTCTTCACAAAGCGACCGTCAGAACCCTCTTGATCGAAGCGGCACAGCACCCCGAAGCCTTGGATAAAAATTCAGAGGCTTTAGTATTTTCCATATATCTGTCTGCCATTGTCAGTTCAAAGCCCGAGGACTGTTTGGCACAACTTGGAGAAGATCGAAAGACAGCCGTCAAACGGTATCGATTCGCTGTTGAACAAGCCTTGGCGAGGGCAGGCTTTCTCAATACGCAAAGTTTGGTGCTCTTGCAGGCAGCGATTCTGTTTCTGATATGCATACGCCGCGAGGATGATTCCAAATTTGTTTGGTCCATGGACGCCATCGTTCTTCGACTGGCTCAAGGGCTGGGTCTCCACCGTGATGGTACCAATTTCGCATTGAAGCCATTTGAGACAGAAATGCGTCGTCGCCTATGGTGGCACATCTGCCTCATGGATATCCGGTCTTCTGAAGATCATGGAACCGTTCCACTCATCCATGAGGGTATGTATGACACTCGACTACCATTAAACGTCAACGACGATGATCTCTACCCCGAAATGACAGAGGCACCCATGGAGCGAGAGTGTTGCACTGATATGACTTTTACCCTTATTCGCTGTGAAATCACAAGTGCTTTGCGACGAGTAGACTATACCTGTCCCGGCAACCGGTTTCGTATGGGGGATACCACTCCATCTACAGAGCGTTGTGAACGGATGATCCAGATGATCAACAACCGGGTTGAGGAAAGGTACATCAAACACTGCGATATGAACATCCCTATTCATTGGGCATCTGCAACCGTGGCACGACTTATTCTGGCCAAGTTGTGGCTGATTGTGCACCATCCCATGACCCGAAAAGATCGCTCTACCAACGTATCTCAAACGATACGTGAGAGCCTGTTCCTCACTGCCATCGAGGTCCTTGAGTTTGGGCGTCTGCTCGAAACCGACCCCAAAACAGCCAAATGGGCATGGTTATTCCGAACCAACATGCAGTGGCATGGAGTCGCATTTGTTCTATCAGAAGTATGTGTCCGACCCATCTGTCCTGTTACAGATCGAGCCTGGAATGCCGTTCACTCGCTTTACTCGGATTGGACCATTCATGTTTCACATAAAAAGGGTATGCTCTGGCGCCCATTGGACGCTTTGATGAAACGCGCTACCGCTACTCGAGCCAAAAAGCAGGAAGAGCTGCGAGAAAAGTTTGGACCCAATCCCCAGCCACCATTCCATAAGACTCCCGATTTTGCACCTACAAATCACAACACCCTCCCGCAAATCCACATGCCCCTGGATTCGCCATCCAATTCCCCTGGTCAATCGAGACAGCTCTCGATGCCTAATGATCCTGGGAACATCACTCTTAGCAATGGTCCATGGGACGCATTGCGAAACATCTTCCCTGATACCAATATCTTAGCTCCAGTTACTCTTGATAACCCACCAATGGTAGATCCAGTCTCTGCAAGTATTCTGCCCACTGGACTGTCATTCAATTCTCCCATGGGTATGGGCAATGCGTTTATGACCCAGGACAATACCACCGAAACACCTGCCCTGGACTGGGAAGAATGGGACAACGTCATGCGAGAATTCCAGATTGACGTCGAAAACGATACCACGGTCGCAGGAAATGGTTCCAGTGTCACCGGGTGGTTTGCATAACTAGTTCCAACCAATTTGGACCTTCTTTCTCCTTTCACTCTGGGCGTGTTTTTCTCAGGCAATGTGCATCTGCCAATCATGCCCTCGGCGGATTCATGACGATTTAATGATCACTGTCGTTTATGGCGTACTCAAATTGAGCTACCCTTGATTTCCTCCACTCAAATGTATGATACCATTGTTATGATACCACTCTTCTCTCCCACTAAAACGATATCTTGGTATGGGACATAACCAATGAACAATAATTCAAGCATGTTTCTATGGCTCGACTATCCTTTCTTAAGTAGCATACTTATTAGAAATTATATTTACGCCATCATTTCAACCATTACTCTGATTCCTGATTGTTATTGAGGCACTCGATGGCTGCCGAGGTCGGTAGGTATACGCTGCTGAGACCTCAATGAAAAACTTCGAACGCGCCCACTTGGCGCTTGTTTCACAGATTGCCATACTCATACCTTTTATATACGAAATCGAATCAGACGTCATCGTAAATCATTCTCAATGCACTTTTCAAAGTAGACTGCTGAAATGTCTGTATACTGGTGGGCCTATCAACCACGTGACCCTCGATAACGAAGCTCCAAGCTGGCATCATTGATATCCGGTTGATCTTCCATCCCCCACGCCATTGTTTCTCCCAGGAACCTCAATTTTCCCAGAAACAAAGCTGCACTTTGTGCCTCTAAACCAGGGTCTGTTGAACAATCAAAATCAACATTTCACCTCAACAACCCTTCAATTCCACCACCATGCCTGCCAAACGACACGCGGCCTCAACGGCCTCCGCACCGGCACCCTCTACAACCTCAACTCTCTCCTCTGGCCCTGCGACCTTGAAAACCAATTCCTCCGTCCTCGATATCACCAGCCATGTCTGGCAGCAGTACCTCGCCAACACCGCACAGCGCACATTGCTCCTGGACGCCTTCATGGCCTTCCTAGTTCTCGTCGGCGGACTCCAGTTCGTATACTGTGTTTTGGCAGGAAATTATGTAGGTCGCCCCTATACACAACACATTCAAACCGTCCACCTCAAGCCCATACACAATTCAAATCTCTCTTCCCCCCTACACTATCAACACCAAGACAATATGCTATCTAGATTCTATACTAACTATACCTAGCCCTTCAACGCCTTCCTGAGTGGTTTCAGCGCCGCAGTCGGCCAATTCGTCCTCACAGCCTCCCTCCGCATGCAAACCAGTGACTCTGGCTCGGGATCACCCTCCAAGCCCAGTTCGAAGGGGAAGAATGCTCGTTTCGCCGATGAAGATACCGAGGAAAACAGTGGTATCTCGCATGAGCGCGCCTTTGCGGATTATATCTTTGGATCTCTCATTCTACACTTCTTCTGCATTAACTTCATCAACTGAGCGAACAATTGGTTGGTCATTTCGGAGGGTGCGTTAGGCTGTCCGCTCCTTGATGGAGATTGGCTGGCTGGATAAAACTAGGGACCGGGTCAGATGTTTGTCTTCTTGGAGGGCTCCTTTTGAGTTTCTTTGAAGAAGATATTATCATTTTGTCATGAGGTTGATATGATGTTTGGTTGAATTGCACGTTTCTTTGTATAAAATATCAATGCAGCGGGTCATGTTAAGATCTTGAGCATTCGTAGTGTATACTTCATACGTAGAATGCAGTTATTTAGGTAGGTTCTAGATGCCTGGATAGCATCTTGGGTATCTTGTAAGGTTGATTTGAATGCGGGTGTCCGCAGAGCTTTAAGATGCTTTTGGTATTATACAATGCTCAGGTTGTCAATGCTAATGTGCAGTAGGATATTAGAACGTCCGACCCGGTCTTCTGGGAATTTGAGGCTTTTTCACAACACTGCCCCCAGAACCACCACCATTGGCGCCAGGCCGAGACGATGCCGAGGAAGAGGAAACGAGACCTCCGACCTTTCCAGGTTTCTTGACGACCGGACGTCGCACGGCGGTTTTTCCACCGACTTCGATCTCCCCCCTGCGTCGGGTAGGATCATTGCGTTCCTCCTCACGCTTCTTTTGAGCAGCGGCGCGCTCACGATCCTTGGCCATCTGTTCTTCGATTTCCATCCGCTTGTTAAATTCTAGTTCAGTGACACGTCGGTCACGTTGAGAGTAACCCTTTTCTTTGACAGAGTAGAAGACGCCACCGAGTTCAGCGAGCCACTAAGTTCAAGTTAGTCAAACGGTGCACAAAAATCAAGCAGGAAGGGCGCAGATAAAACTTACATGCGGATCTACAGCTGTCACTGTGGACATGTACTCCTTGGCGGTCAAGATCAACTCGTGGTAGACGACGTATTCTGGGACATAACCAAGACCATACAGAGCGCTCGTCGGGTGCAATGCCATGGTCACGCTTGTTCGGAGGTTGATGAACTCGCCGATACCCTTCACGCGCGCAGCTTGGTGGTAGAAGCCCGAGCAAATACATTTTCGGATGACATCCCAATCTGTACCACAGCTGACAAGAGTCATCTTTTGCTGATTCATGATATCGAACAATTGGTCGCGGACTTCCTTTGCGCGTCGGAGTGTTTTCCCATGGAGAAAGTGTCTGACACACCATCCATCAGAGAAGCCATTCGACTTCCACTGTGTGTAGACGTGAAGTAAAGTCAGATGATCTGATTCTGGAACGAAGAATTTCTCACGGGCAGAGTCGGACTCCTCCTGTCGTTCCTTCGGACGATAGAAGACATTTGGGACTGAAAGCATGGAGACAATGGTCAGCATCTCCTCACTACAGCCATACTCTTCCGAGGACATGATGAGAAGCTTGGCAAGAGGGGGATCCATAGGGAATGGTGTCATGCGACGACCTAGATGGGTCAGCTCGCCCAAGTTGTCCAGAGCCCCGAGTGACCATAGTTCGAAAAGGGAAGTAGAGATGGTTTCTTGTGGCGGAGGGTCCATAAAGTTGAAATCTAGAAGATCCTTGACTCCTAAGGATTTCAACAACAGGACAGTGTTGGAAAGACTTGTGCGTTGAATTTCGGGGATCGTTGCAATGTACAGCTCGTTCTTGTACGCGGTTTCGGTGTACAGGCGGTACGCTTTTCCAGGGCCTGTTCGCCCAGCTCGTCCAGATCGCTGGTTTGCATTGGCTTGAGAGATTGGTGTTATCTGCAGGGTGTCCATTCCCATACGTGGGTTGTACACTTTGAGCTTTGAGTACCCCGAGTCCACCACAAACATAATACCATCAACAGTTAAACTAGTCTCCGCGATGTTTGTGGCCACAATTACCTTGCGAACTCCAGCCTCCGCTTTTTCAAAAATTCTTGCCTGTTGCTCTGCTGGCATCTGACTGTAGATAGGCAGAATACTGAGCGGCGCGGGATCGTTCAGTAACTTCAATCGCTCCGCAACCAGCTCACATGTTGCTTCAATGTCCTCTTGACCAGTCATAAAAACCAGAATATCACCTTGCCCCTGGGAGACGTGGATGGCCAAGACCTGCTTGACTGCGCTATCCACATAATCCTCGCAGGGCGTGCGTGAGAAGTGGGTGTCAACTGGGAAAGTTCGTCCAGGGATAATAAACTCGGGCGCTCCACCGTAGAACCGCGAGAATCGCTCTGAATTCATGGTGGCAGATGTGACAATCAGCTTGAGATCTCTGCGCCGGACCAGAACCTTTTTCAAAAGTCCCATCAAGACATCGGTATTCAAAGCACGCTCGTGCGCCTCGTCCATGATAATACACGAGTATTTATCAAGGTCCGTCTGAGTTAGAGACTCTCGCAGGAGCACACCGTCCGTCATATCTATTCAATGATGTCAGAAGTGTGCTTCAAAAAGATATTTATGATCCAAGGATACTCACATTTAATCTGTGTTTGATCACTGGTGCAATCCTCAAAACGAATGGCATATCCAACGAGTCCACCAAGATCTACCTCCATTTCCTCGCTGACACGCTTAGCGACACTCATAGCCGCCACACGACGAGGCTGGGTGCATCCAATCATGCCAAACTTTGAGTAGCCGTCCTCGTGAAGAAACTGTGTTAACTGTGTGGTTTTTCCAGATCCAGTTTCGCCCACCACAATCACAACCTGATTATCCCGAATCACTCGCAAGAGATCCTCGCGCACTGCAAATGCGGGGAGGTACTCTCGTTGCTCGCGCAGAGTCTTGCTCTTACTGAACGAGCTAGCACCTCCCTCCTCTTTCTTCAAATGCTTGGCGAATTTATTTCCTCCACCCTTGTAAACATCCTCCACAGGCATGGCAACAGCACTATCACCCTCGTCCTCCTTGACGCCCATCAAGTTTCCCAAAGCAGTACCGGCCATGTTCGTAGCTTCCTGGGCCTGCTTTTGTCGCTCGCGCTGCTGCCGGCGTTCCCGAACAACCTTACTTCCCTTCCGACTAAACACTGCCATGTCGCTCTGCGGGTCTCGAATAGCGGAAATCGGTTCCAGCTGCTGGGTGAAAATAGTACGGCCATCGAGGAATGGGGGTCGAAGGTCGTGAACTAGCAGGTGAACTCGGGTTGCCTCTTCATCATCGGGCATAAAGTCACTCTCCATGTTCCGTCTCTGCGCGATACCCGACGTGAGCATGCGGTTTGTCTCCCAGTCGTCATTTTCCTTGCGCCTGGCATCGCGTATCTGGTGTGGGAGGTGTGAGTCGTTTTTTTGCCTTTTGGCCGGCGGACCCATGTCATCGCGAGCCATTTCAAGGTGAGGTGCCCGATTGCCGGGTCAAAACAGCTTAAAGGTAAACTGAGAGGATGTCGCGAAGGAATGAATTCAATCGTGATGAATCTCGGGGTTGGAATGTCAGACAAACAGGGCAAACCGTTATCAACCACGTGACCTGGTCTGCAGTTCCAAGTCGCGTAATATCTTGGTATTATGTTGGCGAAATTCAATATCTTAGACGAAATAAATGTCACAATATGAATAAAGAGGATATATATGGCTCAATTATGGCATTGATGTTGTTTTTGTTGAGTATTGAGAGAGTAGTTACTTTATCTTAGTCTAGCCCACCAAACATCACAGAGCGGCCCCGCATCGTCATCTCAACTTTTGAGCTCCCTACGCTGCATTGCTTGAAACTCCCGCACCGCCGCCATGTCGAGCCAACAGCAGATTGACCCGAAGAAGCAACAGGGTAAGACATTCTCTGATGATCACCCTGCTCCAACCGCGTACTGATCCTTTTCCGCCGCCCCAGAGTTGCAGGCCCAGTACACCAATTTCAAGAACACCCTCCAACAATTAGCACAGAAGATTGGCGACATTGAGCAGGAGGCCGAAGAGCACAAGTAAGCTTCCATGTGATATGTGTTTTATGTTCAATTCTCCGAGGCTGGAATCTCGCTGTGCGACAAGGGACCGTGGTCCGCCTCAGAGTCAGCATAGAGTGTGATAAAATTATGCTAATCTCAATACTTTCTGGTCATAGACTTGTCATCGACACCTTGAAACCTCTTCCCCAGGAACGGAAATGCTTTCGCATGGTGAACGGAGTGCTAGTCGAGCGCACAGTTGAAGAGGTTCTCCCGACGCTACAGACCAACTCGGACGGACTGCAACAGGTTCTGGAGGATATGCTGAAGCAATATAAGTCCAAGCAAACTGAGTTGGACAGCTGGAAGGTGAGTCTATTCGATTTTCTATCGCCCGCGTTGCAGTGTGGCTCTCATGGTCCGAAGGCCCAAATCTGTGCATGGTACTGACCTTCTCTTGTTTCAATCTACAGAAGAAGAACAATATCCAGGTTGTGCAGCCTTAAATAGAGCCTGCTTATGTATGATTTGATTGCCGGCTTTCTCTAGGCTGGACCAACCACCCACTAATCTGTGTGGGAGCAAGAGATACTGGCGTTAATGGGAATGACACAAAATTAGAATCTAGCATGGTTTCATCTGATCATGACGGAATGAAAATTAAAACGTGACAAAATTTCTACATCATCAATTACGATATTCCTTGATTCGAGCTTAGGCTGGTTTACGTGGACCGAGGGCTGGAACGGCATCTTCCTACGCTGTAACGCTCCACATGAATAGCGACGAGGGGGCTTCGATTGTATTCCCCGAATCATGAAGTGTAATCAGGCCTCAAACAAGACGCCAGATTTAGTCGAACCGGTGATACTGGATATGCTTCGCAACAAATTAGGGATTTCTACATGGATGTAGACATGAAGTCCTGTACGTTCCATCACACTATGCAAGAGTCAGAGCTACTTACATCTTCCTATTGTATCTATCATCTATCAGAGACTCAGTACCCAAGCAATGCAGAAGAGGCCTTATAACTCTCAGTGTGGGGGAGATACATTCATTATCATTCTCGGTGTTGCAACTTGTTTAGTACCAAGAAATGTGCCTGATAGTATAAACCTAGGGTTACAATTTAGTAAAAAGTGAGGAAACAATACTGACGGCTTCTAATCTAATGAGCAGGCATATTGAAACCTCTAAAGCTCTGACGCTGATGTTCAAGCAACTTGCGACTGTAGCCCGACGATGCAAGACCTGAGTATCGAGTGAGACATGGCAATTATAATCGGTAGGCAATGGGTGAGCAAAGGGGAAAAGCAAAGCCATCGAGTATGACCGAAAACCCTCAACGCATATGCACTGTGTATGCATGGATCCTTGTGTTTTTTCTGGCATCAGCGACCTTCAAGGTTTTGTATCATTCATAATGTTCTAGCCCCAGATACGATTGAGGTTTATACGTAGAGTTTCAGATCATATTACTTCTGCAGGGCCAATGCAAGCCTGAGTGCCTGAAAGTGACTTCAATATTCAGGTCTTCGCGTTGGGCCTGAAGAAACGTAACCTATGCAAGCGAGTCAATCATGCCGTCATGCCAGGTCATAGTATGACAAAATTTAAACAGTAGAATGGGAGTTGCCAGAACCCGTCTCGAATCCATCTATACCTCAGGTAGTATTTTCTACTGTTTTCGATGTTCTAAATGAAAGGGAACGTATGACAATTACAATAAATTACAGGAATCTATCCCTACTCTGGCGGATCGGTGATATAAACATGTAAATAACGGTAAATACCGACCTCCCGCGGTCGGATGAGACTGCGACCGGGAGCTCTTGGAAGCTCTTCTCCTCTTTCTACCTTCACTCACCTCTGGAAGCATTTGTCAACTTATCAATATATCACAGTGAGGATTTGGCTATATCCAGGAACTCGCAGTGACTTTGGTGGTCGATGATCTGAACCAAAGCTTGAATATACATTGTAAGTACAGAGTAGCCAACCCGAAGGCGTCCTTCGATCAGGGAGTTCTGGTTCGCCAATTGACCTCAGGCTGGACGGGGACCCTCTTCCACACCATTCGCGCGCTCTGACCTTAAAACCAAAACCCCAGACGAATCGGAACAAATCAGACTAGAAATCCAGTTCTTTGGATCTTCTCTTTACCCGAAAAAGGTAGCTCCCTTTCCCCCCGTTTTAGCCCCCTTGCGCAACGTGCGACCGTCAGACAGTTGGGCTTTCCCCCCAATCTCGACCCACTATCGACGCTTCCCGTGTTGCATCCCGCGTCACAACCCAGCTGGCTTTCGCGAAGCGCGCATAATTGTTATTTGTACTGCATTGACCAGTCCAACGCGATCGCGTTGTGCTTGAGGGCTCGAACCTTTTTCGTCTCCTAATCCATTCCCTTTTCGGCACTCGAGGCTAATCGGGTGTCATTGCGCGCGTCGTCAGTATAGAAAGCCAACGCGCATTATTGCCAAATCCCCCCACTTGGCTGACGCTCTTTGCTGTGAAGCGGTTCGTACCCGGCCAATACCCACTCCACTACTTCCGATCTTGCGATTCTTGTTGGGCTGTCCGCATCGGAATCAGTCGCGCCCCAGGCACTCAGATCTGACGTGGTTTTGCCAGCAGAGCGAAACACCCCCCAGTCTTTGTCGCCCAAACCTAGGACCCACACATTTTCCAAACCACTCATAATCATGTCGTCGGCCTCGCCATCCAAGGAGCCGGAAGTTGACCCCGAGGTTCAATCGGGTGAAGAGCAGGACCAAATGGACAAAGACCAGCACGATCCTTCAATGCAGGGACAAGGCGAGTTCGAAGTGAAAGAGCAAGATCGGTGGCTTCCGATTGCAAATGGTTAGTTGCGTCTGCGTGCAGCCTTTTCTATTGTTCTGATTTGCGCGTACCTTACTGCTGGCCAATGCTGCCGGTTACTTGTGGTCTCCCCGCCTTTCCCTCTACTCCTTCTCAAACCCAGCCAACTTATCTTTACGTCTGGGCCTTTGTTCTTGTTTGGATTATGATCCTTATACATATTGCACGGGACTTTACCACTCACTATGGTTATCTATGTCTTTTGGTCCCAGCTTGTCGCAGTCTCTATTTATGCAGACTTGATATCAACTTCAAGCCGAGGACGATTGATTCTGACATCATATCTCTCTAGTTGCCCGTATCATGAAATTGGCGTTACCCGAAAATGCAAAGATTGCAAAGGAAGCCAAGGAATGTATGCAGGAGTGCGTGAGCGAGTTCATCTCGTTCATCACCAGTGAAGGTGGGTGTCGATATGCCATGCTTACTTATTCTGACCAACCACTGACCATTTAAACAGCATCTGAGAAATGCCAGCAGGAGAAGCGTAAGACCGTCAACGGCGAGGATATCTTGTTTGCCATGACTTCTCTCGGTTTTGAGAACTACGCCGAGGCCCTGAAGATTTATCTTTCCAAGTACCGCGAGGTAAGTCATGTTGTATAGTAGCAGTCTAATGTGCAGTTACTAATCTATATCCTAGACTCAGTCCGCACGTGGTGAGAACCAGGGCCGACCAACTAGCAGCGGCTATGGTGCTGGCGGTGCCGCCCAGGGTCGTCCAGCCGGGTTTCCCGAAGCCGCAGAGGGTGGTAACAATATCTTGAACCCTGGATTGGACCCATCAGAGGATGCTGCTGCTTATGGGTACCCTCCCATGGTGGGCCAGTCTCACAATGGAGCGGGCGGCGACACGTACTAACAGCATATTTGAATGCCTTCGATCCATGTTATCCTTATGGATCCAACAAACGACAGTGTTAGGGGTGTGCAGGCGTCCTTGAATTATTTTCCAGGGTCTATTGGTACTCTGCAACTGGTCTCTTTACTTGGGATTACTTTATAAAGAACTTGTAGGGATACCCCCTCAAGCTTCGCATGTGATTGAATTGAATACATTGTGCATGGGAGAAGGGGCTCTGGATCGGATTCCTCGTATGGGTTTGATTGTTTTGACATTATTTATTTCCTGTTCTGTTTTACCATGGCGACATGGAGGATCCTCCCATTGAGGACTTTTCGCGACATATTTTTTCTGGAGTTATGTTGGCATAATTTAAGTTGAGATATGAACTGGGCAACCTTGTACTTATGATGTCTTCTTCCAAGTCTCTTGGGGCCGAACAAACCCTGCGGTTATACTTCTCGCCAAATCCCCGATAAGCCCTGCGTGCCTTGATTGGCCATTTGCTTGCATATGGGCCCAATCCCACGCTACTGTAGATGTTTGATACACTATGTTTCCTTGAAGCACCCCTTTATACCTTATACTTGCGCCATGGTATTTGTCTGCTTTTTGAAGCTTCTTTATTTCGTCTAGGGTTTCTCCAACTTTTTTCTATTTGTTACATAATCCGCTGCCCACACAAAGTTCTCCGCATCCACGTGAGCTCCACCGGACCCGATCCCGCAGTCCTCGCTTTCCCGAACTTTTTCGCTCTCTCTGTCGCATAGATTGTTCCCTTACCCTCGGCAATCGACTTTTCGCCTCATGATGCCCTGAAAATCGTCGACGTGGGCTTTTTTCTCTAGAGAAGAATGCGGAGTTGTGGCCGACCTGCACCTAGGATGATGCCGATGGTCCTTCTACCATGTCCTCCGTCAACGATAACGCCTCTTCACCCGGGAGCGGTGATGGGGTGAGCAAGCGCAAACAAGGTAAGGATCTCGTGACCCCTTGATCTCTTTGCAGAAGAACGCACAATATACTCTATTTTGTCTACCACGACTTTGGAATGCTTTTTGCTTCGAAATTGGACCTCGGATAATGAAGTAGATCATTAATTTACTAACGATGACTCAAAATACTTTAGGCTCGGCAGCGTGTGTTCACTGTCACCGGCGCAAAGTCCGTTGTGATGCTCGAGTTGTCGGAACCCCCTGTACAAACTGTCGCACCTCTGGCAAGACCGACTGCCGCATCCACGAGAAAAAAAAACGTCTCGCAGTGCGTTCAATTCTCGATCCCGTTCCGATCCGATCTCGGCCTCTGCCGACGTCTGATCATGCCGCCAATCCTATAACTTCAGCCGGCACACCGCTGCCGCCAAGCTTTCCAACTGCATTTGGGGTTGGCTCTGCGCTTGCAGGCAATTCCCCGCAGCAAACCTTCCTATCCAATGCCGCAGAACCATTTCATCAAGGCCCGGATCTGTCACACGCCCAGGAGGCGCACACGGAGATGGAGCAACATCTTGTGAAACTAATTGATGAAGAAGAATCCGGTCGAAGAGAAATTCAGCGAGGTGTTCGCGCTTTCTATGTCGGCCATGAACATTCCAATATGTCATTCTTGATTCGCCAACAGCGGGATCAGGACGACGATGTATACCATTTTGCGAGCAATGAAATTCCTCGGCGCCAGATGAAGACTGGGCATGACCAGCTCCTCATGGATGCGCTGACTCTCCCCGAACCAGCTCTGGCGGATGAGTTGGTGCAGTCATATTTCACCTACGTCAATCCGGGGTACCCAATCGTCGACGAGGATTTGTTCATGACACAGTATCGCAATCGAGATCCTGCAGATCCTCCTCCAATCTTGTTGCTGCAAGCTATTTTGTTAGTAGGAGCCCATGTCACTCGCGGTAAGGCAGAGCGCGATGCATTGAAAGAGATCTTCTTTCGCCGGACTAAATACCTATTCGACAATCGTATTGAACGAAACCGAGATATTTTGGTCCAAACAGCGCTGCTGTTGACTTGGCATTCTGATAGTGCCGACGATGACGTCGCTGCAGATGCCCACTTCTGGGTTGGTGTAGCTGCCCGGATCGCCACAGGTCTAGGAATGCATCGCAACCCGGTCTCAAGCCGGTTTGTCACCCGAGACAGGCGAATGTGGAGAAGAGTATGGTTCATCCTGGTTCAGTTCGATGTGATGGTCTCTCTTTCATATGGTAGACCGCAGGCTATAAACCTGGACGACTCTGATGTGTCACCTCTGACACCTGCTGACTTTGAAAACTGTGGCCCTCGTGTACAAGCTGAATTTGTCATTCACTTTACAGCACTGTGCACTATGATTTCTTATCTTATCCGGGATCGCTTTGGCCTCCGGGCTAGCGATGAGCGACGAAAGGCCGTTTTGCAAGAGGCCGATGAATCTTTGGCGAATTGGTCGTTGAAGCTGCCTGATAACCTGCGTCTCCGAGCGTCCGATATGGATCCTTGGTCAGCTATGTTGCACCTCACCTATAACAATTTCCTCATTTTACTTCATCGGCCACATCCAAGAGCATCGGCATATTCCGATGACTATGGCCCTCACGACGCAGAAATTTGTAGCGCAGCTGCTGGAGTCATTGCTTCCATCTTCGAGGAGCTCCGAATGAATGACCGCTTGAAGTTCTTATGGTACACTGGTGTCCATACCCTGTTCACGGCCATGATTCAAGTCCGTGTGGAACTTCGATTCTCTAATCCGGTTCTTGCCATCAATGCATTGCGTCGTTTCGATTCCGCATCTTATTCGTTGCGGGAATTGGCCCAGTACTGGGTTCACGCAGGCACCATTTTGCGACTCTTTGAAGACTCCAAACGTCTTCAAGAGGACTTGCGCCTGGCAACCACTGACCGATCCAAATCATATAACGCTGTTCCACCTGTCAATAAGATGCCCATCACGGTATCCGAGGCCGCCGCAGCCATGCAAGCTGTGCATACTCCACGCCCCCTCTCCTTTGGTGTACCGACTCCAGAATCCTCGCACACCCCAATGCAAGGCACATTGTCACCGCAGCCCGCTCCGCAGTTCGACAATTGGATCACCGCTCCTCTTCGACTCAATGTTGGTCCTATGGACAGAAATGACCCCTACTCTGCCAACATGCAGGTAGACCAAATGGATCAAACTCGTGATTATCCAGACTGGAGACAATTGTTCTCTTTCACCGATTCCGAACTTGCAGTCCCCATGGCTGGCGAGGGACTCCTCGAATTGGAAGACGAATGGCGGCAGATTTACTGGCAGGATACACCAATGGCGGATCTCATACAAGATGGCAGTTGGCTTCCTGGCTAGCCTGTTGCTCTCTACAATAGTGTGAACGATTTAAGAAGATTCTCGAGCACCAAACTCACCCTGCTCTCCCTTCACGAACTGCCGGTTGGGCTGCAAACAATCCCTCTCACCACCTTCTACCTCCTCCCACATTTCTCTCCTACCACCACAAACCCGTGACCTGACGACGAGATGAGATACGCAAGGCACGGATGACCGCAAGATTTACAAAAGCTTGATCACGATATCATGTCGTATACGATTACGTACAGCTTCTTTTCGATAGATTTATACACAACTGTTACTTAATTGGAAGACCTTTACACGGCTGACATTCGTTGCCATTCTGAAAGCTTTTTAAGGATTTGATCTGCTGGTATATAGGCATGATACATCTCAGGATGATTTCACTCTTCCGGATGAATCTATGCAATGTACATAATAATATAACTCATCGAAATGAAAAATGAGATAGGACAGCATTATACCTCAACCAAACACAAACCGCTTCCAATTATCCGCAAGTTGCTGAACACCCTTCCGTAACTCCCAGCCACGCACTTCGCAAATTTGACGAGCCACCTGCTCCAGTAGATCATCCATTTGCGGCCCCGCAGTGTGAAGATCACTCTCAATCAAAATACGGTCCTCCGGTAACATCTTGACCACATCAATAACCTTCCCAGCCCCTGCCCCGGAGAAGTTAATCAAGCATGAGAAAGAGAAGTAAACATCAGACGGATTCGTCTTGTTCAAGAACTGCCGAAGAGGCTCTACAGGCCCAGAGTAAGAATGCATACAAATGCGCGGAGGAAACGGCAGCGGCGAGGATGTATGTTCATCTCCAGCATCCTCATCTTCTGAAAGTGCCCCCTCCGCATCCTTACGCTTCTCTCTATCCCGTCGCGACATGACAACCTTTTCATGTCCAGCCCATAATCCCTTTAATGTATCGAACACGGCCCCGTGTGCTTGTACACTGTGCACCGAGACCGCCCGCTGCATCTCCCCCGCAAGCCGGAGCTGGGCTCCAAGCACTGCTTTCTGATGCTCCGTTTTCACTTTATATGGGGAGAGTCGTCGGTTCTCCCGAGATCCAGGTGTGATCTGGTCATCGCGATTGTCTAGTTCCTGTGTTGTCCAGGCACTGGGGAGTCGGAATGATTTATCCAGACCTATCTCTCCGACGAGGGCATAGGGAGATGATTTCAGTCTCTCCCTTGTCTCGGCGATAAGCTTGGAGAGGGGCTTTGGAGTTGGTAAAAACTTCAAGAAGTCTGGATCTTCGGCTGGAGACGGTGTCAAGACTGCTGTATAATGTGCTTCTTTCTGTTCTGTAGATATGTCTTGCGAATTTATATTGGACGATTGAGGGGTGTCGTCTAAGATCTGGTGCGAGAACCATGGATGCCATCCAAAGCAGGGAACTATCCGGTCTAATGCCTCGGATGATTCTTGAGAATTTATAGATTGTGTGATTTGTTGTACTAGGTTTTGGTCTTCTCCTCGTGTGGCCATGACGGTCAGTGAGCGGGCCTTCATGTTGGGGATGCTGGCGATGGAGGCCATTGTGTCTGTGGGGTGACAATGGGCATCGTAGATGCCGATATCCCAGGGGAAATCATGGTCGGTTGACATGGTGCAATGTAGGAGAAAGAGAGGATTTAGTATATCGAATTCTGAAACTAGGTCGGGATGACGTAAGTGGGGGATATCACATGCCATTTCTCCGCATTTTCGTCCAAAATACATCGAGAAGTGTTTCCGCCTCATTATGTAGCTAACACCCCCAGAATGTACTATTAACATGTGCTTACCCGGGTAACTACTGTGGATTTGTGCCTAGACATGTAGCCAGTGTACATACGGCCCCGCGAACATATACAAGTCAGTATTATGCATTTATGCATGGGCGTATAGTTTCGACTAAAGTATAAAGGCCACCGCAACCCCCCCAGTGATTCGCTCCTTCTGCCCCCTTATTTTCCTGCCAGAGGAGTCACTAACATGTCCGGTCCCATCTCATCGCTTTTGGCATTACCGGTTCTATGTATCATATCGATCCCTCTCGTCTTATCGGCATGGCTGACCCTCTCCGCCGCCTTATTCACCCTTCTCCTGCGAGTATCTGTGGTCTACCTTGAGGTAGGCTATGCACTGATCATCAACTTCTTTACACTTCCAACCTCCACCAACACATCTTCTTTCTTGACCTTTGCCCCCTCTGAGTCACCAACGCCAGCAGCTGGCAATTCTCGAAGGAACTCGGCACATGGATTGGTACAGCCTCACCGAGCCAATGACACCCTTAATGGATTCCACGAAGAGTATTTCAAGCGCAAGAGCAAGAAAAACTATGCTCGAAGTATGATCAAAGCCCATGATCTACCTACTGCGCCACTACCTACGAATTTCAACGGTCTCCCCGTAAGCGGCGACAAGAGACGGGATTTCGAAGGAGTGGGTGGTTGGCGCTCATATACGGACGTTTCATCTCGAGCCTCGAAACCACGCAGTACTCATTCGGGACAAGAAAAGCCTCTGAGCTCGTCATCTTCGTCAACACATAGCCTCGCTGGCGAGGTCAGTATGAGCGATGGTGTCGATGCTGATGAGCGGGCCTGGCTATCCTTAAATTATCGCCTGGAACTGCCATCTCGAGTCGTGACATTTGGATCAGGCTCGACGGCTCCTTCGAATTTGACGAGCCCTGTATATGGCGATTCTTTGAATGACTCCAATGCCCTTACTCCTGTGTTTTCTTCCGACCTCTACGATGACCATGCACAACATCCAAACGGGCGTAGGCATCATCATCGTTCTCATACCACTTCTGCTCTGACAGAATCTAATTTCCGTACGCGAAGTGGTCTTGCCCTGTCTTTATCCACAAGACCGGATCGATCGAGTCGTCCGGTTTCGCCTTCATCGATGCGACGTGCTCCTTTCATGACTCCACAATCGTATTCACCTACACAAGCTCGATCTTCGATGCGCTCGCTCCCGGCTAGTACTGCGCCACACACCACAGGGCACATTTTGGCAGGCAGTAGTCATGGTGCTGGGGGTTACTTTGCCCTTTCACGACCTGGTGGAATGCCAGTACCATCTTTCTCTACAGTGGTCAGTCCTAGTTCTAGTGGGCATACGACGCCTGGTGCAGAGGACTACAATTCGTCATCGCAGTTGACTCGCTTTATTGCGCATTATCCTACTAGCGTGAGACATCGGCGACGGAGTCTCTCAGGTCCTCATGCGAGACGGGTTTCTATTGGTGAACGTCTGTCGTGATAGTGTTACACTTCGATGGAGTAGTCTTTTTTTGTTGAAGTGGAAATTCAAAGTACACGATGAGATCCTGGGCAAGATTGTATATAAAAGAGATCCGTTGAGGTCTATGTCTAGAGAGAAGATGTACAAACAACATGGAAAGAAGCAACTATAAATGAGCCAAAATACCCCCGCCAAATTATAAACTCCAAGCTGTGATTCTGAAACCCCAGCCCGCGCTCCAAATCTTAATATTCATCCGGCATGCTTAACCGGCGTTTCACGGCAGCAGACGTGTCGCGTGGTCAATGCTGGAAATTTTAGGCTCATGAAGATGCCCTCTCGCGCTTATTAACATCCTCCATCTCCGACAAAACCACTTTATTAAACTCTTCCCATCCGTCCAAGTACAGATGGTGTCCAGCTTTACTGATAACAACAACCTTGGCAGAGCCTTGATCGTCTCGTCGCTCTTCTGGCGTGGCATCAGCCAAGACACGACGCTTCTCTTCTTCCAGGCGAGCTGCAGCCGCGTGACCACCGGATACATCCATCCAGTCATGATCACCGTACATTAAGACAACGGGCAGTCCGTTCTCGCGTCGGGGAGTGGGTGTCTCCGTTGAAGCAGGGGTGGGAATAGTGGTCGACGCATCAGCCGGGGCAGGTGTTTTAGCTCCACCTTTGGAGAAAATGGAGCATGAAGAGGATTCAGTGGTCGTGGAAGTGGGAAGGGAGTTACCGGAGTTGATCATTTGTCGACCAACGCCCTGGATACGGCGAATAAGAGGGCTGCGTGCAAATGCGCCTGGTGCGAGAATGTATGCTAGCGCATACTCGCCACTTCCCCGAAGACTGAAGATAGAGTAGGAATAGTCGTGCAGCGCCTTGGACTCCTCAGCGGGGAGGTGTGAGAAGCGGCGGGAAGTCCAGCCAGACACGATTCGTGGTCCGAAAGGACCTGTCCAGCGCACAATGCTGAAGGGGGAGATGTTGGCCTCCCACAGGTACGCGAACCACTTGGGAAGGACCCGACGAGGTGGTTGATTCGCGGGCGCTTCAGGGTTCCGACCTGTGATAAAACTGCCATCGCTGGTCTTTGGTGCGGAGCCTGGCGTCGCAGTGATATCCCGTTGGTCCTGGGTCAGCTCGTTCGGGAGCGTAGACTCTGACGGCTCGGCTACTTCTGCAGTGACAGCGTATGGGTCCTCGGGAATGCCGACAGGGGATGCGAGGATGAGCTTGTTGAGGTGACCCGGGTACTTGAGGGCGTATGCGACAGCCATGTAACCACCCAAGCTATGGCCGAGCAAGGTGAATCGATCTATTTTGCGCTTGATGCGCCACTCTTCCAGCGCATCGACAAACCACGCTTCGGCTTCCCGAATGGCTTCTTCACGCTCCTTGGCTTTAATTTTGAACGGTGGACGCGTGCTTCGACCCATGCCTAGCATGTCCAGCGCATGGAGCTGCCATCCCTTCAATCGGCTCAGTGGCTCAAAGTTCTTGTAGAAAAAACCAAGACCGGCACCATATCCATGCAGCATAACCAGGTGCTGGTCAGCCTCTTCCCCAACCCTCTCCACCGAGAATTCGTTGAGAGCCCGATCTTTCCCGCTGAGCTCCACCATGCTAGAGCTCCACCGGCGGGGCCCATAGGGGTCATCTTGGGATTGGGTGGAAATTTCGCCTTGCTGGTTGTGGTCTGCAGATTGCAGGCTGGGCGAGGTGCTTCCATTTGGGAAGTCTGATGTGTTACCAGTCTGGAGGTGGGTGGGGGGTTGGCGATGTAGATAAGGGAGGTAGGACAGGACCTTGTGTTCAGCTGCCGCCGCAGGTAAACGAGCCCACTAGAAAATTGAAAGGCACTTTAGTGAATCTCTTCAGAAGGGGTTGTTCTGGTAGACCACATACCCATTGACTGAAACCTTCTCTGTATCCTAGCGGGAAGAACGCTGGGCTGGCGACTTTGCCCCCAGCAGCAGCCGCAGCAGCATGTGGGAGGCGCTCGTGGCTCTGTGAGGATGAGCCACGACTACTGTGGTCGCGGACATCCGTCTGCGACGAGTTGAGTGATTCAGACGCCATTGAGGAGGACTTGCGCCGCCCTATCGAGGACGTGGCAAAAAGTGCAGGGTATGTTGTATAGAACCTCTGCGATAACAGGGGAAATCGTCTGAAGTTGACTGTTCGAGCACCAGACCGACAGGTGTTCTCTGTCACTGGAATGATTTGAGCCACGATGCGCATGGGCAGAAGGCGAGAAGAAACAAGAAGAAAAAGGCGCAACCCTGGAACCCGGAGACAAATCGGTGTCGCCGCTTAACCCCGACAAGGCAACAAGTCAAATACGCAATTCACTCCAGAAACCGGGATTCCGACCCGAGACAAAATAGAGTTAAGATGAGAATTAAAAGCCAAGTTGATAAATAGATCTCGATCTGTATACATATGTCTCGGTCTATGTGGAGTATACAAAAAGGAAAAGGCGGAAGGAGAAAAGCAATGATGTCGCGATCTGCGGATACCCAGGTTCCCTTTCCACTCCCACCTTCTCTTTCCCCCAAACACTTGCGATGACAAACGTATTGGGCCGCATCGGCCGTTGATTTTAGGAAGTTCACAGTTCATTGTGGTGATTTTCATCATGACAGCTTCCTTAGACCAGCTTGTCAAGGGCGCCCCAGTGCCTGAAGCCCGCGCCCCAACACCCGAACCATTGACTACTACACGAGCTGCTTCGTCTTCGCCACGACCCTCAACCCCGGATCCACTAGCCTCCCTCCCTTCTTCGCCACCCCAGATCTACTTAAATCTCTTGATTCTCGAATCGTCGCTCCGCGCACAGTACCTGGCTCTGCGCGAGCGCCGCCGCCAAAACACTTTCTTCTTGCTACTTCTAGCAGCGTGGATTGCCTATTTCGTATATGCACTGTTCCTGCGCCCTCGAGAAGATGGCCGTGGAGTGGGTGGCTCAGTATACTGGGTTGTGGAGATGGGAGAAAAGGTCGCCCTGCTTGGTGGGGTGGTGACGGCGTTGCTAGTATGGGGAACAGGGCAATGGGAACGTGGAATCCGCTGGCCACGACGATGGCTCGCTGTGTCCAACCGCGGCCTACGCAACATGAATACTAAGATCATCGTGATACGTGGGCCTTGGTGGCAGGAACTGTTGTCTTATGTCTCCTTCTTGTTCCCCTTCTCTGCACCATTCTTCCCCTCACCCACCGGGAACTTCCATTTCGTCGAACGACACCCCTCCGAAAAGCGCGGTAGTCGGCAGCACTACCAGCAGTATTATAATGGTGGTGACAGCGAGTCGGGCTTAGTGGAGGAAGACCTCAGTTGTGGTGGTGATTATATTCGTCTTCTGCTGCTGCCTAAGTCGTTCTCGCCAGAGTTCCGTGAGAATTGGGACGATTATCGCACCGATTTCTGGGAGAAAGAAAATGAGCGCCGAACTCAACTGCGTCATAAGTTGCGCGAGCGCGAGCGCCAGCTTGCTCAGGCGGAGGGTGGATGGTTTTGGCGTCTTGGGCTGGGCTGGCGCGCTTCGCAGCGCCGCCGTTTAGTCGCAGCGACTCTGCACCGTTCTCTTGATGCAGAACCCAAATCACGACACCAGCATCAATCATCCGTCTCGACGCGGCTGGGTCAGGACCACCGCCCATCTTCTCGCCGTCCTGAATCTACCCATTCCCGTACCTCGTCATGCAGCCCCACTCCTGAGGACCGGCCACCATCCCGTTCTGGGTCTGGTCGTCCCCGCCGCGGGAGCACCACTCCATCTATATCTGGCGCTGAACAAAGCCCTCAGCAGCGAAAGCGGAAAGGTTCCAGGGCATCACGGCGTGGCCCGTCGCCTCTAACACAGGCACAGGCCCGAGAGGGTGTGCGAGTGCCATCGTTCTCGTCTGACGATTCGGGTATCACGCCTATGACCGAGACTGAAAAAGAGCTTATACCAACTTCTGTACCTTAATTAAATCATGCTGTCTAGATTACGAGTAGCCAACTATGACATGTTTATACTATCCTATATCCGTTTCTTTGCTATTTAATCAATAGCGTTTCGCTCGAATCTAGAGTTGTAGCCTAAATGCCAACTAGTTCACCAAGATGAGCAGGCTCAGAGGATATAGATAGTCGAGCACAAACAGCCTCGTGGACATTCCAGGATCAAGGTCACCATTGGTCAGACATACATCTTCCCCCAGACATGGTCACACTATGACAAATCATGAGCCCTGGGTCTTTGAGATATCGATGTCTTTGAGGGCTAGGCTTCAAGAGAGCACTTGTCCGGTCTTCTCTCCAAAGTCGATTAAATGATGCTGGACATACCTTCTGCATAACATGTGATTCTTAACGATTCATGAAAGAAAGATTCAGCTTGCTCCTCTGAGCGTCCACCTGATGTCATACTATAAAGGATTCGAACAAAGTGAAAGAAAGAGGACTTGAACCGGCTCTTCTCAACGGTTATTACTTAATCACTATTGGTCATATGCTTAGTATCAAAGATCGAAATCAAAGAGAATTTGCCTCCGATTGATTCAACCATGCATGTGTGCTATGACTCTTATAAGAAACGCGGGGGTTGTACTATATTATATGTACATGTACGAGTCTGGACTCTAATCTGTACTGTATTCCACTATTGTCCACAGCCCATCCAACATGGATTGGGTGCAATTAGCCCAGTATGCCTTTTTTCGATCATCGCAAGTTCCCATCAGCCACACAGTGTGACGACATAGCCCAGTCCACATGATCGATGAACTAATACAGGTTTTAACCTACTCTCTTCAGTGCCGAACATCCCACAGTATTGACAAATGGGAACCTTTCCCTCACAAATGTCCGTGTGGACGAAGCGACCTATGAAATAACAAATATCGTCGACTGGTCCCTAGCCAAGGTGCTACCATTCGGAATGGATTTGGACGATTTGTTCTTAGTGACTGGATACATGGGATTGTGGAACTGGGTGAATTACGAGTGAAAGCCGTACATGCTAGGTTGCTTCTGGGATGAATTCTGGGCTAGCATTGAACCACATGTTGACAAGGGGAGGGGAAGAATGCTTGCGGGAAAGGCTGCGATGATAAGAGCGCTTTTGAGATATGGGTCTGCTAGACGTGAGGATAGGACTTCGGATAGCGTGATTTCGGTTTCTGATCGGGATAGTGCACTATTAAGAGCGTGGTTGGGAGTTGCTGCGTAGAGCTTTTAGAGTTTCAGTATTGGTTTTGATAGGTTAGTCTGTAATAGGACTCGATCAATATTGAAGCTATCGAACCCCAAGTGGGAATTATTGGATTTATGCCTAATACTTATCTAATTTTGTGAAACGAGTGGCCTGGCTGTGTTGCAAATCAATCAATAGAGAAGGAAAGGCTCAAGGTTCTGGTTGTATTAGACATTGAAATGCATATATTCTTTAAGAAAATTGACTCGTAAATCCCCCAGTCTGTCGACTCCATACTCCATACAAAGAGAACTATGATATCACCCCAATGCAACGACTAGAAACATGCTCATAAAAAGGGCCAGATGGCCCCAAAATTTCTTGGTAATATGCCAAAGGCTTAGATTCGGTAAACGTTGTCGTCATCCTCGAGGAACCTATTTAATCGAATTAGTCAAAAGTTTTCGTATATACTGTTAGGATAACTCACATCAGCAGGTTCTCTTCATTCATCTTTTGCAGAGCCTGAATAGCCTCGGGCCGTGGGAAAATGTCCCCAGCGCCATGGTTGGGCGATTTGCCAATGGCTGTGTTGACCTCGTTGATCAACTCGTCGACATTGGTCTGGTCTCCATCAGCGAAGACACGAGTGCCCATGAGAGGACCCAGGATCTGGCGGAACACTGCATAGCGGTCGGGTGTGATGGGGTGGTCCGATGAGGTGGACTGGGAGTTGTCGGTTTGAGACTGCACAAGCTGTGAGGCGGGATGGGAGGATGCCACAGACATCTGCGATTCGGTCTGTTGAGTACGCGTCGTTTGGCTGGTGCGCGTGCGAGAGGCACGGGGGCTAGCCGTGTCGAGGCTTTGGCTCTCTTCTGGGCCCACAGTACTAGCATCACCGTGAGATCTGGTGGTCCGGCCTGGCGTGGCAGATGTCTGGCCTTGGAAAGGTGTCTCATCATCATCAAGCTCAGAGTCACTCTCATCATCGGTATCCTCGTCAAAGGTCTGCACCTTGCGGCGCTTACGGCGACCATCGTCCTGCAATTCCTTGAACATGGCAAAGCGCAGGATAGCCTCGGCATGCTTAGCATCCTTCTCATCAACTCTATTAGACAGGCGTGCCTTAGCGTGGGCGGTGGCCAGACGAATCAAGGTTTCAAGAGTACGCGGTGTGATGGGTGAGGTGCGGCGCTGGTTGTTGGAGAGGTCGTCATTTCGGAGGGCAGAGTATACGGCGATGATGTGATCGGCAGCGCCCTTGGACAGCACAGGCTTGACTCGGGATTTGGCGTACTGAATGTACTTCTTTATGAAGGGAATGCTGACGATTTCCACATTCTTGTTACGGTTGCGGCCATTAGCAGGGACCATGCCGCCGTGGAGCATGACGTTGAATTTCTCGAAGACCTCTGTGGGCTGGTTGGCATCTTGACGGTCTTCGATTCCCACGCCCAGAGTCTGGTTGAGCTGCTCACGTACAGGAGCGCCTTCTTCCGTTCCAGGCTGGCGATATCTGTGCATGCGGAGGACGTGCTCTGAAATGGTGCGGTCCTTGGCATCTTCAATGTCATCTGTCACAATGAAGAGCAAATCAAAACGAGAAAGAAGCGAGTCAGGTAGAGCAATGTTCTTGTGGGGGTCCTTGTGTACGTCATACTGGCCATAGACAGGGTTGGCAGCAGCCAGAACACTGCATCGCGCGTTCAGACTTGTGTGAATACCGGCCTTGGCGATGGTGACAGTCTGCTGTTCCATGACTTCGTGAATAGCCACACGGTCCACATCACTCATCTTGTCGAACTCATCAATACAGACCACGCCACGATCACCCAGAACCATAGCTCCGGCCTCCAGCCGGCGCTCTCCAGTCTCCTTATCGGAGGTGACGGCTGCAGTCAGACCAACGCCAGATGAACCACGACCAGTTGTGGCGATGGCCAATGGAGCAGTGTTGAGCACGAACCGAAGAAGCTGGGACTTGGCTGTCGAGGGATCACCAACCATGAGAATGTTGATGTCACCACGCAAGTGAGTGCCATTGTCCAAGTTCTTTTCCATACCACTAAGTAGCATGAGCAAAATGGCTTTCTTGATGTAATCGTGTCCGTGAATACTGGGTGCCAGAGACTGTGACAGCAGCTCAAAGACATTCTTCTTCTTCGCAATCTTGTTGATGTTTCGAATGTCCGTGTCTGTAATGGTGGCCTGGGCAATACCGCCGCCGGACTTGGACGATAGCTGAATGATGTTGTTGGCCATCACAACTGTGCGGAATGTCGACGAGCCGGAGCTAGCATTACGATTTCCAAGGGAGCGGTAGATTCCCACCAGCTGGATTCTGTCTCCTGGCTTGGCCTTGTCGACTAGGTCGTCATCCAGAATAACGTCAACACTGCGGGGAAGCTGACCGGCCGGAGCTCGCTCGGGCATTTCTTGGATCGAGATTGACTGGTGGTCCATGTAGGTCGAGTAGCCGTATTCGGTGATAAGCTACACATGATTGTCAGACAGGCTGTGACGGATTCTTGACCATATATCTTTTTACTCACGGGGTTCTTGTCTTCATCCTCCTGAGGGTAGACATTCAAGCTTGTCGCACCGCTGGCGGTCATGGTCTGATCCCGATATTTTCTGGCTAGGAAACGATCCTTCTTTTCGCTGTAGTGAACACTCTGAATCACCTTGGGTCGGACCAAGGAGCATTTTGTCACAATTCCTTCCAGGGATATCATGCGGTTCAAGTGCTGGGATCCTAGTGTGCGTGGGTTGCAAGAAAATTCTCCGAAGGCACCAACATATGCGCAGTAGTAGTTCTGTTGGAAAGACCTATTAGCAACCAATCATTCCCGCCTTGATATCTCAAACACATACTACTTCATCCGCAGTCTCCTTGGCTGGTCTGCCGGGTAAGGTCTTCACCACTTCTTTCAAGGCCCGGTCGAAGGCTTCCGAATATTCAAAAGGGGAGGTGAGAAGCCTATCACAACTGAATTAGGAAATCGTTGACCATAGAAAGAGAGACTTGTTGAACTTACCCCTCGGCCAGCTCCCGGTTGTGTGCTCGGAGCTCATCGATGCTAACCTGCGGGATTCATCAGTATCCCATCCCACTACCCAAGGAGAAAATCAACGCACCGTCAAACGGCGCATTCCTCGGTTCAGCATCACCACAATATCTGCTCGATAGCTAATTGATATGGTCAGAGCAATCACATCGAACTGTGTTCCTGATTGACTAACCTGCGCGCCCGTGCATCGCCTGAATAAAAAAACCAATTGTAAGCTGAAACATCCAGACCAATCCCATTTTTTGATGATACTTACTGGGATCAAGGAATTCAATGGCAGCGCGCACGCGATCCTGCGCGGCCTCATCTCGTAGTTGAACGCCTTCCATGGTGTCAGGGTTGTGTCTGGTATGGTTGTGGGAAGCACCCGAGTCGAGGAGGTCGGAAGGGAAGGATGGGAAGTGCGTGGATCCCGATCGGGTAAAATTGAAACGCGTTAACAACACCGGCACGCGTTCGCGTTTGCTTATGTCATCGGCGCGGGGCCGTCCTCACGAGTTTCCTGACGGTTTCCAGTGGCGCCTCCCTATAAGCTTACCTTTCAAGGTTGAGAGGGCTGTTATAATTTGGATCTAGGTAATTACTACTGAACAGATCAAAGAATTTAAAGTTTGGGAGAGGTTGCAACCAAATTGTATGCAAAAATGGGGTGTTGTACATTGGATCTATACAGATGGTGTAGTATACAGGAAAAGGCTCAAAATCAAGAAATAAATATGTACATGAGAGAAAGGTCGTTCAAAAGACCTCTTCTACGGGTGCTTTACACCGATGAGATGGTCTCATCAAACCATTCTGAGGACTCCGGCCGTTAGAAGCCAGTCTACGGCCGGTTAAAAAGATCCAGTGGTTTGCCCTGCGATCGGGTGCTGTTAGATGGTTGTTTTTTCGGGACACTTGGTTTCGTTGCTTGCTTAGATTCGCCTGGATAGCGATCTTGGCTTTGCAAGTCCAGCAAATCTGCCGGAGAGAGGATATTGTCCCACCCTTCTTTGCTGAAGGCTGCACGCTCGTGAGATTGTTTGACAAGGCCCGTTTTCCGATTGGGCTTGTCTATTGTCTGCGTGGATTTGCTGGTAGCATGTCGTTCATTATCGTTCACATCGACCTGCTCGACCCATTCGACCAATTCAACCTCATCCACCTTGCCTTGGTGGACGAAGGTTGCACGTTGAGTACGACCACCAGGCCCAAGGACACCACCAGGGGCAGAGCCTAAAGCAGAGGGCAACGGTGCCTTGTCATGGTCCGGTTGCTCTCCACGCTGTCGAAGAACAACACCCTGGATCCTGTCGCGCAGATAGGGCATTTTGATGATCGCATCAATCGTCCTGGGCGCTGTAATAGAAAGTTTATCGAGTTCATGGCTGCCCTTCACAATGGTTGCGCTCCGAATGCGTTCCCAAGCAGCAGCAAGGTAAACAATCACATTATATGTGGGCTGCATGTAATCCGGGGACACATTCTTCCAGTATTTGGCCGCTTCCTTCCCGAGGTAACGGCCAGACTGTAGGGGGGTGCGTTTGTCTTCGATCAGGGATAGGCTCCTTGGGGTCCCGGAAGGCTTCAGCGATTGGCCTCGGATAAGTCGATTCCATCCAGGCCAGTTAGGCATGAAGTAATCCTCGAACATCCGGAAAGCTTCAACTATGTGATCAAATTTAACGGAAACCGCAAGCATCTGCACAAGGGCGGACCGATTGAAGGTTGACAATTCAAAACCAGCTGCCTCAACCTCGGCCACGACTTCAACCATTCGTTCAAGCTTGTGCTGGTGAGCCAACGATCGCAGGAAAAGAGAAAGGGATCGAGAAAGGATGAAGCGGCGTGAGTGGATGATTTGATTGTTCTTCTCGCCGGGCGATTCTTTTGGAACAGATTTAGTCTGCTCGTGTCCAGAGGGACCAGAGACGGCATTTGGGATCGATGCCGAAGGCTTGAAAATATCATGCATCTTCACTTGGCTAGATGTCTTTATTGCATTCGAAAAAGCAAGTTGCCAACACTCTCCCACTTCTTTGTATTGTTCGGCATTCAGATGTGCAGACATCATAGCATTCACAAGGCGGAGTGGCGCAGAGAGAAAGCCTGAACCTTGTGAGCTCGCAGGTGCCGTGCTAGACAGCTGTCGCTGGTACAGCTCACGGGCCATGGATACGGCACCGGTTGCGCCATATTCCCGGATAAGGTACTCATAATGCCAGGAACCAAAAGCCTTTGCTAAAGACTCCGTTCGGCCTTTGGATGAATTGAGCATGCTTGCGAGCGCAGTAGTATCACACCGAGATATTGAGTCGATAAGCAGTATCTCGAGATTCTTAATACGCTTCTCAGCATTGGCCATCTTGTCATCTTTTGGGTTCGATCTCTTCGTCCAGTAGTCGGGAGGCATTTCTGCCTCGAGGTTCACAAGGCTGGACTCCAACCCGGAATGATTGAATCGCTCAAGCATCTCACGAAATATGATCTTCACCATTGTGAATTGTCGGGTTTTGATATATCCAAGGATCAAGATAGCGTAGTGAAGCTCAGTGGCTTGTAAGACCCCTCGCTTATGATTTCGCCTTAGGGTCATACGCGCCTGGTCGGGTTGGCTGACCAAGACCAGGCGGAGCAGATCAGCTGCATATGTTACCTCGTCTGGCCGTAATCCAGCTTCTCGCATAAGAGAGCAGACTCGGTAGAAGGAGTGGTGGTCAATCCTGAATGCGTATTGCATCAGAAGTGTGTTCCACATGCGCATTGGAGATCCCTCCACCTTGAGCTCTAAGCACGTTATAGCAAGCTTTTCAGCTAAATCCAACCGCCCGTTGCTGATGTATGCCTGAGCAACTGTACTGAGCATTGTCATTGTGATGGTTACCCGTTGCTTTTCTGCCTCGCGGAGCAGTGCGCGAACACCTCCAACGTCTCCTTTGTTTGCGCATACTCCCATCATGATGCCAAATGTGTGCGAATCAGGTCGTATTTTAGCGCGAATCATCTTGGAGAATTGGAGAAAGGCTCCTTCCGAATCGTCGTTGTTTGCATATGCCGTGACAAGGATATTCCAGCACACCGTATTTGGCTTGAGATGAAACTCCTCTGACAGTCTTCGAAATTGCTTGACGGTCTCAGGGACGTCCCCAACACTTGCGTGGGCATACAGAAGTGGGGTCACCAGCCTGCGGCTTTTTGGCTTGCCATAGTCAGCCACAAGCTTATTAAACACAATATTGACTTGCGACACTTTCCCAGCGCGACCGAGGAGATTCAGAACGTCTCTATAGGTCTGCATGGATGGTTTGTCATGAAAGTGAGCAACTTCATCAAGGAAAAACAGGATACTGTCAGTCAACTCGTATTTGACAAGAAGTTCCAACTGACGGTTCCACAACTTTTTGGGGAGGCGCTGTTTTGGATTGCGATCAAGGAAGGCCCGCATTTTTTGGTAGAAGATGATTGAGCGGGCAAAGTCTAATTGCTTCGTTGATGACTGGAGGGATTCCATGATGTTGACATGATGTTGCAGACTCATGATATTCAAACCATCAGACACCTCCATGAGAGGAATGAGAATATTCATCGAAGTACCTGTGAGCAACTCAGAGGATTTTGAAATGCGCGTTAAAAGTGATTGCACGATTTCTCGGCGGAAAGCTCCTTGAGCAGTGAGCTCGCTTGCTTCCTCTTCAACATAGACTGCCAACGCAAGCGCGTATTCGGGGAGTTTCGGGTTGAGTGAAGCGGTTGATAAAATCTCTTGTTTTCCTTCTCTTTTTCCGTCAAAAGACTTCCACTGGGAATGAAAGGCCCATATCTTCTCTGCGTTGACCCAGTCACGTTGGTTTAAGAAGTACGAAAATGCCAATGCAAAACAAAAACCGGCGTTTCCCTTCGCAACAGCCATTTCACAAATTCTCACCAGATTCTCAGGTTTTCCGCAACGAAGCTGGGAATGGATGATCTTTTGGAAATGGTCATGGGTACATTCTTCCGATGACAGATGTTGGAAAAGATCCCACGCCCGCTCCACATCGGCCGGTCTCTCTGACAAGCTTAAAAAAGCACAAAGTGAAGCACGAACGTCCAGGGGGCACCCAGCTGCGAGGTAGAGCACCCAGACTCTGTCAGATGAAAGATCTTTTTCTGGTGAATTCAAAAGCATCCAAAGGTCATCAATCGGCCTTCTGTTCGGAATGGTCGCATCTGCCACATCCGCATCCTGCTGAAAAGACGGCTGGTGTGCCTTTGGCTCACCTTGAGGGTGTTGCTGAAGACTCGAGGCGGTCGAATTTACCACTGTTGCCGACATGGGTTCGATACACGCATCCGCCACATTCTGCTGTAAATAGCGCTCGCGTGGTTTGTGCTCATATTCGGGTTTTTGTTGAAGACTTGAGGCTTCCGAGGCATATGTCCTTCGGGGGTTGGCGAGTGTCCTTTTCCTCCGACGCAACCCCGGTCTCCTGGGCAGACGAGATGCCCGAAGGGCCACAAATTCCTGGGTCTTCTGGGGATATAGGAAGTCAAGGAACGGGGAGGCGATGTCGTTTGCGCTTGAACTTCGAGGTGGAGGATTATGAACGGATGACAAGTGTTGACCCGGCGGCTGTGTGAGGGCTAGAAACCAGTGGGCGGCGTCTCTTCCTGAGGTATTGTGTTTCCAGAAGTGATGGCATAAAGACCTTCTGGTTCGTATTGCGCCATTAGGATCTCGAAAGAAACGCCGACCCGCGGTCTCCAAGCCGCTGGCAGCACGTTCGAGCATTACCCCCGATCGTCGCTGCTTCGATCACTGAAATCACCGGAATTGATATACAGTCTGCATCATATTGTACCCGAGTGACCTATTGGTTCAAAGTAAGAGTCAGTCGCCAATTCTGCTAGGGAGTTTTCAAGAAACAACCGTTCAAACAAGCTGTTTGGAAAGCATCTTGACCTACCCGGGAAAAAAAGAGAACGCGAGCCACTCCGTGTGAAAACTGCAGGTCTTCGCCTTCGCGTACTGTAATAAATGATGACACTGTGCAGAGACCACTGATTGTCAATTACCGGCCACCAGTGAAGGGAATGGAGGGAAAGCAATGAAGTTGAAGCTTCGGCAACAAAAGATTTGGCGTTGGAAAAAGCCGGGCACGTTAGCCCATATTCCTCGTTTGCCCACCGCCTTCGTCGCAACCCACCAACCTGTCTTCCATTAGGTGGCCGAATACCTCCCCAACCGGATTGCCGCAACAAGAGGTATGGAGATCACTGACTATATCTTCAAGGAGCGAGAGGAGGTGCTCCTTGTTGGGGATTACAATGCTTATCGGGCCCATGCCACTCGGAAGCTGCACAAACTCCGCAAGAAGCTGGGTCAGGCCACTGCCAAAGGCCGCAAGTACACTGCTAAACCAGCCGTGACGCCTGAGAATATTGGAGACAATGTAGCGTATGGAATCCTTTTCTTTTTTTGCTTTTGTATACATGATGCTGACTTCTTTTCGCTGTATATAGATACGTGCACCTCTTGCTTCTCGGGTCCGAACGAGCATGGGCTCAAGCCATGCATATGAAATCGACACACTCTGCAGACCCATCGGCCAAGGGAATTTCCGGTGCTGCTCGACGTCACATTATTTCACGTTTGAATAAGGCGACTGGCTACGCACAGCACCTTGTTGCTCTTCTGCATGAGCAATCGGTCTCTGGTGCCAGTGACATTGACATTCTTGAGGCACGTGCTTACCTTGCCACAATCTCGGGTGCTTTGTGTCTGGAGAAGCGTAAATGGGAACAATGTCTTCGTGACTACGCCATTGCAAGGGTTATCTACACGGCCCTTGGACAACAAGTCAAAAAGGATGCCTTCCGAGACCTTCTTACCGGAACTGTTGACCCCAGCTTGCGCTACGCCGCCTATCAAATGAAACTCCCTCGCTCAAAGCCAACATCGTCTCTAGCGATTGAATTCTTCCCGTCCAATTCGGAGATTCGGTCCGAGGTGGAAAAGTTCGACCCTTCCTGCCTTGCCGAGGAAGCAGCAGGAACACGGCGAACAGCCGAAGGTGAAGTGCAGAAACTACCCGAGTCTGTCACCTGGAGGTCTCGTACGGTTCCTTTGGACGATGCGTCGATCTCCCAAGCATTGGCCGCAGCCTCCGCTGCGGAAGCTCTGCTCGCTACTTGGTTGAATGAGGCAGGGCGATCTGCCACCGCCAAGGATCAAGCTGCTGCGTACGACAATGTGATCATTGCCAGCCAGGATGCGGTTGACGCGACCAAGACTGCTATTGATGACCTAGCCAATGAGGGTGTGGATGCTGGAGACAAGAGAATGCAGGCCTTGCAGATTACTCGCACCTCGGTCAACTATAGTCTGATCGGATGGCGGGTTGGCCGTAATCGGGTGCTGTGTGGTGGAAAGTATGGTCTGACTTTTGGGGATGAGCAGGCCTCTGCCAACAACAAGGCCTCGAAGCAGAATGGCGGAAATGGCAAGAAGCTGAACCGACTCCGTGAACGGGTGGTGCTTTATGACTCAACCCTGCAAAGTTTGGATTTCATCCTCGAATTGCCCGGTGTTGCGGCCGATTCGGCCTTTGTTCAGGACCTCGAAGCAAAGCGAGGCTACTTCCGCGCTCTCAGGTATGTGCTTACATGTGTGACATCTATTTATTGATATTCTTGGCTAACGCGCTTTACAACCAGATGTTTGGCCTTGGGACGCTCTCATGCTGTTCTTGGCAAGCCTACTGAAGCCCTGGCACTCTTTGCGCACGCCTTTGATCTTGTCCGGTCGGAGACGTCACTATCCTCTGTTGAGTCTGACGGACCCCCACGACTGGAAGTTTCTCGGGCACAGGTGAGTGCCTTGGCGACTGTCCTCCAAGAGTTGGTTGCCCAGTACCGTGGCCTCGTCACGCTAGAACGATTCGATACCGATTCCGGCGCATCTCAACAACGGCCTCTGGTTGAGCGCCTGCACCAATTTGGAACGGGAGCAGACCTGAAAAACTTGGTGCCTTACCCGCCGCAGATGCAGCCTGTCCCTGTGAAACCCCTCTTCTTGGATGTGGCATGGAACTACATCGATTATCCACGTAGCACGAACGCGCCTACGAACACAGACACGATCGCGCAAGCAGCCGCTCCTGCGCCCGAAGAGAAGACCAGTCGAGGCTGGTTTGGCTTTGGTCGGTCATAGAGATAACACCCCTACTATATTCAAGCTCACTTTATGCAAATTCAATCACATATGGCACATCTTTCCAAGGCTGCATATTTGTACCACATAAGGTATATCCGGAACTTCCGTATATCAGGGGGTCCTTATCGTGCACGTGCCACATAAGCCCTTGTTTCGTGTAGACCAATCAGCGATCTCGGAACTAATCTAGCCGAGTCAGGCTATGGTTGATTCTGATGACCAAAAGTCATGTCCAGATCAAGAATGCATAAAATTATGGAGTGTAACCTCTTTGACGATATTACATATGTATTGCGGAGTAGGAAAGCCGATCTTTGCTGGAGTTCTGCCGGGGAATCAGGTGTGATAGGATCTACTCCGTACTACGAGGTATAAAAAAAGTAAAAAAAAAAATTCTTTCCAAAGTTCTTACTTGCATTGTATGGGAGTGAGTAATAGTTCGAAGCCAAAAATGGTTAGAGATATAAGATGATAATAGCATTTGTTCGAAGCGCATCAAATCAGTGAACAAAGTGCAATAAATTAATCAATAATCATGCCATAGCAACCAAAGATGTGGGACAGCGTGCATCCGGGCCCCGGAGTGGAAATTGGCGCCGGCATTATTGGCGTTCCCGCCCCTGACCAATTTCGATTTCGATTTCTTCCCCTCTCCACTCCTTCAGTCTTGTTCGCGGGATTCCCCTTTTCTTTTTGGTCTTAAGAAATCTTCAGAAAAGGTCCCTTCTCCGGTGACCTTGTTAGACATCATGGTCAACATCACTGGGAGCTTTATCTCGCCTTCGGCCGACGCGACGGTCTCTCCCCAATTCATCGCGTCGGCGGGAGTCTTGGCTTCTGTCCTTGATGGCTTCACTATCTGGAAGCTGTTGGGAACTTTGTTCATTGCGGCCGTCATTTACGATCAGTGTGAGTGCGCTTATTGTCCGAGGTTTTTTAAAATCCTCTCATTGGACTTTTTTTTTTTTGCGAATACCACTAACAACCCCTTTTACAGTCAAATACCACTACTACAAGGGCTCAATTATTGGTCCTGCATACAAGATTCCCTTCATGGGACCATTCTTGGAGTCTGTCAATCCCAAGTTCACCGAGTACAAGGCCAAATGGGACAGCGGCGAGCTGAGCTGTGTGTCTGTCTTCCACAAGTGAGCAGCCCCGGACAGAACATCTAGATGGATCTTCGACATGCAATGCGCATATTATATGCAAAGTGTCTGGAATTTATTTCATTGACATCTGAATACTGACTATTCCCCTTAGGTTCGTCGTAATTGCGTCAACTCGTGACATGTCCCGCAAGATCTTCAACTCGCCCGCATACGTGAAACCCTGTGTCGTGGATGCCGCACACAAGCTTCTCGGTAAGGACAACTGGGTGTTCTTGGATGGTAAGGCGCATGTCGATTACCGCAAGGGTCTCAATGGCCTGTTCACCCGCCAGGCTTTGAGCATGTACCTTCCTCGCGTCGAGGAGGTCCTGAACGACTCTTTTAAGCGCTTCATGGAGAAGTCCGCGGCCCTGAAGCACGAGCCCACTCCCTGGATGTCCGACTTCCGTGAGCTCATGACTGCTCTTTCTTGCCGCACTTTCGTCGGCTACTACATGTCCGATGAGATCGTCCAGAAGGTCGCCGATGACTACTACTTGATCACTGCCGCGCTGGAGTTGGTTAACTTCCCTATCATCTTGCCCTACACCAAGACTTGGTATGGCAAGAAGGCTGCTGACATGGTCATGGCTGAGTTCGCCAAGTGCTCCGCCAAGAGCCGAGCCCGCATGGCAGCTGGTGGTGAGGTTTCGTGTATCATGGACGCCTGGGTCAAGGCCCAGCAGGACTCTGCCGCTTACCGTGAGAAGATCGCCAAGGGTATTCAGGTTGATGACTCGGAGAAGCCTCCTCAGGTTCTGCGTGACTTCAGTGACTTCGAGATTGCCCAGACTATCTTCACCTTCCTTTTCGCCTCGCAGGATGCTACAAGCGCCGCCGCTACTTGGCTGTTCCAGCTCATGGCCGATCGCCCAGAAGTCCTGGACAAGGTTCGTGAGGAGAACCTCCGTGTCCGCAACGGTGACCGCAATGTTCAGATCTCTATGGAGATCCTGGATGAAATGCCTTACACCCGTGCTGTTGTCAAGGAGACCCTGCGCTACCGTCCCCCCGTCATCATGGTTCCCTACCTCGTCAAGAAGGACTTCCCTATCACCGACAAGATTACCGTATCCAAGGGCTCCATGATCATTCCGTCTGTCTGGCCGGCCACCCACGACGAGGAGGCCTACCCCAATGCTGACTCGTTCGACCCGGACCGTTGGATCACCGGTGATGCCGAGGCGCAGACCAAGAACTGGTTGGTCTTTGGCACAGGTCCCCACTATTGCCTGGGGCAGACTTACGCTCAACTGTCGCTTATGGCCATGATTGGCAAGGCCAGTATCGAAATGGATTGGGAGCACACCCCCACTCCTCTGTCTGAGGATATCAAGGTGTTTGCCACCATCTTCCCCAAGGTATTTTTTCACTTTAATTCTTCTGCCATTTGGTTTCCTCCAGAATCTAACAAGTTTTCTCAGGACGACTGTCTCCTTACCTTCCGCCCTCGCGCTTAAGTTATGAGCTCTTTGAAAGTAAAAACCAAAAGCCATGAAGCTGGAACCACGCCCCAACCTCTGGATAGAAGGGCTAGGTCATCCAGCTTGGCCTTTCTGTCCTGGAGATAGAGGGCCAGTTCACTTCACCCTTTCTTTTTCTCAATTTCGACTTGGCGGGTTAGGTAGCACCATGGGTGGAACGAAGAAAAGTCCATGGTTGTCTTACACTCAACTCCCAGTTGAGAGGGCGCCTGGAAACATGATACCCAGTCCTCGTACCATGCGCATTCCTGGGCTTTCGCGTTTCTCCTATGACTGGAGCAACCCTACAGCCACTCACATAGAATAATATTAATCATCTTTTTGTATTCTTATTCAACTTTAAATAGTATAGCTCCGAATGTGCCAAATGACCCAGTCCCATGCTGCTCTCAACGTTAATTACTCCTCGATATGGCCCTGCATATCCACATCGCCATTTCTCAGACTCTCTCTGTTCGTAAAAAAATGACGAAGAATTCCCTTCTTCCTCGCAAGCATCACATGCCCCTCTTGATCCTCCCCTTTCTGATAAACACCAAAACCCTGAATATCATTCTCATCGAAAAAGCCCCAGTCAAGATGTTCATCCGATATAGTAATCTGCACTTCCTCCGCAACCTCTGCAATGAAAGTGTAACTAGCTATCCACGACTCTTTGTGCCAAAACGCCGTTCTGTACACGAGTGGCAAGACGGCGCCAGGTGAGATATGCACCCCCGCCTCCTCCTTGGTCTCACGAAGCGCAGTTTGCATAATAGTGTTATCTTTTCCAGGCTCATATCCTCCACCAGGTACCTCCCAGCTTCCGCCCCATGAGCCATCATGTCCTCGCTGGATTAGGAGAACTTGTGGCTTGGCTGAGTTGGTTGTTTGACGGAAGACGATGAAGCTAGCGGTAAAGCGGCCAACGTTGGGGTTATTTTCTTGGAGGGCGGGGAAGGGAATGTCAACTTCTTTGAGACTCAAGACAAGCGGCTCCGTTGTTGGATCATTGGAGAGGGGTGTCATTGTCAATATCACTAAGTGAAGCAATTGTGTAGGGCGTTGTCTATAGAGCCACGAGTGTGTTGACAAACCCCCTTCGGGTAGTTCGACACCTGAGCGAAATGGCAACATCAAGTCAAAGCCCAAGGTCACTCAACTGGCACCTGACTCACTATCTAGGTGTCTATTGCTTTAGATATAGAAGACCTATAGACTGTTTGCTGTTGGTCACTGTCTGAATCCCTGAAATGTATGTTTGGTTTCGTTTTGGCTCTTCATGATGCCCTTTCAGCCTGCAAGTATATTTTCCACAAATGGCGTCTCATTATGCTTATCGTTTCCACGGGTAGGCCTCTTCCGCAATATGCTTGGATGTCTAACGAGTCCATGGATCGGACATGATATATTCTAACGGCTCAGTCATCACACACATGGACGACCTAATCCACCAGATTCGCTCTCATTCTAAATGATCTTGAGAATCTTTAGCTTCAGAAAGTCCATCATTGTAACAGTAAAACTAGACGGACCAACAAAATAATGGGCACGTCTGCTGTACATGAATATACTATAGTGAATGATCCATATCCCAACCAAGCAGGCGGTGGCAACCGGCACTGACATCACTACCTCAACCATGAACCATCCAAATGTCCATATATCCGCCGGGTCTTCTCAACATAAAAGACAATGGCAGCATTACCATCCGCGATGCGGCGCTCAGTCGCTACTCTCTCCTCAACAGCCCTCAAAGCCCCTGCCCGCCAAAACATAAGCAAGGTCTTCCAAAAAGCACCTCTCTCCGCAACCAACCGAGGCATCACTTCCCTATCGTCTAGACGCGGTACCATTGCGCCCACGAATGGATTGAGCTACAAGAACCAGAAGCAGGACTCATCACGTCTGCTCGGTCAAATCCGGTGGAATAGCGACGAATCCGGAAGCTTGCGACAGTGGGGATTCGAAGATGTATGTGCGCCATGACAGCCGAGGTTCTTAGAGCTACTTGCTTGCACCTTGCATCTCCACAAGTTATCAGTGTTAATATATTCCATGACTAGATCAACACCGCTCTTCCTAGTGCAAATGTCTCCTCTCCAACTCACACACCCCTCCTAATCGACGTCCGTGAACCCGCCGAGCTGAACGCTACCGGAATCATTCCCACGGCTATCTGTATCCCGCTCGCTTCCCAGCCCGATGCGCTCTACCTTACCGCCGATGAATTCGAGACCCGCTTTGGGTTCCCCAAGCCGTCTGTGAGTCAGGACCAGAAGATGGTGTTTTACTGCAAGGCTGGTGTGAGGGCTCGGGCTGCTGCGCAGTTGGCCGTGCAGGCGGGGTATGATCCTGAGTCTATTGGAGTTTATGATGGAAGTTGGTTGGATTGGAAGGATAAGGGGGGCAAAGTTGAGACCTGGGAGGGAGGTGATTTTTGATCATTGCTTTTGATACTCTGGATATTACGAAGTTTGATCTGGAGAGGAGGAAGTGTACATACTAGTGCCTCGGAATTTGATCAAGCGAAGACTACAGTTAGGAATTGTAGGATAAGCAGATTGAATCTAAATAACGTTCATTAAAAAAAGCAAATATAAACCAAAAGAAATCTGTAGACCAGGTTCCTTATCTTCCCATGTCATTCATGTACAGGCGACCTTTTCTTTTTGCCTAGTCGTGGTCGTTCCATGATATGTCCATATCATAATCAAAAACACAAGAACTTTTTTCGCTTTTGGACGGTCATAGTCATATTTAGCACTTAATTTTGTGCCAACAATTTCATAAGACATACCACATCAGGTCCAATAAACCAACTAGAGGCGGTGAGGGTCAGGAAGTAGCAAGGTTCACGCGAGAAAAGGCCAGCCCGGAGGACGAGATGGGAACGTATATGAACATCCGATGATGGGATGTTCTCGTATCACCTGTGAAGCTGGAAGCTGGAAGCCTCACGCTCAAGGAATGTCGAAAACGGGCTTGAGCTTCTTGACAAGACCCCACTCCTCCATAGTGACCTCGGCGCGGTAGAACTCCTTGAGAGTGTCGATACTGGCACGGGAGATGACAGAGTACAGTTGGTCCTTCTCTTCAAGCTGACGGCCGTACATGGGCTGGTTGGGACCCTCGACCTTGACGGCGACTGAGGGCTGACCCTTCTTACAGACGGGGATAGCCTTGTGATCACGCTCAATAGATGTCCTGTGCGACAACGCTAGTTAGCAGGTGAATGATAGTGATTGATCAGAAAAACCTTACACTCGGCCAATGTTAACGATTTCCTTTTTGCCCTCGGCGTTGGTCCGAACAGCGGCTAGTGGTGTGTGCATCCGCAAACTACCCTCAATGACATCGATACCAATGACAATAGGATCCTTCTTGTTGAAGACAGCAACAGGGCTGATCACACAGGGGAAGACAGCAAGCAACTTGCTCTCCTCCTTACGCTGCTCAGTCAGCTCCGCCATGTGCTTGGTGAAGTCGTCGAACAGGTGATAAATAATGTCGGCAGTGAAGATCTTGACGCCGACCTCAGCAGCGTAGGCAGCAGCATCCTTGTCAACCTTGACGTCGAAGCAGAGCATGACTGCGTACTCCTTTGCCTTCTCCAACATAGTTCCAGCCATCATAACGTCACGCTTGAAGACGGGACCAATGGAGATGTTGGCCACGGGAATCTTCGACACCTTCAGGAACTCCAGAAGGGCCTCCAGGGAACCCAGGGTGGAAGCCTGTACAGTGACACCACGGTTATCGGTGGAGACACGGCTGAGGAGGTTTTCGAGATCAGACATGATCTCGTCCTCCAGGTCCTCCTCGTCATCATCAGGACCCACAACCAACAGACGGGAACCAGCAATAGCGTTCTCCAGATCGTTGGCCGCGATCTTGACACCCAGCGCGGCCTTGACCTCCTTGTTGTGCACGTACTGAGACTTCAGACGTAGTTCCTTGAGTGGTGCCGGTGTTAACAGAGCTCGAATGTTGGTTGTGATAGCACCATTCAGACCGCACAAAACGATTCGGTCACCCTCGCGCAAAATACCGTTGGACAAAACAACGTCAATAGTAGTACCAAGACCTTCAATGACCTTGACCTCCAGAACGGTACACTCGACCTCAGACAGGTACATCAGGGAGTTGGTCATACGCTCCTGGGAAAGAGTGGTGAGAAGCTTCAGCATGTCAGGGATACCCTCACCAGTGTGAGCGGAAGTGGGAACCAGGGACACATTGCGGGCCATGGACTTGTTCTCGAAGAAGAGTTCGGAGTTGAAACCCTGCTCGGCGAAGGCGAGCTTGGTGGCCTCCAGACGAGTGCGGAACTCGTTCTGGACACCCTTGTTCTGCATCGACAAACTGTCCTCGAAACCATTGTTGTCAATCTTCTTCCAGCCATACAGACGATCGATCTTGTTGAGGGCTACGATGAAAGGAGTCTTGCGGTCACGCAGCAAGCGCATGGATTCCAGAGTCTGGGGCTCCAATCCGTGCATGATATCGACAACCAGAATGGCAATGTTGCAAAGGGAAGAACCTCTTGAACGCAAGTTCGAGAAAGACTCGTGACCAGGGGTATCAATGATCAAGAGACCAGGGACCTTGAACTCGAACTTGCCATCCTTGTTCACAACGGCGGTCTTCTGCTTCAGGGCATCGACGGGGAAGTAAGTAGCACCAATCTGCTGTGTAATACCACCAGCTTCACCCTCCTGCACATTGGTCTGACGAATCTTATCCAGGAGCTTGGTCTTACCAGTATCGACGTGACCAAGAATACAGCAAATAGGAGAACGCAAGTTGTCCTTGGAGCGAGCCGCAAGAGCCTCCTCGTGCAGCTTCTGTCTCCGATCAGCAGCCTCAGCCTTCCTCTGGGCAATGGCTCGTTGGTTAGCAGACTGCTCCTCATCCTCGGAGGAAGAGTCATCATCGGAATCTTCATCGGAGTCATCATCAGAATCCTCTTCTTCTCCTTCCTCTTCCTTCTTCTCCTCGGCAGCACCATTGGCAGCAGGCTTCTCCTCTTCGTCATCGGTAGGAGCGTCCCAGCTGTCCTTGACATCGTCATCATCCTCTGCGGCCTTCTCCCAGTCATCGACGGCATCATCGTCCTCGGCAGAAGCCTGAGCAGCAGCGGCCGCAGCTGCGGCTTCAGCCTTGGCCTTCTCCTCAGCCTCCTTTTTCTGGCGCGCTTCCTCGGCCTGAAGACGGGCACGTTCGGCAGCAGCTTCAAGATCGATCTCCTCTTGTTTCTTGCCACCCTTCTTCTTGCGGTTCTCGTAAACAGGGCGCTTCTTTTCGGTACTGCCCTCCTCAAGACCAGCAACCTTGCCAACACCGGCAGCAAGCATCTGCTGCATGCGCCTCTCATTGCGCTCCTTGGCTTCCTTTTGGGCCTTGGTAAGAAGCTTACCCTCCTTGCGCAGCTGCTCCTTCTTCTCACGTTCACGCTCCTTCTTCAAGGCGCGGGCCGCCTCGCGCTTAGCTTCCTCCTCGGCATCCAAGCGTGCCTGCTCATCAGCAGCCTTCTTCTCTTCCGCGGCGATGCGCTCTTCCTCCTCACGCTGCAGGCGAAGCAGCTCCTGCTGCTTTTGAAGAGCAGCAAGGTGGGGCGGAAGCTTCTTCTTCTTGCCTCCAGTTTCGACAGCAGGAGCCGCGGCAGCGGCCTCTTCTTTCTTGGCTTCAGCGGCGGCCTTAGCGGCCTCGGCCTTGTCCTGGGCGGGTGTAGACTTCTTCTTCAAGGCAGCCTGGTAACGGATAGAGCATTGGTTAGGAATTATTCAGTAAGTCATAGACAAGAATCCTGTGAGACATACCTGCTCCTTCTTTCTTTGCTTCTCACGCTCTTTCTTCTCCTTTTCCTTCTCCTTTTTGGACTTGACGCGGAATTCTCCCTCTTCAGGCTCGGCAGCTGGAGCTGGAGCCACCTTGATGGGCTTCTTAGGCTTGCCAGCAAATACATCGTCCTCGTCAAAGTTACCCTCCTCGGGCTGCTTGCTAGCAAGATCGGTAGCAGGATCAGCAGCATCCTCGCCCTCAACAAAATCGTTGGTAGGCTTGCCCTTCTTCTTCTTCTTTTCCTTGTTCTTCCGCAGAGCAGCCATCAGACCACCAACGGGGGCTTCTTCGCCATCCTCAGCACCATCCTCGGTTTGATCGTTGGTGGGGGTATCAACGGTAGGAGCCGTCTCGCCGAGCTCAGCCTCCCAGTCCTCGTCCTGGCGCTTGTTTCCCTTCTTCTTGGGAGCCATCGTGTCGGATGTAAGGTGGTTTGTGGGTTTTGTCTTTTTGCGTTCTTCGGATTCCGGATCGGAGGGCGATCGGAGGGACGCAGTGGGCGCACAAACGGAGCTAACCGTTCACTTGCGGGATGTAGCCGGTGAGTATGGACTCGCGACCACGTAATTTAGAAAGGGAACTGAGAAAATAGTGTTCCAGTTCCTTTAAAACCCGAATCCCCAGAAAAGAAAGGCGGAATTTGGTGGATCGAGGGAGGGTTGAGGAGAGAAAAAGAATTTCGGGAAGAATCACTTTTGGTGGGGAAACAATGCAGTCTGACTTCACGTCTAATGTTGCCACTTAATCGTTCCACTAGAAGTATAAAAGTATGGCCCCAATTATGCATTCAACAAGATTCAAATTTACGCCATTTACATGCACCTTTTATCGCTCAATTTTTTTGGGATTCCTATTGAAGTCTCACTAAAGTTCAAAATTCGAAGCTCTTTCCCATGGTGCTCTTCCGCATATCAGATCACCGGGATCAGATAGTGATATCGAGCATCTTTCGCAGCCAGGAGATGACTGCTTCGACAGACAAATTTCCTACAGCCTGGAGCGCAAGTCGGTTGAAAAGTTCCCTAACAGCATTCGAGTCCAACGATGTAATGATATTTTCAAGAAAATCCGGCCCACGGTTTGACAGACGAGTAAGGATATCACCATCTATATGAGGAGCAGTCAAGTCATGGGGGTTCCTTCGCCGCAGCTGTTTAGGAGCAGACGGGCAAATGGTATCGACCTTGTAACAGATGTTCTGCAGGAATCTCAACAGTTTCAGTTCATCTGCGTTGGGCAGAACAAACCGGTAGATAGAGCCAAGAACGGTGAATCCGTATAAACTGCTATCCATTTTATTCCCGGGAACAAAGCGCAGTACTGACTCATGAAGCTTGGCTTCCGCAATAGCGTTGGGTTGGTTGATCTTGTTGACGGTGTCCCGGCTCCATTGTGTCTCGTTAAGCGTGGTGGCACAGACTCGACCACCGCGGTGGCTCATGTAGAGGACGGGTTGGTCATCATGGGAGATCAAATGATTCAATCCGTCACGTTCTATGCGATCCCATCCGCGGGCCAACATTACAGAACTCTCATTGAGTCCTGGTTGGTTAACAATCTCCAATACTAGCCATGAATGTCGCGCAGTCAGCGTAAATATGAAGTTCCCATGAATAGAGATGGAAACCACCGCAGATGGGAGTTCTGTAGGGGCCGTTTTATGCCACGTTGTAGATGCAGCCTTGGATGCCATAGGGACCAGGAAGTTACCCGCCCCGATTATGAGACTATCTTCGTAGGCCGCCAGTGCATGGATTGGACCTTGCATTATTCGGGTGAATTGAGTCACGCAATTGATTTTGTATGGTTCGAATGGGTCTCGTCGAGGGGCAAGTAGAATGAGCCTACCCTGTTGGGGGTCATTGTGGTACAAAACCGGCATGGACGTTCCAATGGCCACCATGTAGTAGGTTTTCCCATCTCTTTCAAATGTCCAATCCAGGATGCAAGAGACTGTCTCCCCACGAGCCGACTCGGGTCTCCAACAAGGTGGATCGGAGTTATTGTGGACCACAGAGCTCTGTGAATCCGGATCCACAAATTCGATGAAAGATTTTACCGTCTTGGTGAGGGGATTTTCGGGATCCTCTACACTGGAAATGTTGTATGACACGATTAAAGCCTGGAGAATAGTCGAGTATGCCATTTTCTGTGGTTTTCCAGGCAAACCGATGCGTCGTGGAACCATCTTAGCTTCTTTGCTCAGAGAGCATACCAGAAGCTGTCGGTCTGCGAAGCAGAATAGATCTCCCAACGGAGCTCCTGCCTCTGGGTTATGTGGGTCGATAAGATCAAAACCATGGATAGAAACGGGGAAATATGCAGGCTGTGGTAAACGTTAGGTCTTGAATAACGATGGGATCTGGGTTGAACTCACATTGCTCTGATCTGTGATCCAGACCCGTCGAATGGAATACTCAGAGGGAATGCAGTCCGAACGGTATGACACATGCCATAACTCATCTCCACATGTGAGTAGAACGAACGTGCTTTTCTCTTTGAGTCGAATAGACGTTGTTCCGATTCGTTTTGCCTCCTTCTGTTGTAGTCCTGTACCCAATTTTTGTCAGCAATTAACTCCAACCCTATCTTGGACGAGATCCAACAGAATGAAAGGACGTACCGATCAAGTTGTTAGCATTGAAATCCACTTCAAATGAGACAAGCATCCCACTTCGCAATCCACAAAGGAGGAATGCGCGTAAAGTGCCATTTGCCGAAGTAGTCCGGATGGTCGCGAAGCTTTCAACGACCGTGGATAAGTCGGCATTACCTTCAAGGGTAATAGAAGTCTCGAACAAAAAGGCGGGAGCGTTGTTCTCAATCAGAAAAACGTCAATAGTGCCATCGGGGTTACCCAAGAAGAGAAATGTCATATCCCCAAATGTTTGCAGAGAAAGGCAAATGGGCTCTTTGGCAATATTGACAGGCTCACCAACATCCAAGCGAATTTCATCATCTCCGGTGACAAATATTTTAGTCATGTAGATAAATGCCTGTTCTTGATACCGCACAGCGGTAACCACTGCTGATTTTGGCCCATCAACAGCTACTGTGAGGATAGCGACCCGGTCTTTGTGCGACACACGTGTATTCAAAGAGGTGTTGTGGAGAGCGAACAGATGAGTTGCTTCTTCAGTAACCTGAATAAGAACGCCATCATGGGTGTATCCTGCAGCCAAAGTTTGTCTACTGTCCAGTCCTGTCTGTTCTTCTTCAAGGGCGATGATTGATTCGTCCATATCCTGGTTCAAGTAGAGAAGCAAGGTCGAAAGGGGATCGGAAAGTAGGATGAAAACACCACCGTTCACAACTTCAGACATAGTCCACATGTCTCGGATACTCGAAAAATCATCAAGCGGCACGTTGAAACCCTGTTGAGCCTCAAACCCCCATCGAAACTCATGGAGCGCGCCACGGTTGGCTGTGGAATCAGAGCAAGCAAAAAGACGATTACTGGCAATTCCTCCATAGGATGTACTTTGGGTCACTGGGGAGACCATGGTACCATCCCGAACTGGGGCCCAGTTGAAGAATCTTTGCACACACCTCGGGCCAGCTCGAGCCTCTTGTACAAATAGTCCGCCATCACCAGTGCTACCCGATGCCAGGATGAAGTCACCACCTTGGGAGCCCATGTCGAGGACATCAAACGCCATATCAACATCACAGTGGATCTGGCCCAGGGAAGTTTGATTTTCTAAATTTCCCTCATTGCCGAACTCCAGAAGATAAATCCAGCCGTCCTCGCGGCAAAGATAGATTCCATCATGGGACTGACTGTACAGCCAGTTGCGGGCCGGTCTTGCCCACCGAGTCCACATCGATGCGGCACTTATATCTGAGTTGGGGGCGAGGAAGGGGTATTTTGTATGGCGTGCTCCGCCATCAAGAGAATAGACTGCCATGGACGTGGTAGTAAGGACCAAAAAAGACGATTCCTTGGTCAGCGGGACGATCATGGTCGGCAACCTGTGCTGCTTGCGAAGTTTGAAATCATGTATTTCTGGCTCCTTAGCACTGAGACGTTCGTTGTCTTTCCACACATAGATCACAGCATCAGTGACACCGTCTAGTTGCACGATTAGAAGCAGCATAATGTTTTTATCGTCAGCAGTCTTGGGATAAAGAAATTCCATGAACATGATGGTTCCTTCAATTCGATAGAATTTTTCCTACATAACAAGTGTCAATGGTTGATACTCAGGAGGGAATACGAATCCAAAGTACCTCTTCGATGGGGTCCAGTGTCCCGTTAGCCATCTGCGACTGAGCTTCACGAGGAGATTTAAGCCGCATGATTCCAAAGAAGTCTTTTGGTGCACATACTGCGACAGCACGAGACCTAAACAATGATTAGTCTGTATCATGGTAGATAGAATAATATCCTTACTTTGGATCAACAGCGATGTGCTTGCCAAATCGCATTTCCAAGCTCACATTGACTGGGAATGGGCGACGAAAAGTGACGAACTCATTAGGCTTTGACGGGCAACAATAGACGAATTGCAACTCTTTCATGTCCACAGCAAGCACAAGAATCTGTGATGGACCATCATATGCAGCCTCAGATTGAATTTGTGATTCCAGAGGGAGCTCCGTGCTCACATTAAGAACCTTTGCTGCGCCGATCGAGCCTGGAAAATCTGTCTTCTCGGCCACATCCTCAAGAGAACCTGTAGGTATTGCTTCTTTAATCTGAACCCGCTTCTCTCCAACAAACACAACATCATTGTGATTCTTGTTTCTAAGACGCGCTGGTAGAATCCATTTGATCACTGGACTGGCAAGGATGGTTTGGGTGAGAATACCCGGCACCTCAGGCTCATCGAAATGAGATGGACGCGTTATAGACGCGCTGGCCATGATTTGGGCGTTGAAGTATCAAAATGACGATCGTCTGGTGGTTTTCTTTGCACGGGAAAGACCGTACGAGGGGTGTGAAGCTGCCGGAGAGGGAACAAGGGTAGGAGAGAGAAAAGGTAAATAAGAAGATCACGCAACAAGAAAATTTATAGGTATCAGACAGACGTATAGACGCTAGCCTTTGTTGGGTAGAAGTAGGATAGTTGTTGAGTACTTCACTTGTAACCAGTGGATGGTCAAAGCATTGAAATGATGATCACGTGTGTCATTTAGTAAAGAAATGCCAAGAGTATCAAGATGAATTTGAGGCTTTTCTCTTTGGCCAGACGGTTCTGGACGAAATAGATGTCTGCGTCCTGTAATGGACGATGTGGTGACTGAGACTGAGAAGATATGGCAATTTATATGCCATAGAGATGAGCCAGACCGTTTCAATCCATTGCTTATTCCACAGAGATATATGTTGTTTGACCTAGAGACCCTACAGTGATTGAAGTTAACATACACAATTCCGGTAGATTGGAGGGCTCCAATTAGAGCATGGAACCTACAGCTTTGACGCTAGAAATTGAGGATCGGCGCGATGCAACCTACGAAAAGCAACATCAAACGGACTCAGATAGAGGCATACCACTCAAGTGTATCAGTGAGATTTGGTAGATGTAGCCCAATGTAACTTGAGGTATACAGTAGCTCTAGATCATCAAGAGCTACTTCCTCCTGCGGGGTGATTGCCCGATTGCTGCGGGACCCAAAGGTCAAGGCAGCTGGGAACAAATCGGATCCCTGTATATGCTGCTGGTTCGTTTCTGTTTATGTTTTTCGGCCAGCCGTACTGCAGAATCACTTGGATGTGGGATAGAAGTGGATGTTTTCTCAAGATCCAAAGGGCAAGTGGAGGAATCACGTTGGTGTTGGTGCCTCAGGCATAGCGGCGGGATCGCTCCACCTGATGTGCATAACGGCCCTCCTGTCCTTTCTTCAACACCCATGCAAGGCTTACCGTTGATTTCCAACAAGTATCGAAGTATCTTGTACCCTGGGTGTTATTAAAGCTCAATTGTTACCGGAGCTCGCATTTGCTCTGTCATTCAAGAAGTCGTGGCCCATACGAACCGGGCATTAAATCTTCAGGGTAAATGCATATCGAGCTGCCCTGATGGCTTGAACTCTGTTTGTCAATTCCATCACAAATTTTGCCTGTCTCCTCAATACTCTCCCTTGCTTCTGGAGAAGTAATTTAGCTTGCAGCTTGTGGGTGAAATAGATCTCCAGAATGGCCCCACCCGGTGTTGAGCAGCGCAATGAGATCTTGACGGAGGGTTCCATTTCCCTTGAGAACGAAAAGCTATCAGATCCATCGAGTGAGACATCTGAACAGCTGCTGGAGACGCAGCTGAAGGAGAAAGCTCGATCGGAGAAAGCAGAGGCGATCCGCCAAGCATGCCGCTCTCGCGACACCGAGGCATTAATATCTCACGCTGTAAGCGAAGGTGGACTTTTGGAGGATGAATTCCGACAAGAAGCATGTAAGAGTCAAATGAAAATTGTCTGCAGGACAAATTCTGACATTTCCCACCAGGGCCTATTCTTTTGCAATGTGACAAAGGTATACAAAATGATGACCTGAAGTCGTCAGATGAACTCCCACCACATACCGATGAGGAACAGGTTCAATTGGATGTTAACCGGTCATTTGTCTACTATCCAAATAATCTTCCTGCAGAAGATATGGCAGAAAAGAAGGCACAGTTATCAGCTTTGATCACCAAAGTCCTTCGGAATTACCCCATGCTATGTTATTTCCAGGGGTACCATGATATCGTGCAGGTGTTTTTCTTGGTTCTAGGGAATCAGCAAGCAGCATCAGTTATGGCCCACATATCTCTTTTTCGTATTAGAGATTACATGCTCCGAACACTGTCGCCGGCTATCAAACATCTGCAGCTCATACCTGCAATCATTGAAACTGCCGATCCCGCTTTGAGACAACACCTCTCTCACATTCAACCTTTCTTTGCCCTTGCCGCCACACTCACCCTTTACGCGCATGATATCCAAGAATATAGCGATATTGCCCGCCTATACGACTTTTTGTTAGCAAGAGAGCCAGTAGTCTCGATCTACTTGTTCGCTGCAATCATCTTGTCCCGAAAGAAAGAAATCTTGGATATTCCTCTGGATGAGCCAGAGATGCTCCATTTCACCCTTTCCAAGCTTCCACAGCCACTGGATCTAGATAGTCACATTTTGCGTGCGGAGCGGCTCTTCGATGAACATCCTCCTGAGTCTTTGCCACACGGAACATGGAGAAGCATCTCGAGATACAGTGTGCTCAAGACTTCAAGGGTCTCTTCCCCAAACTATACCGTCGAAGAGGCGGTGAAGCTGTTTGAGAAACAAAATCGGCAGCTTCGTAATGAGGAGCTCCGAAAGCAAGCCATAGATTTCACATGGAAGCATCGGCGGGCGGTTGGATCTGTCGCATTGGCTGTTTTGGTCGGTGCAGCATCAATCTATATCCGCAGGAAGGGACTGGATACTTCAATATGGTCCTACATTAGTCGAGTCCAGGCTTTTTTTGACTGATTCAATTTTTCTATAATGTTTAATTCAAAATGGTGTCTTGAAGCTCGGGACTCGGGTTTGGTCGGTTATTGGATTCGGACATGTATAATACTACCTCTAGTGATAAAACGGGGTTAACGAAAAAGCGTGGGCAGCCAAGGTTGAAAGAACTTTAAGTTCCAAGATTTAACATATTTACTTTTTATCTCGTCAAGTCGCGCCTGGACGTCTCGCTTGCCAAGGTCTCAAATGTTGTATTGAGCTATTGTGATCTAAATGGTAGCTCATATCCATTACATATAATAGAGCCGGGTACGAATGACCGGGAGATTTATATAATACTGTAATCCCCCTATGGTTGAGGTTGTCACTCATTTTCTCTTCTTCCTCCAATAACGTTATTTTCGCTACTGAATTTGACAACACATAAGAATAAATGTTAAATACTCGAAGAACAATGGAAATTGCACAGAAAAGTAGCAAAAGCCTGGTGTACAGTAAGCTTGCCAACCACGTGTGGCTGAAAAGTGTGGCGCTGTCCCGCCGGGGAAAGCTGATGTGTACACTTCCAACTCCCCGATAACAATCACCTTCTACAACTTAACACATCCACCATGGCGAACAGGGGCTATGATGTCGTAGTTGATGTGGATGCAGAGGTATGTGTAATGCTAAACTACTTGAAATGACAATAATCTCACACACAACAGGGCGACCTCGGCCATACCGACCTGCAAGAGGACCTTGAATTCCATTCGTCCAGTGAGTGCCGAACCAGCTGCAAAGGAACCTTTGGAAACCTTCAGTAACTGACGTCCTATCGCAACTAGACTTTGAAAGTGACCAACGCACCGCCAAAGCCCAAGCCGACTCGTCTCCGTTCCTGGGCGGCTCCTCCTCCCGCGGCCGCGACCGATCCCCTGGCGGGACACCTACCAAGCACAGCTGGTGGTCAATTCACTACTATGAGCGATTCTTCGATGTCGATACGAACGAGGTCTTCCGCCGCTGCATGGCAACACTGTACCCGCGTTCAAACTTCCTGGACGTCCTCGAGGGAAACGCGGATCTCTACGGCCCCATCTGGATCGCGACGACCGTTGTCGTGATCCTGTTTCTCACTGGTACCATCTCGCAATGGCTGTCTAACAATGACGACAAACACTTCGAGTACGACTTCAGACTGCTGTCGGGTGCTGCAGGCCTGATCTATGGATACACGGGTATCTTGCCCATTGCGCTTTGGGGAGCTCTGCGCTGGTTCGGGAGCTCGACGGCCGATCTGATTGAGTGCTGGTCTTTGTATGGGTACTCGAATCTGGTGTGGATTGGTGTTGCGTTGGTTAGTTGGAGCCCGCTTACGGCGCTGAATTGGGCGCTTGTGGGTGTTGGCTTTGCGTGGACGGCTTTCTTCTTGCTGCGCAACCTTTACCCGGTGCTGAATGCTACCGATGCCAAGGCTAGCAAGATTCTACTGATCTTGGTTGTCTTGTTGCATGCCGGTTTGGCTATTGCGATTAAGATCCTATTCTTTGCGTGAGTTTTCCCTTTTCACATGTCCATATCACCCACAACAGCTTTCTCCCTGGATTTATGATGTTCTACTTGCTAACATGCCTTATAGCCACGCGAGCCCCGTTTCTGAGAAGAACAAGGACACGGGCAGTGACGATAGTAACGACAGTACGCGCCGCATGATGTTCTGAGCTTAAAATGGATGGTGCGACCTTCCGGCGAGATTGGAAAATGCCTATCTTGCTCGCGTACCGGAGTTGTCTTCTCTGTTTCCTTGCATGGTACAGAGATAGGTAATGCATGTATTGTATCACTGTACACAGGCCATTATATGGCCGATCAAATCGAATGAGCATTGTTTTCTCTCAACATTAGACTTGAAGGTACCGCGACTATCTAGTAAATCAGGTTCTATAAGTTATGAACCACCATTTTGTGCTTGCAACACGCATTTGGTCAAGTGCGGGGCGAGGGCGCGAAATTACTCTAGAACCCCTCAAGACATGTAGACTATGGTGTCGTTCAATGACCTCAGTGAGCCCCGCACTACGCCTAATCTAATCGATCTGATCGACACTGAAACGGCTCTTGCCCTGCAAATTTTTGAATATTTGAACTTTTACTTCAATTCATGGATTGCGACGTGGACCTCGAGAGGAGCCAACTAACAAAAGTAGTACCGTGGCTGTGATTGTTTCATCATTTCTAACGCCATGTAAAAACCTCTCCGTGTCGCATCCCAGCCAAAACCCAGACCTGGAATCGGCACCACAGCACCCCGAGCACAACACCGATCGATAAGCGAATCGTCTATTTGAGCTTCTTCTTGGGGCGGAGCTGGTTGGTGTGACCGCACTTCTTCTTGCGGCAGTTGGTGGCACGAGGAGGGAGACGAGCCTATGGATTCCATGTTAGTGTCTGATTCTGATCTGACTCCGACTCCGAGTGTCGTTTCATTGTTGCTGATGCCGAGGAATGACCGCATCGGATGCGATATTCTCAGTCGGCGCATGACGTCGGGGATCTTCAGGTTGGTTGGAATTCACGTACGTAGCACTTGCGGCAGATGGACTTCTCGCAGTTGTACTTGGAGGCAAGGGCCTTCAGGGAAGGCTCAATGATACCACCACGCAGACGGAGGACAAGGTGAAGGGTGGACTCCTATTATTTGAAACCAAGTCAGTCACAATTCCAGATATGTCGCACAAGTCATTTCGCAAATGCATCGAATATCGGCCGGTATTCCATCTCTTTCTTGTCCAATTGGATATTCGTCGTGATATGTGAAAGTATCGATCGAAATCCAGTTCCACTTTGGATACAGCCCCCACTCAAACCGGTCGATATCGAATACGAAGGAATGACTTGTCGATCCCGATCACGGATTTGCCTCATACCTTCTGGATGTTGTAGTCGCTCAGGGTGCGGCCATCCTCGAGCTGCTTGCCAGCGAAGATCAGACGCTGCTGGTCTGGGGGAATGCCCTCCTTGTCCTGGATCTTGGTCTTGACGTTGTCGATGGTGTCGCTCGACTCGACGTCGAGGGTAATGGTCTTACCCGTCAGGGTCTTGACGAAACTATATCCAGCCGCATTAGTGGCATTTCCTTAATTATTTTGCGGATGCTTGTCTTCTTCGTTGGTGGGTTCGTTGAAGGGTTGCGGTATCACGGGCTCTCGGAAGTTGAGGATGACCTACATCTGCACTGGAAGCAGGGGAAAAGGACATGTTAGCTCATCGTGTTCATAAGGACGTCGGGAATGCGTATCAACGGGTTTCAGGGCACGTACTGGTTGCGAGTTTTCGTTGGTGTCGGCGGTCGGTCGCTGTGTTCGAGGCGGAGGAGGCGATTACAATTTGAGGATATCTCGCTTAGAAGAGGTGGGCCAACCACACTTACCCTAAGCCCTAGAAACAGCACCCGCGGATTGCCGCTTTGAGACAGATCATGTGACAGAAAGCACCTTCCCTGTTTAGGACTGCGTCATTATCATTGGTCAAAGTATACGCCTAGATTTCATGTGCTTTACAAATAACTTGATCTCGGGATTAATCCACCAAGGAGATTGAGGCATCACGACTAGTAACTGGCTTGTAATATTGATTGAGGTGTCAATTGAGCTGTCCAGCGGTCGCTTAACCTAGGTAGCATTATTCATCCCCAACACCCAGCCCCATTAGCTGCTCATCTAGTTCATTTAGTTCATCCATCTCGTCCCCACTATTCCCACGTAGCCCTCCATCAAATTCATGATCTTCATCAGCCTCATCATCGGCGACGTCAATATCGGATTCCTCTTCCCCATGAGATCTTTCTTCAAGATCAGATCCAATATCTAGATCGGATCCCTCTTCAAGATCAGAACCGTCTTCACTATTGGATTCTGATTCATATTCCGAATACTCCGAGCGCGCCTGATATTCTAGTCCATGCCCAAGCCGCCATTCAGCAGCTGATACTGCTCGGACAAGCTTATGCAATGAGACGCCTGCAAGTTTAGCCGCTAACTCATAAAATGGGCGTGCTTCTGCGGGAAGCGCTGACACCCTTCTGTATCGACGGTACCACATGCCCGGTCTGGCAACTATCTCTCCCTCCTGGTCTGGAACAATGGGCACTGAGAGTATACCTTCCGTGACTTTTCGTAGAAGAGCATCAAGCTCTTTGTCTTCGTCGGTATAATCAGCTTGTTCCGCACCGGGATCATGCCTTGGCGGGGTTTTTTTCTCTGTTTCTGAAGGGGCGAACATTTCGGCAAGCTCATGAGGGTCCTTCGTGCTATCCAACCAGTCTTTTTCGTACCAGTCCAGGTACTCATCTAACTGGTGAGGTTCCATCCTCGATACATCCGCTTCGGATACTTGGATAGCTTTTTCTACCCCAATCTTCCCCTCGCAGTGTTTTTGGGATTCGAATTGTTGCTGAGCTCGGATCCATTCCTGCCAGTCGATGCCCTGAGCGGTGGGCTCTAGGTCTGTAGCAGGGTTCCTTGGTATATTATCAAATGGGAAAAGCAATTTGGTGGCTATGACAATTAAAGCCATCATCTGGATTTCAGGCAGTTGAAGCGATTCTATACGCTTGTCATCATTAAGGTACTCTGGGTACTCGAATGTGAAACCGAGGAGCTTTTGGAGCGTCAGGATGATCTCGTACACATCAACTGCCTATACGTTAGCTTAATCAAAACCGCAAGTAGGCGTAACTTCATACCTGGGAGAGCTAATCTTTTGATGTGACGGTAAAATATGATAGGGGAGTTCATGGGAGGTAGCTCAATTCCAAACTTGCGTTGATAGCGGAGCGCTATATCTCTGAGCGTCCGATGCAAAACCTCCACCCTTGGTATCCTCTTTGGAAAGATTAGCGAAGTCTCGGCTGAGCTGCCTGTGTAACGGTATTTAATGACCTACGTTGACCGTGAGGATTCGAGTAAACTCCGGAGGAAGCTGCCTCTTGATTTCCCGAGGAACCACCTTCAAGGGCCGAATATAAGGAATATCTTGGCGCAGAATCAACCTGTTGGACGAATTAGTACAATCCAATGCCTAGAACATTCCTATGCCTAGAATCTTCAGACCGAGAGTTGCCGTCATATGCAAGCAGTCCATGGGCAGGTCACATACCTGTAGAAATCAGAGAGACAGATTGGAAGCTGCATTATAATTGCCGCTAGATAACACAGGGCCACAGTCTCAGAAATGCGAGGCCAAGTGTGATACGTAGGTCTGATTGTGACGCTCGGTTCATCTTCGTCCTTTTGCGAGGGCTGTGAGCTGAAAAGCTCGGGCTCACTATCAACATCCTCGTCGTCTGTAGACTCGATGATGTTCGACGTGTAGTCCTGGAGCTTGAGAGCCCAGAGGTCACGAACAACGCCCTGTTGGATCAATCAGCCTGTCTTCTTAAGAGGTGGTTATTTCCTTGCGAGGGTTTACCTCGTATTCCTCTGGGAACCCATGATCATGAATTAGAGCATAGCATTGTTTCCACAGAATTATCTGATAAGCTTGCAAGAGCAGGGTTTGTGCCTTCCGACCTCGAGCAGCTAATATGGTATTAAAATCTTGGGGCTATTTCATGGAGAAGTGGTACATACTCTTTCTCGATTTCTCCTCCTTCTCTCTCTTCACCCGGCTGATCCTACCTAGCTTTCCGAAATCATCCGCATCTTCTTCAACTTGCGTGCCCTACATGAAAATTCTTAGTTTCGGATACTCCTTTGCGTGGACATGTAGTGGTGACGAGTTTCATACCTCCTGCAAATGACCGCGGCGACAGAACCATTGGCCATTGTCGAGATAATACCTTCGCTCACGGCATGACTCTTGGCCACAAACCCCTCGGGTGACATAGTCCATGCCGAGGCAGTGGGGTCATGCTGGTTGGGTGATGTTGAGTTTCACGGTTCGGAACTTTTTTTTCTGCCTTTCCCAGCGACCGCCAGTTCTGCCATAAAGTGAACTTCCTCTTTAGCAAAAACAGCTGGAATTCATGCAGCATAGGGACAGAGAATACATAAGCACATAAATTTTGCATCTATAATATATTTAATGAAGCAGTTACAGAGAAATTGAGCTTAGCAAGATTTACTAAATTTATTTGTTCGTTATACTGTCGTGAGATGCTAAGACTCAGATGATCATCGGACAACACGTACTATGCCAACCAAAGCAATTCTTCTCGTCTGTTAAGCCTACATTTCAAGGCCTGAAATGGAATAACAGATCCGAGAAGCGATACGACACAATAGACGTACGGTCAATTGGCCAACGGACTGTATCCTTTATCGAACCATTGAATATGGGATTTTGATGTGAAGGGAGGTGGGGCATGCGCCCAAATATTTTTTAACGTAAAGGTTGACATAACATGTGGAATATCCCAGAGTATGGCGTTTAACCCGACTTGGGAGCCTCCTTGGCATCGATGACGGCCTCCTCACCCATGGCGGTCTGGACGATAACGTCTGTAGAAGAATTGTTAGCGAGACTGGCTCTCAAATGAAATGTAAAACCAATATCACATCGCAGGGTATCGGATATACTTACTGACGTCCTTGGATTCATCATCGTGCAGGGTCTTCAGCTTCTTGAAAAGATCGGATCCCTCCTCGGGGACCTTAACATCGTCCTTGAGATCACCGTCATCGGTCAGCAGGGAGAGGAAACCATCGCTGCTGATGTCCAGCTAGATATACAGTGTCAGTAAAGAGGCTCAAATACATCCTAGTTTGCTGGCAAACTCACAAGCTGGTACTCGCGACGCAGGACGTGGGGAACGTCCATGTTGTGGGTGGAGGGAGACAGATCCTCAAGCTTCTTGCCGGTGAAGATATCGGTGGCGACAAGGTGAACCTTGGCGTGACCGTGCTTGCCAGTCTTGGAGGTGGACATGTCGATGATCTTGCAAGGGCGACCCTTAATGACGACGTGACCGTTCTTGCGCAGAGCGGAACACTGCATAGGGAAGGTGGTCGACGCACCGGCATCAGCCGAGTCGAAGGAAACGTCAAGCTAGATGATCATGTTAGTAATGAGCATAAAGATGCTTTTGGTAAGAGATGTTCTGCGCCGGGCTCTTCAGAGGGGATCGTGGTGCGCCCTTTAAAAGAGGGGAGAGCCTCGAGATGCGGGGCTCGCACGCACAGTGAACGAGTGGCTTGGAAGGTTGCAGAATTGGAGGCAGGAGGGGGGAGAATATGCGTGGACAATTTCGTACCTCTTCAGCGGACATGGTGAATGAATGGGAGTTGAGTGAGGAGTATAGAAAAACAAGAGAATGGGGGGTGAAGAGAAGGGAGAGAAGAGGAGATTTCTTAACAGAAAAAGACAGAAAAAAGGCTTTGTGGTGGGGGGCTTGGTCGCTACCCCGTTTTAGGTTTAGCGTGACCGGGGCGCTGTTTGGCTTCACGATTACTGGATGTACTCCGTACTGCACTACTTGTACCCATCTACCAGTCGAGGTAGGCCGCCCATTCCTTGCTTTTCAAGGCCTTTAAAATGTGGCGTGACCGCATTGCAGGCCAATCGACTGTCTCCGGGGGTAATCGTAATCCCTCCTTGCCCCGGCGTTCTTCGTCTCAGCTCTCCCAGGGCCCCTACAACACCCGTCCCGGCAATACCTCAACAACCTCCTCGACCTCATTACTCGTGTCACCGAATGACTCAACTGCCTCACTTCCAGCAACCGGACGTCCATCGAATGGCACCGGATTGAGGCAGACAAGTGCTCAGCGACCGCGCCCGGCGGTGGTTCCCGATCCACTTGAGGTCTTAAATGGAATCATTCGGAAGGAGAAACAGGGCAAAGGGGTTCTGCAGATATCCGCAAGTCCAGAAAAGCGACCATTAGACTTAGTGAAGTCCATTGACTTTGAAGGATTGAGCTTGGAGGATTTCGTGGCGAAAGCAGCCCCGAAGCCAACCAGAAAATCCCCTGCTAGTAATGTCAATGCACAAACGATCCAACAATTCGAGCAGGAACGAGATAAATTCCAGGATCTTCATACTGCTATCAGCGGCTGTGATGATGTCTCCAAGTCAGTGGAGCTGTACCTGAATGACTTCCAGAATGAGTTAGGGGCTGTGTCCGCCGAGATTGAAACATTGCAAACCCGCTCTACCCAGCTGAATGCGATGCTCGAGAACCGGAGAAATGTGGAACGGTTACTTGGACCCGCGGTGGAGGAGATTAGTATATCGCCGAAAGCCGTTCGTGCGATTGCTGAAGGTCCTATGGATGAGAATTGGGTGCGCGCTCTCAACGAGATTGACGCTCGGACTACCGGCATCGAAGCCAAGGCGTCTTCATCAGCTGGTTTCAAAGCAATTGAGGATGTGCGACCACTCTTGATCGATGTGAGGAATAAGGTAGAATCCCATTTATGACTCATGACAAGCGCCTTCTATTGACAGCTATAGGCGATCGAACGAATCCGAGACTATCTGGTGTCGCAAATTCGGGCGATGCGATCGCCCAACATCAACGCGCAAATCGTTCAACAGCAGCGATTGGTGAAATTTAAGGATTTATATAGCTACTTATCAAAGGTGCATCCGACTCTTAGTGGAGAAATTTGCCAGGCATACATCAACACCATGCGCTGGTACTATACGTCCAATTTCACTCGCTATCTTCAAGCTCTTGAGAAGATCAAGGTCTATCCGAGTGATCGCAATGAAGTACTTGGAGGTGATTCCTCTACACATAGAGCAGGTAAGACCCGCAATACCCTTGCTTATCAAACAATCTTAATGAACCATAGGAGGTATCCTCCCAGGCAGCCGAGCTGGCTCTGCCGCACACGACCCATTCTCTCTAGGTCGACGAATTGATGTTCTCCGCAACGGAAACCAACCTGCCATCTCATCCTACATTGCCGAGGAGGATCACTCCTACCATGGGATCGAACTGCCGTTCCGGAACTTCAATGTTGCTCTGGTAGACAACGTATCTGCCGAGTACTCTTTTCTCACCGAGTTTTTCTCTCCTCTGACCTTCCATGAAATCTCGCGCAAGGCTGGGGAGATCTTTGAACCGGTGTTCGCCCTTGGCCGAAACTTGACGAAGAAGCTCATCGAAAATACTAATGACTCGCTGGGTGTCTTAATGTGTGTTCGTCTGAACCAACACTCGGCTTTTGAATTTCAGCGGCGTAAAGTTCCCGTTGCAGACTCATATGTGAATGGTATCAACATGCAGCTATGGCCGCGCTTTCAGGTGATCATGGATCTTCATGGCGAGTCACTCAAGCGAGTTGGCTCCAACACCGGACGCAGTGCAATGTCCGCGCTCTCCATTGCAGGCGGAGACGATTTGAAACAATCGTCTGCACCGCACTTCCTGACCCAGCGGTTTGGCCAGCTCCTTCATGGAATTCTGGTGCTTAGCAGTGATGCTGGTGATGACGAACCTGTGTCAAATAGCTTGGCTCGTCTACGCTCCGAATTCGACTCCCTCCTGGCGAAGTTGAGTCGAAACGGCACAGACGCCAAGCGCAGAGAGCGATTTCTTTACAACAATTATTCATTGATCTTAACCATTATTAGTGTACGTTCTCTTCCTGACTTCGTGTTCACCAGATGCTGATTAAATTTCAGGATACCCAAGGGAAATTAGCGACTGATCAGAGAATGGTGAGTTCTTCCTTTATTCATTAGTCTCATGAGCTCGACTAACGATCTTTTAGCATTTGGACGAGATGCTTAAAAGCTGCAACAAGCGTTGATTGCATAGCAACTTGCCCTGGCGTAAATTCCCACTAGTTCTGTATGAGCGCTTTCATGTATTTGAATATAAGCATTTAATTCACTTGTTTCCCTTCGGTCTTTTCCCGTCGGTTTAGTTGCGCATTAACTGTATGGCGTGACCGAGTTCTAATGTTGCTAATGTTGCACTCCGAGTGCTGATCGGCAAGATCTCCGTTCCGCGGGGCCTCCGTTTGTCTTATCTGCAATTGCCGGTCAATTGTTGCAACTCACCAACATTTCCCTCACAAAGATGCTGGCGCGTGGAATTAGAAAGCGCAGCCCGGTGCTTAGTCGCTGCTTTTCCAGCGCTCAAGTTCGTCCTGCCGATTTTACCCATGCAGTGAGTTCCGTCCAGCTGTTCTTCGCCGCCCACCACCGAGGACAGCCGAGCAGCCTCGAGTCCTTCAATTAACACGGTATAGGTCATCGGCGCTGGCGTTGTTGGACTTGCAGTTGCGCGACAGCTAGCAGCACGCGAAGGCACCTCGACAATTGTCCTGGAGCGCCATGATGCACCGGGAACGGAGACAAGCAGTCGCAACTCCGAGGTGAGCACCCGCTAGGTTTCAATACCAGGAACGCGAACATTATAACCAATTGACGTCAACTACTTGGATTATGTAGCTGACATGGGATCATTATGAATATAGGTTATCCATGCGGGTCTCTACTACCCTGCCGACTCCCTGAAAACAAAGCTCTGCATCCGGGGCCGCAACATGATGTATGACCTGTGCTCGAAACACGACATCCCCCACCGCAACACAAAAAAGTGGATCGTCGCCCAAACAGAAGAGCAATGGGAATACACACTTCGGGTACACAAACACGCACAATCCCTAAGCGATGCGCCGACCCGGCTCATCGGCGCCGAGGAAGCAGCCCGTCGCGAGCCAGATGTCAAAGCCGATGCAGGCATCGTCGAGAGCCCAACAACCGGTATCGTGGACAGTCATGCCTTGATGACCTATCTACATGGAGATTTCGAGAATAATGGCGGCGATTGCGCGTTCAAGACACACGTGACGAACGTCGAGTACATCCCTGGCGAGGGATACAAGATCACCGCCATCTCTGATGAAGACGGCTCCATTACCTCCATCACCGCAGAGACGCTTATAAACAGTGCTGGACACGGCGCTTGCGCTATCAACAATCTTATTCTCCCTAAAGAGCGCCACCGAACTCCGGCTTATGCAAAGGGTACTTATTTCTCCTACACCGCGTCTCGCCCGCGCACTTCTGTCCTGGTCTATCCTGCAACATTGCCCGGCCACGGTGGTCTAGGCACTCATCTTACACTGGATATGGGTGGCCGAATCCGTTTCGGACCCGATGTGGAGTGGGTCGATGATCCAAATGATCTGAAGCCTAGCCCCGCGCGCATGGAGCAAGCTATCCCCGAGATCCTGTCTTACATGCCCGGTGTGGACCCGTCGGCTATTGCGCTGGACTACTGCGGTATTCGACCTAAATTGACTCGTGGTGGTGGAGTGAATATTGGGAAGACATTCCAGGATTTCATCATTCAGGAAGAGGAAGGATTCCCTGGGTTTGTCAATTTGCTGGGAATCGAGAGTCCCGGGTTAACGAGCTCGCTAGCGATCGGAGAAATGGTGGACGGAATTCTCCATCGGTAAATATTTATGATATATGTACTAAATCAATTCCAGGCTCAATTGCATCTAGAAGCGCAGGACAAGGCAGAGAATTATGGGTGCTGTGAAAAAGTTGATGCTCATACCCGAAATATAGACAATCCAGAGCCCCATTCCAAAGTTGCTGATTTTGTGCCAGTATACATAATCAGTTTGTCCTTTTTATGAATTGTTGTGTAGACCCTTCAAGTCGCTAAATGGACGTAAGTAGACATTACTACCCAGACGGTTTAAAACGACTGGATGTAGCGGAACAGCCAAGGCAACCACAGCCCATTAAATGGCAACCAGCTCCTCAAAATGTAATAGCCTAATACATCTATGAAGAGGATGTTGATATTCCGCATAAAGTCTTTCCCATCGCTGAAATATGGGGTTCGGGAATTCCAGATGTATCCCCACCAAAACCGGGGTAATTAGCCGGATACTCCGAGTTCAAATATCTAATAATTCAAGGCATAGCTTCTGCATATTCTGGTCCATCTCACTTATCTACTATTCCATTCACCATGCATATTCTCGGCCTTGGAAACGGAACAATTAATGGCAACTCGGAGATCCTCCTCAAGGCCGCCTTGACAGCTGCCGAGAAAGCCGACTCATCCATAACAACTTCATGGATTCATGTTCCCTCCGTCTCTGTGCCACGAAACCCCAGACCTTTAGAGGGCGCACAAGATGTTAGCATGGGAACAATTGGCCAGACCGGAGTTGGCGGTGACACAGTCCCAGACGACCGCAGAGATGTGCTCAATGCAATTCTGGCAGCTGATGCCTTGATCTTCGCAACACCAATCTACAGTCACCAACCTGCAGGCACTCTTAAGATGCTGGTCGATCGAATCCTGGGCCCGTTCACCGATGCTGCGTTTGTGCAGCGAGTAATTGATTCCCAGATGGCTGGCGAAAAGACCTACCAACATATGAAGGTTGATAAACGGATCCTCAAGCCTAGAGTCGCCGCCTTTATTGCTGTGGGAGGATCCCCCTTCAACGACCAGGTCACCATGGCGCTGCCTACTTTGCACCAATTCGTCTATTCTCTCCATGCAAAGGTAGTGGACCAGCACGTATTCCGAGGATATGGCCGTCCGGGATCGGTCTTACTACGTGGAGGAGAAGCGGTTCAGAGAGCTGAAAAGCTGGGTCAGAATGTGGCTAGTCAAATTGGAAAGACTTTTGATGAAGCGAAGTATCTTGGACCGGAAGACCCTGCTAGTTGTCCATACTGCCATATGTCTAAGGTTGAGATCGACTATACCCAGGATAATGATATTGGTTGCATTACCTGCGGAGCTCGGGGGAAGCTTGTTGTTGGAGAAAATGGACGGATCCAGCCGGTTTGGGAGGTCGATTCCACGACAAGCTGTATCACATTCAAGGGCAAACTAAGACATGTTGATGATCTTCGCGACGCGGCTATGCAGGAGGGACCGGCAATGGACGCCGAATCAATCAATGAGGAGCGAAAGCGGTGGGCTCAAGTCAATATCACCAAGGTCCCACTCACGAGCCATTCCAGGAAAATTCAGTCCCAAATTTGAAGCAGCACTGGGAGCAGAGGATTCTATTTGGTTTATTTTTACGGTCAATATTCTATGCGTTGATTACATTTTGTGGATGATTCATTGTTGGGCTATTTGACGAACCCGGAGATAGGAGAAAGAACATAGATGGATAGACGAAATTAGATTTTGGGAGATTGATAATTGAGGAATTTGGAGATGCATATAGGTTCGATGTTCAAGGAGGAAGAAAGAAGTATTTATCTTATTTTATTCTTTGGTTGCCAGTGGCGAGTTCAAGTTCACGTTCAAGTTCGAGTTCGACTTCGATGATTGCTCTCAGGTGCGAAGGAATGACCGGTCCCTAAGACTTGCACATTCTGTAAGGTTAGTCAGGAAGCCTAGGAGATAATCATATTGAACAAACCTTGAAGTTCTCCGAGGCAAAAATGGAGGGTTGATGACCAGTGTAATCAGTGGCTTGAATGGAGGTTGTGAGGTGTTTGTTGTCGAGTCCAGTCTGAATTTGTCTTGACACTCAATTCGGGAATTTGTTGTTGAGTGACGCTTGTTCAGAGTGGAATTGCACAACAAGATGTTCGTTGGCCGGTGCTTCTTCACCGCATGCCGTCGTTGTAAACCTGTGGCTTGTGCCTCCACACCACAATGAGATCGGGTTTTGTTGTAGGCCTGTGACACAGTCCAAACTGAATTTGCCCTGACACTCAAGCATTGAGACATTTGAGTGACGCATGTTCAGAGAGGATGTGCCGCAAGCCAGAGTCGAAAATGTAGTCGAGACCTGGGGGGAAGGTCGGTGCGTTGTTTGTCACTCGGTCCAAAATGGATTCGTCCTGACACTCAGCTTGATGATATGTGGTTTGTAGCTGAGTGATGCCTGTTCGGAGAGGGCTTGAGCCGGCCAAGAGGGTTTTAGTTGTTGTTGTTCTATTGGGAGAGGAAAGAATTGACTGATGACGAGTTCAGGTACTGTTTCCTGGCGCAGCGGAGTTGATTGGATGCATGGGTGCATGTTGAAAGGTCAAGTGGGATATGGAAGTACTTCAAAAAAGAAAGGTGCAACTTGAGGATGGAGCAAGTTCAAAGGAAGAAGAAAGGAATGTTTTGTTGTTCCGTTTTCATTTTGTTCTGTTTTGAACTTGGAGGTGGGACTTGTAAGAAGTGGAAACCAGGTTCGAAGTTCAAGGAGTAAGAACGAAAGACAATTTCGGAGAGCAAAGAGGAGAAAGAGTAACGAGGTTGGAACTTGGAAGAGCTGGGAACAAGTTCAAAGTGGAAGGATGAAGCAAGTTCAAAGTTGAAAGTGGAAAATGGAACTTGTGGGAGGTGGATGAAGAAGAAGGAAGAGGGAGAGGAGAAGAAAACAATGGGGGTTTTTATACCCTGGAGCGGGGAGTGAGGGTGTCTCAAGACCCAGCCCTGGAGGATCATTCCTTCACTACCTCTCACGTAGATCGACCCCTCACGCGAAGAGTCAAGATCAGGCCCCAAACTTTGCATTTTGGTGATTTTGAGGATCACCCTCTCGACCAAAATGCTCTGCGAAAGAAGTCACATTGTACCGTGGGGACAGCGTTTGATATACACCTTCTTCATCAACAGCCATGTCTTTACTATCAAGATATACCAATTTAACAACAGACAATCATTCATTGATATTGATACATATACTTCGCACGATATGATGTCTGATATTGAACTGAAACAAGTAATATACACAGAATATGACAAGACTAGACATCCAGTAATAAAACACATGGCTAAGGACGGTTCATTCCACATCCATCAAAACATCACTCATGATATGAAGTACATACGAGAACTTCTTGACACTCCACTTCCCCGAGTCCTTGAGAAGACTAGCATAATCGAGCAAGATCCTCCGGGCAGACTGGTACCCCCCTTGGAAAGGCACACCGCGAAGATAAATCGTAGCACCATTACGAATGAAGTTTACAGCGGGATCGTCCGTCGGTGAAAATGATTGACTGCCCCTAGGTTCCATAAAGCTGGTGAAACCTTCTGTTCCGATCTGCTGCCAGTCAATGTCATCCATGAGATCAATCGATCCGACGCTAGATGCCGCGTTGGCAGAATCGGGGACCATGAATGTGTATAAGCCTAATACCAGGCCGGCAGAGAACACAGCGAAGACCGAGTGGAAGGTTGGGTGGTCGGATGCTTTGCGGTTGACCATGGCTTTATAGATGTGTGCTGCATGTAGACATGCTCGCCTAGCAGCGGGGGTCTGCGCCCACTCGGAAATATCATCGAGCGCTTTTCGCGCTGGGATTGGTCCCGCTCGACCAGCTGCGAAGTCGAAGATCTGAATGTCAGCCGTTAGGGTCATGCACATGTGGTGCCACATAACAAGGGAGTTTGGATTGAGTTGAAGGAGTGATTCGCCGTATTCTGTTGAAATTTGCGATTGGATGGACGGAAGACATCGGGATCGACCGTCCATTGCGTATGTGTGGCAGGGGGCGAAGGGATAGCTGGCGCGATTGGAGAGGAGGCGGTGGTAAGCTTCTGATTGGCGTAGTTGGACCATTGCGAGCACAGCTTGGATACTGAGTTCGTCAATAGGGCCGTCTAGAGTGGGAATGTTGATATTTTCTGACGGCGCCAGCACCGTTGACATGAGTATCCTTTTGCCACTGCGGATGAGCTGAGTCCAGCGCATTGACGAGTGTGCGCGGAAGAGAGCTTCGTTGCAGGGCATGATGATTTGTATTGTGTCGGGGATAACAATTGGACTTGTTGAAAGTAGGGACGAATACCATGAATCTAACAGAAGAAGACCAATAATAACTCTTTTGACAGATTAGTAGCTTTAGATAAGGATAAGAGAGGGAATTAAATACCTCTTAGTAGATTCAACCTTGCTCCAGGCTTTCCATCTCATGTCAATGTCAGGCACGCCTTCGAAAAGGCTCATGTCAAGTATTTGGCCCTCGGTCGCCGCAAAGAGGCCATGCCGTTGTGTAATCTACAAGAGTAAGTATGATTGCAACAGAATAAGTATCCCCACGGAAGACTTTACATACCGACATAAGGTTGACATACAGCATTTGGCACTGTTCCAAATGTGATTTTTCCTAAAAGTCATCAGCGGCTAAACAGGTGGACGTCGCACTAGGGGGACTAACTCCTGTCAAAACAGCCAAGTTCAAGAATAGAAACATAGTGGCAAAGATGGACATGGTGTTAGCGGGGCTCTCCACGCCCATAGTGCATTTAGCCAGCTCGGAGGTAATCTTCTCAAGCACATGCTAAAAGAGAAAAGGTCAGTGGGCTCCCCACCCAAGATAGGTCATTTGTACTAACCGTAAAATTCCGTAAAACAAACGTTGATGTGCCCTTGGTCCCCAGGAGCATCATTCCAATGAGACACATTACATAGAGGAGTGGCAGGCGGGTTTTCTTTGCAGAAAACGTCGGAAGGTGAACGAACGGTACAAGAGGATGAAATGTGCGGAAGAAATGGTCTAACGCCATATCCAGAACCTCTGCCGGAGGGAAATGAGGGAATGGAGCCGAACTCGAGCCAGACATGGCAGGAGAAGCGACATCATTGCTTGGTGACTGCATCTGGGGAAAGGCAAATGAGGTTTGGGCAAATGCTGCCTGGAGAGAGCGTCTGCATTCTTCATCAACCCCATATCGTGACCCTTGAAGTAGGTTGATATCATTGGGAAAGGCTGAAGATTTGACAGAAAAGACATTGTCGACGTTGGTGTACACAATATCACGCCAAAGGCTGTTCATTAGTCGACCAGTGTGATTCGCTGGTGCAAGCCAGCACCGCTGCACCTTGGCAAATCTTTCGTTGGGAATATTGTCACCTCCAGACTTGCCGCTGTCGACTGAATGTCGGTTTTGTTGATCTGGTGTCATCACCATATTGTCTCCCATTATCGGGAAATTGCCCATATCCAGCGATCCGTGATTGGAGCCCCCATCTGTGCGGGGCTCGAGCCACAATTGCAGCATGTCGCTAGGTACACCTTCGAGCCCTGCACCGCTTTGCTGCATTGGTTGATCTGCAGTGGTCACCTCGTTCCAGCCGAAGTACGGCTGTTGTTCATCAAGCAACATGGGGTGGAGATCGGCATCGGCTCGGCCGTGCTGTGCCGATATGTTGGCAAGAAAGTCTAATGGTGAATGAGGAATTCCAGGAGTGGATAGTGACATATCACGCGGATTTGGACCATTGGGGACTTGGTGCGCATCTGCACTAATGGTGGGTAATAAATGCGTTCCATTCTCTATACCAGGGCCAGCTATCATTGGCGAGGCTCCGGATACAGTGGAAAGGTGTCGATTTGGTATTTGGTTGACTGCTGAATCTTTCGCTTTGGCACTGGCAGCTGTGCCTGCTTGATTGTGGCCTTTGGCATGGCGACTCAGGACGTCGCTGTTTAGAACCGTCAGATTACCGCTATATCATATATTGCGGTCGTTTGATTGGAGGATTTCACGCAATATAGAATCTTACCTCCGAGAGAAACTTTTGTGACAGACATTGCACTCATAGGGACGCTCTTTGGTGTCTGAATTGACGCGTCAGAATAGAATTAATTTTCATACGGTTCGGGGACACTGACGTGACCGCTCATGGCGTTTGAAATGCTCTGTCTTCTTGAACCGGCGGTCACAGATAGTGCACTTTCGAAGGACCATGACGGAGCTTGCAAATATTAATCATACATCACAGAAGGCACATGGTGATCTCTCATTGAGCAAGAGTGAGCAAAACAAGAAACTAACACCTCCCCCACAAGTTGGGACGGAAGAGGGGAACCTTAGTCAGCTCCCTGGGGAATAAACCGATCGCAGCTCAGAAGTGACCATTTCCATCTCCTATCATGTTTGGACATTCCACTGGTGGCTAAATCTACCGAGGATGTGCCGTGAAGCATATCCAATCAACGGCCGCTGGCATAAACTCATGGCGTGTGCATGGGCCCCTAGTGCCCAAGCTGCTGGGAAATTCCCCGTGGGGTGAGAAGGGACAGTTCTCCGAGCCCTAAGGCTATTTCACCGCATATTATGCTGGTCTGTTTAGTGGTGACTTTCTTGGGACGAAGAGGAAGGCGACGAATAATCGAATATCTTTATAAATAACACAATCTAGCCAGCATACGCGGCGACTCTATGGAACTATCTGCGTCGTGAGATACAGAAGCTGAGTCAGCCGGCCTTCGAGTCATCCCATTGGCTGCATGAATGCAACATATTTCGGTAATTGACAAAAGGCACTGCCGGCTCTCATGACATCAAGAGGCTAAGTTGAATCAAGACAAAACAAGATACAAAGACAAACGTGGACAAACACTCTTATTGATTGACCGCCTCCGCCAGGTGATCATCATCATAAAATATTTCCAGATGCTGCTTGCGAGCCTCCTTGTCTTCTTTAACCCGCTGGAGAATCTTCTGGATATTCGGGTACGAGGAGAATTTGTCCTGAGAGGAATGGAGAGGTTAATTAGCAATACTCTATGGTTTGGCTGACAAAACTCACTGGCAACGCATCCCACGCCCTTGGGTCAGTGCCTTGATCTTTGAAAGTGCCACAGCCGCTTCGCGCATACTCCGTGAACAAGAAAGATCGGCTGCTCTCCACCATAATAGTCATTTGATCTTGGATCATCAGCATTGCAATTATGGATATCAAGTATCAGGACGCGGTGGCTCACCTTCTAGGATTTTTCGGGGCTCATTCACCTGGTTTCTCATCTCATACACGTAGGCCTCATTGAAGTTTCCATGGGGTGTGTGGCTGGTCTCTACACTGCCCCCACCGGGAAGGAAGTCATCAGAGCGACCAAGGCCATTTCCATATAGAGAGGCCAAAAATTCCGTAGCCGAGTTACGATGGAAGTATGGCTGACGGAAGGTGTTGGTGGCGACATCCCAGCGTGGACCAAACCACAAGAAATCAGCCAGGGGTGTGACGGGGTCGCGAGATGCGGCTGTCAAAACACAGTTGACGGAAGGATCAGTGTGGTCGATAGATGTCGCATTCTGAGACGAGAACTTTGTCAAGTCATACTGCGAAGTCCTTCAGCGTTAGTCTGATACCAAGATTCAGGGGATGGGTATAAAACTCACCTTGTAAGGGACAACATTTCCATGCCAGGCCACCAGGTCAAAGGGACTATGGTCCTGTGCGATGGCATTGTAAGATCCATTTGTCTTGTTCACAATAGACCAGTCTTCGTGAAGATTCTCATCGATATAGGCCACAGGGTGTAAGAAGTCACGCGGATTGGCTAGTCCATGTCCTCCTAATGGTCCCAGGTCTGGCAGTTCCCATCTCGAACCCCAGATCTCTGTTATGTAACCGCGAGCAGTATTGTGACCAGGGCCCAGTCGGACTGTAAAGCGGATACCACGAGGAATCACACAAATTTCACCAGGTTGCAGGAACAATTTTCCTAGTTCCGTCTGAATATCCAAGTTACCCAGCTGGGCGGCGATAAGGAAGTCTCCATCTGTGTTGCAAAATGCGCGGTGGTCCATGTCTGTGTTTATCATGAAGACGTAGAGAGCAATGCCCTCGCGCAGATTAGGGTCTCCACTTCCCCCAAGCGCGTGTAATCCGTCCACAAAGTCGATTCTCTCATCATCACTGGGTAGGGGAAATGGTGCCCATTCACCCTGTTCTGCTAGTGTCGCCACTTTGGGGTTTAGGCTCAAAAAGCAATTCTCAATATCCGCTTTGTGAGGAATGTTGGCCTTATAGCCATCTGTAATATGTTAGGATGTACAGCCAGTTTCAAGATCCTGAAGACATACTATGAGCGGCAGCTGGCCGCACTCGGTACATGTAAGTGCTGAAGTTGGCATGCCGAGGAGCTACGAAGGCGGAGTAGGTGAGACCCTCCGTGTACAACCCAAATCGAGCTTCCTGGGGATTGTTTTGGCCTGCTGGTAGAGTCCCGGGAATCACTTCGGATTGGTGACGGTTACCAAAACCGGCCATGTATTCATAGGGATCGTTGTCTCTTGTGGGCTTGCGAGTCATGGTATCTGTATAGTGAAAGACCTTCGTCAGGTCTTTAACCGGCTTTCTTTCCTCGATGGGTGGAGCAGTCATTTTGCGAATAAGACAAAGTATAAGCTTTAGGATGAAGGGTATAAGTCAGCCATGAAAAATCTAGGAAAAGTGAATTAAGATCGCAGTTCGAGACTTACGCCGTGTTCCAGAGGTTTATAAGACGATATGTTTACCTAGAAGGCAGCTTTCTTGAAAGGTATGTCCCATTTCAGCAATATGAGACCCATATGGGGAGTGCACATCCACATCTTGCAGGACCCACATTGACCACATTCGTCTATCGGTATCTTGGATCAGTGTTGGGTTTGATCGGAGCCACTGCGCCACAGCATGAGACCTTTGCGGGGCCATGTGGATGTGGAGCAGTACTTTGGAGGACAGTATGATATCCGCTTTCGTGATTATGACATATTATGCTACCTTGAGCTATACTCTGTTCCCAGATTAATTTGCATTTGCAATATTTTGATATTATCAATGAGGTCATATTCAAGGATGTATGCACAGTATTAGGAATGTATGTCAATGGTGATGCCATGTATAATTGAAGAGTAGATATTCTAGGGTGCCTATATGGGCGCTCTCAATAAATCGCCAGAACGTCATCTACCATCCGGGATGAAGCACCCAAGTAGTTCACTGGGTCACAAAGTTCGCTCAAACGTTGTTGGTCCATCTTGGCCGTAACTTCTTCCTTCTCAAGAAGACATTCCAGCAAGGTGCGTTCCTTCTCAATGCTTTCCCGACAGGCCTCATACACAATATCATGCGCCCGCTGGCGGCCCACATATGGTGCCATGCCCATCATGACAGCCTCAGCCACAATTAGTCCCTTGGTAGAGTGAAGATTTTCCAGCATCTGCTTGCTATTGACAGAAAGCCCAGAAAGTGCAAAATGCGTTTGAGACAAGGCTCCAACAGCTAGAACAAAACTCTCTGGGACAGCAACCCACTCCAAGTGCCAAGGACCCGAGGCACGTTCGAAGTCAGCGACCATTCCATCAAGAACAAGACCCGCGTTTGACCGAAGAATCTTAGACGCAGCCAAAATGACCTCGCTAGAGATCGGGTTGCGCTTTTGAGGCATGGTCGATGATGCTCCCCGGTGAGGCACGAAAGGTTCAGCCACTTCACTCAGCTCATTCGAGGACATGATAATAATGTCCAGTGCTAGCTTCCCCATAGACCCGCCCACCAGGGCAAGGAAATTGGCAATCTCAGCCACGCCGTCGCGCGCTACATGCCAAGTAATCGAAGGGTCGGTCAGATCAAGCTCTTTTGCCAACGCCTTGCGTACGCGGAGGCCATCGTCGCCATTTCCTAGAGATGCAAGCGAGCCTGCCGCTCCACCAAACTGCACCATCAAAGTCCGGTCTCGGAGCTGCTCTAGTCGCTCCAGATGTCGCTGAAAGCCAGATAGCCATACGGCGCACTTGTATCCAAAGGTCACGGGAAGCGCATGCTGCAAGTGTGTTCGCCCTGCCATAGGGGTATCCTTGTATTTCTCGGATAATACACGCAGAGTTTTGATGACGTCCCTCAAAAGTCTCTCGACAATATTCAGTCCTTCTTTCATTTGTAATACGCTGGCCAGGTCCATAATATCCTGCGTCGTGGCACCCCAGTGCACATACTTCCCAGCCTCCTCACCACATATATCTGACAGCTGACGGACAAGCGGTAAGATTGGGTAGCCGACAATTTCAGTCTCGAGACGCAGCCGCTCAAAATCGAGATTTGATTCTTGTACCCGCTGTGTAACAAGAGCTCCGATTTTAGACGGAATCACACCACACTGGGACTGTGCTCGAGCCAATGCAGCTTCTGCATCAACGCAGCGGCGGATGTATGCTTCATCATCGAAGACCTACGTAAACGTTTAGTCTCGCGGTGATGAGATCTTCTGCCAATTGACATACCTTGCGAATCTCATCGGTTCCGAACAAGGTACGGAATATGCTCGAATCGATTGCACTGACGGAGCCAATTGACCTTCGTCCAGTGGCAGAAGAGCCGGAAAGGACGGTCCGAGTGGTCGTCCGTGATAAAGGGCGCGCGAGACGCACCAAGATAGACATGGTTTTCGATGGCTCTCCAGCTCAAAAAATCACAAACGCTGCTCTCAATGAATTGTTCACAATCACAATTGGACCAGCCTTATCGACTTATCTTCCCCAAGTAGTCCGGTCCGTTAGGAATTGGGGGCTTGTTGGTGGGGAGAGCCCCACATGCTTCCAGTGCTATGTGGGGTCGACGAGCCAAGGCATAACTAGCATAAACATTGCAATCGGATATAATGATTTAAATAGCATAAACATGTAGCATGCAAAGAGAGATACGGGAAGCCAAAACCTTGGAAGTCCTTATTGTGGTGTAGAAGCTGGTTTGGGGCATGGAAACGTTGCCTTGAGTCACCGTTTGTATGAAAGAGGCGCTGTGGATGGCCTCATACTTAGAGTAGTAGCAGTGTTATTTGCTGTAGGAGGTTCTTTTCTTATTTCACATCTACAAAGGTATATAGCTAGATATTCTTGGCTTACTCGCGAATAAAGAGAGATGCCACCCCCATACCGGTACTAACAATTCAACATTAGCAAAGTTAGTATCGTCTAGAGCCAGAATAATCTTACCTAGCACACATGCTCACAATACCCATTTCTTTATCTTGTCTTCGGAGCTCAGAAAGAAGCGTAGCGACCTGTCTAGCACCTGTCGCCCCAACAGGGTGTCCAAGAGCAATGGCACCACCATTTGGGTTGACCTTGCTCATGTCCAGACCAAGCTCACGGATGCAGTAAATCGACTGGCTTGCAAAGGCTTCATTCATCTCCACAATGTCAATGTCCTTGTTTTCAATCCCTAGATACTTGTAAAGATTCTGAATAGCGAGAACGGGCCCGATCCCCATCTCATCGGGGGCACAGCCAGCAACTTGGGTGCCGGCAAACCGTGCAATTGGCTCCAATCCACGGGCATCAGCCCAAGAGCGGCGAGCGAGTATGGTGCTCGAAGCACCATCGGAGATTTGCGACCTGTATGACCTTTAGAAAACAATGGTTGCTGGCGTCTCCGGTGATGCATGCGACTTACGAGTTCCCAGCAGTACTGAATCCATTCTCTAGCACAGGACTCAGCGTTGCCAACTTCTCTGCAGTCACGTTCGTACGGACACCCTCATCACGCTCAACGATCATGATAGTCTCCTCATCAATACCTGCGCTAATTGATCTGACTGGAATAGGTATGATCTCATTCGCAAACCTGCCAGATCGCTGCGCCTCAGTCGCACGTCGTTGACTCTCCGCCGCGAATTCGTCCTGCTCACGTCGACCTATTCCATACCGCGACGCAACATTTTCAGATGTTTGCAGCATGGGCACTAAACAATCTGGAGCATCCTTTATAGGTGATTCCTTAAGGGTAGGCGACACATCCACAGGAATTCCACGCGTCGAATAGTTTCGCGACATACTCTCCACACCACCACCGAGCCCGACATCGATTTGCCCAGCCAGAATCGAGTGTGATATATGTGTGATCGCTTGTAGACTACTCGAGCACTGCCTGTTGACTGTGTGGAAAGTCGTGGAGTTCGGGAACCCCGCAGCATTGAGGGCCATGCGCCCGGTCTTTGCGAAACCTAGCTCCGCAAGAACATTGCCAATCATTGCATCGTTGACTTGGCCAGGATCGATATTTGCTCGCCTCACGGCCGCTTGCATTACCTAAGGAAAGTTAGCTGAATCAAGAAAGAGATAAACAAAAAGGTGGCTTACAGGCATCAGGATTTCTTCAGGGTACGCATCCTTGAAACCGCCCTTGAATGCCCGTGCGATGGGGCTTCGTACTGCGGAGAGCACTACCACATCGTTTGGACTCTTCTTGAGAACCTCTCCCGCTGTCTTTCGAAGCATATTGAGGGTTTGTGCACATCGATGACAGTGTGTAAGTGAGCACGCAAGCTTCTTAAAGAGATACCGGGGTATGCAGAAGTGTGGGGATGGATCTGGTGCTCTGAAGGTGGTGGGGCGCTTCCCATGCGATGATCTTTATCTTTTTACATCACATTACATGTATTTTCTTGCGGGGTGGTACAATGTGGGGGATTTTCTGTCAATACTTTGTTTTCAATACACCAACTTGAAAGTTACCGCCATTGCCGCAGCTCTTGAGCAATTGGACAGGGTGAACCCTTGTGCCCAGGGATCTATCTTCCTTGTCTCTTATCAAGATTTGAGGAGAAGCTTCGCAAGACTATGAGTTTGTTTCGATGACGTCATCATATATATGTAGAATGTCTCCTTCACACGTTGCTGGTAGCCTCATGCACTGTAACTCCTGTACCCGCCTTGATTCATCATTTCCAAATCCTCCCTCTCGTCAATTTCGTGCGACTTCGAGAGTATATCGCTTGGATGAAAGAAGTTGAACAAAAGAGAACAAATCACCATCAAAGTCGCATCAAAGATATACACGAAAGCCTCTTTACTCTGCAGGTACCCAGTATTCCCTTGGATATACTCAGCCACACGGTAGATCGATCGAACCAAGATCAGCGCACTGGCAGCATAGAGGACCCTCATATAGCGTGTCCAAGGAATGCGCGTCTTGACCAGTAGGTGCATCGGAGTCGCGACCATACGGCGATGAAAGATGATTGAGACAACGATGAAAAATCCAAAGGAAATGACCTGGACAAAAAGGCCTGCGATAATAATGTTTTCGCCTAGGCTCACACTGGATGTCGTTTTGGCTGTTGCGAGCATGCCGCCTCCTAAATTACAGATATCACAGGTTAGGCCATTTCTCAGATGCTTTTTAGGGAAGGGGGGTTGGGTGATAAGGGCCATACCGCTACTTTGCATAAGAAATGACAAGACGTCGCCCGTCACGAATATCTTTGTGAGCCATGATGGCCGTATAAGGGAGTTTGACTCGCCGTTCAGAAGGCGGATAACTCGTCCAAGGATCATATAAATTGACGCGGCGAAGAAAGAAGGGGCCAGTAGAAGCAAAAGCTCCTGGATCACGTAGGGCATGGTTGTCCAGTCGGGGGTTTGTTTTGCGCTATAGTATCTCGCTGCATAGCCAACTGCCTCGACTGCAGGTGTAGATATGGTTAGCTACCATATTGAGGTAGGTGTTGCCCAGGTGTTCAGTAGAGAACTTACAAATTCCACCAATGACGAAAGGGACAAAAAACCAGCTTCGGTTTCGAATGACCTGCCAAATGTGAAATGCTGCTGAAAGTCCAAAGAGAACCGCAAAAGCGACAGCTGCGCTAGGTGATGGGTCATAGTTGTAAAGGTTGTAGGTCATAATGAAAGGAAGACGTGGTACCACACCAAGGAAAGGGTATCACACCAAAGAAAGGACCGATAGAGGATTTGAAAGAACGTAGCAAGGGAAGACTAAAAGGCGAAACTGTGAAGAATGGTCCTTTTAAGAAGGAACAAATATTCTCGTTTACTGGATTCTATGGAGACAATTCTCTGTTAGTCTGGTAGATTAGCTAGCGTCTAAGACAATACTGGGTTTCTCCAGGCAACGATTAAATTTAGTGTGGGCTGGAGCAATAAATCAAGCTAGAAAGCCAATTTCAATAAGCTATACCCATTCTAGGACAAGTATACGAAATCTGGAACGAATAGAAGATTTTTCATCTGTAAACCATTGAGCCGTAGATACCACGCACGGATAAAGTTACGAGTACGAACGAGGCTGTGGGTGCAGCGATTGGCCAGAGACGCGATACCCCACATAAACCATTCCTAATTAGGGCAAAGACACGAAACCGAGATATTCGTGATAGCAAGGATTCATTGTCCGTGTATACACGTACTCCTGAACTAGGCGGCAAAAATAGAAGATTTAGCTCCACAAATAATATATATAATAAGACTTATTCTCCTCTCAGGGTCCAGGACTTTCATTCCACATCCTTAGCTTCTGCTTCTGCTTTCGCTTCTGCTTTTAGCAAAACGAGTCAATAAACTTGTTCAATTGACCGCTATACCCCCTTTCGCTTGAAACATCGACTGAGTCTGTCAATAATCACGATGAACTTTACATACTACTATTACACCCCATCGGCTGCGGCTGCGGCGATCTTCATCGTGTTATTTGGGCTGAGTACCCTTCTGCACTTTTACCAACTCGTGCGGACACGAACATGGTTCATGATTCCATTTTTGATTGGAGGAATTCGTGAGTTTGAGTTGTTATCTGCTGCGCTCTGATGCGTTCAAGTTATACTAACATGATTGAATTGCTATAGTTGAAACTATCGGTTACGTTGGCCGTTTACTATCCTCGCGCGAGTCACCCAATTTCACCGAAGGTCCCTATGTCATACAAAGCGCCTTGATCCTGATCGCGCCCGCCTTTTTCGCCGCAAGCATCTATATGACTCTTGGTCGGATCATCTTCATGACTGATGCGGAGAAATGCTCGGTAATCAAGCTCAAATGGTTGACCAAGATCTTTGTGGCTGGTGACGTTTTGTCTTTCTTGATGCAAGCCTCAGGTAGGCGCACTCTCTATCAGCCATGGCCGTCTAAAGCATTGTGCTAACAAGATAACAGGAGCGGGTCTCATGGTTGCGAATTCTAGCAGCCCGAGTACTGGCGAACACGTCATCATTGGTGGTCTCTTCGTGCAGATTGTCTTCTTTGGCCTTTTCACAATCACTGCTATCGTGTTCCAGGCACGAATTTCAAAGAGCCCCACTGGTCGCTCAATTGATCTGGGAAACATCTGGCCTCGGCATATGACTGCCCTCTATATCTCCAGCATTCTTATTTTGGTTCGCTCGATCGTTCGTGTGGTAGAGTATCTAGAGGGATACAGCGGGTATCTTATGAAGCACGAAGTCTTCATCTATATATTCGATGCACTGCTGATGTTTTCCGTGATGCTGGTTCTTCAGTATTCGCACCCCAGTGAAATCAATTGCTTGCTGGGACGTGGCGAAAAGTATTCGGAGAAGATGATCAAGACGCGGAAGTTTGTTCCCCGCTCGGCGCTTGAGCTTGGTGAAGACCGAGTATAGCGAGTATGAGAAGATGTCGTTATGAATGGGTCTTTTTATGATACTTTCTTTTGTTAGTGTAACCGGTGTAACTGAATCTCAACACTTATTTCAAGTTCCCACTCATCAATACTTGTTTCATCTTCGGAAGAAAGGCGCTAGTGCATTTATGGGCAGGCGCCCAGGTATATACTTAGTGTAAGAAGGAACGCAAAGCAATCGACATGAGGACTGTCATTCAAGAAAAGAATCCCAAAACGCGCCCTTATGTTGTTGATATCGATAGACAAATCATTCTGTACCGAAGGGGAAGACATTCAGAATCGCCCATTCAATATGAGGATGCCATTCAGGCTCCAATGCTTGGGTGATCTCTAATAGAACCTTGCGGCCCCAAGGGCCTATGCACCAGTTCTCTCGAGCCATATGTAGAAACACACAGTAATGAGCCAGCACTACCAATGCGAGAGGTTTCTTAGCCCTGAGGTCATCGAGATATCTCTGCGAGGCATGAATAGCCCAACCAGCAGCCATGGTCATCGAAGTAGGCTCGGCACAGGTGAAAGCAGCAAGATCGCGCAAGAATTTTATCGCTCGCGTATATGATGCAGAGTCTATATTATTATCCCATTGGTTGCATTGAATTTGCAGTTGCTCAAGTCGATCGAATGCAGCAAGAATATTCTCGGGGATATCAACCTCCGGACCTGTAGTATCGAATAGTGGTTTGAAGTTGCTTTGCAGCAGAAATTCTGTTTCCGCATCTAGCACTGTCTGAACTCCTCGGGCTAAAATGAAGACGTCCGTGAGCGCGTTCAAGCCCGGCCCGTCTTCTTTCGTGCCTATGTTGACAGCACTTGCTAGGCTAAAAGCAAAAGCCAGGCCCGCGAAAACCATCATGGCTTTCGCATTGGACTTGGTAATGTTGCGAAGCTGATCCGAGAACATTACCAAGGCAGTATTCTTATGTGCTATGGCGATGTCTAGCCACATCACATACCTTTCGTCTTCACGCAAATGCGAAAGATGCAGGGCGGAAAGTGCCAAGATTCCGTGCATTAGAAATGGCGCATTTAGAGCTTCTTCAAGCACTGGAATTTCCCAGACTTTTCTTGTCTTTTCGCTCCGCGCAGCGAATTTGTGTGTGTGGTTGGTCCATTGTAGTACGAGCTCTAGCTGTGTCATGTCCAGCGAAGGCAAGCTAGAATCTGCACTCGAACTGTCGGAAGGATTTGAGGCCCAGGTATTTGAGGTGAAAAATTGGGCTTCAGGCAACAGCTTAGTTCGATCTTCTGGTGGCGATTGAGCTTTCTTCCGAGATTTTCGGGTGCTCTCAGTAAAAATGTGAGGGCCCAGCCCGGGATAGACACATGTTTCACACCTCTGGGTGCAATTGCTACAGACAGGTCGTAGTTCATCGCACTGTAGCAACCATCAACAGGGGAACGAGATGATTTGAAAAAGATAATCTCCAACCTTAACGCGTCTAGTCTTGCAAGTCATGCAGCCATGCCGGGATTTAGTATGTTCCCGGCGATGGTGCATCATGCTTAATATACCGTGTACGAGGGTGAAGTGTTATAGCCGAAGAGGTTGTGCAGATGATATTTTCAACGATCGAGCTATATTGGAAGGCAGCAATAAGATCAGATCCATGTTTCGACATTGGAGCCCGAATGCGGTGAGAAACACGAGTACGAGACGCTAGCTATATTTACGATGATACTATTGGCGGATATTGACGCTGCCCCACATCACTCGCTTCGAGATATAGAGATAAGATGCCTGTCATTTCATCACTATTGTTTTTGAACAAGCTACAAATATTCATACCATTCTAATCTTCGCTACAGAGACAGTTGACATGGGAAAATCTAAGCTTGGTGAGGACAGCCAGTCAACTTTTGATTGGCATATGTATGATCCTCGTTTCGTTCAAGAGATGAGCCCTATGGTTATACCAATTGCCTCATAGATCTCATATTTAACGCCTGACCAACAGTACTCAATAACTACACGAGTCAAATCTTCAAAGAGCCAGCACTGGGGCTCATACCATTGCCCTCGGAAGTTTCGTTCTTCGCACTCATTTCCCAACCACGTCCACGATAACGAGCCGGCCAAACACCCGACTTTCCAGGGGCCATGATACCATTCGGATCCAAGCAGTCCTTGATTTTCTCATTGAACTTCAACAATGCCCCGTCGTTCCAGTTATAGGTGCCAGCAATTTGATCCATGAACGCAAGGTGTGTGCGATACTCGCCATATCCTTGCTTCGCTGCATCGTCAATCATAGCTCGAAGGCTCGCTCGTGCATTATTTCGCATGACGGGATCATCGCGGTTGAAGACAATCTCAACAATAAGGTGCATTTCGCGCAACCCCACAACGAATGTTGGGAATAAGTCCAAGTCAAACTCTTCACAACGTTGGCGCGCAATGTCCCACAGAGCCGTTGCATCTTTACCTCGGACAGGCGAGACAGGACTGAATGCCACATGCCCACCATTTGGGTGCCAATTCACCCAGCGAAGCTCTTCAAGCTCAGGAACCCCTGACGCTACACGGTCACGAACCCAGAAATAGTCTTCTGGGGGCAATGTCGATGGATCGATACGTCTGGCGCCAGGAATCTTCATAAACTCCTTTTCGATGATATCCAATTTGTACTTGCGGATTTCCGGGGGGCCGTAAGACATGCCATAATACAGCCATGCGCAGTCACCGTGGGAAAGCTGTTTGGCGACGTCGTGGATGATATTGTCGGGGACGCGACCCTTGCCGTTGTAATAATGGCTTCGCGGCTTGCCCTCAAGTCCAACCTGAAGACTGACATGGCGAAGCTGAGCAACGTTCTCGAGGATCATGGCAATTCGCAGGGGGCGAATGATTTCAATCTGAGAAATGTGTCATTATATGATGATCAGTAATTTCTTTTGGTCTGGCTTACCAGCTGGGCGAGGTCTTCCTCCTTGGGGAAAGTATAGAGCTAGAATGAAGTCAGCAGATGTTCTGTCATAGCTGGGTTCCATGAAGGTCGCAAAGGTTGCAAACATACATAGGCTTCATGTCCGCCAGGATTGGGCATCAAGCCAAAGCCCATCTTTGTCACGATTCCCAAATTTGACTGGGAAAACAGGCCACTGCAGAGAATATGAGTATACCAATCCAACATCGACCAGAGGTATTACATACTCTGGAGTAGGCCCAAATCCAGGAGCGAATAATTGCCAACTATTATTTCCCGGCAGAGCTCCCATGCCAGTCCTGATTGCCTCGCCAGTTGGAAGAACCACTTCCATGCCGGAATGCATGCCCCAGTGGTCTCCGTAAGGCGTATAACCAACACCGCGGTCGACGGCATTCCCTAGCACGGACCCGCCTCCAATATCGGGGACATCAATCCAAAGATGCTTGTAGCCACGAGCTTGGATCTCTTCATACAACGCAAAGTATGTGACACCCGGCTCCACAAGACACGTGCAGTCGTCGGGGTTGATGTCAAGGATTCGGTTCATTCGCCTTCCAAGATCGATTACAACTGCACCGCGGACTCTAGGGGCTGCTCCTCCGTAGCCGTCTTTTTGGAAAATAATGTTAGTGTTCCATCCATCCCCATGCCGTGAGAAGTTGTGAAACTACCGAATACGTACAGTTTCTTCCAATGGAGATCGGTGAGATGGGAATTCGATGTTCATTGGCCCATCGTACAATTGTCTGTACCTCCTCTGTACTACTAGGATAGACTACAGCAGAGCCAACGAAGTCATCTTCTTCCGCCACATGCATTCCATCGTGGGTATTCGGATCTAATGTGCGGTTGCTTAGTACTTGACCCTCCAATCCTATCGTATTTCGCGTCGCGTTTGCGCTTACTCTCAATGTACCTGTCGAAAAATGGGTTAATTTGACATGCCTTCTGAACTGATACCCGGGTGTGAGTAAATACCATCCGTCAACCAGTTTCGTTACCAATTCAACATTCTCTTGACCAATTTGGCCCTGGAGGCTTTGAATTGCCTGGTCAAATGCAGAACGACTGACGCCCTGAGGCAATGCTATCTGTGTCCGGTTGCTCTGAGGCTTAGTAGCGATCTCAAAAATCCCTATTTTGGCTTTATGGGCCTGATCAAGCAATCTTTCTGAAATCCCATTGTGCTTCTCAGACAGGAGAGGCGGCCGGGTGATATTCTGCTTGGTAGTCATTTCGTATATGAATGAAAATGCCCAAGCTAGAAGATGTCTAGTCCTTCGGGCAAATATGTACTTTTCGAGCTCAAGAATCTAAACCCCTCCTTTTATAACATGCGAGGGGTAATTCCGTTACTGAACACGTTGACAAATTGTAGACCTTGCGAGTAAGCAACATGATTGGAGAACAGATGGCTCAATGCATATGAGGAGTGAAAAAGCGGAGGAATTCCACTTTTCTTCGGCACTGCAGCGTGGAGAACTAGGCCAATGCATTCTTGATCACTCCAGGTCTCTTCCCTCGCCCCGCTATTACCCACCATGCAGACCCCACCGCCAAGGCCTTGCACTGCAGATCAACGGGGTCAAACGGCTGACGATTTCTAGTGTGGTGCCCGGCTTTATGTTTCTAGGAGGGCATTGAGCGAAGTTTCTTCACGTAACAGCTCATCGTGCGGTGTAAGCATTTTATTGTTTAGTATTTCCGTGAAATTTCATCAGTCACCTGTGAATGCATGCCGCCTTTACGGCTCATGCATAAATATGTCGATTAAAGGCATGTGTATGCACTTTGAGACTCCCTACCTTAGTAGCTACCATAGGCTGAGCGCATCTTCCCTTCCGATTTCCCCACCGTGAGCAAAGAGCATGGAGATCCCTTTCGAAGAGTACATATCGCTCCTACGCTATAATTATCCATACTTAAGTCAATACTTGCCTTAGTCAACCATCTTAGCTGCAAATTTTGCGTGATCCAATGGCGTATGCTTTGCCAAATCACTCGCATTGACAGCGCCATTAGCAAGTAACTTCTCAGCCACATCGAGGTGGCCATTTCTTACCGCGGCATCGAGCACAGTGTGATTTGATATGGCGAAAGTTCCATTCACATCTGCTCCCACATCAATCAAAAATTGAACGATCTCGGTGGCACCCACCCATGCCGCACAGTAAAGGGGACCTCCCTGAGAAAATCCGTCACGATCATCATGCAGTCCATTCGGATTCGCACCATGAGCGACCAGTAACTTCACAATTGTGAGATAGTCTCCCGGTGTGCCTGATTTATGGAGAGCTCGATAACCCATCTTATCAAAAAAACACCCAGGACCTCGCTGGTCGGACATGGTGTTAGGGAGATGCCATCGGCCTTCCCTAATGGGCTCGCCAACACCTGCCCGTGCAGCATATTGCAGGGGGCTCATTCCTCTTCCATCACCTTTGTTCACATCTGCGCCCATTTCGAGAAGCATTCTCACGACTGCATATTGTCCGCCTCGAGCCGCTTCCATCAACGGTGTCGGGCCTATTATGTCCATACGACCGCCCTTCATACAGTCGACATCTGCACCGAGCGATATGAGTAGTCTCATAATCTCTTCTTGCCCTTCAAAAGCAGCATAGTGTAAAGGAGTCAGGCCATCTTCGTCTTCTAAGCCGATTGAGTCCCCTAGGTCGGCCCCTTGATCTAGCAGCAACTGAACCATTGTGAAGTGCCCTGACTGGGCTGCATAGCTCAATGGTGTCCGATGTCTCGAGCACTTTGTGTTGGCATCTGCTCCGGATTCGATCAGATATTGAGCAAATTCCTGTTGGCCGTCTCCCGCTGCCCAGCTGAGGGGGGTGCGGTAGCTGTAGCCGTCTTTCTTATCAATATGTCGCTGGAGACCAATAGACACCTGATGATCCAAAATCATTTGCCATATTTCGAAGTCCCCATCCTCGGCTGCGTAGCTCCATGCTGTGCGGCAATCGGAATCGATTTCGTCTCCTTTTGCTCCCAATTTCAGAAGTTTTTGCACGCCTGATTTTAGACCATATTTGACGCACAGGGGCAGTGCAGAGCCATCATACCTGGATAAATTGTTCTGAAAGAGATAGTCCCCGAGGAGGTTTTTCAGACGGTGATTTGCTTGGAGAAAGGAGGCGATGTCCAAATCTTCTGAAAGGAATGTGGCGATATGAAGAATTAACTCGTTTGGTAATGCGAGGATCGACATCGGAGGCATGGTATTTTTTGGCAGATTTCTTGTGTATGCTTTGGAACTTGGGTAGTCAGGTTGCCTAGCTTCTGATCATTCCGGCATTTCATGGGATTATTCAAAGTTGAGTCATCTCGTATCAAGGGCCCACTTCAAGCGGTTCTTCCGCGTAGCAAGAAGGCGCTAGACTGAAAGCAAAACGGGACTAGGGTCACATTTAGAGAAGTTTCCGTAGTTGAATGACTATTCTCTTTTCTTTTCTGGCCGCGCTACTACCACCGCCACGACCTTACACCGCAGATCAATTACTGAGCAGATTTTACATAATTGAATAGAGAAACGAAAGATATATGTAAAATGAAAATACCAAGGCTCACTGCCCCTCTTAGGCAACCCTTCCACGGCCCTAGAAAGAAACTTGCGAACACCAATGGAAATAAAAGTGAAAGACCTGGACGCTTATTCTGCCTGCAATTCCGTCAAGCAAGTCCGATCTGAGGTACCTACGTCCCCAGAGCATTTGTATTCCTTTCTGATTGCCGAGGAGCCTTGATATTTTTGCTCCATTTCGAAGTATCCACCTGGGCATCGGCCACCCAGCATATACATCTTCATATACTGTAGAGAAGGTGAATCAGGGGCATGTTCTAGGCCCGAGCCGCCTGTACTACCGCCAGCCTAATCGTCACCTTTTCCATCACCCCACTATACTACACACCATCTCCCAGTTCCGTCGAAAACAAAGCGAAGCAAAGAAGATTGCGCATCAACGGCAAAAACAGAACCAATCGGAGGACCAATGACTTGTGCCATAGGTAAATTTGGAGGATTCTGGCGAAGTACAGTATGATGTCGCCCTGGCGGCCCGGCCCGCGATTTTACGAGCCCTGGAGAAATACTACACTTGTCGCGTGGACTCACCCCAATACAAATAATCAGGGAAGATAAGGTATCAAAGTTGGTGGAAAGCTTTTCTGACATTAAAAGTCGAGTCTCGCGGCGCTAAGATTATACCGTATACGTGTGCGAAGTGTATAGAACCGAGAATTAATCGTGAATGGTTCAATGATGGTAAGTGATTATTGAGTGAGGCATGCGCCTTCAGTTTCGAAAGGGCTGCTATTAGCTGCTCAAACGTTCGCCGATGAGACAATTCGGCGCAATTTTTTCCAAGCCGAAAAGCACCTCTGAGAATTTTGTGATCCTGAAAGGGCAGAAAGGGCTTGGCTATGCTGCGAGAAAAGAGTTGTCAAGTGTGTTAATAAAGCAGATTTCAAGCATGATTGGTCAGAACATAGATCTGTAACAAGATCCATGCAGAACAAGCGGGGACGCGATGGAACCTCCCACTAGTCTTCACTACACTGAATGGGGCAGATATGACGTTAAATTCAAAGTTCAATGGGGTTAAATCTCCGGTTCAGATCATGGAGAACTTTAATGCAAGTGCCGACAGGAGAGTTGTCGGGAGGACCAGGAACGGCATTGCCGCCCAAGAGAGCTAGATCCCGACAATTGCACTTTGGCTGCCGAAGGCGAGTCCCGTGTAAATTACGTGTTATATTACCGTTAAATACCAAACATATTTCACATTCCGTTTAGTGGTTGGAGCAGAATGTGTAATTTTCAATTCCACCACAACATTTGTTGCGAGTAAAAAAGGATCAGAAAAATCTCTTTTTAGTATATGGAGATCGTGTGACATCGCGCTTTAACTTCCCACCTCCACATCTTGAAGAACCCCCCAACTTTTCCCACCCCGCAAAGATGCAGGTGGTTTTGTTGCCCCCTTCTGACTAACTTCGGGTAGTGATGTGGGGTCGGCTTCCGATGGCGGCAAAGGGCTTAGGGAGCAACACCGCGAAGCACTCCGATATGTGGGGAAGGAAGGCGGTGGCCACCCCGGGCAGGCCCGGGTAAGCGTTTTTTCGGCTTCTCTGGATCAGTGTCTAGCCGAAAATTGCGGGTTGGGGCACTGGGGTAGATAGCTTCGCGATGCTGTTCTTTTTCTCCTTCTCTCTTCTTTCTGCTGGATCAGAAAGACCTTCTCCCAGACATTCAAGGTAGTCGAGACATCATGTCGCGGCCTCTCGCCCCTGTGATGTCGGTGTTCCGCCCTATCTGGCGGCGGAACTTCTCTGCTTCCACCTCCAAAAGCGCCATTAACAAGCTGTGCGCCTCTGCCAATGAGGCTGTCAAGGAGATTAAGGGTTCATCGACTGTCCTGGTTGGTGGATTCGGTTTCGCTGGCGTTCCTCTCTCTCTGATCAACGCAGTCCGGGACCGCCCCGAGGTCAAGGACCTGACCGTTGTCTCGAACAACGCTGGTATGCCTGGTGTTGGTCTTGGTAAGTGCAATTGGACACCCAATTGAGTCAGTGAGGGCTTGTAGCTAATCACGCTATCTCCTTGCAGGTCAATTGCTCGAGACTAAGCAGATTAGCAAGATGATTGCTTCGTTTATTGGCGAGAACAAGTTGTTCGAAAAGATGTACCTTGGTGGCGATCTGGCTCTGGAGCTCACTCCCCAGGGTACTATCGCAGAAAAGTGCGCCGCAGCTGCTGCTGGCGTGCCGGCTTTCTACACTCCCGCGGCTTTCGGCACTATCGGTGAGTTCATATCAAGTGCACGGTTCTACCCGCGAAATTAGGCTGACCCAGGTTAAAATAGTGCAAACTGGTGAACTCCCCGTTCGGTATAACAAGGATGGTACTGTGGCTGAAATGTCCAAGCCTAAGGAGACTCGTGTCTTCAACGGCAAGCCATTCATTCTGGAAGAATCTATCTATGGTGACTACGCTCTGGTTAAGGCCCACAAGGCCGATCGTCTGGGCAACTGTCAGTTCCGCATGTCTCAAAACAACTTCAACGAGTCCATGGGCAAGAACGCCAAGTACACCATCGTTGAGGCTGACCACATTGTTGAGGTTGGTGAGATCTCCCCCGAGAACATCCACCTCCAGGGTATCTACGTCGATGCTGTCATCCAGAGCACCGAGGAGAAGCAGTTCGACAAGATTGTTTACGCCAAGGACCCCAGCGAGATGCTTGCTGGTGGTAACAGCGAGGCCACTGCCCGCCGTGAGCGTATTGTCAAGCGTGCCGCCAAGGAATTCAAGGACGGCATGTACGTTAACCTTGGTATCGGTGTTCCTCTCCTCGCTCCCGCCTACCTGCCCCCTGGTGTTGAGGTCGTTCTGCAAGCTGAGAACGGTATCCTCGGTCTTGGTGACTACCCCAAGCCCGGCCAGGAGGACCCTGACCTGATCAACCCCGGCAAGGAGACCGTCACTTTGAACCCCGGTGCTTCCCTCTTCGGCTCCCAGGAGTCCTTCGGTATGATCCGCGCTGGTAAGATCGACCTCACCATGCTCGGTGCCCTCCAGGTCAGCCAGTACGGTGATCTCGCCAACTTCATGCTTCCCGGAAAGGTTAAGGGTGTCGGTGGTGCCATGGACTTGGTCGCCAACCCCGAGAAGACCAAGGTCGTCGTTACCATGGAGCACACTGACAAGAAGGGCAACCCCAAGATTCTGCCTAGTAAGTTTTTGTTCATCCCCTCCATCAAAACCACAGCTAACAATCAATTCTCAGCCTGCACCTTCCCCCTGACCGGTCCTCGCTGTGTTTCCACCATCATCACTGACCTCGCCGTTTTCGACTGCAGCCCCACCGAGGGTCTGACATTGATCGAGCACGCCGAGGGTGTCACTGTTGAGGAGATCACCAGCAAGACTGCTGCTACTTTCAAGGTCTCCCCTGACCTGAAGCCCATGCAGCTGTAAAATTGCATTTGAATATATACATTAGAAATGGGTCTGGAACCGGTGTCTTGTTTTATTTGCGAATATCAATACTCCCAGTGGTAGATTGAATTGAATTTTATTTTTCACAAAGATTATAATTACTTTGTACAGACCTTTTGAAGCCACTAGAACTGCCACAGTTTACCAAATAATCCATTTCAATGGCAGCTTCCTATTCTTCCCTAACGAAAAGTCACGAAAAATGAGCCTGTGCTGCATGTGTGAGCTTATGTGGGGTCGAACCCACCTGCAGATCAATCAGTGGGGCTCCCCACGAGCAGTTTGCGATGAAGGTGGTGCTAATTGGAGAATTTAGTACCGCAGTCCCTACGTAATCGGTGAAATATTGAAATATTCTGAAGTCAATTGTTAACCAGTGAAGGCAGCTGCAATGTTGTCCTTACATGTACAACGCATATCTACCCTGGGGAGGACGGCTTCACTGTTCGGTCGCCCAAACTCACAATGTATATTTCGCAGAATTGCTACAGGAACCAAAGCTGTGGAGAGCAAGAAGCTCCCGCTCGCAGGTGTGCGAGTACTGGATATGAGTCGGGTCCTCGCAGGGGTACGTATCAATGCCGAAAGCCTATCTGGAAGCGAGAATTTGGGCTGACGCCCAAACAGCCATACTGCACACAAATTCTGGGTGATTTAGGGTATGTAGGAAATTAGACATCAGGGAAGGAAAATGCTCATGGTTTATACACACAGAGCGGAGATAATCAAGATCGAACACCCCATTCGAGGCGACGATACCCGTGCCTGGGGTCCACCTTTTGCAGCATACACAGACGGTCGAGCTGGCAATGGCGAAAGCGCATACTACCTTTCCGTATGTATATGGTCAATTCATTGGCTTACAAAGTTTTACTAAAATCTTCCAGGTCAATCGCAACAAGAAGTCGCTCGGTCTCTCTTTCGCCCACCCGGAAGGTGTCGAGATCCTCCACCAACTCGTGCGAGATTGTGACGTGGTAGTAGAGAATTACCTCCCCGGCTCTCTGAAGAAATACAATCTCGACTACAAATCATTGCGCCAGATAAACCCGCGCCTCATTTATACCAGTATCACGGGATATGGACAGACGGGTCCCTACAGCAGCCGACCAGGTTTTGACGTGATGGTTGAGGCGGAGTTTGGTCTCATGCACCTGACTGGTACTCGAGATGGGCCACCTGTGAAAGTCGGGGTTGCCGTGACGGATTTGACGACGGGGCTATATGCGTGCAACTCCATCATGGCGGCTTTGTTGGCACGGGCGAACACGGGAGAGGGACAGCACCTCGATGTGTGCTTGAGTGATTGTCAGGTGGCGACGCTTGCTAATATGGGGGAGTCGGTGTTGATTAGTGGGAAGAAAGATTCTGGGAGGTGGGGTACTGCTCACCGTAAGAAAAGCAAGTCTCTTGGTATTCTGATGAGATACTAATAATGAATTAGCTTCCGTAGTTCCATACCAAGCATTCAAGACGGCTGACACGGATATCTTTGTTGGGGGCGCCAATGACCGACTATTCGGAATACTGTGCGATAAACTCGACAGGCCGGAGTGGAAGACCGATCCACGCTTTATTAGCAACAGTGATCGTGTCCATAATCGATCAGAGCTCGAACCGTTGATTGAGGCTGAGTTAATGAAGCAAACAACGAAAGTGTGGCAGGATCGTTTTGAAGGAAGTGGGCTGCCCTTTGCGGTCGTGAATGATGTTCAAGGAACAATGAATCACGAGCATGGTAAGTTCTCGCAGGAGTTTCGTCGATGGTGCTAATAATTGTTTCAATAGTACGTGCTCGTGGAATGGTTCAATCCATTGATCATCCTGCTTGTGGACCGATCAAGGTCATCAGCCCTCCCGTCAAGTACTCGAATGCCGAGCCTAGTATTCGGAGCCCACCGCCTCTTCTGGGTGAGCATACTGAGGAGCTGCTGAAGGTCATTGGTTTTGATACTGCTCGAATTGGGGAGTTGAAGAAGAAAGGGGTCGTTGCATAGCTAGCATTATGTACAATTATGTATACTGTATCTAGAGAATCATAGAAAGAAAGACGAAGAGCTCGATTTACTGGCAGTGTACTAAAACGCGAGCATAAGACATGGATTTTCGGATCCGGGCGTCGACCCCCGGCTCGGATCCGATGTAGTATCAAGTAATATAAAGGCAAAACACATCGCTATCCGCTTTTATAACCAACCCGAGGCTCTGAAGACAATCTAATATCACATTTGAAATATTAATACTATCTTTACACAAACGCAAAAATGCGGGTTCTTGTTATTGGCGCAAGTGGTCGTACAGGCAAGCTAGTCCTCGACGAACTCCACAATCGAGGTATGTTCCTATCAGCCTCATATCAACTTGATACAAAAGCAGCTGACGAATGGCAGGACACCAAATTACAGTGCTGGCTCGCAATCCAGCAGCATTGGAAGGGTATAAAGTTGATGTCGTCAAAGGTATGACAACAAGGCAGTATCTGCAAGTTACCCCGACTTACTATTTGAAATGACAGGCACACCCACCAACATGTCCGATATGAGAGAAGCGTTTAAGCGAGATACCCCAGAAGTCGTTATCGTAACCCTGAGCGCACCTCGAACCAGCGATAGTCCCTTCGCCGCAGTGATTTCCCCACCCCGCCTAATGGCCGATAGCAATGCCAACGTAGTGGCAGCTATGAAGGAATTTGGTGTTCCCAAAGTGGTTGTTCTTCAAGCTTTCGGGGTTGGCGATTCATGGTCGAATATGCCATGGATATTACAATTGCTGATGAGCAAGTCCAACATGCGACATCAGTACGAGGACCACAACAATACCGACCGTGAAATCCGTGCGAGCGGAGTGACTTTCGTTTTTGTCCGGCCTTCCCGGCTGGTGGACAGCGATGTGCTGAAAGTTCGCGAATGGCCTGGAGATGGCAGAGGTGTTTCGATGATGGCGAGTTCTAGTCGGAAAAGCGTTGCTCATTTCCTGATCGATGCGGCGATCGAGTCCAAGTGGGACAACACGGCGCCGGTAATCACAAACTAATCCTGCTGAACAGAAAGCCTACTTTGTCGACACTGGATTCGTAAATGTGTTACAGTTTTTGTCATCTAATCCAAAAAAATCAAGATTTAGCTCCAAAACGTGCACAACTTCGAGATCCAAACAGGGAAAGCGTGAAAAAGTCAGATCCAACATTGGGGGCTGAAGGCTTGGCACTGCTCGTACTCTTTGGCATTGTCAGATTGCTTCGATCTCTGTCTACTCCAGCAATGGAATCCCAATCCCGTAAAAGACCGCGGCCTGTGGTATCGTGTCTGCGATGCCGAGAGAAGAAGCTGAAATGTGACCGGGTGGCGCCCTGTCAGAATTGTGTAAGAGGGGGGGGTACGAGGCGGAATGTGCTTATCACCAACAACCCGATGCCGTTGACCCACACTCGCAGCCAAAATCAAAGCGAGCCAAAATAGCCGAAGCCAACGAACCAGGGACACTGTGGATGGGCCCGAGTATCGGCATCATCGAGGATCTACAGCAGCGGGTCCTGAAGTTGGAGTCCCTCCACGCGATAAGACCTCACGCTAACAACTACGGTCTTAGAGATGCATCGATTCAAAATTCTTGGTAAGGCAAATTGAATACCTGAGTGTTTTCTGCATTCCTGTTTTCTTCGCTGACTTGGCAGAATAGGCCACGACCAGAGATCTCCCAGTCAAGCTCATCATACTTGGGAACTTTGGTGGTCAAGGGATCTCGATCGAGATATCATGGACAGAATGATAGGATTACTCTTTTAAATCAGGTTTGTCTTTCATAGAATACAACGATCTCTATGCACTGACAGCCTCCAGTTCGCAGAAGCTAAGACCTTCATTAATCAATCCTTGAACAATCCCAATTTGGTTGGACTAGCCAAAGAGGTTCAGTTTCTACAGAACAAATCCCAGGCACCAAACGACTCACCAGAGTCACTCTCGGGCATAGAAAGCTTTCCTGAACTCCAGAGTCTTCTGGGTTCGTTGCCTTCAAAAACTGTCTGTGACCAACTGCTAATTGTGTACACCAAAAATGTCGAGAAGAACCTCAGAATCCTACATATTCCCTCTTTCCTTGCACGCTACAACGCCTTTTGGGCTACCTCGGACCATGAAACGTCGTTTCTTTCCATGTTCATCCCTCTCCTTACCGTGGTTTTATCCATCTCAGTCATCACTGAAACCGCGCCTCCTTCGCCAGAGTATTCCCCGTCATGGGACTACCTGAAGCAACATGCAGTCGGTGCGGTTCACGCTTGGATGCAAAAACTTCCACGAAAGCCAAGAACCGACATTTCAACTCTACAGGTAAGGACACTGTTATTACTGACCCGCCAACTGAGACAGGTCTCGCTCGAGGAACTCTGGAAAGAAAGTGGCTCGCTCGTGCGCTCTGCAATGGTGATGGGGCTTCATGTCAACTTATCACAATCCAAGAGCCTGTCGCCTTTCCAGGCCGAGTGTCGACGTCGGTTGTGGGTTTCAATTGTCGAACTGGACCTGCAGACAGCTATTGCTGCGGGGATGCCTGTCATGACACCGGCACTTGACTTGTCCCCTCTCACACCTTCCAACCTCAACGATGTTGACTTTGATGAGTCAACCACTGAACTCCCTCCATCAAGGCCCGTGGATGAAGAAACCGACTCTTTAGCGCAAATCACTCTAGCTCAATCTCTCGCACTCCGTATAAGGACCATGAACTTGGTTCAGCATACGAATCCCGAGGAAAGCATAGAAGAATGCCTTAAAAACGGCCAACAGATCGAAGAGTCTTTACAAATGATTCCGCCTCCTCTAAAATTATACGATTCTGACAACAGTGATCCCGCCTTTGTTTTGAATCGCGTGATTCTGGATGTTCAAATCCGCCGTCCACTTCTTTCGCTTTACAGACCTGTTCTTGCCAATCTACCACCTGATGACCCTTCTTTTCTTGAAATCCAACGTGCTCTCCTTGATTCATCCATCGCAATTCTTGCATATCAAGACATTTTCGATCCAAACATTTTCGATCTTGACATCCCCAATATCAACTCATACTGGAACATCTTCCATATCTTCTGCCAGAATGATATCATTTTAGCCGCTCTCACTGTTTGTGAATATCTGAAGTTCGTTAATCAACAATCATCCATCCACTCTTCCTTCAATGAATTCAATCAACAAAATCAAAACAACACCATCAACCCACACCTTACCAACCACGCCCTGTCACATAACAAAGCAAGTTTGACTCGTTTGGTTGAGAACACAATCGACAGTTTAACTCGTCGTATTGGTAAAAAGGGCACCAACATGAAAGACATTCTTCTTTTATCAGTCGTCCTTCAATCCGTCCGCGCTCGTGGCCCCACAGAACAGAAAGACCGCCGCATGTCTCACGGAGCAAAGAAAGCCTTGTCCGCGTGTCGACAGAACCTTCTATCTGCGGCGAATGAAAACATCTTCGCTTCCCATTTCAATAACTCAAACCCGCTATCAAACTACGAGGTATATCTAACTCCAGGATGACAGACCTCTTTGCTGATTTTCCAGTCTCCGGATGTAGTGTTACCACCTGACGTCTCTGCTCAACTGAACCAACCCTCCCCTTCCATGCCTGACCTCCTGCAACAATCTGCCTCCCTCGCTGCAGAATTCGATACCTTTCAGAGCGATCTCTTCACCTTTGATGATGGGTCTTTTATGTGGAATATATGATTGGCAATTTTTTCCCGCCCAAGGACATGTTGGGAAGGACAACAACAACAACAAAGGGGAAAACAAGAGAGGAGAGAGAAGTCTAAACCGAAGACAAACAAAACAAATACCAAAGGCAGCGTGGTAGCACAACCTGAGGAAGCTCCGACAACCAAGGGCAATACAGCGCCATACTGATGACCGACCATCAGTGCTCAACAACATTCACGATCCTCTCATGAAATAATGCGATGCTATATGGTCAATGGCAAATACGGCATGCAGCGTGGAGGCACAATCTGCAGGGCCATTGACTACAGCGATGAGGAAGCATCGATGCCGAACAATAATCCACGACGTCTCCGTTACTCACCAAATATCGGATTGATATCTCGATTGAAGATGGTATATGACGAGTTCAATCTAATATCCAACATGGAAGCATAAAGGAAGTGGCGCACAGCGGAGCGGGGGAAGCATCAATCGCGTGACATCGAGTGGTTATTACCAATAATTTGAAGCCTGTTTCGGTTCACATCTCGTGGCAAGTGAGTGCTTTGTACGTATACTATCAATGCAAAAATACATGCCCTTGCTACATCTTATTGCATCATGCATCCTAGGTTTGGAATAAAGTAGATGATGAGATTTATCCAAGTGTCAGTCCCTAGATTCGCAAAAGGCCACCCAATCCCTCGCTATAGATTCGCCCCCTCAGCTCGTTTTGAGTAATACTGCGTCATATCATGCTGAAGCACATCCAAGCCCTACATCTCAGGTTAACAAGCGATTCAGGATATCGAGATAAATTAAACTTACCAAAACTATACTCTTCGCAGTTTCGTCATCAGTCTCTCCCTTAACACAAAGCTGGAAAAACTCATCATTCTCGCGAGCCTTGGTCGGGTCCTGATCATACAGCCGTCTGAAATTCTCACGGGACATGGGATCGATGATCTCGGCCCAAATGCGTTTGCGAATTTCACTGTATTTATTGAGGATAGTCTCGTCCGCAAGACCCTTGTGAATACCCATAAATGAATCGAAGAGACTTCCAACATCGGCAATACCGCCTGTTAGACCAAGTCCACCGCTAAAAGTTAAGTCAGTATTGAATCGCGCCAGCTTAACTGGGTAGTAGAGTGCCTACAATGGGTTACAGAGATGCGCTGCATCTGCTGCAAGGAGGATCCTTCCAACTCGGAAACTTGGCGCGCAGCGCTGTTGCAGCTTATACGGGCTGATATTGGTAACTTGATATTTATCAGGAGTAGGGTTCCCAGGTAAGAGTTTCTCGTAGTGCTTGGGCTGTCGAGCAATGTATTCTTCTTTGCTCAGCCCAGGCTTATCGCCGTATGTGACGCGCCAGAGACCATCGGTTGTGACCCGAGCTGCCATGTACCAATATTCAGGGTGGACGACGAAATTGCTGTCCCAGTATCCGAAGCGGTCGAAGTCATAGTAAACCTGATTCTGTGTTCAGTAACAAATCCTTGTCAAGCCACACGAATGGATCTTACGTTGGTTGCGATAATCTGCGCATTCAGTGTTTCTCCTGGGTATTCAGGCCCGAACAGCTCTCGGCGCACAGTACTGCTGGCCCCGTCACAGCCAATAACATAGTCCGCCTCAGACCTTTGAAGACCATTCGGTGTTTCGGTCTCGACCCACGCCTGTCCCTCATCCTGACCTATGCGCACGACTCGATGGGACCATTTAACTTGCGCCGTTGGTTGCCGCTGGATATGTTCGTAGAGCAACTCCCCCAGTCGATCCAAAGGAAGTACAACCATCTTGGTGGGATAATCATCAGGAAGGACAGCATGGTTCAAGCCTGCGATAAAAGTGCCATCGAATTGACGCCACGCAAATCCAGCAGGTTGGAACCCTCGTTCCTTAATATCTTCAAGAGCGCCAGCTCTCCCTAATTCGTATACTGCTGGACTTGCATAGTGAGCAGCTCGAGGCTGTTTGTCAACATCGGAACCAGCATCTAGCAGTTCGACTTCAATCCCCTGTTTCGCGAGCAAGAGGCCAAGGATTAGACCTGATGGTCCGGCTCCGACTATGATCACCTAGAACGAGTTAGTTACAGTCGTCAGTTCCAGAAAATGCGCAGTACCTTCTTGATCCCCATGACTTTGAATTCTGCTCAGCGGAGAAGGGGTAGGAGTATTGTTTAAAAAGCCAATTATCTGATTCAAGAAAGTTAAAAGGGTCAGGAATGGCCCCTCTAGTGGAGTCAGGTAGTCCACCCCCGCCGTGGGGCCAGTCTTGGACCGCCTGCTATTGCCATGCAAAATCGCCATTATACTTTAAGTGGTTCGGCGATAATGCGGGGGAAGACTGAGTGGGGTGCTTGTCCGGGGGGAATCCCGAGAGCCCGCTGCACCAGTGATAGTACTGTGGTCCATCAAATCATAGGAAACTCTAGCTTGTAGATCTGAGCCTCTGCCTCATTTTCACCAAAGAAACTGCCTTTGAAAATTGACGGAAGGTGCACCATCCCAGGAACAGCTGGTTTGCGGAGGTGTAGGTATACTGCCTTCTAAGGGTTCTTCTTGATCGTCAAGCGATCCCCAGTGAAGCGTATGAGATGTTCGGGGGTATTTCTCACGGTGCTCATCTAGACCAGATGATACTGAAGATCGGTATGGTCCGACAGGCAAACCTTCTGGTCTGTGCGTGACTTGATCGTCGGTGTCGTCGATGTTTCTCTTTGTACCTCGGGAATTCTTTTTGTTGGGCGAAGAAACAGCCGTTTCACTAGTGCTTTGATGACTTGAATCGTCGGTTTTCCAACTTGTGCAAACCTGCTGCCATTTTCGAATGTTCTCTGCGGTATCCAGAGGATACTGAGCCCAATGATCGATGCCCTTCTTCTCTATCCTCGCCAAAGGTGCATATGACGTTCCGAAGTCTTTTCTGGAGCTTGCTTCCTCAGTAAATATTGCCTTGAGCTGGCCATCTGGAACATCAGATAGCAATTTAAAAAGAACGTTCTCGGTAACCTGGAGGCGGTGCTCTAGTGTTTCAACATAACCCTTTGCCGGACCTCTTCATCTAGACTCAGCCTGTATGTTTATATATTCCTAGATAATTGCACCTACCTTTTCAAATGCTCGGGCCATTCACACGGTCGATTGTACTCTAGGCACTGCCCACATACCGGTCTGTTTAGCGATGTTAGTGACGATCTTGGAAGATTCTTTCTAATCCTCACTTCTCGCCACTACACTACGTTGCAGGTTTAGTGACCTGCTCATAATTTATTAGATAGAAAGCATACCTTCTGTTTCCTTGATCGGCAAGCGGTGCATGCCGTTGTGGCTCTTGTCGGTCCTTTCTGAGGTTTTGGCATTTTGCTTGCTGGTGAAGAGAAGTGCAAAGAAGAACACAGGGATGCTTTAATTATACCCAGGAGTAAACGATACAGCCAAGAGCGATTATGCGAGTTGATAATACTGTATCTTCAAGAGAAGATACAACAAGTCAGGTAGGAGAGATGAAGCTGTGAGTGCGGGGGATTGAATCGCCTGAAAGTTCTGCCGACCGCCATTCAACTCTGGGAAGCTTCCCTCTATACTTGTATTTAAAGCACTTTTTCGCCCATATACTGGCTCTTTTATTCTTATTAAAAATTTATTTGATTAAAGTGATACTCTTCATTCTTGCTTGCACATCTATTTCGATTCTTATATTTCTTCTACGCTCCATTATGAGTGCCTCTTATCAAATCGCATCCATTCCGGGTGACGGTATTGGCCCAGAGGTTGTCAGTGCCACGATTCAAGTCGTTGAAAAATTGGCCAAAACACTCGGAACTTTTCAGATCAATTTTACACATATACCATGGGGGACCAACTACTATAAGGAACATGGGCGATACCTCTCGGAAGATGCCTTGACCACTCTGCGGAAGTATGATGCCGGACTCTTCGGCGCGGTAGGAGATCCAGGTATGATGTATAACCAAACCTATTTTTAAGTTCAAGCCTTGAATACTTACATATACTAGATGTCCCGGATCACATCTCCCTATGGGGCCTGTTACTTGCCATCCGAGGTCCTCTACAGCTTTATGCCAACGTTCGACCGGTGCGTACATTCCCGGGAACGAGATGTCCCCTCAACACCGCAACTGGGGGTATCGACTGGATGCTAGTGCGTGAGAACTCTGAAGGCGAGTATTCAGGCCAGGGAGGCCGCTCGCACATTGGACAGCCATGGGAAACCGCCACGGAGGTAGCCGTATTCACACGAGTCGGAATCGAACGCATTATTCGATTTGCTTTTGAGACTGCACAGTCCCGGCCTCGGAAGCATCTGACAGTCGTTACAAAGAGCAATTCCATGCGTAATGGAATGGTCCTCTGGGATGAAATCGCGGCGTCTGTTGCTAAGGACTTCCCCGATGTTACTTGGGATAAAATGCTCGTGGATGCAATGACAGTCCGGATGGTATGGAAACCGGAGTCTATTGATACAATTGTCGGCACCAATTTACATATGGATATTCTTTCGGATCTGGCTGCTGCGCTGGCGGGTTCTATTGGTATCGCACCGTCTAGTAACTTGGATCCGACTCGCAAGAATCCATCCTTGTTTGAACCCGTTCATGGGAGTGCCTTCGATATTATTGGAAAGGGCATTGCCAACCCAGTTGGAACATTTTGGTCTGCAGCGGAAATGCTCACTTGGCTGGGAGAGAAGGATGCCTCGGCTAGGTTGATGCAGTGTATTGAGAATGTTTGCGCTGCTGGTATTTTGACGCCTGATTTGGGTGGGAGCTCGAATACCCGGGGCGTAGTCGATGCGGTTTGTGCTGAGATTGAGAAACTGAAGGCTTGACTCTAGGTCTTGGAATCTTGCTGTGGCTAGCTGCCGGCGGCTTCAAGAAACGTTGACCGAGGCTTTGCTTGAAACTTAGCAAATAAGCAATATATGCATATCGTACATTTCAGAGTAACTTCAATGCAACTGTTTATTTGTACAATGGTCGGTTTGACATAGATAATTTGATCATTAATTATGACTAAAATTGTAGAGTTTTGGGCTATACAAATAGATGCAAGAGCCAAGTTTTTCAACTGTCAACTGTACAATGCCGATGTCGGTCGACTAGAAATTGCTTAGTAATATCTGCTCGAACAACTCCATTTTCTCTTATGGCGCAAAACTCTATACTTCGGTGATTCATGCGTATCTTTTAATATCGCGATGTCCAGGTCGACATGGCACCTCCTGAATATGCACCCGGAACGTCGGAGATTGGCTCCTTGACCGCCCATTCCAATGAGGACAGTCAGTTCGTCGGTAGCTCCAGCGGCGTCTACTTCATCAACACTGTCAAGCGAGCATTTTCAAATGGACAGGATGAATCTGAATCCCGAGAGACCGAGTTCCCCACTGCGGAAGATACCCTTGTTGGTGTGGATGATTCATCACGGCACAAGCGTCGACGCACAGAGTCCAGAAATGGACCAGCCTCATTAGGAGGGGAACCTTCTGTATCATGGAGATATGATCCTGCTCTCACCTCTTCTCTGGGAGCTGCACCACCTCCCGAACTAGGAAAGGAGCTCATGATGTCGTACTTTAAAGTGTGGCACCCGCTGTTTCCGTTCCTGCATGGTCCTACCTTCCTGCAGGCCATGGAGAAATTGTACTCCAACAGTCCCACACCTAATGACTCGGTTGATGACTCAACGTCGGAGCACAGAGCTACCTGTTGGACAATTATTCTGCAATGCATATACAATCTAGGGAGCCTCTTGCATCCTGATCTCCAACTCCCAGATTCCTGCAAAATCCAGTCACCCGGTGGCATGACACCTCTCCTCTCGACATTGGCGTCTAGACATGATATTGTTTCACTGCAAGCGTTGTTGGCCATTCAGGTATATCTTGTTGCGACTATGTCTCTTCGATTGGCATCCACATTTGGAGGATGTGTTCTGCGCTCAATGCTCCATGCAGGGTTACATCGATGTCCATTTCGATACAGTCAGCTCTCATCGCATGACCGACAGCTGAGGAAGCGTATTTTCTGGTGCGCGTATGCAATTGACCGGTATCTGAGCCAGGCACTCGGCTTACCGCTCGGGATACAAGACTCGGATATTGATGTCTGTTTGCCAGCGGCGCCTGAAATGCATTCCCCACGACTTATCAGGAATCTGAGTATGCATCCTGCGAATATAGATCGTCGTGGGACAGCTGTCGCTCGGTCACCTTCTTTTGTGGAGGGCTCCGGCGAGCGTCAAACAACGAATCACGGAAATAAAGAAAGCGTCATAGCAAGTTATGTCGATTCTGGAACACTTACCGGTCGCGCACTGGAACTATTTCATAAATCCATTCTGGTTCGCTCTGTACGCCGCAGCTCAGTACTATTCTTAGTAACTGATGTGCATAAGTGGTGGAATAGCTTACCTCTTGAGCTCCAAGGGAAGGGGTCAGGCTACGGAAAGGAAATCCAAGATAAAGGTGGCAGTGATGATCCCTTTGACTTTGGCCCTTTTTTCACTGTGCTATATCAGCACCTAATCTTGATCATTCACCGGCCATCCTTATCTTTGGATCCATCAACTGCGGAGTTCTGCTCGGGGTTACAGACATGCATTGGTGCCGCACGAGGAATTCTCGCTGCGCTAAAAACGCAACTGGAGCTTCGACAGGCTTTATTCTGGCCTGGCTTCTTATCTGCTGCCTGGATGTCAGGCTTGGTTCTCGCATTTGCTTGTCAGTTGAAGCAATATGTTCTCGCAAAGGGTCTACAGTGAGTCAATGTTGTTACACGGCGCTTTGTCGCACAGATGCTGACTCTTATTAGGGAGATCGATGAATGTTCAGAATTTCTTCGTCGCATGTCTAGTCAGTGGGAAACTGCTAGACAATGTCACCATGCCTTGTCTTTGTTGTCTACCAAGATCAAACAAATGAATAATGAGCAGCAAAGCCTAGCAAACCCTCACGCATACGCTGTGAGCACACCAGACAGAATTGACAACTCTATTAATTCACTTGATCGAAACAGATCTCAACAAGAGGACATAAGTTCTGCCGAGGGTCACCATACAGTGGCTGGGTATCCGAGCATCATTCCCGAGCCACGACCAGAAATCAACCCAATGCCTTCCAGATACAATGAGTCGGGCAACGATTCTATTCTAGCTGAGGATCTGGGCTTTCAAAGTGAGGATGCCGGATACTTGGCCGGAGGATCCAGCTTTGACTTGAACATGGTTGACCTCCTAGACGGAGCGGATTTCGACTCCCTATTCGACCTGATCGGTCAACAATATCCTAGTTTTTAAGTACATCTAGACATACACTAACACCTAAAAGATCATATGTAATATTTGTGGTCAGAGACTTTAATATACTTGAAGTATCTCCATCCCCTGTTTTCTCCCATTAAAGAAGAAAACTGGTTATAAGCCTGTATAATAGCCTCCCACCCACCCGGGTGGTTCTCTTCAATGGGGTTGGACTTATCATCAACTCATAGTATCCGTCTTCCGTGTGCTGACCGAGTACCAAGCCAGGTTCTTAGGACAGTCCAGCCACTCGCATCATGTTCGTCTGACAAGACCCATCACACTGTGTACTGTAGTCACCCGTCCACTATCCATTAAAGAAAGCCCATGCTGCACCAGCATCTATGAACATTTGCTCCTTTTAAATTGACATGCCCATTTCAGACAATGAAAGCTCATCGCACATTCTATCTATAATCCTTCTTCGCGAACCTAGAGATGACCGATATCTAAAGGAGTAACTTGGCCTTGGCTCTCACGACGCAGTACAACACCAAGGTCCCAATCAAAGGTAACAGCCAAGGGTTCTTTTTTGCTGGGGTAGCCAAAAGCGTGTATATTAAAGAGCTATGCAGAGCAATTGAGAACACCTGAGCAGCCTCAAAGCAATAAATAATCCCGTTAAAAATGATACCAGCGGAGCAAGTGACTGGTTGTGCCTGCGCTTGGGACGTCAGCTAAACCCAAAAAGTTGGCTACGCATGGCTAATGAAGATATATAGGAGGAGGATCATTATTATTAAATATTCCCTGCTAACTTTTAATAAGGAATATCGCTGGCTTGATAAAAATTTATATCCATATTCATATTAGCTATCCTAGTAGCTCGCACCCAATAGTAACCTAGCTATTATACAAGGTTCCTGACTCCTAGAAGCAGGCAAGACTTTACGAGAGTATTAAAAGCCTTATACTAACTCCCACTTGCGTTTCCTATTAGAAGCGGGAAAAGGAAGGACGAAGCAGAGAGCATAGGACTATATAGAATATCGAGCTATAGGGATAGATATAGAAGAAAGATACAATGCTATCTAGCAGTCAAGGCGCAGGAAACAGCCCAGGGAACAATCTTATGGCTCTAATGTTTTCGTCAACAGCAAGACTCAGGTCGACTCGTCGACGCCGACTACCTCTATAACCAGGATATGCTATCAATTGCTGTAAGAAGGAGGCAACCATACACAGTCGCATAAAGATCTAACATAGCCAGGCAAACGTCTAAAACTCCCCATCATAGAAGGAATGATTTTCTCAGCAAGAGTAGATCTTACCGCAGCCAATTCTTGGGGGTTCAGCTAACGTCCCCAACACCATAGACCATGAGATTCGGACTGCAACCACAGACATGGACTTTTCCGCCAAGACAGGCGCGGACGACGAGCCAGGCAAATGCACAAATGCCGGCGTGGATTAAGTGCTGGATAGATATGACTGATCTCCGAGTAATTAGTGATGGACCAGTGAGCAGCCAATCACACTCACTGAGCCTGAGCCCGGACTAAGATTTTACTCAGTGAGCCTGACTCTAAGCCCCCTCATAGAATCGGCGGCAGCTGGGATAGGAAAGCACCTCCCCCCTGTTTCTATCACGAGTTTAGTCATAGAACGAAATAATGAAAACAACTTACGCTGTATGATCACGGTCATGCGTGCATAAGGGCTGACATTATTCTAGGGGCTAGACGCTGCAACCCTGTGTACCTACTACGGTATGTACCTACTACAAACCCGAATCAGCGCTAATTTCAGGAGTCATCGGGTACAGACAGGCAAATACGTCAATTGACTAACGAATGACTGAAGCAAAGCGGGCTCTTGACCATCTCATTCTTATCAAGGCACTGTACCCTCGTACTCAGGCACAGTAGAGACAGCACAAGATACCCATCCGCGAGGAAGACATACTCTATGTTACACTCGTGTAGCAGTAAGACAAATACGTGGAAAACTCATAAAAAAAAAGCAGAGTTTGGGGGATAGGAAGAGAAAAACGTCACAACTCCCTCCCAGAAGACAATAAAAGGGATAGATAGAAAAATGCCACATGCGGCGCCCAAGATAACTTTTACCGACCCCCCAATACAATGCCAGTCCCTCTGTACGTGCTTGTCATCCGAAAACTTCCCGCAATGATCGGAAGTGTACTAGGTAGATAAGAAAGAAAGAGGAAGAAAGAGAGAATCAACGTGTCGCGTTCCTAGACACCAGTAGGTGACACTGCCTAACACAAAAAAAAGAACTTTTCAAACCGAGGGATATCAGGATCGGATGGGACAGAGGGAAAGAGCCAGAACAGGGTGTTAATGTAAAAAGAAAGGGACAAGAAAGAAAAAAAAAGGTCATCAAAACGTGCATCCAAGTTTCCGAGAGGCGGTATGTGGGTTGGGTATCCAATCACAGCCGTCATTGATGCGCTCGACCGTTGCGAGAATCATCCCTTAGGACTTGTTCTCCTCCGAGGAAGCCTCCTTGGGGGCCTCCTGGGGCTTGGTCTCGGCAGCCGACTCACCCTCGGTACCCTTGTTCTTCATATACTCATCATAGACGTTAATGGCCTCATCGACCTTGGCGCGGAGAGCATCCTCCTCGTCGAGCCTGAAAAGAGAGTATTAGTACATGGCAGGTGGAAACTGGGGTGAAAGGGGAAGAACTTACAGTCCAAGGAGCTCAGTGTTGTCCATCTCCAAGAGCATACCGGTGATCTTACCAGCAAGCTCGGGCTGTTGGGCCTGGATCTTGGGGTAGAGAGCCTCACCAAGCATCTGCTTCTGCTGCTGAGGGGGAGCAGCGGCAAAGGTCTGGTGGTTGATACCGCTGGAGGAAACGGCCTCCTGGGCGGGCTGACCGGCAGGAGCGGGCTGGCCACGGCCACGACCCATCTGAGGACCACCACGGCCACCAAAGCCAGGACCACCACGCATGTTACCCATGGGCATACCGGGGACCTGACCACGGCCACCAGCACCACGACCGAACTGACCCTGCATGGGGTAGCCCATACCGTTGGGAACACCGCCGGGAACCTGCATGTTCATGGGCATACCCTGGAAGTTAGGGGGAGGAGCCATGCCGCGGCCACCCTGCTGACCGGGGAAACCAGCGGGGTACTGGCCGGGGCGTCCACCAGGGATTCCCATAACCATACCGGGCTGAGGAGGGAAGGGCATACCACCACGCTGAGCACCGGGAATGAAGCCCTGCTGGGCGGGGTTGTAGTAGACAGCCGCGGGCTGCATGTAAGGCTGGGGCATACCAGCGGCAGCGGCGGCCTGCTGCTGACGGATGGTGTTGCGGGCCTGGATGCTGGCCTCGAGCTGGCTGCGGCGAACATCCTTGCGCTGAGCGAGAGCGACGTAAAGGGGCTTGCCGTTGACCATGCGCTGATTCATCTCAGTGACAGCCTTGGAGGCCTCATCGGGGCTGCTGAAGCAGACGAAACCGAAGCCCTTGCTCTTGCCAAGGAGCTTCTTCTCGCCCTTCTCGCCCTCCTCCTCGCCCTCCTCGGTCTTCTCCTCGGTCTTCTCCTCGGTCTGCTCCTCAGTCTCCTCCTTCTTCTCCTCGGTCTTCTCCTCCTTGGCCTCGGTCTCCTGCTCGGCCTCCTTCTCCTCGGAGTCGGGGCTGGGAGAGCGGTCGGTCAGGCTGTCGCGCATGACCTTGGCGGAAGTGATGGTTCCGTAGGAGACGAAGAGCTCACGGAGCTTCTCGTCATCGACATCATCAGTCAGGTTCTTGACGTAGAGGTTGACACCCTGGTACTTGGAGGCCTTCTCGAGACGGGCAGCCTCGTACTGCTTGCGGAGCTCCTCCTCACGCTCGTGCTTCTTCTGGGCACGACCAACGTAAAGCTTCTGGCTCTTGATGTCCTTCTCGTTCATCTCGTCGACGGCGGCCTGCGCAGCCTCGTGGGTGGAGTAGTTGACGAAACCGAAACCACGGCTCTTACCGTCCTGGTCGTGGCTGAGGGTAGCGGAGGTGATCTCACCGAACTGCTCGAACATGATGCGGAACTCCTCATCGGGGATCTCAGTGTCAAGGTTCTTGACGTAGATGTTGGTGAAGTTAGCCTTCATCTCCTCGAACTTGCTCTGGCGGTCCTTCTTGGAGATGTGGTGACCGACGAAGACCTTCTTGTCGTTCAAAAGCATGCCGTTAACGTGCTTGATGGCGTTGTTGGCGGCCTCGGCAGTCTCGTAGTGGACGAATCCGTAACCCTTGGAGTTGGCGAACTCATCCTGGGCGACCTTGCAGGACAGAATGTTACCGAAGGCAGCAAAGGTGTCGTGCAGAGCCTTGTTGTCAATGGCGTTGTCCAGGTTCTTGATGAAAACGTTGCCCTGGCCAGTCTTGCGCAGAGCGGGATCACGCTGAGACCACATGATACGGCAGGGCTTGCCCTTGATGAGGGTGTAGTTCAGGTCCTCCAGAGCACGCTCACCATCGGCGGTGTTGTTGTAGTTGACGTAGGCATAACCGAGCGAACGGCGGGTGACAGCGTCACGGCAGACACGGATGGAGGCAACCTGACCAATGGAAGAGAACAGCTCGTAGAGCATGGCCTCAGTCACGGAGGGGTCGAGCTCACCAACGTACAGGGAAGCGGAGTGAGGCTGAGCATTGGCACCCTCGCCGGCGGTCTCGACGGCGGCGGCAGCGGCGGGAGCACCGTTGGCCTCGGGGGTGGTGCCGTTGGCATTGCTGTCAGCGACAGGGGGGGTAGTGGTGGCTTCGGCAGACATATTGACTGATTTTCTTTTTTACTGCTTAAAGTTTTAGCAGGCATTCATTAGGATCCGGGTGTGCGGGTGTGCGAAAGTGCTTTTTCATCGTTACACAACATTCGCAAAATCTCTCTTTGTGGATGAGTCATTTTGTTGAAATGAAAGAGCAATGATGGGGAAATTTGAAAGGAGAAGTTGCCGTACAAGCGACACTGTGATGCCCTTCTCATAAAAACAAAGTGTGTTTGTGTTCTTGAATGGACGCGGTTCAAGAAGGTGACCAAGACCGTGACAAAATATGGTATGATGCAATTCAAACAAAAACAGCTCCAATTCAAAGCAGTGCGTAGTGGGGGGGGAACGTGGGCAGGAGGGGATTGTTTCGAGGGGCGCGACCAACCTGGAAGAACGGGTGAAAGAAGTTCGACACACCGCACAATGGAGGGGGAGATAAGATAGGGATTTGAATTTTCGAGGGTTTTCTGGGTTTTTTTTGTAATTTTTTATGACTTTCGATAAGAGGTTCGAAAGGGAAAAAAGGGTTCCCTAAGAAAGAGAGGAGGGGAAAGGCAGACGAGGGTTGGAGAAAGAAAATTAATGTGAAGGCGGTTTTTTTCCAGAAAACTCAGTCCGTAACTGAGTGCCCCCACTTGCCCAGATCTGGAAGGCGGTGAGTGATTCTTCACTTTGTCTTTTTCTTTGTACTGGATCAGGTGATTAGCCACATGATACTCTACTTGGAGTAGGAATTGGTACTTGATGGTTAATTCATACTATTTTACGTCTAGACAATACTACTGAGAAGGAGGGGAATCAAAGAAATGCCATCCATAAAGAATTTTTTGGAATCCACCAATACAACACTCGGGAGATACGGAAGATAGAGAGGAGATACGCGGATTTGTTGTGTCCACAATTTGCATTCCTTACCCTCGGCAGATCCTCTTTCCGCAGCCAATGAGCTGCCCCATATTTAGTCAACGCCAATGCTATGCATAGAACGGATACGAACCACATAAGTGTGAGATTAAAGGGCAAAAGAATGGAGTCAAAAGGAGTATAATTCAATAAAAGTAAAGCCCGAAAGATAACGACTTAGCTCAGATCAAATCCGGCTCCTGAACTCACTGCATACAACAGCTTCGTTCGGAGCCTCTCGGCATTCGAGTATCGTGGCAACTTCAGCAAGTTCACACATGTACTCGTACTTGGCAATCGCTCCTGGTCCTCGCTCGAGTCTCGGATACTGAACCGCGGGTGGAGATGGCTGAATCCAAGTAGCGGAGCTCGTGGAGTAGAGGTTACAAACCGCAACACCTTCTGCTTTTCCTCGGTGTTCATCTCGTGCAGCACCTTCCAGAATAACTGGATGGTAGGGTGCTCCTGGTTATCGTCACCGATGACATATACTCCGCCATACTGCGTGTTGCGTCGCAAATCTTCCACATCGATGTCACCTGTCTCCCCACTCACTAGAGTCTGCAGTTCAGACTGGTTGAACATGGACAGCCAAGACGGTTGGATGATCTGACCCAGTCCCTGAAGGAAGGCGTTGGTTTGCTGCACTGGTTGCGCCTGTAGGCGGTATCGTGCGATATAGGAGATGTATACCAGGCGGTTCTGGTTCGTGACAGGAATGTTTGAGCCATCCGGTCTCAGCTCTTTTGTGACCATACGATCATTTGACCCTGGCATCGGAATGGTATCAGTGACGGTGAAGTCGAGAGCGAAATCTTCAACTTCGCCAGGGTAGTTCTTCAGTTTCAATAGGCCCTGGTACAAGCCTGCGTCAAGGTCCTTCAAATCATTGATATTGGCCCGGTAGGACGACTCTTTCAAGGCAGATCCACTGCCGCCAGTTAACGCCCACTTTAAAAGGAAGAAAGGCGCAAAGTTAACGTCAACAAGAATTCCTTCATAGAGACATTTTCCAATGATACGCCCAAGAAACTCGTATCGGCGAAGCAACTCTCGGATGTTTCCTGTCCATTCCGTGCTCTGCTCCACCACCTGGTTCTCTCGCATTTGTTCCTTGCACTGTTCAACAGCGGTGGGATTGGGATACAACAGGTGCTGATCATTCTCTGCAAACATGTTGAAGCCGTCCTCCGTTTTGAATGCTTCACTCGTGATGCTGGTTAGGAACTCCTTTGTAACACCACCGCCATCAATGCCGGCTTCCATAGATCCGAATCGATCAATGAAACTGATCTGGATCGGTTCTTTTAGACCGTCGCCCAGCTGGTAGAATTGGCCCAATGCATCATCAAAGATATGCTCTCTTCGAATCTCCGCCTGGTGTCGGGCAAGGACATCCTGTACGCCTTGCTGATGACCATTTATCATCGCCATCTGAGCGACGGATACGCGCCAAGCGTCAGGTTCCACAAACCCATTTCGGCGGCGGTGCTGATCATGGTAGATAAATTCGCGGAATATTTGGACTCTGGTAGTGAAGGGGATGAAGAATGGCATGTTTCGAAGAATCTCCAGCCTGGGTGCAATAGCCGCTAGAATTCGACCACGAACAGCTCTTTGCTGGTTTCTTCTCAATGCCTCAATTCGAATAGTCTGTTGAGCACGACCAGTTCCCGCTAGCCCGGATGGTTCGTTGGATCGATCGATCTCCTCGTTCACAAGGTCAATATCCTCCGGGTCGTCGGCCTGCGTTTGGAATTCGTGCCTCCTCTCTTCTTCCGCGACAACAGAGGATATGAAACCTTCCATATCGAAGCGACTGGTCATAAGCCAATGGTCCTTGGGAAGGAACTTTCGACGAGAGCTATCAAGGCGGCCATCATTAGAATCACGATAATCGTCAGAGTTCGTTTCACAGTTTCCACTTACTCTCGTTCATGTAACATTCGAAGCAAGCCTGTCACCAACCCTTTGAAGTACTCAAGTGGAATCCCAGTAACGCCAGGAAGGTAGGTCGTTTGGCTTTTGGCTTCCAGCTCCTTTGTGCTCGGGAAAGGACTAGTACTAGAGGTTTGACCAGTATTGCTGAAGTAGCTGCTAAGACTGACTGCGGTGGGTCGAAGCTCGGGCTCACTCAAATCGACAGCATTCCAGTAAAGAGTAAATGCCAAGTTCTTGAGAAAAACAGTCATGTTCTTGACATCTTCCAAGGGCAAGGCACTCTCCCTTGTCCATGAAATTTTGGCATCATCTAAAGATGCGAAGGATGATGTGCTAGAGAAGAACTCATCATCATCCATAACTTTCAGAACAAAAGTATAAAGCTCAAGGAAAAGAAGTATGGTGGTCCACTCTTGATCCCGCTGATTGCGCGATAGTTGGGCAGGCTCTTTGGTGTCCTGGTATGATTGCAACAACGGAAGCACTTTAGTAGAGTCACTACTAATTATCTGAAAGACGCGACTGGATCTGGATGCTTGCCAGAAATATTTGATCGCTGGTACCTTTGCATCTGATTGACCCGAATTTTGCTGCCCAGATGGGGCCGAGCCCAGATACAGCCACATTCGAATATCATCTCCGCGGCGAGGAAAGATCCTTAGCAGGTTCAATGCGTATGTAGCAAGAACTTGGGCTTCTTTAGATGCATCAGACTCGCTACTCGACATGTCAGACTGTGTCAGGCGGGATGATCGAATAGGAGAGAGTAGTCCAGTGACGCTACTTTGGTTCACAAGACCTGTAAGTTGCTCCTTGATGAACGGGTGTAAGGGTTGAACGCCTGTTGGTGACTCCAAATCACTTGGATCTTCCGCCTCCAGGCCTTGCATGAGATGAGTCGCCGTGGACGTCAGCAGATCAGAGATCACACTCACAAACTCCAGCTCGGGTGGTCTAACAAAGGCTTCGCCACCCAAAGCATATCGGTGAAAGAAAATCAAGTAGGAAAACAACCAAATACGAGCCTGCATGTCATCCAAGGTGCGAGAGCCCTTGGCAGTTGAGTTGAGCCTAGATGACACAGCTAAAGCAAGCATGCGATAGTTTATTTGGTCGGCCAAGTCATCTAGTTTTCCCAAATGTCTCTCAAGGTCTGGAATGGTGAGATATGAGGTAGCAAAGGATTCGTATGCCGACATAGTTTCCGAAGTGATGGGCCTCAAAAGAGCCAATACAGCACCTTTGATACTCTCAGGACTGAGGGTGAACTCTTGTGAATTGGACGAATCCGTATTTGGCACTTTCGTTGTCAAGAAAGCCATAGCATCGTAGTAGCTATCAGCGATAACAGCCATTTGCTTGGGGATCAGTTCAGCAAGAAAAACCGCTCCTCGGAGTAAAGGCTCAATAGTAGCAGATGGAACACAAGAGCTCGATGCAGAGTTCAGCGCACGCAGCACAGCTAAAGCCAGTCGTTTGAGGAGCTTAGTCCATTCGCCTTCGGTAGCAATAGTAGGTAAAGTTCGCAAAGTCTGTTCGAATGCATCGACGAAGTATACTAACCGCAAGACATCATCTTGCTTTCTTGCTGATACAAATTGAACCAGCAGCCGAAGCTGACCCAGACATTGATCAGCAGTGGCATATGGTGCAGGACGACGTGAGGAGAACACCATATTCTCTGAGCCAGCCTCGCTTCCAACAGCGACATCCATGGCATCTGTCATGAGCCGCTCGTTGGTATCCCACTCTAATCTCCACGCGTTATGTGTAGCCCTCCTGCTGCTGTCGCCCCGCCACACTCGCTGGATGACTCGAACCGCATTCTGTTTATCTCTGTCCCGCTGTCTTTGCATTCGCTCCTGCTGTGCAATGGCAACAGCACTTTGTGGGTTCGAGGCATGCGGAGCCGGTCGGGAAGGAGAGCTTCCGGGGAATGCAGCGAAAGGATTATTGGTGCGGCCACTTAGATTCACCTGTCGTGGACGACGAGAGCTTCCGGTAAAGGACTGGAACATCGTGAGGGCCTGGTTACCCGGAGGTAAGGGAAAGAGGTTCTGAGAGGCTGGTCTATTCAAATCAAGTCGCTTTTGATGCAGAAAAAGAGAAGAGATGCAAGCCCATCTCGCAACGCTGGGCAATGAATGCGAATGTGAAGAACTATGACATACGCGGGCTACGATACGTGAGCGCATGGCGACCTTATCGGTAATATGCACACGGCACACGCACTTGTTATCAGCTTATGGATGACTGAGAGATGCTAATACGACGCTAATTCCACGCACCAGGCAAAGTTCTATTGTGGCGCCGCTGCCCTATACTAACGTAATGAGGTACGAGAAAAAAAAGAAACATTTAGATAAAAAAATAGAGCAGATCAAATTCAGTTATCTTGCAGGTATCTTCTATAAAAGTCGGTCCAGAATGCTCAATGATTTGCATTCCAACTCTTCGTCCCAAGGCCTGGTGACTGGGACATGCATATCGTCGACATCCACTGCGCTTTATGCTGACAGGCCTGATCAGTGCCAGGGTTCATTCAAGTATGCTGTACATATAATACAAAGAGGTGCGATCGGCCAGCGAGTAGTAGAGGGGTAGATCGAGGAGGTGGGCCGTCGGAGGGGAATCGGTTGGTGACAAGCTGTATTTATGGGGTAGGTAGCAGCCTGTAAGAATTGTTAGAAGGCCGCAATGTTTGATCTTTGGGTAGAAAGCATGTACTAACAGTCGGATATATGGTATGCTTCAAACGCGGTTATTGACTGGACTGAGATGGGTCCGCTTGGCTCTGGTTTTCGGCAGTCTCGCGAGCAACAACCTCCTCGGCATTCTTGTCACCCCAGATGTTAATGTAGTCCTGGCCCTTCAAGCTGTCGACCACGGTGACTGTGCGGCCATTGCGGGTGATCTGTTTGACGTATTGGTCACGTTTGGGTTCCACTTTCTTCGAGACAAAAGGAGTGAGCTGTCTTCCGGTTAGTAGTTTTTCAAATATGGCATCAATTTAGTTGCACAAACATCAAATTCGTCCAGATCATCGGGGACAACGTAGGTCCGGACCTTCTTCCAGTCGATCACGTAGTTGCCCTTTTTGTCGAACTGACCCATTGATCCAGTCCGCGTACCCTTGTAGTAGCCGCCATTGACCTGCTTCGTGGTGAAGCGCACGCGCGCCATCATAGTAGGTGAAGGCTTAAACATATTGGCGAGGGTTGTAAAATGAGAGCGAGACAGGGAGGGCAACAATGGGAAGCAGTTGAGGTTGAGAAATCCTAGGTCCGGGCGGTCAGACACCCATCTCCACGCCGAGAACTTTTTTTTTCGCAGCCAAAAAAAAAAGTTGAACGGACCACGCAAACCAAACCCTTTCCCAACCAACACGGGAACTTCGTCCTTCTTGTACATTTCTGTACAGAACCGAGGCTCCTGTACTTTCTAGTTTGCGATTCTTCCGTTCCATCGCAATCATGCCTCGCCAGCAAACCAATCTGCGGGGTCCGAAAGATCGGGGTGCTTCCAAAGGCAGACCAGCACCAAAGCGCAAGAGCGGTCGCGCCATTAATGCGCTCTCTATCGCTGAGAAGCAAATCCCTACCAAACTCGGCGTACGCCGCAACCGTTTAGGTTTTTACGATGATGGCTCCGAACGCAAATTCAACAACAATCGCGATGAGGACGAGGACGGCGAAGACGAAGATGGGGACGTTCCAAACTACAAGCGCCGCAGATTCAACACCGCCCCCGATGATGGCAGCCTCAACGGTGGCAGTGACAGCGAAGGTCACGAGTGGAAATTGGGACAGGTCGACAGCGATGATGATGAGTCTCTAAACAGTGACGAAGCTCTTGGAGAAAGCGACGAAGAAAGATTTGAGGGCTATACATTCCGCGGAAGCTCTAGCAACAAGTCCAAACCCAAGCCGAAACAATCTACAAAGAAGCGTGCCGAGATCAGTCTATCCGAGGACGTTGATGCATCTGAGTCCGAGGGCGAAGATGAAGATGAAGATGAAGACGATGACCTTGGCGAAGATGCCGTGGATCTTCTGACTGCATGGGACATGAACACTGCGGAGGAAGAGGCCGAAGCCAAGAAAGCTGCCGCAAAATCGAAAAAGGCGGCAGCTGATGACAGTGAAAATGACAGTGAGGAGGATTCAGGCTCAGAGGCAGACAGCGAAGAGGATCAGAGTGACGATACTGGGCTATCTCTTTCTGAGGATGAGGAGTTCGATGGTAAGAACGATGGCTTGAGTAAGCTTCAAGACTTCGTCAATTCCATGGATACGGGACGTCGTACGAAATCCACACAAAAATCACAAGAACAGAGCAAGCCTACTGAGTATGGCTTGACTTCTTCAAAGAAATTGACTGTCGCCGATCTTCTGCCCTCGATCACAGATTCCCGCCTTAAGAGCTCTTTGAAGCATGTCGAGGCTATTCCTCAAACATCCAAGGCTGGCATCCCGGGCAAACTGGATGCTCCTTTGGCGAAACGCCAGCAAGACAAGCTCGACCGTACTGCAGCTTACGAGAAGAGTAAAGAAACCTTGGATCGCTGGATTGACACTGTCAAACACAACCGCAGAGCCGAGCATCTTATGTTCCCTCTTCCCGATCCGAATAGCGAGCAAGTCCACCGCATGGACGTTGCCAAGCCGACGAACGATCTAGAAAGCACTATCCAGAGCATTCTCGTTGAGAGTGGATTGGCCGAAGCCAACGGCAAGTCCGCTGAGGAGCAAGTCCAAGGTTTTGAGGATATCCAAGCTCGCACATTGCCTATTGAAGAGATTCAAGCCCGTCGTGCCGAGCTACGGAAACGACGCGATTTGCTTTTCCGCGAAGAAGTGCGTGCCAAGCGAATTAAGAAGATCAAGAGCAAGTCCTACCGCCGTGTTCACCGCAAGGAGCGTGAGCGCCTTGAACAGCAAGAAAAGCAAGCACTTTTGGAAGCTGGCGTGGACTTGGATGCAATGGATGTCGAGAAGAATGAGCGGATGCGCGCTGAAGCCCGTATGGGCTCCAAACACCGCGACAGCAAGTGGGCTAAGAGCTTAAAAGAAACCGGCCGTACTGCCTGGGATGAAGATGCCCGTAACAATGCGGCCGACTTGGCTCTGCGTGAAGAGGAGCTCCGGAGACGAATTGAAGGAAAAAGCGTCTCCCGCGGTGATGATGCCTATCTGGAATCATCTAGCTCAGAGTCTGAGGACGATGATCCCTGGGCTTCTGATGCTTCTGATGTGGAGAAGCGCAAGATACAGAAGAAGCTGCGCGCTTTGGACAACGACGAGGCTGCTGAGATCCCCAAGGGCCCGCATTCCAACCTTTTCGAAATGAAGTTCATGAAAAATGCGGATGCGGCTCGCAAAGAGGCGAACGATGCAGAACTCAGACGCCTCAACCGTGAGCTGCATGGCGAGGAGTCACAGTCCGAGGCTGAGTCGGAAGTTGGCCGGCGGAAGTTTGGCCAGTCCGAAAAGACCGAAGCTCAGGCGAAAGCATTGCCAAAGAACGAATTCGAGGAGAAGCCTGGCTCGGATGACGAGGACGAAGATGTTGACGTTGTGGTTGATCGTCCGTCCAAGTCAAAGACTGCCGCTTCTGTCCCGAAGACCACCGCCAAGCCCTCCACCAAGATGTTCAGTCAACCGCCGAAGGAGGATATCGAAGCAGAGAACCCGTGGCTGGTTCAAACTGAGCGCACCAACCGTCGCCGGACTGGTACAGATGCTCAAGAGTCTATGGATATCACACTCGACGATGAGCAGCCACAGGCCCCGCAAGCGCCCGCTTCATCCAATAAAAGCAAAGCAGCCAAGGCAGCTCCTGCCAAGAAGCGTTCTCGTGACGAACAAGACAGCGACGATGAAGATAATGTCCCTGTCCTGCTGAAGAACCACGATTTAGTTGCGAGAGCTTTCGCTGGCGACGAGGTCGTCCAAGACTTTGAGCAAGAAAAGATGGATACCATTGACGATGAAGGCGACAAGGTCGTGGACAACACTCTGGAAGGCTGGGGCAGCTGGGCTGGCGACGGTGTCAGCAAGAAGCAGAAGAACAAGAGGCGCTTCTTAACAACGGAGCAAGGTGTCAAGCCCGAGAAACGCAAGGATGCCAAGCTCTCTCGTGTCATCATCAATGAGAAGCGGGTAAAGAAGGTATGTTCACTCTGTTCAAAATTATTCATTTACACACACTAACCTTTTTCCCAAGAATGTCAAGTACATGGCAAGCTCACTGCCTCACCAGTACGAGACGAAGGCACAGTACGAACGCTCACTGCGTATGCCTCTGGGTCCGGAGTGGTCTACAAAGGAAACATACCAAAGTGGAACCAAGCCTCGTGTCATGATCAAGCAGGGCATCATCAAGCCCATGGAGAAGCCCATGATATGATGATTGAACGATCGACAAACACCCGGCACATTTGGCCTCATGTATATTTCTTATCTGGCATGTCCTCCATAACTCGGAGTGATATTTTGCATTGCTATTTATTCAGTCAAAAATACCACATAGATTGTGCTCATTTCACAAAATGTTTTTTGAGAAACCCGGAAATGACTTTACTAGTAGGCAGTAAGTCCATGTACCTAGGACCTATGAACCGTAAAATCTTGAAATGTGTAACATGACCTATTCAAGTAGACACATGACTCGGTCTCAAAAGGCAGCACTTGCCCAGCTCAGCTTTTAAGGGAGGTATGGAAAGTGGGTGACATGACAATTCTGCCTCGCGAATCAGGCCTCAAAGTTCGGTACAGTATCTCCAAGGTTAACTACCCTAGTTAAATGGAGGTCATACATCTTTTCTCTCTCTCTTCAACCAAAGGTCTTTTTTTTGTGATCTCAGTTTGGTCAATGACAAATTATGATAAATGACTACAGTATCATGCTCAGCAAGTGTCGAAGAATCCGACCTCGAGAGCCGGTTGACATTATATATCCATAGCTGCACACCCAGATGCTCCACCTCTACTTCCAAAATTTTACTTAAATCTCCACCTGGGCAGGTTTATTCCAAAAATTGTCTTGTATATTCAACTTTTCTAAGCCTAAGCCTGTTTAATTCATATCATCTCATTGCAAAACCAGCGCCCCAAAAAAGCCCAGCAAAAACCAAAATCCCCAATAGAAGGCAAGCCATAGACCAGCTCATTCTTGCTTCGTTTCATTCAGAGTCTATGCTTACACCTGCCTGGTCTTCGGTCCCAGCCAAAGGAAGATCCAAATCAACAACCCAAGGCGCATTCTTGGGGCGGTAGGAGAGAGTGCAAATACTGGCATTTATGAAAAGCGTTTCCTTTCCGAATTCGAGCGGCTTGTCGCCACTTTCTGAGCTCATATCGTAGAACACACCGCGATTCGTCAGCATCTCTTCTTCATTTGTAACAATAGGCTCCTGCTTGACACCGCCATCGACAAGGGTATCCCACGTACCACGCACCCCGCCCCAGCCTTCATGGATATGTCCGAAAAGGTAGATGCGGGGACGGGCACGCTCCGCCGCGCGGAGAAGATGCGCACAGCCCACATGGTTTTCTGTTGCAACCCCATGACGGTCAATGACCTCGCCGGTGCCCACTAGATCGAGAACCCCTGCCGGTGGACCATGTGTTAGCATGATGTCGATGTTTGGGTGGTCAGGGACCGGATTGGCAGGTGGGTCTGAGTTTGTGGCGCCTGGGGAGGGAGGGTTATAGCGGTCTTCGCTGCGGGGATAGCCAAAAGCCCAATTATAGAACTCTGGTTGGTATGGTGAGGCATAGACGGTGAGTTTTGCGCCATTGGATAGGGTGAATGAGTGTACGCCTTCTTCAAGATAGCGAATGCCAGCGTCCCGAGCCGACTGGTTGGTCCAGAGGTCCTTCACGCGACGGACGTAGGCCTTCATGTCTTCTGTGGAAGGTGTGGAACCAGTGCGGATGGTTTGCATAAGTGATTGTTCGTCATCCTCGAGGACTGGTGGTGCGGAGCCGAGGCGAATGGGTTTGCGATGGCGTCTGTAGCCGAAAGTCGTGAAGTGTTCTTCGTCGAGGGTGATATCGTGATTGCCGGCGATAACGAGCTTCAGCTCAGCGTCTGCAGCCTTGAGCATCGAGACCGTAGCCTCGTACTCGACTGTGTAGCCGACTTTGGTAAGATCGCCGGCATGGAGAAGGACGTCGGCTTTTGGAAGCGGGTCTCGGAATGCGTGCTCTTTGTCGTCGGCGGGGAGAGGCACGTTCGTGTGGGTATCGGAGATCATGCAAATGCGGGTTTTAACCCGCGCAGGCGTGGCCATTGTGGGTAATAGAGTTCAGAGGAATGGAATAGGTAATATGGAGGTTGAATTAAAGGGAAGAAGTGAGAGCTGGGATCAAATGTTTACGATGCAGCGTTGGTGATATGGTTCGCGGGGGAAGACGTCAGGTCTCCGCTTCACAGCCCGCTCTTGCCCCATCAGATATCAGATAGTGAAATACTGCTACGAGGGAAATTTTGGAAATGGACTAGGAGGAAAAGTGAAGAAGAAAAAAAATAACGTAAACAGGAAATCATTCCTATAGAATGGACGGCTCAGAGCTCTACAGACATCACATCCGTGGATGCCCAGATCATGAAAGTTTTCTGGTAAACATAGCTCAAACTCCGATAACCACCCGTGCAACGACAACCCATGCGGCGCCCAACCGTATGGCTTTCCCTTTTGTTTTTTCGTTTACTTGCGGATAGCCTTCTGGTAGAAAGCCAACTCCTCACCCTCCAGGATGTAACCGTCGACACGGCCAGACTGGCCGGGGCGGGAGGCCACAACAGCGTAGAGGCGACCGGACTCGAACTGGCGCTCGATGGCACCCTCAACCTTGCCCTGGTCGGCGTAGCGAGCAGCCTGCTTCTTGGTGACAGACTTGCTCTTCTTCTCCTCAACCTCGTCGGTCTTAACCTGGCGACGGCGGCCGATACCCTGGCCGTAGTGGGCCTCGTACCATTGACGGAAAGGAGCAGCGTCAATCTGGACAACAGCGGACTTGGTCAGGGTGTTGGTGCGGACCAGCTCGTTGTTGGAGGGGTGGAAAGAGACACCGATGACACGGGTCTTGCGGGCAACACCCTCGGAGCCCCAGGAGAAGTTACCGGACTCGAGACGGAGGGCACGGAACTTCTGGTTACCACCACGGGTGCGGACCAGGTGGATGCGCTTGGTACCAATACGAGTGTTGGCGGGCTGGCGACCCTTCTCGAAAGCTCTGTTGGAAGATGTCAAGTCAGAATTTGGTGTTCAAAATACGATCCGTTCAGGCGTTTGTGAATTCATCGGTGCCACACAGACACACTAATGCACCACAGCCGCTCTCAATTTCCTTGCCCACACAACATATGGGAAGGAAACTATCCAATTGAATTGACAGGTGCACCGTACCTCTTCTTGCGGTAGTAAGAGCGCTTGGCACCAGTGGCGCTGCGCTTGTGGCGAGAATCACGAGAGATACCCATATTTGCGGTTGATGAGGGGGTCTGTTGATCACAATAGAAAAATTAGAACTCGGGTCCTTTGGTATGTGTGCTTCCAAAATCCTTTCTCCAACACTTCTGGTTCGTCTCGAGCGATAATGCAAGGTCCAATTCGAATGATAGGAACGGTGTAGCGATGTGTTGAAAGGGTTGTCAAGGACGAGTGAAGGCGATCTCGAAATCGAATAATTCCCGATGGATTTTTCTCGAATGGTACCAGATTGTTGACTCGGACGAAGCAGAAGAGGGGAGAAAGAGAAAGCGATGCGATCAGGAGGGAAACTCACCTCTAGTTCTGCAGCCCTTCACCAAAAGCAGAACGGTTGTCGATGGGGTGTCGTTGGAAGATGCGGTCGTGGAGTCCGTCGAATTTCGCAGGGCGCACTGTGTCGCTCGCTTGTGCGGTTGCCCTAACTGACACTAGTCTGGAAGTGGACTAGCCGGTAATTATATAATCAACTGTCTCCTGGTCCCGTGACTCGAGGGGCGAGACTGATGACTCATCTTATCTCTGGTCCCGCCTTTGTGTATTTACAGCTTCACCAAACACAGTCATATGCACATGATCAATGGACAGGATTCAGGATGCATAAAATAGACTGAATTTTATTATACTCAATTAATTCTCAATAGTTTCATGTAACCTCCTACTTGCTCTTCTCGCCTTTCTTCGCCCGCTCCTCCTTGACGAACTCCGCGATCCGCTGGAAACACCCAAACCCTTCCACGAAGCAAGAAGCCATCCACTTACACCACAGCCCCGACAAGACTGGAACTCCATGCGGCTTCAACTTGAGGATGGCCAAAAGAGCGGACTCGACGACATGAATACCTAACACAGCTGGGAACAGTAACGGCTGGATATTGTAGACCCAATGCGCAAAGTCCGGAACATACTTGTATCCGAGGTTTTCGTAGACGAATGAGCCCGGTAGCAGATTGCTGCGCTGAAAGCAGCTCACGTAGGTGAAGAGACACAGAGCGAATACCACATTCTGGATAACTCCCCGTGGAGCTCGGTACTCGGTCAGTGTGATGTCGGAGCGGCCTAGGAGCTGCAGGCTGTCCTTATGCAGTGCGACCAGGCGGCCACGAGACTCGCTGAAGTCTTTCATGGCAGGGTCGATGGGAACATTGTAGCGGGTGCCATTGGCGCGGATGACAAGGTTGGAGAGGGTGAGGTCTTCGATTTGGGCACCACGGGCTTCGCGAGCGCTGATCTTGTTGAATGCTTGTAGGTAGAGCTGGAGTGAGTCGCCGTGATCGGCGTTCATGTGCTTGATAATGAAGTCTTTGGACATCGTGGCAAGGTGATGCTGGGTACCTATGTAGATACCACGGAATGAATGAAAGAGACGCTGTACCACTGAACGGCAGTTGTTGGTTTTTGATCAATCCCGTGCTGAACGAGGCAGACCATGTCGATCCGTGCCAAGCCCGAGCATCCCTCGGCCCCACGCTATACTGCCCGCTCTCCATACATGTGCAGCATGCTTTAATACATACTGCAAGATTTTTTTTAGCGAGAATTGAATTTGGGGAAACTTAGGAATTGTTTTGATTCGTTAATTGTGTCAATTATGAATACTTGGCAGTCATGTAGGGCGCACATGTCTGATTAAATAATATTTCCCCCATGCACATTCGAAACCAAGACTATTCGAAGCCACAATGCAAAACGATCTCGACTCAAGTAGAAGGTCAAAGTAGAAGGCCAGGGGCGTGTAGGCACAAACCATTTCAGAGGGTATCTACACTTTACACGGAAAATGCTGTGATTCATGCGTTCGTTGAAGCTTGAATTCCAGATGAGATTGAGGCTAAGAACCGTAAGGGCGGAAGTTTCCTTTAGGCCCAAAGCTGCGTGAGCCACAAAATTTCAATGACAGTTGAACATCTCTCTAGACGCGGAGGGCCGGGGAAGATTCAAGCACCTGTTCGCAGCTGAAAGGGAGGGTGGCCTAAGTAAGCCAGACTCGTCATCGAATGTGAAGCTTTCATCCCATTTACATTAGAGATATATTGGAATGAAAGTATGAACGCAGTGTGCTGATATTGAAAGCCAAGATGAACTAGCTTGAGCACACCAAACCTAAGGTCGCCGAGGACATCAAGACAATGCAGGTATAATATCAAGTTTTGAATTACTTGGGGAGGAAAATATGTACATTTAAGTAGTTACAGGGTCCGGTATGCTAGTACTGAAATCCTGCGCCACGCCGATCACAGACCAAGAGATCCAGAACAGTCAAGAGAGATAGCAGGGATTAAACGACCCAGTTGAGGTTCTATGAAATGAAAGGGTAAAAAAGGAAAAGCCGCAGAAATAAGGACGAGATATCGATCGTGACAATCATGAGCATCCAAGAGTGGGGAATACTCTGTATCAATAGAGTGAAGCAGTGTACACTCGAGAGGAACGTGAGAACCGAAGCGGTAGCACTAGAGTCATGCCATTTACGCACTGTGGCAAAAGTGATCAACTCCTAATCTCGGTTGAGCATAATTCATTGTAGGGGAAGGGTATCAGTAACACAACTTACATCAGAGCGAGGGTCAAGTCACCGTGGATGCGGGCCTTGAGCTCCACTTCGATCTCCAAATTCAATTCGATCTTCAACTTCATGCCTTCCTCCTCATCGATGTCCTTGGCCTTTTCGTCAATCACGTTGAAGTCGCCATCCGGTATCCCATTGGAAGCTTGCCCATTGAATGGCTGCATGGCCCTCCGGGGTTGCATCACCTCCTCATCGTCCGAATATCCATCCGAGTATTCGTCCGAGTAGTCATCTTCATCGGAGTATTCGTCGAGCTCATCTTGTTGCTTTGCCTTTGGTTGCGGCTTGCGGCGGCGCTGAAGCTGGTTGTTCTGAGCGGGAGGGTTCTGGTCATCATCGTCGGAGTAATCATCGGCACTATCATAGTCTTCGCCAGACTCAACGTCATCCGGCACTTGGAACTGCTTCTGCTTCTCTTGGGTCTTTTCAGCGGTAGCCATAGTGAAGACGATGACCCTGGTATTCGGTGGATAAGGAGGATGTGATCCGAGTGTATATAGTTGGGGATCGAATTAGTATACCGAAGATGAACCAGAATAGGAAGTCGACGGAAATAAAAGCAAAGTGGAAGCAGCAAGTGGTATGAACTGAATAGAAGAGCGATCGGAGTAAATCAACTCGAGAGGTAGAATGACGTTAGCGGCTGGTACAACTCTATGGAAATTACGATGCTCCGTCATAGGCAAAGTTTTCCAAGACTAGAACCACCCGCGTCATGCGAGATCGTACATTGTCCCACTCCAGGGCGTGTCCATAGTGTCCGTGGTCTTCAGGGACCGGACCCCCGGCCGAGACCAGACCAAGCCTGCTATACTTAGTTTTTCAACGGCCCCTGGCTGGACCCGTGGCAACAACGGTTATTCGGATGGGCTGAACCAGTCAAGCAGCCATGACAGTCGTGGCAACTGTGGCAACTGTGGCTTGACCACGTATTCAGAGGCTTTACAGCGTGGTACACCCTCAGAAAAAGCAGGGTCAGTTGCGTCATATGCCAACTTCCCTCTTATTTGCGAAGATTGGCGGAAACCGGCAACGGTCTTACGTCTACTTAATTTATAAAAGTGGAGACATGGAGGGGCTGGTGCCAGTGCCAAAATTGTCCGAGATCATCCATGATTGGCGCATTCGAGGCAAGTGGAGTCGGGCTGTGATAATTTTCACTTCCAATGACCCTCGTTTCACGCCAGGCAGCCTCGCTACCCTAAAGCGCTTCCGATCTAAGAGCGGATCGTCTTACAATTAGATTCTTATTACCCCCGGACCTCTAGTTGGTGACTTGCTCCATACGGAGGCGTTCCAGGTCCTTATCCTTGTCAGCCCCAACGTCATACTCCCCCCCACATTTTCGCAATCACAAACCCGCCTTTCCATGGTCTCCCCTGGTATTGAACAATTGGAGCGTCGTACCTCGTTTCGTACGGGTCACAGCCCAGATATTCGGCTCCTGACGTCGGAGGCGGCTGGAAACACGCCCATCAGCACCGGTTTTGTACCACTAGGTGGCTCCATTCATATAAATGACAAGCGTACAAGCCTTGTCCCGTGTTATCTCCCACATACATCATCAGGGTCAATCTATCCTAGTTCCTTTGTAATCCTGCAGCCCACTTCCCTCGCACCAGTGACGCTTTGTCCCTCATAACCCACATCTTCCGCGACTGATCACTTCATATTCGCCCCCTCGTCCCCTCTTCTTTCCCTTCTTTTCTTTCCACCATGGCCGATCAAGATCCTCAATCTCAGAACCCGGAGTCAGCATCTACTCCCACCAAGCAAAAGCGCACTCCCCCCAAGCTAGGCAAGAAGTCTCCAGCTAAGCAAGAACAAACCCCGCCTGCATCAGAGCAAGAACACGAAGACGACAAAGAAGAGTCCAAAGAAGAAGGCACTGAGAAACAGGAAGAGCAAAAGCAAGAACCTGAACCTCACAAGCAAGAGCCCGATTCAGACGAAGAAAACAACGATCAGAAAGAAGAAGAGCCTGCACCTGAACCTGCTCCGGAACCTCAGCCAGAGCCTCAGCCAGAACGTCCTCGTCGTAGACGTCCCCGCCCTAAACAAGAATCAGACGTCGAGTCCGTTCCACGTAACGATATGTCGGACGCCCAACCGCAGCAGCGCCAGCGCACCCGTCGCTCACGCCAGCCGCAACAGCAGCAAGGTGGTGGTCCCCTCGACAGCCTCGGTGGCGGCGGCGTCGACCAAGCCGGTCAGCTAGTCCAGAACACGGCTGGCAATGCTCTAAATGGTGTGACAGGGTCAGCCGGCAAGGCCGTCGGCGGTGTCCTTGGTGGAGGCCAGAAAGAACAGAAAGACGACGGTGGCAAGGACGAGCAGCTGCGTCTGCGACTGGACCTCAATCTGGATATTGAGATTCAACTGAAGGCGAAGATCCACGGTGATTTAACCATTGGATTATTGTCAGTATCGCCCTTTTATATCTCCCTTTTTCCTTATCACATGTTGCCTACGTCATTGTCTCGATATTACTCAATTTCTCTTTACCAGTTCTTTCACTGACTAACGTTTTAGGAATTGATCTGTCTTGACTATAGCTCCTAGAGAAGCATTCTTATCTGCTCTACTCTGCTGCTTTAGTTCCATGCTTTTCCATCCGATCTCGATTTATTCCCGCGACGAAACGACTCTTACGCTTTTGGTGACGCAAGATGCAGGGTTTGCTTGACTTGACCTGGCTTGTTTTGTGCTTATTTATATTCTCTTATAACCTGGTATTCTTGGGGGTTTCCGTTCCCTAGATCTGGTCTGTGCCTCATGTTGAATGTACAGTATAATTATTCTTTCGAAGTATAGTAACTGGATTCGGCGAATGGGATAATGAAAACTCTACACGGTCCATATTTTATTTTGGTCTTGAAGTATCGTAAAGGCTTTTTTTCTTTTTTCTTTTTTCTTTTTCTATTCCCCCCGACTGTGAAACCTCTGGGTCGTGTGCAACTGCTCATCTAATAATAGTGACCAGGTCAAGCAAACTGGAGTTTTGCTGTGATACCCATAGTCATGTCATGTCACACTAAGCAGACTGGATCCCGCGGGTTCCGACATTTAAATGAGTTACTCTATAGTTGCTCTTATAGAAAATCATTCTCAAATGTAGACCTAGTGTATTCTTATACCCAGTAGGGTCACATCAATCTATTGTATCCATAAATAACACCGACCACTGTGGCTCCAGCGTTGATAATAAAACAGCCCACGCTGAAAGAAAAGACAGAGTATCTATGAACTGTGACTCATCTTTATATCTCCCTCCAAAAAACACTATCTCACAAGAAAAGTCTACGGCAATCTTGCCCGCCTGACACACAGGCATCATACATGATTAGGAAATCTCACACGATCCAAAGGCACTTTACAGCCCAGCAACCACCATCAGTCCATAGCCAATGGTCACGATGACCACAAAGGACATTAGACTTGATGGAATACCGCGAGAGAGGAAGTGGCGGACATGGAGATACCGCTGGCCCGTTTGAGGGACTTCGGTCATAATCGCAGCTGGTGAGAGAAATAGTCAGTAATGTATTGGATCATATGGGGATTTGTGGGCCTTACTCATGTTGGGGAAACCGCTCGTGGGCAAACCCATCGCGACAGAGCACATCAGAGCACTCGCCATGACAAGCAAGTTCGGGTGAGGATCTTCCATGCCGACGCCGATCTGGCGAACGAGGGGCAAAATAATCAATGCGGCAACGGTATGCGAAATGAATGTGGCGATGACCAATATAAGAGCGCAGAAGACGAGGAGCACACTGTACAAGCTGAGATGCTCGACACGAGCCGTGATACCGGCAGCGATTGTGTGCAATAGACCGGACGATGTAACCGCCTTGCCTAGGCAAAGACCTCCTGCGGCGAGGATGATGATGGTCCAGAGGAAGTTGTTGAAGTCCTCCTTGTTGAGAATGCCGGTACCGAAGAACAGCACAAGGGGGATTATGGCAATGACACCCATATCGCCAAAGACATGCTCGAGCTGGTGGCTCACACACCAAAGTGCAATGGTTCCAAGGGTCACTGCACTGATAAAATACTGGATACCAGTGAAACGGTCCTTCACGGGACGCATGGGGACGATGTTTTGGTTGCGACCAGGGTGAAACGTCACCAACAAAAGGCCCCAGATCAACAGAATTGAGATAATGCACACGGGAAGCGAGATGAAGAACCAAGTACCCCAACTAATGCTAGGGTACATGTTCTGCAAGGCGATGATATTCTGCGGGGATGCAATTGGTGAGGCCGCTCCGCCAACGTTTGCTGCCAAGGCAATGCCTAGTACGAGAGATTTGGCGAAGTTCGACTCTGGTGGCAAGTTACGCAGAAGAGGTTGAATGATCGAGTAGCAAAGTACGGGGGATGCGACATTGCTGATCCACATACTCAAGAACATACTCACAAACATGTTGGTCAGTAGGACGACATGTGGTTTCGAGCCGGCCTTGCTAAGCACAAACATGGCCATGCGGCGAGCAATGTCGTATTTGGATAGTGCTGCAGCAATGGTAAATCCACCCAGAAGAAGCATAATCACCGGGGTCCACATTGCTCCAAAGACCACGCCGGTTGCCTCCTTAGGGCCCAATCGCTTGTGGGGCTTGTCTTCAGATCGCATGATGCCAAGTACCACAACCAAGAACGGAATCAACAGAGATGTAACAAAGAGGGGAATGGCCTAGAATGAAGAGGGAAAGGTGATCAGCAACAAAAAAATATTTAACAAGTGAGTGGGGGAGGGGGGCTCACCTCGGTGGACCACAAGATGCTAACGAGTACTAGCATCGCTAGGCAGTTCTGTTGCTCCGGCGTATCCATAATTCGCAAAGGAAGCAGGGCGCCAAAGACAGCAAAGCTGAGAACCAGTGTTCCGAAACTCAAGCTGCAGAACCATAAAGGGAATTGGATTCGCCCCAGTGGGGTTGAGACCTCTGTGGTGAGAATTTCTTGCTTGTCACCTTGTCGCCGCGCCGTTTCAGGGTCTTCATCCGTTCCAAGCAGGGTTTGACGAATACCGACGTTCAGGGCCTGACCACGACGTTCAATGGCAATCATCTCACGCCAGACGGTGTTTCGCTCCCACACCAACTGCTCACGTAGGTGCAGGCGCAGCTCGCGACTGGCCAGAGCGCGATTGCCTCTAGTGACGATCTCGGCGTAGACACCTTCAATTTTGTCGATATGAGCGTCGATAGTCGCCATCGTCTCTTCCATGAAAGGCAACGCCTGGGAGACGACAGAGTTCAAATACTCTCGACGCAGGTTGCGGAACAAGGTCTTATCGTATTTTTTCAGAGCCTTGGAGAATCCGGTCTTGTTCAACTCGATAAAGGACCTGAGCTCACAGAGGGAAACATAGACTTCAACGAGCCGTTTCTTCAGCTCTACTCCATTGTTATAGAGGTCAAGGAAATCTTGATCGCCTATTTCTGAGCCAGGAAGTCCCCGACTGCTGGCCTGTCCGAAGAATGCAGAATCTGCCATGTCACCCGGTTGCGCATCTGTCGTAGACTCTCCATCTGTCGACTGGGGTCTGTGTCGCAAATTCCCCAGTGATGCAGACTGTGCATCGTCGCTGTCCCCATCTTCATCGCTGATAGCACTGGATCGACGCCTTTGACCGAGGCCATTGCGAGAGCGACGAGAGCTAGCCTTGATGACAGTCTCACTAACAGGGTCCATATTGACCCCGTCTGTGTCATTCAGGTAGACGGTGGCATCCCGCATCAATTGATCAGTAAGTTGAAAGATCTCCATCTGCTTTTGCTCAAAAAATGTATAGATTTTTTCCAGCTCCGCATCCAGGGCACGCTTAAAAATTCCATCTGGGTTGGTGATCTGAGGGCCCAGTAAGGGTGCGGATTCGACATCCGGACCACCTGGGGCATCGGGACGGTTGACCTGTTTTTCGAGCGTATAGATTCTGAATGATAAATCTCCGAATCAGCAATCCACTCGAATTATTCAATCCATGCATCACGACCATGCGTCTACCCAAGCTCTGTGCAATGTAGCACCCGCAAATGATGTGCAGTCGCAGCGCACGCGACTCCAAAATCAAACGACACACTGGTTCATTTCCACTTGAAGCACCAAGGCAAAATCGGGGTTTCAACTCACAATTTCTTGAGATTGCTGTATGCGATATAATGGGAGCTCCAGTCAGGCACCGCATTGAACTGAATGCTATGCGAAAACTTCATCTTGTCCGCAGTCTCAGGATCAAGGGCAGTGTTGCTCTGACTTGCTTTGTGTGCCCGACGCCGGAGGGCTTCCGACCAGAACCTTAGTGGAGTGGAACGGATACCACTAGGGCACTTTGCAGAGGACGGTGTCTTTTCCCACGCAGCGTCCTGTCCAATCCCAAACCCCGCTAGCGGCCGTGCGTTTGGGGTAGGCTCGAATGGCGGCGAGGTGGGTTGGAATGATCGATGGAGAGCGGATGCGGAATCCTGGACTCGGTCTCCAGACTGATGAGTGACGTTGTAATCAGCGAGCTCGAAAGATTCGCGACTCGTGGGGGAAGCCACTGTCGCAACGTATATGAGAATATGCTCGGGTAAGTGCAATTGCGCAACGAGAGGGGCCCGCTTGAATGAAATGGGGAGGTATTGCGGGGCGCCAGGCAAATGGACGTGTTGGTCAGCTGGGGCCCGCTTGCGTGGGTTGCACTGGTGGTCAGGCAGGCAATAAGTAGTGCACGGCAGGGTAGAGCTGGGGCAAAGCTAAGTGTGTTATCCTCCGAGACACATTTAACTGGGATACCGTTGTCCGCGTCAAAATCTTTTGGAGCTGGACGTTTCGCGATGATCCCAAGAACCGTTGCTTGCTCAATCGGGAATGGCCTGTCATGCGCTGAGGTAAGCAGCCTATCAGCCTGTGGATATAACTAACAAGCAGGGTTCAGGGTCCAGTCAAGATCAACAAAAATCATGGGCCATTTAGAAAGAAAATAAACAGATATGGTGGTTTATGGTAGAAAACGATTGATTTGATGTGGTAGGTAAAAGCCTACACATATGGTTTTGTAAAGTACGTGTACAAAACATGGATGACGTCAAATCAATGCGGGCAAACTAGATATACATGTACAGATGCTGAAAGAAAGTGCTGGATAGAGATCCTTCCGCCGACCCAATAAACAAAAAAAAATACCAAAGAGAGTAATGATCTATTCAAATGAATCGATTACCGGCGGCGAGGCCCAATGCCCAAGTTTGCACGTCCAGCAATACCAATCTTGTGCTGTCCGTCTCTCCGTTCCCACACACCACTGCGGCCCTCTGCAACAGCGACCAGCTCATTGGCGACCCGATGGGCCAACTGAGCATCCCGTCGCTTGTCTGACGCATCAATAATCCACTTGATTGCGGTGCGGCGACGCTGACGCAGGGTCAGCGGGTGTGGCATCTGCAAGGCTGCACCACCACCAGCAATACCCTTCATGAGGCGAATGCGGAAGAGAGGAGCGACTGAGTCGACAATCAAGGTGAGGTAAAGGACAGGGTCGAGAGGAAGCTGAGAGCTAGGGGGACCGCTAAGAAGGGGGTGGCGGGGGTTAATGTTGGGAGGAGGTGCGGTGCGGAGGTGGTCAAGGATAATCGACATGTTCTAACGGACATGATGTCAGTAGCTGAGATTCCAAAAACCACACAAGCGTGATGTCGATAGCAAATGGCATACCTTCTGTGCCCGAGCCAACTTGCCATCCTGCATCAGCATCTTGGTGAATTGATCTTGCATGGTATCGTAGCGTTTCCGGAAATTGTGCGTCTTAGTCGGGGCCTCGGGCTCCTCAAAAATCAGACCGGGAATCCGCTCAGCGGCTTGGCTGTTGACCTGATCGATCATACTGGCAAGCATAGCAACTGAAGCGTCATTGCTGGATTCAAAGCCCTTCGTTTCCGGCGAGAGGGTGCGAGCAGATGTTGAGAACGAACGAGAGCCACGGGATTTCTTGATTTGATCCTGCATAACCTTGGGCATGTGTTTCCGTGCCTGCTCATCGCGGGAGAGAATCTGCTCCACGGGAGTTCCTTGCTCCAACTCCGGGCTTGCGGGCGTTCCGTCACAGCTCTTCTCTTTCTCCATGATTCTCGAGATCTCAGCGGCTTCTTCGGGAACAGAAGGCAGCGGGTCCTGCGTAGGGAATTGCTGTTCATCGGGTTGGATGTTCTTCGAACCATCCTTGGACGAGTTCCATCTTTTCTGGACGGGAGCCAACTGCTCAGCCCGGAATCGGAGAGATAAAGCGGCGTTGCGAGGCCCAACAGAGGACACGGTCGACTGGCGGAGGGCAGTGACAGCCCGGTTGGCGGCAAAGAGGTTGAGTCGAGGAGGCATTATGTGTAATTGAGTCCCTGTTTCAAGGCAATGTGGTGATCAAGATTAATGATGAAATCTTGGCCAAGTTTGAAGCGGTCTGCAGTTCTGCCATTTTCCACACTGATTAGTCACCTTCGACGCGCCCATGGAGATTGACGACAAGGTTGAACTATATAAGTCATGGTTCAATTTGCCAGCATAGTGTCTCCTTGAAAAAATATCGGCTGCCTAGAAGCGTGCTTGAATGTCTTGCGTTCTGTGATATCCACCACAAGCGCGGTTAACCGGTCTCATATACCTGAGGCAGCAACCCTAAGAAAGGTGGAAATCCTGCTATGCTACAACCTTGGAACATCGTTGGAATTGATGCAGCCATTTGATTCAAAGATGGAAACTATCGGAGCAAAGGAATGAAAGATAATATCCACCAAGCCAGGTGACAACCTCAGAAGGCACTTTCTTCCCAACTTTCTGCTATCATGTTCTCCAAACTGCCGTCGGAGATTATCGTCCATGTCACAATATATCTTCCTACCATCAGCGACCTAGCAAACCTGGCACAAACATGTCAGCGACTCCACAAAATTGTCAACGCAGAAGAATCAGCCATATTTCGGTCGTTTGTTCAAAATCAATTTCCATTCATACAAACTCCAGCTTTCTGGAAAGATGCCGCTCGTGTCCTCACTGCTCGGTCACGGGCCCTGGACAGGCTTGGGATCATTGGCCGGTTCGTCATTCCGCCAGCTACCACAGTCCGAATTGGGCTCAATGAACCAACACGACTCGACAATCCCACGCTTGGATATAGACCCGCTATTGATTCTTATGAAGTATGGAACGGCGAGCGATGGGCTGATCGAAGAGAAGTGCTTGCGTGGGGTGCGGGCCACCAGATAGTCATGCGAACCAAACAGTCTGGATCTCGCCCGCAAGAGCAATGGGTTTCATTCAATGACGTGGAGGAAGCAAGCAGTTATGATGATATCTGCGGATTACATATTCTCCAGCCAGAATCTGACAAAAACACCGATGTCGAACACATAATCTTTGGCCGAATGCGTGGCGATCTTGTGCACGTTGCCCTTTCTATCGACAATGCAACTCATGAATATAAGCGGAAGTTCATGACTAGCGGAGATTTGCTGGAGAAAACAGACTTGGAACATCATACTATGGCTGCCCACTTCGATAATGGGTCTGTTGCTTTGTACCAACTTGAGATTGATCATAAAGAGGTTGAGCCGTTTGCTTGGGTCACAGTGGGCTCTGAAGTAGATGGCTCGAGGCGAAGCAGATACTCCAAGCTGTTATCATCATCAAGAATCGCAGTGGCTACTGGCCAAACCGAAAATTCTCTATCAATCAACGCGGTGTCTCCCGATGGAGTATACCTCGATCGAGCAATAGGTGTGAATACCCTTGATGTTGGCAATCAAGTCGGCAGATCTGGTCTTGCAGCTGTCACTGCTATCGCTCCTCTTAATACTCATTCATTGGCTGGTTCACCAGGCGATGTGTTCCTAGCAACATGGGGGGACCGCACAATAAGGTATGCTGACAAGAAACATGTTAGTAATTCAGAACTGATAGTTTACTGATTTTATTCCTAGACTTCACGATCTCCGCTCGCCAAATTCATATGAAGCAACGTATCAAGATACAACCGACGGCAACCTCATCTACAGCGTACAACCATTCAGCCATGATCGCTTTCTGGCTGGAGCCGCCGGCAACGCAATCCTGAAAATCTTTGATCTTCGTATGAGCAATGCCTACAGCTACTTGGACGCACACTTACCACCAAACAAAACCCAAACCTCACTTAACCTAGCGAAAAGGAACAGTGCCCAGTACCCTCGGAAGGATTTCTCAATGTTTCTCTCTTCCCAAATCCCTTCTTCTGCACCGCGAAATCCCCGAGCCAACAAACGTCGGCCTTATCGTGGCCCAATTTACACACTGTCTACACCATCTCCATCATCGCCGACAGTATATGCTGGAATTGTCGATGCCGTGGTTAGGTTAGATTTTGCATCGACAGATGATTTGACGGGACCAACACGCGACTGGTACGATTATAATCTAGACCTTGGGGTGGAAAAGGGTCAACCGTCGGTTCCTGTTGAGACGGATAATGTGTTTAAATTGGCAGGGTATGAGCGCCCAGAACCAGGTGATTTTACTACAACTTCCAAGCTGAGGCATCAGCATGGGTTTTGGTATCCGGAGCAGAAGCACATCAAGAACGGGGCAGGAGCTGGCTGGGATCGGCGGTGGGAGCCTCTTGAGAAGCCCGGTGCCTGGAGAAGAAGAGATAGTTGTAAATAGAAGCATGGACCCGGTTTCTGAAGTAGCCAAGAAGCAATCGGCAAGATTTGCGAAAAGTCCCGAAAGAAAAAAATCAAACTTTAAAACTTTTGTGGTATTTAAAATAGCAAATGTCTAAGCAAATGATAATCACAGTAAAACCGCCATAGCTCCGTATGCGCCATGCTGAGTGAAAGGGGTAGATGGAGAAGATACTTCGTATCAATGAGCCATCAACAAGATGAGCAAAAAGTGAGAATCGCCAAAGCCACGTAGCTCCCATAGGCCAAGAAAATAGAATCTTAATCTCCGTTCCCAATAGAGGCAAGTCCAGCGAATCGCTATGCAAGCTGAGAATGTTGACGCTATCCATGCCATTTAATGAAGTAGTGGCAAGGTATGACGATAATCATCTAGTCGTCAAACTTGAAAGACTTGCCCCCAGCGATGTCGATCGGGCCACCACGGTAGGAGCCGCGCTTCTTCTTGTTCTTCTCCTTGGTGAAACCCTTTCCACGAGTGACTGACAGATCCGCGTAGGCGCGGTCAGCATAGGCATAGGCAATGTATTCATTCTTGGGGCCGTCAAAAGGAAGGGCGCTCAAAGCAGCAAGCGGGGTGGGACGAGCTCCTGTGTGCTTCTTTGCGGAGCCATTTCCAGGGACGGGGCTGGCACTCGACGAAGAGTCCCGCACGTTGTCGAAGGCCTTGTTATCAACGGCAGAAGGTCCAGGGGAAGCAGCGACGGTGGCACTGGAGTCGGACGAGGTAGAGACGGTGACACCGCCGGCCTCTTCGTCATCAGAGCTATCGTCCGATGAGGAGCTGGATGAGCTCGAGTCAGAAGACTCGGGGAGGGGGGTCTTCTTTGCCTGCTTGAGGGCCTTAGCATCTTCCTTCTTGACGGGCTCCTTCTCAGACTCCGACTCGGAGGAGTCAGAGTCGGAGCCAGAGTCGGAGTCAGAGGAGTCACTCGAGTCGGAGCTGGAATCAGAGGACGAGGCCGATGAGTCAGACTCAGATTCAGAAGAGGACTCGTCCTTCTTAGTGGTCTTAACCTTCTTGGCCTTGGGCGCATCGCTCTCGGAACCGGAATCAGAGCTCGAATCAGACGATGACTCGTCGCTGGATTCGGCCTTGCGCTTCACACCCGCGGACTTCTTGGCAGCAGGAGCAGGAGTAGGAGCAGCCTCATCTTCGTCCTCATCGTCGGCGTCACTCTCAGAGCTAGAGGAAGAGGAAGGAGAGGGGGAGCGAGCCTTCTGGTCCTTCACAGCTTTGGGCGCATCCTCCATCTCAACGTCCGAGTCGCTAGAATCGCTCTCAGAGTCGGAGTTGGAATCGGTGCTGCTATCGTTGTCGCTATCGGAGCTTGAGCTAGAAGAATCGTTCTTCTCCCAAGCCTGGAAAATTTCCAGCAAAGACGGAGCATTCTTCGTGTCAGCCTTGCTGATGGCCTTCTTCAGTTCCTTTCCGAACGCAGTGTTGGTGGTGTTGAAGCCATTGCTGGACAGGAAAGAGGAAATAGACGCGAGAAGTTGCGGAGGAGCGGTGGTGGTGCTCTTAGGGGTGTCAGTCTGGCAATCAAAATTTATCGTCAGTACAGTTCTGCCCGTGAGTGGAGGCAGGCAGTGCAGCTTTACCTTCTCCTTCTTGATAGAGACCATCTTTTGCTCCGGTTTTTTAGCCATAGTCGCAGTAGGTGTGCGTTCTGGTAGCAGTAGACTCGCAATTACTGGAGTGATCGGGAGGCAAGAAGGCCGGGGAGTGAGAAAAATTAACTGTATATAGAAGTCGCCATCCAGGAACAGAAAAAAAAAAGTCTGGAAGTATAGCAAAGGCGGTGAGACAAAAAGGCTTTTGATTGGACAAGAGTGATCACATATCGCACTTTTGCGGTCCACGTGACGGTAATCGGTATTGTACTACTAAGTAGGGAATTATGTAAATAACCTTGATAGAAAGACTATACTGTAATGCCTGAGCTATAGTCTTGGAGGGCTGCTGACTATGTAATACGGAAAAGCAATAGCGTCATGTGAATGGGCTTCAAGTGGAAACCGCCATTGTATAAATCCTAGAAAACAGATGCGTGACGGCTATGGCGGAAAGATAAGGTGTATACGGTAATATAAAGTTGAAAATATTGTATATTACTGGAAGGTCTAGTACGCTGATGCTCCACCTGCGACCGCATCATGTGATCTCTGACGTTCACGTGGGTCAAACAATGATGCCTCAGGCAACACAACGGCCACCGTGCTTGATAGTATAGATTATTAGAAGTCAATGAAACCGGACGTATAGTGGCCAAAATAACGAGCCAGAGGAGAAGAGGAGTCTCTTCCGGAACAAGTATCTCATGATATACAATTGTCACGTTGGAAAACATAACATATAGTCATTGCTCCCGGATCAACTCAATACTCCGCTCCCACGAGCTCTCCGCCTTACCCGCAACCCCAAACAGACCGATGAGCTAATGCATTCTGACTGCTAACGGCCATTTGGCATTGCCACGAATTACCTCGCTAGCGGTTGTAATTCTCCTTCTTTGGTCTGTGGTGCTTCCCTCTCCTCGACCTTCCAACAGACGTCACTTTGGATCCAGGCAACGGAATCTTGTGGGACTCCGTCCTCATTTAATCTCTCGGAACACGTCGCACCCCAACCATGATCCCTTGAATACACCAATTCTATCCAGTGATTTTGCTGTCGCATAAACGACGTGATTATGAATGGTCGAGACCGCCCACGTCCACCGCCCTCCGCCGACCCTCGGCGCGGGGGTGACGGCCGCAATGGCTCCGGAGACGGCTCCTTGAGCAGGGCAGAGAAATTCGAGGACGAGAAGAAACGCATCATTCAAAGCTGCTATTCGAAAAAAGACAATGATGGAACCTGTGTGTAAACCCTCCAATCGCCCCTTGATGCCTTGCCATGGGGTCCCCAGCTTTCCCGCAGCTAGGGGATGGTGAAGTGGACCGCGGATATTTTACCACTCCCTTTGCTATTTCAAATGGAGATTATCGAGGTTTCTTTAAGAGCTTCCTACTAACTGATGTTCAACGTAGTGGTCGAGTCTTATATCACACACGTCCGAATCACCGAGGATGCATCACACCCTTCTGCCCCTTCCCCGCCCAGCTCAGCTCCCGAGAACAAGAAACCCCGTGTTATTATCGTTTCAGTACGAAGGTCAGGTAGAGTCCGCATGCACAAGGCCCGCGAAAATAGCGACGGCACGTTCTCCATTGGTAAAACATGGATGCTCGACGATCTATCTGCAATTCAATCTTACACTGCTCTGGTACCAAAGACACCGATCGAGCAACAGCACAAGGAATGGGCTTCAAATGTTGGATTCGTGGTAACCGTGGGAAAACCGTACTACTGGCATGCCCGCAGTGCCAAGGAGAAAGAGTTCTTCATTGGCAGCCTGGTGAAGATCTACAAGAAGTATACAGGAGGCAAAGTCCCAAATCTGATTGGGTTTGAGGAGAAGCAACGACAAGCGCTCATAGGAGGAGCTTCTCCGGGACCGTCAGGGCCCTCCGCGCCACCTTCACGAGGTGCCGGTTTGGGCCCCCCTCCAGAGTCGATAACACCTCAACCGGCACCCTCATACGGAAATCGTGAACCCAGTCGGGATGGCGTTCGCGAGTTAAGGCGGAAGGCATCTGAGGATCCGACACTCCGGTCCCAAAAGAGCCGCGAACAGATGTCCCGTCCGTCAACTGGGAATAAGCCAGCTCCGTCGCCTTTTGATCCACCATCCAATCCACCGCCTGCTGTTCCCCCACCGCGAAGGGAGCCAGAAAACAGAGAGCCACCGGTGAAATTCCCCTTGCAAGATGACTCCCGGCCATCGTCGTCCCGCGGGGAAGGCCGCGCTCCGAAGACCCCGACATCCGAGCTGGCAGCCCAATCTGTTGAGACTCTATCATTGAACCAAAAGCGAAGTGTAGATGGGCTACGGCCGACTACCGCAGGATCATTTACGAGTGAAGCTCGAGGGATACCCCCAAGTCCTGTTAGCAGTATAGGTCAATATACACCATATCGGGCTGATAAGGGGCCAACCCTCGAACCACTCCCTCAGCCTGTTCAGGATAAGGTTGTAACCGAAGAAGTCCAGCCCGCGCCGCCAGTCGACGAATCTCCAGCGAAAGACGAAACCCCATCTTCACCATTGTCTGTGGACCCTGCAGTAGCAGCGGCCGTGGTCCAATTTTCCCAACCACCTCAAGAGGATGCACAAGAACAGCAACCTTCAACTACTGCGGAGGAAACCGAGGACGATGGTGAAGCACATCGGCCTGGCTTGGGTCCTATGGTGAAAAAGAAGGGGCAGAAGGAGCTTGCAGGCGTCCTTCGAAAGGCTGCAACTGCCTATGGGGCATTCAAACCACGGCCTGGTGGTGCTGGTGAGCGTCTACTGGCAGCGGCGAAGAAGCAGCAAGCAGAACAGGAAGCGGATGGTATTACAGGCGTTTTCCCGGCCCCATCTATCAGCAAATCTGCAAGTGAAGCCCCAAGGAGCCCAGTAGATGAGCCGACAGAGAGGGAGCTCATGGTGACGGCACCAACCCCCGAGCCTCCCACTGTTACAACACCCACAGTAGAAATTACCCAGCCCGAGGTCGAGGTGACCTCACCCCCGCCTGATTCAATTCCTCTTCCAGAGAAGAGCCAAGATTCCTTGGTTGATATTGTAAACATTGACGAACGTTCACGATCGCCGTCTCCGGCTGCCAGGGGTCGCCGCCGGAGACGGGAAGATCATACCGTCAAATACTGCCAGGCTCTCGGGATCGACCCAGGTGTGCTCGATGGCCGTGGACTTGACTTTGATGATATTCTAACTGATCTTGGGTGGAATGGACGCCTCAATGATGAGCAGAAAATTGAGGACTTGGAAGCCGATGTTCGCCGCGAAATTGGTCGTGTTGAAGCTACCAGCTGGCTTGGTAATCTTGAACAACAGGAAGGGAAGGTGGAGCAGCTGGCTGTCCTCATCGACAAGACCATTGAAGAGTGCGAGGAGTTGGAGGGTCTTCTGACACTATACTCGCACGAATTGAACGTAAGTCATTTTGACACCCCACAAGCTAAATCTGCTCAATATGGGTACTAATCGAGCCATAGACTCTGCATGAAGATGTGTCGTACATTGAAGCTCAGTCTCAGGGTTTGCAAGTGCAAACAGCAAACCAGAAGCTTTTGCAGAACGAGCTTCAAAACCTTCTGAAGACATTGTCTATCTCCACATCCGAGCTTCGGCCGCTCAAGGAAGCCTCTCTAAACAATCCCGATGGTTTGAAGGATACCGAAAATGCTCTGTCCACGTTGTACAAGGCGATGCTCATGATCGATGCTGAGATTGGTCAAAACAAAAAGCGATTGGTCGATGCCAGTGTCGGGGTTTATGCAAACACAGAGATTGGCCAAATGCGTGCCATCAAAGAAAAGAAAGAAGAATATCACAATGCTGCCGTGACATTCTTGCAGCATCGTCTCAAGCAGTTCATGGCTCTGGCCTTCAAAACGGCGGAACAAAAACGCGCAGATGTGATGACTGCCACTACCAGGGATCCTATGAAGCTGGACAGTGCTGCTCGACAGCAGTTTCGAGCTGAAGTGTGGAGATACAATCCTTTGATGCTGTTTACCAAGGAAGTGAGCACGTCGGAATGGCATGCGCTGGTGAACCTCTATGAGCAGCAGTCCAAGCCATCATATCAAACCGAATTCCGCGACAATAACGCGACTTGGAAGAAAACAGCTCGGAAAACCACTGGAGAGGAGCAAGAGCTTCTCTTTACTCACCAAGAAAAGGAGAAGGAAGCCGAGGGTATTACTATGGCGGCTCGCAAACTTACAGTGCGACGAGGCAAGACCGTTCGCGCTGCGGCCGGGTTTCGACTGGCCTCTGGTGAAAAGGCAGAGAAAAAGCGAGGCAGAGTCGAGCCATGTGAAGCATTTGCAGGGACGCTGCGCGAGACTCTTAACACGATCACCGATGAACAAAATTTTGTGGTCGAATTTTTCCACCTGAATTCCTTGGTGAACGTTGATTTCTCTGATTTGGTGGCTGCAGCTGAGCCAGAAAGTCGGCAATGCCCTGACTTTTCGGTCAAGCAGTCGCATGACCCAGATCGTGACATGGCCAAGCGTGTCGAGCATATTATGGATGATATTTTCTCATTTTGGCCGAATGACATGCAAAGCATGGTGGACTGGGCCATTGGCTCAGATCCTCTGCAAGGGATTGGCATCCTCTTTGCTTTAGAGTCGGCCATGACCGATCTCGACGATACCAATCAAGAATTCATCCTCCATTCGCTACAGAAACTCCACTCTCGTCTGATGGGACTCTACAATCGATTTGTGGATGAACAGATCCGAGGTATCGAGGACACCAAAGTAAAGATCAACAAGCGCAAGGGTGTCATCTCCTTTATGCGAGTCTTCCCGCACTTTTCCAACGCGGTTGAGAATATGTTGTCTCACCCAGGTGGTGAATTCTGCGATATTCGAATCAGCGTCAATGATGCCTATGACCGCATCAACCGGGCGATGTGGGAGTCACTCAAATTCATTGCCAAGGAAGCCCCCGGTCAACCTCCTGGTGTGTCTGCCACTGCCGGAGATCCCGAAGATAAAGAAGTGCTCAACTATCACATTCTAC